GGTCCTCTCAATCGTATATTAGAAAATCCAGCAACACCAGAGAAAGCAATTCAAACAGGAATACTTCAGGTGGATTGAAATTGAAGGCAAAATTGTTAGTACACCCCACTCAAGGAAACGAGATCCTTAATAAAACTAAACTTCGAAAGCGCGGGATGAATACATCGTATGTAAATACATGCCCAGGTGGACAGTTGCGATGCAGCATCTTTTGGAAATAGCTTCCAAGAATCCTCGTATAAAAAAAGGCTCTCCAGGCTGTATGGATCTGGAGGAAGACTGCTTGAATTCCGGCTTCGTGCCCAGGTGGTATCAGGAGTGTCATTTCAAAGGATACTAGTATATGTTTGGGGCTAATAATTAATGTAGGGAAAATCACACAATATGAAAATGAGATCATGATGCATTTTGTAGGACCGCGGAGTGAGCACATGGAACTACGAGAGCAGGGCAGAGTTCCAAGTTTTCGGTTGAGTGTTATTGGAAGTTGGTCACCTCGCTTAACCATTAGGTTACCTAGGTAGTTACAAAGAGTGGATTTTTTAATTACGGGAAACCTGTTGAGACGTGTATAAGCTTATCTTAGTTAATGTATGTATGTATGGCGTACGTGCTGACTCAATCCAATGTGGCTACCAACCCATAAGAATACTAGAGCGAGCAACAATACATAGAATCAGTAGCAACGAATTAGAAGTGAAAATGATCGAAACCTTCCGACCGTCCAGGCGCAGTCATGAAATTGCTTGACGTCGGCAGATCCTCGGGATCACCGGACGTAAGCATCTGCCAACCGCAAAAATTCGTCAACTGCTTGGCTTTGAGATTTTCCACGATTCTAATGTCGCAACCGTAGCTTCTTGTTTGACTATTCGGTCCAAATCTCCGGAGGAACATTTTGCTAGCTAAGTGAAAGAAGGCTTGGCGCAATATGAGCGGAGTTTTGCGACCGTGCAATGATAGATGCATCCGGAGGGACCCCGTCGGAGGCAAGCTGCCAAGAGCGAGTACGTATGCGAGGTACGTTGGACTGTTATAGGACTTGTAGGGGTTTCTCAGGGACTTGGACCTTAATTCAAGGGGCAATGATCTACACACGCTAATTGTCGAAACCGTTCGACAGTCGCTGTCCCGATTAATAATCCCCTAGCTTGTTACAATAGCGGTCTTGGCCCTCTTTAGAGGGTTATTTGTACAGTCGACCCGTGACTATTCTGGAACGGGCTTAATTTGAGCAATAACAGCATCGGCACTCTAAATAAACACCTAGCACATATACATCCGAGTGGCGTCGCGATGTTAATGTCCGTTGTAGTTAAAATTGAAATCAATACAATATTATAGGTCCAGTCCATTGGCATGGGGATGCAAAGCAAAACGCCTCGTCATCAACGCAGATCCTTCTATTTTCCTCCGCTTAGATCTGACAGTTTTTGAGTTATGGATCCAAAGCTGTCCATAGTGAATCCTCCATGTGGAGAAGTAGCACTCCGCGACTCGTCTATGAGAACCTTGGCAGCGCCACGCGAGTTTCTGTGACCTATGCACTGATTCCTCAACTTTCTACCAGGGACACAGAAGTCAATCTGAATGATGTGCCGAGCACCAATGAGCCACATAATGATGAATTTACCTGAATCACGACACGTCGACCCTCAAATGTCTAGATCACCGGGGCAGGGGCCATACTCCGCTGCGGGACTCGGAATTGCCTTGAAATGTCCATCGGTGCACAATGTGAGAAATATGTATGCCCTGATTTGCTAGCTCTGTTGGAAGTATCCCCATCACTTTCGTCAGCCCCAATCCGTGCGCCTCGGAGGCACGCGGGTTGGCTGCCATTTCTTTTTGAGGTCCTCCTCAGCGTGGGTCTATCCGTGTAGGCATGGCTTTCTTTTCTATAAAGCCTAGTTGATCTGCTCCTCTAAAAGTGATCTGATCATCAGAAAATCCTCCAGTCAATCGAGAATCCAACAGTCCTCGCTGCAGATCTTCGTTTAACCACCCTGCTTTCCAATTGATATATACTAGCCACGATGGTTCAACTCGCCTCTGCCCTCGCCATCGGCGTCCTTGGTCTGGCCAGCGTTGTTTCCGCCCACCCCGGTCATGACCACAAGGCTGAAGCCGCCGAACGTGCCCTGTACATGCGCAATGCACCCATACAGTCCCGCAGCCTGTCCCAGTGTGCCTCCCAGATGAAGGCTCGCGGCCTTGAAAGCAAGAATGTTGCTCGTCGCGCTGCCGCCGTCAAGAACCTTCGCCGCCGTCGCGGACTCAAGTCTGGTACGCAAAGTATTTTGAATATCGCGCGGCAAAACAAATTAAACTGACTTTTACCAGACGCGAATTTTCTCAAGGCTCGTGACCTCGACACTGCTCTGGCGACGTCGCACGCTTCCAACCTGACTGGTGTTGATTTCAACACCGATCCAAGTCTGCTGTTCACCTCCGAGGGCAGCTGCATTCTCGCTCCAGATGTTACCCAGGGACCTTACTGTTGGTTGAATGACTCAATTTTTCGCATCATAGGCGCTGACATTGTATTTAGACGTTACCGGTGAGCTAGTCCGCCAGGGTATCACCGAGGACCAGCAGGGTGTCCCTCTGTACATGGATTTCCAGTTGATCGACACCAACACCTGCGAACCTCTGCCGAATATCTACACCGATATCTGGTACTGCAATGCCACTGTAAGTAATTGCACATCCTTTATAGACTCCAACTTCTGGATCTAATCACTGTATTATAGGGTGTCTATTCTGGCATCAGCGCCAGCGGCAACGGAGACTCCTCTGACACCAGCAACCTCGACGCCACTTTCCTGCGCGGGATCCAGGCCAGCAACGCCGACGGTGTTGTCCAATTTGAGGGAATTTTCCCCGGTCACTACACTGGCCGTGCTACTCACATTCATGGTACGACAGTCTTATTGGTCTATTTTTGATTCAAGCCTTTCTAACAGTACTCACAGTTCTGACCCACCCCGCCAATGAGACTACCCTTCTGAAGAACGGTACTATCTCTGGCCTTTACTCTTCGACCTCCTCCCACGTTGGACAGGCCTTCTTCGACCAGGACCTCATCGCCAAGGTCGAGAAGACCTCGCCCTACAGCACAAACACCCAAGATTTGACCACCAACTCCGAGGACAGCATCCTCTCAGACGAGGCCGACACTATCGACCCTTTTATGGAGTACATCCTTCTTGGTGACTCTGTTAGCGACGGTATCTTTGCCTGGATCTCTGTTGGCGTTGATTCTACCGTTGACTCTTCCGTTTCTCCGGCCGCCTACTACACCGAGGAGGGTGGCGTCGAGAATGAGAACTCTGGCATGGGCATGGGCGGCGGCGGCGGCGGCGGCGCTCCTCCCGGCTTCGGCTCTTCCACCTCCAGCGCTTCCAGTAGCCGCAGCACTAACTAAGATACCCTGGTTCTTTAACACAGAAGCTTGTGCCTGGCATCAACTTTGTCTCTGTTCAATTTCGAATTTTGCCTTCTATTCTTCAGCCGTTGGACGGCAGGACCTTCAGGGCTTGTTACTCGGTATTGTCTTGATAGTATATTTTGGTTTGCGTTGTTGTATTTATTTACTAGCGACTAGTCTCAAATGCTCCATCGCACATTTCTAAATTTGGTTCCATACCAGAACTGCCAGTGGTTTCATAATCTTTCCTTTTTTCAATTTCCTCAGGGCATGTTCGTAGTAGTCTGCAGCCTGTTGGAGCAAGATTAGCTAGCTATACGATTTTCAAAGGGATGGTCAAGCTTACATCAAAATGGCTTCCAAGCCCCTCAGCAAACTTAAAACGAATCATACTACCCCTCTAGAGCCAACGGGATATCTACTTAAATTGGAAGACATCGGGCGCGGAAAATTCCAAGTTTGAAGGACCCCTAGGGCGGTATTGGGTGCCCAGGTGTCAAAGTATACATAATTCCTAGCACACTAGGTACTAGACATCCTGCAGTCGGGAGGCGATTTCAGACGGCCCCGGGAGAGTAAGTCAATCAGAGATAGTAAGTAGCTTTGAGTTCTTCAGGCATCCTCATGCTGTCATAGCTAGTACTCTATGATGAATAATAGAGACTGAAATTAAGGATCAGCTGTGATGAGAGTCGAGACTGGAAATCGCCCCCACAACTCAGCCCTGGGGCGCAGACGAACGCCAAGGGAACGCGACCGCCGATCTTCGAAAGCAAGCAAAACAATCGGAGAGATATTCGACCGCACATCACGTGTACTCGTGATTGCTGCCCTTCTTGTACGCCCAGGCTTGTGGGTCTTTATAGCAACCAATCGCATTACCGGATGACTTGTTTTAATAGCATCGGATGCCAAGTTCAAGGCTGCACGACAGTTACAGTCTCGATCATTATAAAGCGTGAGTGAAAGCTCTCATCCATTCAAGAAAACTTACCTGCTCGCTTCAGTCAAACATTTCGACAATAATCTCTCGCCTTTCCCAACCCACCTGCAATTCGACTTCTATTACTTTGCTTTTGCTTGCAATATGGCGGGTGACGGGATTTTCACATATCGCGATGGTATAGCTGCTGCACAGATAGTCACCTTCTCACTACCTCTGATGTTCGCTTTCTACTTCCGATGGACGCGTCAAATAGGCTGGTTCTGCATCGGTATTTTCACACTCCTAAGGATTATCGGGGCTGGCTGCAAGCTTGCTACGATCAACCAGGACACCCAAGGACTATGGGCCGCGATATTTGTTTGCGAATCTCTGGGAATGATCTTGATCATCTTTCTTCTCTTGGAGCTGCTGGAAAGAATGTAAGCGGCTCAGCCTTTGGATTAAATGAGGACCCTTCACTAACCAATCGCGCAATAGAAACAAAGTCATTAACATTGCCGGAAAATGGATCTTCTGGGCTCCATCCATAATAACCTGGATTGACATTGGCATATCCATTGGTGGCTGGGTCTCTGTCATGCACGTCGAGCACCCCCTCCTCCCACCGCATGGAGCCAAGCTAGTATGGGCCTATTGGCAGTCATCTACGTTTACCTTGTCGGCGTATTCACACTCTTCTGGATCCACCGACACGAATATTTCGAGGAAGAAAAGTGGGCACTCAATGGTGTTACCGTCTGTATTCCTCTGCTTGCCATCCGCCTCGCATACTCACTAATCTTCATAATCTCTGGCAATATGAAGTTCAATGCTATCAAGGGTAACCTGACTGGATATCTTACAATGACTATGCTACCCGAAATAGCTATAATTGGCGTGTGCACCTATGTGATTGCGGCTAGGATATCTCCACTTCGTAAAGAGACACATTCATTGTCAAAGCCAGACGAAGAAAGTCAAGAGGAACTCGCTAGCAGGATCTAGAATTGTTTCTCTATTTGTTTTAAAAATGATTGCATTGCGATACCCCGGCGTTTGGATAGTAATTTCAAGGTTGTTTGTCTATTGAGCAATGCCAGTGGGAAATAATATTCACGAGCCCTGAATAGACAAGATATTACAAGCCCCGGAGGTTGTTAAATAGAATCACGTACTACGCTCAGGCAACTCAAGGTGGGGAGATCCCCATGAATCGTGGGAGTAAGGATGGCCCGCGTGTGGTGGCCGCCCACCCGATGATCCCGAGTGCCGCAGCAGCTACAGCACCACATCTTAGCATTGCCGTTCGAACTCTTGGCTGTAAGAATTCATTGAGCAGGTATTCAAACCTCTCGGGCTGATTTCGATCTGGATAGTCTTCCTTTGGGACTGGAACTCCCAAGAATGGGCAGATGGTATCCCAATCAATCCCATCTTCGAGCTGAATGAGACACAGGCGATCTGCTGGAATTGTCGACTTGACATTTTTGATACTAAGCATTGAAATTGCGTTAGCAGATCAAGTGAAAACGGTAAATAAGACAAGGCGAGACTCACTATGAGGAATAATATTCGCGAAGTATGTCCTCATTTTCTGGGTCGCCCGGTTTTGTCCCACTCGCTAAAGCTTGATACACCAGCACATTCATATCCATGAAGTGGTAGAGATCTCCATGGAAATATTTCAAAACATTGAATGGGAAGGTGCTTGATAGAGTAACTACTTTCGCGCTTGTGTTGTTGAATGATTGAGCCCACTTCCTAGGATCCCTCTCGGTAAGGATAAACTTCACCTCGGGATCTTCTGCATAAGCCTCAATCACATCCATTCCCAAATAGCTTGAAATCTCAATAATACACTGACTCTCATCAGCTTTTTGATCGAATGGTGACATCTGTTCAAGGATACTTAAAAGAGAAAATCATACTCACGTCATAATCTGCTAGCCACTTCTCGCAATCAGATTTCTTCAGTCGTCTCACGCCGGAGAGCCAATTGAATTGAGCAATCACGGCCTGTTTGAAGATATTTATGTGGGTCGCGCCATGAATGCAGACACATTCATATAGATGATAGGGGCGATAGCCCAAAATCTTCATCGCACCATAGAGCCCTAGCGTTCCGGAACTATTTTATGCTTAATTTCAAGATCGAATACATCTAATTTGGACGTAGTGAAGTTGTATTAAAAAGCGGGATCTTACCGACTTGCGCTTGCGACGATTACTTTCTTCTTCCGAATCTCACTCGGAGGCATTAATTTATCCACTTGTCTCGACATGATGAGTCGCTTGGTGAATTGGAAGCTGGCATGGGTGGGAAGCCTCTCTTATAGAAGCCACGTATTCGCTTGCACTTACCCTTCTAAGGTTGACGCTAATTAGCCTCACCTTAGCAGCTAGCGCATCGCACTCCTATATCTGCTGGATAGGTCGGACTAAATTTACGTACGTAGTAGGTGCTGGCGGGTTGCCTTACGGCCTTAAGCTCGGTTAGTTAGTTAGTGTATTCCTTAGGTGCATGGCCCCCTGAAATATGATCATCAGGCCTATCTTACGATTTCGGTGTCAGGAATCCTATTTTTAGTTTTGTTACTTGCGGCTAATTTCCATTAATTTGCGGGAAATATTAGTATATTGAAAACGAGATTTCTGCTGCTTGAGTTCTCAATATTAGCGGATTCTGCGAAGCGGTTAGGAAAATGATACTTTTCAGGAGCTGAAGTTCTTCTTGTCTGGGTAGGCTTTGTATAATTCACTTTTGCTACCTCGATAATGATTTCTCTCAAACAACCTTAGGCAATGGCTATCAGCGAGCCATAAGAAACGGAAAACTTCCAGTAGCACCGGAGTCCGCATGTTTAGGCTCAGAAGTGAGGCCATCGCTCGGCGATTCAAAGCGATAAATACACTTCATTGTAATGACAGGAAGTCTATTTTCACGTAAACAGTATTCTATGCACGTTATATCATAATTACCTACTAGCTAAACACCCATACAAGGAAATGAAAGCGAAGGGATATACGCAAAAAGAAGAAAAAGCCACTTCAATCAATCAGGACACTCGGAAAATATAGAGGCATCACGGTATGCCAAGGTCTTATTGATGCCAGCTCTGTTCGGGCATCCAACAACTGTATTTGCTACAATATGAAACTTGAGTTACTAGTACGAATAGAATACGAGCGAAGAGCAGAGAATTGTCATGAGAACTTGGAGATCTTGGTGTCTCAGCTTCCCTTTTCTGCGTCCCATAACTTCGACTTGGCGCTTGCCTTATCAATGGCTTTGTTTTCAACCTGAATATTAAGTGGTAGATTTCTGAAGAAGCAACTAACTAGGAAATCTTCATCTAGCCAACCAAATACATGATCTTTTCTAGGGCACGTATGGCCTGGAATCCTGCGGTTCACTCGGCACACATATGCCGGTCCCTAAATGAGTCGCAATGACAATCCCGGAGCCGAGTTTCCTATTGTCACCAGGCGACAAAAAAGACCATTTCTGTGCATTTCCGTGACGGAGAAAGCGCTTGCCTTCCGATTAGGGAAGGCGTCAACAATCCGCAATAGCGATCTACCTTGGTTGATGTCGGAATCCTGTATGATTATAGTGTCTATTTTAAACCATTTGGCACCAATGGGTAGCCATTTCACTTCTACAAGACGAGGAATACGACAGTCTTCGGAGCCCAAGAGCACTCATTCGATCAGCCGCCTAAAGAGAAGTCGAAGCCCGCACCCTCGCGGCGGAGATGGAGAAGTTGCTCTTCAATCAGGACGCTGCTGGGGTACGATTCAACAAACCATCTAAATATTTATCCTCAGACTGACATATTCAGATTCGCTGTATGGCATAAATAAGAGATATTACTGGGAAAACGATGGTAGAAATATTCACGAGGACTGAGAGAATAATAGGTTTTGCAATATTGACTCTGATCTATCGAACAATAGAGCCAGATATGGCTACTGGGACTATACTCTCTAGTCAATGTATTTCGATCGCTTTTTGGGCCCTGAACGAGCATCGGGAATACATGCGTTTATTGGAATACACAGAGCACAGCATGATGGAGCATTGTGTACAATGGTGAGTAATTCCGGTTTCACCCATAGAGAACTCATTCAGGTCATCCAGGGCTTTGTTGTCAGCACCATTTGTACCAGATATTGTCACATCCTGTCTAGTCATCGAAACATTGTCCTCTCTTCATTTAACCAACCTCGCGTCAATTGTGGATGCTGCTGAAAAGTTCGCATGTCACTTTCATGACGCCTACGGGAAGCAATTGGCTATTTTCAGGCTAATGTATGATGTCGCGTGCAAATAGATCAAGGCAAAAAACGCCAGTTCTGGAACTAGATCATCCGAAAGCTACTTAACTTATTAAATGTTGAATCCGCTGAGACAGTCGGAGGGATGGGACTTAGTTCTTCACATCAATTCCCCGAGGCCACAAGTTTTAAAAGTCTAGGACCAGGTGTAAGAAGAAGTCGCACAGTGGCTTTGGAATTCGATATAGCTGAAAAGGCCTGAGGAATTCCCCTGGAGACAGAATGCTCTCAATGATAGCCATAAATAAGCACACCCCCACTGTATGGGGGTGGCTTGTTGCAGACTACTGGGCTTCAATTGATAATTTCTTACGCTTTCGATGTTGTAGTATGAGCCAGTCTGATAATAAAACCATATTACGAAGTAGGGTCACATCCGTGTCCGCACTGGCCTCGGAATTACCGAGGATGGAATCTTGCAAGAAAGATAATGCTTGGGTGAGGTTTTGGCCCCAAGAGTGTTTTTGAGGCTGACATGTGGGTCAGCCTCCCCGTTGGGTATCTTCGCCGTTAACATGCTGCTAAATATCCCTTGCTTCCATTTACAATTTGGTTCATTTGACCACAGACGATTAGTTTTCCACCATGTTTAATATGATATACTTGATTCACAATAACTCTGCAAGACGTGCATGATCGTGTTTCGGATTCTCATTGAAATGGGGTCTAAATTATGTTCGCCATTGCTCCGTTGTAGATGAGGTGCACAGACCTTGGAAAGCAAAGCCCCCTCACCCGTCTTGGCAGTCAGCTCATCCAATACGATCCTGGTTGGCCCTATGCAGAGCCTTGCTGACTGCAGCGCTCAAAGAATTATTGTGATCAGGCGCAACACTAGAGTTGAACCGATATTGAGCAAGGTTTCTTTCATGTCCCCTGTTTCACAATTCACGATTCCATTCAGGTTGTATCGCATCGCAGAATGGTGTCTTGGGTTCAGAAGCCGGAATATGTACATAGCGAAGCAAAATTGGAGCAGGAACTTGAAGAAGTGATTGATTGTTATTTATCCCCAGGTCGTATCACTGCCCAGATGCATCCAAGTGGATCCCAAGGAACGCCTGAGAGCAGCCGGAGCAAGCCTAGTCTGATTGTCTTCCACCAAAATAGGAACCATTTGCTTTCCACGGACCGAACCAGAAGAGCTGACCTAGAACAAAGCCTACGGTCTTCAGCCGCTAATCATATGCCAAGTCATAGTGTGCTGGTCCTACTCGGTCGGGTCTCTTTCAAGTTTGAATGACCCCTTCTCTTCCCCGCTATGCATTCATTCTACCAACTGCATCTCACCGCACAGCATCACTATCGTTAACGTCAACTCAAAATGCTGTTTACGCGACAGTTGTTTTGGTCTTCTCTTGCGACAATCACGGTGGTGGGTCTTGGAGGTGCACAATCAACACCTGGTACCCGGACCACAACTACAGACTCTACGACCTCTTCGACATCGACTGGAAAGGCAACGCATACAATTCAAGTTGGGCCAAAAACCAGCCCGCATGCCTATGTTCCTCATAACATCAGAGCAAATGTCGGCGATGTAGTAGTCTTCGAGTTCTACCCCACTAATCACTCGGTCGTTAAAGCGGACTACGATGCGCCTTGTGTGCCTGCTGACCATGGACGTTTCTACTCGGGGATCTTCAACGATTTCACCACCAATGACGGTAATTTGGTTGGGCCAGTAAGTAGACTAAACTCTAACGATAAAATGATATACTGCAAGAAATAGCTAACGTTGACCTCGATAGGCACCTACCTGGTCGGTGGTCGTTAATAATACTGAGGTACCAAAGTTCGTACAACCAGGACATGGATAACAGTTCTGACTTTGCTTTTCTACGCTAGCCAACTTTTTTCTACTGCACTGCCATCGATTCCTGCACCAAAAATGGCATGGTTGGTGTTATTAATCCGGTATGAGCTCTTCACTTCACCGTTGGTGCCTTGACAATCAATGGACCTAACATCAGTTTGCTTCCCTAGAACTCCTCTCGAACATTCAAAACGCAATATGACAAAGCACTTGATTCCCCATACATGCTAGTTCCGGGACAATCACCTCCGCCAGAGGGAAGTGAAGATTCCGGATCGAGTTCGAGTTCAAGCTCAAGCAGTGATTCCTCCGGTGGTGGAAACGGTCTCAGCAAAGGCGCCATCGCAGGAATCGCTGTTGCAGGTGTTGTCTTTTTGGGAATTCTGGTGGCACTTTTCTTTCTACTCGGTCGCAATCGAGTATACAAGCAGTGGATGTCTTCTCAAGATGGGAGAACTGAACGTACTGCTCGGTGGGCACTTTTCAACCATCCAAATGGTGGTCCTGAGGTGGCTAGCAATGCAGGCAAGCCACCCATGACAGACACAACTTCGGTTTCGAGCCCCGATCCAGGTCGCTACAATACCATGTCGCCACCTCTTGGCGACGGTAATTCTAGCTATGGCCCTTCATCGCCGCGTCAACAGTCCGGGCATTGGAGTTGGGACCCTTCCTTCAATCCCCGAAATGCCCGTGGCCCATCTGAGCTGGAGGCGACCCACGTCATCCACCAACTTCCTGAGTCTAGCAATGAACGTTAAACAACAGTGAAGAATGAAATTATTTGGATAGGGATGACGAGTTCCAAGGTTCAACGATGGTTGTCGAGAGCGCCCAGGAGGTTAGATATATTGATGCCCAGGTGTTCGACAATATTTCGTTGCTTTTTTTTTTTTCCATGGCTGGCGCTGTTTAGTACAAGGTTTATTTGCGTTATGTGATACCTTTGATTTAATACATAGTTCTATAAAATATTTGTCAATAACAAATGGCTATTCAACTTGAAAGCACTGCTAGATGCATCACATGACTGCCGATCCCTGACCCTCTGCCGCTCTCCACATCGCAGAAGGTTATCACTTCTGCAGGATAGCCTTGTACATCCGTATATTTTCTGTCAAACTGACCGCGCGACAGAGACCCTCGGCCTCCAAAGGCCAGAATGCCCCGGGGCCCTGAGACAAGGTCTAGATGGGGGTGTTTGAACTGGTATTGCGTGCCAACTCATGAGTCGGAGAATCCCGAATCAGCTAACTCCGTTAAATATTCAGCCGGAAAAGACGTAAAAAGTGCGACGAGGCTCGACCTGGGTGCCAGATCTGCGTCGAACGTGGTGTTGAATGCGTTTATCCCGACTGGTCTATGGTCAAATATGCACGAACTCGAGACCGCGTGCGAGAATATCAGAATGCCAGCAACAACCCCACATCTAGCTGGCCGGTGCTGCTTCCTGCAAATCCCAGCAACACCGAGACGAAGTTTGTTTATCATTTCTCGACAATCGTGGCTAGCTTGATCTCATTTTCTTTTCCTCAACCCGACATCTCGAATCCTTTTATTCTTCATGTTCTTCCACGAACTTCCGGCTCAACACAGGTCCAACGAGCCGTGGAAGCTGTTGCTGCGGCCCATCTGTACCACTTGGGAGCAGAGACGCGCGACCGTGCGACTCAACTACATTCACAAGCTTTGAGCCTCCTAGCCACTGAGCTTTCATCGCCACAACTAGATGGTACTGCGCGAGTCAATCTGCTAGCCAGCAGTTTGTTATTGATTTACTACGAGGTATGCCCGAAATCGTCCGCAATATAGCGAATGCTAACAAGCGCTTTCAGATTGTACTCGGCAACTCCGCAGATAACGCATGGTGTCATCTCCAGGGGGCCAAAGTCTTGTTCGAATACCAGGATGAAACGGTCGACGGATCGTGCCTCCTATTTTTCCGAAAAGTCTTCCAGTATTTCAATGTCATGCTTGCCCTGTCTCTTGGGAGACAACCCATTGTTATTTGCGACGTGCACGGCCCCGAGTTTACAGACAGAATAGATACTGTCTTCGGCTGTGCTGGTAGATTATGGCCTCTTATGCACCGTCTAGCTGATTTGATCGGTCGAATCCGACTCGGCGAAGATGGAAGAGAGGAAGCCCAATCTCTCATAGGCAGCTTGCAGGTTTGGTCAATAGAGTCATCCCAATCATCCGACGCGTACATGGAAGCCATGGTGCAAATCGCGAGGGCGTACAAATTTTGCGGTATCCTGATGCTTCGCATGATAATAACATCTGCTGACCCAGATCCGGACCATGGTCTTCTGAATTACCAGGATCAAGAGCTATATCGTTCTGCCTTCGACAGTGTCCTTCGAGTCTGTGTGCTATCAACACCCATGGCTACTCTCACTTGGCCGCTGTATATTGTGGGTCGCCTCGCAGGGTCAACAAGCGACAGAACAGTCATCATGCATATATTTTCACAATTTCTCGACAAGCACCAGATGAAGGTTGTCGATGGGGCGAGAAAAGCTGTGTGGTCTTATTGGGGAGAGGGCATGCCGGAGAGGCGAAACTGGAAGTGTTTACCACCCGTGCTGTTGGGATGAAATACACCTTTTCTGCTGGTTGCTGATTTTGCTGTCTAACTATGCATAGCGTATACTACCTTCATTTCAAAGTTGTTTCATTTTTTCTTCTTATTTATCAATCAGAATGTGAGCCGCCAGTAATTTAACTTCAGACCTTCACCGTACAGATCAATGATTCCAGGAACCTCTCCACGCGCTCGGCGTCTTCCAAAGCCACCACGGTACCAACATATCCATCTGGACGAACGACTGCTAGTGCTCCCTTGGCAATATCGACGCCATATGTCTTATACACATCGTCCAATTCATGTCCGCTATAAAAGGACATCTCGGAGTATTGCTTGACTTCGTTGGGTATATCGTTCCACATGAAATCCCTATCTAAACGTGGATGAATAACAACCTGTTCAATCACCGACTGGGGAAATCGCGCAATGGCACGTCCAAGGCTACTGAGAGTCTTTGCGGAGACCCCATGCGGATCTAAAATATCAGTGGAAGTGAGGCATAAAATACGGAATCTGCCGGTGGAAGCAAAGTCTGGAAGCGCATCAGCATTTAGTATATTGCATTGAGCTGTCGAATTTGGACCAGGATTGGGTTCAGCCTGAATCTTACCATCTTGCAGGTCTCGACGATATCCATCTGCATGCCGCACAAGGCGTACATTCAATAATCTCCGACCCGGCCGAAGTATACCAGATAAATAGTCTTCTCCGGATATAGGATTCTTCGCACTGTTATCGCGGTTCACGGCCATGTTCTCTGGGTACTCGATTCCACAACCGCTGGTGAAGCCGTTGCCTCGACTAAAGACCTGCAAAAATTCCTCGTGTGTTAATCCTCCAACCCCGTCTTCAGAGGCCCCAATCTTGCCGGAGAACATCGAGGAGAAGTCGCGGTCAAATGCAATAAGCTCTTGGGCAATAGTGTGTCGCTCCTTGTGGTATGTGTCGAGGATGGGGTCCGGCCCAGCAGTCCCTGCGCTTGGGGTGAGCCCATGGATCGAGTATGCGAGTTTCCAGGCCAAATTGTAGGAGTCCATCATTGAAACATTCATTCCTTGGCCCGCCTAGATAGCAAAGTCAGTGAAAGCTCGAATATGTTATCAACCGAGGGAAATTTCAGAGTCGAGGACACACCTTGGGGCTGTGAGTATGGCAGGCTATAAACTTCTCGTTAGCGAGACACCTCTATAGCTAATCTTGTCGCTCTGAAGGATAAAACGTACCATCACCTGCGATGAACACACGATCTACCCCTTTGGAGTCCTTTACGGAAAACTTGTCCGTTACGCGCTGGCCAATCTGGTATGCGGCCCACCAATCGACGGCTCCGTCCTTCTTCGGCCGGATATAATACGGCTTGAATGCTGCAGCCGCATTATCGAAAATCGTTTTTTCAGTAACCTGACTGCGCCGAGATCGAGCGTCTGCTGGTTTGTCGGTCTCATTCGATGTTACTGCGTCATTATCCGGGTTGATATCCCCGGGGACTTGAACATATAATCGGGTAAGATAGTCCCCTGTCGCAATCCTTTCGCGGGGAATTACCATAACTGAGCCTGCGGGGGAGTGGATAGCACACCGACGTCTGATGTCGGGGAAATCCGTGTCCACGATCAAATCCACGACGCCCCAGATGTGATCCAACGATTCGCCCTCCAGCTTGAGGCCCATGCTGCGACGGACTACAGAGCGAGCGCCATCCGCCCCGACCAGATATTTCGACCGCACCGTCCGTCTTTGGCCTTCAGTTTCGATTTCGGCGATAACGGGAAATTCGGCGTCACCTGCCTCGTCGATCCTCACGTCGATGAGCTTTGTATTCCGCTGGACACCTCGCTTCGAGTACCGATGGAGATCTGTTTCTAGAATCCGTTCAATTCGGCCTTGATGAATCGTGACTTCGTGTGGGAATCGTGCGGGGACCGAAACATCCTGAATAATGGACGTTCGCTCAATGATCTTTTCCTTGTCGTTCGAAGGGTTCCAAAATGCAACCTGCGTCGATTGGTCAGCGATTCCCCCGCCAGCAAACGGATGACAGCCAACATACCTGCCACATCTGACAACCTTCTGTGAGGATCTCATCTGCCAGGCCCAGCGATTTCAACGTCTCCAAAGTGCGAGGCTGGAGTCCATCAGCTTGTCCAGACTTCAAGGTCGTCGGCTTTGCATCCACGCAAAGCAGCGACTCGTCACTCAACCCGTAGCGCGCCAAAAGTAAATTCAACATAAGACCAGCTGGCCCCGCACCAACAATCACAACTTCGTATCTCTCTACATCGTCGCTACGAGGCTCGGGGTTTGGGGATCGGCGTGGGAGCGGAGGTGCGAAGGAGGGGAGGACGCGCAGCTCGCGCGACGCGGCGGCGTATTCGGTGAAGACCGGCATTGGGACAGGTCGCGTGGCTTGCAGGAACTACAGGGGAAAGAACCGCATTATGCGCGTCCAAGGAGAGAATTTATATTCTATGTTTGGCGAGGAGGCTATTGGAACGAGGGGAAATGAGGGGAAGAGTGGAGGAATGTTTTTGCAAGACTTCGTGGTTCTTGTGGATCGAGACATGCGATGAGCCACTCAGAAGCGCGAAAAGAGCCTACGAAGTGGATTGGTGAGATTCTGGTAATCAACAGTCAGGATTGATCCGGTGCATCTAAGCTCGGATTTACACTGAACGGCTATAGATTCGCGGTCTCGGAAATATCAAACTACTAGTACTACCTAGGTAATACGAGTACTCCGTAGTACTAGTAGTACTCCAAGGTTGCTTTCTCCAAATGGTCTCCTTCAATTAGCAAGAGGATTAACATATCCACCTGGGCACCTGGGCACCTGGGCACGAGATATATCCATGGACCGTTCATGTCCGAAGACGAGACAACCAGGGGCATTCGGGATTAACTGGTCTTTAAATTTGGCTGTCGTCTCATGACGTAGTCGTAGTAGTAGTAGTAGATAAATAGAAAGTTATTACCAGCGTAGTTAATACCGACAGTCCTTGCTAACAACCAAATCTTTCTGATTTTGGCTGGTGGCTGGAGTTTGCTAATAGAAAATTGCCATCTTCCACGCGGTCGCATTGTTTTGGGGTTGGGAATTGACTCGCGCAAAATACCACTCATTAAAGCTAATTAATCACGCTAGCATGCGAGTGAGCTGGCTTTCTTCTCGCATTAGCGCTCGCACTGTTGGACTAAATTAGAATCACTCAGGCATCAGCCGCACTTACGGCCGCAGCGCTCGCACTGACTTGGGGGCCAGATCAGTACGGCAATAAGGCTGCGCCCCCAGCTCGACTGACACAATCAAGTCGAAATCGCTGCTATAATTGCCTGTCAGCAACCTAAAATTTGAGGAAGTTTTTTCTTTTTCTTTTTCTCAGAATTATCCCCAGCTCTAGGCACCATTAATATTCACTCACTGCGATCATCCGGAGCGTCTCTGACTTGTGAGCATTGAAACGCTACTCGTTATATCTCCAACACATCCCCAATAATCACCGAGTTCAACAATCCAACGAAACTTCGGAAATATCACTGCAAAATCCACAATGAGCGGTTTCACAGAAGATCTGGAGGCTGGGGCTACGCATACTGGTTATGGTACGGTTCTCTACACAACTGGAAACCTGGATTTAAACTAATTCCCTATCTACAGAGCTCCCATCACTCCAACAGAAAGATGGTTTCCAAAACGTACTTCAGACGCGCCGTCTGATCAACGATGAGCTGAATTTAATCAGCGAGACTCAACAAACCCTACTTCGACCCGCCCAGCAAGCAGTGTTAGATGCGACGACCCCCACGGAGGATTACCAGGCCAATTCCCGAATGACAACCATCGAAGAGGAAATCTCAGAATCATTCGGGCGGATCCGTGGACTTATTGCTGATCTGAAAGCTACCTCTGACCGGGCCGAACCTCGCGTGGAGGAGCAGATTAAGATTATCAGTAACACCATGGAACAGCCGTTGCAAGATTATCGCCTGGAACAGATGCAGTTCTCGAAAAAACTTCGAGTACAGGTGCGACGTCGATACGAAATTTCGCACCCCGAGGCGACAGAAACAGAAATATCGGAGGGTGTTGAAAATGTCATCCAGGGCGGGGAGCAGCTCTTTGCAGTAAGTGATATCGTATCGCCTTGGTTATTACCACAAAATCTGACTCGAAAAAGGTCCAGGGTGCGCGAATTCAACAGGCCAATGATGCGAGAAACGCAGTTCAACAGCGATCAGCGACTATTCGCAAAATTGAGCAAGATTTAATGACGGTTGCGACGCTATTCCAAGAGATTGCTGAGCTTGTTGATGAGCATGAGTTTACAGTCGAAAAGATTCAAGATCATACCGCAGCTGCCCATGATGATCTGCGCAGTGGAAATGAGAAGCTTTCTTTTGCCGTGAAAAGTGCACGTAATGCCAAGAAGTACAAGTGGTATATCTTGCTAGTCATTGGTGAGTCAGAAGCGCAGTTGCCACTTTCATCCGCCTATATGCTAATCAAAATGCAGTCTTGATTATTGCAATTATTGTTGGTGCCTCCGTGGGGTGGTGCAAGGCAACGAATCATTGTTAAAATCCGTGTGCTTCCCGAACTCCGGCTGGACCTACAAGGCCAACACCAGTATATAATTTAATGAAATAAATGAAAGTTTCCATCTAAGATAGAGTGTCATTTGATGGGTCATAGGATTTCTGTGATTTTCTGACCTGTGTAGTTCAGCGACCCAGTTTTCCGTCATTTGATAATTAGGCACTTGACGGGAGAAAGACACTACGGTTATAATTCCGCTCACCTGCGGAATACTGGCGAACTCCGAAGCGAGACAGTTAAGAGGTCCGAGTCAAAATGATGGAAAAAAGCGCGGCAGATACTAGTGCAGCTTTATGCCGACCTTGCCCCTGGTCTTATTCCCTCGGTCCTCTCAAAAGTAACTGGAACCGAAAGAACAACGAGGTCTTGACTCGGAGCTTGCATCTCGACGTGAATTACGACCCGGTATGAATCGATTCACACTGTTTGCCGACCGAATACAGATCACCCCCCAAACCGGTAACGATACAGCTAAAACCCGTTTTAATCGCAAGCTCGTAAAGTTACACGCCAAGACATATGGAGTAGCCAAAAGTATATCCCCGCAACAGGGTGGAGTGGGGTGATGACAAGCAGGGGGATTCCCGGTCATCCACTCATAACGGCTATCATTAAATTACGGACCACTTGTCCTGAGAATCTATGATGATCATGCGTACTATAGATCCCATAGTATTTAAGTCTCCGTATATCCGAGAACTGTGGGTCGCATTTGGGGGTTTTCCTGGTGGTAAAAATTGTTGAAAGGATGCACTAGCCGTAGAGCGAGATTCATTTCACGGATGATCCTTCCCGATTGGGGAAAGTATGGATGCTTCAGGGTCGGGGTGTTACGGAGAAATTGGAGTAGAAAGGTTGAATTCCGGTAAACTCCACGTAGCAGACCCTGGTCGATTATTTTTAAGGCGGATTGTGCCCGGCGCCAGCTTGTACAACCCTTTAGAAAGAGTACAAGGACAGCCTTTGGTCTGGTTATTCTCCGGTTTCTCAATTATTTCGCCATCCACATACCACTATGAAACGTCTTTCCCGGGTTTTCAGCAGTAGCCCAAAGACTGTCTCTACTCAGCCCGAGCCAACGGCAATTGCACCGACAAAGCCCAAGCAGGCCGTGGAGGGTCGGTCCATCGATGAAGGCCGACCCCTACGAATCGTGGTTATCGGAGCCGGTATTTCTGGAATACTCAGTTGCATTCGTTTCAGGCAGAGGTTTCCAAATATTGAGATTTGTGTATACGACAAGAATCCAGATGTAGGAGGGACTTGGTTTGAAAATCGATATCCCGGCTGTGCATGTGGTACGTAAATTACTCCTATTGAAAAGGCACCACGCCGAGAATAATAAATTGCTAACTTGCCTCTGCGATCAGACATTCCCGCCCATACGTATCAAGCAACCTTTGAGCCGAACAAAGAATGGTCTACGTTCTATGCCAGTGCCCCAGAAATCCACAAATATTGGAAACATGTCGCAGAGAAATATGGTTGCATGAAGTATATCAAGTTAAAGCAACAAGTAAACTCGGCGACCTGGGATGAGAAGAGTTCGAAGTGGAAACTCGAGGTGAGTGCCGCGTGCACCATTAATTATATGGCGATTAACATGAGCTTTAGATCAAAGATCTGGACAGCGGCTCTTCATATACAGACGAAGGCAATATTGTGATCCAGGGAACCGGTTCTTTGAATAACTGGAAATGGCCAGATATCCCGGGACTGAATGACTTCAAGGGCAAATTATTGCATAGCGCTCGCTGGGACGAGGAGTACGACTATTCGGTATGCATATTATCATGCAGTTTCATTCAGATCGCCTTGACTGATATCGGGATAGAATCAACGTGTTGCCGTTATTGGCAACGGCTCCAGTGGAATTCAGATAGTTCCAGGAATACTGCCCAAGGTCACACACATTGACCACTACATGCGCAGCCGCACCTGGGTGTCGCCCACTTTTGCAAGGGAGCACATTGAGAAGCATGGCAACGGAAAGGATAACTGTGAGTACACTGCTGAACTAATGGATGGAAAATATTGTCTAACTAATGATCGAAAGTCGCATTTTCCGCCGAGGATATTGAGGAATTCAAGAACAACCATGAATCATACCAGAAATTCCGCAAGGGTATGACAAGGTCAATACAAGTGAAGCGCATCAGTTAATAGGTGATAGGTGTGGAGTTGGAACTCCAGTCGATTCACGGCGCTACTCTCAATGGGCACCCAATGCAACTTGGAGCCCACGAAGCCTTTGTCGAGAATATGAAACGGCGATTGGCAAACAAGCCAGAGATCATCGACGATCTCATCCCCGCATTCCCACCAGCATGCCGGCGTCTTACACCGGGGCCAGGCTACCTCGAAGCTCTCACAGATGAAAAGGTCGACATCATCAAGTCGGACATCGTCAAGATCGATGAGAAGGGCATCGTTACTGCCGATGGACAACACAGAGCCGTTGACGCGATCGTCTGCGCGACTGGGTTTGACACAACCTGTACGCCCCGCTTCGCAATTCGGGGTCGTGATGGTGTCCTTCTTTCAGAACGCTGGAAAGAGACCCCAGAGACTTACATCGCGGTCGCGACAGATGGGTTCCCGAATTATTTCATCTCTCTAGGTCCAAACGCCGCGCTAGGGGAAGGAAACCTGTTACTTCTAATCGAAAAGGAGTTGGACTATTTCACCATGTGCGTAGAGAAGATGCAGCGGGATAATATTCGAGCCATGGCTCCGCGCAAAGAAGCTGTTCTCCAATTTCGGCGGTACTGCGATGAATATTTCAAGGGCACGGTGTTTGGTGGAAAGTGTCGCAGTTGGTACAAGGGGGGGTACGGAAGAGGGTCGCATTGTTGCTCTATGGCCTGGTATGTACAGTTCATGTTATTTTTTGCTTTTTTTTTTAGAATCCGCTGGGATTCATCTATCTATTTCAAACAGCTACTGACTGACTGTCTAGGTTCATCGCTACATGCTATGAAAGTCTTTGCACAGCCGCGATGGGAAGACTATGAGTATGAATATGTCAACGATAACCCATTTGGTTGGATTGGCGATGGCTGGACGGAAAACGAGAAGAACGACAAGATCCATGTGAATTACCTCGATGATGATCAGGTTGACTTTCCTGCGGCAAACTTGAAGTAAAACAAAACTTCGCAAGGTTGAGTCTCAAATTTGAGACATTACCAACCGCAAGAAGCTGAGTGGATACGAGCATACCAGTACGGGTCAATTAGTTAGTGTTTACTAGAAATTTCGCCGGATTTGCAGACCTCTGTACTCCTAAACACTCGCCCGCCCATATGAGAATGTGGAGATAGTCTAGCGGAAGAGTACTCAATCAATGAAATGTAGTCGATAGGTAACCCTGGTCGGATCAAGTCCGGTAGTGATATCATGCCAATACCATGCAATACACTCTAGTGTATTTTCGATAAGTACATCCACGCGTCATCCATGCAAAATCCGAATTCCAGACCCACCACGGTACTTGCAATCCACTGCAAAAGCGAAATACGAATACCCTTAAGGTTCTCCCCCTCAATCCTAGTGTCAGCCCGGGAGAAAGCCAACCTTCCTCTTTCTGGCCGGTCCTCAACCTTTCCAAAGCGAGGAAATTCTCATCTCCTCCCCGATGGACCAGCATGAAGCCTGCCGACAAGCACTTTCGCTGCACAGTCTGTCAGCGAGCCTTCACACGCATTGATCACCTCAAGAGACACCACCTGCGTCGTACGGTGCCCGCATAACTCTCCCCGACTTCCGCATGAGCTAACGTGGAGAACAGATTCCGGTCAAAAGCCTTACTCATGCGTTTTCTGCAACGAGACCTTTGCACGATGGTACGTGCACTCCCCTTCTCCCTGCGAATCTCCGTAGCTTACGCCACTAAGCGACAATCTTCGTGACCATTATAACGATTGCGCCCAACGTGGTGATCGTCAAATCCCTGAGACTGGCCAGAGGGGCCGTCGGCGACATGCATGTCAATCTGTGAGTTCTTCGAATGTGACTCTCGTACAACCCAGCCTAACTAACGGTTTCTTGGTTCAATAGTGCACCTCGATGAAGCTTCGTTGCGATGGCGCAAGTCCCTGTGGCTCATGCGTGAAGAGAGGTCTCGATTGCAACAATGAACGACTCATCCGCGCGGACACCCTCCACGATCTCGACGATCCCATGACGCGACCGCCTGCACAAAATATTGAAGATGGGTCTTCAAGCTTCGGGTCTCCCTCGGCTAAGCCAGAAATATTCGACCAGCCTTCGGACCGCGGATCGATCAAGTTCCTCCTCAATGGCGGTACCGACAGCTTCACCGAACAATTTCGGCTCCCGCCACGAGATGATCGCGCTCGGGGTATGGAATTCCACAATCAGGTCGGATTGCAAGAAGCCGCTGGGGGGGATGTTTTCTTACAACATGCAAGAGAATCGATCAGAATTTCCCCAACTATTTGCTGGTCCGGATCCCTCGTCTCTTCAATTTTTCCAAGACACATTTCTGGACTTTTTCAATGGACCATTTGGTGACAACCAGAAATCCCTGGAGGACCCTTATACGGCTCGTATCGACTTTTCCACACCTGAGCAAGATCCAAGTCTAGCCATGCAATCGGATCCTGCAGCCTTCGAACCAGAACAGCCATTCGCAATGGCTCTCGTTCAATCTATATTGGCAAGGGCGTGGACTGTACCGCTAGATCCTAAGGCCCAGGAGGAAATATCGTCCGGCCTTAACTTCTTGCTCACCACAGCGCGCATACGGAAATTCTTGTCGCTTTATTTCAGGTATTGGCAGAATAATTGCTCCATCTTTCACGTCCCTTCCTTTGACCCGGAGACAACTTCACTGCCACTTCTCGCCGCGGTGACATTTATGGGCGCTATGTATAGCACAGACCCGCGGGAAACTTACATCGCAAAACGAGTTTTGGACTTTGCTGAGCTCTTCGTGTTCTCCAGCCCCGTTTTCTCAGCAGAGACAGAAGTGGCTTCTGTGTTCTCCGGTCAGAAGACCCCGGAGGAAGACGATAACGACTGGGTGAAGTTTCAAAATTTCTTGGCTGGCCTCATTATTACTGTTGTTCAGTACTGGGCAGGTAGCCGCGCCTCGAGAAACCGTGCGATGGAAAATCGATTCAGCGAAATCGTCAAAATCGCCCGACGACTCGATCTCGTGAAATGCCGGCATCAACTCCATGAGCAGCTGCAGGAGCATCTTTGGATTCAGACTGAGTGCCGCATTCGTGCCATTAGTGTCATCTCTTTGCTTGATTGTGCATTCTTCTTTTACCAGAACTACCCGTGCCGTCTGACTCATTCTGAGATGGAATGCGAGCTACCATGCGAAGAGTCTGTATTTCAGGCCGAGCACCCCTTTTCCGAGCCCAGTTTTCGGTTTAATCGGGATATCACCATCTACTCCGCTTTTCAAAAATTATTTGAACCTGTGAAACAAGAGGGCCAATCTGTCGATATTTACGATATGGGGCTGACGGTCTTGGATACATTCATTCTGATTCATGGTACGTTCCAATCTGTCTCCCTTTGGCTTCACTTATATCTTGCTGACAAACACCGTAGTTTTATTCGCCTTCATCAATACACATATGACACTAGTCGGACTCTTGAAACGGCAAAGTTCTGTCATCCAAGCTTTACAAAATACAACCCACGGAGATGGTAATAGGAGCATGATACCGGAAGACTCATTATTGATCTCAATTCGCACCGCTCTGAACCGCTGGCGTTACTACTGGCTCGCAGTCCGCAGTCAAGTCTCAAACGACGAATGGGCCTCGATGGGATTCTACAAGAACGGCTATAATTTCTGGCTCGTCTCGCAGCTTCTTATCACGAACAAGGATGCCGTTGATGTCATTCTGCAAATGGAGGTCCATTGCGAAGATAAGCTGGAGAAGTTGAAGGTGTTGCTTAAGGACGAACAGGACTAGCAGGTTGTGAGCTGCCATGTCATCTTGCTTGATAGAACGGCGGGGGCGTTAGTGGGACTTGCTTTTTTGGTCTTTCGAGCGGGCCATCGATTGGGACGATTAGCGATTGGCGTTGATTATGAAACACAACATCCACCGTCTATTTATTTAATTTCTATAATTCAGTTTCTACTATTGACGCCGTCAATATAATACCAAAAAGAAAGCCTGGCGCAGGACGCACAAGGCTCATTTTGCATTCTGATACTCTGAATGATCACTCTTTATGGCTACAGTACGTCCCGAAACCGGTGCAACAACCTATACTCTTCGAGTGATTCCCTAGCCCCACCGCCTAGACACACTAGTCTATATTTGCAGTTATTCCAGAGTGTCTCTGTAAGTTACGCACGTATTGTCTCGTAGGTGAAATACAAAGTAATTTTATGCATGTTTTCGATTGTTAAGTTCAATTCATCTGACACCTCCATACCCCAACCTCGAAAAACAGCTTTCCTCGGGAGGCATACCTACCAATCAATCACGAGTGGCCCAACCAAGGATGGTTCCAAACCTAGCTTCTTCCAAACTTGAGCTAATCTATGACATGATCCACAGTGGCGAACTGTCTATAACTGTGATGGCACTTGCCGCTAGTTGCAACAAAAGCACCATCTCGAGATTCTCTTCCAATATAAGAATGTTTGGCAGCGTCAGAGCACTGCCACTTGAAGGCGGACGACCCTGTAGTGTCACTCCATTTATACTCGAGGCTTTGTGCATTTATCTGATTGGAAAGCCTACCTTATATCTGGGCGAGATGGTGATTTTCATATGGGACGAACTCGCCCTTCGAGCAACGAAATCTAATATTCCTATAGTTAGGAAATAAAACATTGGGGAGGCTCCACTTCCCTATATCCTAGTAATATCCTAGCTCTGCCTTGGGTTAGACCCACTTGTTCCACTCCTTCTCTTCTCCAAGCTTTTTGTAAACAGTTTGTTGCCTAGTTGGATTGAATCAAATCGGCGTCAGCTCTATCAGCTTGAACTATGTAGCCTTAGAGGCCTCTATTGAACTGTAATTGAGTTGATCGGCGGATTTATTTTCTATTTCGGAAATCTATTCGGTAAGTTAACTTTACTAGGTTCTCGCATTTGACTAATTTTGGCGGACATACAGTATCTCCTTCCTCCGGTACCCACCTGTCCTGCTCTTCCGAGAAAACCTCAACAAACCCCACATTGATCTTTGTGCCGCTAAGGAACAAAACCATTCAAATTCTTGCTGAAACCCCACCGTCTTCAATCGATCACATAGAACCGTCACAATCATGACCTCCAATGACAAGGGATTTGGAGATGTTCTTAATTGTATGTTGGTTTAAATACCTTCTCCTCCCTCTTTTCTACCGTGTGTCGGTAGGTTTTTGGGGGTGGGAAGGGGACGGTTCTTACGCCACTAGATGTCAAAACACTAGTACATGATCTGACCGAGGCTTTTCAAATTTATAGCTGAGTTTCGATCCGATCACGATGAGGTTACCGATTCTTTCGATGCTATGGACCTGAAGCCTGACCTGCTTCGCGGTATGTGTTAAAATTTCTCCGCCACCTGTGGAAACATAAGGATCGGATGTTCTGACGATCTTGTCTCGTCCTCCAGGTGTCCATTTCTGTGGTTTCAAGCACCCCTCAGCTATTCAGCAGCGTACTATCATACCCATTATAAAGAGTAAGTATCTCCCGACTATTTATGGTCAAAAGGCTCTCAAGGCAGTATTAAGAACATATCTCAGACAGAGATGTCATTGCTCAGGCCCAGTCTGGCGCTGGAAAGACCACCGCTTTCTCTATCTCCGCTCTGCAGAAGATCGACCCAAATATCAAGGCCTGCCAGGGTCTGATTGTCTCCTATACCCGTGAATTGGCCCTGCGTATTCAGGAACACATCATCGCCCTCAGTGAATTCATGAACATCGAGTGCTGTGCCTGTATTGGTGGTACTGCTCTCCCTGCGGACATGGAAGCCCTCCGCGAGGGCCCTCAGCTAGTTGTTGGTACCCCGGGCCGTATCAGCGAACTAATCCAGCGCCGTGCCTTACAAACCGAAGAGATAAAGCTTTTCATCCTCGATGAGGCTGATGAGATATTCTCTGTAAGTTTGGTCCAAAAGTCTTTCCCCATTTATATTAGACAAGATCAGGAACAAAGACTTAACGATATTTTTAGCGTGGTTTCTCGGACCAAATTTACACAATATTACACTCCCTTCCTAAGTCCACCCAGTTTGTCCTGCACTCTGTCACCTTGGCCCAGAATGTCCTTGAGGTTACCACTGAGTTCATGCGTGACCCCGTCTCTATCCAAGTCAGGAAGCAAGAACTTCCCCTGGAAGGTATTACGCAGTTCTACATTGCTATTGAAAAGGAGGAATGGAAGCTCGACACTCTCTCCGATCTCTACGAGACCGTTCCCATCACCCAGGCTGTCATTTTCTGCGACACCCGCCGCAAAGTCGACTGGCTTGCTCACAACCTGACCACCCGTAACTTCTCTGTCTCTGCCATACACGATGACATGGAGCAGTCCCAGCGTGATGGTATCATGAAGGAGTTTCGCTCTAGATCTTCACGTGTCTTGATCACCACTGACCTTCTTGCCCGTGATATTGATGTCCGAGTGTCTCTGGCCATCAACTACGGTCTTCCTGCCAAGCATGAGAACTATATTCACCGTATTGGCCGTGGTGGTTGTTTAGACCGTAAGGGCGTCGCCATTAACTTCGTCACTGCTGATGACGTCCCTATGATCCGTGGAATTGAACGTTTCTACAGCACTCAAATAGCGGAGATGCCCATGAACGTTGCTGGCAAGTGCACATGCACTCTAGATGTGGTTAAATTTGAAATTAATATTAAGCTCACTCCTTTACAGACATCATCCGAAGCTCTTAGCTACCTAACATCTGAATGCAGATTACCGATTGTAGTCGCCAATAATATTCCAAGGGTGAGTTGTCGTGGGACAAAGGCATGTTTTTGACATTGTTGCAACTTCACATATTGGTTCTTACAAAATAGTAACCATTGAATCTCTTGCATTCGCTGAACTGGACTTGACAAAATTTGGCGATTTTATACTCAATCGAGGTGAACCGGTGAGTGGTTATATGGACATTAGTTGATTTTTCTCACTAGATAAAACTGACCATAGGAAACAGCCAAGAATCCCAGGAGCAAGACAGCTCCCAGCGCCAGGTCATGCGTTCCCAGCTCCCTTGGTAGATCAGGTCGGTCGAGCTTTTGTCCTCTGAAGCCGGATCTTCATGCCACAAGCCAGATGGGCCCACGCTGGTCATTGTTTCTCTGTCGCTGTCCAATCAACATTAGTACCTTCATAGTGTTTGTCAATGTCCCGTTGGGAACTCACTGATAACACTATATTTCTCACCTACTGGCCACGGGCTATCTTCCGTCGTAGAATATTACTAGATTCCTCTTTTATCTGTTCCCATAAAAATTTAGGCGGTTAAATAGATTTTATCTTGTATCCTTGATCACAACTGGTTTGTTTAATTTAACCCTCCACTCGATCTGCTAGTAAATACAGTCTGAATATTGTTCATTCCATGCATATATGAACCTGTACGTTGAACCAAAGGATTATAACTGAGCTGGCTGGACTTATGTTGATGCAGGAAAAGTGAAAATGCACTAACATTGTTCTCAGGATCGGGTGAAGGGCAGATTACTGATGGCATCCATTCGAGGTCCGGGTAACCGGGGGTGGGGTCATAGGAGGGAGTCCATTCCCATAGATCAGGCAGTTCCGTTTGGTAAGTATTATCATCGTTGAAAGGAGTGTAAGTCATCCCCCAAGGCAGAAGGTGCCACTGAGGAGTCAATCAGCATGGCGTGTTATCTTCTACCAAGGGTGTGACGAAGACTTAAGTAGAGAGAGCTGTGGCTGACAGGCTGAGTATTATGATAAAAAGGTTCATGAGTATTCCGCAGGCAAGCAAGATATGTAAGTCACTGGTTGTTTTGGTGGCGAGTAAGCCTTCGCGAGGCACTCTCTAGCTTGGATGTTTTACTTGTTTGCACTGCTTGGGAAAATTCTGGTTCATTTGGATAGCCAATACAGTCACAAGACAAAGCAGCATATTTTAATGCGTCAGCCATGGTATGAGACAGATACTGGATTGATATATTCCGGAGTTATTCCCAGTTGGGCTAGCGTTTCATGGCAGTGGGGCTAGAGAATCACTCGAAGAGTGTACATTGTTGCACCGGTTTCGGGACGCACTGTACATTCACCTTTTTTCGTGATTTCTTCCCTGACATCAACTAAGAATAACCTAAATTCCAAAAGTTTTCAATATTCTTCCCTGTATCTTCATCCACATATGAAGGTGCCTCTGCGAATGTGATACTCTCACCATGTAATTCCGCGATTTTGCCTGTCAATGACGTATCATCTACAAAGTTGGCAACAGCGGTTGTCGCGGTAGACATGGGCGTGAGTATCATTGACTTGAACAAATCAGAACTAGGAGCAATGTTCGTTTCTGCTCTTCCTTAGTAAATATAGGAAAATGAGGGTCAACAGTCTTACCAATAACGGCAGGAGCCAATCCATTGATTCGAATATTCTTTGTTGCAAGTGTTCTCGAGAGCGATCGAACCAGCCCGACCACTCCATGTTTGGTGGCTGCGTATAGCGGCGCCATAGGGAATGGATATAGCCCTGCATTAGAAGCAGTGCACATGATCATTCCTCTCGATGAACCATTGATTTCGTTTTTGGAAATGTAGTGAGCTCCAAGCTGCACAGCTATCCAAGAGTATTAGTATGGCTAGTCATTCATAACCGGAAGCTAAAACTTACAATAGATGCATCCAATCAAATTGACATTCAAAGTCGTGAGTTCTGGTTTAATAGGCCCTCCGCTTTCGCTATTGGAAGGCAACAAGCTGCCTCTCTCGTTGATACCCGCATTTGCGAAGACGATATCAATTCGGCCTTGCTGGTTGTATATCTTTTCAAATACTGCAGCTTGGCTCTCCCAAGAAGACACGTCGCATTCCTCGAAGGACACGCCCGCATTCGGAAATTCGGAACGAAGTTTGTCCAATGTCAGCGTGCCAGTCGTGGGATTGATGTCTAAAATTGATATATGGGTGTTCTCCTCCGTGATAAAATGCTTTGTTATCCCTAGCCCGATTCCGGAGGCTCCCCCTAATAGTAAAGGAAATCAGCATTGTCTAATTTGTACTATTCGGACATGATTCTTTTTTTTCTTACCTGTAACCACAATGCTTCTGAGAGGCGCCATCTTGAAAGCTGCTCAATGATTTGAGACACAGATCGAGCACGCCGGCCCTTTTTGCTAGGATAATCCCGCACTCGGCTCATGTTTCGCTTCTTCGCCGCGTCATAACCCCTCCCTGCTCGGATCCCCACATCCTATAGTGGATCCGGGGGATTTCCGGTATTTATGAGGCTTTGACGATCTTCCAGCATAACATGGCAGCTTATGAACTTTCTTTTACACATCGGCTATGTCTACGCACCGAATACAGACCCAACTGTGTGAATTAGCTGAACTTAATGCGTTTCTCGGCCGTTTTTTCGGATATACTTGATGTCGTGGCGTTGCGTCGGTCAACACCCCGCACTTATCTCGACAACCCGTGCGGAATGCGTCTCCCAGGAGAGGCTATGGACAGAGCTGTATGGGTCAAAAAAGCTACGGTCACTGGTAAGGAGTTTCCCAGTCCCGAAGGTAAGATGTATCTCAGTTCAACCAAGATATTTACCATGAACAATCTTACCTAATTAACATCCAAGATTTCGTTAAAAGGGCATGCAGGCTTCATTTAGCTGTAATAGGTTCCAAGATTAACTATAGTAACATAGTAGAAAAATAACCTGACAGGGAACAACGCCAAAGTATTCCTGGGCAATTGTCTTTCGGCATTTTCCCAGGTCCGTCCCGGCTGTCATCACCATTGTAATTGCCGGGACAGATAGCACAGAAGGTTGATAATCAATAAGCCATAAAACCAGACAAAAAACTTTCAAACTATGTGGCTCCAGGGCTTCACATTGATTAAGATTCACCCACGGGGAGAATTCGATTTAAAAATACGATAAATTCAGAGGGCGTCACATCCATTGGGTCTATGCATGCCCCGCATCGCGCAGAAAGAGGACAATTAGCGAATAATACAATTAGCAGGATTTGTCCTTTTCCCAACCGTCTCCATCCTCATTATACGAGTTGTCTGAAATCGGCGAAACCCCATGGGGACCCCAGATTACAGACGAGGCGGGTTCTCCCCGATGGGGCTTCGCAGCCCCATATTCCTGCGATCCATGACTTCCGTCATTCATACTTGTGACAGTAACGCACAAACTCTAGTAAAGCCACCTGGTATTGTAGTTCCAGAGAAATGAAGACGAAAGACTTAAAATGACAGTCAAATTTTCGTAGAAAAGATACTATAAATTGGCACAAGGCCACTGGGTTCAAGATGGTCACCTTGGAGGTTCTACTAGTAGTACTACTAATTGGAACTTGAAAAATCCTTCGCGAAATCTCGCCACTTAGAGCGATCAACAGTTACTAGTACCACTAGTAGTGGTAATCGAAGATCGGCAATTTTTCTTGTCTCCTCTTAACCCGGCTTACATCACTTGCCTTAGTAGCCGGACTCCCATCACCCTTTTTCTTCAATATTCAAGCACCAGGGAAGTTGTTTCCGCACACTATCGAGTGCCAACCACCAAAATGCCTTTCGGTATTCTCGATGACGACAAATTGGAGCATATTCCAGGTACGGCACCACTGAACGGGCTTCAAAATACCGATACCTACTCCGGCCTCGATCCAGGATTCCTGAAGCGCGATTCAACGGGGCAATTTGTACTTGTTCCGCAGCCGTCGGACTCTCCCAATGACCCCTATAACTGGTCACGCAAACGAAAAGAACTGTTTACAATCACGTATGGATGGGGCTGCGGGTGTGTCGGAGGTACGTGAAAGTTCCCGAAATGTCTAGAGCGCGGATGTCTCATTAATTCCATTTTTAGCGGTTGGTCCACTCCTTGGAGGAGCCTTCGTCCCACTTGCTGCAGAATTTGGCGTCTCTCTGTCTACATTCGTATCAGCTGTTCAGGGGGGGGCACTATTGCTGCAATTGCGATCGGAAGCCTTATATTCAACTCCCTTGCAGTCAAGTACGGAAAGCGACCGGTGTATCTGGGTACAACAGTTGGGTTGATGGTTTCTTGCTTCTGGGCAGCCGAGGCAAAAAGCTTCGAGTCTTTCGTGGCTGCAAGGGTGTTCTGTGGGCTCTGTATGGCACCGATGGAGGCCCTAGTCCCTGCATCAATTTCGGATATTTGGTATGTTTGTGAAATACCCCCCGACACGACATGTACTAATACAAGGGCAAAGGTTTGTTCACGAGAGGGGGTTTCGGACTGCTGTATTCAACCTAGGAGTACTTGGGGGAATCAATTTGGCAGTTCCAATCGGTGAGTTGGGTCAGTATTGATTCTAGGTTTCTTTGGCTGATTCGCGATAGCTGCTGCGATTATTGAATTTAGCTCCTATCGCATAGCGTTGCATGCAATGGGAGGCGCCTTTGCACTAACCCTCATTATGGTATTTTTCTGGATGCCAGAGTCTGCGTATTGCAGGCGGTCTTTAAATATCGACACCGGAGAAGCAAACGTACCTAATTTATCTTTCTTTTTGAAACTCCGTTGCTAATTTATTCCCTAGGTCGTGGTTGAGGGCAAAGGGGCGTTGGAGCAGCTCGAACATGCACCTACCTCCGGTTCGATACCGAATGAGGAACCTGTATCCTGGACGAAAAGACTACTGCCATACAGTGGCTATGTTAATCAAGTTTCGTTCTGGAATACGTTGGTCCGACCTTTCTACCTCATCGCGTCGCCGGCCGTACTATGGGCCGTTCTTCTTTTCACAACATGCATTTCGTGGCTCGTCGGAATATCACTCACGCTATCGCAGATCTTCTCCGCTCCGCCTTATAACTTTTCTGTGGTTGGAGTTGGAGCGACCAATTTGTCGTCATTCGTGGCCTCTGTTCTCGGTACTATGACCGCAGGGCCACTTATCGACGGTTTGGTTACTAGGATGTCTAGAATGAATGGAGGAATCTTCGGTAGGCTGCAATCTCTTGGAAAGATACCTTTAATTGACTAGTAAGTATGACTAACTTGACCATAGAGCCTGAGTTCCGTTTACCCATAATGGTTACATATCTCCTGTTTACGTCCACTGGGTTTTTCGCTTGGGGGCAATCTTCATACGCGCAAGACCCTTGGCCGGTACCTGTGATAGTGTGCCTTGGTCTCATTAACTTTGGCGTTCAACTCGGTACGACTGGGGTGGTGACATACGTTGTTGATTGCCACCGTGAGAAAGCAGGCGAGGCATTTGCGGCCATGAACTTTATCAAGAACCTGTTTGCATTCGGACTATCATTCTACATCAACGACTGGATCGATAACCAAGGAGTCCGGAACTGTTTCTTTACCATTGGGGGGATAACTATGGGAGTTACCCTATTCACAATTCCGATGCAAGTACAACCTACCATGTTTTTGAGCAGCCTATTAAACGGTACTAACAAGGAACCTCAGGTATATATTCGGGAAACGAGCTCGCAGTTGGGTTCACCGACACGGCATTGCTGATCGACTTTGAAACGTCATTACTACTCGGTGGTTTACTTGGGAAACTCGCGATTTAGTATAGGATTGGATTCCATATCATGTCCGACACTATGAATATGTAAATAAAATCCATTTGCACATTATCCGGTCATACGGAATTTGAAAAGATCCCTTTCGACGATCTGGTCCTTCTTGCACTCCACCTCTTCCAGATCCCAGTTGCTCCATACAAATCTCCCGTTTAGCCAATCCCGTCTCTCCTTCGCTAGCCATATAATGGTATCGGCAGGGAGTGTCAATTCATCTGCAAGCGAAAAATGAAGCACCTCTGGGAAGTTGGCTGCCATATCAGTTTTGACGCCACCGGGGTGCAATGAGATTGAAATGAGTTTCTCATCCTCATGGTCACGCGCCAAAAACTCGTTCAGTCGTACATTTGCGAACCGAGATGTTTGATAGGAAGAGGCGCCGTAGGACAAAGTGTGGGCCCCGACTGAGGAGAGGTTGATGACTATCTTCGTATCCGAGCTCAAAACAAATGGGAGGAAGTAGTGACAACAAAGAAATGTTCCCTTCACATTAACCTCCCACGCCTTCCACCATTCGATTGGATCAGACTCGATGACCGTCTTGAATTCAGGTAGATACCCCGCGTTGTTTACGAGGATGTCTAACTTCCCTCCAAAAGCAGCCTCAAGCTTCTGGCTGGCAGCCTTGACAGACTCATCCGATGTCACATCCATAGATAATGGCAAAATATGAGGAGGTTTGATACCGCACTTGAGAGCTTCATCTTTGATTTCTTTGACCACGCTCTCAAGGGAAGATCGAGCGGCGACGGCGATTTGAGCACATCCAGCCTTGGCGCAGCGCACAGCAGTGGCACGTCCAATGCCCTTCGAAGCCCCAGTAATGAGGATGGACTTTCCAGAGAGCTCTGTCCCCATCGGCTCTATAAACGGATATGTATCGTGATGATTCTTCGCGAATGCCGCCAGCTCGAAGGCATTAGTGGGCCTAATGAAATCGATAACACCCGAGTCGGTCATGATAGGCTTTGATGATTTGAACCGACGAAGGACGGAAATATGACTTGGCTATCAAAGTTTATACTAGTATTCAAATGTTGTCTTGATAGTTCTTGCAGTGGCGTGTTGGCTGTAGCAAACAGTCCGATGCTGGCAATCTCGACGTCTTTATATTCTGAACATATCGTAGTATTACATCGTAACCAGCTTCGAAAGTCGGATTTAATTGCATTTAACACCGATCCATTAAGTCCTGGATATCTCCGGCTGAGAAGGCAGTCTAAAAAGGGTTTACGAATTGGATGGTCGTCGAATTCGCAAGACATGGGCTGACGCTAAATTATACGAGCTGAAATGACGTCACTGTACATAGAACTTGCCCATGTAAGAACTTTGTGTTTATCTGATAACTTCGTCGCCGTATCCATTTTAGCTAAATATCCTAATATTTGAACTAATTAGTCTTCATTACTTCTCCGATAAGAACAGATAATTCACAGAATATTCAAAGCTAATGGAGAGTGACATTCTATTATCCCGATTCAAAGGTTAGTGAGGACTAACAGCTGCCGTCCCTTTCAGGGACCTGAGTGAATGAAAGCCCCCCCATAGCATCGGATGCACACCCTTCCGCCTCAAAGCCTCAACTGCTTCGTGGAGGACATATGGCGCTCGATCCAGATCCAGGCCTTCCTGCCCATTCTGTTTTAGATTGGCATAGAATATGCCCGCAAGCTCCGACGAAATCTCATCTGACACCTTCCACAAAGTGGAAATCACATGCGACACTCCGGCGATATGAAAGCCACCAGCAATATGAATCCCCTCATCCCGTAAAAGGACGTCCTTGCTCACCCCTGATTCGCATGCAGAAAGATAGACCAACTCACAGCTCTTGAGGTCTAGGTTAAGGAGCGTTCGCACGGAAAATGGAGAAGGCTTCTTTTGCCAATCCTGTAGCATGATCGCACTTCGGGAAGGGTCGTCCTCATCAGCCCGAGAGTGACAGGCAAAATGAAGGATCGCTGTTTCTGGTGATACAGCTCCTTTCACAGTGGGCGTATTGGGCTGCATAAGGATATTGACATCTAAGTACGGCGAGAGAGCATTCTCGATTGCACTGAGTTCAGGTGTAACGTTCAGGTCGCCCTCTGAGCCAAGACCAGGAGTTTGAGCCATGGCTGCCACCACAGCTTGTTTATTGGGGTGAAATTGCGAGCTTTTGCAATTGGAAACACCTTGTCTGATATAGGCAAGGGCTTTCAATGAGTTTGTATACGAAGATATGGCAATATCTTGAACGCATCTGGATTTGATGGCGTCTGCGGGGTTTTGGCCTTCGAAATCTCCGGCTGCATGGATTGGGAGAATACTTATCCATCCAACTGAGACCCATACAATCCGGGGTTTCTCCAGTGAAGCTTGTTGATACCTCTTCCAGTCAATGGAATCCATCACGGGCTTAGCAGCCGTTTTCCAGAGCCACTTCATGATAGCCTGATACTCGGAGAGTGCCTTCTGATGCTTGTCACCCTTCCCGAGATAAGAAAGCGCGACAGCAAAGCGCGAAGCATATTTCTGAATTTCCTCAATGTTGAAATCCGGAAGAGGAACATGATGGATATTGTCGGCAGTCACTATAATAGCGTCACTCCGGTACGAATTTCCATTGATGAAGACAATAGGAGCATCATTGGAGTGAGACTGAATATCCGTGGAGATATCCGGAGTCTTCAAGAACGAGCTGAAACCAGGGCACTGTCTTATTTCTTCGAGAGTTTGGCGATACGCATTGGCTCCGTTGTGGGAGTTCAATCTTTTTTCATCCTCTGGAAAAACAACTGTCGCCAAACCCACATTGGATGAAGTGAAGGCGGGCGACTTTTGAAATAATTGCAGCTGCAGTGTGCGAAATCGCGCGGCCAGCTCTGGTCTCTCGATATCGAGGCTATCAATTTCGCTCGGCCGACCCTGAATGCGATCCCAAATGAAGGCTCGCCCGGATTCTAAGCGCTTAACAGCAGTGCTCGGCGGATCTCCAGCATTGAGCGATAGAGCAGCCGCGGCACCTGGAATATACTGGTATTCTCTAACAAATTTCAACTGTGTCAATCGGTTCTCATGCAGAAGAACGGCTTCTGGTAGAAGCTCGAGACTAATCAAAATATTATCACGAGCCCGTCTTGGATCTTGAAACACGTCATTTGCAATTTCGGCAGCGATGGAAGCGAGATGAATGCGATCCGATACGTGGTGCGAGCTCATGCGTGCGAGGCACTCGTAAGCTTCAAGTGCTTTATATGCATCTCCGATAGTGCTAGGGCCAGGGCAGATCTTGAATCTGTCATAAAAAAGATTTGCGTGTCGCTGCACAATTGTCCAGTATAGTGGATTTTCTTCCGGCATTACGATATTCGCTTCTTGCAGGGCTCTTTCAGCAGCATCGAAATCCGAAAGGTTCCTGGTAGACTTGGCAATGGAAGCGAGGGCAGTAGCCTTGTTAAGGAGCAAAATCCCACGCCCCGAAGATGATATGGAGCCTGCTAGCATGATGGTCTTGTCGTAGATTTCTATCGCTTTCTGCAGATCCGCCATTTGTGCTGTCACCTTGTATGAACTTTGGTAAGCATCACCGATCAGAGTCGAAAGTGAGGTTCTCAGATCATTACTCAGTGAGATGGGCCCTTCAAGCGCGGAAATGGCTATCTGTTGCGCTTCTGTCAGATCTTTGATGTTTCTTTTAACTTCAAATCGAAGCTGGAGCGCATAATTTAAATTTGCGGCACGCATGGCAAATCGAGGATCTTCGTTATCAATTTGACAGAGACTTTTCCTGTAATATTTGACCGCGGATTCAATGTCGCTGTCGGCACTCCAGTGAAGAAATCTCTGAATCATGACCGAGCCGAGGGCAGCGGTTAATATGAATATATCTCGATGTTGATCACTTCCATTCACGCTCTCCAGTTGTACTAGAGCCTCCTTATATGCATCGATGGCCCTTTCCAGATTATCAGGCAACGCATCATAATTGAATAGCTTTACATAGCTATTACCCAGATCATTTAACGCGAGTGGCCGAGACGAAAAGTCCTTCGGCATAAGTTTGCAGGCCCCTCGGAATGCCTCGCATGCCTGCCGAAGCAGCTCTGCATTTTCCGTGAAGTCGTACATCTTCCGATTCACTTTACCAGCTACCCATAAAGAGCATCCTTGACCAACAGCGTCATCCTTTTTCCATTGCGAAAAGGCCTTGCCAGCTACAGAGCCAGCTTCAACCAGATCTGCAAGACGACCGAACCGTTGGTATCGCTCTATCAGAGCCAGGGCATGTAGGCGAAATAGGGCCGATAAGTCAATGCTATCCTCACAGTTGGTTGCAATCTGTGCATACTCGATTGCTTTGTCAAGATTGCTAGGTTCACCACTAACTTCATAAAGAGCATAGCGTGTGGTGCCGCAGCAGAAGAAAGCTAATCCGAAATCTGGATGGCCTGGTAGCAATGCCCTCGCTTTGTCTTCGATGACATCTATTGCCTCCAAAAGAAGACCGTGAGCCAGAGCGCGATCAACTGTTTTCTCTGCTACCTTCTGTAGAAACCCTGAGAGGCGAACTCTAGGTTTCAGGGTATCAGGGTAAGCTTCAATGGCTTCTCTCCATACATCGCACGCCTTCTGATCTGCGTCAGGGTCGTCCAGTAGCTCCGCCTTTGATTGTTCCAAGTCGACAAGCTCATTCTGAAAGCGCTCCCAGACTAGACTTTCCGGAATCTCGAACGTGATTGCTTTCCTGAGTAGTAAAGATGCTTTGATACCATCGTCTTCGTCCTTGCTTATCACGAACCGCGCGTTGTAAGCCGCGGCAGCATTGCGATGAATCATGCCATATGGCAGATACGGCTTAGATGAACGACCTGCATTAGCTTCACAAATCTCGATCGCATTATCATGAATCGCGATAGACTCTGTCAGCTGAGCTTTCCTCTCTTCGTCATCCCCAGATACAGTCTGACGTAGGAAGTCGCCCTTGTTGGAGATATGTCGGGCGCGAATTGGAGACTGTGCCGTGAGCTCGATGGCTTTGTCAAAGTACACTCGTGCATTTTCTTTGTCAATGGCTTCCTGTCCCTGTCTATAGCGCTCCACGTACATGACACCAACATCACAGGCCCATTCACGAAGTACCTCGTCGGTCTCTTGAGCGGTTTTCACCGCTAACTTGTAATGTCGGATTGCTCCCTCCAGATCCGTATTTCTCTTATATTTTTCCCATCTCCTCTGGTACAATGTGCCCATGTGGTGATTGGACTTTCCTCGACCTGGGCTCGAGTCTGGGACATAACGAAGGGACAGAGCCTCCAAGGCGAAAGCCATAGAGAGATCGGTGTCGTTTTGGTTTTTTTTGTATCTGACGAGTGCCATTTCCGACTGGATATGGCAGAAGCCAGGCCGATCGGGGTTATCCCCCGCATGCTGAACGGCACAGACCAAAGCTTTTGCATTATGCGGCAAGGTTTGGAGATAGTTAGGATCATCGAAAAAGTCACCAGGTGCAATATCTTCAGTACTCGGCTGATCTCGGGAAAATGACTGGTTGGTGGCATCCAGCACGGATTTGGGAATCTCGTTTTGGGAGGGGGTTGTCGCCATCGTGCCCGGATGGTCAGTACTGGAACGCAGCAAGAAAGAAATTCAGCGTTGAGTAATACCTACTTCGTTCAAATTGGAGTTCATGGAAGCAACCTCCAGCGCTTGGAACTTGGAAGTCGGGCGGACGATGACCATCGCGGGGCAAACATGATTGATGTGGTGCCAAGCATGCTAATGTGTTTCGGGGCTGTTAGTTACTAGTAAGCGAGAACTTGAAAGTGAGGCTGACATAGAACAAAGTCTTCCAAATTTATTCAAACCTTGAAAGATCCCATTCTCGCTGCTCAGTTCTGTCAGCATGAAAATCTATCAAGTTGACAGAAGCTCGGTTTCATGAAGGTGATGATGTATGCGACAGATGACTACAGATCTAGCATAGAGCAGGGCAGGACTTGGAAGGGGAAGGTGATCTTGAATGCCTGAGGCATGTACCTCAACACAAGCTTGGCATGAAAACTGTCGCCTGGGAAACAATGCAAGTAATTTACCTAATGCATTGTTGCCTCGCCAAACCAGCCGTGAGGCGGTTGCAAACTTCCATCCAGCGATCCACCAGGCATGGCCATGAACAAACAAATCATGCTTTTTTTGGCACAAATTCCAGTTCACTTTGCAACGTGCCTTTTGCCAACTGGAACTGTACTTCTTTCTAGATGGTTGAGCAAAATGGCGACTTTGTTAAGAAAATACGAACTGTTGCTTAGGATTCAAACTTGAATGAGAATCCAGAAATAGAGAACTCCGAGATGCCAACCGATTGATACTAAATTTGCTCAAGATAAGGCCTTATTATGTAGGGGCAGACGTCAAACAGTCAGTAACCTAGACATTTATACTTTACCATCCCGCAAAGATTCACGATCCGTTTGACCCAGGATTGGCCATGGCTTTAGGATTGACAGCTAAGGTTATGGCTGTGACCTTGCGAGAATATGTAACCCTCCAAAATAAACCTTACATCTACTACAACAGCAAATCGAAGTAGAACCGTGATCTTTCGGTGACGGGAATGACGAAGTAACAATTATTCAGCTAAGTAACTTGGGGGAAAGAAGAGCGAGAAACACAGACAGATGAACACACGATCACATAATCATAGAGACATGCAGACAGCAAAAGAAGAATAGAAAGAAAGAGAGAGATTTCTAAATGTTCATGGAAAAGTCATATAGAATGAAGATCTGTGCCGAGATCTTCGACTCTATGTCGTGCATAATACCCAAGGTTTTCCGAGTTGATTGAAACCTTGAGACACGACCTCATAGCCAATTTATGGTGAACCTAGCAGTTATTGGCAGGGCAACCATTCCAGCCTATTTCAACAAATTGCCTACCAATGTCGGGATTTATTATATGTACAGCAATCCACTAGCTACCTTCAATGAGCCGCGTGATAAACGTCGAAGGCACTGGCTTCATCGCCTTCCTACCATGCGCGCCATGCCAGCCGACCGGGCGTGGTTGGAGCAACAGATTCAGATATTTGGATTTGACTTGGAGGAAAGTCGAAATTGGAGAAACTGAATAGCTAGCTCACATTGTTGAGTGTTTTGCCAGATGGAGGTGCGATCTGGGAAACGTAATAACCCTATTCCCAGCGAGGATGTCGACTAGATTAGCCCAAACTTGATCTGATGAGAGGTCGGTCACCAAGATCTCATTGCAGAGAAAAGTATCGATTGCTCCAGGAAATAGGGTATTTCTTAAGCTAAATGATGCTCTACATTGTGTTTGTAAATGTGGCAAACCAGGGGTAAAGCACGATGTGAAATACTGAGTGAGTGGAGTGATGGTTGACATTAAATGAGGATTCAGATCATAGGGCGATCATAAAATGTCAGTGATGGGGTCAGACCCCTATTTATGGCAATCGAGGATTTAGGGGCTCGAAATTCGTTCCCACGAGGGAAATAAATATTTTTTTTCTCGAGGCGTCGGAGCATCATCGTTCGGCCGTTGTGACTGTGGGACGCCGTTTCCAGGAAAGAAAATCCATCAATTACTGCAACTCACCGTGAACATACAGCACATGATATACTAGCATACTTTATAATCCTTCAAGTGTGCTTTTAATAAGTCAGATTCTTCATTCAAATGCCTACAAATAGTAGGCTCATAATTTATTCCTTCGAAGAAACTCTGTCAAGCAATCGTGTGCGGTGCGGGATTGGCGGTGTCTGAGATTATATTCCCTTAAAACTCTACTGGCTCTATTCTCATGGAAAGGTTCCGTCTAGCTTAAAGATAATATCATTTCGTCCCATCACTATTGTTTCGTACCAATACTATTGGGTCCAGACTGCATGAACAGGAAACTTGAGCGTGTTGCATCGGCGTCCGATTATCAGTCAAGCAGGCACCAGACGGCATTCATCAGAAGAACTGAGCCCATCATCCCTAGCAGTCAAAATAGACAATGCACTCAGACTCAACAGACTCTCCAACACCGTAGAAGTTGGTATCGCTTGTGGGTTCTTCTCCTTCAATGTGAGTCTGTGTAGCATAGGCACCGTGGCAGCCACTTGGAACAAGGTATTATTATTAGCTTCTCACTACCCCAAATCTCCAGAATTATTTAGGGATTGGCTCACCTGAGGCCGCTTCCTCCACATGCCGCGCCCCACGAGAAGGTGTCGTCAAGGGAGTCGGAGCCAAAAGTGATCAGGTCGGAACAGACCGATTTATCACCGTCGTAAGCGCCAATCTCGTTGCTATCGGCATCGTAGAGTTTGAGAGAACCGCCGTTGGAAATAGTATTTCCACCGCTACCGAAGCCTGCGGAGTTTGTAGAGTATTGGCCGACCGCAGAACACTGGGCCGCCATAGCGGAGGGCAGGCTGAGAGCTGCCAGCAGGATGGCGGGGGTCGCACTGTGCATGAACATTTTGGTCGGTAATGTCTTGATAAGTATTTTGAAGAGAGAAGATGGAGTGGAATTGCCTTGGATGCTGGTGAGAATGGATTGTGATGGATTAAAGAATCGAGGGTATGAGTACGGTCTTTATAGACTTTTCTGATCCCAACCCTAACCACATTTCTTCGGCATCCTCGGGCGTAGATGCACAACATTTTGCTATGCCCGATAGCTGTTGAGGCTTTGGCCGAAGAATTGAAGATCTATTCTCATTTCATCGTCTTTGAATTGAATCTGGGCGCTCACCTTGCCCGCATAAGAGGCTACCTTGGTTTCATTCAATGCTAGGGTTTGTTGGAATTGCATCATAGTCGGGGGCTGATATGGCTTTGGCTCAATAATCGTCTTGGCGCCAATGTCATGAGCCTGTTTGCATGGTCGTCAGTGTGAAGCAAATCCCTCTGTCATACTCATGAACGTAGGATTTCTTACCCCATGTGCAGATCTGCGGCCGAATTGCTTTCTCGCCCCCACATAGATCTACTCCACCCTGGGGTACGTTGTATTTTTTATCACCGATAAACATCTTATACCCGATCCTAGGGGTCTTTGCCAAGCCCGAAATTACGCTAATTACTTCATACTTATTATGTACAAGTACTACCGGGTAGTCCTCGATTTTCGGGCGACGTCATATGCGGTCGAATGTCACATCCCTAACGCCCCGACAGGTGAAATAGCAGAGAGAGAGTTCTCTCTTGCCGGAGAATACAGATATGATTGTTAGACTTGGGAGTTTGATTTAATGATGGATGGGCGCCGAAGTTACCAATTCCGCCTGGAGTTCTTGTCTTATCTCACCATGTAATTCGAGCTTCCAATATATTCTTGCTTAAGCAATACACAAACTTTGGTATGAGATTAGTTGGAAATGGAGAATTTGCTCTATCTGTCATTGCTTCAAGATATGTCGGATTGTGGCAGGTATTAGTGCATCGAGTTACCAGTACGTTAAGTATAATTCAGTCCACTATTATTGATCAGGTACGACAGCCCGCCCAAATGCTTTCTGATACTACAGAGGTAGGAACCGTGCCATCTAAACTGTTTATAGTAGTTCTCGCTAGTCACTTGGTCACCATCTATTTTTAGAATACATTTTTCCCAAGTTCTTGTCCTTCGCAGGCCTCCGTCGATTGTATCCGACCTGGACTACAGGTATCAAAGAGAAACCACTCCGTGGATAAGCTCCTCTTTCCAACCCCATCCAAGAGTAAACGCCGCTCCTGGTCCTAGAGCCGCCGTGGCTCCGATGAATGAACCAGCGATCTTCAGCCAAGAAAAGTAGCCTCAGACTGCCTGAGCTCATGAAGTCTCAATCCAAGCCAAACAAAGCCACTGCCCATTGCAAAGATTTGATCATATTGTAGATATCTTGCGATACCATCCATGAAAGAAGCAACGGGACGCAAATGCCCATCCAAACCTGGCCAGAAAATGGGCAGCACTGAGCTATTTGCTGGCGCAGAACAGATGGAGTGGATCCAGGTGAAGCCGGAAATAGCAGCAAAGCCAATATACGCAGCACGGACCCAGAAAATATTCCGCTTGCTAGGCTTCGTCATCGATTGGGCCAAATCCGCTGAGTTTTCAGCCTTGGAAACCGGGTTTCTCAGCAGACGAATGACCCTGGCGATCGTTGGCACTATAACAGGGAATGGCTGCCAAACCGCATTCCAAAACCGGCGGGATTCAACCATCGCAGATGTGAAGTCCAGATATTTCGGTAGATAGAGTCCACCGAGGAGTGCAAGCAGAAGAGAAACAGTATGTTGAGCTGCGATCTCATGACACCCGGATAAGAGACTCCCATGTGGGGCATGGAGGTACTCCAAAGTATAATAGATGGGAGCCCAAATACCAATGCCTTTTAGCTGAAAAGCAATGCCTGCAAGGAGAGGACCTTAATGATAAATTATTAGTCTTCTTGCAGAAGCAAAGTCTTTGAGCGGAAATGGAGGTGGGGGGGGGGTTCTTACAGCAGCGATACGGCGGGGGAATGACAATTGCGGTAGCTCTCCAGCATCCATACACCAAAGACCGGGCCCAGGTCTGTTATAAAGGACCGCATCTGGAAGCACGATAATTGATCTGTTCCCGTAATAGAAGGAAGAAAGCAAAAGATTAGTGACTTGAAAAGCTTGTCCATAAATGGAACGTGGTAGATAGGTCCGCGCAAGTCAACTGTCTCTCCAGTACCTGAAGTCCAAGAGCCACCAACAAAGAAAGGAACCATGATTGGTCTGACCCTATTGATCAACGTGGTCATTATCGCACGAGCAGCTCCAAAGCACCCTAGGAGTGGAATGCACAGCAAGGTTCTTTTCAAGAGATCTGACTGGCATATAGCTTCTGTCTCATTCTTGTATGGCATAGTTGAACGCAAGGACCTCTCCGGCAAGCCCACACAGTCGAGTTTCGCTGCGCCAACTATTTCCGCAGATGATTTGTCAATTAAAAATGATTGCAAAAAAGGCAGGAGATGCAATCCAAGCATTCAGTGTTTGAAGGTTGCACCCGCCTCGAGTCGAGTAAGATCATTCGCTGAATTGGGAATTTTTGGGGCTCGTGGGCGACGAGACTTCTGTCATGACTGAAGGCAGTTGTTTGAGATTCTCTGTTTTCGGACAAGATGTGTGCCGAAGTAGAGCTGAAAGGTGATAAGAAAGTGTAGCAACACTTTCAATTGCGCTGTTTCCACCCTGGCCTGCGTTAGGCGTCATCTGGACCGAAAATTAGTCAATTTTAGATTTGCGATTTTCGCTCGTATTTACAGAACGCGACGCACCTTGTGTATCGAATCACCTATGCAGACATAACGGTCCTTGTGCCAGTACTCGTAGCTGGCCTCTTCCAAATCCAGATGCGTTTTTACAAGGGCCTTTTCGTAGACTTTCTCGAAATAGTATTGAAGCTGAACTTGACTTGGAAGCTCTTAGCCCCCAGGGCTTCCAGCCTCCAGGGTTGGTCGAAAATACAACTAGTACTAGGGTAGAATCCCCCATCCGGGCCATCCCATGTCATCAAATTGCCATTTCCAAGGGTGATATGGAACCACCTGGGCAGCCTATTGACCGAAATCGGCCATTTTATCGGCATAGAAATCGATATACTTCAAGTTGACAGCAAAAGTTGCCAACTCCGAGAACCGCCAGCTGACTCATCTGCCCGCTTTACCCGCTCTACCCGCTTTACCGCCCACGAGGCAAGAGTTACTTCAACTTCAACTTCAAGTTACAACTTGAACCTACAATATATATAAATACATATGTACACAGTACACAGTACACAATACACACCTTTCAATCTCCACCGGGTCGAGAATCGGCTCTATCGCCAACTCCCAGTTCGAGTATCTTCCGCTTCAACCGCACCGCATTGCACATATAGTTATACATATACGAGTACTCCGTAGGTACCCACCCAACCCCAAGGAGCTCCGTCAACGGGGAAACCCCACAATTCCAGCCGGTCCGAGGTCCGTTCGTCCCTTCGTCCCTCGTCCCTCTTACTCTTCTCCGAGCTTCCTTTTCATTTCCTTTCTTCTCTCCTCTGCCTCACTTTTCTGCAACAATCTCCCTATCCTACTCAGCCTAGTCATGCTTCGCACAATATCGCGCCGAGTTCCGCGCCAGCTCCCCCAGCTCCCTCACACCACCGCGCCATCTCGCCTGGCTCTCCGTGCCTTCACATGCGGTTATCCTCGGATGTCGCTCCCACCCGTTCAGCCCCCAGTGTCAACGACACTCCCGTCCGATTCATACCAGCTGCTGTCAACGGGAGACAAGGCCGGTGCTGCTGAGGATGCCCTATACGAACAACAGGTCCGCGATGTGCAGGAATGGTGGAGCTCTCCCCGTTACGAGGGTATCAAGCGGCCCTACACGGCCGAGGATGTGGTTAGCAAGCGCGGATCGCTGCAGCAAACATATCCGAGCTCGCTGATGGCTCGCAAATTGTTCAATTTGTTGAACGAGCGCGCAGCGGCCGGTGAACCGGTGCATACTAGTGAGTTGGGAGCTCTTACCCGAATTGATGACCAGATCACTTGGACTAATCGTGATATACACACCCAGTGGGCGCCATTGACCCTGTTCAAATGACCCAGCAGGCTCCTAACCAAGAGATCCTCTATATTTCTGGCTGGGCTTGCTCCTCTCTCCTCACCTCCACCAACGAGGTCTCCCCCGACTTCGGCGACTACCCTTACAACACCGTGCCGAACCAGGTCCAACGATTATTCAAGGCGCAGTCGATGCACGATCGGAAGCAATGGGATATCCGACGAAAGCTCAATGCCGATCAGCGCAAGGCCACTCCCTACGTGGATTATATGCGACCGATTGTCGCGGATGGTGACACCGGGTAAGTTTGGTCTACACGATTGAGCGAACAGCCAACATTCATGTTAACACTTTTTCTAGACACGGCGGTCTATCCGCTGTTCTCAAGCTCGCCAAACTTTTCGCTGAGAACGGTGCCGCGGCTGTCCACTTCGAGGACCAGCTGCACGGTGGAAAGAAATGCGGTCACCTCGCGGGCAAGGTCCTTGTTCCGATCGGCGAACACATTAACCGCCTCACCGCTGCTCGCTTCCAGTGGGATATGATGGGAACTGAGAACCTGGTCATCGCACGTACTGACTCCGAAAGTGGTCGCTTGATCAGCAGCGCAATCGATGTGCGCGACCATGAATTCATTCTCGGTGTCACTGAGGACGTGGAGCCACTCGCGGAGACCCTGCAGGCGATGGAGCGTGAAGGTGCCTCGCCAGCTGAGATCGATGCCTTTGAACTTGAATGGGTCAAGAAGCACAAGCTAGTGACTCTCGACGAGGGTATGCAGCCTCATATCCTGCTCTATCTTCCCTTGCTAACATTACCCAGCCGTTGATGCTCATCTCGAGGCCGAAGGTGCCCCCCAATCCTCCCGGGACGCCTACAAGAGCCACGTCCAGAACAACCCCGATCTCTCATTCTCCCGCCGTCGTGCTCTCGCCAACGACTACTCTAAAACCCCGGTTGTCTGGTCCTGCGACAGCCCCCGAACCCGCGAAGGTTTCTACCACTACAATGCCGGATTCCCCGCCGCGACTAAGCGCGCCAAGGAGTTTGCTCCCTTCGCCGACCTGCTCTGGGTCGAGACCGGTGACCCCGATGTTGCGAAGGCCGGCTCGCTTGCCGGGGAAGTGCGCGCCGCGTACCCGGGTAAGAAGCTCGTATACAACCTCAGCCCGTCGTTCAACTGGATGGGTCAGGGATTCACCGAAGAAACTCTGAAGTCGTTCATTTGGGACCTTGCCAAGCACGGGTAAGTACTTGCTACCCACTACCCTATGTCAAATCAACTAAACAACAATCTTAGCTTCGTTCTACAATTGATCTCGCTGGCTGGTTTGCACAGCAATGCGACCATCACCACTGAGCTGTCCCGCGCATTCAAGGAGGAAGGTATGCTGGCATACGTCCGCCTAGTCCAAGCGCGCGAGAAAGAGCTCGGCGTCGATGTTCTCACTCACCAGAAATGGAGCGGTGCCCCGTACATGGATGGTATCCTGGGTGCTATCCAGAGTGGAAGCAGCAGCAGCAAGAGTATGGGTGAGGGTAACACCGAGAAGGGTATGTCGTCTGTCCACCTATGTTGAAAGCGTTTCTAATATTCTTCTCAGGTTTCTAATTTACGACTGCAAAAAATCTCGACATGCGTTCTGCGTGAGAAAGCGATTGTGATTAATAGTTCATTTCATCTTGTCAGTATTTAGAAGCCAATTAGAACTCAATTCATGACTTTACTCCTGAGAACGTTTCCAAAGTTGTCAGTACTAGTTAGTAGCAATGGCTACTAACAAGTTACTGCACATTATATTATGTTATGAAAAAGACAGTTCGAACTTCGTGTCGCGCTATGAAGCAAGTGCTTTGAGCCCAGGAGGATCATAATCGGCCGCATTCACTGCAATCACAACATCAGCAATACATCTATTTCACAACCAAGCCACACCTCGAAGAATGAAACATACCAATAGAAATCATAATGAACCCAAACTCATCCGATTCCTCCAGCCACCTTTCGGCCCTTCCATTCATCACAGCACCCGGTTGAATCCAACCCAACTCCGCCTGCAAATACAACTTCCCACTCCATCGCCCTAACCACTGAATATACCTGGTATCCCACTCCCGCTCAGTGCTTGCTTGCCAGAGTACTTTTGGTGCTGGTGCAGGCATGAAACCCAGATCCGCACAGTCGAAGCAGGGCACACGGTATAAAACCGAATACGCCCAGTGAAGCAGATATAATGAAAGCACGGCACGACGTTTCGATGTCACATCTATCCAGTCTGCCCAGGTAGGACGTTTTTGGTCACGCTCTTCTTGCAAGAATAACCCGTTACGGACAACTTGGTAGATTAGTAGTTCGACTTTGCGGAATATCTCGTTATGGTCGGGTAGTGGGTTTTTCAAATTATTCGATGGCGAGATTAGTATGATTGCGTAGATTACTACTGATTGTAAGACTGCGATGAGTTCTGTTCCCTCGAGAGTTTCAGATTGGTCCTAGAGGAAAGTTCGACTTAGCAAATAACCTGAATAGAACTTGAAGTTCATCAAAAGGGTTGATCATACTCGATCCACGAGATTTCCTAGCTCATGCAGTATTGTCTTTCGAACTAGATCTTCTGCACCCTCGCACGTTCCTTTCCACATCTTCGTCAGCGTTATGCAAGTTGCCAATGGCAAAGGCAATTTCATTCCGGGTGCGAGTTGAGTTGCATGGAATAGTGGCGGCGCTTGAAATTCCTCCGCTAGCATCTTTGGCCAAGTGCGAAGAACTCGGAAGATTATTTCCATGCTGTGTTTGGCTAAGACAAGTGGGACATTCTCTGCGAGTGACTGTGGGGTCGAGAATGGAAGCGTGAATTCTTCCAGTATTTGCAGGCTATCTGTTTCGGTTGCGTCCGAGTCGGTTTCCACTGGAATGTTTTCCGTGCTGTCGATAGAACTCGAAATATTTGATGAGCACAGTGCGAGATTTGTCGAGTGGGTGGATTCCCATGTGCTAGTGGTGGAAAAGAGAGAATCAAACAAACTTGCATCAAGGCTTGGCTGTGACTCCTGAAACGGTGTTGTTGAATGGAGCACTTGTAGCGATAAATCGGCAGTGTCTGTTCTGTTTGGAAATAAATTATGGCGAGACTCTGAGTCCCCTGGAAATGATTCAATTCGCTCTTCTTGGTCCATGGGATAGTCGCAATTTATGTTGCGCAAACCACACCGCGAGCAGGTGGGTCGTTTCAAGCTGCATCTAGCCTTCTTAGAAACACACTGGCGACATGACCTTCGTCTATTTGATTGTCGACTTGGCTGATTGCAGTTATTTTTCAGATGGCGAACAAGAGAGGATTCTGGTTCTTCTTAGCAGAGGGGCTCATATCTATGAATGGGAATTTGGATCTCTTACTATGGCTAAAGCGTGCAAAGCAGAATGAGCACTCGTCCCGGCTCTCGAGTAACAGATTTTGCATAATGATTTTTGTCACCTGGTGCTGCCCAGGTCACTTCTCGAGAAGTGCAGTTCCAGGTCGTGGTCGTTGGAACTCGGAGTTCCGGGTTGTATTCTGCAGTTGAGCCGGTGGGGCCGTGGGCCAATGAAGAAGGGAGCCACAGGAAGTATAAATTCCCATGCCAATCCCCTCTCTACCTTATTTCTTCTTCATCCTTTAACAAGACAATATTTAGACCGAAATCCTGCACGATGACCATCAATCATATCTTTGTTTGGGCCTCCACAGCTAAAGCACAAAGCTTGCAAGCCTTCTACCGTACCATCCTTAAGCCGATCGGTTATAGTGAGCTGATCCGAGTCAATGACGGCAACTTAGTCGGTTATGGCAGTGACTATCCATATCTCTGGCTCAAATCATTACCCGCTGATAAGTCCCCCCCTGTCAACTCATATAGCCTTTGATGCACCAAGTGAGTTCCTCTCTTGCAAGAACTTTACATAACGAAGCACTAACATTTCTGGGAAGGCAATGAAGCTGTTGATGAGTTTTATCGATTGGCATTGTAAGTTTCGAATTATTTTATGATACAGCGTAATCTCTTCGTTCCATTATTTATGTATTAACTTTTTGCAAGGGAGCACGGAGGCCGTGATAATGGAGGACCGGGCATACGGAAAGAGATGAGTCGTCAACCATACTACGCCGCCTTTATCATCGATTTGGACGGGAACAATATTGAAGCTGTCTGCGTCCGAAAGTAAAACATATTTATTTTGATAATACTATGACTCCCGAGGTCCGAAAATGCTCTGTGTGTTGCAATGAGAGGAGTCGCAAAAATAATCGCAAAGAAGAGTCGTAAAGGTGTATATACATGTTCTCTGGGAGGAAATTGAAAATTCTATGTCCTGTTTGCAGGCCGTCTCAACCACATTTCTTCCAATTGTATCTCCAAGGAACTCTCCATTGGTGAACAGAGTGCCAATTAACAAAGATATGAGAGAAAAAGTTACAATATACATGACGCAAATATAATCTTCAACCGCTTGCCCCCCTCCCAGGGGTTGATAATTCTAAAAGCCCAGTCCCCAGCGTGGAAATATCAGACGCACATCTGGTATCAATCTAACAATGAAGCAGCAGTTCTGACTAACTATTATTTGGAGGATATGGTTTTTAACACACTAGAACGACTCCTTACGCATGAATTGGCCCATGAAGTTGGTCAACTTGGCGAATATTACGCAAGTACTGTATTATACAACTTTCAACATATCGTTCAGTCTGCTAATGAATAGCTTTTCCCCGCCATGGTTCAGAGGATACCAAATATCGCTGGGTCGATATCGTTCAGCCACAGATAATAACGCTCAAATTAATACTATCACGCCGGTGTGGTCTTTTCTTTTTCTGGGATATCGACTTTAGAACCATGCTGACTATTTGCAAAAGATAGTTTCTCATATTGGGATCAATGGTAAGTGGCGAGAGACCCCTATTAATTTGGTATTTTCCAAGATGCCATTTGCTACTTTCAACTAACCATTGACAGCCAGGTGTACTCCTGAACATCTGCAACATCCGGAACGTGGTTTGAAGATGTCAATAAGCAGTACCGATGACCAAAAAAGAGGGTTGACCCCGATTCGCTGTTTCCTTTGAAGCATGTCGTGAGGACCTCTCCTCGTTTGGCATCCTAATAGTTTTGATTTGGCACATACGCATAAAACAAGATGGCAGACGAACAGGCCTTGATTTGTTGAAGATTTTGGCTGTGACTGACTCTGAATCGGCATATCTAAATATTCAAAGCGTTACTCTTTTCTCGGTATGCATGGAGACTCGGAGATATTCAAGTTCTCAAAGAAAGACTGCTCAATCCCTGTGTCCCGAAGGTGGGGTTATACTTGCCATCATCTGGTCCGTCTTGGCACGTCTATATTGATCCTGCAGTCACACTCACTGATCGAGTTCTTTCCCCGATCGCATCTTGCCGCGATGGCCAGCCGTTCGATCTCGCAAAAGTGATTATCAGGGGCTCAATATTCCTGGCTACGGTGTCACCTCGTGGCATGTGGGCCGGACCGCTCCCGAACCCCGTTTCGACAATGATGGCTACCGATACCACAACCTGAGAAACTTGCCTGTGGCAGGTTGGTTAAACGGTGTCCTGCAGTCTCTCCAACCCGGCAATACATTACCTCAGATACGGTGACCTGTTTCCGGCGAGAATACGGAATACAACTCTCCATAATGCCCAGCCTGCCGTGCCTCCATGCTTTCCTCGCCAGCTCCACGCGATGCATCTCAGGCCGCCCGGGATCGACCTCCCTCTCAGGTATACCTGCCCATAAAAGGGTAGGCAAGTGGGTCAATTGAGTTGCGCTTGGTTGTGGACGCGGTATCAATTATCCCCGCTGGCTCCGCGCAGGGGGAGCGAACACATAATAACGCCCTGTGGGTGTTTTACGACGATCACGTTTTAATTGAGTCTTGAAATGAGAAAATTTGTCTCAAGTCCCTCTTCTCCTGGGAGCATCTCGATGACTCCTTTCAACAACACCGCGGAGACTCAAGAGACCAGTTGATACATTCGAATTCAATATACGAACAACGCAGATCGAAGGAGAATAGGCACCCTTAGAAGCTTTGTGTGGTACTTTGATCACCAAAATGCTGAACCACCAATCCAACACCATCTCGGGATTTGCGAAAAATAATAGGTACCCGAGGCTTCGGGTCCTTTGAAAATATGCGCAAGGAGGCTACCGGGGGAGCAACCAGCTGCATCTTTTAGCCCATCTCGCCCGAGCGGCGAACAAAAGCAAAGATAAAAACAAAACACACAATTGCAGGGATTCGCATGTGGTCATCCGGCATAACTACTTGTCGACGTGTGGAATTTGGTCTGTGGCGGTTGGTAGTCGGCTGGGGTACCGCCTGGCTGGGATTGCAGAAGCGTGGGAGCACAAAACACAGAGAAATTGGGTGAGAATCAGCTGCGCTTGGACTAAAAGAGCATGCTGGAGCACAGACCCTCTGCGCTGAAGAATCAAAAGTACAATAATGATTGTTTAAATTCGCGGTAATGGGCATGAAAATGATGTGTTACCAATACCCACGGTTATTCCGCAGCCGACCCCGATTAAAGGAGTATTTTTCAAGCACGGGGAAAACGGGGGATGTACAGATATTTCTAAATCTCACGGAAGACTCAGTGCGCAGAGTAAACCTGTGGCGTGGAATTGATTTCCATTCAATGTCGGGGATTTTCATTGGCAGTTACGGAATTCAGAAGCGACAACCGTGTAAGATAGATCAAAAAATTACAATCCCCTTCGAACCCGACAGTTTGGATACAAACCTTGGAACCCAGAACCCCCTCCACCCGCGCGTAGAAGTTGGCTGACAACCTTGGAAGCGAGTCTCTTGCAAAGAGACCAGATTTATTTATTCTGCATGCTCCTCCGAATTATTTTCTCTTGCGATTTCCATCCCTCCCATCATAATGAGCTCTACTATGGATAATACACCCTTCGTGCCCTCTGGGCCAGCCCCATCTGCACACAACACTAGCGCCCAAACCCCTGTCGGCGCGGCCAGTCCAATCACGGCCGATAATTTTGACGACGTATGTAAACCCGATTGCAAGGCCCGGCTCCTCGTTATATTCAGGGAACTAATATTCTGTCATGCTGTAGGATACGAACAGTGAATTCGATGATGCGCTATCCGATCTCACCTCTCTGTCTTCAAGCGTGCTCGATTTCGAATATGAAAATGGTAGGCGGTACTGCAGTACCCGCTCCACAGTAAGTGGACTTCCCCGTGTGGGTATTACGATTCATTACTTTGTTGACCTGCGATTAGAGTACCTATATGTAATTTCAACTTTATCTCTGGAGGCTCTTGGATGTTAAGACTGACCGGAAAATTTAGGATGCCGAATGATGAGGAGGAACAAGATCGAATGGATCTGGTAAGGCACCACCATGCTTAGCAGGTCTCTATGTTCATACACTAACTAAATATGCTTTCTTCAGACACACCACATGTTCGTGAAATAACACATATCTGCTGGACCGTAACGGCTAACCAGAATGGTATAGATGGTTGATGATGCTGGGAGGAGAGCTTTACAATGCACCCATCACATCATCACCACAGAACATTCTTGATCTCGGAACCGGAACAGGTATTTGGGCGTTGGACATTGCCGAGTATGTGGGATTCCCCTTGATCTATCCTTCGATTCCACTGATGTTAATCCCATACGATAGGAAGTTCCCCGGCGCTCATGTGGTTGGAAACGACATAAGCCCCATCCAGCCAAACTGGGTGGCCCCAAATATTGAGTTCATCGTGGATGATTTCGAAAGGGAATGGCATTTTGAAGAGAATCACTTTGACTTTATACATGCACGATGCTTGGCAGGGTATGATCATCCGACTACCCTCTGTCTGAACTATAGTGACGCTCTAACACACCGAACAGATGTGTAGCTGACTGGCCAGGGTTTATCCGTCGGATCTTCGATCATGTCAAACCCGGCGGCTACTTTGAATCGCACGAGAGCGCCGTATGGGCCCGGAGTGACGACGGGTCACTCAAGCCAGACTGCGCAATCATGGAATGGCAGCAGGCCGTCAATTTGGCCGGCGATTTGAGCGGCCGCGAGCTAAACATCTATCATAAGCTGAAAGGCTGGATGATTGATGCCGGGTTTGAGGATGTCACCTTGAAGGTATACGCGCTGCCGTTCTCGCCATGGCCGAAGGACCCCTTTCTGAAGACTCTGGGCAAGTACCAGGCAGTGCAGTTACAACAAGCTATCGATTCATATTCACTGCGCTTTTACACGCAAGTGCTTGGTTGGGGTGCGGATGCCGCTAAGATTCATAATGCTGTGGTCAAGCAGGAGCTGCGTGATAAGAAGTTGCATGCCTATGTTCAAACGTATGGTCCAACCCACCCTTTTCAATTTTCTGGGTACTAACTATGAGCAGAGTTGCCGTCCATGGGAGGAAGCCTCTTCGCTGGTGATATCAAGGGGATTTGAAAAATATAAACAAAACACGAAACACAAAATATTGGCCCAAACAGGCATGTCGGTGACAGATACTTGTCAGTGGTCATTTTGAATGATACAGTGAATATGTTGCATCTACGTCTGTTCCGGAATTACCCAACTGCGAACCGGACTACTTTTCTTCTATTTGTGAATTTTAACCAGGCACTTTGACCTAGATGGTTTAATCTATGACATTATTTATGTACAGGGTAACATCATATTACCATAACATTACAGCTGAGCACCAGCCCTCAGTATTTCTACATAGGCGACGGTAATATAAGCCGACTCTTCATTGTCCTAATTGGTGAGACAGTTGGTTATCCCAAACTCGACCCTCATAGGTGGACTTTAAAGCCTGCAGCCACGGGCCACCAAACAGCGGCAAAATGGCACCAGAAATTAGAACTCCGAACTTATCCAACTTTTCTTCATTTGAAGCGCTTATTAATAAGTAATAATCATAGATCAACTCATAGGCCGGCTATATGACATTTTTCTATTGTGGAATTCTTTCTAAAATTGACATTGTGGTGGGGGTGTGAATCTGCTGTGGATCCTGTTTCTTTCGTATGCGACCCATAACTACCCGATGCTGACATGCAAAACACACCGCAACATTTCACAATACTCAAGTTGAAAATTTCAAGACGAGGCTTGAAGAGCTTCTCCAGAAAATTGATACACAAGCCAAGCTGCTGAATACGGACTAAGCGGTTTTCCTGCCGTGGACTTCTCCCGCATTGTCGGTTGAAAACATGGAAAACTGATGGAGGAAACGAAGAAACTTATCCGATACTTTCCTGGCTAAAATATTGCTGGCCCATTTAGTCGCCTATGTACTACTCGTATCTTGATAACCCCTCATTTCTTAAATATCTTCAGATGCCCTTTGACGCATCAGCAAATACTATTACTCTTCTACTAGATATAATTATTGAAATCAAACCCAATCGCGATGCTTAGTTATATCCAGTCAAAACCGACACGACCATCATACAACTGCCCCGAGGTCTTGGATATCCATTGTCCCGAATCTCGATTATCCCTAGATGTTTGTTGTAAAGCAGTGAGTCGGATGAATCCATCTTCCGGTGCATTCCAGATTTCGTCGCTATCTGGCATGCAAAAATCCATGTCTGTCAAATTCAACAGATTGTTTCTCAAAGCACTACCATTTCCCTCGATAGTCTCGCCCCCGCTGCGAGAGCAAAGTCTGCATAACTTATATAGAGCTAGTCCAAAACGCTTGATCTCCTCCACACTCACCCAGACAAGTGCAAGCGGCGCAGAAGTATGATGTCGTGAGAGCATATTTGGATAATAGAATAGGCCGGCTAGCCGACATGTCTCCACGAGGGATGAGAGTAGTTCATATTCTTGTGTTGGAAGCCGAAAACGGAGGCCGAGATCAAAAGTTGTCTCTTTCTTGGCTACAAGAACAGCGAATATAAGCTGTAAAAGAATACCTTGGTAAGTTGCCATAGGCCAGGGCGTCGCCTTGTCTTGGTGTGGCGTGGATTTTGAAATACACCATTGAGACTGCATGGATAATGTTAGTAGCAAATCCCAGGGATTGATACTAATTGATAAGTCCGCACTCGTTGAGCTTCAATCGAAGAAAGTAATTTTAGATGGAAGGACATCGCCTTAGTTCGTGACGAATCATCGCCTTTGATCCACAATCCAATCATCACCATAGATTGCAGAAGGACGCATGGTTCGTTCGGGGGATCAAATGTGCCAGGGTGCAAAAACGGCCAAGTCGGATGAAAGTCGCGAAAGTAGATATCAATAAAGTCTTGACCGATCCATCGAGTTTTTCCAGGTATTGGGCCTAGCAAGTCCGTGCTAGGGAGGGTTGGAGCTTGAGCCTCTTGGACTTCGGGCTTATCATGAACCGTCTCCTGGCGAGTTCGTGAACAAACGACCCCTCTCTTCTGACATCGGTTGCATGGAGATTCAAAATCGCATCGTTCTTTTCTAGCCTGGCAAGCTTTACAAGCCCGTTGCGCACGCACAAAGGGCGGCTCCCTCCCTGGGTGGTAGTTCCGGACATGCCGACGTAAAAGATCGCTAGGTGAAAGTTAGTCCTCGTACTATTATGAGTTCTTAGAGAGAATAAACGTGGTACATCCCTCCTGATCAGGCTGCTATCACAGTAAGGACATGGAAAGCGGTCTCCTTCATGACGTGCCATGTGTCGATTTACGTGCTCTTTTCGTTGGTAGGCCGCATTGCATCCTGAAATTTTACATTTAAAAGGAGGCAAATCAGATTTAGGGTATGGGCGTGACGCCATGGTCTCAATTTTGAAATTTGATTCCTCTGTTTCTCTGTCATATGCCAAGCAAAGAAAATAAAAAAGCGTAGCATGGAGACGAAGATGCCGAGTGGCAAGGTTCCTCTTCGTCTTTCTGCGGCAGATTTACTAAGCCCGGGCGTAGCCGGCATCCCACTCGGCCAATCCCGCTTGACAAAAATGTATCAGAAAAAAAAGAATCATTCGAAATTTGGTCTTGGATATCTGATTGGCTCATTATTTGAACAGTCCTAATTTTTTAATATTTTTAGGACGTTTTTTTAGCAAATCAGTGGTTATTTATTCGTTGATCCATGATCCTAGGCTCTTGTGATCTCAAAGTACTAACTACTAGTAGAGTTTTTACATCATTCAAACTTGAACTTCCAAGGTTTGTACTTGACACCGAAAGTGTAGTAAATATCAAAACCCTTTGGCTGCCAGTGTAGATGCAATTGCCAATACGAAACATGAATTCTACTGGGCAGCTACTGACATAATTTGCAAGCCGGCGAGTTTGTACCGAAAGAAATGACCGGCAAAGTTCACCTATGCAATAAATTGCGGCCGCTTGTCATCCCTGCAGTCAGCACAGGGGCGGGCTGTGGTGGGAAATCTATTTCTATCTGGCGGTATTTCCGCCAACCGGGCTCGATTTATCATCAAGACGGTATTCACTATGGCTATACTGATTCACTGACCATGGCACGATTTATTTCGAGGATTATTGATTACCATTCAATATTATGAAATGTTACCAGGAGGGATTCCGACAAGCGGGATCCCCGGGCGGGATGCCGAAATTGTAAATTCAAGCTTCTTTGGAATAGAAGTTCGTAATTGTCATGTTTTTTTTCCATCCATAGGATTCCTGACATTTAATATCCGTCATAGACGTTTCCAAGATGCGGGGGGGGAGTATAAGTATTGCCATCTCCTCCTCAATGTCGATTCACTTTATCATATCATACAAAATCCTAAGCTTCTTTACTGAACACGCCCAAGTCTCAACAATTGTGCTCAATATATCAACTCCTTTTCTAAGAACTTATTATTCACAATGGCTCCTACGCTCGATATCACTCATATTGGCACTGCCACTGCGATCCTCAACATCAACGGAGTAAACTTTTTAACGGATCCATTCTTTTCCCCCGCCGGAACGAGCTGGGATCTTGGTGCTTTCAGTGTGAAAGTAACTGATAGTCCGGCTTTGCGCCTTGACCAACTGCCTATCATCGATGCTGTGCTCTTGAGCCACGAAGATCACCCAGACAACTTGGACGAGCTTGGTCGTCAGCTCCTTGACGGGCGCCGAGTTTTTACCACCGTCGATGGAAGCAAGAAACTCGCGCCTCGTCCGGCCGTTCATGGCATGAAGCCGTGGGAAGAGATCGAGAGCAAAATCGGAGGAAAGTCCTTCAAGATAACCGCCACGCCAACCCAACACGCCCCAGGAGCCGAATGTACCGGCTTTATCGTGACCGGAGAAGACTTCGGACATGGCCGTGATGGCCTCCCCAACGCAATCTATTTCACCGGCGACACCGTCTACATCGAAGAGTTGAACTCGATTGCAGACCGTTTTCACGTCGTTGCCGCCGTGATGAACTTGGGTAATGCTCATGTCCCCATCTCAGAAGACCCAAACGTTCCTCCTCTGCAAGTCACCATGGGCGGCAAGGATGGGGCCAAACTATTCCGCGCTCTGAAAGCAGACGTGCTCATTCCGATGCACTATGAATCTTGGGGACATTTCACTCAATTTGGTGTCGAGTTGCGCCAGGCTTTTGAGGACGAGGGTATCAGTGATAAGATCTGCTGGCTGAAGGGCGGCGAGAAGGTCACTGTTCTCTGAGCTTAGACACCTACCAATGCCTCTAGTTAGTGTATATACTCGTATTTTCAGAAAGCTAAAACTTGTCAAAAAATATCTAAATTTGTCAAATTGAATTCATTGTCAGTTCTTGCAGAAGATGAGAAGATTTCACCTAACAAAGATCCCATTTATGAGATTCCAAGGTTGACGAATCGACGTAGTATTTTTTATTTTCCACGCCTAAGCTACCAGTTCTTGTAGCTTTTGAAGGGCACAGCATATTCCTAAGCTCTTAACAGTCAAATATGTCCATTTCCTCCATGCTACTTGTACTGACCTTAGAAATTATCCTGTTTGTATGCCATTATGCCATAGTTATACTTCACACCGGAGCATGACTAAGCGCACGTGACCGAAGTATCGGAGCTTCGGGTTGACGGCGCCATTCACACCCGCCCTTCTCTCGATCGATTTGAGGCATTGCATTGCATTCATACTCGCCATTCACAACCATGGGTGCTGGCAGTTCCAAGCCCGACTCTGCGGGCGGCACCAAGCATGTCTTCTCCAGGTAAATTGCCCCGGAAGTGCGGAATCCCGCCTCGATCTTGCGGTGGGCGCGGGAACCCATCATGTCATGGAGGAGTCGATGATCAGCCATCCCGAAGATGGTACCACAGGCAGATCTTTGTAAAGGGATCGTCAATGCGAGAGGGAATACGATGGCTAACCCGTTTACTTTCTTCCAGCAACTCCCCCGTCCAATTCTCCTCCAACCTAGTCGAGGCCCTCCAGTCCACCTCCGAGGTTCGTTCCAACCCCAACCCAATTCCCTTTCAACCGCCAGCACATAAGTGCCAGGCACCAGGATTGGATCAGAATGATACAATGAAGAAGAACAAAAACTCACACTCGAAATCATCAAACAGACGGACTCTTCCCGCGCAAAGGCAATTGAACTCGAGATCCAAAACCGCGTCTCACAAGAACTCCAGCGCCTCCGCGAACGCGAGCAGCAAACCCTCGCCGAGATTGAAAAGCGCCTCGCCTCTTCAAAGGATACCAGTTCCCTCCCCATCTCAGCTGCCACCGCTCCTGCCGCCCCCGCCAGCACCGGCTACACCGTCGGCTCATTGAACCTCGATGCGCCTCGCATTCCCTTCGCCGGCCGCGAATACGAGACCTCGGCCCCCGCCGCCGTCCCCATCGAGAACGTTCCGCAGCAGGAGTTGAAGCGTGATATCTCGCGCGAGTCTGTGAACACTGAGATCGAGGCACTCCGCACTCGTCTTGATGGCCGCAGGAAGCTGGCTGATCTGGATGAGGGTGTTTCCAAGGCCCAGTCTGCTGTCATTGGCTGTCTGCGATTGAATGATCGCCGGCCCCTGGATTGCTGGCAAGAAGTTGATGCTTTTAAGAAGGAAGTTGCGCGTATGGAGGCTTCGTTCGTGGATCGCATTGTCGGTTAGATAGAGTGCTCCATTGTGATAGACGCCGATGCCGTAAGGTCACGGCTCGGCTTGGCTTGGCTTAATATGCCATGTCGAATTTTTGGAAGTGTTCCTTGTCTTACTGGCAGGATTCAGCGTGGCTGCTGTACTGTATGTATAGATCGTCTTTTTTATTGTTTGCCATGATTCTGCATAAGATAGGATTATCCTTCTGAATGAGCTACTGGACCTGGTTTTTTTGTAGTTTATTAACCTTTTTTTTATGATTCATTCACATTTCGTCAGTTATTTGGATAGGGTATCAAGTACTACTGAATTAGACAATCTCCCAAGTTGCTAATCGGCCGACCTTTTCTCCGGCAGATCGAACGATGCACAGCTTCTTTTCTGAGAGCTTGCCATTGGATTCAGCTACCTTCGACAGCAGGATTGAAGCAATGCCAGTTCCCTTGCCCTCAGATAGATTGTAATTTCCTGTAGTGACAAACCCGATCAGATCATCTGCTGTTGGAACCTCGAGATGAATCGACGGCGAATCTTCGGGTACGGCAGCGATAAGTGACTCAGTAAGTTGGCGCCGGGCTGCGTCGCCAGAAACATCAGAGGGTTTGCGGGATCCCGCTTTCCCTCCAGCAGACTTATGGTTTGCTGAAGCCAATAGTAACCATTTTTCTCGGAGGGTTGGGTTTGTTGGTAGACGGTAAATGCGCGAGCAAGGAGTGGGAGTGCCGCGGTGGATTAGCGAGACGTATACGGTAGAGAGAGCCGCGGGCTCAGTTTGTGTTTTGGTGAGGTTGGAGAGAATTTTGTTGGTGTCTTTTGTAGAAAATCGAAGATTGTGAAGGTCGGATGGCGGGATGCTAACATCGGGTACCTCGGGATTGGCTCCGTCGGCCTGTTTGCTAGGAGAAGTGATGTTTTCGGGAACATCTTGACCTGTTCCTTGAACAAGTCTCTCCCAATCACAGGTCCAGCCACGCCCAATCTCCCCCTTTGGGTGCCCATCGCCTAGAATAAGGCTGTCATATTCAACACGTCGGCCTTTAGGTCGTCGTTCCCATTCGTGTCGAGATTTCTCGGCTTCGCGCTGGTTCCATTCCCACCCGGCCCGAGTACCGGGGAAGTCACCAGGGAACCATGCCTCCCCCGCTTCAAAGGCAAGCTGTTGCTGTTGTTTTACACCTCCGAATCGAGGGTTGCCTCCACTCGAGAGTGGGTAGTACATTAGAGAATACCATACCGGTGGCACACATTTCCATGGCAGAAGGACAGTCCACGAGCCAGGCGCAGAGTTTCGCTTCAGATGAGTTCGTGACCGGTTTGCAAGTATGATTGCTGGAATCTGGGGGTCTGTGGGCTTGGGAGCAGGGTACTTCCCAGGACCCGAAAGATTACGACGACGATTGATCGCTTTCTGGCTGGGGAGTTGGCGAGTAGCTGCTAGGCGACTAGGGCGATCAAATAATGAAGAAGGTCCCTGCGTCTGGTCTGGGGACCACTTGGAGAGTAGAATGGCGAGATTGTTCATATGAGATTCGCTGTCTGGAATGTCGAGTTTGCGGGGTGGGAACTCAAGGCGGGGGTCAGACACGTTGAAAGATAAGAGGGCGTTTTGTGGCAATGATGAAGGGTTTGATACTCCCAATAAGGCTGGCCAAATCACCTCTGGGCTCTGTGGGCCTGGGAGCTGACCATCGGGTTTGTTGGAAGGTCGTAAAGCGGCGATCAATGCTTCCGTGGAGCCTGGGCCAGTAATCTCAATGCTTCCAATTTCGAATCTGAGGTCCTCGACCATGACGGGCGGACTTTGGCGCTTCGATGCCTCGAGCAGATCATTCCAAAGTTGCAGGAAGGCTGATGGATGAACGCGAACCCAAAGCTTTCGTCGAGTGATCTTAGGTACAGATGAACTGTCATCGGCGTTGGCCATTTCCACGTCTTCCGATTTTGGAACAGCGCACCAGATCATGGTGATTGGAGCTGTTGGCCTCGTGGGGTGATCCATCTCAAAGGCCCAGGTTTCCAGTGATCTGGCACCAGCTTTCCACTTCTTTCCTTTGGGGCCCGATCCTTCTGCACTACTAATGCCAACAGCCAGAAGTACAGCTTCGATAGAACCCTCAGACCCTTCAAGTTGTATCGTAGACATATAGCTCATATCCCACGCCATGGCACCCCGAGCACCGCGTGTCCTGTGTGTAGGCCGATAGCTCTTCTCAGTAGGTGACAAAGGAATGGCGAATCGCCAGAGGGGGTTCTTGGTCGTCGTGACATGTGCCCGTTTGGCATGGAACAAGTGGGTAGGAAGCCATGTTTTGCATTGCTGGCGCTTGCGGAATTTTGCGTCGGCGGGCGGCGGTCTCGAGAGCTTGTTCTTCTTTATTTTGGGGATCCGCGGTGCGGTGTTGAAATTGTGACTACCTCCCTCCTTCAGTTGGGTGTTGATGTCTTTATCTCGGGCGATCTTCGCGGCGAGGCGCTTATTCTTTGTTCTGGCATTGAGGTTTTGCAGGCGTCGGGCAGATTCAAGACGGATGCGCATGATCTGCGTTGGTTTGCGTCTTCTAGCGGTGACGGTCGGGGTATTGTCTTCGATCATCTGTTTCAACACAACCCCATCGCAAGGTCAGTCACCAGCCAGCTAGAGCCATCAATGGAGCTGTAACATACCTCGCGCTTGGCCCGCACCCTCAACCTCTGTGGGACCCGCTTCACATTGTGACTTGCCGTTCGACGTCGCAACGCGCGAGGGACTTTTTGAAAAGCTCGGGTTGTCAGCGCAGTTCTCGATCGCTGAATTCCATCCTCTAAGGCTTGGATTTCGAATGCTCGTGCGGAGGCGTACGCGGCGACATCGAGTTCGCCCGTTGCGGAGAGGGCGGCATCGGTTGATTGCACGGCGAGTTGGCGCGCATCGAAGGTTTTGGCTCGTCTAGCTGCGCCTCCAGTTGAGACATAAGGCCCTGGGGCAGTTTCCTTCCTCTTGGCGGAATTGGAGGCCATCTGGTGAGCAGCTTGGATGTTGCGAAGCGAAGTGAAGCGTTGGAGAATCAAAAAAAAGTTGCCGGGGCTTGGCGCGTCATCGGCCCCACGCAGAAGTAGGAACTACACATTAAGTTAACTTAACTTAACTATATTTACGGTGGAACTGGAGCTTCCAGAATAATGGAGTCGTGATTCATTTACTAACAGGGTATTTAAAATAAATTATCATGATGTTCCTGAGTGGGAAGATCAGTTATGCGGCAATGTTACATTAGTACTACTAGTCAAGAGGGCCAAGACTAAAATTGGCATACACCAATCCTGCGTGTGTGCATAGAGAATATATTTTTTATATTTTTCCAGAATGTTATTCAACAATAGAAGATTCGTAGAATCTACCTCTCAGCTCCACTGTGGCCATGATGCTGTTCCGTCGTCTATATCAAACAACTCGGATCCTATGAGATCGGGGTAAAGAAATCCCACGTTAGAAGACAAGGGCGAAGCATCCAAAACTGATAGCGTATTATAATGCGCCAGAGAACTTGCTGCAGCGTTTGCGGGTACATATTGAGCTCCTGGGCGTAGCTTTTGAAACTGCGATGAGACAATATCGCTAAGCAAGTGGGCAGCATGACACGGCAAACCGATAGAGCGAAGCCAAGTAATCAGTTTGGTCACAAGGCGATCTAGACTATCAACATCGACACTGGAGACGCGCAGCTGGTCCTCATACATCTGTACAAGACGACAAAGGGTGAGGGCTGAGAATGTTATAAGATGGTAGATATGATCTGTTAGGTGGCGGGTACGATCATCTGTCGTGTCCATGGCCAGGTTAATGATGGTGCTAGAGAGATCAATCATATCCAAAATTCTAGATCCATCCATCAACGATTGCGGCGATCGGGCTGATTGGTAGTAAGCGAGAAGGTGCGCAAAGTGGAAGCCCATCTGAAGGAATTGAGAACGAGGCTCGTCTAAATTCACATTAGCGTTAACACTTGCATACGGAATTTGGCCCTTAGGCTGTAATTCAATCACCGAATAAATTTGCCCATTCCTTTTTCCAATTTTGCAAGGCGATTTTGGCATCTTGTAAATCGATTTGATAGCCTTGTGGGCAGCACTTTGTGTATATCACCCAGTACAATTTCACTTCAGCCACCATCCTCGCTTCATAATTTTGGAGGCTTCCATTTTCCAGAAGATGAGAACACCGATCAATATGTTCCTGGGTCAACATTGTCTGTCTGCGTGTGCCAACACAATATCTATAAATAGTGATGAATATGTCAGTGTTTCTGCGAGGATAAGATGGGTACGAACTTACTGTAGATGGGCAACACAGAGGTGATTCCAGAGGCACCAAGCATCAACCTGGCTCTTTTCAATTTCCTGTCCCGGGCTGGGTTTGGATAAGTCAGGGAAACAGGAACTAGCGAATCCTTGCTGAAGCGCATACCCAGTCAACAGCCAACTATCGATGCTCAGAGGTTGTTGACCAATTGTGGTAGACCATAGACTCAAGATCAAGATAGCCTGAAAATGCTGTATAGACTGTGGAACCACTAGCAGAGCCCTTGAAACCAACCTCTTTGCTTCGCAGAATAATCTTGGTGCGAGCTCATCTGCAAGTTCTTGTGTTGTATGCCGCACTGCGATTAATAGAACACTGCAAAGTAGCAGCGGTGACTTTCTCACTTCAGATAGAAGTTTCTCGGTCGAGACATATTCAGAAAATCTAACCCAACGACCATAGTGGACGCGAAACCTAGTTTCATCAGCAAATGAGAAACATCTGGAGGATCAAAACCAACAATTTGAGTAATGTGTGGGCAGTGAGTGATGTGACCAATCCAGCTGATATCACATCAGATAAACTACTCGAAAGCAAATCAAATTGCTCCGGAGACGAAACACCAGCATCAGTAGCAGCTTCACGGATCAAAATGACGGGCGCTGGATTTGGCTCGGCTGGTGCCCTCAATTGTTCGGTTCTAGCCTGAGCGATGCTCGTCGAGGCATTTCCTCGATCTTTGGATTGTGCATCTAAGCGATCCACCAAAGCTCCAACTGCTCGTTCAAGTCTTTCGAGTCTAATCTTTCAGAGTCAGTCAATTCGTGGTCAGTTGGACTAAGTGAAATTCCGCAGCATACCTCGAATCTGTAGAGAGTCGTTGACTAGGACCCAAATGTCTAGGGCTGGTACCATATCTCTCTTGTTGCCCAGATGGTGATTTGGACGATCCTCGACCAAATATTTCTTCCAAGGAACACGAGAGAGATAGAGTATGACAGCGGAGACAGGTATTGCCTACCCCGTCTTTGGCGTAACAACGCGTTTTGTTCTTTCGACATAGGTCACATGCTTTTGAAGCTCTTCCCAAGCGCAGCGGTGGCATGCTGAATGTACTTTCTCAGGCTCCAGCTAGCCTAGATATGGGCATTTCAGCAAACATCTACGAAGTGGTGGAAATGATCATCTTATTGGCGATGGTTCCCCACAGGAAATGGCGCAATATCTGATCACGTGTTGTACTGTGGGAAGAAGTTATCGCATGTACTCGAGTCAGCGACTACAAGTGTTAGTAGATACTCAAAAAAGAAGAAATACTATTCTCCGTGCTTGATAAGATCAAATCATTTTCTTAGCGGATTGAAATCCTGAGTCTAACTTCAAGTTCCTTCCTCCGTGTGGCTACTACTAGTTAACTAGTAGTACACCTAACTACTGTGGTGGCAATCTCAGGCTATACATTAATATTCCACCTCCAGATATACTAATTTAGTAGGTACCTTGAACATTAGTATGGGCGATTTCGTTTTAGCCTCCGAGTCTGGAATGCTTCAATTAAATCTCAGATAATAAGATAACCTAGACGTCTATGTCTTCACCCAGAAACTCTGAATGTCTATTCTTTGCCTCCACCCCGGAATCTCCGCCATCAAATAATCGGTACAGCAACTTCCAAAATAGAATAACTACAGTAGCAGCAATTGCGCAAGCAGCGGCTACTATCAAGCCATACTTGTAGCGAGGCGCATCTGCAGAAATTGTTAGATCTATGCCGGTATCATCCTCGAATCGATCATACCTTGTGTGCGGAACAATTGATTTCCGGGAAAATTCGCAAGCTGGATACACATGACATACGCAGCCAAAGCAACTGGGCGCTTATAGTCCTCCATTTTGGTAGTAAGCCAGGCTGCACTGATAGCTTGCGCACTGCCCATCCCCATTTGAGTCCAAACGACACCTCCTGCAGCGCTGATTAGCATGTCATTTGTACTCTTCAGTCTTGGCAAACATACCATAGAGTACCCATTTACCAACATTTTCTGGTGCCAATGCGAGCCACAAAAGACCTACAGCACCCCACAAGTACCCTGCAGCAATATGGAACCCACGCTCTTGAAACCGGTCACTGCTGAAAGCGAGCGATACAGACCAAATCAAGGCACATATGCTGCCTACCGAGTTGAGTCCATTCGCTTGCAGGGAAGTAAATCCCAGAGATTTGATAATAGAGGGTGCGTAGGTATTCATCGGTGATATCATAACCATGGAGAGCAGAACGGCCACAAGATGGCCATATAGTCTCCAATCACCAAAAGTGTCCAAGATATGCGATGGTAGAACTGGTTTTCCGTATCGTAGTGCTTTCGTCGGGTCGTTGTATATCACCCGCGTGACAAGGATAGATGCCTCGCGTTCAGTAAAAATTGAAAATGATTTGCCAAACATAGACTTGGGTCTTGCGGCATTATGGGGGAAGTATAAATAGGCAACAACTCCCAAGAAGCAAGTAAGTATCCCCTCTAAGATTCGTCAGATGTCTTCCTCGAGATGAATGTAGGTTCCAATTCACCTACCTATAAGAAAAAGCCATTGCCATCCACGGAGCCCGCCATTTCCACCAAGGGAGAGCAGGCCGATTGATAATGGCCCACCCAACGCCCCGGCAAAACTATTCGCAGCCCAAAAAATAGCGTATCGAAATGCGAGCTCCTGGTTGGTATAGAACTTCGAGATATAGAGTGCAAATCCAGGGATATAACCACCTTCGAGTGCTCCAATGAAGAAACGAGTGACATAGAGGCCTGATGCATTCTTCATGAAGACTTGTGACCATGTGACAATGCCCCAAAATAACATTGTGATGGGAAGAAAACGCTCGGGTCCAATATATTTGCTTATCATGTTGAAAGGTAGCTCCGTGATGATGAAGCCGACTGTGAACAGCGTCTGTGCCAGATTGACTTCTGTGTTGCCGACGTTGATGTCCTTTCGTAGTGTATCGGTGAGGGCGTTTCCAATGTTGGTACGATCAAATTGCAGAAAGCAGAAGCAAAGCACGATTGGAGGAAGAATGAAAAAGTCCACCTTTAGCAAGGCCTTTCGAACTTCTCTCGGATCAAATTGAAGGCTTGCATCGTAGCCTGGAACTTCAACAGTCTCGTCCACAATACTTGTCGTCGCGGCCTTGTGCTCATCGGCACCGGATCGGCTGAAGGAGTCTTTCTCGGATATAGAACTCATAGTGATCTGGTTCATTAACAACTTGAAACTGCAACTCAATTCAAGAATCCATAAATGACAATTTCAATAATGAGAAATAGCTCTTGTCGTTTCAACTTCCAGCGGTTTGCTCCGATGGGTGACCATGATATTTTATACATTTTCACTGGCTGACGAGTCAAGTCCCCAGATCACCACTGGTAGTTGGCACAGCTGTCCAACCTCTACGAACTTCGAAGATACCATGAAAGCCAAGATGGCGTGCTTATCAGCTTCACCTATCTCGAAGCTCGATGATAGCGCCAGAAGGTGGGCCCTCACTTGATAAAGGGGACCTCCTCTGTCAAAGCCGACGGCATGCCGCAGGCTCCTACGGGATGCCGCCGGTCGGCTTTTTTGGCAGCATGATGGAATAAAAATTATAACAGGCGCTTATCTTCGCAATATTTTGAGTTATTGGTCAATAGCTTCATCGAAATATCTTTCAATTTCAATATTTTCTTTTTCAAAATCCTAGCCAACAGCGCGACTTTGCCTGCACCAAACCAACCATGGAGCAGAACACCCTCAAGAGACGAGGCGTCGGCCTGACTGGAGTAGACAAGCAACGATCTTTCGGAGGCTTTACTCTCTTCTGCCCTCTCACCAGTGACACAGCCCATCTGGTAGACATCGATGGGAATGAGGTTCATTCTTGGAAGCTCCCAGGCAGAATCGGCCGTCACGCAAGACTTCTACCGAACGGAAATCTCGCAGTCAACACACTTCGACCGGCCCCGAAAGAAACAACCGCTGATGGATGGCCGTTTCCGTTTCTATTCTTCAACAAATATGGCGGAGGAGTGATGTCTGAGCTCGATCCGGAGGGTAACATCGTTCGCCAATTCACCGATCCCCTAGGCCATCATGATCAGTATCATTACGGCGATGGTCGGATCCTATATACCTCTCTCGAAGCTCTGTCGCCAGAAGACTCAGCCAAGGTCATCGGCGGTGTTCCAGGCACCGAGGTTGATGGAATCACCTACGCAGATACAATCAAGGAAGTTGATGAAGCTGGAAATTTACTTTGGGAATGGAAGGTATCTGAGCGACTACCCAGAGAGGAATATCCTCTTCAGCCTCACTACACACGTGAACACTATCCTCTGATCAACTCGGTTCTACCACTGCGAGACGAAAAACACATCCTCGCGTCAATGCGCTCCGTTTCAGCCGTCGTCATTATTGAAAGGTCCACCGGCAATATTGTGTGGAAGATTGGGTCTGAGGTCCTTGCACAACAGCATAACGCTACAGAGTTGGAGAATGGAAATATTCTCATCTTCGACAACGGTGCGTTCCGCAATGGTGAATCTATCACCTACACTCGAGCAATCGAGGTTGATCGAGCGACCAAAAATATCGTCTGGGAGTATCGCGACCGCTCACAGATGCTATACTTCTTTACGCCATTTATGGGAAGTGCCCAGAGACTTGCGAATGGCAATACTCTTTTGTGCGAAAGTGCTTTTGGCCGTCTGTTCGAAGTCACTCAAGATGGGTATATCTGCTGGGAGTATGTTAACCCTCACTTTGCCCCATACCCCGATAATGTCACTGCGGATATCTTTCCAGGGGAATCAAATGCTCTGTTCCGGGCATATCGATACTCACTGGAGGAGATACCTTGGTTGAAGCGGTAGTTGAGCCGATCCAACGGGTCGAAACTGGTCTGATCAATGAAAAGCCGAGGAGCTAGAAACAGACTTGATAAGAAGCAACCCTTATATACGGAATCATAGTTATGATTTGAATGTAAATAATAGAATTCATTTCTCATGCTTCAAATTTGGCTATTTCAACATTCATGGCGACAGAGAGATACACAAATTCCGTACTAAATATAGACAATCTTCACATCACTACCGCAACATGGTCGGTCATGTACTTGGAGATATCGCCCAGGAAGCAAGACGCCAAGATGGAGATAATTCCAAACGCAATGCTGACATAGTAGACCCATTTATATGCCTCTGCGTATGCAATCTGGCCAGCAGCAACCACCGCTTCATATGCCATCTCATTTCCAGCAATACCGGGGACCAGCTTGATTTCGTCTAGTAGCGACGCGCCAGTGAGCTCAATCACCTCTGTGATGACTGCGACATCTGTGATATTGAGCTGTGTTGCCATCACGCCGCCAATGTAGTGTGTTGTCAGCGGGACGAATTTGGAGATGAAGACATTGTAGTAGATCGTGTATCCGACTCCACCACCCACGACACGGATGGACAAGGTAAGAGCGGAAATCGTAGCGATGAGATCCTAGAACAGATTAGTATAGTTTCTGAGTAGCTCAAGATAGCAAAGGCTTACATCAGGACAGATGATTGTAGTGATGATTGACGCTGGAACCACGATACCACCGATTCCAAGGCCGGCTAGTACGAGAAGTCCCCAAAGTTGGTAGAGATTATCAACGCGTCCAATTGAGAGAGCTCCGCAGCCTAGTATTAAAATGCCGGTTAGCGCTGAGTATTTAAAGGGACCAGGTTATCGCTATCACTCACCTGCTGTCATGAGAACACTGCTAACAATCAATAGCTCCTTGTTGTGTCCACGGAAAACACTGAGAAGCACAAGCACAATGCAGGCTCCTGCCAAAATACCGAAACCAACAGGCAGACTTCGAATGCCGACATCAACAGGGTCGTGGCCATATACATTGAAAGATTCGGTTGGCCAAAACATCAGCACGGAGAAGAAGTTTGCGCCCGAGATAAATGTGATAACAAGGGTGAGACCTAGAGTGCGAGGCTCTTGCTTCAGTCGAGTTGGGAAGATGGGGTACTTGGCTCCGTATATTTCCCAGAAGCCAAATGCGATTAGGAGAACCAGGCCAATGATCAATGGGGCAAGGACATGGGCAGAAGACCATGGGTACTTGAAGAAATATTAGTAATTATACAGTGTTAAAAGCGTGACATGAAGACTTACCATGTAACCGCCCCACTGCAGACCTGCCAAAAACACAATCAAACCGGTGATACTCAAGAAACCACCGACGAAATCGATACGGCTGATGATCTCCTTCCGGCTCAGTCCAAGAGAGTTGGTTCGAGGAGGAGGGAAATAGAAGAAGACCGTGACTAGCAGACCAAATCCATTCCACGCACCGCAGAACGCGCCAACATATCGCCAGTTGCTATGGTATGCAATAAGCTGGGCATAGAGCACAGATGGGCAAAACGGCACGATGGAGAAAATGAGAGCCGCAACATAAACGCCGCGCTTGCGAGTTGGTGCCATTTCGGAGGTGGCTGCCAGGGCAGTCAATTCGTTGATACCAGCACCAGCACCAGCAATCGCCATGCCCGCTAAGTTTCAATTAGCCTAAGATCGTGTATTTAAGCTTGAAACTTTTTCGAAATATGCATACCGATAAAAATGTTCATGGTGTTGGCCGTGCTGCTAACGATCATGCCTAAACAGATGAGGGCGGCGCCCGCGATCGCGACATAACGGCGACCGAACAAATCAGACAACGATCCGACAAAGGGGCAGATGGCGGCGAGACCAAGTAGGTTGGCAAGGACCTATCAATTAATATGTCAGCATCTGAAGCATAGAGGAAGAGAAGGGGTTATCTTACAAACCAGACCCATCGGTCTGCTCCACCAATGTCTCCATAGATATAGGGGGGGGGATGCCACCTATCAACTTGTCAGTGCCTTCTGTGTTTATATTCATGACATCTTGGTCATACCAAAGAGATACACTGGAATCTGACTGCCAGTCCACAGGAAAGCCATGGCGGTGAATCCCATGAAGCGTCGAAAGGTCATCTAGAATTCACATATTAGTATGGCGCCAAACATTGATGATTCAAGGGGTATTGGCTAACCGGGATATCCTTCTCCGACTCATGAAGTTCTGCCTCATTGCTATGATCGCTACCAACCACCTCCTGGTGACTATGGGTACTCTCATGGTGCTGGATAGCCTTCTCATCCAGTCCTACCGGACGTTGGTCCTCCACTGCACCTGTCATTGTGGGGCGCTTTCAGGAGGATAAGAAGGGGAACGTGTGGAATTGAAAAGAAATCTCAGCACAGAGCGCGACTAGGAGAAAAAAAGTAGAAAGAAAAAGCAAAGACAGGCCAGTAGTCAATCCCACTGGCGCGTAGTCAATCCCTACGGTTTAGGTGGGAGGTGGGACCCTGGATAGATATACCCTTGAGCAGGATGCTACATAGCTGACTAGTGTTTCTAAAATCATGACACAGTGCGGTGACGGGCTAGACGAAAGGCCAGTCTTTGCCAAAGCGGGTCCGTCCGGAGAAAGAGTCACCAATAGGGGGACCAAGCGGGATGCATTCCAAACGAACGCGCAAGGTGTGGTGCAGATAAGCGATAGCCGGGAAGGTCGAGTTCAAAATCAAGAAAATACCGAGGCAGGTCTGGTTCTTGGCCGAAATGCTTAGGGGGACTTGGGGCGATTTAGGAGACTTGGACGAGTTGGGACGACTCAACCGGTGGATTCGGGTAGGAAAATGCGGGGTGAAACGCGGAGAAAAGTGGAGGCTGTCAATGATGGCTTTGATTCTTCCCGGGTAAGGTGCCACAATGGGGATCAGCCCCGAAACTGTATCCAGGCGAGACTAGAGTGCTTGCCTGGTTCATCTGATTCGCTTGAGAAAATGAGCACTGCACCATGTCATTGTGCTTCACCGTAAGTAACTACAGTATCATTAACATAATACATGCGTCTGCACCAGTAGGCAGGGCCGCACAGGTATTGCTAGAGTATATAACAGCAGTAACGGAGTACTGGCCACCTATGCTTAGCTCTAGCACTATACAGTGGGAGGAGCCGAGAGGCATATAGCTCTAGCCCATTCTTCCAGTGATTCATCACTTGAAGTGAACCGCGGAGAATTACTCCCAGCGGGTCCCAACAAAGTGGCTAGCTAGCGCGTCCATCACGATAATACTTCGCTTGGATATCTCCACAACTTGAATTATCATTGCGATTCCCCGGATATATCCTGTTCATGGGACCACCACTCAAAAGGTCTCTCCAATAGTTCGCAGCCGGAGCTTCTTAGGAACAACGAAAAGACCAGATGCCTCCACACAGACACGCCCTGTCATATCACGAAGCTCACACTTGGCATAAGCCTTGCGGTCCGTGCTTCGCTCTTGGTCCAGGGTTGTATGCAGGGAGTAGAAGTTACCCGAGTAGACGGGCGCGCGGTAGTTTATGTTGAGGTTCGCAGTGACACCAGTACGGGCCGGGAAACGTCGTATCGCAGCTCGTCCGAGATTCTCATCGAGCACGGTGCCAAGTGCACCGCCATGCACCATGGTTGGCCATCCTTCAATGCCGGAGCCAAATGCCACGACGCTAACGATCTTCTGATCCTTGTCGTTCCAGAATACTTTCTGTTGGTTCACGAAACGGGTTAGTACGTTAAGACGGGATCCCGAGGTTCGGCATTTAATAGCTTCGGCAGTTGCAAGTCACTCGGGGGGAAGATGGACTGATTGTGAGCGAACAACCAGCAATGACAAGGAAGGACGCCCGCGTTGACGCTGCCATGAAACTTGGCAAGGCAAACGTACCTGTAGTCCCAGCCCCCTGCTCCCAGCCAAGGGACCAGAGGTCAGACGGTGGGCTTTTTGTTCGTCCGAAAAGTATTCGTATACGCCCGATTCGACATAATCCGGGTCGTCTCGTAATTGCTTCACGAGCGGGAGACCAATTTCATACGCCCGTTCGAGTTTCTCGAGCTGCCTCTGGTCCTCGGGGGACCCCGGGACTGGCGGTGGCGCGATCCTTTGCCCTATTAATTTCCCAACTCCAATGCCCAGACCTCCGAATATGCCGGCGTAGATAAGTCGCCGTGTCCATGGTGATGATGGGGCCGAGGTATTCTGTTGCGCGCCAGTGCTCAGGGTTCGCAGTGAGGATCGGGGGGAAACAAATGTGCGAGTCGAAGGGATGCGCCGTGGCAACTGCAGTATCCGAGGAGAATTCATTGTGTTCACATCACCGTTTACCAGAGAAGTGAAGCTATCCACGTTGAGCGGATTGAAAGTCGCGGGACCGAGGCTCGTGATCACGTGATGTAATCTTCCTCCTGGATTTGATAGCCGTTAGGTTCCCCGGACCTTTTTTTATTTTATTTTTTTACATTTTCCATGCATTGCAGAGGATATGCTTGGATGAAGTTGTTGTTTATCACAAAAGTCAGAGTTCCGTCAATCATAGTTCCATTGCATCTACAGTAGAGCATTTATAGGAATAAACCACTTCAGTTGGATTCCCAAGCTTCCCCATCCCTATCCACATCAACATCAACATCAACTCATAATCGTCGTTTCTATTCATCTAGAGGCGTATTTTTTGTCGCATACTAGGGCGTGAATAGTTATCAAATTAGTTGAGAAATTACTCCTGCTTGGGGAGTTCAATGGCACGGTAGAGGAGGATCAGCGCCGAGTGAGTTTCGCCTGTCAATGCTGTCAGTAGGAATTCAGATAACAGCAGGTCCAGAGTACTTACCACCACCAGAAAGGGTTTCAATCTTCTCAGCTTCAACTTCGGTGACCTTGTCGTCGTTGAACCACCACCACTTGCCATCATCCTCCTCCTCGTCACGGCGCTTGCTGCCGGCTTGGGAGTTGTCGGGGCGAGCTTGCTTCTTGACATAGGCTGTATAATGACCGCTGTCCGCACTGGCTCCCTGGTGAGTAATCACACCGCGTAGTTCATACAGACCAGACTGGTTGGTACCGCTGTCCGGGGAGCCGTTCTGCTTGATCAACTCATAAAGCTCCTTCTTAGCGGATGCGATCGCCTCCAGCTTCTCTGTTTCATACTCGGCGTCGGTCTTGAAGTTCTCCTCCATGTTGGTATCACCGTCCTTGTCGTTTGCCTTCCCCTTGCTCTCCGAGGCCTCTTGAGCTTCCTTCTTCTTCTGCATTGGCTCTTTTTGGCCACCGCCCTCCTTCTCTTCCTTGCTCTGCTCTTCCTCGTGCTTCTTGTTCAGTTTCTGGCGCTTGCGAGAGCGTTCGATGTCGATTTCGTCTTTGCGGATCTCCCGAACCTTGTCACGGATAGGGATGACCTGTTTCTGAAGGGTTTCGGTGCAGAATTCAACAATGTCGAGCTCGGCAGGAAATGTGACCTTTCGCATAATCTTGGCCTTCTTCTGAGTGTCGCGTTTCCAGAAGAAACGAACAAAGTGTACAGTAAGATACTTGGGCAGTCGAGCGACCTTCGACTTCTTCGTATACAGCGCATTGCGGTCTAGTACAGGCGATTGCTTCTCAATCTGCTCTTGTAAGCCAGCCCTGATTCCATCTTGGAGGTGGTTGATATCCTTTCCAATGTGACAATCCAACTTGAAAAATACATCGGATGAGTTAGTCGGTTGTTCGCCTGCCTCCTTGGCCGCAGGGTCATCACATTCGAGAGTTGACTCGAACTGCCCCGCGAAGTATTTGTCGACAAAGGAGGTTTGAGAAGCACCTTCTCCAGCTCCGTCGGTGATGGTCAGCTTGGTACGCAGCTGGTTGACGATCTGCGACCAGGCCTCCTCGGCGTCCTGCTGGGAATAGCCGCCTCCGTTGCGGTCTCGTTGGGCGAATTGTGGGAAAGCGGTACGGAGGGCATTGAGGAACATCAGAGGGGGAATCCCCTCCTGTGTCTCCGACATTTGCTTGAACAGGTCTCGAAGAGACGCGGCCATATCCCTGGAGCTGTCCATTCCTCCAAGGCCAAAGCTGCTCAGATCGGACAGGCCGCTGGACTGACCAGCACGGCTCGGACGATAACGCTGAAGCTCCTCCTGCAACTCAGGGACGCTTCGCAGTGTTTGCAAGGTAGAGTTCAAGTAGCAGGTATTGCCCAGGTTCTGCAGGCCGGCAGGTGTAGCTCCGTCTTGTCGAGCAATCTCAGCTTCCGTCATATCCTCGAGGAATTTCATTGTCTCCTTCGGGCGGCCTAGGTCTGCGTCTCCCTGGCCACCTGATGGGGTCCCCATCATCATGAAGGTCTGGCCCGGCTTGGCCTTGAGGGAGGACAGCGGAGTATCATCCTTGAGTTGGCCACCCTTCACGAGTACCTTCTGACGGTCCGGTTCGACTCCGGTAAGGGAAAACAACTGGTATTTCAATGTCTCGCCGTTGGAGGTGGGATCGAGCTCAACTTCGTGGCGTTTGCCCGCGTGCTTAACAATGACTGCCGATCAGTTAGCGGGGGGAAGGACAAGCCGGAATGCCGGGATTCTGAAGCTAGAGATCGATATCTCACCACTTACTCGGGATGGACGCCATAATGACGAGGGGCAGCAAAGATCAAGAATGGGAAGAATAGGTTGGGGATGGGGAGTAAACAGCTCGACAACCCTTCGGGGAAGGTGATGGAAGGCGGCGAAGCTTCCCTGCCTGAATTGTCAGGCAGAATTGCTCACCCACCGTCATCGCCTTCACCGCCTTCACCGCTCACAGCCCCCACCGCCTCCGCCTCCGCGGCCGCGCGGGACCTCAACTTCCCCTCGTCTCAAGAGCTCAGAGACACTTCCTTCGCCTTCCAATTGTATTGGATCCCTAGCCCATCATGGTATGTCACCATTTTATTCGAGCTGAGTTGACAATAGCTGACCATTCTTTCAGTCTCAATCTCTGCGACCCTACCTCCAGTGAGCTACATTTCGTCATCTAGGCTTCACAAAACAACACGTGCTAACATGGGCCTAGATGCTGCCGGTCATCTCTCACCGCCGCCCTTGCGATCTCCAACTTCGCTTCGCAGACCTCCGAGCGTCACAATGTTCCTGAAATCGAAGCCAAGTCCTCTCCTGAGCTGATCCTCAACCCGTGAGATCCCCAATGCGCACCGGCATATAAACGACTAGGCAACCTTATTAACCATGACCCCAGTATCACCATCAGCCGCAATGAACATGAGAAGCTGTGTATGTCGCAATCCATATATTTGAGATCCACATAATATCTCTCCCCCTTCCAAGATAGTGGGCTGACCTGTTATCCAGACATCGAGCCTTCCGTCAACTCAGTCAGAATAAGCTTGAGCATCAAGCAAGCGGACGAAATTGAGAAAGTGCTGGTCCACAAGTTCACCCGTTTCCTTCAACAGCGAGCCGAGTCATTCTTCATCCTCCGAAGGAAGCCCGTAAAGGTTCGTTCCTGCAATCATGGTCTACTTCTTTCGTTGTCTGGTCTTTGCTAACAGCCGTCACTCTCAGGGATACGATATCAGCTTTTTGGTTACGAACTATCACACAGAGCATCTCCTTAAGCACCAACTTGTCGAGTTTATTATCACCTTTATGGAAGAAGTGGACAAGGAAGTGTCTGAAATGAAGTTGTTTGTGCGTATCATGTTGAATACTCGCCCATGAACTGTCCACATACTAACGTGCTTTTTTATAGTTGAATGCACGTGCACGATTTGTGGCCGAATCTTTCTTGACTCCGGTATGTTTTGCCCTGCTTGCTGATTCTTCTCTCGACCGAGAGCTAACATTGCATATTAGTTTGATTAAATTGCGAGGCGTTTCCTACCATTTCTATCTCAGGGTTGCTCCGCCGACCGGCACCCATACCCATGACCTGCCTTCCCCCTTGTATAAGCAATCTTTCTAGCCAAAGAATATTTACCTACTGATGAAGCCTTTCCGTACTAGCGCTTTTAAAAGCATGTCATTTGCTTTTGCAAGGCTTCCATTACCTACCAGTCGTAGATCTAGTTGCTACGAAAGGATCCATAATCTGATTATCGCTCATAAATCTGCTCATCTGTTTTCGGAATTACTGGCCTTTTCTCGGAAATGTTACGACAGCCTCTTGATGAACGTCACGTTTTTCCTCGTGGCCTCCATTTTAATTTGACAGGAAATTGTGAGAATACTTCGAGGCTGCCAACTGCGAGGGACTTTCTGATCGAGTGCTATTCCATTGGTCGGAGAGGAATATGCTCGTGGAATCCTGCTTAGATACATAGAATGGAATTCCGTTAATAGTCTACTCGCAGCAGCGTGATTTGATGAAGAATTACTAGTATACCCCATTCATTTCAAAACGAGAGATTACTAGAATTTCACCCACCGCCGCTTGCAAGTAACCTACTGAAAATTCCGCTAACCCTCAAGATATGCATGGAGTAAAGAGAGCAAGCGGGCTTAACTTAATACAATATCCCAGTCTGGCGCATATTCAGAGTCTCTATCTTCACGGATGGGGCAAAAAGCCCACGCAGCGCTTCCACAACAACAATTTCCTCGTTGATCTCATTGAAAAAGCACAAGGCACTCCTTTTCTTACGGTTTTTTTTGTATCGAAGCACCGGCGAGTTTCAATCTATTTCTATAAATGCGGCAACGAGGTAGTTGGAAATTTTATAGTGTATCGAGACAATGGAATTAAGCACGCGTTTTAGTTTAAAGTCCTCGTCCCACCTAACCTCGAGCCCGATGAGGATTTTACTTACTACATAGCATCTTAAAAGAAGAACAATCAATTCCCCGAGATCAATATTCTTAGAAATTCATCTCAAACAGTGATTCATATTCCGAATATTGAATTGTAATGCAACGGACCCCTTCTTTAGCATAATGCAAAAGCATCAACAATTTTCTAATATCCAGGTTGACCAACTATAGTTAGTTAGAAATAGTGATTCTTATTAATGGAAAACAGCCATCGTAGCTCATTCTAATGCTTGAACCAAATCTCACGAAAGCACGTTCAAATAGATCATACTAGTACTTCACGACACTACACTACTGCCAACTACCCCTTTTACTATTAGTATTCCACCATCAAATTCACACAGAGCACCACACAAAATGGGTATACAATAAAAACCACCGACCAGAACGGCCAGCCACAAGAACCATTTAGTATGTACTAGTTAGTCCATACCCACTAGTGAGTAATAACGAACCCACCCTCAATCCCAGAGGAACCGGCCGGCACCATTTCGAGTGATGTCGCGTCCAAGGCGCTTATAATCAGCGCGGCTAAGTCCAATGACTAGATCAGCCCTAATACCAGCGGCTTCATCCAATTAAACAAGTTAAGCAAAAGTACCCAAGTTAATATGGACGTCAGTCTTCCCTTCCAGAATCTGCGTCTAGTAGGGCTACGGGGGGGGATCCTTCCGGTTTACGCTTACTTCGACGTTTGTGCGAGAGTTGGCTATTCATTCGTTGTGTGGAGGTGATTATGGGGTGCATGTAACCCCATGCATGCATTTGATTTTGCAGAGCTTTGAGTTGAGAATTTGAAGAGGTATGGTGTACCTTGGAAGCTGTGCAGGAGTATGTGGTATCTCATTTGTTCTGCTTGCTACAATTGGGTTTTATCACTGAGCTTGACTTGACTAGACATGTCAGGCTGGCTATCTCAGACTAGGTATAATCTACAGATCAAGAATGGAAGTAGATGGATAGTTCTCGGTTTGACGAGATTCTCACACCAGTGGATTTGTCCGTAAGGGAACAGAACAGCGCATAGAGCACTTTACCGACGTAGATGGATGGAACATCGACAGATAGATGGAGATAAAGAGAAAGACATGCAAAGCGTGAGTAACGAGTAAAAGACAAAGAGTGATCAGACAGCCTCCCAGTTAGTTTGTAAACGGACACGAAAAAAAGGAAAAAACCACAAGCATAAACAAAAAGCCGCATCGAGTAAGGAATAGAGCATGGCAAAGATAAGCCGGCAAAAAACGAAACAGACAAAAGACCTGCGGGGATCGAGGGTAAACCAGTTTGCAACAAAATAAAAACAAAACAACCAGAAAAAACTTGGAGATAAAAGATTCACACAGCCGACCATCTTTTGTTGCATGACATGCCGAACGCGAATTTCGAGATTGCCTTCCGGAAAATAAAAGATATACGGGTTGAAAGTAGATGAAACAAGGGAATGAAACCGAGTGCGCAAAAAGATGAAGTGAAATGATAGAAAAAAGAGAAGAAAATCCCGAATGAGAATCAGCCGAACCGTAAACGCAGACGCAAAGTAGTCAAAGTAGCCGCCCCGAAATTTGTGACAAGTGTATGTTATTGCCGCCGTTTAGGATATAGAGCACGGAGGCGAGATGATGTAATATGGTGGAGGTTGAGTGTGGGTGTGTTAAGAGTGTGATGGATGTATTCGTTGATCGTGATGCATGGAGCCTGGTCTTGTTGCTCTGTCTGGGTCTGTGTCTGTCTGTGCGTGTTGGGTCGGACCAAATTGGACGTTCGAATTTGACCAAAGTAATGTTTGAATCGGAGGGGAGGAACGGATAGATGGTGTGCAGTGCAAATTTCCGGAGATACTTGGAATGTGACACCGTGATAGCCCAGCCAAAGAGGGCCTTTTCTTCCCAAGTAATTCGCAAATTGCGAAACCTGGACCTTTTCCTTCACTTCCCCATCCAATTCATTTGTCGACGCAACAGTTTCTTCCAAACATCACAATCAAACCAGAGTCGATGGAGAAAACGAAATATTGTATGAGAATAAATCGAAAAGAAAAGTCGTATGCCAATAACCAAAACCAGAGCACATTGGATCTGGACATCTTGAATGTGTAGAGAGAAAAATAAAAATGAAAATAAAGTTCGTGCGGCTCGTAAAGCTCATGGGTCCGCGTTTCAAAGTGGCTTCGTACCTCCAGGCATCGGCCATCAGATCAGAGGCAGAGGCAGAAAGGGAATTCGATCGTCGTCGTCATAATCCACTCGCAAGTAGATCCGTCACATATCTCGGGAAAAGCGTTTCAACCCTCCATTCTCGGATTCCGATTCGCGTGCACGGGCATCGAGAAAATAGTTTTGTCGCGTTCCATTGAGGCGTCGCTAATCGATCCGAAATGAAGGTTCCAAATTCCAAAGCGAGATTGAGAGTGTGTGTTTGTGAAACAAGAGATTCGTCGATAAATTCCGATCCAACTGGATTGCTCCGATATGGCCATGCTGCCCTTTTCCCATGTCACCATATTCCAAAACACATGGGTTTCTCCTTTAAATCCGTGTGGCCAGCACACGGGTTTCATTCCTTTCGCAGTCCCCGCATTCCCGTCGCGTTTTCTCGACATTTCCTCCCAGTATATGTCTCAGGTATAGCTGAGACGTTTCTACTGGGGGGCCACGGCGATTCAACGCATTGAGCATGTCGCTGTCGGTACTAGAGCGGCCATGCGAAGGATCGTTGTTGCCGGGGTTGAGCATGTCCCGCACATTCAAGCCGCCCCGTGCCGAGCCGCCGGGAGTGGAAGTGGGGGGTGGAGTCGGGCCGCCCTGCGTCATTGGAGGATAAGGAGAGCTGTGAGGCGAGGAGGAGTGGCGCGCATCATAACCGTAGCCAGATTGCGGCGAGGTACGCCGATCGTGCGGTGCAGGATAGTAGGGGCCAGGAGCGGTGTGACCTTGGTATCCCGGAGTGGAGGCGGGCGTAACGGGCGCAAGATTGGTCGGGTCCGGATAGTCGAATCCCGATCCAGAGCTTCGGCGGCCTTGTCTCTGCACAATCAAAACATTACATTAGATCCGAGGTTATGGGTGGGTGCTAGAATGAACTGCCTTACCGGATCCGGCATGGAAGACGCAAGGGGTTGCGGGGCACCATCCATGGGAGGTCGTCCATATGGATGATACATCCCTTGAGGCGGCGGAAGGGTCGAGTCAGGTTGCTGCTGGGGGGGAAGCGGCTGGCCGTGGGCACCGTAGAGAGTCATTCCAGGGTTGCTGCCGCGGCCGCCAGCCTGTGGGTTGCGGAGATGAGGGTAGGCGACTTGCGCGGGAACAAAGGCCTGAGCCTGTGAGGAAACGGGAGTGAACATGCACTCCTGGTTGAATCGAATACAGTTCGTACAGCGACCATCGGTGGAGGTCTCAAATCCTGAGCAGCGAATCTAAACAATATCGCTCGTCAGCAATCCTTCCTCTATTCTCTTTTCAAGAGGCCCAAACAAGCGCGTCAATCTCCAAATGGGTTCGGCTTCCACATACTTTGCGACGGCGACAGTACCGGCAGGCAATGGCTGTTCTCTGGCGCGGTGCTGCAGCTTGATAGTGAACGACCTGAGTCGCGGGGGGTTGGCCGTAGGGATCGGGACGGTAAGCACCCGGTGGAGGAGGGAGACGGTAGGCATCTTGAGCTTGAGCATGTGGGTGTATGGCCGCCATGTTTCCTGGGGGAGGATATTGAGGTGGAGGATAATATGCGCGGTCTTGATCTGAAGGAGGGTAAGATGAGCCCGGCGGCGGGTACTTGACAAAGAGCGGGTGAATGTTAGCATTGGGAGGAAATACAGCTCACATAGCACAGCGCACACATAGCGCATAAGTAAAAGAAAACATACCTGATATGGAGGTTGGTGCTGGTGATCCTCGGGTGATTGACCCTGACCGTTCCAGGGTGGATATGGTTGTCGATTAGGATCGAAGTCCGGAGGACCATTGGGGGGGCGGGAGGACCGGACATTTGTGGGAGGGAGGAAGGGGAGGAGAGAAAAAGGATGAGGTGAGATGAGTCAAGGAGTACCAGTACGGAGTATCAGATACCGATACAGATACAGAGACAGGACAGTGACGTCGGGTTATGAAAGGGGGACGAGTCGAATCACACGGACAACGCCAGCATAGCGCGGTCACGCAGGGGAAAAAGTAGCTGCAGGAGGAAACCAATTCGGTACACACGAACACACGAGGGGAAGAGAGAGGAGAGGAGAGGAGAGGGGAGAAACTGAAAAAGAAAATAGAAAATAGGAAATAGGAAATAGAAAAAGACAAAAAGGAAACGATCAGAAAGGGAATAAGGAAAAAGGAAAGAAAAGAAAAGGTAAGAAAAGAAAGAAGGAGGAAAAAGAGGACCAAACCAAAAAGAGCCTCGGATTATGACGTGAGCACGATGGAAGAGATGGATAACACTGTACGAAGTACAGTTGGGGGAATATGGGAATGGAAATTAATAATAAAATAATAAAATAATAAAATAAATAATAAATAATAAATCAAATGGGCCGGCACGATAAGCAGTTCTGGAAAAGACGGGCGAGGGCCGTCACTAGTCCTAGGGCCAGCAACACCAATCCCAGAGCCCGGTGCCAGTAGAACTGCTTGGACGCTGTTGAAGAGCACCCAATGCAATTTTCTGATTGGAACTGGCGCCAGGATTTTTTAGACAACGGGGTGGAGCCCGGGCAGCGCGGGCTAAAGCAGCGCCAGTGACCCGTCGACATGGACGGGGGACCCTCTTGACGCTAGGGCATCAGCTGAACCAGGTAAGACGGTGGGGATGGGATGGAGATGCTCGGTTAGTACGAGTATGGTACTCGTATAGTGGTGATGCTTCTGCTGGACGTGATGCTGCTGCTAGTATATGTCAGTAGAAACAGATACAAGACTGGATGACCTGGCTAACCTGGTGAGTGAACCTGGAGATTTGGAAACTTGGAGACCCGGGATGCTGCCAGCTACCGATCGTCATATTCCTCCGTGATCCCTGGCGCGGACCACGATCCACCATGGGCGAGCGCGACTCGGACCGTCGTCGCACAACCGCAACCGGGCCCGCGGAACCAGGATTCTCTTCCATGGCGATGGGCTCGGGTCGGGGCGAAAATCTGGATTTGGTTGTGACCCAATCAATCTTTGGGGAAAATGAAAGAGAAAAAAAAAGAAAGAAAGAAAATTCAAAGGGGAAAAAGACAAGCGGGAGTACGCAGGACAGGTGTGTGCAAGAGAGGATTAGTTGCAGCAAAAGCAGCAAAAGCTCATCACCCCCATAACACAGCGCAGCCAGAATTTAGTACAACCTACTCGTACTTGCAGCAGGAATGGGACGGCGCGAACTCTCCCCCCAAGCACACAAAAGGGCCCATTCCATCTTCTTCTCCCGGCCAAGTACATGAAGCTACTGCATGTACTATCGAACTTCTCCCCTCATCCATCCCACGCCTGCAGCGCCAGCCGAGGCGGTGTGAAGTGGCGATCAGACTTCAGCTGACGAGTGGAGTTCAGCCCTCGCCACCCTCCATTTTCCAATACGAGACGAGAACCGTCCATGTCTGGTGACAAGAGCGGAGCCCCCTCCTCTCACTGCTGACCGGAGTGGATGTAGCGAGTACAGAAGTGGAGGGCCCTAAGTTCCCAGGGCTGTAGCACTGGATCCGGAAAGCCCATCATGAGTCAAGGTAACCTGCATTAGCGCTGCGTTGACCGCTGACAGGGGGCGGGTTCCTTGTTCCAGAGCCACAACCACGTTGTACGGGGGCGGCGCAAGTGGCCCTCCGTCACCGCTAATCCCGGTGTGTGGGCCACCCATAACGATGTTGCAAAGAAGGAGGGGGAAACGGAAGGGAGAGAAAGGTGGGAACCAGGATGATTCTAGTTCTGTGGATGATGGAATTCTGGATATGATTGGATCTCGGAGTGGTCATCCTGGATCAAATCGGGGCCTTCCATTTCCACCATGGTGAAACTTGCACCAGGGGTGTGGGTGGTGAGGAGGAAGAAGAGGATGGCATTGGCAGCCACCGGGTCATGGACAGTTGCGAACTTTTGCGCTGATGGTCGGGGTACTTGTCCCACGGGCCGCTCCGGTCTTCCCGCCGATCTCATGCATGTGTGCCATCTGGATTTTTTTTTAAAAAAGAAAAAAAGATGATTCGCGCCCGCCATGAACCATTTCATATCAGCCGAGGGCCTCTTTTTTTGGTGGATAAAAAGAAGATTTTGATACATTTCTTGCCCTTGCCTTTCTGCACTATCCCGTTCACTTTTATTGAATGATCTTTCTCGGATCTCTGTCGATGTTTTTTTGGTCTTTGATGATATTTCTTTTCCCTTCATTTCCCCATTTTTGTTTCGCTCGTGCACGCCCGCGCCTTTCCGTTACACTCCACTCTCTGGCGTGGCCTGTATTCAGCTTGACCTGTGTATACCAAACCTCCGCCATCTCCAGGGATCCACCCGACCCAAAATCGCTGGCCACTCGATGCGTTTTGTCCTGGGGACGCGCTAGTCGGCATGGACCCAACTGAGGGACTGAGCGTCGACTTGGGGACCCAATCGTCGCCCGACCGCAGGCTACGACGTTCCTCTTCTCCGGTTTTCTTTGAAGGTCGAATTTTTGAGGATTTCGTATTCGCCTCTTGTCGATCTAGTTGGTTGTCTGGTTATTTTCGGTCTGGTCCGAGGCCTTTGGTTTTGGAGCCCTGGGGGGTTTTTTCTTCTTCTTCCCTCAGGTTACCCACACGGGAGCGCGTCTATCAACAGGGATGGAGCCGGTCGGGCACTAATAGGCGCAGCCCGCATGGCTGAACGGTCACGGGAACACTCTCAGCCATTCACAATCGGCCCTGGGACGCTATGTTCTCGCGATCTGACGTGGCTCCAAGGGAGGCGGAGATGGGGGATGTTTGGGTGTGATGTGATAGTTCTGCAGAGTTGAAAGTATATTGACAGCATGACCGGGGGGGGTCGTGTGATGATGGGCTTGATCTCCAAGGCGAATGCTGGGTGATGCAAATGCAAATCGGTGGTGACACAGTTGCGATTCCAACTCGCTTCGGAGCGAAATGAGTGCAGGGTGTCGTGCAGAGCGGGATGATCACGTTGCTTTTTTCTTGCTTTCTTTTCTTTTGCTCGGGATGCTGCTTGCCGGCGCACGAGCGATCTCCCTGATTCGTAGAGGTAATCCCGGTGCGACCGCTAGGATCGTGCTGAGGTTGGTGTTGGTGTTGGTATCGGTGATGGCGTTGGCATCGCATGTAGATGCATCAATCCGAATACGATATTAAAAGTCTGTAGCGTACCATGGTAACCATTAAACTTGGAAAATCACGCATGATCACGATGAGCCTGACAGCAGCCAATGGCCAATGGTAGGGGTAGATGATGGAGAGGATGTTGGCAACGGCTGAGGGGAGGTACGAGATGCCGGCTGCTGCACGTGGCGGACACTGCCAGTGGCAGCCGGCACCGATCACCCACGCAGAACCCTACTAGTATTGCTAATACAAGTTGGGCATCATTACCTAGTAAGCATATATATGCAAGGGATGCAAGAGAAACGTCACTTGGGGTCTTTGCTCTTGGAGCACGGTTCTGGTGGCGCTCATCCATCGTTGGATTGATAAGACTTGTATGCAATACATCATACGGCCATACTACTAGTATTACTATAGACCATTGACTCGAACATAGTGGTATCAGAAAATTAATTCTGATGATTTCTACTTTCTCAAAGCTATTGGCTTTTGGTTCAAACCTTGAAAGTCAACTTCAGCCCTGGAGATTTGGAGTACTGCCAGTGGTAACTGATATATATCCTCTTGGTACTATCTTGTATGTAGTACTACCAGTGCATTACATATGGAATCCATCCATACTACTACCTACTACTTGTATCACTGGCACTGGCACTGGCACTCGCATGGACTCGGATCATAGTAAAAACCAGATCTAATCTACCAGGGCAACTATAACCATATGAAGCACTTTAGATAACCCACGTTACAAATAGTACTAGCCTGGGCAAAACCCTGAAAGTTGATCCCCAAAGCTCCCGCCATGCCCTAACATCATACTGACCCGCCTAGTATAACTACTACTAGTAGCACTAGTATACTAGTAACCACCAGAAAACACATCCCTTCTCACAACGGCTAGACTACTGCTTCAACCATGTGGCAGACCTCGGGACCCTCAGCATCATGGATCCAATTTCAGACTAGACAAGCCTCGGACCATTCATTCCATTGCAACCACTTTTAGTAAATCATCTTCCAGAAGGAGCCCTAGTAACTTTAAAAAGGCCCAACCTGTCTCACGCCACATATAACAAACCCATGGAATCGAATTTTTGACGCTCCTTTCCAGAGCAGGAAGGTGAGAAATGAATCGAACTACAATGGGTCCAAAAGGGCGCAGCTTACCCCTCCAAAAATAAATATTAATTTATTTTATTTTTCGGGAAGAGGTGACTGGTACCTAATTAACTAACTAACCTAACCTAACCTCGAAGAGTGAATCGGAGAGAGAAAAGGAGCTTGGAAAAGCCCTGGAGAAAAATATTTCCCCATTTTTTTGGGAGCCAGAGATTCCCAATATCTGGTTCGTTCCTCATTTTCATTTCAGTGAACCCCCGGTCTAAACCCATTTCAACACATTTTCTCCGTACCGTACCAAAGTCTGCCTCTTCTGCTTTTTCTGGTTCTGGGACTGGGACTTGTGGCGGAGTCCCGTCCCGACCCAATCCAACACCCGTACCAAACAATGCCCTTACCCACAAGGTGAACCAAAGAGGGTTGGATGAAGACCGGAAGGCACACAGGAAGGGGTCAATGGGGAGGAGGTATCTAATAAAATAGGGAAGGGAGGGGAGTGTATGAGCGGTGGGAAGTAAGAAACAAAGATAGAAAGAAAGAGGGGACCTAGACCTAGTCCAAGCCTACACCTACACCTACGCCAACGCCCACGCCTAAGCCAGGTCCAAGCCAACTTGAAGTCCAAGGTTTCGTCTAGCGGGCTTGCCCGACAGCGGGCCGAACGCGGCGCGGGCGGGCGCAAGTGTGCGGGTGCTTGCTGTGGGCTTTGTTTCTTTTTTTTTTTTTTTTCTCGGCCTGTTACTTGAGTTGGAGGTGCAGAAGTGTGGACGCATGTGTGGACTCTGCCCAGATGGACGCTGATTTTGTGGACTTCAATTTTTCTTTCTTTCTTTCTTTCTTCTGCAGAGTCGAATATGGGTTTGCTCCGGGGTCTGGGGTTCCACTACCATACATATGTACATATGTGAGCGGGTATTTAGTGTTAATGATTTTCTTTTTTCCTTTTCCTTTCTGACGATGGCCTGTTTGAGAAGGTGGGTGATGGATTCGAGGTGGATGTGGATGTAGATGTGGGTGTGTTTGATTTTTTTGAGTTTTTATTTACGGAGTACATACAAACAAAAACTCCAATGTTTCTTTGTTCCATCCGATTCCCGAGGGATTTTGGATCAGCTAGGTAGTACTAACTAGTATGTAGCTAGAGTATGTAGTAGTGGGGATTGGCGATGTCTGGGTCTGGGATTGTTTTCTCTGGCGAGGGGGTTGTTATTGGTTCTGTGGTCCAAGAAGAAAGTTCTGTTTTTGTACTCTGTCTGATGTGTCTCGTTTCATAGAATGAGACAGGGCTGTGCCTCGACTAGTTAGCGTTAGGCACATACCCTAAGCACAGGACCGGACCGCCTGTCGGAAGATTCGTACGGGAGGACTACATGTTTAGCGCGGATTGGCGAAGTGTATCGGTTGATTTGGATTGACAGGGATAGGAGGGGTACTACATGGGTGTAGAGGGGTAGAGTGGAGGAATACTAGTAGGATATGTAGCCCTACCTAGAGTAGTATGCATATAATGACTGTGGAAAGGGAATTGGCTGGATCTCGATTCCTGCCTTGATGCAGCTAAGATGTGATCAGAGGCGCAGTGCAGTGCAGTGACACATTCTGTCTTAGTTATTACTGCATGCAGGGAAGAAGCCTGGGAAAGAAAGAGAGGGAGAAAAAATAGTCTGAATTTTTCTATTTGACAGGGAGTAGTAGAGAAAACAAAGAGGGGAGGGGGAGTATGCCCCCAATTCCCCTAAAATGGCCTTGTGCAGAGCGCCATCGGGGTTAAAAATCTCACGATGTATGGACGGGTGAATTGACCGGTTCTGGATTGTTTGCTTCTAGTTGCAGACGATGAGAATGGAAACAAAGAGAAATTTGGGGCATCGAACCCAGAGCCATGGACGGATGGGAAAGGATGGGGATGAGGGGGGGGGGGGGTTGCAATGCAATTCTCATCACTATCACAACGGTGAATGTCCGAGAGAGGCGCCCGAATCAAAGTCAGTGGGTAGACTCTGATCGTAGGCGGCTCGATCAACTGCCAAGGTAGGCGAATTATGTTACGAATCGGGCATCACGACGCTGTTGAGATACGTCACCTGTTGAGGAAGCGGTCAGCGGTGGTCAAGGGCTGATCCCCAGTGTGACAAGTTGTGTAGCCGTGCAATCTGATTGATTGGGGCCGAGCATCGGGAGGGGATCAGAGGGGAGGAGAGAGGGGAAGGGGAAAAACAAAGGGACCCCCCCAAGTGGCTAGCTCAGAAAGGAAAAGAGACTAGTCGAGACGGGGCAAAATCGGCGGGGACGGGGGGAAGGAGAAGAAAAGGGCGAGAGAGGAAGAAGAGATAGATCAGTTGCTTACGAAGGGCTCCATCACGCCAACTAGAGCGGCGATCCGATGTTGTGCATCAGCGGCCATCATATCTGCGTCAGAGAGAGGACGACCCAGAGTGAAGCTGCGTAGACGAAGCAATTGAATGTTTGGATGGTCAGCCTCGTAGCCCTGTACAATTCTGATCAGTGTTGCTCCTCAGCTCAGCTCAACTCCCAATGTTCAGGAGTGCGATGTTTTGATGGTGTGACTGGTGGAGGAAAGAGAAGGAAGTTCATTCGACGGGCATTTTTGGACGTGGAGCCTGCGCCGTGTTGAACCATGGAACCATCGACCCAAATAGGCCGGGAGAGAGTCGTGCCTGCCTCGTCTGTGTCGGCCGTGTGTTTTTTTTTCTGTTTCTGCTTTGGCTGTGCCGCTTTGCCTTTGCCTATACCTTTACCATGTGCCATTGCCATGCCATTCCATTCCATTGCCACACAACTCTAGCGTGTCTGAGGCTGCCGCGCTCGGTCTGGTCCGTTGCCCCCGGCCCGCGTGTATTGGCGGAGATCACAGACCCGGCTGGAACGCGTGACTTGTCGCCTCATACACCCATGGTACTCTGTGTACGATCTCTGTACACTGTACACGATGGATGGTGCCTGAAATGCCTGGCAATGATCATCACAAACACTAGAGCAATGGCTAGATGGCAATGACAATGGCGATGGCCTTGACGATGCTGATACTCTCGGTGATCACCATCCACAATAGAAGGACCCGAGTCCGATCGGGCCCCCCCATCACCCGTATGCAACTCAGCGAAGCCCCTTACCAACGGCATACAAGTGGCATATCATCGAGGGAAATAATCAAAGAGGCCACAAGGGACAGGCATTCGATCACAGTGGAGTTCCATGGTCCAACATGCTTCAGGGATAGGGCTGAATTCAGGAAAGGTGACGACTAACTTACCTTAGGCTTGGTTTTCAGGGCAGACTCTCGATTATGATGGGCAAACGCCTTCACCACCGCTTCATCATCGTCTGCCGCTCCTCCGAGGAACTCCCGGCGCATCTCTGGTGCTCGGAGAACCTCCTTCCATTGATCCGCGTACGCATCGATGTCCTCTCGAAGCAACCGGAGCGGTTCGGCCTCGGGTTGCCAGAGCCCACAACCTATACCCAAATGGTGAGGATAGGAGTGACGATGGAGAGAAAGAAAAGGGGGGGAAAAGACACGGAAGAACACAAGACAAAAGAACGTGGAAAAGACATACCCACGAAACATGAACCAGGTTGGAAGTGCACATAATACGCGGCATACGGGCCCTTTTTGCCAGTCCGGGACCTAGGGCTTGCATGAGTATCACTGCACATCATTCCCCTCTCCAGTCAGACACTATGGACTTACCACGCAGCTGAGAAATGAATCTATTCGTCCGTCAGCAGGGCTCCTGCACGCCGCTAACAATCATCACAGTCACACAGGACGGGTTTATCACGCGCAGCGATGGAGCAGGGCAGGGGTAGGGCCAGGGAATGAGGGGCCATGGACATACCTTGTATGGAAGAGGATTCTTGCTAAAGCGGACGTCGCGGTAGATCCGAAAAACCTGGTTCTTGGTCAGTGTCTCGTCGGTGTCAAGGATATGTCGGTGACGTGTTGGGGGCGTACCAGGTCCTTCGCAGGCAACTCGGGGACAGTACTGTCTTGTTCGGCGAGCTTGCCGGTTAGGGCTTCGACAAATGTTTCGAAATCCTTCTTCGCCGCGCGGTAATCTGGGTCATGCCCTGCAGGATACATCCAGTCAGCTTACTCGATAACCGCGATGGCACAGCAGCGCCAGCCTTGCTCTGTCTGCTCTGTCCTGCCTTGCGTTGTGCCTGTGCTGCTTTACCTTTGAGCCATTCCCTCTCGTTATTCTTGGCTAGGTCCAGTAGGAACAGCCGGGTGTTGGGGTGCAGCGTCTCATCTTCGTACGGTACATCACCGGGGTCGCGCGCCTTAGGTTTGGAGATGATGACCTCTTGTCCTGGAGCCAAGCCTGTGCGAACACCCTCCCGCCATAGTTCCTTGCCCTTCAAGGATGCAGTATCAGATACCCTGCCTTTCCCTATCTTGCCCCCTTTAGCCCGCGCGCTCTTCGTCTCCTCCTCGCTGTCGGGTTCGTCGTCCTGATCGGAGGGCTCGTGGTCGTCAGATTCTGGGTCAACATCATTCTCCTCATACGCGGAGTCGTCCTCGTCCTCGTCCTCATCGGTGTCGCTGGCCGGCTCCTCGGACTCAGCGGAGCCCTTGGGTTCAAAGTACTTGCTCTTCTTAGTTGTGGTTTTAACCTGGCTGCCAGGCAAGTCGATGTTGGACCTGACCCTCTTAACCTCCGCCTCCGAAGCGGACAGCCTGGTTGAAGCGCGTCGCTTTGGCGCCGCTTCTGGCGCTTGCGCCGCGGGAGCGGCCCGGGACGATCGTCGAGACATAGTAAATATTGAAATAGATGTGTGTAAGATGTGTATAGAACTGGAATCTGATCCCACTATTGCCCCCTTTCTGCCCAATCACCTTACGTTTTGCTTAGAAGTGTGTGTATTTTGAAGACCTTGTTTGTTTCTCCCCGCCAATTCTGCTCTGTTTGTTACCCACTGTAAAAGATGCACAGCAGAGATCAATTTGTTGCGCCCGGATAAAGGAGCTCGAAATTGATTCCTGCGATGGTTCTGAGAAATGGGTTAAGGTGAAAAGAGAAAAAAATTGGGTGACAAAAGAGGGCAGTACACCCTTTTTAAACCGGCTTTTTTTTATTATGTTATTTTGCCCTTACCCTTACCCTTTTATGTACTGGTAATACGAGAGGGAACCGCCGTGACTGCTCTCCGCCTTCTGTTTTTTTTTTTTCTGCCCGATCGATCGATTTGGATATCAAAGATACCCTGACGCAATCACATTTCTATTCTACGAGTATTCACAGAATAAATCATACACCCAGGAATCAGACCTTTCATCGCACTTCCTAATTGACAAAAGAGAAAGAATATCACCCCCACGACCATCAGGGTCCGACCAAAGCAATGGCTCAATCAAACCAAGAAAATATCCCCCCCCACTCTTCACGACCCGCAAGAACAAAATCATAGAAGAGCTCGCCATCCCAGATGAAGATTATACAGATCTCTCACCAAAGGGCTCCGTCGATCTAGGCGTGCGGGATTTGATCCGCGATATTAATGCTTTGCCCGGCTTGGTCACGACGAGTAGTTGTGCGGGGCGCATTAGTGTTTTCCTCGAGGGGAGGAGGGATGCCGGTTCGTCTGGCGTGTCTGAGCAGGAGGGTCCAGTGAAAGAGCCAGAGACAGAGCCAGAGCCAGAGGTTCGGGATGATCAGAGAGTTTTTGCGCCGTCCGGGGGGAAAGGTGCTGGGAGATGGTTGTATGTTTCGCATGACCCTTTTCCTGGGTTAAAGTCCAGTTCATCGAATTCGAATTCGCATTCGAACTCAAGTTCGGCTCCGGCTTCATTGCATGAGGCTTTTGGCTTGATTCCTGGTAATGGGAAACCGCCAGCTGTTAGTGTTGGAAAGTCATTGAGACTTGTTCGTTTTCATTATGATCCATTGGTATGTGTTTTCCCCCATTTTTGTTTCATTTCATTTCATACTCTTTGGTCGGGTGCATTGTACATGTCCTCCAAAGATGTCTTGCAACATCTCCATTCCCTTCTTATATTTACGCCAGCAGGCGACATCCCCACATACGCACACCCACCCACTAACACTCACCCAGATTCTCCACGTAATGGCCGCCACCCTATCCCACGCAAGTCCCGTCCTAGCCGCAGCATCTGCCTCCGGCTTCCGCGAAAGCGGCCTGCAAAGTCTCCGTTGCCTCGAAGGAGAGGGTTCCGGGCCCAGTCCCATTGTCGCCGTGCGCTCAGCCGGTCTTCAATTCGAGTCTGTGATTGGGTATTGCGATGACGAAGATGAATCATCTGCTGGCGAGCCTGTTATTCGCAGTCTTGTGACGGAGGAGTATCTGGCCATGTTGATTGCTATGTCGGATGAGCGGTTTAAGGTTAATTCTGAGCGCAGGGAGAGATTTAGAGCTACTTTGCTTGAGGCTTGGAAGGGGAAGGGGAAGTCGAAGTCGGAGGATTGGGAGGATCCTGTTGCCCGCAGGGAGAGGAAACGGGCCGAAGGGCTGGCGAGGAAGAAGCTTTTGGAGAGTCGGAAGGCTCAAGATGCTGGGACTGGGGTTGAGGTTGAGTCTGCTGGTCAGGGTCAGGATGTTTGAAAAAGCAGAAACTTTGGAACCCTGGTTATATGTATATAAAGTTGCAGTGGTCACGGTCGTTCGAATTAGTATATCACGAGTAATTATACCTGGAGGTGTATACCCGTTTTTCACACTGGAATCTTGTTCTTTAATACGGCTCGCCCATAAAAGTTTTCAAAATCGAGAAAGTCGTCGCTGAATTCAATTTCGATAGATCCAAGATTAGAAGTTATGATCATCCCCTGTCAAGGGGGCTGTCCACTCTTCATGCTGAGGTTTTCGATACTCAAAACCCGAGGTCATCCTTTTTCGTAGGGAAAGCATAGAACGTCTATTATAGCCAATTACTCAAAGCTGGCTTTAAAATTGAGTTTCCAGATACAACATACAACTTGGCTCGCTAAACTCGCTTAGCCCGCGTAGATCATCATACCTTCGAGTACGTCGGATACATCATGAGCCCAACACAAAGCTTTACTATCAGGACGAAGGGAATAGCCCCCACAGTCTGTCGCTTCCTAGTACCAATAATAACGCGACTAGATCAAAGCCCGAGATCCCGGTCGGCTTGTCCGAGGGGCCGAAGAGCGTAGGGCAAAGATCCGGCAAGAGTCTAGGTTTCTATGGAGTACTAACTGGCAATTAAAATTGTCTAGTGCCTTCAAGTTTTAATCTCTAGTACTACTTACTAGTCCATGGCCGAGTCGGTGTATAAGTACCTACCAGGGAGTAACCACCTGCTATGTATATATTTCCCATCCCAAGGTTCTTCCGACTAACAACTCCCCCTCCGCGCGTTCCCGCTTCGACCTCCCAGCAACTTCAACTGAACACAACTTGTTGAACCTCCAGTACTTCAAGTTCCAATCCAAGTGGATCAAAAACAATCATGGCCGACATCAAGCCCCCTTTCACTAAAGAATCCGCTCACCTGAAGGTCAAAGCAGCTCAGAACATGTGGAATACCCAGTGAGTTTTCGATTTCCCTTGCATCATGACTTGACCCTATGGACCACATGGGCCAAGTAAGGGCAACCGCCATCCATCCCTTGCATTCCTCACTCCCTTCGACTCTCCGCCCGTACGAGGCCCTGAGCTCATATGGTCGCATGCCATTTCACGTTTCTTCCGTGGTTTTTGGCTTTGCCCTTGTGAGGGGGTGATCGTCTGATCTATTCGCTCGTTTTCCTTCTCATCTTAACTTTTGTTATGTCCCCGAATATGACGTAGTACATACATACCAATCTTGTGCAAACAACTTGAACAAATCTAACAAGTTACACCATCACTAGGGACCCGTCAAAAGTCGTCAACGGATACACGCCGACATGTATCTGGCGAAACCGCACAACATTTTTCTCAGGATCGGAAGCGATCGTCAAATTTTTGACGGCAAAGTGGAATCGCGAGAAGAACTATCGTCTGCGAAAGGAGCTCTTTGCTTTTTGGGAGGACCGTATCGCCGTGCAGTTTTGGTATGAGTTTCAGGATGCGGATGATGGAATGAAGTGGAAACGTTGCTATGGGTTGGAAGATTGGACTTTTGATCCGGAGAGTGGAAAGATGTGTAAGCGCATGATGAGCGGGAATGATATGCTTCTTGGGTCTGGTGGGAATGGTGAGGGGCGTTGGTTTGTGGAGGGGGTTGATGTTAATAAGGTGCATATCAGTCAGGAGCACTGGTAGTAGTGCACCACTAGTTTCGATGAGATACTAGTAGTAGTTAGGACCAGAATGTTTTTTCTTTCCTACTAGTATATTCTGATAATATATAATACGACTAGTAGTAGTACACTCGTAGTAGTACTCCAGGGCTTATACTAGCCCGCCGGGGCGTACCACCTCAGTTTCAAGTTCAATATATAAAAGCACCAACTCAGAACCACATCATGACCATGACAGTTCCAAGCCCTGGAGGCTCTATGCCGCCTCGAGACATTTTGTAAACTAATGATTGCAGGTATCCGCCCGAGTAGTAGTATATTATGACTTCCATTTCATTTTCGTTTCTTCAGATCCGGTGTACTGTTACTCTACTAGTAGAGCTTGAATATATTTATTAAGATCGAGGACGGAAGGTCTTGTCAGAGTACTAGTGGATATATATTTTGAATTCTCAGTAAGTACTAGGCAGTTTGCTGGACTCTCAGACTATTCGGTTAACTCTAGTTTGAAGATGGTCGAGGACATGATGTCGGGGCATAGGTTTAAACTACTGGGGGCGGCTCGAAGTTGATAAAAATGAAAATCTCCACCGTAGATCAAGGGCGCCGATTACAATCTTTCTGGATGCCCAATGAGGAAAGATCTAACAAGAAGAGCAAATTTGATTTCTTTCTCGTTCTACTGAATTGTAGATGATGCTGTTTGATCTATAGGGGATCTAGGTGATTATCGTTATAGCGACAGGAAGACTGAATACAGCACGGCCGGTGTCACGAGGCGATAGGAAAAAAACACCCAATGGATGACACTAAAGACAGAAATAGTATCTCATTAGATTTGAGAAGGGGTCTAGGGAGTGGAATGTCGAGGATAATCCTCACCCCTTGAGCCCTTGATCGGGATGGAATGCGACGACGACCCTTCCCCCACCATAAACATATCTCGATTTTCACCGAGGAGCCTCAAATGTACAGATAGACAAGGTTCTATTACTGTTAGCAATTTCTTTTGGATAAATGTAGTTTCAGATGTTTTAAGAGTAGGTAGTAGCGGCCATATGGTTCACACTAGGTAAACACTTAACTAGAAACAACCATAATAAGGAATGAGTAGAGAGAAAACGACGAGAGATTAGCATGGAAATGACCAAAGTTAGAAAGAAAAGGAAGAGGGAACAAACCAGAGAAGAAACATCATAGTAAAGCAACAAATAAAAAGGAGTGGGTGGTAAAATAGAGTAGTGTAGTGTAGTGTACTACTCCGCTCAGAAGGAAATGACGGGAGCATTCCAGCGTTGGCATCGTCGGCGGCAGGAATCTTGCTTGCTCTTCCATTCCTCACCTCTTCACAACAAGTCATGTTGAGGCATTCCACGTCAGGGCCCCCCCAATCTCCCAGGTCTCTGAAACCCAGTCGACCGCGCCGTTTTCTCTCTCCAGTCTAGTTCTCTCACCAACGGGTCCTCACCTCCCGCAGCTTTCGTTCGAACTCCTTCGACCTCGCGATGCCGTGTTGACCAGGTCCTTGTCACTCTTTACACCTTCCAGAATCCACTGGAGCCGATCTTTACAGTCCTTCGTTTTCATTCAATTCGCCTGTCAACGCCATTCCGTGTTGAATCCCACTTCAATGTGAGCAGGAGACGGGGAAGTATACCTTGGAACAAAGAGGCTAATACATAATCTGCCCAGCTTCTAACTAATCGCCTGTCCAAAAAAAAAATCGCCATTTGATGCCCATTTGACCAAGAAGAGCTCAAGCCCCAGCGACCAAAGCGATGGATCAATCGATGCTGGATCTGAACGATCCCCATCGGAGACGTCAGCCTTTGAAAGATGCATCCGGAAGAATCAACAATGCGAGGTCTCCCAAGCCCGAGACACCAAGGGTTCGCGTCGAGGATCTTGATCAGCTCAAGACTCCAGACCAGATGTCCATCATGACTAGCCCGACGCCTCGGGACAAGGAGAACCACAGACTGTCAGTAATCACCGACTTCCAATCCGACTCGGCTCGCAACTCCGTTCTGTCGGCTGCGTCCATTCTATCGAACAAAGGAAAACGCAAAACTCACGTTGGACCATGGCAACTCGGGAAGACCTTGGGAAAAGGAGCTACCGGTCGTGTTAGGTTAGCCAAGCACGCCGTCACCGGTCAGACCGCAGCTATCAAGATTGTGTCCAAGAAATCGGCCGCTATGGTTCAGAGCGAAAGTATCGCCGCAATGGATCGAAACGTCAGCAACTTTTCAGGGTTTACTAATGCTCGCCACATGCCTTGTGGAATTGAGCGCGAGGTGGTCATCATGAAGCTCATCGAGCATCATAATGTAATTAGTCTATACGACGTGTGGGAGAACCGTGGCGAGCTGTAAGTACCGAGGAGACAAGGAGACGTATGAGTCTGGACTGACAAATATGACAGATATCTGGTTCTCGAGTACGTTGAGGGAGGGGAGCTATTTGACTACGTGTCCAAGAATGGTCCACTCCCAGAGGAAGAAGCCGTTCGCCTGTTCCGTCAAATTATTGCAGGATTGGGTTACTGTCATCGTTTCAACATTTGTCACCGTGACTTGAAGCCTGAGAACATTCTGCTCGACTCTCACCACAATGTCAAACTTGCAGATTTTGGTATGGCAGCCCTGCAGCCCGCAGGCCACTGGCTCAACACCTCTTGTGGAAGCCCTCATTATGCCGCACCGGAGATTATTTACGGCCGCAAATACCGCGGTGATCGGGCTGATATGTGGAGCTGCGGAATCATTTTGTATGCCCTTTTGACGGGATACCTTCCTTTTGATGGTGGCGACCTGCCCAACACGTTGCGGCTGGTTAAGAAAGGGGAATATATGATTCCTTCCGAGTTAAGCGATGAATCCGCCGACCTCATTCAACGCATTTTGCAGAAACGGCCTGAGGATCGGATCTCCATGGCTAGCATTTGGCAACACCCTCTCTTGACCAAATACGAAAAGCTGCATAATGCCATGACTGATCAATACATTGGTCCTCCGCCGAAACTATCTATCAAGGACTGTGGCAAGCCAATCTCCTGTCGCCAGGATATAGACATGGACATCTTGCGAAACCTGCAAACACTGTGGCACGATGTCAAGCCAGATGCTTTGATTGACAGAATCCTGTGCATAGAGTAAGTCGCACATTCATTCATGTGTAAACTTAATGCTGACTAGGATTTCCAGACCAACCCACGAGCGAATGTTTTACAACGCACTTGCCAAGTTTCGTGATGAACAGTTGGAGAATTACCAAGGACAACCGTTGGAGTATTCTGCAAGTGACTATCACCATATATCCCGCCCTGGAAGCAAGCCTCGCCGAGGTCGTAGCCAAAATGGACGGAACAGCGCAAAACGTCGATCTCACGTTTCCGTCGTCAAAGACATTCGTCACAGGATAACCTCGCCGCAGGAGCCCAAATCGTGTGCCAGCGTGGAGAGCTACGATCCATTCCGATCTCCCAAACACCATGCGACATTAAAGGAGGCTAAATATGCCCAGGTCACGATTCACAGGGCAGTAGAGGAACATGATGAGATGGTGGCCTCGCCCTTTGTCAAGCCGCCTCCATCAATCGTAGAGGAAGAAGAGCCCGATGATGATGAAGATGGAATTGAGAACTCACCCTTCACGGTTCTACAGAAGCGAAAACACAAGCCCAGCTCGATGAAGTCCTTCCAATCTTCCAAGGTTCCCCTCTCCAGTTCAAGATGCCCAAGCCTATCTACCCACTCGACCAGCTACCGTCGCAATGTTTCTTTCCGTCACGCTCGCAACAAGTCACAGGGATCGACCAAGCCAAAGAGAAGAAAGACAGGCCAGAACCAATTACCAAACCCTCAGACCGATCTCAAGAGGTCACCAAGCGCCGCCAGTCTACAGATGATTGCTGATGGTCATAATGTACCTCCGATGCCAAGTAGCCCACCTCTCCCAGCCCAGCCAACTGTTGTCCGACCAAGCGGGGTTAAGGTCCGAAGCTTGGGTCAGGCCAGAAAAGTTAGGGAGTCAGACATCATCTGGAAGGAAGACACCCGGAAGGTATCTCACGAACTCAGTCAGATTTGCGAAGAGGCGTTCAATGGTAGTTCTGTGACCACCATCCGCACCGCCAGCACCGAAGCCGGATACGAGACACCCGCAACTCCAGTCTCAATCGCCAGCCAGGAGCATTTCGTTAACGTTCCGATCAAGGCATCAGCCGATATATTGAAGGCGACTCCGAAGGAGTGTGGGCGCTCATACAGCATTCAGGAGCTGACTGAAACTCGGCGCAAGCTTGTGGAGCATAGCAAGGGTCGAAGTGATAACATTCCAGGATACCTTTCAGGCGTCATCGGCCATCTTGATCGCTTGATCGAAGAAGATCAAACACAGCACGACAATCATGTCGATAGGGAAGACAGCAATTTACCAATGGATCACTATCTCGCTGCGGAGGAAACCTCACTTCCCGTTATCACTGAAGAGTTCGCCAGTCCTATTCGCGCGCCCAGTGAGAATACCCCCCAAGCTGAAGCATAAGCCTCGTTTGCCGCCGCCTGGACAGCGTGGAGGTGATGCTCGAACTACTATTCGGATGGTCCCGCACAGCTCCCTGCGGTCCATGGATGAGGTGAAACCCTTGATGATTCGCAAGAAAACACCGGGTATGGTATCTGTTTTCCCAGAGAAGGAAATCAATGATTCCAGTCGCAATTATTCCGCCAGCTCCCGACAGACTCGCAATGCCTCTGGCTTGGAGCGAATTGACGAAAGCCCTCCATCCCCCGAGCGCAATACAGGTTCCTACAGCAAGAAATGGTCGTGGTTCAAGACCCGTTCACACGTTCCCGACAGTCCGCCATTGCCTCCTCCCAAAGAACGTCAGCAAATCATTCCGAGCAATGGAACAATTGTTCACACTCCTGTAGACCTGATGGGATCGCCTCCCAAGACGGAGGAAGTGCGAGCCCCTACCCGAAAGACGTCCATGGAGCGCTTCGGTGGTAATCTGCTGAAGAAGCTGATGCCAAAGAAGTCGAACAAAAACTTGGCTCAGCCTGAAGCGGGTAAGTCATCCATCCGCGACTTACTCGAGCATCCGCTAAGACATACCAAAGACAAGGACAGGCCTTCTTCAAAGGATCAAAACCGCAACTCCTCGCTTACGTGCAAGAGATTCCCCGACCCCGAGAGCTCCTTCGAGGCCGACGATCTCCATAGCCCGCCTTCAATGAAGCGGCGCTCTATCGCTAACCACAATTGGTTTGCTCGGGTTTTCCAGATAAAGCCGGCGTCCCGAGTCATCGCTCTCAATACTTCCAAGGTGAAGAGTCGCAAGGAAGTTTATAAGCTGCTCCGTGATTGGCGAGACTACGGCATGGAAGACGTGTACATGGATAAGAACAACAGCACAGTTCATGGTCGAGTGAGCGAGGCTAACTGTACGTTTCGAACACTAGCCCTATCTTGTTATTTATGAATACTGACCATCGTATAGTCCTTCGTCTTCGCGAGGTGGAATTTACTGCTGAGTTCTATACCGTGCTCGAACATGGTCGCCAAGCCAACCTCAGTCTGGTCCGTTTCAAACAGGAACGTGGCGCTGCGTCTTCATTCAACAAAGTCGTTGAGACTGTTCAGTCTATGCTGAAATCCCGAGGCATGCTTGTGGAAGACCCTGCTCGCGCCAAGAAAATGTCCCGTGTGCTGGACACGGTTCCTAATGCTTAATCATTGTCACAAAAGCTCCCCCTCTCCAGACCCATCCTCCACTTTCACTCTTATCCAACTCTTACGAAACATTATCCCCGACACTCGCTCAATATCCACTCTCTCACTCACCCTCTTGCGTTACAGCCAGCAAAACCACCCATTGCATTTTCTTCCTACCGTCTACACTCGCTTGCATCCAACCATCTACAAGGCTGTCCCATTGATAAGCCTCCCCCACTCGTTCATTACTGCACTCCGATGCTTGTTTCCTCCAATCCAATCTCCCTTTGTCTATCAGTTTCCCAACTTTATTATTTTTATTTTCTTTTTTTTCCCAAAAATATGAGTTCAACTTTGTTCTGCAACCCATCGCATGTCCATTCCCCTTGATCACTTTCCGCGTCGTCTTCTGCCATCGTGATTGGACTCTACTGTACCAAGGCGTAACTTGAACTAATACATAATCGAAGCGTGTGGGCGTGGGGTTGTGTGTATGTTAGTGGAAGAAATCAGACGTCTAGCTAGTTGAATTCTATTTAGTCAATCCTCCAGTCTAGTCCAGTCCAGTTCAGTCCAGTCCAGTCCAGTCTATGCATCACCTCCAACCATCGGCAGCTTCTCCGTCGGGTTTTTCTTTATCGGCGGGTTGGATGCTCCTAAAGGGTTTAGCGCCTCAGGGTGACCGGGAAGCCTACCGACGACCAACATCCACCGAGTACAATTAATGTTGCAGATGTGCAACTCACCTGTCCTACTCAGGGACCTGGATCTAAAAAAAGTGGATTCGGTCTATCTCCGGGGTAGAAATGACGGAGGAGGGGGGACTGCCAGCCCTGGTATCCCCGCTAAGATGTGCATCTTTGGAGGCGGATTGGAGTCATGCGCACGTCGCTTAGACCTCGACGTAAGGCACCTTCGAAAAACGCGCTAGAATTTGCGGCATGGTCGGCAAATCAGTTGACTCAAAAAGGTTAAACTTTGGAGAAGTAAATAGTCTCACATCACTTTCCCAGCCCTTTGTGTGCCATACAAAGACAGAGTCCAGGAAAAATGCGGGATGAAAAGATAGGATATCATCACCTTTCTATAATCGTTATAACAATTATGATTACTCCGTAGATAATAAAGAATCTCCTACTTCGTCATGCCCAGTGGCGATGTTTCCCTATCAAACAGGCTTATCTGGCCCAACCAAGGCTAAGCTGGCCAAGGCAAAGCAAAGTTGGCGGCTCCGGCTCCACCGGGCGAGATCCCCCCCGCATTTTCGCCAATTTGATATTTCGCTTCATTCATGCAAATGTCCCTCCTAACCTCCTCCAACTCGTTCCTTTCACACACATAATTCATCCTCATGGCAGGCAATGGGTCGCGAGTCACAAAACGTTCCTTGAACGCGTGGGTTTTCGCTTTCAGCCTTGCATCATAAGATTCTCTTGATCCTGACTCTGACCTTGTCTCTAGCTGCACCCGATGTCGCAGACAGAAAATCAAATGTTCGGGAACACAGCCGTGTGACGGTTGCAATAAGCGAAAATTAACCTGTATCTTTGATGATCGTGATCAAAAGATCCTGGTCACTCGAGGGTAAATGATTCCTGCAGCCCTGCCCGGCTCGCCTCCCCGCCACCATCATTTCTAGCCCCCAGGAGGCGCGATAAGAAGATACCTAGCTGAAACAAAGATACAGCTACATAGATGAATTGCATCAGAAAATTACTAGTCTGCAGCAGAATGGTGAACGCATTGATCCTAGTCCACTCAGCCCAGATTATGCAGAGGATAGGTCTCCCGGTTCGTACTTCCGTTGTTTCGCTCGTGCATTTCAATGCTCATGCATAGCAGATCTCAAACATGACTCGCCCCAATTGTCCCGCTCATCAGTTCACGACAATGAGGAATCTCATCAGTTACATCAAGAGATTGAAGATCCAGCTTCCGGGCTCACCAACCCGCTTTCTACAGGCCCTCCGGCCTTTATGTCCGCAGATAATGGGAGGACATGTACGTCGGAGAGCTACCCGCTAATAGCTACAACGATTCTAATCCCTTGGGAAGTCTATCTAGGAACTTCCTCGAACTGGTCATTCGCTCGTCGAGTACTGAGTCTCACTCACGAGCACATTTATCAAGAGGCATTGCCGACAGGGGCCTTGATATTTGATGGCGCAACTTACGATCTCGGATGGGATGGCCTACGAAGGAGCCACAGCACGACCGAACCCCCGGCGGTTCCCACTTATGATCATGCAATGTACCTGATCAATGTCGTCAAGTTCCGCTGCGGGCAGCTGTATCATCTATTCGACGAGAACGAGTTCATGGCTAACCTGCAGGAGTTCTACTCCGAGCCTAAACCTAACGCAACCGCCGGGTTGTGGTATGTTCATTTCCTTCTCATTCTGGCTTTCGGAAAAGGGTTTGTGAAGCACAAGGTTCAAGGAAACAGACCCCCTGGAGCGGACTACTTTGTCAAAGCGTTGGAAATGCTGCCGGACGTGATTGTTCTTCATGAGGAACCGATCGAGTCCACGGAAGTTATGTGCTGCATTGCACTTTATCTACAAGCATTGGATTGCAGGTCTTCAGCACACAACTATGTAAGTCAGAGACTTGCGGATTTCAATCTGGAATATACAGACTGACCCATCCTTCCGCAGATCGGACAGGCCATGCGAATGGCCATGGCGGAAGGAATGCACACGCAGATGCCGATCGAGTATCTCGGAGAGAACGTGGTTCAACGGTGTCGCAAGATCTGGTGGACAGTATACATCCTGGATCGCGAGATGACCTCGTTGATGGGTCTCCCCCAGACTCTGAACGACGACCAGATCAACACTCTCCTCCCAACATTCCCAGGTTCAATGCAGCGTACAGCTGCCATCGGAATGCACATCCGACTCTCTCGAATCATCGCTGAAATCAACGGCTGTAAGTAGTGAAGAAAAATCACCAACGGAAATCGCAAAGTCAAAGAACCCCTTCTCACAAACGCCCTTCTTCTTGCACAGCGGTATATGCCATAGACGGTCGCATTAATCGAAACTTCCTCCTACGCACAAAATCCGCCCTTGCAAATATCGCCAGTCTAGCCGATGAACTTCGACGAGCATTCCCACTGCAAATGGATCGCGAGATTAGCGGTGTCTCCAGAATTTCTGCATACCTTCACCTCCTCTACCACCAATGTATCGTCCTCGCAACCCGACCGCTCCTATTCTGCTTTCTGAAAATTCGCTTCGAGTCGCCTGAAAATTGCATCAAGGTGCTTAATACTTCCAGAACTGTTCGAAGTTTGATCCAAATGAGTATGGACTCTGCTCAGCAGATAATTTGCATCCTTCACAGTCTCCAGACCGAGGGCCTTCTGGGTAAGTTGAAAGAAAAAAGAGAAGAGAAGCTGCCTACCCCTACATCATATCACTATTTTCCGCACTGCAATAGGTCATCTAACGATATTTCCTCTCTATAGAAACATTCCTGTCCTTCGACCTCGAATCGATATTCGTCTCAACAGTCGTCCTACTAATGGGCCCAGCAATCGACATCCGCTGGACATACCCAATCTGGCTCGAAAAAGCCTACGCAATCTTCGAAGAAATAATCGAAAGCGGAAACCTACTCGCGAAATTCCGTCGTTCAGAACTCCACCTGCTGGACGAGTTATTAAGCTGCTTCCCACAAGAACATCCGCGATGTCTATCCGCGCCCGTCTCATTTCCGAACAATGTTCTCAATAACAATTCGCAAGTTTCCCTTGCTAGCTCATTCCCGCCGTCCGGACAAGCACAGGCTTCTGCTGCTGCTACTGCGCAGACACAACTCGAGCACGATATGCTGTCTGATCCCGGCGTTGGTGTGGGTGTTCCTGCTTTGGATGATCAGGAACTTGGATTTACGAATCGTTTGACTGCGGAGCAGATTATGGCTGTTGCGGATTCGATTGAGAGTATTGATACGGAGTGGATGTCTAATGCGATGATTGAGCATAGTATATGGTGAAGCTCGGGTTCTTTACGATGAGCAGGATCCCTCTTTTCCTATTTTCTTTTCTATTATGCGGCGGGGATGCATCGCGTGCCTTTGATGAATGAAGTTGGCTCAGACTACTTACTGGTATCCATGATGATTGATGTTGATGATGATGTACAATGAGCCCTTGAAATGAAATGACTAGACTTTTAGAGATGATTATTTAGATGGATTAAATTCTTTTTCAGCAGGGATAGCAGAATTAAGTACATGAACAGAATTTATGGCTAACTAATGTGATACGACATTAGATAACTAGAATTTTGAGTTATTCTAGTATGTTAAAGAGAAGAAGAAAATAATATCAAAACTCAGCATTCTCACTAATCCCTCCATAACAAACAGGACATATCCCTGCAACCTTATTATGCCCTGCCTCAAACCACCGCATAAGATCATGAAAGACCTTGGAACTGGGTACAAGAATCCTCGTCATGGGATTTATGCAATACTTTTGGTTTTGGCGGCCGACTCGGAAGCGAGACTCGGTACATTGCACGATATCTATGATGAAGAAATGACCACAACCACCTCTTCCGGTATGATCGAGGACTTTCAAGGAACACATGTATGGATAAGTGAAAATTGATAACCAAGACCCGATTTTTGAACCGATTGTTCAGTATTGATATTAGTCTTGCTTTGCTGTATCTTTTTTCTAGCAAGTTTCTAACATTGACGGCCGTCTTAGAGAGTGATACGAAGTTTTCGCGGAAGTGGTAAGATATTTGCTCTATGGAGGGGTTGCCTGATCTCGGAGATATTGAAATTCAGATTAATATGAGTGCATATTTAGAGTGAAGCTGGTTCTGCAATAACAGCGCAGACGCGGGTCGGTGCATGTTTAAAAATGACTGCTGATTTCTCGGAATCGAAAAAAAAATGTGCAAGTCAGATACTCATAGATCAAATATGAATAGTTTCATTTGGGACAAAAGTTTCTTTCTCCCAATCTATGAAATATAAAATAGAGTGGACTTGCGTGGCTCCTCAAATTCGATGCCATCCAATGGTGTCTCAAGTTGATTTGGAAACACCATGTTGATGTTTCATTCAAAATGAGACAATGCAAACGCAATATGAGAAGCAACAAACAAGCAATTCAATATACCAAAGGTACTCTAAAGAATCTGACTGACTCGACTCTCTTTCAGGTTCTTTTCTAGATCGTTGAATTTTTATTGTGTTTAGACAAAGAAAGAAATCATCTCGTGTGTCATCTGATTTACGATTGGTTTACCTTGAAACGCTCAGCTGAGGACTGTTTTAGACGTCAACAAAGAGCGCAATACCCTCATACCTGATACTTGTTCTACTGCTTATAGAGCTTTGTTAGGAACAAAAATATTTCTGAAACAAATTCGCAATATTATCATTGAAGATTCTAAAATTGATATGCAAAGATCTATAGCTTGGCCTTTGATGGCAAAATACTTGATAGCTCCTTCGATGATCCAAGACGCCAGCTCACATCGCCGCCCCAGTCACCCTTGCCCTCGTTGGAGGGTGGCTGCTTCCAGCGCCACCGGGCAACAGGTTGTTGACTACCCGGTGCCTCGAGCATATCCGTGAGGAATGTTCCAGCAATAGGGAACATTTTGAAAGCGTGACCCGAGTCACCGGACATAACGATGATGGAATCAGACATGTTGGGAATATAATCGACGATGAAATCAGAATCATTGGTATCAGCGAACCAGCAAAGAGATTTCTCGACGAAAGGCCTGTCCGCAAGAGAAGGCAGAGTCTGCTTTAGCAGTTGTCTCAACTGCTTTTCATCCTCCTCTGGCAAGAAAGCGCTCTCTTTAAGGGTATCAGGAGAGTGCGAGACCCCAGTTTTGGGATCAGTGTTGATATAACCACCACCCATAGGACACATCTTCAGCAGGTTTGTCTTTGGGTCCGGTTCGAAGAAGAATCCCAAATCACGCGCGTAGGTAACGGGGATTCCGCGAAGAGCAGACGTCTCCTCATCAGTGAGATGGACATGCGCAACAGACCACGACTTCGCAACGACCGTTTGTCCAAGTTGGGGCACCAGGCGACCAACAGCGGCGCCAGCAGCAACGATTACCAACGACGCAGGGTGGAAACGGCCATTCTTTGTGCGGATACCGGCGCACTTCTTGGCTGTGGCGGTGGAAACGTAAACAAGCTCATCTACTGCGCCATTTTGCTCTCCCAAAAAGAATCGCACACCGGCAGCCTGGGCGGCGCGGTATACACCAGCGAGAGCGGCGCCAGAATGCGCGTAGCCGTCGAAGCGATTGAAGTATCCGTTCCAGCCAGTCAAGGGGCCATCAAGCTGCCAACAAGCTTGTCGGACATCCTCCACATTATCTAAAGAAACGACGTGCGGCTTGATTTGCGCATCTCGCTCGGCAGATGCACGGAATCTGTTTAGAGTGTCGGTGGCTTGTTGCGGAGCTGCACCTGATACACAGTGCAGAAAACCGACTTGATGGAAGTACGGCGCGAAGAGGGGGGTTTTCCAAGCTTGAATAGCTCTCTCAAAAAATCCGTATAGTTAGAATCACAAGCTTTTTCGTCCCGTTGGAGTCATAGACATACAATTGTCAGATCTGTGTAGAATTGATCCTCGTACTCTGCCCGCACGATCTTGTTCAGGTCATTGGCGGCAGAGAAGCGCGGGGGGGATATGATCATCTTTCTCATAAACAGAAACATTGGAATATCCCTTTTTCACGAGTTGCAGCGCAGTTGAGAGACCAAAGGCACCGCCACCGACGATGATGATCTGGTCCGTCTTGGAAACGCCCATGATGGAGGCGATGCAAAAATAACTGATTCGCTATTCAAATTCTTCCGACAGCTGTCTTCGCCTATCATATATACCCCGCAGACCATCGTTTTCATAGTCCATAAACCGGCCTGTCATGCGACACCAGCGAGTTCGCTGTCAAGCGCGTGTTATCGGGCATCGGAAGGCCTACCGAGTGGAGTTGATGAGGGGGAGAATTAACATTTGTAACCAATAATCGCCACATCTCCACAGGGCGTCGGGGGGTCTTCCGAGGTCAAGCTACCCAGGTGGCAGAGCTTATCTGCATCAAAGCGGGGGAAATTGGGGGGCTAAGCTGGTGATTTTTTTCTTTCTTGGGATTGAATCTAGCTCACTCAAAGTATTCTCACCAATTCACAAACAACTAGACTGTTGCGACCATGGCCGAAGTCAAATTCACAACGCTCTGTCTCTTGGGATGTGGTGAGTACACGATTTCCATCTTCAATTGAAGTTTGGCTAACGAGGTTGCAGGAAATCTGGGCGGCGCAATCCTCGACAGTCTGCTCAATGCCACTGAAAAAGAGTCCCTCTTCACTAAATTCATCGCGTGCGTGCGAAGTCAGAGCTCAGAGGAAAAGCTGGCAGCGCGGTTCTCCCAGCATCTCGCTAAATTGACCATCAAGCGGGGAGACAACACTCAAGCCGTGCGCGAAGCCGATGTGATCATTCTGGGAGTTGACCCATCCGATATCGAGTCGGTCCTGTCGCAGCAATCCCTCCGCGAAGCATTGGGGAACAAACTTCTGATCAGCATCGCAGCTGGTTGGACCAGACGAAAGCTCGAGCAAACCATCTACGGCAGCGAGACTACCAATGCCAATAAATCCGACCGTGCTTGGGTGGTGCGAACTCTGCCGAATATCGCCGCGCAGGTGTCTCAGTCTCTCACGGCCATCGAGGTCTCAGAGCCTGCTCCACCTGCACACTACCTGACTGTCACAAATGAGATTTTTGAGCGGATCGGAAAAGCTGTTCAGATCGATCCGAGGTTGATGAATGCTACCACGGCCGTTGGGGGGATCGACACCGGCTATGTTTGCGGTTATTTGCGATGCAATGATTGATGCAGCTGTGGCTGTGGGCGTTCCTCGAGACCTGGCACATACAATGATCTTCCAGTCGATGCAAGGTACTGCGGCAATGCTTCAAAGTGGAATACACCCGGCTTTGCTGAAGGACCAAGGCACGTCTCCTGAGGGGTGTACGATTGGAGGTTTAATGGTGATGGAAGAGGCTGGAGTAAGAGGATCTGTGGGCCGGGCACTGCGAGAGGCTGTTACTTTGGCTCGTCTGATGGAGACGCAGGAGCATGTCAATGATACTCGACGTTAAGTTAGAATTAGAAGGATGTTGATGCTGTCCATGATGAATGCAATTTCCAGCATCTATGCTGAGACGAAACAAAAAAAAATCATGATGAAACCAAATAAAGATCATTAACACATGACACATATTTCTCTACTATTCTATTCTTCTCTCTCGTTATGAATTCAACTTCTCGTGAAACATTGATCGTAGCTCCATATTCGCAAGACAACCAAATCCAAACGCAGGTATAATCCGAATACAACGGGTAACAGTCGTAGAAGCCAAATACTGCTGTGAGCGCTTCACACGATCAACCAAAGGCACTGTATGCTGTCGCACATATAGATCCAAGCCTAATAAATGCAACGGAGTAGCCACTAATTGCGTCAAAACCGGCACGGTCAACTGTGTAATGACAGGCTTTGCATGTGGATGCGTCGTCAGAGAATCAGGAATGACCTCCGATAATTTAGGAGCGAGCGTAAAAGAACCGAAAATCGTAACGCTATCGCGCAAAAGAAAAATCGCCGTCGCAGCTCGAGCTACGGCGCGGTTTTGCACGATGGCTGGTCGTGCGACGTCGAGGGCTCCAGCTGCTGCCACAGGCGCGGCTCGAGTACCGAAGATTTTCGCAAATCGCATATCTTTCCATACGCCCATAGGGACATTTACCGCCGTCGTGGAAAGAAATGTAATCATGCCTGTTGATGAAGCGTTCATCGCATTACCAATGGTGTCTGTTCCGTTGGCGACGGTAAAGGTAGCTGCGTAAAGGGCCCAGATGATGCCAAAGGGTAATTGGAAGACGAATCGAGCAGGGTGCTTGAGTGCTGCTGTTGCATGATTGCGAAGACCGCGAAGGAGAGACTGGTTCAACAGGGATTTCTCGACCAGCGCTCTATACAACAATTAGAATTAATTGTAGACTACCTTGAAAATGCCACTCACCGATCGATAATTGTCACTGCAGGTGCTACTAAAGTCGCAGAAACAGTTGCAGCACCGATATCAGCTGTGAGCCGACCTAATAATGATCGGTCCCATTTATTTTGGTGCTTATTCGACCTCTGTTCCATCGCTAGGTCGCCCATCATTCCATCATGAATCAATCAAACCTACTAGAATGGAATGGCGGGGGAAGGAAACCAACCTTTCCTTCTATCACCTGAATGAAAAAGTCGGTCCGCCTGACCGGTGGTTTCTTTTACTCGATTCTACCTTTGCTTATCGCATTGTTTAATGTGGGGAAACCAGGTCTAAGTGGCCATCGGGTTCTCGTCCCGATGCTGCACACGCCGCATCGCATCAACGCCGACTCCACTTCGTCATAGCTCCAGTCTATTCCAATCTACTCCAGCCCCGTTTATCGCGGGGTAGCTTGCTGTTTGCCATCGGCCATGCTCCCGATGAGAAAAAAAAAGGATTGCTGGAAATGCTGTGAATGCGTCTTAATAAAGATCGCTTGGTCGCCAATATGTTGCCTCTCGTTCAGTTCTCCTTCACACAGCCGTCATGTCCTCCTCTACTCTCATGAACATGCGCACTGCGCGATCCTTTGCTCCTCATCTCCGTCTGAACCCTGCTCGTCCTTTGGTTCAGATCCGAGGCAAGGCCACTACTCCCTTCCGTCTTCCTGACCCTCGCAATGAGCCCAACGTGAGCATATCATCCCAAAACTTCAATTAAACAATTGCAAGTGCCACCAACTAACATGTTCATTGCTAGCCACTTTACAAGAGAGGCTCTGAAGAGCGCACCAAGCTAGAGGAAGCTCTGGTCAAGCTCCGATCTCAACTTCCTGTTCAGAGCAGCGTTTTCTACAACGGCCAGGCACAAAAGTCTGCTCAATCGTGGGACCAACCTCTCCCCGCGGAGCACCAGACTACTTTCACCAACTACCCTCTGGCTACCAAGGAGCAGACCAAGGCTGCTATTGATGCTGCTCTGGGAGCCAAGCAGTCTTGGCAGGATACTCCCTTCGTCGACCGGGCTGCCATCTTCTTGAAGGCGGCTGAGTTGGTGACTGGCAAGTACCGTTATGACCTGATTGCTGCCACCATGCTGGGCCAGGGTAAGAACATCTGGCAGGGTGAGATTGATGCCGCTGCTGAGCTGGCGGACTTCTTCCGTCTCAACTGCAACTACGCCGCGGAGATTCTCGAGAGACAGCCTACTCGTGGCAGCAATGGCATGTGGAGGTGAGATTAAGCTACTCAACTATTTTTATTGTATAGGATTAGAGCTAACCTTTGGAACTATAGCCGTCTCGACTACCGTCCTCTCGAGGGCTTCGTCTACTCCATCTCCCCATTCAACTTCACCGCATTGGGTGGTAACCTGATCTCAGCACCTGCTCTCATGGGTAATGTTGTTATCTGGAAGCCCTCTCCCTCCAACGTCTACGCCAGTCAGCTCGTCTACAACATTCTTCTGGAAGCCGGTCTGCCAAAGAATGTCATTCAATTCGTGACCGGTGACCCCGAGACCATCACCGACGTTGCTCTCTCCCACCGCGACTTCGCCGGTCTGAACTTCATTGGATCATCCGACGTCTTCCGCTCTCTGTACGGCCGTATCGGTCAGGGTATCGCCAACAAGACATACCGCGAGTTCCCCCCGCGTCGTGGCGGAGACCAGCGGCAAGAATTTCCATCTCATCCACCCAACCGCCGACATTTCCAGCGCCGTGAACCACACCATCCGCGGCTCCTTTGAGTACCAGGGCCAGAAGTGCTCCGCCACCTCGCGCGTGTACCTGCCCGAGTCCCGAGCCGAGGAGTTCCTCACTGGCCTCAAGGCCGGCGTCAAGGAAATCACCATGGGTAACCCAGACAAGGACCTTGAGGCATTCATGGGCCCTGTCATCCACGGCCGCTCCTTCGAGAAGATCAAGTCTATCATTGACCGCAGCAACAAGGATCCCTCCGTCAAGCTGATTGCCGGTGGTGACTACGATGGCTCTGTCGGATACTACATCAACCCAACCGTCTACCAGGTCGACACACCCGACCACCAGCTCTTCAACGAGGAGATCTTCGGACCCGTTCTCGCTGTCTACGTCTACCCCGACGCCGAGTGGTCTTCCACCTTGAAGAAGGTCGACGAGGCCGGTGGCGGTCTCGCCCTGACCGGCGCTGTCTTCGCTCAGGATCGCACTGCCATCCGTGAGGCTGAGGACGCTCTCCGCTACTCCGCTGGCAACTTCTACATCAACTGCAAGACCACTGCTGCTCTCATTGGCCAGCAGTCCTTCGGCGGTGCCCGTGCCAGTGGTACCAACGATAAGGCTGGTAGCTCCGATGTGCTGCGCCGCTTCACCAGCCCCCGTCTGATTAAGGAGGAGTTCTTCCCCCAGAGTGGATTCACTTATCCCAGCAACCACAGCATCCACTAGATTATGATGAGTTATGATGTTGAAGCGTGTGCATGTTCGACTGTATAGTTTGAAGCCCGTACTAGATTTTCTTTGGAGTTAGTTCAAAACTGCAATTTATAATTATTACCAGTGAATTTTGGACGAAGTAGGCATTGGGCGTAACGAATGAATTGCCTCGAATAAAGATAGTAGGAGAACCTAATGGTGAATGTATTCGACAATTAATTCTATAATTAGACGAAAATTCACCTACTTCAAATCTCACCTTGAAGAATCCCCACTAAATAGTACAAGCTACAAGCAGTAACTATAAGCTATATCCCACCACCACCACCACCACCATAAGCCGATTACCCCAAAGCAACCCCATTAACAACAAAATCCCAATCAATTACTTCACACTCTTACAATCAATTCATTGACCTTCACCGTACCCCTCCAACCCCCACCAATCCAACCCCCTCGCTTATCATCCCAAAACGGCAACGCATCCCCCCCAAGCTCCCCGCCCCGCCAATCTCAAATCATCCGGGGAACACAAACCCGCCACACCCAACTTTGGATCACAAACCCGACATCTGCAAAGTCAGTTTTCAGTCTACGTGTATCCACTCGGTAGCCCTCCCGTAGGTCACCAGATGAGACGATAATTCTGCAACCCAACCTAAACTTGAATACAACCCAGCTTATCGTACCCTTGGCAGTAGATTGTGTGCGATACAGATAGGGAGCGAGGGGGGTCTGATGTTGAATTTTGGTGTAACTACTACTAGTAATGCAAGGATGGGGAAAGGGCCGGACTTTGAGTGGATGTAAGTGTCAATGAGAATGGGATGCTTTTTGGGATCTCAATTTTGGATATCGATTTGTGGGTGAATAAGTTGGGGTTGATTGACTAGTATACTCCAGACAGCTCGGTAGAGATTTCTATTGAGAGAACTAATAGAAAGAACTGATATTCGACTCGGACTTCGAGTTGTGGGTTTAGGACAAACATTCAGATCTAGCTAGGACTTAGGGCTGCCTACTACGAGTAGGTAAAAGGAGAGCTGTAAAAAGCAGTTTACATTACAATGAAAACAACTTCCAAGGTCGAATAACAAGATTGCATTGCGCCCGGAGTAGACATCAAAACTTGAACATATCATTGATCTCATGAATACGATCTGAAAATTTCGTAAAATCTATCCCATCCCATCCCCAAGTCTAACCTAGCAGGCAAGATATGCCATATCATTCAATTCCATGCCATCTTATTTCGAGAAAGAAAACATTCCCCTAACTCTCCTTCCAAACTCCCCCTTCAAAGCATTATACTCATCACTCGTCCGCAAAACAGCATCCCGATTCTCAATCGCCCTCCGCAAAAGATAAGCCAGACACTCTCCCATCCCACCCCAAGTAGAGCACTTATAAACCTCGGGACTCCCATCCGACCCCTTAAGCTGAAGCAACGAGAAACTAACCTCATCCGACATTCCATGCAACTGAGCAAATCCCACCGGCACAGTCGGCAGACCCGCCGCAGTGCGCTGCTTGTGCAACTGGTGCGCCGCCATGACACTTTCGCGATTATGGCTTGCGAGAAACAAATTAACGGACGGCCAGGCCTTGACGGAGCCAAATTCGCCGATATTTTGCTTCAGCGCGCCCGTTGTGATGGAATTGTATGCGTTATCGGTATCTTCTTTCGTGTCGTGGATAAGAGAGCGTTGATCCGAGGCAATATATGCGCCGCGAACGAGTTTCAGACCCAGTGTAAATCCTTCATTTTGGGCCGCGGCCAGGTGCTTGGCTAGTGTGTCGGAGGTGCTTTTGAGATAGGCTTGGTAAGTGTTGTAAACGAGAGCGTAGCCGTTGCGGTTGAATTTACGCATTAGGTCGAGTGTCATTCGCAGGATGCCCCATTGAAAATGTTGGGACTCGGCGTCGACGAGAATACGGACGTTGCGCTCTTCGCATTTTGTGCAGACTTCATCCATGGCGTCGAGCATTTGTTGTGGGGGGAGGTCGCCAACTGAGAAGGCTTTTGTAACTTGAGGTCCAGCCCCGGTAAGTTTGACAGCCAGGTAGTCACCATCTTCCAATTGTTCGACAGTCTCAATTGTGCCTTTCCGCCAGGCCTCGATATTGGCGCAGCGAGCTAGCGCCGGGTCCAAAGTTTTGCCCTTCTGCTGTGCTTCCAGGGCGGCGACTCCGAGACCCTGCTCGGAGCCGGTGCTGTGATCGAAGACGGTCTCCTTTGCGTATGTCATAATCACACCGCGAAAACCCATGTCTTTCAATTGTCTAATGGTGGCCTTTGTCTCGGCGCCATTCTCGCCCGCACAGAATTGCTCGTAGAAAGTCTTCTTCAGAAGGCCGTGGAGGATGGGGTTGCGGTCCACATTCAGCAAGAAGCCCCGGTTAGGTTTGGAAAGGATAGACATGGCCCATAGGGAGGGGCGGAGAAGGAGGGGCTTAGATGAGATGGCGGAGACCAGAAGAGATCGAAGAAGAACCCAATTAGGAACGACGGAGAGAGGAGGAGGAAGGGGGCCTTGAGTAGCAGCAGCCTCGCCATGGACTTGCAATATCGAGGCTGGTCGACGCTGCGAGGATGAAGCAAAACGCCTTTGCTGTTTAGGACCCTTTGATACCTGTTTGGAGAGTATAACGCATCGCGCAACGAGGATCTCGCCCGCACGAGGGCCCGGAGGCATTCCAGCCAGCCAGAGAGTCATTGCTTAGAAGATAGCTGTGTGGGATTGGAATTGATATTTGTGATTTTTCCCTAGCAAGTCTGGAAGATATGGTGCTTGTGGCAAGTCGTGACCAGTTTATTTATCGTTTCTACCCCGCCTATCCAGCTTCCCCGCGGTCCCATATCCAGATGATCTCGTTATCTGAGAGCATGGATTCGGGTGCGTGTCCGACAGAGCTATAGCACGCGGAGGACCCATACGGGAGCAGACCACGGGCAGCAGGACCGGGTCAGCGTAGGGTTTGGTAACCGAAAGCGGCAGTGTACCAGAGTTGATGCATTCCATTGATAATGGTTTGATAAGGGAATGCTTGTTTGGAGCTGAGTCGATGTATGGCCGGGAGGGCGGCCGGTGGAGGGTGGCGGACCAGAACCGGCCATCCTGCCGGTATGGCTGGGCGAGTCACGCGGGTGCTCGAGATACGAAATACATGAGTTGCACAAAGTGCATGATTGAAGTCAATTGCGAATCTCATTTAAAAGTATGGTGGAGGACGGGACACTGGCGGTGGTGCTCCTGTAGGCGTAGGGTGAGTGTGGGTGTGAGTGGGAGCTACCAGTGGTATGTCCAAGGCAATCCAACGAGGCCGGGTCGATGTCTGTTATGATTCATCCCAGTTTACAATCAAAGGGGGAAGTGTTGAAAGTGTCCCAGGGGTTGCCAATGATTATCGTGCTCATGATGTTCATAGTGGTGGCTAAGGTGAAATGATGTGATGTGATAGGAGTACTAGGTAAAGGTCACGGGGGTAGGTGAATGGTGAATGTCGGGAATCGATCGGGATCGTCGGGAATGAATCGGGAATCGAGTCCCGATGAGAGCCTGAGGCACGAATCTTGGCACTTCCCGCATAGGAAGGCAAGGATGATCAATCGTACCACGTGACCTGACATCATTGGGCTGAGTCATCCCCCACCTCGGTGATTCCTAAAATATCAGGCACTCAGGCACTTCTCAGGCACTTCTCAGGCACGGCAACCAGTCAAATCCAGTCAAATCCCGCTAACCGCGGGCAAATCAGCAAATCAGCAAATCAGCCCAGCAAATCCAAACTGCCCCGCTGATTAACGTTCTCGCTCGGTCTTCTTGCTAATCCATACGGTTCGGTATCTTTCTGCTTCGGATCACCTCATGGAGAAGGGCCATTGTTCCACCATTCGCCACGTTCAGTGGATGCCCTGTCCCGATGGGCCGATATGTGTAATCTACTATCTCCTTAGTTACTAACCAGTGGCGGGTCCCATATGTCTCCATATTAATATCTATCTCCTCTCCTCCTCCCTCGCCAATCTCTTCCCTTTCCTCTCCCCTCTCCAACTTTACTACTTCCATCCCCCAACTTCATTCCCCCTTCACTCTCCCTCCCAAACTATACAACATGTCTCTCCAGGCCGGCTCCAGCTTCCCCGAGGATGTTAAGTTCTCGTACGTGAAAAATTTCCCCCACCTCCCTGCCACATTACAAAACAGCATCAATTGGGTGCCATACACACACGGCAAGACCTTTACTTTTCTGTTCTTAGCTAACTCTCTTCCAGTTACATCCCCTGGGCTGAGGACTCCAGCGAGATCACCTCTTGCGGTATCCCCATCAACTACAACGCCTCCAAGGAGTTCGCCAACAAGAAGGTTATCCTCTTCGCTCTGCCTGGTATGTGTCACCGCCACTTCATGCACTCTTTTCTCTCCCACCCCCCAGAGAGAAGAGAAAAATTGAATCCCTCTCCCCACTCTTCCCTCCACCAAGGTTCTCTCTCGCTGACCGCCACTCTCTCCACAGGTGCTTTCACCCCCGTCTGCTCCGCCAACCACGTCCCCGAGTACATCCAGAAGCTCCCCGAGCTCCGCTCCAAGGGCGTCGACCAGGTCGCCGTTCTGGCTTACAACGATGCCTACGTCATGAGCGCCTGGGGCAAGGCCAACGGCGTCACCGGCGACGACATTGTGAGTCTCCCTCACCCTCCAAAAAAAAACAGCATACCCAACACAAGTAAACGGCCAACCCCGCTAACACTTCTCCCAGCTCTTCCTCTCCGACCCCGAGGCCAAGTTCTCCAAGTCCATCGGCTGGGCTGACGAGGAGGGCCGTACCTACCGCTACATCCTGATCATCGACAACGGCAAGGTCACCTACGCTGCCAAGGAGCCCGCGAAGAACCACCTCGAGTTCTCCAGCGTTGCCAACGCCCTCAAGCAGCTGTAAATTCAGCCTGCAAAGAAAGCGTCAGGCGTATGCTAGGTGCCGATGCGGTCGGTCGCCTACTATGAGTACGAAGCGTGAACTAGATATGGGTCTTAGACGGGCGAGGGCGAATTGTTGAGGCTCGACCGGACTGAACGGTTGAATATAGATTAGTGTCTTTGCTGCCTCTTGCTTTCTGCTTTGTTCTATTTCTTTTCAATAGAGGGATACCATCCTAATGAAGCTATGATCAATTCTTCAAGTCCTTTCCTCCCTAGTTACGTACCGCGCCTTAAAAATAAACTTGGAAATATCCATGGATGTATCTCCATCTCCTTACAATACAAACTTCTATGTTAGTGGGTTAATGGCCACTTAAGTAGGCAGATCAAGTAGATCACCAGGCTTGAAGTAGATCAGATCAGATAAAGTCTCTCGGCCGACTGACTTTGCATTTGCTTTCGCCTAGTGCCTGATTTCCCCCACCCTTGATTGGTCGCGGCGTTTGATCCGGGGAGGCCAATGCTTAATTCATCTTGTTAAGGGGTTTCGTTTGCGCAGGCACCCCTTCGCTCCGATGCTTAATTTCCACCATGCGATGCGACATCCGCTTATTTTGGATTTGTTTAAGACGTGCTTGATTTGGTAAATATACTATGTAGTATCTATCTGCTAATAATCTTGTACTCCAGGGCTATTAGTACTAGTAGTAGTAGTGCTTGCGTATATATATATGCTAGTGTAGCATGTAGCCAGCCCGGGAGGTAGTAGATTACCCGGAGAACCAGTAAGCACCAATAAAATAGGCATACATTGAAGTGGTATCTGAACAATTAAAACAAGTCATAAGTACAAGTACGTAGTGGATATCAACGCGAAGGGGGAAAAAAAAGCAAAAAACAAAATCCCGGAACCAACGCCCTCCATCCTATCCACCCATTACTTCCACTTCCCCTTTGGCAGAGCAATAGCAACAGACCGATTCTTCTTCCGATCATCCTTATGTCTACCAAGACCCTGGCTAAGACCCCCACCCATCCCCCGAGCAAGCGACGCAAAAGGCGAAGCAGTCTGCCAAACATCCAAATCATCATGATTCTGACCGACGCCTCCCTTCGCCGTTGTAGGCGTCGTAGTCCCGCTCGACTCCGGGCCCGCGGCCCCGGGTTCGGACTGGCGGCGGCGGTGACGCGACTGTTTCTCGTGCGAGGCTGTGCGGTGTGGTCCCGCGTGTGTTTCTTTGGCGCGTGGTGAGACACCTGCTGATGCGGAAACGGGTGGTTGCCAGGGTGGCATGGGGACTTGGGCTACGATGTGTTCGGAGCAGAAGCAGCCGCAGCCCGTGGGACAGGACGGAGGGAGAGATGGATTAGTCGACGATGTGTCAGAGTCGCGGGCTTTGCGCGAATGGGAATGGTCATGGTGGTCGGGGTGGCTGCTATTGTCGCTGTGAAGGAACCACCGGTTGTGACACTCGAAGCAACTGACATGCCCGCAGCTCAGGCAAGGAATCAACATGCCTTCCACTGCTTCGGCACAGATCACACAGGGCAACTTTGTAGGGAGAGGTTGGCGCGGCTTGCAGTTCGGACATCGCTGGGATGGTTTGTTGCGAGTGCGTTTGGACGGAGTGTCGGGAACGACTGGGCCTGGTGCGAATATGGATATTTGTAAAGCGTGGCCACAATTGGCGCAGTGACGTTGGAAATCGAGGCCCTCGAAGCCTGACGTATTTGGGCCGCCCGTTATCGGTTCTTGGAAAGACGTCATTTTCGAACTGTGGCTGCCCCAGTACTGGCTTGTTTGCATGGTCTCCGCGTCGTCGGAGACCGCTCCGATCTTGAGGACTTCGCTTTGTTGGACTGGGAGATCCCATATCGATAAAAGGTCCGCGTAGGCGCCTCGGTAGGATCTGTATAGCCATTCTTTGCTACGGTCGAGCAGGGAATCCGGCGCGGAATCATCGTCGCCATTGAAGGCACTTTTGTTCTTAAATGTTACTTTGAATCGTGCTGGCGGTTTGGCGGGCTGCGGTAGGCGGTCACTTTCGGTATCTGATTGGGTCTTCTCGGTGCCCGGCGTGTAGGCATCGGGTACAGGGGTGCTTTTGTCGCTGGACAGACCTGAAGAGCGACCCAGCTGCTCTAAATTGGGCTTCTTCTTGTTCAAGGTATGAGGTGGCGGTGATGCTGAAGACGGTCCAAATGTGAACGACCGGGAGAGCGAAGATGCTAATACCGACCCAAAACCAGAACCACTGCGCACTTGAGATTGCTCGGGCGAGGCAGCGATCGAGACATTGTGACTGGCTGCAGTCTTTCGATCGGCAGCGATTCCACGCGGCCGAGAAACAATGGGAGGGGTGGTTCCCGTCGAGTAAGGAGGCGTCGAGTCGAGACGCCAGATTTCGCTCGATGAGCGGGCAGATGTACGAGGCGGGATGGACTGCGGCTCCCTTGGGACTGACGAAGCGGGCGTGGTCAATTGTGACTTGTTTTGTACCGTAGACGCAACTGACGAGAATTCGAGAGGAGGTGCTGGCTGTCCCGGCTGAGGTTCTAGTGTCTTCTGAGGCTTTCCCTCGTGGTTGGCCTCTAAAAGCACACAGGAAAGCATCGCAACCATCTGTACGTCGCCGATTCGCTCGAAGTGGTCGAAAAGAGCTGGAACAAGCCAGTGACTCCCCATGGGATGGTCTCCCCACCGAATAACGCTACCGGCTAGGTCTCTGTAAAGTTTGCTGCTTTCTAGCAAATTATTTGCATTCGTATCATTTCCGCGCAAAGCACGCCTCAATCCTGTTCTTAAGTCGAGAGGCGAGCCAGGCTTTCGCCGAACGTGTAAGATCAACTTGATCAGACCCCAAATTTGGGCCAACTCGTAGCACCCTGCGTCCAGGGCTACGGCAGCATTGTGAGAGCAGACATCCGTCCCTTTGCCGCAGATGCGATATTTGCTGGCAAGCTGTCGTTTGACCGGGAGCATATCACTGAGGTCATGGATAGAGATCACATTCCTGGCTACATCGGATGATTTCGCGGTCGCAGCCCCTCCGATTGATCTTTGGGAATGATCCGTAGATCGTGGTCGATAAATGCCGATGCTGCCAGAACTGCGCCATGTTTGTGGTGGTTGGAATCGCGTCGTGGGTAAACCGGAGATCATGTCAGACGATGAACCTGACGAGCTAGAAGCGTCCGAGTATGAATCGTCAGAATAATCCGATGCCCCATCATCTGTACTTGCGATCGTCCCATTTGTGCGAGGTCCCGGGGAGCTTGTCTGCAGGCGCCCGAAGCCTTCAAAGACCTTGTCTGTTCTCGATAATCTGCTCATCTCTTTGAAACCAATATTGTCGAACAGCTCTGTTGACTTATCTTTCTTCGGTGGGAAGAAGCAAATCAAGCGGCCGTCATTCGCCCAAAGTGCACCACATGCTTTGGCAACTGGTACCATTACATTGGCGTTCACGGGACGAAGCAGCTCGGAGCTCATCCCCAGCTCTTGACTTTGTGTCATTCCAACTTCGTCTTCGTCACTTGACTCGCCTTCTAACTCGCCGTTAACCGGTGACTTGACATTTTCACCGGTTTCGCCCAGGATCCAAGCGATACTCTCTTCCAGAGTGCTCTCCCCAAGAAGGTATCGAACGGCACCCTCCAAACATCCCCGCTTCCGGGACATGTATGTTTCAGCGATCGTTCGAAGTTCGGCAGTGAGTTTGCCGGACAGAACATCGGTAACGGCAGTGGTCTTTTGGCAGGAGAACGTCGGAATAGCAGACTTCGGGTAGCTAACAGGAAACTTGATATCCACTTTCAAGAAAAGTGAATCGCCTTCCGCACCCCAAGGACCATTCAGAGAGATAGAGATTTTCCTTTGCCGTACATCAACCGATTCGAAGGCAACTTTCGTGAACTTCTCGCCCACGTGACTAATCTCATCACCGAGAGTCTCAATATCCCAACCGGAGATCTTAACTCCACGCATCCAAGCGATGGGATTGGTATCGGCCCTCAAGTTCGACCGCGGTTTCATGCCCATATGATTGTCAACACGGGGGGTATAGCCACGGGCATGGGGTACGGAAATAGCATTCATGCCAGGTCCACCAGGATAGCCTGTGCTCGAATTATGGTGCATGACCGAAGAAGCAGACTCAATGTCCTCGACATCTAAATCTGAGTTGACATCTCTGAAGCTTCGATAGACGGCCCCCAGTCGGGTCACGTTTCGAGTAGATATGTATGATTTGCCTTTCTCATATCCAACTCGTTCCAGAATTTCGGGATCGACTCGGTGCAGACGAAGTTCACGGTCGGTTCCCCATGTCACCAGCTGAAACTCGCGGTTATCGATTCCATCCGTCACACCTCCGCGTGGCCTCCATAAAAACTCTTTCACTTGGCCTTTGTGTCCCGGGAAGCTATGCACCAAAGGTAGATCGTCATCAGGATTGGCGCCATCGCCAGCCCTACGACTGTATAGATGGAGGTCACCATTTCCTCTCTGGGGCATTGCCAGGACACCCCATCCGAAAGGTGTATTTCTGGCCCTCCACACAGGGAATGGGGTTTTGATCATTTTCTCCGGTACGTCTGTATCCGAGGTATAGTCCCAGAACTTGACGGTCCTGTCGAGGGAACAAGTGGCCAAAGCGCCTCGTCGAACACGATTCCAATCGACTCCATAAATCTTGGTATCATGCGCCTCGATAGATCGAATCGGATAAGCACCCATACGGTCATCCCAGATCCGGAGAAATCGGTCATGAGAACTGGCGATGACATGGGGATCCTGTCGGTTCCACTTTACTTGGGTGGCACCGGTAAACCAATCCGAGAACGAGATAGCGGGACGCGAAGGCGTTCGCAAGTCCCAGCAGTGTATAAAGCTGTCGACAGAGCAGGTCGCAAGAAGGTCTGGATGAAAAGCGGAGAAGTTGACATCGGTGATGGCGCGCGAATGGGCATGCAGCACATGTTCAATTGAGTTCTGCCAGGACTTCATCGCCAGGTTCCAGACCAGAGCTTTCTGGTTGGATGTACTCACAACCCATTGGTCACGAGATGCGAATGGCGACCATTGTACATCGGCGACCTCCCAAGGTGTGTGATGGGGAAGATAGCGGGGTGGAGAATAGGGCGAATCGAGGTCAATGACGTGCAAGCCCTCCTTAGAAGCCAGCACGACATCTCGCCCACAGGGCGAGATTGACATAGCCCCAACAGGTTGTTCGACATGGAAGGAGCTGTTCTCATCGAAGGTCGGACTCTCAAAGGCCGATATGAGCGGCCGCGGCTCCATAGAGCTCGACATCGTAGCTATGATTAGCCTCGTCGGGGGGCCAATCGAGCCGATGGAAGAGACGCGGGGTCACAGTGCTATGGGTAATGGTGCATCACATGAGTTGCAGTTAGTCGCATGGCGTATATAAGTGCACGAGGTGGTTGACAGTGGTCGAGCCAGGATCAAGCAGATCGGACCTCGCGTGCCTCAGCGGAGTTGGAGATAACGCGGAGAGGAGCAACGGTTGTGGCTGAACCCGTGGCGGTGCTGCATGTGACCTCCGCCAAAGCCCCGCGGTGCAGCCCCTCCGCTCCCGCCGCGTTTACCTCTGCCTTTGCCTTTGCCTTGCCTTGTCCCTTGTCCCCATTACCTTACATTCGTTGCGCATCACTTGCTCTCCACATTTCTCCTCTGTGAATCTATTCATTGGCCACCTTGCTGCACCCTCTTACCTTACTCTCCGACGATAAGCGTTCGATATGGCATTGCCAAAGCGCATCATCAAGGAAACGGAGCGCCTGATGGCGGAGCCGTACGACATACCCTATCCACTTTGTTTTGATGATCACTTTGACTGATTAGACTTTTTTTGGGCCTTCCAGGGTTCCTGGCATTAACGCCGTTCCTCACGACGATAACCTGCGATACTTCGATGTTTCCATCCATGGACCGGCACAGTCCCCATATGAGGGTAAATATCTCGATCCTCTCTGCGTACGCCTCTGCGGGCTTTGAACGACCACTAAAATGAACTTCAACAGGTGGAATCTTCCGTCTTGAACTCTTCCTTCCCGATGACTACCCCATGACCCCGCCCAAGATCCGCTTCCTCACCAAGATCTACCACCCCAACATCGATCGTCTCGGCCGCATTTGTCTGGATGTCCTGAAGAGTGAGTGAAAGATACTGCGGAACATTCACCAGGCCTACCTATCATGTACTAACCTCAATTCAGACAACTGGTCTCCGGCCCTTCAGATCCGCACGATCCTGCTCTCCATCCAGGCCCTCCTCGGTGCTCCCAACCCCGACGATCCCCTCGCAAACGACGTTGCCCAACGCTGGAAGGATGATGAGCCCGCAGCAATTCAAACAGCGAAGGAATGGACCCGCACTCATGCTATGACCTGAATGTACCAAATTGTGATGTGACCATGAAAAAAAGAATAAGCAAAAGGGCGACGATTATGCTTCTGGTGTAGGCCAGATACCAATTCTTTTACTGCTAGTCGGTGCTGTATCTGATTAGGCGCGAAACCTTTGTCCGCACTCCTCATCCTGTCTGAAATTTTGAATTGCTTCTTTCGGAAAGCGTTGCATAGAATCCAATACGTTGAGTGGAGTTTCACTGTTACGGTCTCCTTGAATAATATGATACGCTCTATACAATCGACACGTTACTCCGCCGTTCTCCAAAACCAGGAAATATTGAATAGCCTATGGGCCCTTTGAAAAGGCGCCATCCGAAATTTGCGAGCGAAGAAGGTGACGATGTTGCGTTCGTCAAATGTCGAACTATTGCATTGACTTGCTCAAGTCAGCCCATATTGAAAAATATGCATTTAAACTGTGTCTCGTTTGTTCCAAAGTCATACAATTTGATAATTTCTGAGCCCTCTATGGATCTATGAATTTATCGCATCGTCGAGCTATTACTGTCAAATCCCAGTTGCCACTCTAGAGACACCCGTATCTGTCATGTCGCGATTAAGACTGGCCATAAGCTCATGCCTATTAAGTACCCCTTCCTACGTCGAGTTAAACTATTTACTTGATATAAAATAGACTCGGAGTAGCCATTTAGTAGCAAGTTATTTGCTCGGAGCTAGCCAGTACTCATGGAAGAAGCTATCTACTAATTAGAAGTTTCATAAAAGAGCGATATAGACATTCCATTCAACACCAAAGAGCCAAGTTTCTTGAATGACATATGAGAGAAGCCATGAAAACACGCATTACCAAGTACGAACCATGATGCAAATGTCCCGCATATCTAATGCTTATTTAAATTCCGCAACCCTCCAAAACAGAACCCTGGCCGATCACAGTATAACCCCGTCAGGACCTTCAAACTAAAGGTGAATGTCAGTGCCGGGATCCTCCAGATACTCCGCAGTGCCAAGTTCAACCAAGCCATCGTTGACTAATGTGTCGCCGTCAAGGCCCAAAGAAGAGACGTGAATAGCGACGGCCCATGTCGAACTCGAGTCGAGACTATCCTCGATATTCGCGCTGCGAGTTCGCTCTGAAGCTAACTCGGAATCGCGCTTCACCCAGTTGAAGAAACAACATTCGCAATGCGTCGATTCAGGTTCTCTCCGAGTCTGTGGCTCGTCCTGATTCTGGTACGAGGGTTGGGATGGAATGTTTTCGTTCCCCTGGGTTTCAAAGGATTCCGTTGGTTTTTGGGGATAGCCGCCGGGGGCGAGGAAGGGGGACTGTAGCCAACATACCCGGGTATAAACGTAATGAAGAAATGCGAATTCGATCATAGAAAGCCCGATCAGAATCTCCATGAAACTGTCGTGGCTATATATTGGGGATCGGTAGATATTTTCCAGGAACCGAATCAGCCAGAGTTTGTATGTAGCAAGAAGAGTAATGTAAGCTATAATGGCAAATGTCATGTCGGCAGAGGGTCTATTCGACTTTGGGGTAATATCTAGTTCACGAAAAGTATTGATATTGGGGAGGATGTTTAGAAGAGAGAATATGGTGATGCTTTTGGGGACTTCGAGGGTCTATTTATCTGAACTTTTTAGAAGGAGCGTTCAAGCTCCGCGGCCTAATTAAGCATTCATCTGAATTTGAATCCTTGGGAAGGAGTGTCCCACTATCTAATCAGGCAAGAATGCTTCTTTTCTTGTCTTATAATAGAGACTGAACTTGTTTGGTATCAATTAAAATTCTATTTGGTTCCAGCTCAGTCTCAATACATAGATAGAGGTGACGCCATGAGTCGAAGCACTCTGTAGTTACTTAAGTTTATCTCCTGCTATCTTTGCTGTTATATTCAAATCAAGCTTTGCAAAGATATACACATGTGTTCTTTGGATCCACTTTAGGCCTCTGAATGGAAGCATTAAGTAGAATGAGTTGTGGAGTCCATATCTTGAGATTCGTAGAGGTATCCTAGGATGATCAAGTCCCATACTAGTGCATTCCATTTTTACCAATGTCAAAATATGCCAGTCTGATCCGAACAGCGCATGGAGTATTTAAGACTCGCTAGGGCAAGGCTTAAGGAATATTCTTCAGGAATTCCTCGGTGTCTTTATGTTCAGATACGGCATCCATCATCCGAAAAGATATATGTTTCCCGGCGGTAGTATCGTTGAGATTCGACAAGTGGAAAAGAATTGCACCAATAACTGGGCAAAGCCAAAATATAATAGTAAGTCCAAGGCCGATTACAACCCACACTTCTGATGCTAAGCTATGCATGACTTTCGTGAACTTGAAACTTGAATAGGTTGATGTCAAGATCTTTGAATGTGAATATCGGTTTTGGACGATAGTCTGAAAGTTCAGAATGTTGGAAATTGTCAGAAAGCAAATTCCATATCTATCTCCGTAGCCAACTAGACCAACTAGACCAAATACACTGAATGATGTCTACGAATTCATACTAGTAGCCCCAATATAGTCCCAAAAATAGACTAGTACTCATTGGGAATAGTTAAGTTTGTCGATGACGGTGGTCACATGATGTCGACCATCCGCAAAGGGCAGAGCGCAACACGTGACACGCTTTAGCGAGGCGCACCACAATTGGGCCCGCTTGTAGGAGTCAACCGCGATCCCGAATTTCGACCATCACCCCAACGCCAACCGATACCCCGTCAAGATGCGTACCTACGACGACGCTTTCTCCGGCCAGAAGATCTACCCCGGCAAGGTGCGTTCCAACACCCTCTATCGAAATTCGGACCTTGGTGCGATGGGAGAACGAAATCTGTGCGGAATTCAACGTCAAATATACAAATCCTTATGCGGCCAACCACGAGAGCCTACAACACCAATCTCACTTCACGAAACGATTTCGCACAATCGCTTCTCCCCGCTGCGCACAAGGAACTGAAATATTACAAGCTCGACTTTTGCTAATATGGTTTTCTTCCGGTATTATAGGGTAAGATCTTCGTCCGTGGTGACTCCAAGATCTTCCGTTTCCAGAACGGCAAGTCCGAGTCGCTTTTCCTCCAGCGCAAGAACCCCCGTCGCATCGCCTGGACTGTCCTCTACCGTCGCCAACACAAGAAGGGTATCTCTGAGGTCGGTCATCACCAAACAAACCCCGCCTGGATATTTCGTGGATGTGAATGGATCGTGTGGACAAGAGGGGGAAGAGGATCAACGTGAATATGAAGAAGCCAAAGCAGCGACAAGGCTTATACATCAAGACAATCTCGTTCCCGAGTGACGATCGCCGATCGCCAATCACCAATTGCCACCCGTCATATTCTCGGCATCCGCAACTATGAGATCAAGAGGAGGAACTGTACTACACGATACATCCACATCTGAACGAAATATCCGGGCGAAATTGAACTTACAACAATTGCTGACCAGGAATCTTTCCATCTATAGGAGGTTGCCAAGAAGCGCACTCGCCGTGTCGTGAAGGCCCAGCGTGCCATCGTCGGTGCCTCCCTTGATGTGATCAAGGAGCGCCGCTCTCAGCGCCCTGAGGCCCGTGAGGCCGCCCGCAAGCAGGCCATCAAGGACGCCAAGGAGAAGAAGACCGCCGCCGCTGCCACCAAGAAGGCCGACAAGGCCAAGACCGCTGCCTCCACCGCCAAGGGTGGTGCTGGTCGCATCCAGAGCAAGCAGGGCTCCAAGGGCTCTGCCCCCCAAGGTCGCTGCCAAGTCTCGCTAAATCAGTTTCTTTATTTCTCTCAACCAATAAAATGAAATGAACAAATGATTTTCAAGCGAAAAAACTTGCGGAATATCGGGTCGATATGATGGAACTTGTGCGCACTGGGGCCGTTGGTTGTGGACTTGGACTTCAAGTCTTCAACTGTCGAGGACTTGGCTTTAGGCCAATACTACCTTGTTTCTGAAACACTTCTTATGCAGTAAATTCAATGCAAAAATGGGAATAAAGGAACCTTTTAAAAAAAAATTAAACCCTGCCCAGGTGCACTGGACATGCACGATAGCTCCTCCCATGCTACTACCTGGTATACATCAACTTCAAGTTTGAAACCTTGGAACCTTGGAACCTTGGAGGCTACCTGGTAGATATCGTTTAGCAGTGTCCATACCAGTAACTAGTACATACCCCGGGGCTACCACCGCGACATAATTCTACAAGTACTACTAGACTACTACTAATTAGTAGACCTGCTAGCAGTAACTTTCAAGTTCTTGGATACCCCTTGCCCAGTGCTCGAGCCTTTTGCCCGCTTTGACAGTAACCCCTTCGCCACGGCCCCTTGGAGATGTACTGGACTAGTGAGCAGTTCTACCAGTATGGCCGACTCGCGATGGGGGCCAGAGAAACCTAGTCACCAGCTCCATCCGAGTCAATTCTACTATCCGGGTGCCAATATATCTTCAAGTTGGATAGGTAGTATACATCCATGGATATGCTAGCAGTAGTAGTATATATTGGAGGTAGTAATTTAAATGTAATTCAACACTTTGAAATCATCCACGATGATATACTATGTTGCACTAACATTGTCACACAGCACATCTATACACCATATCCATAGGTATTCTAGCATCTAACCCACCAAATAAAGAAAAGACACACCAATGATCTATGTAAGACCGAACAAAAAACACTGATAGTACACAAGCAAAAGTCGACGCCGAAATACTAGTATTCACACCATGCACAGCGCAGCATTCATGAACGAGAACGAGAAAGGGAGGGAAACACGATTGTCATGGAAAGTCAATCCAGGCCAAGCAAAGCAAAGAAAAGCAAAGCCATCTCAGCACCTGCGCACCCGCGTCCAGAGCCAGAAGTCAACGCTGCCCTGGTCACTGACTCGATTCAGACCAATGCCTCAACTCAACCCAGTTCGCACCACTCGTCAAGGCTGAGAAAAACTCAGATTAGATCAAGTGAACTGCCTGGAATGAAAGACCGGCCTGATTCTGCTTGTTTTCGTAGTCGTCCAACATTGGCATTCTCATTTTCCATTTTTCTTTTTCCATGTATATGACAGCTCAACGCAGTGTAGTGCCGTGTGGTTGTGTATCCTGCAAGAAATGCTCCAGCCCAATGATTGCTGTTGGGCCTACTCGATAAACCAAATGAAATGCCTGAAAACGCCGGCCGCGAAACGAAACGAGACTTGATCCCGGATGGAGAAACAAAAGATCAGATCAGATCAGATCGACCCAATCTCAGCTCAGTAGTAGTGAGCCATCTCCAGACCAGCACGCTTGAAACCGCACTTGATGTAAAAGCCCTCATTAACCTCAGAGCAGTCAAGAATGCTCTGCAGAAAAGCAAGTCAGCACTAGCTCCGCAAGTAACCAGAATCAGGAAAAAGGGAACAAAAACAAACCTTATAACATCCAACCTGAGCAGCAACATAATCCAAAGCCTGAATAATCCGCAATCCCAATTTCTTCCCCTGCTGACCCTGCTCAACAGCAATATCCTCAATATGACCCACAAGACCGAGCGAATGAATGAACTTGCGCTCAACGATCAAACTTCCAGTTCCAACGATACGGTCGTCACCGTCACAGACGACCAGCATGTAATACTCGTCGTTGCGGGAGGCGATCCAGTCGAATCGGGCATTCCATTGTTCCTCGCTGATTTCGCCGACGGTTGTCAGGACTCGGAGGACGTCTAGGTAGCCGCGGTTGAAGTCTGAGCGGCGAAGGGGTCGGATTGTGTAGTCTGTTGGTAAGATGGAGATTATCTCGGGGGAGATTAGGGAGGCTGGGAAGAGGGGGCCGTCCTCTGTGTCTGTGGTGGAGGAGTCGATCGGGGTGATGGTTGAGGACATTGTTTGTTTGGGGGGGGGAGGGTGGATGTGGTTGTGGTGGTGGTGGTGGCGGGGGTTGACATTGTTGTTTGTGGGTGTGTTGTGTGGTTGGTTGAGATTGAGAGAGGAGAAGGAGGAGAAGAGGGAGAAGAGGGAGAAGGAAAGAGAAATTGCGGGATGTTGTTGATTCGATGAGATTAGGGGAGGGGCGGATCTTGAGACGGTGGGGGTTTAGCGCAAGGGAGATCGACAAGGACGGTGTACGAGTAATGGGTAAGGAGTGGTGATTACCTGGAAAAGAAGAGCAGAGAGAGGAAAGTGAATATGAAAGTAGGAGAAAAGGAGAAAGGGAGAAAAGAAAGAAGTTCAGCTGAAGCCAATCCTCGGATCGTCAACAATGTTGGACCAGGGTTCTGCTGGTTCTGCCAGGTGAGACATCGAGGGGGAAAAGACTATTTAGTACTAGTCCTTTTCCTTTGAATGTATTAATAGTACCACATGAAATATCTGTCTTTTTTAGGGCTGCATTTTATTGCTATCTATTTGTATTTTTTTATATCTTTATTCCATTCTATTTCCCCTTGCTAGGAGAGAACAGAGTACGTAGCACTAGTACAGTACAAACAGAAATACAATTCTTTCATTTCAGTATACAGACCCTATGGGTATTTGTCTATGGGAACAGCCACTTATTTGTGCTCCTTAGGAGCCAGCATCAGCTCCGGGCGCACATACTGATCGAACTCCTCAGAGCTCAGAGCCTTCAGCTCCATGGCGGACTCCTTCAGGGTGAGGCCCTTCTTGTGGGCGTTCTTGGCCACCTTGGAAGCCATGTCGTAGCCAATCACGGGGTTCAGGCAGGTCACGAGCATCAGACTAGTTAAGTAGGGTTAGCTATCGTCGCAGGGCAAGGGATAGATGAAGAGACAAATGCTGCGAAATACATACCTCTCGTGGAGAAGGGAGTTAATGCGGGTCTCGTTGGCCTCCAGACCGTCAACCAGGTGGGTACGGAAGCTGTTCATGCCATCGGAGAGAATGCGCACGCTGTGGAGCAGGTTGCTGATCATGACGGGCTTGAAGACGTTCAGCTCGAACTGTCCGTTCATGCCACCGATGGTCGCGGCGACGTGGTTACCCATGACCTGGGCGCAGACCATGGTGAGCGACTCGCACTGGGTGGGGTTGACCTTGCCGGGCATGATGGAGCTGCCGGGCTCGTTCTCCGGCAGGCTCAGCTCGCCCAGACCGCAACGGGGACCGGAGCCCAGGTAACGGACATCCTGGGCGATCTTGAACAGAGAGCCGGCCAGGGTGTTCAGGGAACCGGAGGCCTCGACGATAGAGTCGTGGGCGGCCAGAACCTCGAACTTGTTGGGCGCGGTCTTGAACTCGGTGCCGGCCAGCTTGCTGATCTCGGCAGCGACGGCCTCGTCGAAACCCTTGAAGGTGTTCAGTCCGGTACCGACGGCGGTACCACCCTGGGCGAGGAAGCGCAGGTGGGGGAGGCTGGCCTGGACACGCTCAATGTTGCGGTCCAGCTGGGCGACATAGCCGGAAAACTCCTGACCCAGGGTGAGGGGGGTAGCATCCTGCAAGTGGGTGCGGCCAATCTTGATGATGTGGTCGAACTTCTCAACCTTCTCTTGCAGGGCGTCGCGCAGCTTCTGCAGGGAGGGCAGCAGAGTGCTCTCGAGCTCGACAACGGCGGCGATGTGCATGACGGTGGGGAAGGAGTCGTTGGAGGAGGCGGACATGTTGACGTGGTCATTGGGGTGGACGGGCTTCTTGGAGCCCTTGACGCCGCCCAGGATCTCAATGGCGCGGTTGGAGATGACCTCGTTGGAGTTCATGTTGGACTGGGTGCCGGAGCCGGTCTGCCAGACGACCAGAGGGAAGTGGTCGAGCAGCTTACCCTCGGCGACCTCGGCGGAAGCCTGCTGGATAGCAGCACCGACCTTGGGGTCTGTCGAAGAAGGTGATGTCAGTATCCTGTATCTAGGATGGACCCCGCATTGGCGTATCTGTCAAGGATCACTCACCAAGGCCGTACTTCATGTTGACAGTGGCGGCAGCACCCTTCAGGATACCGAAGGCCTTGACGATGGGGGCGGGCATGCGGTCCTGGGGCTGGTTGATGTCGAAGTTACCCAGGGAGCTGTTTCCATAGCATCAGTTATCCTGTCTCTGTGCCATAGGACTATTCCAATATCTTTATCATTGACTCGGTGGCTCGTCTTACCGCTGGGTCTGGGCACCCCAGTACTTGTCCGCAGGGACCTGTAATGCAAAACATCTCAATCAGCTTCTGTTGTCAAGGTAGAGACAGCACGATCGAGTCAACAGTCAACTCACCTGGATCTCGCCAAAGGCATCGCTCTCGACACGGATATCGGAAGACTAGATTCAGCAAATCAGCTGGAGGTTCCCAGCGTACGTTGTACATTGTACATTGTACATTGTACTATGGGATGCGCATCCTACCATGTTGACGGTTGTGCTGAAGGCTCGGTTGTTCAAGGACTGAAGGCGGGGGAGTGCAAGCTGACGGGTATTGGAGCTCAGAGCCCGACTGGACTTCGGAAGACGAGCAGCAGCCGACAAGAAAGTGCGGGTTGCGGGGTTGGCAGCTCTGGCCGCATGTGTTAAGGTGGCCATAGAGCGCACCGCGGCTCGGGAGGTAGCAGGGTTCATTGTGGCGTGTTTACTGGTGTGAGGTGAGAGGGGGGGGAGAGGAGAAGGCCTGAAGTGGTGCGATAAAGTGAGTCTGCTTTCCCAATGGCTCACTGGGGGCGTCTGGGAGGGTCAAGAAGGCAAGAATACCAGGTCTCCTTTAAAAAACGAGAAGCAGAAAAGACGAACTCGTCCGACTTGCGATGCCGAAACTTCCCGGTATCGGCATTACCCCAGTAATACGCGTTGTCTTCGTCATTGGGGGTGGTTGGGTGTAATTTTGGTAACCCCGGTAACTATTGTGGTATGGTATGGTATTCACACTAGGGGCCCTCTTATACATTCATCCATCCCATCTTCATTCATCATGGATCGACATGGATCCTGGGAAAATCTGATAAATACTAGATACCTACCAGTCATTGATTATCATGAATCTAATTCATCCATATAACATACCTAGGTATATTATAGGTCAATTAGTCCCTGTTCATCTACCCCATTATCTACCATCTACTGCCTGCTTCAACGCAGCGATAACCCTGCGATTATACAACTGACCACCCTCCATAATCCCATCAAGCCCAGCAATAAGATGTGGAGCACCCTTATATCGATTCAAACTAGCTCCATTCCCTGCTGCTTGCAGTTTACCAGCATAAACCTCCCCTTCATCGCGCAGCGGATCTAGTTCCGCAGTCGACACCAGTGCCGGCGCCAGATTCTCGAAATTACTAGCAAGCATAGGCGAGATTTTCCAATCCTAGACACGAAATCAGTATCAGCTTTGCCCATTCTAAAATTGAAAAACATTGCCGCCGCAGCTCCTCACTCACATCCCGCGAAGCCGGTGGCCTCGGCACCCCGAGTAACTGCCGATGAAAATAAGCCATGCGGGCCGCAGGGAGAGCCGGGGCAAATTCCATTTCCCGGTATGACTCGTACGGACAGTTGTCGCGGTCAAAGTGGCCATCGGCTGTGAAACTATTATGCATATCACACACGGGTACTGTCAATACCTGTAGTTTCAGAGGAATGTTCGCGTCGCGGCAGAGATGGGCGATTACGGCGGCTAGATGGCCGCCTGCTGATGCGCCGCCGATGGTGAAACGGTTAGGATCGAGGTTGAATTCTTCTGCTTTTTGTTCGCGGATCTATATGTGTTGAGATTTGGGTATTAGTTAGGGGGTGATATCGATGGGGAGGATGCTAGTAGAAAACATGAACATAGTAAACACACCCAGTTAAACGCCGCCCAACAATCCTCCACCGGAATCGGAAATGGATGCTCAGGCGCAAGTCGATAATCCACATCGAAGACAACACACTCCCCCTCAAGCCCATCAACAATCCTCTTACAAAATTCGTGATCAACCTGCAACCCACCAAACACCCACCCGCCTCCATGGAAATTGAGATAAGCCGCTCTCTTCTTCGGCAGACCATTCTCTGGATCTAATTTAGGCGCTGGCTCGAAGATTCGAATCGTGATCTCTCCCCCATCCACGGGACATTTCTGCTCTGTTATCGAGAAGATATCGGGACCTGGGGCTCGGCCGTAGGCGATGGTGTATCGGGATGGGTCTTTGCGGTAGTCTTCTATGGGCACTTCGTGCGTGTGGAGACGGCCGGCGTTGTATTTGTTGTAATACTCGACGTAGATTGGGTCGAAGCGGGAGACTAGTTCTGGGGGTATACTGTTGTGCAGTGGGAGTGGTTGGGTTGGGGGGACTTGGAGGTTATGGAGTTTGGGGTCGCCTTGGCCGGTTTGGGATGTCATGTTGAGGAGAGTCGATATTTGGATAGGATGGGATGGGATGGAAGGGAGGATAGTGGAAGCGTGATTAAATCTCTTCCAAGGTTGGTACTGTTTTCTGTATGTGAGGGGGGGCACGAGCTTGCTGTCAAGTATGTTTAAATACCGGCACTTGTCAGGGCACCAATTGGTACCTCATGGTTGCACTGCGTGCGGGGTTGCTGTTGGAGATGGTTATTATCCGATCCGATGGTGTATAGAGTTATCCGACGGTAGATAAGTGTATCCATGCATGGATTTGACTGTCATGTTTATACGTAGTTGATTCAATTCTTATGTTCATTTGTTCATTTTGTTCATTTTTGTTCATTCTCTATGATTTCTATCATGATTTCGTCAACCCATTGTGAGGATCAGTAACCCCGCATGATGCATGTATGTAAGTGCCCAGAAAAATTGCCTAAAAAAAGGAATGCAGCTCGTTTTGTTGTGCTGTATTGCTGACCAACTCTCTCAAATCCCCTTGTTTAGTCGCATGTCAATTGCTTAAAGCACGTTGCGGACGACGTCGTCAATGGCCAGGGCCACGTAGGCGACGTTCTTCTGGCTCACTGTGTTTACTCTGTCAGTATGCTCTTTTTGATATTGTGAGTTGCTGGAAAAACTTACAGCCACTGATGGACGCACGACCAGACTTGAGCAGGTAGACGTGGTACTTGTCCTTGAGGGCGTAGACCTGCTTGGGGGTGAGGCCAGTGTAGGAGAACATGCCGTTCTATAAGAAAGGTTTATGGTTAGTCAAAGGGTAAGATAGATCAAATGAGTACTCGTCTTACCTGCTCCACGATGTGCTCCCAAGTACCAGGAGTCTTGAGACGAACAAGTTCATTGTACAGGGCCTCGCGCATAGACTTAATGCGCGAGCTCATGACCTGCAAATCATTGTGCCAGTCCGCAGTCAACTCCTCGCTCGACATGATCTTCTTAACAATAGTGCAACCAATACGAGGACCCATAGAGAACTCTCCGCGAATCAAGTGGCACAGGTTGTTCACAACAACATCACGGATAGAGGTAGCGCTGCGGTTAGTAATGTAGTGGAAAGCACCAGTACGCTGACCGTAGAGACCCATATTCTTCGAGAAACTCTGCGCAACACACATCTCCATATCAGGCTTGTTATCAAAGAAGTAGCGCACCGCCCACGCATCCTCCTCCAGCGAACCCGACGCAAAACCCTGATAAGCGGAATCAAAGAACGGGAAGAGCTTCTTGCGCTCACACAGATCCGCAATCGCAATCCACTGCTCCTTATTCGGGTCCAGGCCCGTGGGGTTATGCGCGCAAGCATGCAGCAAGACGGCATCACCTTCCTCGGCATCATTCTCAAGTGTAGACATCATGCCGTCAAAGTCGAAGGATCGCGTCGCGGCGTGGTAGTAGGGGTATGTCTTGCGCGGCACGCCGGCCAATTCCCAGATCGTCATGTGGTTGGCCCAGGAAGGGTTTGACAGCCAGACATTGCGCGGCTTCATGTGGTGGGCGAGGAAAAGCGCGCCCAGGTGGTTGGCGCCGGTTCCTGCGACCGTTTGCACGGATGCAATGCGTGCTTTCGCGGCTGCTTCTTCGCTAGCCTTACCCTCAAAGCCGAACATTAAATCCCGGGCGATCTTCAGGAAGGGCACGTCGCCCTCAATGGCGGTGTACTCGTGTCGCATCAGGTCGTTCTCCTCGGCGAGTTGCTTCTCGGCTTTCTCGACGGCTGGAAGAGGCCATGGTTTGCCATCGTCGGTTCGGTAGACGCCTACGCCCAGGCTGACCTTTTGAGGGTGGGTGTCGGCGAAGAAGGCACCGTTCAAGGCGAAGATCTCATCCGGGTGGGACGGGGGCCACATTGAGACGAGTGGGAACTTTTTCCATGGTGGCTGTGATGTGTAATTTTGGGGATATTGGGGGGGGGTGATTGGGTGTGTATGTGTATGTATGTGTGTAAAGAATAGGGCAGTGGACTTGAAGGGAGAGAATTGCGAGTTCATGTAACAAAGTAACAAACTCGGTGCCGACGCTGAGTCAAGCCGATATCGCCCAAGTTCGCTTGCTTTTTCCTCCCCCGCGGGAACTCCCGCTTAATGCCGGGCACTCAGCCATCTCGATGTCCTTTTGCCTCCTAAAAGGTTTTTTTCACTGGTCACGCGATCAAAATACCGCGAGTAGCCTAGGTTGAGCCTTGGTTCGAGGATGGAGAGTATAAAAGAAGTGAGGAGGTTCAAGTTCAAGTTCAAGTTGAAGTTGGGACAAAGGTTAAACCTTGTCAGCGGACGTCATCAAATGCGGGTTGATTGGCCAGCAAATCATGTCTATACAAAAAATAAGTAGTAACACAGGTACTCGTAAGATTGATTCTGGTCATGTATCATTAGTATTCCAAGGTTAAGAGCTTTTTTGAATAGGTATATTGTAAATATCCATACCTATTACTAGTGACTCCAAGCCGGAAGGTGTTATATATATCAGGTCCAGAGGTCGGTTTATAGAGCACAGGACCCCCATACCAGGTACTTCTAGTCCCTATTGAACTCAGGCTTCCGAGTCCCGAGGTCCTTGAACCTTCAACAAGTTGGAACACTCCAGGGCCACTACTACTACTATTACTTCTGGTATAGCTATTCATCTGAAACTTGAAATTGAATAATATCAGGTGCATTAAAAGAGAAAGGCTATCTACTATACATCAAAACATAGGGCGAGAATAACCAGGCAAGGGATATCGAATCATAAGTTAACACCCCCGCCTATAAGAGAAGCCCATAAAAACCTGAACACAGTGGCGTCCAAAGTCCAACAAAAAACTGTACTGGATATAGTAGTCGTAGAGGCGTCGGTCTGGATGGCATATCTCTAAAGCGGCACTTCATTGAAGTCACCTTCACCCTCTTTGCCCTTGCCCTTGAGACTTGTCTTGTTCACCTCGTCGTCTTCGTCCGGCATGTTCTGCGGGAGAGTACTCTCTCTTCTGGCATCTTCCTCGCTCTCTGCATCCTTTTCTCCAAGATCTGCTTCGAGTTCTTTCTCCAGCGCAGCCTCACTCACTTGCCCATTTGGCCGTGCCGACAGCTCATCCTCATCCTCTGACTCGTCCTTCGGCGGCGGGGGCGGAGGCGGCAAATCGTCCTCAACCTCCGACCCAACCTCCTGCGTCAGAGCCTGCGGCGGCGTACTCGTCTCACCACCCGGGAAAGGCGTCAGAGGGGGGTTCCTCAATAGTAGACGAATCATGCTCGGGTACGGTTTCAGGCGCGGGCGTGGGCGCAAGTGTAGGCTGCTGTGTCGTGCTGGGGCGATGCGCGAGTGTGGCATTCGACATGGTGGAGGTAGTTCTTTGGTGAGAATTGCCATGAAGCGTACCGAGCTGGCGAAGTTTAGGGTCCGCATTGAGATAATAACCGCGCACGCCAACAATTGTGCCTTCCGATTCACAAGCATCCACCCACTCCGGCACCACGACAGGGATATTCATCTCGACTGCCTTTTCCCACAAGGGACCGCGACCCTCCGTGCAGACGAAGTGGGTAGTGTCAATGCGAACGGAATCGATCAGTTTGCCGCCTACGCGGTCCAGCGCAACGCCCAGTGCCTCCTTGCGGTGTGGATCGAGGACGCCCGGCGTCACGGTGATCCCGGACAGGTCGGTCATTTTGTGTGTCCGACATGTCAGCTTCTCCGACTGGTAGGTGCCGGCGGTTGTGCGCAGGACGAGGTGGAAGGTGTATTCGGAATGGATGGCTAGACCGCTAATCTTTGTGCTGCGCGTGTCGAGGGGACGGGGTATGGAGCCGGCCTTTGAGCCGTTGCGGTAGAGGGAGAGCGATTTCAGAGACGCGGTTGCGAGGTCGATTGGGTCCCATTCTAGGACGAGGGAGGTCTGGGTTGCATTTCGTAGGCGGAGGATTGGAGGAGACGGGGCCTTGACGCCGTAGGTGTTTAGGATGCGCTTCTGGAGAGATTGGAAGGCGGTTGCGTTGGCGGTTTCGGCGGCGTGGTTGCGCGCAACGGTGATGTCGACGATACTTCCGCTGGAGATGTCGTTGGGGAGGAGGACGGAGGGGAACTCGATCTATATGTGTTCTCATTAGCATTCCATTGAGTCTTGTCTTTGTGCGATAGAGAAGTAGGCATCGATTTGGGGGGTTGCCATGCGACCAGGGGCGAGGCAGCTTCTGCTTACAAGGCGATTATCCTGGGTGAGGAGGACGGCAACACCTGCGTCTACCTTGCCGACTGTCAAGGAGACGAGCATCGTGAGGTGTTTTTATATGAAAGGAATAGGGGGGGAGTGGTTGAGAGGAGATGGTTGAAAGAGAGAGGCAGGTGGATTCGGAGTCGGAGTCCAAGTGTTGATTCCGCCAGATCGGCATTAGCGAGGCTTAGAGATGGGGCAGTACATCTGGAGTAGACATGCCAACAACCAACACAATCCACCCAGACCTGCCATTTTTAAGTCGTATATGTATTGATGCGATTGTTATTGAATATTTTAATTTTGTTATGATAGTATATCCACATAGTCAAAGTCAGCCCTGGAGGGGTTGTTTTTATTCAGGAACAAGCTTCTGCTCTAGGCGGCTTCTATATTGGGACCTCCATGACCGGCCACCGCGATTGTGACCAGAGCAAATAATGGAGTATCCCTTGGTTTATTTTTGAGATACTGTTGTACAATGTCTTTCGGGTACCCTTTACAGTACCAACTAACCCAAACGCCATGCAAATGCTCCTAATGTCCAGACCAACCGCTATAATACAATGAAGAATATGCCATAAACCGAGAGGAAAAGCCAGAGTTCAAATTTCTCCCGCTTTCTGTTGACCAGCCTTCTGCTGACCAGTTTTCGGCTGACCAGATCTCGGCTGACCAGATTTCTCCCTAGCCTTTTGCTCATTATGCTTCTGCTTTCGTAGTTTCCTCCGATTGAGGATTGACAACATAAGATAATTCGCATCGTTCTGGAGCACATCATATCTTTGATTCAAGGATCCTTCTCGAACAAAGACTTCCATAGACCCAAGCAAGGGATTTGGTCGTTCAGTATCAGGGATAGAAGGGAGTGGATGTCCCAATGGATCAAGCCCATGGTGTGCCAACGCTTGCCGAAAAGCACTGCGCGCTCTTCGTGCAGCCCAAGATCGAACCACTCGTTTGTAATTGCCCAGTTCAACGTTGATGTTGACTCGCCACCAAAGCTCATTCTTGCTTCGATTGTCCCACATATGCGCTATCTTGGGACGAATAGGATGGCCTGGAACGGTGAGGTAGCGACTTGCAACCATTGGGATCGTGTGGTGGGGTTTGAATCGGACCATGAAGTTGTCAGAGGTGGCCGTCATTTTTGCCATTATTGAGTGAGCCTTCATAGTGGCGGGTGGTTATCGGTTACTGGGGTACTCCAGTCCAGTCCAGTCCGGTGCAGTCGTTAGAGGGTCGCTGTAGGTGCGGTGGAGGATCGGCTCATGGCGAACGAGGGAAGGAGGTGGAACGGTCGCCTTATTTGCGCGGGGTATTGTAGTGTTTGAGGCAAGATCGAATGCCAATACCAAGTCAAAGCCAGCTTGAAACCCGGATTGAATTGCTCATGTCTGTCATGTCTGTCATAACACTGGAAAGTCACAAGACAGAAACATTTCTGCCGGGCGGTGTAGTTGATTCCTTGGTGCCTGGTTACGTCAGCACAAGATTTGCATTTGCAGGGCACAGACACCCCCCCACTTACTCACCTTCTTTCCTTTCTTTCTTCTCTCAGCCAACTCCGGGGAAATCTACAAGTCTCCCTTCTCTTCTTCTTTTTCAAGAAAGAGAAAGCACAAAGCACCGACAGCCAGACTCAAGTCCAGTGCACGTCGTGCCCCGCCGCTATGCCCAAGAACAAGGGAAAAGTAAGACCGCAAAATATTCAGCCCCTCCTTCGTGGAATGTGTCACCCCCGCCACCGTCTCCATGGATGCCCGACCACATTTTGTTGAAGGGTCAATCATCATGTCAAGCCGTGGGTTATGGTTTCAACTTCAAATACTCGAAATACGGACGCACAATACTACCCCGAACAATGCTGACTTTCTCTCTTTGAAAAAATATAGGGCGGTAAGAACCGTCGTCGTGGAAAGAACGAGAACGACAACGAGAAGCGTGAGCTCGTCTTCAAGGAGGAGGGCCAAGAGTACGCTCAGGTCGTCAAGATGCTGGGTAACGGTCGTCTGGAGGCTCTCTGCTTCGATGGCGAGAAGCGTCTGGCCCACATCCGTGGCAAGCTTCGCAAGAAGGTCTGGATCAACCAGGGTGATATTATCCTGCTCTCGCTCCGTGACTACCAGGACGAGAAGGGCGATGTGATCATGAAGTACACTTCCGACGAGGCCCGCAGTCTCAAGGCCTACGGTGAACTTCCCGAGCACGCCAAGATCAACGAGACCGACACCTACGCCAACGATGGTCTCGAGGACAACGTCGAGTTCGACGAGGACCGCGAGAGTGAGGAAGAGAAGGAAATCGATGTCGACGACCTCTAAGGTCACCCTCCACCAACCCCCCCAGAGCTCGACTGCTCTCTACCCTGCAAGAATGCCACCACGAGATACCCCCCCTTGTGGCATCCTTCACGTTCCGCCATATTACCTCCTACCGTGTATCGATATTGGCCTAGACGCCGTGGCTTCTCTTTGCTCCCGATCCCAGCTGAGACTCATGTTTCTCTTTGAGGGGTGTAGGCTGCCTACCCCTGTCAACGCGACCATCTGTTTCTTTGGAATCTGGACGAAGTAACAAAAGAGCCCTTTCCTTTTTTTGGGGGGGCTCCAAGGACAACAGTCACGGCAACGCCCGCCATTCCAGCCCGGCAATGAGGATGAGGGTCACCCATTTACCCCTCAGGCGCTTTCCTACGACAAGATACCAGGGTATGAAAGCAGTTGATGCCAAGATGATTTCGAGATTTGGATGCATGGATGGTTGTTTGTTCTTTTGAGTTTGATATTTCTTAAAAGATTCCCATATTTGTTTACTTCAAAATCCTCGGAGTCTTGCTTACGGAGAGAAAAAAAAGTGGTTGCAAGGCACGCATGATGAACCTGCGGGCTTGTTTCCTTGCATTGCATTGCATGCTATGTGTCTTGCTCTGTTTAGCCTCGCTTTCCTTCCATCCTTTTTGAGTGATAGATTATGTTTAAAAGTCACGAGAATTGAAAATACTTGGTACCTACTGGCATGCTCACTGTAATCCTCTCCATGAATGCTGTACGACTCGGCGTACCACTGGATGTATAATTCTGTTGATGTCGACTCACTACTACGGGTCGCCCTTTTACCCTCAGTTCCCCCCAAACATGATAACACGATATTTGATATATAGATTGCCTTACTGATTAGCTGAACAGCCAGTCGGACATCATTCATGTTATAAAAGATGGTTGTGAATGGGGGCTAAAAAGCCTTCTTTATTAGTTACTGCTTACTCATGATTCATCCCCTCTTCAGCCTCACCCATCACTCAACCTCAGGAGTTCATGTTATTATTTCGCACCGCTTCTATGGCATGACACATCCAATCACCACCTAGGCATCTCCGTGCCTCACACATCATGTCTGCTCCCCATGTTGCCCCATCGCATGATGCCCACGAGCAACCCAAACGGAGAAAGGTGCGCAAAGGCACCCACAGTTGCTGGGAATGCAAGCGCCGGAAGATGAAATGTATCTTCGATCCGCGCATTTCGAGAACCTCCTGCAACGGCTGTCGACGACGTGGCTCCTCCTGTATCGGCCAGGAATTCCCCGAGGACCAAGAAAATATCTTCATGAACATTGGAACCGGTGGTGATGGCACTCCTTTTGACGGCAGAACTCGCCCTGCCACGCCCAATGAACGAACAACTTATACTTTCACACCCGAGTCAACGATCATGGAGACTTCACAATTCTATAAATCTCCTGAGGTCTGTCTCTTTCCGCTATTCTTTCCAATATTATATGATTGTTCCTGACAGCTTTCTAGCAATATCTCCCGACTACTAGAAATGATACCTCACAACGTAAATTTGAAAGGCTATCTCAGTTCCTCCATGAATTACTCCCGTCACGCGCAGATACCGAGAGTATCTGCAAAGCCAGTCGCCACTTTTCCATCCTCTCCCACGAATTGTTGACGACGACGTACACCACCCTCTCTCAGAATGGCCTCCAAAGGCCCGAGAGTTTACTGATGACTCCTCAACCAAATGTGCATCCTGTTTTGATCGCGAGACACATGCTCAAGCTCGCCCTTTTCTTACAGCATCTCCCCCCGGACTTTCACAAGAGGATTAAAGGCCTATCGGAGCCACCCCGCATCATCATGGAACGTTTAGCAGATGTTGCCATCTGCCACGTCACGACAAACGAGGCACTGATCAGCAGCATAGAGAGCCTCGAATGTATCATGCTCGAGAGCTTATACCAGGTGAATATCGGGAACCTTCGACGAGGTTGGGTCGCAGGCCGCAGAGCACTGAGTCTTGCCCAATTAATGGGCTTTCATCGGCCAGATAACCAGGCCGTATGCAAGACGCTCGACCCTACACTGAAATATGACACACGGATCATGTGGCTCCGCATCAACATCCTCGACCGCCAGCTCTGCCTCCTTCTCGGTCTGCCCGAAGGTTGCACCGACCATAGCATGGCCTTGGATACATACATCACCAACGACTGCCCCATGAGCCGTATCGAGCAGCGGCACTGTGTCGCCATGTCCCGAATTCTCGAACGGAACGCATCCAAGCCGAGTGGCCGAGACCTCGCCGCCACACGCGCCATCGACCTGGAGCTGCAGACAGCAGCGGCCAGCCTACCAAGCAAGTGGTGGCTGGCCCCGAAACTCAACAATACCTCCACCGACCTGCAAGCCGTGTTCTGGGATTCACGCCGCCTGATCCTGCAGATTAGTCACTACAACCTTCTCAACCACCTGCATTTACCATACATGCTGCGACCCTGGTCCGCAGAGAACAAAAATGAGTATTCGCGAATCACATGCGTCAATGCATCGCGGGAGGTTCTATCGCGCTATAACTCACTCCGCAGCTTCAATCGCATCGCATACAGTTGTCGCACGGTCGATTTCCTCGCTCTCACCGCGGCCATGGCTCTCCTCCTCGCACACATGGATAGCCATTGCGATGGGGCAGAAAACCTACTTGCAAACCAGTATTTGAGCGATCGCGGGATGATCGAACAGGTACAGGAACACATGACTGAGATCAACCGGCTGAATTCAGACGAATTGAGCGCACAAACTGCAGATCTGCTAAAGGCGTTATTGGCGATTGACCTGGAGAAGGGGCATGAGCGAGTGAGTGTGCAGGAGGTGGGGAGTGAGGGTATTTTGCTGCAGGATGGGAACGGGATGAACTCAGAGGAAGACAGCGTGGTACAGGTGCATATTCCATGTTTTGGAATTATCAGGATTACACGCGAGAAACAGCAAGCTGCGACGATTGGAACCAACAACTTCGAAGCCCAAATCCGTCTCTCCTCCTTGATACACCCCAGTGGTTCCCTCTCCACTGACTCCCTCTCTACTGACAATACCTCTAACCCACTCTCCTTCCCTGTCACTGACCCAGCTGTTCCCCTTGAATATACCGCCGCCCCCTTCGCGCACCAACAACAGCAACAATGCCAGACCACGTTCTTCGACCCCGGCCTTTCTCTAACACCATCCCCGCTAATGCAGAGCGAGCACCCTGGAGTCGCTGCTGGCGGCGAAGACTGGGCATTTCAGGGGTGGATATGGCTTTTTTCGAGAGTATAATGAGGAATGCTGGGGGCGATGTTTGACCACTGCCTACGTTCGGGGATGCCTGGATGTACTACCGATTAATCGATCAACAAAGACCACACAATATAGTATAAGAAACACTCTAGGTATGTATTTAACAAGACACCCTTAATCTGATATATCACTTTGGAAGTCAACATGTTGCCACCCCCAGCTCAAAGCTCACTCGCCTGTAAAATAGTCTGCCATCTCCCACCTGCCATATCAGGTAGCAAGACTAGCAGGGCTAACCCTCTAGGATCGATCCTTCTTCCCATCGACAATCTCCTCCATTTTCTTTTCCTCCTCCACTATAGCCTCCTCTGTCGCCGGCTTATCCTCCTTCCCATGATCCGGCAGCCTCTTAAAGGGAATAATCAGCGACAAAAGGACCGCAAACGCCGCACACGCCAACGAAAATGCAAACACATCCTTGATACCGACCATATACGCAGCTATCACCTCTTTAAGATCATCCCCGCTGAACACGTCCTGAAGTTCGGAGGCACCGGTGCCCAGGACCAGGGTGGGATCGAGGTGAGCTGCACCGTAGAGGACGGTCTGGAGCATCCGGTTGGCGAAGAGGGATTGTCCGATGGCGACGAAGTAGGCTCCGCTAAGGGTTTGACACACTGTGGTGGAATTCGGTGTTAGAGCTCATGTATAAAAGTTACCTGAGTACCTAAGATACTCGGGTGCGCAACACTTATACTGCGGAGTGAGTGAGAACAAATACTAGTACTTACTAACCATGATTCCAGTCGCACTGGAAACATCTTCAAGCTTCGAGAAGCCCTGCACGGCCGTCATGGGGATCTGGTTGCAGATACCAACGCCAAATCCAAAAAGCACCTCGGCACCGATGTACATGGCTTTAGAGGAGCCAACATCCAGAATATAGATCAGGGCCATGCCGGCGGTCATGATGAGGGCGCCGAGGAGCTCGTAGGGTTGTGTGTAGCGGGTTTTTCCGATGACGCCGCCGCTAACAACGGCGCCAAGGGCGAAGAAGGCGAGGAATGGGAGGGTGTTCACGCCGCTTGTCACGGCTGATTGGCCGTGGATGGATTGGAAATAGATGGGAAGGTAGAACATGACTTGGTAGAGGGCGCCATAGGAACTAAAGTGGGTTAGTCATGGGTGGGAGATGGATGGTTGGATGTATAGCCATGAAGAACTTACATGAGGCAGAATAGGGCATTACTCCATGTCATGCGCAGTTTAAGAATACTGAAGGGAGCCATGGCACGGTGGCCTTGGAACCATTCAGTAACCAAGAAGCCAATGCTGAGGACAATCCACATAACCAAAGTCGTGATGACCGAGCCATCATTCCATGATTTAGTCTGCCCACCCCATTGCAAAGCCAGTGTCAAACAGACAAGAGACATAAGTAGCAAGCAGAATCCTGGAAGATCCAGTGCGAGGATGATCTCCTGCCATGTTGCTGGGATTTTCTTAATGTGCTTGGGGATGCGCAGGAATAATAGTGTCAGCACGATGATGGATCCACCAACGGGCAAATTAATCCAGAAACACCATCTCCAAGTAACTCCGCTCGTGAATGCACCGCCAATCACCGGTCCCAGAATGGTCGAGACCATAAAGACTGCCATCCAAGTGCCGATAAGAAGCGGATGGTTTCTCGGCGGGGCGACGTAGTTGATGACAATGAGGGTGCCCCCGAGGACACCAGAGGCTCCCCAACCTTGAATGGCACGTCCAATGATGACAGACACGCTATTCGGAGCTGCCGCGGCCACAATACTGCCCACCAAAAAGATGCCGACTGCGCTGAGATAAACCCACTTCACGTCGAGGTATTTGAATAGTTTCCCCCACAGCGGCGAGGCCGAGGCCGCGAGGATGAAAGTAGCACTTCCATACCAGCCGACATCGTCGAGTTTGCGGAAATCATTGGTGATGCCGGGGATTGCTGTTGCGATAATACCAATCTCCAGGGAGACGAGGATGGTGCTCACAAAGATCGTGAACATGATGAGCATGAGTCGGACACCAGTCGCATATTCGGGAGGAATATCGTCGGGAATTTTTTTCTTTTGGTCTTTGGAGCCATCACCGGCACTATTCGAGCTGGGCTGGCCTCTATCCAGCTCGGTTTTGTTGCTGTTCTCGAGGTCTGAACCGTCTGCCATCATTCAAGTTCAAGTAAAAATGTTGATATTCTGCGCCACGGCAGCCCGTCAAAGGGTACGGAGGTTGCAACCTGTAGTCCCGAGCTCACAAAGAGGTATGCTGAAGTCATCTCGATGACAAAAAACTCACGTAAGGAAGCCTTTGATTGACACGGTCGAACAAGAGAACGAGACATTTCGACCGCCGTGTTTTGTATATAAATCTTGGCAATGGAGCTACTATTGGTCCACGGAATTAGTCATACGGCGGTCGAATCATCGCCAACATATGCAGTAGTATTCGTCCGCTGTGTGCTAAGAAATTAATAGCTGACTGATACCATTAGAATTAATAATGTTCCTTTTGCACCCTCGACCGGACAGATCTTAGGTTCGGGTGGTTCGACCGTTAGCCTCCAGGATTTCATAGATAGCATGCTTACCGCAGCCGATAGGGGTAAGTTGGCCAAAATTAGTAAACAGGAAAATGAATTAACAGCCAAGATTAGAGTTATTTATTCTTGATAGCTCAATATCACAAGGAACTATTGTTAATTGAAACTCGCTATGACCTTGGAAGATAAAATACTGATTACTAGTAGTTATAGTATATATCCGTCTGGGTAGGGTTCAAGTCAATAGTACTAGCAAAGATCCTGAATCCAACACTGGCAGGAGTGCGTGTGGGAAATAAGGCAAAATTTTAAGGACAAACTTGACAAAAAGGGTTCAAGTTGTGGCTTTAGCTTCACTTTAGTAGAATTTGCCGAAGTGCGAATAGTAATAGCCAATGGATCGATTGTACAACACAGCTTGATGTATGCAATGGGGGCTTCAAGACCATGATTCACTGAATCTTGAAAAAGTTTCATCTTCTGGTCCTTTGATCTAGTGGTGAGGATGTCAGATTTTGAAGGTTAACCCTTCCCCGCTTAATGTGGTGATCGATTTTCTGAATGCCCCGGTTCGAACCCGGGAAGGACCTCAATCATTTCATTTTTGTTAAAAGAATTCTTCTGTTCTCCTCTTAATTGTTTTATTTTATTTTATTTCACACATTCAATCAAGTTTTAACCCCAGGGCTGATCTCCAACACGGTCCATAAGTTAGCCGAATCGCCATCCATGGATCAACCTTTTCTCGTCCACATTTATGACCGGATGGTATGAATATTTGTATATTCTATTGACCGACTATAAGAGTCCATCCCCTGTTCATTACAGGCTAAATTCAAATTCTACATACAATGCGAACACCTTCAAAACACCTTCAAGCATCCAGACTTCCCTCCCCGTTGGTCGACCCCTTAACACACCCTGCATCGCCAAACATCGAGTTCACAGCATCTTGCCACGTAGTCTCTTGCTGAAGGTAATTATGCAGCGTATAAAAGCGCCGGCACTCTGCAGCTTCATAGACGAATTGCAACGGGGTCTCACCATCCTCGGGATCATACTCGTTGCGAAGATTGATATTCCCACTCCAGGAAAACGACGGCGTCAGGTTCGGACTCGTCTCGTTGAACCGTTTCCATTCTGACGTGCTCAGGATCGGGGACGAGGTCCCCGCAGCCTTTTGGATGGCCTGATTTGCTTGCTGGATGTAGCCGTTGATATAGTTGATCTGCAGCGACTGGCCTCCCTTGACGCCACCGGCTCCTTGCATGGGGCTTTCGGTAGGTCGACCGCCAAATGCGATGGTGCGGACGCCTTGGCGCTTCATTAATTTGAGGAAGAGGGCGCAGGTTGAGGCGCATTCACCATTGGTAAGCTGTGTTTTGATACTAGTTAGTTCCATGGTTTTGAAACTTTCGACGTGGATACAACTTACGATTGCGATGTTTTTCCCAGGGAAGAGGGCTTTCTTCGGGTCCAGAGCGATGCTTCCGTATCCATTGATGGGAAAACTGGTAGACGAGAGAGCCGTGTAGTTGAAATTAGCCAACAAGCTGGACGAAGAACTTCCAAGAGTATCGTGTGGACCATAGAGATCATCCCAGGACTTGAAGTCGGTCTTTTGATCAGGCTTGACGTTCTTCTTATATCCGAATGGGTTGCTCGCGTCTGCGCTGGGGTCCGAAGATTCGGCCTTTGTGAGGTACTTCGCTGCATCGTGTGCTCTATAACGTGTCGCTGTGTAGGGCGTTTCTTCCGGGAAGAAGATCTTGAACAAATCAAGCCCGATTGAGATAGATCCGCCTGGGTTGCCGGTCAGATCGATCAAGATATTCTTCTTGCCAGCCTCTGTGGCGTTTTTCAGAAACTCCACGGTGACCCGAGAAACATCACTCGGACTGGAAGAGAATGTCGGAAGGAAGAGGATTCCCGTGTCTTCCAGGCCGGTAAGCTTAGAGAAATAACCTGCAACGGAACCTGCTGAGTTCTTCCAAGTCGTATCGGGAAGCCCTGGTACTTCTGATGAGGCTTCCTCGGTACTGGATGTGCTAAAAGCGGAGTTTAGTGTTCGAGGAATGCAGTTGACGGTGTATAGCTCGGTGCCATTGTCATATGAGAAGAACCTCTCAGTGGGAGAGGCTTTCTTCTCTATGGTCTGTTTCGTCCCGTTGCCGTACTCGATGGTCAGCTCGGAACCTTCGCTCCATTCAGTAGAGGAGGTCCAAAGGCCATTGACACCGATGGGTGTATTGGTGACGCTGCGAGCCGAAGCTGGGAATATTCGGTTATATCTGCAAATATTAGTCAATGCGATCACAGCGAATTGCGTAAAGATTGGAAAACATACTGCGCATCGCGGTCTTGAAGAGCTTGGCTAAATGCGTATGTTTCGAGAAACTTCGCTGCATCTGTCCCATTGATAGAAACAAGGGGTGAGACATCCTTGGGATTTTGCTCCTTGACATTTGCGTCGTCTGTGGGGCATAGTCAGCTAGGCATGTCTCGCATATAGTTATAGTAAGCTTGTACTCACTCAAAGTATAGATTGCGGGGAGCGACAGTCCATCTGATGAAACCGACACAAGCGGAAAATCGATGACATAGTTGAAAATGGACTGTGAACAAAGCTGGAAGACCAAGTGGCTATCATGCGCGGACTTGATGAGATTGGAAGTTTCGAGATCCATCTCAAACTGACTCGAGTAGCCATCGCCCTTGGCTTTGTCTAGGATTGTATCGATTCCTCCCAGAAGGTCGACAGATGGCATCTTGTAACCAGATGGGGGTGCTTTTCACCTGCGTTAGCCCAAATTAAAATGTACATAGGACCGCGTTCTGCTCACACTTCAGAAAGTCGACAGTGGACTGAAACTCGAGGATTTTGCGCACATTGGTAAGAAAGATTGTTGCTCGATCCGATTCAAACGGCATCGACTTTAGACACTGATATGCCAAATCGTGCGGCACCGTTGTATCGACTATGACCGTTAGCTAGTGCCTTTCGCTCTGACTGATAAAATCATCGATGCTCCCTCCCAATATGACGTACCCTTTTTTTCATTGGCATCTGCCACGAGACTAGTGATCTGCGCACATGGATCGATATCGCGCACATTCCTGCTCGCTCCAACAGCAGCCCCGAGCGCGACCGGGGCTAATAAGGTCGTCTTTAAATGCATCACTAGAGAGATGTTGATGTTAGAAACATGAAGTCGAGAGGTTCGATCTGCAGCATTTGGGGGCTTGGGGGCTTCTCCACTCTCAGGGGGCGTCGGTGGACCCTTGCGTGTCGTTCGTTGCTATTTTGGCGGAGCTACGTGGATCCCCAGAGAGTGCCAAGACGAAAAGTGAGCGTTGAGGATCGCGAAACGATCTGGATGTCTCGGCTAGTGGCGTTTTCTACGAACTTTTGGTTAACTTGTATGGGATGATCAAGGGGGTGGCTTTTTTCGGAGCTTCTTTGTTGTTTGTGTTGGTTGTTAGGGTGAGGAAGTAAACATTGAGTCAGTTCGGCCCGAGATCGCTTAGGCTACTTCGAGTCGTACAGCCAACTTGAAGTGACAACATAATTGAAGAAGGGGACCGGCAGAAACATGATACGAGTACATCTGTAAAGGCCAAGCCAAACATTTGATGTCTCATGAGCCTACCAATACTACTAGAAGGAGAGACGGTAGTATATTGTTCTTGATCCGAGAACAGCACCAAAAATTCAAATAAAAGCAATAAAAGACCAAAAGATACGGCTTGATAACAAAGTCTAACACAAAGTAAGAATCACCCACAGATCTATCCGTGAGCGACAATTTTAGTGTCAACATTGTGAGGGAACTTGCAACCCTGAACCGTACAAGTCTTCTGCGGACACCGATGTCCACTAACGCAATTCTCATCATCACATCCCAGGCCTTTTTGACAAAGACTCAAGCGGGCGATCCACATTAGATCAATTACTTCTTGGCCCTTAAGTTTCGGTACATGTTTATGGGTACATGTTTCTCCATATGAGCACGAACCCAGTATGTGAAACTGGTTGCAAAATTTATGTTGCTTCAGAGTCTCAATTTTTGACTTCGACAAGAAGCGCAACTGGGTATCAACTCTTTGGCCGCTAGCATTCCTATAAACAATAAGCTTCGGATTATTTGGCTTTGGTATCTCTGTCAGCGGATTTGTTGTCGAGGTGGGATTTTCGGCAGCTGTCTTCGCTATGGAGGCGTAGTTTGGGGTCGGCGTTCGTGGCGGCGTGATTGCTGGTGTCACGGTAGTGCCACAGAAAGACACCCTTCTAGATAGTTTCTTAGATCTGAATACCGTCGAGAAGGATGCTGTCTCGAAATACGGCACCAAAGCCTTAAGTTCATGGGCAAACGGTGGACCCTCTACCAGTGAAATCTGCTTCGATCCACGATAGGGTCCTAATATACGCGCATAGCCATTATCTGCAGACCCACAGAAGACAATGTGTGGCAATGAATATTCAGAAGATCACGATCGAAGTGTGCTGGAAATGAGCCTGATGCAGTAGCACTTACTCCTCCTCCCCTTCCATTCTTCCCGCTTCTTCTTCTCCGCACCCTCCCAATGTCAGTCACCGAGTGGTGGCATACATTTTTCCCCTGAATGCGCATGTCGACTTCCACGAGCCATGGGTAAGCTATACCTCTACTAGGCCAGTTTTGGTTCGCTCCTGCCGTCATACTTAACATTTCAGACCGTCAATAATTAACTTTAAAATTTCCATTCAAGTTTCCATTCTCTGCTCGACACCCACTCGACACCCACACAACTACATCACTGGATTACGAGAACAGAGGCACGATGGCGAAGAAAATACAAGTGAAACCTGCAATGAGTGCAAACAGAGCGATGTGTCAGATGGAGAGAAAGTGGAACGGTTTGAAGGACGCGATTGCTGCTCTCACGGCGGCCAAGGGAGCTCAGGAAGACAACTTGGCCAACTTGAGGGAAGCTTCTGCGGAAGTCAACAAACTTATGGACGAGATAAAAAAGAACCCTCCCGTTCCGACCATAGGCGTGACCGATGCAGCAAGGGGAGATCATGTCGACGCCCTCCAGAGAGGCTTTGGACTCCGAGCCGACCCAGAATGGAAAGATTGGATGGAACCCAAGCACTCCGAGCAGCTTGATGGATATTATCGTGAGTTACAGCCCTTTGGTAGTCTTTTCTCACTGGATTCAAGGACTGTCCAGCCCGCTAATTCTTTTTTAGGCAAGATTATCAAAAGTATGGGTGGTATGTTCCAGCCGCAGTCGTTCGAAACGAACGTTGACGACGAACCATGTTTGCGTGCTAGCCTGAACGCACTTATCTGGGCAATAAACTCAACGGTCCAAGAAATGAATCCTGAAGGCAGCAGGTCGCTGAGCATAAAACTTGAGCAATCCATGTCATACTACCCATACCGACATGATGGTGAGAATTATCGGCTGCAGGGTCGAGCTGACTACGCCCTTTGGTACGGCCGGCGCAGGGACATTGATACCAACCTGATAATCTGGGAGGCCAAAGGAAAAGCCGAGACGAATGGAGAATGCCAGCTGTTACTCTACATGGGTAAGTGTAGACTGTCTACCATCTCTCGTTTGAATATCGATACGAATCGTTGGCTAACCCATTCTTGATCGCCTATCTGCAGCCATGGTTCACAAAAAGCGATGTGAGCTTGGGAAGAAAAATCGCATTGTGTACGGAGTCCTCGCTCTTCCAAGGTACTTCGAATTCATCCAAATCGACAATGACGGTGTAGTATGATCAACCCTTCGCTGATGCTTGTATGCCATATCTGACTTGACTTTAGTACTCGATGCATTTTATCAAATGTTTTGATGATATCTTCAGTGCATACGTTCCACTCTTGACCTCCATCTTTATGGAGGCTGTGGCTCTATCACCACCCGGAAGTGAAGAAACGGACCCAGTGAACGCGATGGAAGCTGTCTAATTAAACCTGTCGGGTTGCCAGTCTTTAATTGCTGTTGAACTATGATTCTCATTCCCTTTTTTCTCGTCGATTGCTTGATGAAATTATTCTTACCCTCTTGCTTTTACACCGTGGCTTCTGAAAACATTTACCCACGGATTAAAGATGTATTTTATGTTAAAATTAGCCGAACTTGAAGGACCTCGGTCACTTTGGTCAATCAACACCATTCGGATCAATCCAAGCAACTGATCACGGACACTCCTTTCGTAAAGTAACCTTGGAAGACAAGTAGTAACTCACCTCACCAGCCTGTTTTAATGCACCTTGAAAAAAGAGAGACAAGCTTAAATGGACCATAGACTAAAACCAGCGACCTGGAAGCTATTATATTCAGAGTATTTAACTCTTGCTGAGATCCCGCAGATTGGATGCAGCGCATATCTAAAGTCGAAATAAAAGAGTAGTAGCCAATTAGAAGCTAAGCGCCGGCAAGGCGGAATCAGCCTCATTGAACCAATATGAGGAATCCGAAGTAACGCAAGTACATTAAGAAAATACGCGTATTTTTTATCAAGGTGAATTCGATTTAGAGATTTCAGGCTGAAGGTACCATAAAAATAAACACTCATAGGATGAGCACAAATATTCAGTCTGGCTTCGCTCAACCTTTGCTCCCATTAGCCTCTCAAGAACATCTTTAAAAGTATCTGACTCAAAAGGTGCAAGCTTTTGACGTGGTAACGAAAACCAAAGAACTCCAAGAAGGGGTACTAGAGATAGAGGTACCTGCTGGATACTTTGAATCTGGATTTTCGTTTCCGGTATAAAATAATTCGTGACGGGTGGTGTCATCCCGGGCAGGCGGATCCGCAACGTCTCTGTGGAAATGTTACTTTCATCATGAGATGGTCAGCGGAGCTGCGAGACATAGGAATCAGTCTATGACCACTGTCCAAGTTCGCGTACATGCCGCGCCTAGGCACTTTTCAGTCCTTCGGGAAGGTCGTGGCGAGGGTTTTCTTCGATTAGCCAGTCTCTCAAACAGGAGAGGTCAATTGCCCAATCTTCCCAAGACACGAAAATCGTCTCCTTAGAAACACGAATGCCTTTGAGTGATATCGTAGCTTACTGCGCACCAAGGGCCCCTTGGTCACTCGATTCCACATATGTGTTGCCGCAAAGATCCAGAATGAAATATAAATATAACAGAGTACGGCCTGATACTTTGGAAACTTTGAGTTGCTAGCTGGGTAGTGCTATTGGTAAAGCAGGAATAAGATATTCAGAATGCACCGCATGCGGATTTACAGCTCTTTGTAGATTTTTCTTTCGGCAGGGGACTTGCAAAGACCCAAACAGAGCTTGAACAAGATTGCCGTCTGCTGAGCATCCCCCGGCGCTCCCTGAAGCCGCACTCCTACGGTGCTGTCAACAAAATACCCCAGGCCTGATCACGAAGTAGAAAGCTCGACCAGTTGTGACGCCTCAGACTTCCGGACTTCGCGGGCTCCTAGTAAGTCTCAGTCGATTTGGTGAGCCTCCCTCGAGGGAGAGGCGATACTTTCCCCACGTTCGTCGAGGCGCCACTGCTGGCGTGATCATAGTCCCACCGAAAGGACACAGTCCTTGATAGTTTCTTTGATTTTAATACTGATCAGAAAAGCGGTTGTCTTTGCCGTCAACATGTAGGGTTCGAGGTCTCCTAGTTCCGGGCAGGATACACGGCGAGAGATATTTTCGTCTCTCTTCTTTTGCTCGCGAAGTTGTACGAGGAGTTGTAAAATTCAACAGGTATCGGCGATCGTAACGGAAATTTCAAGCACGACCACAACCGTGACTGATATACCTGCGCTTGTCACGGAAGACCAGAAGAAACGAGAAGCCCAATTCGGGCGGATGTTGTACATGCCGGTATATCTCTGGGAACTCGGTTTTGTCGTTCCACTCTTCTCAAGAAGTCAATGATATCGTGGTGGATGGTTGAGCTGATAATCCTCATCACGACATCGGAATGGCTAGAAGGACATGGGCTGCTTGGTTGGTATGCGAAGTGACCTGCTGCCTTGAATCTCCATTTCTTTGACCCTCGTAGCCATTCCCGAGAATAACGTGTTCAAGCGAACACGAAAGGATGCCTCGCTCGGACGGCTGAATTGCTGGCAGATGCCACCGCCAGGGACCCAAGGACCCACCAGTCTAGATGATGTCGTCGACAGATTTGATCATGAATGAAGCAGCGCTCGGGGTAAAGTCCACCGTTCATCATCCAGATTGTTGGATCGAGATATAATCAAGGTGGATAAAGAAGTGACAGGAACAGCGGAACGAAATATGGCCATTGTTCCATAGTTGAGAAAATTCAGTAGGCAAAGATGATCCAGAGAACCGTCGAAGGTTTTGTCTCGGATCAGCGGAAGCGTACCAAGATGCCCTGGAACGAGAGGGAGAGGTTTTCTTTCGGATTGGCAGAAGCGTAGGAAGCTGCTCTGGGGCGAGAGTGACAGGTTTCTCTGCCATGCTTTGATGACATGGCTTATGGAGACGAAGCTGCTCTGGGTTAGAAAACTCCTTGCAAGCTTCTCAATTCGAGTCCGATTTCTCGTAGCATACCGAGAAAATCCCCATTCCCACCAGTGTCCCCACTCCCACCAGTGATGCTTCCACCCGCGATACAGTCGGACACTTCAAATCGCTTCAACAAGCACGAGAATCACATATGGGCCTATAGCGGCCCCGGAAAGATCATGTATACCACGAACGATCTGGGTTTGAAGTCGGAAAAGGGGCATAAATCAAGACCGAGATATTTGAAGAAGTAAAAATACTGGTAGGAGGGGGGGGGAAGATTCACCTGTAAATAAATTAATAAATAAGTAAGTAAACAAAGAAACAAACAAACAAACAGAAAAGTGTTCACTGGCAAGTGGGAAGGCGCACTGGCGGAGTTAAAAATGCAGGAGCGATGGAGTGGACCCTGGGCCACTTCAACTTCCACTTCAACTAGTTATATACTACTAGTGTAGACTACTAAGCAGTAGGAGTAGGAGTAGGAGTAGTAGCAGGTGGTTATTTATGGAAGAGCAAAAAGAATGAAGAATGAAGAAATATAATAGACACTTATATAAGAAAGACGTTACAAAGCCCTGGGTATGTGAAATCTGCAAGGCTTCTGGGCAGAAGCAAACATCGCTATGGCATGCACGCTTCACAAAGGAGAAAAAAGAAAAAAAAAGAAAAACAGAAGCACAGGTCCTCCTCCGCAATCGATTTGTCGAATCATGTATACTCTGATTGATTAGTTGCTTCAAGTTGGACCTGATGGGTAGAGCCACGAAACTAAATAGTTCTAGCCCGATGGAACTTCCTCCGACTCCCCGACGAAGAACTTGAACTTGAACCCTTGATATCCCAATCCTGTAAAGAAAGACTATGCCAGCCCTTAATAAGCCCCCTTTCCAGATGTGTATGGGGCCACAGCTCGCGCAGGACCAATTCCACCGGTTTCGGGACAGAAGTCGACTCCTCATCGTCTCCAACTTGACTCTCCCACCATAATTCCCAGGCAATGCGGCCGATTTCCTGAATTTCCACCTTCACCTCGCCGACGCGGGGCGGTTGCACGAGGAATGATCGACCCAGTTGGCCGAGAATCTGTTGTTCTAGTTTATCGAAGAATTCCATACCAACGGGCGTGATTCGAAGATTCTTCAGACGCCGACTAGATTGGTTTGATGAGATGAGGTGCCAGATCTTTGAGACGAGGACTTCGTCGACGGCTGCGTTTGAAAATGTTCGTCTTAGGATATCTGGTTCTGTTGCCGGCTCGATTGGCCAGGGAGTTATTGGTCGCTCGCGCGGATCGTAGTGCAGGTCCAGGACCAGGGTATGCAGTTTTGAAAAGCTGCCAAGCTCTTTATATAGCCCGCATTCCCGGGGACTACCTTCGCTGCGTTGGATTGGAAGACAGAGCTCCTCTACATTCGGGCAGCTTTGCGATATCTCGGTTATTTGGCCGGCGGTCCAGAGGGGGTATTTGAAACCTGTGTCGACGATGTTGGAGATTCGGCGCATGTGGGTGCTTGATTGGATGAGGAGGCCTTTCAAGGAATTTCCGTGCTGAGATAGGATTTCGCGAAGCGAGGTGAAGCTTCGTAGTCCTTCTAGGCATAGATATCGGAGGGGGCGAAAGGCTTGTACGGCGGCGACCATTTGCTCGTCATCGGCGTGAATGTCTTCGTGGTGGAGTTTCCATGGGTGCATGTTGATGTAAAGCCGTTCAAGTCCGTGTAGCTCTGACGCGACATTTTTGAGTATGGCAGGATTGTTGTATACGCCGATCTCGAGGGAGCGGAGTTGCGAGAGATCGACAAGTTGGGACATACTTGATAACACTTCTTCCCAGGGGCTCATGGGCGGATGGGCGTCGAAGGAAAGCGAATCGAGAGATGCTCTTGGCGTGAAATTGCCCGTGAGAGAAAGTTCTTGCCATTTCTCCTTGACCCGTAACATATCTTCTGTCGTCAGACATCCTAGGTCTTGGAAGGAAAGATGTTTAAGATTTGCAGCCGTGAGGGCGAAGAGGAGAGTTTCCGTCAACTGGGCTCTCTTTAAACCGTTTGGTAGAGTTGGTGGCCTTGAGTGGTACATCGAAAATGCATGGAGTTGTGATGAGCGCAGGACGTTTAGATCGAACGGGTCGTTGAATTTGGATGGAGGTCCTGGATATGAGTCTCCATAGTAGTCTGGCAAGTTCAAATTTAAAGATTGGTGAGTCCAGACATTTAATCGACACCTTGGGTGGTACTGGTTGAGAACCGCAAAGAGCTCGGTCGGGAAGATATTTTGGATGACATAGTTGAGTTCGGTCAGACGTTCCAACTGGGCGATTAATGAAACAAGCGGTTTCCAGTTTCTCTCTCTGTAATAAACGGATTCCGTGGCCAAGAACGGGAGAACTTGGTCATGGCAGCGCTTCAGTCGATGCTCTAAAAAGGTATCTACAGATGCGGGGGACCTGAAGTCGATGGACTGGAGAGCTCTATTCTTAACATCGCGGATCTGGAGAGCTTTGGTTGTCTTCCGAGACGGATCCGGCAGACAGACGATATCAAGTCTGCGGGCATATTTTAGAAAGGGCTCGCCATGTGTATGATTGCTCACTTCGGAGACCAGAGTCGGAAGACTCCCATCGTTATGGAAGGCGATGCTCAAAGTGTCATAGACGAAGGGGGCCGCAGTGTTGTACCATGCGTGATTAATCCGGCTCACGGAGGAGAGATCTTGGTGCGAATCCGCTTTCACCTGAATAAAATCAGTATTAGGATTAGTGTAAATACAAAGAAAATCCCATAGAGTTAATCGCATACAAAGCGGCATATTATATGCTTGATCTCTACCGGTAAAGAATCCATGGTAGTGTCTAGAGGTGTAGGGGAGTTGGGCGAAGTAAGTAAGGAGTTGGGTAGAGTCAGTCTATTAAATCAGCAAGTCAGCAAGTCAGAAAGTCAGCTCTCACGGGCAACCTTCCACACGAACAACCTTCCCAGGGCATACTACGACTACTACGACTACTACTCTGCAACTACTAGTACTCCAAATAAATGCACCTGCATGGCCTATTGCTCATTGCCGGGATTGTATGGAAACCCCATATCCTCGGGCATGCAACCGGTTTAGGGGGGAGAACATCACCCCACTACGCCCCCACCGGTATTTCCCGCTTGGACTCCGGGCAAACCATCGTGTGCGACGCTTAACAAGCGGGACCTAGCGTTACAACTTATGCCAGGTTTTGGAGGTCTGTTCCCGTGAAGCTCGTGCGCGCATCACTGTACTCCGTGCTCTCCGTCTCTCCGTCTCGTCGTCTCGTCGTCTCCTGACTCGGACCCCCGCACGCTCGATTCTCAACTCCAACCCGACACTCACGAGACTGATGTATGTATGGTTTGTCTTTAAACTTTGTACGAAATGTAGTATGATGTAGTGAAAATAAAGTAGATCTAGAGGAAGTCTTTTTTGCCGAGGAACCAAAGGTTTTCCTTCCTTGAAAGTCAACTTTGGCAACTGACATGCCCCTGGATGATACAACTACGAGTGCAAGTAAAAAGGATGTCAAGAGAAAGATCTAGATGACAGTTTGTGGGCACCCCTCATTTCGCGTACCCACGTATGCAACGCAGTCATCTCAAAGTACATATTGCTTGGTAACACTATTCTCTTCAGGGACACTAACCACAATCGTCAAGGCAGACAGGGATGCCAAGGGTATCATCTCCGAATTCCACCGGACCGGCCTCAAATGAAATTTGCCAACCTATTAGTTCCGGGAGGCTTAGAGTAAGGTTTCTCCGTGACTCCTCGATCTGATTTTGATCATTCGAGTTTCCCGTGTTGAGGGATTTGCAAGAATGCCGAGTTTAACCCCCCGATCCCGTCACCGTCTGCCGAGACTCTCATGGAGACATGCCTAGGTTCATATAATAGATGGAATGGGAAGAAATGGGAACCCATCTGCTTTGGATGGGGTTGACCTGTTCAACCCAAATACTACCTACTGCGCTAATCCTCAAAAACGCTTTTTTGGAAGAAGCCGACAATTTTCCGCGCAGCCTCCTTACCAACTAGCGGATCCAATTGCTCAACTTCCATATTAGCAATCTCGGTGAGATTATCCGTCTCTATAATTAACCGTTCCAGAGCTTGTGGCGAAACCCCTGGGACCGCGCGTAGCATATCCTGCGGAAGGGGATTGAAAGTTCGGTGCTCAATCCCAGCTGTCCCTGTCGTGCCAGTGCCCGAACCAGACGTATCCGTCCACTCTATGCCAGTACCAATCGTAACCGCAAGATTTGGGTTCGGCTCAGGAGCGTTCTTCTTTAGTTCAGCGAAGATCTCCGCGGTCTGGTAGGGTGAAGAAGACCATACGATCTTGAGACGGGGGAATGCAAGGGTTAAGAGGACGAGGAGGTGTTGAAGAGATTTGGGATTGGAAGGATTGGCAAGTGCACTCGTGCTCGAGCTGATCGCTGCCCCGGTGGATGAGAATCCGAATTCAGTCGTGAAGGAAGGTCCCGTGGAGAAGGCGTCGAAGGTAAAGGATTTGTTCTGGTCGAACTCGATGAGAAGTAAGGGGCTCTTGTAGTGTTGAAGCATGCTTTCAGCTTGGTTGTAGAGACGGCCGTTCCGCAGAGAAGATATCAAATCCTGAACAGATTTCCGCTCAACACAGATATCTGGCGTGAGGACATAATCGCCCACAGTCAGTACACCAGGTTTGATTACCATGTTGCTGCCGTGTAAAAGAGAAGGGAGAGCACTTCGAAACTCTCGAAGATCAACCACTACTAACGGAGGGACCGCTGTGGCTGCCAATCTACCTCCTCCGGCGATACGAGTGTTGACGGTCCGGAGAAATTGCTCTTGAGGGTCTTCAGAGCTTTTATCGTGGGATAATGTCACGGCCATGTTCTGTGAAGAATGTGTTTAGATAAATGTGCCGGAAATTCAGCAGGATTTGAAAGACTTGACGTACCCCCTTCTCCTTGATCAATTTGGTGAAAGAGTCCTTCTCTCGCCGCACCGCGCTGAGATAACGCTGTTCCTCCACAGATCCACCGTAGTATATGAAATACACTTTCACATTTCTTCCAACGTGAGAGCTACGATAGACCTCGACCCGTCGGATGAATGCCGGGTCCGGCTCATACATGATGATGTATCGCGGTCGCACCTCTTCAAGTATTTGACTGTCCATCTCTTCATCATAGGGGTGAATCATGATTAGATTGTCCATGTCGTAAAGTTCGTAATGTTCCTCTATATCCATCATATCATCAATAACGATTTCTTCTTTCTGCTCTTCTTCGACTTCTGTAGGTTGGATCTCATTAAGCAAGCTCGCAACTTGATCGGGCAGTTCAACATTGGTCTGAACACTGGCATTTGGCACGCGTCCAGAGGCTGAGTTGACAGCTCCACCACCGCGAACTCGACGGCGCTTATTTGGAGGGGGCCTTCCTTGTTGACCCTGTGCAGACCCTGGCTTCCCAGTGTCATTTCCCCCGACAGATAAAGAGAGGTTCTTATTGATATTGGAGAGTGATCGTTTCCAGTTGAGGTAGTCACGCAGATAGCGACGCATCATAATGCTTGCAGATGAAGTATCTTCGACGGATTCATCTCCAACAGGTGCAGCTTTTGTGCTACCAACTTTCGTATGCATCGTGCTGATGTATTCACGGAGCTGCCGACATATTCGCTGATCGCTGCACATGATCAGAATAGTGCCGTTAGATCCATCATGGCTTGATGGGTGAAGGTAAGCATCATGCTCAATCTCGCCGAGGACTTCAGTGAGAACATCCCACTTTGGGAGCGGTTCAAGCACAGGCTGTAGCTCAGAGGAAAAGGCCGTAGATCCGTAAGGGCGTTGCAAATCCTTGCTTATTTTTCCTTCGTATGCTCTTGCCTTTGCTGTTTGGAAAAGTACATGCGCAGCGTCAAGGAAAAGCCAAGGAGAGTCGTTGTGTCTGTTCGACCCAGGGGCTGGTGAGTTAGCCGTGACGATTGTGTCTAAATATTTCACGAAAGACACAGAATCATAGGTAAGCAGCGCATGGAGAATGCCCCGAAGATCGCGAAGAGCATTGGTAATCTGTCTCGTTCGGTAGCTGACGCGGTGCCAGATCGGTTCGATCTGTCGCCGAATCATGACATCGAAATTGCGATGCAAAGCACTATCCAGCGTCCACTCCTCCATATCTAGGCCGGTATTTGATTTTCGTAGTTCTGCAATGCTGATATCGACGCATTCAAGGACGGCATTCTGAATCTCGCGCATCTTCGTACTCATCGGAACTTCGAGTTCAATCACCTCAGCCTTCCGATTGCCCTCTAAAGCCTCGGCTACGGAGACATGGAATCGGGGCCATAGAGATGCCTTCCGCAGAAACAGATTTCGGAGCATGTTGGCCAACGGGGCAAAACCGGTGGTAAACGGTTCGGGTGAGTCGGAGAACGCTTTCAAAAATCCATTTTTGTTCTTTTGTCGGTAGACACGAGCGATGAATGCTTCTAGGGACGTCGCAACGACTCTAAGGCCATGTTAGCTAGGAGATCAGAGAAACTCCGCTAAGAGATGTGCCGTACTTTTCGGCATGTAGAATAATCACGCCCGTAATCTTGTCCGGGTCGACCAGATCTAGAGACTTGGTTAGTTGTTTGTTTGCAGGGAGTGGGAGTGTAAAATATACCCAAAAGCAAATCCGAGATCAATATCCTGGACGTCACACTCAAGATACCACCCTGGCTGTAGATTCGCTCCCTAATGCGAGTTTAGTTCGAGATCAGATCAAAGAGGAGCATCGAACTGAACGCACCGCATAGGCACCGATGCCATATCCGTGTTGATCTTCTTCAAGCCCCTAGCTAAAGGGGATTTACTGATCGCAGCCTGTTCCGCCAACGCTATCCAACCAAAATATAAGCATTCTGTCGATCTTGATAGAATTGCGCGAGACCCGTAGGGATAGGCGTACCCTCTCCGAGCCAGTCATTCTCCCGATCATCCGCTCCCACCAATAGAACTAGGTTGTTTCCGGCGGCATCGTAGAAGTGTAGAAGATTCGCGATTAGATGGAGGAGACCGAGGCCGCGGGCTAGAATGACTAGCTCATCCTCCGTTCGTAGTTCGGTGAAGATGTCCTGCTGGTATTGCTGCGCGAGAGGTTAGCTTATTGCTATTGCTATTACGAGCGGAGCGTAATTTCGGCGGGGATGATCTGTATTTACCAATGGCAGGGACAGCTTCACCGGGACAGTTGCTCGTTCCGGAGGCATGAGGAGCCCTTCACCTGCACCTGGACCTGGACCTTCAGCCTTGACGCGTTCAAGTCGGCGAATGTCGAGGTCGAAGTCGAGATCGACCAGCCTGGCCAGCATCACGCGTGGTCACGTGCCTATGATGTAAGAGTAGCTACTGTATAGTAGTAACTAGTAGCAGAGGGAGAAAAACATAATATTGCATTTGAGTACATAATAATACTAGTATTTAATGAGACCAGACAGAGTGACTAATTAGCTGGCTTATTCAGCTCCTTCATGCGTGCTTCGATTTCCTCCTTCGTCGCCTTGGGTGGCAGGTCTGTAATACAATCAGTATGACATGTTAGGGAGGAGTGGTTCTCTCGTAGAAGCTTGAACTCGAGAGAATATACCACCAGTACCAGTGCAAATAGTAGTACTAATGCTAGTAAAACTGGAATCTCACTTACTATCAGAAATCACGGGACCCTTCGATGTGAAATCCTGGGCCGACGCCTTTTGCTGTTCGCCTGGCTTGGTGGAGGCATCTTTAGGATCCTTCTGCGGAACCGATGGGAATTCCGAGGACTCTGGAATGACAGGCATTGTGGAGGTTGTTTTGGTTTTCAGTTTTCAGTAAATGAAAATAGTAATTGCCAGTTGCCTGGAGATCTGAGAAAATAAGAAATCAAGATGGTCATGTTGCGCAGGTGACAGTGATTTATATAGATCCTGGCGGGATGACGTCGGCGGTCGCCAGGTATCTCAAGAGGCGGGCGACCTTACACAACTTGAAGCAGATCAGGATTAGATTGGATGGGTTTTAAGTTACATTATGTAACTTACATAGAAAGTGAATTAAAGTAAACCTTGGAATACTCGTAGTATTGGTAGTAGTACTGTACTATTGGTAGAATTAAAATCTAATAAGTACTACTAGTACCTACTTCTAGGCAGACGAGTACACCGTAGCCTCTTTACTAATTGTTGCACCTAGTACCACTAGGTCACTCCGATTATACTTAGCATGTAAACTAATATGTACAAGTAATAGTATATATAGTATATAGACTCTATTCTATACCATCTATAGTAGCACTGGCAGTCACAGATACTTCCAGATACCACGTGCTCCATAGTAGCCTGACGCGGCTGCCAAGTACTGCGGCGTACCTCGTCTTCTTCCTTCCCCCACCAACTCAACCACTTCACCTCTTTCTCACCTTCATCCTCTCCTCTCCTCCTCTCCTCCAAGGCAACCGCCGGTCGGCTCCTTTCTCCACGCATTTCCCCAATCCAGCCTGGTTGCATCCCTTGTGCCCTCCTTCCATTATCCGCCCTTCTCCTACGTGTTGGGGTCCACTCTTTGCACCGCCCGTTTGGTCTGCCATGCGCCTTCGACCAGCCTAACTCCCCACCCTCAACCTCACCGTCACCATCCAGCCCCGGCATACGTTAATTCGTCATGCCCTCCATCCTGAGCGATGCCGACAAGGAAACGGTTAAGCGAAATGTTCCCAAACCCGCCAACAAGATCTTTGCCGTAGCTGTCGCACGACTCTACGTTGCCTATCCGGACCCCGGACGATGGACCTACACCGGCATACAAGGCGCCGCCGTCATTTGCAATGATCTCGTCGGCCGAACATGCTGGCTGAAGATTGTCGATGTTTCGGTATGAGATCCTCATCCCCGGGAGACCAATCTGCCCACGTACTGACGAACGACCTACTCGCTATAGCCCGCTGGAAGAGGTGTGATCTGGGACCAAGAACTCTACGACAACTTCGCCTATAACCAGGATCGAACCTTTTTCCATACCTTTGAACTCGAAAATTGCGCCGCTGGTCTCTCCTTCGCCGACGAGAAGGAAGCGAAAACATTCATAAAGAAGGTGCACGAACGGGAAAAGGCTGTCAGCAAAGAGACTAAGCAGACTCCCTTTGCCTCCTCTCGGGGACAGGGACCTGCGCCGGTTTCCAATGGAAAGCGGTCCCTCTTCGGGAGCTTGCTGCATCGTGGTAGTCACAGCCACAACGCTCCACCAACGCAGTCGATCATACCTGCAGCTGCACCTCCACCGTCGCAACCTCCTTCACTGCCCCCCAGCGCACCTGTGCCTGCGCCTACACCAGCCGCCCATGCAGATTTGCCGTTTGACCCAAGAGACCCGGAGTGGAAGCCATTGATGGATGAACTGCATAGTATGGGTATAACGGAGGACCAAATCGCAGAGAACTCCGAATTCATCATGGGCTATATACAGCAGAAGCAAAGCGCAAGCGAACCTGCCCTTCCTGCTGACGATCAACCGAAACCCCGCGCTCCTCCGCCACCACCACCCGGTCTACCCAAAGTGAATACAATTAGCCCCCAGGGCACTGGGACAAGCTCGGCCGGCCGACGCGGCCCACCACCACCACCCCCGTCCCGCAAAGCTCGCACAGATACGACTGAAGAAGCTCTATCCCCGCCCCCTCGTGAGCCTTCGCCCCCGGCGCCGCCAGCGCAACCAGTTCGAAGATTCAATGCACCACCTCCGCTTGCTGATGCAGGAAAATATGCCGAGCCCGCGGGTCCTGTCCCGCCGAGGCGGCCTCGAGCAACGTCAAACGTAACACCAGGCGCAGTCCCCGGCCCCCCACCACCCCCGCGGCCACCGAAGGAGGCCATGGATGGTAGCCATCCTAGATTTGGAGTACCTCCACCATTCGCAGGAGATCGCAAGGTTTCCGCTCCGCCCGCGCCTCCGAGCCGCAGCCCAGGGCCTCCCGGTCCTCCACCTCCACCCCCTCGCGCTGTGAGCCCAGCAGCTCCACCTCAGCTACCTCCCAAAGTTCCCAATGCATCTACTCCTTCCGGTCCTCCACCACCCCCGCCTGCTAGAGGACCGATATCACCTCCTCCGCCCGCTCCTCGGCCTGTGCCATCAACACCTGCCGCGCGCCCACCACCACCGCCAAGAGCTCCTATATCACCTACGACGGATCACGGTCCACCAGGAGGACTCCCACCTCCCCCCTCCTGCTCGCTCCGTCCCTCAATTGCCGCCGCCCCCTCCACCTCCAGCTTCCATACCCGGCGGACCTCCTCCGCCGCCCCCACCTGGAGGAAGCTCCGGTGCTCCTGGATTGCCTCCTCCTCCACCACCACCTGGGCGCTCGGGGCCTTCAGTTCCACCTCCACCTCCACCTCCTGGCGGTGCTGGTGGACCGCCACCACCGCCGCCCCCAGGAGGATCAGCTGGAGGGCCACCTCCACCCCCTGCACCTCCTGGAGGATCCGCGCCGCCGTTGCCAAAGAGTGAAGGTGGACGAGATGATCTCCTGGCCGCTATTAGAGCTTCGGGGGGCCAAGGCGGAGGCGGTCTCAAGAAAGTCAAGGATGCAGACAAAAAAGATCGAAGCGCCGCCGCCGTCCCAGGAAGTGCGGCCGAATCAGCTGCTGCTGCATCTGGCGGTGGAGGTGCTCAACAAGGTGGCCTGGCTGGCGCCTTGCAGGATGCACTGAGCAAGAGAAAGCAGCGGGTTAGCGGAAGTGGTAAGTCGACCCTAAGAGATTCAAACATCAAGACAAATCGATATACTGACCATGTTCCACAGATGACGAAAAGGACGATGACGACGACTGGTGATCTATTGACCTTTGACCTTTTCCATTCACCTTTTGCCAGCCTCTTTTTTTTTCTTTCCCTCTTTTTGTTCATGATACCTACCGGTTCATTGCGGGCATGATTTTGCGGATGGAACATTGTGCAGTTTTTTTTCTTCTCGCCCTCTCTCTCTACATTGCAGCGTTGTGTCCAAAAGTCTGGCTTCCAGTGAGTGCTCATGGGATGGGAACTGTGTACATTGTATATATTCTCGCAGATTTGGTGCAAGTGGTTAGGTTAGGCTCGGTCTCAGATACACTGAACGCGATTCGCTTGCTGAGATGTTTCCCAATGTTTTATTTCCCTATCGTGCAAGAAGTTGCCTCATGATTTAGATTGGAGTGGAGAGTAGTCCAGCAGCCTGATCTATAATTATACCAAGACTGATCTTCAACGTTCCAACGACCATGAACTAAGCTTGGCAGGCCTGTTAGGAGCAAAGGAGTGACAATTCAAGTTTATTTGCCGACGCTTTGTCTAGCGCAGTACCGAGGATGCCCTGGGTGGATTACTATACTACTATTACTAGTACTAGTAGTAGAATATCTACGGAGGAAATCGCACCAATCACGAATTGAATAAAGCTCAGTTGTAAGCCAAACCTTGGAAGTATACCCTGTTTAGTTTATTAAATTAAATGGATCCCTGGCTAAGCTCATATAAATTCCATTTTGGCCCAATCGCCATCTCGGTGGCCCCCATGTGCCGTCGGACTCCAGCCGGGCAGGGTTAGGGCTGACTCTAGGGCGACTCTAGAGCAACTTCAGACGCGCTAAGACTTCGAAGCCGCAACGCTAACTGACACCCGGCTACTTCGGATACGGGATAGAATGTTATCACTTAAACAATAACCAATGGCTCAAAGGTGAATATGCACGTGGAAACTACCCGAAGCGATGTTTACGAGCCCCAGGTCATTTCGAGATCGATTCAGGAACGCGCCACAGACATGCGCGATCGCGGTGTAACAAGATAAAAGGAAATGCTTTCGCTAGTCCTATTGGAAAGATAAGAAAGCGACTTCAATTATTTCCATTATGAAGGCTACCGTTGTTTCGACGTTGCTGGCCCTTTCGGTCGCCGTCAATGGCCACCCGACAGTCGATACGACCTATGCGTACAAGGGTCCGGAAGTGCCTGTTGGTGATTGGGTTGATCCCACGATCAATGGCAATGGAAAGGGATTCCCTCGTCTTGTGGAACCACCGGCCGTGAAGCCTGCCTCGTTGCATCCGACCAACAATGTCAATGTCATTTCTTTGTCGTATATTCCCGATGGTATTCACATCCATTATCAGACGCCTTTCGGACTTGGGAAGACACCGGCTGTCAAATGGGGGAAGAATCCTCACAAGTTGGATCGTGTTGCGAAAGGATATACTCACACGTAAGTGGATCCATGTTGGCCGACAGCTCGTTGGTAGCTCAGATCTGACTTCGTTTCTCCAGCTATGGCCGCACGCCTTCGTGCTCGCAGATCAAAGCCATCACACAGTGCAGTGAATTCTTCCACGAAGTTTCTCTGGATAACCTCGAGTCTGGAAAGACTTATTACTACCAAATTCCCGGATCCAATGGTACAACCACCTCCGAGATTCTGAGTTTCACCACAGCTCGCAAAGCCGGTGATCCTACGGAGTTTACTGTCGCTGTCTTGAACGATATGGGATATACCAACGCCCAAGGTACCCACAAATACCTAACCCAAGCTGCCAACGAGGGTACTGCATTTGCTTGGCATGGTGGTGATATCAGTTATGCCGATGATTGGTATTCAGGCATCCTGCCCTGTGAGGATAGTTGGCCCGTCTGCTACAACGGTACGAGCACCACTCTTCCAGGCGGAGCCTTGCCGGATGAATACAAGAAGCCTCTGCCAAAGGGCGAGGTTGCCAATCAAGGTGGGCCCCAGGGGGGGCGACATGAGCGTCCTCTACGAGTCCAACTGGGATCTTTGGCAACAATGGCTGGGAAGTGTTACCAAGAAGATCCCCTACATGGTTCTCCCCGGTAACCATGAAGCTGCATGCGCAGAGTTTGACGGACCAGGAAACGTCTTGACAGCCTACTTGAACGAGGACAAGTCGAATTCCACCGCGGTCAAGGAGGGTCTCACGTACTACAGCTGCCCACCTTCGCAGCGAAACTTCACGGCTTACCAGCACCGTTTCCGCATGCCGGGTGCCGAGACTGGCGGTGTGAGCAATTTCTGGTACTCGTTCGATTACGGTCTTGCTCATTTTGTTTCTATGGATGGTGAGACGGACTATGCTAACAGTCCTGAGTGGTCTTTCGCGGAGGAGCTTTCCGGAAACGAAACTCACCCCAAAGAGTCGGAGACTTATCTGACCGATAGCGGACCGTTTGGCCGCGTTGGAAATGTGAAGGATACCAAGTCCTACGAGCAATACCAATGGTTGAAGAAGGACTTGGCTAGTGTTGATCGAAAGAAGACACCATGGGTGATCGTCATGAGCCATCGTCCTATGTACAGCTCCGCCTACTCTTCCTATCAGAAGAATATCCGCGCAGCATTCGAGGGCCTGATGCTTGAGAATGGTGTAGATGCCTATCTCTCCGGGTAAGAATTCCTTCTTTGCTCTTATATTCGTAATGCGAAGACTAATAATTTACAGACACATCCACTGGTACGAACGACTGTTCCCGTTGGGAACTAACGGAACTATCGACGTCGCTTCTATTATCAACAACAACACCTATACTACCAACGCTGGAAAATCGATGACCCATATCATCAATGGAATGGCTGGTAACATTGAAAGTCACAGTGAATTCAGCAGTGGCCAGGGCTTGACGAACATCACTGCCGTACTGAACACAAAGGAGTACGGATTCAGCAAATTGACTGTTGTGAATTCCACTGCGCTGAAATGGGAGTATATCCGTGGTAATGACGGGTCAGTCGGTGATAAGCTTTGGCTAGTCAAACCTAGCCAGGAGGATCACGGTCATATTAGCAAGAGTCCTGTTGGTGCGAAAAAGCATCATGGTTCCTTCTAGAGAGAACTTGAAGTTCTGATATTCAGTTGAGCACTATGATAAAGTTGATGATGTATTTTTGCAACTGCTTTTAATTTTCAAATTTCTACATACTACTAGTAGCTTCCAATGTTATGCAGTATTTTCTCGAATAAAAGCCCAAGAGCTACTAGTACTACTTGTTACCCCTACCCTTGTCTTGATGATCTCGTTCGGAAATTGTCGCTTCGTCATTTTTGATCGTCCCAGAGGCGTTTGCTCCTCCACTTTCATCCAGTTTGATGTTCTTCAGGAGGAACATCACAATGAGCATCGGCGACAAGGAAACCAATCCCGCAATCGCCAATAGTCTCTGTGGCTCACGATAACTGCGATCGATTGCATTTCGAGCATCAGTGCCCACGGCATACTTTTTAGCAACGAGTATGGAGCTGAATATGGAATTGGCTTGACCTTTCAGCTCATCCGGTAGATGCTGCTGAAGCTTGGTCGGGAGAGTATTTCTCCAAATTGCGCCAGCCACACTGATCTCAGAACGAGTTAGAAAAAGCACCACCGAGATTCAAATAAAGAATGCATGGAAAAACATACCTAGTACCCCACCGGGGCAATGTCAATATCACGTTGCTTCGACATGAGCAAGGTTGTATGTCCGATCTTTCATTATCTGAAATCATACAAAAAGCGAATACAGGTTTTAATATGGCCATCTCAGATAGAATGGGGCCATTCGCGTATGCAGCGGATCTCGACTGTAACCGAGGTCCATAGTATCTAAATGGCGTCCAATTTAAGAAATGTAGGGCTTGCTAAGGCGTCGGGAATGGCGATGCTTACGTTGATATTGACGTCAAACCAAAAAAACAGTCTTCCCAGAGTGGATGGGCCATGCCTAAATCCGAAGAGAAACCACGAAGGAAACAAATTTCGAGCATCGCCAAGACAAAAAGTAAAATCTTATCAGATGAGCACGAATTACTTCCCCCTGGTCTACGTGTCCCATAACCACGAACGAATCAGATAACTTCTGCCAAGCTGCGGAAGGGCGCGCCAAGACAAACCGCCATTGACTAACAGGCCATAGACCCAGATAAGTTGAGTTTCATGAGTCTTGAGGGACGCTGACATCGTTGCGGAGGCCAGATTCCGGGATTTCCTCGGCGTTCCACCCCCCCATGGGCCCGGAGAGTGGGGGATCCAGTGGCTCCACGTTTCGCATTCTACCCACCTTTCCAGAGACTTTGCCTATTTTCACCATAAGTAGCTGGCTAAGTTCATTTTTAGAGAAGCTGGCTAAATCATCAGCCTTGACATTCTTTTAGACTTCGGATCTACCATACCGACACTCGACCGATCCACCTTTACATACGAACAGACCTCGATTGAACACACCACTATGGACAATGAATGGAAGTTTGACCGGGCAAATGTCACCCCTATTCCCAATATCGAAAACTGGAACGCGACAAGCCAGAAAGGCGAGCCCTATTTGATCCAAGTTTCATGGCCCTTGGGCTGGCCTCCAATTGAACGAACACATGAATGCTCGCAGGCAGCTAATATGATGTAAGATGAGTTTCTGACCCAAATAGTAGTAATAGTCATGGCCATCATCTGATAATTCATAAACAGCTACGTTGTGGACGGCAACGCAATGTTCCTCTCAGCAACAGATGTCGTACGACGGAATGGGCTCGGCCGTCACAATATCGGAACAATCGTTGTCGGAATTTCCTACCCGATGTCGGATGCTGTTTACAGTGCTCGTCGAGGCTTCGATCTCACGCCTCCTTGTGAAAGCTACAACCCGCCGAAAGACGCAGATGGAACGCCTTACCCACAGCCCCATGGAGGAGCTGATATTCTTCTTGGTTTTATAAATAAGGTTCATAGCTTTTTATTTGCCTCGGTTTTCCCTCAAGTTTCAATTCGGCAAACTGCGCTTTTCGGCCATTCTTATGGTGCCATCTTCGCTCTTCACGCGCTATTCACTGCGCCTGCATCATTTGACGCATACCTGGCGGCCAGTCCTTCAATTTGGTGGAATGACAAGTTCATCATCCAGGAGGAACGTGAATTCTACGCGAAGCCAGATCTTCAACATCGGCCCCTGGTGTGGATGTCGTATGGGTCTCTGGAGCAGGTGCCTGATCGGCAAAAAGGGGAGTCAGAGGTGGATTACGAAAAACGACTACGCAGTTCATCTGAGCGTCGCATGGCAGATAATTGCGATGAGATGTACCTATGTCTGAAAGCTAGTGAGCGATTGGGATACATGAGGAAGAGGGTTTATGAAGCAGAGGATCACGGAAGTGTCATTGCTACCTCCTTGAGTGGAGCTATTCTCTGCTTTATTGAAAATTCATCCCACTCAAGTGATGCAAATGCCGAGTGCTGAAATACAATCATCATGATTTATTGGATCTTCAAGCAGGAAAGAAAGATTATCGTCATAAACCAGAGGAGTTGGGTGTCTTGAACTATTTAAGGAAAAACCGCATTGTTCCGTCAACTTGGTAGTGTCTCTGGACCATTGAGTACCTTCTCAATCTCCAACCAATCCATGTAATCAACACCCGTTAAGGGAAGAGTTGGGTTGTTGAAACTGGAGTATATGTCTTCTGCCTCTCCAGATAAGTCAATATTCCAGTCATCCCGCGTGCCAAAAACCGTATCTGTTGATAGCAGATTTGCCCATGGCTCAAGTAATTGACTCTCATCATGATGATTGTGTCGACTACCTGGTTCAAATGACATGCTTGGTCGAGGCTGTATTGGAAAATTTCCGAAGCGGCGCCTGTCTCCACTTTCGTCCCGAGTTAGATTAAGTCCTCCGGGTCGTGAATTCATGCTGACTTGGGGAGACCCTTCACTCGATGAAGCTTTGTTGAAGATATGGCTTGGCCACACGTGTGAGCAAGACTGGGAAATGTCCTGGAGTCGCTGCTCAGCTGCAAAATTCCCAGACCGAGCTAAAAATTGCAGAACCTCGTAGGCTTGGCTCAATGCCGGAGGAGGCTCATCCTGGGAGTTATTGATAAAGCCACCCATAACGAGTACAAATGCGGCCGAGAATGTCGCATCTAAATCGAAAAATCCGAAGCGGGCTAGCAATAAACAAAATCAGCGACTTATATCATGACAGAATTCCATAGGATAGACTGACGTATTGTTCTTTGGCGTTGTAGGGAGTGCAATATTGCCAAGCTTCGCGTGGCCGCTTCGTTGCAAGTATCGCAAAGCCGTGAAAGCATATCGGGTACTATCTCAGAGGCCTCTAGTCTTTGCTGCCGTTGGACCCCTAAACGGACACTGCGTAGCAATATTGGTCGAGTACATAAGATGATAGCCTAATTATGTTTTCTGTCAGTACATGGAGCATGCATATCAGGCCACCATTCGGATAAACGAACCTGAAAAAGCATTAGATATAGAGATGCACCTGTACGGGTGACATTGCCAAGAGGTCGAGTAAAATCGAGAACTAGAGCTTGAGGAAACGACCGACCGATGTCAGACAATTCTTTCAAGATGTCTTGGATCCTTTTGACCAAGTCAAGCTCTGTGATGGAAGAATTCCCATACAGCGCTGTACAAGTTAGTATATGGCTCGAAGCTGGCGGTGTGAAGCATACATGACATGATCTCATCTGTTATACGAGCAATACGGACATTGATATTTAGTGCAACAGGGGATTGAAAGCCTGCGACGTTTCTGGGAAAGCCAGCTCGGAGTTGTCGCTCATCAGCTCCAGCGGCCAAACCTAGACCGGATGACAATCGCCTTCGCGTATTAGGGAATATTTTTCAATTCATGAGGGAATAACCTACCGATCCAACATATAAACTGTCCACCACAACCGGACTCTATGAGCACTCTGAGACGGAAGACAGCTTTGTTCACTTTCGGGGAGATTGCAACCAAGTGCAATGGCTAGGCGCAATGCAAGGCCAATCTTGCTCTGTTAGTGTCTCGTGGAATATTTTTTGGAAACGTGAGCTTACATGAAGATATGCATCATGTTTGCGGTCGCACCACTGGAGATATGTGGCCATGAGCGTAAGTATCTCGACAGCGATAACACCCTCCCCCCCGAGATGATGTAATTGGGGAAGCCGACTCAGTGCCTCCGTGAAAAGGGCGGAGCCAGGTGGCTGGCTGGTGGGACTTTCCACGTCCATGAGCTTGGCCATTGCCATGACAAGAAGATATTCGGTGTACCATGTAGATCTTTTTACTTCTTCTCGGGTCTCTGAAGTCTGAAAAAGAAGCATGAGAGAATCCGAGAATGTTCTCGAGTCAAAGAAATGCTGGCTGACACCCAAGTAAAAAAGGAATTGCTCGAGCAAATATTGTGATTGCTCAAGTGACGGCAATAATTCGTTATTATCTTCGAGTAATGTGTCGACTGATGTCCATTGAGAATAAGAACGACTATGACCTCTGCTTCTCGTATAATCTCGAGCCGCAAAGGGACTTGGTTGAGACCTATTTAGGAGAGATCTGGCCTGAGATTCAAATGCCGGCCCAGATGCGAGATCCGTCGCTTCAATTTGTTCTCCATTTAGATTATATTTCGTGTCAGATGGCAGGATTGTCACTTACCGGGACTGATTGCAGAAACACTTTCATTGTATGAAAATCCCCGGGATGGATTATTGGGCCCACTGCTGGCCGGCGTTTCGGCCTCGGCTTCCCGAGCTGTACGGCTCGGGCCTGGTCCGGAAGTAACGGGAGAGAGAATCGATGGCTCTGAGACATGTCAGTAAACTATTCGTGGATGATTCATTGCATGCCCATCTATAATGTACCGGAGGGTTGGCCTGCAAGCCTCTCTTCGTACGACCTTATCTTGTCCAGGAGATGCTGCACTTGACTAGGAGACGATCAGCATCGGTCGTGATACAGAAAGATAGAGCTCACGCTTCAGAGAATCTTCTTCGACCTGTATGCCCAAATGTACAGCTCCAGCCATGTTTTAAACACCCTCGGCAAGGTTGTTCGCCGGAGCATTTCACCTTTCGTCGGCGGCATGCCTCGCATCTGGACCGAGGTTAGCGCACATTCTTCACAACGCGCAACGCACAACGCGCAACAAGAACAGAGAGTTTTGGAAAGACTTACGCATTAGCCGATCGCGGATTCGGTGCTACCATAGTATAAAGGATAGGTAAATATCACTTTCGCTCATGGATCTCGGGGTTGGAGAAGTTGAGTTGAGTCGGGAGGTCGGTCCGATGATGTGGGGCAAGTCCGGATAAGCTTCCGAGCTCTGCCAGCAAGGACTACCTAGGGTAGGTAGGTATATTCCAACTTGAAGGCATTATTGTTGTTCCTTTGACGAAAATGATAACGTTTTTTCAATAACATACTCATCACCCTACAGACATTGTTTTGCTCAATCTTGACGATAAACTTTGGTACGACAATAACGTCAATGACTTGAAGAACATGAAGATAGTTAGGCTCGAAATCACATGGTTCAGGTTCGTCCATCAATTTAATTCCTCGGCACGATCACAAATTTATCAACCATATCAGAAAATGAAATTCACTCCTTGTTTACATTAATCAATCTCGCCTCCCACTGACGTTTCTAACCGAAGCCATTTTGTTTTATGCCCCAGGTGAGTAATCTTCCACGACGCTGCGACAAGAATAAACATAGTAACAATGATGTCCACTACGAGTAGTTCATGAAAACTTTTAGACACTTCAGGAAGTAAAAGAGGTCCATTGCTGAAAGAGAATAAAAAGAACGGAAATACCAAATCCAAGATACGCACCCAAGGGGAAATCTTGCGCGACATGGCAATGCAGATGTAGCAAGGTTCTGAAGCTTCATTGCTTTTCGGACCCAGATGTGACAAAGGCCAATTGTACCCCCCTAAATAGAGCATTAGACCACCGGAAAAAAAAGTAATTTCTCCTAACAGAAGGACAAAGACTCGCAGGTTTTGAAGGCATCCACCCCAGTCATGGAAACGATCCAGGTGTATATCACACCTGCACCAGATGAGAGATTCAGTAGTGACATGAACACTAGGAGATGGAAAAAATAGAACTGCCACGACAGGGAGCCGAGGTAAACTGAAATTGAATAGAAGGCCATCATGAGGTGTCCTATCCATGACTGTAGATGACAGACATAGAAGTCTCAAATTGACCTTGTGCAAGGGTTCTTCATGTTCAAAAACCTGAATCTTCATCATTTGTTCTAACACATTATCACAATATATGGGTCCCAAGACACTAAGGCAGTTATTAGATGTTGCACAGAGTCTGTAAAGTTTCTATTCTTGATTTTTCTACTACTCAAATCCCCATGAGAATATTTCAAGTTCTCGACAACGAAAATTTAATCCCATCAAATTACCATATGACAAGGAAGCGCGAGCTTAGAATTAAGATAACGCTCGATTTTCACTAGTCGCAGGCTTTTTCTCCCACAAAGCATGACTTTTTCTCTCTTCTTCTTATGAAGCTAGGCTCAGAAAAGCCGCTAGAGCTGCGGGATTATTACTTGTAATTTCCATCCACCAATGAGCACTCACGAATAAATTCTGTCGCCGCATCATGTCAGCACTTTTTCTAAAACAAGAATCTTGTCCGAAGCTACTAGTACTATAGCTTCGGCATTTTTATTGCATGGGGTCGGCTGCTTTAAACCATTAACCGTTTTGAGGCTCGGCTGCCGGGTAGCCGGGCGTCGTACTGCATATTAAATACCCCCAAGTTGATTATATCTCAGGTACTGGGTCTGGAAAAAAGTTCACACCCACTTAATTGATTCAGATCTTCCAATTATCACTTGTTTACAGTTTTCATTTACTATTGGACTGGGTAAACTGAAGGGCATTGGGGGACTTATCCTCACCAGCGTGTCGCTTGCAGGCGCACTGTCAACTGCGGCTACCGAGATTTTGGCATCTTCTTTGTTCCCGAATGAAAAGTTACAATTGACTGAGGGTGTGCTTTTGAAACTTTCGGTCGCCTTGCAAAATGGCACAATATCAAGCCTGTTTGATTTTGCGAATGACTCCACTTCTCGCGCTGTGGCCAAAAACAATCCCCCCCCCTTCGCTGCAAAGCAATCCCGGGTGAGCTTTTGTGGCCTTCAGACCAAGTTTGGAATGTTTTTGATATCTTGCTCGGCGAGCGTCTTATCAAGACGGTGCTTTTGGCAGCCTCTTGCTATTAGGACTGGCCGGAGTACAACGCCACCCAGTGTGCGACCATTGCCGCCAACTGGTTCAACTCAGACTTGAACATGGAGGACCCAGCCTCTATCATATTGCCCCTATACCAAGGCCGCTCGTGTCTTCCACCGCCATACAATTGTACCGCTGGTTGCACTCGAGGTGGCTACCCGACATACGCAGTGAATGTTTCCACTGTAGCGCAGATTCAGCTCGCGGTCAACTTCGCTCGGAATTTGAATCTACGCCTAGTAGTCAAGAACACCGGGTATGACTTCAATGGGAAGGCTCTTGAAAATATGCTCTTACTATCTGGACCCACTACATCAAGGACAAGGAGTATTACCCAGCATTCAAGGCTACCAATGGCTATGTCGACCCAGCGATCAAATTCGGCTCGGGTATCCAGGTATTTAAAGCCTATGAGTTTGCTAAAAGAGTCGGTCATTCGGTAGTTGGTGGTGAGGCTGTCACGGTTGGCTTGGGAGGTGGTTATACCGCCGATGGTGGCCACTCCCCGCTGTCTAGTATGTACGGTCTGGCATCTGACCAGGTACTAGCCATGCAAGGCGAGTCCTCCATCGTTCCAAACAGCGTCTCATATTCGCGAAATGAAATCTCATACTAACCTCACTCCAGCTGTTCTAGCAAATGGTCATTTTATCACTGCTACTTCTACAGAGAACGCAGATATTTTCTGGATGCGCCGCGGCGGTGGCGGTAGTACCATCGGTGTTGTTACTTAGTTGACTGTCAAGGCTTTGCCTAAGCTTAAGACTACTACTGTGACCTTCAACTTTACAGTCAATGATACCCCAGGTCCAGATGCCTTCTGGTCAGCAGTCGAGGCGTATCTTGACAACTTCGAGAAATTTGTTGATGCTGGCACCTACGGTTACTATTATACCGACGCGTCTTCTGTTGAGAGTGGTACGGACTACGCCGGTAGTACCGACTACCATTTCAGAATCGAATCTTTTGTTGCACCAAATATGAGTGTTACCGAGACCAAAACTCTCCTTGCTCCTTGGTTCAATGCTCTTGATAACTTGAATGTTTCCTTCACTCCATGGTACAACCATGCAGATAACTTGTGGGTGTACGGCTGCTGATTAGTCTATACGGGTGTTTTTGATAGAAAGTCAGCTAACATCAAATTTCAGTCATGATGCCTGGGTTGGGGCTTTTCCCCAGGAATATGTCGGAGCTGATGTTGTCAAAACTGCTTCGCGCCTGCTCCCACGTAGTGTCTTCCAGAGCGATGATCTCCGAAACCAGACCTTCGAATCTTTCAAAGATGCTATCATTAAGGTATGCTCACCTAAAATATCCACCGCAGGCTTCGTATCTCATTTCAGGATATCTCACACAAATAGGGCCTCTTTATCGCCGGATTTCACATTAGCAGTACCGGGATTGCCGTTGAGCCCCAACGGACAGTGCCGTTCTCCCCGCATGGCGAGATGCTATGACACATGTCATTATAGGATCTGAATGAAACTTCACTTTATCCTGGGATGTCATCAAGAGCTCCTCGCTTTTCGTAACCAAGTGGATGGATGTGCTGCGTGAAATAGCCCCAGACTCCGGTGCATACATGAGTGAAGCCGATCTTCTCGAGCCGAAACTCCAAGAAGCGTTCTATGGTACCAATTATTCCAGTCTCTATGCACTCAAGCAGAAACACGACCCCACCAGTCTCTTCTTTGCTCTTACAGCCGTCGGCGCCGAGGATTGGGAGGTCCAAACCGTTGATCCTCTACCGTACTCTTGGAATAACAACGGACGACTGTGTCCAAAGTCTTCTTGATTTAATACATGCGGTTGGTCTGTATGATTTTCTGTATGATTTTAATATTTATGACTTTTCAGTGGTGTATATAGCCGATATCAATAATATTCAAACGATGCCTACTAGTAGCTATTAGTACTATCCGTTACTCCAGGTAGTGATCGGACTGGACACATACTAGTAAAATTATGGTTTATATCCATATCGCGTCTGTTCAACTATTCTGGGCGAGGAGATTAACATATTCCTATGTGAAGAAGATCTTGTCTGGCAGTTGCAATCGAACAGGAGATTTCCCCGCGGCCGGTTATCGGAAACTTGTGGCACGCTCAGATGTCTTAATTCCTCATTCCCCGCACCAAGAGTTCCAGATAGGATGTAACATCCGAGAGAATCCTCTTTTACGTCGGGTGTTACGCAAACATTGAGTGATTTTTTTCGCTCAACCACCTAATTACCTCTGGACCCATTCAAATTTCAAAGTATAGGAAGTAAACTTATTTCTCCCAGAAAGTTAGACTTCATCGGCAATCAACATGACCAACAACCTAAGTGTCAAGCCGTGGTTGCCTCAGACACCACCTCCCGAGGTCACTTTCTTCAATGTGAATCTGGTTGATACTGAGCTAGGTGAAGTGGCTCCTAACTCTACTGTGAAGATCAAGGATGGTCTCATCATCGATGTGACGACTGGAAGCGCAGAGTCTCACACTTTGCTCGATGGAACCAACACAGTGGATCTGAAGGGTCAATACCTCTGCCCAGGCCTTATCGACTGCCATGTTCATCTGACAGCGACACCTGGAGCTCTTTCACTGAAGGACTTGTTTTCAGCAAGCCCTAATAGCATCGCATACCGTACGGCATTTGTTGCGCGAGAGATGCTACTTCGTGGATTCACTACAGCTCGTGATACTGGTGGAGCGGACTCTTCTCTTCGCGAGGCTATTCGAGAAGGTCTCATCATTGGTCCTCGGCTGTTTATCGCTGGAAAAGCCCTGTCTCAAACAGGAGGCCACGGAGACCTTCGAGCTAGCTTTGAGGGAGAACAGCACAAGTGCTGTGGGGGCCACTCGCCCGCCTTCGCGCGTGTATGTGATGGAGTTCCCGAATGCCTTAGTGCGGTACGAGATGAGCTACGACAGGGCGCGGATTTCATCAAAATAATGTGCGGAGGGGGTGTTGCCACTCCAGCAGATGCCCTCGACATGCTTCAGTTCACCGCGGAAGAGATACGTGCGATAACAACGACTGCTAGATACTCCAAAACCTATGTGACGGCTCATGCATACACTATTGATGCAATCCGTCATGCTGTCGATAATGGGGTGATGGGAATTGAGCACGGAAATTTCATCGACGAGGAGACTGCAGCTTACTGCACCAGAAAAGGAGTAATTTTTACTCCGACTCTTGTCACTTACAAAAGCATGACCCGGCCTCCATTCGACAATTTCCTTGACAAATTTAGCCAGGAAAAAAACCGCCAGGTTCTTGCAAGTGGGTTAGGTGCGCTTTCAGTTCTTCAGAAAGCAGGAGCAACAATCTGCTATGGATCGGATCTCCTGGCAGGTCTGCACTCTCTGCAAAACGAGGAGTTTTCGATCCGTTCTTCTGTGTTGAGTGCAAAAGAAATTCTCCAGTCTGCCACGGTGAATGCTGCCAAGCTTCTAGGAATGGAGAATCGACTAGGATGCATCAAGAAGGGGGGTATTGCAGACATTCTCATTCTGAAAACCAATCCGCTCGAAGACATTACGATCTTAGATCGGATTGATGAAAGCCTGGTGGCTATTATTAAGGAAGGTCGCGTGGTTTTCAAGCGATCGAGTTGGTTGGCTGTTGACCCGATGTACGACCCATGCCGTGTTCAAGCAGAATAAGCAGGACTCATTGTGCTGTTATGAATGATTTTTATTCTAGGGGTGACATTAAATCAACTCCAAATTGCATCTCAAAAAGAATAATAGCACTGTGATATCAGATAAAAGAAATCTTACTCAGGTGCGAAGGATATGCAGGGTCTGTAGTGTCGGAAGCTCAAGCCGACAAAACCTCGGATGTCATCCGAAGGGATGAGGGGGGGATCTGCGGGTCAATCTTTTTTTCAAATTCGCAAAATCACATTCGGAAGAGCAACGTGTTTGAGTTGATAGGCTGATTGTTTAACGATTGGCTGCGGTTATCGAGGTTGAGTACATAATTATACTCGCTGCCTTCTCGCATTTTTTCGTCTCCTTTGCTTTTCCGCAATGCCTTATATAACCCCGATTGGCGAGGAATCTCCTCAGAACCGCGTTCATATCGCAGTGCTTGACACCGATGTACCATGTCCCGCCATCTATGCGAAACGTGGCATGCACAGCTCGCGATTTCGTGTTCTTCTCCAAGCTGCCGCGGGACGTCTCAATCAAGATGCACAAAAGTTGCAACATGGAAATATCGGAATCCATGTGACGGCTTTTGACGCTGTGGGAGGCTCATATCCGCCACTTTCGTTCCTGCGATCTAGTCCACGATCTTTCAATAGGACAAATGCCAGTGATTCGCCTGGGCCGATCGATGTGGTTTTGGTTACTGGTGCTGCTGCCGCGGCATATGATGATTTGCCATGGATTCCAGCCCTCCGTTCATTCATCCAAACAGTCTACGCTGATTATCCTTTTGTTAAGATTTACGGATCTTGTTTTGGCCACCAGCTTATAGGCCAGGCATTACTTGAAGGCCAAGAGTGTTCCATGGGTAAAGATTTCCCATCAAAAATCTCAGTTGAACCATCAGTGCTGGGCCATGAAATTGGAGTCCATCCTATTGTACTGAATTCTCAATTCAGCCGCCGATTTTCCTCAGTCGCTCAGTTTTCGTCAGAACGACCAGTTCAATTACAAGTCATTCACGGTGATATTGTGACCCCCTCACAAGATATTCCCTCGCATATAGGCCAAAATGAGCTTGTACTCCCAGGGCCATGGATGAATATCGGAAGCAGCTCCAAATGCCTTATTCAAGGGCTCTTTCATCCTGGTCGTGTCCTCACATTGCAAGGTCACTTTGAATTTGACGCATTTGCATCAGGCGAACTATGCCGCCAGTTCGCACGAACATACAACTGGACACAATCTTCTTTGGACACTCATTTAAAAAATATATGGGGATCATTTGAATCTATTGATGGGCCTTCAGGGCCTTATGATGACGCGAAAGCGGTAGCGGAGATGGTTGTGCTATTCTTTGCAGACGAAGACCAGGTTTTAGCTGCATTTTCGGGAAAGTCCTCATGAGGAAGGCGGGTTCAGAAGACCACCGCTATTCATACGCCCTATAGATACCGATAGAACAAACAAGTCCGTTTCATTTGGCTCTCTGACATTGTTTTGTTCCAAGCAATTTACAGTTCCGAGCATATTCTAGCACAACGTCACTGAGACTGGCTCAGTGAATGCACTGAGTTCAATAGTTAAAGTTAGTTGTGAGGCATTTCCCCTATCTTCGAAAAATAAACAAATAATGATGAGGCCTTTATCCAATCCAATCTCCGCTGTCGGCTGCATGGAGTATACTTCGCCTCGGAATAACCTTCTTCCGGCTCGCTGCGTACGCGCGGGAAAAATGCCGCGACTGAGAGATCATCGTTTCTTCCGCAGCGCTCTTTGACATCCCCGAGGCATGTTGTCTCCGTTGAAGCCGTCTGTGCCGTCGGCCTCGCTATTGCGATTCTTGCGATCACAGTCAGAAGTCTCGATCGGCTCAGCCTGCGCTCAACCCCGACCCCGACTTCATTGCCAGGTGCAATTTGCGACCGGGTCATCTCGCAGATCTTCAAGTTTGATTCGCTCCAGTCAGTCGCAGTATGCCTTGGTCCCTACAGGAGACTCTATTGTCGGTACACACTCTAGACCGAAAGCCACAAGTCCACGAACAATTTCGGAGCCCTTGATCATCTCTCGAAATACCTCTACAACCCGCCGACCGCTTCTCCGGAGGCTCTTCGACCTCAAACGAAACAAAAATGCCGAATATAAGAATGCTCGCCCTGGTCCCGCGCTGATCGATGATACCGCGGAGGGAATGTTCAACATTGGTCGTGGGCTTGCTGCGAGAGCTTCCAACGAGCTACGCATTCGGTGCACTGAATTCGATAACAATGGGAATGTCACGCTCGTAAATGGAGAGTTTCGGAAGCTGGAATTAATTGCAAAGGTTGGACTAACACACGCCCTGTCTCCCGAAAGTCTTTGGCATCTTGCTAACTCAATTGGCGCCATTATAGTACGGCCTCCTTCCTCGAGACCTCCGCAAGATCGATTCCTCTACCCTGCCTCACATCCTAGTCCGACCGAGGGCCATTCTTATCAATCTGCTACATCTGCGAGTACTGATAAAGTCGGACCGCGTCCTAGTGTTCGACGCATATGGGTCAACAGACTCCTATATGCAATCGCTGTTTATCTATGACCTGGAAGCGAAACTCCGTCAGAAATCATCGCAGGTGGCACAAGGCGGCCAATCTCTTCCTTACGAACTCCGCGCGCTGGAAGCCGTTCTCATCAGTGTTACAACGGGGTTGGAAGAAGAATTCAATGGTGTGAGAGACCCGGTTGTTCGGGTTCTCCGTGCGCTGGAAGAAGACATCGACCGCGATAAACTCCGACACCTGCTGGTCTACTCCAAGAAACTTGGCACCTTTGAGCAGAAGGCTCGACTGGTTCGAGATGCCATTGACGATTTGCTTGAGGCCGATGACGATCTTGCTGCTATGTACCTCACCGAGAGATCGCATGGCAAGGAGCGAGAAGAGGATGACCACCAGGAGGTGGAGATGCTGCTAGAATCTTATCACAAAGTTTGCGATGAAATTGTCCAGGCTAGCGGCAGTTTGGTGACTGGAATTCGCAATACAGAGGAAATGTGAGTCCTGAAAGTCCCTGCAAATAAGAAAAGGCAAACCAGTATTAACCCTTGACAGTGTCAAAGCAATTCTCGACGCCAATCGCAACTCACTCATGCTTCTTGACCTCAAGTTCAGCATAGGAACTCTCGGCCTTGCCGCAGGAACCCTCTTCTCTGCTCTTTACGGAATGAATTTGAAAAACTTCATCGAGGAAGACGACTTCGGATTCGGTGGCGTCTCAGCCGTCTGCTTTATCCTCACTGGAATTGTCTGTTATTATGGACTTGGAAGACTACGCAAGCTTCAGCGTGTGCGTATGTGGGGAGAGGGTGGTGTGGGAACTGCCAGCTTGGCCCCACCGCTATCACCAAGACGGACAAGCATCCCTTCTACTCGCAGTAACTGGCGTGCTGAATCTATTGAGCCAGTCTGGGGCAGTCTACCAGGCGAAGCACGATCCGATCGAATGAAAAGATTTCGTCAGACTGCCGCCGCGAGCGCGGCTAGTGGTGCTGCCAGAACTCCTGGGGCCAATATCCCAAATTCATCGGCGGCGGCGTCTGCGGCTTTTGAGTCTGCATTGAACTCCGAGGCGTCCAAGTCTAGCGGAGAAGACCAGCCCGATGAGCCACAAGAAAAACAGGATGGTACCGGTACAACCAAGTCCTCTTAGATACAGTCCGCATTAATCTCTGCATTTGATAGAATAGCGAGTCGCATTTGCTTTGGCGTTTGATACAGGAATTTTCAACCGTCCCGCCTCTTTGTACATTATCAATTACTATGATTCTCCTCTACAAGCCCCACTCCGTGAACTGTGTCCAGGTCAATATATGATATCCATCTCTCTTGAACGTCATTCGAAGTCCAATCAATCTTTATTTCGGGGTATCTATAGTGGGTGATCAATGTACCGTGCTTCCTTCCTCGTCACCTCGATGGACATTACGAGCACGCTCGACCCATTTCTTCGCGGCGACTTCAATGCCGCCATCATTTTCGCATTCCCGGCGAATGATCTGCATGGTCTTTTGCTGGAGTTCTTCATTGGTTACATTTTCCTCTTGACGTCCAGTGATACCCATATCTCGCGTACTTGGAATCTGAAGCTTGAATCTTTGTACTTCATAGCCAATATCTTGGGCAATCTCCATGGTTTTCGCTGTTAGCGATCCATACATTGAAGTGAACATGCCCTCTTCTGTCTTCTCTTTCTGCTTCAACAACCTCAGTGCTCGCAGGTCTCCCGAAGCTGGTTGTAGATTTTGGTCAATTGAAGTCTGCTTTTGATAGCTGTTATTGCCCTGGCCAAGCGGCAGCGGGTATTTGCCTGTTTCTGATGGTGGATAGCGGAATCTATCTCCAGAAAGAGAATGAGAGCAGCAAGGAATAGCAAGAAATGGTAGGGGCGACGTGGGGCAGGCCAGAGCCGCTATCAATGGAGTCCAAACTGTAAGCTCATCGGCATGGTTTGATATGAGAAATGTGTCCTTGGGGTAATTTCCCAATTCAGCATCCACGCCTATCTCCTTGGGCTCAAGGACATCTATGAATGGCTTGGGTATGAAGACCTTCTCCATCAATCGATCCTGTACGGGCTCTGGGAAAGTCTTCCACGAGTTCCTTCGACGCGCATCAAACCCGAGTCCCGAATATCCTTCCATTAAAAGTACATATACGAGAACACCGTTTCCGCAAGCCATATCCACGAATCCTGAAAAATCCGCCGGGCAGCTATTTTCGGACGATTCAATCTTCGGAGCTGTGCCATATAGACTTCTCCACAGCTCAATGATAAATGCAGCTATGGCCAGGTCTTCGAATACGTGTTTGGCTGGCTCTGCTTCCTCCGCCCAGTTTGCGATTAGATCTTGGGCGTAGATATCATTCAGTCGCGCATATGTTTTTTCGACCAGGTTGTGCGGGACCACATCGTTCTTGTCCTTTGATATATCATTTCCGATTATATTCGTACCAGGCGATGGTAATCTCCGCCATTGGTCTGCGTCCGTTTTGACAGTTCGTGAGGAAATCTTCATGGTCTTGCTTGCTGTTGGAACAAATCACTTTTTTCCAGGTACTTCGTGTCGTTGGTGACAGAGCCAATGTGCACGGTTTGCTGGTCAGATGGCAAAATGTGTGGCCCTTGAGGCCTTTTCAAATATAAATATCTTTTATTGAATTTAATACATTCTGCAAATGCCACTAGCACGGTCTCGAAGGCAGCGGATCGTTGAGTTGTGGTATACGAGATGATTGTGGAGCATTGAAAGAGAAAGCGCTCCGGAAAAAAGGAAAGCGGCAGAAATTGCCATCACGTGGGAACTCATCAAAACACTTTCCTCCCATCAAATTTAACGACCAAAGCATGAAGCAAAGACCTAATTTCAAGGAATTGCCCATTCAACCCTCGGGCCTCTATTGGGAAAATGACTTTGTGGGTGCGGAACACGAGCAACGACTCATCTCAATCTTCACCAACGAATTAAAATGGCCTGATCGACCAGGTAGGATATCCCTACACTACGGATACACCTTCGACTACAAGACATTCGGCATAGACCCAGAGATTCCATACAAGGAGTTCCCGGACTGGTTGCAGCCTCTCATTCCTACCACCGAAGATCGACTCCCAGACCAGGTCTGCCTGCAATTTTACCCACCAGGTGCCGGGATTCCACCACATGTAGATGCACATGCACCATATGATCAACTCTATGCACTTTCGCTGGGCGCGCCGGCGATGATGGTGTTTGGCCAGGGCGAGAAACGCATCGAGGTCGATCTGAATCCACGGAGCATGATGCAGATGACTGGGGACTCCCGATTGCATTGGACCCACGGTATCAAAAAGCGCAAAACTGATACTCTCCCCGACGGCACGGTCCGTCTTCGCGAGAACAGATGGAGTATTACCTACCGTTGGCTTCGAGAGGGAGACTGTGAATGCGGGAATCTTACCTTTTGTGATACGGCGCAGAGCCGGAACGGGACAGAAAAGGAGAAAAGATCGGTCAAGGCGCTTGCTGAGAAGGCGGATTCCGAAGACCCAGCCAGTTGATCTGCGCTTATTATTCCCATGGATTGAATTTGTATCCTAGTCTATACATATACCCAAACAAGCAAATATTACGTCTTCAAAGAGGTCTCCTTCACTTCAGGCGTATATTCAGGAGGGGGAGCAGACGTTGCTACCTTCGGTGCAGACCCCATTTCCCCTCCTTTGGACTTTCGCTTTCCCTTGCGCTTTTCTGTCGTATGGTTGCGAATCATCATGGTGATTTCTGGGTTGTAGGATACCTGCTCTGGGGTCTCATTCGATCCGTTCTTCACGTTGAGCGAAGGTCCGTACCCGAGCAATAGGCGAACCATCTCATCGTCCTTCTCTTTGACAGCCACATGAATCGCTCTATTTGAATCCCATCCTTTCATGTTGATATCAGTTCCGTTGTCCAGGAACAATTTGACAAGTTCGTAATTGCCTGATTTCACAGCGTCGTGAAAAAGAGGTCTCTTAGAGCTGTTCATTTCCTTCCCTGACACCATCCCACTGCGGAAGAAGGGTTCGATTATCTGTAAATTGCCACCTTCGATAGCGAGGGCGAATGGTGTTGCCATATTTCGATCCCTAGCCTTGACCTCGGTCTTATCGCCGAGCATTCGAAGAACAAGGGGGATCTTGAAGTTTTTGTCGTACTCTAGAAGAGTTTCGCACATTTCCCGATGTTCATTTTGAACGGCCATGTGGAGAGCCGTCCATTTCGTGGAAGTGCTTCGTGAGGTGTCGGCCTTGAATTCCAAAAGCAGCTGAACCATTTCAAGATCTCCATTCTCGGCCGCGATATGGATTGGATAGTAAAGCTTTTTATTCCAACACGTTAATGCCGAGCTTTCGCATTCGAGTAATAGCCGTGTGAGCTGTTTATGGCCGCCTTTCACAGCTAAATGCAATGGCACTGAATCGCTGGCATTTTTGACCATGGGTGACGCTTTCCTTTCGAGGAGAAGTCTGGCAATATCCCAGTACCCCTGATCTGCCGCATGGTGAAGCGCAGTGAACCCGGTACCATCAATCGCGTTGGGATCGACTCCTTCATCTAGTAGCGATCTCACGGTGTCGATCCGATTCTGAGATGCGGCTTCGGGCAATGCCATGCCGGACTTTGCAGATTTTTTCGTGTCGCTTTCCATCATGACATGGAGTGGGGTTTTTCTCTCGTTGAGAGCTTTGGGGCTTTGTTTCGGCTTTGATCGCCAGCGGTTGTTTCAGGGCATAGTGTCATTTTAAAATGTCCTCGGCTCGGTATAGATTGGCATGCCAAGTCACCCTAAGCCCGTTCCGTTATTGACAAGCGAACTGCGCCCTGGGGGCCGTTAGCTTGTCAGTGCTATTTTAGTTTACACGGGCGCTCTGCGCTCGAGCCAACCTCTCGCAAGCATTTTCAAGGGTTTTATGGAGTAGCAGCAGGTAATATGTGAAGCCGATCTGGCGTCGCTCTGCTCCCTTAATTAGCTCGGGCATAACTTAGCATCACGCTTTAGTTCTAAAATATGAATCCCTGGTTTCTGTGCTATAGCGCAACGCTTTGATCGATACGATCTTCCCTACCTTAACATTGGACAGTAAAAAAATCATTTTGAGCTATTAGTAAAGCGATACATATTTGGATTTAATTATTGCAAGATCGTTTTCGTCACTGCGAATTGTCATTGCCGTGCATTGTAACCAGCACAGCGGAAATCCCCATTTAGATCCATTTTCACTTTGAACGACTTTGAACAATTTCGACAACGGTGGCAAGAGTTTAGTTTCTGAACAATTACAATTACCTGATAAATTCCATATTCATTTTGTTGCTTCGAAAGCGAACAGCAAGCTTTCGGACATGATAATGTGTTCTGTTTTTTTTTTTTAACTTTTGCTATCGGGCCAATGAATGTTCCAGACTCGAGCTAATTGAGCCATCATTCAGTCATCAGCTACTACATGGTATTCTAGGCTTTCTCCAACAGCCTGCCTTGTGGTGGTCTTTGCCACCGAAAGCTGTACTGCCCCTTCTCTAATGCAATGCGTCTCGAACGCACATCCGTTTGCCAATCGGTTCCTCCTCCCTCTGTAAACCCCAGCTCAAAAGGCACACAGTGGTTTGGAGGGGTTGGGAGATCCGGCCATGTAAGCCGCTTGGGTGCATTGAAATATTGTTCTGTAGCTCTGTCGGTTCTCGTCGCTCATTCATTCAGAAACTTTCGGAACTTTGAAACGTCAGAGTCTAGTTCGCGACGACTCCATTCAATATTCTGTACCATGTCTATATTTCGTTCCCAGCGAGGAATACTCGTGACATGCGTATCGTTGGTGATGATCTCATATAGTGTGAAGGCAACACCAGACATATCATCTCGGTTATCCAGTAGACCGTCCTTGCCATTAGCGGCCCAATCGAAATCGAAGAGAATGACTTGTCTGTTTCGAGGCCGACAAGCAAATTCCGTGTTGCAATATTCTGATGCACAATCCCTAATTCAAGCCCACCTAGGATGTACTTTGTTGTGAATCCAATCACTCGAGAATCTATGTCCTCGAGAACAATACGGTCAACCCGTATTATATTAGGATGAGGCGGCAGTTTGCTGAGCAGGTTCATCTCCTTCCAGGACATTTGTATTCTTCGAGGCATGCCTAAAGGGTTGAACTTGAATACGACCCCCTTGTCAATATACGATATAAGATCGACACCTAGTCCAAGCCGACCCAGCTCTCCTAACTGAGAGAAGTGTATAGTAACACGCACCAAATAAGTCATCCCCTTCAATTACCAATTCAATTCATACAAAATGTCTTGAAAAGTACAAATTCGGTTCGTATAGGGAAAGGTGTCCCTCCTACATTGATTTGGGTGTAGAATCGTTGGCCCATTTATTATTATTTTCAAAGTACTAGTAATAAAGTTACTGGCTTCCTGATAAGACGTGGAGGCTGTACACTTCATACATGTCGATAGATTCTCCCTATAAAAGGTCACCTAAGATTTCTCTTCCGCCAACCACGCTTTGTAGCAACCGCCGTTAGAAAGCGTCCTTCGTAGCCCCAATGAAAGCCTTTTAATTCCTAGACTAAATAAGTAACCGCTGCACCGTATGAAGCATAATTTTTCGGATGCTGCGGCTTTTCTTTCGTGGGTCTCCCCTCCACCAACCCGCTAATCCACGGTCGATAGCATCAAGTAGTTGTCACGCCGACGTAACACCTACACGATGTCGAAGTATTCAACGGAGAGGAATCATCTCCGGACTATATTTTCCTAACAATTGATCTACTGCCCTTGTCAATTCAACTTTCCTTTCGAATCTCTATCCTCGCAATCATAACCACTTCACCTCACCTTACCCATCAAGACCAATCTACCTATTCCACGACCCATCAAAAACACAACACCAAACATGAAGCTTCAAATCACACTTCTGACCACTGTCCTTACCCTCTTCTCCTCTCCCGTCCTGGCAGCTGCTGTTCCTGACCCAGCGCCAGAACCAGAACCAGCCCAAGCCTCGGGAACAAGCCACAACCCAAGCACACAATATAACTGGCACTTCGATCTGTTCAAGAACAAGCGCTGCAGCGACGCAGCAATCAACATCAACGGCACCGGATCCAGCGGATGCAGAAAAGATGTTCCAAAGGGTGGTATTGTCGCGTTCACCAAGGTGGATGTTGATCCGCACTGTAAGGTGACGCTGTACAAGGATAGCAAGTGCTCGAAAGGTCAGGATATTGGTAGCATTGATTCCGACGCGAAGACTACCTGTGCTTTGGCTTCGAAGAAGAAGGCGCATATTAAGAGTTTCCAGGTGAAGTGTTAGTCACCTCGAACTTGAATGGTTATCAAAGTTGTCGTTTTCAGTCGTTTGATGGTGATTGGTGAACGAGACTGTTTGTTCTAATGGTATGGTTGTGTTTTGAAATTTTCAAATGAGGTTTTGATTTATTTATTTCCTTGGCTGGTTGTAGGATTATTCTTGTCTTCTATCGTAAAGTATCCGGAGAGCACGTACAATGGCGTGAAAGTCATAGGACTTTTGTCTGTTGGAGGGGTGACGCCTTTTCAAGAGTAAAATATGGCATAAATACTAAGATATTTGGGGTAGAAGCCATCGCCATACAGAACATCAAGGAGCCAGAGAATCTGTAGTTCGGCATATCCCGATTAATCTCATCTCCTGGCATACCTTGAGATGCCCGGATATCATCTAGACCACCTTAGAGTAGTCCCACTACCATGGTTCCCTACCCCACCGATAAGCTTATCAGCCCCGATGACGATGTAATCCACCCTCCTATCCCACTGCCACCTCAGGTCAAACCGGTTACTTCACTTCCCATAAGCATTCATTCACACCAATTCATCAATTCACCAATTCATCCCACCACCACCCACAATGGCGCCCCGCTGCTTCATAGTCCGCCACGGCGAAACAGAATGGTCCATAAATGGCCGACACACAGGCGAAACCGACCTGCCCCTCACAGCAAACGGCGAGAAGCGAGTCAAAGCAACTGGAAAAGCCCTCGTCGGCAACGACAGACTAATTGTTCCCAAGAATCTGGTTCACGTGTACGTTACGTCTCCCCTCCCTCTGCTCTACCCTAGCCTATTTTCTCTCGGCAATGTGGCTAAGCGAGAGTCTGGGAGTAAGCCTAAGCAAGCCAAGTACCTGACTAACTGTTATATACTGTACAGCTACGTATCCCCACGCACCCGCGCTCAACGAACCCTCGAACTCCTCGAACTCGGCTGCCGCGAACGTCTACCCTGGACCGAAACCCGGCAGGCAGAAGAAGACGAGCCGATTCGGTCAGAGGCTAAGGTGTCAATCACGGATGCGGTGCGCGAGTGGGATTATGGTGATTATGAGGGTTTGACGAGTAAGCAGATCAAGGCTCTGCGGGAGGAAGGTGGGGAGAAGCCTTGGAATATTTGGACTGATGGGTGTCCTGGGGGAGAGTATGTGGAAGATATCACTTTCTTTTTTTACAGTTCTTTATTTGGCACTATTGCGTTGCAGAGAGTGTGTGTATGTGTCTCATGTCAGGTCCCGCTAACGCGAACTTTGCGAACACAGATCCCCCGACGATGTCGTCAAACGCCTCGACGCTCTAATCGCTGATATCAAAGAGAAATACCACCGGGCCTGCCTTGAGGGTGGTTCGGAGTCTGGAAAGGGTGACGTCCTGGTCGTTGCGCATGGGCATATCCTCCGCGCATTTGCGATGCGGTGGGTTGGGAAGCCTTTGACGGAGACGTCATTGATTCTGGAAGCTGGTGGTGTGGGAACCTTGAGGTGAGTTACTTGCACAATGCCCTTTCCCTTCGCTCTCCTTTGTTCTTGCACTTTGTGGAGTGTCGCCGCATGCATAGAAAAGAAATGTAGAGCTGGGGTATGTTTGCGAGCGGCATCATCTGATAACGACATCATACAGCTATGAACATCACAACGTCGATGAGCCGGCCATTATTCTCGGTGGAGCGTTTGTGGTTGAGTAGATGTGTGGTGAATATGCAAACTGCATATAGAAGAGCAGTGGGCATAGCTGGGCGCAGTCCAGCAGAGCTGGAGTAGAGGCGTGGCATGGCGTGGGTGGAGTACCGTGGTACAGCTTCATGATATGCGGATCAGATACTACTATACATACCATAGTTAGCAGAGATTCGCAGCATAAACCGATAGAGTCCAACTCGGCCCTCCTCACCTCGGTTCAGTTCTGTTAATTGGGACTTGTCACTCACCAAGGACCACCACAATAATAACACCACACACCACACACATCCACAATTGAAATTGAAATTCAATCCAGAGCCACCTTTCTCCCATCAATAATCACTCCTCATCCCCCTCAACCTTAACAGCAAGCTCCTCATGACCCTGCCCCTGCACATCAGCATCAGCCTGCCCTTTAACTCCCTCCTCCCCAATAACCTTCGCAGACCCCATAAACAGCGCACCCACATACCCGCCCAAAAACCGCATATCACCCGCCTGCACGGCCGTCATGCGAAGCAAGTTCTCCGTGTCGGCTAGGTTGGCATTTAATTGCGCTAGTTGCGAGTGCAGGTGGGCGTATTGGCGTTGTTTGGCTGTTGACATTGAGCTGGGGCCGCTGGCAGTGCTGCTGGGCCCGGGTTTGGTGGCTGTTGCGGTGTTTGGGAGGATTGAGGTTCTGTATGTGGGTTGGGAGTCTGTTCGGCGGTGGGGGTTTAGAGGGGGCATTGTTTTTGTTTTGCTTTGTTTTGTTCTTGGTGGGTGGGGTTTTTGTGGGTGAGTTTGTTATTTCGGGGGTTTGTGGTATATGATTGAGTGAGAGATTGAGGGTGGGAAACTGGCTTGGTCGGTTGGAGGTAAGAGTTGAAGATTGTTCGAGATGAAAGTTGAAGTGGGGAGTTCCCATTTGTTTACATCGGGTCGGCCACGTGATGTGCTTGTATACAGCATACTACGAGTACTACCACAATAGTAATAGCGACTGCGACTGCCATTACCTTTAATGTAAGTTACTACCAGGTTACACATTGTATGGAAAAGTAAGCAATGATATAGGAAGTCTATTTGTGCGCTCATGAGGATACAAGTCTGTCCGAAGGCACTTTAGCCCAAGACCCCGTCATTAATTCCCCCCCCCCGTCCAGCGCGAGCCAGCCAAAGCAGATCCAAGAACAACTCAGTTCAATCTCCTCTCAGCTCAACTCAATTCAACTCAACCGAATATATCGAACCCCCCTCGCTCTTTTCATAATGCGCCAGGGACCAGACAAAAGGATAAGGCCGGTTCCGCCCGGCCGGGAGACAACAGCAAATAAGAAAAATGGCATTGGACAAATGAAGGAAACGTCGGCCAGACCAGGCCAGGCCAGGCTTGGCACAGATGATGATAGTGAGGACAATAAGGGAAAAGAAAGGGAGGGAGCAGACGTATACTAGCTCGTGTAGAGTCGAGAAATTGAGAAAGGAAGGCGCCAGTAGTGTACAGTCATGCAGAGGGAGGTGAGTATGGAAATGGTTGCGTTGTGACAGGGTCGATATTTGAGACGAGTAGCGAATAACCAAAGAGGCGCGCGTATCGACAAACTGAAAAAAAGGAGATTCCCAGTTGCGGCATGCTCAAAGAGCCTTAGTAAAACAATCGACATGTCGTAGGACAAGATGAGTATCAATGCAGTGGTAAAAGGCGAAAACAAAAAGCAGAACCCGCATCCCGACCACTCCGAAATGAAAACAGCAAATAAGCGATGAAAGCCCCTATGTCCCTCATGTATATGTAAAAGCGAGCCGCAGAGTATTAACCCAATATCGCATTCCACGGGAGGGTAACCGACAAAAACAATAGTCCCGTGGAATGACACGCAAATCGATGCAAAGGTCCAAACATGAAGAGCACGAATTGTTGGTCGTCCAGGTGAATAGGAGAAGGAGAAGGATGGGAGGATGGGAGAGAGGGAGAGAAAGGTAGTGGAAATATCATGAAATATTCAGTCGGTCATTATCGAATCGACTCAGTGCACAGCAGGGGCCGCGATGTGTTGTTGCTGGCCACCTAAACTGGCTTGACTGCTATGAGCCGACACTTCGGAATCAATATTGGCACTGGCCCCACTATCACCACTCTCCGCGCTGGCGCTCGCACTGCCGGTCAGACTTTTGTTCTTGAGAGGGCCCTTGGCGGGGAAGGAGTTGCTCACCCCGTAGTGTTGCTCAATCTGCTGGGGTCCAACCGGGCCTTGTCCTGACGGGTGCCGGGGAAGCGGTGTCCGCATGTTTCCAGGCGGCGACGGATGGCCGTTATAGGGAGGTCCACCAGGGGGTCCAAGATTCTGGTCGTGCGCGTTGGGTGGGCGACCCATTCGGGGTCCAGGACCGCCGGGGCCACCGGGGCCACCGGGGCCACCAGGGCCAGGTGCTCCTGGGAAAGGTCCCCCGGGAGACTGGCTGTTACGCCGGCTTTGTGGGTAGGGACGAGGAGGGAAGTCTCCCATCTGGCTTGCGGTCATCGAGTTGGCTCGCGAGTCGGCGTGAAGCTGGTTGCGGTCGACGGCGCCATATCTGTTGGAAGAGTAGCTCAACATGGGGTTGTCCATAAGGGAATCGTGGAGGCCAGGGATGTCGGCCATTGCGCGATCAGTCGGACGTTTGCGGCCAAAGTAGCGACCAAAGGCTGATGACGATGGTCGGCTGGCGTGCATCGCAGGGCCGCCGGCGGCCATCTCGGGGTTCTTGCGGAATTGGGTGTTGCTGGGGCCCTTGCGACGGCGCGAAGTCATGCTCATCATGTCCACTTGGTCGGGGTCGATATGAGGGATCGCCATGTTGTCCATGGGGTCGAAATAATCCTCGTCCTCTTCATCAAACACCGACGCAGGGGCTCGAGGAGGAGGTGGGCCACGACGTCCCGGGCCAGGGCCTCCAGGTCCAGGTCCAGGGCCAGGTCCGCGTCGCATCCCCATGCCCATACCCATACCCATCTCTTGTTCACGAAGCTGCAGTTCTCGTTGGCGAAGAGCGAGCTCTCGCTCCCGAATAGCCAAATCAGCACCGCCCTCTGGGTGACCATTGCCATTGGGGCGTGGAGAACCGCCTTCCACCACATCGTCGTATAATACTAGATGGCTAAACTCCTCTAGGCCCTCCAATGATGGGTCGCGAGGAACACGGTTGGCTTGAGGCGGCATCGGTCCACCGGGTGGCGGGCGCATCATGCCCGGAGGTGGGCCTCGTCGCGCACCAGGCGGCATCCCCATACTCGAATGTGTCCGACTCGCCCGCATCCCGGGATTCCCATTAAGAGGCGGTCGCTGTCCCTGTTGCTGCGGGGGTACGGAGGACATCCGGGGAGGGGGCTGGCCCATGATAGATGCAGGGGGAGAATCCCCATGGCGGGGCTTGGACTGGTTCGTGATATTGATGTGGTGAAGCATTGCGTAGAGGGCCTCGATCCGGGGCACGGGCGTGTCGGATTCGGTGGCCATTTTAATGGGGGATCCCAAAAAGTTCTCAATCTCCATCGGGCGCCTGGAAGTGAAGTCCTGATACATTGTGCTTGGAGCGTCGGAGGCGGTCATCTTCTCGATCGTCTTCTCGCGGAAGTCGCTAGGGAAATTGCAACCATGAGAGGAAGCCAGCATCACCAACTCGTCGAGGATTCCAGTAACTAGTTGACGCACGCCGGTTTTCTCCAGGAGCTGGGTCGGGTTCGGGCACTCGAAGGCCACACTGGCCGGATGAAACGCGATCGGGCTGCACGAAATTAGCACAAAAACGTTAGGGGAAGGAGAGCATCTGCAGGCCGACTTACCCGATCATCCGCTCAAACTGCTCCTGTCTGATATTTGGAGACACCTTGCAATCGACTTGGCCGGTATTGAGGGTCATCGCCAGGGCGGACGCCATGTCATTCTGTATAGAGGTCGGAATTGAGGAATTTCTGCTGGTCGCGCCCACGTGAATTTCGCTGGAATTAAGGTGCTCGAACTCGGCGGGGCCGGTCTGGGTGATTTCGACGTTGGAGACGAGGGAGAGGACTACATTTGTCGGATATCGTTGCTCGATATGGGACTCGATTCCGAGGGTATTTGTCGTGTTGACGAGGATGCAGGTGTGCTGGGGAGTGACGACCGACTCAATGACGGAGGCGAGGTCGTAGACATCCGGGAGGGCCTTGACGCAGAGAATCACGTAGTCGTAGGCGGTTTCGCGGGATGAGGCTTCTTCGGGGGCGCGGACAACTGGAAATCACAAGAATGATAGGTTAGAAACATGGTCATGGGGGAGTGCGATCGGAAGAGGGCGCCGCAAACGGGATAACAGGGAGTCGTACCGTGACGGGGTTTGAAACGCTCATTGCCGAAAGCTTTTGATCTGGACAGAGGAGAGATTGTGAGTTCAAGGCGACGGGCGCAGTAGTGATGGATGGGACGTACTTGAAAGAGACGCCATATTGAGAGACGGCCTCAAAGCCGGATTTCCAGACGAGAGTCACGTCGCAGGAGGTGGTGGCCTGCAATCGCCATGACAGAAAGGCGGAAATGGCATTGCCACCGACTATACAGACATGTTTTAGTTTGCAGCTCATGATGGGATGGAGGAGATAAGAAGGAGGGGGGAGGGGGAGTGGAAGAAGTAAAGTGAAGTGGTGACTGGGACTGACCGGACAAAATGCGCAAGCGTGGAGGAGGCGCCATCGAGAAGAATTATCGATGGAAGGAAAAGAGAAAAAAAGAAAGAAAAACAGGAAGGAACAAGTCGAATCGAAGTTCGACAAGTTTGGCACAAGGCCAGGGCGAGCGAAGGAGGGAGGGGAGCAGGGAGAGAAGGGAGAGAAGGAAGGGGAATAAGTGGAAGGTTGAGTTGCTGTGAAAGTCGAGAGTTGAAGAGGGGAGAAGAGGAGGAGAGAGAGAAGATAGAGAGGGAGGGAGAGAGTTGGGGAGACTAGGTTACCATCAGCCTCAACTTTCTTTTTTTTTTTGTAAGTGTGAGAGAGAGACCCGATTCAGCGATTGCTAAGAACAATCCGGCTTGCTGCTTTCTTTTCCTCTTCTCTTTTTCTATTTTCCCTTTTCTTTTCCCCGTTCTAACGGCGTGGATCCCCCGCCAGTCTCGATCCGGAAGCGTCGATAAGCCGAATGCGGATATTTGTTGCATTCATACAGGTAGGTAGGGAGAGTAGGGAGAGTAGGTAGAGTAGAGTAGAATACTATTCTAGAATACTAGTATTCTATTCTATTCTACTATACTATAATACTATAATACTATACCTACACCTGTACTACTAGTAAAGAAAGTGGAAGTCGCCGCGTCGCCCTCCACGCAATCGCCGTATGTGGCAGTGGCGGTATCATATCAGTATCAGTATACATAGTATACCATAGTGGTAGTATAGTGATGAGTGATACTAGATCACTCTTCTAGTATATACTCATGCTACTATGACTACATTAGAATAATCGTAGATAACTTCACATCTACTTTGCTCAACATGCCTTTATGCTGCTATAATTAGCCCCATTTAATTTTTCCAAATTGGCTCGGAGCCACTCTGGCTCCACCACTCCGATCGGCATGCTCGAAGTATACTGAGTATGAGTATATCCATGGATTCAGTGCTGTACGCAGTATATTTACTAACTATTCTACAATTATTCTACTCTGATCATAGTGTTCTACTACTACCTATGACTATGCTATCCTAACACAACCACAACCAGCAGTACTCGTGGAGGAACACGTATACCCGGTCCCGGTCCCACTCTACCAGAGGAAAGTAAAAGTACATCCGGAGTACTATACTGTACTGTACCTATGTCCAGAGTACTGCATGCTGCACTCTCTTGATTATACCAGGTAGGAGTATACTCGTACTAAGCATATGAAGACCACAGAGTACAAGTACAAGTACTCCGTACTGCTACCCTCTGTACCACCAAATCAAAACAAAACATCGTACCACACCACCCACACCCGACCGTCCCACAGAATAGGAATAAGATGGACGCAGTTGGTTCATGTCTACGTACGGCCCACGCAGACGCAGACGCAGACACAGACAGATCCATTTGAATTCGACTTCAAATTCAAAGCACAGATATCCGTGCAGCCTATGCACATGCTACATAATAAAAGTACTGTACCCTGGACGGGGTACTAGTTCCAACCAACGGCTAGACCGGGTCAACACTCAGGACAGGCACAACCTGTCACGACAGCTGCAGCTGATTTTCTTTTTTCAGACTAGGGCAGGGAAGGGCAGGGATGCATATGCGCCAGGAAGGGGGAGGCGGTGTTGATGGACAACATGCCAGTGATCGACGCGCGTGCCGAATGCAAACGCAAACAGCACATCCCTTGTAGAGAGAGTCTGGTGAAAGTAAATACTACGAGTGAACTGTACAGAGTGTACGTGTCGAGTATTTATATTTATATGATAGCTAGAGCACTTAATAGCCGGTACTATTCTATACCTTAGCATATATGTAGTGTCCTCTATCCCAACTATCCAAGTCCAGACTCCGGTGGACCGTGACCCAAATCACCACTGGCACTGGCACTGGCACGATTCTTTCGCGGCCCACGGTGGATCCCATCGGGTGGGTTCAAGTTTTCTCCGAGAATAATACAGGTACATACTTTACTGTGGCCCATGGCATGCCATTGTTATCGACACGTCCCGTGGGAACCACGTTTGCAGTAAATCCCCGGAAGCGGACATGTGTTGTGCTTTTCCACTTTCCCAGGGGCTACCGGACTCTCTGTGTGCAAAGAAAACTTTCGAGACCCCATGAAAACATCTCCTGCTCCGCCTCCTCATGAGGTCATGCTCGACGGGGGCAAAGTGATGGGCAATCGATGATTTCACTACTTTGGCGATCTTCAGGAGGTCAATTCGGCGTCCGCCACTGATCGCATAGCGTTAGCAGACTCGTAGCGTCGCGGATGGCTTGCGATGTGATGGCTGCCGATTTAATTAAATCTACGTATGGAGAGTACATAATTAATCTTGGTTATGTACATACGGTTGATAGCCTCGCACTTGCACTGGTGGAAACAAACCCATGGGTCCAATGGTGCGCCCAGACAACGGTCTGCCACAGGAACAGCGCTAAGCCCACTACGATAGATAGCATTGGCGCGATGCAATCGAAGCATCTAGGAATACTCCGAGTGTACTCCGTACAGAGAGAACCAGAGTAGACGGAGTACGGGGCCGGACCGCTGGAATCGGGCGGGAAAGGGGCCAAGCTTGCCCAACAAAGTATCAAGTACGAATGCTAGTTAGTACTAACTCTGAGCAGACTCGGACTAACACTAGTCTACTCCTGTAGTGTCTAAGTGTCTCAGGCACTCTAGGCTGCGTCTCTGGCGTCCACTTGAGTCAGTGGCGGTCGGCACACGCCCAACCCGCACCCGCGGAGGGCACCGGATGCACTCGGCAGGGAAGAGGAAAAATTCTGAGCACTGGCTAGAGCTTAAGTCCTTCGTACGGAAGAGTTTCACGTTCTCGCTGAGACAATGGGTACTCGTAACATCGACGCTAAAGCAAGACAGAGGGGTTGGGTGGGCGTTGGTGCGAGGCCCGAGACAGACTTGGGGTTGGTTAGCTTGTTCCCTGCCTTGTTTTTGCGCTGCTGGTTTGGACTAGCTTCTGTCAGGTTCAGGGAATACCAGGTACGAGGAGTGTGCATAAGAATTGAAAACCGTTGCTCAATTCAAGTTTCCATCCACTGGCATGGATGTCGGATTAATTTCGATCCTCTCGGTCGCGAACACATCCGTGCTGAGGTCTGAGGTCCACGGCTGCCAGTGACCCTGTCGATGTCCCAGATATATTGATGTACTCTACTAGTACTCGTAGACTACGACCCCGCATAGAATGTTAAATTTGGAATCTGGCATGGAGTGAAATGAAATGAATTCAATTTAATTTCGACTCCGGACCTACAGTAAGCAAGCTCTGAGGCAGTCGATCATCATCTCCTCTCTCCCGCTCAACCCAACCACTACCGAGACATCCTCCAGATAGCTGCCCATTAGGCAACAAATGCCGATCAACAGATCACCATCGCATAGCCCATCTCCAAACCTTAACCCGCTATCCCGAGTATTAGCACTAGTATAGTTCATGCCAGGTAAAAAAAAGAAAAAAACCGGTCCCTCAGCTTTGTCGATCCCACTAGTAGTAGCCACGCCACAACTACATGCTAGGCCTATCGCAGTATCCCGTACAGCCAGTCCCCTTATTTTAGTGCCCCCGGACAAAATATTGGCACTGTTCATTTCGTGAGAATTGGTTACGGTTTTTTTCAGCTTAGCGCAACGGCTGTGGAGGAGTGGAGGAGTAGAGGAACCCTGGGAATGCACCGGGGAGGGAAAGGGGTGCTACTGGTGGATGCAAGTTTGGTGGTCCAGTTAGCTAAGAAGCAGAGTATACTATTAGTAAATACAAATGTAGGGCTATAACACCCACTAACATTTCCTGGATGCACATGCTGACCTGGTAATAATTCATTCGGAATTTATGTTCATTTGTATGATGTCGCTACTATTCAAGGCGTCGGCCCGAGCCCTTGAACTGTTATCCACGCCTTCTCTTCGATTGCAGTATGGCAGACAATTAAAAAGCAAAACCCATGACAGGGGAGAAGTCGAAGCCTCCAGATTGACTTGTGCAGTTGCTCTTGAGAAGAGTGAAAGTGGAGACACAAAGAGTACAGAAAGAATCATAAGAATCATAATCGCGGAGCATAAAGTAGCTATTTCACGGAATATAAAAGAAACAAAAAAAGAATTGAACATACATCCACTAACTACTAGAAAATTTCAATTAACAAAAGAGCGCACAATACCTGGCGGCGGTTGCCCGGCCTTGTCCCGGAACAACGGTATACTTCGACTCGGAGGACTGCCTCAACCACCTTCTAATACTCCATCAATGTAAGTATTCAATTGAAGGTTAATTAATTTTGGGCGGTCCTACTGAAGCGATAGACTGCTTGGCTAATACAACTTCTTTTCTAGTTACTCCTATAAGCTCATATTAGCATGCTTTGAAAATACCGAGATCACCTGCCCTACATTCGAAAAGCCTAATATAGCATGAACACCGATCCGAGAGCTACTAGTATTGCTTTCCATTCATCCCTAGCGCCCACTGGCAGCTACTAATCACCAAATCCGCATATTCGGCATCAGTGAAGCAAATACTAGGAGCATTGACATCGCTGCTCGAACTTGAATCTGAATTCACCAAGTTGGAGCCGGATAGTCCTATGTTATAGATCTGACTGAAGTCAAGGACTTGAATTGATACTAGTATTCGCTTTTTGGGAAGTTTCCCGGTTAATCACGAAAGAAGATGTACCCCGATTCGGAGTTTTGAAGAAAAAGCCTGCTGATATCAATGTAAACCTTGGAACCTTAAAAATGTACATAATTCATGGTTTAGTTGCGAGATCTTCGGATCTCGTTCAACCTTGGAAGTCATTGTTAACTCGCGTAAAGCCAGACAGACGCTACTTAACTAGACAATATGCGGGGCGGCCTTGCACCATGCTACTCAGACTACTATTTGATCTATAGATCCTGACTTTGGAAAGTGTCCAAGTTTTAACTGAGCTCGCTGCTCAGTAATTTCCATTTCTTCACTTGGTTCAATTGATGTCTACAAATCCAGCCTTCGTTCGCAATTGAGGGCAGGTTGGATATGATAAAATTAGCTAGAGGCTGTCAGCCGATGTCAATCCCAATTTAGATTCACATTCAGGCCTCTTTTGAAATCGGTGTGGTGCATTGCCGGGGCGTTGATCGGCGGGCAGATTTCCATGTTTAGCGTGGCTCTCATGCATCTCATGCATCTCAGGGTCCAACCACCATGGATATGGAGTATGCCCAGATTCATGTCCAGCTGTACGGAGTAGTCCCAGAGGTTTCAACACTCTTTCTGATACATAAATAGGGAGTCTATCTACTAGCCCACGGTCAGTGAGGGTAAAATCACGTTCTGGCAAATCTGCCCTTGTTAGTCTCAAATATTCCTGTCAAGTTTCTTTTCTATGGAGCTGGATAGGCTCGTGTCCTCCTGCATGAGTGACCAGTCTATTATATTTATTGAGAACACCCCAGCCCCTACCTTGGCACGAAATTGTGACCCCTGAGATTCCCCTTGGCACTGTATCTTCAACTTGTTTTCCCGCCATCCTCATCGTCCTTTCACAAAACAAAAGAGCACCTCCTGCATCCCTGGAAACAAACAAGATGGAAAAAAGGGCCTCGAGTGCACCAACGGCTACTAATGCCGATACTGAGGCTCTGGTGAAAGCTCTGGAATTAACGACGACTGATGCCCCAATTGATTTCCCGGTAGCCACTCCTACCACTGCGCCCACTACCACTAAATCGAGCAATGGCGAATCGACGGTAGTTGCCATCACCCAAACCCAAACCGACTCCGGCACTGCGAGTAGTTCTGCAACCTCAACCTCAACCAGAACCGGAACCGACTCCCTATCCCTGTCTATTCCAGACATCCCATCCAATCAACCAAACACTTCATCCCCAGGGGGTCTTTCAGCAGGGGCATCAGCGGGAATAGGAGTAGGCGTCGCGCTGGGCGTAATCGTCATCGCAGTCCTGGCATTCGTCTTCTATCGCCGCCACCGAAATCGTCGATCGATACAACAAGTACCCGAGCTGGGGACCGAGGGCCAGAAACATGAGCTATCTGCGGAGGATACCACACGAGTAGAGCTTGGTGTGGAAGGAGAAAAGCATGAGCTTTCTGCGGATAGCACTAGGGACAATTTGAAGATAGGCTCTCAGTCGAAGGGAAGCCGTTTGCATGAGTTGGAGTGATGTGATGTGCTTTGTTATATACCCATTGTTTTCTTTTCTGTTGCATTTAAGCCTACGTATAGGTTGGTAAATGTTAGCACGTTGCATTGTTTAGAGGGGTTTTGTATGCTTGGTTTATATCTAGTCTGATGCCCAGGTGGCTGATTTTGATCGTCCATATACACCGGAAATTAATAGTAGATAGGAATTGTTGAGGATACCACTGGCAACACAAGGATTCATATAATATGCAAAGCCCTGGGAGATTTAGTGACGAGCAGTCGTAAAAGCAAGATATTACACAACTCAGGATACAAGAAGATAACCTTGAAAAAAGGTGGTGGGAAGAATAGAGGGCTTCAGAAGGAAAGAAGACTGCACGGGTCATGGTCCAACATTGGAATGCTTGAAGTTTTCTTTCTTGGTGAGCGTGTCCCAGTTCGGAGAATACCTATATGCCCTAGTACAACACAATTACTTAACTACAGTACAAGATAAAGACCCTGGGCGCGGGACAAGCTACTCGTACGACTGCCCGCCCAGGTGAGTGGATACACTTTTGAACCATTTTGATTCCTCGAGATACATGGGTCCGCCACATGCGGCCCGGAAAAAGCCCATAGCTATTGCGCCATATCAAAACAGGTAAGAAACAAGAACGTAATGCCCCAGTGGGAGATTGTTGGGTCTCGCGAGTCGGCACCTAAGCCATGTAGGTGGTGGAGTCGACACCACCCTCGGGGTACTCAGGAAGGGCAACCTCGAAGCGCTTCTCAATGTCCTTCAGGACCTTCTCATCGTCCTCGTTGCTGACGAAGGAGATGGACAGACCCTTGGTACCGAAACGACCGGCACGACCGACGCGGTGCAGGTAGGAGTCGGCATCGGCGGGCAGATCGTAGTTGATGGCCAGGTTGATACGCTCGATATCGATACCACGGCCGAAGACATCGGTGGCGACACAGATACGCTTGTTAAATTCCTTGAACTCCTTGTAGCGTTTGATACTGGATATTTGTCAGTGGGGTCCTTGCCGAACGTTGCGGCGGGTATGATGGGACTTACCGCTCCTCCTGGCTGACACCAGAGTGGACAGCGATACTGGGGAAGTTGCACTCGCGCAGCAGCTTGTCGAGCTCATTAGCACGGAGAGTGCTCTTCACGAAGATGATGACCTGGTTGAACTCCAGGTTGTCGAGGAGCTCGTTGAGCTTGCGGTTTTTCTCCTGCTCGCTCAGCTTGATGTAGTATTGCTGCAGACCGTGCAGGGTGAGCTTAGTGTCATCATCGACGTAGACCTCGAGAGGGTTACGCATGAACTTCTTGCAAATGGGGCGGATCTCCTGGGAGAGGGTGGCGCTGAACATCATAACCTGCTTGTCGGCGGGGGTGGCACGGAAGATCTCCTGGACATCGCGGCGCATGTCTGCAACAGAGGTGTATTAGAAAAATCAGAACAATGGCGTGAAGAACCGCCCGAAACTTACCAATCTGGTCAAGCATCTTGTCACACTCATCGAGGACGAAGGACTTGACATTGCGCAGGGAGAGCTTTTTGTCACGGACCAGGGCGTTCAGACGACCGGGGGTGGCGACAATGATGTTGGGGTGGGTCTCCTTGTTCTGGAGGACCTCAATGTCCTTCTGGATGGGGGTACCACCGAAGAAAACATTGGTCTTGACATCGGGGAGGTACTTGGAGAAGCGAGTGTACTCGTTCTTGATCTGGTAGGCCAGTTCGCGGGTGTGGCACATCACGAGGATTTGGCACTCGCCGGCAACGGGCTCCAGCTGGTGAAGAGTGGTCAAGACGAAGACCGCAGTCTTACCAAGACCAGACTTGGCCTGGCAGAGAACGTCGACATTGAGAATGGCAGTCGGGATACACACTTGTTGGACTGTAGGTAGGCGGAGCGGTGGTTAGACTCGTGTTCGATCAAGATGAAGTAGCAGAAACAGATCGCGTCGCAAATGTCCATCCATCTCCTGAAACCAACAAACATATATCGTGGAAGATTTATATCATCCTCTAGATCCCCTAACTGAGCACCAGAACTGCGAATCGCAGTTTTACCGCGCAAAGTCAGACTCTGCACTGAGGGATCTGCCTACAGACGACATGAGGGACATCCGTCATTGGGAAATTATTACCAACGATCGAGGTCGCATTGCATTCCACATGGCACGATAAAGAACCAGGGTGGCAAAGAGAAAGGCAAGGCAAGCAAGAGTGTGCGTTGCGTGGAAAAAATGACGACCATCGGGGACCCATGACTTGGCTAATCTGATGTGATGCGCCAGAAGGCAGCAACCACATACGGCCACGTGAGGCGGCAGATCCGCTTCATTCATTGTCCAGGAAGAATGTACTCCTCATGTCGTCTGCAGATTGTGGGGGACGACTAAGTCGCCAAAATAGCGGCCGATTGTGGATTCTCGCGGAGATGGACGGACGTTGAAGCTTGAAAAGATGGAGGAAGGTGGGTGGGAGAAATGTTAGACTAACCCTCCGATGGATGCTCGAAGCCGCAGTCGGTAATGGCGCGAAGGAGTTCACCCTTCAGCAGGAAATCACGGAAACCAGTCGAATGGATACCGACATAGCTACCCTTCTTGTCGGGGCGGCCAGAGACGGTCAGATCACCCTCCTTGGCGGCATCGCCATTGGAGTCAGCGGGGGCGGCAGTGGTCGCGGGCGCCGCGGTGGTCTGAAGCTCCTCGTCGGAGTAATCGATGAGATCTTCTTCGTGAGACATTTTGCGGGTGGATGAGATTAAGTTGAGGCTAAAGGTGGTCGATGCGCGTTCTTCTCGTTCGCGAGAGGCTCGAAGGAAGGAAAGAGGAAAGGAAACGGGGGAGTGAGAAGCGGGGAATTGGGAAAAAGGAAGATTGTCGATGAGCAACAGTCCTTGGAGGGTTGAATGGAAGAAGGACTAAGTTCAACTGGGGGGGCAAGATGACAGAGCGAGATGCGGCGAGGGATGAGCCACAGCAGGAATTTCACGTGATTCGGAGAGTCCGAATGCGGGGATCACGTGGTATCAAATTGCTCTTGCTGAAAGAACCCTTTGATTGTTGATATCTTTGATACTTCCGTGACAACCAGGAGTACTTGCGACACTCAGTTCACAGGTTTTTCACTTCTTCACAATGGGGAAAGCCAAAAACCTCAAAGAAGGCAAAAATGCCAAAAATGCCAAAAATGCGAAGAGTCACTTCAAATCCCGAATGGAGTTCTTGGAGAAAGCCGCGAATTATTTGCAGGCAGCAACGGCCGCCACAGTTCCAGTTCCAGTCTCAGTACCAGTCTCAGTACCGGCACCAGCACAAGAAGCTGAAAGAAGTGATCAAGAATTCTGCGACAAAGAGGCGGGAGAACACATGGTGCCCGAGCACACTCTCAACACCTCCGCGAAAGATGTTATGGATTCGGAAACCGGCATTCAGATCTGTCAAACGAGCAGGAAGCCTTTGACAAACATCTCAAGAGTCTATATCTCACATATGCGCGGAGTGTCCCTCAAGACACTGACCCGTCTTCCGATACCAACCAAGCGATCATTTTGCAAGCGTTGTGAAACACCTCTCAGCTCTGGGGTAGCCTGCTCCCAGGAGATCCAAAACGCCAGCCGAGGACGCAAGAAGCCGTGGGCTGATGTGAAAGTCGTACGTTGTCTAGTATGCGGAACCGAGAAGCGATTCCCCATGACAGGGCGTAAAAGCAAGAAGCTTGTGGAACGTCGACAGCAGAAGCAGGCACAGGCACAGACAGTGGCAGTGGCAGTGGCAGAGGCAGAGGCAGAAGTGCAAGTGCCGGTGCCAGCGCAGGCGCAAACACAAACCACCCAAATCCAGAACGCAATCTCGTGAAGCTAGCCAAGTCTCAGATCAGCGGTCTTTCAGCCTCATGTCCCACCCGCTTGTATGGAGTCGCATTGCATAAACTTCAATGGCCGGACTACTGTATCAACATGTGAACATGCAGGAACTAAGATCTCTGGCATACTACAACCCAACACTCATAGTGGTTATGCGGCACTAAGATCTAACTCGCATTAGCCGTGATACTAGCCGTGCACCGTTACCCCGAACATATGGCCACCAAACTAGTAATTAACCACCAATCCGGGGTCGGCCATTTGTCGGCCAAAGGTCCGTTCTCTGTTTGGCGTGAAGGGGGGAGGGGAAGGGCAATATACTATGCTACCCTAGTATATTGCGAGCTATAGGAAGATTCGCACGTGCGGCAAACTTCCAGGGCCTTTGCGCACGCCCACGCCTTCTTTCTACTGGCGATCCGCATCCGCCGGCATGCATGAGCCTCCCCGCCGGTAGGTACAACTATGACCTCGGCAAAGCGGGATACTTTTCGCAAAGCAAATACCGACTGGGCTACGTGGAGAAAATCTCTGAATGTGAAGTGAATCTGTGATCATCTTGGAGTTGATGGGGCCAAAAAAGCAGACAACCTAAACCAATATACACAAAACATGCAGAGAGGGGAATCGAAACCACAGGGTGTAATCATAAGTCACAAGCAAATCAGAACAGAGAAGAGAACCAGATCATGTTTATGCGCTCGAATCGAGAAGAGAAAGAAACAACCATTAAAGAACAAGAGAGAAAAAAGAATCCATCGTCATGATAGTCGTAAACTTGGGCGGCGGGCCTTGGAAGCGAATGTTCGAGTATTCAAAACGATGTAGAGGTGTGCGTAAAAGTAAAGTGAAAGCGGTAAATACGATAGAGAAAACCTCGGCGCTATCAATTTACTGCAGTTCCTAGGGACGGCGGACTCGTGAGTCCTGCTGGTCCGAAAAGGTGCCGCGAGGCGTGCAGGTCTTTCATCCAACTGTCGATTATTCAGAATGAGGAAACCCAAGGAGGGGTATAAGGTGAGACGAATGCAAAATTATCGAGAAGAGACTAAACGAAAGATGTCCGCGAGGACTGCGCTCATATATAAGCTTATTCTTTTTTTGTGTTTTGGATTTTTGGGTTTGTTGATGGCGGTGGGCGGAGGGAGATGCGGTGAGGTGGAGGGATGGCGCGAGAATGTGGAGGTATAGGGTGTGTTTGGAGCAGTTGAAGAAGGGTAGTATTTATGTCGTGTAGGAGAGTGAAGCCAAGTCAAAGCGGTGGCGTGCGTTTTGGGAGATGCTGTTATAAGCTTATGGTGAAGGTATTGGAAAAGTAGGTTTGGAGAGAAGGGTCAGTCAGCGTCGCCGCCGCGAGCTTTGATCCATACGATGATCAATAGTCTCGATACGACCCCGAAAAGACTTGACGATATCCCGAATGTGGGAGATCTTGGCCAACTCGTTATCTAGGTCGTCGATGGCGGCGAGGATGGAGCGGGTGCGGGCGATTTCGGCATCGGCGTTACGAATGACATTCCCGGCGCGATCGTAGCTGTTCTGGATGGAGGCTTGCATCTGATCCTCTAGCTAGAAGGTAGATCCGTTAGCGAGGGGGAGTTGATGGCATTGGCGACCTGGGTTGTTGGTCGGTGAGAGGGACACACATATTCGATGCGGCCGCGAATCTGAGCCTGCAGGCCATCGAGCTGGTGCGACAGGGCGCGCAAACTCATGGGATCCAGCAGCAAGCGGCCCTGACTGCTGGCGGCGCTGGTGGCGCGTGAACTGGAGTTGCTGGTTCTCCCCGTTCCCCTGCCCCTGGGAACCCCATTGCCGGCATGGCCGCCCTGCAGGGCAATCTGCTGCTGTTGTCGGAGGATCTGGATCTCGGAGGAGGTGAGGCCAAGCGAGGTATCGGGGATCGAGGCTGCTGAGACGGACATTTGGTCCCGGCAGAGACATGCTCCTACGAGCCGATCAAAGATGTGAGGCCGAGCGGACCGTAGGTCATGATGGACGGGGGAGAGGGGAGGGAGGGGTTGAAGAATGCGAATAGGGAGGAGAGAGAGAGGGGGGAGGAGTGAAGCTTGGGTGGAGAAGCGAACAGAGCAGAGAGAGGAGGGAGAGGAGAGACAAAAAGTCGGGGAGGGGAGAATTCTGGCGGCCCGTGACACCGAAGTGGAAGTGGAGGGAGTAGCAAGATCTGATAGTAATAGTAGTAGAAGCAGCTAATAGTTGGGACTATTGGTATTAATATACTAATAGTTGCTACTATGTTCAAGCTATTAGTATTAGTTAGAGCGAGTATGTTATTACTGCGCTGGTAGAGGATCTATATCTAGTGAGTAATACTATTATATTTTAGTCTGCATACAGATAATGAGTACTGATTAATAGCAATAGCTACTAATAGTATACTAGTGAGTATACTGAGTGTATAGTTACTACCAGTGATGCAATAGTTGTATTACTGTAGAAGCTATCACTGACTCCGCTCCGCCTTCCACTCCTCCTCCACCTCCACCTTCACCCATTCCTACATCCACAACCAACCACCATCTCTACCATCACCACTGCCCGAAGTGAGGCTGAACCCCCCCAGCGTATCTGCAGCTCCAAAATTGTCCACAGACGCGATCCCCCCCCACGCCGCTACCTTTTAGTCGCCCAGTCCAGCTCGCTCATTGCTCCGAGCCCTCCTGCGGGTCCTTCCAACCTGACTTGACGGCCCGACTGCAAAACTGCGCGACGGCCCATTGGGAGCCACCGCGCGCTTTGGTCACACCTTGCTGCACGCTTCTTGCATCCGCGAGAGTCTCGCCCGCCTGTCATCGCCCTCGCTCGTACCGATCCCTGACAATCGGGTCTTTGGGCTCGCCCGCACCCTCTATTTCCTCCGCACGTGAAACGCTCGTCCATCGAGACGCGCCCAGAATCCTAGCCCCAAGATTTTTTTTTCTCTCCCAAGGCGTTCGGACGAGGCTGACGACGCCATCGACGTTGATTCGACAATTCGCGGCTCTTTCCTCCCCGGTTCTAACCCCGATCTGCGAGTCCTCACGAGACTGACCACTACCACCACGACTACGACTACCTACGATCGGGATTCACCATCATCATGGCCAAGGACAAGGAAAGATCGGTTAACCCTGCCGCTGCGCAACGGAAGCAGGATAAGCAGAAGAGCCTAAAGAAAGGAAAAGCGGAGGCGCTCGCTCGCCGCAATGAAAAAATGGCTCGTCGCAATCCCGAACGAATCGAGCGACAGATCAATGACCTTAAATCCATGGAAGAATCGGGGCAAAAATTACGACCCCGTGACAAGGAGATCCTCGAAGCGCTCGAGAAAGATCACCGGGCCGTTTTGAAAGCTCGCGAAGCTCTCGGCGACAAGGCACCCAAGTTCCATAGTGGAGGTGGTGGTGGCCAAAATCAGAGACAGGACAGGGACGGTGGCGACGCAGTTCTCGGGAAACGGAGGCGTGATCCCCAGTTTGCGCGATACCAAGAGAGTGATAGTAGTGAGACGGATGAGGACGTGCGCAGGATACCAATGCCCCGGGATACACCTCCTCCGATTCCGCGCCCGCAGAGAAAACGTGGTGGCGGTACGCAGAATGAAGGTTCGGAGCGTCGGGGACCACATGGGCTGCCTTCCAAGCCTGCAGCGGTTGTCGAGTCTAAGTCGGTCTACGAAGCTCAGCCGGAGATTCGGAATCTGCGGCAGGAGGCTGTGAATAAGTTCATCCCCGCGGCTGTCCGGATGAAGCAAGATTCCATTAAGGGTCAAGGGAAACTGCTTGAGCCGGAGGAAATGGACAAACTAGAAAAGGCGGGTTATAAGGCGAATGTAGGAGCTTCACAGACGGATCAGCCATCTACAGATGAGCAAAGGTCATTGGAGGAAGAAGAGGCTCGCTTCAATCGCGAGATGCGGACTGTCCAGATCGAAGAAGTCTCGGACGAAGACGCTTAGCCTGGCACAGCCACCATTGAAATGTAATATAACGCCTAGTATGCAAATAGTCTGCTGTATGCAGCTCCACACTGAGTGCCGCTTTGCCGGATTGAAGCCGTTGGCGATCGTCATCTCAATTACACCCCACGAACGTGCCTGTAGGGCTGAGTAAGATTGTACATTGAAGGCAGCAACGTCCAGTTACTACTTGTAGTATCGAGCTTTGAGGCACTACTTGAGCTGCCTTGAATACCCTGATACGCTGTGAAGGGGAAGGCCAAATCACTCACGCCATTGACCAGGTGTTCAAGTTCCTTCAAGTCCGAGTCTTGATGCAGAACATTTTAAAATCCGAATTGAAAAGTCATTGAAATATCGAGAAGCTACTTATTCTTGAGGATAACACAATAGCCTTGGACTGATTTCCTCTGAGTCCTTGTAGATTGTACCCTATTTCGAAGCAAGCATTATACCGCCATAGCCCATAACAATACTCTATACTAGTGGTAGTCCAATCAAATCCAACTAACTCCGTATTCGATACCCACAGCATTCGTTTCGACTCGTATGTCATGAATCAGCTTCATACACCAGGGGCAAAGTTGCCTCAAAATCTTCAATCTAGGATCTTCAAGTTTATCATTGCTTCCTGCGCCCCATAAAATCCACAAAATTCATAAAAAAAACTCGGGAGCCAAGGAAAATCCTCGGGGCCAAGTCTGTAGAAAAGCTGAAAAGGGGTCCTGAAGTGGGGAATCGGTCAGGCTCCGCGGTAGTTTAGCAGCACCGGCTGAAACCGAAATCTGCTGGAAGCAGTATTGACCATCGGCCGTTCTTCCTCTTGCAGATAGGGTTATGTGGAGCTACCATCAATTTAGCGAAAAATGTTTCAGTTCGGTCAAAGTCAAAGTTTGGAACTTGCTTTAAAGAAATTCAAGGCCTTCTGGAAAGCAGGATTGCACGAGAGTGGGTATTCTCTTTTTCTCTCTTTTCTTTGGACCTTCGTATCGCCAATTTTTAACGATTGACGAGTCTGGTGCCATCTCAACACTCATCACATCTATCGTCAACGGTATAAATAATGGCCAAGCGATTTTCTGGAAATGAATGGGGCTTCGCTGGGGTCATGGCCGTACAGGCTCTAGTCATACTAGCCTTAGAAATGTAAGTCAAACCATACCCACGCAGGATCATCATCTCTATCTCTCTCTCTCTATTATGTATGGAGACAAATTTCTAGAACCATTCCCCCCCCCCTCCGCTTTCCGCGAATTGAGAATGAGACATTGTCTAACGTATAATCCAGCTACATCCTCACACAATGGCAAAACTGGATCACACCTATAGTCCTACAAGTCCAGATCTCATACACGGTACCGATAGACATTGCCATTGTGATCTTCGCCTGCTTCTATACGGGTGTTCTGGCCTTCGATGCAATCTATTTCAAGAACAATATCCAACTTCTAGCGATATGCATCAGCAACTGTCTGATTCTTGCATTCGCGGCGATGCAGTACCGCGAATTGCTCGAAACCTCTATCTCCCTGCCTCAAGAGTATGACATGTACTATAAGCCCCTGGTACATAAGGAGATGGATTGGTGGGCTTATGTCCAACCTGCAGAATTAGCAGTGAATCTTATTCTGGGCATTTGCATTTTGCCTACTTGGTTCTTTGCGTATCAGGCGCAAAAGGAGTATAAGTGGGTTATTTACCGCCGAATCAATGGTGATACAAGTATCAAGATTAGATATCTCGCGTACGAGGTGAGCTTTTCTTTCTTTCTTATATTACCCTTTCCAAGTCTTGAGTGGTGGACTTTTGCTGATTTCTTTTTTAGGTCTTCCTCGTTTTGACTAAGCTCAACTTCTTCTTCTCTGTTGGCTTTATAATCCAGTATAACTTTATCGATGTCCACTTCGAAGAACCGGAGTATTCGCTCACCATGGCCTTGATCCCGGTTGTATTCTTCGCCATGGTCCTTGGTATTTTGTTCGTTCGGAAGGAGTGGAAATGGGCAATGATTGGAATAATCGTAAGTACCTTATTTCTTTCCATAGACAATGGCTCATTTTGCTAATGCGCTTCTCAGATCTGCTACCTCGCACTCATCGCCTATTTCCTCAGTCGAATCATCACCCTTTACGGGGACGGCTGGAGGGCTCGTACAGCAGGTAAAGACAAAATGTTGCTCTTTTCAATAACAGCAGTCGTTCTGTCGCTATTAAGTTTGGTTTGCGCGATTCAATGCGTCATCAATTTCGGCCACGGTCTGAGGTCGGTCATTAGTGATAACGGAAAGGGTGAGCAGGACTCTTACCAATTTCGCAATATCTCGAGTTCGACGTCGAGCGTTAATTCGCGGTTTGGCGTTGATTAGATGGGATTACTGTATACTGCTATTATGATAGAACTATAATTTTCGATAATTAGTAATGATATATGAATATAAAGTGTTAATCATACTTGCATATGCTTGCAAGGCATCGGCTTATTTTCTAAATGGATGCAAGGAGTATTTGAAGTTTGAATCTACCTTACCTTCCTACGAGAAGTCAAGTATGAGCCCACAATTAACAACTATTGCACTAAGTCATTTTATTGGTCCGGCACTCATTTTGAGTTACATGGTACGATGGCCTCGTGTGAGACGGATTGTAGAATATAGTAGCGGCTAGGCTTGGGATGAGAAGTCTTGAATGAATGTTCTGAAGCTGTGTAACAGTTCCCGTGGTAAAGTGAGCGCCCAAAAGCTGGCGGAGATATTTACTTGGCTAGTCCGGGACGCGTACTCCAGCTTGTATCACTGCTGTCCTATGAGGAACAACGCCAATATATTTCTATTTTATAGCCCCGAGAGTTTGAAGAACGTGGATTTTTTTTCTTTTCCGTTCCTGTCTTTAAAACGGTGATACAATGACGAAAGATGCTACTCAAAAGTACCCAGGGAACAAAATATCTACGGTATAAATATGAGGACGATCTCCCGGTAAATTGTCATTTCTTAATGCTACGTGGACGTCGCCGAATTCAAGTTTTGTTCTCATCATGCGGCTTCTATTGGGTTTCTTCGTGCTGATACACTACATCATCGGCCTCGCTGTTTCTCAGGGTGGCTTCGTCAATAGCTGCAAAGACCTCAAGCTCCCTCGTGATAGTACGGTTCTTCATGCAAATTGCCGCCGGAAGTCGGGTGAATATGTGGAGAACTGGCTAGAGCTGAACAATTGCATCGGTAATAACAATGGAGACCTCATGGTAAGATAACTATAAAACCATCATGTTTCTAGGCGGTATTTACTTCTAAATTTTGCTCAGTGTAGTAGGTGAGTTGAGACGTACAGAAGGAAATAGGTTTGACTTTTTAACACAAAGCAGTGCCGCTTACGGGCTTTCTTGCATGAGCTGTTCAGTTAGTCGCAAGCATATTCTGTGGTGCAAGTGTCGTATTCGAGCCGATCAAATCGTCTATGTTACTACCGGGCTTGAGCTCAGTAAGTTGAAACCAATTAACCAATTTATAATATTAGCGAGATGCTTGAGAAAACACTTCGACTGATTCACTTGTCATTTTGAGATAAGTGCCTCACCAACATGGACGGCAATCTAGTTTGTTAAGTGGAATTACCGCCGTGAGAGAGAACAATGAACTTGTTGGAAAATTGAACATCGGAGCAATCCTGCCGATCTCGACTTTGTCATGTACTATCCAATACTTCAGGATTTCAAATCCGGGAAAACACCCAGACAGGATGAGGGTCAATGGACAATAGGACTAAATTGGCATGGGCAAGTGAGCCGATCTCCTTGAGATATGAGATGAGAATCAAATGATTGTCGAAATCCAACTCGATTATATCTATCATCTTGGATTTACTCTCGGAGTTCTTTGTGGATGCCGTCCCGTAGAGTAGATAAAAGTGGGCCCCGGCGTCGAACCTAGAAATGCGAACCAACCTTAAATTGACTTTGGCTTCGAATATTAGGATTAAAGTATCCTTAGATTGACCTTAATGGGTCCTTCCTGTCTCCACTAATTTTATACTGGGAGCGGTGGTGATGGGGGAGGGATGAGGGGTGCGTACTACATGCGGCCTCGAAGGCCCAAGGCGTCGATCACTACATGGGCATATCAACACTGACAGTTACCAACCAGCCCTGGAGAGCTAGAAATTTCCTGGAAATTTATTCTCCCCACATTGAATCATGATGTTAATGCGAAGACATCAAATAACGGGGATCATTTGATTAAATTACTATTTAAGCAATATCTGTCCAATGCAAGTCATTATGGACTTCATCCATAGGCTTCTTGAGAAGGTGCCTCCGGGGATTTTTAACCGGCTTGGGTGTAAATAGTGTTGTTGGTGACAGCCTCAGCGGGCAGCCACTGACCAGCGATGGTGTTGTTGTAGGTGAGTTGGGCTAGTGTGAATGTGTGGAGCTCGGACACCAAAACAGTCTTATCCAGGGGAAGAATACGGTGCACCATGGCGTTCTGTGTGAGCATAGAGATGTACTCTTCGCCGGCAACAGATTTCATACCGGCATCAAAAGTGACGCGGATCAGGGCATCGGGGGAGCTGGTGCTCAGCAGCGACGTCGGCAGGAGCCACAGGCTGGAAAAATGGTCGAGCTTTCAGAGAGCACAGAAAAATTTCCCTGTGAGTCTTATTATGGCCGCCTCTATTTTCGCATGCAGAGACGAGTGGTGACCAAGGTAAAAACCCTCATACACAGCATAACGTGCGATTAAATTCCTGAAGAGCAGTACGGTGCATATTATTCGTTTATGGTGTATTCAACTAGTCGTTACTTATAGTCTACTCGTTCGTGAAATATATTATTATCTATCTAGTATTCCCCTCGATCATTCTCTCGTCCTTTATTCGATATCGATATACCGGCAAGGCGGATAGAAACGACTTCATCAATCGGGGATAGTTCTTGGTTATTAAAAGCTTATAAAACTAACAAGTCTCTGGCGCTTTGGTCTATTAAAACGTTACGATTAATATGCGAATTGGTAGGATGGTGGGTGGTTGAAGAAGAAAGGTTGAAATTAATTGACGCATTTCCAGTGGTGTGGCCAGCTTGGTAGTGAATTATATCTAGCGCACCCTACTAAGGCATCGGTGGGACCCCCTTCATCAAACCGCATCATCTAAGCAGGCAAGGCTGCCTGATGACTTGGAGCAACTCGATGTTCACTCAAGATTGCACTATCGCGTGAGAATTCATCATGTTAGCAATAAGAACAGCGACGGAATAGCAAAAATTATAGAAGTCTGAAGATTGGGTTCAACTCACCGACTCCACCGTGTACCCACAACCTCCGCAGTTGTTGACATCAGTATTAAGGTCGACGCAATATCCATTGCAGCAGGTCTTGTCGTGCGGGCACTATCGAGCACCTATCAGTCGTTGTTATCATCAAATATTGTCTGCAGCATTCTTACACAATTCCCATTACAATAGGAAGAAGGAGGATTACACTGCGGCGGGTGTGGGACACAAACGCAGTTTCTATTTCATATTAGCTTCCAGATAGCTCTGCAATCTCAAGACGATCAAGAAATATACTCACGGCATACTAGTTTGTCCAAGGACAAGTCCAAGTATACTGGGAGATCCACTCCCGTTGTAGCAGTAACCTGATTGGTCACCCATTTGCTGACACTTTAAGAAATCAGTATAGTTATCAGTATTAGCACCCTCTTTGGATATCCACGAATCTTACCTCGTAGTTACAAGTGTTAGGGTCGCAGCCACCCCCACCACCCCCTCCCCCACCAACCCCAACCCCAATGTCTCCAATGTCACCACCACCAGTGTCAATGTTAATGCCACCACCATCCCCATTGCCAATATTGTTACCCCCGTGGGAAAGCCCACCCCCACCTTTACCCCCACCACCTTTACCCCAACCCTTATCACCACCCCACTTATTTAAAGCTTCTTCTCCAGAGAGCGCAGTGACCAAAGCACCGGAGAAAAGGGTAAGAAGAGCGATACGCATTTTTGCAAAGGCGTTTGTTTCGATCGATAAAAAAGTTGGTAGGAAGATATTATCAGTCGAAACCGTCACGGTGGTACTGCTCGAGTAAAGAACTTGAAAAAGAAGTTGTCTACCCTTTCAGCGGAGGGGGCTTTATACAGTGTGTTCACACCCGGCGGTCATCCATCAACAGTCTAATTTGTACCACAACCTTGGAAACCTTCAAGCTGGAATGGAATAATTAAAAATGTTTCTGAGAATGTAGTGGGCCTTGGAATCAGCCACATTCTCTCTAGTTGTACCGATGATAAAGAACTAGTACTAACATTCTTTTGCTCGGCTAGTCTACGAGAAGCCTACAAAATACTGCAAGGAACGACATTAAGCGCCCTAGAAAAGGGTACACGCACGAGTGGCGGTTAGTTCTGGCGTCCTGTCGCGCTAGGCTCGAGAGTAGTATACAGTAGGAACGAACGATAACGTAATTACTCATTTAAACTATAACAGTTAATATTATTCTACCGTTCTTAGGGGTTTCTTCTCGTTAATTAGAGACTGCTAGTATTGGATTGAATGAAATATAAGAATAGTATATTATGTTGTTAGAATAAAACTCGCTAACTCTTCCAACTTAGCAATTCGCCTCTATCAGACTCGATTATAATTTGAGAAGGGGCTGGGAATGTAGAGCAGGTACAGAAACAGGAAGTGATAATACAGACGCACGGGCGGCCAATTAGATTCCACAAAACCCTACTCTGGTTGGCGGATGATTTTGCCGGGACTCGTCCACATATCACCAGCCCCTGCGCTTCTGCAAAAAAAAAACTTTCAATCATAGTAATAAAGCTTAGTCCACAGTGAATAATTAAATGACCGTGAGCACACTTACGGACGCCAACATCAGGACTGAAGAATGACTAACAGTGCTGGGCGGAGGCAGAATAACAGTCTCCTTAGCGATGCTAAGGAACGCCATATAGAATATGGCCTCTCGAATAGTAAATTGCGACGATGCTAGCTATATTTATCGACAGCTTGAATCAGCGTAGATGAGTGTTGTTTAGAGAATGACAATCCAAATCATTACCTTTCTCACATGCAATCTTGTCCTATAGACGAGGTTGGTCTTTAAACTCTACAATTGAAAACCAACTACCCCTCCCTCTCCCAATAACTTCAAACGCCCGCAAATCACACAAGGCGATAGCAAAATTCAGTGCCCTTCATACCAAATATTCCAATAGCAAAATAACAGATAAAATATAGAGACCGGGGTAGGCAAAGGGGCGTAAAGCGAATAAGGCATCGCGATTGGGGTTATTTGGCACGCCCTGGCCTCGCCCTGGCCAGGGCGGAGCCAGGGGCAGATCGGGCGTTTAGAGCGACGCCTGAGGAGCCGAGATAATAATGTTTTGACTAATTTACTGCGCATTAAATACTATATTAGGTGTGACTTGAATCAAGTACTGCGCTGAGATGTGGATCAGCGTTGGGGTCGGCCGCCCTAAGGAGAATGTTAGTGGTGTTCCGGGAATGCGGTCAAGCGGCGGCTCGACATCCAAAGCTACGGGTGTCGCGACAGACAAATGGGTCAAAACATGCCATTCGACCAAAAAGTGCGCACGCACAGTTTAGTCTCTGTACAGTGGTATTTTTGCCTCGACAACGGGTGGAGAGGTGGCCGTTTCAATTTCTGTGTCGAAAGCTGTCATTTTTGGCGTCAATCCCAGATGCCCTCATATTCTATATGTAAATCTCACTCTACGCCAAAGTATTACTGCGTGAGTCCGGTCGTGCAGCACTAAGGCCGAGGAGACTCGGGTCTTACACTAAAGTAGTTGTGTGAAACCTGGAATGTAAGATATATATCCATGCCCAGGTGGTGTAAGTGTGTTCAACAAGTTCAAGTTGAACTAGGAAGTCTGAACACGATGGGGCCATCATAGTTATCTCGTTATTCTATATGCAGCTGCCATTATGAGCAACACTGGGCATCCCGATACACCTCGACTTCTGGACAATCGATAGGTTAGCTACCGTTACCGTTGATGGAGAATCCCATGCCAACAGTTCGAGGAAAGAGGACACTCCCATATATCTCAGTTATTGCTCTTGGCCTACATTGCCAAGGAACATAACACAAGGGGAGGGGAAGGGGAGTGGGTGGCCTGATAGCCTGATGCAGCATCCTGAACTATCCTGCATCAAATTGAATCCAAAATACGGCATACTGGCAGAGCGAGCATGTTGCAGGCCAAAGCTAAAGTTTGTTCCCATGCAATTGATACTAATGCCAGAGCTACGATTGTCTAGACCGTGACAATATATCAGTCTCGGTAACAGCCAACACCTGATCTAGTAGTGTACGGGCGATGTCCTTTTTAAGCTGGAAAGGTCAAACAAATGCGCCCGGCGACCCCACAGAAGTCAGCCGTGGCATGCATATAGATGACGCTGTCATCCTCAAGGGGCTAGGCGGGAAATCACGAGGCGACGATCTACCGTGTCGATCTCAAAGCCCGAACATGTCCCCACCCTCTGATGGGCTGGAAGTATGAGCTATCGGTGGTCCCCGAGCTTCTGCCTAATAATAAAAGCCTCAAATGCAGTTTCGGATCCCTTTCAGATAGATAAAAGTTATGTAAGAAAATCAGGGCTGCTAGTCGCAAACCAAACGTTTTAACTCTTTGTAGAAAGAGGCCGGCCGGAGATCATCGCTCATACCAGGATCCTAGGGTGGTGATCGACAAACAACCAAGGCTGAGTTCTTGTACCCGCACAGAAAACCTACGTCAGGTTACACGGCGCTGGCTTTTTCCTGTTCGAGACGACGCCGTAGGGACATGATGGTATAAAGAGGAGGCAATGTCCTCTCTACTTCATCCTCATTATCACGCAATCATCAACCAAACGTGAATCAATCGTCCACTATATCTCAATCAGACTCTTGTCCAATATGCGCGTCATTGCCATCTTTACTGCCCTTCTGGCCGTCGCCTTCGCTGCCCCTGGCAATCTTGAAGCCAGACAGCAGGGTGAAGCCTGCCAGGTATGCATCTTGGCTGACAATCAGTTTAATTTGAAACTTGGAAACATCTAATATATTGATAGCTCGTCCACGGCTTGGCAAGCTGCCAGTCTAAGTAAGTATTTTCGAAAGGTTGTCAATTGACTCAAGAGGTCCTGATATGTCAATAGGGGCTTGGTCCAGTGTGGTGCTTCTTCCGGGAATGTTAAAGTCTGCTGCGTATGTTCTATTCCCCTCAGATACTATTTCGGTAAGGGGATAATTCTGAATTCTCACAGAAACGCTGCTATTAAACATCTTTCATGGTGTGGAGGGAACCGATTTGAAGGATCGTGACCTGATGAACTGTTTCAGCGAGTCAGCACAGGCATACATGGCAATCAACCACTCTACTAGATATGTCTACTTAGGTTCAATATCAACCACGCATATACAGAACACAAACAGAAAGCGGACGGAAACTTGAGATAGCGAGAAAATTAAATACTTCTCTGGTTATTGCATACTATGCCTTTTTTGTCGAACATTTTGGTTTTTCTTCACTGTACCATAGTAGTATATTTAGCTGTAAACAATTTCAGGCACAAATTTGGCCTTGCCCGGGCTGTTGATTACCTATGGAAACGTTTCATGTGATAACACCCTATACATGAGGCAATTCAGGGGTCTGTATGCACATAGTTGAGTATTAAATGCGGGGTAAGGCATCTCTATTTCCTGCATTTGGAGGGGTGACATGGGTTGGGAATAATGGTATCACGAGTTTGCTGATACGAGATTAGTAGGTCAGCTCGGGGGTACCCATTTCTCAACCCTTGGAGTCCATTATATTTAGATGCAAGGAGCCGAAGAAGGGAGTTGCAACCTTGAAATGATTGGGAGACGTAGGGATTTCGGGTAGCGTGGGCACATTGAAGGCTGCCATAGCTAGCCAGGTGTCCGATAGGCGCGGTCGTACGGATCTCTTTTGAGACGCCGCAGATGTCACAATCATCCGTAATTGGATAGTCCAAATTTCAACTGGCCCCTTGAGCGTTTTGATTGGGCAAAAATATATCAATATAAACAGGGCGATAAGTCGTCCATTTCAACTTGAGCCTCAAATATCAGCAGGGAATCTTGGAATCTTAGCACCCGGGCAAAATAGTTACAGTCAGCTCTTCCAGGCCGTCGTGGCTGGGTTAGATCAAGTCATTATTCTCTAGTAAATTTAGACATACCGCCGTAGCATTGCTCCTACACTCAGGTAAAAAGCAGCTTTTGACAACTGATTTTTCTTGCTGCTTGGCGTTTCGTAAAGGTGCGACAAATTTCAATGAATCGAAGCAATAAATACTTTGCCCTGGACAACTAGGTTTCCAGCTCCCGAATAATACGGTTGTAGTCCTCGATTTAAGCCCTCAATCATAAGAGATATAGCAGGTGATCCACTGTAGGTTGGCCTTGTGATTCAAAGTAAGATGTCGAAGCGCTTTCTTTGATTGGAAACATCGTACACTAGGCCATGATAGTAACTGGTTGGACTATTTTTTCGCTTTACCCCGCTCCGCATGGACTTATTATTTCGTGATATGGACAGAGGTATGGGGGAACAGAATGGGGTTGAAAACTATTTAAGAGTGTGATAATTGACTAGAAATCCGGAAAACAAGGTATCTCAAAAATAATCTACCATTGCTCTTTATTTCATCGCCTGCTTATTCAATATCGAGGCTTCCCTCGCAACAAATCTTGCTGAAAATGAAGTGCCCTAATTGTGAAAAAGACAATTACGCTGGGAGAACCGTGTGCGAATACTGTGGTTTCAGGCTTCTAGGCAGGTCGCGACCGATAATACTCAACATGGTAAGCATTCATCACATCCCATAAGACTTGACTTTTATCTTGATTAACAATTATAAGGCACGACTCTTCACCAGAGAACCCCCACTGTGATACTGGAAGAAGGATAGATCGTCTACTCCCGAATGAAAGGTTTCATAGGACATACGATCATTTTTTGATTTCGTTATTGTTATTAAGCCTGAGCAATAATATGAGTAACTAAGCTTAATTTTCATGTTACTTTTAGTAAATCTATTATGTTCTTACCGAAATAACACTCAATATTTTCTTGCCGAGAGACTATCTTGTTAGAAAGATTCTACCAAGGTATCAAAATACGCATACCACGAGTCATTTTATCGGACCGTTTAAGCACCCTAATGTATCTCATCTCTCCTGCCACCGGCCAGAGGCTCTAAGACACACGAGAGAGATTTGCTTTATGTAGACCTTGAAGTTCTGTTGTAGCATCAACTTCAAACTCAATGTCGGGTAGTGTGCCTGATACGTAAAGTAGTAGTTCAATGGGTGAAATCTATTCTTGCAAAGCTTCCAAGGCTCTCGGCTATTACTAGTAATATACCATAAATTGAAGTAATCACTAATTACAGAAATTTCGAGATTGCCCTCTTGCCCAGGTGGTAAGCTAATTTTTCGTGAAAAGGATTCTATTCTAGAACATCGCTCATTGCAAAAGGCTCATGATCCACAACACCAAATCTAAATCTCAAATCAAGGCTAGCAAAAGTCCCAAGATATCTAGAAACTGAAGCACTAGTGCATTAAGCAAAGTTGAACTTTTTAGCCATCTCAATACCCTCCGCGATAGCACCAATCCGCGAATCAATTGCGTACCCCTCAGCTTCGAGTTTCCGCAATCCATCGTACAAAGTCGCCAGCGGCAGGGTAAAGGAGTCAATGAATTCATCCTCCTCCAGATCAGGCTTTGGGTCCTGGTTCTCGGGCAAGGTCATATCAACTTTGACATGGACGAGGTTGAAATTGGTATTGCAGAACCCCGGATCTACTCGCAATTTCGTCAGCAACACCCCCGGTTAAGATCGAGATTTCCTTTTAGCAGTTTGAACAAGAGACAAACTGACCATTGAACATAATAAAGCTCGATTTGAGCGCAACGCCGACAAACCCCGTCTCCTCTTTGAGCTCGCGCTCAGCACACTGCTGGATCGTCTCGCCAGCGTCAATCATCCCCGCTGGTGTCTCGATGACAACGCGGTTTAGTGGAGGGCGATACTGCTTTTGAAGAAGCAGTTCCGGGCCGGATGGCTTTTCCAGAATAGCGACGATTCCGACGCCATCGACTAGCGAACCGGCGGGTCTTGTCTGTGCTGGGTTGTTAAGAACCATTCAAAAAATGGGATTAAAGAAAATGGAAAGGTAGATTACCACACGCTCGGCAGACTCCCACGTCCTTGTGACTCCATTGGGGTCAAGGTATGTAGTCTTGACTAGACGTTTCCATTTCGCCTCTGACGGGTCCTGAAATATCGGTGAGAGGTCAATTCTTGGATTGGGCAGAAATTCAGGGGCACACAAACCAGGGGTTCTTGGTGATGGACTTTTGATTTCAAATTTGTCATTTTGAATGCTTATCACGATTTAAGAGAAAATATGACCGAGGAAAATATGTCGGGGTTGGATCGATGGTCGCAGGGAGTTTTCAGTTCGTGCAATAGTCGGTCTGATGCCCTGGTAACCATGCGATGACAAAGCAAGCTGAAAATGCAAGTGATAAAAGAACTACGACCGATTGGGAACTGAAGTAGATAAATTGGATAGAATCTTGAAATGAACAACCGTGTTCTGAAAATGTATGTACCTAGTACGAAGGCGTATGCCATCCTAGAAACGCCTTCCATATCCACACCCCAAACACCAAGAACCGATCGAAGAAAGGTGAACAACGGCAGGAGAGGTATCCAAAAGAGAGGCAGAATTCAAGAAACCCAGGAACATATCAAAGATGCGCCGCGAAATGCAAAGCAGCGGGGATAATCCCAGTACCCCATATAGGGGGTAGAAATCGCAAGCAAGCCCAGAGCACAGCTTGCTGATGAAGTAAGCAAAGCAGAAAAGCAAAAAGGCCGTCACCAGTAGAAAACTGGGGCATCAAAAATGTACATGAAACTCCTCTTCCGGGGAATGATTAAGAAGCAAAGGATTTGGGGGCATCACAGCGTGACAAAGGAAAAACAAAGGGAAAAAAAGAGTCAGTCGAGTCAGGGGCCAGCAAAAGAAAGCTGGCGAAAAAAACCACACAAATCGTTGTGATAGTGTGAACAAGAAAATCTCCAAGCCCAACTCCATGACATAACAAATAGGTATGCGCAAGAAGAGAAAAATGAAAAGAAAAACCAGAGATCTTCCCCCGGGATCATCACCGTCGACCTCAACGCCGTTACACGAATAAAAGTCTGCGCCAAAATATGGTTGGAAAAAAGTCGGGAAAATCCGAAAGATGCGCGAGAAGATCACAGTTTACCGCAGATTGCGGATGATCTTCTTCCCTCGGGCCAGGAACGGGCTCGGCATCTCGTCGCGCTCGGGGTCCCAAATCGCAGGAGGCTCGCGCTCAGAGCATCTGAGGCTGGAGGTCGCACGGGAGTCGCTAGCACATCGCTTAACCTCATCCATCGAACGGCCACCAGCACGGGCCTGGGCAAGTTCGACCAAGGTACGGCCACCCATGTTGCGCTGCATCACAGCCTTGTACATCTCATCACCACCAGCGTTGAGCTTGGATGGAGATTGCTTCGAACCAGTCTTACGGGTTGGAGAACCGGCATCTGCGGCGAGATTGGCGGAAGATGGGATCTTGGAGAGACGTCGGTGGGGGGGACTTCGAGCGGCTGTCACTCATGCTGCTGCGGTCTTCGGAGCGAGTAGGGGAGACGGATGTTGATTGAGGCAGGCGAGATCCGTTCGAGGGGAAAAGGGGTGGCTGAGTGTTGAGTTTTTGCACGAGGGTCGCTGTGTTCTGGCGGAGGAGCTGTCGGGGGTGAGCCTTGAAGGGATCAGGCTTGACCTTGGGGCGGGTGGGTGATGGGAGGTCTGGTGTGTCGTCTTCGTCATCTGAGTAGGCTAGGGTTGGCTCCCATTTCGCCTTTTGGCGCTCAGCTTCCGCGAAGATGTTTCGAGAACCTGCAGTCGCAGACGTACGCCGTGGCGACAAAGAAAGGGAAGCGATGGAGATAGGAGAAGGCTCGGCCATCTGAACATCCTGCGGAGAGTCCACCACGGTTGTTTTTGAGCGGCAGAGAGGAGTGCGAGTCTCTCGCTTTTGCTTCATAGTGTTGGATGTGGGAGATTCTAACGAAAGCTGGCTGATATCGGTGCTGGGAGGGGTACCGGCATCATCAGTAGTTGAAGAGCGTGAGGTTTGGCCGCTGGCTCGAGATGATGTTCGAGGGCCTGAACGACGGAGGCTTGCACGGAAGGCTTCCTCGCGAGAGTTGCTATTGCTCTTCTGCTTCTGTTTCTCTTTTTCGACTTCGATGGAGACTCGCTCCTGGACCTCACTCTCGAATCGCTTGCGAAGTCGATCCAATTCATTTTGCACCTGTCGGTCAATCTCCAACCGCGCCTTCACCTCCCACTCTCTTCGAACGGTGCTTTCGATCTCGGTCTTCAATTGTTGTTTTTCCTTCTCCGCTTTGGCCAGAGTTTGCTCGATCTCGCGAACCTTCTGAACGGCAACCTCTTCGCGGCGTCGGAGAATCTTACCAAGATCTACAACCTCCTTCTCCTTTCGCATGAGACGGATGATAGGGAGGTTGATTAGCGCGGCAGTGTCAGGGCGGTGATCGGGGTTGACTCGCAAGCAGCTCCCAATTACATTCTTCAACTCCGGGGAGTAGCAATCAGGGAGAGCGTTGAATTTGCCCTCGCGGATCTTCTGGACCAGCTGGATGTGTGTTCGAGCGTTGAAAGGGGGCTCTTTGGCGCAAAGCTCATACATGATACATCCAACGGCCCAAATGTCTGAGCGAAGAGTGTATTTTTCGGCGGCACAGATCTCTGGGGACATGTAGAAGGGGGTACCGACATATGTGGAGGCAAAGTCGTGGGACTGCATCTGCTTGGAAAGACCAAAGTCACCCAGCTTGACAGTGTTGTCGCTTCCAAGGAAGATGTTCTCCGGCTTCAGGTCTCGGTGGAGAATAGTGACCTGTCCTTGCTTTCCCTTGAGACCGGATGCCTTGGCCTGCTGTCCCAGAATATTGGATCCAACCTCAGCGGGATCGTGGCCATAATGGCAGCGGAAAAGGGCGGTCACGAGTTGAGATAGGATGCGCCAAACGAACTCCTCCTCCGCATATTTATTGACCTTCTTAAGGTTCTTGATGACCATGCTCAGATCTCCACCACCGCAGTATTCCATGTACAGATACAGATCCTGGCTGGCCTTGAGGTGTTCGCGATGGTAGTAAGCGACGATGTTCGGGTGTCGGAGGGAGCTTAAGATGTTGAACTCAGCGGTGAGTTGCTCTCGCTCTTTTTGGGACATTTTGATGTAGTTGATCTCTTTGCGGCAGAGAATCTGTGAATCTGTTAGGGCGAACCCAAGAATGGCATCATCGAATCGGACGAAAGGCCACTCACGAATCCATCTGTCTTCCGCTTCACCTTGCGAATGATCCCGAAGGAACCGCATCCTATAGGAGATATTTGTTAAATGAGATACAAGCAGATGGGAGGACCTAGGGTTGGGTCAGACGTACCGATCTTTTCCAAGATCTCATACTTGTCCGCCTCAGCCAAAGCAATCGCCATGGCTGTAGATGTATGTAGCAGACAAGGGAGTTGATTCAAAGGGTGTCGAGTTTAGAGGAAAGAGGAAGAGGGATAAGTCGAATGCTCAATGAGCAGGAGGCGAGCAGAAATTGAGGTCCCTGTTTAGTTAGTGGAGGAAATTGGAGAAGGAAAAGGCACGCAACGGTGCTTCGAATAGAAGAAGATCGCTGGTCGTTAGTCGGTTGTTTGGGTGGAGGCGGTTGCTCAGCAACGACCATCGTCACGGAGCCTATCCTTTCCCGGCAGGCGGTCAGGCCGCTCACGTCAAGGGTGTAGCATCCACACAGTCCTCAAAGAGTGGAACCATTGGAATAGTTGAGACAAGGGATTTGTGGGGAATAGGTAAATTTATGAGCTGGTGAATTCTCCAATTGTCTGTCAATCAAATATTCACTTATTTAATGCAGCGACTGAACATGGAGAATTGTATACTTCCAATAGACCTGATTGGCTGCCGCGGAGCCCGAGGCCGGCCCGATCCTGGGTCACATGATCCCTTATCGATAAGGTGCCATTTCCTGCGGGCATGGAATCCTATTGGAATGCCCGCATTTCATCATCCCACTTTGTGCTTCGTGCTCTGTGGCAGCCTTTCCTCCCAAGTCAACACCGGCTACCTGCAGATAGCATTCTGGCGGATTGAAATGGAGGAACCAACGGTATTGCGTAAGGACCAGTTGGAGATAAGTTTCCACAAGGAGAAGAAATTGATCCAGGAGGGCACTATCAAAGATGACAACCCATTGGACCTGAGTGAGCCATTCCGAGACCTCTGCAGTGCTTGCCGAAAGGGCGATCTGAAAGTCTGCCAGGAAAAAATCACCGAAGGAGTCAATGTCAATGCCCGCGACCTTTACGACTATACGCCTTTGATTTTGGTGGGTGCTGGGAACCGCGGCAAACGCACATCTCGATCATGCAGTTAACCGAAATCACACCAAACAGGCCAGCCTGTGCGGGCATTATGAAGTCGCACGGCTGTTGCTCGAATCTGGGGCCCTGTGTGAACGAGATACATTCCAGGGTGAGAGGTAACTACAACACCCAACAGGACGGACACTGGATATCCCACTGGTGATGAGGAGTGTTGTCTCTTGTAAGCGTCGTGGGCTGACGAAGATATATCTCTTGCTCTGTAGATGTCTGTATAATGCTCTCAACGACCGTATCCGCAATCTCCTCCTCGAATATGACTACTCCAAGTCTACCGATCCTCTGCAGCCCCTCGCTGCCCATATAGCCTCACTCCTTACTCGAGACTCCCCCATCACCACCGATATCGTGGTAACTGCGAATGATGAGTCCATCCACCTGCACAAATTTATCCTCGCTGCCCGCTCCCCTTACTTCGAGGGTAAACTTTCCACCGCCCCCGATTCAACAGCGTGGAATATCCCCAGCCACATTCCACCCCAGGCATTTAGCGCTGCTATAAGGTATCTTTACTTGGGCGAAGCTCCACGGGAATTACGAGGTGGCCCTGGAACTGGGTTCACCGAGACGGAGGTCTTTGCGGGGATCGACAGAATTGCGAAATATCTTGAGATTGAAAGCCTGGTGGACAGTATACTCGAGAGTGGAGATCGACGACTTGCTCGACAGAGAAGGACGTTGGAGCTATCTAAAGGCAGAGATCAATTAGAGAATTGGTTCCGCACGAATGTGCTTGGCAACAAGATTGTGGTTGAGACATCGAAGGCGAGCGAAGTGAAATGGGATCATGATAATCACATCTTTGCAGATGTTCTTCTCCGCGCGGATGAGCTACCCGAAGACGCCGAGGATGCTGGCACAGCCGACGGCCAGCAAAAGTCCACATTATTCCCATGCCACCGAGCGATGCTGCTCCGCTCGGAGTTCTTCCAAGCCATGTTCACCTCTTCTTTCCGCGAGGCCCATGTCACGGATAACCTGCACATTATTGACGTCGATTGCTCACCAGAAGTATTAGAGATCATCCTGACATTCCTATACACGGAAAGGGCCGATTTCCCTCTCGATGTCGCTGTCGATGTGTTATTTGCAGCCGACATGCTTTTCATCGAGAAGCTCAAGACCAAGGCTGCTGTCGTCATCAGTACCCTAGGAAGCGGAGGGCTCTCGCAAGAAGAAGCGGCGAAAACAAGAGGCGATGTCGACGAGGATGACATTGACATTTACTCAATCATGCGCGCCGCTTGGTTAACCCGAGTCCAGCGACTCGAAGAATTCGCTGCTCGGTACCTTGCCTACCGGTTGGAAGCCCACATTGATTCGGCCGACTTCGCGGAGCTCATACAAGAATCCGCATCGCGTATCCAACTACGACAGGAGACTGATACTATTGAATTGCTGGATGACATTCGATTCTATCTGAATGAGCGATTCCGGTTAAGATTTGACGATGCTGGCCTCGACGAGATGTTGAATGGGCAACAGGCGCCTCCAGCGGACGCCACAGACGAAATTTCCGGAATTACTGATGGTGTCGACGCGTTAAATGTTTCCCGGCCGGTTGAGCAGCCCGTTGAAGCTGATGGGCACCGTGTAATTCGTACCTTAGACGGTGCGATCGTTGAAGATGAATTCTCCGAAGACGCGATGAACTACGAAATTCTGATGGAAAAACTGGATGCTCTTCTGGAAACTCTCAATCTCGAAGCTTAGATGCATTGGACGACTATGAATATAAGAAGTGAAGAATATATCCACACGAATGCGAAATAGATTTTGTGCGCTTCAAGTTTTAGAACATTGACTTCAAGTTTTTGTGCTGGTATCCGCCGGGCGTGACGCGCTGTCTCATAGTAAAAGTGCATGGGCAAAAACTGCCTAGGATTTCGCTCCAGCACTTCCTGCATAACCCACATTTTGACTAGCAGGACTCAGGACTGCGCGATCATGATACATATCCAACATGAGCATTTGAACCAAAACAACACCGGGCGTTACATGCCTACCTAATACACCGTGACGGCAAAACGTGGACTCCGACTCGGAGGTCCCCTGGCGCTGAAACCTACCAAGTCCAGAATACCATGATTGCCCAGGTGCACAACCATGCCTACTAGTATTTGGAAAGAAATGCGGTACTATTTCCATAGCCTGGGATACTTGAGTGTTTTACCTATGAATTACTATCTCACTCAGGCTCTCTGACGCTAGAGAATGTTCCAATACTAGTGGAGATATATATCTCGCCAGAATCTGAGACGGCAAAACGTGACCACGAACTCGGGATACTAGGACTACTCGTGTATAGAATGTTTAATAATTAAATCTTCCAAGATCTAAAGATATATATGTCCAAGTTCAAGTATTGTTATATTTACAAATAATGTGCAAATTATTATAGAATCTGACGTCGTCGTCCGCCATATCAGCGCAGTTCCGGAGACCCGCCCCTCTTAGTGACATAAGAGGTAGCTCGGCAAGGTTCAAATCTATACCACGTCCCAAGAAGACGACTTCGGTCATATGGGCCATGCATTCGGTATGATGTATGTAGACACCGTTGATTCCAGATGCAATTGGTGGTAGGCGTTAAGGTTGGCTGGAGGTAGACTCATGTGGACATATTTCCCAGACAAAGGAATGGGCGATAGATACCACGTTAGATATCAACTCATCATTCAGCAGAGAAGAGAGCTTTTTCAGCCAAGAACCGGGATAAGACGTCATGAGCTGAGAAGTGTGCACGGCATCCGCCACGCAAGTCCTCGGTGATACCCGATTCCAGACTCAAGGTCAGAATCTGGCATCGGCCGCCTTTGTTGTTTTTGAAAGACAAAATATAGGAGCCCTTCACTTATTGACCTCCACCTGGTTGGTTCTGATTGTCGGAGGCCTTCATTTCTTTCTTCTTCTGGATCTTCTCCTCTAGCTCGCGAATCTGGGTTTCGATTAGCCCTTTCCGGGCAGTCAAGTTGGATCGCATTCCCCGGAGAGCCTTCATTTGTTCGTCAAAGGTAGCGTCCTGGCGTTGCTTTTTGGTCTATTTGTGAAACAAAGAAACACCAGTCAGTGGCTCAACCTTTCCATTGCGCAGATCCCGGCTCACCTGGGAGATCTCCTCTGTGGTCTTGATTCCAGCCCCATAGAGGGATCCTGCGATTGTGATTGAGGTGACAGCCGCCGTCAAAATCAGACGGCGAACATTTTGAGGTGACGGCATCGTTCGGAGACTGCGGAGAGCAGCAAAGCAAAGCAAAGCAAGCCAAGCCAAGTCAAGCAGAAAGCAGAAGCCGCGGAGGCCCACACCGCCTTGAGCTTTCCGCCTTCCTTATCGGGCCAGATAGTCGACGCGTCGACGCGATTCGCGGGCCAGTCACGATCACCATACTCGTTTGCTCTCCCAGTTTCTCCAGTTTCTCCCAGTTTTCCTTGTCGCTATTCCTACGCATTTCATGGCTTCGCATGCCATCGACTTGTGAAAATGCCATCCCAGACTTCGGTCCCCCAACGTCGAAGTCACGAGGATTCCGACGAGGATGACTCCGACTCATCCCACCCCACCTCAGGTCCCAATATCAAGCGCCAACGCCTGAGCCCCACGGAGGAAGCCAGTGAGGAGGATGAAAGTGGAAACACTGAAGCCAGCGAGGGGGGGCAACGATAGTAATGACGATGACGACGACGATGACGACAACCAGAGCGAAACAAGTGAGGACATGGATGCTGCAGGCGCAAGAGCTATCGCTCAGCAGCCAGTTGTTGACCATGGAGTCGGCCCGGGAGGTTACAAGCCGGGTGCAATTGTGCGCATCAAAGTGACCAATTTTGTGACCTACACCTCGGCGGAATTCTTCCCTGGTCCCAAGTTAAACATGGTCATTGGGCCCAACGGTACGGGCAAGAGTACCTTGGTCTGCGCGATTTGTCTTGGTCTCGGATGGGGTCCTCAGGTAATGTCGATTCCGATGAATACATGATTTCTACTGTGAAGGTTCATAGCTAATGCACCATGGGATAAATAGCACCTCGGACGCGCAAAAGATGTCGGCGAATTCGTCAAACATGGCTGCTCAGAAGCGAAAATCGAGATCGAGCTTGCTGGACGACCAAAACTGTCATTCAACCCGGTGATCACCCGCACAATCAAACGCGACGGAAACAAAAATGTATACACCTTGAACAGGGCCCCTTCTGGATGGAAGGAAGTTCGCAAGCTAGCACAATCATTTGCGATCCAGGTCGACAACCTCTGCCAGTTCCTGCCTCAAGACAAAGTCTCCGAGTTTGCAGCTTTGACACCCATCGAACTTCTTCACTCGACACAGCGAGCAGTAGCTGGGCCGGAGATGGTAGAATGGCACAACGGCCTCAAAACTTTCCGCAGCGAGCAAAAGCAAGTCGAGATAGACAGTCGCGCGGACCGGGAAATGTTGAAAAATCTCGAGGACCGACAGGAAAGTCAGCGAGAGGTCGTGCAAAGGATGCGCGAGCGAGATGTCATCAAGCAGAAGATGGAACTCCTTGAATTTATACGCCCCGTAGTCGAATACAGAGACTACCACGCTGAGTTCATAGCGTTGAAAGAAAGGAAGGCCGCTATTGACCAGGCCTATGATCGACTCAAGTTGGAAGTCGAACCCGCGTTGCGATCTATCAATGCGAAGCAAGAATATTCCGAACAAATCACCGCTGCGAAACAGCATCGCAAGGAGCAGGTGGAGAAGTTGTCAAGGATAGCTGAAACGCGCGGGAAGAAAATTGAAGACTTGAAAGGCTCTATCAAAGCACTGGATAACGATATCGAGGCAGAACGAAAGTCGGGCCAAAAGCACAAACAAGAGGCCACAAATGCATCGCAAACGATCGCACGACTGAAAAGGGAGTATGAGGATGAACCTGTGGAGTTTGATCCCGACCACTACAATGAACGACTGGTAAGAGGGACCCAAGAAACCCTTAATGTACCATTTCCACTTGCTGACCCTTATATCACAGAGAGAGAAACGACTTGAAAAGCGTGAGCTTGACGCCAAGGCAGAGGAAATGAAAGCACGGAGGGCCCCATGGCTCGAGCGAGGAAAGGCTCTGAAGTCAAAAATCGCGGAATCTGAACAACAATTGGAACACTTAGATTCAGCGATCGGAAAACAAGAGTTCAAGTTGAAATTGGTATCACCCGACTCACTGAAACTCTACCATTGGATTCTCCAGAATCAAGACAAATTCGAACACGAAATCTTTGGGCCCCCCCATGGTGACCTGCTCTGTGCCTGATCCAAAGTATGCCGATGTCATTGAATCCCTTTTCCATAAGTCCGATTATACGGTTTTCACAGTGCAGAGCCGGAATGATTTCCGCACGCTCCAGAGGAATATCGCCGAACAGAAGCTTGCAGATATCAGTATCAAAACATGTTCCCAACCACTTGGCCACTTTACCGCGCCTGACTTCGATATTCAAAGTCTTGGATTCGATGGATGGGCCAATGACTTTCTGACCGGGCCCGATCCAGTTATTGCCATGCTTTGTATGGAGAACCGACTGAATCAAACACCGGTTGGCCTGCGTGAAATTTCCGAGGAAGCTTTTGCGCAGATGGAAAACGGTTCTCTCAATTCGTGGGTATCTGGCAAGCACAGTTATAACGTCACTCGCCGCCGAGAGTATGGTCCTGGTGCCCAATCAACTCGTGTTCGCCAGGTCAAGCCTGCGCAGGCCTGGACCGCAAAGCCTGCAGATGCATCTGTCAAGCAACGGTACCTCGATGATATCCGCCAGAGCAGAGAAGAGCTCGCCGAGCTCCAGGCCAAGGTGGTTTCAGACAAAGCCGCGGCGGCTGAACTTATAGCTGATCACAGGCGAGTTCAAGATGAATACGTACGTTTCTCCTCGAAATCTCTGGCATACTTTATACTAACTTGCTACCAGGATAATATCGAGAGCGAGAAGTCTGAGAAGCAGACTGCACATACAAATTGGCGGTCCATTCCCGATAGACTTGGTATGCCAATAAATATTGTTCCTACTGGACCAGTTTGCTAATCACCCTACAGTCCAGCACGAGCAGAGGCAAAAGACATTCACCGATCTTTTCGAAAAAGTAAGAGAACGGGTGTACGGCCACCGAAATAGGCAGGATGAAATCTCCATCGAAAGGGCTAAGGCTACAATAGAATACTCCGTAAGATGACTATCAAGATTGGAATTGACTAGAGACAAGTGCTAATGACCTTTAGGATGCTGCCGAGAAACTTCGTCAAGCCTACGAGGAACTCATGAAAGCTGAGATGCGACATCTGGAAGCGAATTCTGATCTTCAAACCCTGAAAATCCGAGAGAGTGATGTTACGAAAATGCTCGAGGAGAAACGCCTAGAGTCCGTTCAGGTTTCCAACGAATACAAAGAAGGAACCAAAAAGGGAAGAATTATGCTAGCCAAGGCAAAGCAGACTACCAGTGCAATCAAAGAGAAAGAGGGCGGGGCTGAGCTCCTCGATTCAATCAGGGAAGATGGTTACAACACAGACCAACTCAATGCAGACATTGACTCTAAAAGAGCCGAGCTAGAATTCACCCATGGTGGAAACGAGAGTATGATCCAAGAGTTTGAGCAACGCGAGCGCCAGATCGACAAGCTACAGAGCAAACTTGGTGAGTTGAACAAGAAGCTGAGCGACTACAGCGAGGCCATCAACGAACTCCGCCAAAAATGGGAGCCAGTGTTGGATGCCCTCGTCAGCAAAATCAGTCACGCTTTCTCCGACTCATTTGCACGCATCGGCTGTGCCGGCCAATGCACTTTGGAAAAGGTGAGAACCGAGGCTGGGCCGAACAACGACCCTCCCGCCGAGTATGAGTATGATCAATGGGCGATTGAAATCCACGTCAAGTTCCGCGAAAGCGAAGAGTTGGCACTCTTGAATGCTTATCGTCAATCCGGTGGCGAGCGAGCCGTCAGCACCATATTCTACCTAATGGCTCTGCAATCGCTCTCAGCCTCGCCATTCCGCGTCGTCGACGAGATCAACCAGGGTATGGATCCTCGAAATGAGCGCATGGTGCACGGTCGCTTGGTTGACATTGCGTGTGCGTCGAGCAATGGAGAAACAGACGAGGAAGGCAATGTCATCGGCGGCGGCGGCGGAGGTCAATACTTCCTCATCACGCCGAAGCTGCTCAACGGACTGTCCTATAAGCCCGGTATGCAGGTGCTTTGTATCTACAGTGGTGAACATATGCCCGAGAACTACGCGAAACTGAACTTTGGCCTGGCGATTCGAAACATGAAAACGATCGTTGCGGAAAGCGGAAGGTCGACTGGCAAGAATCAGGCCCGAGCCATCGCAGACCCTCACCAGGTGGATGTTTATACCTAGCGGCGAACGAGATTTCTGCTTAATATTTGTTCTTTACTTTTACATATTGTTTTTCTTTGAGATACTCAACGCTGGTTTTTGTTTTAGCGACACTCTATCTATTCATCAGGAGCCAATTCATGTCAGGTTTATTTAATTCGAGCAATCAATCATGGGAAGGGACCATGGTCGGCGCACTGAGCGTTATGGTTCCTATACTTTTTTCTCTCTCTAAACTTTACAACTGTTATTCTTTCTTATGCATGTCTTGGTAGCATGTTTCGAAATCTCGTGTCTGCACCGGCTGACCTTGTTCAGCGCTCAATGGCCCCAGAGATGAAATTCTAGATTCTAGATTCTAATCGTTTTCGAAGCGGGTACCGGTCAAAGCACACTCATTTCAGCTTCACGGACATCATACACCCATTTCTCTTCAACCCCACCCTGGAACTACATCATGAGGGGTTGAATGCTTCACCTCAAGTACTCCGTACTCACTGCCTTGAATCATCTCAACATATCAAGGCAGAGTCAAGGCAGCTCCAATGCAGTATCAACGAGTATCAACCACGGAGCTGGAGCCTGGCCCCACTAGGAGGTTAATTAATATCCATCCATTCATGCATCATCGGCCGCTCCGTGTCCGTGCCCATGTCCACCATCCCCTCTCCCAGCCTCTCGGTAGTTGGGATTCGGAGATTAGAAGCAAGAAAGAAAGTCATGAGCATCAAAAAGACCAAAAATCACAGGTGGGCCAAGGCCAAGCCAGCGAAGATGTGACGAGGCTGCATCAAACGAGGCGTTACATTATGATTACATAGCGATCGCCGTCGATCAAGCAAAATGCCGCAAGGTCAGTGCCGGAAGGTTGGCGAAATGGTGGGAGACGGGGGCCTCCGTCGAAGGTTCTCTCTCCACCGGCGAAGATCCCCAATTAAACAGATTGGCATCCATGCTCGGATCAGACCAGACGACCGAAGTGGACAAGATCGGGTCTTGGCCTGCGCAAAGGCTCGCTCTCTGCTTTTTCCCTCCCCCCTTGCGACTTCGCTTCGGCGGCGAGCAGATCCTCGTGCAGGTAAGGCCAGTTGGGTTAAGAGGCGAATGGACGCTTCGTTACGCTGTGTCATGCAGATCGACCACCGGGCGTTTCCGCCGCAGATCACAGGCTCCATCTCGGAGGTTTTGCATGCCAATCGTTGGGCGACGTTGGGCAGTCCCTCGCTACGACCAACTCTAAATTGTCTCTTTGTGTAGCTCACAGCACAGGGCCCCAGTTCTGCTTTGCCTTTGCCTTTGGCTTTTGCCTTTGTCTTTTGGGAAGCTTTTCCCTTTACGCCGCCCCCATCCCTTCCCCTCCTTGTCTCTCTCGGCCACAGTCCGCACCCAAAATGTGGCCTGGGTCTCATGCTGACCGTGGTGCCATCCACTCTTTACGAGAATCGGTTGTTGTGGATTTCTTATTGCTTATGCTCTCGTTTTTGGGCTCTTTTGGATTGCTGCACCTTCATGCGTTGTCCATCTGCCCTCTTCCCTGCCCCTCCATCCCAGCGTAAACGTACTGCACGCACATACGTACATAGGATATGTACTGTACAGGGCTGATCGCCACTGCGCCCCATCTGCTTGGTGGAGGCTGGGAAAGGGATGATTGGCCCGATATTCCACGATCCTGTCAAGAATCCTCATGGCGATCCGGCCAGTCAAATCCACACAATGAGCGTGGAGTGGTTTCACCTGAGCAAACCGGTCTCAACCAACACGTTGCATAGCCCATATGTCCCGCGCATGGACCAAGATGTGCTGCCTCCGCATGTTTGGCGGGGCCCTACGCTTGGACTTCTCCAAAAGGTGTACGGAGTACTCGTAAAGTTAACTCTGCAGTGCTACTCGACAAAGTTATGGTTCAATTCACCGCCCTTCCTTTTTCGCCTCCGGTGATGGCATCCCACATCCATCCACATCCATGTCCCACATTCGGATCCCACATCTTATATCCCACATCCGTTCTCTATGCAATCTGGTTGGTGGCGGTGGTGCTCATGGTTACTGGGACCCCACGAAAAAAAAAAGGAGAAAAAGAAAAAATGACGCACCAAACAAACTAAACCAATCCCCCTCGATATCGGAAAGGATGCGATGCCCCCAATGAGACCCCCCTGTTTAATTCAATGTCCTTGCGAATATGTCGTACTCCATACTCCGTACTGCGTACAGTGCGCGGTCATCCGTTCGCCCGTCATATCTGGAGAATCGAGAGTTTACTCGTACGAGTATTCCGTACTGAATTATGACCAGCCCCTACCCCCTGCAAAGTGAGGGTCCCTTCGGAAACTTATCATCCTGTAGGATCACCGCGTCCAAAACGGCGGCTTGATTGTGGTCGACGCATCGAACCCTCTAGCCAGACCGTTGATTTCCTAGCATCCAGCCTCCCGAACGCCATGACGAGGGTGGCAGACGATGTATCATGTTTCCATGACCGAGCCAGCTGATGCGTGAGCTGTCTGGAGATGAAGTACGATGAACAAAGTAAAAAATAAAAATAAATGCGGGCGGCTACAATGCCCAAACAGAGGGCTCCAACGGGCTTTTCTGTATGTATAACAAGGTCACAGTTCCAATTCCCCCAAGCCCGAAGGAAGCACGGGCCGCCGGGGGATGGATGTGAAAATGAAATGACAAGGCGCGACCGGTCGATCCTCGGCGCCTACAGTACAGCCACAGGGTTAACAGCGCATCACGCTTTAGCAGCATGCGGTGCGTCTCGCAGATACCGTACCAAGAGTACCGAAGTACCTTCCATACGAACAAGGCTGGGGATCGGATCTTCTCCAACGGCCCATAACGTGGTCGAGGCTCGGAGATATATCGACAGGGGCGGCCAATCTACAATAGTACATACTATCATGTACAGACAGCCCTGGCGAGCGATGTACTGCCATACCATGATGCCCAGGCGTGCAATGATGGCACAACGCAGGCCAATTTAGGGGCGTGTTCCGATCCCAGCGTCGCACGACGTGTCGCACAATCGCGACCACGAATTGACAGGGCGGATTCAGATCTGGACGAGCAGATGACATCCCCTGAAACCGAATCTTTGGGCAAGGGTGTGTGGGTGTGGGTGGATGCGAGCTATGTTCATAGGCACCAGGCGGGTTGGAGGAAGAAGCAAAAGCAGGTCAGGTCAGGTCATTTCATCTCATCTCATCACACCACACCTCATTTCCCAGAGGTTGCCTTACTGGCTGCATTTGCTTTGCAGTTGCATTCATTGCTGGCCTGGACAGGGCATTGGCTTTAACAAACCCCAACAACTCCGTACCCCATACGTTCAAGCTCCAACCCAACCCAGTCCAATCCAATCCGAGTAGCGAAGCCTAAAGTGAAACACACAGCGATGTCCGTGGGCCTACGGAGTATGGACATACAGCTCAGCGGCAGTGGATAGACTAGTTTGACTCTGCCACCAGGATGGGATCCAATGGAGATGGTAGTGTGCATTCCCTTACACCGGGCTGGGACAATTCAGGCCGAGAACTTGTCGCATGGCAATGCAACCATGCAACCGTGGGATGATCTACCAGTCACAGCAACGAAGGGGACGGATTGGTGGGGGAGTGGGAGAATGGGAGGATGGGGGCGTAAAGTGTAAAGTGAAGCAAATTACTCCGTACTCCGTATCCGTACATACGAAGTAAAACAAAGCAAAGAAATGGAGAGTTTCGAGAGATCCGCCATGCTCGCGAGTCGCGCATTGACTTGCTTCGTATCTAAGTATGTTGAGTGTTGTACACACCGTACCCTGTACAGTATTCCTCCATACATACGCAAATATCGGGTCATCCTGGATAATAGACCGATCCTTGTTTGAAGCATGTGCTGAACTCTGTTCTTCGGTAATCCCTGTCGAAGGATGGAAGAATTCATTACCGATGGCGAGGGCGATCATTCTAGGATCTGCCTTTAGTGTACTCTCTACGTACACTTTACGAGTTAGTTCGGGGTAGGTGTACTTGTGATCAAACTGTTGTGCTCGGGTTCTCCGAGTGACTCAACAGGGATGGCTAGTTGCGTTGCGCTGCCACCGTATTGCTTTTCTTTTTCTTTTTGCAGGGCATGAAACGAGCGCCGGGGGCTTGCTTCGGGAAGTGGATGGCATGAAGACTGAAAAACAGATCCTGGAATCCGTAGTGCATACGTACATGGGTTCCTGGATGCCGCGCAATTTGATGATGACTACGGTGTACACGGGATATACTCCGGTATGGAGGACCATATAATGGGGAGTCAACTCAAACTACTAACTAGTACAAAGTAAGAAGACAAAAAAACAAAACAAAAACAAAAACAAAAATAAAGAAGTATCCTTGTCCACACTACTTACGAGCATTGGATCGTAATTCTATACGGAGTCCCAAATTATGCTTCCGGCCCCCAAGCTAGTCTACAACACCTGGATCATACCCACCTGAAAGGATTGCAAACAAGGGGGGTCACCGCTGTGGTTGCCTTGCCTTACTGTATATAGTACCATGCTATGGCCGAGGCATTTCCGTTCTCCGAGTTCACCGAAGCGCGAATCATGATCTGCTCCTACGACAATCCTGTTCCTGCACACTCCAGAATCCCATCTCTCATCTCACATCCTCCACAATAAACCTCCACTAAGTACGGAGTACAGCCAGGGTAAAATATGTCCGATAAGTCCGGCGATCATAAATAACCAAACCACCTCCCCAAAGCAGCTACTGCATAACGCCTCGACCTAGCCAAACAGGAAAGGCCAAAAACAAAAAGCCGAAAAAGAAAAGGAAAAAGAAAGAAAGGGGCCCCACGGCCGATCCCACACGGGGTTTATACCTAATATAGACTGGCGTGGAAGGTCGTGCATGCGGCATGCGGTGGGCAGTGTGGATGGTCGCTAAGATCCCGGCACTAAAACCCTAGTCTACATACACATCGACAGGGGGAAGGGCGATCGTTGATGTGTGACCTTGACCCTCGGTCCCGGGTGACGAACAGGTGAAGTGTTTCACCACGGCTGACACAGTCGTAGGCCGAGGCGAGATCGTTTGATCTTCTGTCGATCTGCGCAGCCTCCCGCCCAGCGTCGCTTGGATTTCCTGTTTAGCTGACAGCCCAGCCCAGCCCCAAGCCTACCCAGCCCCAGCCCGAGCTCGAGCTCGAGCCCGAGCCCGAGCCCCTAATGCTAATGCTACCCTAGATGTCTTTACTTTTGTGCATAGCATAGGGAGTATCCTGACTTGCAGTATACTTGATGATTTGCACTCCTGATGATCATGCTGAATGCTGATGATCATATCATGCTGGCTCTACCCCCTCTACTCCATACTCCGTGTTCTACCGGATTTGGGTTTCACGATAGTTTTTGTTTGCTTTTACTTTTAAGTTATTTTACGAAGAGCGATCGGGAAGAGCAGGCACGGCAGGTCCAGAATCCTGGGAAGCGTGGAAATGAGAAAGTGTTTCATTTCCATCGTCATTATGTCTCTGAGAGGATTAATAATGTCAAAATGCCGACTTACTTACCCGTACTCCGTCCCCTTTCTACATTCTACTCCATAGTCCGATCTCCGTACCCCGTTGAGCGTTGGACCCTCGGTTCCCTAGTATACGAAGGGGGAGCATAGAAATCAGTGCGTCGGAGACACTGCCCGAAAGGAGCTATGGCCAGCGGTTGTCTTGGTTGTCTGGGATGGGATGATCCACCGGGGCGATCCCGCCGGAAAAGGAAGGAGGTTAGGCGCCTGTGACAGGTCCGCGTCAGTAGAACACGTCAGTCCACGTGAGGAAGCATAATTCATATAATTCATGGTGAAGGACTGTCTGATCTTATCATGCTGGTGAGTTGGGGATATTCTTAGAATGGACTATTGATTCGGAGAGCAACTAGACCCTAGGGGGAGGATTATTACAGGAGTACTGTACTAGCAGCAGGAGCAGGAGCAGGAGCAGGAGCATCGGGCGAATGACCAGAAGAGTTCAAGCGAAACCTTATGCAACATGGAATCTGCATCTGCAGATGCATCTGCGCCTTCATCTGCAACTACGGGGGACGTTAGATGAAGGCCGGATCCGGGGTGATACTGACTAGTATACCTACAGTACTGTAGGTATTTACGTATGGTATAATACATACCCGTGCTTTCCCGCGATTCCCGGATTCCCGGATTGGCCTGGGATTTTCCCAGATTGCCGGGTCTAAACCACCTTCCCAAGGCGGGCAACGCCGGACTCGCAGATCTTCGTCGAGTTCTAGGAGGGAGAAGAGGGCATTTGCCTCAATTTTCAGTTCGGCACAGAATAGAGTACATGACATGTATGGATATGGAGTACGAGTTCATCAAGTACGAGTATCTACCTTATGCACGATATACTCCGTATAACATCACATTGATCCCTGATCACCATCACAGATCACTGGCCAGATAGGTCAGATGCATCTGCATGCAAGTGCCATGTGTTCGTCAACCCGCGTGGCTCGCTCCTTGTGCTTGTGCGACACTGTACAGTACTGCAGTCCGCGGCCCCACTGATGACGATGGGCAAATGAGTACGGAGTACGAGTAGCAAAAGCAAATCTGTTTGAGAAATCAAGGGATGATGATGGATATTGCGTATGTTCCAAACTGTCACAGCCAGAATACGACCGAATACGGAAGACGGGTAAAGTAGAAAAGGGGGGGAGGATCTCGCGTGGCACTGGGGCCCATGCCCCGGATGATCCCCGATCGATCCCCACGAATCCGGGCGAATAGCTGAAAAGGGAATCCTGACTCAGGGATTACCCTGCGGTGTGCAGCAAGCTAGGCGTTGTGCCCGACCCTAGCTATTCCTCCGTCACTATTGCAACACATCCTAGGCATCTAACACATAGTCAGTCCCTGAAGAGTGGTAATCGGATCCGGGAATGAATCTAGGGGGTTGGGTGGACTGGGACCCCAAAAGAAATTAAATTATCACCGACAGACAGGACCGGGCCACACTTTCTCCCCCTACGAGTACTGTGTTCCTGCAAAACCTTAGGCTGGGCAATACGAGAAGGGAAGGAAAAGTCGACAGAGTTCCAGCAGTTCCAGCAGTTCCAGCAAAGTTCTGTGGAAATGAAGAGCGACCGCACCCACCAGAGTCAGAATCTCGGCAGAGTTGAAGTCAAAAAAGAAAAGCAAAAAAGAAAAAAAGGTTGCTTTGGCTTTTTTGACCTTCCTTCGTGGGATGAATGGGGTCGTGGACGTTCTGGACTCTTGATTAATCTGGTACGACCGGGTCCTGGGAATGTCCCACTAGGGGCCACTGAGGGGTGGGGGGAGCAGGCAGAGAGGAGCCCCATCATCGCCGTGGTGATTGATTACCCAGGGGTACTCGACATTCCTGGTTACCAGAGCCGCATCCAATCAAGGCGGGTGGAATAGTAAAACCGGGTCTTGCGCTAGTCGATCCCGAGTGAAATGCCGAGGGTTGAGGTGGTGGGTTTCCAGAAGGCGATCAGGAGGATCGTCGCGGATCATGACATAGAACAGGCATGGCGAGCCAGCAGGCCAGCAGGCCAGCCACCGTGGCTGGATAATATGATTATACTGTAGTGGTCTTGGTATGACCCTCAACTATCCTCCGTACAAGTAGTGACATGCCCTACAGGGGATATCTCTGCCCCTTCCCTATACCTCCCTATGCCTCCATGCCTCCATTCCCCCTATACGAATGTCTCTGCTGTCCCCTGGCCCTGCCTCCCTGCCTGTTCTCACAGTCTGCTTATTCAACGGCACGCACAGAGCAGGCGATCCCACCCAAAACGACCGAGTGGAGCTCGCTTCCACGAGGCCGGGATGGCGGGTCCCGCCAACGGCCAATCCCCGATGTGCAGAATGTGCACAGACTGAGCAGATTATCAGACCAGACGAGGCTGGTACGGAGTACGGATACCATGCTCGTATCGTAGTACGGAGGAAACTGGAGTCAACTGGAGTCAAAGCATGATCACCTTCCAGAACTGCAGATCGACGATCGCTTTTTGGGAGCTCCCCGTGGGTCGATTGGATCTTCAGGAGGCCCTGCGATCACCGACCTTCTTAGAATAGTAACAGCGACAGCAATCCGCAATCTGCGGTCGGCAATCACAAGTATGTCACTTGGTCTTTGTGACCTTGGCCCTCCAGGTGGACACACTGCGATTGACATTTAACCTCTGCGGTCTCTGGTCGAAGGCAAAGCTAAGGCAAAGCAAAAGCAAAAGCAAAGCAAGGGTTACGAACAAGGTTGTCTTAAGCGAGCCACATGGCAAGCGCTTGGAGCCGCCACCCGTCATTTACTACGGTATTCTGTGTACGTTGTACTGGTGTACAGTGTATCCTAAGGTTGAGTAAGGAGGATCGGAGTTATGTACAGATCGGGTTAGCGCAGGAGTTCTCACCTTCCCTTTTTGGTTGCCACGCGACAATCTGACAAGAAATCTGGGGCGACCTTAGAGCTGTATTCCGTAGTCGGAGTTGGTAGAAATAGATGGATTGAGTATGAGTATACAGCTGGTAGTAGTATTATTCGTAGTAGGAGTATACGACAAGGTACACTGTTACCAGTAGATACTATGTGCCATATTCTACTCCGTAGAGTATGCTATACTCTTACCCCTACGATCAGTAATCATCTGAGATACTTCTACTAATGCAAAAGTGAAACAAGATCGACGCGATCAGTTCGGTGCGATCAACCGTTTATGGAGCTGAGCGCGATGTGACAGGTAAGCAGGATCTGCACTAACCGTAGCCGAGGACGGGGACTTTCCGGGCTTCCAATTTGGGTTAGCTTAGTACAATACATACATACCCAGCATAGTGTATACTAGTAGTATACTCTATACAGTAGTATAGGTACTGTACACTGTACGCCGTACTGTACATACCGCGTGGCCCCCCACTGGTTAATCTCCGACTCTGGTACGAGTATACTCCTTTCTCATTAATCTTTAATTTAATTCTTTTCCTTTTACTTTTACTTTTACTTTTAATATTAATATCTTTTCCCTTCTCAATTAAGCTTTGGAACCGACCGTCTCACTTGGTAAATTAAAATTACATCCACTTTCTCCCCCGTCGGCATCGGCCGGCGATCATCCACGCGAGATTTCCCACCTCCAACTCCATCCATACATAACCCTCGTGTCTGCCCATCTTCTTCACCTTTCCCTCCCAAGTCCACTCAACCCCAACCACTCCCAATCCTCACATCCTTATCCTCATCATGGATCTAGCCAGTCTCCTCCACGCCGCTCCTAAGCGCGCTTGCCCCGAGGACTATGACTATCCTACTACATACAAGCGCTCCCCGCAACCACCTCTCTCCCCCCCGGTGGAGGACCAGCCCAAGTGCTCGCTGCCTTCGATCACTGCTCTCCTCGAGGGTGCTGATGGTCATTCTGCCAGTGAGTTTATCAAAAAAAAAAAACCATCTGAACCATATCATATCCACTTGATACTAACCCACCTCCCAGAACGTCAACGCCTGAGCCCACCTGCTCACCAGCGCGATGCCCGCTACGACACTGTCCATCTCCCACCAACACCACCATTGCGCCCTGGTTCCGGCTCCGGCCACCACCACAGCCACAGCAGCTCTCCAGTCGAGGCCAAAGATGTCCACCGCGCCTCCGTCTCCTCAACAAGCTCTCACTCCCACCACCACCATCACCACGGGCCTTACGCTTCACCCGCACCAAGCGTCTCATCATACACCTCCCCAGTTGATGGACCTGTGTACTACCGCCCCCAAACAACCACAACGTTTGCGCCTAGCATCCCACCAACCCTTTCCCACCCTCAATCAGGCTCCCCACCACACACCCAGCAGTCTCTGCCCCAACAATCTCAATCTCAAGCCGCCGGCCCTACTACCGCCGCACCCCCTGCCTCTTCTCCATCTCTCATCTCCCCAGTCACTCCCGCCTGGCAACACCACCACTACTTCCCCCCTTCAACCGCAACACCTTACCAGCAAAACCACGACCGATATATCTGCCGCACTTGCCACAAGGCTTTCTCCCGCCCTTCTTCGCTGCGCATCCACTCCCACTCGCACACCGGCGAGAAGCCATTCCGCTGCACTCACGCCGGCTGTGGCAAGGCCTTCTCTGTACGCAGCAACATGAAGCGCCACGAGCGTGGTTGTCACTCTGGCCGTGCGGTGCCACCTCCTGCTACGGCTCTGGTTGCTTAAATTAAGAGTTGATTGAGAGCATGGTGTTCTTTGTTTTGCTCTTTGCTTGTTTTTTTCAAGATTCCTGTTTTAGATAAACGGATTCTTCGTTTTGGGGTTGTTTCCTCTCTCTCTCTCTGTTTTACACTGCCTACATTTTCGGCGGAGAGAGTGATGGATACCCTATGGGATGGCGTTTATTTGAGTGGTTGGCTTGGCTTATTTGCCGTGATACCCTTTTGATATCTTTATGATTTTACTTTGTCTGGACTGGACTGGATGGATTGGATATAGATGGGATAATCCTATCCTGGATTGGATGGATGGATCTCTTGATAAATTATCTTATGAGAAATGTATTATTTACTATGTCTGACACTTCCCTTGATATACTGTAGTTTGTATGAGTGTGTATCAGTTTGTTGGTAGCCCGGCTTCAGAAGGCTTGGCGGACTCCCATTTCGACTATCCTGCTCGTCATTGTCATTGTCATCGTAATTATTCTCACATCACTTCCTTATCTCTATCCACTTGCCCCTCGTGTAGGAATATACTCCGTTCATGCAACTAAGTGGAGGATATTGTCCTGATCGGAGTGGGGAGGGGAGGGGGACTGCGGCATTTTCGGGGTTGGTGGGTTTCTGCGGGTTTCACTTGTGAGGGGTTGGTGAGTTAGGTTGGGGTAGAGTTGCGGCTGGCTCGGATTGAGTTGGATTCGGGATGTGGGCGTGTTAACTTGTTTTGAGTTGGGTTTGGAGGGGTTGTTCAAGTTCAAGTTTAAGTTTCTTGGCTGGTGGCGTGATGGTGATGGTGGCGGCGGCGGCGGAGTTAGGGCATGGAAATGATAGTGCGGTGGCGTGGAGGACCTGGACTCGGAGAATGTCAAGTTCGGGAAAGCACAGTAGTTTGCAAAATCAGCTCTATACCTCCCGATACGCTCACTCTGTAAAGATAGCCCTGGTAGGCGATGCTTTTTCTCTGTTTTGAAGACTTTCTCTGTTTTGAAGACTTTCTCTGTTTTGAAGACTTCTATCACCAATCACGGCTAAGGCTTTTTCATTCGTTTTATCTCACTCTATGGAGCCTGAAACATGGAAACAGAACTCGGACTACGCACCCGGGGTACTTTGGCAGAGCCGAATAATGTATAGATACTATATAGCTCGAATCCTCTGCCGTTCAATTAGAGCAAGAAATGCAATAATCCCGATGGCCTAATATGTTATCTGATATCCACATTCACATTGGCATGTTTCCCCACACTTGTATACAAATTCGTCGATGCCCGCATAGAGAATACGGCGAGCAAATCGTCGCTCCTGGTGAACAGAGGAGGTGCGATACAGCATGGTCAGGTGCTCCTCTCGCTTCATTCCCTCGTAGAATGGGGTGTGGATGGAGCTGTATCCAGCCTCCACAACATAGGATCCCAGACCATTCACATCAACCCAGTGGAGTTTTCTAACAGGATATTTGGAGCATTCATTCATGAAGCACCCTTCGGCACAGCTCCCACTTCCCGAGACGGCGATGGTGAGATCGGAAGCCTCGAATATTTCCGCGGTTCTTGCGATCTGGGATTTCCAATCTTCATCATCATCCTGGATGATGCAGAGAGAATCCACCCATAGGTACCGAATTCCTAGATATCTTAAGACTTGAATGGCAACCTGCACTGACTGGGGTAGCCGCGACACTTCAATACCAAGTGATGTATACTTATGAAAACGCGCCTTCGTGGTCGTGATTCCATCTTGAAAGATCCAGCAATGGCTTAAAGTGCCGTATGGACCTCGTGAGGTCTTGGGCTCACACAGTCGAATACGCGCCTGGTTTTGATTGACCGTGCCTAGGTCTAGAACGCGCACTGGGGGATCAAGCTGGCCTTGATTTATACATGCCAAGTGATTGCTTCGACATGTTTTCATCCAGTGCTGAACTTCGTCCAGGCTATCGATGGAGACTTCGGGCGATTGGGCCAAGGTATTGGATGGTGTAAGCCAATGTCAATTTCCTTCTGACAGTCAGCTGGGCCTAGGGGATATAGCGTCCATGATGGAAAGGTTCAAAACGCCTAATAGCTTATTCCAAGATTATCTAACTCGCTGAGCGAGTCGTAGTCAAATTCGAGCTCAAGACCAACTTGAAGATCCCAAAAATAATTAGGAACAAGGGCCCGGGGTAGAATAGCAACCTCGGAAAAAATTAAAAAAAGTGCATGTACTACTATGAAATGATATTCCAAAATCTATCTATATCTATGTATGTCATCAAATTTATTGTACCCTGTGCGTATATGTATTCCATTCCAAGCCATTCCCTCCATTAATCGTTCCCCGCTGCCAAATAACTAAACCAAACCAAAACCCTAAAGTATTCCCAACATCTTCGCCCCATACCCATACCCATATCCATACCAATCATAAATCCCAAAAAAAGATCAAGTCATAATCATCAATCACATCAATTCCACCATCTCACCACCCACCTACCCGCTCACTCATCAAGAACACCCCTCGCCAACGCCGCAAGACTCGTCTCATACCTCGCCGGATTATGATCACTCAACATCCCCCCAGCAAACCTCAACTCCCCAAACCAAGCATCCACATCCCTAACAAACCTCATCTGCACCCTAGTAGCCGGCCTCCCAAGCCTAGGATATCCATCCAACCCCGGCACCGCACTCGAAAAGTCCGGCACAGGCGTAAACGCCTCCCGCTGCAAAACCCGCATAGTCTCAACAACAAAAACCTCACCAGGGGGCATAAGTTTCGGCGCCCGCATCTCATCACGCAGCATATTAAGCGTTCTCCAAGCCCAAGCGTCCTCGCCAACCCCGTCTCCGGCATTAATGACCAGCGGCGGCTGATTGACGTAGAATTTGTGGATGATGCTTTGGCGCAGTGATTCGTGGAGACGCTGGCGGATGTGCGATTTTGCTCCGCTGATGTCGGATTTGAATGATAGAGAGACTGTGTGCATGTCGTGGAGGATTCCTAGGGATAGACTTGGGACCACGTCGTGCCCGTTTACGATTGTGGTTATTAGGCCTCGTGTTGCGAGTCGGAGGAATGGGGACATTACGGCCGGTGGCCCGTAGGCGTAGACGTGGATTGGTCGGCCGTTGGGTAGAGTGTAGGTTTGTGATGGTGGTGGTATGGCGTGATGGCTTGTTTCGGTGTCGACAGTTAAGAGGCGTGGACGAGGGCTGGGTTCGTAGGAGGCTGTTACGAAGGAAGTTCCTGTTCCTGTTCCTGTCCTTTTCCCTGTTGTTGCTGTCGGGGCAAGGTTTGGTTCGGAGATCATCGTTGCGAGGAGAGCTGCGACGCCTCCGCCCAACGAGTGTCCACAGAGAACGACGCCATAGTCTGTGAATTCTTCCAATGCGGCGCGGAGGGTGATCATGACCCGTCCGCCACCACCTTCGAGGAGTCGCTTTGCTGAAGCGTGCATGCCTTTGTGCACTTTCCAGTTCTTGCCCTGCCATTCAAGATCGTCATAGTCACAGGTCATATCAGTGAGGATGTCTTCGAAGCCCCAGGTCCCGCGCAGTGTGAGGACGACTGCTTTTGAATCGTGATCGATGGAGAGATAGTGGACGAGCGGGATGCCGCTTTCTGTTTCACCGGCTGCATTGGAGCCACCGGCTGGATCGACGAAGGAAGAAAGTAGGATTGTAGATGGCGGGAGGCCAGCGTAGTCTGAGAATGCACTGTGCTCGTGGCTATCCGATGCACTTTGGGGAACACCTTTGAAGCTTCCTCCTTTTGGTACGCCCATGACTTTTAGGGCATTGGATCCGTATGAGGCTGACGAGAATCGGCAGAAACGGCGAATATTCGATACAAAATGTCTCTCGGGAAATATGCCTGGGACAAGGCCGTCACGATTGAGCGCCTGGATGGTGTCTATATCTTCGTATGCGCTCTTCCGGGGTCGGTGGGCTAGGATGAGGGATGTTTCCGAACCGGCTGTGGCCACAGAGTACATGCTCGGTGTATACGATTTGGACCGTTGATGCTGTGCTGACGAACTGGGACGATGGCCATTGACCGAGGCGGCTCCATCTGTTTCGGATCTGGCAACAGACATCGAGCTACTGCTGCGAACATGGCGAGTTGTGGCCGGGGACCCTGGACGTAGTTCTCCGGCGCGGCGATGGGAAAAGGCATCAGTCTGAGTGAGCAAACATTCTTGACTCTTTTCACGAACGGCAAAGTGCCCCGTTCTGGGATTCTTGCGTTCATGAGCATCGCGAGGGGCCGGTCTCGCTGGTGTTCGCGGTGACTGAGGCGAGCCAGGGTATGGTGATCGTGGCAGGCCGCGGTTCGGAACAGGAGTACTTGGCCGATTTGGTATCTCGCTCGTGCGTCTCTTTGGGTCTGCTCGGTTGGAAACCTCACGCGTTGTCGCTTCTTTCACTGATGCCGTTCCTCGGACAGGTTTAGAAGGGGGCCGAATAGTAGGGCCCCCAGATGGACCTGGCGGTGTCGAAGCCGGCTTTTTAGAAGGTGGTCGTTTAGGACCCTCGGACTTTTCTGTCATACTTGGCTTGACACGCTGTGCAAACTTTGAAAAAGAGCCTCTGCCGAATGGTGGTTTTTGACTTTGTTCGCTAGATGGCTCGGGGCTAGACACCTGTCTTTTCATGGCAGGGTGGATAACCTCGGGGTAAGACTGTGATCTTTGCGGATGAGATTTGGTATTCCCTGGTGGTGATGCATGGTCTGCTAAAGGACTTTGAGGCCGCTCCGCTGCGGGCGGGCTTGTCATATTTGGAACATCTTGGGGGCGTAGCTGCGTGCTGTGAGACTTGTTGAAAGCTGTTCGGAAGACAACCGTGTGTCTTGGAAGCCTTTGATGATCCGGCTTTTTGGTCGCATCATAGTCCTGATCGTGGTGAAACCGCTCTTCGACCATGGTGGTGCCAGGGGGAGCAGCGATTTCCGCCATGTCGTCGTCGAAAATATCCACCGTGATCGTACGGGCCGTCAAGACTTCGGATTTGATTGAGGCGTGGCAGCCATGTGGCAACTGGCTCATGATATATGATTGAATGTCTTCGTCGGATATCTGGTGCTGATTATCCAAGGGGATTGACAGTCGGTGGCCAGCGAGGGAATCGCCAATGCTAGATCGACGACGCACCGCCCCGAAAGTCTCGTCGTCGTTTCCAGGCATCACGAAGGACGCCCTTTCAGGCTCCACGGGCAGTTCCTCACGATCCGTATCTCCGTTTCCAAAATGCAGTTGATGGGTCCCGAGCACGTCAGCTCGAGCACCGTTGTCCAAGATGACGGTATCCCAGACGACTTCATCTCCACCCTTTTCTCGAAGTACTCGCTCGGATTTCTTTTTCCCCCAGCGCTGTAAGAGCGCAAATCCCACTGATCCGATGAATAAATCTCCGACGCCAATATTGTCAGCACTGGTATTGGCATTGGCATCGACGGACCTGAACTCGCGGCGGATGAGAGTGATGATGGCGGCAATGGCTCGAGATGACTCGGTAGAACCTAGAATAGCATCTAATGTTGATAGGAGAGCCTGCGAGAAATTCGCCACCGATGCAAGTGTTGTAGAGGAAAAGTGGAATGTGGCAGCGGCAAAGAACGAAGCCGAGGTCACTGTTGTATGCAATGTTGCTAACTAGATCTATATCAGTACGGAGATTTCGCAAGCCTATATTCACGGGGATCAATGTAGGACATACACTTCGCTCCAATAATGACTCCGCCTCCATTCTCCCATGTTCACCCCCGCTGCGGATAGCCACATCACGCCCGGCGCGCGTCAGAATCCCCTCGATCACGGCGCGTCCCAGTTCGAGGCTAGTTAGAGTGGTTGCTCGGGCACCATCGAGGGCTACACCTCCGAAAAAGGTCCCCACGCGTAACGAGAGCGAAGTAGATTGGGTCAATAAAGATACTAACGATGCGACTGGTCGTGGAAGGAGGGTTGTGCCCGAGGTAGCGGGGGGGATTAGAGAGCGCGACTGCGTTTGTAGATGGATCTGAATCTATATCTTCGGTTTTATGTGCAATAGTAAGTGGTGCCTTCATTATGAGCCATGAAAATAGAGATGAGAATAAGAAACTGCATCTATACAGTAAGATTGATTGATTGATGGGTAGTTCATGGGGGGGTTGTTGTAGTTGAGAATGAAGAAACCGGGATTGGCTAGACCTGACATGTGATAATCGGGAAACGACAATGACGTAGAGAGGTACTTCTTCCTCCGCCGGTGTTGCCCCCAAATATCAAGTACTTCTACTTCTTTCTATACTCGTTCCTACGAGTACACCCGTGTCGCCAGTCTAGAACACTGACTAACGTCCCCCCTACATCATTGCTTTGACATCGCCTGCGTGTTGTACCTTGCGGATCAACTGCCGGTTACACTCGCCAACCGTGCGGATCCCTGCCAATCCCATACTTTGCCAGAAATCTGCCAGCAGACCCTGGAATACCTGGCGAGCTCCATTGCGACCGTCAATCCCAAAGCCATAGATGACTGGGCGACCGACAAGTACAGCCTTTGCACCCAGGCACAGTGCTTTGACAACGTCCACCCCAGTGCGAACGCCTGAATCGAACAGCACGGTCATTTTATGGCCGACCGCATCGACGATTTCCGGGAGAACATCCAGGGACCCGATGGCTCCATCGACTTGACGACCTGCGGGCGAATTAGTACGGTTCAGCTTATCTTGAGAGATATACCGCGGTTCTAGACCGTGAAGAGTGGAGACATACCGCCGTGATTAGACACTGCGATCCCATCAATTCCATATTCCAACGCCTTCTTTGCATCATCCACATGTTGAATACCCTTCAACACAATCGGCCCGTCCCAATGCTTCCGAACGAATGCCAGATCCTCCCACGAATGGGGGCTACTGGACAGAACCTGCCCAATCCAGGCCCGAGACGCACCTAGCACATCATCTTCAACTGTAGACCCAGTCTCCTTTTCAAACTTCTCCCGAAACACCGGATCGCTAAACCCAACTTGGCACCCAACCCCTTTGATAAAAGGTACGTAGGCATTGTCCAGGTCCGCCGGTCGCCACGCGAGCGACCACGTATCCAGCGTAATCACCAAGACTTCGAACCCGCTCGCCTTGGCCCGGTTAAGCAACGATAATGTGACATCGTTGTCTTGTGGCCAGTACAGCTGATACCAACGTTTGCCATCCCCGTTGGCTGCAGCCACTTCTTCAATGGTACTGGTGGCTGCTGTGCTCATCGTGTAGGGAACGCCCACTTCTTCGCAGACGCTGGCAAGGCCGGTTTCCCGATCTTCATGGAAAATCCCCTGGACCCCGATCGGTGCCATAATGAGCGGGTGGTCGTATTTCTTGCCAAAGAGCTCGACCGAGACATCTTGGCCATCCATCTATATGTACATAAAGTTAGTTTATCCAGGACCTCATCTTATCATATAGATAGTACGAAGACCAACACTGCGCATCATCCGCGGGATCCTGCAGTGCAATAGTTAGTGTCAATGAATGACGCTTCAAAACTGCAAGAGTATAATCAAACACACAATTTCCATTGGCGAAATGCCAGCCGATTGCTATCCATCGTTGCCTTCTCGCCCGCACCTCCGGCGACGTAGTTGAATGCACGCACGCCCAAGGTGCGCTTTGCTTGCTCTTCCAACTGCCGGGGGTCGGTGGTCACACTGGGCAGGATACCTGCCAGGGCCCCCCTTGCCGTAAATTTCGGTCTGATAGCTTCCGTAGTTATCCGACATTGCTTTCCCTTTTCATAAAATAGTAAGAATAAAATAGCTTCGCTCGCTGTAAGGAATCCTGCAGGGAAGATGATGCAAAACCGGGGAATAAGCGACCCCAGATCCGGATGGGGTGGAGTCGGTTACTCCATCGAAATGGACCTCGGCCGAAGGAAATGGGGCCCTCAGGCTAGTTAGTAGCGCCCTGTCAGGGGCGTTCGTTCGCAGATGACAAGGCGGAAGTGACAGGCAGCCTTTTTTTGTCTCAAAAAAAGACCTAAAATGTATCGATGTGAATTTCCTTCAATCTTATTTATCTTTACTCGTATGATTATTGTTTTCTGAAAATAATATGCATTCTCTCAGACTATTTACGTCTTCGGGAATGGTTCGTGGCGGGGGATGCGGCAATGTGCATTCCGCTGCGCGGCCGGAGATCGACAGAAGATCGCCTACAGGGAGTTCGAGGCTATCGATTGCCGCAATATTGAGTCTTTCAAGATATATGCAGCTATGCGCGTAGGGCAATTTCCAGTTCGCTAAGCGTTACTATCTACGATATGGCCCATTAAATACAATTGGACAGTGTCTGAATTATTCTACTTTTAGCTCTTTTGCACGTGAAGGTATTTAAATGTAAACTCGATTTGTATGTAGTTCAATGTGAAAATCAAAAGGAAAAACGAAAACGATACTGAAAATTAAATGGTTAAACAACTGATGAAATGCTGTGTACATACACGTAATTCAGTTCAAATCCTCAATGTCAAAACGCATACAGAGAGGAAGCGGCCAGGTGACGACCCGGGCAATTCTTCGAGTACCCCTGGGATACGCGCTAAGAACTAAGTAAGTAAGAATCTTACCAAATGTAGTTCCAAGCAGGGCATCATACTCAGCCGTGCCATTTTCCCATGCAATAGGGGGGGAAATCCTTTTTCTCTGCGTCGTCTGCCGGCCAAGTGAGATTGTTGTTTTCGGTGTACAGGCGTTCACTGACAAAGCGCCCTGTGTTAACATTCAGGACACGGGTAACAAACACATGCTTTGAACTCTGAAGAGAAAACTTATATTCGTATATAGCTTTAGTCACATATGCTGTGCGTGGAGTGGCTGACAAAGGCTCTCTATATGCAGCATCAATAACGATCACCCCTGGACCGGTGCTGCCAACCCAATTGAAGTCTTCGGTCATTTCACCGCATTGAAACCGCAGATACACAGAAGATTTCGTATCCTGATCGGATTCGGAATCACTAGAAAGATCAATATGAAATTGAGATCCCGCATCAGAACTGAACTCATCGGGAAGCCCAAGTTCCTTTACCTGATCCTCAAGTAAACTGTTAATATTTTGGGCCGTGGGTTCGCCAAACCGATAATGATTCTGTTGGAGATAGTCATATGTCAACGTAGAAATCTGGACAGGACAACCTGTTTCATTAGCATCTTCCATCCATCGCCGCCGTTGGGCTCCGACATTTTGGAACTTGTTATACTTGAGATGTGCGAGAGCAGGATCATCGTCAAAAATAGGGTCATGTGCTTTCAGCCATTGTTGTAGTCTATTAGCAGGGTCACAAGAGCCGAGGACCTCCTCGAAAGGGCGAGGGGTCGCCTCGAACGCAGCTTCGAGTATACCTAGATTCCGAGTCGGCGAACTTGGCCCAGGACGAGATCCTGAAGGGCCTGCTATCGGCTGAGTAGGTGTTGTAGTAGGTGCCGCCTCGGCAGCAGCTTGGCGCTGGGCAGGAGATGTCTGCAATGGAGTCTGTGGCTCTGGCTGCTGATGTGAGCCCTCGGCTGTAGCTGCTCCTGCAGCGACTGGGGCAGATTGTGCAGGTGCTGGATTTATTTCCGCGAGAGGTATGGCACCCTGCTCTTCATCACTGGAGTTGTCGCCAAAGCAGCCGCAAGTTGTTGAATTGCCCAGGCAGCGAAGACAGCTCATAAAAGCCTCACTCAGACGTCGAGACATGATGTCACTGGCAATGGTATATACTCTGACTCTAGATACTCTGGCTGCTGGGTTTGGTGTGTGTTTCGATAAGAAGCTGGGAAATCTATAGTCTTTAAATAGTGTTAAGTTATCTTGGAATTTGGCTGGAGATTACTGAGTAAAACTCGAAGCTTGCGTGAACCCTTTCTTTATATCGGAAAGCAAAGCCACAGGAAGATATTGTCCTTGAAGTGGGTATATAGTTCAGAGATATTAACTAGTATTCGAAACCTTTGGGATAAGTTCGAGTTTTATCATTTACCATTGTATTACGAAATCGGTCATGGGTCCTCTTAACTAATTAACAAAACATTGGAAATAGACAAAGAAAGTTATTGTTTATTAGAGAAAGACTATTCATTGAAGGTAGTAAACAATGAACAAAAGAATGTTGTATAATACTTATTGTGGATTGAATAAACTTCGCATCCAAGTTCGTGATTTGTCGAAGTCCGCCTTTGTTTGCGCTCGATTTTTTCACGTCGGGGCAATCTCCTGTGCCCCGGGTATATTACATTTGTTTTTAGCTGCTTATTACGATCTTAGAATCCCATTGTCCTCAATCTTGAGCACAAGTTATAAAAAGACGCAAGATTCCCATATTGGAGATGACAACCGAGCACTGATTCCACAACCTTGACACTGCTTATTGCAGGACGATAGGAAGCAACATGTCTCAACGCTTGAGTGAGATGGTTACCAGCGGCATACGTGCCCTCAGTATCTCGAGCTTTTGTGATAGCCAGTCAGATTCCTCTGGCGACGGTGGTAGCCCGGGACCACAAGACCCAGCTAACCCGACTCCGGCATCAACAGCAGCCCAGCCCGACGCCGTGGAACTGGCTACTCGACCTGCTACTGAGCAGGGATCCGCTCAGACTCAGTCCCAGACACAGGCTCCCGCTAACCCTCCCAAACCAACGGCAGCCCAGCCTGCCACTCAGCAGGGGGCTGCCCGAAAGGAAGGAAGGCCCTCCGTGGGATCTTCTAGACGAGCATCATTTCAAACATCAGCCTCCCAGTTGTCTCGATACGAATCTGCAGCCTCACACATAGAACAGCCCGAGGGAAAATCGCAGGCGGGTAGCGCTACGCTACCAAACTATAAATACGGTAAGCTCCAGAGGGATGGTGAGCAATGGCGGAAGTGGATTGAGGATCCCAACGATACAAGCTGCACTATTCCGAGCTCTCAACTAACCATGGATGACCTTCAGGCTCTATATACACCCGGTGAGGCTAATTATGACAATGTTCCTCCCGCTCTTCTTGATCAGGTAGTTGAGCTAGGTCTTCCTGACGAATTTAGTAATCCGGCTGAACAATCCGTCTACCGTACTTGGCTCATAGATGAAGACGAAATGAAATGGGATGGCGTCATGTGGGATAACATGATCGTTCTCGTAGATATCGAGAGGATACCGGACTCTGATGCACCTCCGATGTCTGAGATTACTCTGGTTTTGTTTAAGCACCTTTTTGATGTCGACGATCTCCGGCATATCTTTGTGTACACCGTTATCAATCCGGAAACGGTGGGCTTTATCCAAACTCAACTATATAACGAGGATAATGGTCTTACCTGGGCAGTCTCTCAATCTGATGTTGATTTGGAAGATCCTGAAACATGGGCTCATGGAACACCTGAGTATGATGCTTTGCTTGGAACTAGGATTGAAAAACTGATCTCGTATATAGTTCTTGGAGGCTTCGAGAGGGGCACCTTCAGAATCGCTCAAGTTGATACTTGGCCTTCTTGGTTTCTGGGTGCTCGTGCAAATATGCGGTTTGACATTGAGCCGGTTTCGGGTTCAAGCTAGATAGCTTCAGAATCGACTAGTTCAGTATCTTTAGGAGTCAATGAAATCGATCGTGTATATACTATGTCTTGCATTGTATAAAATGGCATAAAGTTTAAACTTTACCAACTATTTCTCGTATATTTGTAATCAGTCTTTCACTATACAGTAGAATATTGACTTGGATGTTTAATTTTTAATGATCAAAAGTTGCCAAAGCAAAACTATAACTAATAGCATTGACGAGAACCTGAATTCGAGGCTTGGACTAGTAGGTACTACTATACTTGTTGCAGTATTGGAAGAACGTGAAATAACAGATTTGAGATACAGGCGCGCTCGAAATTAGCTTCACCTTGTTATTCTTTTCTTTTCTTTCCTGAACTCTATCACGAAACACACTAGTCCCCATTCGATCTAGTCATTTGAGATCTTGAAATTGTTGTCACGATAAATTGGTGGGTTTTAACTTTCCTGAAACATAGATACAATCGTTACGCTACGGTTGACTCGAATGTTCACCAGCTTGATCGAGGCTTTGGTATTTCGTGACAACTTTGAGGAAAATAGCGCTACGTTCGCGTATCTAACTCCTGAGTGGTGCAAATGAAGAGACTTCGTTCTTCAAGGCAAATAGGGGTGTGATATCAAGACGGTTGATTTCGCTGTCTTTAATCGGATCACCTGATAGCGGGGTAAGCTGGAGACTGGGAGATCTAAGTGTATATTTGAGCTACTCAAAACTCTTGTACAGTAGGTATGTCGACTACCATTTCCTAGGGCGAAAAAAACTCTAGATTCCACGCAGGAACGATATACGGCAATATCGGGTATATCACAATTCTCTCCTTTTTTCGCTCATTTATCCTCTCTTTTGTTCTCCCTGCTCTCCTGCTCACGGTCTCCTCGTGCTCACCACAATGGTGACTCTAGCTGCCAAAGCGACCCCGAGCCACGATGCGCCCTGTAATACCTCAGCTGGCCCCGAGAAGTTTGTCGTTCGCCCTGCTCGATTCTCTGATGTCTCGACGATTGCCCACAATTCCACCAAAGCGTACTGGCTGTCCCCGATGGACCAGTTCCTCGCGCCGCGCGCGCCAGAATACCCCGATGACATGTTACGCATGTTCCGGCAGAGAACGCGGCGGCGCCTTGTCGCGGGGGACTCGGTGACGCTCGTTGCTTGTTTGGCATCGGATATGGATACACCGGTGGGCCACATTTCGTTCATGCGTCAAGGGAATGACGCTGGAGCGAAGGCGTTCAAGAGGTCTGTGGCATCAAACAGCTTGTTCAGGCTGTGGCTGTGTATCCTGACCTGGGTCTTCTGGGTATATGACAAGGTCGACGAGATTGTTAAACCGCCTTGTGCGTTTAACCCGGCGGCAATGAAGCAGCTCGGAGAATGGAACAGGGCGGGCGACGCTAAATACTGGACATCCCACCCAGAGAGGACGAACAAGTGGTACATCCCGAATTTGGTTATCCACCCGGACTACCAAGGCAAAGGAATTGGGAAGCTGTTGATGACAATTGTATTGCAGAGAGCCCAGAGCGAGAGAGATATCGTAGGCCTCATGGCTAGTTCTCATGGAGAGTTCCTGTACCGCAAGCTTGGATTCGAGCGTCTGGGAGACTTCACCAATAGACCATCTACTGAAGGACCGGATCAAAAAGGTGGCGGGTACATGCTCTGGTATCCTGAGGGGTATGAAGGCGTCCGCCACACGGACTAGACTGATGGTTTGGAGTTCAATGGTGTTTGGATAGGCTAGAGTTCCCTCGCTGTCCTTGTCCGAGCTTGAAGAGTCTTGCTGCCGTCTTGCCTCCATGTATTTTTTATTTTTTTTTTAAACTTTTTCACTTTATAAACGCGAAGCAAACTTTATTATTTTTATTATTTTATTTACTGTGCTGCGCCAGTTGAAGTGGAGAAGTAGTCGTTGCACGGCCATGATTTGCCGTGTTTGTGTTTTCTCCATTCATGCTATAGTAGACACAGGTAGCCTGTGAGCATACAGGGCAATTTTTCTGAAAATTGAGGCATAATGTTGCGGCTTTGGATGGTCCTTTTCGCGTATATGGGATAGTACAGGGAGGATCGAAATTAGTTTCACCACCTGAACACAGAGATTCTTTCTCGAGGCCCCACTTCCAAACACGCTAATCTACATATGGCCGATTTCAATTTCAAGGGGTTGAATCGTATCGAAAGGCAGGTCTCTGGAAGACTGGACCTAACAAATAACATGAAATACCATTACCATTTATACAAAATGACGTCATTCTTCAGCTCGCTCGTGAGATTACTGCCTGTCGTGGCAACGCCATTCACCAGGGCTTTGATGTTGAGCCCTTCAACTAGGTCCGCAGTACAGAAAGGTCTCTATCCCAAGCTAGCGTGTTGAAATATTGCCTTCCTACCAAGGAGCGAACGCGAGCTCTGTCTAACAGCAGGGTTCAAAAGTGTGGAGAAAGGTGACCTGTCATGAGTGGATTATCTCTTTTTGTCCTGTCGACAGCATCAAGTCATTAATAAATTATCGTCGATTTTACTTGCCGTGCCTAGGTTTCCTGAAATTAGTAGAGTGACGAGTGCTGAACTTAGGCGCTACAGTATCTGAATACCATATTAGAGGTTAGGAAAATAATTATCAAGGGTGACCAGAAGGTTCACAGCTCAAAAGAGGAAATTATGCCGCAGAGTTTGACAATCTTTCGATGGTCTCTAAAGAAGACGGCATGGAGAGCATCACCGTAGCGGACCCCCTGCGCGTTGATATCTGCTCCTTTATCTAAGAGACGTTTGAAAATCTCTTGATTGTCTCCAAGAGAGGCGACCTGGGAAGCGTTGCCGTGATTGCGGTGAAGGACAACCCTGATAATTAACCTACAGTGCGTAAACATATTACTATATTGCCCTACCTCAAAATACATTGTGTATTTGTATAAAGATTACATATCTCTCGTAATAGCTTATGATATGATATACGATGACAGAGGAATATTTTGCCCGTCGTCTGTTAATGACAAGACTCCCTATTAACTAACAGTCTCATTTGCAAATTTGGCCATTGAATCTCCATCAAGCCTTAGGAATGTTAAAGCATCCATTTCCTTTGCACCGATACCACGGTAGAATTTCAGAGCACGGTGGTTTTCTTTATAACAAAGCCATTCCATCCTCGTACAACCAAGCTCTTCGGCCTTCCTTGCGACCCCTTGGACCAAGAGCCTTGCATATCCTCTGCAACGATACTTTGGAAGCACATAAAGGTCCTCGAGGCAAATTCCAGACTTCGCAGCCCATGCAACATATGTGGTAAAATAGAAAGCCATACCAGCAACCTCGCCTTCTGGAGCTTCAATAAGTAAGGCTTTCCCACTATGCGTACCACCTGTTTGGTTTTCAGGGTCACCAGAGTGCCTTTCGAACGCCAGCGTATTTATGAGATCGGCTTCGGTTGCTGTAACGGCGTCCGGAACGTTTTGCTCGGCTGCAGTTGCCCGCATCATTGCCAGTAGAAGAGACACATCTTAGTATAAAATATTTAGCAAATATTAATTGGAAAATGGGAGTAAGTACTAACCCTCGCGTGAAGCAGGTCGTATACTAGCATTGTGTAGCATCGCCATCTATAAAGGTATACCCGTTAAAGTTCTTGCTAAATTGGTAGTTATATGGTAAAGGCGGTGTGGGACGCGGTGTGTAGGGCAGTGTGCGGGGTGTAGGGTGTAGAGCGTAGGGCGTAGGTCGCCTGCACGGCTATCATTTGGTAAGAAGTATCCAGCTCTGACAGGTATTGAACAAAGGCTGGTTTAATACTATAATCCGGTACAGTAACCATTTACAAAGCGGATCTGCTTTTGTTTGCCTTGTTTGCAGGACCAACGTTCTTAGAACGTCGTTCTAGAAGCCCCCGAGAACATACAGCCTTATTACGGATGCTATTTTAGGCTGTTATTTACAAACGTACTGGAATACTGCCAAGAAAGGGGTTCGGGGTAGATTAGACGTAATAGGTATAGCGGCGTTTCAAAAGAAAGAATCTCTGTGTGTAGGTGGTGAATCTGATTTCGATCCATGCTGTATGTTATGAGAGTGTGCGCTGGAATAACATCCGAGGCATGGGGTTGGAGGGTCTTTATAGTTTATCCTCGAGTCCAGAATAATGTGATAAATTAGACAAAGATTAAAGAAGACAAAGGGTGCACATTATGGGATATCAAAAAAGAAAATCGATTTCAAAGCCCCCAAATACAAAGCGCGAGTACAAAGGGATTGTGGGGATTTATATCAGCCTTCAGCAGGCACTATCTTTTTCTGGACACGAGAGCTCACATACACTCTGGAACTCAAATTTTGACAATATAGGCGATTACGCATACGGAGATTATAGGACTGGGGTGCAATTTCGAGACCTCGATCAGACTTCGTAAGATCTAGCTACATCATATCATACGCGTGGCTCCCGTAACGCCCAAATTGCCTCATCTAAATGGTATCTACGACGTTAATCGGGTAAGGGTACATACCTGCATATATGCAAGAAATAATTTCTGTATAAAAAAATTATTTAATTATAACTTCTCTCTCACTCTAATGGTAAAACTTCGACTATCAAGAATTTCCTATTTTTTACTCAAAGCACAGCTTTCAAAATCAGTCATTGGGCGTTTGATTGTTCATAAAAAAAGAGCTACTAAATATTACGCAAAAGTAAGGAACGTCTCCGAACTCACGAGATCGGCTGGATATCAAAGCGGAGACAAGGCTGTCCTCTGCTATTAGCCCATACGGCGATCCTCTCAATGCGCCGAGTACCTCGCGGAAACGCACCTAGCATAAAGTAGGCAACTACTCTGCCAAGCTTAGATCCTAGTATAGCATCGTACGCTGGAGTACAAAAGTCCCATAACTGTGGCTGATATACTGGCCATGTCACCCCTCCCATGGGGTATAGTACCTTGGTGATGAAAAAGCTGGTATCAAGCGAATCAGGTATACCTGCACAGTTGACAATGTTAGTCACGAAAATGTATCTGAGATCTTGAAGAGAGAAATCCCTCTCATAAATTGCCTGGGTGATTTGCGAAATCTTCGGTTCAAAGAGATCAAAATTAGAGGCTCTGCGCATATTGTGAATGCAAATCATTCCTGGTCCGGTGCAACCAACCCAATCAAGTACCGAGCAGCGTATATCAAAATGACGATACTGGGATGTTTCATTAGCCTTACGGTCAAGCCCATAAGGAAGCCCAATGCCGATTACCTGCTGTAAAAAGTCATATCCGAAAGCCACCTCATCGGGATCCAGTCGTCCCTCGTTGGGATTCAGTCGCCCACTAATACCAGGATACTTTTCAAGCTGGTTCAAAGTTAGAGTACTTCTCTCAATATGGCATTTCGGCAAATCCGGGTCATGCATCCATGACCGTAGCAGTGCTCCCATCTGCTGTATCTCGCTGCTGGGTGGAACGTAATATCTAAGTTGAGGGCCTGTCATTCTGAAAGTAGAGGAGATATAATCAACTTGATTTCCTCTTCTGAATATGGATTGTTGGTGGTCGGAAAGTTGTGCAAGATATCGAAATGATTGAAGCGGTCCCAGATTTTGCGTAGTCGCTAACAATTTATTCTATGGTGCGCGGTTGCTGGCTTGGATAATATTGTATCTGAGGGAATGATTATTTTGATTTTCTACCAAATAAACGGCAGTTTATATACCTCTCAATAGTGCGTGGCAATTACCGAATTGAAATAAAGAGTCTTTGATAATTTTCAAGACACAACTCGGATTGAGAATAGACAAAGATGCAAAGAAAACAAGGATAATGAATGTTTGGAACGAGTAGGCTTAAATGTAAACGGAAACAAAGAAACGAAGACGAGTGTTGGAAGCAGGTCCTCCCTCAAGAACACAAATGGGCTCAGTGAGATCCGCGTCCTAGCAAACCGGTAAAAACTTTATGAGAAGGTAATTAGCATCTCGGGTCACACAATCTTGGGAATCTTCGTTCAGAGTACATCATGACAAACCGAACCCTGGTATCTATGCATAAATTAATATGAATTGTTTGTGAAGAGTCACCTGGGCACCAGGAAAACTTGTATCAATAGCCGAAAGGAACTGAGGGAGTGCTCGTGCCTTGGCAGGTAATAAAGTTTATTTTTTGACGACTGCATCTGCCAGGCACTCAAGATCCAACTAGTATTTGTATATGAACCAACTTGCCATGAAAACAACATCTACTACTATCCGGAATTAACACTCGATTACTAAAAGATGATTAGGAATGAAGTATTGGGTTTCTTATCAGTATAAGCTGAAAACCTTGGAACTTCTTGGCGCGGCCATAAAGCCGAGTTCGGTTGTACATTTCGGCTCTGAACAAACAAAACGCTCCACTCTATCCAGGTTGACTGCTGTGATTTGAAATTGAACCTCACAATTTCGGTCTATCTCCGCAAAATGTGATAATTGTGGAGTGGACAGTGGAGTACATATCCCCGCATTGGAGACGGTGTAATAGTTTCTCGCCGTTATAAGACGAGGCTGGACGACCCGAGTTGTTTTCCAAGCTCCTGGAAACATTTTTCACAAATAAGCCATCATGGCTAAAGGTGCATCACTTCACTTACTGCAAACAATTTTTGCTACTTTTCCATGCTTTTTTCTATTTGGTTACAATCAAGTTGTGGTAGGAGGACTCATTTCCTTCCAAAGCTGGACCGAGTTTTTCCCTCAGCTTGATACTGCGCACGCCACCGGGTCTTTGAAATCCCACCGTTCGGTCATTCAAGGGATCTATGTTTCTTCATTTACCCTTGGAGCCTTCTTTGGGTCCTTGTGCTGTTTTGTCGTCGGAGATCTGCTAGGGCGCCGGAAAACTATATTCCTTGGAGGTGCTTTGACATTCATTGGCGAAGCTATCTCATGCACGTCCTTCCAACTATCTCAGCTCTTTGTAGGAAGAATTATAACAGGGTTCGGAGTTGGAATACTTGCTACAATTGTTCCTGTGTGGCAGTCCGAGTCTTCTGAAGCTACAAACCGTGGTAGACATGTTGTGATCGATGGGATATTCATTACTAGCGGTTATGTGGCAAGCTATTGGCTCAACTTCGGCTTTTCGCATGTTCAAAATCACGCTGTGTCATGGAGAGTACCCCTTGCCATTCCCACAATTGCATCCGTGGTCCTGTGTGTGTCCATATTCTTCTTTCCCGAATCGCCTCGCTGGCTTGTCCGCGCTGGTGAAGTTGAGCAGGCCTCTCTCTCGCTTGCTCGGATCAAAGATAAGGATAGAGATTCTGATGAGATCATACGTGAGATAGCATCCATCGAGCTATCCCTTGAGGAAACAGCTCGCAATGCCGCATCACTTATGGATATCTTTACCACCAAGGACGGCAAACTCCTTTATCGCTTTATGCTGTGCATGGGCCTACAGTTCTGGATTCAGATGACAGGAGCGCAAGTCATCAGTACATATACAACCACTATATTCCAAAACAACCTGAACCTCTCAGATGGAATTACACGGATCCTAGCGGCATGCGCTCTCACGTGGAAGTGTCTCGCTTCCTTCATCGCCTTCTTTACTATTGACCGTTTCGGTCGGCGAAAGCTTTTCCTCTTTTGTGGAGTTGGAATCACGACATGTATGATGTGCATGGCAATTACATCCAGCTTTGGCAGCAGCAATCGTGGGGCTGCGATAGGAAGCACATTCTTTGTGTTCCTCTACAACTTCTTTTTCCCCATCGGCTTCTTGGGTCCAAGCTTTCTTTACGGTACCGAGATTGCCCCGGTGAGGTTGCGAGTGGCTATGACATCCATCTCGATCGCAAATCATTGGCTATGGTAAGCTACATGATACCTATTCTACCTATTTATCTAACACTTGGTAGGAATTTCGTTGTGCAGATGGTCACGCCTATCGCTTTGGCGAGTATCGGCTACCGCTACTACATAGTGTATACCATCACTGGACTTACCTATATTGTAGCGGTGTATTTCTTCTACCCCGAAACGATGGGCCAGAGCCTTGAAAAACTGGAGGACTTGTTCCAGCAAGATATGTCTGTCTCGGAAACTGTTCATTTTGCCAGTAAATTGGCCAAACTTCCGAAGGATGAAGAGAACCGAGAAGAACCGTTGAAGGTCCAGCTTGAACAGATTGAGCATAGTGAGGATATCCCAAAGGCGGCTTTGCCATGAATCTCCATTTCTAGGATAGAAAAAACTGCAGTTTCTGTATTCTTCAATAGAAATAGAATTTTGCTTCCTCGCTTTGGGTGCATTATAATGAAACCTGGGGGTTTCTAGAGGCATAATCTATATAATCTAATCATGACCGAAATTTAATAAAAACAAGAATAACGAGGAGCCCAAAAATGGAAGTATACAGCCTCCTTCAAGTGCTGTAGCGGAACCGGGGATTCCGATCGCCGAGTTCTTGGATATCTGCCTCCGACATCGAGGCAATCTTTTCGTCCTCGAGGCCCTGTGCCCGTCGCTTGTTTATGACACGAAGACAAAACCACATAACACCATATACAATGCCAGCGAAGCCCACCAAGCCAAGCGTGACAGCATTTCCTCGAACATATCGGGGCGCTTCTGAAGTCTTGTACAAAAAGGGAGACATAACACCACTGATATTTCCGAACGTGAGTTGCAGACCCGTGGCAAAAGTGCGCTTTCCATATCGAGGTAGATTCGTAGGGAGCCAGGCAAGTGGAAGGCCGACAGCAACGTAAAGGCCCAGGGCAACCATCAAGGCACCAAAATAATGAACTCCAGACGAAGAGTCCGAGATCAGGATACCATACCCGACCACAGAAATCGCACTGAATAGACAGACGAATAATGCACGATGCTGAGTTCGATCACTGATCCAAGCAGTGACCAGATAAGCGATTGCACCCACTGCGTAACAAGGGATGGTCAAAGCCTGCACTTGAGGAACCGACCAGTTCCCCATTCCCTCGATGATACTCGGCAAAAATGTGCTGTACCCGTAGAGCATTGTATCAACACCAAATTGACCGATGCAGAACGCATAGATTTTCCAGTCGAGAGCCCCTTCTTTGACATCTGCCCAGTGGAACTTTTGTGCAGATTCAGTCTGTCCGATGTACCGACTCCGACGGCGCGCGACGAGTGCGCGTTCTTCTTCGTTCAGATACCAGGCAGTATCGGGGTCATCTGCCAGAAAAAACCAAGTTGCGACGCCCAAGATGACAGTTGGGATTCCTTCGATGATCATGATCCATCGCCAGCCACGCAGTCCACTGATGCCATCCATGAATCCGATTCCGTAAGCGAGGAGTCCACCACAGGCCCCGGCAATCGCAGCGCTGCTGAAAAGATACGCTGTTCTCACAGCAAGTTCACGCTTGCTGTAGAAAAGGGTGAGATAGGTAATGAAACCCGGAAAGAGGCCTGCCTCGACAACGCCAAGCAGGACCCGGCAGGCAATGAGGCCGTGGTAATTTTGAACAATGCCAGTGAGAGTTGCAATGATACCCCAGATAACGGATATGGCAGCGATATACCGTGATGGCCTCAATTTCTTAAGGACTAGATTTGAAGGAACCTCAAAGAACTGGAAGTAGCATTAGCAAACGGCGTCAAGTAGGAGAAGAGGATCTTGCATACGCAGTAGGTAACAAAGAGGATCGAAACCGCGATTTGGTACTGATCTCCAACCAAGCCAAGGTCCTCTTCCAGGCCATACAAACGCGCATTTCCGATATTCACTAGACTATTGTCAGCGTCATGGTCCCGGGCGATAGTCGCAAACAAAATGGTGAGTCAGAATGGCACCACTTACCTCGATCGAGAAAGCTAAACAAATATAACAACACGACAACCGGCAGGATATTCATATCGATCTTCCTAACCAGCGTGCGCTCCATCTTCTCCTCTAAAATCGTCGGTACCTCGCTGGACTCATCATCCTCGCGAGTAACCGGCGGACCCACGTCGCGGTCCCCCTTGGTCTCGATCTGCCCCTCCATGTCCAAATCAGACAATTGAACGCGATGTGCGCGATAACGAGGTTAGATTCACTCTGGAATATTTGGGTTACGGCCGTGGCTGCATGTCGCTATCATGAAAAGCAAAGGATAGGGTTTCCGGGAAGGGTATGGGGAAGAAAGCCGTGGAAAAACTGGGCTGATTTCAAGGTTGGAGAGTGCCAAGGGATCGCAAGGGGAGAATGCGGGATCGGAGCGAGATTTTCGCAATTTAACCGCAGCAATTGCCGGCTGACCTTGAGGTTTTGCTTATTAGCTGATATATATGCTCTTTGAATTCATGCTCTAAGAGATATTTTTACTCATAACTAAAATACAAACAACATCACGTATTGTGTTTATTCTTCTATGAAACTTCATTTTGTAGTATTTTGCGATCTTCAGGGTCTGCTCACCGGCCTGCGAATCCGCGGCGGCATTGCAGATCATCTCTAATCCTGCCGACCCGAGAGTCCGCATTGATTTACTTTACATTTTCTCGCCTGTTTAGATTATAAAGTATTTCCTGCGTATTACAGCGCAACTGCTGCTTTCTATAAAGACTATTAAAGTTTTCTTTTCGTGGATTTTCTTTTCGTGGAGAAAGAAGCATAATGCTACAGCTCTGCGTATTCTAACGAGCTGTTATCGCATCTCGAACTTCCCTGTACTGCCATTGTTTCTCGATCGCATAATCGATCGAGTCAATCATATTGTCTACTCTTGGCTTTGGTCTATTTTGATCTGCTTTGTTCACCTCCTAGAGACGTAGTCCTTTGTTTTGTAAAGAGCTTATAAAAACCAAAGAATACCATTGTTCTATTTGCTATCAATATGCTTAACCCTTTTTGTCACAGATTGCATCGAGTCTATAAAAGGTCCCCCGGATACCAGTATTTACTATGATATACCACAATTCGGGCCTTCGGCGAGCTATTCATTCAGGTATAGACAAGATGATGAGCCGTTTGAGCACTTGCATTTTAGGCTGCTGTACCGCGGGCTCGGAGTCCTCCAACCATGGGGACCACGCAAGCCACCATTCTGGCGGTAGTCAAAAATCCGACGATAGTGAAGCTACTGATGACCCTGATGTACTGCGACTTCGACATGCCAGGTTTAAAGAGCATGGGTCACAGCGGCGGCGATGGATGGAAGACCCCAATGAACCGGATTGTTTCGTCGCTCAAGCTACTATAGATTGGGAAACTCTATCGGGCACATACGATCTAAATTGGCTCGGCCTGCCGGCCAGATACGTAAAGTCCGACCAGATAATCGACCATCGGATGTTAGGCCTCGATACTAATCTCGACTTTTTGGAGGGTTCCTGGGGTTGCGACGAGTTTTCCTGGTGGGGATACACCGCACCGGGTATCATCGTGATGATGGGAATCAGAAGAGATATAGAGTCGACGACTCCTCAAATTTCGGAAGTTAACCACGCCATCTATACTAAAGATCACCCCATCGATAGTCTAAAGCAAGTATATGTGTGCCTAGTTGAGAATAGGGAGACATTGCACATTGCCCTTTATTCGAAAGCATGTGTATACAGAAGCTAACAACCTGACCTGGCCAACCAGTGGTGAGCAAATTTGGGAATTCGCTACCAATTCGGATATGTTTGATATGATTCTGGGAACTCGCATTGGCAAAGTAGTTTCTTACTTAGTACTGGGTTCGTTCCCTCGAGGTACTCGGCACATCGCACAAATTGTCACTATACTATCTTTTGCGGACACCGTTCATCTCCGGTTTGACATCGAAGCGATTGAGTAGTTCCAGAAAAACGGTATTATACCTTCCCCTCTTGGGTTCTATCCCTATGTTTAGTTTGGCCTAGTTTTAGTTTTCAATAACAAGTACTTTCAATCTGGCAGGAAATGGCAGCAAATTAATATCATTCGTAATCTAAGCGGTTTCAGCTACTGAGTAACCCGAAGAGGTGCATTTGCATGTTCATTAAATGGGTGCTTCAAGTATTTATTACTACTTTCTTTCGTTTCTATACATCTCCCTAGTGTGTGCGCCCACTGATTAGTTAGCGTGGCTTGAAAGTGATTACGCTCACTTTTTGTACTGACCCGAAAAACCTTCAGTGCCTTCATCCATTTTACAAATGAACGTACGAGTAAATTCATCTCTTTTATTCACTATAAAAATGGCCAAGGATGTGGCGGGTGGCACTGGCACTTCTCCCACTCATCCGCCCTGGCTTGGCATGAGCGGATGATCGCGCAACCTCACATGAGTCGCATCTCTCCACAACACCGCAACTTCCATGGCTGAGTACGCGGCCTGCTGCACAGCCAGGACCAAGCAATGCCATTTACACGCTCACTTGTGAAGGTTTCGATTCTCCTTCTTGTGGTCGTCTGCGCCATTACATTTTACAATCATGAATCGAGATCCTTGCCAATAATACAGCCATTCACGCCGCCCGGGAGGGACCGCAGTCTTGCGTCTCCCCATGTTGGCAGTTGGAAAACCTGGTTTCACCCTCTCCAAGTTCCTGTAGAAGGCGGGCCCAAGACGCACCGCAAGGGGTGGAACTTGCTGCAGCACCTTGGTGGCAATGGACCTTGGATCGAGAAAATCGATGATCGCGAGGAGTCGTCTAATCTCGCGCCTCCGGAAGGGTGTTCGATTGAGCAGGTGCATTTGGTATGCATGAATATTCGTTGCTCCTGTTAGGGATGTTCCGCGGCTCTGGTGGAGAAACTAATGGATGGGTTTAGATGTCGCGTCATGGAGAAAGATACCCCACAAACTCCGCAGGAAATCGTATGTTGATCTTCCTCTCTTTCATCTTTTCCATAATTAACAAATTCCCTCCAGGCCATCTTGAATTACTAGACCGTGTCAAAGCACTCCAATTCCCTTTGAATGGTGCCCTCGCGTTTCTCAACAATTGGACCTACTTCACCGACATCCCGTCTCGAGATTTTGGTCAACTAACCAGCACCGGCCCATACGCGGGCACCTTGAGCGCATTCACAACGGGAGCTCGCTTCCGAACACGATATAGTCGACTAATCCCCGATAACGCGACAACAAGGCTATGGGCCAGCGACTCCCAGCGCGTCATAGACACGGCTTACCATTTCGCCACCGGTCTATTCGGTCTTCACTGGGAACTGAAGGGTAGTGCAAAACTAGAAGTCATCCCCGAGACATTTGAGCGCGGTGCCGACACGCTGACCCCAGGTGATACCTGCCAAAAGTATATCGAAGATCTGAAGTATGGACACGATTACGGAGCGAACATGCTTGCGCAGTTCCAGGATATTTATATCCCGCCTATAGCGAAGCGACTGCTCGAGAAGAACCCTGCTCTTGGGGAAATTGGAAATACAGAAGTGTACAGCATGCAGGAGATGTGTGGATTTGAAACTATGATTCGCGGGTCGAGTCCGTGGTGCGACGTTTTTACGGAGGACGATTGGCTGAACTTTGAGTATTCTCGGGACCTTGTTCATTATTATCGAGCTGGGCCGGGGAACTCCTATGCAGGTGCGATGGGGTGGCTTTGGTTGAATGCTACGACCTCTCTGCTGCAGGTTGGCCCGGCCGCTGGGACTTTATACTTGAGCTTGTGAGTTTCGTCCCTTTTGCACAACCCCGAAACAGAAACACAATTAGTCGACTAACGACTTTGCGTAGTGTTCATGATGGAGATATGGCCCCCCCTACTAGCAGCATTGGGCATCTTGTCGGACCCGAGTGAAAAGAATCTACCCACAACGTATGCCCTGACCGACCGGCTATGGAAAACCTCATCAGTTCTCCCCATGGGTGCACGAATCACCTTCGAACGACTAGGCTGCTCGTCTGTGGAAAATGAGACGTATATTCGGATTAATATCAACGATCGCATCGTACCCTTGCCTTCGTGCCGATCGGGCCCCGGGGGTTCCTGCGCGCTACCGGATTTCGTAGGATATGTGCAGCGCCGCGGGGCGGCATTCGGTGATTTCGGCGAGGTGTGTGGATTAAAGGGACATGCTGAGCGAATTACGTTCTTGCGACAAGACTAGAATGTTTCGGGCTAGGGTTGGTAGTTGGTGCTTGGTGCTTGATAGCCCCGATCGATGACAGCTTCGCCAAGACAGATCCAGATGAGAAGATGGAATGAAGATAGCCTAGGCGCCCACCACAGCAAGTCAGAGATAAAATCACGGTCGCAGTTGATCTATCTGAAACGGGGGCAATTCTGATGGATCCAACTGCAAGTGTTTCAGCCACGAAACTCCATGCCGATTGACTTCATTATTAGCTCATCAAAACAAAGTTGTCAAACAAATAGAACGAACACCTTGCAGATCTATTCGACATCCCTAGGGTTCCCTTTTCTCCTTATCTCATATCTCCCCAGATTCTTCCTTCAAGCTCCTTACAAACATAACATAACATAACAGCCACCTTCAAATCCACACTTCAGTCACATCATTATCAACATCACCAACATCACCATGGGTAAAGCTGAGGAAGTAAGTCCAACCCGATCGGTAGATATCCCTACTATCTTCCTGCTAACAAGTCCTTCCAGGTCAAAGCGCTCCAGGAACAGTTGCAGCAACTTCAACAAGAGTAAGGTGCTGCTATTTTATTTTATTCTCTTCGTCAGTCTCTTACAACCCGATGTTCGACCAGGATCCGCGATGCCGAGATGAAGGCCGAGGTGGTGGAGGGACAACTACAGATCTCCAAGACCGAGCGACAGAAGCTGGAAGGCAAGGATGAGAAATTGAACCACGTTCACGTTTCAGCTCATCAGACGGAGCCCACGCCAAAGTTAGGCGCTGAATGGGCGAATGCTCAGCTTGAGAATTTCTGAGCAAGGGCCGGTTGCATCATGCCAGTGTTTATATGGTTGATTTGTACTCTATGTGTATGTTATAGATGAGTGTTCCGCGGCATTCCGGTGAAGTGCCAGGTGCCAAGTGCCAGCGAAATGATACTATACTAGTATTTTGAACTTGAACTTGAAGCTCCCAACTTAAAGGTTCAAGTTCATGATGCCCCGTGTAGTACTTCCGCGGCCGATATTCAGATATATAGTAGTACTTGTACTAAAGCTGGAGTATCAGGCAGCGTGGAAAATTGGAACATTGGAAATCTACCAATAGTCCTAGAATGAATAAATTAAACGAGATCCATAAATCCAAGTTCTCACACATACTACTCTGCTAGTACTACTTCACTGTTCAATATGAGGTTGTCCCTCGACAGCCATCACAGCCATCACGTGACCCGTTGCTCCCCGTTGCTGTTTACCAAAAAAGTTCCCGCGCCGATTTTGATATTCGCCCGGCGCTATTCATTCCAGATCCTCCATTTTTCTCATCTCTTCTTCCTCCTTCCTCCCATCTTGAAGTTCCAATTTGATACTGCCCTGCCCTGCCCTGCCTGCTTTGCCCACCCACCATGGAGTACCACGCTGTGCCGCCCGAGGAGCGCGCACGAGATGAGAACGGCAACCTACTACCCTGGGGTTATGTCTATAAAGAGTGAGCTCTCCTTTCCATCTCTATTGCTTAGATTGAGGTTCCACAGACTAACCTCCAGCTCGCAGTGAAACTCGCAACCCCCGCCGACCAGTGGAAGAACATGGACCCTTTGGCAAGAGGAGGAACGCTCGCTGGGACAACTCCCGATCTCGAACCCGCACCGGCACCCCAGCCAAACGCGAGAACCCCAACGTCGCAGAATTTGGCCAGCTATTTGCCAAGCAGCAAGAGGACGAAAAGGTCCAGGGAATTCCCAAGTCAACATCCTCCTCTAGTCTCGACAACCCCCGCAAACAAACCGAGAAGGTCGCGACCGAGTGCATCCTGCGCGGATACAAAGCCAAGGACAGCGAGTGGAAGGTCATCGACAAATACGAGCGCATCTCGCAAGGCATGGTCTGTGAAGATTACCCTCGCAGCGACCCCAACTCCGCCGTCCAGTATGGCCAGCTCTTCTCCGGCGACGTCGTCATCCGCGCCAACCTCTCCGCAGACGCCAATCGCAAATCCAAGCGCTACGACGGCGGTTACCACTGGATCAAGGTGACATTCGACTCGACACAGGCAGCCGATAGGGCATGCTTCTACTCCCCGCAGGAAATCGACGGCCACCTCGTCTTCTGCGAGCTATACCATGGCCACGGCCCGGCGGAGGATATCCCCGTCCCCAAGGGCTCGATGGATACTTCCAGCTCGAACCAGTTGCGAAACCGTGGACCCCGAACCCTGACAACAGCACACTCGACCGCGTTCCTGAGCAGCAATGATATCGGCCGCGGACCCTCAACCCTCCCTCGATCCTTCGCTATGAACAACCTCGCCGGCACGGTCAACGACAGCCTCGAAGAAGAAGAGCTATCCCTCAACGAATCAACGACAACCGCCACGTCCGGCACGGCAACGGCAACAGTAGCAACGGCAACAGGAGCTTCAACTAGCTTCGGCGCCTCGCCAACCCTTACCCAACGACCCGTCACCGTCACGACCGGGCCCGCAGAATCCAAACCTGAATCCGACTTCATGACACACATTCCTACCGTGCGACGCACGAAACTCCGCCCCCTCACCGAGGCCTTACCTCCACAACCAACAATGACCGAGCGAGTGCTCCGCTCGATTCCCATCCTGAGCTGGTTCACCGGCGACATCGTCGGTGACGGACCCATGCTCCGCGAAGACGGCACCTTTGACAACGATAAATCGGGCGCGTACTGGCGCTTCTGGTATATGATTGATATGGTCCTTGGCACGGATTTGTGCGGGTTGAAGGAGGAGTCTTGAGGTGGAGTCTTGAGGTGGATGCATGCAGGCATACCGCACATTCTACTGCTGTGTTACGGCGCGGCTTACTCTATCCTCTACACTCTACGCCCTCCGCTCTACTCTGTGCACGTACATATCCAAGCGCCAAGGCCGAGGCTCGATGCGAAGCAACCAAAAAAAGCGCAACGCAGCGCGATGTAGCACAGCAGCTTTGCTAGATTGGAGGGCGACAATGGCTGGAACTGGAACTGGAACTTGAACGAATTGGGAAGCATTAATAGGCGTCGTGGTTGGAATCATCAAATCTGCATTCTTTTTTTCTTTTTTTTTCTTCACCAAGGGAATCGATGGATGTTCCCTGGCACTCTCACTGTATTCTTAGATTCGTTTTTCTACACTACATCTGAAGAAACGAGAAACACATCCTTGATTGGGTGATTGGTATTGATGAAGTTGATCTCTTCGGTTGCTGTCAATTTTACAATTGTAGTGGACTTAGTAGGCGCTGTTTACGATGGTGCTGGTCTACGCCAAGCGAGTGAAGGCAAAGAGATAGACAGAGACAGCTATTCTTGGGAGTCGAAGAAGTCGCTCACACCTTTTCAGTCCTCTCGTCCCACTGCTCCTCTCCTCTTCCAACCAAACACCGGGAAACCCGCAAAAGGAAAATGAAATCGAATATAATCCATTGACAAGAATTCAATTTAATAGAACAGAATGCTCAGATAAAACAAGCATCCATCCTATCCGATCAACGACGCAGAGTTTAGAAAAATTTAAATTTTGTTTTAAACCCGCCTTAACAGCTAAAGCTAACCAATATCAAATTTATTCGACCTTGTCCTCGAAGTTCTCACCCTCAACAAGCTCGGGAATATCATCCTCGTCATCATCCTTCTTCTCGCCCTGAGCCTTCTGCATGTTCTGGTAGCTCTCGGCCAACTTGCGCAGGGAGGCGAGGGAGTCCGGACCCAGCTGGTTCAGGATGCCGGGGACCAGCTCGGTGAGTTCCTTCTCCTCGCCGTTGCCGTAGAGGGCGAAGGTGTTGGAGGGGACGGAGGCGTGGACTGTAGTGGTAAAGATGGATATTAGCTTAGTTCAGTTTCGCGGGGGAGGCCAAGGGCGAGGGAAATGGTGAGGGCTGAGCTTACCGCGGGGAGCGGCGAAGTGGATGACGTTGCCGTCCTCCTTGAACATGTTGACCTCCTCGATGCCCTGGATGGGCTGGACGTTCATCTTCTTCAGGGTGGCCTGGAGCTTCTTGTCGTCGGCACCGGCGGTGCGGGTGACCTTCTTGACCTTACGGCGGGGAGTACCCTTGCCTCTGCGAATTGTCAGTTTGGATCTTGAAATGCTTCATCGTGGGTGGTAGGTGGGTTGGTGAGGGGAAGAATGGAATGGCGGGTTGGATTGAGTTGTGTGGTGGTGATGGTGATGGTGATGGCGTAGTGCCGCTCCGCCGCTCTCTCTACCCTGCACTGCTGTGTCCTGGCCAATGGTTTGAATTCGATCCGATGAGTGTGAAATGGAGCGGGACGAAGCGGAGTAGAGGCAGAGTTGAGCAGCGGCGGGATGGTGATGATCTTCCCGAATTGACCGAGCCAATTTGCAGACGCAGAAGCAGATGCGGACGGAGTCGGCGATATATTCTCGTTTTCACACTCGGGTTGGCACATTCTCGTTCTCATCCACATTCACGGTCGCAGGGAATCCATAGGAGGGGCAAAGGAAAAGTGGGAGGAGGAAATGATTTCGTAGAAATTGAAATGATACATACCCTGCAAAGAGAAAAGGTTAGCGATCGCGTTCCAGGTAGATCCGACATGGATATGAGAAGGAGTCTTGATAGCTCTGCACAAGCCGATCCACCAGACAAGAGCAATAGCAAATTGCAGCAGGGAAAGTCGAGAGATGTGATCATGCCTGTGGTGTGTGGTGTGTGGTGTGTGGTATGTGGTGTGCTGCGGGTTGAGGTTTCAAGCTCCAGACCCGGCCCAGCCAGACCCCAGCTGAGCTCCCAACTCCAGCTTGTGCATGGCAAAAAAAAGAGAAGAGAAGGAAAAAAAAAAAGTTGAACGTACCAATCCGCACGCTCGCCTGCATCTTCGCCAGCTTGGCCTGATCCATTATGTCGGTTGTGTGAGGGGGTGGGGGATCTGGAGTTGGTGTTAGTGGAAGTTGAAAAACGAGGATATCGGAGGATAGCAAATGCTAATGCAATAACAAATGCTAATTCCAATGCTGACAAAAGAGCTGGCGTGTTGACGTACCGGTGGTGTAGGAGGGGTTATGGGGAGATCGGAGAGAGTCCAAAGCCAAGTGGGAAGGTGAACGAGGATGATGCGCCTCCGGTTTGTGTGGGGTCCTACAGAGTGCTAGAACTGCCCTGCACTTTTTTTTTCGCTAATACCCCCGGTTGGATTCGGGTGCTATTTTACACTACTATAGTCTTACTAGAATTATATTTTAGGAGGATTCAATCTATTCTGCTGTATTCTCTGGTCTGTATGTTCTTTTCCCTTAATGCTGGTTGTGTGGAAGAATGAAGAATTGCGACTCGGCTAAACCCTAACGATCTTTCTCTTTCCGGACGGCAGAAAGTCTCATCCTACACCACATCTGACCCCATCCGACTACGTCTGACTACAGCAGTATAGAACAGCTTGAACTTCAACTTCAACCACTCCAATTACCTCTCGTTAATACCAAATACTAATACTACCCCTTAACCTCCCCCTCCACTTTCCCCCACATCCCCCCTCGCCCACAATGTAAAATACTTCTTCCACGGATGTTTCTCCCGAAACCCCAACAACCGCTTAATCTTCGCATTCGACAACGGCGCCTCAAACTCCTCCAACCCCCTCCGAATCGGCGTATGGGGGAACCTCTCTCTCAAAAACTCCTCCGTCTTCCGAACATTCGTCATCGTATCATTCGTAGCATTAAAAACCTGAAACCCCAACCCATCCGTCCGCAACGCCGCCTCACACATGCCCCCCCAAATCCCTCGCATCAATATAAGACCACCCATGCACCTTCCACTGCTCAGGCTCATGAACATAACTATAAAAGATCTCCCCATTATAATCCTCCGGTTCAATCACCCTCCCAATCCGAAGAATATAAATATCCACCCCAAACCGCGCCGCAAATCCCCTCGCCACACGCTCATTGCACAGTTTCGCCAACGCATACGTATCAGTCGGATTGACATCCTGATCCTCATCAATAGGAAAATAAGGATAGTTAGCATCCCCTTGCGCAAAACTGACTCCGTAAACGGTAACACTGCTCGCAATGATGATCTTGCGAATGCCAAGTTTACAAGCCGCCTCGACGAGATTGTACGTGCCCTGCGTATTGGCGCGAAATAGTTCATTGTCAGGCGCTATCATATTTCGAGCATATCCCGCTAGATGCACCACGGCGTCGGGACGAGGTGGGAGGCCCTCGGGGAAGGGTTCGTGGAGGGTCCATTGGCCGGATAGTGCGTTGAATACTTGGCCGCTATCGGATAGGTCGGTTTTCAAGGTGTGCACGTCTGGGTGCGTCATTGGCATTAGGTCTAGGTTTAGGATTTGGTGGCCTGCGGCTAGGAGCTCGTTTATCACGTATTGGCCTGCTTTGCCGGAGCCGCCGGTTACCACAATTCGGCTCATGTTGGGGTCTGGTGGTGGTGGGATGCCTGGGCGTAGAAGGGTGTAGGTGCGAGTTTGAGTCTGAGTCTGGGTCCGAGGTCTGGCGATGCTGGGCTGGCGAGTGGGAATCTTTACGAAGTGGTGGAGGTGTAGGTGGAATGGGCCGGCGTGAGGCTTTGGGATGGCTTGTCGAATGACTGTGTAGATGGTCGTCATGATGACATTCGTGCTTCAAGTTTCCAGTTGGATTTGCCTCCACGGGGATGGCGAGGTTGGTTCACAAGAGTGTGAGTATATTGATTGGATGGGATAGCGATGGAGAAGAGAGGGAATGTAGATGGATGCTCTATGCATTGTATAGCTGCCAGCGTTTCAGGTGAACTCGAAGACGTTGCATCTCCGATTAAGACAAGGCTTGTCATGGTGATGCGATGATATAGATTAAGATTAAGGTACTAAATGGCACCCGATGTCAAAATTATGTTATCCGCCCAATCAACTCCGCTCGGAAATCTGGGCCTCAGTCCAATCCCACAGTTTTCGACCCATCTCGGCGTCTTGAACAAACTTAGTGCCGTCACACCGGACGCCGACGGGGCTGTAGTAGCCTCCATTGACCACTTGCTTCCTCGGCGTTCCGGCCGCCCAGAGCGTATTCAATGCGCCGGTGCCGGTGTTTCGGAAGAAATATGACGTGACTGCAGTTAAGCTGTATTTCAAAAGTGAGCTGGTCGCCTTGGCATGGGCGTATAGATCGCTGTTGACTGCACCCGGATGCACCGACACCGAAAGAATGTCCGGGTGTCGACGCGCGAGCTCCGCGGCGAAGAAGATATTCGCCGCCTTGGAGGCGCCATAGCGGTGCCAGGTACTCGTTGACAGAAGGGATGGCGTAGAGGTCAGCTCGGTAAAGGTTACCGGACTGATTGCATGGGCGGCAGATGCCAACGTGAGGACGCGAACATCTGGGATCGCATTGCTGTCGCTCGCACGGATCTCGTCGACAGTCTTCTGCAGCGTCGGGAGCAGGAGCTTCGTCAGCAGATGATGGCCGATATGGTTGGTGCCCAGCTGCACCTCGAATCCTTCCTCGGTCTTGGTGGGCGGGTTGCCCATGGTCCCGGCATTGAGAATCAGGAGGTCCAGCCGGTCACTCTCCGCGTGGAATTTGTCTGCCGCGGCGCGGATCGATTTAAAGGAGCTCAGATCTAGTGGGATATATCGGATATCGGCGGGGGAAACGAGCTCCGACTGGATGGAGGCGATGGCATCGCGGGCCTTGGTCTCGGTGCGTGCGGCTAGGTAGATGCGCGAGGGATGGTGTTTGGCGAGCTGGAGGATGGTTTCTTTGCCGAGACCGGTGTTGCCTGTGACGAGAGAGGAGATCAGTTAGACACACAGGAAGTATGTTGCATCGCCTTGAACAGTTTTACGTACCTCCGGTGACGAGAATAGTCTTGCCTTCCAGGCTAGGGAGGTCGCGCTCCGGCTTGAATGAGGAGCCCAGGAGGCCGAAAGTGGCCTCGCTCAGGGTAGGGCCGAAGCTCGACAAGCCTTCCAAAGGGTGTTGCAGGCCATAAGTCACGAAGCCAGTGGTAGCGAGGATATCACGGAGGTCCATTTCGAGGGACGGTATGTGGTAGCTGTAGGTGTAGTTGTAGCTGTAGCTTCACGGCAGGTCGTGGGGGGTGGGATCGCCATGACGCTCGGAGGGGCCGAGGTGTCATTCAGTGGGAACAAAACATGTGAGGATGGCCCTGATGTCGGAGATGAGGGGAGGTCATGAGTGAATCGCCATCTATGGCCTGGTAAAAGGGATTGTGATTGCAGCTGAAGTGATTCGCGAAGGAGTTGCCACAAGATAAAGCTGAGGCGAGCAGAGAAGTGTACCTTAAGGTAGGGCATCCTGGTCAGGTGTCGATCTGATAAGCTCAGGCTATTACAATTACATACTTCAACTAGAACTACAACTATAGGGATCCTAGAGGTATAGAATACTGTAGTTGTATGTACTTACTACTTACTACTTACTGCTTAGCTAGTATCTAGACTAAATACATCACATCGCTAGGGCTGAACCCCCCCTGCAGCGCTGCGCTCTGACAACCTCCGACCTGCAGATGCACCTGAGCACCTCCTCTGCTTGCTCTTTCTCTTCCTCTTCCCCTTCCTCTTCTTCTCCCTTTTCCTCCTCCTCTATCCACTCCCCATATAAACACCCGGTCTATTTTAACTACTGCACAATGCGTTTCCTCTGCTTGCACGGCGCGAGCACCAATAGCGAGGTACACCACTTCATGCCACCTTGAAACACCCCACTCCGTGTAGTGCTGACCCCGACAGATCTTCGAGATCCAAACCGGAGGACTGCGACAAGCCCTCGAAGCTCAGGGTCATAGATTTACCTTTGTGAACGGCAGTCTAGATGCGAGCGTTGAAGCTGGTAAGTCTATTCATTCTTCATTCTGCAGCCCAATTTATATATACCTGTTTCCAACTTCCAATTCCTCCCATGACACTGCAAAAAAGAACCTTGGAAACTTGAATACCAACTCAACTCACCCTTGACCACAGAACTCGAAGGCGTCGTCGAAGGACCCTTCTATAACCACTACCTCCGCTCTCCATCTCTACCGGGCTCATCTCTCCACGACGCCTTCGAACACACCCATCAACTAATCACCGAAAAGGGCCCCTTCGACGCCGTAATGGGTTTCTCGCAGGGCGGAGCCCTCGCCGCAGCTCTACTAATTAACCACGCGAAAACAAATCCGACCTCGCCGCCTCTCTTTCGCGCTGCTGTTTTTCTGTGCAGTGGAAAACCCTGGGAAAGTTCCGGGTTGGAATATGTGGCTCCGAGACAGGATGTGTTTCCGATTTCAATTCCGACGGCGCATATCGTTGGCAAATTGGATCCACTTTATCCAGATGGTATGAAGTTGTTCAACCTTTGTGAACCGGCTAATGCGGTCTTTTATGATCATGGATCGAAACATATGGTACCCTTTGATCCTAAAAATAATAAGGAGATGGTGAGGGTTATTGAGGAGACGGTTGCCAAGGCCATGAGGGGTTGATGTGGGGTATCGGCGGCGGTGGTGGTGGCGGTGGTGGAAGCGTGGAAGGTGTTTTGGTCTTACTATTTCAAATTTTCTCCCTCTCTCTTTTTGTTTGCTCTTGAACGGGCATCTACTACCCAGGTGTTTACTATTTGTATACCAGTATCTGGCATTGCATTATTACCTAGGCGAGCGCTTTCTATCACATATGCATCGATCGTGCGTTTCAGCTTTTGGCAGGTACAGATCGAAAGAAAAATAAAACATTGTAGATGTTTCGGCTTAGGCTTGGTGCTGCCTTTGCTTTTCCGGTCGAGAGAAATATTTTGACCACGCCGCTGCAACAATCAAAACCACGAACCCGAGAATCAAGGCGTACCCCCATCTACCAGTAGCATCGGCAGCACGCCCAGCATCAGTAGTTTGTTCATCAAGTCATAGACCAGCCGACTGGCCGTTCTCGGCGGGGATAACCTTAGAGAAGAAGTTCTCCAGATCCTGGATCTCAGCGGGATCAGCCGAGTGGCCGAGGTTGCTGACGCAATTAGTTAGCATCTCCGCATTCCTGCACAGCAACAACAGATTATATCCAAGGGGAGGGACATACCTGTAAGTATTGAACTCGACATCGGTCACACCAAGCTCCTTAAGCTTCTCCGCCGACTGGCTACCGTACTGGTGCTTAACAATATCATCCTCGTCGCCGTGCGCCAAGAAGAAAGGCGTATTCTTATTCTCCCACTGCTCAGGAATAAAACTCTTGATCCGATCGCTGAGAAGCAGGTAGCACGACAGACCAAAGATACCACCCAGCTTCTTATCGCCAGTCAGGCCGGTGAATACTGACATCGCGCCGCCTTGTGAGAAACCGCCCAGCACAATGCGTGTCGACACGATGCCGCTGTCCATCTCTTCCTTGATAAGGGTGTTGAAGTAGTCGCGAGAGCGGGTGATGCCGGGCTCATCTTGGGAGCGAAGCTGGGGAGGTTAGTATTAGCAAGTCTTCGGGGAGGGCCGTATTGTGGTTGTATTGTTGGATGGGGTGGGACTCACGTCGCTGCCGAGGCTGGAGATGTCGTACCAGCCAGGCATGCTCATACCCATGTTCTGAAAATATGTTAGCCGGGTCCCAATAGGCAATTCGCTGGATCCATTTTGTATGCGATTGACGTACGACTGTAATGGGAATGGATGGCGCATTGGGGAAGATGAACTTGACTTCGTCGAACATGCCGCGGCGGCGCCAGTTCTGAGCGAGTGCCATCCTGGATGAACAATCAGTCAGCTGTTGTGTTCTCGGGTTCAATTATTGATTGTAGATCGTTTCGTACCATCCGGCGCCACTGTAGATAGAGAGAGGGTGGTTAGCGGATTCTGTTTGGTTCTTTCAGCTCATTGTTGACCAACCTGTCGCCCAGACCGTGGGCCATGATCACCGTCGCGGTGTGCTTCTTGAGAGCGGGGACAATGTAGGGGGCGCGAGCAGCCATTCTGAGGGTGATACTAGTATCGGGGGTATCAAGAGAAAGAAGAAAAGGACACTATGGAAGACGGGGAGAAGAAGCGTTCCTGACGAATGGATCCGATCCCGCAATTCATTATTCTGCCGGCACTGAATTGCCGCGGCCCCCTACAGTTTCACCGTTGTCCACACCGCCGAGGGCCACATATTTACTTCACTTCATTGATACACCAGCATTATTCATGAAGATGGGCGAACATTTACAGCCAAGAAAAAGGTTCAAATTTCTACTACGTGGATGCATCTATATTTCTCGGCTGGACGAATACAGAACACTTATGTACTCATATTGGGTATCTATCTTCAAGTCGAAACAATCTACTCACTCACCCTTTTTCACCACATTCATAAACACCTCTTCAAGCGAGGGCTCAATCAGTGTATAGTCGTCAAAGACCTTCAGATCACCCGTCTTCATAGCGGAAACAGACCCTGCTGAACCGTCACCGTCCTTGTTTCCAGATTTATCTATACCACCCCCCTTCAAGAGCTCCATGGCAGAGAGAATCTTCCCAAGATCTCTCTTTTCATACTTGATGAAGAATTGGACAATACCCCTCGCATCTGCGTACCGTAATATAGGTAGGTGGAGTTTCGTAAAGACATTGATTGCACTGCCACGCGCAGCATCGGCGCTCACGCCTTCACAGCGTGCGGCTCGCAGCCGAAACGCGCCTCCATATGTATCATTCAGCGTCTGCAGCGGTCCAGAGACTAGAACTGATGTCCGCATGATCGCGACTTGCGACGCTAACGCCTCGGCCTCTTCCATGCTATGCGTCGTGAGTAAAATGGCTCGGTTCGCACGGATCCGTTTGAGCGTCCGCCACAAGATCCGCTTTGCGGAGGCGTCTTGGCCTGTGGAAGGCTCATCTAGGAGGAGGAGAGGTGGGTTCCCTGAACATTGGGATTAGCATTTTTCGTGATCGATGTCACGGAGAGGAAGGGGCATACCGAGGATGGCAATAGCAACTGTTAGCTTTCGTTTGGTTCCGCCGCTCAACGCTCTTGCAGTCGTCTTCGCATATTGTGTGATATCCAGAGCCATCAGAACTTGATCCACATTCTCTTTCACACGACGCAGGCCTTTCACTGTGGCATAGAATTCCAGTGTCTGACGAACTGTCAGGTTATCAACCGCGTCATCTTGTGGACAGACTCCAATATTCAACCGAGCTTTGCGAAGCTGCGTCAAAACCGAGAGCCCGTTGACAAAGATATCGCCAAAATCCGGCCGGAGCTCGCCGCGAATCATGTTGATCACTGTAGTTTTGCCTGCACCGTTTCCGCCCAGAAGTGCAAGCGTTTGATTCGGGGAGATGCTGAATGATACGTTCTGCGCAGCAAAAGATCGACCGAAATATTTACTCACGCGAGAAACGTTCAAGATCGGAGATTCCCTGTTGTTGTTCCTAGCGACGCTGGGTCGACCCGGGCTGTCTTCAAGCATGATGTCCCGTCTGCTGTCAAAGGAGGTTAGACCATCGTCCACCTGGTGGTGTAACCTAGCCGGGAGTTTGCGGCGCCAGCAGATAAGAGAACGGAACCAGCCTGTGCCGGCGTATTCATGGATGCCGAGAACTAGGACCAGGAAAATGATCTGGTACATAAAGTTGGCGTACACACCACCGTATAGAACGTATGTGAATGGATATGAGGTATCCGCGTCGCCATAATTACCGCAAAGTATGTCAAAAGTGTTCATGCCAATGAAGAGCGCGCGGACGAGATTGGCGGCTGGGGCGATTAGACCGAGACCAGCTTGGAGGGCGTCGTAGGCTGATCAAGAGTTAGCAACATGTTCACTTGTGTGAGAATGGTACGAAGGATACGAACTGAATTGCCGGGTGTCAGCAGAACCCCCGAATTCGTCCGCTATGTAAGAAATTATGTATAGCACGAAGAGGAGGATGTGAATCCCGAGTGCTGCCGCGAAGCTTCCGCGACGGATGATCTTGGAAAGCAAGTAGGTTCCGAGATATGATGAGATTCCGAAAAGGATAAAGGCGCCAAAAATACAATCGGGTCGATACCAGACGGTGTTTATTGGTCTAATAAAGAGAAGACCATAGACGATCAAGGCTGACACATTAGATTAGAATGTTTCATCGGAGAATGGGAGACATGGCATACTTTGAATAATGATAAACTGCATATCGAAAAGAAGGTAGGCTGTCCAAAGAGCAAAGGGCGAGACACCATTGCTGTATTCTAAGGCTCTCACATTTGAGATTCGTTCGTACACTTGGATTGTCAGTAATTTTTGACTCAGAAACTCGAAGATCGAGGTGGGTTGTCATACCAGGATAGATGATGGCAGTCGACACAGATGCCATGAAGACAATCACAATCAGAATTGAAACTGGCATATTAAGCTCATTATGCACAGGATTAACATGGCGCATCGTGCTAAGTGCGGTTGTGATTTGACGAGCTCGGGTATCGGAAGTCGAGTTGGCAATGCGATTTGTTATAAGGCTAAAGCCCATGAGTCCAGGTCCTGTGTGGTAAAAGCCGATGAGTGATTTTAATCCATATATTTCCTGAAGGGTCCATACCGGCAGAGTAATAGTCCGCAGAGTGATAGAATATGGCGGAGTCTGGAGTTGAGGCGTATAAACCAAATCCAACATTGCCCATAGATGTCCTTACGGCGTTGTTAAATTCGTCTTCGCTACTGACGAAAGTGCGATCCTGAAGGGAATTTCCGCTGTACTGGTCAGTGTAGATCATGTCTTCAAGCTCATTGGATTGCAAGACTTACATGCTCCCCGCAAAAATATCATCTTGAATCCCACCCTGAAACTGGTTTGCAGGTCCGAGAATGTCTCCCGAGGTAGAAGTGTATAACGCGTTGTCAAATGGAGGTATATCCATGCCAGCCGGATTGGCATATTTGTTATAGCTTTCCTCACATGTAACCAAAGCATCCCAGGTATAGAAGTACTTAGTCAATGCAGCAGCGATAATGATGGGCAGTAAAAGGTTAACCGCATAAACGATGATTCCCGATGCCCGATATAGCAGCTGGTATCGCTTCCGAAAAAGAACCCAGATCTGCCACAGTAGTCCTACTGACTGCCTTGTATCAAGATTGAGCTCCACGGCTGTATATTCACTCTCGAGCGCCAGAATCTTGTCCTCCAATGTAACCTCGGTGTCTCCGGTGGGTTCTTGATTCTCGCCAACCATGCCGTCGCCACCATCTCCATCAACGGCGGTGCCGTATTCCGATGTTGTCCTCAAGAATACTTGTTCTAAAGTGGGGAAGGTAACATGGCAAGCGAGGTCGGGTTGCAAACGCTCCAGCTCGATCACCTTGTTCGTAGCCTCAGCAGAGCTTGCAGCTTTCCAGGTTGTTTCTTGCTCGTCATCAAGACGAATTCGATAGTTGTCACCATACTGTGCGCGAAGGGCAATACTGGATCCCTGGCAGACTAGACTACCTTTGCACATGATCACAATATGATCAGCGAGAACATCGGCCTAAGGTATGTTAGAAATATCTTCACTAAATGTATGTTAAGATGTTGGCTTGGTCACCTCGTCGAGAAAGTGAGTAGTCAAAATAGTCGTCCGATGGCAACGGCCTTCTTGGATAATGTTCCAGATGTTGCGACGAGACAACGGATCCTACAAAATCAGTATTTTGACAATATTTATCACTGAAAGTGCGCTTACCAGTCCACTTGATGCTTCGTCAATACAGCACACTTTCGATCCACCAGAGAAGGCAATGGCCAACTGCAAGCGCCGCTTTTGACCTCCACTGAGAGTTCCAGCTGCAGATTGGGCCTTTTCAGTTAAACCGCACTCAGAAATGACATCGTCGATATCTTGAGTATTTGGCGCACCCCCAGCGGTCTTGAGACTTGTCCAGAGGCGAACGTGCTCTGTCACGCTGAGGACATCCCAGAGTACCTTTTCAAGTCAGCAAGGCAATATTATTTGCCGGTGATTATGGAGAGAATACATTGTGCTGCGGACATAAACCAAAAGAGCGCCCATCCTGACTTAACTGAATCCTGGACCCTGAATCAACTTTCAATACCCCCGAAATACACTTCAGCGCAGTGGTTTTCCCGCTTCCGTTGGGGCCTAACAGGAATGTAACGGATCCAGTTTGCACTTCAGCATTGAAATCCTTGACGGCCTGCTTGCCGCCAGAATAAGTCTTGGATAAGTTGCTCAGTTGGAGCGCAACCTCATCTGACGTTTCGGTCCACTCTCGGCTCTGCGGAACGCCCCAGCGCAGGTGCTCGACGAGAAATACTAACGCACCATAGCCAAAGATGTGGACAAGAAAACACGCAAAATAGAGGTAACCATCCATGTTAGGAACTTGTTTGGTAATTCCTGCGTCGGGGAAGGCCCTCAGAGAGTACTCCGTTGTTGCAATATCACGGATGAGCGTGGCGAAGGCGTAGGGTGGAAATACTAGGGAGAGCCCCAGCATCTGTCCCGGATCTTTGAACTGTGTTAGACTTTGAGATATACTCACCAGAGCGAGTGCAAATATTAAAATGCAGGTCCACATGCCGGCCACGGATGACCTGGAAAAGAAAGACCCAATAAAGTGAGCGCAGATGATAAGAGCGAGACTGGCGAGAAGCATGAGGATAAAGATCAGACCAGTAGATGTACGCATGAAGAGAATTTCGCCCAGAAGGATAGAGCAGATGATTGTTCCGGGGATGTAGAGGATGGAGAAAGACAAAAAGTTTGAAAACACACGGGGTGCGATCGTAACCCCTTGGGCCATGAGAAGATCTACGACCCCGTTTTGTCGTTCACCAGCCACAGTACTGCTCATATGGTAAGTGGAAACTAGAAAGGTAAACACAAACAAAGGTGCAGCAAAATATGAGACAATTGAGAGCCAGAAGATTGAATGTGGCATATCCGAATAGCTAGACCCGTCCTTGTCGAAATATCCACTCCACATCTTCTCGGTCGGTCGTTTGCTACCTTCAAATCCACCGATGTGAGAGTCCAGAGCCCATTTGAGTGGCAGAAGGCGCTGAGAGAGAACAGATTGACCCGGCGTATAGCTGTATGGGGTGTTCTCAAGAAAGTCCTCATCGATGCCCAGAATGTAGTTGGCATGGGTGTTGTTGAAGACCGTGAAAACCACAGCAGCAAAACAGTCACTGGTGCCATGAATGGACTGTTTACAGCGATCGAATAGCAAGCTGGGGTTATCCACAACTTGTAGATCGAACGATTGCATGCCTTTGTCCTGAAAAACTGCGGCAATGGTCTTGTTCAACTGTGTATCCTGAATCCCATTCGTGGCGACGACTATCCGTTGGGATAAACTCCTGGAAATGGCGTCGGGCAGATCCATGACCGTTCTTCCGGTGTGCGAGATACCGTTGGAGCCCTCATTTTCAAGCTTGATTTCTTTGAGGAAACAAAATACAATCGTTATTGCGATCGGGACCAGAAGTGCCTTGATCAAAGAGGAAATTGGCGATTTGTAGAAGACAAGGAGGTTTTTCCAAGTGAGAATCCAGGTTTGTCGTAAAGATCGATGTAGTTGCACCATTTTTATGGTGATAAAAGGTGTTTAAGATGCATTCTTCTGTTCTTAACAGGGTCGCATAAAAACAAACTGGCATCTTGGCTTCTGCCTTGTAAAGCTTGGGGCCAAAATGGGGTGGGTGGCTTAGATGACAGTGCCTTACTCGTCCCCACATGCATGAGACATGGCATCTTTCTCGTTGGACGAGGTAAGACGATCGAAGGACCTATAATTTGAGTTGAGGGGAGATCCCTACTGGCCTGGGTAAAATGGCCCCAAGGCGGATTCGGGGGATTCGTTCGCCCCGTGGCCCCGCCCGAGCTAGAAATATCCATTGGAGGCCAAGAACAGGAATGAAAAGGGTCCAAATTCAGAAAAGGGTCCTAATACTCGAACAGAGACATGTCTGTAGATCAGATTCATGTTGTGAGTCGTGACTAGGTATCTTAGTTTAATCTTTCAGCCGACTCGCATGATAATACGTTAGGTTTGATTAGACTGATTCTATATCAGAACACTCAATACTAGATACATTTCTCATCTATACAAATACAGTCATGTGGAGCAACAGAACGGACAGAGCCAGAAGTCCTCCAGGTAAAATAGTTCCAGCACTGCCGATCTGATGTGTTGGAGACGAGGTGGCCTTCGCAGTGCCAGAGGCATTTGCAGTGCTAGAGGCCTTTGCAGTGCCAGATGCACTTTCCGACGACGTAGAGTTGGTCGTCGCCGAAAGCACGGTGTTCACCTTATCCCAGAGCTGACAGGCGCTGAAATCAATAGTTCCAGGGCCGATTGAGTTGGCAAAGAACAAGCCAGGGGTAGTGCCGTTTTTGGAGGGCTGGAAGCGGGGCCATTTGATGGCATCGGTTGAAGGGGCGGCGTTCTCTGCCATTGCCTGCCACAGACTCACCATTTGATTGCTAAGATGATACTCTGCAGCGGTAGAGTTGCAAGAATCTCTGCCCGACAGGTCAAAAGCCATGTTACCGAAGACATAAGAAATCTCCGCGGTGTGGGTGGCACCAAGCTCAGAGACGTCGTCCTGTGCAACCGTTTCCATCCAAGCACAGGTGGTGTTGTGAATGAACTCGTAAGCCCATGTAGGAACGTTGTTGCGTGCAGTCGCAATAGCGCCACGAAATCCAGGGCACATATAATCAGAGTCGGTGATGACTTTGGAAATGGCACCAAGAACGGCCTTATCGCCCAAAGACACGAACTTTGACAGAGGGTAGTACTTCTCAACTGTTGAAGCCATAGGACCGTAATTTGCCTTGAGGAAATCCCCATACCCAGCCTCAGTACAAGCTGTTTCGTTCGTCTCGCACGTCGAGCCGGCGTAGATGACGCCTTCATTTAGGTCTAATAATGAGTTTCATCGGTTAGCTTGTGCAACGAAACATTGACGGAGAGAAATGACATACTAAATCCAAAGATCGCGGGAACTCGCGAACCACGGCTGATAGGCTCTTGGGGAATGACCTTGCCATCCACGTAAGGATAGAAGGTATGAGTGTGAGCACTAGTAACACCAATGGCACCATCGACTCCAATGCCGTAGCTCATATAGCCAGATTCACCATCCTTTGCGTAGGCCTTAAGAAGTTCGCTTGCAGACTTGGCTTGAAGGCAAGATTTCTGCAGAGAAGTTAGCATCTTGAAAAAGAAAGTGGTACTAAGGGTTTGGTCTCACGCTGGAGCCACATCCAAGGATACTAGCGTAGTTCGCACCAGTGGTTTGCAAAGTAGCTTTAGTAACGAGGTTCTTGCCACCTCCAGATTCAGAGATGAAACTGTTGATGAGTTGAGGGGCCTTCGGGAGAGAGGAAATAATGAAAGCGTCCTCGGCACCGGCCGACTGTCCGAATAGGTTCACCTTGTTCTATTTCGGGAATCATTGTCAGCTCCACATTTCTTCGCTATCGGAAACTGATGAGGCTTAAATACCGGGTCGCCGCCAAACTCAGCAATGTTATCCTGTACCCACTCTAATCCAAGAACAAGATCCTGGATTCCCTGGTTTCCATAAATTCCGGCCTTTTCAAGTGCCATGAACCCCAGAGGTCCAAGTCTGTAGTTGATGGAGACGAGGACTGCGCCTTGATCCGCAGAGTTGCAGCCATCGTATAAAGTGTTGGAAATTCCACCATTTGTGTTCGACCCACCGTAGATCCAGACTCTGACGGGGAGTTTTGAATCTTTGGTGGCATCGGATGGAGTCCAGACATCTAGGAAGAGGCTAATCCAAGTTCAAGTTAGCAAAAGCACCGGCAGTAAAACAAATCATGACACTGGATTTAAAGCGCACCAATCTTCGGACTCAGCTGTAGTTTCGTTAAATTCGCTTGTCCATTGGATACAAGCGGGTGGCGTGGATGTCGCATCAAGTTTTCCCCCCGAAAATTGTTTCTTGGCGACGGGAGACTCGAAACGAAGCTCTCCAAGTGGAGGTTCGGCGTAAGGAATTGACTTATAATAGACTGCACTTGCATCTTGACATTGTCCACCTGTAAGGGTACCGGCGTCGATCGTTACAGTCGGCTTTGATGTGGCTGCTGCGGCCAGGATTGGCAGAAGAGCTGATAAAAGCAGCTTCATGATTATGTATATGGCTGAGAAAGAGGAAGGAGATAATGAAAAAAAAACGGAAAGACTGTTGGAAGCCCATCTGCTTTATAAACTGCCGGCCTCTGGCCCCCAGGTCCGTCTTTTTCGTATGTACTTCAAGTTGCTGGCCCCCAAATTAAGTGCGACTTGGGGGCCAGGAAGTTGCTTAATTTGGCGTACCCCAGCCTTGTAGAAGCGGGTCAATTTGGAGTGATGCTGTACCCACGGGGGTACATGATTGGATAATGACTGCGCCGATCATGCACTATATAAGGCAACACTGCGAGGGCCAATCATATTAGACTCTGTCGAGCTTGTTTTGTTTTCTCTTCACCGTCTCAAGCTAAGCATAGGCTGTACCATCTCCATGAAATTGCAGAAAGACGCGGCCTTGTGATCCACATGACGACGATAGGGTTGCACGCTCGGCAATCAATAAGGCTGAGGAGAAAGGCTTAGCATCGCTTGTGCTCCAAACCAGCAATCTTTGGGGCGGAGCTATCCATGAATTACGGAGTACGCAAGCGAAGCTCAAGTCGTGGTGGGGCTCTCCAAGGCCGAAAGGATTTGAATGAAGCTAGAAATCGCACTTTACAGTATTTGACCTTTTAGCCATCAAGTCGCATGGAATGCGGGGCCTGCTTCGCTGTCTAGACCGATGGGCCGTTCCCTCAAGTCGAGATTGAAGTGTTCCTCACCTTGTGTGAGAATTTGTAGTCTCCGGAGACTATATCAATAATATAATTTATGAATTTGGATTGAGTAGACTTGACTCAAGCCATATATCATAATCGAACGTCATTAACACAGCCCAGGCAGAAGCAGGGGAGGGAGCTCAACAGTAAACTCTGCTGTACCGAGTCTAATCCCCGGCTAAAGTAAACGAACTACGATAATGCCGCAGGAAGCCCGACCATTAATTCTCTCCATCTTTTAATTTAGTGGACGGAATTTCCAGAAATTGCTCGGCTCAGACGACTCCTCATTGGTGCTCGCTATGCAGACTGAAAAGAGTTAGGCATGATCAGCCCATTTGGCCCCCTATCGACAAATTTAGCGTAGTTTTGAAATTTTGTCAATTGTGATGAAGAAAGCCATCCTTTATTTAAAATCATTAAGCTTTTATTACCGAGAAGAAAAGAATTAAGAACCTACGATCGACAGGGGCTACTGTTTTAACCTACGCAGTATATCGTCCATTCTGGAAAGCAGATGAACCGGCAAAGAAAACCACTGGCAAGATCGAAGTCTCCATGACGGAGGTGGGCTATCGTTGTGCTGATCCTGATTTAGTTACTGACCAATCCTCTCTATTGGTATGCTATCAGCATCACAGTGCCCAGTAATTAATTTCAAACCATACGTTGAGATTCCTGGAACCCCCGGATATCTAGTGCTGGTTAGAAGACCCACCCCTTGTACGGAGTACTCCGTTGTACTACTCTAAGACATACCCCTCCAAGGCTGTATCTGAACACGCAGACCGTTCGAAACCCTCGGGGCTACCAATAGAACTAAAATAGCCCCAGATTGATTTTCCCCCGCAATAGCAGTCGTTTGAAAACTTTGCGCAAATTACGGCTGTGCGATTCTTCAGAGTAGACAATATTAAACATTAGTAGAAATGCAATGCGTATTTACACTCAAAATGAAACAGATCTCAGTACTAATAGCCAGCCAACTGGTGTAGCTCTTCCCGAGTTGACATAATAGAAGCATCAATCAGCTCAGCCTCCACAACAGCTTCCTGCCATGATATACCCAGGACAAGGCAGCCGTCGCCACCGGTGACAACCGAAACGCCGATTGCATTGCCCATTACACTCGCACACTGCGAGAATGCCATGCCTTGAATAGAAGGCTGATCGGGAGTCGAGGTGGATGAGACGACGCCAATATTCGATACCTCGAATGACTTATCCCGATCTTGTCCGACCTTCGATAGACAAAGTTCCTGTTGGAAATTGTTGACGAATTTAAGGAGGTTTGGTCCTACGTCTGCACCCTTGCGGTCCAAAGTATCCTGGATGGTCTGTCGCGAGCGGCGCGCCTCTTCCCAGGGAAAGGCTGTGGGGTCAGCGAGGGCGACGGTGGAGCGTGTGTATGACTCTTCAAAGTCGGCTACGAAAACGCCCATTGAATCTTCCGTAATGATATCTGGTAGGAATCGGCGAGTGGAGAAAGCGCCGGTACAATTCAGTCGGAAGAATTGATCGGGGATATGCTTGAATAGCGATCGAGCATAAACAGTTTGCAGGAGCGCAGTGATGGTTGTTCGTTCCTCGCGACAAGCTTTCCTCAATCGCTTCACCAACCCCTGGGCAAAGGGGACTAGCCGGACATGGGTACTTGTTGGTGGCTGGATCCTCGCCCCGGTCCACAGTCCCGGATCTCTAGGCGCATAAACCTTTGCTTGGAAGATCTTCTTCGCTAGGAACCAGAAAGAGAGGGGCATTGGGTGGATTTGTTCAATGTTAGGCAGCATCGGGATCTGCGGACTGGCTACTGAGTGTGGCGTCTCGCCATCGGATGCTGTCTGCGTCTGCAGTGCTCGTAGAAAAGAAATGTGAAATGACTTGCCAGAGCCCCCATCACCGAGGGCATGATGCAAGATCAAGGCTGCGGTGAATTTATGCGTGTCTTGCTTATCGACAAGAACGTGCAGTCGCCAATAAGGATTAGGCGGGATGAAAGGTGTGTTGTGTTCTTCTTGGAAAACAGCCTGAAGATCGAGATCCGGAGAAATGTCGCCTTCTCCAAGAGAAACATCTCTTGGGATGCCGTGTTCTCGCTGCGTGAATCGCACCACCTTATCCAGGTCGATAATGGGGAGGCGTACGAAATACGGCTCTTGCGTATCGTCAGCTGCCGGGATGGCGGAGAGCGAGGGATGCTCCGCGATGACTGATGCACATGCCCTGAGCACGTAGTCCTCGACTGGTGATGTGAAACTCTTTGGTAGCTCGTATGTAGCTGCCACAGCGAGGTTCAGATAGAAGCCAATCTGGTGACGCGCGGTGGAGTATTTTTCCAGCCTCCCTGCAGTGGGTCAATTGCAAGTTCTGGATACGGCGAAGAGATTAGAACAAGACTCACCAACAGGTCGGAGCTTCTCAAATTGATCCATGGCGATACTGATACTGAGGTGACGATGATGCAGGGGATGAGGCCAACTCGGCTGCCTGTTGAACCGAGCAACAAGTCGGATCGGATCTCGGAATGTCAAAACTCTTGGCTGCCCCACATTAACTTGCATTATGTTTGTGCATCTGCAGACCGGATTTTAACGGCTTAGACGCTAAGCTGACTGAGTTCTTCTACCGCAGAAAATGAAACGTGATTACTGGGCTGGCCAACATCTAGAGCCTCTCATTGGTAGATATTCCTCCCCCCCCCCCCCGAAGAGACTACGGTCGAGGCCGAGTTGACTACTTTACCACGAGCTACACAACATGCATAAATCTCTCACTATGAGCATGACTCTATATTACTTTTCACGGGTCCTGATCGACAAAAATAGCTTGAAGGTGATTTAGAACGGAAGGATATAGTATTGCGAAAGTTGAGTTATAATGACACTTGTTTGGCATAATTGAAAGAATTACTCACTTGATTATCCAGATAAAGGAGTTGAAAGGATAACCAAATCAACTGGCTCGCCCCCCTTGAGGTTAGGATTGATCAGTTCTTTGAAGTCAATTGTCGCTGACCATCTCATAGCGACCTCGCGAAGATGATAACCCCAAAAAGGATGAGCCATCATTTTCCGGCTATCATTTTCGAGCCAGAATTTTTTTTATCGAGAGCTGCTTATCTGCAAGGCGGAACGGTGTTCCTGGTGACAGTCGATCAGACTCGCAACCCGATGGAGGAGTCGAAAGTCCAACTTTTCGCCAGTTAAGTCGCTGTTCGTGTTCGAAAAGAGGGCGCTGAAGAACTGTTGTGGATAGACAGTTGATGTTATTAACGGGAAATAATTCTCGGTGTAGAAGCGAAGAAGGCGCATTGCAAATGAATCAAGATCAGAATGTAAACACAGAAATAGGGCCGCCTTTTAAATAACATCGCAAATCAGTCGCAGCCACCTGTCACATAATATCGCAAATTCGGAATCCCCCAGCTGTCCATGAACCTTTTGGAGAAAGTATCGTGACCGCCAAACTCTACATGAGAGCAAAAGCACCCATCAACGCCGCACCGAAAACCCCCCCACGACGCAAGCTCCAATGCTCGTCCACCATTTTCCTTGGAACTGGAGTCGGATCCTTGCGCAGCACCCGAGGCAGTAGAGGCATTCGCCGTGCGTTTAGCCGAGTCACCCGTAAATTCAACCGCGTGGAGCTTGGTATCATTGGAGCAAGAAGACTTGTCAAGGGTAGCGTTCGAAACAAACTGGAGGTCAGCGCACTAGGAAAAGATAATTGTTAGCCTCCTCATCATAGATATTCAAATGACAAGCGCCATAGCGAATAAAATCGCAGCACGTACCGCATAAAGACCACCCTGCGGATCACCATTACTCTGCACCTGCAGCGTGGCATTCATCCCGTTGACGACGTCCACGCCAAGAATCTTTGCGTTATACTCGATATCCGCAAGACAGAATTCGCCGGCGCCCTGGACGCCGAAAGTCGGGTGAAGGGTGATGTTGTAGTTTGTGCCCGGGTCATTGCCCAGACCGAGGAGGACGGTTAGGGCTGTTTGGGTGTGGCCCAGCTTGAGGTCGATGGGAATCGAGCCCGAGAGGGGAATTTTCGTTCTGTCAGTCATTTGAGATAAACTGCCACAGGGGAAGGTGGCCATTGTGTCTGCGTTGAAGCCGCGAGATGGTGGGGAGACGAGGTGGAAGTGTGCGGTTGCCACAGTGGCCAGGGCGAAAAGGGTGTGGATTTGCATTTTGATCGTGGATGTGGAGGCTCCGGAGGGATGAGGAAGAAAGCAATGGAACAGGATTTGAATGGAGAGATTGTATGAGCGGAAGGGGGAGTATGGTGTTTTTGTAGGACCTTCCTGGCTCGAGAGATACTAGCTGTGACTTCCGTTTTGGGATAGAACCCTGACTGAGAATAAAAAAATAAATAAAAAATAAAGCAAAGTAAGGAAGATTGGAAAGTGTGGGGTTAGCCACGAGGGACTAACCATGGAAGTAGGAGAGCCCGAGAGAAGTCTCCTGCAAGATACTTCATACCTCCGGCGGCGCTAAGCCAGTAGGGTAATTTGCTCAATACTGCGCAAGCCATCGCAAGCCATATGCATTTCCAGTGTGTAGATTTATCTCGTCGTAAACATTTGAGGCGAAATGTTCTAATTCGCCCCTAGTCTATGATAACCCGGTTCTATTCTAGGCACTAACATAATAATACCTCGTCGCAGGATCGTACTCCAGCACAACTTCGGACAGCATCTGCTGCACTGGCACTACAGCCTGCCGCCACAAATGCACTTCATAAGACTGGCCCATCGGACCGGGTAAAGCCAACGCGCAAAGAAACTTACTCTCTAGATTCTGAAAAGGCTGGACTTTATGACCCATAACGTCATTCACGTTCTCGCTAGCGGCATGCAAAGGGCAAAGTACAACCACCATATTCTGTTCTTCATGGCGGTAGGGAAAGTATGCAGGTGGATTCCATAGTACTGCCATACCCGGACGAATTCGATCGGTGAATAGGATTCCTGTTTTCTTTGATGGGTCCCGACTTGACAGGCTTGACGAAAGAGGGTCCTGTGGATCCGACTTTGCGCCCTGTTTGTTGCTAGTCTTGGTAGATTGCTTCCGCTGAGAATCGAGATGTAATGTCCACAGTTTAAGATGGAAGGCATTGGCCTGCTCCCCGGTTACACCGGGTGTTTGCAGGGACCTCTGTACAAAGTCCTCAATTGGCAGGCGGAGGAATTGGGCTCCAGTTTCCCTTGGGGCTAGCTCGTATGGTGCTATGGAGGGATTACCAGACTGATCCGAGCCAGTGCTCGATCGATTGGTATTCTGTTCCTCCTTTGGAGAGGGGCAGTAAATACCTTGGTTACGATGTAATGGCGGACATCTTTATTCGTCCATGTCATTGGGACATTCGGGTTATACCCGGGAGATTTATTAGTTGGTGGTACAGCTGAGAGCATCTCCGCGTAGCGAAGAGTATTCTTCGTTGCACCAGTATCTAAGAAACTGGGATTGACGCAAGCCAGAACGGCGGTCTTGCATTTCCGGCCTCCAAATGGATCAAACACGTGCTTAAGAGTCTTTGTCAGTGTACTTTGGCGAAAAGGAACATAAGGCTTCTTCGATGACTTGGAGGAATTCGCATCGGTGATACTCCGAATACAGTCTTTGAGAATGGACAAACTGATGTTGATTTCACGGGTCTCTTTCATCCGGTCGGCCCCGTGCTCTGCGATATCGCGGGCTGCCTCGGACCCGGCCAGATCGATGAGATACAGATATCCATCTTCCAAAACATCGGACGAGGGGTTCACTATTCGAAGGCGGCACACGGCATGACTGCGCGAGGACCCATTGTTTTTCTCTGTTGATGCTGTTTTGCGAAGTGCAGCGGTCTGTTCGATTAGCTGGAGAAGTTCACCGGCGAAGGTAACTTCTGGTTCGAATGCATTTGTTAGCTGCACGTCGCCGAAAGAGTCCTCGAGTAATTGTATCGGTGGTGCAGAACCGGCGCCGGCGCTCTGGCTGGCAAGGAGGAGGTCTGTTCAGATTCGACAAATTTGGAAGGTCATCAACCGTTACTGCTGACATTTTGATTGTATGAAGGGATATCTTACCCCGTGCAGTGTTTCCTGCCAGCTCGAAGATGGAGACGTAGACCTTTCTCTCTCCATATAGGGACCCATCGAATAGATTGCGTGCAACAAGTCGCTCCAATCGGCTAATGCTGAATGTCTTGCCAGACCCTGTTTGTCCGTAGGCGAAGAGTGTTCCCACATTGCCGTCCCACACCCAGGGCAGAAGTGGCTGGACCATGTCCTTGTAGATGGCGTCGGTAGTACAATTGGCACCGTACACCGTTCCAGGTCGAAAGCATGATGACTGAACAGGTTAGTCTGGCGTGAAACCACACTAGTCACCCACAAGAGGTGAATATAGTCTCGGCATGGTCGCCGAGCGAGCAGATTATTACTTCAAGCGGTGAAGTAGATTCCACTCACATTCAACGTCGGCAACCCCCGAACGACCCTCTTCAACTCGTGGAGATCCACAACGCCCGTATCGGTCTTCCGAGTAAATACAGCAGGGGGCATGTCCAGACGAGGCTTCATCTTCCAATATCGGGCGGATACGCGTCGCGATGATGAGATCCCTTGCGGGCGGCTCAGGCTTATGCCCCGCATTCTGTTTCGCTGGCGGGGGCACGAACCGCTTAACGAGGCCTTGGTGGCGTTGGGCATTGTCAAGGAGGAAGTTTTCCATTGTCAGAAGCTAATTGAAGTCTTTCGGCTATTATGGTTCGGAAGTAAATTAACAATGTCAACGAATGTGGGTTGTTGTTGTTGTTCGAAAACGCGTTAGACTATGGTTTCAAACGGCACGTGCATCCTCTGCCCTACGCCCTACGATTTCACGCACGACCAACAAAGCAAAAAGAACCAAAAATGTGATCAAGATGCGGGTTTCCGTCTGAAACCTTCTGAATCTTCCTGATGGTATTGTATGGGAACCTTGTGGTGGAGTCTCCGCATTGGGACTAGCGGGATAAACCCTGGAGATCCATGCTAGTCTACATCGGGCTAGATTATTTGCTCATTTATGCGCGGAATAGCTGAGTCATCATTTGTATAGGGTAGCATTGAATCTTGGCATTCAGATTGAGCGATGCTTGCATCGAAATGTGAGATAAAATTGGAACAAAATCAAGGGTATCGAAATTCAGTGGGGGTGGTCATTCCCGGCGATGTATCGACCAATCGCCAATTCTCCAAGAAAGGCACCAGCCAGGACAGAGCAGAAATACCCGATATTTTGGGTCATGACAGCGAGCATTCTGTGGATATCGTGATTAGCATGGCTCTGCAGCGGGGCAAACTTAGAGGTAATAAAGTATGAGATGACAACTTACAGTAGATAAGAAACACCAATAATGCAGAGAACAAGTCCCGCACGCGGAAGATCCACGGTGAACCGCCACGAAATTGGCCCATCGGCAACATTATGCACGACCTTGACATTCTCTTCAATGCCATATGCGCTGATGAGTGTGGAGAGTTTCGCATTGGGGTCAGCCTCAATTCGCCCGGCTTCGCTGGTCCTTCCGGCAATTGCAATATAGCGCCGGTTGAGATGAGCAGCACGCCACCGTCGCTCCATGATGGCCTTCAAGGCGAAGAGACTCCGATCAATGATGGCGAGGAGAATGAGGAAAATGCATGTTCCCGCGTAGGCGCCGGTGGAGCTAGGTGTCCAGGTATTCGAGAATAGGGGCGTGGTGTGCGAGTTGGTGAAGACCATTGGCATGCTCATAGACGAGCCAGAGCTCGAGCCGGAGGACATGTCCATTCCATCCATGGAATGATCCATGGTGAAAGTGGGAGCGGATTCAGGATTGGAGCGAGAGTAGATGGAAAGTAGAAGATAGAAATAATCCAGCCAGTCTGCGGAGGTCAAGTTGCACAAGTTGGAATGATCGGATTGGAGGTGAGGGCATTCTTGCTAAGCAGAAGCGGCGGGTCTGCCACATGGTGACCCGCCCCGATTAGGAAGGCCCTCAACTCAACACCTCCGCAGACCACTTCTCTGTCTACCTCTCTTTCTCTTTCCTCCCCTTCCTGTTCTTCATTTACTTCACGTCTGCCCTAAGACATGACACATCTCATCTAGAGCATCATGTCGTCAATGGGTGGCATGTCCATGGGATCCATGTCCATGGGCAATGGCGTGCCTAGCATGTTTGCCCTGCAGCAAATATACTGGGTAGTCGTTGGCAGTGCTATTGGCATTGCAACACTCTTGAACGGTATTAACCGCCTGCTTGCGCGATACAGGTAATTTCAGCCTTCCAGTCAAGTAATCATTATCTGACCTCGGGACTTTCTAGGCTTCAGGACCCGTCCTCCACACCAGCTCAGCCAAAGTCGTTGTTCTTGACAATGTATGCCACAATTACCGCGATATCTCGGGAAATTAGCTACGCCACTCTTCCATCAATTTCACTGGGCCCATTGGTTATTCACTTCGCTCCGCTGGGGTCGATATTGATCATTCTCGCCAACCTGGTGACAGTTCTAGTCCTCTGTTTCTACGGACTCGACACTTCGGATGTCTGGCAGTGGGAAAATGTCGGTTATCGAACAGGTTTCATCGCCATATGCCAGCTCCCGCTTATATTCCTCTTGGCCGGGCGTCGGAATATCATCGGCTACCTAGTAGACATGAGCTATGTCCGCTTAAACTGGTTCCATCGCTGGATTGCTCGCACACTGTGGCTGACCGCGACCATCCACATGGGCTTCTGGTTTCATGACTGGGGCCGCTATGACTACATCGCGTACCAACTAACACATGACCCATTAACAAAACGGGGATTTGCGGCCTGGTGCATCCTCACCTTCATCGTTATCTCTTCGGCTTCGCCAGTAAGGAAGTTGAGCTATGAGATCTTTGTTCTCCAGCATCTGATCAGTTTTATCGGTTTCATCGTTGCGATATGGATGCATGCACCCGAGGAGGTCAAGATATGGGTCTGGATCCCCATCGGGATCCTTGTCCTTGACCGGGTGGTACGTTATGCCTGGGGGGGCGTATGTCAATATCGGCATATTCCATTGCAGGACCTCTGGATATTCTCTCTTCGCTCATCACGCGACTGTTACCCCGTTTCCTGGCAATGTGACACGGGTCATTGTTCATAATCCCGACGTCCGCTGGAAGCCTGGTCAACATATATTTTTAACATGTCACCGCATCGCTCCGTTTCAGAGTCATCCGTTTACAATTGCGTCTTTGCCGGAGGATGGGAGGATGGAGTTCTTTATACGCGCACAAGGTGGAGGAACGAGAGGCTTTGCAGCTTTTGCTGAGGAAAAGAGGTCGATGGAAGCGGACATCCGATGTGGTCCTATGTTTATAGAAGGCCCCTACGGCACCCATAGGCCGCTAAGACAATTTGACAGCGTGGTACTCTTTGGGGGCGGCATGGGTGCGACGTTTGTGGTACCATTACTCCGAGACATTGTTTCAGCATGGAAAGGTGAGCAGAGCGACCAGTATCTCACACGAAAAAACTCCCTATCGGTTACAAGGCACATTCGATTCATTTGGGCCGTGAAGTCTCGCGCGGAGATTAGCATGTTTGAGTCTCAGATTCAAACTGTTCTTTCTGATGTCAATGAATGTCGACGTTTGAATCCTGCATTCAAAAAGGAGGTTGAGATCAGCATCTACATTACGTGCGACAAGGTTTCCCATCTTGTTCCACTACCACACAGTCGCTCCAGTCATGAGAACCTCCAATCGAACATAGAATTGTTCGACCTGATGACAAATTCCCGCAATAATTCTGTTGACAGTACATCAGCGGACGGAGAGGCTGAAAGGCACTGTCAGGAGAAATCTCGCAAGCACTCAACTCCAATTCGGGAACAAATCTGTCCAAACACCGGCAACTTGAACTGCCCTATTCCAGCACTCTCACGGGAACAGGCTTGTACGGACTCGGATCATTCCGCGGAAGAATCAGCACAACTCCTCCAATCCTATACAAACACAAGTCCCACCATTCTATCAGGTCGTCCTTCACCGCACGCAATCGTTCGGAAATCACTCGAGAGGGCCCAAGGTGAAAGCGCTGTGGTTGTCTGTGGACCTCGTGGTATGGTTGATGATGTTCGGCTGAGTGTTGTTTCTCTGAGTGATGAACGTGCGGTGCATAAGGGTACGGAGGCGCAAGGCATTTATTTGCATGTAGAGAGCTTCGGGATCTGATGGGTGTAAACAGAGTATGGAGGAATTTGCCGACACCCACTTTCCGCTATCATAATCAAATATGTTTCTATGCCGCGTCTCTATCCAAGTTAGACTCGAAATTTCCGCTAATTTTATTCCTAACCCCTTGCATAGTGCATAGCATGCTAGTACCGGTAGTATATTGCGGGATGGCACTTGACAGCTGAGCCGGACCAATATTCATCAGTATAAATGATCTGCTTGAAGTGTCCCCACAGCCGCTTGCAACCGGGCAGCACCTGAGTCCAATATTCACGTCTCCACCAGGCTCATGAAGAGTCAAATCAAATTTCAGGAGTTGAGTCCGATCTGCATGTCTATACGAGGTATTTGGAATTGTTGTATGTGTAATAATACATACACTTTCTGGTCAGTACAAGCCTCCCGGATCACTTTTAGCGTGCATTAGCCCAAGCTGGTGTAACTTTAGTATTTGTACAGTATTTAACAGCCAGGTGCTCAGGTGTTCATGCGGTCATTGGCACTTGTATTTACCACACAGGCGCTGGCAGTAGCCGAGAACTTCCAAGGTTCCGCTCTTGGTCATTTACTTGTAGTAATAATTTGCACCTGTACATAAAACTTGCCTTTGAAGTTGAAAGTTCTCAAAATGGAATATATCTCTGTATATATTATGAATAGTCCTAGATTTTTTATTTAAAGCTATACTACTAGTAGTACAAAAAAGGACACTGAGAAGCCAAGAAAGTATCACATCTTTGCTCTATCCTTCTCTAGGATAACTTCATTGATCAGTATGACTGCCGTGGCTGCACAACCATACGAGGCTTGATACCCGAAGCCCCCATGACCGTAATTATGCACCACGGAGAGACCATCCACTACCTCCTTTTCCACACGCGGTCCGTCTTCTCTAGCAGGACGTAGCCCCACCCCATGTCGAATAACATCGAGTCCTTCAATGCCTTGGCCTTTGTTCACAAGTTTGGGGCATAATTTGACGGCTCTTGTCATGATTCGAACAGCGAGATTGGGGTCCGGAAGTGGATCCCAATTGTTCTTCTGATAAGAGCCTCCAAGGACTGTGCCGCCTCCTGCGAGTATATAGTCAGTCCTGGGATTTTCTGGCAATACGAATTGGAAATTATCATGTTTTACCTGCAGCTCGAGCCATCATATATGCAACTTCATCTTCCCCATCATCGCATCCAGATACAGAGTACATAGCGTGGGGGTCGTTGCGCACAAGGACTACCTGCCCACGAATTGGAAAAAGAGTGTCATCTTGGACACCGCCAAGGGATTTGGAAGATAATCCAGTGCAGTTGACAACGACGTCGGCTTTCTTGCCTGAGTGGTGTGCATACCCTGCCTCGGCCACATGTTTGAATGTCGCCCTTTTGAATTGAACCCCATTCTTAGAACATTGACCTAGGAGCCAGGGCAGGTATATTGCGGTATTGATGCACACGGACGTAAAGCGTGAGCCATTCTCGATTCCGGAGCCCAGTTTCTCAGCTGGAATTTCCTCAAACTGTCACGTCCCATCAATTTCATGTATTGTTGTGAAAGGGACGCAAATCGGCTCTTACATTGTCCACGAGATCTTTGTACCATGGGTCCTTCTGCACAAGCTCTGCAAACCATTGCCCTGTGGCAGAGTTGACGTCTTCTGCGCGGCTAAAGACAAGTGTAGCTGGTATTTTTAGACTGCGTTAGTGACATAGTATCGCTGAAACAGGCTAGCCCCGTAATTATGTGATGAATTTTGAATTGATACTCACGTTGGAAACAAATACCTGCCTCGGGATGTTTGTCAGCCAGTTGCTTCAAAACTGGCCAACTGGCTCGTTCCCATTTACCATGGGCGGTGTTCGGCTTTCCAACCCTGTACGCAAGTCAAATCGGTTACTGTCTCGCTCTTCCACTAGGTCGCATTCAACCAAATGATTCGATAATCGAAGGGACTCACGGGAAGAAACTCGCTCCTGCCCATGGGGAGCAATATTCAATATCATAGTCCCCCGGCATATGTTTTGCCACTACCGTGATCTTCTTTGAAGGATCCCGAGACAGAAGCAATGCGGTGGTGAGCCCGGAAACCCCGGCCCTGGATATTGTCAGTCGACTCACATTTATGATAGACCAATTATAACTGAATAGGAACATACCCAAGAACGACGATATGATCAGATATCATATTGGGCAACCTTTTTTTTGGAAGACAACGATGAAGGATCTGGGTAAGTGTGGATTTTGTTCGAACTTAAACAAATCCGGAGAAGATGGGGGGTATGGAGTCTCACAGAGACTTGCTTATCTTATTCAGTGCATATGCCCCAGCCAAATCAAAACAGGAAATTGTCCCCGGCGGAGCAGCATGTATCCGTAGTTGGGTTCTCAACGGTCGATACCGACTCTATAATTGATTTTGAAAGATCATCACGGTCACAATCTCAATTAGTCCTCAGACAAGCGCGGAAAAATAAAGTTCAAAAGAGGGGAAACGGTATGCCTCTGGGTTTCGGTAGAGAGGAGAAGCGCACTCAAGTGATTGGCGACCTGCGACAGCAAATATCCTTGGCGTGCCAGATAAAGCATCAAAATGGTTGATCAGACCGGGAAGTTAGTTCAGCGCGCTCCGAAAGCGCGCTTTCAGATAACGTTATTGTGTGGATGGTGCTGATTGGTTTGAGGGCCAGAAATCGTAGGGGACGACTTCGAGACCCTGATACAAAAGTGCGGGGAAGCTCGGCATTTGGCCGCGAAATTTTGAGTCTCGAGATAAGCATTATTTCTCCGGTCCAATATCTATGGAGTATAGTAAAAAGCATAAAAAGAGACATATTGTCCTTCAACTGATTGATAGAATTTCTTACACGAACACCGTACGCTCCCAATGTTATGATTTTGGCTTTATAATCCAGACCTCTTGATTGATGTTCACAACATCAGTTCAAAAGCACATAACAGACCTAACGGGGCTCACTCCATACATTATGACTGTTTATTCAGAGAAAGAAGATATCACAAGGGATGTTGAGGCTTCATTGGGTGATGATCCCCTCAAGGGGCAAATACTCCCCATGAACGAGGGGAGCACACATCGTGGTATTAAGTCTAGACATGCACAAATGCTCGCCATCGGTTTGTTATTTCCATACACAGATCAAATGTGACCCCGTCCTCGTTTTTTTTGCTGACCTATTGAACAGGTGGCACCATTGGAACTGGTCTATTCGTTAGCTCTGGCCAAGCTCTGCAGTTAGCGGGCCCTGCGATGCTTCTTGCGGGATACACCACTATCTCGATACTCGTATATGGCATGATTACAGCGACAGCAGAAATGAGCAGTTACCTACCGGTCACCGGATGCTCAATGGCATACTATGGAAGTCGCTTTGTCTCCCAGAGTCTTGGTTTTGCAATGGGGTGGCTATACTGGTATTCTTTCGGAATTCTCATCGCCTACGAAATTACTGCAGCCTCTCTCGTCATTGATTACTGGCCAAATTCCGTTCCCATTGGTGTGTGGATCACAATCATGCTCATTGTGATTGTAGGCTTAAATTTCTGCCCGGTTCGTTACTATGCCGAGACAGAATTCTGGTTCGCGTCTCTAAAGGTCTTCATGATCATCGGATTGTTGCTACTTTCTTTCATTCTCTTCTGGGGCGGCGGACCAGATCGTCAACGCCTCGGCTTCCATTATTGGAAAGACCCAGGGGCAGCAAAAGAGTATCTTGTGGGAGGCTCTGGTGGGTATTTTTGTGCGTATTTATACGTCACTACATTCTCTGTCTTTGCTTTCAACTTTGCACCGGAACTCTTGGTCATCACAGCAGGCGAAATGCAAGATCCCCAGGCAAACCTGCCCAGGGCCGCGAAACGTTACTTCTATCGCCTGGTCATCTTCTACATCGGAGGTACATTGGCAGTTGGTGTGATCTGCAGCAGTAATGCCTCAGGTCTGACAAACGGCACTGGCTCCGCCGCCTCGCCTTGGGTAATCGCCATCAAAAACGCGGGGATACACGGTCTGGACAGTGTTGTCAATGCAGTGATCATCACATCTGCATGGTCTTCCGGAAACTCTTACCTATACATGTCTAGCCGAGTTCTTTACTCACTCGCGATCAGCAAGAATGCACCGGCAATCTTCACCCGTTGTAACCGATGGGGTGTTCCGTATGTCTCGGTGTCTGTGTGCTCAATCTTTGCTCTACTTGCCTATTTAAACCTCAGCAACAACACCAGTGAAGTGTTTAATTGGCTGATCAACCTCACCAATACTGCGGGGTTCACTTCGTGGGTATGCTGCAGCATCATCTTCCTACGCTTCCGCGCAGCTTGTAAGACCCAGGGCGTTTTCCTTTCCAGTCTACCTTATCATTCAATCACTCAGCCATGGATGGCATGGATTTGTCTGTTTACGTTCGCAATTCTCTGTTTGTGCAACGGATTTACTGTATTTTTCCCTGGTCACTGGTCTGTTTCTTCGTTCCTCACTGCTTACCTTGGGCTACCGGTGTTCTTTACGATTTATTTCGGCCATCGCCTCTATTCTTACAAACATCCATGGGCTTATAAACCCGAGGATGTAGATCTGCACTCAGGACTAGACAGTGTTCGAGAACTGTCTATGGGAAGGGACACGGTGAATGAAGAGGTGGAAACATCTAGGGCGAAGAGATGGTTCAACAAGGTCAAGATATTATGGGAGTAATATTGTCCATGGAACCATATGGCCAGGGCTGTTTTTTTCTTTATTATTGCTGTGATATGAGGCTTGTACAGATCCGGAACAAGGCCACACCGTCGGACTTAGCTTCAAGATGTCTATACAGACAGCTAAGTAGATTGGAAATGAATTTGACTCCACACTACAGATATAGCCTATTATTTCCCTCTAGATTTCCGAGGTAATAACACAATTTAGACCTCGGAACTACAACAGGTTAATAGACCTAGGAGAAAGCCCCTGGGGACAATTTTTACTTATATGACAATTACCTTGATGTGAGGAGATCAGGTACTCACAGAGATCGGGATACGGCGTAGCGTAGCAAGCAAAGGAAATAGTAGCGTTCGACGAAAGTAATAGCTTGAGGAGAATAAGAAGGAAGCTAGGATGGAAGGCTAGATACACAGGTGTATGGCGTGGATGCCTAGAGTGGTGCCGTAGGCATGAGACATCCATGAATGGTAACAACACCAGTTCGTTACACTTGATATCTTGTAAGCACATCTAACCTATGTAAGGGCTCATGGTAAATGGAATATCGTGTAATATTGAACGAAAATGATAAACCCGAGGAGAATGAAAGAGAGAGGAGCTATTGAATAAATCAATTCACTTAATAGCGCATCGGATGATTTATATGGTACTCACCGCTGTTATTCTGTAGGTTCACCAAATGGGCATCGTTTGTCTGCGAGATATTCTATATTTCAAATATCTTAGCTTTTCGCGCGATTTGATTATTTTCAAACTCAGGAGAGCAAAGCTGCCAGATCATTTTTACATATCTTTCGAATCATCTTATAGTAGTGCGGGTGTATAAATCTTATGTGCATAAACATTGACGCTGAAGTAGTATGTAAATTACCCGTGGAGGTCGAATCTGCGTCTGCGGCTCTGCGGGTTTTGGGTTTGGGTAAGTGCCCGAACCCGAACCCAAAACATCTATGTGGATTTCCTGGTTAAACAACCAATATCAATCGCACCTGGGCTATCACGCACGAGTAGACCTGTGCATCTAGGACCCATGGGAGTAATAATCGATTCCCATCCTATTTGCCAAGATCCCATGGGACTAATCATCAATCCTATCCCATCCTATGGGAGTCTTCGCAGGTCCCATGGGACCCATAGAATTTCGACATTTCTTTAAAGGTTATACCCTAGCCTTATATAGTTAGCGTACTCCCATGGGACCTATGGGATTTGGAATCTCATGCACAGTCTAACCACGAGAATTGTTGTGCCCTGAAAATTATCTGCGCGATCTCTCTCCACTCTTATACGCCGAGACCCGGAGGTAGACTATCCTATGCTGGATCTTGTGAAATACGTCAGGCTATGCCCCTCGGGCACTCCTATCCAACGGCCCGCTGCAAAGGAACTCGAATGTTACTGTCAAGAGAAGGATAGTGAATTGGAGGAGTAATCAATTGAAGGCTATATTATTTATAGGCTCCCTATCTAACTGAACCTTGGAATGAAATGGTTGTTTACATAGCAAACAGTGGGTTCATTGAGCTTCATTGAATGACGTATGGGTACTAGCAACCAATAAATGAGCAATAACGCAGTTTCCCAGAATTTTCTCCAATAGCACTAGAGTAAAAGACAGGGAATATGCCAGTGCTCGAATCGCAAATGAGCCGAGAAGCTGACCGATATTGGATGTTGCAGAGCAGCAGCTCACTGATAAATAATCTTCACATGCAGTGAAAAGTCTTACATAAGCAGAAATGCCAAGGACCTCGGCATTCTTTTGGCGATGCGAAATGACGATGACGTCTAAGCCAATCATTGAGCTGGCAAACGGCGATGACCGACCCCATCAGCGACCGAGGAAAGCAGCTGAAGATCTGAATTCACCCCGAACCAGCACGAGCATCTCGTCCGAGGCCCTGTACCCTCAAAAGACGGACATTTCCACGTTTCGGGGTTGATCCCCGGTATATAATTGTGCGCGTGCTCCATCTACCCCGGAGTTGCTTCTTTTTTTTTCCTTTTTAGCTCCCCCTTCCCCACGAATCTTCCCTCCCTCTCCAGCTTTTTTCCTCTTCCATTCATTCAAGTTTTTATACCCACTTTCGCCTTATCTTTATCTGTACCCTCTCCCTGGTCACCATGGCGAAGACCTTCAGCACGGAGGACGTTGCCTCCCACACCAAGGACAACACCCCATGGATCATCATTGATGAGGATGTCTACGATGTCTCCAAGTTCCAAGATGAGCACCCTGGTAAGTTTCACATTCCAGCGAGACTGCAGCATCTGGGCGTGCGCGCGTGCGCGACTGCAGAATCACATGGATCACATGGACCGCATCACATGCTAATAAAATGATGGCAAAATAGGTGGAAAGAAGAGTACGTCATAATCATGAGCGACTTCGAGTTGCGCGATAACGACAATCTTAATATTAATATTGACTGTTTGCAAATAGTTCTTCAGCGTGTCGCCGGAAAGGATGCTTCTAAGCAGTTCTGGAAATACCACAATGAGGGAATTCTGAAGAAGTACAAGGGCCAGCTGCTGGTTGGTTCGCTCAACACGAAGAAGGTCGCCGAGCCTGCTCCGGCTCCTCCTGCTCCTGCGCCAACCCCAGCTGCGACTCCCTCTCCGTCCGAGTCTTCTTCCGATTCTTCCTCCGTGGGTCCCGCCACCGCCGCGCCCCAGGATCCTTACGGTGACCTGATCCCGTTCGCCGATCCTTCGTGGTACCAAGGTGTAAGTATTTGGCTTTGGTGTTTTGTCATGTTGGCGGGATTGAAAAGGGACACCCCAGGCTAATATGCTTTTCGTTGATCACAGTACTCCTCCCCCCTATTTCAACGAAACCCACGCCGCTCTCCGCGACGAAGTCCGCCAATGGGTTGAGTCCGAGATCGAGCCCTACGTCCACGAGTGGGATGAGGGCAAGGAAGTCCCCGCCCACATTTACAAGCAGATGGGTGAGCGCGGTTACCTGGCTGGTCTTCTCGGAGGCGAATTCCCCGCCGAGCACACACCCCACCGCATCAAGGCGGTCTCACCGGATCGCTACGACTTGTTCCACGAGATGCTGCTGACCGATGAGCTGTCCCGCGCTGGCAGCGGTGGCCTGGTCTGGAACCTGGTCGGCGGTTACGGTATCGGATGCCCGCCTCTGGTCAAGTTCGGTAAGAAGGAGCTTGTGGACCGAATCCTGCCTGGCATTCTGGCCGGCGACAAGCGTATCTGCTTGGCTATTACCGAGCCGGATGGAGGTAGTGATGTTGCTAGCCTGGGCTGCGAGGCTAAGCTCACCGAGGACGGCAAGCACTACATTGTCAACGGTGAGAAGAAATGGATCACCAATGGTATTTGGGCCGACTACTTCACCACCGCCGTGCGTACCGGTAAGCCCGGTATGAACGGTCTGAGTGTCCTGCTCATTGAGCGCGAGGCTGGTGGTGTTAGCACCCGCCGCATGGACTGCCAGGGTGTCTTGAGCAGTGGCACCACCTACGTGACTTTCGAGGACGTCAAGGTTCCCGTCGAGAACCTGATTGGCAAGGAGAACCAAGGTTTCAAGGGTGAGTGGCTTCGCTTCTTCCCCGACTATTCTTACATACATGAAACTTTTACTAATCTCCCTTCCTACACACAGTCATCATGACAAACTTCAACCATGAGCGCATCGGAATCGTCATCCAATGCGTCCGCTTCTCCCGTGTCTGCTACGAGGAATCCGTCAAATACGCCCACAAGCGCAAAACCTTCGGCAAGCGTTTAATCGACCACCCCGTCATCCGCATGAAGCTCGCCCACATGGCCCGCCAAATCGAAGCCACCTACAACTGGCTCGAGAACATCATCTTCCAATGCCAGTGCATGGAAGAGACCGAGGCGATGCTCAAGCTCGGCGGTGCCATTGCCGGTCTAAAGGCCCAGTCTACGCAAACCTTCGAGTTCTGCGCTCGTGAGGCGAGTCAGATCTTCGGTGGTCTGAGTTATAGTCGTGGTGGACAGGGTGGTAAGATCGAGCGTCTTTACCGTGATGTTCGTGCTTATGCTATCCCCGGTGGAAGTGAGGAAATTATGCTTGATTTAAGTATGCGTCAGAGTTTGAAGGTGCATGAGATGTTTGGCATGAAGTTGTAGATGGGATATTTGGGCTTGCATTATATACCAAGAGACACTTAGTTTTGCTCTTCTGTTTCATATTCTACATTTTGTGGATTATATCGCTTTCTTGGTTTATTTATTCCTAGCTTGGAGGCTGGGATCGTCTTTTGTTGCTAGATATCCCGTCCGGTGTGACGCATTTTCTTATGATACTTTGTATGAATACATTAATTTCTGCACATGCTAGTTTCATTTCTTGTCATGATTAAGTAGATTTTCTTTCCATCTCTGGGGTAACTTCGGTTCAGTTCACAACTAAGTCTAATTCAAGTAGGTTCAAATTCGCATATTGATTGTCCCCCCCTTCCTACCAATGCTCCCGCATCTCTGGTGTAATTAAGTTTTTGGTATGAGCAAACTCCCTCTCCAGCCACGAGTCCCAGTCCCAATCAATCCATCTTTCAAATCCCATTCGCGGCCCTCCCTTCCAGCGCAGCAGTGGAGAAATGTACTGGTTGCTGAGTTTCCTAGGTACATCGCCGTCCCAATAGTCTCTGTCACAACGAAACTGTGCGTCAGCAAAATCGATGAACACGACCTCTGGTTTGTCCCCACCTGGCCGAATCAGCTTTGTATTGCGCGAGGCCAGATCTATTATGTCCACATTATTTTCATAGATTGAACTTTCAAGCTCAACTATAGAACGGAAGATATGCTGTCGGGCTGCTTGAGGCATCTGTTCAGGTTTCGAACCTCCAAAAGCAATACAGGGGATCGAACGCTTTCGCCACCAGAAGAGTCTGGGGCTGCCGCTCCAACTCAGTATATTTCTTTTCCCCGGACGATCCACATAAAACAACCGTGAAAACCTGCGCTCGTGTTGAATCGCCAATCTCGAGAGGTACTGCGACCTCTAGCTCCAAGTACTCTCTGTCCATTGCGCCTAAATGGGGAAAACGTCTTCGGCACTGCTCAACTGGGGATGGTTCAATTTCGTCGGGAGTTTCATCAAGAACGATATTTCGTCTGCGGCTGTTAGTGTACCTAGTTTGTGGGCAGCAGCCCCTCGCTGGGTCTGGCTCCGGTGGGATACCATCGGCATATGCCCTTAGTCGAGATCCCGCATGATATGGAAGCATTGGCTTTGCAGAGGCCTCCATTTTTTGGGGTTGAGCTCTGTGCACTTGTGGATGTATACATCACGAGACAAATAAAGATGATATGACACTGGGAGGATCTCGAGAGTAAAAGGGTGGGTAATGTCAAGGACGCGTCCCTGCCTAGTTTGAACCCATGGGGATGTTCTTTGCACCTGCCATTTCCAGGACTTAGATAGCTACTAGTACTACTACTAGTAACTCCGTGGATCTTTGAGCTATATCTTCAAGTTGAATTTCGCAAACAGGTGCCAGTGGCTTTGGGGGTGGTTCAAAAGGCTTCCAAATTTCTCAAGGTTCACATGGGGAACTTCAAATTCAAGTTGAAGGTCATTTACTCCCGAGCTCATGATTCGATAGTATATACTGTCTCTGCTTCGCCGGTACTGGCGCTGTTTCAAGTTGATAAGTGCCTGTACTTGCGTCCGCGATGGGTCGCCAACCCGGAGTGGCACCGCGACCTCCATCTCCAGCGCATCTCGACCCATTGGACACGCAAAGGGGGAGTGTCGTAGACACTCTTCAACTGCCGAGACTTGGACTTTCTCACAGATATATCAGCCTCAGCTACAGGGCTCACTGTGGCGGCATCGGCGACTCCCACTGACTGGTTCAAGTTGATAGACCAATTTGGGACTCGGAGGATGCACCAAAAGACATCTAGCAAGAATCAAGATCTAGGAGTATATTACACAGCAGGAATACCAAATTCATTGATCTTGACTCCAATTCATCATGGATCCCATCCATGCCACCATTCGTAGACTGGGTAGACTGGGTAGTTGTGGCAGCCGCCAAAGTAAACAGGCAGTCGGGCCAAGCAGAAAGACCAAATGTGCAATTCCCGCCAAGCCTTTCAAGCCTGAGGTTGACACTCAACCTTGGGAACTTCGCCGCGAATTGCATCTCCGACTCCTCGACTTCCTCCAATCCTCCATTTGCTGACACTGCGTTCTTGGGTCCCCAGGTATAAAAACCGCGTATTCCCCCGGTGTCCTGTGTCCTCAAATCTCCTCTTCACCACTTTCACCCCTTCTTTCTCGCCAGCCGGATTGCGACCACTCTCACCGTAGGCGGTCGCTCGGTGACAGCCCGCAAAGGCCCGCAGCTTTCCTACTGCGAACACCCTGCCATTGGCATCTTTCTCTCGTATCGACGGTCGCATTCAAAGTGTTGAGGAAACCGCACTCCATCTTGGCTGCTTGGAGTCAAACCAGTCAATCATCCCGTGGACAGTCGTGTCTTTGTCTTTGAACGCGCCGCGGCAAGATCTCAGGTTTGTCGTTTTCCAGATTACCTCTTCTCCCTTACGAATCATCCTCGAGGAGACTAACTCATTCATTTCGTGACAGAGGTGCTATAGCGACCGAACTTCAAGCTTTAATTAGTCTCTTTACCGGCTCGACGTTTCCCAGCGATACCCTCCAACCAACTCCTACAAGATGTCCAACTTTTTGAACCACGATTTTGGCTCTGAAGATGAGGACGATGACTTCAACCCCCCCTCATGTCGATGATTCTGATGCCGAGGACGCCAAGGTGAGTGATGATCAAACAGAACGGCTGCCAGGACGGAGCTGATACAATCTTCGATAGCCCGCAAAGGTCGACGACGACAGTCGCACCGCCTCCTACGGGAATGATGACGCGAAGCACAATGTGGAAGAGGAAGACGAAAAAGATGTTGCCGACGATGACGACAATGATGACGAAGATGAGGAGGACGAGGAGGACGAGGAGGAGGAAGAACAAGAAGTGGTTTGTACTCTCATTGCTGCGATACTCATGGGATCCATGCTGATCTGTGTTTATGATGTTAGAACAATCGTCCGCGTAAGCGCAGAAGAGGTGGTGTTATGAACTTCATCGAAGAGGAGGCTGGTGTCGACGAAGAAGAGGACGAAGCCGAAGATGAGGAGGACGAACTGGCCGAGTTTGGCACCGAAATGCACCCCGATGACCTCGATGCGCTACCAGCGGGCGCTGAGACCGATGACCGACGCCATCGTCAACTTGACCGACAACGCGAACTCGACGCAACCATGGATGCCGAAAAGCAAGCGCAGATGCTGAAGGAGCGATACGGACGAAACCGCGCTGCGGCTTCAGACGCTCTCGTTGTCCCGAAACGTCTGTTGCTTCCTAGTGTCGAAGATCCCAGCATCTGGGGTGGCCGCTGCAAGCCCGGCAAGGAGCGAGAAGTTGTTTTCTCTATCCAGAAACGAATTGAAGAGCGCCCGGCGAACTCCCGCAACCCCATTCGCATTATCTCGGCCTTTGAACGTGGAAATATCATGCAGGGTTGGTTCTACTGTGAGGCTCGCCGGCAACCCGATGTCATCGAAGGATTGGAGGGTATCAACTTCTACTACCCCTCCCAGAAGTTGACTCTAGTCCCGGTCAAGGAGATGCCGGATCTTCTTCGCGTGCAGAAGTCGGAGGAGCTGCTACCCGGTGGCTGGGTTCGCATCAAGCGTGGAAAATACCAGGGCGACTTGGCTCAAATTGAGGAAGTCGAGACAAACGGTCTTAATGTGACTGTTCGACTAGTCCCGCGACTGGATTATGGTATGAACGAAGATGCCAATGCGCTTGTCGGCCCTGATGCCAAGCGCAAGCGTGGTGCCGCAAGCGCCGTTCGCGCCCCCCAACGACTGTTCAGCGAAGCCGAGGCAAAAAAGAAGCACGGCAAGTTCCTTTCATCTACATCTGGTCTCCGAGGCAAGTCATGGAACTACCTCAACGAAAACTACGAGGATGGCTTCCTCATCAAGGATATGCGGGTAAACCTCTTATTGACTAAGAACGTGAATCCGCGTTTGGAGGAAGTCACAATGTTTGCCCGTGGTGCAGACGATGGAACCGCTAACCTGGATCTGGCCTCGCTGGCCGAGACATTGAAAAACTCGACAGCTGAAGACGCATACCAACCTGGTGACCCGGTTGAGGTGTACCGGGGTGAACAACAGGGCTTGGTTGGCCGAACGGTAACCACTCGTGGCGACATTGTCTCATTGGAAGTCACCGAAGGAGATCTGGCTGGCCAGACCATCGATGCTCCTGTTCGGACCCTCCGCAAGCGCTTCCGTGAGGGTGACCACGTTAAGGTCATTGGAGGAAGTCGTTACCAGAACGAGTTGGGTATGGTGGTTCAAGTCAAGGAGGACACTGTCACCTTGCTCAGCGATATGAGTATGCAGGAGATTACCGTCTTCAGCAAAGACCTTCGTCTCTCTGCTGAGATGGCTGCCGATGGCCAGCTCGGTATTTACGATGTCCACGACCTTATTCAGCTTGAGTGAGTATTGGAATCAATGTGCAGAAATCGATCAAAACGCTAATCTGATAACAGTGCTGCTACCGTCGCCTGTGTCATCAAAGTCGACCGTGAATCTCTCCGTGTCATGGATCAGAACGGTTCTACTCGCAATGTGCTTCCCACGCAGGTTGCCAACAAGATTACCCCTCGCCGGGATGCTGTCGCAACTGATCGCAATGGTGCCGAGATCCGACTGGGCGACACTGTTAAAGAGCTCTATGGTGAACAGCGAAGTGGAGTGATTCGTCATATCCATCGTTCATTCCTCTTCCTCCACAACAAAGCACAGGCTGAGAATGCAGGCATGTCTGTGATGCGAACAACCAACGTCGTCACCGTATCAGCGAGGGGTGGTCGTCCCGCAGGACCTGACCTCACCAAGCTGAACCCTGCTCTTGCGATGCAAGCCCCGGGTGGTGGACGTGGTGCTAACATGCCGCCTCCCCAACGTGGCCGTGATCGCTTACTGGGCAAGACCGTGACTGTTCGCAAGGGCCGTTATAAGGGCTTGGTCGGTATTGTCCGTGACGCAGATGACAACACTGCTCAAGTCGAACTCTACACATCCAACAAGCCCGTCCATATAGAACGAGATATCCTTGTCCCCAAAGAGTGAGTCCATCCCCCTCCTATCAATGTCTCACTACTAATTAATCTTAGTCCCATCACAAAACAATCACTCGATGTTGGCCGCGGCAGAGGCGGAGGAGGAGGATCTCGCGTTCCATACGGTGCGTCTGCTGCACCTCCTGGTAGGGACGGTGGCTGGTCCGGCGGGCGTACTCCAATGGCCTCGGGAGATTCATCAAGAACCCCAGCATGGGGCGGCGCTGCCTCCTCACGAAGTAAGTTACAAAGCAATTCTCCTTCTAATGCAAATACTAACAATAATCTAGCACCTGCTTGGGGTGGCAACAGTGGTTCCCGCACTCCCTCATGGAAGAACGACGGATCACGAACCTCCAACCCCTGGGAAGCCGGAAACCGCACTGCGTACGGTGGTATTGGCAACCGAACTCCAGCCTGGAACTCTGGCTCTCGCACCCCATACGACTCCGGCTCCAGCTATGACGCCTTCGCATCTGGATCTCGCACCCCTGCCTGGGGCAACGCCGGCGCTGGCAACCGCACTCCCGCTTGGGGTGGTCTTCCCAACAGCCGAGACCAGCGTGATTTCGACGATGCCCCTACCCCTGGCGGCTACTCTGCTCCCACCCCTGGAGCTTACGGCAGTGCCCCTACACCCGGTGCTTCTGCGCCAACTCCTGGCGCCTGGGCAGACAATGCCCCGACTCCGGGTGCTTATAACGCGCCAACCCCCGGTGGTATGCCGAAGCGCAGTGGTGGAGGTGGCTATGATGCGCCGACACCTGCGGCCTATGACGCTCCCACGCCAGCCATGGGCGGTGCGGCTGCTACGCCTGGTGCGGGTTACGGCGATGATGACGGTGGCCCGCGTTATGACGACGCAACACCAAGCCCGTGATCTGATTTCTCTCTCTTTTCTCTTCGCATTTTAACCTGCTCTTTCATTTTCATACCGCCCCTTCCCCCCCGACTCACTGAAAAGCTAGTCGATTTTGCCCTGGTTTAGATAGGATGGCGATGGATCGGCTTCATACCTGTACTCTACTACTTTGATCATTGAATGTAATTTCTTCAGAAGCAGCAAATGCTATATCATCCTTGTTCTTGTCACTGAGTCTGAGTCGAACAAGGAAATCCCCTATTTGTCGTAAGAAACTGCATGCTGTGTTTGCTCAGATGCTTGTCCGTAGATAATGGTTCTTTGTTGCTCTCAGTGATGCCCACTTCTTGGAGCCTTACAAATTATTTCTCCCGTCAATCTTCTCTCTCCAGCCGATCAACCTCCACTCTTTCAATCCACAGCCTGCGACGGCACATATCCACCATGGAAAAAGAACGTAGCTTCAAGTTATTACAGAAAATCTCCGAATTGTTTTCGACCGTGATGACCAAGTTGTGGGATAGGGTCCCCGCGGCAGACTCGCAACTAAAAACAATGCAAGTCAAGAATCCAACGGGATCGGGACTTTCAAGTTCTGCATGGGCCCCTCTTTCATATTTGGGCGCTTTTACGGAATCAATTCCCTACGTCGCCGAAGTTGTTTTAGTATCATCCTTGCTAAGTAGTGCAGAAGAGGCTGCGATGCAGCAAGTTCGATATCTGACGGGGGGGCTCTGAATTTGGACCGTTAGCCCGTACGTTGGTCTCGGAGCTCATTGGGCTAAATACTAGATGCTAGTAGTAGTGGTAGGTGTATGCCTTTACTGACATAAATTCTAGACGGCGTTGCAACACGTTTACAGAAGATGATCATCGGTCCCGCGAGCGTTTTTGAACGTACTGAATCTTATGACGACCGTCACACTTCTATTCCTTTGGAGTTTATCACACTCGTACCTATCCTGGCATTGTACGCCGCTTCTCGCATTTGGGGTTGAGGTTGAGTTGTGCTGAATTTCGTCATTCTTTCGAAATCCAGCACTATGCGTTATTGGCGCAGGAAAAGCTGCCGCTTGCTGAACTGTCGTGAATAGCTTTTCCTGAGGCGTATACGCCAAGTCCGCACTAGATTTAGGTGCATTATTAGCAGTCGCTCCGTAAAATGTGTCGAATACGGAGTGCAAAAATGGAAAACTCACCAGAGTCATAGAAATACAGATAATACCAAAGTTTATTCCAGTTAGAGCCATCTGGCGAGGTGATGATAGCCAGGATCCGCTGTTCATATGTAGCCAAAGAATAGCTGGGACTCCGAAACTGAACCAGCTCGCAAATAAGGCACTCTAAAGCATAGTAGTCAGCATGAAACTATCAAAAGTAAGGGGGCGGGGGTGCAGAGCATACCATCAGGCCAAGCAGATTATTGAAGACTGGAATCGCAGACGCGATGATCCACGCAATAACCCAAACAGCAAGGCCCATCCCAACCCAAACACCGACTGCGATCAAGTCTCTCTTATGCATGCGCTCTGTTCCGGCAAAAATCCGGATATAAATGGTTTTAACTGCGACATGGCCATAGATGACGCCAGCGATCACAATCTGCCGGGAAGAATTAGTACACATGAGATACATAAGAGAGATGACATCGAGATCACCACGTACCGTCGGTAAGGCTATTCCATAGGCGATCTTTGAAATAAGGGGACCAGTTGACCCCAATGCCGGTGATGCAACACTATCTCCAGCATACCGATAAACTACCAGCGCGATTATCGTATAGAGCGAGATGTTGACGGCCTGTAGTAATGCTAGTGCTTTTGGAAACTCTCTCGGATCCTCTAACTCGGCCATCATGTTGAAAAAGGTATTGTGGCTCGCTGTGATGTGGGTTTAGTGAAAGTTTCAGTCTTAGTCTGGCATTGAATCGACATACCGTATGCAAAAACAATGTTGCAAACTGATATGACTGCATTGGCCAAGGAGGCAGTTCTCGTCACGGTGAAGGTGGCTGACGTATTCTGAATACCAAGCACAATCATGGTCAATATAACTGCAGTCAATATGCTGACAAAAGCTAAAGAAGAAAAAACCAGTCAACTCCGTACCAAATAATCAGCAACAATCACGATAATGTAACTCACATGCGAGAGAGAGCCATGTCATATTCTTCATGGTTCTTGGAAGTGCGAAGAAGAAAGAAATTACTGTTCCAACAATCCCAAAGATCAACGAACAAGTGCCATGCTCAGTAATGGTGTTCATAGCCACGGTAAATGTCAAAATGTGACTGGACATGATGAAGATGAGGTAGAGCATATGCCCAGTAAAGAACAGTTCTCTCCCCAAATGGACCCAGGACAACTTCACCGGCATCTGCAATGCTTGAGACGTGAGGATGCCTCAATTTGAACTGTCCTAAAATATACCCAGTGTAGGAAGCCACGATTCCCAGGCCAATTAAAATGATTATACCCGGAGCAACACCCAGGCCAGCAATCGCTGCTGGAAGCGATAATATGCCCAGTGAGATTGTCTCGGCTACCATGAGTAGACCGCATTGCCTGGAATTGTAACTAATCAGTCGGGGCAAAAGGCAGCGAAGCGTTAGATCAATGCATCGTGTATACATACCACCACTTCAATACTTTGTACTTGACTTCCGCGAATTCCTCATCGCCAAACGCATCCTGCCGCTCAGGCTCTCCCTTCTTCTCATCCTCAATTCCAGCCAATGAATATGGAGGTTGTTCTCCATGCTCTTGTTCCGAAATGCCGTGCTGTGATTCCATTGAAGAAGGCAGATCAATGGTTTGCGACTTCATCGTGAGTCATGGAATTCCATGTGTTGGGGTTCACGTTGAGAATTGCGAGGGGCAATTGGCTCCATTTTTTTTGTTGATCTGAGACTGGACTATCGGGAGCGCATGCCGGCATCGGACTTGTTCATTCCAAGGTGGAGGCCGAATTCCTGCCGATCATGTTTAGCTTGGGGCTCCACCGTCTCGTTGACGCGGGATGTTACCGCGCCGATCTGCGCTTACTGACGGTGCGCACGAACTCATTTTGAGCCCTTTGGACTCCCGTGAAATTCGCTATTAGGGATTTATTTTTGCCTTTGTGTCTGTGTTTTGAATCGGGTAGTTTTGTATCATTTCTCAAGTACTGTTCTTGGTACCCCTATGAGATTGTTCACCGGTTCGCGGTGGAGAGCGTCCCGTCCACCCAGCGTGGAGAGCGTGCGGAGACGACTTTCGCGGGGTACTGTCGACCAGAAAATTCCCCAGTGGCAAGAGTTTTGAATCAGTTGAGAAAGAGGTATGATGTGCATAATGAATGCAAGAAAAAATTAGGTATTCATTCCTAAAAAGATTGACAGTGGAGAGCGCAATTCGGCACCGAAGGTGCTGCGCATCGGGCCGGGTTCTGCTATACTTGGTAAAGTTGGACCAGGATCATTAGAGTAGCCAATTGAAGTCAATTTTAAAAGTGGTGATAGCTAACTACTATGCATGGTTTATTGCCAAGGACATATTCGTTTAATGATTACCTACTGGATATCTTCAACACGAGATAGGCTGGAATAAAGGGGATGGAAATAGATTTCCAAGGTTAAAGATACACCAACAAGAACTTCAATTTCATATTTTCGTACCACTGGACATCGGATTTTAGTTACACTAGTACCTACAAGTACCAATATCCCTGAAACATAATAAGGACGGGCAGTGCCACCGATGGATGTATCTGAAAATCGCGAAATCCAAGGTTCAACCTTTGCACCCGAGGCGCCAGATGTTGGGCTTTTCTCATAAATCTACACTGTGGGTACCTATATGAAAAGCATGAGATCACACAGACGTTGTGTGAATATTGAAAGGAATGGAAGCAGTATTCGCTAACAAAACTGCAGGTTGTAGAAGATTCACGTGATTCAAGACAACTATTGCTCATCCTCATCCTTCCACCCCGCGATTTTACTGCCGTCTCGATGTCGCCTGCATGCAAACAAGTGAAGAACAGCCGGCGTCTCAGCCTCTCAGGACACGAACTTTGCATTATTTTCGGTCTCCGTGAAATAGAAGAGCGGAACATCAACAGTTGATTCAGGCGAGACAGCCCATTCAGAACTGTCCTCACCTGGCAGTCGTTATACACAATGAAGACGCGACTTCAAGTTCAATTTCAATGCTCGGGTTTTTGCAAATATTTAATTCAGTTTCATATCCGGGAACGAATGTGTTATGTCCTACGGATAAACCTGGTTGCGTGAGGGGTTCTCTCGGGTATATAATTCCGTGTGGAGCTGGATTGAGGTTATCCGAGCAGGCAATTTCGCGTGGGAAGGAATGACGCGCAACAAAAGGTTCCAGCCACGGTGAAACCCGTCAGGTTCTACTTTCCATAACCTTGGATTCAATACAGCGAGCATCAGATGCTCTGAATGTGTATCCTGCACTTGGACAACACGCTTTCACCAGCGAGGAGTGGATATTTCTCCGATGATTGTCAGGTGGCGGGAAATCCGCCACGGAAACCCGGAAAAGCATCGCTTCGGATTGGCGCCGAAGAACGTGGGGTAGTCGCCGCGACGCGGGGTGGAATATAAAGACAAAATGGACGCCATTCCTGATTCATACTGATTTACACGCGGCACAATGGCGACCATGACAGAGACAGAGACCGTCACCAGGGTGGCGGTGCAAGCATCGCTGAGCAAAGAGGAGATCGCGGACCGTTTGTTCAACGGAACCCTTCACGCCGACTATGCTCCGGTTGAACAATTCACGACCATCGATGGCTTACTGAAATCGCATGCGGCTCAACCGGATCAAGCACACAAGCCGCTGGTATGCTATCCCGCTCGAAAGGCCGACGATTTCGAGGAACACACGGCCCGGGATCTCGACCAATACACAGATCTTGCTGTAAAATATTATATGCAGCAGGGGATAAAGCCAGCGGTATGATTGAAAAGTGCCTTTTGACTAAATTGGAATTTAACTAATAGCCATCCAGGATCCAAGTCTGGATGAAGCGCCAGTCATTGCAATGCTCGCCGGATCGAGCTTTGAAGTTATCCTCACCTTTTTCGCGCTCAATCGCCTTGGATATGCAGTTTTGTTCCTCTCCACACGTCTCACAGCTCCGGCATATATAAGGTTATTGAACATGGTGAACTGCAACGAAATGATCAGTTTGGAACAGTACGGGCCAATCGTGAAAGACATCGGCGCCGAGAAGTCTGGGTTTACCCGCCGTCGTATGCTGGCGAGGGAGAATTGGTTCAACAAGCCCGCTGCCACAGCTCGATTTGAGCGATCAGGGGTAGACTTGAACAAAGAGAGCAAAAAGATAACTTGGATTTTGCATTCATCTGGTAGCACAGGATTTCCGAAGCCTATTTTCCTGACCAACTATCAGACTCTTGCAAATTGGCGCAAGAGCTTCGGCCTCCGGGTATTCAACATCAGTCCATTATTCCACTCTCACGCCTTAATGGAACTCGGGCGAGCTCTTTACACCAGAGCCCCGGCCTATCTTGGGAATCATTCCCTCCCAGTCACATATCAGAACCTTTATGACGCATTGCAAGTCGCGCAACCTCACCAGATCAGTGCCGTTCCATATGTGATCAAGTTATTGTCAGAAAGACCGGAGGGAATCCAAGAACTAGTCAAGCCAAAGCTCGTGATTTATGGTGGGTCTAGCTGCCCTAGCGACCTAGGAGACAGACTTGTTGCACAAGGTGTTAATCTGAGCGGCAACTATGGTGCGACTGAAACCGGCCAGATCATGACTTCGTTTCGCTATCCTTCTGATATTGAGTGGGAGTATATGAGGCTTCATCGTCCCGTAGCCGACCATACTCTGATGGATGAAATATCGCCTGGGGTCTTTGAATGTGTTGCTTTGGATGGCCTTCCAAGCAAAGGCCCTTCCAACTCTAAACCGCCATTTTCGCCGCAAAATCCAGAAAATAGCTTTCGCACGTCTGATCTATTCACTCGCCACCCCGACCCCAAGAAGAGCAATTATTACAAGTATCTGAGCCGACTCGATGACAGACTTACCCTTGTTAATGGGGAGAAGGTTCTTCCAATACCTATCGAGGGCCGTATTCGTCAGGAAGAATTGGTTGGAGAGTGTGTTGTTTTTGGAATTCAGCGAACGGTTCCTGGAGCTCTCATCTTCCGAGCCCCAGGGAAGGCTACTCACCTAAACAATGAGCAATTCTTGGAACACATCTGGCCGGCGGTTGAAGCAGCGAATGCTCAAGCCGAAACATTTTCACGCCTTCCAAAGGAGCTGGTTGTGGTCAAGGATGCAGATGTTGTGTATCCTAAAACCGATAAGGGAACCTGCATACGTGCTCAAGTCTACCAGGTGTTCGAAGATGATATCAAAAATGCGTATGCTGGTTTTGAAGGCACTGATCAAAAAAAGGGCGACCTTGCCCTCAGCGTACCTGAACTAGAGGAGTGGCTGCTTACAAGATTTCGAAAGGACTTGGGTGTGCCCCTTGCAAGCCCCGAAACCGACATATTTGGAGCTGGCGTGGACAGCTTGCAGACAACCCAAATTTGGAGAAGCATCGTGCGTGACCTCGATCTTGGAGAGAACACGGAAAGTGTCAGTCAAAATATTGTATTCGAAAAAGGAACTGTCAGCGATCTTGCGAAACATCTCTACCACTTGCGGACCGGCGAGACCTTTGAACAGGAAAATGAATTGAAGGTCATGGAGGAGCTCATTGAAAAGTATTCCCACTTCACCCAACACCACCCCACCATTCAACAACAGCCTGAACCAGAAGTGGTGATTGTTACTGGAGCCACTGGTAACTTAGGCGCATTTGTTGTTGCCGAAATTGCCAAACGATCAACTGTTTCTGAGGTCTGGGCTGTCGTCCGAGCATCAGGACAAGCTTCCGCAGGAGCTCGACTTTGGAAGGCTATGGCGGACCGCAACATCTTCCTCACGAACGAAGAGGCAGCTAAAGTGCATGCCGTTCCTAGCGATCTCTCGAAGTCCAACCTTGGCTTGGAAGGATACGTTCTGGATCACCTCCTGTCTACCACGACCTCTGTCATCCACAGTGCTTGGGCTGTCAACTTCAACCTGGGAGTTCGATCGTTCGAGGAACAACACATCCGGGGAACATATAACCTCATCAATTTCTGCTTGAGATCTAAGCTTCCTTCCCCAGCCCGGTTTTTCTTCTGCTCCAGTGTCAGCGCCGCTAGCGCCACCCCCAAGCCAGCCTCCATTTCGGAATCTGCCATTGAAAAGATCGAGCATGCCCAGAAAATCGGCTACGGACGATCGAAGCTCGTTACGGAGCACATCACTCGCAATGCGATGCGGAAGACTGGCATGCACGCGCGAGTCTTCCGGGTTGGACAGCTGGGTGGTGACACCGTGACCGCACAATGGAATGAGACTGAAGCGATTGCCCTCATGTTCCGCAGCACTCTCACAACAGGCGCTTTACCGGAGCTCAATGAGCGACCGAGTTGGTTGCCTGTGGATCAATGTGCTACAGCTATCTCGGATCTGGCACTGAACCCCGACAATGCCAATTTTTCGGACGCCGACTTGGTGTATCACTTGGTTAACCCAAATTCATTTAGCTGGAAAAATGATCTGCTCCCCGCTTTAAAGAAGGGATGCGCATTGCCGGATTTCCAGGTTGTCTCGCCACAGGAGTGGCTCAGGAGACTCGCAAATAGCGATCCCAACCCCGAGACGAATCCCAGTATCAAGCTTCTAGATTTCTGGAAGGGGAAGTATGAGAATGCTCCGACGCCGAAGTCAGATGACGAGGAGCCAGCCGGTCTGTTCTTCGAAACTGATAGTACAATTCGTGACTGTCCTTCACTCGGTGATGTCAAAGACCCTGTTGCTGCAGGGCTGATACAGAGATACATCGAAGTATGGATGAAGAGTTGGACCCGTGCATGAACTAGATACCTCAATGCCGATTCTTTTAGGGTTACAATTTGTTTTGAAATGCAATGAAGATAAATATTTAAGTTATCTTGAACGTAACTCTGGCCCCGAATTATCGATCTTCTTCCTAGTAGACTAGTTACGGATCGCTCGATCAATTATATCTGCAACCTGAAGGCACGCTTCGTCCTGGAAGCGTGCCGTAACAACCTGGATAGCACACGGTGCACCATCAACCTCAATGGGAACATCTGGAAATAGTCAGAAGATGGTAGACGAAGTTTGCCGGAAGAGTACTCACAGTCAGGCTGCACACTGTCTCCTGTCCTCATTTCTGTTGGATCCAGCTCCTTAGAAGCCTTTCCAAACGGAATAATACAAGCAGGGTACTAGAACCAAAATCAGCCATTTTCACAAATATGATTAAAATGAAGAGGGAAAGTACTTACGTCAAGCACGTTCCATATCAAAGTATAGGGTGGCCATCCGAACGTATCATAGGCGACCGCCGTATTTTGAGCTCCAGGGGCAAGAATCACATCTAGTTTCTGCTCCACCCATGTTTGTCGCCAAGCGTCAGAAATGCGGCTTCTAGCTTCATGGAGCTTCGCGATCTTTTCGAACGTGTCTAGCTCCATGTCCACCGGCCATGGTCCCGTGAACATAGGAGACGCGTGCCTTGCGACTGACTCGACAGGTGGCTCGCCACTCGGCGCAATATTATCGATATGCGGGCCGTAGACAAAGTACTGAAACCCGACACGATTGGCAAATGCCACAGAAAGATTGTCGTCAGTATCATTTTTAATTGAGACGATTTTATGGCCGGCACGCGCAAGCTTTTCAACTGCATTCTGCAAAGCTCGTTTGACGGGCGGGTGAAGAGGGAAATGCTTGTCTTCGGACAGCACGCCGATGGTCAAACTCTTGTTGTTCTTGAGATTGGCAGGTTGAGATGTATTCCACGGCACGGCCGCTGCTGTTTGATCGTAACGCCATGCGTGACCATCACCTATAACAGCATTCATGAACAGCTGTAGGTCTGAGATGCTGTGTCCCAATGGACCGGCTGATGGAGCAACGATGGGAGCCCCCTCCAGAGCGCCAGAAACCTGGCCACCAAATGGAACTCGGGATGTGGTTGGCTTGAATCCATAGACTCCGCAGCATAGTGCAGGGATGCGAATTGAGCCTGCGATATCGGTTCCCACGCCCAAAATAGACCCGCGGAATGCGACCAGCGCTCCCTCGCCACCGCTTGATCCACCCGCAGTCAGAGAAGTGTTGTGCGGGTTTAGGGTTCGACCGAAGATGTTATTGTCCGAGTCCCCAGTCTGATCTTTTTTAGCAAGATAAGTATCAAGAGAGGTTATGAGAACTCACCATCATGGTTTGAGGGATGTTTGTCTTCACATATAGGACTGCTCCTAGTGCGAGAAGCAATTCAACCAGAGCAGAATTCGTCTTTGCCGGCTCATGCTTGAGGAATTCCACATAGCCTATAGTGGACTGGATACCCTTGACATTAAAGCTATCCTTGATACTGATAGGTAGCCCATGAAGCGGGCCAATGGGTTTGCCTTCGCGCTGTAGATAGTCATCGAGACTTTTGGCTCTCTCAAGAGCTTCTGGAAAGAATGTTTCTGTGAGGCAGGATGTCTAGAGATGGCCAAAAGGCGTTAGGATCCGAGACAACTTCTTTGTTACTTTTTCATAAAACATACCACTTGTTGCGCAATGGCTGCTCGTTTGCAAAATGCTGTGGTGACCGCTAATGAGCTAGCTTCGCCTGATGCTAGCTTTGCTAAAAGCTGAGCTGCGGTATAGTTCTCTGTGAGATCTAACTCAAGCGCAGATAGCAACCCACTCCGACGCGGCAGATCGTGTTCGAGTAACCGCGGTGGTACGGCCAGCAGATCCGTGCTGAGGGTCCATTCGGAGGGGATCTTCTCTTTGCATTCGCTTTCTTTGCGAGCAACGAGCTCTTGCCAGTTTTGGCTCGGTGCAGCGACTTCGGTTGCCATGAGGAATGAAATGAAATGAATAATCTTGATGTTTTCACCTGTTGGCTACTTCAATCTTTATATAAAAATATCTTGTGTAGTATCGTGTGATGATAAGGATAACGATGAGGGGCATTCCATCGGTAGTTTCCCCACCGATTCACGTTGATTCACCGCGTCTCCACAGTATGAATCCATTGCGCTGTTTCGGTGCGTCCACCTACTCGATTCGGCTAAGTACAGATTTCGTCTAATTTCAATGTGACACAGATTGCTTTTGCTGCCTCGGTACACGCAAGCTCCTCAACTACCGCGAATCTATGCCTTCGCAACCACATCCTCCGGCTTGACGCCAGGGAAATTGGTGAGATGATAGGCGTCAATCCAGATCTTTCCATCCTGGCAACTCATAACTCCCAAACACACAAGCCCATTCAACCAATTGTATGGCCCTGGCCCTGCCTCAATCCGCAGATGCGAGAAGAATTCCACATCGTCTTGCGATATTGTCGACGGGGGTATCATAGTCGGATCGGTTTCGACTTGCTTCGCATAGTTTGTCTCTGGGCCAGGACGGTAAAGTCCATGCGCACGAATGTAGAGATAGTAGTTATCATTAGTTCGCACCGTGTAGCGAGCATCAAGTTTCATGGACTGGTTAATGGTCATTATAAAGACTCCCAATGCGATTTTTAGTTCTCATACATGCGTCCCCTTGATAACGGTAGCCCAGTCCGCACCTCCGAGAGGCAAAATATTGCCTTCAATCCCAGGGCCCTTTAAGCTACCGCGTGTGATATTGACGATGCTTCGAATCACTCCAGAATCATGTGGGGCTCCGAGATCAAAGTCCTCGGTCGTTTCGCACTCTAGACGGTAGAGAAAGACGATGGAAGGGAGGCGCATTTGCGGGCCATCCGGGAAAAAAGCATTGCCGGGCGATGGAGAAGTAGACATGGTCAGCTGAGTGAAATTAGATCAAATAATGTTATTGTTTTCTTTGCGAATTCACATTTGCCGAGTATCGAACAGCTTTTAACTCATCGTATTCTGCTTCATGATAGTGCGGAGTCCGCGGGTTCCAAAGGTGGAGTGATTACCCCCGCGCACATCAAAACCAGAAGGTGGACCCTACCCCAAACGTTTATCAGTTATCAGGGAAAATTTAAGGCCGTTGCATAGATTGGAACAGACGTCAAGGTGGTATGACGGTCACTAGTGAGGAACAGGGAAGTCCAAGAGGCTGCAGCTGATTAGCCAGGAACGACCACCCTTGACTGCTGGTTACAACACGCCGTCGCGCCCTATTTGAGCTTTCTTTTTTTCCTCTTATTGAATCAGCTCTACTTGCTTCTCTTCACAAAAGTGAAAGTTCCTTTTCATACTATCGCCTGATCCTTTCGTCCACGTCTTTATTACGACACCATGCCTTTTGCCAACATGCTCCTGGAAGATCCTGCGATCCCAGCTATAGAGCGACAACAAGCTTTGAATCGCATCTTCGCAGATCCAGGCATTCCTCAAAATACAACCACGTCATCCTTCTGGCTCAAAGAACCTCATGGAAGTTTCGCGACCCGGTCCTCAAAACCCCTCCCCGCCGAGGTTGATGTTGTTATCATCGGGTCAGGCATCACTGGTGCATCCATTGCACGCACCTTGCTTGAAAATGGCATCAAGTCCAACTCCTCCAGTCAGGAAGTCCCGTCTGTTATCATGGTTGAAGCTCGTGATATTTGCAGTGGAGCTACCGGTCGGAACGGTGGGCATATCCTGGAGACTGCAGACGACTATTCCGAGCTGGCGGACGAGTACGGGGAAGAAGTTGCGAAGAAGACCCTTCGCTTCCGTCTTGCGCACCTGAAGGAGATGCTCAAGGTGTGCGAAGATCTCGGCTTGACCGAACATGTTCAGGCACGCAAAGTACAGTTTTTGAGCGCCTTCTTTGGAGAGGAGCCCTGGAAAGATGCGTTGGAGCGATTGAGTCGATTCAAGGCCGGCATGCCAGAGGAAGCTGCCGAATGGATTGCCTATGATAGAAAGTCAATGCCGGAAGATTTCAAGCTCTCCCGAGCTCATGGCGTTATTGCTGGGCCAGCAGGCGCACTGTGGCCGTACAAGTTCGTGACTAGTCTTCTGGCCCATCTACTTTCTAAACACCCTGGTCAATTCCGCGTTGAAGATCACACCGCCGTCACATCGATTAGTGAGACGTCATCTTCAACCTATAAGTATCGGGTCGAGACAAATCGAGGAGTGACCTCAGCTCGGCATGTAATTCATTGCACAAATGCACACGTCACCCATTTAGTGCCCGGCCTCCGTGGTCGTATCTTCCCGTTACGCGGGCAGATGTCCGCTCAGACGCCCGGAAGCAATTTCCCCTGCCAGGCTGCCAAGCATTCATGGATGTTCAGTTATGACCGTGGCTTCGATTATCTTACACAGCTACCCAGTGGACAAATGATGTTCGGAGGTGGTTTTGCCCGAAGTGAAGGTGGTGGCCTTGCTGATCTGGGAGTTGCGACGGACAATGAAATGAGTTTGTATTGTGATATCCATCTCTCGGGTGCCCTCCCGGTCGTCTTTGGGCGCCAAAACTGGGGCAAAATTGAGGGTGATCCAGTGCAAGCGATGTGGACTGGTAATATGGCTTTCAGTGCAGATGGTTTCCCCTGGGTCGGACAATTGCCTAGTTCTGTGACAAAACGGCCTGGATCTACGAGCGCTGAGTCCGGCTCTGAGTGGGTGTCTGCAGCATTTGGTGGCGAGGGAATGGTCCAAGCATGGCTGTGCGGAAAGGCTTTGGCGACTATGTTGCTAAAGCGGGATAATAGACTTTCTCCAGCTGTCGATGGGGACATTTCATGGTTACCAGATCAAATGCTCGTAACCGAAGATCGGATATCCAAGTCCGTTCTTTCGCCAACAGTTCCATCTTCGCATAGAGCTTCGCTGTGAGGAAACATTAACATACGAGCTAGCCTAGCCTCTTATTGTATAATCATTTGCTCGGTCCTTTGTTTTGGGTATTATTCTTGTCGTCTTTGGTGCTCTCATGCAACCTAAGTATTGGTATATACCATATTGATAATCCCAAGAAAGAACCCGTTTTTTGAAGGTATCTGTTGATTCACCTATCGCACGTCATGAATCACAAGATAGCAATACTGCAAAACTAAAAAGAGGTTGATCTTGATTAAAAATGAGCTAACTCATTCACTTCATAAGATAACATAATAACATGCGTACCAAGTCCAAACTTTGGAAGGTCATTTGTACATGAATCCCAATTCAAGTTCACATATACATAATGTCACAAAGATCCCACAAAGAAATTCTCAGTGCGCACCCAGGCTACCCTGTTGCTCAACTAGTCGATAATATCTCACCGCTAACGCCCGTCGAGCTGTCTTTCCCCAGAAGATCATTGGTACTGCAAGAAGCGTAACTCCGAAACTAATAAACCCACAAGCAATGAACATGTTTTGCAGCCCATTTCGTGCGATCCAGGGAGTGATAGCGAATGGAATACCAATACTGCAGGCATTGCGAAGGAACGAAATTGCTGTAAAGGCATCTCCGGTAATCTAAAATGATTGTGAGTCGTCGATCTCTTGAAACCTGAGCGAATGGGGTGGTATTTACATCACGGTAACTATCGATCACCAGAGTCAAGGAAGCATCACCAATACTGCCGAGTCCAAACCCAAAAAGGGCGCCACCAACACTAGGATAGATCCAGTGCATTCCCTGGTAAATAGCTTTGTCAGCACGAGACACCATAACTGGGAACTAAGGAAGACGGAAGAAATATCCATCCTGCAGAAGGTTGTATCACCGACAGAACTTACCCGTTCAATTGTAGCACCAAACATGATTAACCCTCCAGCCATAGTTAGGGCCGGAAGGTGAAGAATATAAAGACGCATCTCCGGCTCGTAAAATCCATTATTTCTGCGAGAAAAATAGAGGATCGACCAATCACCCAAAACGCCACCGTAGACTGCTCCGAGTAGGTTTCCGATAAACGGTCCCAAGCTCATGAATCCAATTTGTTCGGGAGTGAAAAGATATGGTGGGAGTGGAAAGACCAAGGATACTACGCTTGACAAAATTGTCAGCCAGATCACGCCAGCGGCATATTGAAGGCCCGCAAACATCACTGCGGGGGAAGGTAAAGAGGGTTTTGAAAGGACGATAATAATAGGGCCAGATCGACTCTGGAGTCGCGGTAACAAGGGCCAGTCGTTTCCGCCAAGAATTGAAGGGAATGGTTGTGTCTAACTGGTGACTCTGGGTGCTTGGCTCGTCGGACACCGAAGCTTTGGTCACCGATGGTGCCTTTTTTGTGTCCGGGTCACCAGTGTTCTCAGTATTATCATCCTCGGCAGTTCCGGGTCTGGGACTTCCTGAAATAACAGGCGTATATTTTGTCTCCTCGTAGAGAAAGATGAAAAGTATCACAAACAGGGCGTTGAAGATTCCCAGCGTTGTGTATGACCAGCGCCATCCCTGTCTAGTTGCTTGAGTACCCGCTGCCATCGGTGTAAGAAAGCTCTGAAACCATATTAAAAATGCATTCGGTCTGAGTCTGACAATTTGGGAGGATTCATCACATACACCAATCATCACCATAGTCATGTAGAGACCGTTCATACTGCCACGATGGTGCACGAAGAACAAATCTGCAATCTGAGGAATGTCAGCGAAGACTTAAATTTCAAGGTTAGAGTACTTTGTACCGTAATCATTGCAATTGTTTCGTTGACTGCCCCTCCTAGCCCTTGTAATAGGTTGCAGATGTAGAGCTCTGTTATAGTCTTCAATTTAGACATCCAAAATGAAGTCGCAAGCAGGACCAACGCGGAGATGATGTATACGGGACGTCGGCCATATTTCTTCGCCATGGGAATGAATATCACGCATCCCATGGCCAGACCGACGTAGTTGACCGACATTGACTGATTCAGCTGCTCATAATCGACCTGAAGATCAACTATCATTTGCTGCCAAAAGATTGATTGGATCGAAAGACTATCCAAAATATACAATGAGTACGGCTCGGGATAAATCGAGTACCTGAGTTTTCACTTACAGGGTGAATGTAACAATCGTCATTCCCAGGACTATGGTCCAGTTGACGGCCTTGCGGAGGGTGCTCCAATTCTTTCTCGTTAGATCGAGAGCATATGGTTGCATAAAAGACTAAATACTCACTAAAGGCTCATTAGGATCGCTTGTCGGGACGGGATCGAGCATGATAGTCCGTTGACCACGGGAATCGGACAAGTCCTCTGGTTATGAGATTAGTTGTGCTTTCTTTTCTGAGATCTGTGCAATGTGCCTTACCCCGAATGAGTAGGAAAGTCCCAGGGGGCGCAAGGGTGTCACCCCCATAAACTGAAGTATCAAAATGGGATTCCATTGTGCAGATAGAATGATATTGAGCCTTGATCCACAGTAAACTGAGGGAAGAAGTGGTGAAATGAGGCGATATTTAATCGTTCCTCTCGAGTTTGTAGATGTGATTAGCACCGAGTCCACATGATAGGGGCTTGGTATAGTTTCAAGCCACTACAGCGAACATAGCGACTATTCACTCCAATGTCGGTGAGATAAGCCCTGGAATCCGGGGGTGGCAATGAATCATCGGGAAGGGAGTGCGGAGAGAACGACATCTAGTCCGTTTGTGGCGGCGACGCTATCCATATTTTGGGTGCAAGGGGTCGGCCTTCTTAAAAGAGTAAGGAGCGACGCGATAAGCGGAGCGAGGTACGCGAGATCGCCACCAAACTCTGGCTAGCTCGTTTCGCGTTGATACTTGATGATACGTCGGAATTTCGTGACTAAAGCATTCTGATGGAAATCCTTTGTTTGGTAGGCGGACGCACCTTTTTTGGGATGCCTAGCAATCGCGCCTGTAGACTTCCTGATAAACAGATTGACGTGGTCTCTTATTCGTTAAATTCGAAGATTCCGCTATTCCTAACATATTTCTAGTACTAATTGTGCCCGATCAACGATCATCATCCATCGCAATGTCTACAAGGAAGAATAAGATCAAGTTATTTCAAGCTCATAATGGTTCGCCCACTCACGCTACGAACAATTTTTTTTCGATAGACTAACGTGAACAACAAACACCAGAGGCTTCTATCGCAGCGATCGCTCGAACTGTCAATGCAGCCTTTTCTTCTGACCCGCTGATCCAATGGCTCCGCCCGAATGCACAACCCTGGGCCCGACAAGACCTCAATATTCAGAAATGGCAACATCGTCGTGTACAGTCAATCATGACCAATGGGGTGGTTTTTCAATCATCTAATGTTAGCCAAATGGCCCGCGAAAATCCACAAAAGGCAGAAGCAATACATTCGTCTCAAAGCTCAGGCAGCACGTTCGGGAAGTGGGCTGAAGTGTCTCTGTATGAGGAACAAGCTAGATCTGCAGGGGTAGAAGATGCAGGTGCTGTCGTCTTTCTTTTTCCACCTCCAGGAAAGATTGGGTGGTCCTTCTCTCGTGTATTGTTGAAATGCAAGATTTGGCTGCTGAGCATTTTCAACCCTCTCGAGGACAAAGATTGCAAAGTGGAGGTAATGTTTTCACCATTCTGATTTCTTCGTAGGTCAAACCTGACGTTTTTTTACACAATTTAGAGAGTCGATCAAATGATGTCATCTCACACAAAATCCCTGAAATCCCTACAAGCGGAGTACAGACAAGGATTATGGTATCTAGAAGTCGTCGCCGTTCATCCCTGTTTGCAGTCAAGAGGGATCGGCAGGAGTGTTATGAAGTGGATCTTGGGCTACACTCGGAATCAGCCTATTTATCTCGAATGCACTCGAGAGGGGAACATTAGATTCTACGAAAGTTTTGGCTTCCGTGTTGTGGAGGAAGTGGTATTGACGGATGAAACTTCCCATGACGAAAGCGCGACAGTGAAGTATTGGGGCATGGTACGGACGGGGGAAGACAGTGCACAATAGAGGCGAATCATTCCATACTCTGTCCGCTTTGAAAATTAGTTATTAAGTGGATAGACAGAAACCCTCCGCAAGCTCATAGCAATCCCATCTCAAGGCCTCTTTCCCGGGCCAAGTCATCCACATTCAAATCCGGATCATTCCTTCGCCACATTTCTTCCAGTAGACCCAAGAGGATCTCATCCTGCCGTGATCCGAATGTACAAGTTCTAATAGCCTTTTTACATTGGGGGTTCTTTGCCAAAACGGTAATTTCCAACCCCGCCGCAAATATTGGGAAGAGAACGGCATTCTGGATAAAAGCATCTTCCGTGGGTCGCTCGGTGCATGCCAGCCTCAAGGCATCCATATTAGCCATTATGCGTGTTACCAAAACCGTTTCATCTGCGATGCACGCATTTGGCTCTTGGCGCGTCGACAAGTCGCGGATCTCATCATGGTCATCTTTATTCCGCACGGACCGTAGATGTCGGCGAAGCGATAAGATTCCAGCTAGCCGATGGGCCTCCCACAAATAGCATTGCAAGAAACTGCCCGGCTCGCCTGGCCAGTCCCAGAAATTCTGTTCAGTAGTATCTATCCCGATACCTGCGAAGATATCTAGTAGCGTTCGCGGCAGTCCACTTACCGGTTCGACGCCTCGCCTCGGTGTGGCTGACTGACAGTACCGACGCCAGATGCCGATGCAGGAAATCTGACGGCCTATGGAGGAAGGATGGGTCTGTCGACCAATCGAGAAACAAGGCAGATCCATCACTCCCATGACCTCGAGTAAATGACTGCGGAATGGGGAAGTCCCGCTATCGGATGGCCCATCGGAAAGGCCATGGCTTTGCAAGATATTGTGCATGCCTTCTAGATGCATTGTCCACGGCAATCCATGCATCAACTAAATATTTTTTCATTAGCATTATCCAGGTCGCCACTTTCGCAAGCCAATGAAAGGGTGGCAACATCTCATATCAGGGTAACGCACACCAATGCTACAAAGCAGCAGCCCAGCTGTCAACGTTCCGTCCGAGAGGCTCGTGCTACGGGCTAGTTCAGATCTGAACTTCCGTAGAGATGTATCAAAGTATTCTAGAAACTGCGGGCTATGGTGGTTGCTGAGGGATAGCTGGAACGTGAGGCAAATGGTGTACAGAGCATCAGATTCCTCGCGAAGCTGGGGAAGTCGGGGCTGCAGCATAGATTCTCGCGCAGTAGTCGAGTGGAGAACATTGATACCATTTTTTAAAACTATTTTTGTTTAGCATCAAATCTTATGAAAATTCACCATTAGACAGAAAAGAACAACGGAAATACCACTCACATTCATTAAAGATGACCTCTTCCTCTTCCTCTCTCGCCGTCTTCAAGCAGACTGGTTCGCCAAATTCAGGGCTCATCACGTCGAGCTTCACTATCCAATGCGTCAAATACGGCCAGATTACCCATCTTCGAAGGGAGACCCACCATGTATCTGGCCTTGAGGCTCCGACCTCATCTTCTCCCGAATCAAATCCCGCTGTCTCCCCTTTGGCCTCGGCGGCACACTCTCCTCAAGCGGCTTGTCTGCTCCGGTATATCTGCCGCGCGATGCAATACCACTCCCCCATCGCAATCGCACTTCATATCCCTCGCAATCAACCCCCCGGCGCGCACAGCCCTGGCAAATTGGTCGAGTGTTGTCGCAACGCCGACGGCGGCGCTTGCAGGTCCAACAACCCTGATATGAGCGGGTCGACATTCCAGATCGAGGAAGGGATATGTTAGTTTGATCCTGGTCAGATTTCCGGTTTGCGATGTATCTTCCGTAACCGAGGTGTCTGGGGAGCAGTTAAGACTTCATTTAATGCACGGACAGGAGAATGCGGGGGAAGTGGAGCTTGTGGATTGACTTCTGATAGCGCGTCTGGCTTCCTTTTTGGGGTGATAAGGACCAAAGCAGAATTGAGACGCTCTAGTACTATGTATGGTACCTTTTTTGGCATTTACTAGTAGACTAGAAAGCTCGAGTAGATTATATAAATCAGTGATAACAAGATGTTCTAGCACGTGAATCTACTTCTGCCAACTACTTCCAATCCCATGTCATTCCGAACCCCAATCTCCAAGTGCACGACTACGATCCCTGGCCTGGGCAGGCTGGATGGTCTACAATTCGCCAACGGCGTGCAGCAATTCAGCGGTATTCCTTACGCTGATCTCGCCAAAAGATGGACACGATCTATTCTCAAAACTTCCTGGGAGGGCCAATTCCATGATGGGACCAAACAAGGGTAGGTATAGAGTTACCTGTGATTCCTTAATCCCGAGCATCAAAAAGAAAACAGAATCTCATAACTCAATCTCAATAGGAGTAATTGCCCAAATCCCATCACTCCAGGTGACGATTCCGACGAACTTGTGCCCGTGCCTCCAGCACCACACTTCACCGAATGGAATGTAGACGAACTTTCCGCCCTGGTGCTAAACATCGTCATTCCACAAGCGTTTCAACCCACCACCACCGACAAAATAAAACCCCTGCCAGTCTTCGTCTATGTCCACGGAGGCTCTCTCCTCTACGGCGGCGCCAACCACCCCATCTTCGACGCAGTAAACCTAGTCTCCCACAGCATCACAATCGGTCAACCAATAATCTGCATAAACTTCAACTACCGAGTCGGACTAGGTGGATTTCTCGCTGGCTCCGCAATAGCTTCCTCCCTCGCTCAAGAAGGACACGCAGGAAGCGGTAATTTCGGTCTAACTGACCAACAAACCGCCTTCTCATGGGTGCAAAAGTACATCGGGCATTTCGGCGGCGATGCATCGAACGTCACCGCAGTGGGCGAATCAGCCGGTGGAATATCAATCAGCAACCAACTTCTTGCGGCGAGGCCACCCATCTTCCATCGCGCGGTTTGTATGTCGGGCTTGGCGGTTTCTATTCCTCCGTGGACGATTGCTCAGCATGATCGGTTGTTCGAGGCTGTTTGTGCGCATTTCTTGATCGATTCGGGTAGTGATGGTGTGATGGATAAACTCCGCGCTATTCCACAGCAAGATCTTGCGAATGCAACACCGCTTGTTCAGGGTGTGCCATCCGGCACGGGTAATCCTTGTATAGATGGGTGGTTCTATCCCGAGGATCTTGATCATAGCGACGTTCATGCGCCGCCGGTGTGGTTGGATAGCTTGATGGTTGGGGATACGTACCACGAGGGAATTATCTTCCATCTCAATCTACTTGAAGGAGAAGAAGATTTTGCCTCTGTTCGCAGGATTCTTCTGTCTCATATTCAGGATGAGGGTGTGACGGATCTTTTTCTCCGAGAATATGAAATCACCGATGATCTTTCGCCGGCTGAATTTTTGGTCAGGGTCGAACATATGTGTGGTGATGCTATTTTTAAGATTCCGAATTACATTCTCACGGAGATTTGTGTGGAGGGAAAGTCTGAAGTTCAAGAGAGCTTTTACTCGTATCACTTCGATCAGAGGTCTCGCATTAAGAACTCGTTTGAGGATACAGCGTATCATGCTCACGAACTGTTGTACCTTTTTGGAAATTTGGAGAACGAAATGAATGATTCTGAGTGCGGGATGGCGAAGGAGTTCATGTCGGCTTGGATACGGTTTGCAAATGGGCTTGCACCGTGGCATTCGAAGGGGGAGAGAAATTGGATGGTTTGGGGGCCAGAGAGTAAATTCGAGTTGAAGAATGAGGCCGAGGACGAAGATGTACGCGGGTATGAGAGAATCAAGATGATTTTGGGGCTTGGGAATGGGACGGTGTGGAAGAAGTGGCTCGCTGGAGTCGACTCGTTAGTAGTAAGGCGCTGGAAAATAGAAATGTAGATCGACTGGGGATAGCTACTGAATTATTGCATAGAGTACCACCATGGAATATTTGTCTACTACTTCAGTTTATAAGCAGCTCAAAACTCGACTCCAAGATGGTAGGTTGCCATGGCGTGGTTAGTCTATCCCCTCGTTCTTCAACAATGGTTCTCCCCGTCCAACGCTATCATAGAAATACGCATCATCTAGAAGAGAGAGAATTCGAAAGGTCCTATGATGATAAAATCAAGTTCTTGCCAATCCTGTCTATTGCTGCCGTCTCTTTTTAACCCACGAAGAACTAATACCAGTGAGAACCATATCTGCAGAACAAGAAAGAAAAAAGAGAATCGGAAGAGCTGGAAGAGCTGGAAGTAGAGGGTGCAAGGGAAGCGTGAGTCCCGAATAGAGTGTTAGAATACATGGTACAGAAATGGAACAGAAAAGGAAAAGAAAGAAAAGATTCGTATCAAGACTTCACCCGTGCCAGCACGCGAACATTATCCACGAAACCCTTTACCAGCTCTTCGTATTGGTTCTTCGGGTCACCAGCCGCAGCAAGTTGGCCCTGTCGCTTAAGTTCAGCGCCCGATATTTCGACTTCGAGCTCGTGGTCGAATTCATTTTTCATTGCGGACTATGAGGAGGTCAGAAGGTCACACAACGTCGAAGGGTAGTAGGAAAGGGAATGGGAAGGCGGGGAGGGGGGGATGCGGGTATAAGTGGGAGAACATACTTCGGCCCTGGCCACCTGGGTCAAGTCGACTTGGTAGGCTTGATGTCGATAGCTCATACGATCTTTGTTGCGCTCACCACGACCACTGCTTGCGTCCACGACGGGCAAATTCCGAATATCACCTTCGTATTCCATTTCCAGATTCACGCTCACCCGCCAGTCAAAGGCCGTGCGGGGGCTATAAATGTCCATATCTGCGACTCGGCACTTGATGATTTTCGCGAGGACTTCGCCGGTTCGTTGGTCTGTCGTCACACGAACTTTGGGTTTGTGACGAGGGTTCAGATTCGACCGAATGACTGGAGGGAGCTCTTCAGGCGAAACTTCATAGAATGTATCGCGCTCTTTCTTGTGGGCGTATGAGAGTTGGATACGAGGTGGGGTCATGGAATCCTTGACGGTCTGGTTGAGGAAATTGTTATAAGCACGGTGTTGCTCCTAGTAAACAACCGTTAGTTCCAGATTCCACATTTCAGACTACTCGAACCACTTGTACTTACAACTGTCATGTTGCTCTCGAATGATGTCCTGAATCCTGCAGTTTCCTTGCTGATGATCGCCTCGGTTTTTATTGGCAAAACCAGCCTCTCTCTGCGGTCTTGGTCGATGATATGACCCAACTTCGCTTCAACCTCAATGATCGCACCCGCTCCGGTGGCTGCTGCGCCCGCTGGTCCCGTGCTAACATCATTTCTGGCGACCACATGTCGGAATAGGAAATCGCAGAGCTCATGTGTAATCTCTTCGTGTGGAATGAAACCTGTTATTGAGGGCTCCCAGATGCCAAGAGCTCCTTCTTGAGCGGGACTTCTTGATGCTGGCTGGACCGGGGTAGGAGGAAGGGGAGGGCCGTCCGGGACTGGTGCAGCTGCTGCTCCCGGTGCCCGAGTAATACGTGATGGCGTGGCGGACGGCGGTGGCGGACCGGTTGTGGAGGATCTTCTGCCAGCTGCCCACGATTCCTGGAGCGATTGCCTCGCGTGTTTTGGAACTGGGGGCCGCGGACTGGGGATCACAGGACATTTGCCCTTGGTACGAGCTGATCGTTGTGCATAAATGGGAGGCTCGTTGTACCGCCGCCTCTTTGCTTTGGGGGGTTGACTGCTGACCCGGAAGGTAGGTTCATGGTCGACCTCCATCTTCAAAGGATGTGATCCACTCCTTTGTCCTGAGGGCGAAGAGTTCATTTGTGAATGAACAGTCGCGATCGGTGAGACGCGTGCATCTGATCCCGGCCCTGATCCAAATGGAGTTGAAGGGCTTTCGTTCCACTTCCTTTCTTCCGAGGATCGTGTTGGAACCGCGCCTGTCGCGTCAGACGGGGCAGCTGTGCTATTTCGCCTCGAGACAGCTCGGGGAGTGGTATGCTCGACGGATTCTTGCTTGACGCCGGGATGAGGTTGAGGTGCGGACTCGGAAGCTCGACTTCCTGGTGAGAAGTGACGCTGGGCTGATGGTGAGTGAGTCCGGGACAAATCTCGGATCTGCGGGTCTTGTATCTGCCGTGGGCTGGAGAGAGGGTTGTGAGAGTCTTGACCAGAGGATTGTGGACGCGCCGAAGATGGCGATTGTCGAGAGGCTAAATTTGGGGGAGGGCCCAAAGGTGTGCCTGGTACGGATCGATGGGCGGAAGGAGAAAATTGATGTTGATGCGGTGGAGGTGGTTGGGGAGCGGCAGAGGGGAAGTTTTCTTGGTTAGGAAAGGTCTCGGCCGGGGCACGCGGGTTCGTCATCACAGAATGGAGGGAATGAGACCGTTGTTGAGCGAAATAGGACTGCTGCTCAGGAGGAATATGGGGCCCAGCACTCATCGGCTGTGGAGTGTATGGTGAGGCCAGGGGACCCGCGGGGTGTTGGGGGTGCGAATTGTACACCGACGCGCCGTACTGATCACGCGCGCCAAGTCCATATGGAGTCGAAACACTCGAGGGACTCTGAGTTTGCTGAGGCGGTATCGCCGTATTCAACGGCGGAGGACCGGCATTAAACTGTTGGTAAGGAGACGAATGGACAGGGCCACTGTAGGATGCGGCTCGTTCTGGGGAGGCGTGCGAGGGGTGGTGTTGGGCAGGCGGAGGGCGATTGGGATAGTCGGTCACAGGAATCTGCGCGCGCTGCTGATGAGAAGGATCGACCTCGATCGGAGAACTCGACGATTGAATGGCCGCTTGACGGTTGGAGGCACCGCCATCGGTGTTCATGATCGTGCGCAAATCCATCGCGCCAGCTTTCACTCGCGGGAGACCACGACGGCCACCAGCGCGAGGCAAAGGTTATCGTTGAGAACAGGCGACCGGGGATTGCGACATGCAGAGCGAAGGGCGAGGGCGGGCGGCGGTGATGGTGAGGGTGCCCAGGTGGGATATTTCGATACGTGGACAAAGGAGAAGTTCTCGGACCGCAAGGAGCTCGGGAGGATCCTCCCGCATTGGGATGAGAGCTTGGGATTTACCAGTTGCCTCACATGGCCAGTTGGTAGATGTTGTATATTCCAGTTGAACAAATTGAGATGTACTAAATGATAACCTCATTCCAATGAATAACTCCTATTTTCTCTTCCATGATCATATTTTGGGATCAAGGGTAGCTATCGTGAATCTACTTCGATGCCACTTTGTAGCTATGGGTCACGTGGTTAACATGACTAATCATATAGTAAGTCAACTCTATGACAGTTACAGCGACAGTGACAGATATCAGGACCAAAAATGAGGGCTTGGAAAATAAATTCACAAGACTATCAGGCCGTAACTGAAGGACTAGAGGCATCTTCAAGCTGTTACTCTAACTCTGCGAGCCTGAGGTGCCAGGTACTAGTACGTTTGGTCGGAGACATGACGGCCGGAATATATACTTCAGTACTGTTAGGTAGAAGTACCCTTGACTCGGATCTGCTAAGGTGGTCTCAAGGCTAGAAGGCCAGAATCGATTCTACTACCAAGGCAGTAGAGAATAATACTACTGATACAGGACTGAGAGTGAGAGAATCGAACAGCGACTTTCCACTGGCAACTTAAAGACAAGAAGCTACATGCACAAAGTGACCACTTCATGCGCAGCTATGGCATCTACTACCATTACTAGTCCAGTAACTACTTGTGCATGCCTGAGCAAGATAGCTCCTATAAGCCCAAGAAGTGAGTGCCGCGTAAGATTAACGTAGCAAGGCTCTTCAGAATATATCAAAATTCACATCTTCGAACACTTGAAGCCCGTGCTTGGGCTCCGGGCGGGGCGGGGCGGGGCGGGGCGGGGCGGAATCCGCTCGGGGAGCGGAATCCACCGCTGGCAGCTCGTGCCAAGATCGTGGCATAATCATCATCAGGAAGCCACTGGCATCCATCAACGTCACTACATCTTATGAGAGGATCTTAGGCCCAGAGCATCCTGAATCCAGTCTCTGATGTTGAATCTGATGTGTGAGATATCCCAGCTATCAAATATGATGATTGATGATTACCTTATTAAATAGTAGTTAATGAATAGCAATCACTGTATATGCTTATCTCCTCCTGTCTGTGCGTGATTGAGGCCTAACTGAGAACAAGCACTCTTGTTTGGTGTGGAGCCACCTGCAATGAGATGTTACCCTTTACCCGGCCAAGATTCCGTGCCTCCCATACATCACGGACAGCATAGTGATGGGTTGAAGAAAGCCCTGGGACATCTCCCAGCGAGAGGTTGACAGTGTGTACATTCTTCAGCTCACTGAGGACCAACACGACAACCTTCCCGCCGGTCAACGGACCAACCCAAACCTGGGTACTCTTCTCGGTGCTCAAATCTGGAAGATATCCCACTGCTTTACCGAGAGAATCCTGTGAGATAGCGATAATCTCTTTATTTCTCAACACATTAAGGCTCTCAACTGCTAGTGTTTGCAGGTCTGCACCAATAATCAGGGGTGATTTTAAAGCAGCCCAAAATGCCATGTGTGTTTGTTGTTCATGTAACGTCATGTTCCCGTTGCCGATCTCAAGCATGTCCATATCAGCCCATGCTCCGGGTTTTTGGAATGGGCTAAGCTCTCTCATTTTTCGAATTATCGTCAACACGCTGCAGCCGGCATAGCCGACATTCATGCAATAAGCTGTTTTGCACTGCTCATTCAATTAGCGTCTGCATTCTCCCATTCGAAAGATTACACATACGGCACAGTCTTTTCCAGTGTCACTGAAAGTATAAGTGATATCTCCTGACATTCGGTATGATTGGCTTATCTCTAATATGTGCTAGAAATTAGTGAAGGCGTATAAGAACAGGGGAACTCCAAGTATTACTGACCGTCCGCCCAGTACCACGGAAATTGATGACCCCACTGGCAGATTGAATAGAAGATACTCCGACCAGTACCTCGAAGTGCATCTCTCATCACTGCAAAGCGAACCTGTGGGCTTTCGGTGTTGGCCTCAAATCCTCCACAGTTATCGTATTTGAGGTAGTCCACGCCCCATTCGGCATATGTTGCCGCATCGAGCTCCTCATAACCCCAGGAGCCTGGATAAAATCCACAGTCATATATTCTGGGGGCTTGGATTAGCCTTATTTCAGCGAAACAGAAGTCTATATGTAAAATACCCGGCGTCACTGTAAACCCCTAACTTTAGCCCTTTCTTATGCACGAATTCCGCAATCCCGCTGACTCCGCCGGGGAGCTTGGTTGTATTTGGCTGCTGCCGCCCATTTTTATCCCTTTCCAATGCCTGCCAGCCCTCATCCATTACAAGATAATCGTACCCAGCATCAAGTAGGCCTGTACTGACAAGTAGGCTGGCAGTGTTCTCAATGACTGATTGGTTGAAGTTGCTTTTGAAAGTGTTCCAGCTGGGGAGTGATCAATTAGGCTTTACCGAAAGACTGTAATCATATGAATATCAATTGAAAACACACCTATTCCAGCCCATTTGGGGAGTAGTAGCTGAGCTTGCCAATACACCGGACAATGTACATAGGCCAAAGAAAGTCTTCGACGCGATCCCGCCCCTCATTATAACTGCACACGTTGTGCGTGGAAATAGTCGTTCTCGTAAATCTCTGGTAAATTATGAACGATATTCACGAGTATCTCTAATTTTTCAACTATTTATGTCGACAAATCGTCGATGGACTATTTGTGAAATTTGGTATTAACGGGTTAATTGCCGGAGTGAGCTCCGGTACTGCATTGCCTACCAACATTGAAATGGAGCAGGGCGGCTACTTGCTAAACTTTTAGACTTGGTTAATTCAACAAAAATAATGTTGAAGTACATTCTGATTCTTTCAATTTTCAGTGCCGTTCAATTGGTGGTCGCAAGCGAAAAGCTGAGCTATGTCGCAGAACCATCGCAAGTCTACGTCGTACCAAAACCTGCGAACGTCACGACCTTGCTAGACTTCATTGATTCTCGAGACGACCTTTCGAATTTATCACAAATTTTGCGAGAGCCAGCAGGGTTTGCCAGAGCATTTGACACAGCCCCGACTTGGTCTTTTACCTTCTTTGCCCCAAGCAACGACGCCTTCGAACATACCGGCGCTTACTATAGCTCGTTTGCCACAACGCCGTAAGACAGTTTCCTGCTATATTTCAAGTCACCTCTTATATGAAACTTGTTCATTGATTTCTCTTCCCTCGCTAGAAAGGGGAAATGGTGGATCGGTAACTTGATCAACCACCATTATGTGCCCAATTCGAAGTTGACAACCAGCAACTTCAACACATCTCTATCTCGTTTGCAGGTAAGTTCATTCTAGTTTTTACACCAGTGCAATATAACTAGGAAACTATATTTGACAACCTCACATAGACCGCAAGTTATCTTTACATCAATACTTTTGTGCATGGGAGCGGAGAAATAAAGATCAATAATGTCGCAACTGTCACTGGGCCGGATAATCCAGTAACAAGCGTGAGTCCTCTCTTTACTTCAAAGACTGTTAATAGACGCCCTCTAAAATATATCTCTGTCACCGAAGGGAGTTATTCATATCATCGACCGTATCCTCGATCCCTCGGCTCAGATTTTCGAGTCAGATTTACCCAAAGTTTCGCAGACATTCATTGCAGGGAGCTGCTCCAACCCAAATATTGCATACTGTTAAGTAAATCAATCTTCTTCGGAAGGCTTTGACTGAAATAATACGCTGTTGGGGCTTCAGCATTGGAAATATGAACAAGAAATGACCCCATAGGTCCATCTTGTAGATAGGATAAATAACATACATTTCCAATTATCACTTGTACGGGCGCAACTCAGAAACTTACATAATTTAAAACCTTCCCTCTTAAATCTACCGTTTCCCAACGATTATTGCTGATCCGCTAAGGGACCTCCCATACTATGGTCAACCACAATATGGGGTAATCTTTCTAAAAATTCCAAGTAAGTCCATTTTTTCATCATGTATAGTAGTCTTCTTCAATTTTCATCTGCCCCGTAGCTACCTTACTCTCTTCTCCATTTTCCTTACTCGCCATCTGTCTTGCTTCCCAGCCACCCTTGTACGTGAAGGATAGCTCTGGGATTAGACATTCCCCTCGTGTAATCCTCATCGCGTTTCTCTAGGTGGCGGGTGAATTACCGGGGAAAATATGGAGACTGGGATAAGCTCAATGCAAAGCTTCCCCCGCATTTATTGTGCATAATTTACTCGAAAACGTCAGCTACCCCGGCAGCACCGCTCTCGGGGTAATCTCCGGGGATGACTCCGGCCCGATGGTGACTTGGGTTCGGAGATGTACACCCAGGATTGCGCGTTGGGGTTAGTTATAATTCGGCAGAAAATATTCAGGCGACCGGAACTTGGGATAATTCACGCCTTTGAAAGTTTACTTTGGTTGTGGCAACTCGTGGCACCATGAGGGTCAGTACATTCATTGATATAGTACTGATTCTTGCTATCTTTTAAATCCATTGAACTATTCAGTCTGACTAACTGCTATTAGATGATATTTTTCTTTGTTTCCTTTGTTTCCTTCGTTGTCCAGATTTGCAATGCAAGCGTCAATGATGTCCCAGGCATCTACGGGCCACTTCCTATGGTGGCAGTCTCCAATATCAATAATATCAACCCATATTTGAAGAGATCACCAGGAGACTTCACCCATCCTGGTCTCTGGCACTCTCATGATGATCTGGAGCGTATTCGTACCAATGTGCTGTCCAACAAAGATCCCTGGGCCTCCACCTTCGCCAATTTTAGTACTGACACCTTCTCCCTGTCAAAATACACTATGCAAGGGCCACAAGCTATCATTTCACGAGGAAAAGTCAGCAACTACACAGCATTTGCCCATGATGCCCGTGCTGCGTGGCAGAATGCATTGATGTGGTACATTACCAAAGATCAAGCCCATTGGGACCGCAGTACCACGATTCTAGATGCTTGGGGGTCGAACTTGACAGATATTATTGGAATTGATCGTTCGTTACTAATAGGTCTTGATGGTGACCTTTTCGTCAACGCCGCCGAAATCATGCGATGGGAGGGGAATTGGACTGAAGCGGGTGCGTCTTGGCGAGGAGGCTCCGGGTTTAGCAATCAGCTATATTGGCTGTTCTCTCGACAGGCAGCAGTCATTGGACAAGCAAACTACGGCATGGTAAGTATCAAGTCATTAATGAGCTTTGCTGTATATTTGGATGATGTCACCCTGTACAACTACGCCATGAACAGTTTTATCAACGATCCGTGTGCTAGCCTGTTTGCCATGTACAATTCGAAAACTGGACAATCTGTGGAGTCGGGTCGTGATCAATGTGCGTATTAATTTCCGAAGTTGTCATATTGATGCTACTGCGATGTTTCATTAAATGTGAGCTAATATATGATACGATGTAGCTCATACGATGTCCGGTATTGCTTGGACTGCATATGCGGCCCGAGTGGGTCAAACTCAAGGGGTAGATCTCTATAAACTCGGAGATAATCTATTACTTAAGGCATCCGAATATACCGCCGCATACAACCTGAACGAAAAGGTTTCTTACGATCCAGCTTGGCACAGGTGTGAGGCAGTCCTGGTTGGTGCTCCGTGGCCCGCTATATCCGAGTACAACAGAGGAGTTTCCAATACACAGCCGGTTTGGGACATCATGTATTACCAATATGTCGTCAAACGAAAAATAAAAGCGCCATGGACGACACAGGCCCAGAAAGAAGAGGGTCAGGAGGGGCCTGTGTCAACTAATGACCATCCAAGTTGGGGCGGGCTGATCTGGGCCTATTAAATGAATATCCGCCGGACATGGCCAGATTGAAGAATCAAGACTAAAGTCAGTATATTTGAGCCTCGAACAAGTAGATGCTAGTGTCTGGTATAAAATTTGCTGTTCAAATCTTTCGCCTCGTGCGAATGACTTGTCTTGTAGCTCGGGACGCCCAGAATACGAAGAGAATGATACACGTGCGCCCATATAGCCTAGGAGCGCACCCTCTAGCTCGAATCGATATAAGTTTCGTATTTTCCATGCAACTACCGTGAGGCAATTACTTGTAGGTATTTACCGTGTTGCCTACTTATTTATCGGTACCATCTGGTCCTTGTGTCTAGTAGGTACGGTGAGGTAGCTACCTCAATAAATACACATTTTATCTCAAAGTTTAGAATGTGCAAGAGTGGGACATGAATGGAAAGATTTTATATCACGGGTTTCACGATATTGATGTAGTAGGTATGAAACTTTCATTTTCGAGTGTGTCCAAGAAGAAGCGTTGAAAAGGTATCCATGGATCGTACCACTTCTGAATCAGAGATAAGCTTGTCTCTGATACTGATCAAACGGTAAACCTTTCCTCTTAGCCCCGGCTGTACTAGTAAACATAACGGAAATTAGGATTTTGTTGATCAGTGAGATCCTCAAACGCCAGCTCATGAGAAATTTCACTCGATCCCTGCTCCTTAGTGCGGTTTTTTGCCATGAGAAGCACACGAGTTATGATCACGATCCCAATAAAGACAGCATAAATGACAATATGAGCCAGAAAACCATGGAGGTACCGAGGTGCATCGAAGTTTTGGAAGATCTGTGGTGCGATCAGGTTGCCCACAGCCCACCCGATAAAGATGATGGTCATTGTAATACCCTTCTTAGTTTGGCCACCAATATTACGAGTGACGAGAGAGATTATCATGTTGCCTTCTGCAAGGAAGAATTGTGTGCAGTAAAAGGCGATAAGCATCCCACCTGCGTTTGAGGGGGTAGGGGTAACAACCAGAATCACGATCGTCCCGACGATGGCTGGTATTGCCCAAAGCTAGTGTATAATGTTAATAACTACCCATTCTGCCAGAAGGGAATTACTGACGATCATTGTAAAGCATGTTTGCTGGAATCTTTGTGATGCCCATGCAGACCCGATCATGACAATGATAGTCCATGAGCCCTGAGCAATGTTGAGAAGGGTTGTTTGAAGAGTTGAGAAGCCAAATTCTTTGACAATGAGGTTGGAGAAAACCCCGAGCCCACCAATGATCAGATTAGCGACCGCGATCAGCATGAAGCAACACCAAACAAAGGGGTCTTTCAGAGCTTCGATTATTTGATCCTTTTTGTATTCCTTGTTTTCGATGCCGGTCTCATTGTGTCGTACTCGCTCGATCATCAGTAGCTTGTCTTCCTCGCTAAAGCACTTCGCAGATATAGGACTATCGGGAAGAAGAGCCCCGATGAAAAACGACCAGACACAAGTTGCCAGCCCAAGGACCAAGAACATTAATTGCCAGTTCTTGATCGGCCCGTCGGTGAAATGGGAAATTCCAAAGGCTATAAGTCCACCGATCTGTATGTGTGTAAGGAATTGGGATTTAAAGCGACAGAGTGAGATTTGAAGTTACCATCAATTGAACTCCGGTCATACAATACCAAATCGAGTTCAATAAGGATTGCTCTTCTCTTTTATACCACATGGCCGTCCTTTCTGACATTAGTTGAGGTACTCACATCGGAGATAAGAAATACACACAAAAGCATCATGGCAGGTTGAATACAACTTTCGAAGAAACCCAGCAGGAATCGAACTGCCATGAGTGAACCAAATCGTGTTGATGCGGCAGAACAAGCTACAACGGCACCCCAGATAAAGACATTGCAGGCTAGAGTCTTAGCCAAAGGAAGCTTCTGGAGGAGGAAGTTCTGTGGATATTCGCCGACAAGAATACCAATGTAGAGGATCGTTCCAAGCCACGAGTACTAGAACACTATTATCAGTACCGGCTAGAAGAAGAACACATAGATTGAATAAAAGCTTACATCCTGGCCCACAAGGTGGGCGTCGGTCTTGATGCCCATAATCGAGGCATAGTTGAGGATACCCTTATCCAAAGATTGGAGGAAGTAGGTAATCACCTGTATAACTAAGATGCGACCGGAGATTTTCCAAAATAGTCGTCTATCTGTGGCTGTATCGATTTCGACACCCAAACCGGCTGCGTAGGGATCTTTTGTTTCTTTTGCTTCAACATGGCCACCTATTACCATGGATTTTGATTGTAACTCCTCGTGGGTGAAACTCGTCCCAGTTCCGTTTTCCTTTGAAGCCATGCTGCACGAAGGCAAATCAGACACAGTAGACTATGGTGTTAGATGGATTGTTGTTAATGGTCAGCGGAGTCACCTGAAAACCGAGCTCTATTCATATACTTGTTGCGCCACCATGGCATCCCCTGACAAGCATGAGTGCGCGTCTTATGATGCGGAGGATCCAACTAATTGTCCCTAGCATTTCGAGTCCATATTGTGGGCATCGGAAGGAACTTGACAAGCGGGGGATTTGCCGCACATTGCTCCGCCAATGGGCTTGGTGACAATGGCCGGAGACTCCTCCGAACAATCCTCCGGACTCCGTAATGTCAAAATTCAATCATCTGCTTCATTTTTGCTTTGTAGTAAGTACTTTGATGATACGAAAAAGAGGCTTTTTCCGGATATACACATAGCAATACGAAGAATTGATGTTGAACCCAAATGCACACCATGTCACTGCCCTCTTGTTTCAGAGTATATGATTGTCCACCAGGCATTTCGACAAACCGGGATTTCAAAGTGGAAATCCGGCCAACCCAAGATCATACCCAGCAGTGGAATCTGATACCTTCATACGCCATAGATGTCTCCAGTGCGAATATCGCGTCGAACGACTTTCACCGGTATACCGTCGCACTGGCATCATTTGATTTGATTGGTCATGTCAGGATAAGAGTCACGTATACCGCATCTTCGGTACATTCGGCAGTGATTCGACCACTTTCACTCGGTGTTAAGCCTGAGTTGGAAGATAATCAAATCACTTTTACACTGGAAGAAGCTCGAGATGTGATGCTTGAGCTGAATGGGAGTAAATGGAAGGCGCTGCACCTTCTTATAAACTCGATCGAGAAAAATTCTCCGACCGAAGATACCGAAGACCTTTGGTATTTTGGGCCAGGTATCAACCAGGGATCTGCATTTGCAAGGGTGACCGATGGGGTCAATCTAATGGTTCCATCGGGAAAGACAGTCTATCTCGCAGGTGGAGCTTTCATCACCTGCCGGTTGAATTTCGTCAATGTGTCGAATAGTGCGGTTCGAGGCCACGGATTCATACTCGGACCAAAGGGAGGTTATACCTACCGTGAACACGGCGGTGCGATCCACATGAGTCGTGCGAAAACCATCCAGGTTGAAGGAGTAACATCGCTCGGTGCAAACGGGTTCAGTCTATCGGTGGGAGAGTGCCACAACGTGCTTATTGACAGGTACCGATCCTTTTCATACGCCGGCAACGGTGATGGAATCGACATTTTCTGCTCGACCGGAATCACTATCCAAAATTGCTTCTTGCGGAATTCGGATGATACTATTGCGCTGTACTCGCATCGCTGGGACTGGTATGGTGACTCGAAAGACATTTTGATTCAGGATTGTGTTCTCCTCCCCGACGTTGCCCACGCGATTAACATGGGCACCCACGGCAACCCTGCGCAGCCAGAGACTACTAGTAACGTAAAGATCAGAAATATAGACATTCTGGACCACGATGAAATCCAACCATGGTATCAAGGTTGCATAGCAATCAACGTTGCGGATATGAACCTATTCCAAGATATTCACATTGAAAACGTTCAAGTCGAGAGAATCACGCGGGGCCAACTTTTCAACATCCGGGTCATGAAGAATGAAATGTGGACCACCGCTCCTGGGCGCTCAATTCGAAATGTCACTTTCAAAAATGTGGAATTGATGGCGGGTAATTCAGGTCGAGTGAACCCGTCTATGATATTAGGTTATGATGTTGACCGAAAGGTTGAGGATATCACATTCGAGAATCTCAAAATCGGAGATGACATCATTCATGAGGAAATGAAAAGGCCTAGATGGTATATGGTGTCGGATTTGGTACCTTTGTTTGCGAATGAGCATGTACAGAATTTGAAATTCAGCAAAACGAGATAAAAATAGCATCAATAGTCCTTGTTGTGGAATTACATTGTATCTACAACCCATTTATCACTCGTAGAGATATGGAAATAAATGCTTATCCATCGTGCGCAAAGAGGATGGCGGTAATGCCCCCGGCAAGCGATCGGCTTCCCGGGCCCCAGAGCTAGTTTCCCGGGAGTCGTTGCTGCACCAATCTCGATATAGCCATCGGAGGCCCGTGAGCGCGCCCGCGCGTACTTTTGTCTCGATTTACTATTCTTTTTTTTGGCCTGGTTGTGCATAAAATGCACAATGTACGGCTGCCGTCCAGAAAGTGACGTAGGCCCGCCCACCTTCTATCGGCCCCCTTTTCCAGCCAGCTCAAATTCTCCCGACATCGACGTCGATTGTTTCCCCCGGAGCCTTTCAGGTTGATACTACATAGCGGCAAATATGGAGGACATCCCAGTGGTAAGTATCCTTTCCCATTTTCTGATGGGCCCCTTTTTCACGTCTCAACTAGGACCCGGATTTCTACCTGGAAACTGGTGGTGCAAGCACAACTCCGTTGGACTTTCAGTCGTGAGTACCGCTTTTTCAACCAAAGCTTAATTATTGTCACATTCTTACCTGGCGTTGTCTTCAGAGAGACCACCTCTCTTGCATCCTCGATCGCGAGAGGAAGGTTTGAAAACGGGCGACGGTCAGTATTTTCAAGTCTACTTTCAGTTCGGCAGGTTGTCTCCTGATACTCACCGAACATAGATACCAAGCCACAAAAGATGATGATTACTGGTCGGTTACAATCCATTTATTTGGTCATTCGCGGAGATGACTAACATGACCAGGGGTCCTTCTGATGAGAAGCAATTCGAAGCGTTCGAGATTGGGTAAATCGCAACCCCCCACATACCGTTCATGCCCCACCAACTACATGTGATTTAACCCAAAACAAATTCAGCCATATGGTGTTCCTTGTGTTAGATCACTACCAGGATAACCCTCTATTTCGTGCGCCTATCGGTGATTTTCCTAAGGTAAACAAATTCCTACTGAGACATGCTCGCTTGGGCGCCTTACTAACAGCGCAATACAGCATATTCTAGACATCGGAACTGGTCAAGGCAGTTGGGCAATGTTAGTCAAAGAATAACACGTTCTACGAGAGCTATTAATGATTTCTGAAGTGATGTTGCCGATATGTATCCGTCAGGTATGAAATTTCTTGAATCAACCACCTTCTCCTTCTTGGACTAACACAGAGTTAGCTACCGTTCGTGGTGTGGATCTCTTCCCCCCCACCTGTGACATGGATGCCGCCCAACTGTATCTTCGAAGTAGATGATGTGCTTCGTGAGTGGACATGGAGAGAGCCATTTGACTTTATTCACATACGCCTGATGTATGGCGCCTTCCCTCCAGAGGGGTGGGACCAGCTATACAAACAAGCTTACGCGTGAGTTCAAGTTTTAATCCTAGCTTTTTGGTCCATTGAACTAGTAAGGTATCTCGACTTAACTTGTTATACAGTGCCCTTGAACCCGGAGGCTGGATTGAACAAATGGAATTTGACGTGCGAGTCCGCAGCGATGACATGACCTTAAAAGAGGAACATCAGCTCTCGAAGTGGGGTAACATATTCATTAAATGTGCTGAGCGAGCCGGGCGGTCACTTAACATTCACGAAACGATGCGCAGTGCAATTGAGGAAGCCGGATTCGTGGAAGTGCACGAGAAAAAAAGCAGGGTCCCTTTGGGAGCTTGGCCTAGGGACAAGGTACTGAAGGAGACCGGACGACTTCAGTATGCTCACTGGAACGCTGCTTTAGAGGGCTGGGCGATGTGGCTTCTGACCCATTTTGGAGAGCCTGAGCCGTGGACGGAGGCGGAGGTGCAGGTGTTTTTGGCTAAAGTGCGTAACGAGCTGAAAAATCCGCATATTCATGGGTATAACTGGATGTAAGTCTTCTGATTTGCTCTACTCGCTATTTTATGTTAATCATATTTAGCAACCGGGTGTGGGCAAGGAAACCAACAGAAGAGGAACTGTCATCGAAAAAGAGATTGTTTTGAGCCAAAATATCGCCAGAGCTCCCTGTGAATTTGTCTGGAGCATACACCTATTCGTCACGAATCTACTTTTCAGTCTACTACACTGACCCATGCTGTGTTTTAATCCAATTTCGGTTACAAAGTAATCATATTCTCCAGATAGGTTAGACAGCAGAAACAACATCGACATTCCGGGTAAACCGCGCTCCCTGTTACAATACATCTCTAAGAGATTCTGTAGAGCAAGGTACCAAACCCAAGAGCGTCAAACCCGCCCGAGGTGGAGGCATAGTTTCCACCACCTCCCTCAACACCGTACGTACTGTTTGTATTAACCATATTGCGGTAGGCATCGATCCAAGAAGAGTCAAGACCCTTCAACTGGCCATAATGGGCGGAGAGCAACTCAAAACCAGGGCGAATCTCTCCTCGCGAGCTGTTGGAGATGATGGTCTGGTTGCCTTCATAGCTTTCGTACATGGTATAGGGGACGTCGTAGCCCACGTTATACTTTCCGACATATTCAGCTCTAATGCAAGAGTTAGTTGCCTATAAATTATTGTACGTAAGATGACTTTGATCAAGTGTCAATACTAACGCGTTGAGAATCTCATTGCTATAGGTGGAAAATAGATCATCACCTTGGTTATATGCCTGTTGGGCAATAATACCAAGAAGAGCCATGTCCAGCGTGGCATGGCCTTGGTCACGGCCAGCCTCTTGGCCCTGTGTCAGGATTTTGTCTGAACCTGATTCTGTCACCGTATAGTTTGCAATGGCAAAAACAGGCAGAGCTCCATTCGAAGGCCCACTGCGGAAATAGTCTAAGGCGTAGTCGTACATCGTCTGGTTGTCGGTAAAGATGCTGATAGCAAGAAGAGAAGCGAGGTTACACTGGTCCCAGTTTGCGTAGTAGTGATAGTAATCATTACCGTTGTGGTCCTCCAGAAATAGTGTATTCATAGAAGCGAAAATATCAGTCAACATAGTCGCGGTGGCACTCTTATTACTACTAGCCCAGCCAGAGTAATCCGACATGACCTCTGCCGCATTGGCCATCTGGTACCCATAGAGACCAGACGCCAGGTATTTGTCACTGGTACCATCGATAGCTGTCAGGGTCATAGCCCAAGAGCTGAGGATATTGACCGCCGCGTCTGCATAGCTTGTATTGTTGGTGACCTTCCAGCGTATAGCAAGCTGGTAAGCGGCCGCCGTGTCTCTGTACAAAGACGGGTAGTTTTCTGTATCAACACCATTGGCACCTCGGTATACCGTTACTTTAGGGCTGGGTAGGTAGGACGACTGGGCAAATTTGCTGGTAGTCAACAGAGTCCATGTTGTATTCCAGGGCTCATCACCGTTTGCGACGTGGGTGTTGATGCGCTCAAAATCCTGGGTCGTGTGGAGCGCGCCGGGGTGAACAAAGGCCGTTCCAGCGGCTGTGAGGGCAAGGAGAAAGATAATACGAAGCATAGCGTATAATGTGGACCTCACGAGGGCCAAATTTGAAGATCTTAAGTACTAGACCTCATACTAATGTTGCTTAAAACACATTTGGCGGAATTCATCTCGTTTACATAGTCATCGCGCCGCGGACTCCTAGGGGGTGCTTTCCAACACGCAAATTGTGCCGAGTACTTTAAGCGTAGAGATCTGCGGAGAACTAATGACCGAAAGATAGAATGGACCAACAGCCCACGGTTTGCTACTTGCCAGATAATGTTTCAAATTGAAAAATGGGGAGGGGTCGGGTAGGCTCCATCGTCTGCTCTGGAGACAAAACAAAAAACTGCCGGAGACCCTCCGGCATATGCCCCGGCCGAGTCGCGGTAAATCGTGTCGATACAACGCGTGTCTGCATTTTATTCAGGCCTGAGATTGTTCCAGTGAAGTGGTTTGATGTTAAAGTGTTCGATCATGATGGAGTGAGAATTGTATCTCGGAAAGCTTTCTAAAGCAACCCAGCTAAGGAATGCAGCGGCCACAATGTCGATTGACGGACCATTGTTCGAGATTTTCGGGGGGGGGGGGGGCGGCCGGATATCTATCGGAACTTCCTCCGCGCGAAGTACAATTCCCATGCGAATAAGTGTAGACAGATTAGGCTCCTATTGCTGGAAATAAAGACAATCAAACTTGATGGATTGGCCAGAACCTTGGGATCGAGTCGCCAATTTCAACATGTCTCCAAGCGAAGCACCCACCACAGTATGTCTGAAATCAGGTTTTCTAAATAAACTCCAGGTCTTGAACTTCGGATATTAATCTTTCAATCAGGATCTAGAGGTTCACCCGAGCAAAATCAAACTGTACGGCGCAAATGGCGTACAAGGTCGAATTAACGCCATCTCGGAGCACTTGATGGACGCTCTTTATTCCGAGTCTGTTGTGGCGAAAGTATGGAATATAGCAAACAAGGCACTTTCAAGTGTAAGAAACCCCACAAGAAATCTGGAAGAACTTCAAGTTGAGAAATATGGTAGCGCTCTGACACCAAAGGCAGAGCAAACCACCCATCCTCTACCCTGAATACACCAATGAGGATGGCATATATGTCTACCGCACTCTGGGCTTCTGGACATCAGGATTCTTCCCCGGATCTATGTACCTTCTTCTCGAGCGTTTAACTCGCCATCCCCAAATCACCAACCGATCTGGACAAACAAAAGATACTCCCGCCCCATGGCCACACCATCTTCAATTAGAACATCTGTGCCGCTGGTGGACCACAAACCTGCACGCAAATGCACTAAAGCGAGATACCCACGATCTAGGCTTCATGATCGCGCCATGGGCAACGAAATCATGGGAACTGCATCGTGAACCAGCCGCGTACAACAGCCTCGTCATGGCGGCGCATTCGCTGGCCACCAGATTCAATACCACGACACAGTGTCTCCGCAGTTGGGACGTCTGCATCACGAATCGCTACTCATTCACCGACCCATCCCAGGACTTCTTGGTAATTATCGACAACATGTTAAATTTAGATCTTCTGTTCTGGGCTGCGCGAGAAACTTCGAATAAAGGGCTGTTTGACGTGGCTCTAATGCATGCCCGCACAACGCAGAAGCATCATATTCGAGATGATCACTCGACGTTCCATGTCGTTAATTTCGATTCAGAGGATGGCAGCGTCAAGGCCAAGTTCACTAACCAGGGCTTCAGTGATTCCAGTTGCTGGGCTCGAGGACAAGCGTGGGGTATTTTGGGCTTCATGCAGACATTTGAATGGACAAAGGAGACTTCTTTCCTTGTCACCGCGCGGGAATTGGCTGACTACTTCATTGCCCATTTGCCTGAGGATGGGGTACCATATTGGGACTTTACGGCACCGATTACAGAGGCGAGTCCGCGTGATACATCCGCAGCTGTGGTTGCTGCTTGTGGTATGCTTCTTCTGTACAAAGCGTTAAAAGACAGTTCAGATGGCGACTTCTACTTGTTCAAAGCGATGAAGTTGGTCGATTGCACCGTTAGCAAGTTCTTGAACTCGCCCACATCTCGGTTCGTAAATGGGACTTCTGCCTCTAAAGTTCCTGTTTATCCAAGTGGCTGCATCGATGGACAGGATGGAGACGGATTTATTAGTATGACCGTTGTGGATGAATCTGGCTTGAAGATCCGCGAGAGCATTCTGGGCGGTGCCACCATCAACAACTATGAGTTCGCACCAAGACGCTGGTCAAACCATGGTTTGGTTTATGCGGACTATTACTTTTTGCTGTTTGGAAACATGCTACTCGATTTAGGGTTGGCCGATACTCGACGATGCTAGGTCTGCAAGGAAAGTGGATTCTGCCAGGGAAGTCATGCAAGGTTGCAGACTCAAATAGACCAAGGATAAACCGTTAAGAAAAATAATACAGTTGGTTCCTCATTTTCGATCGCGGAGGATTCATTGAAATGGCCATAATCAATGTAAGCCTTGGAGCCATTGTCAAGACGTATCTGAGTACATCAACTTCTGGTCATCGAGTGCTACCCTAGCATATCCCCGGTCGAATTTAAGTCCCGCCGTAACGGCTGATGCGCTGTCCTGGACTAGGGGCAAGGTTAAAGAGATGTGATAAGTCGTCCTGTGAGCCCACAATCCCATTGTCGTAGGTAGCCGCTGTGTTATGCCACACGTTAAGCTGATGAGGATTCGGCGACTGGATATCCATCTGCGAAGCAATACGGTTTCCCGCAGTCTGCGTAGGAAGCGAAAGATGGTCATTGTTTGAAACCATAGGGAAATCTTGTTGGAATGCCAACGGTAGCGGTGGAAAGGCAAGGCTAAACGAGTCAAGGCCGAGGGGCTCTCGATGGTTCGACTTCTTCATATATGCAGCTGGTGGCGATCCGTCTGCGGCCCTCGGCGGAAACAAGCCTCTGTCTGAAGGAGAGGTATCAACTGTGGATGACGGTGGTTGCTCCTTGGACTCGTCCGAATACGCAGTCTGCCGAATATCCAAACTTGGACGGTATGTGGAAGCGAGATTATCACTTTGAGCTTCTATAAGACGTTTCGCAAAGCTGGAGGCTAAATTGTCCCCACGCGGCTCTGCTGTCTCACTGCGGCCGGTCCATCGCTGGGAAATTTCAAGCAAACTAGCGATCAAAGTTTTCAGCGCAGGTGGAATAGGAACATTGTTATATCTTGCATGAGCTAGGAGCATTCGGCCGGCGATGAAAAGACAGAACGAAAATTGCGGGTTTGTGAATATCGGCGAGAAAGAGAGGAACTGCTGCCCGATTGTGGCGATCTCGGACGCGGCCTCCAGACATGTCTCGGCAGATGAAGCAGATGGAAGTCTGACTGGACACATCTGCCAGTGAGCGGGCGGCCAAGCAATTCCTTGATGTAGCAGGATTACTGCAGTGTTGTGCGTTATATGAGCTAGAGTGAGGTTGGGATCCATAACTCCATCGCAATTAAGTGCACAGGCTTCTCGCCACTTCGAAGGAAGGTATAACTTCCATCTAGAAGATCACATGTCAATAAAACACGAGTAAGAAATTGAAGGCTCTTGATGCTCACTGAATTAAACGCAGATCTAATTCCTTGAACTGCATCAGCCACATCTGGGCCTTTTGCGCATCGCCAACAATAAAGGCATGATGCAGAAAGAAGTTGGCTACTAAGGCAAGAGATTCGGTCGCCTCGATATTGTACGCAAAGCCACCGATGGAATCTTGGTCCTCTGCATCTGTCAACCGTTTTCCGTTCGGAATTGGGGTCGTTACGTTGTCTTTAGAGTCTGAAATACCAAAATAAGGCGTCTGGATTTCTTGTCCTTTTTGCCATAGTGCTCCTTCACAAGGAAGACGACGTTTTACGTCGTTGTTGGTCAGGCTCACTTTCCACCCAGTCGATATGCTGCAAAAGCGGTCCATCAAAAAAACCGTCCAGAAGATCCTCCGACGCTCCTCTGCTTCACTCCACGACTGAGAAGGGGAAAGAAAGACCATTCGTCGAATCAATGTTTCTCCGAGACTCGTCGCAGAATGTAACACATCTTCTTCGACGTTGAGTTGTAAGTGCTCAACCGTACTGACCATACTGCCCACTATAGACCACGAGGAAGGGCCGCGACCACGTCCGATCTGTTTTTGTAAGCCAATGGCTTCGAGTTGGAAGCGTGAGATGTATTACTTACAGTTTCGAATGCAAGAATGACCAAGGCCTGTAAATTTTCGACCGAAAATGACTCGGTGCTGTCTAAAATGACCTTTCGGCGGCTTTTCTCTGCCATTTGGGATTTCGTCTCTCCATCCGGTAGATGATCATTTCGTGAAAATCGGATGCAGACAGCTATTATAGCATGAAGAATGCATGTGATTCGTGGGCGCTCATCTGCTAATTGCATACTCTCGCGGAATCTCGCCATATGAAGAATCGGAATCCAGGGGTGGATGTTGACATGGTAGAAATTGACTAATTCATTCATAATTTCGGACGGTAGGATCCCACTCGAGTCGCTATTGGGGTTAACAAGAAAGGATGGAGAATTCACATTGAGAAGGCGTGGTCGCTTTGCCGGGCGCTCGACTGACTCCATGTCGGACGAGTCTTTTTCCAACTCTCGTGGGTTTTGACCATTCCCCCGAGATGATGCAGCGAGCAGCAGGGAGGATTTGAGTTTCTCTCGGCGTACTGCTAGGTCCGGAATTGTGGGTGGTTGCTTGTATGGTTCTGGAATCGAGGTGTCCGGACACAGTATCTGCCACATCTGTTGCCAGATCATCTCTTGGCCGAGAAACATGTTCTCAAGCGTTTCGATACGGCGGCAAAGTTGATCAACCGCGCCTGCACGGAGACCTGGCTTCATGTGCCGATCATCATAAACACATGATACATTATGACGAATGCATTGAGCGCAGGGTTGAGCGCGATTACATCGAGCCTTCTTCTTGCGACACAGCTGACAAGCCGGGACATCTTCCTCGGGTTTTGCTGTCTCTTGTAGCTCAGGGCCATTGGCATTGGTCTCGGCGGCACTGGGGCCGTGATTGGGGTTTGGTGGCATCGGATTGACTTAAATTCGGGAATGTAGCAGCAAGAAGACTTGACGGTTCATCGCGATAAATAAACTCGAAGTGATCCTTGGTTTCTAGGTGGCTTGACCTCTACGGGCGATGGTTGAAGAATGAGAAATGGATGACTGACCGCCGCAGTGATCGTGCGTATTCTGACTGTAGAAGACTAATGGCGAACGCAAGCTTGGCCTAGGCGCTTTGAATCACCCCATGGGTCAAAATCCGGGGTTGTCTGGCAGCTGGGCACCAATCAACATCGTCAACGAAGCTCAACCCGTGCGGAGGAAAGGCCGGAGATCACCCCGGAGTTTTCCTTCACTGGGATTAGCGTGGCACATGACCAGAGAGTATCGTCAACTGGCCAGTTCCTCTCTGGTCAGATCATTAGACATGATAATTTTTCAGTATATCGTTCATTCATTCATTCACTCATACCAAAAGTCGAAAAGTAGATGATTCAACACAGCTCCCCTGATTTCCACTACCCGCACAAACTCGAAACAGAACTAAAACGAATTCGCGAATAGGGGAAAGCCAAATAACACGGGGTGGATACCAGCATTGGAAAAGGTGGAAAACCCAGTATGATGCATCCGCCGAAGCAACAAGAAAGAGCATGGATGGAGATCAAAAAAAAAGAGAGAAAAAAAAATAAACAAAACACAACCATCTAATGCAGAGTCGGATATGACGAACCGCAGATCCTTCAATGATGATAATAGACAAGCATGGATGGGAATAAAAAAAGGTAGCAGCCTTCCAGGCAGAAAACTTTTCCCCCCTTCTCTTTATTTTCTGAAGGGTTTCCTCGCTCTCCGGCGTCCGGCCTTTATAGAGATACACCCCAGATACCGCGTCCACCGCAAACTCCAAGCCATTCCCGCGGGTTCCCGGACGAATTGGTTCCGCTTTGTGGGGACCAGCTAATATTAGAGACTTCGTAGTCACATTGCCAAGCGGCAGCCGGACCGCGCTCAGATGGTGTTGCTGGTGTTCCGGGATTCTGTGCGGGAGGAGAAAGAGGCGCGGCGTTCTGTTGATTGATGAGATCCCAGATGAGAACGAGACTATCGTCGCCACCGGAAGCCAATATACCCCGTCGATTTGGTGACCACTCGACACAGTTGAGGGGAGCAGAGTGGCCCTTGAGTTCGAGGAGTGCCTGGCCGGGCTGTCGTACGTCCAGAACGCGGACTACGTTCGATTCCGAGGAGAAAGTGGCGAGGAGATGGGCATCGTGTGGGGATGCTAAAATATAGGTGAGAAAGTCGCTCGACCGCACCAGTGGTTGCGATGGCACATACCTGCGATTCTCAGCAAAGGAGGAGGGAACAGCCCGGAGGATGATGGGCCGGATGGGCTAGAGTTGCCAGGACTCATCACAGCTAAGAAAGAAAAAATCAGTATGGTAGTTGAATGTGAGCTCTCCAAGTCCACTCACGCTTTTCTGTCTTATCCGTTGGCTCGTATATGATGGTGCTGTGCTCGAGGCTGCGCAAGTCGAACATGCGGACACTGCCATCGGCACCACAGCTGACAAACACGTCAACACTGTTCGCACAGAAACGAACGTCGTAAACCTCCTTGTCGTGCGCAATCAACTGGGTTTTGGCTGTCAAGGTCGGAATATCCCAGATGGTACACGTGGTATCAATACTCGAAGTGATGATCAAGCTGGGGGATATTGTGTTCCAGTCAAGCGAGGTAATAGGGGCCGTATGCTCGGGGGACTTAGAATTTGACAGGAGTGCCAGCGGAGAGAGCTTGGAAAGGGGTGCCTCTCTTTGATTGGTAGGTCGTGTGATGGAATTGGAGCTCTGCAAAGGTTGGGCGCTAGGAAGAGACCATAGACGGAGGTGGTCGCCCGACGTAGCCAATAAATCGGTTGATTGCTTTTGTGATGAGGGAGGCTCCCAGAGAATACGGGTCACGGGATAGGAGTGAGTGGCCTCGGCGGTCTTGACATAGTCGAGCTTGATTTCACCCGCTTGCGCATCCGGGGTATCGGGATCCGGCTGTGTCCAATGTGTGTCGATAATTTGAATCTGCAAAAACAAGTTAGAGCTTGGGGAGAGAGCTTCATCATGAAGGCGATCGCACATAGTTATGGTTGTCTTCTAAATAACTCCCGAGGGCTAATTTGCCCCCCAAAGGAACTGGAGCTTCCCGTCATGGGCCATTTGCACCAATCAACCGCATATATAGGCCATGGTGCCACGTAGTTGCTGTTGGTCGGTATCTGGGTTTCTCCATTATAAGGGAGCGAGCCGGGGCTCATCAGAGGATCCCCCAGCAAGTGCTCCCCGGGAGGTCGAATATCGGCCAAACCCAGCGGCGAATACTTGGAGCCCTGCGGGGTCTGGGGGGGTGTATCCGCCCGGCGAGGTCGGATATTTGGAGCCTTCCATGCCCCCGTGCTGCTTGTATACTGACTGATCGAAACCGGCGGGGCTGGATCGCGAGTGGCCGTGCGAGTTGATCATGCTTGTTCGATGGCTAGCCTGTTGTGCGGACGGCTGTTGCTGGAGGGTGGGAATGACGGAGGGAGCGGTGTTGACCGAGACTGCGGTTGGACGGTGTTGATTCCCAGGTGTGAGAGATCCTGGAAGCGCACTGTTGGGGTTTCCTGGGTTTCCCCCGTACTGCAACTGCGGCTGTTGTAGCTGCTGGTGCTGCGACTGCGAGGAGTGGACGTTGATCGAAGGCACTTGGGCGGCGGCGCTTGCATCGGGCGTAGTGGGGTAGTCTTGTGGGGGCTGGCGCGATGGATTTGGATTGATCAACCCAGTTGAGGGAATATGCAGCTCCTCAGGGGTACGACCAAATATGGCCGATCGCCGATTTGAATCGTAGGAGGCTGGGTTGGACATGATGCGGAGGTGCCTTTCAAGGCAAATGGATGGGGCTCCGTGAGAGCTCCACTCCCCCGAGGATGGAAGACAGTTTGGTCTGGACGAGAAGCACCAAATTGGGGTTGGGAGGGAGAGAAATGAGGAAGAGAAAGACAAGACGAGACAGGCGAGGATCAATACAGCCTGGTCTTGGGTGTGTGTGCGTGTGTGTATGGAATCGAATTGTCGAGAGTTTGAGACAGTTGCAGCTGGGGGGGGAACTGCCCCCGGATGAGTCAGCAGCCACGGACCACTTTCCACCTTTTTGAGTGTTCAAGCTGGTTTTGACCTTGTTTACTCCGTTCATCTCGTCGACATTCTCATTTACACGGCCTTCGTTTACATATCGTTGTCTGCTTTCACTTCCACTGCCTTCTACAAGTATAAAGTGACCTCCGCAAAGTGTGATCCCCCACTATCATGTCTTCAGATTCGACCTCGGCGCTACTATTGCTTCCCCCACCTCCAGCATTCTCGTTCGAGAAAGTGAAGGATGCATTTGAGCCAGCTGTCTCGGATGTTTTGACAAAGCTCTCTGAGCCCATCAGGGGATCTTGCCGTATCGCTACACTCGATATTGCGCTGGCGATCCCTGATCTTCAGTCCCCATCGTGCAGGCCCATTGGGAAGGTCTTCGCCCAACTCCAGCAGTACCTCACCAGCATATATACGCTTGTGGGTGCTACCGCTGCGGCTCGAGATATCGAATTAGACTCTCCCGGTGGCATTGACACCCGCGTGCTATTTCTTGATCCCTCAACTGCCGCCGATACACTGTCTTCTCAGGCAAGTGTTGGCGACTTGGGGTTCGGGCCAGTCTTTGGCTTACACTCACTGGCAACCTCGGGCCGACGGTGGGACCATCTGTGGTATCCCAACATCGAAGCTGGCAAGACATTAGCCACTTCTTTCGCCCATAGTCTTGGAAGCCAGGTCGGGAGCCACCTCGAGTCCTCACTACAGGCAGTGTCTAGCAGCTCAACCTGGACAGTCCCAAACCCGCTTTTGATCCCGGAGCCCACGGCTACAACCCCTCATTATTCAGTGATCGTGGGAGGAACCTTTGATCACCTTCACCTCGGCCACAAACTTCTACTAACAGCGCTTGCGCTCTCTCTGGAGCCGGCAAACCCCGCAGACAAGCATCGGCAAAGAATACTGGCTGCAGGTGTGACTGGGGACGCCCTTCTGGTAAACAAGAAGTATGCAGACTATCTCGAGAGTTGGGAGGACCGTTTCCAAAACACTGCTGCTTTCCTTCGAGCCATCATGTCTAGCTCGGGGAATGCCACCCCGCGCCTCGATCGCATCACTGCACCTGGCCCCAACGGGAACTTTGTGGTGGTAACAGTGCAACCCAACCTTTCCTTCAAGTTCACGGAGATCTGGGATCCATTCGGTCCCACCATTACAGAGGAGAATCTCACAGCGCTTGTGGTGTCCAAAGAAACTGCATCTGGAGGAGCAGCCGTCAATGCCGAACGGAACAAGAAGGGATGGAAGAGTCTGGCCATCTTTGAGGTGGACGTGCTTCAGGCGGGAGAGGCCACGGACGTCACCGGCAGCAACTTTGACGGAAAGATCAGCAGCACAGACATCAGACGGCGGCGCATGAATCTGGCCAAGGTCTGAGGGGGCGTAAAGAAATACTTTCCAATGGACAGGAGTCACTCACAAAAGAGGGGAGGGGAGTGGAGGGGAGGAGATGAGAGAGGGGGGGTGATTAGAAGTGCATGCTTCTTGTCTCCCACTCTTCTCCTCATCCTCAGCCTATAGGTACTTGGAATGCTTGTAGATATGTACAGTAGTAGGGGGTGCATTCAGAAACCGGCCAATTTCACCCAATCCCCTTGACTCCACCACACGCGAGTTCCGTCACTCTGCAGATGTGACAAAAGGAGCGGGGCCTGCATTGGCTCCTGGGCTTCTCCGCCCATCGCAACTCTCCCCCACCACCACTCAATCGCTCAGCTTCGTCCTCCTTTGCTGCAGGTTCGCGCTGTTGGTGCTGGCTGGCCGCAGCCTTCAACAATCATGTGATTGTCTGGAACGCGTCTCGCCAATGGGGCCGACCAGATCACGATGGCCCTGGCTCTGTCCACCGAAAATGCACGCTAGGGTCGAGGTGATCAGCCCGGTCGCGCGCTATCACTAGGGCCCGAATCCGCATGGTGAGACAAGTCACTCTGGGGTTCGACGAGTCTACTGGCCTCGAGAGCTTGTTCTGTTTATAGCGCCCAGTTCTCCCCCCGTCGTGCGCCCGTCCGGACACCCCCTGGTGAACTCCTCATTTACGCTGCTTGTCTGTAAAAGACCCGGGTGGCTGCCCTTGCTCACTGTTCTTTTTTTTTTCTTCATCTTCCATGTTGCTGTCACTCGACCAAAGCAGCCGGATTGACGGCTGCGCGCGCCGATCATGGCCCAGTCCCGTCACATTCATGATCTCGCCGATGAGCTACTGAGCGAAGTGCTGTATTTTCTGGTGCCATCTCAACCTAGACCCGGCCCTGGAATTCGAGCCCTGAGTGGCGGCAGCTATAAGAACGGCGTCAAGCAAAACGGTATCGATCGCCGATCATTTGGGTTTGGAGAAGCTTCGGATCTCGATCGATTTCGACTCGTCTGTACACGATTCATGCGGATTGGCACGCCGCGCAAGTTTTCGCATTTTAACCTGCGCTTCTCCAAGGAGGGCTTCCGCCGGCTGGACGAGCTTCTCCAGATGCAGTTGGCCTGCTGCGTCAAATCTATGACCTACCTGGTGCGACCTTTTTATCAAGGCAATGGTAAACATCTGCTCCTCTCCTCCCCACATCCAGCTCTTTTATCTCCGGGGTACATGCGCAGACTGACACGAATGTTAATAGCGTGGGCACCGGTCTTTCGTTCGTTCGCTGCGAAACATCCATTCCCCGCAAAGGTACATCGGCGTCGACTACGAGAGCAAATAGACCTGGTCGGCAATGGCACCGATCTATCACGTCTTCGTACGGCGATCGCCTCGTTTTCCGCACTCCAACAAATCAAACTCCTCCGTGTGCAAGATGGAGCAGATGAACTGCTCATTGATTACTTGGACGTTCATTTTCCGACAAATGGCAATAACAATTCCCTAACTGCCACTCACTTCGGCTGGGAAGCCGCATGTGCACGCGCAATAAGAAATCTTGGAATTTCAGTACTAGACTCCCAGCGCACATCCATCCGCTTCATAGGGCCCCAAATTAGCCCCGAGGCAACCCTCCAACTTCTCCAAGTCCCATCGGCAACTTTCGCCGCAGTGGGGCACCGGATCACAAGTCTCGACATTACCTTCCACTGCGAATCGGACATTTCGTCCACAATGACCGAACTATCAGACGTTTTTCGAAAATTCTTTCTTGAAGCAAAAAATCTCGTCGCAATCCATATTGGTTTTCTTCCAAAGCACCCCGTCTCTCTCACTCTCGACACAATATTTCACGGCATACACTGGAAAACCCTCCGTATGCTCAGTCTGCAAGGCTGGCACCTTACCGCAGAGGATCTCAACTTACTACTCCGTCGTCACTGTGCCCACCTCCGCGCTCTCCACCTAGCATCTATCTCACTCCGAACTGGGAAATGGGCCTCGGTACTAAACATCCTCCGTCACGAAATGGAACGTCTAAATCGCTTCGAGTTGAGGGGAATCAGGTACGACGCAGACTTGATTTCTATCGGTACGGAAATTATCGAACCCGTTCCGCTCTCACCACAGTCCTCCTCGTCAAAAGCCCAGTGGTTATCGGCGGACGAGTTGGGTGACGATGGGGTTCGTGTAAGGAAGGACCAGGAGCGGCTTTGGGAGACGTGGGTTCTTACTGGAAGATAGCAGAAAGAGCTAGGGCAGGTCTCAAGTGGATATCAGAATGGACATGGACACGGGAATGGGGATATAAATACGACAGAACCGCGTTAAACATTAAGCATTAAGCATAAGACATGGCATGGCATGGAATTAAATGGGAGGGGCAACTCTTTTATCATTTGCGCATACGAATCCCTGGGCGTTGGCGGCTGTTTTGCAATTCAAATTCCAGTCATTGAACGTTCCTGTCATAAAGATTTGATTTAATAGAGACTTTTTTCGTCGAATACCTAGGTATACTATTGGGCAGTACCAGTACAATTCTCAGCCATCAACTGGAATCACCAAATTGAATGTATGATATTGCACACACTAGACTAACAAAGTTCAGCCAAAATCTGAATCGTGAAACTTGAACTACAAGATGATTACTTTTGCATAAATCACGTAGGGTATTTCAAGTTTGTAGGAGTGATATCACAAGCTCAAGAAAGCAAGCTCTACCAGTTCCAAACCAAGAGAGCAATCAACAGGCGAATAGAATACCAGTAGACAGGAGAAGAGCGTCAATAATTCGAAATATTCGTACAGATTCGTCTCCGACAGGCCGTAAAGGCCGAGAATACGGTGGTTTTCAATACAGATATCATCCATCTAGACTGTTCAGCAGATCGCATCAGCCGAAAGCAAAGGAAGCAAAATCAGGCTCGGATTCTGATCATGGATATCCAACCTCCCTCCCTCATTTATAGCAAGCATCCCAATCACCCCGGCCCCTCGCAAAACTCAGTGCCTTCACAAAGTCGCTTCTCTGACACCTCCCCAACCCATCAGCCGCACACCCATGCAGCGGCACAACACGATCATTAACGAGAGCCCGAACCAAGGGCTCAGTCTCACCATGACAACTCATCATCTCAAAATAAGCCCGCGCACCAAGCGGCACAGCCCAAGCAGCCGAGTATCCACCCGAACCAGCCGCAGACTGAACATGCTCAGTCGAGAGCGGGCTGGTACCATTATACAAACCCAGCGCAAAAAAGATCGGAATCATGCCATTATCGTGCGTAAAGTCCGCATAGATTGCCTTGTGCACCGGGAATGAAGCCGAACCTGGTGCATCGAGGGTGCGGTTTGTTGACGTTGAGTCGTGCACGGGCTTGTGTGTCATTCTCGCGATCAATTCGTTGACGAAGCCCACTCCTTGCGTGAGACCTAGGGGGTTTCCGGCGCCGTAGCCGTAATACTTGCCGAGTGATTGGAGGTAGTTGTATTGGCTCCATTCTGAGGATGTGAATAGGTTGCAGAAAGGGGATAGGATGCTTCCGTCTGTGGTGGTGGAGATTGTGTCGAAGGGGCACATGTCCATTAGATAGATGACTTCGTCATCGGTTAGAGATATACCTGGTAGGCTCTTTTCAAGGCGTGTGGCAATTGAAGGGCTAATTTGGTTTGTGTATGCGTCTTCGATTTCGTCGCCGAGCTCGCTGGCTTCGAAGGCTGGACAGGTATTGTGGTTGAGGGTATTGTTTGATCCTGTATCTTCAGAAATGACAACGTTGATGGTTGGAGAGGCCTGGTTGGATTTTGCGCTGGTATCCTTTTCTTTGGTTTGCTGGAGTCCCTGGATAAAGTATTGGCCGGACTCGATGACGCGAGATGAGCCTGATGATCGAACGAATGGGATATGGTCCCGCGCCAGGGCGGCGTATCGTTCATAGAACTTGATGCCCGAGTTGACCATTTGGCGCTCGCCAAAGGAAGTCAAGTCATCACTGCCCATAGTGTAGTTGTATGACTTGAGAAAGGCTGTCTTGCCGTGAAATGCCGTGGCGTTGGCCTGGATAGTCTTGATCAACTTGGCATACTTCGAGCTCTTCGAGGCCGTTGGATACCGAGCGCCATGTCGGGATAGGACTTGGACGAAAGTGACTTCGCATTTTTCTGGGACAGAGTTTGAGACGGTGTCACCTGCAACAGAGAAATATGGGGAGTATTGGCCCCAGCGGTGAGAAATATCGGTGAAGCATTGATATCCGTCGACGCCATCACAAGACTCGGCACGACGGTGATGAGACGCTTTCTCGACCCTGGAAGAGAAATTTGCCCCAATATCAGAGATTGAATTAAAATCCGCGGATCTGCACCCGGGGGGGTTCATACCCAACGGTCAAGTACGTCAGAAAGAGAACGGCGATGGTCATTAAAGCAACGATGGAGGTGACCCGCCATTTGGCAGACAGACAAGGTTTCCTAGGCTGTTGATAATCGATGTAATTTCCTAGAAGTCTTTGCTCTTCAGACAGAGGGTTTTGTGCTTTCTTCTTGTACCCCGCCATTTCTCATGCGCATCCCTGTTCGGAGGCAGATCTCGGAGTGGGTGAGATGGGAATCTAGTTCTGTGAATGACTCGCTATCTATCGGAAGTGTATCAGAGATGGGATGGGAGAGACGAACTTAAATAGTACCTGAATCTAGTGGATAGTAGCAACTGATTGTAATTACACGCAGGAACTCCCCTCCCTTCACAAGGGCCGCTGCGGTTGACGACGCTTATTCCTCATGCCTGATGAGCTCGTGAGGCCAAAACGTCCTCTGATTGGCTGATCGGTTGACTACCAGCAGGTTTAGGGCACGTGGCATGGTAAGTACTGACTACTTGTCAGTTTGCCCTATTTGCTAGCACTTTTAGCTCTGTTTCAGGTAGAGATCGATGTACTCGATACTTCTTCGTTTACCCGGAACTCTGCGAGTATTTTGGCTACCTAACTAATGGTCTCTATTACGCGTTCCTTAGAACTACTAGTTGTTAGTATATATCTCGGCTACCTTAGTCTCCTCCAACACCCCCTGTCGAGTCTATCTCGAGTCTCAGCCTAAGTCCCAGGCCCAGCGCCAGTCCAAATCCGAATCTGCGGAGTCATCCCACCTGTTCAAAAACCGAGATGTCCCTCGCACCCCCAAGGGACCCACTGCCTGATTAGAGAAATTACACCGTTCGGGGCTCTAGTTACCCAAACCAGCCACCGCGACCTCGGGATGCGGCCAAGACTTCAGTATCGCGTGCCACTAGTAGTTATTTAGCTTACCGCAATCATCGCTCCCTTGTCAATCTTGCTAGTCACGGAAGCGATGCTGCATCGGCTATTCAGCACATTAAGGGGCATCACCGACATTAGTTTATGTTGTGGGGAAGCGGTCAACCGTTGGCCGATCCTCAAAAATGACTAAGCCAGGTGTATACCATTACCCATCAACAAACCCGCGTCTGCGGAGTATGTACTAAAGTCTTTCTTCAAGTTCAAGTTTGTCGAAAAATAAAGGGTTGGAAAACCGCATTTAGTGTCAATAGCTGATAAGTCTCAGATGCCTCAAACATTAGGCCGCCGTGCCGTGTTTCAGTTTCTAGACGTATCTGATAGCTTCTCTCTTCTCTTCTCATCTAGCTTCGGTCTCTTCTTTTTCAAACGCTCATACCCTTTTGAGCTACCTTGACATTCTTCGACATTGAGACACCTTCATTCCATCGCTCCCCCCTGTTCTATCATCTTCGTCGCTCATTTATGGCGCCACGAAGACGGTGGGCTCCTCCCTTTCAAGTTACCTTCAGTCTCCGCAGTGAAGACTAATTAAGATTCCTTTTGAGGTCCACTCCGATTTTCAGATCGAACAGAATCGCCACATTTTTATGATAATCACTGACTTGATCCATCTCGTTCCCTTGGGGCTAACACAATGTTGCCTTGGATACTGGAATAGATTCATAACAATTCCGAAGAAAATCCTCCCATTCAATTTTTACGTGAGGAATGGAGTAGCTCTCAAGGCGCGTTTACATTGCCGAGATGTCTTCTAAATCCTGTGTCGCCTTAGAAGTTCGATATGGATGTAGTTCAGCTAATCAGAGTATCCCAGATCCAATGAAAGGCCTTCGGGAAGAAGAAAACTTGGTGAAACAATGCTCAGCCGAGGCAAGATTCCAGGCTGAGTCGGATGATTTTTGAAAATGACAATAGAGATTTATGCATCCTGATGAAGGTTTCGTCGAACGCGACCAATGTCTACCTGGGCAGGCCATTACCACCTGGGCACTACGTTGTCTAGCGCCGGCATCCTCGAGTGATTAACGAAGTCCAAGTGCTGAATATACAATGCAAACCTTTATACCACAGCCCTCCAGGACTACCAAAACAGCCCCAGCACAAAAGAGTATGTCCAAGATTCCAAGGTATTCCAAGATTAGAAGAGCTGGTTAGCTCGGCACCCGTGTAAATAGTCCAGTGTGATAATATATAGAGTGGTACTATCTATCTACGATTTTGCTGGCAATGTACAACTTGAAGGCAACTTGATGGCTTTCAATCATATAAAACCACCTGGGCACTATTACTAGAATGACTATTGCGTCTACAGGTCATGAGGGATATATTATAAATTCACATAGGCGAGGGTTCCCACATCTTCGCTACTCACTTCCAAGGTTCAAGTTCAAGTTCGTGGACAATTATGCCGTGGAATGGGTACGAACCACATAGAACGAAAAATACTGGCCTTGGAAAACCTCGGTGAATAACTGGGGCAAAAACCATTATGGAAGAAAGCCGAAATTGTAACATGCACATTTCTGGCTTCCTTGTTTCGCCACAGAAGGGCCATTCTTGTGCATAGAATTGCCTGCACCATTGGGCGCAAGGCCGAGGAGACTGCGCAGCATGTTGGAAAATAAGCCGATGAGGATGCAAAGGATATCATATGAAAGGAAAAAGGCCCAATGCCACGCTGCCGGGTCGGATCTAGCTTTTCTTAGTTTCAATAGCTTATGCGGTACCTTTGCATGGCAATCGAGTTAATACTTTGATCTCGCAAGTTATGTATAGATCGGCACGAATAAAGGTTGATTTCATCATTTTACGTGAAAGATAGTCGGTACCAACAGGAAGAGAAGTCCGTGGCATGGCGCTGGTATCTATGTACCTACACATCATGCAGCGCAACGGTGATAGTTAATCGGCAAACGATCTCGACGAGAATAGGATCCTACCGAATAAGCTATGAGAAATACTTAGATCCTTCGCAGCCCAGCCCTAGCATTACTCCACAATCTATTTCACTAGTTGCCAGATTCATGCACGAACAACCACAAGCAAGACCCACTACAAGCGCAATATGCGCGCCACCAACAAAAAGAAACAAAAAGAAAACACAGTTAACAAGTTACTAGTCTAGTGTATTCGGATCACAACAATCAACTGATCGAGCCAAAGAAGATTTCAAATCCTGCAAATATTGATTAGTGCGATCTTACGCGAATTTATTTCTACAATTGATCCCTCGACACTCGCACTAAGCAAGGGGTGTCGTGGACAGAAGTACGACCTGTGCCTGTGCCTGTGCCCTGTCCCACATTAGATGGGTTGGCACCCCACCGAAGTATGTACGGAGCATGTACATACCCATGCTAATGGATCGCGGCGGATATGAGAAAAACCCTATCCCCGCCCCGCTGCGGTGTAGATAAAGTGACAGCCTACGCGATCGAGGGTACGTGGAAATAGGAGCCGTCGAATTAAGGTAGGCTAATGCATGTCTTGCTTTAACGGTGACATGCGGGCTGCGCGGACGAGCTGTCATGGTAGATCATGAAAATCAAATCCACTCTTTCTCAATTGTTTGCCTTTCTCCTGATTCCACAAACCCACCTAAAATGATAAACAATACAGATAAGTGAGTAGAATAAGGCTAGTCGTTATAGTTTGTGGAGACGGACACCATAAGCGCGATATAAATCTATTTTATAAGTTGTGGTTAAGTTTTCCCCGTTCCCTTCCTGCGGACTTGCGAGTGGTACTTTGGTTAATGGATAGATGACAGATGACATATAAACAGCCCCCCGACTCCAGGGATAGAGGCTAATTGCAGGGGCGAAGTCTGAATGATGCTTTTCTAAATTTGCAAATATCAGCTCTAAAGCGGAGACACATTTTAAGCCACGAATGCACCGAATCGAGGAAGAAATGGTCCTTAATAAGACAGACACCAAGGAAGGGATAAGGGAAATGATAGATGGCAATAATTTCAATCTTTTCAACGTCGCCAATTGAGGTATCACCGCGAAACCAGAGACCGGAGAACTATGTAAACAAGTTAAACGAGAAAATGACAGAGGGCGGGGAATTTGCAGTCCGGAAATGTAAACACCAATTTGTGCAGATAACTCCAGATAGATGAAATGGGATATAGAATGTAGCCGAACCGAGAAGGAGGCAGGACAGAGAGGATATGAATAAACAAACAGAGAGGGGAAAACAACAGATTAGAAAGGCGAATACCTGCGACAATACCAGCAGCAAAAGAGGACAGACAATGCAAAATACCAATACAACCCAAGCGCTTTTGTAAATGGCACCGCTAATCCGATCATGCTCCACCTACTCGTGACCACCAGTGGCCGAGATCCTTTTTGTGTGTATCGACATTATAACATATAAGAAATCAACAAAAGAGATAAAACAGAAAAGGAAAAGATTAGAAAGATGAACCCCTCTTTCAAATACACGGAACGCCGTTAAGGCCGAGACCAGGCTTGAAATGGAGGTAGAGGCGTTCCAGAGACAGGCGGTGGACCCGATGGCACAAGATTCCTACCTGCAGGCGGGGCAGGGGAATACGAAGCCGGGCTACCGGGCCAACAAGCCTGCGGTCGACCTGTATCAAGCATCCTTGGCGCCTGCGCGGGCTGCACGGGGACTGTGGGGGCAGTACGAGATGCATCGGCGGACCAGGCCCCGGCGTCAATGTGCAGGCCCGGCGAAGAGGGACGTGGAGGCAAGTTGTTGAGAGACATTGAGCGGCCGACGTGGTCGCGGAAAAAGTCTCTTTCAGATCGGTAGTGGTCTCGTTGTTGAACCAAAGCGCGGATTTCGTCAGCTTGGCGACGGAGGGCGTCTGTGTGTCGCTGAATCTCGTCTTGCTGTGAAGTTAGGCGTTGCTCGAGCTGCATCTCGTTGCGCTTGCGATTTCGAAAACGTCGCGAAGCATCGCTGTTCGCTTTGCGCTTCTCTGCTTGTGTGGAGGAGCCTGACTTGAGATCTAACACACACGGGATCAATGACGAAGATAGACTTGTGCTTTGACTCGTTGGTTCTTCCTTCACGCGCGGCCCGGCCGTTGCTGTGGTCGTGTAAGGCGCTGGTGCCGAGTATGGTTGTACGCTGGATGGCATGGATGCGTTTGAAAGGGCCGGTGAAGCGCCATACGGACCAAATGTAGAATGAGGTGGAACAGGGCTCGTCTCTTGGGAGTTTGGGGTGCTCAAGAGGCCAGGTCCAGAGCTAGCTCGTCGAGAATGAATGCTAGTGGTTGAATGAAGTCCTGCTGAAGTTGTGGGTTGGGTGACTGGGAGCGAGCCGATGGGTCGAAGTGTTGATTCGAGTGGTAGAGGTGAGCTGGAGGGCGGCTGACGAGCACCCAGAGGGGGTTCTTGTGTCACCAATGGTGAGTGCGAGACACTAGATTGCCCAGATGCTCTGCCACTACCGCTGACGAACCGTGCAGACGGCGAAGTAGGGTTCATTAACGGCCGCGAATGAGACCTGGGGGACAATGGCTGTAATCCATGCAAACTTCGAGGAGCAGGCGAAGACCCTTGGCGTGGTCGAGGGGACGAGGGCCCTGGTAAATTCAATGGCTCACGAACTCCCTTCACGTCAGCTGCCTGCGCTGGATGGTTCAAGATGGAATGAACGCCAATGGACCGGGCCGAGTCGAGTGGTGGCTCAACTGGCCCATATGGGTGCCAGGACTGCGGACGAGCGCGCAAAGGCGGGCGGCGTGAGGAATGGCGACTGCCAGGTCCATAGTCGTCGGTCCCACTGCGAGCATCCTGGGAGTCGTCGGACAATGGGCCTGCGCGCAGAGGGTCCTGCGACATAGACGTAGCTCGGTTGCGGTCCTGGGGGGTTAGGGCATGACCGAGTCCCCCCTCTCTCTGAATCACTAGGGGTCTCACGAGTGTGAGAGAGGGAGGAAGTCGGAAACCGAGGGTCCGCTGGAAAATGCGACAGCTTTGGCGAGTGTAGCGACCTCGGGTAAGGCGCAGTCAATACGCTGATGCCCAGGGTAGCCACGGTGAAGGTTGGGAATAAATAAGAGGTTGTTGAGAGCCCAAGCTAGCTGGGCAGGAAACAAGCAATCAATCTCAAAGATGACAAGCGTGAAGAGAAAGTTTCAACCCAATTGCCAGCAAACGATTGGATCGCGGATTGAGATTCGAACTTCGAGGTTTAGGTTAAGAGAGATAGAGAAGTCAGAAGTAAAGGCCTAATATTTCCCACCGAGTTTAGAATGAGGAGCAGATCAACCATGTGTATGCACAACGGAAGCGATCCGAGGCCCCATTTAGCAAAGGGGTCAAAGCTAAGAAAGGGGAGGGGGAGAAGAAGGCGAGAAAGAAAATGGAGCTTTTGTAGAGCCGTTGAGATTCAGCGGTGTGCGAGGGAGAGGGGGGGGGGGGCATGATCCATCACCTTCCGGGGGGCGGGCTAAGACAGAGTTGTCTGTGTCTGTCCGACCCAGCGTGTCGGATAGCGTTGGGCAGGATCTCCTAGGACAGTTCCAGTTCTCGAGTGCCTCGTGGGATCGTGGATCAATGGATCGTCCTGGGTGATGCCAGTCAGTCACTTTCGCCCAGCCAGTGCTAATTTCTAGTACTGTCTCCACCTAGCGTGATGGAGTGATGGCTATGCTATGGGCCATGCCATCTCTCATTTCCCTAGCGATCGCCGGGGGGGGCGCGAATCACCGGCCGAGGGATGACTGGGGAGCTGCAAGTGCGCGGGTGCCGTCACCGTGGACATGGACAAGGGACAAGTGGAGAAGATGACGCTTTGGGGCGGGGAATGGGAGTATGTCCATGGCTATCAGGTCAGGATTAGATCCATGACGCAGAGAGGAACGACTCATTTTTCACCAGGAGTCCTGTCATTTTCCGAGAGTTTGGCTCTTGGAGGGGAAGCTAACCAAAACCAGAGGCATATCCATTCGACGAAAGAGGAAAGCAAATGAAAAGGAAATAGCTTGAAAATAAACCAAAAAGGGAATGGGGTTAAGAAAAGGAATAATGGGTACAACAAAGCAAACCTAAAAGGCAGCACGTTCGTTGTACAGACTTGCCTCGTCCAGGTAGTAAGTAGCAACGACTCGGACTCTCTAGTTTCCCCAGCCTGCATTTTTGTTAAACATATATGCAATGCCGGGCATTCGAATCAAACTCTGCGCGAGGCACATTGAAGTACATAGATCTTTCTATCCAAACCTTAAGAAATTACATGTTATGCGTGCATCATTGTCTCCGTGTCGGTCTCGGCACAGGGGAGGTGAACACCGTTGGTGACCGTTGGAGGAAGATAACAGGGGGGGGGGGGAGACCAATGACTCCTCCACTAAACGCAGTGGGTGCCACTATGAGCTGGAGTGGTTCCTTACCGGTCCTTGAACCTGACCCGCTAAAGAAAGTGGATTAGATTTGTGGGTTTGGCACAGCGTGGGCCTAGTCTGCGACGATGGTCGGACTATGGCGCCCAGGATGCTCGTTTCCATGGCGCTGGGATGAGGCAACTAGTAACGAGGAGAAACTAGCTAGTGGCCAACTATCTCTAAGAATGAACAGATAACAGCTACGAGTAACGAGTAACGAGTCAAGGGCTGACGAGTTGGTTGGGCTCAGGAGGTTTGGCTTGGGTTCGGACCCGTTAGATCGGAGGAATACGATGATCACAGAACTGGAGGACTGGCAGCCCTACGTCACCCTGAAGATTACATTGACTCCGAAGGAATTAATTCAACCTCTGGAGTTGATTATCAAACTCGACATCAGCAACTCGTGTTACGGTGATCTACGAGGCATTGAGACCCAATGGAATGACGGCAACATCGAGCGGCTAATTTTCTTTTCTCAATTAACACCAAGAATATTTCCCGCCCAGGAATGAGAAGAAGCAGGAGAAGAAAATGAATTGTCAGAGAGCAAAGACAAAAGCACGTCTACTCAGCAGGGCATACAGCGGGCCAAAAAAAGTGATACCTCAGTACGACGATCTCCATACGGAAGTGTGGAAAGGCAAATCCGCAGCACTAGCTCCCCTGAAGCCTCGCCAGTGATCGCGTGCATGAACGGGGCGAGTGTCCACCAGCGGTGGGGAGAGCAGAGATAGCTCAGTGAATGGGGCCTGAATCTTGACATCGATTTAATTTCAATTTCAATTTACCTTGACCCGCCGAACGGTGTTAGTGCGGATGGCTTCCGCGTGACGAGAATTGATGAAGATCGGGCTAGCGACTGAAGTGGCTGCAGCGCAAAGTGGGTTCCGCAATCCTTCGGGGGAAAGAAATGGGGCATCCTTTAACATGGCCGGAGCTGAACCCAGACTCGATTTTAGTCTTACTCGTAGTCTTGCGTGCAGGGGGCTGAGCCCGATCACTTGGTTCCCGGTCACTGGCCCAACGCCGATCGGTCAGTTTCTTCGCTAGTAGTTTTTTTTCTCCAGGGGTTGCTAGAAGGGTCTGCTATGGAGTTGCTAACCCGCTGGGGAAAGAGGGGCGATGTTCTCCAAGAGGGGAGCTCTCGGCAGCTATTCCCTACGATAGATCGATTGGCAGCTGTCAAGTTCTATTCTAGATCGTAAGTTTGGGAAAGGAGTACGAAGTGCTAAGGCAAAAGCATACATGTACGAGTATTCTGTAACACTGTACTTATGTAAATAATCCAATGTACACCGATTTTCGTTACATTGCACCACACCATGCATCCGCAGCCGCCTTTACGACCAGCAACGAATCACCGAGTGAGTATGGGTGAACAATTGCGGTCTGATAGATCTAGCGCACCTGACTGGTTGGTTGGCCAGACATTTCTAGCCTTGTCCGACTCTCGCCCCCCTATAAGCACTAGCCGCCGCGTCTCGCAGGTATCCCGGGGAGGCTAACTCGAAAGGCGGTGGTGGCGTATATTCTCAAACCACCGTTCCCAAAGTGCCGGGTCATGATGCCAGACAAAAAACCCCCCCGGATGCGTGTCATGCGAAGGTAAGCGTAATAGGGGGCCAAAACTTTGGAGGTTGGGGTTAGTCCCAGGTATCTGGTACGCGGGTTTTGCGTTCCAAGGTTCCAGTCGTGGAGTACCGGTACTTCCAAGTTGCTAGCGTGTGTTGTTTTTACTTCTTGTTTTTCCCTCTTGTTTACTCCTCGTGGATGGCGCAGAGACACGGGCCATAGACGAATTTGTTGGTGGATCTTGACGAAGAACGCTGGCATTATGACGTGAGTGGTGAGAGTGTGGCTAGACAGTGGATGAATAGTACATATTTGTATATTGTGTACTCCGTACTTCAACGAATTCCATTGCAGCTTCAATTTTTCTTTGCTTTTTCCCCATCACCGAATGTATTCTATTTCAAACCTTCCTGTTGGTACTATCCGCTCAATATCTCGTGTCCGCTGCAACCGCCAGGCAAAAGAAACGAAGCCATCATCGATCTCCATGGCCTAGACCGGGAACTGTTTTCCATTATGCTTTATGCGGCATCAATTTGTTCTTTCTGCGAAACATAATAAAATGTGTCTAGAAGTATAACCTAACTAGTACGTGCAGCGTGAGGCAATCTGGTGGCCAGGAGGGAAATGTCCTCCATTCTCACCGTAGCTACCTGCGTGCTCAACACACACCGAAACAATGCTCCAACCCGGGGAACAATCACATCTCCCCGTCCCTGCATTCGACCTGCAGGATGGACCCGCCGTGGCAATGCAGTGCCTCCCATCACACGCGTGCGATCGGACGGATTGCAAATTGGACTGAAAGGCAGGACAGATCAGTTCTGCTCTCAGTACGGAGTACGACTGTCTCGATACCATGTCCGGCCGAAACCCCTGGTTCGACATGTAACCTTCTCCCCCCATCCCCTTGCGCCCTGGAGGTCTGAGCCACTGTGACAGCGAGCCGGTCCGTCATTCCCTCACCCGTTTGGCGATCGTGACCCACAGTAGCTCATGGTTTGCTAGTTACTGCTTCGAGCTACAGAGTACATTGTACTATGAATATACATATGTATGGAGCACGCTGTACTTTGTATCAATGCCATGCCAGGGAATGCATTTGCCACTGTGGAAGGTTCAAAGGGGCAATGCACGGTCGATCGTTTTAGCTACAGCATGGATCGTCTAGTGACTCTGTTCTCCATCACATACTCCTTGAGGATCGCTCTCGCTCTCGGTTACCTCGAGTCCTTCGAAGCCTCGGGAAACAGCTAGTTCGCAAACCGAAACTCATTCTTTGCCTTTCCTCGGACCCCAACATCAACCTTAAACACTCGACCTCCGTATCGCACGGACTGTGGGAACTTTTCGTCATCATGGTCATCCTTGGCCGAGGTAATGAATAGCTCGGTGCCTACAAACGCCGGACAAGTCGGGTTTCGTGTTGGCAGATCAATCTGGCCGATGACTTTTCCCTCGGTCGAAACACGGAGAACCTTTCCACCACCGTAGATGGCTGTCCAGATACAACCCTCGACGTCAATGGCAAATCCATCTGGCTCGAGCGACTCGCCGATGTCAAAGTGTACGCGGCGGTTGCTAATGGCCCCAGTTGCGGCGTCAAAGTCGAATGCGAAGATTTGACCCGTCGGTGAGTCGGTCAAGTACATCGTGTCATCGGCATGGTTCCACCCAATCCCGTTGGGGATCGTTACTGGTGCCAGCATAGGATGCAGACTAAGGTCCGAGTCCAGTCTGAACAGCACTCCTTCGGGCGATGGCTTCTTGACCTTGGGGTCATTCATGGCACCGGCCCAGAATCTCCCGTGGCTGTCGACCGCACCGTCGTTGAAGCGCATCCTACTCGATATCAGCCCGTATTCTCACCTCTGCTTTGCGTTTGAGATGGTGGATACGATCGACTTACACCTCCGCTTTCCCCGGGCCATCTTCCTCGCCCCAAGCCTCGCGGATGTAAGTCAGTTTCCCGGTAGACCGGTTCAGCCGAGCGAATCCGCACTTGGCCGCGACAATCAGCTGATCCTGATCCTCCTTTGCTGCGCCCGCAATGTTGGCCGTCACGCTATGAGATAGTTCATCAGATATCACATTCATTCAGACCAGCAACGCAGGAGAGCACAATAGACAGGCGAGATCTAGACATACCCAATAGCCGCGTCCGTATTGACAACAGAGAGTGACACGGGCCCCTTGTCCAAGTCAAGGCGGTACAGCTTGTGATCCCAAATGTCGACAAAGCGAAACTCGTTGTTGGCTGCATCGTGGTAGGGGCCCTCGAGCAGAGTCCCCGCTATGTCGATATAGGGCTAGAAAGGCAAGGCGAGTTAGTTTGAATTTACGAGAATTGTGATTGGCTGTGGTTTAGGTTTTTGTTTCTTTATTTTTTATTTTCTAATTTCCATTCTCGTTTTTTCTTCTTTGAATTTTCAATTTCCCTGTCGACTCCAATTTCGTGCCGTGGTCATCTTGACTGAGACGAAAAAGAAGCCCACAGAAGAAAGAAAGAAAAAATTGCAAAAAAAAAAAAGAAAACGAAAACAAAATCAAAAAATATAAAGATCAAGACCAATCAAAGACCAGCTGCAACACGAAGATGGGATCAAAGAGTCTGACCTCCTGCACCGTCCACGTCTGAATTTCAGACATGCCGATCTGATCCACCGGAAGCTGGCCGAATGTGAGTAAAATAGAAGAGAAAAGAAAAACCGGGGACTTGAAATCCACTAGTACAAATTTTGACCTGTGGAAAGAATTGGAATTGGAAATGGGGAAATTGATGAGAAATTGGGACACCGCTCTTTCTAGAGGGAGGGGGGGTCAAGTCAGTCTACCGCGTCGCACAGGCAAGGACCAAGGGGGAGAACCCATGTTCGTGGACAATGAAGTAGAGCTACGAACCTCGAGTAAGTGAAAGGTTGGCAGCTCCGATCGCGGGAACTGTTCGAATTACACGGCAGGGAACGATGTTTGTGTTAGATCGTGGGTTATCCTTCTGGGCGAGACTCGGAGAAAGGGAAAGGGGGAGCGAGGGGGGATTACGGAGTAAATTGAACAACTTTAGATTGCCAAGGTCCGCCCCCACAAGTCCCGACGAAGTGGAGTCGGACTGCTATCATCTTCCGGTGGGCGTGGGTGTTGGCGTGACAGCCATGGACGGTTATGGTTACGGTGTGGACGAACCGGTAGGACGAGTGACGAGAGAGGCTGCGAGGTTAGATTAACATCGACTACGGAGTAGACACTCTGTACTCCGTAGGGGATCCTCCTAGTTCATGAAGTGCGGTGAGTGACAGTTCCACGCACTATCGATTGACCTGCAGCTCTAGAGGTCCCCATATCCATCTCTAATTCATTAAGCTCGCACTAGAATCCTCCGTCAAGAATGAAAGATGCCATGCAAAGTATAATTTTAACGCGAAACAATTATGATATACCCAGAGTATGCCCAGTATGTCCGGTATGTCCCATAGAATGCGTTTTTAATCCAATATGTGGATGGTATACCCCAACACGACGGAGCACGGGGAAGTTACACCCAGACAACACATCTGTACGAGGAAGCACAATCACCATCATCACCTTCCGAAATCGCCCAAGCGCCCACATGACCGACTCTGCATGCATCTGCACGAGATGGCCTCGGACAGACACGGCTGGGCGCTAACACACAGGCCAGGAGAGTCCTGCCCGACCCCAGAATTGGGCATGCGCAGCCCAATCACCAAATGCCCCGTGAGACAATGTCCCCGACAAGCAAATCATGTTGAACTCCATCCTCGAAATGAACGCCGCTACTGCACCCCCTCTGCCCAGCACACACGCACACACATGTACACACACACCTCTGCTTTCCCCGGCTCACTACGAGTAGTCATCTTAAAATCCGGCCCTGCAGCGATTCCAGCAAAACCTAACCTGAAAATGGAAACACGACACACATACACCCACGTCTTTCTAGCCGAACCCAATTCCGGCATAGAAAAAACAATAACAATAATAATAAAAGAGTTCAGAGTTCAGTGGTGGAACAAGTCATGATGATATGCCGGCCCGAGCCAGTGGGTGAGACTGGGAATGCATTTAAGGTAATGAACAAATTAAATGGATCATTTCGACCTAGGCAACCGTCACACCCTGATTCCTTCTGCTTATATTTTGTTCTTTCTCTTTATACGGAGTAGGACTCGCAGGCCTCGCCACCAACCGGGGGCTACGCCACGCCAGGGCCAGGGCCGATCAGCACACATCAAGTTCCAAATCGTAGTTCAACACCCGTGGACGCCAGCCAGCCAGTGGAGCCACACTGATCATTCACGTCATCGAAGTATCCGGTCTCGGCCTCTTGACTTGACCCGGCCTCATCACCAACATTGATTGATTGACTAGCATTGGCTGCGGATGTGTGCGCTGCCTTCGTTCATTCGCGTCAAGGCAAGTTAAGTTTGACTATTTCCGAGAGCCAACAAGAATCAATTAAAATTCGAGAAAACGAGGCGTCCAAAGCGTAAACAACCCTGCACTTTCACCTGAAACGAGCCCTTCGTCGTGACATGGCGTTCTCATGCAGCTCATCACCCGTCTCACTCCCGCTCGGGGTTTTTGCCAGGTAGACTTGCATGCAGCGCGACTTTTCCTATTCTCGAGTTAATTGCGCTCCGCCAGCCTCGCTTCGTAACGGACCTTTTGCCCAGGTGGGAAGACAAGGATGACGAGGATGAGGAACCTTGGAAGAGGAGGAGGCAGAGGAGCACATACGTACGTATGTGCGGAGATAGTATGTAACTGTGGAGGCATGTAGGGAGTCGATACCTTTTGCTATACTCCGTGCCAGTCTAGTCAGACCCCTACCGTAGATAACTAGTACAGCATGCCGAATCCTGCACCGAGAATCACTGCCGCTGATGGGTGATATGAACCTCGGGCTCGGGATTCGTACTAGCGGGTGCCCTCGCCTCTTTACGAGTCCGAGGTAGTCTCAACCTGCGGCTTGAATTTGCTTATGTGCGGAGTACGGAATATGCAAATGTAATTGAGAATGTACATACTCTGTATATTCCTCTCGCTTGCGGCACTATTCTTGATTGGTCTCCACTGCACAGTAGTAGTATGTACTGCCCAGCGACGTCGACATTTTCCCGGGATCACTCCAGGTGCGCACATGTACTGTACATACATGCACAGGTAACCAGTGAGCTACCCATATGTATGCACTCATACCCAAGAGCGTGGAACGTGGTAACCTGTGTTAGGGCAGTATATAAACCTTGGAAACTAATGTAATGCGGGACGCAATGTTATATTATGCAATGCTAAAGCCCACGCCTTGCCAACGTTCACCTGTGCCTTTTTCTTTTTCTTTTTTTTTTTTTTCTCGACATTGAGAAGATTCTGCATTTGCATGTGGGTTTTCGTTCTTCGATTTCCAAATTCGCAGCTCCTCCTCGAACCAGCGGTAAATAACTTACTTGCTGCAGCTAACATTCCTGCAGGATTGGGCATCAAAACTGGGCCCGGACCGGTCCCGGGGCCTGATACTTTATACTTGCCAGTAGGCAAGATACAGGATTGCGCTTTTTTCGAAAAGGACTCGGACTCGGATGCTCTCATTGTGGGTCACCGATCGGTCCCGTTGTGTCGTGTCATATCGTAACTATCGTGTGCAGCAGGTGAACTGTAGTGTATAGTATATCGGTGGCGGGATCTTGTGCCGTCGAATTGACGATCGATCGAGGTTCAATGCGGTGAGTATTCAAGTTTCCTCTTTTCTTTCCCTTTTTTTTCCTTTTCTTTTTTAATCTCCCTTCGTGGGATGAACTGGTATCAGGTCTTGCTTGTTTCGTTTATCTTGTCAGGGCGACTGTGGGATTTTCCAGCGGTGTATAGTGTACCGAGTATGTAGATCCAATTCAAGCACGAGGGGCTCGCAATTGGGTCAAACGTTCCAATTTATCAGCAAAGTTTATCTGTATCTTGTTTCAACTTGCTCTAGTTGCTGCTCTGGGTGTTTCATGCAGGTCCGGACGCTTGTGTGGATTAATTGGCGGCATTTCTGCTTGCGAGTCGCGTAGTTGTTGACCGCTCTGTAGCGAATGGAGGGTTTGAATGTGATGTAGTCCACGGGTAGTTTTTCGAAGACTCGGAGTACTAGTATTCTTCAGGATGACGACTGTGGGTCATTGGCTGTAGTATCTTCCAAGGTTTGCATGCGATGCATTTGTGCAATGCTTTGGCGGGCTTCGTAAGTTCAGACCATACTCCAGGGCTCGCTTAGCCATTCTGGTTGGAAATATGTTCTAATGAAAATATAGCGCAGTCGACGTAAACCTGTCAACAAAATTGACAACGTCTCGTCGAATAATACAAAGGTGTCTTGTCCCAGTTGGTTGAATCGAGGAGTGTGAATTTTCATTCTTCATAAACATAATTGTCATCTAGATACAAGAAAGAAGCCGCTAATCACTATTTCCCAAAGCATAAGTTCGACACTTACAGCCGGCTACCCATGTTGACATGGACAGCCTTGGTCTGCGAGTACGCCTCCATACCAGCCTCGCCCAGTTCCCGACCAATACCACTCTGCTTGACACCACCGAATGGCACGCGGAAGTCGCTGTCGTTGCTGCTGTTGATCCAGACCATACCGGCCTCAATGTCTGAAGCAACACGGTGTGCACGCTCGATGTCCTTGGTGAAGACGGCCGCACCGAGACCGTAGGTGGTGTCGTTGGCGCGGGTGACAGCTTCTTCCTCGCCCTTGAAGCTGGCGATGACGACGAAGGGGCCGAAGACTTCTTCGCGGTAGATGCGCATGTTGTCCTTGACGCCGGTGAAGATGGTAGGGGCGATGAAGAAGCCCTTGCCGTCGCCGACATTCTTGTATGGCTCGCCGCCAGAGACGAGAGTTGCGCCCTCGGACTTACCGGCCTCGATGTAGGAGAGGACTCGGTCGTACTGGGCCTTGGTGACCTGGGGACCCTGGAAGGTTTCGTCGTCGAAGGGGTCGCCGACCTTGCTGGTGGAAGCGACAACTTCCTTGAAGACAGCAACGAACTTATCATAGACGGACTCGTGGACTAGAAGACGGGAAGTAGAGGTGCAGACTTGACCCTGGTTGTACATGATACCAATGTGAGCCCACTTGGCGGCCTGCTCGATGTCGGCGTCCTCGAAAACGATCAGAGGGGACTTGCCACCAGTCTCGAGGGTGATGTTCTTCAGGGTGCCGGCGGCCATCTTCATGATCTCGCGACCAGTGATAGTGGAGCCAGTGAATGCAACCTTATCAACATCGTTGTGTTGAACCAGCGCAGCACCAGCGACACGGCCGTGGCCGTTCAGAATGTTAATGACACCAGGAGGGAAACCAGCCTCCTTGATGAGGTTGCCCAGGTAAAGAATGCTGAGCGGGGTCTGCTCGGCAGCCTTCATGACGATAGTGTTACCGCAGGCCAGGGCAGGGCCGAGCTTCCAGGCGGCCATAGCCAGAGGGAAGTTCCAGGGAATAATTTGGCCAACGACACCAATGGGTTGGCGCAGAGTGTAGGCGAACTTTTGAGGGGTGGTGCCGATGGTCTGGCCAGTGACCTTGTCGGCCCAGCCGGCGTAGTAGCGGAGGCAAGAGGTGACCTCGCCGAGATCGTCGTTCAGCGAAACCTGGTAAGGCTTACCTGCGTATTGTCAGTATTTCCATTTCTTGACTATGCCACTATTTCTCCGAGGTCCGTTCCACGCTAACAATCACTCACCGTTATCCCAAGTCTCAATGGTGGCCAGAGTCTCCTTGTGTTGCTCAATCAGGTCGGCGAGCTTTAGCATGAGAACACCGCGCTCAGTAGCGGGCAGAAGCTTCCAGGAAGGGTCCTTGAGGGCCTTGCGTGCGGCCTTGACGGCAGCATCAACATCCTCCTCACCGGCGGCATAGACGGAGGTGATTTCCGCTTCGTTACTGCGCGGGTCAGTTATTCAGTTCGCAATCGAGCGGCGGTTGCGGATCTCGCGGATCGCTGGGGAAACGATCGCGGATCAAATCACATCACATCAAATCAAGCTGGAGACATACGAAGGGTTGATAGAAGAGATCTTCTCCCCGGACTTGGAAGCAACAAACTCGTTGTTAATGAAGAGACCAATGGGCTGGGCATAGGAGCGCCCGTTCGGGGCAGTCAATTGCACGGAAAGGTTAGACATGATGGAGGAATGAAGGCGGCGTGGACGAGACAGTGAAGTCGAGAACAAGAACCGCAGAGGTCGGAAGGTATAGGAGCAATTCAACATGCTCCTCGAGGGGTGGAGGGGGGTGGAAGGTCTTAAGAAGAGCTTCGAATCATCGGAGGACCCTCACCCCCCCGCTCTGCGATAACGATAGAGAAGAGTGGAACACTCGGGTAGAGTTACTCTTCATGGGTAACCAAAGACAGAGTGATTCATTGGGTCCATCGGGGTCCCGGGTGGATCCTGGTTGGCTATATTCGCCGGGTCATTTATTGTGGTAGGAGAGTTTGTGAGGGGAAGTTGGAGGAGAGCAGGCATTCTCGGTAAGTCGGTTGACCTCGGCCTGATGACTTGCCTCTTTGGGATGACTGGCGATGACTAGCGATGATTTACATAGTTTAATTACTTTACGCTTACTGGACTTTTTTACTTTTTAACTTTAATGCGCTCGTAGTGAGAATAGAGGACTCGATTACTGTAAGTGCTAGCCCTCGCATGTTCGCTATCCTGTCAATATCATGCCGATCCGTCAACGCCCGAATATCGTATCTTGGAAGAAATATTACAAATGAAATCCGATCCTGGTCCTGGTTCTGTGCTGGACTGCCATCGCCCAGGCTAGCTGGAATTGGATCCCTCAGAGCTCAAGCTCGCTATCCTGGTCCGCCTCAGCATCCTTGCCCTTGGCGTCCTTATCTTCAGCATCTTTGTCTCCAGCTTTCTTGTCCTCACCATCCTTGCTCTCCTCGGCCACCATCTCGGCGTTGGGGTCCTCGCCCGCCAGCTCGAGAATGTATCGCCATTGTGCCGGGGTCACAGACGAGACGCTCAGTCGTGACTGCTTGACCATTTGGAGATTCTCCAGAGGCTTGCCAGTCTGCGCCTGCTCCTTGAGCTTGTGCAGCGTAACCTGGTTCTCAAACTTGCGACGAAACTCGACATGGACTACTACCCACTTGGGTACATCGCGGACGGACTTTGGATCGTAGTAAGGGTGCTTCGGGTCGAATGCGGCCTCTGGTAAGAAAAAAAACATTGTCAGTTAGAGGGGGGTTCCTGTCCAGTAGGATTGTGGGTATCAAGCTCGAACCATCAGGTGAGTGCTCCTGCACAATCTCCATCACTCCGACGACAGCTGGTGTCTTGCAGTTTGAGTGGTAAAAGAATGCGTAGTCTCCCTTCTTCATATCGCGCATGAGGTTCCGCGCTATACAATCATTAGCATGCGACTCATTGATTCGTTTCACTGTGGGTATCTTTATTTCGGTTCTTACCAACGGGGTTTCGAACGCCTGTCAAAAGTCATTAGTACATGTCGGACAGCATTCGTTCGCGTAGAAACTCACCATCCCATGGCTCTGGCCTATCAGCCGCAGCCAGATCATCAATAGAAAACTTCACGTCAACACCCTTCTCCATTCGCGACTCGGGCTCCGCCTTCATCAACCAGTATGAACGACCGGTATTCTCCTTGGGCACATCGGCCACATGCTCTTCGTCCGTATCAGGCTTCGCATCAAGGATGCTCGGCTCGTCGCCATTGGCAGGCAAGCTCTTGCGCGGGCGACCACGACCATCCTTCTTCTTCTCTTTGGCGGGAGTTGTCTCGGTACCTAGAGTGTAGCTCACAATTAGCTTGAATGAAGGTGTGAGAAGTGAAATAAGACGTACTAGGCTCCTTACGAGGTCTGCCACGACCCCTCTTAGGACCCGCGTTAGCTGCAGCCTTTGCTGCAGCCGCAGTCTGTGCCGCGGTGAGGATTTTCTTGGGACGACCGCGACCGCGCGTGGCACCACCACTCGGGGTGGCCTTGGCCGTAGGCTTTACCTCATCGGGGCTCTTGCGCGGGCGACCGCGCTTCCTCTTCTCGCCGGTCTGAGGGGAAGAAGCCTGCGTTTCGAGCTGTTAGTGACAAGGGCCTTGCATGTGGAGCCCGGGGGGGTGGATTGATGGGACGGTGATCTGAAGATTAGCACAATTGCGCGCCCCCTCCCCCTTCCCCTCCTCCTCGAAATAAGTTGCATACATTGGGAGTTTCCTGGGCAGATTTGGCATTCGCCGAGAGCGAGGGACGACCGCGTTTGGCGGGTGTTGTTGAGGCACCTTCGGACTTGCGTTTGAACGGCATTTTTGGACGAAAGGCGACGCAGGCTGTTAGGGGGAAATTGAAATTGAAACAAGCCCCGGAGGTCCTGTAAACCTTGGAAGCGAAAAGTGTAATTGATGAGCAAGTTGAGTGCGATTTCTGTGGATTCTCACTCAGCTGCAGGTTGGATTGGACTGCTGAGCTTCCAAAGTTGCTTTATTTGGTGAAGCTCGACGCGGCGCCGGGTGGGTCGAGTCCACGTGATACGTGACCTACTTATACTAGTATAGCACGATCCTACAAGTGTACTGGTTGGAATATTTCATAAATTGCTGATATAGATATAATTAAGACAGCGCTGGAGTTAATGCAGCAGGTTTTTAACGTTAAACCTAAGAAGTTGAAGTCTGCCGAAATGTCAATAGCCTGAGTAGTAGCACTACTAGTAGTATAGTATAGTAGTGTTTGCAGTGGAACTTGGACATTGGCTATCAACTCCACCGAGTCCAGGGCTTGAAGTTACCAATGTCAAATTCGCAGCGAAACTTTGGGCCTCTCATAGCACTACTAGTAATTTACCTAGTAGGTGGCATTTTCTTATTCTGAAATTTTAATAATATTGTACTATTTAACACGAAACATCCCGAAGAGTTTACGTTGAGGTCGAGCCCGAGTTTCGCGAACTATTTTCTAGCTGCCAGTGCCTGTACCAGTGCCTGTGCCAGTGCTTTCGTCTTTGCGAGATGATCGAGCTGGCTCAGATAATCTGAAAACATTTGGGTCTGATTCTCCGCCTGGCTCAATTTGTTTGGACTGTTCCTTCCCCCAACTTGTTTCTTTCTTATATCGCCTTCGTCGTCGCTGCCTTGAACCTGTACTGCTAGAATGTGTGCGTGCAGAGTCCTGCTTAGATTCCGAAGATGACACCGAGTCTGAAAATCTCAGATTGTGATCGGGATCCAGGTGTTTTGATGGCTGTAACTTTTGTACTTGCGTATAATATGGCTCAGAAGAGTCACTATCCGATAGTGGCGCTGATGGTACTAGAGCTCTGCCGTTCTCTGAATGTCCTGATCCTTGATCTGAAGGTGGTAAGGAAAACGAGACGGATTTTTGGAAAAGCATGTTGCATCTCCTCCGCTACCCGCGCCGCAGAGGCAATTCCATATTCGCCCATGGGTAGCGTAGCGATCACAACATTGTGCTTTCCCATTTTGCCAAGTGCGTAGTCATTCCTCATCGGAGGCGGCAAATACTCTGGACCATCATGCTCCTCGCCCAGAAACTCCTGAGCAGCGACATACTCGGTGGGGACAGCACAGATCTAGCCCACAGTATACTTTTGGGATCGGACATCTTTGACAATCAAATAATTGTAGGCTTGTCTGAGGAAGTGCCTCAGATGGCCTGTTGACAAGATTAAAATCATAGTGAAGCGCCTTGTCAGCTCTGAAACCCCGCCCGGCCCCAAAATCCACCCTCTCTCGCATTCAATAGACGCGTCGGAAATTCCTCGGCGCTTAGCCATATTGAGACTGATATTTGAGCCTCTGAATTGCAGGAGCTGCATATGAGGATACACTGAAACTCATATCGGGGACGGGGAGTTGTGTCGAATGTTGCAAGGTGAGGGTATACAAGCTTCCGGGTCCACTTTTGTGCCCCACGGTGATCATCTACCCTCTCGATCTGATATCATTTAGTCGGCCGAGAAGTAGTCCCACCAGAAGATGGCATTAGACCAGCTTCCACAGCGGATCTACTGCGAGGGCAGCATAAGTAAAATCCACTGGAGTGAAATAGACCTGAGTATATTGTCTCTAGTTCCTGGAAACCTGAAAATCGTCATTGAGAGCCAAATATCTGCCAGAACTTGATTCACCATCTCAATACCGCAAACGGAAGTCACAAAGCCATAACCTGTAGTTTAAGCATACAAACATGTGGCAACGGATCAGTTTGGGGTCCCCTATTGGCTATTAAAACTGGAGCCGTGAATCAAGATCGGCCTCTTGTCAATTCCGGATAGTGTGACCTACTTCTCGGTCGAGAATCCGAAAATAATACAACTTTCTTCTCATATAAATATCGTCGGGTTCCATGCAGAGAAGTTGGAAGATCAGATCAAAATGTCAGACCCAAAAAACCCAAACATCAAGACCCGAACCACTCCGCAATGGTCACTCTACCGGCGTGACGCCTTTTGGAACACCAATAATGGCGAATATCCTCTTTTCAACACAGGTATGCATACCACGTCTTGTATATAGCCCTCTAACATCTAGACTAACCACTATCGCTTGAATGGAATAGATCCAGCCGAAATCGAAAAACTGGCAAAGGAGAAGCTCTCGCTCGCGGGATGGTAAGTACACCCAATGAATCCGAGAACTTCGTTCGCGACGCGAGAACAGTCTTCCAACTAACAGTCTATCCAGGTACTACTCCTCATGCAATGCAGGCCTTTCCTGGACACACCTGGCCAACCGTCAGGCATTCTACCGTCACCGAATCATCCCACGAACCCTAGTGGACACGAACATCAGAGACACGGCTACCGAGATCTTCGGACACAAGGTGTCTGCCCCATTGGGATTCGCACCGATCGGGATAAACAGAATCTACCATCCAACAGGCGAACTATCGGTCGCGAAAGTCGCCGAGGAGCTGAACCTCCCATACTGTCTTTCTTCCGCTGGCAGCTACAGCATCGAAGACGTGGGAAAGGCCAACGGCAACGGTCCACGATTTTTCCAGCTTTACCAAAGTCATGATGACGAGCAGTGTATCTCTATGCTACAGCGCGCCTGGGACTCGGGATTCGATGCTTGCATGTTGACTACTGATACTTGGTCGTTGGGGTGGCGACACAATGACGTTTTCACCGGGAACTATGCCTTTTATCACGACCACGGGGCTGGAGACATTGCTTTGAATGATCCGGTATTTCTGAAACGGCTGGAAGAAGCCGGGATTGACCCGAAGAAAAATCCCAAGGAGGCTGGTGCCAAATGGATTGATGAGAATATTTGGCATGGTCGCGCTCATACTTGGGAGAAGGTCAAGTGGACGATGCAGCAATGGAAGCGCATTAGTGGCGGGAGACCGTTCTGTCTGAAGGGAATTCAAAGCGTGGAAGCTGCTCAGAAATGTGTTGAGATGTGAGTGTCTTATTGTGTGGATGGCCTTTTGGATGGCTTCGCTAACGACCTCGGTGTTACAGGGGAATTGACGGAATCGTTGTGACGAACCATGCCGGCCGCCAGGTAGATGGTGCTATCGCTAGCCTCGATGCTCTGGAGAAAATCGTCGATGCTGTAGGCGACAAGATATACGTGAGTCCTTCCATTCGCTATTGTCAAATTTTTGTTGCTCACAAGAAATGTTCCACAGATTATGTTCGACTCGGGCGTACGAAGTGCTGCCGACATTTTCAAAGCCATTGCGCTGGGTGCCAAATTTGTCTTTATCGGACGCATGTGGATTTGGGGACTTAGCATAGCTGGTGAGCATGGTAGGTTTCTACAAAGCCCGGAAATGATAATTGATTGTTTAATGACCCATTCTCGCTTAGGTGTTCGCCATGTTTTGAAGAGTTTGCTGGCAGAGTTTGATATTTTGATGGAGGAGGCTGGATTCCAATCTATCGACCAGATAAACCGCTCTGCTATAGACAGCCTGCCGAACACTTCGAACTTGATTGCCGAGCGTTCCGAAATCTAGTGCTTTTGCAGCGGTTTATGGTATTATCGGAGGTGCTGGCCTATTATTGTCGAGCCGCGGTAGTTCGGAATATTTAGGGGTTAAATTTTAAATTTAGATCTCCGGAACATCTAAATGATCAAATAATTGAAGGGCCTCTCCGTTCTCGAGCCATCTACCTCTGAAGAGTGATGACGAGGATAAGGAGATATTCATGGTGGCGCACGTATCTGGCAGGAATGAGTAGCTATCGGTTTATGTTATTTTCTCTCTTTTCGAACAAACCATATTTTTTGGCGCCGCGGTGCGCCCCAAACAAAATCAGCCAACACGGCTATTTCACTGTCCATTCCTAGGAATGTAAACACGTAGAATCTATTGCACCTTCGTATGTATGAAAGGATGCAGTTCACATGAGTTTTTGATCAAACATTTGGCTATATACCTCACTTCCTCCAGTATCCTTTTTTAAATTTTCATCTTCTCGATCTCTCTAAATTTGCGCTATTGTGTAGTCTCCAGGGGCAGGGGCCCCTTTATGAAGTTGGAGAATACACTGGACTATCTGAAAGTACTGGAGACTACTCAGACGACAGGTACGTGTGGACTTGAGAATGGTCAGATCAACCCGATAGGGATCAAGACTGACCAACAGAGTGAACCTTCGGTTGAGCCAATGGCCTTACAGGATCAGTTTCGCAGATCAAATTACTACTGCTGATCTGGCGAATCCAAGGTAAGAATTATAGAGAGGGTTCAACCGGCCAATCAGGGAAGAAGACTAGGGTGATCTGCAGGAGTCGCACCTGGCACAAATCTCCGATCTATACTATATATTTACCATTTTCAGGGCCCAAGGTTCCAAATCTGCTTGGCCACGCTTTTCTACTACTCAGGCTTGAGCAACTCGAACCCTTCTTCCCACCATCTGCCCTTTTCGCCTTTTCCGAAAACCAAGAACGAATGCCAGATGAAGATGGGGGACTCCCCTGCCCCACGTCGCACCCGACGCGTAAGTAGATACTCACGCATTTGTCCTCTGTGGTTTCAACAAGAATACGCACAATGCAGCACATGTTTCCCGGTGACGGTAATCGACACCAGTTTCAAGGCTTAACTGGGGCTATAAAGCAGATCCTGATCAAGGATTTGACTGCTTCCTCGCATAGCGTATTGATATTATCGGTGCAAAAAAGGAAAGTGGTAAAAGTCATTTTCGACACATAGGCTTGAATTTCGAAGGAATCTAGAAAGGTCCTAGGTACATTCTCGGTTGAAACCGAGTTCCCCGCGCCAACTCTCGACAGAATGACCGCTTGTCGTGGCTATTTTACTCATTAAACCAAAAGTCATCTAGAACTTGTCTAGCTGACGCCCTTGCCGACTGTTCAAATTGCAATAACTTTCCAATGATTTACCCCAGCCTCCCGATATTCTCTCTGGTGAGACCAGGTCTCTGCGGGCCATTAAAGCACACTTCTTGTCAACGTATTGTGACGAAGGCCATTTGCAAATCAGTGCTATCACTTGGGTGACATTCCACACTTCACTCTGCATTGGTGGATGCTTTTCATAACAGGTCCAGGAATCTTACTCCGGACTTTGTCAATCTGAGAGCGACTGAGGGCATCGCCGAGGCTGTCTTCGAGTACATCGTCCGGTACGGAGAAAAGAGCTTCAAACTGCTGAGTCCGACCAAAATCATCTGTGCCAAATGCGGCGACGAATGCGCGGGTTTCGCAGCTGGGGTTGAACTCCATATGGGGTGAGCCTTGAGGGAAGATGGTAGCTTGGAGAGTATTCATGGTCAGATTGACAACCCGTGGAGGAGCACTGGAGTTTGTGGTCGGGGGTTCAAGCGCTAAGAATGTATGAAATGTTCCGTTGAGCGCAATGTTGAATTCGGTGCCTCCAACATGTACATGAGGGGTATTAAACCCGCAAGGACCCAAGATACCGACAGCCATTCCCACACCTTGACCAACTAAGGCAGGGAAGGTCTCGCTTGTCGCATCAACAAGATATCCCCCATTAACAAGCTCACTGCTGGGACCTTTGCCGAAGTCGAAGACAAAATCCTCATCCTTCAGCAACTCATATCTGGCATGGCGACTTGGCGCAAGCATGAGTTGTTGTGTCAGGGTGAGGTCGATGGCAGCGGCAATTCCACTGCAGGAAAGAATAGCAATTGAAATTAACTGGCGAAACATCACGGATTGGATGACGAAGAGGATGGTTTTTTCTGGTAATAATTGATTCCAGTTCCTGCCGGCTTTCGAATTTGTGAAAGCGATTGTATCCGATAAACCTGTTTCTTACGACGCGACGATAAATGGGCTTTTATAATTTTCAGTTCTACTTCCGTAGTGCTTACAATGACACGTCGCTTATTTATATCATAATTGTTGAGGCATTTAGAGGCGTAAACCTTCTTTCGACAATTGGCCAGATGGTTTAGTTTTCATCGTTATGCAAGGTTTTCCATTGTCGGAATGGTAGACGCTACCCTAGGTTTCCATCAATGAGGTCTTGCGGTATATGCTTCGATTATATTTTTCTTGTATCAGAGGGCTGGGTTTCCTTCGAGTTATTGAAGAAATGCTTTGGCTGGAGATTTTACGTGTCTACATGTCCACCCTGGATTCCAAAGCCACCCGAAAAGCTTAAATAGTTTCCATAAACTATGTAAGTAGTTGACTTTTCTACTTTGTGGACTAGGAAGAGCATTTATCAAAAGTCCCCCATTCTGCTATGGTTACTAGAAAATTAGGTAGGGTAGTAGCTACTCGAGTTAGGGGTTACCGTTCTATTGTTACATCTTTGATGTAGACCGACATGCATCCTGGTTGTAGGGGGACTATAAACAAAGTAGACTATAAGAGAGCTGGATTAGAGAGATCCAGGGAAAAAGAAGAAGAATGATAATAATAAGAAGAAATAAGAAAGCCTACGCGACGTGTAGAGATGAGCTGTTAATGTGACTTAACTTGCCTCAATCTAAGTAACAAGGCCACACCACTACTCACACATTGCCGTTTGGTAGTTCGTACTTTTGTTCAGTAAGCACCAGGAATGTCACTTAAGAACTAGGCCCCGGCATTTACATAGCTAAGGTCGAATCTTGATAAACAAGAAAGAGCAGGCCGTCAACAATACTCGCGTCTCACTCCGTACAATTCTTGTGCAACTCCTAGGCAAGACACAAGTATTCACACCCATTTCGATTACATTGAATTTCGTCGCTACCGGGATTGGCCACCACGCCGTCCTACGCCGTGACAGAAATGGCTCCCATGATTTAATGCTCTACTTCACACCATATGGAAGGTAACGCCCATCCTCGAAGCTCAGGGGCTGATTGAAGGCTACAAAGTGAATTGCGCAAACCAGGGCCATGGATAGCGGCGTCTACAAACAAGGCTGAACGGAATAATACACAAAGCCCTCGAGGATTCATATTTCTATCGATTCTTTGGAGCAGGTCTTGGCTTCTTCGAGTCACTCCCTCGAATACTAGTCTCTGACACCGCGAATAGGTGCCTGCATCTCGCCAGAGGATCATGACGAGGACCGCGGCGCCACAGTCGCTAAACGAGCACAAATTTGATAACACAGGGCTGTAAGGGAGAACTTAGTGACAATAGGCCAGATGGTGGATCATGGTTCTTTTTGTCTGTAGAGCTCAAAGAATGTTCGTTAGTTGTCTTATTGAGATGCTCCTCAATGATAGTGGACACCGTGGTACTGGAATCTTAGAAAATCCTTTTGGCTGAGTCTCTATTCCAAAACTAGGTGACAGGCTAATAGTAAGACAACAATAAGGACTGACCTGCAAATTTACAAGGCAATGTTTTGGTTCTCCTTGACCTCCACAACTTACAAGCATTCAGACAGTGTGTATATATAGGCCCCCTTGTCATGGGAAACCTTGTTACGGCGGCGAAAGGGTGATGAACTGGGAAGAAAGGCGGGGGTGGGGTCTTGCTGAGGACAAAGATTGAGATATACGCATAAGCATTTGAACACGTAAGGATAGGCAGTGCATAGAGCACACAGATAAGAATAGGAACTGCCCCGCCTCGACATCGCACACATAATGAAAGAGTCTGTGTAAAACGCATCCATAAGAATAGAGGCTGCATCGCACACACAGATAAGGATAGGACCTGGTAGAACGCATCGATAAGAATAGACACTGCGTAGAAAGTAAGCATGGGGATGAACAGAGGTAAGAAGGGCACAAATAAAGATAGATGCAGGGAGACCGTACACGTCGAACTCACACCCATCCACCCGCACGCTCGCACGCACTATTAGCACACGGCCTCAGAAATCATGTCTGCATCGCCCACTGGACTCCCAAGGCGAAGATATTTGGACCGTAGTCCAGTTGATGAATTTCATGATAGCGACCAGAGCGTGGAACCCAAACCTTGCACATAGCGAGAAGTCATTCAGCTACCGTATCATGGGCTTAAAAAAAGCAGGGTCCCGTCGGGGAGATCTTCGGGCTTTTCCATGATTTGGCTTGTGAGGGATCCTTTGCGCATTATTGGGGACAAAAACCCAATGTTCATCAGCCGCGTCGGCGGACAAGTATTTTTGAAACGTCCTGCAAACGTCGGGACTGGTCAGTCTTGGGAGGGATATCTTGAAAAGTGTACAGGTCATGAACCGCTGCTCTAAAACCGCTGCTGTAGAACCTTGCATATTCAGGCAGCATCTCCTCTTGAGCTGAGCCGTGGGAAGTAAGCACAATATCCCATTTATAAACCTTGAAAACATTCTCACGGATTCTTGATGACTACCCCTTCGCCCCAACAGCCTTCCTCCACTGTAGCTGCATGTCCAGAACTATATGTATAGAGCGTTTTTTTATCGTGAGAAAATGGGTTGGGGCGAAGGGGTAATCAACTAGGAAGAAGCGCAGGTAGGAGTTTTCTCCCTTCACCAGTACTAACTTGTATTTGAGCCGGCACAGCCGCACCTCCCAAGCAAACACAAAGCATAAACAACATCAGCAAACAGCAGTAATGACGTACGCATTTTGCATGCCTAGGTGAATTGAAAGCATAGTACTACTGCAGCATCCATTGATTACCAATGTATAATGCAACAATCTCTTTAATATCCGATTTTTACCCATGCTACGTAGGATAATCTCCAATCCAATCATAGAAAAGATTATAGAGGACTGGATAACTACTGAATCAGGTACCAGATATCGTATTTTAGTATTTTCAAAGCGACAGCTGGCTGTTGAATCGGGCTGAGGTAAACATGAACCGTCCTACCTGCATCAATCTAGCAGGAGGATGCAAGGAGCAAAGAACTAGTATTTTCGGGTTTTTTCCAAGGCTTGATCAACGCGACACCTCAGCCTGTTCCTATATGTTTCTATCAGACTGAAATTGCGGCTTCTAGTAAAAGTTCTCGGATACCACGGGAATTTACCGGAAATTCCCTTGATTGCCCAGGTGTTAGTGACAGTTTTATGCCTCCAGCACTCGGGTGCGCAACACTAAGGAGAGTTTGGTGTAGGTTAACGTTCAACCCCGCATTTCATGCCTGGGGCGCCCGCCTATTGCCGAACGATGCGGTTTCTTTCACCGCATCGCCAAAGATCGACTTTCTATCCCCCGAACTTAACAAAAAACCACTTAATTCATTCCTTTGTATCTTCCATCCGTTTCTCTGCAATCGAAACATCGCTTGAAAGGAGGCTTGTTGGTTGATTCCGGGTCCGAAGCTACGAAAAGACAGCCGACCCAAGCTCCAATACGATATAAATCCACCCACATAGCTCAAAGCTCGAACTTGATTCTACGAAGTCGAGACAACGCTGAGAATATTTAACTTCCAACGTTTAAGTAGACCGAATTCACCATGGAGGCCATATCGAGACCCAGCTCGCTCAGTGCTGCTGCCCAGCAAATATCCGATGCGGTGAACGGCCATGAATCAGACCTCCACGTCATCAACAAAAAGGTACACTTCGGAAGTCCAACCTGAAAATATTGAAATTGGAAACCCCTTTTCCAACTTCTGACATACGATAGATTCATAGCAATCCCGAGACGTGCTATGAGGAGTTCCAAGCTCATGACGTCATTGTTGATTTCCTTGAAAAGCGAGGCTTTGGAGTCACAAAAAATGCGTTTGGCTTGCAAACCGCGTTTCTTGCTGAGTACGGGCAAGGAGGTCGAATCGTGACATTTTGTGCGGAATACGATGCATTGCCTCAGATCGGGCATGGTTGTGGCCACAATTTGATCGCCGTCTCATCTATCGCCGCTTTCCTGGGAACCGTCGCAGCGTTGAGAGAATCATCGTCTCCTGGACGAGTCCAGTTACTCGGATGTCCCGCTGAAGAAGGAGGTGGTGGAAAATTGAAATTAATCGAGGCTGGTGCTTTCGCGAATGTTGATGCCGCCTTGATGATTCACCCTACACCACCGGTTGATCACTCCCGACCGGAGATTGCTGGTATATCCTATGGGACTTGCCTGTCGGCCTGTGGGGTGAATGCCACTTTCATTGGCAAGCCTTCCCACGCTGCGGCAACGCCTTGGGAGGGTATTAACGCGCTGGATGCTGCGACATTGTCTTATACGGCAGTCGGTTTGCTTAGACAGCACATTAGACCAAGCGATCGTATCAACATTATTATGCCCGAAGGGGGTACTGCGCACAATGTCATTCCGGAAAGAAGCAGGATTCGATGCAATGTGCGATCTGAAACGGCGGCACAGATGAACTCGCTCAAGACCCGCGTGGAAAATTGCTTCAAGGGCGCAGCTACTGCGACTGGATGCACCATGGAGCTAAGCGTGGCGTAAGTGAAGATAGCACTAGGATCCCTAGCCCGTCATGTCAATCTTTTGAGACAATTGCTGACCAACCCTCACAGGATGGCTCCTTATACGGATATTCGGCCAAACGAAGGACTATGTACGGAGTTCGCCGATGCCATGCAGAAATGGGAACGGCAGTTTGTTTGCAATCTGGAGGATAAAATCCTCAGTGCATTCAGTACCGACATGGGTATGTACTAGTCTATTTCAAGCGTTTATTGAGACCCGAGCTAACGCATTTACCCAGGCAATGTGAGTTACAAAGTACCTTCTTTCCATGGAAATTTCAGTATTCCGACGGCACCTGGTGTTGGACTTCATACGGAGGAATTCAGAGATGCAGCGGGGACCCCAGAAGCGCATGAAGTATCCATGGGTGTCGGAAAAGGAATGGCAATTACAGGATTCCGAGTTCTCGAGGACGAGCAATTTGCTTCCCTAGTCAAGCGCAATTTTGAGGCGGACAAGAAGTTGAGGTAAAAGGTCAACCCATTGCCAGTGGCTCAGCACGGCCCAGGAGTAGCACAAGCCTTCCAACCAAAAGCAGTCTAAAGTCCACAATACATTCTAGGAGTCTTACATAATCTGTGGTTATCAAAATTATTGGATCTTTGCAGAGACTCGCTCAAGCTTCCAAAAGTCGTAGAAGCAAACATTTTGAGAATCATATACACCAGTCTCCAACCCAGTTGACATTGGTCAGTGTCTATAGACTGCCAGTGAAGGATGACACGGCGGCCTTTATTATATCTGAGGCCGAAGTAAGGCACCCAAGCCTTTGCAGGTTTTGGGCTTCCGTCTCATCTTCAGAAAACTGATTTACTATCAGTAAATAGTCCCATACTTTGAATCGGTCTTATCTCAAGTCCATACCCGTTTCTAAGCCCATTACTGCTGCCATAATAGTTCCGGAACCTCACCCTCGGGGCACGCAATAGCTTATTAGAGAAAGCAGAATAGTTGCAGACGGCTATTTTCTACGAACGTAATCAAATTATATTTGCCAGGTATAGCTTCCCAATCACGGTTATTCTAATAGGTCAACTACAATTAAAATTTATACAAAACAACACAGCTTGTGTCTGGAAGGAATTCTTTTTCCCCACCCGGTTTTGATTCAATTCTAGCCTTGTATCTTATATGTTTGGTTTTGCCCGGCGTGGTGGGTGCCAAGACACTCCCGGGCCGCGAGGGGTTTCCGCCAAGAACCCCGTGTTGGCCCCAACGGAACTTATCTTCCTCCGCTTTCTTCTATCTTGAAAGGGAGGAGATTCGACTGAACCGGTGTCCCCACCTGGGTGTTTTCTCTCGCTCTGCTGCGATATCGAAGACTAGGAATTTGATTTTTGAAACTATCTGTGACCATGGCGTTTCCAGACTGGCTGAGCATGTATGCATTCCAGGCATCACTTTGGCCGAATGAGCATCCGTTTCTAACTTGATATCCAGTATTCTTTTATTTCTGACAGCTTTTTCAATTTATCCATGGATTCAATGTCTCTGGATCAGAAAGGATAGCTCAGGAATCTCCGCCTGCTACATACTTTTCAATCTTGTCGCCGCAACGGAACAATTCACCATCATATTCTGCCTTCTGGTGAACGATACCGTTGGCGGTGATCTCATTGTTCACACACCACCAACCACTGGCGACTGGATCAATCTCTTGCAAATGTCATTATTCTGCATCTTATTACTTACTGTGTATGTGCGAGTACAGCCTCGGCGCTGTCAGTTGCCGTTTCTAATTAACCTTTGCAGTTTTGTTCTCACTCTCCATTATCTTCCAAGGGATGATCTGGTCCACAAACGTACCGCTCTGGTCATTTTCATCGCCTTTCTGCTTGTCAGTATTATACCAGAATTAATTGATGTCATTGCTGGGGGTCCCCATGACACAAATCCCGATCGGGAATTCCTAATAGCCTGGTTCGGAATTCCTCACATAACATTCATAAACCCTGTGGTGACATTGTCAATCATTGCGTCATTTATAATTCAAATTCGCCGCAGTTTACGAGAGAAATCGCTCTGTTTGAGTGTTCGCACACTTGCCACTCAGGCTGTTGTCTTTGCCTGTCTTGGTGCATCATGGTTCTTTCGGGTCCGGTGGCCATCGAGCCGCATCCCCGCATTTTTTGATTCTCCTCTTATGGAATGGTATCGACAGATTGGATGGCCAGCTGTGGATCATCTTATATTTTCTCTTGGACAGGCGATTCTTTGCTATATTACTTGGCGACGTACTAATGGTAGAACTCATTCCCTATCAAGGGAAAGGGAGCCCTTGTTGAATGATGCTTGAGGTTCACTTAGGCTATTTTACGATCGCTGGATTTTTGCTTTCTTTTCTGATCGGAAAACGACTTCTTGCAACATTCAATTTATTCTCCTCATATCTATTTCCAGAGATATATCTCAACAATAACAACGGTACGAGAACTAGCTCTATCTCGCAGGAAAAGGGAACAACTATTTGCGCTCTGCCACTACTATTATTATCTGTAAAGCCCGATTTCGTACTTTGGCCATATCCCCTGAAACTGACGAGAGTATCAGCATGGGTCCCATCTGCAGTGCTCCAGGTCACTTTCAGAGGAAAATCGAATATCAATATATAAGTCGCATGACTGGTCTAATAGGTATAATGAGTGAAAGTTGGATTTGAAGGAGAAGCAAGCTGCCTCTATATGTGAGCGGGCCTTGACCGGTTACAAGGAAAGTGCGTGCTACACTACTAGTACAGTATTTCCGGAAATCGGTGTCACCCCCTACTGCACTCTCGTTGTTCCCCGAACCCTAGATGCCAAGAGACGCTAAACTGTTTTTGATGTCAATATCAGCCGCCTTGGTTTTGATGTTGTATTATAAATAACCGGACTATCGTAATCGCGGGTGGCTTGTTCTTTTTGCTGACTGTCACAAATACCGTGATATCAAATTCTAGTAGCGGACGCCCCGATTCTTGGTAGCGTAAAACGATGCATCATATGATGTACAGCAAAGACAGAGTCAGTACATCATAAATAGCGGAAGTCGTGCAATGAAGTGAGCGCTCGATGTCTAATATACTTCAGAACTCGCTCATTCGGTAGAGCCAGATCTTTCCCCGTCCCCGTCGGTCGATAACCAAGTATCGCCCCTATTCTGATCTGAGAAGGGTGAAAGGTGCACACGGTTCCATTAGTCTCCTAAATTAGAACTAGATATATGGCGTGTGGTTGCTCGCGTGACGGTAGCCCCGGCACACATTCCCACCAATCAAGTTGCTTTCATTCCCACGCGAAAGAGGAGAGAAGCTCGTCGCAAACCAGGCAGGATGAAAGAGATGCAAAGCGAGCAACATATGCGAGGAAGACGATTCCAAATGTTTATACTCACTTCACATTCTTCGAATGCGACTCGGTAGACCCGTCGTTGCTAAGTGCCAGAACTGTCATAGCCAAGTGCTTCATGTGTTTCGCCAGGTGCTCCGTTAGTTCCTTCCAGGAACTAGAGATGTTTCCGCAGAACCGACAGGGCTCCTGGGCGGGGTCAGTTTCGTATCTGCATTTCTTGACCATCTCCCAGAGGCGGTCCAATTCCGGTTTATGTTGACTATCAGACGCAGCCTCAGAAGCCAACAAGTATTTTGTTCTCCTGACTCTGGGATCAGGCATCTTGTGCTCCCGGATCAGATGCAGAACAAATTCATTTTTGCGGTAGGATGTATGGCTGCAGTCGAGGTATGAGCAGGTCCACCACTTCAGTCGCCGGTGTCGCTCGTTCTCATGTCGAACCCAATCCTCCATGCGGCGGAATGATTTGACATCGTTACATAGAGGAAAGCTGCAGGTGAATGGCTGCAAGTCGTCGTATACATGCTTCGTCCAGTGGGAAGGTTTTTCGAAAGTCTTCACTTCGAAACAAATGGGACACTCAAATTCGGCCGGCAAGCGCTCAACTGGAGGGAGGGGGACGCCAGGGGGGAACTGCGCCGATGTGGTAGCGTTTGCACTTAGGGTAGCGTTTGCACTTAGGATACATAACTGCTCATGTTCATGACTAGAGTCCGTAATTTGGAGCTGCATCAGCCCAGCTGGCAAGTCGGTGGTGGCCTTGTGCCGTCGGTATAGAGATGCCTCGCCTCCCAGTGCGAAACAGAAATTGCCAGACCGGCACCCTTGATTGGTAATGGCAGCCGAGTGCATATGTTTCCAATGCATAAGGTTCCCATACCGTTTAACTTGCTCCTGCGCAAAGCGCCCAATGAGAATGAACTCGAGCTGCGGGTATAATTGCATGATCTGTACTTTAAATTCAGCAAGTGTAAATATGGGCAGGCGCGACACCATCGGGGACTCCACCGCGAGACCCTTATCATTCCGCAGTTCTGTATTCTGGTCACTTGAGAAGCCCCTTTCCCTCGATCCCGGTATACTCGTTGCGGCGACTGGGCCTCGGCGCGACACCATCAGGGACTCCACCGTGAGACCCTTATCATTCCGCAGTTCTGTATTCTGGTCATTTGAGAGGCCCCTTTCCCTCGATCCCGATGTACTCGTTGCGGCGACTGGGCCTCGGCTGGACAAGACCTCCTCAGCCATGGCCATGGCTCGGCGGTAAGCCTTAGCATTAACAAGAATGTCATCGAATTCAAATTCATGCTCGCCAGTCAACATAGCCCCACCTCCAAATATACTATCAGCAGTTCGCCTGGAGCCCAGGACCGAAACAGCCACGTCGACATTGGGGTTCGCTTGCCTTAGGGAATCAGCCATGCAAACTTGCTCGTCGAGGAAAACTTTGCGGTCTCTGACACCTTTAAGAATCTCATCGATGGAATCCCTTGAGGAAAATGGAGGAAGTTAGTACTAGGTATAAGGCTATTGGTCACTAGCTTATAAAGAGACTTAGGAGTTGCGGGAGCCTTTACATTTGGAGCAACTGAACCAGGAATGCCACGGAAGACTGCTGTCCTTGCAACAGAGAGATATACCCTTTCATCTCATCCTCATTCCATACAACCCTCGCCTTGTTTCGCCATCTCGTTATCAATGACCGCTTCGCGCCTGTGCCAGCTTTGCACAGTTTTTCAAGGGTATTATCAAAGCACGATAGTACAACCATACACCCGGTGAGTGTGGTGTCCATAGTGTGGATGATATCATCCTGATTGCGGATCGCATGGTTCTGTACCGTCACCATCTGTAGACGTGACAGACCGGTCTTGATTGCACGACATTGCGATGCTAGAGCTGTGATGGTAACTTGAGCATGTTGGAACTTGCTGCGAAGAGCGTCTAGCGAACCAGCGGCTTGCAGGCAGACCCCGACAATTCCTGCAATCGATGCAGCGATGGAAAGGGGATCCATCCTCTAGGAGAGAATACAATGTGAGGTCACTCTTCGATAGAAACCGAAGGTTGGGTCGGATGACTCAGGTGCGAAGTCGTCCCACAGACTGATTGTGGCTTAGCAATCAGGCACCGTAAAAGTAGCTATATTAGGACTAACGTGAAACGTAAAGCAGTAAATCGGGGGGCGTCTGCCACCTTGAGTATTACTCTATTTGTAACAGTCGGCAAAAAGAACAAGCCACCCGCGATTACGATAGTCCGGTTATTTATAATACAACATCAAAACCAAGGCGGCTGATATTGATATCAAAAACAGTTTAGCGTCTCTTGGCATCTAGGGTTCGGGGAAAAATGAAAGAGCGTAGGGGGTGACACCGATTACCGGAAATACTGTACACGTTTGTTGATTGTTGATTTGTTCAAGTTGGGCGCGCCTGTCTCCTTTCAGGAATATGATGCACTCCTGATTCAACTTTGTTTACAGCCTGGACTCAATGAGCGAATCTAAAGTCCAACCTCTTGCTTCCCTGCACATCCGTGTTCTTGATATACTCATTCCGCTCCTCCTCTGACATTCGGTTCCAGATCTTCTCCCTTCGTCCGTTCTCATAAACGTAATACGCCTTGGCTCCGAGAAAGAGCGCAATCGCAAGGATATTTATTGCGATAAGGGAAGTATTTCCTCGTCGATATTTAGGCTTGTCATCGTCGCGGTAAATGAAGTAGGCGGCCACATCACCGGCTTGAACTGCCATCTGTAGTTCGTGTATTTCATTAGCATCTGTGTAGTTCCAGGAAGGCGTCACGCGAAGACCTACATTGTAAAGCGCTGCTGAAACGGAACGATTTCCAACGTTGTTTGAGTTTCGGGATGCCCATGCAACCACAATTGCTATAAAAGTCAGCATTCGTATACTAGTTCCGTGAAAGGAGATTGCTCTTCACATACCGTGACAGTAGGGGTAACTCAATAGCACAGTAACCACGGCATACGTGCCCCAAGCATTCGAAATGACATCCGGCCAGAATCGCAAAGCAAATATACAAGGTAGAGTCCAGAGACCCTGGAACATCGCGACCAACGACCAGGAATTGAGTCGGCTGGCTACCCAAGTAATAATAAGCAGATTGATGATATGGAACACACTCGCCGGAATTGTAAGAAGATTAGTCTGGAACTTATCAAACCCAACCGAGCGGAGCGTAAGAGTGATATACGAATTGACCGGTGACTGTGGAATATATGCCACGACGCCAATGAGGTAAATGGGCCACATGTGGTAATCTTTGATTGCGCTCCATAGTCTTGTCGGAGTGATTGCTTGTCGATTGTGCATGTCCCCCTTGGACGGATCGTCACGCAGAACTCGATTCGCTACTATCGCGACTTCGCGATCGCTGAACCAGCCCTTCGGTCGGAACCAGGTCTTTGTTTGGACGACGGAGGCTGGCATCATGAAGAATGATGCGAGTCCAATTGAGAGGGTTATTACGCCCTCGATTAGGAAGAGCCATTGCCAGCCGGCCATTCCGTGTACACCGCTGAGGTGGAAAACTGCAAAGGCGAGGAGGGATGTTACGATTGTAGTGACCGAAAGTGATGTCCAGAAGAAGCTATTCATTGTTAGTTGGGTATGAGACTCGGGGAGAGTGCCGCGCGTACCTCAGCCGAATGGGAAGCTCTCGGGCAGTGTAGAAATACGACAGCCAAAGGACGATGTCGGGAATGAAACCCCCCCTATAGATTCATAAGAAACTTGCATCAATGTCTTATTCATTGGACTCACCTCTAGTGCACCCAGCAAGCATCGCGTAACGAAAAACGATGTTTTACCACTCAGCCGGCACTGCGCTATAGCCACCACGGACCAGAGCACCATCTGGACAGGAATCCAGCGGTCCGGTCCGATCTTTTTCGACACAAGCTGCGAAGGGAGTTCTGCGACCAGAAACGAGAGTCGAAAGGCGATGTTGCCGTAGTTATAGTCTAGAATGTGACTGTTAGAATATTTCTCCGGGTCCAAATATCAAATAGCCATCCGTCTCACTATTTGATCCAAATATCTGCCCTTGGATAGGACTCACCATTAGTAGTTAACCCAAGATCGGTCAAAAAAGTATCAGAAACCGCCTGAACGAGATTCCCCCGATCAACCTGCAGCGCAAAGAACATAACACACTGTAAAAGAACAGAACGGCGATTAGTTGTCGGCGCTTCCATCGAGGGGGACTCAAGCCGTAACATACAGCCCATAAACAAATTCTCCAGTCAAGTTTTCTCACTATGGCCTTTTCTTCCTCGGCCGTCCAAGTAAGTGCAGGATCAAAAACATGCCGACACTCATACTGCGCCTTTTCATAAACCGTCCTCCAATACTCCGCGACCTCAGGATCCAGGAACGGATTAATTGCGTCGGCATTTTCGCCATCAGGCTCTAAAGTCCCGTAACTTCTCTTTCGTTCTTGCGGTGAAGTCTCACCAACCGTGGACACCGCGGTGGTCTTTCCTTCTATTGCGCTCATCTCGCTGTATAAGACGCGATCGCGATGAGACTATGTTGATTATGTTTGCACTTGTCTCGTCACCGAAAGAGAAACGAGGGGAAATAAAAAATTGACAGTTGGTAAATCGCCATTTATAATCCTTTCTTTCATCCTCTGCTGAAAGGACCCTTGCTGCACGGCTTGGAATGGCGATAGCGCTGGGTGCCATGATGTGCTATGATGTGCTAGAGGGGTATTCGAGTTGAATATGGACTCGGAGTGTTTTCAGACAATCTCCGCGCTTGGCGGTATAAGCCTATACCAGGGCCTTGGCCATGTGCTTTTTGTTTCAAAGTCAGTTCCGGGGTTTGCGAGAAGCTTGATAAGGACAGGGTTGGAAATGGTGCATGAAAGAAGTGGTGCTGCTTGGGCTGCTAACAAGCGATAATGAAGAATGCAAAAATAAAACCAAAATGAAGAAAATCGATCCTCTATAGAGTTCTGTAAAAAATAAGATGCCATGTGTTATCGGAAATGTCATTTGGAAATCCTGTACAATCCATTGCCATTGGGAAATTTGGGGCGGCTTGGCGGAGGCCAAGACAAACGCAATGTGCACCAAAATGAAGACATTGCAATACGGATAGCGCTAGGCTGCCATTTCTCAAGTTGTTGGCTATCTTATCCGCTTATTTAGACAGCACGAATCCCAGGGAAATTCTATGTTCATTTTGACGGCTTGAAACCCCGGCTCGCTGAATACGTCAGCATTATTATGTCCCGGTCGTCTTGGGAGGCATGGGATTTCATTCGGTTCAAGTTGGCTACTATTTCCAGGGCTAGTAGTGGCTTGCAGCAAGGCCACTCATGCAGCGCGACCGGTTACTAATAGTAGTACTAAGCTGAGTATGCCCGAAGGTCGTTCCGGCACTAGGAACCGTATGGAATCGAGATCCTGAGATACCCTCGGCCTTTGAGATCTAGTCTATATGGCCATGTATTCACATGCATAAGAATGTAAGTATTGGCAGATTTAACTTGAAACCTTGGATTATTCACAGCCGCCCGGAGCCTGAGTCTGGGTGACATACTATTTGTACTAGTAGTACTTATAAGGAACTTGAACTGAAAGCTGCGCGGAGATATATATTTCGGGTATCCCGACTCGGATGGAACATGACAAACTCGGTTACTACCTGCCAGGGTAGAACATTAGTAGCCCTAAAGGTAAATCTGCCGATATTATACTAGTAGTAGTAGAGTAGTAGTAGTAGTAGTAGTAGTAGTAGTAGTAGTAGTAGTAGTAGTAGTAGTAGTAGTAGTAGTAGTAGTAGCTATGTATAGAACCGATTACCGATGCGAGTGCTGGCTGTGGGCCGACGGGAAGATTCGGCGTACTCTTGGAACGTGGGGATACATGTCCTTGTTTAAGAATGTGTAACTACTCTGGGGATGAGCTGTTCTCTGGCACGCTTAAACAGCCGCTTCATACATACTTTACCACTAAATACTGGGTAAATACGAAGTAGAAACATTATTTTATCATAATTTTTCTCAACATTATTGTCCCAGATAAACCGTACAGTAACGTATTCGGTAAGCGAGTGACGCATGTAAGCGAGTGACGCACCTACCCACCTACTTTCTACTTTAAGCCTATTTTTCAACCAAATCGCCGTCTTATTCATTGAATTTATCTAATTGGACATGCATTTTTCTTATGCCCTATCTCGCTGCATTTTCCACATTTTGGTAGCCGCCGTTGCGCTGGTGCTGGTGCTGTTTGAATAGGTCGTGCTGGAGGTGCTGGGGGTGGTGCGAGAGGCTGTTGAATAGCCTCTTGGGCTTGTATAAGCTGCTAGGCTTCTTGAACCGATAGGCTACCCTCGTGAGCTATACGTCTAGCTTTACGAGCACGCTTTTGTCTCTGTATAGCGTTTGCAGCATGTAGTTGCTTGTTTTCTTCCTCCAATAATATACCGTTATGCATCGCGATTTGGCAGCCTTTGATTAGCTGATTTAAAGCAGCTTGTGATGGTGATGGCGGGCTTTTTGAGCGTCGTTGTAAGAAAGCTTTGATCGATAATGCTTGCTTTATAAGCTCGTAGATATTTACAGGTGTTTTTGGGCTAAATTCGCTTGACCGGCTATTTGGACGGATAGTTGGTATAGGGGTTTGAGGCCGAATATTTAGCTTTGAAAGAACTCGATCTGGGTCCACTGGTACTAAGCCAGCTGCTGCGAAGCTATTTTGAATAATCTCTGATTTGAATGCCTCTGCGCGTGCTTGTGGGTATGTTGCAAGAAATTCAAGTTTATCGATATGGTTGATACCGAGCCGCATTTTTTGGTCGATAAAATTTCCATATGAGCGTTTCAGAACCGTAAAACATCCGATATCAAGCAGTTGTAAAAGATGTGATGAATGTGCTGGCATACAGACTGGAATAATATTATTTTGAGCGCAAATTTCATCAAACTGTGGTGTTAAATGACTTCCGTGACCATCGAGTACTAGAAGTCGATATCGACCTTGTATACGAGTATTTGTCGATGGAATAAAGAGTTCTTGAAGCCATCGAATCCCGATTTTGTCTGTAGTCCATCCATTTGCGCTAGTTTCAAAACGCCAATCTCCAGGAAGATTTTCGCTCCAAGTAAGATTGAATAGCTTTACTTTGAAAATAATAACTGGCGGAAGCGCCCACCCAGAAGCACTAATCGACTCGATTACGGTTACCTACTCCCGATTCCCTGGTTGTAAAACTGATCTCCGACCATAATATTCTGCCCTGGTAATAACTTTTACAGTTGCAGTTAGACCCATCGCAAAGCCAGTCTCATCGAAGTTATAGATATCCTCAGAAAGGATACCATACTCAGTAATTATACGCTGAACAGTATTAAACCACTCTTGAATAATCTTTGGATCCTCTTGTTGTGCTCTTTTGTAGTTATACCGTCGTGAAAAGCAAGCTTTTAGCTCTGAATGGCGTTGTATAAAGTTATAGACCCATTTTTCGCCAACGGTCTGGGTAGAGGTCGAACCGCGCTTCGCCAGTAAAAGATTTGCCATTTCTCGCACCATAACAGGTCTAGGAGCCGATCCGCGTGAATCCATAGATAATATCCATTTCTTTAGCGATTCTTCTTCTGTTTGGGTCAATTTATGACTGTTGGCGCGAGTTTCAGCGCGATATGTCGTGCCATGTAGTCGACGTCGGAGCGTAGCTTCTGATACGTTAAATCGACGCGCTGCTTCCCGTACAGCTAGAATTTCTTTATTTTGAATAGCTTTGATAGCTAACAGGATACGGCCCTCTTGTTCTCTTTGATTTTGGCCTGATTGGGAGCGGGTGGGTGGCATTGTGGGTAGTCGAAAAAGGTAGGTTGCGACGCGGTCGCGTTTTTTGATGAGGTGCGTCACTCGCTTACATGCGTCACTCGCTTACCGAATACGTTATTTAAACTCTCCGGTTTCACAGGTGAAGACATTCCGGGGAAGCGCAGAAGCTCGTGGAAAGGCCCCACCTCAGTGGGTCTCCGCTCTCGCAGCATCATCAAAGCCTCCGATCCGGGACTTGTGTTTGACAGGGGACCATTGGGACGAATGCAGTCAGTTCGAGGATTGGTTCAGACTCGACTGTCCATTGGCTAGACCAGAATCGTGTTGCAGCTGAGACCCCGCCGATTTACGTTCGCTTTTTGGAGCTGATTAATGCGCGACGAAGAAAGAGTGTGGAATTGCGCCATCTGGTCCGGTCTCTATTGGCTCCATGTGGGGGGATTGTCGGCCGATTTGGCTGACGGTTGGAATAGTCGGCCGATAGGGGTGGGTGAGAGGGCTGACTATTGTTGAGAGATGGAGAGAAGGTATTCTAGAGGTGAAAGTTATGAATGCTATAATATAGAAGGATATCTGTAGAGAAGGATAGAGTAGAGGAGAGTATATAGAGTGCTGGGGTACCTAAGAGACCCCCTGATCCAGTTAAGGTGCAGTCAGGCATTCAGGCAGAAAGGTTCGCACTAAACAGCCCACTTTACTGGTAGCCAATGAAAGGAGTTCTGCCACGGGCGGTGGGAAATTGCGTGATGACGAGTGCCGGATGAGGTAAGTCGATCGCTCGTGGTTCAGACGGAAGGTACGATGGTGTGCGCGTTGGAGGGGTTGCTGGGGTTGCTTGGGTTCCTTTTGGTTCCTGCCTATTTGAACGCCGCCTTCCCCCTCCCTCTCCATCTTCGCTTTCTCTTCTTGTTCCTCTCTTCATCTCTTCATATCTCCGTCTCCATCCTCAATCATTCACAATGGCCGCTGACCGTGCTCCTCCGTATGTTAACCTCTATACAACACCTCGAGCTATGAGCTATGCTGTGCTATGCCAGCATGCCATTGTCTCCCCCCTCCCCCTCCCCTCTCCCCTAATGGCACTTCCATCCTGTCAACCACTTACTGACCTTCATTCAACAGTCTCCGCCTGGGCTCCGTTGCCCCCAACTTCGATGCCGATACCTCCAACGGTCCCATCAACTTCCACAACTTCATCGGCGACAAGTGGACCATCCTCTTCTCCCACCCCGATGACTTCACCCCCATCTGTACCACCGAGCTGGGTGCTTTCGCCAAGCTCGAGCCCGAGTTCACTGCTCGTGGTGTCCAGCTGATTGGTCTTTCCGCCAACGACACCTCGTCCCACCACCGCTGGATCAAGGATATCGATGAGGTTACCGGCTCCCAGCTGAAGTTCCCCATCATCTCCGACCCTGAGCGCAAGGTCGCCTACCAGTACGACATGGTCGACTACCAGGACACCACCAACGTCGACTCCAAGGGTCTGGCTCTGACCATCCGCTCCGTCTTCATCATCGACCCCTCCAAGAAGATCCGCCTTATCCTGACCTACCCCGCCTCCACCGGCCGTAACACCGCTGAGGTCCTCCGTGTTGTTGATGCTCTTCAGCTCACCGACAAGAAGGGTGTCACTACTCCCATCAACTGGCTCCCCGGTGATGATGTCGTCATCCCTCCCCCCGTCTCCACTGAGGATGCCCAGAAGAAGTTCGGCGAGGTTCGCGTTGTCAAGCCGTAAGTCTAATCTCTGCAAGAATCCCCCGATATCATTGAAGCATCAATACTAATGTGGCTTCAGTTACCTCCGCTTCACCAAGGACCCCAGCCAGCAGTAAATGGCTACTTACGATGTGACGTGATAAGAAAAAAACTTACGTTTCGCCGGGTCTGCTTGAAAAGTCCCGCTTGATACCAATATGAAATGATTCAATCTCCTACTTAATATTTGGTGGTAGTTCAATTCCCCTGTAGAGGTTGCGTGGAAAGTAATGAGTTGCGTACAACGTACATGTAGAATGTAGCGATCTTAGGTGCCTGTCATCACGCCCTGCATGTCGCACCTGTCTTACTCCATACTGCGATGCATGATAACAACCCGACGTGCATGGGATGGAAGGGGAAAAAACTACCAATTTTGTATATCGGGGAATTAATGAATTTTTTTTTTTTTTTCAAAACGGGTCATGTCAATCAATACCGCATTCCACCAGGTTTCTAGAAGGAATTCACCCCTGTCGACTTGTCGCGGACTCCGCCCAGCCCCGGAAAGGAGAAACGTTGAGACCGCCTTTTTTATGCCGATCCAACGGCCACACCGTCTACTTGGATCATTTGTGCCTTCGCCCTTCCCTATTTTTCTCTGGCGATACGGCTGGGAATACCTCCTTGACTTCTCATCACCGGTCTCCATCCTCCAAAACACACCCCTCCTGTCGTCTCTGCGATCGACCCACCCACATCCCGACCGTGACCCGCCCACAAACAACTTACAGGAAGAGGGGAAGCAAGGCCAAAAAAGGAGACAGGACGCAGGTGTCATATGCAAGTGGTAGATACAGCTACGACCCGACAAACTAGTCAACAAGGGGAGGGAACAACAACCGTCAACCCTCTCACACAATCGGAATTCCCCTCGTGGTGGGGAATCCCTGTCCACGATGATGTCCAGAAGCCAGTCAAGCCTGGGGGGGCTTCCTAGACGCAAACCGCGATGAGTCCTCTGGGCCCGGGGTGTCCCCGTCTCAGAACCAACTGGCCTCCGGCCCGATCAACCTGTCTGGACTGGTGTGCAATGTTCGCCGCACAACCGGCAAAGAGCCTCACCCCCTAGTTGGCGCAACTACCACCATTCTCGGCGACAAGTTATACGTCTTTGGAGGCCGAGTCCTCTCGCGCAGTCGCCCTCAGCTGACAGCCGATCTCTACGAATTGGATCTGATCCGTCGCCACTGGACCAAGATCGATGCTGGCGGTGATATTCCGCCCCCACGCTATTTCCACAGTATGTGTGCTCTGGGCGATAATAAGTTGGTTGCGTATGGTGGCATGTCTCCCGCCCCGGGGACTCCTCGCGATCCTTCCAATCCGGGTGCGGGAACAGAAACACAATCGGAAGTCGTTGTCATGTCAGATATCCATATCTTCGATGTGCCCTCGCGGAGGTGGACTCGTGTTGCGGCTCACGAGTCGCCGCAAGGGAGATATGCTCACTGTGCGACCATTATGCCTTCCAGTGCGAGCTTCACCTCGGCCAGTGCGCCACTTTCTGCAATCCACCATAACCCGGAGTCCAACACGCCCCATCAAGGCTCCCTCGGAGTGGACATCGATGGCTTTGGAGGCGCCGAGATGGTGGTCGTTGGAGGCCAGGATAGCTCTAACCATTACATTGAGCAGATCAGCGTCTTCAATCTTCGCAGTCTGAAATGGACCAATACCAGCCCCCCTCGGACGCAGTTGTGGTGCCTATCGCAGTGTGGTTACTCCGCTGGTCGGCATGGACGTTTCGGAGATTGGAGCCGCTGCCCCGGATAGGGAATCGCATGAGCCCATTGAGCAGAGCGATGAGCCTGGCTGTCCGATGTTGATCTACTCGAATTATAATTTCCTCGACGTCAAATTGGAATTGCAGGTACGCCTGCCGGATGGGCGTCTTGTCGAGCGACCTATGCAGAGTCAGGCATCTCCTCCGGGTCTACGTTTCCCCAATGGCGGTATCATCAATGGTCATTTCGTGGTCAGCGGTACCTATCTTACATCCTCCAAGCAGGAATATGCGCTTTGGGCACTGGACCTCAAGACTTTGACATGGGGCCGGATTGATGCCGGCGGGTCGGTCTTTGGCCAGGGCAGTTGGAACCGCGGTATCCTTTGGCCGCGCCGCAGTACTTTTGTCATTCTTGGGCATCGGAAGCGCAGCTTGGTGGATGATTATAACCACCGACGCATCAACTTCTCTCATGTTTGCATGGTGGAATTGGAAGCCTTTGGCCTTTACAACAACCCATCTCGCACCGCCCCGACATCTGGATATAAATCATACAGCTCGCCCTCCGTTCCTGTTTCTCTGCAACAGAAATTGACGCAATTGACGACGAGTCGCCCTCTCTCTGCTGCATCAGATGAACTCGGCAAGATCGCCCTATCTCTTCACGAGATGTCCGACATGGAACTGCAAGCTGTCGGTGGAGAACGAATCTCTGTCAACTCCCGTGTTTTAGCCCGAAGATGGGGACCCTACTTCATCCAGCTACTGCGCGAGTCATCCGAAGAGGAAATTGCAGGAGGAGCCACCCTCCGCCCATCCCAGATGCATCCAAGCCGCAACTCGAGCATCACCATCACTCCCTCTATCGGCCAAAACAGCAGCTACTCCAACGCCACCACCCTGATCAACCCCTCCGTGCCATCCAAAGCACTCCTGGAAAATCTCGAAGCCCCCTCCGCCCACACCCTAACTCCCACCTCCCGCCCACGCGTCCTTTATCTCCCCCACACAATTCTCACCCTCCAAGTCCTCGTTCAATACCTCTACACCTCCGCAATCCCCCCCACCAGGCTCATCCCTCTGCACACCCCAAATCCTCTGCTCCCTCCTCCAACTCGCTCGGCCTTATCAAGTCAACGGCCTCCTCGAGGCAACAGTCGAACGCCTCCACCAAGTCCTGGACGGCCGCAATGCAGCAGCCGTCTTCAACGCAGCAGCCATGGCCGCCGGCGGCGGTCGCGGCACTGGCTTCACCTCCGGCCTCGGCGGGACACTAGAAGCGCTAAACGGCGTCCAAGGACGAAACGGCTCAATCGCCGTATCAGAGACAACGCATTCGCAAAACAGCGTCCTGCACGCCTCAGACTCATCCGACACCGAACACGGTGGAGGCGCACAATCCATCTCCGCCTCAAGCAGTACGAACGACCTCGCCAACTTCGCCCGCGGCATCCCCTCGCTGCGCATCGACACGAATATTTCCCAATCGCAACAGTCTCAGCAACAGCGACGCGGTCGCTCGCGCGGTGATCGCGACGACTCGATTAGTAATACCAGCACGGCGACGTCGGCGTCTAGGTGCTAGTTATTCACAATCTGATTCGGAGTTCGTGAGTGATAGTGAAAGTCGATCTGCTTCGCGGTCGCATCATCGTCGCGATACGGATATTCGTCCTGGGAGGGAGATTTGGACGGGCGATTTGAGCTCTGTTATTGGGTTGCAGAAGCGTGGTTTGCGCGGGTTGATGGAAGGGAGAAGATTGCGGGAGCGTTCTGTTAAACCACCTTCAACGAGTAGTGGGTCTACTTCTGTGCCGCAAAGTGCTGGGTCGGGTTCTGTTGAGGTTCATCAGTTGCCTATCCAGGGTGTTGCAGGATGATGGATGGGATAGGTTTTTGCATATGCGGTGCTAGGACTGCGTTTTCTTTGGGACGAATTGTGTTCTTCTTTTGTTTCGCATTTCCTTTTCCCATTTTTTTGATATGGGCTTGACTCCATCGTGCTCATTTCATGGGCGGAGTCGGGCTGTTTTGCCGTTTGAATTGTCGATACTCCCAGCTGGCTGGATCAAAATGGAACGATATTATACGCATGGATCATATTCTTTTCTCTCCTGGTGAACTTGGCTGTTCTCTGAATTGAAATTAAGTCGTAGGGAATAGATAATCTGTACAGTACGCAAATGGGACAAAATCCAGGACCAACAGCCGCGTAGAAGGACAGTCAATGACATGCAGGCGAGATCTTCCGACTATCATTCTCCTGTCATATGCCAATGCGACCACTCTGGAACCCAGGTGGCTATGACGATGACGAAGACGAAGACGTCGACGAATTGACCAATTTCTTTGGCGCTTTGTCGCCGTATACTGGATTCGTCGCGGTTAGCTTGTCCGTACTTCAATTATCATCGAGCCCGTATCAAGAACAGACAATCAATTCCATAGGGATGAAACTCACTCCTCTCATAAAGAATCCACGATGTATACATCACAATCGGCAACGCGACAATTGAAGAAGTCCACCTGCGTCCTTATCAGCACGGTCCGAAAACACCACATCTCTCGAGCACCGACGCAGCGAGCGCAGCATAGCAGGAAGAACGGCACCAACAAGGGAGCTTATCCGGATGGAACGGTAGAAAGATGAATGAATGAAAGAAGCAAAGGGGATTCACTCACCGCCGCGCAGCAGCCTTATACTCTTTGGTCTTCCGAAGCTCCTGCGGGTTCTTCGGGAGGACAGGGCGCGGTGGAATGACGGGGCGAGGGCCCAGGTTTGGGTTGTGGCTTGGGATGCGAAGCCTGGATTGATTTTGAGGAGCTCCGCGTGTCATTTTGATTATTTGGTGATGTGGAGGTTTGATGGGGGATGGGATTGCTATCAGCTGGGGAATTTTGCGGTTGTGGTTTGGGTTTTGTGAATGCCTGAAATTTCGGGTGGTGAAGTTTGTTTGTAGTTCGATGGCAACAGTGACAACGGCGACACCTTTCACTTCTTTCACGTCACAATCTCTCTTGTTTGACATACTGGCATACTTTCGCCTTTTGTTGCACAGTTACATTGTTTTGACTATCCTCGATCTAATCTTTCAACCTTCGTCATGGAAACATCTCTCGGAAGGTAAGTGTACTCTGAGAACAACGTTGACCATGCTGAGCGCCAGTGTCTGACATCTTCGCGAGTCAGATCCAGCAGGCCAACCCCAATCTAAGGGCAAAGCAAGTGCACAAGCTGGCCACTGGCCAACTCAACCTGGTTGAGTCAACCAGTATCGACAGCAGCATATGTCTCAGCAAGCGGCTACGAACGCAGTGGCAGATGCCATGAGCAATGTCCAGAACAATCATCAGGTTCCGTACGATGGCAACTTTCAAATGCCTCAGCAGCCTGGCGTGCCTAATGGTATTCCTGCTATACGAGCGCCTCAAAACAAGGGATTCTCTCTGATCATGACAGTACCACAGGCCAATCAGCAGAACAGCGTCAATGTCACCAACTCCCCGGCCTGAACGGAGCCGTTCCCCAGGTTGGCCGAAGTGCAACAGCTCAAACCCGGCGCAGTGGCAGCGCACAAACGGGAGTAGCTGCTATCAATGACTTTTCTCGCCTGAAAACGCCTGGCATTGGCAAAACTCCTGTCATTCATGCTGCTCTTACGTATGCTGGCGTGTCTTGTACATATGATGTTGTTCCTTGTAATGGTACTGGTATCTTCAGTTCTACAGCTGCTGGCATCCAAACCGCTATTGGCACGATGGCGCCTGAATACAGCGATTGCGATGACAGGGACTTCTATCGAATCATTATAGCACAAGCTCGGCTCTACGTGCTGGCCGACGAATATGATGTCAAAGCGTTGTGCAACCTCGTTGTCGCCAGGTTCAACGAGTCTTTGAAAATCTTCAAGCTACATGCGATAGATGGTGTCATTTCGATTACCGAGCTTGTTTTATTTTGTGTACGCAAACACGCCTAAAAACGACAGAGTTAACCCGGGCCCTTTGAGACACTTAGTGGCCCGATATGTCAACTTTATTCGCGGAGATATCAAGGATCATGACGTTTTCAAAAACCTGGTACATAAAGGGGCTGACTTTGCTGTAGATCTTCTCAACATCACGTGGGAGTGGGAAAGTGCCGATATAGCCCATGGATGACGATTGACGACCCCAGTCAGCCCACCTTGGGGCCCGACGCTAAAGTATGGAGCTCGCACGGAAAGGCCTCAGGGGGGGTGCCTGGAATCTGGTGGGAAAGCTGTTTTCTGTAGGTGTCCCTATCGAAATCTGGGTTGTCTTGTGGATCAAGTCCGGTGCCCATTGAGGCCAACGGGATGAAGTCTAGTGGAAATTACCACTTATGGGGTTAGTCCTTCGATTGAGTGATGGATTGCCAATATGAGGGTCTTTTGAGGAAACGGCCTTTCCGTCGTTTACGCGGCATTCTTTGTTCACTGAGTCACCCGCGGCTGTGGGCAGCTAGGTGCCATGCATGCTTTTCTCTTTCCTGATAGTTTCGATTTGAGCCCCTAGTTAAACTGGGGCGCTAGCTCTACTATGCAACAAGTGGAAGCCTTTTTGACCATTTTCTCATAACAATCAAAAACATTCTGCGTGGTTACTTACTGAGGCCCTAGGGCCTCAGGCCTGCGGCCTTGTCAGCCCGCACTGCTTTGTGGCCTTCGTGGCTTTCATAAACGTTTGTCCTTTATAGTAGTAGTAGTAGTAGTAGTAGTAGTAGTGGTGTTTAGTAGTAGCTATTGTTCTGAGGGCTTTTCCCTCCGCCACCATCCATCATCATCAGTTTCATCTCATCTTGTTCAACCACAATTACTGAGTATATAACTGAGTAGTGTTACCAAATAGTACAATTTTGACGAGACCAAATTCCTCATCCATGGATCTCGCACTGAAGCTTTGTCAGTCTATGCCGCTATATCTAGTCCTTTGATAGTATGCCTTTCATTCTATACATACAAGTATCTTCGTGGTCGTTTCTCTCCAGTGTTCATGCTCCATCCTTAAACACTATTTATATCCCTATACTGACACTTTGGCATCATAGCGCCAGTCAAGTAATTCCCTGTCATAAGTACTAGTAATGGCATATAAAGTATGATACTCTTCAAATATTGTGGGTCCAAATATGTATGGAGAGCCCTGGCAGAAAGGTTGTGCAAATTGCAGCTCTTCGGGCTCTTTGCGTGAAGTTCTGGGTAGTAGTAGGGTCGTTTTCAGCTCGACAACAATATCGGCAACCGCCATTCACTTCCTTCCACATCACGCCCTTGTTCAATTTTCCTTGCCCTTCAACATTACACTCGTGTTGGATATTCCCTCACTCATCCGCATTACCTATCATCCAATACTCCATCACCCTTTTCTAGACGGGACGTACATTTTCTTATGGTCGATTCCATTGCAACAGGTTCAATATGACGACTCCTTTCGACAAGTAAATGAAGTTATAACATCCTCGTGCTCGAATGTCGAGTGTCTAATGCCCATATAGAGTTCTCTGGCCCTCTACGTTCAATTTCCTGGTCGGTCCCTACAATGCCGTTCCTATTTGCTCTGCCTTCACTCCGCGTCGAACCTCTACCGGGGCTAGCACCCGTGCTCTAGGAATTTATGTTCCCCCTGTCCTCTTTTCTGCTGCCGATACCCACGCCACGACCAGTTCCGAAAGCAACATGGCAACAGTTAGATCCAGTTCCTGTCTATTCGGCTATGTGCAGGGATTTGCTTCCGATAGGCGAGACCTCCATCTAATTAGTGATAGCGTTCCCCTCCCCGAACTTCTGGATCACCAGCTGCTTCTCATGAACAATTCGGAATTCGGCTAAGTCCACAGTGCGCTCGATACAAAGGCGGTGCTGCTGGAGAGGCCCCAAGCCACCTCGTGTACACATCGAACGACCCGAGACTTTCGATGAAAGTTACCACACCTGCTTCAGACTTCTCATCCGAGTAGGGAACTTGTCGATACTCAAGGTTCTGAGTACCCATGAGTTTGACGAGGCAGACTGGTTCTCGGTGATTTTGGACCCTGACCGTATGTCCGCGGCTTGTACCAGACGATATGATTGTTGCCCAGGGTCGCCTTGATGTCTTGGACGTGCTTCTTCCTGGTATTCTGTTTGAACCAGTCATGATGAGAATAGTTTACATTCCAGGATCAGAATAGATGTGATGATGGATGAAGAGAGATGAAAATTCTCGCGGGTCATTTGGTCTAAGTTCTTGGCCTAGTATCATCCCCGTTGCGCCTTCCTCGTAGCACCTGCCAACAAATGACAAGTAGATGTCGTAATTGAAAGACAGAATCAGTATTTTCTAAATGGAAGGTGATATGGAAGTAAATAAATAAATAATTTCACTGCGAGATGGGCACCCACGCCCCCAGTGGGGATACGAGAGGGGAACCGTTAACAATGTCGATATTGGGGGAGATATCCTACGCAAATAGCAAATAGGTCACCCAAACAATAAGCAATAAAGGTACAAAGCTTCAAACGAGAGGATCTTTCCGTCAATAGCGTCACTGCTGCTTTTCTGGGCACCGTAAGGAAGGCACGTAGTATTAGGATCAGTCTAGTACATAGGATGGACAGACTGCGCCGATGACTATAAACTTGACGAGTTACAAAGGTCTTTTTCGAGAGCACATAGGCGGGGCTCAACGTCATGGATGCTACCAGATGTCCTGCAACGAAGATGATATTCCTGCAAATTACTCGAAATCGGTCCACACATGGAGCTTGCCAGGCTGTCGGTTCAGCTGGTGGATCTCAATATGTCATCGGACGGACGGTGGGTCCACCCAGCCACCGATCATCGTCAGGTAAACAACACTCAGGACAAATGTACAAGGTAGAGTTTGGCGGAACTGATAGACGAATGCTGACAGGTGGGCACTTGCATGGGAGTCAAGATAATTGCCACACAGGATGCACGGCTTCGCCAGACTCAGAATCGCGTGTTTGTTGTATCCAAAATTGCGCCCGCATCAACGATCTTAGGGCGATCCACATGTTCGCGGGCCATACAGAAGATCTCAATGGCGTTCGCTCAACATGGTGGACTACGATGAACCTTTTCCTGTGGGGCCGTATTGCCTTCACTGACGATGGGAGAAGATGATTGGCACTTGATCAAGCTGGTGTGTCTTTCGCGAACGAGGGGATCTTCACAAACGTCATCGCTAAGACCTACAACATAACCCACATGCCCACCTTGCGAACCCATTTAAACAGGCTATTTGTACCCCTCGAAAGAAACAGCTCTTTCTACTCCTTCATTTTTCGATTCTCAAGAACACCTCTATCGCCTAATATCATCTCAAAATGGCACCCATATCCGCCCGCGATGAGTACGCCGAACTCATGAAACACAACGGCGATGGCCACTACCTCTACACCCCACAAAAATACAGCCTCCTCCACCCTGGCTCGGTGGGATATTTCGACAAATTCGGAATATGGACCCAAATCACCGATCTATCTGTGAAAGGCCAACCGGAGAAAGATGGCTTCAAGGGCATCGACGACGATCTCGTCCTCGGCGAGCCCGACGAGGCGATGTGGAAAACTGTCTCTTCTGGCAGCGAAGCAGAGACGAGCTTCGGACTTGAAGGAGGTCTTTCAGGAGCATTGTCCGCAGCCCCTGTTGACGTGTCGGCCAAAGCGAAGAATAAGTCTGGGTCTACCGGCAAAGCGGCTCTTATTACGACGGGAATGGTCAAGAATCAGAGGTTCACTGATGCTCCCGGTCCCTCTATCGCGCAGTGGGTGAAGGATAACGCGAAGACTTTAGTTAAGTCGAAGTATGGGGATTATATTAAGGATTATGGACTCTGGGCGATTCATACCACCTGGTCGACTCCTGAGTGTGCTATTACCCTGGATAGTGCCCACAGTCGGGATACCAGTGCCGGTGTCGACGTGGGAGGAACTGGTCTTGGAAAGATTGGTGCTAGTGGCTCATCGCTGAAGAAGCTCGAATCTAAGGGCTGGCGGACATATGAAGCCAAAGAGGTAACTAATACATTCCCTTTCCCTCTCGGCTATCGGGGTTTGAATGCTGACTCAATGCAGGCCGATCAGGGTCTTGTTGTGTCGTATGGTGGAGCGGGCTTCAGACTTCACAAGATCCAGATGTTCCGGGGCAACAATGTAAGTATCTGGACCAGTTTCCTTTGACTTTGAGAGCGGACTAACAAAATATTAGGTTCTGAAGCAGACCGAGAGAACGACCGGAAACCCCGACGATTTCTACAAGCTGGCTTACGACGAGGCCGGAAACCAGATTGAACCTGAGCTCTACCGCCATGTGCGTGATGAGAATGGGGAGATCGTTGGTGAGGTCAAGGTCGACGTTGAGGCCGAAAGAAAAGCAAGAGAGGAAGCCGCGAAGGGAGCAGAGGCAAACGCAGAAGAAGATGATGATGATGATGAAGTCTTCATCTCGTCTGAGCCTGTTGGAATCTCCGCGGAACAAGCTGGAGTTCCTACAAAATTGGAGACCACCACGATCGACACCAAGCCCGTCACTGATGGCGTGAGTGACTTTGACAAGAAGATGGACGAGGCTCGCAAGATTCCCGATAAGGCATTGAGAGAGGCTGAGATGGTCAAGTTGTTTAAAGCGAATGTGACTACCACTGAAACCATTGTTCAATGAGCGAATCATAGGTTGAGACGAATTCGGTGTATATCCGATTTCGTTCTTTGGTGGAAATGATGATTTGGATCTCTACTACTTACTGTACACCTGGGAATTTTGGAAATTGAATATAAATGATTGATACGTGAAGTTGAACTTTCGAATACGTCCGAATCTAGGAATGCTCAGCACCTAGTAAGAACTTGAATCCCTTAGGCTTGAAGGTCACTCAATCCGTAAACTCACTTCAACTACTAACTAGGTAGTGCGCTCGACTTATAACTACTCAAAGCAGGATCCTACGAAGGACGGACAGTTGCAGGACATACGTAGTTGAAACAATGTAATGGCGAGAAACCCGAGATATGACATCTATGATATCATCTTATTCATTGCTAATATCACTAACTCCACGCTATGCTTCGAAATATGCATCATCTTCTTAAAATTAATTTTGTTTTCCACGTCCACGGCCGCGTCCCCGAATGCGAGGGGTGCTAGCACGAGAAGAGCCGCCCCGGGAAGCTCCACCACGAGGAGTCCCACGAAGAGCACCACGAGTAGAACCTCGGGGCGTACTTCTACCACGAGAAGCACCACGGGTAGTTCCCTTACCACGCGGCGTTCCAGAGCCGCCACGACCTCGACCACGACCTCGACCCGGTGTTCCACGCTGAGTCAAAGTGACACCCGCAGCGGAGGCGATCACCGCACCAGCCTGTCTGTCTGCCTCCGTTGGAGGATTAAGCTTCAGTTTCAGTCGCTGGATCTTTGGCTTTTCTTCTGTCGTAGTACTTGGCTCTGTTACTTTTGCCGACTCTCGCTTTTTCTTTCTCGGTACCTTCTCCAGCTCGGCTAGGGAGCGCTTCCTCTTATGTGCCTGGGCCCGGGCTTTCTCCTCAGTAACGTCTTCCGTTGAGAACCCGGATGGAGAGCAGAAGGGAATATTGCGGTCGCCGATGAGCGGGGGGAATCCGAGATTATCTTCGATCTCGATTTGTTGCTGCGAGCGAGAAATCACCGGTGGCAAGGGCAGATTCGTGTCCCCATAGGTGTGCGGTGCACGGTATGCGGTTTGGCCCGGTGGTGTCAGAAGGATTTCCTCGCCATTGTCATTCACGTAGCCAGTCCGCGTCCATCCACTGGCATCTAGCTGGGGCTCTTCCATCTTCTTGAAGTCTTTCATTGAGGGGATTGCTGGTGCCTCGGGGGTGAGTTCGCCATTGGGTTCAGCATTAGTTTCGCCATCACCGTTGGCATATTTGTCACTTTCGTCTTCGTCTGGGATATCACCGTTTGTTTGATCGTTGATGACGCTGATGGTATTGACGTGGGTCTTCTCCACGTTGGAAGTCCCCGCATTCCCGACTGTTGCCTCTGCAGCCGCGGGGTCGCTCGGGGTGGAGGCAGTAGCAGACATGACAGGCTCTTCCTCGGAGGATTTCACCAGCGCGGGCTGCTCGAATTGCTTTCTCGCATTTGCGATGAATTGCACCGGGTCCGACGGTAGTGCGAAATCGGTGTCAAAAGCAACCACAACGATCTCGTACAGCTTTTGTCCGGCTTGGTCCGCAGTGAGCTTGATCTTCAGGGGAGAGGGTTTGTTCTGTTTCAGCTGTTTGAAGATTTTGCTCGCTCGCTTTCCTTTCATCCGTTTGCTCTTGATTTTCATCGCACCAATATCAATATCGGCCTGCTCCATAGGTGGGCCCTCCATAGATGTCGGGGCAGGCGCGGTTCTCTTCTTTCGGGGTTTCTTCTTCGAGTCGAGAGCCTCGATAGCCCGCGTTGTCAGTTTACGAGATCGCGCAGATAGACGAGTAGCAGAAGATGCGCTCGTGGGGGATGCATCGCTAGTTGAGTTGTCATACGCGAACCCGTCCCCCGTGTATTGATCCATCCCCCAGTCCGTAGTGTCGAGACTTTCGGGAAATTCCTGATCGGACGTTTGGTTCTTTGGAGTTCCAAGTGCTGCTGTTCTTCGGGTGGTCCGACTTCCCGGGGTTAATAATGATTGTTGTGTTTCTTTAGCCGGGGTGTAAACATTCGATAGTCGAGACGGTCGAGCCGGGAAATGGTGACGACGTTTCACAGGAGTCTCCGACGGAGAATTCTGTAGTTTCCCATTTGCAGTAGCTGTAGGGGAAGGTGGTTTGGAAATATAGAGGTAAGGATTGTATGAAGTATCGGAAGGGGAGGAGGCAGTGGTGAAGTCGATAGTTTTGCCCGATGGAGGCGGTTGATTTGTAGGTTTGCTCGGTGCCGGGGCTCTTGGTGATCGACGAGAGGGAGATAAAGTAGAATTATGGATCCGTGCAGGTAAAGATTTACGAAAACCTTTCTTGGGAGGCATGGTGAAGGTGAATAGGGTCCAGTGGATCTGGAACAAAGCAACGGGTGAATGGAACTGTTCATCTCACGGAGATGGTTAGCATTTACCACCCATTAGTGATTTGAAGAGGTTGCAGGAGTGAATACCTTTTTTTTTAGATTAAGCCAAGGCTTTTAGTAGGAGTAGCATGCCGTGGCTATTCACACGGTAGCTTCCAGAAATGCGGAGATCCGTAGGGCAACAGTTTGAGGGGGCCCCAGTATTATCAAGGCCTGAAGGTAGCAGGATGTGTCGAAAACAGCAGTATAATGTGAGCGACACGTTCATGCCACACGCCATATAGATCACAAGATCACAAGATCAACGACAGCAGCAGCTCGAGATGGCTGTGCCACGGGATGAAGGGAAAAGGTCACAAGAAAAGAAATTAGGGCTAACGTCGATCGGCGCTTATCTGCAATCGCGGCTGTCCGCCTTCGTTCTGCAATTCCCATGGGGAAACTGTCCACCTTGCAACCTCAAGCACTACTCTCTCTCTCTCTATTTCTCTCTCTCTTTTGCGCATTCTACTTCGATTCTACACAATGCATCTGTGGCAGGCCACTGCTCCTCTTTGTCTCCTGGCATCGGCTGCCCTGCCGACTGTCGCTGCCTCCGCATGGGGCTTTACTGATGCCAGCGTGGCAGTTCAACCAAAGGGTGCTGGCATCAACGGTGGTTTTAAGGAACAGTATGCTTCCATTACGCTTTTCACTCCAATTGAGTCTACTTGGGACTAACTAGTGACTCCTATAGAATCTCTTCTTCCAAACCCCTCGCCAATCCGCTTGCCTTCACCGGCGCGGATACCTTGCGCGTCACCTTGACTACCCAGGAAGGTAGCTCTGCGAAACGCCCACACCAGGCTTTCCTGCTTTTGAAGGATAGCCAGTCTGGCTTGGATATCTCTTACCCATTCACTGTCAAGGAGAATGGCAAGTCCCGCGTGGAATTGGTACTGCGCCCGCCCCTCCCGAAGCTCTCCGAAGCTCTCCTCCGCATAAGCTAACAGTATACTGTATAAATAGACCCAGAAGGAACTCCCCCTCCAATTCCTCACTCTGCCCAACCCCGTCGATGCCCGCGTGGTAATTGGTGGCTTCGGCAGCTCCGAGGCCTATGATCACTCCGTTTTCAAGCTGTCCATCGAGCGCGACATTAACATCCCCATCCCAACCGCCGAGGCCCCAAGATACGGAAAGCTGCCGGAGATTCACCACACCTTTAACAATGACCCTACTAACCCTCCCATTGTCATAACCCTGGCTTTTGTCGGTGCTGTGATTGCCGCTCTCCCGGTTCTGGCCGGCCTCGTAAGTGATGTTCTAGCTTCGTTGTTGGTACGACCCAATAGCTAATCGATTACAGTGGCTCTTCCTCGGCGTTAATCTCAACCACCTCCCCACCGCACTCAAGTCGGCTCCTCTCCCCCACGCCATCTTCCTTGCCTCCCTGGCTGGATTCGAGGGTATCTTCTTCCTCTACTACACCTCTTGGAACTTGTTCCAGATTCTGCCTGCCGCAGCTGCGGTGGGTGCGGTCGCGTTCGTGAGCGGTAGCCGCGCTCTTAGTGAAGTGCAAGGCCGTCGCCTTGCCGGTCTCCGCTAGATGCTGGGAATCAAAATTTGTACCACATAACCTCTATGCGCTCTGCTTCATGCATCGGCCCAATCAATGCGGCCTCCACGGGCGAGACCCTGAACTCAATGGCATTGCGCCTTAGCTGTCATGATATCAGCCTCGTTCCAGATAAATACTATCTTACATGCACATTATTATTTCTGTAGCTTTGTAAATACCTGTGATCTAACTACCATGCCAATGCTTCCAATTGGACTGAGAGAGATATCCGTACTCCAGGGCTCTCTCTCTTATTGCTTTACAAGAGAAGGTGTTTTACTCTACAAACAGATATGGCATTCAAATTAAACATCATTACATTAAGCAATTATAATGCCGTATCCAACAACTGCGCTATTTACTTGAATACTGCTATATTCGCCTTAATACTGTGATTATGAGAATCCGTTCCCGGGTGGGCGAGAAGGTATACAAGCACAAGTTCCTTGTACGAACACGCCAGGGAACACCGTGTTTAACACTAGCCTAGCCGACTTCGACTATCGCAATCACATTGTAATTGTATTCCTCGCAAACCGAGTCCAATACTCCCATTCCCCAGTATTATAGCTATTGATGACCTTTTGACGTCAGAGGGGCCAGCGCCAAGCTTTCCTCCGCGGTTTTCTCGACTTTCTCCGTCTCCGCCGCATTTGTTCAAGTTTCCCCTCAACTCCAACACATCCAACACATCCAACACCCTCCAAATGGGTTCCAACGCCTCAAAACCAGTCCAAGCAGCCGCCGGCGCTGCAAAGCGCCAGTATCCTAAAAAGGCGGCCCCCCCACCGAGACTACCAAAAGCTCCCCGTGAATCCAAAGCATCGCGACAACAACATCCCCAACCGTCGCAACCACCAACACCTGCACCTGCACCTCCTCCCCCAGCTCCGAAGCCAAGCCCAGCACAAACACCAGCTCCTCCATCCGCACCGCAAGGACCTCAATATCACTCGAAAGAGCAAGCCTCGCGCACAAAATCTACCGGTACGTTCTCACCTCACCATCCACGACCTCCGCAGTCGCAGTCATAGTCCACCAGACACTCCAAACCCAGACCAAAAACCAAATCGCTTATAAAACAACATCATAACAGCAATCGACCTCGATGGCCGAGACCCTGACTTCGCCGCTTCACTACGATCAATCGGCCCCGTCGACCCAACACAAGGATTCCCCACCGCAAACCGCAGCTCGATGCAAACTGTCTTCCCCTCTGCGCCTACTGCCGCATGGTTAGTTCACACGGCGCGGCAACGAGCCTCTAAGATCGCGGACGAGGAGGCTGCGCGCATGAGGATGGGTCATCATGGTGATCGCTCGTTGGCGGATGCGTTTCTTATACAGCAGGCGTTGCAGATGCGGGATGTGCAGAATTTGCCGGCGGATGAGATTGAGTCCATCATGGGGTTGAAGGCGGGATTTATTGAGAAGTTGGGTGCGAAGGGGATTGTTTCTAAGATTGGCGCTTAGTCTTGGGATTGTGAGGGTTGGGTGCATGCGGTTTCGCAGTTCTGTCGTGCGTGACTGGTTGGTTGTCCAGCCCTGAGGCTTGATGTACGTTGAGTGGTATCTTTGGAGAGTTTCATTTCTGGGGTTTCTGGGTTTGGTTGGCGTTTTGCGGTGTTTTGCATTTGCATGATTTGTTCATTCAAGTTTCCTTTATGTAATATATGGCTGTACTGATCCCTACTCATAATAATATTGCTGCAAGTGGGCTAAGCTTGGAGTTGTGTCTGACTACATCACGTTTTTCGTATTTTTAGCACCACATAGAAATTAAGGAAGGTCCGATGTATCCCGGGAAGGCATTGTTCGTTTCGAGATCTCCCCCATAAGATGCCAAAGTTGCACGACACAACACAGTGGCGGTGACCGGAGTCTTCGGAACAGCCACGCACTGGCGATGCTTGCAATGTACAGAATTATCAAATGGAGCTGGCATAGCCAGACTAGTACTGGCTTTGAAGAATCTTTAATTCTGGAAAGAGATCGGTGATCAGGTTCCAAAATGATGCGCAGAGGGCAGAATAGGAAATCCAAGAGGGAGAATCCAATAGCTTGCCCTGCGAATCAAACTACCTTTTCAATTCTTTCTCTTCTATGTCCATTAAATTTAATAAAGAAACAAGTACGACACAGGGGTTACACGGGATGATTATTTCTAGACGCGGACTACGTCATTTCTAGTGAAGACATTATCTCGTCTTGATTCAATTTGCGAGGGTGTAATCATGGCGATGCTATCTGGAGATACTAGTACAACATCGCTTCTTTGAAATACAAGATAGATACAATGGTGTTCCTCTAACCGTAGTCTCACCAGCACCTAGTCTGACAAGATCTTGACATAGGTTGAACAAGGCTATCCTTTTAGATCTACAGAAGTTTAAATGGATTATACTTCTGTGCTCCTAGCCTTGAAATCATTCATGTCCCCACAGCCGCAATCGACCAAATGCATATCTCTACCAGGGCTGGATCGGCCCAAGGTTTACATCAAAACCACTAGCATGATATTGATAGCAGACTAACCATGAGAAGGGTACTACTAGCAATACCATCTTGCATTGGAACATTATTATCTCAATAGCAGATTCCGTTATAAAATCGTCTAGAGCTGTGAGTCATCCGCAAGCTTAATAGTCGGAATCTCAAGATAGCTCTACCCGACTGAATAGAATGTTCACCGTGATTATAAACAGGAAAAGTTGTCTGGAAAACTCAATCTCCAGGCGTAATTAATTCTTCTCGTCTTACTCGGCTACTCTTGAGTACATAAGATACATTGAATGTGGTGTACCTAGATAATATATCCGAGATCTGCCATCTATATCCGGGGTATATCCGAATATCCGATATTGAGAATAACTTCACCGCTTCCTTTTTTAGACACAAGAGACGTGATTTGGATGCTAAATGTCAACGTCGACTCTGACAGCTCATAAGGATAGGCAGGACGAGTCCACTCTGAGTACACTCTGAACACTCTCAATGGCAACTTGATCGCGCGAACCCACTGTCGCGTGACATGGGGTGGACCTGCAGAATGTCGCTAGTCTACAATAGTCACTGGCAAGGCTGGTAAGACTCCCGATGCTCCCGGGCCCACCTTGCAAATTTATTTTTGTTCGGCGTAAATAATGCAGAGTCCTGTGCATTTGGTCCTAACTGCCGCTAGCCCCCAAACAAGTTCAAGTTTCCCTTGATCGCTAAGCCCTGTGTGCCCACTGCCCACTGCCCTGCGCCCTGAGCCTCATGGACCCTGAAATTTTAATAAATCTTGAACCGTACTTGTGCCTTTTTTGTACCTCGGCTTGGGTCGCTCATATTGACTCGGACATATTGACTTTTCATTTTCACAATTATGTTTTCTCTTGGAGATTCAGGCTACGGAGAACAAGGAAAGATCGATCGCTTCTCGGAATATAAGTCTGTGCAATAGTAACATCCTTTGTTTCCGCCCCCGTGAATGATGTGGAGGGGCTGTGAAACAGTCGACCAGAGTATCGTACTCCGTCCTAGCAAGGGGGCAGCCCTTGCTGCAGGGGCGGGCCCGGGGGCAGTAACAAGCAGTAATATTACATACGAGTAGACTGGAAGTACCAAGCTCACTAGTAGAATGCTTCAAATGCGAGTAGTGTTGGAGGCAAGAGATGAGAGAAAATAACAGAATAATTCACCAATAAACCATTACTTAATGCATATGCCTAGAGTGGGGAGGATACTACTACGTATGCCCGAAGGGGTCAGTGGGCTGAGACACCAAGTGCGAACCAGTGAGGACCAGAGATGGGGAGGGACTGCTTGAAAGAAATGGCCCCCATTGGAAGTAAATAAACTTCCGACTCCGACTTCCGGGCAGAAAACCAGAAAATCAGGGTCTCCAGCCAAGTCGAATAGGGTTGGGGCTATACCTCTTATTTGTACGTGCCTGTATGCAGTGCTGTTTAGGGCTACACACGCATCCCCACGGTCACGGTGCCACGGTAATTTCCGTCTTAACCTGCGGGTGTCTCTGGCGTATTTTGGTTGCACTGGTTATGTCTTACTGCATCTCCGCCTCGTATTATGTTATGATGTGGCAATCTCCACGTCGCGTGCTTAGGTTCCTTTATTGGACTATGTACTCCGTACCTGTATTTTGGACCCTGAGACCATTGGGGGGCCAGCCCCCCCCACCCAGGCCCCCGGGGGCTGACCCGAAAACTCTAGGGATAATTATACGCATGTGTTCCTATATTTGTCTTTGCGAGTATTTGCTGTAACATTTCTTTTATTGCCTCGGGCTTTGCACTTCCTTTCTTCTCTACTCCCCTCCATCCGCATTCCGGGGTGTTTGTTCCTCCATTCCGATCTGTTTTTCTTTTTTTTTTTTCTCTTGTTCTTCTCTTCTCGCCTGCCCTTCCGAGTTGTCCTCCTCACACGCGACGTGTGGACACTCTTTGTATTCTACTTCCCCATACCTACCCACTTCATGAGATGATCTCGATATGTCAATTTTCGCCTATCTCCCGGCGCTCCCGCCCTTTCTCTTCTCCGCTCTCGTCGTGAGTGGCCTCGCCTCGAAGATCCTACACATCGGCCTTCACATCCGCTCCCTACCATTTCTACACTTCGTCTTATACTCGCCAACTCTCCTTCTCCCCGATCTCTTCATCATTACCTGCGGGCGGGTATTGTTGCAGTTCCCTACCCCGAGTTCTAAATTACAATGGTTGTCAACATGCGTCGGAGGTTTCTTTTCGTACGTAACGTCCCCCGTCCCCCTCCTTCCCCGGGGGATTTATTGAAAAGACGACTGGCATAACCTGCAGGATGAGAAGCTGACTTTGCTCCCGTTTGTACAGTCTTGTTACGTGGGGCGCCGCTGCCATTCAATTCGGATTCTTTCTCCAAACCGGTGCCGAAGTCGACTGGACCGCCAGCAACAGCTTCCTTAGCGATCCCGCTGCCATGAAGATTCTCCTCACTGGCATCTGGACCGTTTCCGCCGCCGGGCTTGTTCTCGGTCTCTTGGCTTGGCTGCTTCATTCCAAGCTTTATAACTGGACCGGGTACGCGCTCGAGGCGATCCGAGACCTCATATGCGGTGCATATAGCGCCTGCAGAGGGGGTTATCAAGCACGTTACACCTTGATCACCGCACCCAACAAATCCTGGATCAATTCGGTTGATATCAGGTCAGCACGCCGTACAGCTCTTCTCGTCGCCGCTTCATTTTCGTTATTGTTTCTGGAAATCGTTCGCCCTGCTATACCATATGATCATCTATCGAGCGCGCTACCTTTGTCACTACTTGATGCTTTCACCAAAAAGACCATCACGGTGGAGGGCTGCAGGAACCCCTCGAAAGCGTTCCCTATCTGGACGAATGTTAACCCTATTCCTTTGAAAGATGGCTGGTCTCGCCCCGCATGGCTTCCGGAGGACACGCCTGACGGATTTAGTCGCTGGGGTATTGATCCTTACAAGCGCGCGGAGAAGGACAACCCATCTTGGTATCTATGCAGTGGTGGCGACGACGGCGGATTTTTTAATCCTAAATCGGATCCTTTGAAGATTTCTAATCTTGGCGATGACATCTACGAGCCACTGAAGAAGGCCTTCAAGGAACACTCGGTGGCTATCGACAACGTCATACTGATAACACTGGAAAGTGGACGCAAGGAAATGTTCCCCATGCAGCAGGGGACCCCCCCTGTTCGATGGGTTGCTTGCTTCACACCCCGAGGAGGACAGGGATGATGCAATCGACCGCCTGGTTGAGAGTACTCGCATCGCGCAGATGTTGACCGGTGAGCATGTGAAGGACAGCCAAGGGAAGCTGGTCAGTTTGGCCAACTCGACTTGGCGGGACACAACAGAGGAAGGTATGGGAGGTCTGAATGTCCAAGGAGCGATTACAGGGAGCACTCTTACTTTCAAAAGTATTCTCGGTAGTCATTGTGGAGTCAATCCCCTTCCGGTTGATATGTTGGAAGAATCCGGTCTCGAAATCTACCAGCCATGCCTGCCTCAACTGTTCGAAGCTTTCAACAAGGCCAAGAGCCCAGTGCAACCAACACAACCTGAAAAGGTCGAGAAACGCAAGACGGCATCCAACCAGTCGGAAGCTGTGGAATACCCGTGGAAATCGGTCTTCATGCAGTCTATCACCGACGACTATGATCGCCAGGACGTCCTCAATAACCACATGGGCTTCAAACACAAGGTAGTCAAAAGCACCCTGAAAGACTTTCACTCGAAATATCGCGCCAAGGGCGAAGAGATCAACTACTTCGGCTACGCCGAGACCGAACTGAAACCATATATTCGCGATCTTTTCGAAGAGGCCGCCATCAACAAAACCCGCCTTTTCCTCTCCCACGTCACCAGCACAACCCACCACCCTTGGTCCACACCCGAGGATTTCAAACAGGTGTCCTACATGGGCCATGAAGGAACCATCAAACACGACCTGATGAACAACTACATCAACGCGGCGCGCTTCGTTGACAATTGGCTCGGCGACATAATGACCATGCTCGACGAATCCGGCCTCGCCAACAACACCCTCGTCGTAGTCGTCGGCGATCACGGCCAAGCATTCGGCGAAGACAACAAAGATTTGACAGGAACCTACAACAACCCCCACATTAGCAATTTCCGCGTCCCCCTCGTCTTCCGACACCCTCACATGCCGCGAATTCACATCTCAGCCAACGCAACCGCCCTCTCCATCATCCCGACTATCCTGGATATGCTTGTTCAATCCGAATCCCTGGATGAGCAGGACTCGGCGATCGCATCTGCGGTTTTACCTGAGTACCAAGGCCAATCGCTCATCCGACCCTTCCGCACATCTATCCTCGAGAAAGAAGATGCCGAAAACGGACGCAAGAAGTTAGCCTGGAATTTCGGCCTCATCAATGCGGGCGGTGCCAAAATGTCCGTCACAGCTGCCGGCTCTCCGTACCGACTTATCCTCCCCATCAAAGAGGACTCGGAATACGTCTTCTCTCATCTGGGCAATGATCCCGGTGAACTGTCTCCCATGAAGTCATGGTCTCTGTCCACTTTGACAGAGACCGTCAAAACCAAGTTCGGCAGTGAAGCCGCTGCTTGGCTTGAAGATGCGGAGAAGGTTGGGAAGTGGTATGTTAATGACCAGAGGCGGATATGGGGGTATAGGGAAGCTTGAATGAATGAATATGTATTGGCCAGTGAATGGCTTTGCTTAATGTTTCACTATATCCTCGTTTGCTTATGGGTACATATGAATGGACTATATTTACTTCTTAATGAATTCTCTCTTCTGCAATCCTTGTCTACTATGCCTTCAAGTTTCTCTCCCGGAAATTAGTACCGATCTGCTCCAAGGCTTTCGCACGCAATTGTCAACCCCACATTTCGCCATCGTTGGATATTTGAAGTTCTTGGCATTGCGCTCTCTCCGAGGTACGGGTACATCCTACATCCCCCAAACGCTGCGGATTTTCCGATTCTTCTTTTGTAAAGAGCCATAAATTAGGTATATCCGGGCTCGGCCACATTCACTTCAATAGAGATCTTAGGCCTCGAATGCGAAAACGAAATGCGGGGAAGTTAGACGAAATTACATAGCCGAGAGCCCCCAACTACGCGCTTCTCGGATATCCCGACCAACAAATTTCTGCATCTCCCGCCACTATGGAAGCGAGCTTACCCACAGGGTATAGATTCGCGCGGAAAACAGAGGCTAGTCTTTTCCAAGGGTAGTCATTATGCGACGGCGGCATTGAGGGTTAGATTCTCGGGATGTGGACTACGGTATAAAATCGAAGCATGGGTACCTGGGCTATTTGCAACGCTCTGGTTTCTGCTTGTTCGTCCTTTTCAAAATGCCGCTTTTAATTTCGGCTGCGCTTCTTGCAATTGGGTTAACATTGGTCAATGGGAGTGCTTCAAATAGTCATGGGTCAATCAAGAACTTGAACCCCGGGCACTCTGCGGAGACCACTGGCAGACAGCCCAATTTTGTCTTTATCATGACGGATGATCAAGACTTACATCTTCACTCATTGGACTATATGCCAAAGCTGCAGCGCCTCATTGGTGACGAAGGCACGGTCTTTGAGCGCCATTTTTGTACAATTGCTGTCTGCTGTCCGTCGCGGGTGAGTTTGATGACTGGCAAGCTGGCGCATAATACCAACGTCACCGATGTTTATCCTCCATATGGTACGAGAAGCAATAATTTCCTTGAAACTTTTCATTTCTAATCCTCTTTAAGGCGGGTACCCCAAGTTCATCGCAGAAGGCCACAATGATAATTACCTGCCCATCTGGTTGCAAGATGCAGGCTATAACACCTACTACACGGGAAAGTTTCTGAACGCACATTCAACCTCCAACTATAACAATCCATATCCTAAAGGTTGGAACGGTACAAATTGTATGTGATCTACCTAGGTACCCCGGAAACATAAGTATGCTTCAGGATTGACGTTTATTCACAGTCCTGCTGGACCCATCAACATACAGCTACTGGAACTCCACTTTCCAACGCAACCACGATAAACCCGTTGTATCCGATGGCTACTCAACTGATCTAATCTCACGCCATTCTCTGGACTTCATCAAAGAGGCCCATGCTTCCGATCGCCCGTTCTTCCTCGGAATTACTCCCATTGCACCGCATGCGAAGACGGCTGAGGTAGAGGGATCATCTATCCCAGCCTTCACCGATCCTGTACCTGCCCCACGACACGCGAATAAATTTCCCAATGCAAGGATTCCACGAGGGGGGAACTTTAATCCAGACACGGTATGCTGTCCCGATGATTTAATCACTAGAGCTCTAATCAAACGCTGACCATAACTTGAACCATATCAGCAAAGCGGTGCCAGTTGGATATTGGATCTGCCCCAGCTTAACACTAGCGAGGTTACCTATATGGATGGGTATTACCGCCACCGACTTCAATCTCTCCAAGCCGTTGACGATCTTGTTGAGAGTGTGGTCAACAAACTCAAGGACTACGGTCTGCTGGGTAATACCTATATCTTCTACACATCCGACAACGGATACCATGCCGGGCAGCATCGAATGGTTCCAGGCAAAGGCTGTCCCTACGAAGAAGACATCAATATTCCTATGATAGTGCGTGGGCCCGGAGTTCCTAAGGGCCGAAAGGTTGATTTTGTCACGTCGCATACCGACATTGCAGCGACTTTGTTCGATTTGGCTGGTATACCCTTGAGAGAGGACTTTGATGGAATCCCGATGCCCTTGACAGTTTCGGAAATGCGAGGCGCAAAATCTGATCCGCGGAGAGAGCACGTTTCTGTTGAGTACTGGGGTTCGAATCTCCAGGAGGGTGATATCGGCCGTGTTTCGCCGACGGGCGCTGGGGTGGTGTATTATAATAATACCTACAAGGCTATGCGGGTTATTGGGGACTCTTATAATCTTTTCTATTCTGTTTGGTGTACTAATGAGCACGAACTTTACGACTTGACAGTGAGTGATTCATATTTTATTTTTGATGTTTTTTTTTGATTCATCAGCTGACACTTCCACAGAATGACCCATACCAGATGCGAAATCTCATCAATAGCAAGAACAGGCTACTAGGTCGAGATATAAAGAAAGTGATATCTCGATTAGACGCCCTCCTGCTTGTCCTTAAGAGCTGCAAAGGCTCGGACTGTACACTCCCCTGGCAGGTACTACATCCGAATAAAAAGGTCACCAGTCTCTCCGAGGCACTGAGCCCGAAGTACGATAAATTCTACGCTGCGCAGCCGGATATCAGCTTCTCGGCTTGTGAGCTGGGTTATTTGCCGGGATCGGAGGGGCCGCAGGAGGGGTATGCGTATCGACGGGATGGGGATTGGAGTTATTGGGCCTAGAGAATCTTGGGATTCGCTTTCGAAGGTCCTAGATGTGGCCTTTTTGTCATGAAAGATCCAGTCTGTGAGCGGTAATCGGGATCTACCTCATAATTAAATATATTTCTCCTCCATTCGTGGCAGCTTTCAATGATCGAAGAAAAGAGAGAAAGAAAGAAAGAACAGGTCGTATTAATCGTACTTATTGTGATATATTTTCCGCTAGTAGCCCATAAAAAAAGAGAAGACCTAATTCATCCAACGCCAAGCTAATCCAAAAAAACAGCGCCCATTGGAATAGAGACGATATTAAACAGAACTTTTCCCTCCATTTTCAAATTGCCTCATCATCCATCCTCCTCAAATCAACCACAACAAAGCTCTTAACTTCAACCGGCAAAGGCTGATCATTATACACAGAATTCAACGGAACATTTTTCCCAGTGCACATATCATCATCGAAAGCAATAACGTCCTCGTATTCCGCCAATTTCCGCGCCATCACGAAGCCACCCTTTGGAAAAGATACAGATCGACAGTGCTGGGATCCGGAGCCGGTGTAAGTGTGGCCGATTTTGTGCGCGGTCGGGAAATAGGCTACATCCCATGCTAATGTCGATAGCGCAAGGGCAAGTAGTGAGAGAATCGTGGTTATCATTTTGATCTGATTGGATTGTTAGAACTGGAATGGGAATGTTCTAGAGTAGAGATGGCTGGACACACCGGCTTGAAATCGATCGGTCACAATGCAATTTGTGTGACTTGAAAGGTAAGATATTGGAAATTATTAACGAGTCTCGTATATTTAAGTGCTAAAGCTTGAGTTGCTCTGCTATACACAGGCCATTGACTGAAGATCTGTCAAGAATGTGTAGTTGTGTAGGAAATGAGCTTGAGGAATGCGCTCCTTGCTTCAGGAGCTACTCTAAATGGCTGAATATTACCAAGGTGCGGGAGGCCCGCCGGGCGGATACGGTAAAATATCTGCATTGGCCAGGGATAATAGTATTGTTTATTTGTGACAGAGCTGCGATTGAGTTTGTCAGTTTGGTCTTCATGCTAGCAAAGTCTCTAGATGTTCGAAATGACCTGCATGTGTTTATTAGGAATACCTAAGCATTCATCAGTGAGGTTGAATTGCAGAATTCACAAATCTATTAGTTTGGATTCTTGGTATCCATCAAAACATTCACGTTGACTGGAGATCTGCAACACTCAATTTGAAGTTGAGCCGTGCTGCGGAGGTCCTTTAAGCGGGTACGCAGGACTCCTCCCAGCTTATGGCATTAAGTATCATGATCCATTTGAAAATAAAGGTAAGCCCTCCTAACCTTAAATATAGTAAAGATATCATAATACACCGTTCCGTCGCAAGTTTTGTAATCGTGAACCTGAAAACGGCCATCTGCCAGCCAGTGGCAGTGGTGATGGGGCCATTGAAGGTTTGGGAAACATATATTTTTGATCATTTCACCTGGGCACTCATACTACTAGTAGTACATACATTGCGAATTTCTGGTTGATTCTCGGGCCCAAATAGCAGTATACAAGGTCAATTGATGGTCACTACTTCCGAGTCAGAAAAAAGGAGAGAAGCACCCGCAAATCGGAGAATATTGGGCCTCCAACACGGACTATATCCGCTATGCAAGCAGGGCCAGCCCACTGGGTGGCTCCAATCCACCATTTATCCCAACGAGTTCAATGGCTCGAAAAGCTTGATCAATGGAGGAAATTTATTAGCTCGCTAGATTTGACCTGGCGGTCTGGCTCCTCGAAAGCAACCGCATGAGACACAACAACTGGCAGTCCGGATGGGAATAGTTACATGCAATCGGAGCAACTCCGCGTCCAGAAAATGTCGCGATACGAGCGGGGCTTCGTGGCGCTGGCGCATTGCGAGAGACCCGTTTGTCAAAGTTTCTCAATTTTCGGCAGGACGGTAAATAGGCTAATGTGATAAGGTCTGGCAGGAGTAAACATGAGGTCACAGGCTAGCATCTGGTAGGCTTGCGTCTGGGAGATCATTGCCAAGGTCGAGTGTCGGGTGGAGAGTGAGTTAGTGCTCCGTCGTAACTGTCAACAACGAGCTACTAGGTAGTCAATGTAACGAGGAGACTGGAAACTTTGTTGAGCGGAATAACCCCCACGCCAGGTAGGTAGGTCACTTGACGAATCCTGAATCCACTATAGCTCCAGCGCTATCGCGATACATACTTAGCCGTGGACCTGTCTAGCCGGGGAACCGTGCAGATGGCGCGGGGTCCCGCAACTCAACTAGACAGAGCACGGACCAAAAGCAAAAGAAACAGTAGTAGAACTAACTAGACTCCAGCCCGTGGCGGCTGCACGGCTGGCCGTTATACACCGCTGCAGCGAGAGGGACAATTAACAGAGCTTCCACATAGTATATTTTAGGATTTTTCACGGGGTGGGAGGAGGAGGAGGAGGAGGAGGAGCACAGACAGGTCTCGATCTGCTCTAGATCTGAGATCCGACTAGGCCGGCCGGGTCCTGCTAAGCGCCTTAGGCTGCAGGTGCAATATGTAAAGGGACTGGGATTGGAAATGCGTAATGGAATGGGAAAGTTCTAGAAGCGGGGCCGGATGCGAGTGCCGATTGTTTATTGCAATTTAGCTGCTCATGGGATCGTGGTGGAACTGTTCACGGAAGAGCAAAGATGCTGGTGCAAGGGGATGTTTCCTCGGCTTTGCCCGATATAGAATAGTCCTAGTAGGATCAGGCTCAGGCGCCGTAGCGCCCAGCAGAATTTGCTGGTCACACGGGCAATATTTGATACTCCGCCCCTATCGGGACTGCATTTCCCCTGGATTGCGGATTAGCTGTGAACTAGGGTGGATTTTATTTTCAGATGTTTGTTAAGATTTTTGTTCATTATTCTCCAAAAGAAAAAAAAATATTGCCGGCTTGCAATCTGGTTGGGTTGTACAATCAAGAGGTAACTATACTTCTGGGTATCCTAGTCGCAGTGGCGAATTCCATCAATTCGGGGATTCGTTGGGGAAGGAGAGAAAAGTGTTCATAGTGATGAAATAACTACACTTTCTGATAACGAAAATATAGAAATAAAAGCAAATAATAAAATAAGAACTGGTGGTGGAATGGGCCATTGAGTTTCCCAGCATCCGGGGGCTAGGGACAGGGACGGATCTAGTACGGGGAAGCCGGATTGTCCACATGACCCGAGAATACTAAGAAGTACTCCTCACTAACTATGGGGTATGGAGGGTATGGAGTAGTCCATGGTACAGTATCAAGTCACCAAGAAAAAAAAAAACCAGATTAACAGGGCGATCAACAATCCCCCGGGACGGTTCCCCGGGGCATGGGGTGTCAGGTGAGGTGAACGGTGGCGTCGAATCTGGGGAGATCGGCTTGCCCGAATAAGACATCCGATCGACTAGTTCTTCCTTCGACTGGTGAACGAGACCTGGTGAACAAGATGGCTTGGCCAATATTGGGCTGCCATGACAAAATGGTTAAATCATTGACTACGAATATTTTTTACAGAAGCCTGCGCGCTCTTGCGTGGATATCGAGCTGGGTTCTGACGAAACCCTGTTCTTACAGGGTCCTACTAGCAGGATTCTATTCAATTCGGTTCTTTTTGCCGGATCGTGAATCAAGACCCTGGGGAGGACTCCGTAGGTACAATAGTACTTTTTCTTTTCTTGATTTCCCTTTTTTAACATGTTCGCTTGCCACGCCGTTGGAACGCGCCTCTAGGGTCCACTACTTTGCTCTGCTGTGATCTGGACTAGAGATAGACTCGACTAGACCTGAAGCTAGCTGCACCGCCCACGACGCGCATTCTCCGGGCCTGGGCCGAGCGAGCTTGTTCGCTTGGCTCTGCGTTGCCATTTTCAGACAGACTCTGCTGTCCACGAGACACACCCCCTTCGGCAAGATACTGCCGTTGGGATTGAGGGTTTGCTGTTCCCAAAAATATTTAAAGACCTCGTCGTATGTCTCTTCATTGTTCATCATCTTCATCATCTTAATTCTTTAATACTATCTCCTCAAGCCTTTGGCTAAGCGTCCGCTTCAACTTTATACTTCACACTCTGTGACTCTTATACCACTCGAACATCTTTCTCCACCAAACTTAATATTCACCCTACCTAATCAATAATTCGCCTCACAATGTCTGTCTCCATTGAAACCACCCAAGTCCCCACTGCCCCAATGACCAGCCAACCTGTCCTTCTGGGCCAACAGGCACGCATGCCTGAGTTCAGTCTTGCCGGCAAGGTCGTTCTCGTTTCTGGTGCTGGTCGTGGACTGGGTCTCACACAGAGCGAAGCCCTCCTCGAAGCCGGAGCAAAGGTCTACGCCCTCGACAGACTGGAGGAGCCTGCTCCAGAATTCTTCGAACTCCAGCAACGCGCCAAAGACCTTGGTACTGAGCTTCAGTATCGCCGCATCGATGTCCGCGACACCGAGTTGCTGAACAGCGTCATTGAGGGCATCGCCCAGGTTGAAGGACGCATGGATGGCCTCGTTGCTGCGGCTGGTATCCAACAGGAGACTCCTGCGCTCGAGTACTCTGCTAAGGACAGCAACACCATGTTCGAGATCAACGTCACTGGTGTGTTCATGACTGCCCAGGCGGTTGCCAAGCAGATGATTCGCTTTGGAAACGGTGGAAGTATCGCCATGATCGCCAGTATGAGTGGTACCATTGCCAATCGGGTAAGCTCCCCTCCCTCCAATATTTTAGTCTTGCCTCTTTTCTTCTTTGCCCTTTGTTCCTCCTCCCGTGTCCGGTTAAACCGGATATTATCCATCCACATCTACCTGGTCTGCCTGTGTCATATTGGTCCCCGTTGTTTATTTCCCCCCTCCCCGCATTTTTACCCTTTTCATCCATTATTCGAATTCAGACTAACAAGGACTATAACAGGGCCTTATTTGTCCCGCCTACAACGCCTCCAAGGCTGCCGTCATCCAACTTGGTCGCAACCTCGCTGCCGAATGGGGCCAATACAATATCCGTGTCAACACTATCTCCCCGGGTTACATCGTCACTGCCATGGTTGAGAAGCTGTTTGTTGAGTTCCCTGAGCGCCGCGATCAGTGGCCCAAGGAGAACATGCTCGGTCGTCTGTCTCGTCCCGAGGAGTACCGTGGTGCAGCAGTCTTCCTGCTTTCCGATGCCTCTTCGTTCATGACTGGCTCTGACCTGCGCATGGACGGTGGTCACGCCGCGTGGTAGAGACAATTCTGATTGTCTTGAAATGACACCCTACTGTTCCATCGTCCCTGGGTGGATGGGGAATGAATTGTATGCATACACGTGGCGGGCGGGCTTTCATGGCATGGCGTTTTGATTTTTGATTTTCTTTTTTCCATCTTTCTTTCTTATTAATGGGATGAGCGAGTAGTTTTCATTGGCAGTTCATGGCTTTCTTGGCCTTTTTCTTAGGATTATGATCAGCGTGATTGATTCTGTTTCGCGTTTCTATTCTTTGCTTATAGTTTAGACTCATATCGATCGCTCGAGTTAATGCAAAGATGATCCGACCCACTTTGACTTTTGACGGATCGGCTCCACTCGGAGTCCCCCACTGTAGATTTCAAGTAGATTGAACAACGCAGGGCTGGTCACGAGCGATGCACGGCCTTTCCGATCGTGCCCTTGTTCTCTCTGCTATAGAAGGCGATTGATATTGTCGTTGGATTGGGCTCTCGCCGTTATTTTTGTCCAGTTGGATCCGACCACATCATGAATGAGAACGGATGACCTTATGCCGATCTACCAGAGAGGAAACCCCGTCCCCAGCCCACGATGCTTACCACGCCTAGGAATTCCCTGCGATTGGAATCCACAGTATTCCAGGGTGGGAATAGTCAAAGTCAGGTGGTAACAAGGAGACATGGGACTGGGACGCACAAAAGCCGAGCCAAGAATCTTGTCGTCGTTGACTCTGGGGAAGTGGAGGTGACCCCGCGTTTTCGCCAGTCATAGCTCGTCTGAGGCACACTCGGTCCTCCCAGAGTATGGGCCGACATCTATTGTTTGTCCAATGGTCATAGACTTTGCGACAAGATGCTGTCAGTTGTTTGTTGGGCGCCGCGGCGTGCTATTGATTGGTGTTGCCTCTGCAAGGGGGTGTTTGCCATCTGTTGCCCGACTGGGCTTGACGATACGCTCGCCATCACCATCTAAGTATAACCTGGGCTTGAGCAAATTTTCAATCGGTACATCCCGGATAATGACGGGACCTTGCCAGTGGCCTCATGAGTATAACTGGAGTGTTGTAGTCATCACCCTCGGCATGCCTGATATGGTACACACCTTGTGCTGGCACCCAGCAACTCAACGTCCCAACAAAGCCCGTTACAAAGTAACACGGCCTGTGCTAAATTCTCTGTGTTTGTTTTGAAGGTGAGAAATCGATCCGTTCCCCGAGGGCAGGTCACACTGTACAACGATTGTCCCACCAGCCGGCCCGGTCAATCCAGTGAGAGCGAGTGTTGACGTAGAAGATGAGTCCCCGTGAGCCGCTTCGTGAATTTGAGTGAAATTATTTGGCATTCGGACCTCCCTAATTTGGGATCCCACGAGATGCACTCAACCTTGAGGTGTCGGCTTGCTGATCATTGAAGTCAGTTGCCACCAGACTGAAATAGCCTCCGCGGCGCCCGCGGCGCGGCATAACGACGCGTACACAAATCCCTGTTTCGGGGCTTTTGATGGCTTTTGCATCATGGACCTTCTAATTTATGTTTTATCAGTTCCTATTGGAAGCCGGGAAATCGAGCGCCACGGGGGCTGAGATTGTGAAAGTACCCCGGTTCCGCCCAACCTTGGATCACTGGTGCATTAACGCAGATTTGGCGAATGGGGGCGGGTCATAATTCTTCCGCGAGCTGCCTTTTGTGACGTTCAAAATTGCGAAAGCTGATTTGTGGCAAGTTATGACTGTTCATCTCAAGTTCCGTGTTGCGTAAGTCGAAGCATTGCCGCAGCGGTGTCGGGGTTTGTAGATGGCTCGGGAGAATAAGTTGTTGTGGGCGAATACTTCTAATTTTTGATCTAGAAAGAGCATCAGCATCTACTATTGGCTGTCAACTGGAGATAGGTCGAACAGCTATCTCGAGACGTGTTGGAGTCCAGCTTTCTCTCTGAAGATAACGTGTGAGCCCGATGGCTGCATGGAGGTCTGTCTGTTGAAGACGATCGCCTGGGTTTGCCTCGCTCCAGTGCCGCTTCATTTCGATATGGCAAGGAGATGATAGATGATACCCAAACATTGCGATAGTAAGCGAATACAAGCTGTCAAGCCCCAGACGTGTGCTCGCCCCATCGGACACCCTCGTGGCTGGAATTGATATATCGTCTTTGCAGAATTCAACGAAATGGCGAGACCACTCTCACTGGCCAGTACTTCACTCGCCTCCTGTGATCTTGTGTGAGGCTGTAGATTTGATTGCATGTTCCTTGTGTATCTTTTGTTTTTTTCGTCGCAGTCCATTCCATGCAGGAGCTCGAAGGTGCAGGTCCAGCCTCTCGAGGCACCAGGCATTGGGGTTGGGCACATGGTATGCGCGGTCACTCATTGACTCACCCAGACCTATTGTGACTTCACGACAATATAGCCCAGCAAGAGACATACCACACCAGATATACTACTGATACCACTGCGAGTTTCACCTGCCGCTAGCCGAGATGCGCCACTCCGGGGTAGTATCAATACTGCGTTGCCGGAGAATTCTGGGGTAAGTGGAGACTTTTGTGTTAGTAGCATCGAATGATGGCAGTGTACGAGTACTAACATGCACTTCAGGCAGTTTTTTTTGGTGAAGGTGGCAGAAGTGTTCAGTATGTTGCAGTATGTTGCAGTATACGAGTGAAGTGAGGCTGGGGCTTACCCTTTTGGGCCATAAAGTACATCGCTCCTTCCTCAACATTCACCCTGCCATCTTGCTCCTTCCTTCTTTCCCTTCGTTCCCTATCAACTCTCACTTCACGTGTTCCCCTCTGCCTCCTCTTCCTCCTCCTCATCTCTTCTGTTCTTTAACTTCCTCTCTTCCTTCGAGTTTTTTCCTTTTTCTTTGCTATTCGCCATACAACCATCGAAATGGCGCTCGATGAGTTCGGGCGTGATCGAAGCTCCCCAAAAGGCGATCTCCCGGTCCTTCGTGAGGTCCTCACTCAGCCAGACTACGTCTCCACCTACCCCGAGAAAGGCCTTCTTACCCCCTCCTACCACCTTGAGCTGGGCGATGAGAATCCAACTCCCGATGAGCTGACCGGCCCGACTGCTTTGCGTCGTGTGTCAGCTCCCATCCCCTGGGCTGTCTACGCCGTTGCCTTTGTGGAGCTGTGCGAGCGATTCTCGTACTACGGAACACAGATTTTGTGTATGTGCATGCTTCATATGCCTTCAAAGCGACCCATTGGACTGATCTAACGTGTTATCCAGATTCCAACTTTGTGAATCACGCTCTTCCTCTTGCCCCTCCTCATGGCCCGGCTGGGTCAAACCACAAGACCGGTGCTGGTGGTGGTTCCTCCCAGGGCGTTTCGGGCGCTCTCGGCAAAGGCACTCAAGTTGCGAATGGCATCAACACTTTTAACACCTTCTGGTGCTACATCATTCCCCTATTCAGTGCCTATGTCGCGGATGAATTCTGGGGCCGCTACAAGACCATTTGCTGGGCCATTTTCTTTGCCATCATTGGCCACATCACCCTCGTCATGTCTGCCATCCCTCCAGTCATCACAAACACGACCATGTGCTTCGCTATATTCATTCTGGGTGTGATTATCATGGGATTTGGAACCGGTGGTTTCAAACCCAACATCTCCGCATTGGTCGTCGAGCAGATCCCCGTTGTCAATCTGAAAGTACGCACCCTACCCACCGGCGAGCGTGTCATTATTGATCCGACCATCACGCAAAGCCGAATCTATCACTATTTCTACCTTTTCATCAACGTGGGTGCTCTGATCGGCCAGATCTCCATGGTCTATGCGGAGAAGTATGTGGGTTTCTGGCTTGGCTTCTTGCTTCCCACTGCAATGTTCATGATCTGTCCCCTTGTTATGTGGTGGGGGCACAAGCGGTACACCCAAGCTAAGCCCCAGGGCTCTGTCACCTCCAAAGCGATACGGGTCTTTTTCTATGCCCTCCGTAGCCGCTGGTCATGGAACCCTATCAAGTTTTGGAAGCGTACCCATGACGGTACCCTCTGGGAGACTGCAAAGCCCTCCAACATTGCCCCTCGGGATCGTCCACACTGGATGACTTTCGACGATGCCTGGGTTGATGAAGTGCGCCGCGGCTTTTGTGCCTGTGCGGTCTTCTGTTACATGCCACTCTACTGGTTGTCATACAGCCAGCTAACCAATAACTTGACTGCTCAGGCAGGAACCATGGCCCTGCACGGTGTTCCCAATGACGTTCTCAACAACCTCGACCCCATAATTCTGGTGATATTCATTCCCGTCTGCGATTACTTTTTGTATCCCGCCTTGCGTCGAGCAGGAATACGCTTCACTGCCATCAAGAAGATCTTCGTTGGCTTCGTACTTGGCGCAATGGGAATGGGCTGGGCGACCGCAGTCCAGCACTACATCTACAAGACCTCGCCCTGTGGTTACCATGCAAATACCTGCGCCAATCCTGATGGAAGTGTGCTAAATTCCCCGCTGAACGTCTGGATTCAATCCGGCTCCTACGTACTAATTGCTTTGTCCGAGATTTTCGCTTCCATCACAACCCTGGAGTACGCCTATTCCAAAGCTCCTCGCGGTATGCGCTCCTTCATTCAGGCAATTTCGCTTTTCTCGAATGCCGTCTCCGCCGCCATTGCCGAGGCTCTCAACCCGCTCTCCAAGGACCCTCTGCTTGTGTGGAACTACGGTGTCTTTGCCGTTATCTCGATTGTCAGTGGCTTCCTTTTCATCTGGCAGTTCTGGAGCTTGGATCAGGAGGAGGATGAGCTGAACAATCTGCCGGAGGGCCAAGTTGTCGCCGAAGCCAAGTCCGAGGGGCTTTTTGTTTCAGCCGAGATCACTTCTGCCCCCAGATAGACGTAGACATCGTATCTTCGATATCTCAGATATCCCATTTTGTTTCTTTCTTGCACGCCATCGCTGCATCTTTCCATTATCAGTTCGTTTAGCTACTACTCTAGCTTACCCAACCCTTACGGTATGGGCTTCCATAATAGCACTTCAAGTTATCGTTGGTTTTACTATTTGAAAGTAGAATTTGTAGTTCATTACTGACAATATTCATTGATAGCTCAGCCAGCTAGCCCACTTGCTTACTCTGAAGTGTGGAAGGTACCCTAGTACCCTAGCCTCCAGGGCTGGCAATCGTGCAGGCGGAAGGGCGAAGCGTAGTAGCAATGACGCTCGGACAGGCATGCCCTCCGGAATACCACAGGGCGCAATATGCGTTCAAACACTCGATGATTCCCTGCATTCTGCAATTCACATTAGTTATCTGATACAACCCAGTGGGCACCACTCGATCGGACTGAGCCGGTACTAGTAGTAGAACCACCGAAACAGACAGGACAGAAATCTAGATCTAGCTACTACTCACGGAATAAATAGGTCAATAGAACAGTGAATATCCCATCGAAAACAGATGATTCCATTTCGCACCTCGAGGTCTTTAATTGCATATCTTATACGGCGAACTCTATGAAGAATATCTCCCCGAATTCAAGAAACATTGCCAAAATACCGTCTTCGACATGCACTGTCATGGGACGATACTTCCGGGGCAGCCACAACTCTCTCACCCCATTGATTTCAACCCAGTCCTTCTCTTATGAGGTTATCTCAATGCTAGGCCGTGTTTGGGTTAGGTGGCTTGATGTTTAGAATTCCCAGACTCGTACTCAATTGGAGTCCATCATCCGTGAATTTCAAATAATCTAGTTCTGCCGGTCGAGATACTCAATCCTTGAGAACCTTGCCAGAATCGGTGTCAAAGACCCTGATGTCTCCTCCTTGTGCGGAAGAAGCAAGTTGTCGGTTATCTTGTGAGAATTCCAGGCGCTTTACACCGGTTGCACCGGTTTGGGTCTTTGGTAACTGCCTTTTGAACAGGAGATAGCAATTAAGGTATACTCGTAGCTAGCTGTCGTGCAACTGTGGGGAGGAATTTGAGAGCATTTCCCCGGTCGGCTTCGCCTCTCTTGAAAAAGAAACTTGCCCCCAACGACACTGGATCCGACTGTCCAAATGATTTAGCTACCGTACGAGAAATGGTGGATTTTCCTGTTCCAGCCATGCCGTTCAACCAAAATATGCATTTCCCATCGGAGGAGCGAGCCCATTCTTGTATCTCATGGAGTATGTCAGTTCGCGTCCCAGGAAGACACTCATCATCGTGTTGATTGGCATATGAATCATGTGCGGCTCCCTGTACTACGGGAAGCTTGTCATCGAGGTTTAAATGAGGATCAGCACCCCCAGCCTCGAATTAAAATGGCAGTCTCAGTTCCCTCTAGTACCACCTACCCAGGGGAAGGACTTGGTTGTTAATTGATCCATAGTTAACCCCCACTTGAGATGCAAAATTCGAACCATTAAATGATACTCTTGGGTCCATTTTGGCGAGACCTGATGGGATTTCGCAACTGCATAAGGAAGAATGCGGGGTACGCGTTGTTTGGCCGTCAACACTTCGTTTGTCAGGTGATATCTCGCCCTTAGCACCGCATGAGAAATATTCCGTCAATTATGTTGGTTCGCTAGTACCAGAGAGGACTGAAAACCACCTGGGATGAAGGGAATAGATCAAAAATATATATATAGCACAAAGGCAGCAATACGATAAGACTATTTACCGGAAAGCGGCCGTCATATCTGATGAGAGTACGTGGGTACGGTATTTAACAACAGTCGGAAATGAATATGTGGATTGTCTCGGGCGTTTGTCTATTGCGCATGCTACTTCGACTGTTAATATGGAGGGAAATCCTCATCTCCTTAAAGAGGTAAGAGGATATTGAACAGTAATACATGGTATGGTCTCGGTAGAGCTGATTATATCTCAATAGCTCTTGGGCTAATGTTACGACTACTTCATGTCCCATGGGACACTACTAGTCTGGGGTTACTGGCTTTTGCGAGTTGATAATCAATTAAAGATCTCGGAAGATGTAGGAAAAGAGAAAGGGATTGCAGAGTTCTAAATTTTCGGCCACTGATATCAAGGACCACCTACCGTGACTCCTTTCCCTCGCATCGGCGTGCACCAGTGGTTTGTCAGGACATCTTCTACTAACTAAGAGTTGGCTCTAGGGCCGTTCAAACTTGAAGAAATCCGAAAACTCAAGGTCCCCACCGCCGATCACGGGTTGCCGATGAAAGTTCTTCACAACCTGAAACCTGATCCCCCAGATATTCCGATCGGCGGGCCCTGAACATCACCCGCCCTGGCTCTAATTCTGGTCTTATTTAATCTGGAGCATTCGTCTGAATGAAAATGTTCCTTTGTTCCTTGATCTCTACGCTCCCTCGAAATAATTATTTGAACACGAATACGAGTGTCTATTATTATTGTTCTGCCTGCTCAGCTGAACATCCACTCAACCATCGACTAAGCCGCTAGCCCCGGCCGTTAGCTCCCGAATTTGCGGTGTACAACACAACACAACTTGGGGCCGAAGTCAGCTCTGCTTACTCGCGTTTCTGTTGGCCGCAGGGCTGAGTCTTGACGGTGTTCAAGCACAAAATATAGCTGCCTAAAAAGGTTGCACTTGAGCTAACTAATACCGCCTAAATATGGGGTCTTTATGTACGGATACTCGGAAGACCGTTCGGAAGGGCCGGCCGTAATTGATGTTTTAGATTATTTCCAATGGTTCAAGCGGGGTGGAGCGTGGTGGTATATTTAGCCCCATAATTAGGAGGACCCTAGGCTTCTAGCTCGGTGGCTAGAGGGGATTTTGGGGCGAATGGGGGTGGCTTGTAAGATTATCCAGGGATCCTGGGATACACTAGTGGAATGCACTGAGTTTTGAGGTGGTTCTGCTATTCGGGCCGGGCAATTTTATGGGTCTATAGGCAGATGCATACCTATATGTAGTTATATGTAGTTATTCGTACTCGTAGTGTACTGTTCGAAGTATAATATTTATTAAAATTTTATGAATTTATGTGAGATCAATTAGAATAGATTACTCCATAGTCTATGTTCATAGGGGGGCTCTTGCAGTGCCAGACTTGGTGATGACGTATCAAGAATGCCTCGTGATATCCAACCTTCAACCTTACGACTCCTTCAGCGGAAGTATACTCCGTACGATAGCCATGTACGGAGTATGTAGTATGCGCCACACTACCTGAGAATCCTCAGGTCAGGCCTGAACTACTTCTGGAATTATGCACCGCCTGGTGGAGCTCGGAAGCGCTCGTTTGTCCTGACATCACCAGATCCACACGATGACTATCCACTCGCTGCACCACCATTCGTCGCCCCCGGGAACGCTAATGTACGATGGAGACGGAAGTGATGCTTTGAACCTGCCTCTGGGCAGTGAAGGAGTGAGCTCCCACATTGAATTTCGGCGCGGGCTTGGCCAAGCTTCCGGCGGCCCCGGCGCATAAATATTATGAGGCACCCCTAGCGATCGATGATCAGTCCTTTCTCTCACCCCAGATCCAGATTCTTCCCTCTGGCTGCTCGCGTCAAAGGGACCTTGGATGAGTTGACATCGCGACAACACACTCATCATGAAATCCGGTGCCTTTCTCGCGTCTCTCGCCCTGGGCTTGCTGCCCGGTATGTCCATCCCCATCGGTCGGAGTGATCTGCACCTCACCTCACCTCGGTTCGACTCGACTTGATTTGGGTTCAAGTCAAAAAAATGCTTCCTCAATTCAGACCCCGCTAATAAGTATTGCTTCCTCCAGCCGCGATCGCAGCTCCCCCGGGCTTTGAACCCGCAAATGTCGTCCCTGTATTCGGCCGAGCTCTACCCGATGCACCCGATGGCTACGTCCCGACCAAAGTTAGCTGCCCTGGCACTCGTCCAACGGTGCGCAGCGCCGCGAAGCTCTCCTCCAATGAAACCGACTGGCTTAAGACCCGTCGTGAAAAGTCCCTTTCTGCCATGACGGACTTCTTCGGCCATGTGAAGGTCGGCGACTATGATGTGACTTCTTGGCTGGACAAGCACAAGAGCAATTCCTCTAATATTCCCAATATCGGTATTGCCGTGTCCGGTGGTGGTTACCGTGCACTGATGAACGGCGCTGGTGCCATCAAGGCATTCGATAGCCGAACATTCAATGCTACCACCGATGGACATCTTGGTGGTCTGCTGCAATCTTCCACTTATGTCGCCGGTCTCAGTGGTGGTAGCTGGCTGCTGGGCTCTATCTACATTAACAACTTCACCACCATCGATAAGCTGCAGACTACTTCCGATGGTGCCGTTTGGCAGTTCGGAAACTCTATTCTCGAAGGCCCTGATACCGGCGGTATCCAGCTGCTGGATTCGGCCAGTTACTACAAGGACATCGCCGAGGCTGTTGAGGGCAAGGAGAAGGCCGGATTTGACACTTCTCTCACCGACTTGTGGTAAGTTGTATCCCGGAGGAGTAACTCCGATAATACATGCTAATGATAATAAGGGGCCGTGCTCTCGCCTATCAGATGTTCAATGCCAGCGATGGAGGCATCGATTACACTTGGTCCTCCATTGCGAAGACCTCGGATTTCCAGGATGGCAACTACCCCATGCCGCTTGTCGTGGCCGATGGCCGTAACCCCGGAGAATTGGTCGTTGGCAGCAACTCCACTGTCTACGAGTTCAACCCCTGGGAGTTCGGTACTTTCGACCCGACCATCTTCGGCTTCGTTCCTCTTGAGAATCTAGGCTCGCGTTTTGTTGCTGGTTCTCTCCCTAGCAATGAAAGCTGCGTTGGTGGTTATGACAACGCTGGCTTCGTTATCGGAACATCCTCCACTCTTTTCAACCAATTCCTGCTCCAACTCAACACTACCTCCCTTCCATCGTTTGTGAAAGATGTTTTCAACGACATTCTTAACAAGCTGGACAAGTCTGATAATGATATCGCCTCCTACGATCCCAACCCATTCTATCACTACAACAACCAGTCCTCTCCCTACGCCCAGCAAACCGCCCTGGACGTCGTTGATGGTGGTGAGGATCTGCAAAATATCCCCCTGCACCCGCTGATCCAGCCCGAGCGTCATGTCGATGTTATCTTCGCTGTCGACTCTTCCGCCGACACCACCTACAGCTGGCCCAACGGTACCGCTCTGGTTGCCACCTATGAGCGCAGCCTCAACAGCAGCGGTATCGGCAACGGCACTTCATTCCCAGCCGTTCCGGATCAGAACACTTTCGTGAACCTGGGCCTGAACACCCGACCTACTTTCTTTGGCTGCAACAGCTCCAACACGACCGGCGCTACCCCGCTGGTTGTCTACCTCCCCAACACCCCATACACCACTCTCTCCAACGAGTCAACCTTCACCTTGAGCCGTGACGACACCGTCCGTGATGATATCATTAACAACGGATACGAAGTCGCAACTATGGCTAACGGCACTCGCGACGGCAACTGGACTACCTGTGTCGGCTGTGCCATCCTGAGCCGCTCTTTCGAACGCACTGGCGATACTCTCCCCGATGTGTGCACCCAGTGCTTCAAGAACTACTGCTGGAACGGCACCATTGACTCCAAGGACCCTGGCGTCTTTGACCCAAGTACCCTGATTAAGAAAGCTGATAACGCGGCCATTGCTGCTATTGTTCCTTCCGTGCTCTCCGCCACCGTCGCTGCTAGCGTAGCGCTCTTCAGTCTGGCTTAGATTTAAAGAATTCGTACATAATGAAGTTCAGTTGCACTTGATAATGATGGCGTCATTTGGGCATAGTTAATTGATTTGAACATTTATTTTTGGGTTGATACTAGTATTTCTATATTATACAAAGGTTCATTGGATTCAAAATTGAAGAATCTGAAGTCCTGGCAAGGCTGGTGTGCATATTCAACACTAGGAGTCGGGATCGCAGCATAAATTGTTTAAAGATGGATCGGATTCTACGGCGCTGTGTAGCCAATGTTGGAGATATGAACTTTATACTACAAGCCATCCTACCCAGTTGTATACACAGGACCCTAAATCGTTAGTATAAAGTTACCCCAGCAGACACTGGGTCAATTGCGGCGATGGAACGCCGTGATATTCTGGCTTGAATGTGCATGGAAATCCAAGAATTAAAATGCAAGTTGGAACCATCCGACACATTTGAAGAAGACAATTAAATACCTCGACGGGTGACTACACTATATAGTAAAGCATTTGACAAAAGTGTTGAGGTGCAGGTGCCGTGCTTCCATCCACATCGCCTCTCCCGTTTGTATTATCTACTAGTAGCAAGAAGTACCCGTACCAAAGCCCCCCCCTCGAGACGTGGTCACTTACAAGAACTTCGAAAGAAAAAAAGAAAAAGAAACTTCGATAACATGTCCTTCAGCCCTGGAGGGCTTTAACTTGTGGCTTCAAAGTCTCCAGGGCTACTAGTACCTAGTAGTAGTAGTAGTACTAGTTCCAAGATATACTTCTGGAAGTATATATATATGACTCCGAGTCAGACCCCAAGAGCCCTGACGTGCCAGTAGTATAACTTGAAATATCTCAAGACATTGAAGGAATAACTGGGCATACATACCAAGGTATTTACAGACTGCCTACCTAGCTCTCAAGGTTCGAGATAGACTTGTTTGTTCATCAATTATAAGAGTTGTCCAGCGTTTAGGCTGATCTTCACGGGGATGTTTTTGTAGTTCGTGCCGAGGATCTGCCGAGGAACCGCCGCGGCGTAGATCAACAACACGTGACCGTTACCATGGGAACAGAGTGGGTTGTCATCCTGTTTAGGAAGGTACGCCCAAACACAGCAAGCGTACTCCACCAACGGAGCTCCTTCGAATTCGCGTTGAATGCATCACATCCCATCACCTCTTCATCTCCACCTCCACCTCCGTCACGACATTCAACGACAACGACCGCAATCCGCTCAGCCCCGCCATGAGCCCCCCCGCGTCATTCAAATCCATAAAGCGACAACCGACAACAACAATCGAAACGCCATATCAACAACACAACCCACTGTCCTGCCTGCCACAATGGCTCGCGCAGCTGTCTTGCCCAAATCTCCCGCCAAGCGGGGGTCTCGTACCGTACCTCGAGCTGCTATGAAAACTACTGCCGCCTCCGCGGCCAGAGCGAAGGCTTCTGCGGACGTCAGGAAGAAAACTACCGCCAAGGCGGCGCCCGCCAATTACGACTCTGATGATACCGACGATGAGCTTGACGTATTGACGAAGCAACCGGAAAAGCCAAGGGTTCGCGCGAAGCCGGCTGCGCATACGGCGACCAAGGCTACCTCATCCTCGACAGGTCGTGGCAGAAAGGTTGCACCGGTGGAGGAAACCCAGGCTGGAACTGAAGACGAACCGACCGCTAAGACTGAACCAAAGAAGCGTGTTGGAAGGCCAAAGAAAACACCAGCCGCTGCTGGAGCCACTACTACGACTGCGCCGAAGGCTCGGGGACGACCAAAGGGCTCAACGAACAAGACAACTCAAACCACCACGACATCAACAACAAGACGGAAGAATACACGTACAGTTCCAGAACCAGAGCCATCTAGCGACACTTCCGATCCCAAGCGCATCGTGATTGCGACAAACTCGACCACCATGCGGTCTAATATCCTGCGTGGCCCGGCGAAAAAGAAGACAGTCACTTTCCGAGATGTGATGGAGTCAGGATCAGAGGAAGACGACGAGCTTGCAGTGACTGCTCCTACTACTAAGAAGGCTGCTACTCAAACAACTGGGAAGGCTGGTCTTGGAGGCACACCTGTTCGCAAGGGAGCCACCCGTGGACGGAAACCCGCTAAGACGGATGTTGCGCAACCTCTTTCCCCTAAGAAGGCTAAGCAGATGGCAAAAACCTTGTCTGCATATGCCAGCTCTGACGGTGAAGATGATGAACTCGCCGCTACCAAGGATGACAGCCCTGTCAGGTTGGTTGTTCATTCACCTGTGAAGGATGCGGCCGAGAATCCCAGCCTTGCATCTCCAGTTCGCAAGATCAACTTCACCCCTAAGAAGGCTTCCAATATGGTTGATGAGAATGGTGAACCCAAGGCTTCTACTCCGAAACATGGATCTACTGGTCTCGGATCTCCAGTCCGCAAAATCAATTTTACTCCTAAGCGCAGCCAAAACACCCACGGAGACGATCACTTGGCGCTTCCCCCCGGAAAGAACATCGACTTCACCGAATCTATGTTTATGTCAAGCCCCGCGAGACGACCTGAACTTTCCCCATTCAAGTTTAGCCATGCAGATACTCCCAACGCCCGTTTCACCCAGTCTATCTCCGCGCCGAATTTCACACCAGCCCAAGCATCCCCATTGAAGATGTCACCCCGGAAAGGTCAACTGGGTGCTTCTTTCTTGCAATCCCCGGCAAAGAACTCGACGTCTACTGCCGCGTTCCCTGCGCGGACCTCGTTGTTCCTGAGCCCTGCCAAGAAGGGAGCATCACCTTTCAAAAGCTCCTTATTTGCGCCCAAGTCGTCGGTGACGGAACAGGCTCCCCAAGAAGAACAGATCAGCACAACACCCACTTCTCTTCCTAAGCAATCTCCCATCGCGCCTCGATCGGCAGAGAGCCAAAGAGACCGAGATATCGATATGGTGGAAGAAGTTGCTCGTGACATTTTTGGAATCGAGCTACAGTCTTACCGACCCATGTCTGAGTCGCCCTTGTTGAAGGAATCCTTTAACGTCGAATTCGACCCTGAGATGGAAGTCGAGGAAACAGATGATGCCAATCCAGAGCCTGTTGAGATGGATGACGCGACGCAACACTGTGAAGCAGAGCCTGTCTTGAGGGGCGACCTCACCTCGGCTCCTGGTATAGAAATCATTGAGGTGGGCGATGCGACTGAAGATAGCGCTACTGAAAACGTCTCCACACAAAATCCTTTGGATACAGATGTCGACGACAAGCTCGAGGCACTGCAGAAGGAAATTCAAAACGAGCCGGAGGACTTTGGCACCATTTGTTTTAATACTATGGAATCTCTACAAGCACCCTTCGAGGCCTTCGAGCAACCAGCCGTCGTCGAAGACGAACTGAATCTCGAAGATTCTGCTTCCATCCAAGATGATGCCTCGGAGGTGGATGAGCAGCATGAAGACATTTTGCCGTTTAGCGTAGCCGAAGACGCAGATGAGGATTTCGCAGCTCCAGTCTTGCAACCTCTTACCCCACAGGAGGCCCAGAATCCGAATCAAGAGGATCTTGGAATGCTGCACTCGGAGCGTTCGCTCAACTTTGATACTCTTGAACGTATCCAAGCAAGTATTGAATCGGACAGTGACCAGGAGACCGATTATGACAATGAAATCGAAGACGCTGTCCACTCCGTTCAGCAGTCGGATGAAGATTATGAATCCGAGGAGATGGAAAATGACGAGCCAATAGTCATGCCCGCTGAGGCCACATTGGAGATTATGTTTAATGCTGGTTTACCTGATCAATGGGACGGAAGCGAGCAGAGAACTCACCCCTTTGAGCGCATGCCCTCTATCCCCCCCACCAGCTCCTACCCCCCCCCAGCCAACCATGCGACACCTTTCTCTGTGCAAGATAGTGCCATGTCCCAAGGCAAACTCTATGATATCAACCTCGAGCCGCGCATGGATGATGTGGAGGAAAGTCTTCTCGAAACTACTCAGACCGAAATGCCTACCCCGAGAGCCCCCACCGCTGCCGACACACCCAGTATCGCGGCCCGCCGGAAGTCTAACTTTAATGTTAATCAGGGCTTCACCCCACTAGCGCAACAATTTGGGCACTGGGAAACAAACACTCCATCCCAGGATCGTCCTGGAAGGCCGCGCCGACGAGGTGTTTTCTCACTTGTCGGTCCTCTGGAGAAAACGACCGAGCCTAGTACCCCAGAGGCAGGTGATGTGTCGTACCCTGACCTTTCACGTACTCCTCTTGCAAACACACCGTATTTGTTTGCGGAGTTGCCACTTCAGGAGCGGACCGATGACGGGTCCATGTCACCGGTGTCCGTGGCAACCGAAAAATCCCCCGCCGCGACTGAATATTCCGAGATCATGGATTCACCATCTAGGAGTGAAATATTTGAAGACAGGGATCATACTGTTCTGGAGCAAGAACATGAAAAAATTCGTGCTCGCCAAGTTTCATCCACACCGGAGCCAGTCGAACTCCAAGAACAAGGGATGCGGTCTGATGAAGAAAAGGAGAACAGCGAGACAACCATCATCCCCGCCACGCCTATCAGAGCTATTCCCGAGCAACGTACCGTCCACACTATTTCCAAAGTCCCCTTGAAGGGGGAGGGTGAAATGTCTCCGTTGAAGATTCCTCGCAAACGCGGCCACTCGCTCTCCGGCGCATCGCCTACTCGTTCATCGACCCGTATCCGCAAGCCGGCCTTCAAGCCTTTCGTGGACAGTGCGCCGACTCTTTCTCCCACCCGAAAGTCGCCACGAGTTGACAGAAGCCCAAGCCCGAAGCGTCGTTGCAGCGCCCCCAGGCGCTCAATGGAGGCTCCTGAATCTCACTCTGTTGTGCGCAGTCCCTCTAAGTCCCCCCGCAAGTCTAAGCCTACCAGCCAAGCGCTGCAAGGTGCTGTCGTACATGTTGATGTACACACCACCGAAGGCGAAGATGCATCTGGAATCTTCGTCGAGCTACTGCAGCAGATGGGCGCCCGGTGTGTGATGTCCTGGTCCTGGAATGGTCGGTCAAGTCTGTCTCCTGTCGATGGAGCCGATCCCAAAGATGCCCGCGTTGGCATCACCCATGTCGTCTACAAGGATGGCGGCCTCCGTACCCTAGAGAAGGTCAAGCAGGCATCCGGCCTGGTGAAATGTGTCGGCGTTGGCTGGGTTCTCGAGTAAGTTTCCCTCATCAAATTAGGTCTGAATCTCAACTAACACTTTCCCAGTTGCGAGAGAGAAAACAAATGGCTCGACGAAGCCCCCCTACTCGGTCGATAGCTCGATCGTCCCCCGCGGGGGCGCAAAGCGTCGTAAGAGTATGGAGCCGCGCGCTCTGAGCAATGTCAACGGAACCATCGTTCAAGTTGCCGAACCTTCATCTCCTCTCAGCAAGCGGCCGTCGCTGTGGAGCCGACCGCGGCGCAATCGATGGATTTCGCAAAATTACGCCTCCGTCACCACAAAAGGATGTGCCATCGACCCCTACCCAACAATCCTCCTCGGATCAGTACAACTTCCCACAAACACCTGGCTACAACTTCGCCAACCTCGATGCGATCGGCATGTCACCCGCCACACCATACTTCCTCTCAAACCGAAACCAGCTGGTTCAGCAGTCTTGCCCGCCCAAACAGACCAACAAGGGCTTGTTCCCTGTTTCGGTGCCTTCATTTAGTCTAGAGCAGGAATCTGAAGAGGACGCGAGGCAACAACAGCGAGCTCGGATGGAGGCTGCTCGGAGGAAGAGCACGTTCTACCGTCCTGCCATTGGCAGTCCTCTAAAGCGGTGATTCTTTTATGGATTTTCGTTTTCTTTTTCGTCTGGCTTTGACCTTTTTTGTCTGAATTTAGTACATTATGTCGTCCATTGTACATATGGGGACTTCTGGAGTTTTCTTCGATGGATTGGAGTATGGAGGATAGCTCATGGGATTCTGGTTGGGATCGGCGTGCCATAAGGCTTTGTTTTATTTTGCCTTGCATTATTTCAATATGAGTCAATTACAAAGATCTCTATATTTTCACAGAGTGGCTGGACTTCAATCTCTAATTGCTTGGAACTTTCTGCCCTCGAATAATATCATAGTATGGACTGGGGGTTTGTCGGCTGCAATTGGAACGTCGGGTGTACACGAAACCACCGATCATGGGTACATTGCCCTCGAATTAGTGACCTAGCACCGCCTTAAAGTACCTGAACTAGAAGCAAAGCAAATAAGATAACGAGCCTAGGCAAAAATCACATCATGCTCGAAACGACGGAGTAATAAATGCCCTCATGGCACGAGTTACATCACCCTCTTGAGCACGAAGCAATTCCGTCGCCTTGGATTTATGTACATCTAGCTGTTCAGCCTATATGATGAAAACAGCACGTTAGCAAGTTATCAATCCGATATAGTTCCACTCCCGTCCTAACCCCTTCTCTTTGAATTATACACCTACCAAAAATGAAACATCAGCCGCCGCAATCTTAACCGTCTTCTTCACCTCAGTCTCCTTCAACGGCTGAGATGATTTCCTCGGTGCCCCTCCCTGCCCCGCAGCGATCTCGAGCCGATTCATCGCTCTGTCGAGAGCCTCTTGCTCGGCATTTGAGCGGCCCTTTGCGGGACTTGCATCGGAGGAGGCTAGTTCTGTTGTGTTCAGGGACGAGAGCGCTGCGGCGGCTTTGCGGTCTTCGGCGTTTGCGGGAAGGGGAGGTTGGTCTGCTGGTTCGGTTGCGGATGGGATTGAGTCGGACATTTTGCTTGAGGGGGTGACTGTTATTACGGTTTCTTTGATGTTTGGATCGCTGTTGGCTGGATTTCTTTTATGTTTTTGTTTCGTTTCCTTCGTGGTTGGAGCCCAAACCAACCTTAGGAACCCCTCACGTCATCGATAAGAACCCGGAATCGTGCTGCGATAAGGGATTATGTAAGGATTCTGCCTTGGTGCCTGATTCAGTACCATGGTTGAGGCTAACAGATCTATAGGGGATCTATACTCGTAGGATATCTTTCTGACTGGGATACATATACAAGTAGAAGAAAAGCAGGAGAAAGGGAAGACGTTTTGAATCTGGAACTTTAATATACGTGAGGATACCAGGGGGATGAAGCACTTTGCAATTTGTTGGTTTAGGTTGCTAGCATGTACAGCCTAATGGTTTCCATATCCCATACACAGCTGCAATACTTTTGGTGTTAAGTTTCATATGTGAAGAAGGCTTTGCTAATTCATCCCGTCAAAGGATTGCCGGTGTCGGACCAGACTAGATTTGATCAAGTATGATCGTAGCTGAAGTGCGGAGAGAACTCCGCATTCTCAACGCTTGGCAAACAATCCCCAGCCTTTTCATCTTTCGGTCTGCGGGGGATCTCAGAAATTTTGAAGCTAAGTCTGCCGAGGCCGCAGTAATTCGGAAACTGACCGAACGCTTGCTCTCCAGTCGTCGGACTTGACTACCCCTCGATTTCGTTCCTCTCATCTTTATTCCTGCCAAGCGAAGTTCACCGCATCAAGACAATGGAAACCAAGGCTCACAACAACGATGGCCTCGCCACGCAGCTTGAATTGAAGGATGAGATCTCAGCTAAAAAAGTAACCGAAGAGTCAATTGTCGACGTATCTGATAGGGAGTACAACAGGATTCTGCGAAAGGTTGACTACCGTGTCATTCCTATCTTGGCTACTCTTTACCTGCTCAGCTTTTTGGATAGAGGTATGGAATACCATCTCAGACTCCGTCCGCTTTTTCCTGCTTGCTTATGATAGTTGTTTGTGACTATAGGAAGCATTGGAAATGCGAATATTCAAGGGATGTCTGAGTCACTAGGATTGGTCGGCCAGCAATACAATTGGTCGGTACTCCCCGCAACTTGTCTACCAGCAATTAGTTACACTCTAACATAATCAAGAATAGGTGCCTGACGATATTTTTCTTCCCATACTCATTTACTGAGCCGTTGTGCAACTTGCTTTTGGTCCGATTGAAGCCCAGCATTTGGCTGCCGTCGATTATGGTAGCATGGGGTATGTCGCTCTTATCCGACCCCTGCTTCCCGAGAATAATGCAGCTAATAGTTTTACAGGTATTGTGATGACGCTGACTGGAATTGTTCAAAACTACTCGGGATTATTGGCTGCGAGATTCTTTCTCGGTAGGTGATTCGGCATTCCGTTGGAAACTCGGAACCTAACTGCCTTTTTGCCAATACAGGACTTACTGAAGCTGGGCTATGTAAGGGCTTTCACATAAACCTTGTGCCTGAGGATTATCCATTAACGCCGTATCTCTTCCAGTCCCAGGACTCGCTTTCTACATCTCCCTCTGGTATGATAATTCTCGTTCTAGCGAATTCATAATTTGCCCATTCTAAACCAGATAGGTATCCTCGCGCAAATGCGCAATTCAGACTTTCCCTTATATTTGCCTCTGCGTCGATGGCAGGCGCTTTCTCTGGTCTGTTGGCATATCTGATCAGCATGATGGATGGAATTGGTGGACTTGAGGGGTGGCGGTGGATGTATGACCATCCATTCACCCATGCATAACTAATTACTTACTGACGATGTGCAGTTTCATACTAGAGGGAATTCTTACGGTTGTGGCTGCTTCATTCTCCTATCTATTAGTCTGGGACGAGCCGGCGACTGCGACCTTCCTTACGGAAGAGGAGAAGAATATCATTCTCAAAGCATTAAACCCAATACAGACAGAGGTTTCTATGAGCCCACAACTCGGAAGTGAGCAGTCGGCCAAATGGGTGCATATCAAAGCCGCGTTATCTGATTGGCAGGTATGTTATATCACCCATTTTCGAGTGAAGAAGACATGCTGATCATAATCTCAAAGACATTGTTTCACTGTCTAAATTACTGGGGAGTCGTAAGAAAAGCGCACCCGTTGATACTATATACTCCGCTAATTTTAAATAGGCGTGTGCTGTTTACGCACTTTCACTCTTTCTTCCCGCCATCATCAAAGGCCTTGGATACTCGGCGGCCATTGCTCAACTCCTTACAATCCCAGTTTATGCAGCGGCTACAGTCTCATGTGTCCTAGTCGGATACCTTGCGGACAAAACCGGTCAGCGCAGTCTGTTTACCGTTCTATGCTATGGCGCAATCGTCGTTGGATATATCATTGCTGTAGCGCCCCCGACCTTCATGCCTGGTCTTACGTACGCCGGGTGCTTTGTCGCTGCTTGTGGAATTTACCCCGGTACATCAAAATTCCTCATCTCGCTCTAATGGCTAGGCTAACCAATCTCATAGCTATACCCGGTCTTCTTGCTCTATCCTCAAATAATTGGGCACCCAATGCGAAGAGAGCCATTGGAATGGCTATTCAGATGGGATTTGGAACTATGGGTGGAGCCGCTGCGTCCAATTTCTATCGCGCTGAGGATGCCCCGAGATATCGCCTCGGCCACATATTAGTCCTTGTATTCGCTGCAATTGGTTTGGCTACAATGGTCTTGTATTATCTGATTTGCCGGAGGCTGAATACTAAGAGGGAAGCGGGAGCGGATAGTGTTTACCAATATACTGCTGAGCAATTGGTTGAACTGGGTGACAAGGCACCCAGCTTTAGATATAAGCTTTAGAGTTTAGTGAGAGCAAGGGCTGCTTTTTGTGAAGAGCAACTCGGATTAGATACAAGATCCTGGAATATAATACCTAGAACTAACAAATGGTACGGCAATACGAGAGAAATCCTAATATAAGGATGTGAGGGCATTGGGAAGCGGTCCAAGAACAATTACAATCATATTACAAAACATTCAAGTTTGCTTGGAATCAGTAGTTGGACTACTACTGAGCCGGTTGCCTCTAAGCAGCGCTGTAGTGCGGCCACAGGTTTCCCCGTGTGACCAACTACTAGGCGCATTCGAAGAACTATGTGTTTTTATATTATTCTTAGTCTAAAGTTTTACCGAGGGCACGGAATATGTTGCAGTGGATGCATGCCTAATAGAATAGTATGAGGAGACTTAAGAATCCTCCTCTTCATCCACTAACCTTTTAGCTGGTTGGATTCCTTGGCCTTCATGGACTGACCAGAGCACGAACCATCCAATCAGAGATTCAACAGCCAAAGCCCACCACACTGCCCCTACCATGTTATGGGCAAGACCCAGGCCAAGACCCCAACCACCAAGCAGCGGGCCCAGTGTGCGAGCCCCGCTAGAAATACTTTGCGCAATTCCATGGACCGTTCCTAAAATCGAAGGATCCGTAACACAATTGTTGACTAGTATGATGGCTGCTGGCAGGGCGAATGTGCGAGAGATAACTTGCAACGATACGACCAAAGTAAATGAAGGCCACACGATCCATGGGATACGTGGAAGAATGACGAGGAAAGGCATGAGAAGATAAGAAAGCGGAGAAAATGGGAGGAACATGCGGAATGAGGTAAGTGTTCCCAGCTTTGCCTGAACACGGGGGTATACAATGATTTGCAGCGGAAGACCGATGAATCCAATTATGGCTGTTGCAAGACCAACGCGTGCAGAGGGTAAACCAAGGCCTCCGCCAAAGTGGAACCAGCCTTGCCGGGAAGATTCAGACGCACGAGGTGTCGGTAGGAAAGTAAAGGTCATGGCATTGAAGGCGCTGGTATGGAAGGCGAGTAGGAAGTGGGCCAGGAGTGTAATCACAACGTTCCGGGAAAATATTTGTTTGAGTCCAGGCCTCTTGTGTGGGCGAGGGAGTGGAGGTGCGCGGGAGCGAATTGGACTTGATGGCGCTGACCAAGTTCCCACGCTGCCTTCCATGTACAATGAATCGTCGTCATTCGCGCGGGCCAATGGCCGATAATGTTGAGGAGTTCTGGTGAAGGCACGAGTGATTCTCTTTCCAAGCTTTCGGCCCCAGTCACTTCGATAGCGAGCTATCTCGTGAGTCTGAAAAATAATCATCAGTATTCTCTTCGCGTCATATTCGATATAGAAACCTAGGTAGGGATAACTCACCTCGTCAAGGCCGAGAAAGACGGCAATTACTGACATGAAAATGAAAATTGCACTAAGCACGTTTGGAAGTGCATAGGGCCATCTTTGCATCCACCATACTCCGTCCTTTCCTCCGAAACGGGATCCAGGACCGAACAGGGATGGAAAGCTGTTGACTGGATCTGCGAGGGATCCTCCCAGTATTGGGCCAATAATGACACCAATATTGAAGCACATTGGGAGTAATAGGAACGCTCGCGATTGAAACCTAGCTGTATTAGCAGCATGACGATTATCTAGGGTACCGATGAACTTACCTCTTCTCCGCAATAATTTCAGCAATCAACGTCCTCATAACTCCCACATTGCTATTCAACACACCGCCGAGTGTCCTAAAAATTGCGGCAGCCATGAACGACCGAGAGAAGCCGAAACCGACACAGGAGATACTCGTTCCCAACAAGCCGATGAGAAGTACTCTTTTCCGACCCATCCAGGGAGCATCTGCCAGTCGGCCCCAAAAGACGGCAGTTAGGAACTGCGCTGCTGTAAAGCTTCCCTGGAGGACTCCCGCCTGCGCAGAGATGGCTGAATCAGGCAAAGAGGGATCAAATGATTTAAGTTGATAAAACATATAGGCTTGCAGAGAGGTCTGAGTGAGGGGCTCGGACAATCGCGCAAAGGTAAGAATCGCCAGCTGCCCTTTCTTTGGTAGAGAGCTCCATGTCACCGGCTTCTCGGCTTCTGTTTCGACATGGCCATTCTCACTCTCGTTATCGCTGGCGCGAATGTCATCGTCTGCTGAGGGAAACCGGCGGTGACCCGCCATGAGCGGAGCTGCGACCCGGGTTCGTGGCGAACCACCAACATTTATCGCTGTGTCGATACTGTCTATTTCATCATCACTAGAGATGTCAATCTGCGGGGAGTCGATTCCATGACTTGGCAGACGAATGTTGGTCTCGGCCCCATCCCAAGATTGGTGCGTGTGGGGAGAATTTGCCCCCATTCGGTAAAAGGTGGACACGCGACCGTTCTGAGGTCGGACAACCGCGCGTGAAGATATACAAAGAGCACGGGCAGGCAATCTTTCCTTGGCGCATGTATTCTCCGAGTGTGATAGCAGCGTAGGACGGAGGTTGTAACGGTTGAAAAATCAAAAGACGTGATGGGAAATGACTGGAAAAATATCCGCTCTGACACCATCGTTGGCCACTGGCCACCCCCACACTCACTTCGAGTTCAACGCGGTGTCGGTCGTCGGTGAAGCTGCCGAATTAACCGCCTATCTCCGAATCTCCGATCTCGCCAGTGAACTATGCCAGAGCCTCACGTAGAACATGAATATGGTAGGTGTATTGTGGAAATATAGAAGTATCATGAGGCAAAGCACAAGAACAAGGTCCACCGACCTGGCGGAAGATTTCACGGTATCTTGCAGCTCGTATACGCAAACTTAACCCTCCGGGGCATGGCCTAGGCTCGAACAATACCTCCGAGTCTTTGTAGATAGAAAACCGATAATTAAATCCCTAGCGCCAGACATTGAGTGGTTTACATACAAGGAGACTTTGAATGAGCAAAGCTCCTGTCTATTAGGTATATGATCAAAATTTGGCCCCTTAGACGTCCAGTCTCATTCGGCCTGGACTGGGATTTTTCGGATTTGGGTTTTCAAATGTCGCGATTGAATCTTGAGTAGGAGGCCTGGGATTCTCAATGTCTCCACGGCTTCCTTTTCTATCCCATGTATCGAGTGGATAAGAGTCCGTCCGATTAGGTTCGTCCATGAAATCGCTAGAAACTTGAGTAATAGCTTCTTGACTCGATCGGTGCGTGTCTCCGTTCCCTGGCAGAGGAGGGTGATTTCCATTTTTGCGGAAATTTGGTCGGATGAAATTCATTTTGCACGGAAGCGAGAAAGATGGCCGCGATCGTGAGCCTTGAGAGTACCCACTATCTTTGTTCTGGTCAGCGCCTTGTCCGGGTCTGCCTCGGTTTTTGCTGTTGTAGGAAAATGCTTTCAATCCAAGTAGTTTGCGAAGGAGGGGCCACCAGCACATGAGATTGGCGACATAGATAGCGGTGCTGGATTCACGGATGTACCAGATTTGGTATGTTGTTGTGAGAGGAGAGGCGAAATTGAAGTATTTGTTGAGGATCGCAGCAATGATCGTGAATAGACCCAGGCTCATGACTCCTATCAGGAGGAACTTGCGTGTACGCTTGAGTTGAGCCTTGATGAGAAGCGGGATCGGGATCGCAAACAGCACGGCGTCTGAGGAGATGTTGAAGACTGCTTGCGTAATGGAGTATTTCTGGTAGGTGGCGCATTGCATATTATCCACTGGCATCGCCCAGTACTGTTGAAACGGTCGACAGTAGACAGCGTAGTAGGTGACCATGATAACGACAAATCCCAGAATCACATAGCCAGCGAGAATCTTGATGTAAAGGTTGGAGCGCAGATTCGTCGTAATCCTCCAGTACAGTATCAACATGCATGTCTTCACCCCCCCAAGTCGAGATAAGCATGCACTGTTCCAGACCGATAACGATTTTACTTCCATAAACTCTGTCGCTGACTTGCTTCGGATCGGCGAGGACTGTATCGTAGTCTTTCGGGTCCATAAGATTCGTTGCATAACGCGAGGATATTTGAATCAATACCAACATGGCCGTGTATATGCACTAGTAGAAAGAAGTAATATCAGTAAGAGCGCAGAAAGATAACCTCCGGCAAGGGACCGATCTCACAAAAGTCGCGGACATAACATAATCGTCCCCTGAAGAGCAAGATCTGACGTTAGGTATTGGTCATGAGGCTGATGCGAGATTTTGGTCTTACAAAACAACCGCTTAATTCCTCCATTCGCAATCATGCGAGAGATCCTATTTCATAGTTAGTGAAGCACCAGATCTCAATGGCAATCTATAGACAAACATTCGACCACCATAAAGGACAAGACCAATACTCCAAAAGATAAGCGCCTCCACAAGCAGGGCGCGGGGAGTGGGCGAGGTATTGCCCATCCTGCCCGATGGAGCGTTGCTCGCTCTCTGTAGTGATTATGGCCTCAGCTGTTGGGCGAAACCAAAGGAGAGTATGCCATGGGTGCGAAAGCAAAAGAGTGAGAGGGGGTTGGAAAGGTTAAATTATGAGATTGGTTTTAACCATCCGATCATTCATAAGATCTGACAACCAGCAGGTCAGTGTATCCGACAGCTCAGTGGGGTCCCTGTTAAACAAAAGGATTCATCTCATGACCGCAGTCGGTGAAGAGCGATAAGATCAAAGACACTAGAGGAGTCAGCGCGCTGTGGCCAGAGGACAGGGCTGCATCATCATGCATCTTGAGAGTGAAATGTCAGCGCTGGGCTGGAGGATCCAGTGACAAGCAAGGAGGAATGAGGAGCCAATGCAAGGGATCGCGCCTCGAGCCGCCGAACCAGATCTATGGCAGTTGCCTTTGGAATGTAGATCGTAATGGAAAACCAAATCGCCATCACCCAGTGCCTGCCAATCCCTACGTTCGCTTGCGAAGTTGCTTCTGTCATCCAGCCCAAGCCTCATTTAATTTTCTGCCATGAAAAAGTGAGAAATCGACGGTTGCATCGGAAGGGCGCAAATCCATGCGGTTTGAGTGTTTCCCAGGCTGCTTCTGCATGCTGTGGCACAACTATCCTGCAGCATATCCAGAATGGATCGGTTAAGCGAGTGGGGAGGCTCAGTGTAACAGGGCTCCCGGAGCATATTCAGTTTTTCTCCTCCATTAAGGGTTTCCAATCCTGCAGAATGATCGGTTTGAGCCACTTGTATGCACGATGTCGATAGTCCGGGCGATCAGCGATGGTGCCACCTCCAGCAAAAGCAAATGGGATGAGAGGTCAGATTCCAGAGTGGGCGCATAAACTTTGCGATATGGCATTTGATTGGCCTTGCCGAGGCTTGGATCTGCAACGCGACCCTGGTCAAACTCAAGAGCTCCCGGGAGGGAACGATCGCTGGTGATTTTCATAATAAGATTCAGCGGACTTGAGCTTTGGCGCGATATCCGATGCTGATGGAAGGCCTTAGAGATGACATGTCTTCCGATTTATGCCTTTTCCAAAAATAAATAGATAATAAGAAAAAAAAAAATAGGCTTCTTACCTGTCTGCTATTATATCTCAGCAGCTCTCTATCGGCTGGTGATTTTTATCTCGCATCCCCATCTGGTCTGGAATCCGACCATTGATTGTTCTAATTATATGCGTCAGTGGTGAAAGCAAGTAGTAGTTAGTTACCTAGTCATTCAGTGGGGCATCAATCACACCTTCGATCGGGGCATTTCGGGGACAAGGACCTGGGCATACTACACAGCAAAATACAGTTAGTATGCACTACTATTTGGGTTCGAGATAACCAGAATTTGGGCTCATCCGAGTCCTAGAATCGCCAATGGTCGGGTTGCAGCCAGGTCATTTAATTGGTAGCTCACAAATCGGAGTATGAACAGTTCAACATAGTATCTCCTGTCGGAATACCTTCACTCATTTTCGGCACTACTATCAACCATGGGCAGTTTCTACAAGGAAATTGAAATGAGTATATACCATAGCGAAAATAATAGAAATCATCATATAGATTTGCCCGAGCAAGTTGAGCGACCCTCCTAAAAGATAGGGGAACTGTACAACAGCCTAGACTTGATAACTAAAAGGAGCACAGTGTTTCCAAACACCTACCAGACTGGCATCATCAAAATAGCAACAGCTATTATCTCCATAAATCCAATTAATGTATTCCATTACTGTCACTGAAGGGCTTACGCCTGTTCTCGGACACAGGAATAAAATACTCGATGAGTTAGCATCTACATCAGCCTTTCCCGGTCGGCGTTCTTCGTTTTTATAGTATCAAGGTAATTCCAACGTTTCGGATGATGTATATTGAGCAGGTAGAGCATATTTCCAAGGTTTCCATGAGAACAAATCAGATTTGACCAGTGGTACGGATGGAGAGCTCAAGATTCGCAAACCAGTAACTCTCGTGCTTCCTCATGTCTCACGTCAGCACTTCTTCCGTACATTCCAGTGAAAGACATCACGTGGATATTGAGTCTAATGATCAATTCCATTGACGTCGAGATCTAAAGTCTCGGGTCCTTGATCTCCTGACGACCTGAAGAAATCTATGGGCATGGTTTCGGAGACTTGAACGCCCCTCCCCGGGGCGTCCCAGGTCGAGCTTTTTTGAGTATGACCGAGTTTTTCACCAAGGCACTACGTAAACCTGTTGGCGGTAGTAGTGCTAATACTAGTATAGGTATATTTCTCACCAAGGCAGAAGAGCCTACGGAGATTTTGTCTTTCCTACTGGTAGGTATTCACCTGTGCATTCAGCGTTCTTTGTTCAAAATTTCCAATCATCAATAATATATAAGCATTGGGAGAGATGGTTTCACCGGGATATGGGGCACAAATCAGGATTAAAAAGGCGTGACAAAGCTATGATAGACTCTTGGAAAGCACTAAATAGTCGGGGAAGGGGTGGAAGCATATACGCAAGCAAAGGCTGCGATTTGGATTCTGCAACGTCAATGGCGTACATATGAAATCGATCTTGCATTGGATCGAACGTACAAAATAGTGCCATGTGGGTTACGAACTGACGCCATCGAGAAAGCATTGACCATATGAATTAAGACGAATAAGCCCTGGGGAATGTTGCTGTTCCAGGAAGGAGGTGGCACAGGGACACCAGACAACGCGCGAATGTTACGCGAAATTTAACTCAAAACCAAGTCAAAGAGACGCGTCAATCTTCTCACTCTATGTACGTAGAGTTCAAGATTTTCCCAGGAGTGGCCCTGCTCCGAAATTATGATATTGCCTCCGACCATATGAAAACCCTCTTAGACCAATCACATCAAGTCCCCCTTGCAGCGGAATTACGACGAGTCCAATACCCCCAACCATCTTGGGCAGCTCCCTTGAGCCACCGGGCCTTGATTTGCTCTCGGTACATATGTAAATGCAAAACATCAATCTGCTCAGGCCTCGAAATATTTCTTTCTCTGCTTTTTGCTTTTCGCGACACGGCTACCAACAGGGCCGCAGGAGTGAACGCCCCAACCAACCCACCTATTGCCAATAGTGACAACCCTAGTTTCCCACCTGGCTTGTGCCCCAGGAAAAGCCAGCACACAACATAAATCAAATTGTGGACATTACTACCCTAGGGTACCCCTCTCGGAACTTAGGACGGACAGGTCATATCGTCGATCTCGTAGTATTTTCCTCTTTTGCAACCCACACGTGGCTGCCATATGGAAAAGCCCTCGCATCAAGCATTCCTAGGGTGTCGACTTGCATTGTCCCCATAGGCACGGCCACAAATAGGATGGATCATTTTGCCTCCGCGGGGTGTCTCCTTTTTTGATATTATTCGAACGGCTCTTTCGTCTCCGATACTCCTGTTTAATCGGTCTCTTCTACTCTTCCATGCCAGTATCGCGCACCTAGTGGCACACCATGGAGCTGGCGGAGCCACAAAGACCCCGGAGCGGGATGAACTCGCTCAACACCAAGGGCGAGATCGATGAGGTTCGTTTAGAGTCTGCCCTCGGCCACAGGCAAGAATTAAACAGGCATTTCGGACTTTGGAGCCTTACTAGTCTCGGGATCGTGATTGCAAAGTAAGTTGACTGAACTTTGCCCAGCAACCCATGAATTGTATCTGACATTGTCTAGTTCCTGGGCATCATCGGGTGGCACTATTGTCGCAGCTCTCCAAAATGGAGGCCCGATGGCCGTTCTCTACGGCCTCATTCTCGTTAGCATTTTCTACACAGCTATTTCTGCGTCCTTGGCTGAATTAGCTTCATCCATGCCTTCCGCCGGCGGCGTATACTACTGGTCCTCAGTCCTCAGCCGAAACTGCGGCCGCAAAGCAGGATACTTCACTGGCTATCTCAACGCCTGCGCCTGGCTATTATCCGCGTCATCTATGAGCTCTATGCTTGGCAACGAGGGCGTCGCCATGTATTTGCTGAAAAACACCACCGTAAAATGGCACTCATGGCAAGTCTTCGTTGCATTTCAGCTTATGAATTGGACGTCTTGCGCTATCGTTTGCTTCGGGAATCGATTCATTCCGATGATAAATCGGATTGCTTTGTCAGTTTCAATGTGCGGTCTTGTCGTAACAGTTATCGTGCTAGCCGTGATGCCGAAAACCCATGCGAGCAATGCGCAGGTTTGGACTGAATTTCACAACAAAACAGGCGGATGGTCAGATGGAGTATGCTTCATGACGGGATTGCTGAATGGAGCTTTTGCCGTCGGAGTACCGGATTGCATTAGCCATCTCTCCGAAGAAGGTACGCAGTCGCATAGCATCGTACTGAGTTTACGTTCTGACAATTGTCTCTAGTGCCGAAGCCAGAAGTGAAGGTTCCCCAGGGAATCATGCTACAAATGCTTACTGCATTCACGACAGCTTTCGTGTACCTCATTGCCCTCTTCTACTCTATTCAAGACCTTGACGCCGTCTATGCAAGCGACATCCATTTCTTCCCAACAGCCGAAATCTACAGACAAGCAACTGGCTCGAATAACGGGGCCATCGGACTGATCGCTGTTCTATTTATCGCGACTTTCCCCACTCTTATTGGCACCTTCATTACAGGTGGTCGAATGTGGTGGAGTCTAGCACGAGATAACGCTACACCATTCGCAAGCTACTTCGCTCAAATCCATCCGACGCTGAACTGTCCCGTCCGGGCAACTGTCGCAATGAGCGGGCTCGTTACATGCCTAGGATGCATCTACGTGGGCAGCACGACTGCTTTCCAAGCACTGATTTCATCTTTCATCGTCCTCAGCTCGCTATCCTACTTCGGTGCCATTTTCCCACACGTCCTATCAAGTCGCCGGAATATGGTGCCCGGGCCATTCTACATGGGTCAGAAACTTGGCACGGTGGTGAACATCGTTGCCTTGGTGTATATCATGGTCACGGTGGTTTTCTTCTGTTTCCCGCTCGTCATGCCTGCTACGGTGAAGAATATGAATTACACCAGTGTTATTACGGTGGGATTGATGGCGCTGGTGGGCTTGTGGTGGATCTTTAGGGGTCGTCGGGTATACAGAGGACCACAGTATAGCTTCGAGGCCGCGGAGAGATTGAGTGCTTTACAAGCGGGCAAGGAAGGTCGGCGATCCTTCATTGATATTATGGGAGAATCACCAGTACAATGTGTTGACGGATGTTGCCATGTGAGATGAGTTTGAAGATTTTGTAAGATACGATGATATGGATATGTGTATGACTGTGTGTTCTTTTGAGCTTTGATTTCTTCATGTTCGTTTAACTTCATTCATGTTTAATACTATTTTGTACATTAACAATCTCAAAGTGAAGCTGATGAGACCAGTGTTAATTTCTACCGTGGCGAAACCAATTCATCTTTCTTGTGATATCGATGCTCTGGTTCCTGAATGGGCATCAAGTGCTAAGCTCCTTGTGACTGTCGGGTTGTATCTGGAGCAAGGCAGATCGATCGTCCATCGTATCAGAAACTGGGAATCTTATTCCTTCGATCTAGTGGAGGCCTTCTGGCAGCTGCTTCTACAGTGATATCATTCAGGAACTTGGTGCAAAGCTGCTGCGTATGATATTGAGCGAACTCTATCAATTCTTAATTTTAAAAGTGATAAAAAGTTAAAAATAAAGCATCTTGAATCATCAGACATCATGTAAAACCAGATTCATCCTCACAGACGAGACTTGATAGTTTGACCGCCCTCCCAAGCCTCTCCGGCCTCAAGAGTCTGCCAGCCAGATACCGCGCCAGCTTCTACGCAAAGCATATTCTGGTAGGCCTCATCCGGGCCAAAGTCCGCCATACCCTTGGCCTTCTCGATCCAGGGATTCCAGACAACAACGTCAGTAAGGGCCTTGCGGGTGAGTGAGAAGATTGGCTTGTCATCGTCGGCGGATGAAATGATGACGGGTACTGCGGGGTCCAGCTCTTTGTAGACACGGTCGGTTTCTTCGGTAATTGCCAGCGCGGCGGATGTCTCGGTGTGCGAGGTTGCGTTGCGGGTCTTGTCGACGTAGGTCTTCGAGTCGAGGCCCTTGACACGGACGTTCGAGATGTTCTGTTGATATCAGGTCAGATCAGATGATACCACTAAGCAAAGGACGTGTAGAGTACAGCAATTGGCTTGGGGCATACCTCGATGTTAAAGTAGGTGTGCATGAGGACCTGGAACTCGAAATTCTGGGTTCCCTCGTTGCGAACCTGCAGCGATGTCTCTAGTGTATCCTTGGTGAGGGTAACGCTGTATACAAGGCCAAACTCGAGGGGCCAGGCCTTGCGGAACTCCTCGGTCAACATGGTATGCGACAATCCGAAGTCCAGCTTTACGGCTAGATCGGCTTTCTCCTGGCCAGCGGTTTCGGCTGATTCGGAGGAGGACTTTCCGAGAAATTCCCAGTTGGAGTTACGAGCGAAGCCGTGTTGGGGGAGGGGAGAGGTGACGTGGTTCTGGGGAGGAGGGCCGAAGACCTGGATCACGATGGTTGTGTCAGCTTGTAGCTTCCAAGGGAACAAAGACGCGTAGACGTACCGGGAAAACGAGCGGAATACCTCCGCGAATAGGCTTAGAGCCATCCAGATGGGCCTTTTGGCTCACGAAGAGCTGTTCCTGACCATTGGCCTTCCATGAGGTGACTGTGGCGCCGTAGAGATGGATAGTGACGGACTCGCCGGAGGGCAGGCTGGCCGAGATAGTGTTATCCTTGATGGAGATGCTAGGCTGTGGGAGAGACGCACCCACACCGATGGCAGCGGGCTTCTTAGAACGATCCATGATGAGTGAGTGAGTTGATGGGTTGGAGAAGGGAAGATGGCCGGGGCTGAAGTGAACTGAAGTGAACTGGGATCGTCCACGGCGGATGGCGGGGAATCGCAGCTGCCCCACCACATTCCCTCCTCTCCTTTTATACTCTCTTGTACTCTCTTCTCTACACAACACAACACAGGGGATACACAACACACCATTGGGAACCCTCTAAAACAAATCATTCAATTCTCATCTATTCTAACCGTGTTGCAGCATCGAAGAGGTCTGACCCTCCAAACTCACCTCCTCAATCTGCATGATCTCCTCTTCTGTCAACCGCCAGCCCAGTGCCTGCATGTCTTGATCCGCCTGTTCTGGATTTCGAATACCCACTAGAGGCACCACTCCTTTATTAATGGAGTAGTTTAACGCCACAGCTGGAACAGGCACATGGCGTTTCTCCGCAATAGCCTTGAGCACAGTGATGGTTGGCTCCAGCATGTGCATCGGATAGCTACTGAATCGCAGCGTTCGCCGGGGCTGGTTGAAACGCGAATATTTCCCAGACAACCGACTCTCAGCTAGTGATGCGAATCCCTGGAAACATATACTCCGCCTCTTGCATTCACGGATCATCCCGCTTGTCTCGGGAAGACGACGGATGACGGAGTACTCGCATTGCGACACGCCGAGCGGAAACCCGTGTTTGGCCAACTGATCTGACATCTTAATCATTTCTTGCGTGCTGTAGTTGGCCACTCCAACGGCACGAGTGAGGCCGGACTCCATACAATCCGCTAAACCCTTGGCGATTGTCGAAATATTGCCTGGGTGGATGGGCCCATGAACAAGGTAAATATCCACATACCCCAGGCCCAGGCGATCAAGTGAGCCCTGGAGCATCTTCTTCGGACTGCTGGATTGCATAATTGTGTTTTTGATCGTCGATGTGGGATGCCATTTGGTCTGTACGACGAATGAGTCCCGGGGCATACCCTCAAAAAGCGTCCCGCAGATTCTCTCGCTCTCGCCGTCGCCATAAGCTTGTGCGGTGTCCACGAAGGTTAGTCCGATTGCCTTGAGTTTCTGCCAGGCTGCGTGGATCCTTGGTAGATCATGAGTCGCGTTATATCCGAACGTAGCTTTGTCGCCCCAGGACCAGGCCCCGATGCTCAGGTACGGGATGAGGACGTCCTGTCCACCCCGGCCATGCAGAGCCATTCGGGTCTGTGAATTAGGCACGAGGTCTGACGGCAGTACGTGGGCTGGGTCGCTGAGATTGGGATCCACTGGTCGAAGGTGCGGCGAGTGCATACCCTCTGTTGCGGACATGCCTGTTGCAAGACCGGCTTGCATCATATATTGCGTTCCGGGGGTGGCCATGGTTTTAAGACCTTGGTATATCTAAACCTCTGGATTTGACGTAGGGAAGTCGATTGATGCTTCAATAATTTAGACTCTTAAATGTATAAATTAAAGCTCAATGTAATATCTAGTTCTTATACAAATGTTGGGGTTGAAGTGGCGATGTGCGCCACAAGACATCATTGTGATATCCAGAGCCACCACCTACCCACAATCGAACAAGCTTAGTACTAGAACTTTATGCTTTAGATTAACTGGAGACGCCCTTATTTTTGCAGGAGTCTCTTTGATTTGTCGCCGCGATAAATCAAAGTGGCAATTAGATTGCGAAATCGAAGGTATGAATTGGAGCGAGACCTAACTTTGGGGCCTCGATGGGCTGCCGTCGAGGTTGATTCCCAATGCGACCAATGCTATATGAACCGCTATGAAACAGAATTCTGTACATTTTCCGTGGATACGCTGCATGTTAGTTTATGAGGTATATCATAGAAGAATGTATGCTGTGGCCTCCAAGTCTCCGAATGAGATGAAAAACATTTAAAAATATTATAGCTCCCATGCCTAGGACCCCAGAGAGATTGCGAACTAGTGTTTAATCACTGTCTGCATCATCTGAAAGTTCCTCAAATCTTCCTTCCTCAACAGCCGTTCTGACCGGGTTCTCAACGCCCAGAAGACCATTTGCTCTTGCCCTATCGCGAAGTTAGAATAAAGACTGCGCATAATCAATTAAGTTGCCATACCTTTCAAAGAGCACAAATAGCCTTTCTGCCTCTCGTTCCTTCTCTTCCATAGTCATAGGAGGACCCGTATCTGCGGGCTCTGCGTTCCAGCGCTGTCCGGTGATTGGGTTGACGTGCGAGTCCTCCCCGTCCGTGTTTGTCGCATACGCCTCGCCAGCAGTTTGGGGAATCTCCATGCCGCGAGCTGCCAAGAAGCCAGCGGCAAAGCCATAACCGATTCGGCGAGTTAGATTCTCTGCATCTTTTCCAGAAAGGACGAACATTAGCTCGGAGATGCCAGTCTTCAAGTTGGGGTAGGGGCTGGTCGATAAATGGAGAAGTCGTGAAGAGAGTGTGTCGGATTTTCCGATTGGTTGGGTGCGGTCATTGTCTTCTGGTAGGAGCAGCCATTGCATATACTTGCGAGGCCCGTCCGGTGCTACCTCATGGACGACAATAAGAGAGTGCAGAAGTGGGACAGCCTTTTCCTCCAGCTCCTCGGGACTGTACAGTGAGACAGCTTGATCCAAGATGTTGATTAGTTTATCCACGTTGCAGTTCTTGTCGAATGTCGGGAACAGAGGACTGCTATCGAACGTTTTGCCCTTCTTCTCTTCGAGGTCGAGGACAGACAGGCAGTTGATGAGGTAGCTTAGGAGACCATCCAGGGGCTTTGCTGGAATCTCTATCCGACTGATGATCTTCAGAATGTGGGGGATAGAAGGTGAAAAGGAAGCAGCGAGGTCAGGGTAGATCTTGGAAACGTTAAAGATCACTTTGAGAGTATCGATGAGACCCAATTCATCTATCTGCGAGAGAGATGCGCGTCCAGACTTGGGAAATTGTTTCGCGTGCCGGGCGAGTTGCTGAATTTATTAGTACAGAACTCAGAGCTGTGGGACATTGAAAATGAACGCACATAGTTGACGTTATCTCCCAAGGAGTGCTTGTTGATCAAAATCTCAAAATCCAATGTCGTATCATAGGTCATTAAGAAAAGAATGCGGCTAGTGATCATCTCGTCGTCGGAGCTGTCGGTCTTGAGACGTTCGGCTAGCTTTCCTGCGTAGCCAGTGTCCACCAAAACCTGACGCATTGTTGGGTCGAGCAAAAGGGCATTGGCAACGCCACGCAGGGCCGCTCGGCGAACATCGACCGTCTCGCCGTCGACTCCATAGCGCATGAGCGTGTTGATTCCCTGCATCATCCGTCAGATCCCCCCTTTTATGATGTGGTTTGCAAGATCATTATCGTACATTGCTGCAATAAATCGGACCGGCGTCGACTGGGTTCGTACCGTGTTGGCGCACTTCGAGCAAGATCTGGACACGTTCTGGAGTAAAGTGGTAGATATTAACATGAGGTCACATGGGGAGGAGTGTTTTTTGGTGCTTGGTTCTGAGACTCACGCGCCGATGTGAGATGCTTGTCTTGCAGGTCCTTCTGGAGGGTATCGAGCAGTTGGGTCACTTTTTGGAGTTTCTCTATTGGAGATTATTAGCCCAGTCACGGGTATGCGATTAAATCGCACCAAAGATGGCGTTCTATTCCAGCTCACCTGCCCCATGCAGCTGGCCGAATGCCATCATGTTGTCGAGTCGCCTGGTTGGACTACCTAGGGTAGCCGGGTATCTTCAGGGCGAGAATTTGGAGGTCAATACACCAGATGATGGAAATGTATATAAGTGGGTGCTTCTAGTCAGGACATGAAGAGGCGCAAAGTACAAATTCGAGCAGAAGGAGAAGGAGAAGAAGCGCGCGCGGGGGAACATCCGAGGAAGACCCCACCCGAGCTACCAGGCCACAGAGGTATACTCAACTACATTTGTACTGATGTCTTGACTGGGTGGAGAATATATAGAATAATGATTGATTGTTTTCTTTGGTTTTTATTATTTTACATTAACTTAATTTACCCCATGAATTGTACCAGCGACTATGCACAGTCCAACCCAATTCCCACCATAGTTATTTCTTTCTTTTTTTTTCGCAGTAAATTAAACATCACGTACATAAATACTAATTGTATCTACTACTTACTGCTACTTTCCATGACATCCTGCAAGGAATACTGCAGGTGCCAGTGCCAGTGCTAGCGCTTGTGCAGACGTGGATGCCTTAGCGCCTTAACGCCTCACGCGGGCACTTTACGCGATCCCGCGACGGCGCGTCCAACTTTACTTTTCGCCGGTTTTCATCTTAGCTCCAGCTCCATCGACCATCGGCCATCGCCAGCTCCAGTTCCAGCTCCTCCCAGTTCCCCAGTCCTCAATGGAAGCTCCCCCTTGATCTTCACTTGAATCCCTCCCCCAGAAATGGTTTTGAAGCCTTCCAGTCTCTCTTTTACCCTCTTCTAAAACCATGGTGGAGACCCTCGGCCCTCTCCCTGCTCGTCCACCAACACCTCCGAGGCCAGGTTCACGAATTGACCAGAATCAACCAGTTGAAGACACCCCAATCACCGCTCAAACCCCGGGAGATACGCCTCAACCGGCGCACTCTTCCAGGGCTCCTCCCTCCAGTCGCGCCTCCAAACGTGTCACCTTCTCACCATGGCTGCAAACCGAAATACACTCGCCCTGGACTGCTAAATCAGCCGATTTCAAAGATAGTCCCATCCAGGGCAGCCCGTTACCATCCGAAATCAGACCCTTCAAGTCCATCCTCAAAGAGACCGGCTCGCCCATCCCCGTTTGGTCGCCGAACGTCGACAAGTTCACCACCGAATCCCTCGACATGCTCCTCGAATCCGTCACCCAGCAGCTGGCGGGAGAATCCCTCACCTCTCGTCTTGACGCATATATGCAATTCTTTGGCGCTCTGAGGACATATGACGGACTACCGGCGGGAAGAGACGTCGCAGAGAAATTGGGCTTGATCACCGGGTCCATTCAACGCGATGTCACCCGCGACTTGGTCAACAGTGCGCCTTTGGATACCAATCTCGCCAACCAGGCTCTCAAGCTATGCGCCGCATTCGTTTGGCATAATGACATTTCAGCCCAACTATCGGAAGAATTCAAGGTCTTCATCGTCGAACAGGCAATCACTTCCCTCCAGGAGGCCAAGGTACCAAAGTCCGTTCTGACCCACTACATGTCCATCCTCTCTACTCAAAACTTCGGTCTAAAAATCATGACCAACACCCGAGTCACGCGTCTTCTTTCGGCATTACAAGATGTCACAAATCACGTTACCGGCAAAGCGATTGCTCTCCACCGACTCAGCATATACCAGAAATTGTTCGCCCAATCCAAGTCCTCTTTTGTCTCTCAGGCATCGCTTTGGATTGAACAGCTCATCTTTGGGCTTCTCCATCCTATGAAAGATACTCGACTGAAAGCTGTTTCTCTCGGGTTCCAAATTGCGATGACAATGGGGCCGAACATTACGCTATCTAAGAGCATTCGCGAACTGTTCGACCGGTCACTTGAAAAAGACCGCAAGCTTGTGACAGAGGTCCGGGACCGAATGTCGCGAATGATCAGCACGGTTGAAAGCGGTGTTCACATTCCCCAGATCTGGAGCATTATCATTCTGCTTCTAAGGAGCAAGTCACGCAGTCTCGATCAATGGGAACATTTCAAAGAGTGGGTCTTGGTTCTTCAGAAATGCTTTAACTGCAGCGAACCCGCCATAAAGGCCCAGGCAATTCTGGGCTGGAATCGCTTCGTTTTTGCTGTTGGCCCAACTGAGTCGACCAGCCGGTCGCTACTCAAGATGCTGGGAAAACCTGTTATCTCACAATTCGAACGTAAAAAGTCGGACAGGTCAGCAGTGGCACCTACTCAACTCGCTTTATCCAGCTATCATAACCTCTTATATTACGCCTTCCGCCCTTCGCCTTCGCATCAGTATCTCGACCTTGTCTGGGAAGAGTATATTTTGATCCCTGCCACAGGCGTATTTGCCACGTCATCCGCTCTCAGTGACAGTATGTCGCGTGTCATGGCAAACCTCTTGTCGGCTTCACAGGCCAAGGTCTGGGCTGAAACTCGCATCAATGACTCTTCCAAGATCGAAGCCGAGGAACTGCCTTCTGTTGACCCAAGATGGGTGCGATCTAGAGCCGCATCAATTGTCCGGGCCTTTGAGTCAATTCTCAAGTCCTCGGTATGGCATGAAGAGTCCGTCGAACGCTCAAATATTGCTATTGCCTGGAGTAGTTTTTGCAACGCCCTGGCTCTGGCCTCGAACAAGGAAATAACACCGTCAGGGGAATCTATGCATGCTGTCGCCAGTGTTCTCGGGCTCTTGAAGCGCATCTGGTCTGCTGGGCCTCCATCCCTCAATGCCATTGGCGACAACTGCTCGGGGGCCTTTTTGGAACGATTTCGCTTCTTGTCAACCACCGTTATTGGTTCGCTTGGTGGTATTAATTTCACCGAAAAACTTCTTGTCAAAACTATGGAGGAGATATTTGAAGCTGATAACACGCCATTTCAACGAGATACAGCACCGGGAACAACCCCGGACGGCCCTATCCTCCATCTTCTGCGAGAAATCAGCTCTAATTCCCCTGCTGTAACGCCAACATCCTCATATATCGAGCTCGTGCGTAGCGCTATTGAAGCTGCTTGCAAGACCAAAATTTCCCGTGGATCCCGGCTTGAGCTACTGGAGCAATGTGCAAACTTGACTGGACCCGATGTGGATCCATCATCTAGTTCCTCGAGCCTCTCCGATGTCGTATGGAAAACCAGTGCAAAAGCAGCCGCAGATGCTCTGCAGTCCTTCCCAATCGAGTCCTCTCGTGAGCGCGATGGTTCGGTTTCCCGTGACTACGAAAACGTCACCAAAATCTTGGCAAATGTCGTACATATGCCAACCGCTTACCCTGAGTGGGCATACCTGTTAGAGTCATTTGTGCGTGTGGTTCGGACAGAGAAGGGCAATCATTCTCTAGCTACTCTGATTGTGGAGCCTATTGCTGAAAGCCTCGCTTCACTTGCAATCTTCGACACCTACCTTCCAGTGACAGTAATGCTGAGTCACTCTATGTCCATTCCTTTCATGCAGGACAAAAGCCTGGGGATTGACGGTATCTCCCATCAGGTGATCTCACCCTGCCTCCCTCACAAACTCATCGAATTGGTCAAGAATACCTTGCAATCAGCATATGATTCCTTTGACCCCTCGGAAACTCACCGACTCCCACACTTTCTGGAGTCTCTAACCTCATTTCTTGGTTCCGGTAATTCATCGTTTCGTGCTCAGACACTTGAATCGCTGCAGTCGCCTTTGGCCCTATGGATTAAAGATGAACATTGCAAAGTTGATTTGACGCACGGTGCAGATAGCCGGACTTTGACAGCAGTGGGTATAATCCTCCTAGACTCCTTAAACACAAGCTAACATTTTATGAAGTGCCGAGCACTCTCATCCTCTGTGATCAACGTCTTGTATTCCGTACCCGACGAAGTATGGATTCATCGCAAGTTCGAGACCATCATTTGTGCCGGCCTTGAGTCGGCTCACCATTCACGATTCAAACGATTTGTTGAGTTCTGGGAATTCACCGCCAGTTCATTAGAACCCGCTATTTGGGGGACTCCTATAGCCAAGTCTCTGGAAAGGGCCATGGCCAAATGGGATGTCAATGCTGCACAACAGATGGAAACCTTGCAGGTAACGTAACTCGGCTGCTTCGAGAACATCACAATCCTAATATCTCCCAATATAGAACTCCCATGCTTGGCCCTCCCACAAGCAAGACACGACCAACAACCAGCCCAAGAATAAGCGACGCGTATCCCAAAACACCCAGTCCCGATCTGCAAACATCACTTCGTCCCCTGTCGTTGGATTTGAACATCAATCATCTCTCGAGACAACAGAATCAAATGAGCCTCAACTCCCGGCAAATACGCAACCAGAGGCCTCTAAAGAAAAGCCCCTGGAGGATGTGCCAACAATCCAACCCCAGGCTAATAGACGTGAAATGTTTAGGATGATTGAATCCATCCGGTCTTCTTCTCCTGCAAACACACCCGGAAAATCGGGATATGACACACCTGTCCATCTGCGACGGTTTCAGGCTTCGAATACTACTGCTGGAATTCCCCTTACTCCCACTCTAGCTCCAACAGAAAATGAAGAAGGCTTCATTGGATCATCCCCTACCCCTGCCACCAGAGATCCAACCCCCGCGGCGAACAAGGAAGCACCGATCTTAACGGTTCCTGATGTGGCAATGATGGATGCGTCCGATCTTCCATCATCGCCCCCAGAAGTTACTTCCCGAAGTCCGAGTCCACAGAAGCGAAATCGGCAGTCTAGGAGTCAACGCCGCCGATCTGCTAAAATCAGAAAGGCAATGCTACTGAACTCTTCCGGGGAACAAAGCGGACCAAACAGCCCTGTCAAACCTGACAATGATATCACGATGGAATCGGCACCTCTCTCACTCGACCAAAAGGATGATTCGAAGGAAAATGACGATGCTTCACAGGTGGACGAAAGGCCGCCTAGCCGGCGAACTCGGGCTGCACTCGGTCAAAGCATAGACAACAGCCAAAATCCCGTTCCACCGGTGATTGTTGAAACCCCTGGAAAGTCGAGAGAGGCCCCTGCTACGCAAACCCCGCGATCCAAGTCTGCGTCCAAGAAGAAGAGAAAGAAGAGCGCGTCTAGATCTCCTAGGAAAAATAGCCAGACCGAGCAGACTGCTGGTGAAGCCTCTACTACCTTGGTACCAGCTGAGAACAACTTGGATTCTTCTAGTGAGGAAATGGAAACTCAGATTGCGTCCCAGTTAGAACAAGACCTAGAGTCTGCTGTGGATCTGGGTGGACAAATTAACCTTGTTGGTGATATCCAAACCAGCGAGGAGCAATCAGCCACACAGGCGTCTCAGGAAGAGGAAACGTGAAGAGGAAGATTCTTCTGGGGCTCAGCCGAAAAATGCGAAAGAGCGACGTCGATCAACTAGGCTCACCGCAACGAAGAATGAGACACAATTGGATCTTGAACAGCCGCCGCCGACTCCCTCTTTGGATTACATTCCCGATCCTGCTCTTCCAGATGTGTCTCAGGATACCACTGTTAAGCAAGAGACGGTCACCCCCCCCGGTCCACTCGCAGCTCCCAGCGGAAGGAAGAACTCATTGTGGAAGAATTCCTTCCCGCAACACAAGTTTTCGAAACGCAAGAGCCCATCCAGGAGCCTATTCAGGAGCCTCTTCAAAAGCCTGTTCAGGAGCCTCTTCAAAAGACTGTTCAGGAACCTCTTCAAGAGCCTGTTCAAGAGCCTGTTGAGGAGAATGTGCCAGCACCAGGACCAACACCAGCATCGTCGAAGCGATCTCGCAAGTCTCTACGCTTGGATGACCAACCTCCAACACCTGGTCCCGAAGAAGCACCACCGACTAGGTCTAGGCCACTTCGCTCTCGCAAGTCACGGTCGACCCGAAATGACTCCGCGTCTCAAGACCAGCATTTTCAGCCAGAATCTCAAGCTGGCGATTCACAGCCTTCCGGGACTCAATCGGACTCCCAGGCCGTGGTTCCCGAGAGTATTATTCCCGAAGAAAACACCGCAGTCCCAGATGTTCCTCTCGTTTCCACCGAGGAGGCCACTGATTCCCAAATGACGGACGCAGACGCCTTAACCCAGCCTACAACCACCAGCAACGATATCCAAACCATGGACATCGACGTGATTCCCGAAGAAGCACCAGCAATTTCGAGTCAACCAATCACGAGCGTTTTCACAGCTGAAGTCCAGACCAAACCATCCCCCATCCCAGACCCGGGTAATGCCGAGACGGCCCTCACTTCAACCTTGCAGAAGGTTCTAGATGAGATGAAGACTGCCACTCTGGGCCCCGAAGCCCTCCGCCAGGTAGATGACCTTCTCTTTAATATCCGTGTCGCCGCCCACGATGCATCACGGCGAATTTAGTTACTTAGCATAGCGATGGCGTTTTTATGGATTTGTTTCTTTTGTGTGTTTTCCCACCCTAACCTCATCGTTGTGCCTATTTCCCACATGCATCTTACATACCTACTACTAAAAATCAGCGATCATTAGCATCCCTCATGCTTTGGAAATGGGATTCGTTATTTTTTCTTTCTTGGCTACACTTTGTATTTTATGATATTTCAGATTCGCACTCGGGGTTCGAGGATCCTGGTACTTGTCAGAGAAATGAAACTTCTTTGATCACTGTCTACTACTACTACTACTACTACTACTACTACTACTAGCGGAACACTTTCTGCAATTATACGGTGATTTAAATGTGGTATTCCCTACTAGTAGTAGTGGGCATGTAGAGCACTATTTGAAAGTACTACATAGCGTATATTAGTACTACCATGATCTCTATCTTGGAGAAACTATACTACCCTTCTGCAACTTGCCGCCTCGACGCCTCCAGGGTTTTGAAACTCCTGAGGTCTAAGAAACCCGTGGACTCTAACTCGGGAGCCTCCAGGGCTTCAAGCATAACCGAACCTTAGAGTAACAAGGGTACCTAGGTACTACCTACTACGTACTACTATGTGCACCGTCCTGAAACCTTGAACTATATAATTTTGTGAGTCGGCCCGGAGGTGGCCACGTATAGTACAAAATGATTTGAATGTTAGGCTCCAAACCACGTCAAATTTACATCTTCGTGGAATATACAATATTGAACGTCCTCCTGGGAGCTGTATGAGTATTTGCTACTGATTTAATCCATTCATCGCCATACTAATCATTAGAGAAGATGCTAGAAAGCATTCCGCGATGTCAGCAGTTCCCGAGGTCACGGGCCAATGACGTCGTGCGCAAAAGCGGCATAATCACTCACCGCCCGGAAAAAATGTTCGCGGGGCTCTGGAGACTCCCCCACTTCACTCATTGGCATTCCTCAAGTACGCCTTGTTTCTTTCACTTTACAATTGTTGGAGAAGTATCAACAGAAAAATACCGCTAAGATGTCCAAGCCATTCAACCCCGAGGAGGCCGAGAACTTTGAGGATGTACGTTGCGCCCGACCGAGAGCCACGGGTACACAACACCCGGTTCAATCTCCAAATACTGACCTGAATGATTTCTACAGATGGAGAAGCAGTTCGCTGTTAAGGGTTCGTCACAACTTTGATCCAATCTATTTTCACACCCTCAAGGAACTCGACAAACTAACCTTTTACCCCCTTTACCAGCCGTCGAACACCTCATGACATACTGGGCCATTCTGGAGAAGGTCAAGGGCTCGCAGCTGCGCCTGACCAAGATGGATGACCTTATCTACGTTTCGTTCATGAAGGAATTCCCAGGCTTCGACCCCTCCGCTCCACTCGATGAGGACGCGATGAAGAGCAAAGCTGGCAAGGAGAAGTGGCGCAACTGGGTCAACCAGTTTGAGAAGGAGATCGAGGACTACAACTTTGGAACGATGATTCGCAGCCGTGCCGATGCCGAGTACGACCAAGACACTACCATCTTCGGTCTGCGGATGCAATTCTACGCTATTGAGATTGCCCGGTGAGTCCTTTTTAGAGGGAGGATTGGAGATGGGAAGCTTGGACACGGAGCCAGATGCTAACCTATTTATTTAGTAACCGCGCTGGTCTGAACGACTGGATCTACGAGAAAGCCAACGCCTGATTGAATCATTTCTTTTGTTCTTTCTTCGCCGTGCTAGAGCTGAAACAAGCACGGTTCCACATCCGGCCCCGACCCGACGGCATGAATCGATTTCTCTTTGGTGCCGTCGCACAAAGAATGCGTGCAGTCTCGTGGCGTTATTGACCCGGGATCTTGAATAGATGGGCTAGGTGACGGTTATGATGTATAGACAAAATCCCTTTTTTTGTACCTTTTCCATAAGATCTGGCTGGGGTTGACTTGGCCGGACATCCCATGGAGGCCGTTGAGACTTCATGGGCGATTGGCGATATACCCGCAAATAAACTGCACTTTACGAATACTTTCAATATTTTCAGTCTTTTCAATCTGCTCGATCTATCCATTCACACCTTTTTCAAAGAATGTGAATGTCAAGGAAGTATGGGACACGTGATGGCCTAGAGCAGGCAGCCGCAGTCTCTCTTTGTTGCCGCGTTTCTGCAGGCTTTCTTCACTTACCATCAATACTTCCGCATCTAGGAAAGTACATATTGTTCTTGATCAATAATGAAAAATGAATATAAAGACTCGGAGCGACGTGTCGCCTCTTTGACCCGACGAGGCGCGACGATACGCTTGCACTGATGCTTTTCTATCATGTCGGGATATGATCTTCCCTTCTAAACCTTCTTTTCTAAACCTTCTTCTACTACTGTTAATTCACGACACTGGCTGTGGCTTAAACTTAGAATCCATGGCTCTAAAATTACACTCTATCGAACATGACGACGATACCCCCGACCAAAAGACCGGAAGGAGCGGCGACAAGTCCAAGTCAAAGGTAACACCGGGTTGGAAATCTCTCTTCCATTTTACGACCCGCAAAAATCTACCGAGTGTCGTCGTTGGCTCGATATTCGCCCTACTCGCAGGATGCGCGACAACGGCCCTGGCGATCTTCCTGGGAGACGTGTTCAATGCTTTTACGGCTTTCGGATCAGGAGATATAGACTACGATGGACTGCATGGCAAGATACTGACTGGCTGTCTGGGAATGATCGGTTTGGGGGCAGCAGGGTGGTTTCTCAACGGAGCATATTATGCAGCTTTCATTATATTTGGAGAACTGCAGGCGTCGAACGTCCGTCGAGACGTTTTCGTCGAGTTATTGACTCGGGATATGGAATGGTTTGAGGCGCAGGAGGAAGGATCCGGCGCTCTACTTTCTGGCATCCAAGCGTGAGCTGATTTTACCTTAACATTTCCAGTCCGCTGTCCGTTTTCGCAATCACTAACATGGATGATCATATAGCCAGATCCAAGACTTGAAAATAGCGACGTCACAACCACTCGGACTTCTGCTCCAATACTCATGCCGATCGCTAGCGTCACTTGGGCTAGGATTTTATACATCATGGAGTCTTTCACTCGTGACACTTGCAGGATTTCCAGTCTTCTCAATGATAATTGCGTTTCTGTCCACAAGAATGAAGTACAGCATCGTTACACAGCAAGCAGAGCTTACACAAGCCTCGAAAATCGCGAACAATGCGATATCCTCGATCGATACTGTGAAATGTTTGAATGGCCAGGAGTTCGAAGTTCAGAACTTTGCGAGCAGAATTCAGAAATCGGCGGTCCATTACCTCCGACAAGCGAGATTGAATTCACTACAGATTGCATTCATTCGGTGGATGGTTTTCGGGATGTTCGTTCAAGGCTTTTGGTACGGGAGTTCTCTTGCCCGAGCTGCAAAGCTATCCCCAGGAGAGGTTCTGAGGACATTTTGGGCTTGTCTGACGGCAGCACAGTCGATCGAGCAAGTTCTTCCGCAGATGATTGTTATCGAGAAGGGAAAAATCGCGGGCGAACTTCTCAAGTCGATAATACAAACTCGTGCGATGGGTCGGAGGAAGAGTGAATTGAAAGGTTCTTTGTACCCACTTCATTGCGAAGGAGATGTTGAGGTCAACAATGCAAGTACCCTCTGAATAACATGCCTAATTTCTCAGCATTTTCTAATTTACATCTGCAGGTATCATTTGCATATCCAAGCCAGCCCGAAACCTGTGTTCTTCAGCCATCAACATTCTTCTTTCCTGCGGGTGAAACGACCTTCGTCATTGGGAAAAGTGGATCGGGCAAAAGCACACTTGGCCAGCTCCTGATGCGCTTCTACCTTCCAACATCAGGAGAGATATTAATTGACGGAAAGCCACTCAATGAAATCAATGTCAGCTGGACCCGCAACAACATCACTCTTCTGGAACAAAAAGGCGTCTTATTCAACGACTCTGTACTCCGAAACATTGCATTTGGCAGCAAGAACCACCAAGAAGTCACAGGATATGATGCTGAAGCTGCGATTGACATGGCCATGCTTCAAAGTACCATTGACAGCCTACCCCAGGAACTGGATACTTGTGTCGGACCGGGCGGAAGCTTTCTGAGTGGCGGCCAGCGGCAAAGGGTGGCCATAGCCAGGGCAAGACTACGTGATACGCCGATTCTGATACTGGATGAACCGACCAGTGCACTCGATGGAACCAATCGCTTAGCTATAATGAAAACAATAAGGGAATGGCGGAGAGGAAAGACTACAATTATCATTACGCATGATATGTCGCAAATTCTTGAAGATGACTTTGTTTATGTACTGGAACAAGGATCTATTGCTCATTCAGGCTATCGCCAAGAGATAGAGATGCAGCCGGGAGCGGAAAATTACTTCCAATCAAAAGAGAAAAATCACAGGAAGAACGAGAAGAAGTTCGAGCGACATAGGAGTGAAGCCTCAAGCTTTTACCAAGAAGATTCGGACGATGGCTTGGGGGACTTGCCAGATTTGCCGCCGCAGGCTCGTCAAGAAAACAGACAGACGTGGGCGCAGCATCACTTACCGCCAGGTCTCCGGTCAAGTACAATAGATGTAGCGTCTAGAAAGCACGGCGTCTCTCTAAGTCGACCTAATGAGTCAACAAGGACCAGCCCCAACACTCGGAAAAAGCGAATTTCTCGTAATCCAAGGGTAGCTCAAGCGCCTGAAAGAACCCAGCTTCCATCCCAAGGCTGGTTGAAGTCATTGCAGGCAACACCCGAAGAAGTTGAGATGGGAGAAATACAGATTCATTTCCCCGACATCGACAGAGTGCATGAAATGTCGAATGAAGATGATTCACAGGTTCCGGACCAGCCCCAAGAAACAAAACGCCAGAGGATTTCTCACGGGCTGTCTCTCCGGGAGCGTAGGATATCACGGTCATCGAAGAAGGAGAAGCCAACTCCCCTGTCCCAAATCATGGGAACAGTATTCCCAAACTTGACAAGGAAGCAGCGAGTCGTTCTTATTCTGGGAATTCTCTCTTCATTGGCCCATGCCAGTGCGACACCGATCTTCTCATTTTGCCTTTCGAAGCTATTTACCACGTTCTATGCCGGGAGCGACAGCGCCAGACTGTCTATGGTTTGGTCTTTAGCGGTCCTAGGGGTATCTTTCGGAGATGGCCTGGCATCATTTTTCATGCACTATTTCCTGGAGTTTTCGGGGGAGGCCTGGATGGATACTATCCGCAACCGCGCATTTAAGCGGATCCTGGATCAACCACGAGCATGGTTTGAGAATGAAGGAAATAGCGCCTCGAGACTTACGGCATACTTAGATCAAAACGGCGAGGACATGCGCAATCTACTCGGCCGCTTTGCTGGGTATGTCATTGTGGCGGCTTCAATCACCGTGATGGCGATCGTCTGGAGCCTGGTAATGTGCTGGAAGCTAACACTGGTGGCCCTTGCCTGTGGGCCTTTCATTTATGCAATTACTCGGGGATTTGAAGCTACGAATGGCGTATGGGAGCGACGGACAAATGCGGCGAATAATCTTGTGTTCGACATTTTTACAGAGACATTCTCGGAGATCCGAACCGTTAGGACGCTGACGCTTGAGGGCTACTTTCATCATAAGTATACGCAAGCTACGTCGCGATCTTTGACTGTTGGGTTGAAACGTGCAGTGTATACTGGCATGCTTTTCGGTATGGTCGAGTCTACTGTGATTTTTGCGAACGGTAAGATCATCTTTAGGGTTCCCTCTGAGCCTATCCCTTTTCTTATCCACTCCCGTCTGGGCCTATAACTGACTCAACCCGTTTCTAGGCTTGCTCTTTTATTATGGTGGAGTACTCGTGGGGTATGAGTATACTGTCAACCAGGTGATGATGGTTTTCTCGATGCTCCTTTTCGGCATTGGCTATGCTGCCCAAATTCTGTCCTGGAGTGAGTCAATACCGACCCTTCCTTGCTAGATGATACATGAAAACTAAATTTCCGCGTATAGTTCCTCAAATTAATACAGCCCGAGAAATTGCCTCCCAGCTACTCCGACTGGCCAAGTTACCTCGCGATGAATCTCATGAGCACCGTGGCCATTTGAAGGCCTCCGATCTAACGCCAATCAAGTTGACAGCAACGAATTTTCGGTACCCATCTCGACCGAATACTCTAGTCCTCAAGGATGTCTCAATAAGCATCGCTAGGAACTCCTGCACTGCCATTGTAGGACGCTCTGGGTCCGGTAAATCTACCATCGCCTCCCTTCTGCTGGCCTTGTATGAAGCCCCGCTTGATCGATCAGGTCGGCCTACAGTAACACTTGGTGGTCACGACATTCTGCGACTTCACGTTCCAACTCTTCGGTCACTGATCGCGATGGTATCCCAGCAACCAACTATCTTCCCAGGAACCATCCAGGACAACATCCGCTACGGAATAAGTGTACGCTCGGTCTTAGCTTCCGAAGGCCATGTTCGCGAAGCCGCCAAAGCCGCCGGCATTGACGAGTTCATCTCCTCTCTCCCAATGGGATATTCCACCGTGGTGGGCGACGGTGGGGTAGGCCTTTCAGGTGGACAGAAGCAGCGCATCGTAATCGCGCGTGCTCTACTTCGCCAGCCTCAAATTCTCATTCTCGACGAAGCCACCTCCAGTCTCGATCCTGCTGGGGCACGGATCGTTCGGGAAACGATTGATCGACTCGTAGCCACGCGGAACAATTTGACAGTGATTTTCATCACTCATTCCAAGGAGATGATCGAGAATGCGGACCATATTATTGTGCTTGACGATGGCGTCGTGGTCGAAGAAGGGCCTTACCGACCTCTTTCCCAACGTGTTGGGGGCAAATTGTACGATCTGATTCATGATCCCAAAGGGGAATCGGAATAAAATATTGGAAAAAATGGACCAATTATTTTTTTTTCTCCTATTCATCCCTTCATTTCCTTTTTTTCATTAAAAAAACAGAGTATGTGCATGAATCATGATAGACTCTCTCCTCCCCACAGCTGAAATTGCCTCGCCGCTTTCCGCCCCGCCAAACCCAACTGAACTCCGAGTTAACTCAGCCACTTGACAACCAGTGGGCTTTCTCTATTGGCTTGCCCTCAAATCCACAGACATACATACAAACAGACCTCACTTTCCTTCTTAACATCATTCTATCCAATTATGTCCAAGCCGGCTCTCATTTTTGCGCCCGGCGCGTGGTGTCCTCCAACTATCTTTGATTCTCTGATCGAGAAACTCGACGACTACGATTGCCACACCGTGTCATTCCCATCGGTACAAGACCCGAAAACCGTTCAAGACCTAGAGCCAGATATTGCTGCCGTACGTTCTCTCGTCGAGAAAGCAGCTGATGTCGGCCAAGATGTGTTCGTCGTTGCGCACAGCTGGGCTGGGGTACCAGTAAACAGTGCTCTGGATGGCGTGGCCAAGTATGAGCGCGAGTCCTCTGGCAAAAGGGGCGGTGTTGTCCGCATAATTTTCATCTCGGCAGTTATCCCTGCTCTTGGAGAGAGTCTTGTCGGATTATTTGGCGGCGCTCCGCCACCATGGTTTGTCCGAGATGTAAGTATTCCCAAACAGATCTATCTTGAATGTTCAAGAAACCTCAATTTGAAAATGGATTGAAGACTGATATGTATTCAGGAGCCAAATGGGACTGTCATGCCCAGTGATCCCCAAGCGCTCTTATTCCACGATGTACCCGATGGAGCAGAATGGGCCAAAACACTCCGGCCGCATGCCTGGGCAACAAATACCGCCCCCGCGACGAATGCCGCGTACCTAGAGCTTCCGGCCTCATACCTGCTATGTGAAGATGATCAGGCCTTCCCTTTGCCCGTGCAGCAAGTAATGGTGGAACGTGCGAAGCGTAAGGGGGGCCTTATCAAGACGGAGAAGATCAAAGCGTCACATTTCCCTTGGCTTTCACGGGCTGACGAAGTGGCTTCGTACATTCGAAGACAGACCACTGAAACAGACTAAGCGGAGGTGAAGGATTTTATTTTCTTTTCTCATTCTGATATCCTTATCTTATATCTCTTCCATGCGGCATTTCTTAATCGGACGAGTTGAAATAGACATAAACGTTATTCTACTTGGTATCCTAGTACCCATTTATATACCTGAATTGTTAAGATCAAGTGATTTGTATAGGTACTAGTAATCATAGTAGAGTAGGTAGCTGCACTGAGAAGGTGGTGGAGCCTTCCAAAGTCATAGGACAAACACACTGGATCGATTGCGGCTATGGAGCGTCATACTCCAACGATCAATTCACCTGTCATGTTTACTCAAACCTAGCATCAATCGCATCCACACCGTAGTACTCGAAATACTGATTCCACTCTGGGTCCGCTAACAAGGCGTCTTTTAGGTGTCTTTCATACGCGATAGAGAATTCCGGCCCGGAATCAGATCCAGATGAAGGATCACGAGGCGGATAGATAACATAGATACCCTCGGAGACATAATCCAGAAGATGTCTGTAAAGAGCCGGCGTTGCGAAACCGAAATCCGCGGTTGACATGCTCGCCTCCCGATGGTCTGTCAAAATAACAGAAAGTGGTGGCTTCGAATCGCCTCGGATATTCAGGGCTGTCTTGTCACGGACGGGGGCGATCATTTCGAGCGTTTGATCGAGAAATTCCTGCGTTGTACTCTTTGTCAAGGAACGTATATATGCGGCTAGTCGTGAAAGAGGCCAATCTGATATCACTTCTGCCGCGGTGGGTGCAGGGATGGGTGCCATTTCTGAAATAGCACCCATCATGACATTATGCTGAAGGCGTGCGGAGACGTTTGGGCTATGCATCCTTCGTCGCATGTCGACTGCGTGACCATAGAATATTGGTTTCGACAGATCTGTCTTGAAAACGGGGGCACGGAGACGGGTCATTGTTCGCAGAATGAAGGCAGCAAAGGCATCAAATGTCGAGATCCAAGTCTCATTATTGTTTCTGGAAGCAAGGGTCTTAAGCTCTGCTGCCTTTCTCTTAGGTAAATGGAAGAGTAGGAACTCGGAGACGGTGTGGTCCGGATGTCGATCTGGAGCGGGTGGGCCATCGACTTTAGCTTCGTCTGGTAGGTCCGCTTTGGTAAGGCGTGATACATCCAGACATGCCGGGTCCCATGAAGGGAAAGCCGTATTATTGAAGACAGCGTAGCAGTTTTCCGAAAGCTGTCGAGCGAATCCAGCCCACCCCATGACATCGTTGGCGTAGTGATGGTGGTGCAGATTCAAGACAAGCCCTCCGCGAATAAAGTTCGCTTTATAGGCTGCTACCACAGGACTACTATCAGGTAGAGCCTCGGGTTTCTCACCATATGTCATTGGTGCCACGCTCCAAAGATTCAGATCGCCGAGGAAAGCAGTGCGGAAATTTTCCTTCTCAATCTGATCAAAAGATGGGTAAGTATCCCCTTCCAAATCCAATCTTTGAACGACGAATTTCACGGTATCGTCCTTCTTCTTCACGAAAGAATGACCACCTTCGCGGTCCTTTTCAATTGTTCCGCAAAGATGTCGTGTTTGGCTCAATGTCCGTTCTAGTCCCAACTTGAGGACCTCAATGGCACGACATTTCATTGAATCTTCCATGCGAAAGAAAAGCGCGTAATTGTTATAAGTGCAGGCCGTCAAATAGTCTAGCGTTGAAACTTTGAACCGCTCTTCTTCGGGATCCTCCTCCCATCCGAACGGATGTAGCTGAAGTGTTTCTTGGTTAGGAACTGGCATAATTGCAACTATATGGTCGGAGAAACTTGGAAAAAAAATATTGTCAGACTGAGAAACAGGCACGATAAATGCTCCCATGGTCTTCCCATACTGACAGTTGTCATATTACCCGCTAACGCACAGCCCCAATGAATCCATGCCAGTATCGACGAATAGACGAATAGAATAGGATACAAGGATACCGTTTCGTGGTATGACACCGGATACTTCTCCTTCAGGAATAGCAAACGGTTGCTAGCGTGTTCTAACGGCGTACTAGTAGTACTTGATTTCAGCCCCGCACCGTTTGACCAGATGATAGAGTTACAATGATTGTACTGTAGTATACGGTTAGCCGGCTGTGTTAGATGAGGGGTACATACTCAAAGAAGTAAAGAGTGCGAGAAAGTGTGAGTGAGAACCGGTTTTTGGTGATGGGCCCTCCTGTCTGTATAAGCACTGAATGTTGGCTGGTAGATAATGTTCAAGTGAAATTTTTATTTTGCAATTGATATCAATGTAAGCCTTTCATTTTCAAAGAAATTACCATGCCTGGTGGTTGAACTGTGAATCTTCAAATCTGAGCAACGAAAAGAATATACTCAATGTGACAATTGTGGGACCGGGGGTATTACGAATCTTGTGATACATCATTGTTGCCATTTATCGTCCAAGCGAGGCTGTGCCTTTGGATTTCCCCCAGATGCGCTTCTATTGGGACAAGCAGCTCTCCATGCTTTCATTCCAAGGTTTCCAAGGTTGATTCAAGTTTATGATATGCTTCATGGATGGCGGACGAGAAGGATGTATAATTGGGTGAATGAAGTAACCTGATTACCCATTTTTCAGCATTACGCCCGCCCCGGCGCGCCTCGTGCTTATATTAATAACAACAAGAATTAACTCCTGCGCCCGGCGTTAGCATAGCGAGTGCCCAGATCGTCCCCTGTCTGAGTAGTATGGGTGTTCCCACACGAAGGAACACTTGGCTACATTTGCTCACAGCACAGGGACCCAAAATCGTTCAGAGCAAAGTGTCGTTTGGCCTACCTAGTCGCTGCTTGGTAGTTCCCAGCTTCATGGACATTGCTGTTTATGTTATATCGTAAAAGGGAGTAGATGGCATCAAGGCAGCGTCCTGGTTATCAAAAAGTCTTCATATCCTTGGTAGATTGACAATCGATCTTCAACTTTTCGGCGAAATCCTGACGAAGTATCTAATATGTTCTGATATAGCTTTTTGGAACTCTACTTGCTACTCACAATCATGATATTCTAAACGTCTACGATAATCATGTAATATCCCAGGCGAAGGGGAAATTCAAAATTCACTTCAAGTTTGCTTACAATGATCTTCGAGTTATTTCCATACCTGTAACGGGGCCCAGGGGTTATATGCAGAGTACGCCTCGAGGACAGATACTATTCTCTTCAAGCCACGAGCTATATCCCGATCTAGCAGTAGTTCTGACATATACTCTGTTCTCAGCCGCAAGACAAGTAAAATACGAGAAAGATCTGCGTCGTCATTTTGGCATTCGCGACGAAAGATACGCATTAAACCAATGATAGCTGTAAGGGGAGTGGGTCAACCTTAGGGTTAGCCAAGGTGACTGTCATATCCGGTCCCGAGGTCAATAACTAATAGTATCTTTTCTTGTTTATTCTCATCAATACCACTACTACTACGCACAACCCGCCCGAGTCTTAAGTCCAGCTCGCTCTTTAGATGTCATTCTATAGGGATTAGATGTACCGGTGTCTGCGCTCAATTCCAAACATTCTTTCAGAGAAAAACTTTATGATAACTTTGGAATGCACGGCGAGGGTAACTTAGTTAGAGTCGTAACTGAAATTGTAGATTTGTGCTATCTAAATCCGACCCTAAAGCCTTTCCCATACCATCCAACCCATCATACAAACAAACAGAAAGAATATCAAACAAACATGAATATCGGCAGTCCCGAACGCCTTGCTAGCCGAGAAACAAAACATTCCATCCCAGACAAGGCGCGATGCAAACGAATGACCAGTCCCCGCAAAAGCAAAACAAGATGATGATGAAAAAAGGAAATAAAATGCTATTACAAATCGTAAATCATGCTCATTAGGTGTGTCCCTCCAGATATCGTCTGGATGAGGTCATGTTCAAGTGGACATATATATCTCTTCGGTGAGAGGACTCATCGTGAAACAGGAGGGTGGCTGTCAGTGGATCCTGTATGCTCCGCTTGAATATCCGAAACGTCGCTTCGTGCCGGACCTGGCGGAGTCGGCGTGCGGTTTTCATCCTCTCGAGACGGCAGTCCTGACGAAAATATCGGCGAAATAGTAATAGGACTGGCGATGTTGACGTGGATCGATGGTAGACGTGTCAGAAGAGGCGGCGGGCGATTGGAGTCAGCGGCTCGTTCTCGGGTGGGACTTTCGTAGGCGGGCGCATCGCCCCATTCGAGATGATCGTACTCGGGTGGTGGGGGAACAATATTCAAATTTCCGATGTCCTCTTCGTCGGTTTGGGGAAGTGGGTTTCCCGATCCACGAGTTGACGTGGGCCGCAGCGCCCATTGATCGACTTCAGTCACAGCCGTATCCGTAGTCATGATGGACGATGCCATGGATTCCCCTCGCGAGTGCATGGACGGGTCAGCCAGGGAAGGCGATGACATATTGAGCGAGGCATTCTGTAGAAGCGGGTGGTGATCTGAATCGTGTGAATCGGCTCGAAGACGAGATCCGTCGTGTCTGACATGTCCGATATCCGCGTAGCTGACGCTGGAGATACGCCTATCTCGTTCACGGGCTTGATGCTCAGCAATGACAGCCGATGCACTGAGTGAGGTATTGCTCTCTCCGCGAGCACGATTGTTCCGAGCACGAGATTCTGCCGTAAGTTCTTCGAGTCGCACCGAGTCGCCACGGGCTCGTGCTGCTCGTCTCTCATTACGGCGGGTTTCGCGGTCGGCGGCTTGTTGGCGTCTCTGTACACGCAGCTGGTATAAAGCGTCCATTTGATCCTCGCGACGTGTCTCTTGTTCGTCTTGAGTTTCGGGGAACTCCACGACCATGTCCATTCCACCTCGCTCACCTTCCCGAGCGACGACTTGCTCGGTCGGCTTTGGGCTAGCAGAGTAAGGGGGCAGGGTGATGATGGATCGGATGGATGTCTCTCGGCGAACATTGGGATTGGCAGCATCCGCGGTCGTCATCTCAGGGTTGATTCCACCTCCGCCGCGATATGAGGTACCATTATCAGGCGTTCCAGCGTTTGGATTGTAGACCTGACCATAGGAGGCGCTACCAGGGCACCAGTGTTTCCACTTGCGTTTCAAGTATTGACCGGGAATATACTTTGGTTCGTAGTACCGTTGCCGAAGCCATCGAGCCCCGAAGTAGCAGATCGTGGCCGATGAGAGGACGAAGAGAATTATGGAGGCACACTATTCATGGATGAGACTCAGGGTTAGCAAGGACGGCGTAAGCAAAGCAAAGCAAAGGGCAAACACATGCGATCGGAGGAAAAGTGAACGGATGCGACCGGAAGCCCCGAGAGTAAAACGTACGATGATGAAGATGCCATTCTTCCGGCTGAGATCCCGTTTCTGTGGAATGTACATGGTGGGCAGAGCATAGCAGAGCAAAAGCAAAGCAGATCAGATCAAACCAGAAGCGGGCGTTGGGCCCTAGAGATCATCGGACAGCATGGAATGTTTTCCCCAAGAGAGAGAGAGAGAGAGAGAGAGAGCGGCTGAAGGACAAAGGATTCAGCCACCAGGCATAATCGTAATCATGTTCTAGGCGCGTGTACAAGTGGAGCAACCGCCGAAGCTCAGGGACGCCATGCCTATTATTATCAGGGCAAAGTGGAGTGTGAAGTGAGACGACAGGCTGGCGTGGACCAGTGAGGATGAGGCCCGCAAAGTCGGTGACGATTGTGTCTGGGAAGGGCCCCTCAGGTCGATCATTGGGGCTGCAGGTTGTATGTATACATAGCTTGGGGAGATGAAGTGCACTTTATATGAAAGTGAAACTGTCTCGCTCGTGGGGAGTCGGATTGGAGCACGAGTACACGCCCTTCCTGGTGCTGCAGCTGCAGCTGTAGATGCTGGCCGCAAGGGCTGGTGACACAGACAGCACACACCCTTACTTGGGGGTCTTCAAGTTGGAGTTGAAACAATGAGACAGTGGCAGGCAGTGGCAGTAGTTGACAGTATTTATTCAAGGGGATTGTGGTGTAGAAGAGTAGTAAGTGGTGGGAGGTGGAAGGTGGAAGGGATAAGCTTATCCGGCTTGTGCTAATTATAGAACCATGGGAACCCAGGTCGGATCATGGGAAGTTGAACATTAGGTTACTAGCAGATTAGATTTGGAGGCAGTTGAATTCAGAACCCTTCTTAGTTAATAATATCACCTACTACTCGCGTTCATACTAACTTGATCTCCCCCATCTACCACCATCGCTTCGCTCCCTGCCTCTTAAGCGATTCTTGCACCATCGTATACGTATCAAATAGCCCCGATTCTTGGAAATACGTCTCATAATGCGCGATCATCTCCATGAGCTTGTCCTTGTCACTGTCTGCCAGATCATGAACTTCACCTTGATCAGTGGACAGATCATATAATTCCCATCTACCAACTCCGCGTGGTGGCGGGAGATACAACGCCTTCCATTTTCCCACCCGAACTGCGGCAATTCCAAACTGCTCCCACCCCACAATATCATTTTCGGAATCGTATAAAGTAACATTCTGATCACAAGATGCTTCTAGCAGAGCTCGCCATGACTTCCCTCGCACGGGGGCCACTTCGCGGCCTCGAAACTGGCTGCCCGGGTGTGAGATGCCGGCCAGGTCCAGAACCGTTGGAAGCACATCCATCACGGTGGTGAATGTATGTGATACACTTCCAGGCTGCATCTTGGTGCCGGTTGGGTATCTAACAATACAAGGACAGCGAATCCCTCCTTCCGTAGTATAGGATTTAGCTCCACGATTTGGCGCCGTTGCGGCCGAGGCCCATTGTGGACCATACCAGACGAAAGAGTTGTGATTTCCCAGGTTCTCGAGGGAATTGTCGTAGTATTTCATCAGAAGATCCTCAAGCGTCGCCCCTGCAAGGATGGGAATGGCTTCGAGAAGCTGACCCTCGGCGCCATTGTCCGACATGAAGACAACAAAGGTATTCTCCCATTCGCCTGTAGACTCGAGGTATTCGTGGACACGACCGACATTGACGTCGATTAGGTCGACCATCGCAGCAAAAATCTCCATCGCCCGACTGGACTTGCGCTGTTCATTTTCTGGTAGGTCGGCCCAAGGGGTTGTATCGAGGGTGTGGAGGGGCGCGGGCTCAACATCGGCCAGTACAATTCCTTTGTCTATGAGGCCTTGCAGTCTGCGGTCTCGGAGTGCCAAGGGTCCATCGTCATATCTACCGTGATATTTTCGTACAGTATCTGGGGGCGCTTGCAATGGCCAGTGAGGTGCTGTAAAAGGTAAATAGGCGAAGAAGGGCTGTTCTTTTTCTTCTTCGTTCCGCTCATCCAGGTACTTCAGCATGTAGTCCGTGAAAGTATTGGATGAGTAAAAGTCTTCAGGGAGATCGGTTTTGCCATCAATAAACCGATCATGCTCCATCCAGAGCCCATTCTCTTTCAAAATCGCTCGAGGCTTCTCTTTCTCTCCATACAATTGCGGTTCGTGGTTGTAGTGATTCCCAGCGCCAGGCAACGTACTGAGGACTTTGGTGAACCCTCGAGCAGAGGGACTCAGTTCTTTTTCCAACCCCAGGTGCCACTTGCCAGACATGACTGTGAAATAGTCATTGTCTTGTAAAATTTCCGGTAGAGCAGCTACTCGGAAATTCAAATAACCTTCGTAGCCTTCTCTTCCTTTGAAAATATCCGGGAAGCGATCCATTCGCTCCGCCATGCCCCCAAGCCCAGCGATATGGGCATCGGTTCCAGAGAGAAGCATCGCTCGTGTTGGCGAACAGGAGGCTGCGGTGTGGAAATCGGACATTCGGATTCCCTCCTCAGCCAACCTGTTCAGGTTTGGTGTGTCGATCTCAGATCCATACGCCGAGAGATCGCTGAATCCCAGGTCATCGGCAACAATTACCAGAAAGTTGGGTCTTTTGCCGGTCGCCATCCTGAGTATGTGAGTAAACTTAAGGAGCCGTTGCTTTAGATCAATCGATGACCAGGAGAGTCGCAGTATAAATAGCCTTGTCTCTATCCCCTCGTCCAATCACTTGCGACGAATGCCGACTGCCGGAGCCATGGCGTGATGACACTAAACGACTTAGCTCTGGTTGTACTCAGTACCCAAACCAATTTATTCCTTCTCGTTCAAAAAAATAACTTTATAATTCAAGAAGTTTTAGCTGCAGTATTGTGTAACATATGCGTTCTGATCTGCCTACACGGTAATCACGACATGGCTGGGGGTTTTGACAAATTCAACCTTATTTTCTATAAAGACACGACTTATTCCCATGGAAGCTTGTTTTTGAACAAGGATACAAACTATTCCTTCTAACCGTCTAGAGTTATACTACACTCTATCATCATGGCGAACTGGAAAGATATGCGGGCTTTTAAACAGGCTTCCCTGAATATGGTTCTGGCGATCTTTGTCATGAGCGTCAGTGTCTTTAGCTATGGGTTTGACAACAGCGTATTTTCTACCATTCAAGCAATGGACGGTATGTTTTATGAGATGGTATGCTCCTTTCTCCTGTCCCTGACCCCATCCTCTAGCATACGAAAAGCGATTTGGTACCTATAACCCCGAGACGAAAACGTGGGGATTCACTACACAGCATCTATCCTTCTTGAATTCTCTCGGTCTTCCAGCCAAATGCGTTGGCGCAGTAATGGGCCTTCTAGTAGCAGAGAAATTCGGCAGAAGAATCTCTTACATTGCAATGCAATTCGTCGTCCTCGTCGGCATCGCTGTCAGCTACAGCGCAACAGCTTACGGTGGTGCTCTAGCGGGCCGTATTCTCGTCCAATGTTTTGTTGGGTGGGATAACTTTCTCGTGCCCATGTTCCTGGCCGAGATCAGTCCGGCGGCCCTTCGAGGCGCGATCGTGGTAATATACGTTTTCGCGCATATCTTTGGCTCTCTCATCTGCTCGTTTATTACGCTCATCACTGCCAAATACGAAGGTGATGCCTCTTGGCAAATTCCACTTGCTTCTATGTTTGCCTTCCCCGCATTTGTGTTGTTATTTTCCTGGTTTGTACCGGAAAGTCCCCGATGGCTGGTTCGCAAGGGTCAAAATGAAAGAGCCCTAAAGCACCTACGATGGCTGCGGGGTTCTCGTCTGTCAGAGCAAGAAAGCCAAGCTGAGGTTCATGCATTGCAAGAAAGTATCGAGCGAGACCGGGAAGTAAAGGGGAAATGGGGGGGGACTTTCTGAAGGGCCCAAACAGGGTAAGTCTCGCAGTATTTCGGTTTTCCAGGAAAACATTAACCTTTGTTCGAATTCAGAGACGACTTCGCATCGCAATCGCTGTCGCCATCTTCAATCAAGTTACAGGACAGAGCTTTATGAGTCAATATGGGGCTATATTCATCAAGAGTCTAGGTACCATGAGTCCCTTTACGTTCCAATCAATTGCATCGGGAATCACCTGTCTCGGACCTATCATCACCTTCACATTTGTCGACATGATCGGCCGACGTCCTTTTTACCTTGTTTCCGGAACAGCCTGTACAACAGTGCTTCTCATTTGCGGCGGTCTCAGGGACCGGTGATGTTTCCGTATCTGACAAAACAGGCATCGTTGCTACCTGTACATTATTTGGCTTCTTCTATGTTATGTCATTTGGTGGGATGTAAGTTTTGTGATCCTTTTCAACGATTCGTTCCGGTTGCTGATTACAACTTTCAGTGGTGCTGTGACTGCTGCTGAGGTCCCTCATCTACGACTACGAGACAAAAACGCCTTGATGGTGTACTGCACTCAGTTTGTCTTCGATTTCATCGTCACTCTGACTCTGCCTTATCTTTTAAATGCCGATTATGCAAATCTTCAATCCAAGGTTGGATTTATTTACGGCAGTTGTGGTATACTCGGTCTAACATGGGCATACTTCTGTCTTCCTGATATGGCAGGACGATCACTTGAGGAGTTGGAACAGATGTGGACTGAGAATGTCCCAGCTCGCGCATTTCGCAGTATGTTTTTCTTTCTTTCGTTTTGTATGCTCCTTCGGCTAATGAAAGATAGAATGGAAATCGCCTGCGGAAACCGGTGCTGATGATGACATGGCCAAAATTGCAATCTCCCCGAAACAAGATTCTGACAGGTGTTAAGCACGCCTTGAAAGGTAGCATGTCGGTGTTAATAACTACCGAAAGTGAAGGAATGGTCTGCTAGGTCAATTAGTTTGTGTCTGCAACTCCAGCAATAATAGCAAGTTTTCAGAATCAAGACCATCCGCGTGAACATGAAGATTTAGCCGCTTGGCTTGCTACGGTATAAGATTCAGTCCATTAAAACCCCTTCTCAGAACAGGCTGTCTCGGTCAACAGATCGAAATAGTAAATAGCGGGTCTATTGCTCATCGAGACTGGCGATGGCGACTCGCGCTACGGCTACCGGTCGCCGACAACCGGATTGCAAGCCAGTGGTCCGAGAACACGTAACAATTCCAAGCAAACGCAAATTATTTCCTGTTAGGTGTTTCCAGACGTGTTTCCAAAGGATTTCAAGGGCAACAATAGTATTTTTTCTTTTTTCCCGTTCTCATGTTCCGTTGCGATTGGCTGTTACTACCGGCTACTAAATACTATCCCCGCGTTCCTAATATCAAGGCTTTAAATGCGGGGGTGACTAAACTAGCTACCGGATGTCGGTCTAGGGAATTTCTGGTTGGCTGGCTCGAAGATCCTATATAAACCACGTACAATGGTTTCCAGTCTGCCGGTTTGGCCGGGCTAGATTATTCGACAGCAAACAGCCTTTCGCTAGAAACCACCACCTTACCAAACGTCTTCTCCCATCTGTCTGGAATCCTAAACCGAAATACAGCAGTCGATACAGGAGTTTATTTCGGTCTCTGCCAAGCGTTTTTAAATTCGAAGGAACAATGCAGAATTTCGGCAATCCTAAGCCTCCCCATAAAATTCCGCACAAACCAAGCGGATTACCCAATGAACGGCCAAACATCGTTATATTTATGCCGGACCAGCTTCGCTACGATGCGTTGCACTGTACTGGAATGAATCTAATTGTGAAGACACCCAATATCGACAAATTCGCTGCACGTGGAGTACGTTTCTCGGAGTGTTATGTTCAAGCGTCCGTGTGCTCGCAATCCCGTTGCTCAATGTTTACGGGACTATACCCGCATGTATCCGGCCATCGATCCCTAGAAAATCTTATTAAGCCGTGGGAGCCGAATTTGTTTCGCTCCTTGAAAGATGACGGGTATCATATTGCCTGTATGGCGCCACGCGGTGACCTATTTGCTCCCACAGTGACTGAGCTCAGCCTAGATGAATATGGGTTTCTGGAGCCTCCCGAAGTAACGAAGATCATAGGAGGGCACGGCGATGAGAGACCTGAGGAAGATATTACCATTTGGGAGCGACTTTTCTATAAAGGTCGGCGAGATAGCAACAAAGCAGTCGACTATGATGAAGCGGCTGTTCGGAGTGCGGAACAATGGCTCGATTGCCCTCCGGATGACAAGCCATGGGTCTTGTTCTTGCCTCTTTTCTTTCCTCATTGCCCTTTCACGGTTGAAGAGCCATACTTTTCTATGTATAAGCGAAATGATATGCCAGTTCCATCATCGCCTGATGAAAAGGTAGGGAGATACTAGTAGCTCCTGGACATCTGACAATACGGTTAACACACCTTCAGACTGGATACGAGCCACGATATATGCAGTCAATTCGACAGCGACATGGTACTCATCGTGCAACTCCAGAGATATGGGCCGAAGTGGCCGCCACCTATCACGGCATGATATCGCGACTCGACGATCAGTTTGGTCGAGTTGTCGATAAACTCGACGCCACAGGATTGTGGGCAAAAACTATCACCATGTTTTTCACCGACCATGGAGAATATCTTGGCGATCATGGTCTGATTGAAAAGTGGCCCAGCGGGTTATCCGAGACTCTGGTTCGTGAGCCTCTGATTATGGCGGGTGGCGGCATCCCTCCTGGTCTTGTACGCGACAGCATGGTAGAAATGGTCGATTTAGTACCTACCATATTACAGTTATGCGGAGTGGATGAGACGTTTCCTCATAATGGAAAATCCCTACTTCCGACAATTCTGGAGAACAGACCACACCGTGAATATGCCTTCTCCGAAGGGGGTTTCCTTATCTCTGAAGAACCGTTGCTTGAGCAAGCCCCGTTCCCCTACGACTTGAAGGCCAAGCTGCAGCACGAAGATACCAGATGCGTTGGCAAGGCTATCTCAATGCGAGATCAGAACTGGACGTACATTTACCGGTTGTACGAACCGGCGGAGATGTATGACCGCAATGCCGACCCGCACGAACTACACAACCTCGCAGCAGACCCGCAGTATGTTCCTCAAGCACGACTCATGGAGAGTCAGATGTTCCGCTGGATGGTTGAGACGAGTGATTTTCTTCCCTATAGTAGGGACGGTCGGTTTCCCAAAGTAGACCTTCCTGATCCCAAGACGCTACTCGATGAGCGGAAGAGGAGACGTCAGAAGGAGGGCGGCGATGGAATATCCAGGGGTAATTTCGAAAGCTAGTGATTTAATTGTCAATATTATACTCAGTATGCATTTTTGAAACCAGAGGTGGTGTGGCAACATGATGGTCCCGAGACACATCTAGAAGTATCTTACTTGGAATGCAGATCGCAAGCATCTCATGGCTTTTGCAAAATCAGCCACAGCTTTGTCCCCTGACCGTCCACGGAATTTAAGCATACATTACCGCCACTGAGAGACCCCGGATATTACAGGGGCAATCCTGCTCTGGTGATACGATAGTTGCCCGCTGGTGTTCGTTCCCCAATGGAGAATAGCCCCTGCGGGGATTGACATGTGGTAGATCATCTGCCCGCAAAGCATGATCGTGTGGCGGCGAGCCTACAACAGGATATTTAGTCGGAAGGCTTTGGTATTCGGGGAACAGCCTTCTAGTAGCAAGGATCGTCGAGTGTAAAATAACGTAAAATGAACTAGTCTGGGTGAGGGTATCACTGATCTTGTCCGTCTTCCAACTGCATTATGAGAGACGGCGCAAGGTCATGGCAACACTGTATCACCGGGCCTCGTCATCCTGCCCTACTCGATTTAATGCCGAGTCTTTTGAGGTGAATAGATAGAAGCTCCAAATGTATAAAATTATGGGTCGCCGAGCAGAGGTCGGTGGGCCCTCAGGATCATCTCTCTCCTATCAGATTGCTCTCCACTTCACTTCACTTCCTCACTCTTCACTTCTTCTTACTTCTTACCTCTTAACTCCTCGCCCTTGATAACTCACCTTGGTATCCTCTGGATTTTACTGCATTCGTACCGTGCAGGATGGCGACTTTGAACTTTGCCCTGGTGAACACGACTGGCTCGAACACGGTTTACGCGTACGTCACCGGCCGGGCTATTGATAATAACAATGCACTCTTCCTCTTAGGGGCAGACGGCAAAACGGCCTACTACCCCACATCCCCCTCAGCGACCCTGACCGGGCTGAGCCAGGACTGTGCGATCCCTCTTGGGGCATCTGGCAGTACCAAGACGGTCACCATCCCTCATATCGCGGGTGGACGTATCTGGTTCGCTCGCGATGGCAAGTTGACCTTCTATCTCAACCCCGGCCCCAACTTGGTGGAGCCCTCGGCCTCGAATCCCTCGGACGCCAACTACAACGTGTACTGGGACTTCTGCGAATTTACTTGGAATTCGTCGCAGCTTTATGTCAACATCAGTGATGTGGACTTCGTGTCGCTACCTATCGCCATCGCCTTGACGAATACCTCAGGCACGACAAGTTCTGTGCAGGGTCTTCCTTCGAATGGACTGACTACCGTTTGCAATGCTCTCAAGGCGCAGAATGCAAAGGACGGTGCGGGCTGGGATCAGTTGGTCATCGCCAAGAACGGCACCAATATCCGCGCTGTCTCGCCGAATCTCGGAATCGTCCTTAACAACTCCCTGTTCAGTTCCTACTACACTGCCTACGTCAATCAAGTGTGGTCCAAGTATTCGAGCGCCACCTTAACGGTGAATACGCAAGCCGCTGCGGGCGACGTAAATGCCACTGTCTCGAATGGTACACTTAACTTCTCTGGAGGCATCTCCTACGCCAAGCCCTCCACAGGAGATATCTTCAGCAACAGCTCAGGGGCATTTGCTGTCTCGGGTAATGCCACCAAAGATGCGATTACGGCGCGTCTGGCGGCGGCTTTCAATCGATCCACTTTGTTGATAAACACCAACCAGCCAAATGGCGAGGTGGTGTCCAACTATTATCAGAACGCTGTCACCAATCACTATGCGCGTATCTGCCATGCAACTACGATAAATGGCCGTGGATATGCCTTCCCCTATGATGATGTTAGTCCGAACGGAGGCGTCGATCAATCAGGTAGTGTCTATGATGCGAACCCGAAGTTGTTGACTGTTACTGTGGGTGGCGGCTCTACGAGCGCGGTCGCCGAGGATGTTGTTTCTCGACCAAGTGCTGCACCCCCAGTCCCCAAGAGACCAAGTGCTGCACCTCCAGTCCCCAAGAAGCCAGGTCACTTGGGTGGACTCAAGAAGGTTTGGCACAAGTTCTCGCGTAGCGGATAGACGAATCGTCAAATCGTTGAGGTCTTGAGAAGTTAATTTAACTCCTCGGGTGTTTCTTTGCAGGATATACATATGTGCCTTTTCCTGGCGATCAATATTACATAGGATGAAACTTACGTGAAGTTTATGGAGCCGTTTGCAGATATCCAACATTGAATTATATGAAATGTTGTCTTTTGTATCTTTTATATTAATTGTAACGGGGCACTCGTCCACTCAAGTCAAGTCTCGTCCGACACATAGGGCACGTATTATTCCCTTCGTTGTCGCTCATCATCCATGTATTAATGCAGCCGCTGTTGAACCAGTGAGTACAGAATGGAGCAAGGGTTGTGATATATTCACCGGGTTTAACTTCCTCCACACAAATGGGGCAATCATCGCAAAACTCTGAGCCCATCTCGACCTTCTCGCATTTCAAAAAGCGAGCGATTTGCCGTTCTCGGGTTCTAATCTGATCAGCAAGGAATTGAGAGAAGATTGTTACAATACAAGACATGATATGCTCACTAACGGCAGCCTCTTCGCTTTGGAAAATAAGGATCCAGTTGTAGATAACCTGTGTAAGCTCAACGTATGTTAGATGAATAAAATGTCTATTTAGTCTCATCTGCTGAATGTATGCTGGGATACAACGGGACACACATCGACGCCCGTTCTGATCTGGCTGAAGTACCATCTCGGCCAGATCCCAAAGCTGTCGGTCGTAGTATTCTAGATATCCGTCGTTGTTTCTGGCCTGGCTCAGTGCACCTCCCAGCACGTGAAGGCATAGGGCTCGCATTTCGAGGGGAAAGCTGCGAAGGGGGGGCCTGACCAATCAATACATGTTCTTGGTAGCTAACAAGACTATCGAGTCGTCTGTTTTGTGAGAAGAAGGATTGATCTACATCCTCACCAATGAGCCTCGGCGTCATGATGCCCAGGGCTCGCAAACTTCGCATGTGCTCGGTCATGATGATTGAAGAGATGATACAGCTGTGGCTCAGGGATAGTACAACAAGCAGTCGAGCGCAAGTATCAGTGGTGTGGAGAAATATGACGAAAGTTGGGCTGTAATCTAGATACTTCAATTTCGTAGTTGGAATTGAAGCTCATTTTTGTGCTCGTCTCAATCCCTTTTGTTCATAAAGCAGCGAGTATACACACAAAGGAATGTTGGTTAATTCCAGAAACAAATTCCCCTGTGGTTCTTTGTGTTCCGAGGTTCGTTCAATCGGGCTTTGTTGTGTATAAAGGTAGATAATTGCTCTATGAATCTGAAACCTATTGTTCGGCCTTGAAAGGCCGAATTTTCTCTCTGCTCGAATTTTAATGGATATTTGGCAGCTGATTCAATTTCAAAGTTCCAAGGAAGTAAGATTCGATAATGGCATTTCCAATCATGCTTCGGGTTTCTGGCATTCACCTGACGAGATAATTATAATTCGGGCAATTATGGTCCGCTCCCTGGCCACTGACTGATAACCTTTAGAAATCTTGCTGTACTAGAATTTAGTAGGCGTCTTGAAGTCTACCATGTATGAAAGTTGTGGAATGATCAATTAAGATCTATGATATCATTCTTCTAGACTCTGGTAAATATCCCATGGATCAGCCGATCCATTAATGACACGCCATTCAGTATCATCGATAATATGATCATCACCCTCCCAGTCATAGTAACGGCCCCAAAATTCCATCTCTTCTATGGACCTATCATCAAGATTCACTTCAGTTCTGCACATTGGACAGCTCGGATGTGCAGACTGGATCGTTAGCCACATTATGAGACACTTGGTATCGAACCAGTGTGAGCAGAAATGATGTAGATATGTGACAATCGTTCCGGGCTCAACTGCCTCATAGCAAATCAAGCATTGATACAGAAACACCCGACGTCGGTTTCCATGCCGCAAACAGAGAGATGCTCTTTCAAACCCTAACCACATGATACAAGTAGAGAAGTTCAAAAAAAGTTAATATACCAAAAGAGAATACCACAAATAGCTAGAGTCACATACCACTGAGGAGGCATACAAAGCTAATTTCTGTAATATTTACAAGGTAATTTTAGAGAATCATCTAGATCTTAAACTAATCCTCGAGAATCCAGACTCTGGCTTCTTCATTCAGTGCAGGATTCAAATTAGGACTGCTCGTCGCTTCCTCTGTAACACAAACGAATAGGCCACTGCGAAGAATTCAAACAGATCACTTGACCAGACCGCTGAATTATCTCCCAGCGGTGCCCAATTGACTTGACGGCTATGTTTTCTTTGCCCTACCTCGGGTGTGGCTGGTCCCCATGAGATTCACTGACGTTTCTGCGAGGCAAAGGCATTATTTTGCACATTAACTTTAAGCTTGTTACAGTTTATTCTCAGATTATTGGCTTTTTTGATTATTTCTCTCTAAGGTTATTGGGTCAGTAGAGGGATGTTCGAATTCAGTTATACCTCCAAAGAGTCAGTGGTAATAAGAGGCTTTTTTTCTATGAGAAGCAGGTAGAACCGTAAGAGCAAATATGCTGGAGCTGCATAGCCACCACTCATTATGAGAATAGAGAGGGAAACAATCTAACAGCAGCGGGTATATCGGGAATATGAGAGAGAAGATTGGCTCTTTGGTTAACCTGGTCGGTCATCTGATTGCGGGGTACACTGTCAACTTGGCGGTGCCAACTTCCATGTCACCTAGCATCTACCCGATTCGAGTACTATCATGGCAACTAATATATCATATGACGGTCCTAACTCAGGGCTCCAAGTCGGACAGAACTATGGTCATATAAATGCACAGTTCTGTGAGTGTAGGAAAAATACGGCTCTAACAGAACATGGCTAATTAGTGTGGTTGCTCAGCACAATCGGAATCGTCATTAAACCAAGCGTGTCTACGGGATCTTCGAACGACTAGTCCTGAAGATGACAAAGACCGTATTGAACAAACCAACGGAGGGTTGCTCAAAGACTCATATCGCTGGATCTTAGACAACGAGCAGTTTAAACAATGGCAAGACAGCCAGAGCAACCGTCTCATCTGGATCAGGGGTGATCCTGGAAAGGGTAAGACAATGCTTCTGTGCGGTATCATCGACGAATTGACCCTATCGTTTGGGTATAATGCGAACATCTCCTTTTTTTTCTGCCAAGTTACCGACGTGCGAATCAATAATGCCACTGCTGTTCTTCGTGGCTTGGTATATTCACTAGTCGAGAAGCAGCCATCTCTTCTCTCTCATGTACGAAGCCGGTACGACCAAGCGGGGAAGGCACTATTTGAGGATATAAATGCATGGAATGCCCTCTCGAAGATCTTCACTGATATTTTGAAAGATCCGACCATACGGGACACATATCTGGTGATTGATGCGCTAGACGAATGCACAACAGATCTCCCTTTCCTTCTGGAATTGGTTGTCCAGGAATCATCTGCCCACTCGCACGTGAAGTGGATTGTTTCGAGCCGCAATTGGCCTAGTATCGAAGAGCGTCTGGATACTGCAACTCAGACTGCGCCTATCTCACTAGAGCTAAATAACGCATCTGTATCTGACGCTGTCCGAACGTTCATTCGGCATAAGGTTCGCCAATTGGGAGAAGTCAAAAGGTATAACGATAAAATCCGTGATACTGTTTATCGCCACTTGTCGTCAAACTCGCAAGGCACTTTCCTCTGGGTGGCCCTGGTTTGTCAAGATCTTAACAGAACATCGCGGAGACATGTCCTTAAGAAGCTTAAGGAGTTCCCTCCCGGACTGGATGCTTTGTATAGTCGAATGATTGATCAGGTTCGAAAGTCTGAAGATGCTGAGCTCTGTAAGCGAATATTGGCTGTTATGTCAATAGTGTATCGGCCTATCACTCTTGACGAACTGACCGCCCTAGTTGAAATACCTAATAATCTCTCTGATGACTATGAAGCGCTACTGGAGATTATCTCTATTTGTGGCTCTTTCCTGAATTTACGTGAGAACATTATTGTTTTCGTCCATCAGTCTGCAAAGGAATTTCTACTCGAAAAGGCGCAAATCGAGGTGTTTCAAGGAGACAAAGAAGCCGAACATCTTGCAATTTTCTCGCGATCTCTACAAACTATGTCCAGAACACTTCGACGTAATATCTTCGATATTAAGCTTGTTGGAACTCCAGTCGAGGAATTTACACAACCAAGTCCGAATCCTTTGGCACCCGCCAAGTACGCGTGTGTGTATTGGGTTGACCACCTTCGGGAAGGTTGGTGTGGTGAAGTCAAGGATCACAGCCTTGATGATGGAGGATGCCTGGATTGTTTTCTACGGCAAAAATATCTTCACTGGCTCGAAGTTCTCGGCATTTTAGGAAGCGTATCAGAGGGCATAATGGCTATGCTGAAGCTAGAGGACTTTCTTCAGGTGAGTGATTATGTAAGTTCCGAAAATATCTTCGACTTTTAACCAGAGACCGCCTTATAGACAAAGGGAACGTCACAGGTTCTTCTAGACCGAGTTCAAGATGCGTCCCGGTTCATTCGATACTACAGACAGGCAATCGAAAGCAGCCTCCTTCAAGTATACAGTTCAGGCCTTGTCTTTAGCCCAACCCAAAGTATCACGAAAATATGTTATCAGAAAGAGAAACCAGATTGGATTTTAAATAGCCCAAAAGTAGATGAGAGCTGGAGTTTATGTCTTCAAACCCTTGAGGGGCATTATGGATGGGTCAACTTGATTGCCTGGTCGCCAGATGGAAGCCGACTCGCATCAGCGTCAAATGATAAGACTGTCAGGATCTGGGATCCGGCCACCGGCCAGTGTGCGTCCACCCTCGAGGGGCATACTGGCCCTGTTAGCTCGATTGCCTGGTCGCCAAATGGAAGCCGACTCGCATCAGCGTCAGGAGATAGTACTGTCAGGATCTGGAGTCCTGTCACTAGCCAGAGTATATCTACCCTCGAGGGGCATACTGACCTTATCCACTCGATTGCCTGGTCACCAGATGGAAGTCGACTTGCATCAGCATCCCATGATAATACTGTCAGGACCTGGGAGCTTATTACAGGTAATTATGTGTTAACCTTAGAGGGACATAATAAATGGGTAAGCTCGATCGCCTGGTCACCAGATGGAAGCCGACTCGCATCAGCGTCAGGAGATAAAACCGTCAGGATCTGGGATCCAGCCACCGGCCAGTGTGTATTTACCCTCGAGGGGCATACTGACTTTGTTAACTCGATTGCCTGGTCGCCAAATAGAAGCCAACTCGCATCAGCGTCATGGGATAATACTATCAGGGTCTGGGATCCGGTCACTGGCCAGAGCATATTTATCCTCGAGGGACATACTGGCTCTGCCCACTCGATTGCCTGGTCACCAGATGGAAGCCAACTCGCATCAGCGTCATGGGATAATACTATCAGGGTCTGGGATCCGGTCACTGGCCAGAGCATATCTACCCTCGAGGGGCATACTGGCTCTGTCCACTCGATTGCCTGGTCACCAGATAGAAGCCGACTCGCATCAGCGTCCCTTGATAAGACCGTCATGATCTGGGATCCAGCTTCCCGCCAGTGTGCGTCAACCCTTGAGGGGCATGCTGGCCTTGTTAACTCGATTGCCTGGTCGCCAGATGGAAGCCGACTCGCATCAGCGTCCTTTGATAAGACCGTCAGGATCTGGGATCTGGCCAACAGCCAGTGTACGTCTACCCTCGAGGAGCATACTGGCTCTGTCAACTTGATTACCTGGTCGCCAGATGGAAGCCGACTCGCATCAGCGTCCCTTAATAAAACTGTCAGGATCTGGGATCCGGCCACCAGCCAGTGTTCGTCCACCCTCGAGGGACATACTGGCCCTGTTAACTCGATTGCCTGGTCGCCAGATGGAAGCCGACTCGCATCAGCGTCAAGTGATAAAACTGTCAGGATCTGGAGTCCTGTCACTAGCCAGGGTGTATCTACCCTCAAGGGGCATACTGATATTATCCACTCGATTGCCTGGTCACCAGATGGAAGTCGACTCGCATCAGCGTCAGGAGATAAAACTGTCAGGATCTGGAGTCCTGTCACTAGCCAGGGTGTATCTACCCTCAAGGGGCATACTGATATTATCCACTCGATTGCCTGGTCACCAGATGGAAGTCGACTCGCATCAGCGTCGGGAGATAAAACTGTCAGGATCTGGGATCCAGCCACCGGCCAGTGCGTATTTACCCTCGAGGGGCATACTGGCCCTGCCCACTCGGTTGCCTGGTTGCCCGATGGAAGCCAACTCGCATCATCGTCATGGGATAAAACTATCAGGATATGGAGTCCGGTCACTGGCCAGAGCGTGTCTATCCTTGAAGGGCATACTAGCCTTGTCAACCTAATTGCCTGGTCACTAGATGGAAGCCGACTCGCATCAGCGTCCCTTGATAAGACCGTCAAGATCTGGGATCCAGCCTCCGGCCAGTGCGCGTCAACCCTCAATATCTACTCTCCTCGCCTCCTCCAATTTGATAAAACCACGCCCAACCATCTTCATACAAACATTGGTAGATTAATTTTAGGATCTACTGGCCCTGTTGAGTCCAGCGCCTACCGTTTGACCTTTTCAGGAATATATGGGTATGGCTTAAGTGATGACTCTTCCTGGGTAACCTATAATGGATGCAACTTGTTATGGTTGCCTGCAGAGTATCGACCATCCGATCCCTCTTTATTTGCTTTATCTGCAACAACTGTGGCAATCGGTTGTTCATCAGGTCGAGTTATATTCTTCGCGCTCTCAGAAGATAATCCACCATCTAGGGTATGAATAGCATTTACGTCATTCTAAAGCTACTTTGTTCTCTCCTTATCCCATTTTCACTAGCCACTGAAATCTCGTTGCCTTGTTCATTAGGTACATGTATTTATGCCGTGGATCTCACTGGTGATGAAGCCACCAGTATTGTATAGACAACTGGGTGGAAATACGCGCAAGGCTTGCCATTCTGAGCTTGAATATAATCATCTGTTGGTCGATGTTGGCACTTACTGTACCAACGCCCTCAATTTCCAGATCGCCAAGGTACCACCACCCCCGCAGGAACCAGCAAGCCCCATAGTCACGTGCAGTTCCTAATAGCTTTTGACTAAAAATTATTTCATCTGCTCACTGAGCAAAGGGGTGAGCAGGGTGAGTATGGAATGCAAACTCGTTCTTCGAAAGTGACATCCTCACCAAAGAGTTTACTGAGAGTAACAGAGGCCCAATTCCGAGTCATGGTGGCAGATTATCAGGAGTATTCCTCGACCCGTGTTACTTAGGAAACCAGCTCTTTATATACGGTGGAGATGTCATATTCTCTGAGTAGGATTACCGATATCTCGGATTTAATAATACTAGATCTCGTTCAATGTATTCATTGAGCATCGCCGAATTTCATCCTCATCCCTCGCTCTCCCTTTCAGACTCCTTATAACAATGGTCTTTGTATCACTTCCAAAGAGAGATTGTCCGCTAATAATAGTTGGGTTTCTTTGTGCAGCATCAACGGGACCAACACAATTAATTATTCATTCAGATTTGCTTGTCTCATCCTAAACGCAAGTATTTTTGGAAATTGGGTAAAGTTTCTTGCGGCATGCGGTCTACCTGAGTCTTGAAAGGTCTCGTCAAAATTCGTCTCTTCCAGGGCATCAAGTACCAATCCATTTTTGAAGAACGGTGCAAATAGCTCCTGCAAAGGGCGATGAAAGCTAAACTAGATGAAAGTTAATACAAAATACAATGTTGAACGAAGATTGGCTCTTCATACTGGAGGCGGTGACTCTGTATTCTCGGTAAAGGGCAGCTGTCTAGCTGGGGGGACATCGAAGTATTTTCTCATAACAATTGCTAGATCAAACTCTCTTTCACCGGTCCGAGGATTCTCATGAACCGTCAATTGCCGGTCGGCACCTGACGTAAAGAAAATAGGATGCAGTAGCGTAGCCACGAAGCTGGAATAGTAAATCTTTGAGCGGTCTAGAAGATTAGAAACTAGTTTCTAGGGGTTAGACTTACCACCCATTCTTTCGTAGAATCTTTGGCAACCCCGCAGCAAGAGGTTCAAGATCCGGAATATCCATGAGAGCCATATTCATGGTTATCACGTCGAATCCTTTGTTCTGGCCTTTGAGTTAGTCGACTCATGACATGGGTGAAAGGATTCCGAGATATAATCGATTTCAAATTACCATATCAGGATGACTGGAAATCATCTTCTTCCATGACTCGTTATCTGTCACATCTAAGATATCAAAGGCGATCTTGCCTTGTGGAAGCTGGCCCCGCTCATACCAAAGGGCGGTACGAGCGCGCGCTCGTTCTAGCATTGCCTCCGATCCATCTGTTGCAAGTACAGAGGCCCCTTCTTGAGCTAGCCACCGAGCGACGAGTCCATTTCCTGTCGCAAGATCCAAGCCCCGAGCTTCGGGACGAATATTCACCAACCTCTTTAGAACTGGAAGCTCCAGGGCGGAAAAGTATTGATTGCCTTCGTCGCCCATCCCTTCATCCCAGGCTGCTGCCATAGCCTCCCAGTGCAGTAGCGGGGAACTTCCGGGCGCTTTACTTTCCATGTTCTGGAACAAACGCTTGTACTCCGGAGTTGATGTGAGGGTAACAAAGCGAGAGGGAAAAGATTCAACTTAACAAAGCACTGATTTTGCCGAATACGAACATGGCTTGGCAAATGTATTGTACATACTGTGCGAGAGCATCCAACTCCGAAATGAGTCAGAATACGAGCTAAAATCTGAATGACGTATGTGCTTTGATTAAGTATTAAAAATTCCAGAGATTATTTCTACGGTATCTACAGCGTTGGAGAGGTGGATGAAGCAAGATGAAAAATTTAAATAAGATTCAGTTATACTACTACTAGAATGAGCAGAATAAATTCCAAAACTGGAAAAGGTAGGAAAGGGTACTATAAGAGCTATGAAAACAGGCAATGACTTACTGTTCCTCAAGGACAATGTGAGTACGGCAAGCCGGGCATAATTTTCTTCCCGAGTTCATTCTCAACACATAATGAATGCATCCGGTATGAAACCAATGAGAACAGAATGGCTCTAGAACAGTAACTTCCGTTCCAGCTTCTACTTCTTCTCGGCAAATACCACACTCCCCTACCTGCTCAGGTTCGAGTAGGTTTTCAATGGGCCTACGAGTCAGGTCAGAAATTGAACGCTCGATTGGATTTTGCGGATTCTCGATTGGATCCCACTCGAACGGAGCGTCCATGTATTCTAGATAGGCTGGCATGGGTGGCAAATTTCGGCAACGAAGCCAGCTTGCAAATGAATACATGAACCACTCAGAAAGTCCAAAATCCAGCATATAGAACATAACTCTCATTCTATCAACGTATAACCGAAGCACTATTTGAGGCTCTGTGCTTCTTTCTTCGACTCTCATATCAACCAGTCTCTGAAACTGCTCCAAGGTGGATGCCGACACGTTTCTGAAATCCAAGTCCTCAACAGCCCATTCAAGCAAATTCCAAATACGATATATCCACCACTCGGTTTTCCAATCATCGCACTGGCACTCGTCAAGAATATTGTCTAGCGAGCTTTCAAATGCCTTACGAAACTCAAGGGGCACAATAGCCAGACTAGGATTCGCTGGCATTGCCCTCCACCTGATCTGGCTAATACGCACAACCAGTCTATGGGTTCGCTCATCATATGGTTCTGTGAACCAACTCTCCAACTCCTCCAATGTGTCCGATGGTACGTACCAGGGGTCTACGCCCCCAAAGATCTGTGATATAGACTGGCCCATAATGAAGACTTAAAATGAATACCTCTCGAGATTCTGAAACTGTATACAAGTCGTCATACAATAGGGCTGCGATAAGCTCTGAGCCCCTGCTTTAGCTGATGAGTGGTTTAATGGCATGAATCTTGAGGAACTTGTATGCATTTATAGACCTCGAGATTTGTTCTTTCTGCTTGTATTTAGTTGGAACAATAGCCTTTGTTTACTTGGGAGTTCTAACTCGCCAAAGAAAAGGCATTTAGGTAGAAAGGGTTTACGAAATAAACAATAAGAAAGCAGTCAGTTTCAATAAAAAGGGTTCAAAACAAAGGGCTCATATTTCAACACTCAAATTTCTCCTTTTGTATTGGCAATGCTAGTTTACCTTCTTTTTAGGGGGCTTCTGGGTGCTCCCATGCTGAAATCAGCATGGATGCGACTTTAGGGGCGACAATGAAGATGTTTTCCAGCAGTGGATTGTATTGCTGCTCCATCCCAACTATACTACATTGGACCAATGTCTTCTAGTATTGGCTAAACAAACTCTACGGGGCTTCCATTTACGCAACCGGTAATTCAACCCTTCAAAGATAGTCGATGACACTAGAAAGGCTGATAAATTCCCACCTAAATCACGCCGAAGGATCCTTTACCGAGGAATCGACTGATACAGAATTTCCTGCCATAGTATGGAACGGTAAGAATATTATTTATTTGACAAACTGAAAACAAGCACTGGTCTATTCTAGTATAAACCCATCTGACTACTCAGCAGCTTGAGTTTGTCTTCTTACTTGCTCAACGGTCCGGTCAATGACCTGGCGAAAGCAATAAAGAAAAATATCATCGCTCTCAGGTACTTTATAGCCAAGTGCCTCTGATGGTGTGTCTTCGTGGGAATCTTCGTGGGAATCTTGAGCTGGCCTAGTCTGCATCCGGCTTCTTTCCAGACGAATCCCACACCATATGAGCGCGGGGATCAATGCTATGAGAAGTATCCCTGCAATTGCTATGCGTTAGCTTCTATTGTTTAAATGTGAAATCCTACTGTCTTGCTTTATAACCAGCAGACCCGTACCGTCAAGGTGCACTGAAGGTAGCCCTGCAATTATGATATCTTAGCTTCTGTGAAATAAGTGTGAAATTCCACTGTCTGGTTCAGGTCACTAGAAGACACGTACCTTCGAGTTCCACTAACAAGAAAAGCAGACATAAAAGGGGGACCATGGTTGTGAGATGCGCCATGGCGTTCGATTCGGTCTATAGCTATAAAGCGTAGGTGTATAAATGCCGAAGTCGCTAGAGGACTATACAATCAAGGCAATTGAGGACGATGAAAATGAAGATTGATATGATTTCTTGCGAGTAATAATTGGGCTATGTTATATTTCCTGTTGCTCGAGATGTCTTATGCAACCTTGGAAGGATTTAGAGAAATGTCTCTGTTCAAAACGATGGCGATCCCCGCATCATTGACCACCTAGTGGCTTCGTATCCAGCCGAGACTTTCACGGATAGTCACAAAGGTATGCAGGAGCCCAAAAATGGCAATGTCCCGGTCTGAGTCTGTTAAACAAAGCACGCTTGATCCACAATTGCATTTTGTCTGAGAGCGGAACTCACATCATTATTTCGATATTCAACCTGGGCACGAGATGTGGATCTCAAGTATCATCTGGTCTTACTTCCAAGCCTAGGTATCGAGTGGCGTACTATGTATCATTTGCCGAAATGCCGTCAAAGTCGCTGCGTTTCAGAATTTGTTAATTCATGGACAGAGATAAGGTTTTCCATATCATCAAGAGCGGCTTCTTGGGTAATTCTACGTCCAGGTGATACAAGGAGTATTACTAGTAGTACTAGTAGTGGTAGTTAGGTGCTATACGTTCAAATTAACCCAGTGCTAGATGATGGGCAGTATACACAAAGGATGTACAAGGTACTTCCAGTTGAAATATATATTGCAGACCGCTGCGGTCTAAAGATGTAAAACACTACTAATTTCATGGAATTCCTGTCCCAGCAATCAAAGTACGCTTTGAATTACTATTAAATATACAAATTATCATATTTTCAGCCCATGCCATTCTTACTCTGCTCCATGTATACTCCGTACTTCACCCATGGATGCTCTTGTATGGAGGTGGGGCCGAGGGTGAATTGTGATTGGCCCGCGCGCCCCAAACATTCCCGCGCCAAAACAAACCTCCCAGCCACTTCAAGTTCAAGTGTTGTTGTTTCTCCATCCGATCCTCCCTCCCATTCACCCTCACCCTCACTTTCAAGTTCAAGTTCTCGATCATGCCTCGGGACTTGAGTCTTACTATGTCGGATTTTGACCCCGAGCACGAAGCTCTGGCATCGACACGCGAATTCCACATAGACGACGAGCCCGACTTCGCCATCAACACCTCCACCATCGACCGCGCCTTCCCCGATTTCTCTCAATTATCGCCATCGGACGAAGACGAAGTTCAAGCCGAGGACGAATTCTCCGATCACAGCTTGTCCATGGAACTTGGCCGCGCCGCTGGCAAGCCTCGTCGCGTGGATGACTCGCGCGACTCCATCATGAGCTTCGAAAACAGCGTTCGATCTTCTTCACCCGCCGTGCGTGTTGAGTACCCGACTCCTCAGAAACAGCCTGTTCGCAGTAGCGCACGACGCGCTGTCAGCGAAAACCTACGCAAAGACGCCCAATTGCGCCGGGCAACACAAGCTCAGAATCAGAAGGAAGCGATGAGCCCTCAAGTTTCCAAATCCCAACAACGCGACCAGCGTCGTTCTCTGTCAGATATGCACGCCAAAGTGCGCGAATCATACGATGGATCCTTCCTGGGAGATGAGCGACCCGTTCAAGCGCCGACCAACTCGCGATCGACGCGTTTTGCTAACCCTAATCACTCCCACGAGATTGCTGAAGCCGTGGAGCGTGCGTCTCGCGAAGCTTACGCGAAGGAAATGCGCAAATCAAGTGGCCACAGTAATGCAGGAACTCCCCGCAAGACCAGCTCGGCACAAGCTCAGCAGAAGCAGAACAACACCATGGGCGACACCATGACTCGCAACTCTTTCCTCCTTCCCGACCTCCCCAACATTTCCGAACTTGTATCTGGAGTCTATGAAGACGGAACACCTGTCTTTCCCCGCCAATCAAAACTCCGCTCTACCCGATTTGTGTCTCCTCCCCACGACCAGACTGATGTCTCGTTCACACGTCAGCACTTGCCTCTTGACGCTGTCCCCATCCCGGACGACGAGAAGGCATTGTTCGTGAACCTGCGACTGTTGCAGGATAAGGTTGCTGAACTATCAATGTTCAAATCCGATGCGGAGAAACGACTGGAGAACTACCGTGTCGAAAATGCCGCTCTTAAGGCGAACCGATCTCGACACTCGGACAAATACGAGGCCGATGAAGGCGATTATAAGAAGGGCTCGAAGCGATCTGCCCATGAGAACCAGAGTACGTTCACCAAAGGAATCTGTTACAATATTACCATCTCACTAACCGAGTTTCAGAGCTCGAAGCAGCCAATGTGGCGTTACAAAATCAGCTCGACATCGCCGATCGAAAGGCACAAGTGCAGGAGGCCGCGGTCAAGCGTATGAACCAAGAGCGCGAATCGGCTATCTCACAGCTTGGCGTTGCCTACCTCGAGACTCGCGAACTCAAAGTTGAAAACGAAGGCTTGCGACAAGAGAACATGGACCTCAAGTCTCAACTATCTCGATTTTCCTCAGGCAAGACCCGGGAGCAGGATACCGGGGACTCGGAAGCCCTCTCGAGCACATCTGAGGTTGACGATAGCCAAGTATACACAGAGCGCAGTGGTGATATGAGTCGCAGCACTCGCGATTTGACTTCCCGCAGTGCACGATCTAACCCCAAGGGCAGGCGTCAAGATGACTCTCGTGCGAAGATCTCGACCCAAGTCGACAAGGAGATTCACCGTCTAGAGAGGGAACGGGCTGAGGAGGAGCTCTTCTCTATCAACGTGCCAACCCCCAAGCGCACATCCGGATCTAAGAAGTATCGATCAGATGCTCCTCGCGTGTCCGAGTCCAAGAGCTCCAGGAAACAGCCCAATACCAGCAAGCAACGTGTCAAGCGGGTCATTCTGGAAGACGTGAGCGAACCGTTGGAGGCAACCGAACAGAGCAGGGCGCCATCCGACGTTGATGAGCTGACCTTGCTGAGTGTCATTGACGTGAGTTGAAGTTCATTACAATCGTCATAATATCCGCTAACAATTACTTTACAGGAGAATGAGATCTCTCGACTCCGGAGAACACTCGAGGAAGAGAGATTGCAGCGCAAGCAGCGTCGTTCAAGTATCCCGAAGGACTTGACAGCAAATGAGACAGCCAACTCGACTCGCCAGAGTATCCTCAAGACATCTCTTCCCCGCAAATCTTCTCTTCGCGAACCCAAGCCCTCCATCCCTCGACCTGCATCGGCGACTGGCGATATTACTTCCCGATCAGTAGCGACAACTGAAGGTGATGATAGCCTGGTCGTTCCTACCGCCGAACGCCATCGCCGCCACTCCGACCATTCTGTTGCTTCCGTGGCATCGCGCAAGAAGCGTGCGCCGAAGGAAGACATGACATCTGCCTTTATTCTTCCCGACATCACAATGAGCCATGCAAACTTTGCTGCCAGCAACCCATCCCGCCTCCCCGAGTCGGCCCAACGAGCCCTTGACGACATCGCCCAGCACAACGGCAAGAACTGCACAGTTTGTAAAAATGTTCTGCCCAACGATGGCCAGTGTGATCATGAGCCCATCAATGTTCCCCAGCCCGTTCCGGTGTCTGAGCGCATGCCCGAGCCATCTGTGCATAACCCCGAACCTACCATTCGGCCGTCCCAGCCACCAGCCGTGGCTCTCGCCAATGTGCTGAAGGCTCTGGAAGACGAGCTCTCCCATCTCAAGATGCAGCTTGCCGGATACCAAAGTGCATACAACAAGCTAGACGCATCTATGGCCAAGCGCCAGCGCAAGTCGCTAATGGAGAAGGTCGAGACCTTGATGAGAGAAATTGATCAGAAATCCGACCAGATATACGCCCTCTACGACGTCTTGGAAGACCACAAGACTGGCAACCATATTACAGAGCAAGAGATGGAGCAGACTCTTGAGTCGATTGGTATTGATGTGACCAAATCGGTGGATTTGGATGTGGAAGGAGAATCTGAGCTTCCTTGGGAAGGTATTGAGAGCACTGCCGAGCTGACTGGTCGGGCATAGTGCCAACCAAATTGATTTTTTCGATAACCCCTGTAACTCGTGTTTTTGGCGTGGATATTCAATGCATATGCTTTTTTAAATTCAAGTCTTGTTTGGCGTTCGGCTCATTGAAGCGTGGTCTATAGTGTGTAATAAAATTGATTCCAGCGAATGCAGACAGACTTGTTCATTTCATTTCATCGAGTAGTTAGTAGTTATAGTTAACTAGTAGTAAATAAATAATATTGCTGCATGTGAAAAAAGGACGCCGCCGCTATGCTACTATATAGTATGATGGATGGGATCTGAGCAATTATTTTCCACTGACGGCAGCAATCGCAGCGCCTTCAGTGGCCGTTGGCTGAGAACTCTTCTCAGCTTCACGTTTCGACACTTCCTCTTCAACAAAAACACCCAGCCCCGCAAAAGCCTCAAGCATAGTGCGCGAGTAATACTCATGCAGATCATACCCACCAGCCGAACCCTGCACATTCTGGCGCTGCCGCTCCAAGAACGCAGAAGGATACGACTCCTGCAAAGTGAAGTAATCCCTCTTCTCGGGAACCAGCCCCATAAACGGATCGTATGGTTTCTCCGGCTCAGGCGTCTTGATCTTCTTCAGACCCTTAATCAAGCCCGAATCCGCGGTGCCCGCAATCTCAGAATTGGACAGCGGCGTACCGCGCTTCGTCTCACTTCCCCGCAGCGCAGCTTGCTTAAGACGAATGCGCTCCTCTTCACTGCGCCGCGCAGACGATTTCTTAAGATGCACTTTACTGCTTTCCCTCGCGATGGCATTTGCGTCCGCCGTAGTACCAGATGCAAGTCGGGACAACATGTCCTCTCGTCCGGCCTGGAGCTCACGGCGCTCGTTCTCGTATTCCTGGCGTGCGATTTGGCGGCGGCGTTGGGCTTCTTCTTGTTCTAGGGTCATGCGGGCTTGGAAGGAGGTTGCTTCTTGTTCTTCGAGGGCGAGGTTAACGCGGATCGATTGTTCATTTTCTGTGGCGTATTTTGCTAGTTGGGCGTTTGTTTTTGCTTCGTTGGTGCGGGAGACGAGGTTTGCTATTATTTCTTCGCGCTGTTCGAGGAAATCGTCGTAGTTGAGTTTTGTGTCGAATTCTTCTTCGCGGCGGTTGAGACTGTAAAGTGAAGAATAGCTTGTTAGATAGGACTGCAGTATGATAATGACATGGGATGGAATGAAATGAAATAAAATGAAATGAAATGAAGGAAGAGAGTGTCGGCGTACATTTGCATCACCCGTCGTCGAATGTCTACCTCTCTCTCCACCCCGATGTCTTCAAAGGTCTGCGCGCGGAAACGGTTTTTGCGCAGGGTTTTGCGGCAGCCGGCGACGGGGCAATTTGATGGACCGGAAGAGAAGATGCGGTCGACACAGGATTCGCACATTTTGTGGTAGCATTCTGGGTTGATGAGGAAGCGCATGTTCGGGTTGAGATACCGTGAGGACTTGCAGACGGGGCAGACCTCTATTCTTGTTAGTTTGGGGGAATAAAGATGGCAAGGGCTCATATGTGGACATACCGTCTTCATCCCGGCGGTCGATCCCCTTGGATGCCATGATGAGGGTGGTGGTGTGGTGTGAAGTGGTGTGGCGATGGGAAGAGCGGAGAGACGTAGTCAAGCTATGGAAGTTGATGGAGGCGATAAGATAAGACTCATCTCGGCCCCGCTTTTTTTCCGGCGCCTCCCACTCTTTTTTCTCTTCCTTCCGTCTGCTCTCTTCTGCTCTCTTTTCTCTTTTGCATCTCCGACACTCCTCCTCACCTCTACGCCGTATAGGAGAAACCTGTATATTTATGTGATACTGATATACGAGCCCCTTCTCATACCTTCTCTATCATGGGCATTCCCAACCCCGATCTCGGCGCGCTCGAGCAGCGCCGCCTCACTCTCGAAGACAACATCCTGCAGCTCCAACAGTCACTATATCACTGGAGAACTTGGGAAGCCGAATACGATGGAATTCGCGAGGAGATTGGAGCTCTCGACAGCGGTGCTTCGACCGAAGACTTCTTGGAGGTGGGACGCGAGTTTGGAGGCACACTGGTGGACCAGGAGGAAATGCAGAAGATTCTTGGCTCCCAGGGCGTGTCTAGGTCGCGTGGACAGGTCGTGGATCTCCTTGGTCGGCGAATCGACTACGTGAAACAGAATGTTGCTACCATGGAGAAAAGACTACAGACTGCTGAGAATGAGTTGCACGCGCTGGATGAGCAGGACCAAATACCCATCGAAGGTGGCAACGACTTTCCCATGCGGGAGATCATGGAAGAGCTGGATGAAGAGGGTGAGGTCATCTCAAGCACAATCAACACCCCCGGTGATCAGGCGCCCCAGCTCCTTGACGTGTTGAAGCAGGTTGGTGTTCAGAACATTCCAGAGACTCAGCAATCTACCGAGAACCCAGACCCCGCGACTGCAAGTACCGCAGCAGGTGATAGGGCAGAAGAAGCGCCGACAGAGGTCTCTGTGGCCCACGAAAACCATAACCACTCCCTGGAATGCCCTGTACATACCCCAGAGGCAAACGACGTCGTGCCAGATGACGATCCCGATCTGGAACGACCTGTCTCCCTCGTGACAGCCGAAGACCGTCAACAACCCCCTGTCACCGATGTCGACGAATCCCCCGATGAAGCGAGGCTACGCCGAGAAATGCTTCAGTATGGGATCGACGAGGTGGGTGCCATTGTCGCAGAGCTGGAACTGGACGAAGAGGGAAGCGAGTTCTCGCTCGACGATGACGAAAATTACGACTTCGACTCAGGTGAAGAAGAAAATGAGGATGTATACGGTCGCTCACATACCGTGCTGTCTGAGGAATATCACCAGCAGATGCGGGAGTTGGAAGCCAAACTTAATGCTCGTGGAATGTACAACGTTGGCAAAAACACCGAATCTCTACCAGAGGAAATGCGTCAGGATATCGAGAACCCTCCATCTGCGCAAGACCTTCAGCAAATTGGCGTGGAGTCCTCCGACAAGGGCAAGAAACCCAAGAAGCGGGTTGCTTTCGCCGAAGATCTTGATATTGCACCGGCTGCTGATCCCACGCCCGTCGCCGAGAAGAGAACACCTCCCACAAAGCAGCCTGATGTCACTGTACTGTCGGATGCCATCGTGGAACGAACAAACCGCGCCCCGGACGTTCAACCATCCACGAACAATGCCCCCAAGAAGGTCTCGCGATTCAAGACTGCACGGGCAGCTGTGCCATCTTGCAATGGACTGGACTCCACTCCGGCTGAATCATCTCTGAAACCTTCTAAGCCATCAGAACCTGGGTTCGCTCGCAAACAAACCAACGCCGTTCCGGCAAGCAACCCTCCAGCTTTGTTCCCCGCCACTCCAAAGGAACCCAAGCCATTTTCAGCCCCAATTACGGACATCACCGAAACCTCGTCCAGTCCCCAGCCGCCCGAAGGCAAAACCCTGGCCGAGAAACTAGTCGAACGCGATGTCGTTTCCGGTACTGCCGCTGCTCCTGAACTAGATGAGCTGGATGAGGAAATGCACCGCGGTCAAATTGCCAGCGAGTTCTTCAAGGCCCGCAACCGCAAGATCCAGGAACAAGGCGGTTTTATGGACGAAGAACAAGACACGGAATACGAGATCCGTGAGGGTGAAATCGAGCCCAGGCGTATCAGTAAGTTCAGGGCTGCTCGCATGAAGTAATAACCCGTTGGGTTTGATCTTCGCCATGGCCCTGATTTCTTCATTTCGGCCCATGTGCATTCAACAATTTATACCCAATATAAACCGATTCATTATACGACATTCTTTGTTTGTTTCTCCGTTTGCGCGTAGATTTGACAAACACCCTCTCCCCCTTCCCTTTCTACTGTATTTCTCTCTCCTTTCTTTCCCTTCCTCTTCTCCGCGCTAACAGGAATCTCGTCCGTCATGGCTTTTGCCACGATGAGTGGTCTTACCTCTCAATGGTATTACTACATAACAAATTCCAAGATCAAAATATGGGACAATTCTCTGTCCGGGTATTCCTTCAGAGCCCCTGCCATAGAACGCTCTGCCGAACTGCAGAATTTGTGTGTATGGTGTCTGCATGGATACCTACGGACATTTTTTGCAGGGACGCGGGGCCGGCGGGGATTCCGAATCTGTTGAAACGCGGTTATTTTAACGTCCTGACATACTTCTGAATTTTGTTTTTGTAGATGACTACTACTTCGTACTAAGTCGCGAAACTAATTCCAAAAGAATAATACTTGATTCATAATATACCTTGCTACCTAGTACGCCAGGATCCAAACTCATATTGCACGATCGTTACTGCGTTCAAGTTTCCATGGACGGTCATGCAAAACATGAGTGTAAACATAAATGGGGTACTACTACTAGTAGTACTTATTCCCACCATCAGAGTGAAGACCAAGGCGAGGTATCACCATTCGAATCCGCACGCCAAGCGCAAAGAACGCCAAACCGCATCCCAATACCGACGACAAGAATATGCGCGACCAATGCGGATATTTGTAGCCGGACGTCATGTATACCAAAAGTAGCGGCTGCTAGAAGGACGAGCGGGTATAGAACCCATGCATTTACCGCTAGCGGTGAGCAAGGGTGGAAGGCCGAGACTACTTTCAGTAGGAAGAGGGAAAGTTGTAGACCGGGTGAGGAGATAGAGGTCAGGATGTCGAAGTGTGGAAATCGACTCGGGGGGGGGGAGGAGATGTTGTGGGCGGACGGGGGAGTGGGATCGGGATGGGGTTGGGGTGTCTTCGTGTGAGGGTCTGGATGGTGAGACTGGTGGTGAGGTGGTGGAGTATCGCTGTTGGCGAACGATTATGTTTCGATCTGGACTCATTGATGATGGTGGATTCTCGAGACCTGCGTCTTGGTCTGGTGTCCTGCTGCTTCCGGATCCGGAGCCGTTAGAGTCGAACATTGAGTCCCGACGATATGCTAGCTGGCTGCTGTGGGCGGGGAGCTTTTTCGTTGGCGATAGAGCTCGTTCCATTGATGGCTGTGGGCTGTCGGCCGGGTGGATTCGAGGCCCACCTGGGAGATCGGGACTCACTGAGCTGCTTCTTTTGAAGCGGAAGCTTCCAGTGGCACCGGCTTGTATTCCGTTAAGAACTTCGTCCGCAGTTGGCCGTCGGTTGGGGTCCACAGCTAGTAGACGTTCTAGGAATGTATAAAGTTTCTCAGGAAGATCGGGTCGGCGTCGGCGTGCGTTGTCGAATCCGGTCCAGCCAGTAATTTCCGCCCGAAGCTGATCGAGGTCCTCATTTTCCTCGTGCACTATATCGGCGCTGGCATAGGGGAGTTCGGCGAAGCAAAGGAAGTAGAGGATCATTCCGAGGGAGAATATGTCTGATTTGAAAGAAAAGTTGCCGAAGGGCCCATCGGGGAAATCCTGTCGAAGCACCTCAGGTGCGCAGAATGACACAGTTCCAGTTGCGCCTGTTGATTTCCGAATTGCGTTCTGCTGCTGGACTTCGCCGAAATCACTCACAAGCACTCTGATCCCATCACTCGTGTCGTGGAGAAGACAATTGTTAGGTTTCAAGTCGCGATGAATATACCCATTCATATGGAGATGCCGCAAGCCCGAGGTTATATCTCTGAAGAAAGAATATATTTCATCCAGTTGGAGAATCCGTGGGCCACCCAATCCAGCCCGTGACTCAGGTTCCCCTCTCGATTTGCGCCTAAGTCGATCTTTGAGTTGCTGTGCAGTGGTCGACGTCTGTACGGAGCCGTATATGTAATTATGTAGATCGCCCGCGTTGCAGTACTGCTGTAAAATGAAGGCGCATGCCACCGGCGGGCCGAATGTGCTGATCTTGGCATTTTCCAGCCACACATGTCGGTATGAGACTAGGTTCTGGTGCGAAAGATGTTGTAGTAGTTGTACTTCGCCAAGTACTTTTTCCAACCATTCATGATCGTCGCCGACGGGTACACGTTTGCAAGCATAGTGACCGAGCGAGACCCCATCTAGCATGTGCTTAACAAGAAGCACAACACCTTTTCCACCCTTGCCAAGCTCCTTTTCCTCGACAAAGAATCGTTTGAAGTAGTCCTGACTGAAGGCTGCAGAGGAGATACCCTGAGGCGGCGGTGCCTGTGCCGGTGCCGGTTGTGAGGGAGCACTAGTGATACCGCGTGGAAGGGCAGGTTGAACGAGGCGGCGGCGAGGCGATGGAGGTCGTGAGGAACTCGCTGAGCTTGGCAGGCTATTGTTTAGCATACGGAAGTAGTTCGGGTTCACGAATTCCGCCTCTGGGTCCTCAGTTCCACGATGTCTGCCTCTACTGCTGTCTCGCATGGGGCGGTGGCACCAGGGACAGTCTGAAAATTCCAGATTGCCCTCATGCGCATCTGCGGCATTTCGCAGAGCTAACTGCTGGGAATCACGGTCCAAAACCACGACCGAGTCATTGTGTCGGCTAGTTCGGGGTCAGTCATGAAAGAGAATATGATGATATGGTGACCTACAGCACAACATCAAGGTTCCCACCATTATAAGGGATCATAGACATGTCGTCCGGCATAACTGCATGAACATTGCGGTGAGCAGTAAAGCCAAGACGAAGACGTAATCCAGGAGCGCGTGTAGCTCGGATAAGAGAGATGACGAGGTGCTAAGGAGACCCCCACTGAAAGGCGGGCGGTGTGCCCCGGACGATCCGTGAACCGTGGAACTTGCTGCTTTAAAGTAAGTCGTGGTTGACAAAGATACTCTATAGCTCGGCGAGTTGAATCCCTTGAGAGTAACTAGCTCCAGATTCATCTCCTGGTAAGTATCTCAGCATATGTGTAGCTTAAATACAATGAGTGGGTGATGCAGGACCTGAACAGTACTAGTAGGGCAGCAAAAGTACTACCCACTGTTCACTGGCATGGTTGGTCAATTGTCAATGGCACCTGGGTAGATCTACTAGGAGCACAGAATACTCATACGCAACTTGAAGGTCACAAAATACTAGTAATTATAGATAGAATATTTTCATTGGATTCCTTAGAGGATCGGGTATCTCATGTGGGACCAGCTCGTCGCGATCTGGTCATTCGATGCCAGACTCGGGCCGGACTCGGCTGGGTCAGTACCAGGGTAGGCCTGGCTGGCCATTGATGATCTTGGGATCATTTCGGATTGGGTTGGCAATCCGGGAACGTGGCTGTCGACAAAATGCTGCTGATCGGGCGTTTCCACCCGGTATCATACAGATGTCAGACACCTGGGCCCTTCCACAATGGAGATGAGCCCAGCTGGCAGTGGGGGTGATGGGCATTCATGCATGCTCTGTATTTCAAGAGTCGCAGGCCATGTTGCGGTGACAAAAGTCCAAACACTGGAAAATTGGGATTGCACCCGCGGTGTCACAAGGCGTTCAATCCTCCTCACCACTCTCGACATCGCTGATCTCCAGGTTGGCAATGGAGTCGTTGTCACTATCGTTGCCACCTTCGTTGAAGCCTTCAAACTCGGGTCCGGAAGAATCAGAGGCCTCGGCGTCCTCGGCGGGCTCGTCGGTCTTCTCATTGATCTTGCGCTTGCGTCCCATCTCACCCAGACGACCTTCACGGCCATCCTTTACCGGCGCCTCCTTCTCCTCCTCGCCCTCGGTCGCAGCGGCCTTGGCGGGGGAGTGAACCAGGGGATCTTTCCACGTAGGAAGTCATTGATGACCATCTTTGCGACACCATCCAGGTCAGGCTCGCCACCCTTCAGTAGACGACCACCCTTCCGAGCCAGGCGGCTGAGGAAATCAATGGCATCAGAAGGTGCCTTGATGCAATAGGTGCGCTCCAGATGTTGGGGCTGGACACGACGGAGAACAGCGGGAATGTACTGTTCTGGGTTGTGGACGTTCTCCACACGGCAGACACCACGAAGCAAAATGTCCTCCTCGGTGTCATTCTGGTTGGGAGGGACCACACCAGGACAGTCGATAAGGTAAATTCTCTTCATGAGGGTAACGTACTGCCACACCTTGGTTTCACCGGGAATGGGAGCAACGGTGCAGACCTTCTTGGCACGAAGGGTGTTGATGATGGAAGACTTGCCCGTGTTGGGGTAACCAATCAGACCAACGGAAATCTGCTTACGGTCGGAGTGCAGAGATGAAAACTGTCGAAGCAGTGTGATCAAAGAACCCTTGCCGAAAGAGTTGTTGATTGAGGCGTGCATTGCGAGAGTTGGGTAGTCCTTGGACAGGTAACGGACCCATTGAGCCTGGTGTCGGATACAAGTTAGTATATTGTAATCAAAACACAAGATGAGTGAGAAGGCAAGAATGTGTGGGATGTTACTAAGAGTTCTGCCACCAAGCCACCAGAAAAAGGCAGAGGCAGAACTCTACTCAAAAACAAAACACGGCTGTCCCTTGCGACAGGCCTTCAAGACGAAGACCAGTCAACCTAGCTTCAGAAAGAAATTCGGTGCGGGAAAGTGTCAATCTACCAAAGCTGTAACAGACAGACCTCCATTGAGCAGAGCAACGACATGAGTCGTAGGAAGAAGCCTTGACTTAGCGATGGAACGGCGTGAATGCCGGACGAAGAAAAGCAAAAAAAAAAAAAAAAAAAGGGGAAAAAAAAGAAGAATAAAACGCTCGAAATTGACAAAAGAGGCCGGGGGTATGAAGAAGTGGGGGAAATTTGGTAGAGTCGAAACTTACAGCAATCTTGGTTGGGACGAGATCACATTTGTTCAAGACAAAGATGAGATGCTTGTGAGGAGCTTCGTCGTGAACGTATTTCTCAACGCTGCGGCAGCGAGTACCGTCCGGATCACGGGCATCCAGAACGTGAATGATCACATCGGAGGAATCAATGACCTTGTAAAGCTCGTTCCAAATACGCTTACTCTGACCCTTGGAGAATACAGACTCTCGGGCAGTAGTGAGAGAGACCTCTACAGTTGAGCCAACATCACTTGCAACGATGGGGGTTCCATCGTCGTTGGTGCCGTTGTCCATCTTGTCATTGTATGATTTGTGCAGGTCGGCAGTGGAGCCAGCGAGGTCCTCCAGAGAAGCGACACCAAGCTTGACACGCTTGCGCTGAGCCTTGGGTCCAAAAGTATCGGCGAATGGGTTGTTCTCAACCTCCATCTTGGCCTGATGTTGCTTGAGTCCGTTCACGTTGTCATTGTCCCGAATTAAGCTCATGGGCAGCTTGTTGGTCTTGAGAAGAACCTGGTAAGGATCCGCGGCACGCTCGGCGACAGCCTCACGGAATGAAGTGAGTGCCTCTTGTGAGATCACTCGGGTGTTACCGAACCATTTACGGTTGGGCTCGATGCGACCGACGGGAGCATCGCGAGATTGGAAAGAGGCAGAGACAGTGATGTCTCCAGCAGCGTTGCGCCTAGGTTTACCATCCTTGAACATTTTCAGGTGCTTCGCCTGCTTCGCAGTGCTGCATTTCGTTAGGAAAAGGTGACCCAATGACCTCTGACCATAGCTAGACATACCGATAGAAGTTTTCACCTTTGGTCGTGACATTGCCCATGCCATCGTCAGGCTTTCCCTGCCGCACTTTACGTGCGGCCTCCTTCTTTCCGGTACCCATAATGAGGTTCTCCTTAAAAGTTAGGAGGTTAAAAAAGGGGAATGACCTTGTGAAGAAAAATTTCAAAGGCAAGACCAAACACGAGGAGTGGTAGAGCGCGGAAGAAGAGGAGGAAGATTTCGGCGGACTATTTTTTTTTTTTCTCTGGGGCGCTAAGGCTGGGTCCGTTGGTTGACCGCCCTGACCACCCTCACCGCCCGGACTTTTCTGCTATCCAGCACGTGACCAGATGCCAAGCACGGCCCTTTTTGGCCTGACATGATTTGTTTCTGCCTGAAAACTCACAGACCGCTTGGATTTTCTTCCGGTGCTTGTCCGCGCATCCTCCTTTCTGGTGCAAGAGCATTCCATTCCACCTTGTCCTATTGATTTCCTGGGGCACTACTAAGCACGACTGGGTCAATTGCACAAATATCTTGGATTTTACCTCAAGAGCTGTCGCAAAATGTCAGCTCTTCGCGTCACCCGGGCTGCCAATGTGCAGGCCCGCGGTTTTTCGACCTCTACCAACCTTCGAGTCGGCCCCGAATCCCCCCCATTACCTCGACATTCCTCGCATTATCCAACCGAGCAACCCCGTTAAGCACAAGGTTAAGGGTACACTGCCCGTGCCTCGCGAGATATTCCCAGCCCGTCGTGCCGACAAGCCGTCACAGCAATATGTCGACGCCGTGTCACCCTCCCGAACAAAGAAGCCGAGCCGCGCATCGGACGAGCTGGAACGCGAACAGCAACTTTTCAAATTGAAAATGGCCGACCGCCGACGTAGCCATCTCCGCGAGAGTCTGAGCATCCTCCACGAGCGCAAGGTCGCAGCGGAGAACACAATGGTCACCCGCAGCCGTCTGACTCAGGAACGCCGTCAGCGCATTTTCAACCAGCCAGAACCCGAAGACGAGCGTCTGACACGGCCATCCGTCGTGGCGGCCATGCTCGCCCCCAACGACACTTTCCTTCGAGACGCCGGCCGCGAACAGCGATTGGCCTTTTCCAAGGCTCGACTCGAGGCGAAGCAAGCTCAGAAAAAGGCTCAGCATCAAGATGATCTTCATTCGCTGTACATGCATGCGCGCACTTTCATTACATCGGAGGAGCAGCTGTCTGCGGAGATCGATCGGGCGTTCCCCGATGGCGAAAACGTGGACTGGCGTAATGACCACCAGCCTGGTGAGAATGTGTGGAACCTGGGCGCGCCCCCGACTGTCCAGTCTGCTGTTAATGAGACACGGAAGAGTGAGACTGCCCGCTGGGATGTTACCCAGGACCGAGTCAAGAAGCTCGGTGAGCAGATCACTGGTGGCAAGATCTAGTGAGGACCTCATGCCATTGTACAATATTCAAGCTATCTATCGCATTTTGTTTCTCCGCATCTGTATTGAGCCTTGAGAGGTTGTGTGAAATATATTATTGGAAGAATTTTACTGTTGAAAAGGTTGATATGTTCAAGTTAGGCTTGTTTCTTCACTATTTCCCCATCGTGCCTAGTAGGTGGTATTCTGGGCATCCATTACCATTGAACCGAAATCAGCCTGAGGGAAATGTTGTTCAACCTTGGAAAAGCTTAGCACAACAAATGCCCCGATGGATTCTTAATACTATTAGCAGTACTAGTACGTAATATTCCAAAAAAAAAAAAAAAAAACTTGAATGCAGGTTCGGCTTTCGAACAGTACATAGCTCTACTGCTAGTACTGGTAATATCTCGTTTTTCATCATCGTGTATCCCATGGGTCAGCCAAGATCCTCACTCAGTGAAGTTGGAAAATGAAAGTAAATCCGATTATCAGCAGTCTCCAATGGCCCATGAACCTCCTGAACGGAATTTTCATCCTCAGCCCCAGAGACTGTGAAATCACGCAGTCGATGACTGTTAATCGGAGCAGGAGGGGGATTTTCAATCATCTTCCGCATTTGAAGGCTGAGGTCCTCAGGAAGTTGTATCCCATGCTCCTTTTCAATAACCAGTCTACCTGCCGTGTATATCACTTTTGAATCCCACAAAATTTCCCTTTCGCAGCATTTCTCTTTTATCAAAGCAAGGGCCTTGAGTCGAAGTGGAAGGTAGCGACATTTCATGACGGTGAAGTAAAGCTGCGGCGCAAAGCCCATCTCGAACATGAATTTCGGCGACCTTGACCAGAAGGGATCTTCAGTGGGTGGTGATTGTTCAGCGATCTCAACAATTCGCTCAAATTCATCAATGTAAGCATCGTAGGCGGTCTCGTCATTCTCGATGAAAGAGTTTGTCCAGATTTTTGACGCCAGCCATCGCATCTCCAGAATTCGGGCAATGGACTTGTATCTTGGATCTGTGTCTGACTGCTCCTTCAAAGGGGTAAATGAGACAAACCATGTCTCCATGTAAATATTCAGTCGGCGGATCTCCTTTGAGAAAAACTGGGAATATTTCGAGGCAGTTGAGGATGAGGATGAGGATGCGGAGGAGGTTCGATATCGGTCTCTTAGTCGGGCTAACTTTACCGCGTGATATCCTAGCCAGTCTATCATTTCTTGTGCTTGCGCGAAGGTCTGGAAGGGGGTTGGGGCGGATGGGTAGCCACCGTTTGTTAGGAAAGGAAGCTCTGCGAGACACTCGTTAGAGAACAGGGTCACGAAACTCAGATGGCGAAAGATAGATGCTAGCTCTGCATTGGGGCGGGATGAATTCATAAGCAGGATCCCATGTCTACAGTGACTAACTGCGGCCTGCTTATTTCCTCGCATGCACTCGATGCAAGAGAAGAGAATGGAGACGATGATGGCTGTGTCAACCTGTTCGCGATAATGTGCTTTGAGAGATATGATGTCCTTGATAGCGCTGTTATAATGCCGCATTGCGTAGCCATCATCATATGGAGATCGAATCTCCTTTAGTCCTTTGCCGAATTGTTCGTAAAGAGAGCTTATGGTGATCACAGCATGTCTTGCGGCGGGTTCCTGGTGGGCGAGTTGAGCGACCAGATGGGTCCAGAATGATCGACCCAGTGGCCCGGAGAGAACGGGGGCCACCACATGCTGGAAGAATTCCAAACTGCGGAGAGAACTATCGTCTGCATCGGGTATTCTAGAGGGGATAATATGGGATAATTCGGTTCGGGAGACGAGATAGTAACCGTCGCATTTTCGACCGGTAGATTGACAGCGTTTGCAGACGGGGTGCGTTTCGTCGCACTTAACCCTTCGAATTCTGATATGATGGTATAGATTTAGCCTCCATGTTGACCCAGGACATGAAGATCAGAGATTAGACATACTTGCACGTCGCACAACCAGTACGGACTCTTTGCAAGCCTTGCCGTCGTGTACTAAAATGAACCACTTGGCTTTCGCTCATCTCGGATCCTTGAGGTATCATGGGAATGCGAGAGCGGGGACAACCCTGAGCGGTGGAAAAGAAGCTGAGGGTTGCGTGGGACTAGTTAAACTGGGTGGAGGGAATGGGGCTGTGCAACTGCGATTCCGAGGGTTTAATTACATACAGGGGTGCTTCAAAGGCGCCGATGCAGACGCAGATGCACTTGCCAGCTAGCGTATGCAGCCTTGTGGCCCAGTGGTGCGTGCATAAAGCATCGGGGTAAGAAGGCCAATCATTTGGCGACATTATAGATATCCCATCGTAAGTTGAGTCCCACATTGGGCGCCTCGACATGCTAAGAGCTGAAGTACGGAGTAAATTAAAGTTCTCTGCAACGATACACTGCGAAATTCTAAACGTTGGCTATCTGCAGTCATTATTACTCTCATTTGAGAAAGGGCTGACTGCACCAGTCAGGTCTTGGCAATATAAGCTTGCTGGCATTTCACTTCCCGGGGTTCTCGGCCTTTGAACAAAACCCGGATTTGTTCATTTGAAGAGAATAAGCCGCCAAAGATTTGCCAGCGGTGTGACGGATTGACTTATTCTCAGGTCAGAGACAGCTGAGACGTGACATGGAAGTGTAAAAATTCGGCGGTTCAAGGTTAGAGTTTCTCCACGCCAAGTCTATGCACATGGAATCTGACGTCGCTGAGAGATTTCGTGACGGCTGAAAAAGATTTGTTCTCGCTCTGAATACCGACATCCAATCCATTCAATTTGAGGCCTTCTACCATTCAATCCAAAAGTGATTCATTGTTGTACCTCCTCTTGATTATCCCCACGTGCTGCATTGGGGCTTGCCTCTACCTAGTAGAGATGCAGTCAGATACCCCAGAGACCCAATGGGTCTAAGCCGGAGTTCCCTCTATTTTTCTGTAATTTCTTGACGCGCATGACAAGAGTGCCAACACATATTGGACCGACAAGTGTGCAGATAGAAATAGCCCATATGATCACCAGATAGATCTCGGATATTTCGTCAGAAGAGCCGGTTGAAAACATGCCTTGACTTTGTGCTAGCGAAGCAATCAGATATCCGACTTCTCCTCGAGCAACCATAGCCAAGGCGAGGATAGATGGCGGATATAATGATTTGGGCTTTTCTGGGAACGTAACGGAGGAGCGTTGATTCGACTGTGGGCAATCACCTTCCTGGGGCCCCGGCTGATTGGTAGTCTCTCGGCTAGGAGGAGACCTGTGGACTGCAGCGTTGGAAGTCGGGTCCGTGTTTTCGCCTGACCGATCGTGCGAAGTTACCGCGGCGGAACTTGAAGGAGTCTCGTGTTTCCTCTTTCGCTCTTTATTGGGCTTTTTCGGAGTACAAAACAGGCGTGAGCCACGAATAAAGTCCTTGGTATGGTTGACGAGCTTTGACACAGGATTGAAGGAAAATCGGACCAGCCATAGACCAGTGACCATCTTTCCAAACATCATGAGCAGGGAATAGATTAGGCCGCGCCATACGACACTTCCCCGAAACATTTCGGTGATAGGAATTGCAAATCCAATTGATGCCTGTATGGTATGTAAGTATGGTAAAGATAATAATAACTCAAGGTGAGACTCACGAAGAACAATGGGGTCAGTATTCGGGTTACTGGTTGCTTGTAGTATCTCTCGTAAACCATTTCACCCGTCGGAATTTCATCGCGTCGAGCGCTTGAAGCTTCAGTGGAAGATCCGCTATGTTGTTCGTGGGCGCTCGAGGAACTAGTACCAGCTGCTTGATTTGCAGATTCAGGTGAAATTTGAGGATTATCTTGGCCAGCAGAATTTGCCCCCTTGAAATCCGCAATCGTGGTATCAAACCAGGTGACTATAACACCGGCAAGATACGCGGCAAAGAGACTGGATGTCCCCGCAAGAGTGGCAGCCGCTACGATCCCGACCAAAACAAGTGTTTGGCAGAGAAATGCAAACTGCATCGTCTTCATAAGGGTAGGCAGTCTCAACTTAACGCGAAGCGCCTTTTTGAGACACGGCCCGACGAAAAAGGCACACAGTAGGAAGAGCCCCACTGCGAATCCGATAGAGACGAATACGGGTCGGATAACAGTAATAGCGTCGAAGGATGAGCCATTCCCTCCCAAATTTGAAATTATTTGGACCATCACCAACCCAACGACGTCATCGAGCATCGCAGCACTCGTTGTCACAGTACCCAAGCGCGTGGCGATCAGATTTGTCGTTGAGAGGATCGTAAAGGTTGTTCCAAGGCTTGTGGCGCTGAGAGCTGCGCCAGCAGCAAATGCTTGCAAAGAGCTCGCGCCGACCAACTCTCTGAGAATGAATGATAGCCCCATTGGCACACCGATGCCGGTGATAGCGACACAGAGAGAAACCAAGAGGTTGGCTCTCACTGCTTTGATAGATGTTGACAGACCACCTGTTACAATGTGAGCGATATGTTTCTATAATCAAGTGCGCAGCTCATACTTACCTTCATAGACAAGCATTATAAGTCCAAGGTATCCGAGTTGCTGGATGACGGTCTCTGTCTCGCGATCGAGCCATTTTGCGCCGGGTGTGCCCCAAAGGATGCCGACGAAAAGTTGCCCAATCAGTCCACAATATAAGAGTTTGTCAAGACATACATTTACGATGTTCAACACTATGAGAAAGCCAGTCTGGTTGAGGATGGTTGTTATTGGCGGTTCGTGATAGGCAAACGCCGCCTCCGCGCTAGCCCCGGCCATGCGTGGCTCAGGCGAGGTGCTAGGTATATCGTAGCGAAAAGTATGCTCCCTCGTCTTCCAACGTTGCTTATCTGATGGCTTTGTTTTCTTGCAATAATGGGCCGAAGACGAAGTTGGCCTGGCCAAATATTGGAATGTAGATGGTTGAAGAGAGCGAAGTGGCGACGGGCGGGAATGTCGCGAACTGGGTCGGTCTTGGCGTCGGTGACTACTAAGAAACTCGCTCTATTTTCCACTGTCCCAACTTGAAGGCCCTCGTTTTCTTTCAGATATGTACTATAAACTCGGGGAGCTTCGATATACCTAGTTGCTGCTAGTAGTATTTCGCGTTTCAACGCAGCCCCCGTTTAGTGATATTCAAGGTCAGCCCTGGAGAAAGGAGATTGTTCTAACGAGATGCAGAAATATACTATTAGTCCTTGTACAATATCGGGCAGCGCCAACTCCGAGCACTTCTCACGATCATTTCAAAGTCAAGACCACCACCGAAGTGTAGGTCGACGCGACGTAAGAGTGAATCTGTTCAATTTTGAGACCCGCAGCGTCTGCAAGTGACTCCCACTGCCTCTTTGTTCTCTCCACACCACCACAACTGTTCATCATAGCCAGGTCAGCCATAGTGACCTGCCAAACAGCCCCAGTATCGGGTAGAACAGCATCATCAATGAGAATGCGAGAGTGGGATGTCATCGCCACTGCAATGTTTTGGAGAATCTTAGTGGCATCTTGGTCTGGCCAGTCGTGCATGATGCGGCGGAGATAGTAGAATTTAGCACCTAGCAAAGCGTTGTTAGTTTTGTTCTGAGTATAGGACCTGAAACCGAGAAGACATGAGAAGAAACACCTACCCACGACAGGTTGCTTTTCAAAAAAGCTGTATGCTTCGATTTTAACACCCTCAATTGGAGACAGAGCCCCAACGACAGCGGGAAGGTCTTGCAAAACCAGACGTCCGAGAAGGTTCGGGTATTTGCGCCCCAGCTGAATGCTCTGATGACCATTTCCGCCTCCGACGTCCACCAAGAAGATTCTCTCTGATGGCTGAGCGGGAGTGGAGGGGATATGCTTTGCTTCGGAGTCGAGAAGTTCAAATCCCTCAGTCCACTCGGATCCCTCCAGGGAAGTCATCACCTTTTGGAACGGGACGAAATGCTCGGGGTGCTGGACAAGCCAATCGAAGGAATTGAGATCTGTATTAAATGCCTTGTGGAATGGGGTATATTTGTTGCTCGTGATGTCCTGATAGTTGGTCTCCTTGAAGTATTCGGGCATTGCTAGCATGTGAAGAGCATGAAAGTCGAGGCTGATTTCGAAATATTAGCAATGGTAACGAAGATAGGCAGAAGGGAAATTACTCACCCATGGCATACCATTGCCTCTCCCTTTTCGCTAGCAAAAATGTGTGTACGATTGCTTGCTGCGTATTCATTGGGCCTTACTTCTTTCACCGCGTTGTTAGAGGCCAAATAGCGGAGTAGTCTCTCTGTTGGGTGTCACGGAGTCAGCATTCCGACGTTACAATGTAGCGAGGAAACCTATATGTACCAAGTAGACCAGCGGATGCTCCAGTGATATCAGCCAGTTGATGGACCGTCAATGGCTTCTGTGCCGTGGCAATCACACGGAATAACTTCAGGTCCAGTCCGATGCGAATGACTGAGCCGAGTAGGAACTTCCTCGGGCAAAGTGGTTAATAAACGAAACTGCAATTATTCGGGAAAAAGATAGCTATACCGAGTTCGCAAGGTCCATGAGGACTTCCTTTGGGTCCTGAAGATCCAGTTGAACTTGGCGCAGAGCTTTTTGAATGTCCAATCGAGTGGCTTCGTCGGACGACTGGACCAGATCACGAATTTGGGTAACGATGGCGTCCATTCTGAATGTTGTAGATTGATCGATTAATGGACTGCTAAGCTGTGATGATATAACTCATATCTCTGCTTGATTCTAGCCTTTTATAGTTTGTAGAGTCGAAAGCAGATTTGGTGTATGCTCCCTCTCTGCCAAGTCCGCGGAACCTCCGCGGGGTCTTCGATCGCTGATTGGCTGATAGCAGCCAGAATGACAACACAATTTGTAGCTAATAAACATGCGATAAAAAAAGTAGAGCCTTGGAGGGTAATTTGTTTTAAATTGATTTGCCAACTATTCTTGTAGTTTCCAAAAAATAAGTCTTTGTAGTCACCTCCCTACGTCCCTACGTTAGTATTTCGGTCAGAAGGGTCTGCGGGGCAGTCGTCATGTTCATTATAGTAGCACGCTGAAAGGCTTAGTTTCATATGGTAGTAGAATAATATCCCCGGTCCACTCTCTCTGTGCCCTTTATACCCCAACCACCACCGAGATACCTGATAAAACGATCGTTCCTACTAGTAGGATTTATAAATAAAGGAGTATCCCAATTTTATGAATGGTAAATAAATAAATAAATACAATCTCTTCAAGAGTTCATAGCAAATACTACATGGCCCGGCAAAATGATGTTGTCCGCCTCCACCGACCACCAGCACCACCACTACCACTACCACCTTCCCTTCCCAACCCAACTGCAACTCCTTCAGCTTCAACTACGCATGAGGTCGTCATTCCACAGTTGGACACTTCCGTCCACTGCAAACGATCCTTTCATCTATTTACACTGTTATCATTCAGCCATCAAGAACGACGCTGTTCATTTTAGACGAACAGAATAAATACTGTCAGTCTGTCACCAGCCCTAGACACCTTCTCTAGGCTCCAGGTGTTCCAGGTCTTCTCACAACCACAGTGTTAATAAGCTCTAAAAAGTTTAGTGGCTTCAGCTCTGACACATTTTCCAGCAAATATCCCCCTACCAAACGCGAGCACCTCCGCGTCTCGTCGTGGTAAGCTAACTTGTCAAACCAACCGAGCCATAACCGCGCTGGCTATGGGTCGAGTTGTAAAGAATCAGGCAGATACCTCGCGGTCACGCCCGGTTTCTTGCGTATTCTGCCGGTCGCGTAAGCTCCGATGTAGCCGGAACTTCCCTTGTACGAATTGCGTTAGTCGCGGCCTTGACTGTCCACATCCTTCCTTGCCTTCAGCACAAACAGACCGTTCGGCCGAAATACTCGTACCGACTCAAGAATCCGCTAGCGTCGAAGAAGACGTCTTGGCGCGTCTGCGCAGACTAGAGGAGATCGTCATTGGCCACGGTGTAACACCTCCAATAGCCTCCACTGGGTCCTCGATGCATGCTGGGACTCCGCCTTCCCATGCTTCACCCGGTTCGTTTGCACGGAAATTTGATCACTACAAACGTTCAGCGAGCTCCCCGTCAAGCCATGTTGACTGGCTGGAAGGCGAGATATCTCACCCTGCTTCAACGGTAGGTATCCCCGATAAAAAAAAATATATGATTATCGATTGCTTCTGACGCGCCGAATGGTGACAGAACTGTCTGGTTTCGTACGAGATTGAATTCAAAACATGCTCTATCAATATTGCAACATCTCCCAGCTCCTTTTCTAATCGGGGAAACACGCCCATCAGATGCATTTGGCTTCCACTCCACGAAGAGTCAATGCACATCGTCGACAAGTATCTCGTTGATATTACACATCTCCATCATGTGGTTCACGCGCCGTCGGTACGGTCGTTGGTTCGTGATATCTATTATTGTTTGAATCAGAAGAGCGACCCCCGGCTTGGAGATGCTTGTCTTCTCTCGGCGATGATTACTAGCACTCTTTTCTTCTGGACGGAACGGGACACACCGGAACCCCTGTTCACCTCCGCGGAGGCAGCCTACGAAAAGACCTCGTTGTGGCTGCAGAGAACCCTTGATTTACTTGATCTGTCTCGTCGAATAGGATCTGGCACCATCGAAGAGGTCCAAGCAACAATCATTGTAGGTTTTGTTATTTGCAACATGGTTGGCATCTCATCTCAGGCACATTTCTGGTTTTCCTCTGCCACATCCATCGCATGGCAGCTATCTCTTCACCGGATTGATCACCCACAAAATGGAGACTTGAATGTACCTCGCCCAGACTCCGTAAAAGCAGAGGTGGCACGAAGGGTCTGGTGGAACTTGGTCGGGACCGACTGGTATGCATGGAAACTTTGACCTGGGCGCTACATTTCTAACAGTATAACCAGGCAATTCTCTCAGTATGCAGGTGCCCAAAGGGGCATGTACATGATAAATCCTCGACACATGGCGACAAGAAAGCCCATCAATTCGAATGATGAGGATCTTGTTGATGGAATGGAAGGAGTCGGCCAGCCCATCGACCAACCCACCTCCATGTCCTATTGCCTGCAAAGATTTCGTCTCGCTGAGCTTTGTCGCGAACTTACTGACAGTGAGCCATTTCCAAACACTGGACAAGGGCCAACAAACTACCAGAGAATACGAGACATTGACGCAAGAATGATTGAATTCATTGACAATCTACCGCCGTTCTTTTCCCTCGACTTTGAGGTCGACCAGCTACCTGACTCGGATCCACGCAGATCGACCCCGATCACTGTTCAGCGATACATTCTCAACTGCCTCGTCAATGCCCAAAGGTGTCGCATACACCTGCCATATTTAACCAAGATAGCCAAGGACTCAAAGTACCTATACTCGAGAACTGCGTGTCTCGAGGCGGCCAGAATGGTAATTCGCACTGAGCGACAGTTGCGGACCGAGAATCTACCATTCGTTCTGATGCGACTGAAATCCTCCGGCATCCTGCACTGCGTATGCATGGGAATCATCGTTCTATTGATGGACGTCTGCCTGAACAGAAATTTTCAGACAGGCGACGAGCGTGAAATCCGCATGGAGATTTTCAGCGCATTCTCCATTCTAGAAGAAGCAAAGGGTCAATCGCCATTCGCAGAGAGAATTCTGGGATCGTTCTACAGAGTCTTACAGCGATACAATATCCAGTTTGTTCCGCCTGAAAAAAATCCACTACCCCGGCCCGAAGACAGTGCCGAAATCGACCAGTCATCGGTACCTGCAGCTCAAAATGTTCCGATGATATTGCCAGATCAAGAGGCTATTTTCGAGGTGGAGGACCCCATACTTCCGTCTTTCAATGATTTCTTTGACGAGTTCAGCGCCAATGTTGATCCAGGCAACCTTGACTGGGATGCATTGTTTCCCGGACTTGAATCGGCGTTCGTATCGATGTGATTCCGGAGCGGGAGGTCTACTTTCAGCAATGAGTCAATGATTTATGTCCTCTTACGACCCATGCAACGACAAAATAGCCGATAGCTCATATTCAATGTAGCAAGATAGCAAGCTAGCAAGTATCGAATAATACGCTCCACTCTATGCACAAATTTCATCAGTACTACGTGCCGCGAAACGTTTCGTATCGCAGAAATTCTACGAGTCTTCTCACGAACCTAGACCACAAACGTATGACGCACTCCCTGGTCTAGTCAGGTCCCGAGGCCGTTATTTGGCACAACCCATTCCCCGAATCACCTCGGATTTCGTCGATGAATCCATGCCCTAGCCCCGCCCTACCCACGTCTTTACTCGCAATCCCGCAATCGGCGGCACGTCGGAATTGGTGCTAGAGCTGAAGCTGCACCCTAGTTAAACTTCAGCGAGTTGGCAGAAATCATAACAGACGAGGGCGTATTAGATTGGATATTTTCCTGTAAACGGCTTATCTGCTTCAGGCGGGGTGTAACTTATAAGAAGCTGCAGAGAGCCGTCAAGTCGCAGCTGGTTTGACAAACACCACATGAAGCGAAATTCAAGAATTCGAATACTGCACGTCTCGCTATCATTTAATGAATTATGTACGCTCGTTTGCGTGGATCGCCGGCTGAAACATTCTCCTTGATAGCATCATGGATTAGAGGACACATTCGGTTGGTCAAACCGGGTTGTGTTGAGCGAGTGTTGATCATTTCTAGTTTTCGTATGCAGATCTCCTACCAGGGACATTCTGGAAGTACGTCGGGGCTGATCGATTGATCTTAGAGCCCCGGTCGCCAGTATAACATGGGTATGTATGAGTCTAGCTTCATACGCGCGTCCTTGATCGCGTACTAGTACTCTTACTAAGATCGCATTATTATCGCTAGGAATACATGGATCTAAATAGTTGTATGATGCGATGCGGCTTGCTCGAAATGAAAGGACATCTCCATTCGAACATCATCGATACTTGGCACTTTGTACTATTTCAAGCACTGCTATTAAAAACGCAATTAATATCCTCATCCATACCTGGGTCCTTCCCGGTTCAATGGAGACAACAAAAATAGTCCACAACGATCGTTGGTGGAGCCAAGTTTAAACTGTCTCCACATGACGACAGGGTCCAGTAGCCAAATTCTTACATCGCGATGAATAAGTTCCGGGTCATATTTACCAATACTAGGTATACCTCAACGATCTTCAGCGCGGGGTGTATTCCATTCTATTTCCCCGGTTGAAATATCATTTTTATCACTGCAGCACATTACTAGTAGTTCTACGAAGTGATATATTGCTAGTCGCTTCCCCCTCGGGTACCTGTTTCTGTGCCTTGTGCCTTGTAAACCGGCCAACGTTAAACGACGAGAATCAGTGAGAAGAAATATGTGGCATCACAACCCCATCAAAGCTGACGCATAATCCGCTCCATCCGGAGATTAATCAGACCGAAAATCGGCCGTTGGGAAGGACGCACCCACGCTGTGTTCCGTGGTCATCTCTTCTCGCCACTGAGACTAAGCTGTCCTGGATTCCCGGTGCGCGACGAGAGTATGTACTCAGGCACAGGCACCGTCCCCCCTGGAAAATACTTGCATGCAATTGACCCAATTGATCCACAAGACTGCTAACGGTTACCGGCTACCCCATCGCAGTGGAGCATCTCAAATGGATCCTTCTCCACGTCTACAGTATCGGGGCTCTGCTCAAGAATGACGTCTATCCTGTGCTTTGCGGATGACCTCTCCGACTGGGACTCGGGGTCTGTAATCATCTCTCTTTCTAGCTGAGAGGGGTGATAATTGGGTCAACACGCAATCCACAGCGAATATCAATGGAGATTTCTCGACGCCGAGAGGCCGTGCCTTGTTTCTATTCGTCTTTCGCTGTCGACTTCTCGCTCATCATTTGTCTATGCCCTCGGAGGTATAGCCCGGATCCCTCATCCTCTTTGCCCGAGCGGATGCACTGGTATTCGTAACGCGCCTCGTCTCTACTTGCTGTGTGTAGCATATAAGTGCTGTTCCCCGGCATCTTCTCGTTTCTCCTCGTTCATTCTCGTCAATCTATCTTCCCTCCATCGAAAGGAGTACCTAACCCTAACCGTCTTTCAACTTTCTCAAACTATACAATTATTCATTCGTTATATACTACTCACTCAATCAATTTTCCACAATGAAAAGCTTCGTTGCCATGGCGGCGTTCGCCGCCGGCACAAACGCTCTCGTCGGCCGCAATGACAACTGCTGCTTCCATCTGACCTCAACCGGAGATCTTTCCGGAGACCTCGGGCAGATTGGAGATGGCCAGGTTCGCATTGGTGACAACACACTGCCACGATCATCCTTCTGCATTGATTCCAATGGTGGAATCAGCGACTCTTCCGGTCGTGGATGCATCATCACCCGTAAGTACTAGTATAGTTCAAGTTAGTTACTGGTTCCACTTGAACTCAACCCCTTCCCGAGATCGATCTGCTATCAATTTCAACTTGTCATGCATTTGAAAGTCTAACTGAGGTCGAATACCCCCTCTAGCGCCAACTACTCAGTTCCAGTGTGATGAGGGTGCTACGCCCACCCCTGGCTTCTCGGTCTCGTCTTCGGGCCAGCTGGAGTTCAATAATACCGCGGCCTTTATTGCTTGCCAGACTGGTCAGAATGATGGTCGTAATGTTTATACTACCAACAGTACTTCGGTTACTGGGTGCTCTAGTATCCAGTTGAAAGCTGACTCGTGTTCTGGCTCTGGTCCTGGCTCTGGTGGTGCTTCTCCTGGAGGTGGTGCCCCTGGTAGTACTTCGCTTGGCGGTGCTGCGCCGTCTGGTGGTGCTTCCCCGGGTGGTGCTTCTGGTGGAGGTGGAGGTGGTACCCCTGGTAGTACTTCCCCTGGCGGTGCTGCGCCGTCTGGTGGTGCTTCTGGTGGAGGTGGAGGTGGTACCCCTGGTGGCACTTCACCTGGCGGTGCTGCGCCATCTGGTGGCATTTCGCCTGGTGGTGCCGCACCCTCTGCTGGTGCTTCTGGTGGGGGTGGAAATAGTCCATCCGGTGGCACTTCTCCTGGCGGTGCTGCACCTTCTGGTGGTGCTTCCCCCGGCGGAGAATCGCCTGGAGGTGGAGGTTCTCCTAGTGGCACTTCCCCTAGTGGTACTTCACCTGGTGGAGGCGGTGGTTCTCCTGGCGGGGGCTCACCCAGTGGTAGCTTCCCTGGTGGCAGCTCTCCAAGTGGCAGCTCTCCTGGCGGTGGAAGTGGTTCACCTGGTGGTACTTCCCCCGGTGGGGGTTCTTCTGGAGGAGAGTGCACAACTCAGGTTTGCAGCTGTCCTGCGCCTAGCGGTGGTTCTCCTGGTGGCAGCTCTCCTAGTAGCAGCTCCCCCGGTGGCAGCTCCCCTGGCGGTGGCAGTGGTTCACCTAGTGGGGGCTCTCCTGGTGGAGGATCCCCTGGGGGTAGTTCTCCTGGTGGAGGTGGAAGCTCTCCTGGTGGTTCTCCTGGTGGTTCTCCTGGTGGCAGCTCTCCTGGTGGTAGCTCACCGGGTGGAGGTTCGCCTGGCGGAGGTTCTTCTGGTGGTGGTGGAAGCTCTCCTGGTGGTGGTTCTGGCGGCACCTCACCTACCGGAAGCTCGCCATCTGGCGGAGGTGGAGGCTCTCCCGGTGGTAGTCGCAGTTCTCCTGGCGGCGGCTCACCAACCTCCCGCCCTGCTGGTGGCGTCCAACCCTCTAGCTCCGGTGGTGGCTCGCAGCCAACTGGCACGGCCAGTGTGCCTCCTACCTCCACCTCCACCTCCGGCACTCCATCCTCCAGCGGCTCCTCAAGCGGCAGCTGCCCTACTGCCCTCTCGGGCAACTATGAAAAGCCTCACTTGATTGTTGCCATTGACTCATCCTCCCCCGACACCACCGCCGGCACTGGGTCCAATGGTACCGTGACGTCGACAGTCTCGAGTGTTTTCAACTTCAACATCCCGGCATCCGACTCTGGCAAGACGTGCAGTCTGGTCTTCCTCTTCCCCAAGCAGCAGGATCTTGAGACTTCATCGTTCACCTTCAGCGGTGATGGCAAGATCGACTTTGCTAAGCTTTCTGGTGCTGTGAGCACTTCGACCACGTTGAGCAACCTTCCCCCTGTTGGTCAGAACCTGGGGGTGATCACTGTTTCTCCGGGCAATTCGTATGTCGTTTCGACCTTCCCTTGCCCCGGTGATCAGAGTGTTGCCTTTGAGATGAAGAATGCGGGAAGTACCGAGTTGAACTTCTTTGAGGATTTCAATCCTTCTCCGTAAGTGATTCAAGGTCAAGTTTTCTTTTATGTGGAGATGGGGGCTAACATTTCGGTTCTTTTTTCCAGACTGGGTCTGTTCATCACCGTGTGCTAAGTGTAGATGTGGTGGTCATGCGGTGTATTATTGTTATTGTGATTCCTGTAGTACTAGTATCCTAGTATTTGTTTAGTTTTGAGAGTCTTTGTGTCTGTGTGTCTGATATAGTGCACATTTGGCATCCTTCTGTCCAATTTGATGTGGTGGCTCGTGCCCACTTTCCCTCCTAGAAATATTTTCAGTTCAGTCCCATAGTCCCGTGTTTACCTTAAAGTTAATTATGCTGCCTGGTCGGAGTGGATCGAGGGTATCAAATGTACAGGTCAACAAATGGCAGTTGGAGGTCCACCCACGTTGTGTGCAAATTTAGCAGCCTATGAGTATGCAGATGGCCTGTCGACTACTGTAGTGTTCCATTCCATTCATCCCATCGATCTCATTCATCTCCTTCTCTGATTCTGGGCGGGGGCCACTAATGACGATCAGCGGGCATCAGTCTAGACTCTGCCTCTTCCAGTTTCAAGTGCGAGAACTCAGCCACTTTACTTTGTGACCATGGAAACTCCCCAGGATCTGGATCTGAATTTAATCCGGCCATTCGTCTATTCATTGATTCATCTCCCATCTATACTATAACTACCGAGTAAATAACCCATTGACTGCAGATCGATCGCCAAGAATCACGCCCAGCTTGGTTGGCGCTCAGGCACGCGACCGCTCTTTGTCTGCCTAATTTGAGATTCATTTCTCCTTATCTCTCTTCGGCTTTCTTTTATTGCTGTTCTCTTCTGCTCTGTTCTGCTCTGGGATTGATACAATTGTGTTGTGTTTCCCACGATGGAGCTTCCGGCCAAATTGCCCTTCTCCAAGCGGCGCCTCCGACCGCGCGTGATCATCTCGTTAGATCCCCTTCCCTTCCCTCTTCTCTTCTCTTCTCTTCTCCGATAATTGGCACACACTGACACTGACCAACTCTCCAGCTATATCTTCGACTATGTAATTCTCATGTACACCACCATCACCACCTCCACCACCTCCACCCATTGACCCGCTAACCCACCCAGTGCCTGCGTGATCGGCTTCGCCATCCTCGACTCCCTCGAACCCTACCACCAACACTTTTCCCTACAAAACTACACCCTGCAATATCCCTACGCCGTCCACGAGCGCATCCCAATCGCCTACGCCCTCTGCATCTCCGGCGCCTTCCCCCTCGTCCTAATCATCGTCTACACCCTCTTCATCGATGGCATCTTCTCCCACAACAAGCAGGATCCCGTCTCCGGCAAGCGCAAGCTGCGCGGGCCCTGGCGCTGGAAGGATCGTCTGTGGGAGATGAATTGTGGTATCTTGGGCCTGTTGCTTGCCCAGGGAATCACTTTTGTCATTACCCAGGCGCTCAAGACAGCGTGCGGCAAACCGAGACCGGATCTGATTGATCGCTGCCAGCCTAAAGCTGGGAGTGTTGATCCTGCGGTGTATGGATTGTCCAATTCCAGTATTTGCACGGGGGATCCGACGATTATCAAGGACGGATTTCGATCTTGGCCGTCAGGTGGGTTTCTCCTCATTCTCTGCTGTCCATTCGATGCGAAAGAAAGAAGCTAATATCAACACAGGTCACAGTAGTTGTACGTGAAACCACCCCTCCACATCCACGTTCCCAATGCCATCCCCATCACCATACTAACAATACCCAGCCTCCTTCGCCGGCCTCTTCTACATCGCCCTCTGGCTCGGCGGCAAACTCCACATAATGGACAACCGCGGCGAAGCCTGGAAAACCCTCCTCTGCATGACACCCATCCTAGCCGCAACCCTAGTCGCCGTATCCCGAATCATGGACGCACGCCACCACCCCTTCGACGTAATCACCGGCTCAATGCTCGGCACACTCTGCGCCTTCGTCGCATACAGACAATACTTCCCACCGATCACCGAGTCCTGGCGCAAAGGACGCGCATACCCGATTCGAACCTGGGGAACCGAACCCGCCCATCCGAACGACCCGCTCGGCATGAAATTACTCTCCTCTCAAGAGGCTCTGCATAACCCGGAGACGGAGCGGCTTAGTCCCGCAAATGAGAATCTGAATGCTGGCTCACCGTTGAATCCGAATCCGAATCCGAATCTGAATCTGATATCCGCGGCTCCGCCACCGTCGTCGTATAGTAATCATGGGAATCCGTTTGTCGCGGGACCATATCAGCGTCGTCGGAGACATGATCATGATCCGGATGGGAATTGGTCGTCTAGTGAGGAGGATGTTGTGGATGGGTATGAGATGCAGCATGGTTATGCCATGTCACAGCAGAATGTGAATCGATTCTATCCACCGCAGTATGATGGTGGTCCTGGTGGTACAGCGTATCAGTCTCAGACTCAGGGTATGCCTGTAGGTGCTGGTGCTGGTGCTGGTGCTGGTGGTGTGGGCATGGCTACGACTACACCTGCCAATGCCCATTATGACCACGGTCGACCGCTGACTGATACCCCGATTCGCGATGTTTAAGGATGGGATGGGATATAGTATAGACCTACGCCACACCCCTTGCCCTTGATTTTATGACTGCATTGCATTGCACCTGTGATGGATATTGTATGATTATAGAGTAGCGTTTTCGTTTATCACTTTGAACACGACTTTCTTGTGCCTTCACACTACAAACATTCATATATCCCGGGTACTGTTACTGTTACTGTTACTAGTTCCTATTTTCCTTCCCCTCTCAGCGCGATTCTTCCTATTCTACCTCGTGATAATGGTAATGATATCCAGTCTTCATATGAAAAGTAGTATTCTAGTACTTTTAGCATTGACGTATACTATCCAAAAACGATCCCATCAATCCCTCCCTCCCCCCTCCCGCTCAACCCCCTCAATAACGCCCACCCCATCAAACAAAGTACTAGTAATACTCCCCGTCGGACTCCGCGCAAACGAATAAGGCGGTGGACTTAACGCACCCATTCCCAGCATAAACCCAGGCCCAAATTCCATCGAAGGAACCATAATCATCGGAGCCGCAATCTCAACAGTCGCCGCACCCTGCACCTTTAACCGCAGGACGAGCGTGTATGTGCGTGAGATTCGGCAGGAGTGGAAGGTGGGTATTATGAATTGGTGGGCTAGTTTGACGGGGACTAGGAGTGTTGATACGAAGGACTGTGTGTGTGTCTGGACTGGCGATGCGGACGCGAATTCGGATTCGATTTGAGTGGATTGGCTTGAGTTTGGGCTTGGGCCATTGTTGGTATGATTCTCACCAGCCCACTGCAACGAAGTAATCGAGTGCGTGAATTCCGTAAGGACTTTCTCGGCATAATTCAATTTCGTACCGAGTCTGTCTCGTTTTTTCCGCGGTAGGCTGGTATTCGGCTTTTTTGTGAAGAATGTATTTGCTACTACGCTTCCGCGGAGGGATTGGATTTGTGGGAGGGATGTCGTCGTCAAGTTCGAGTCTGTGGCAGTGCCAGTGGTACTCGTACTAGTGTTTTGATCATCATCTTGGTTTGGATTAGGCCCTCGCTCTCTCTCGAAGTGGAGGTTTAGTCTTATTGCCTGGCGGACGGAGGCGTCTGTTTCGCGGACGGGGATGTCGAAGTAGGGTGGCGCGATGATTGTTGTTGTTAGTTGGCCGATTTTGGTCTTTGTCTTTGATTTTGGTTTGGAGAGTGGGTTTGAGTTGGGGATTCGTTGGTAGATGTCGATTGTTTGTTGAGGGTGGGTGGGTTCTGCTATTTCGCTATCTGCGGATGTTGATGCTGATGCTGTGAGAGGTGATAGCAATGCCGATAGCGATGGTGATGGTGAAATCGACGGCGAAAGGGAGGGCTGATTCAAGGCCAATGCGGACGAAGGTTTGAGTCTTATCTTGAGACTTTTCTGTAGTATAGTCTGACTCCTTTCGGTAGCTAGACTTTGACGGGTGAGTCTGGCTTGAATTGTATATACAATTCTGCAATTTGAGGGCGCGTAGTCGTTTCGTAGTTTGCCGCCGAAACCGGCGACGTCCGGGTCACCGAAGCTTGGAGGGGCTTGCAGGTGGAATTGGCGGGTGAGGTCATCTTCCACGGGGTGGGTGCAGGATGTTGGGGAGAGAGTGTCGGGGACTTGGAAAGCGAAGCGGAAGAAGTACTTTTGGTTCTTTTTGATTATGTTTGACGGTGGTAGTGCGGTGGCTGGCACTAGACACTGCTCGTGGTGGAATTGGCGGGGATTTCGATCGTGTCGCGAGGTGGATTCTTCGCCTGGGTTGATGAATTAATTACTGTTGTCTGGCTATGGAGGATAGCATAGGGTAGGACAGGGCAGGACAGGGCGGGTTCTACCTATGAGGAAGATATCTAAAGACTGGAAGTGGAGGTCGTTCTCCGATCTGACAGAGATGGAGCCTTGAATCGCATCACCTGCGTGATAGGAATAGTGATAGGATGACACGGAGTCGGGGGGGATCTCCAAGAAGAATGTTGAAGGAGATGGAGTGGCTGACATCGATTGTGGTCATTTTGGTATTAATAGCAGTCGTTGATGCTTCATTATAGAGGATGCAAAGACTTGGTTGCCAGGATTGATATTTTCTATCTGGTTGAACGATGTCGCAAAGCTCGTGTCGAGATGACTCACGAGCTATATTAAACTGTACCATGCTATGCCATACTATAGGCTTGGCTTCGTCGGAGGCCAATTAGATCCCGAATCTGCTACAATGAGTGCTTTGCATGCTGTGCATTGTACTTGTACACTGGAGAAGGGGTGGTTGATATAGGTCGTGGATGGACTCTTACTTATACCCTATCCACTACTCCGTATCTATAATCATTTTTCATGAATAGAGTTCATATCTATCGGAGTACGATACAAAAATACCAGGCTCTCCGTCTTTGATCCGGGATTTAGTACCGCGGACACTAAAAGGAGAAAAGTGGGGGGAATCAGGGTCTGCCATTTTGGCCTTGTTGCCTGAGAAAATAAGCTCTGTTGATGTTTCCGAGTCAGTTGAAGTGACGATGTACTCCGTACTGAGTACTCATACACGACTCCGTATAAAATTGGACCTACCATGGTAGAGAGTAAGTCCTGGCCGAGATCTACCGGCTCAAACAGAGTATTGAAACAATAGGATGCTTAGTGAAACAGTGAAATAGCTGACCATCAACCTACTTCCCGTGATGTGCAGTGATGTGCATTCGCCATTGAGTTTGACTCCACTGGTTGCCACTGCAACGCATCAGCGGAGTACAAGTAGTTACAGTCATGTATGAGGATTAAGGATGTCCTATCACATCAAGGATGAAGTCCATGCAAGACATTAATTAAATTAATGGAGGGGCTGACTGACACTTGAAGGAGTCGGGCAAATTAAGGCGATTCAACGAGGGTTGCCCAGGTTTCCCAGCCACCGTCCACCTCCACCATACACCAAAGCCATTCCCAGCCTCCTCTTACGCATCCCCCGCCGCCCAATATGACGCTCTTTTCTCCCCCCCTTCCCCTCCTCTTCTTTTTTTCCTTCTCCATCTTTCCTGCATCTCGTGCATCGCATCGCATCGCATCCAGTCCAGTCCAGTCCTCTGTACACCGTGATCCCAACTCTTTCCATCTCCACGTGATGCTGGTGTAGCTTGAGATCAACAACTTCTTTGTACACCCAATTCTAGGGATTACCACTGGACTACTACTGGACTGCCAGCGTTAGACTTTTTCGCATTCCTCGGTTCGGTCCGTCTATCGAGATTCTTGGAATCGGAGATCTATCGCAAACATGTTCGGCAGCCTCTTCTTTATCTTTAACCGCCTGGTGGAAATCGTCTTCCTGATTCCCATCATCGGCATTTTGGTATGTGATCAGATGCGACCTACCACCTGCGTTTGCGCGGGCGCACGCGCGCGCCCATTTAAATCCCCTCCAACCCCAGACTCATTGCTAACTCCCAACTCCTCCAGGCCTATTTCGTCCATGGCTATCTCCAAGCAAACATTCTTGCCCCACCCTACATTCTGGTCATGTTCATCGTCAGCGTCCTAGCCGTCTTCTGGTGCCTAGACACTCTGATCCGGTACAGCTCAACCAAGCGCTCAGCAATCTTCGTCTCCTTCGTGGACCTGCTCTTCTTCGGTGCCTTCATCGCAGCCGTTTACCAACTCCGCTTCATTGCCACATCCGACTGCGGACACTGGGAAGGCGGCACCAACTCGGTCTGGGTTTCGCTGGGTCCATTCGGCGAGTACGGCGCTCGCATCGATAGTCCCGAATACAAACTTAACAAGACCTGCGCTATGCTGAAGACTTGTTTCGCCATGGGCATTATGGAGGTGATCTTTTTCAGTTGGACTGCGTTCTGGGCGCTTTTCATCCATACTCGTTCGCGCGAGGTTGTTGTTAAGGAGACTCATGTTCGTCGGAGGAGTCACTCCAGTCGTCGGGGCCACTCTTCTGGTGGATCGCACCACCGTCATCGCTCTTCGAGTCGGCGACCTGCGTATGTGGTTTGAGCGGCCGATGATGTGATTGTGTATAGGATTCGGTGTTGGGTTTTCCTTGTTGTTTCTGACCCCGAAAATGGGGCAGGCTTTGTGTTTCTTTTACTTTTGTTTCCTTTTCCTTTTCGTTTCTCTTGTTCTCTCCATTGGAACTACTACTTACGACTACGACTTACGATGAATGGATTAATGAGGATATTTTGCTGGGAACATCTCCGGGTTTATGAGCAGATGTCAACAGAGAAAAATGAATATCTACCGGGAATGTGGGGGATCGTCCATAGTTTCTATCCTAGCTAGTTTTGTCTTCGTCAGCAATATCAATGAATGCCATACTATCTACTCCAGCAATCCAGACTCAACCCAGCCCAGCCCCCAACTCCACCTCCACCGCCACCTCCGAGTCATTCCTGTATCCACCTTTCCCCAACCAGTTAGTAGACCGACTCGGAGCTTCCAATTCAGTTGTCCGATGGTTTCCGAGTCCGGTGAGCGATCCTGCAGACTATTATAATCCTTCAACCCACGCTGCTCAAAAAAGTCCCCCTCTTCACATCTTTTACCTTGCAATTCTACGAAAATGGACCCTTCCAACTACGCCCTTCCACCAGGATCCCGAATCCTCGTCACCGGAGCAAATGGCTACATTGGCACACATGTTGTAGACCAACTATTGGGCCTGGGCTACGCAGTGCGCGGCTCACTCCGGACAGAAAAGCCGTGGCTAAACGAGTTCTTCACGCAAAAGTATGGACCGGGTTCTTTCGAAACAGTGCTCATAAGATCTTTTGAGAATCACGATGAGATTGAAAATGCACTCGAGGGAATTGATGGAGTTATTCATTTGGTAAGGAATTCCGCAAGGGCAGCCAGTGTTCCATCACGGGCCCATATTGAACGAAATGTATTAATATCGATTCGATACAGGCCTCGGATGTCTCGTTCAATAATGACCCCAACGCCGTAATCCCATGGGTCGTTCAAGCCACGCAGGATCTCTTGAAATCCGCCGCACGCCACCCTTCCGTTAAGAGAGTTGTTTTGGCATCTTCGTCGACGGCGGCGTATTTGACTTGGCCTGATGCTAATGGACGAACACTTGATACCAGTAAGTGACTGATCCAAGCGTGTTTTTGAGTGAAATAGCGCGAGAAGCGTGAGCTGTATAGGTACCTAACGGCTTATCCAGATACTTGGAACGACGCTGCAGTCGCAGCAGCATGGGACGAAGAGACCGATCCCCAAAAGAAGCCGATGATTGTCTATTCCGCCTCCAAGACGGAAGGTGAACGGCAGGCCTGGAAGTGGATTGAAGAGAATCGACCTTCGTTTGTCTTCAATGCTGTTCTACCTTGCTTTAATGTAGGTCTCTATCATCAGGCCTCTCATTTGTGGCTATCTCCAATGATACGTTTATTAAAGCATTGATCTAATTCCTTTCGAATAGGTTGGTAGATACCTTCATACTGAAATCGCAGGGTCGACAATGGGTTTTGTTTGTCAATTGTTGAAGGGTGATGCCACTGCATTCATGCTACCAGAACGTACGTATTGCATCCAATCTCCTGAATTACGCTAGTGAGATAAACATGCGAAAAGCTTGAATACTAACGATTCCCAGAATGGCGCGTTGATGTCGAAGACGTCGCTCGACTCTTCATTGTCGGCCTCTTAGACCCAGGCGTGCAGTCCGAGCGAATCTTCGCATTTGGCGAATTGACTCATTGGGCTGATATTGTTTCTAGCCTTCGCGCTCTTCGTCCGGGAAATAAGAGTATCCCTGATGTTCCGGAGGATATTCCTAGAGATTCGACCGTTGTTCAACCGCGGGATCGGGCGGAGGGACTGTTGAGGAGCTTTTATGGGCAGGATGGGTTTACTACTATTCAGGAGAGTCTGGAGAAGGGGATTGAGGGGTTGGAATAGAGGAGGATTGTAGGTCTATTGCATTGAAGTAGCACTCTCGCAATGAAATAGAATAGAATATAGTTACTCAGTATCGGTTTTCCTGTTCAGTTATAGTCCGACTTGGCAAATCTATTGTTGGTGCCAATACGAGCAACTTGTGTTGTTGTGGTAGTGATCAGCCTCGACATTCGTATTGAGCCGCCCGAGGCTAGCAAGGAGACTCCCCAGCAGTTTGTATAAAGTCAGACAATGCTTACGAGGAGACCACTTCCCATTGAGACTCTATGAAGTTCAATTTCGAAAATGGTTTCCTCTCTCAACTGGAAAACCCTCGGTCTCGCCGTATTCGGCGTCTTCGCCAGCATCCACTCTACTTCGGCTGAAGTTGCGTCTACAAAAGCTTTCGATCTCACGAAGCCATCTTATGACCTTTTTCGAAGCAAGACACTTCATGATGCGACAGTTCAACAAGGCTTCGCGTTCGATAATGATAATCGACGATTATTCGTTGCGCAGCGACGAGACACCTCGTCTGAAACATCTGGCGATCTCTGCATCACCCAACTTGACTTCGACGGCAATTATGTTGGATACATGTACCTGACCGGTTTCGGCCATGGTGTATCCTTCGGCGCCCAGGGTGTTGGATCGTCGACATATCTGTGGACAGAGGTTGAGGCCAATGGAAATGGATACGGAAAGAAGCTAGCACGGTTCAAGTTCGTTAGCGGAACGACTCTCACCTCATCTTCGTCTTCAATTACAAAACTCAAGCCCGTTTCAGACGCCACAGAGCACACCTGCTCTATTGATCCGGTCTCCAACCATCTCATCGTACGATATAATCTCGATGGGAAGCATATCGCCGTCTATGACCTTGACGACGCGACTGATGGAAATTTCACCAATTCATTGGCAGATTTTAAACATCCTTCAGTGTCATCAAAGTCGAGTACTTTTCAAGGATATGCCGCGTTTGGGGAATATATCTATTTGTTGACGGGAAATTCGTACCCGGATAGTAGTAATGGCAAAATCAATTCTGAAATCACTGCCGTTAATATGAATACGGGTGCCGTTACTCAAGGGCCGACACTGACAAAGGCCGGTTCGACCCTTTCGTTTCGTGAACCGGAGGGATTGGCTATCTATCAGACTGTGGCTGGTGAAGTGAGGCTTTTCTTGGGATTTGCGTCGGGCGAGGCGGGTGATCGGAGATCAAATTTATTCTATAAAAATGCTTTCCTCTAAGCATTTGATGTATATTAGGTCGATATAATTTGAAGGGTATTCCTTTTCGCATTTTGAAATCAATGTTACTCCTCTTCAACTCTTTAGCCTTAGCTCCTGTTCTCCGCAATTCTCACCCTTCCAAGGCTATCGGTAAATATCCGGCATATCCACTTGTCACTCGGGAATTTCACGCACCCCGCATCAACTTCAACTTGCTCAACATCAAGTCACCACTTGGGTAACAAAAATTACAATGAGAGTCAGCATCCACCCACGCAATCCACCTCCCCTCGAGGATTTAGCAGCCGTCATTGGAAAGTCCCTCCAGTCAAACTTCAGGAGCGCCACCGCAAGCGTGGAACAATGCCCCGACCTACGCCAGCCGCCCTTCAAATTAGCCGCCCCGGGAATATCAGGGAACTCATGTGTAGCCGATATTGGTGGTCAACCTCATCTATTCCCGAGCCCGAATTTCGACGCCAAATACTCTCTGTTGGAACTAGCCAAGGAAATGCGAATGTCCCCGTCCGGTGGATTTCTTCTCGGCGCTGGGGCGGCTCCATTTCAAGACTTGGGCCACAATGCAGAACTTGCTCCGAATATCTCTTGGAAATCGAATCATTCTACCCCGGACTTCGATGATGCTTCTACGCTTGACATTCAGAATGATACTCGTGTAATCGAGGTCAGTGAGGCCAAGTCACCTTCTTGTGAGAGAATCCAAAGTACAAATTGTGCTTTGATGATGAACTTGTATGGATCCAGCGGCCATCCAGGCCCAGTTCTCAAAGTCACAGCAAGAGGTCGCCGTGGAAGTTTGAACTTCACTAATTGCATTCGTATTGGGTTAAATGATGCGTTTGGTGACCAAATGCCAGTCAGTCTGGGTGGCGTGTTCTTATTGAAGAAGGGGAAAGCAAAATTCCATGTGATGCCTGATTTCCCGAACAAGGAAGACCTGCCGTTTCGCGATCGAGAACAACTTGAAAAGCGGTGGTTGACTTATCATGAATTCAAGGCTCCTATTGTTTGTTTGACTGTTTTCCATAGCTCCGATCCAGAAGGGTTGGGTCTGAGGATGGAGCATACACATTGCTTTGACGCCGAGGGAAATACAAAGGGAGGCCACTACCATTACGATATTCAGTATGATGAACAGGAAGTGGAATATGAGGCGTACCTGCTCCCCGCGCATACTTTGTATCGAATCGATCAGCCAAGTTCATGAGTGAAATTAAATACTAGATACTATCGAAGCGTAAACTCCCCAGAATTCGTTCGATCATCTGCCGTCCTGATTCCTTCAACCCTTGAATCTCGCATGCTCAAATATAATTCTTAAACCCTTCCCTTAAGGAATAGCCTTTGCAAGCTTATCCAACCAAAGAAAGATGGGAAAGTGGAACTTTCTGAAGTAAGTTCCTGGTGTTCATCCGCAGCTTTCTTTTCAACCTCGTAGAATTTCCAAGAACGTAGAAACCATGCCCCAACCGAGCCAACAAGGAACAAGCACCCAACATAAACCTGTGTATGAAGATACTTGGATCCACCGCTCACAAGGCTCATCGCGATGGGCTCAGCGACTGTAGTTGGGCCAACCAGAGCCAGACAGATAATGCTAAAGACCGAAGCCATCCGACCCATGCCAACGACTTCTGCCAGAACCGGTGTAATCGTTCCCCAGAAAGTCCCGCAAACCATCCCAGCCATCAAGGCGAATAAAATCAGCAATGCATATGACTTTGCCGGGATCCAGACTGCAAAGCATAGCAGACCACAGAGCCCCGTTAGCATCATTGGGACTGTGATCCGACCGTGCCGATCGCTCAAATATCCGGTTAAGGGTCTGCCCAAAGTCAGACCCAAGTTCAAAATGGCAGCAGTCACAGAGCCCTGCTGTGGAGAAAGGCCAATCGAAGAAGCATAATTTGGGAGCGAGTAAATCAGAGCAATATAACCGAGGTCGGTAGTTATTCCCCACAGAATGACAAGTAGGACCTCCGGCTTGCCAAGATCGCGATAATCGACATTGCGCTTTCGTTCTTGTCTTTGGGGGGTGTCCCTTGACTTGAGTAGCAAAGAAGATAGCAGGTTTGCGGCCAGCGAACAATAGGCCAATATCCTATAAGCCGCCCGGACACCCTGCTTCTCAATAGCGTGGCCAGTTGCGAGACTGTACACAATTCCGCCAATCCCAGATCCGGCGCCAGCAATGCCAGCCGCGAAGCTCCGCCGCGTCGAAAACCAGGTCGGAAGGATATTCATTGCAGTGAGATAGAGAAATCCCATACCGATACCAAAGCAAATACCTTGAGATAAAAACAAATGCCAGATCTTTGTTGAATACGATGCCGCCATCAAAGAACCGAAAACAAACATCGTTCCAGTGAGCAAAGTAATAGTCGTACCCAATTTACGTCTAGATTCTGACACCAGTGGTCCCATAAATAGTGCCTGGGCTATTGCAAGACCGCCAATCAATGCGTATTCGATACGACTTGCCCCAGGAAATGTCGAGTGCGAGAGGAAATAGGCGAGTATCACACCCCAGGCTGCGTTGATTCCCCAGGTATGAACGGTGATCACGAAGGTGCATAGCGTGCAAATCCAGCCGAATCCGCCATTTGGCGGTATGTCATCGAATGCTGTGGCATCTGCTGTTGGGGCACCATTCTGCTCCAGGTCGCGCGATCCTTGATTGGCCGAGTGTGAGTGGAAGTGATGAGCAGTCGGGGCGAGTTCAATCGTAGTCATGTCGACAAAATGTGGTGTGGCAGCGCGGGATTTTAGATATTTCGAGTTCCTGATAGATACTAGTAGACCATATGATGCTGCAGCTGACAATTCCGAGGATGTTCCAGACCCGGTGTGGGGACGACCAACTTGAAGTAGTAGCGGGGGTTCCCTGAGTATAAATAGTCTAAATCTAAACACTAAAGATTCAAGTTTGATGGAAGATTCTGAGAAACTTGAACTTGGCTGCATTCTCGGTCTAGAACAGACGATATCTGTGACTACGTCCAATCATAATAGCACTGTATGCGCGTGACTCAACACCTTGTCATTGAAGTGACCAACTATAGTGACAGATGAGGGAAAGAATTCCACTGCCCCACACCCTAGACCACTCGGAACCTTAGAAGGGGCCCGCGGCACACCTAGGCAAGCGATGGGAGGATATGCCCGCTCTCGACAAGATAATGCATGAAATAGATAAGCGGGTCTAGGGTCGGATCTGTGGTTTTTTGCAATTTGGCTGGTCAAATTTGGAAAATCAAAGAAAGGAAGTTGAAAGACTTCTGAGTCCGAATATTGGGCACCGAAACGGGAAAAGGTGGAGAATGAGTTTTCGATTTCCGAGTATCTCAGGCTTTAGGAATAACTAGTTTGCTACCATAGTGGCAGATATTTTGCCCTGGTCGATTGTAGTGAATGGCGCTGCAAATCCATAAGTCTTGTAGCCCTGCGAATAATCCTTTCCCTCCACGCGCTCTAAATATGTGTTGATGTTTAGCCGAATATCCCGGTATCTATGCAGTCGCAACGGGACTAAAGCTTACCATGCTCAGGTGGAAACATTTCCATCCGATGCTTATAATAGCGTTCTCTTAGATCAACTCCATCTTTCGTAGAATGGAAGGTGGCATAAAGACTGGATCGGGGCTTATCGGTCTTATTCTCTGCCGATCGATGTGCGAGGTGGGAGCCGAAGACGATCATGTCTCCCGGCTGCAACGGAATCGAGACCCATTCGTGTGCAGATTCCCATTCGGTCGTGATCTGTCCGCCTTGAGAGAATTCTGCAACCATTTTATGCGATCCGGGGACAACTTCAAGGCAGCCGTTCTCAATTGTCGCAGGGTCAATAGCTATATTGGCAGTGACGTGTTCAATCCGGCCGATATGGTCATATGCCGGGGCATCCAAGTGAGCCTTGAATCCGTTGCCATTGGGCTGTTTGTAATTAATTTTGTCCTTGAAAAGGAGCATGTCCTGTAAACGGGTTTATTAGCCAAATTCGGGCAGGCTTAATCATTCTCTCGGAGTGAACAAACATCACCAGACACGGCTTTTAGAATTTGACCCAATTTCTCACCGCATATGAGACTCTTATACTGGGCGTGAAAGTCGACAAAGCGCTCCGTTCGCATAAGTTGGCGTTTGCCGTTAATGTTAATTTCATCATAGGGCATCCATTTACCCTTCACGCGAGGCCAAGCCTGAATCTCCCTGGTCCACTCTTCGAGGCTAGCTGGGTCCACAAGCTGGTGCTCGGCGACACGTAAAAGGAGGTAGCCATTGTGGTGGTAAAAGTCCACTTGCTCGGGTGTAAGGCAGCTCATGGTATGTGAGGAGCTTGGCTTTCTGAAAATGCGGCAGAAATTGAAGCAATAATGTTTGGTGAAGTATGGCTGCGGGTGAGTTTAAATAACTTAAGCCGCCGGGACCAACGGGAGCAGTACAACCACCCCCGAGACCGCAATTCCCGGTTCTGGTATAGTTAATCGTCTGAATCGCGCTATATATCTAATGATCACCCATTTTACTGCTCCACTCCGGTCATTTTGCCTTGGGAGCGTTCTTCCCGCCTGCACGGACCGCCGGCCTTCGCACCGACGCCTGCGTGCCATCTGCGGTAGCGCCACGGATCGCGGGAACTAGAGCACAAGTAGTGAGGAATCAGACACTTGGTTTCTGCACGTGTTATCTGGGCTCCAATGCCTGCCGGACTTCTTGCCTTCAGCATCTCTTCATCTTCTATAGAACGTGTTGGGCATCGCCTCAAGGCAAGCATTATACATCGCACTTGGATTCACAGCAAACATGAATATCAAAATGGCGGTTCCTCAGTCAACCCATATTTTGCGTTCAGTTGAAGAACATACGAGGAATACGATCAAGACACTTTTCGAATTCCTCCACGCTCAAGGCCAGGGCGATTATCTCGGCGAACGAGTCACCCAATTGGCTCATTCTCTTCAATGCGCGAATCATGCAGCTCAATCTGCACAATACGGACAGGACCCTGAGGTCATTCTTGCCGCATTGCTTCATGATGTTGGCCGCTTCATTCCTGCCGCGGAAAAGATGGGGAAGATGATCACGCCGGATGGTCATTATATTGGTCGACAAAGTCATGAAGTTCTTGGCGAGTCTTATCTACGTCAGATCGGATACAGTGAAAGGATCTGTCAGCTTGTCGGGGCCCATGTTATGGCAAAGCGATATCTCGTTGCCACAGACAAGACCTATCATGATGGGCTTAGTGAGACGAGCAAGAGAACTCTCCGGTTCCAGGTACATTAGCTCTTATCAGTTCAAGTGGAGATCATTGAAGCTAATGAGGATTCAAGGGCGGGGGTTTCACTAATGAGGAGGTTCTCGAAGCTAAAAAAGACCCTTGGCTTGGAGAGAAACTGGCTGTCCGGAGATGGGATGACCTATCCAAGGACCCGGATCTTGTTGTGCCTGCACTTGAGGTCTACGAAGAGATCGCATATCAGTGTCTACTAGGTTCGCGATACCCCCCCCCCCTCGCTACGAGCGATAGCTAATGGGATTCAGAGTCACGAGGAAAATTCAAGCTTCACTCCAGGGAGTACCACATTCCGAGTACACCCACCGTTGTCATATGCATCGATGGATTCGACCCGCAGTATCTCGAGTCCGCTTTTGAGAGAGGCCTGTTACCGACATTCAAGAAATTCGTTGATCATGGATTCCATTCCAAAGCTAAAAGTTGCATGCCCTCTTTTACCAATCCGAACAATGTATCCATCATCACTGGTGCACCTCCAGCGGTCCACGGAATTGCTGGGAACTTCTTCCTTGATCGGAAGACGGGAGAGGAAAAGATGATAACCGATGACTCGCTCCTTAAAGGATCCACTTTACTTGAGCAGATGCATCAACGCGGTGTGCGTATCGCTGCAATCACTGCCAAGGATAAACTGCGGAGAATCCTGGGACATGGTCTTGATAAGGGTGCCATTTGCTTTTCAGCGGAGCGTGCAGCTGACTGCACGCTTGATGAGAACAGCATTGATAATGTGGGGGAATGGCTAGGTCAACCTGCTCCAGGCCAATATTCAGGAGAACTGTCCCTATTCGTCCTCGATGCGGGAATAAAATTACTCCAGGAAGGACGATCGGACTTTTTGTATCTTACACTGTCTGACTATATTCAGCATAAGTATCCACCTGGAAGTAAAGAGGCGGATGAGTTTATGGGATCAATTGACGTGCGACTTCAGATACTGGTTGGTCTTGCTCCTATTATCGGGGTTACCGGAGACCATGGAGTGAGCCAAAAGTCGAATAGTGATGGTGAACCCAATGTCCTCTTTCTGGAAGAAGTCATCAATGATGAATTTGGATCAGAGTTCTCCAGGGTCATCTGCCCGATAACTGACCCTTTCGTTCGGCACCATGCCGCGCTTGGGTCATTTGTCCGAGTCTACTTGAAAGATGTCATCAACCTGCAGTCCGTGCTCTCCTTCTGTCGCGCAATCCCCGAGGTTGAGGAGGCTTTGAGCGGACCCGATGCAGCGAGCAAGTACGAGATGCCGCTTGACCGCGAAGCTGATATTGTTGTCATATCGAAGGACTTTGCAGTCATTGGGAGTAAGAAGTCTGACCATGATCTTGTCAAGGATCACCCCTTGCGTTCGCACGGCGGTCTGAGTGAACAGAATATTCCACTTCTCATGTCAAAGGAAATCAAAAGCACAGATGAAAAAGCTAATAGTTGGAGAAACTATGATGTTTTCGATCTTGTTCTGAATCTTTGTTAATATATTCAAGTTATGAACCCAATGGCATTCCCCGTGCACTAGATCCTACCGCTGCATTATAATGAAGCCACCATTCATCTAGATCGGGGAAATTGGTCTGGAAGTCAAAGCTCGCCATATTTTCCATCCAGGCTGTATCAAACTGGGCGTGAGGGTCCATTGCTGGTGATGGTTGATACGTTATTCCTTCGTCCGTTGATTGTATCGGAGCTCGGCATTTGTAGAGGAGTTTCTCTAGCCCTTCCGAGATTGTAACTAGCAAATGCTGACGATGCATTGGCTGGGTTATTTCTCGAAGGGCAGCTACCGTCTGAGAAACAAGGGATATGATTTTTTCGGTGTCAATCCGTATCACAGCTGCATATTTAGTAGCCACCTTCAAAAGAAAGACCACTGCGAACGCGAGCATCGTGTCGAAGTATAGAGGAAGACCATTCATAAATGACCGAAATTCCGGGTCCGAGACGATGACTCGGAGAATTGACATGGCGGCAAGTACACCAGAGTTGGCGATCTCTTCTAACTCGGGAGAAAAATATTGCGTCGTATTCTCGAGGGCTGGGACTCCGCGGAATGCATGTGAACAAAGATAGAGCTTTGCGAAATGGAAATGAAATCCAACTCCCTTGGCTGGGTAATTTCCCACCCGACGATTTTCTTGAAAGCTTTCAATCCAATCAGCATACCAGGTATCCAATGCGATTGAGTACCGTCGGAGTTGTGGTATTATCTGGGGATGAATAGCTGTGTCGACATCGACGCCGAAGGTGTCAAATACCTGACCCAAGATGGCCCACTCTTTGACCTGGCTGACTAGTCTGGCATCATCTTCAGTTGCATTCTCAGTTCCGAGCAATTTACTGGCAGAATTGATGATGAATCCCTCGCGTGACATTGGAGGCCTGCCATATGCGATCGAGAAGTGGTGGTCGCAGACATAGACTAAATAGTACAGGCGGGCTTGGATGTAACCTTCCCGGTCGCCCTTGAGAGCCTTGTAAATTCCGCTATGCAAATTAATATTGGATGCAATCCGGACGGCTTCGAGATCAGCATCTGCGTGCAAGAGATAGAATGATCAAGGTAAACTCACCATTTCCAATTAACGCCCAAGACAATTCATGCAACCAAAATGCACCAATACATAAACCTCGAATGTCGTCCTCGTTTACGTGTCGCGAGAATACTTGGCTAGACACCAAGCCTTTGAATTCCGAATAACACGTTTCGAAGAGATGGCCTTGAGAAGGCGAATGTAAAGCCCCCACAGTGCAAACTGCCGCTGTCAACAAAGGTGATGCGTTGCGAACTGAGTCCAAACTAATGTGGTCACCAAGAATCCTATATAAGAAATGATCCAAGCGGAGGTGGTATGTATCGAATAGTGCAAGCCCTTGGCGCATTGTAATTAAACCGGTGGATATCAGATCTGGCCGACGAGTCGTTGATAAACCACTTGGCATAGTGGCTCTAATATTGTCAGAGAGACTGGACGCTGGGATGGATCCTGGACCACCTCGAGGGTCCATAACTACTCTCCAGGTGTTGCTTGCCGACTGTTCATCCTGGACTGGGGATTCTGGACTCGGGCTTGCTAGGTCCGCGTTGGTCATATCCACCGCGGGTGGACTGATGGAGTCTAAATGCTCCTCATTTTGTGACTTTGTTCCCAACTCAGGGATATCAACCTTGGTGGCTATTTTGGCAATAGCGTCTTCAAGCCGTTTGATCTTTTGGACAACTGCTCCTTTCCATCTGCGAATGGTTATAATTAGCCAAGTCCGAGTAATACTAGTACAACAATAGAACCTCGGAAAGGAGTGAATATATCAGTACCACTCACGTCACATCCTGCTCGAGTAGAGTCTGTAAGCTTCGATTGACCGCACATGGCAACCCTCTCTTTTTGCACCGTGAGCATGGTATCTGGCCATCACGCATATGACATTTGACCTATTGAGTTTCTTTTAGCTTGATTGTACCCCCCAAGGGTACGTCATATCGTACCTTCTGTTTTCGGCAAGCAACGCAAGCAGTGATCTTTCGAGTGATATCCGGTGGCTTTCGATCACCGAATGAGTCTCGCAATGCATTCACCTCCAGTGGGGAGGGTAATGGTGCGCCCTCCATGGTGTATCGGGATCGTTCGGAGGGTCAACTGCCGAGTCGATCTCACCAAGTAAAAGGATCAACCAAGACTGCAGCAATTGTCATGACAGATCCGTGCACGGATATTGTCTAGACTTTCCTTGCAAGATTGAATTCGATTCTGTGAAGAGTGTAAAAGAACACCGCAGGACTTCGCACCGAAATTATACCCGGTGGGATGGGGAGAAGCGGAGCGGGTGGGACAGGCGGGGCAAGGCCAGGTGCACGTGGGGACGGGGAGCCGTTGACTGGGGAAGACCTTTGGCGCGCCTAGCGAAGTGGTGGGCCTCGTGCCAACACCCGCGTTGCTCATTGCTCGTTGCTTTAGGCTCTAGTCGCTTGGTGTTAGAGTCTTGAGTATCTACCACGGGCTTGATGCCGGGTCTGGGCGATACTGGTACTTCTATTTCTCGAATATACTGTTTGCCTAGTATATAATTACTCCAATCGAAAACTACATCATCTCGACATCTAGTATGTTTGCTTGCAAATGCTACCCACGGAAAATCTCTCTTCTCAAAATTATCAGCTTTTAGCTTGGTGTCCTGTTTGAAAAATTGTTAATATTTCCTGCATTTTATATCATCAATGGCCTCACTGGGATCCAAGGTCCGGTTCATTACCACGGCGGGAGTTGGGTTCTTCGCGGATGGTTATCTCAATTTGACTATCGGTCTTGGTATGAAATGTTTCAAAGACAATTTCTATTCAGCTAGATTACTAACACGGCATCCATTAGTGGTTCCCATTCTTGGATACCTGTACTATCAAGATGGCAAGGTTCCGACGGTTGACAGTGACGTGATGAAGGGTGGCTTGAGCCTTGGAATGGTCGTTGGCCAACTGCTCTTTGGGGTTCTAAGTGATGTTTGGGGGCGTCACACCATATATGGCAAAGAGCTTCTCTTGACAATTTTTGGTACCTTGCTGGTTATTCTACTGCCCTGGAAAGGCATGGATCCACGATCTATCACGGCGTGGGTGGCCATTTTTCGGGTTTTGACTGGAGTGGGCATTGGAGCTGGTATGCACAATTCCATTCTTTCGTGGCAATTTAAAATCATGCGATAACTAATCTCTTAGACTATCCTCTCTCATCCTCTCTTGCCGCGGAGAAATCGCCCTTCGGTACCCGTGCAACCCAAGTCTTGACCGTCTTCTCGAATATCGGTCTCGGAAACATGGCAGCTAGCATTGTTTTTCTCGTCCTTCTCAGGGCATTCCAAGGATCCATTGCAGCAAACGTAGCCCATTTAGAATGGGTTTGGCGTCTCCTTTTGGGCATTGGTATCATTCCGGCTATATTCACTCTCTACGCCCGCTTAACCATTGCAGAGACATTGCCCTACAAGCAATGTGAGTCTTTCTATCCGACTTCTAAGTTGTATAATCTAACGTTCTGTAGATGTTTGCGATGAGGCTACCGGCCAGAAGCGTGATCTTAAGCAACAATGGCGTGACTTTCGAGAGTATTTCGGCGACTGGAAGCATGCCCGCGTTCTCTTCGCAACATCTGCGGCCTGGTTTCTTTTGTACATCGCGTCATTTTCACCTGCTGAAGTCTAAACTAACTTCATGCAGCGACATTGCCTATTATGGAGTAAACCTCAACCAGAGTATCGTGCTCACTCGAATCGGCTTCGCGAAGGGAGCAACCCCTTGGGAGACCTTATACAATACCGCTATCGGAAACATCATTGTACAGGCAGCCGTAAGAGTTTCTTTCAAAAATGATACCAATATTCTATACAAAAGGCTAACGATAGATAGGGATACTTGCCAGGCTTCTATGTCGGGATCTTCCTCCCCGACCGTATTGGCCGCGTGCGCCAACAATTCTTGGCATGTGTTGGAGTCTGCATTATGTACGCTATTTGGGCTGGAATCAGCTCACCTACAGCACACACTTCAACGGCAGGTTTGATGATTGTCTTTGCAATCTCCCAATTTCTTCTGACAGTAGGGCCCAATGTTACTACGTTTCTACTTCCCGCGGAGGTATTTCCAACCCGCGTTCGGGGAACGGCTCACGGAATTTCTGCGGCTTCAGGAAAATGCGGCGCCATTCTCACGTCATTCGTCTTCGGAACAGTTGAGGATAGTATTGGTTTAGATGGTGTTCTCGGGCTTTTCTCTGGGATTATGTTGTTCACTGCACTTGTGACACTGTGGATCCCGGAGACAAAGAACCATACACTTGAGGCAATTGAGGGTGGTGAATTATATCAAGAGGAAAGTTCTGATATTATTGAGGTAAATACTAAGCGATGAGTTTGTATCTACTAGGCTATGGGCTCTCACTTGCTATTGGGGCTCACCATATCATCTGTCTCCTCGTTGTTCTAGGGTACTTGCGACCTTGCTTATCCAATTATTCATTCCATTTCTCGTATGCCTTTAATTAATCGCCTAATGTATATTGATTAATGATTTTCTATGCGGATTTGTGGAATGCAGTGCTAATTTTCGGCGCCGGGAACAGCCTTCTGACAGGAAAACAATTCATGTATAGATCTGCTAGACTGTTTGGACCCAAGTCAAGATTCTAGACCTCAGTATCCAAGATCCAGTTTTCATCACCGCGAAGCATAAAGCGAGATACAAAGACAGACTTCACATGCTCCTCCAGATGTATCTCGACTCAATACGAAATGGTATGATTTCCACACGCACTGGGGCTGCACAGGCTCTGGGGGTAACTATGCTAGGCCAGACCTTTGTGAACTTAAATTTAGATCTGGCAATTAATAGGCTGCATATATCAATGCGAGCTGATCAATCTCATCTCCATCTTGACCCATAAATCCGACGACAGCAAATCCATCATCGGCCGTAAAGGTCGAGCAACTATCAGTCGATGTACCAGCTTCCAATGTGTTACCTGCACTGGTCGTAGCCTTGATGTAGAAATTTCGAGTTTCGTTATTATACGTGCCGGTACAAATTTCAGTCCTAACCCAGTACTCATCCGAGCCGAGTGTGAGAGAAACCGCAGTTCCACCCGTACCTCCATGGCTGAACGTGGTACCGTCGCTCAGCTTCAACGCCACACTATCGAGTCGATTGGCACCCGCGAAAGTTATGACGGATGTAGTCGGAGAGGATGGGATATTAGGAAGATCATTGAACCAATCCCCATGAGGGCCACCAGAAAATTGACTTTGTCGACGAGAGCTTGCGCTCTCCCAGGTGAAATTGACCAGAATTGGGTTGTGATCAGAAAGTACAGCACCCAGATAGGCAGAGTCGGTGTTGAGAAAGTTATCGCCGTCATAGCGAAAGCCTTCAGCCGATAGCGTGACAAGGTCTGATCCGCGATACAAGGCCTTGTCAACTGTTTCGCACGTCTCAATTGTAGAGGGGTTGTCGCATAGAATCGCATCCGCACCCGCTGTCGGATACACGTTGTTCATCTCTAGCTCAACCCAGACATCCTTCAGTTTATTTTGCGACTTGAAGACACGGATCCCGGTATCATCAGATCGGGTGTATCGGCTGTTTGTATCGCCCATGACCACAACTGCGTTTCCGGTTGACCAGGTATCAATATAGTCAGCGACCTGTTGGAGATTGCTGTTGCGAGCGGTTTCGTCGTCATCCTCAGTTCTATTGTCCATCAATAAGTATACCCAGGATAAGTGTGAATGGGGTCTTGCCTTACCCAGCATCCGCGTGGAGGTTGTAAAAGTCAATGAAGACTCCATCGGCTGGGTTCCACCTCATAAAGGTAACACCCTTGGGAGTCAGACAATCAGAACCAGATGCATCAGAGCATGTATTCCACTTGATGCGTGTGAAATCAAGCCAGTCATAATTGGAGATGGTATTCAGACCACTTCCAATTGCAGCGCCACCGGATGTGGCTGTTCGATAAGCGTGGTCATCGGCTGCATAGATGTAAGCATGGTAATTAAAGTCCTTACAAGTATAGTTAGCCATGTGCTGAAAATTGAAAGATCCATCATCAAAAGTACCTCCTGCATGTTGATTATATCGTATCCATACTCGGAGAAGTATTTACCAAGTTGTCCGGCATTATCTGTCTTGTCACCTTCAACGTCATTAGACTGCAGGATAGATGGCAAGCCAGCAACATTGAAGCTAAGGGCGGTAAATTCTCCGCTCGTAGCAGCTTGAACGCCCGCCACGAGAAGTATGCTTGAAGCGATAAAACTCTTCATTTTCACTGGAACGAAATCAATATGGTACGTGTTCTGTTTCTTTCTGATATTCGCGAAGAATCTCTCCCTTTTTATGCAGTATGCAGGTACATAAATCAGGGAAGTGGGGAAGAACATTCGGCGTGGTAACAGCTTCGGTTAAGCTTAGTTCTGCACCTTTTGACGCTACTGCAAGCCACGCTTGTTACTAACATGACGAAAGCTCCGAAACGTGGGCAGATGACCAAAGGATGATTGGAACTTCGGAAATGACAGGCCGTTGCCCTATTTAATGTACGTCTAGAGGTTTATTATCTCTACTAGAAGTTACCAGTAGGCGAGATGTCTTAGCTACAGCTTTGAAAAGGTTCCACTACTCGTACCCACGTGTTCGGGGGCTGGCACCTTAATGGTTTCTGAAAGATATTAAAAGTCTTGGCTAGAAGAAATAATATGGCGTTGATGTTAGACCTTGACATTCATGAGTTCTCGGTATAGTCATCTGATCGAGCTGAGCAGGCGTTTCGGGATTGATGCCAATGCTGTTGGTCAAAAAGTGAAGGGATCGGCAGGTTGAACCAGGATAAGCGAGATATTAATTGGTGGAAATATAAACTGTGCTGATCTTCAGCATTCCTTCAAAGCTTGCCAAGGCCGCAGAAAGTCTTGGACAAGCTGAAATCACACTATTACTAGTACTAGGAGTACTTTAGACCATTCAATAGTTGATGTTTAAATAGTAACTAGCCTCAAGCCAACTAATGGTAGTTCAACCGGACTCCGATGCATCCAATTCCGAGCAGACTCACCTGGGCAGTCCTGTACTTGTGGAGGCCTTGGATGGCCGAATAGAAACCTAATGGCTAGAACTTCTAGTATTATTCTATTGCTAGCATCTATTCCGAATAATGCAATGAAAACCTCGTTGGAGGCGTAATCATCTATTATCTCTCTAGTTCCGTCGCCCTCTATGGGTATTGGTCAGAATACATCTCTGGTCAGTATGAAACAGCCGGCTTGCATTCTGGAGGGACTGCGGGGGTATTTTTGTGTGCACTTTCGGCACCTCACCCTTCTCCATCATACAAAAAATACTACTTTAAGGATTTGAAGTGGGCGATTTCAGAAAATCATCACCGTCAGACTAATCCTACTTCAAATAACATACGAGATACAACGGACACCTCGAAAATGTACCTTGCTGACACGTCCAAGCGCCAACCCCACCTAACACGATGAATAACCCCACTTCTAGTCTCTTGACTGTTCACGCATCTCGACCCTAAATCGGGGATCGCGTGGTAGGGCATTTCTATCATGTCTGGCCTTGAGGCTGTCGGTGATCGAAATAAAGGGATTCGACTTCCCCGAACTCCTTTAAACATATTAATTATTCTTATGTAGCCGCCATTGTCATCCAAGTTGCAGACCTGGGCGCCAAATTATCCGTCAAATTATTTTCCTTCTACCAGAGGGTCAAGAACGCCAGTGAGTCTGTCCACCTCCTGTCGAACGAGATCTCGGGCTCGTCAGCGCCATTTTAAGCGAGCTATGGGATAATCTGAAAGAGGAGGCATCGAAGCTGTGTTCGAAGGAGGCTTTTCGCACTTTGCATGTTGTTCTCGATCAGCCTTGGGATGTACTTCGACAAATTCAGAGTGTCATTGATGATAATGACCAACGGGGCAAAGGTCGATTTCAGCAGGTCGCGGGCAAACTTCGGATAGCATATCATGAGTCTAGTGTCGATCAACTGAAGAAGAGCTTGGAGAGGTTGAAGGCTACGATGTTACTTCTACTTAATGTGATCACGTATGCGGGTCAGATTCGAAGGTACCTTGACAATGACTCTTGCATCTGTGACAACTGATTCTTAACTTTTAACAGCAAAAAAGTCCCGACTCTAGTCCAGGAGCAGCGTGATTTGATCCAAATCCTCTTACAAGAGCAAAGTATTGACGACGAAAAGCCGCCAGAGTCAGATGTGACGGTGGAATCCGAGCGAGATTTCCCGCCACAGCCATCCCAGATGGATTTCAGTCCAACTAGTACCAATTTCCTCCCTGGTCAGAAGGGCATCCCGCATTATCATAAGCCAACAGGAAAGAATCGTCCTCGCCCTCCCGGTGAGATGGTGAAGCCGGCAATAAAACCCCCGAACAAAACAAGCCAAGGACCTCAAAGAGCGACAGAATCCACCGACCTCACGGAATATAATCTACTTTGAAGAGTCTCCCGTGATGTCCCCGCATGAATCTCCAATCTCACTTTCACCAGGCCGACGTACCGATGCTCCGGTACTTCTTGGTGTATCCTCCCCTGCAGCAACCCAGAACAGTAACAACAGGCGAAGGAATAGATCATATCGAGAAGATAAGCACGTATCATCCAAAAGCGAATCAAGTGAGGAGACTTCGAGTGATTCATCACGGCTGACTCCACCCCAGCGAATGCTGGAGAGAAGCGATCTGGCTCAAAAATCAGAATTTTGCAAGCAGCAGCAGGAGATAGAGCGCCTGGAGCGTGAGTTGTCCAAATACAACGAGAGACCTGATGAATCTTCCAATGAACGGAAATCACAACCAGGTCATTATGTGAACAGTTCTCGATGTTTTAGTCGCGTGTGGGGTTACAAAGATAATTATGAAAAATCAAATAAATTATTGTTCAAAGCTTTTCCACTTTATCCAGGTACATTGTGATAATTCAGGGTATCAGAATTGACATGAATAGAAAAGAAATTGAATTGAAACACGCGAAGGTGAATCCCGAAAGGAACAAACAAATGTAGAAAACTCGAAGACTACACATTAAACACAACCCATAAACATGTCGAGGACGCCTGAAACAAAGGGCACTGTGAGCCCATGAAAATCCACTCCGTGACTTACAAACATGAACATGAACATAAACCTATTAACTCCATCTGCTTCCAGAACGGGGGTATCACAAATCTACATGAAAGTTGGCGTAACAACATCACCCACCATGACCGTGCGGCGATCAAGTGGTTCAAACTCAAGTTCGTCGACTTCCGCTCGGGAGAGAGCGGCATAGCGACCGAACTGGATCTTACCATCGATGTTTCTGGTCTTTGCCAGGGTAGAGAATGGCTCGGAGCGTCGCAGTCCAGTAAACTGGTCGATGCAAACCATCTGACAACGCTGGCATCCCTCGAGAACATCGATACGAAGTTCATCGGGCCCGATGCGTAGGCCAGACCAGTGGTCTTCGGCATAAGGCTGTTCTGCGTCACCGATACGAGTAAGTCGCTCAGCGACAACTATGTTGCCGCGGAACACATCGGCCGCTACGGCTTTGCCGGCGCCTGAGCCTTGTTTGGAGTTCGCTTTGATTGTCTCATTAAGACGATTCACAGATGAACGGGAAACAACAAGGATAGGCATCTCGTTGGATAGCGTCAAGGGTTTGCCTTGCTGGCGAGTCTGTTCAACGACAGGTGGTGGGAGGTCAGGGGGGAAGGATCCGGGCATGAGCAACTTCCGGAACTTGCTCTTCCACGCACCAGAGAGGCGGGGTGGACGTGAGAATCTGGTGGCAGATTGGGAAGGGAAGCGCGCAAGCGTGCACGGGACGCCCAGGAAATCGGAGAAAAAGGCTGAAACAACCGGTGATGCGTATGCATGTAGCGAGATTTGGTCGCCGCATACCATGGTCGCCTTTTTGCGACCGGAATTTTGACATAGCGAAGTTGAGATGAGACTGGTTTCTTCCCAGCCAAGTGAAATTTCGAGGGTCATTTGTTCAGTGGATTCACCACAGGTAAGTCGCAAAATGCCGCGGTCGAGATCAATCGAGGGGCGGATGAGAGCCATGCGAGGATACCTTTTCTGGCTGAGAGCAGCACCTGTTCCTTGGTGGATGAGACACCACTCGCGGTCCCATGCTAGACCTTCTTTCTTGACTTCCCAACGTTTGCCCTCAGGGATTTTGAAAGCACCACAACTCTTAATTGGGAATACCGAAAGGCTTTCGATGTACCAGTGACGGTCGAAGACATCGCCTTCTTCCAAGGGTGGGGTGAGTGCGACGATAGGGGGAACCTTCTCCACGTAGAACTCTTCGACGAAGTCAGCGACGGAGTCGATGTCCTTCATATTTGTCATTGCACCAAAGCTAACTCGGCAGACACCAGTAGGTCGACCGCCCATAACGTCATGAGCATCACCACATCGCACACCGCTCGAGTAGGCATGGCGCATCTCTGCCGATGTCCATCCGAGAGAGCATGCGGCGCCTCCAGGGTTGCACACCGTTCCGGTTCGCATCTGGATATTTTGGACTGTAGCCAATTTCTCCACCTCGGATTTTGGAACCCATTCACCCTGACTATTGCGAAGGTTGAAGGCAAGAATGGGACCTTGGCTCTTTGGGTCGCCATAAACGGAGTTTGCATGGTAGATCTCGCAGACTTTCGTCTCGTTCCAGTGTTTCAGAGCGGACAGTCTATCGTAGAGCTGTTTTGCCAGGAATGCCGTGTGATATGAGATGTTGGCCATGGAGCCATAGAGTCTTTCGTGTGTGTTTATGGCGGCATCGAGAGCAATAATGCTGTGGAATGGCAGAGTGCCATCCTCGAGTCGCGCGTGAAGAGAAGACTCCTTCTTTGCATGCCACTGGCTACCAGATGCCAAGACCATTTCCACAGTACCTCCACCGAAGTATCGGCGTCGGTCAAACAAATGGCTAACACTTTTCTTCACAATCAGGGCACCCAAGTCAGGGAATCCGAAAATCTTGTAGAAGCTCAGTGCGGTGAAGTCTGGGGCAACAGAACCTATGTCCAGCGGGGAGGTCGAAACCATTGAGGCCGCATCGAGCAAAGTAAACACATTGCCACCATTAGAAGCGGCTCGGATTTCCTTGCACCAGCGTAGAGGGAGACGTCGGCCGTTCAAGTTGGACTGGCCCGGAAAGGCGAACAGTCTGGGTGCCTTTGTTGGGTTCGAGGCTATCTCAGGGATCCATTTGTCGACGTCGGCATCACTCATAAAGCATTGATGGTTCAACTCTGCAAGTTCACGAACTCCGATGAGACTCGTGTGAGCATCAATGTGGTAACCATACCAAAAGCCCCGGTGATCAGCGTCACGGAGACTGTCGGCGACGACCTTGATGGCGGCCGTTGCATTAGCCACGAAGACCAGATCAAATTCATCCGGATCAGCGTTGAAAAAGCGTAGAACCCTCAGTCGAATATCATCAGTTCGGGTGGTAGAAAGCTGGGAGGAGAGAGACACGGAATGTGGGTTTCCAAAGAGGCCGGACATCATATCCTTGGAGAACTCTTCGATCGTGGACTTCGCATAGAGCGTCGTGCCAGCATGATCGGCGTAAGTTGTTTCTGGGACGATTGAAATGTATTAGTAAGTTCACTTCACGTAGCAGTCAGTGATTTTCATACTGTCAAGGTGGGGATATTCCTGCTCGCGAATCTTGTCCACGTCGTCTGAATAGCCATAGCTATATCCGATGGGACGACTTTCTGGAGTAGGAGTAGCCATGATGTGAAATGGAAATCAGATATGCACAGCCTGCATGAACGAGCGGCAAGGACAGGTTCCTTGGAGTTTGTTAGAGTTTCTGTCTCGCTGCACGTCAATGATTGTCGACAGCCACGTGGTAGATCGTCGAGTGCTCATGCACCTTAGTCAAAGATGACTTGGGTACTAACAAAACAGAGTTGTCAGAGTTGGTTCAAACGAGGTCAATCACTCTCTGCGTGTCTGTAGGAACTAAAGCAGTGTTCACATCGTTCACGGATGTAAAGACGAGGATTGAAAATTGGTTTACAGAGAGGGGGACAAGGGCAGTTGATAAGGCGGATATGCAAGTATAAAGGGATCGGAGCTTACCGAGAGGTGGAAGTGGAATGGGGCCAGAAGTGGATCTTGTCCGCGCCAAGTGAACAACACATCCCTGAAGGGGACCTTGATTTTGTAATTCTGACAGTCCGAGAGTCCGAGGATCAAGTCCGAATGACAGAGGCAAAAGTGAAAGTGAAAGTGAAAGTCATGAAAGTAAGGAAGAGTAACTCTGCTGTTTGTGTTTGGCCTGTGGCGGGTCACATGACACACTCTTGCGGGGATGCGGGCGAGTGCGGATTTCTCGGGGTCTTTGACACTGACACTTTGACAACCTTGGAAGCCACTGCTCAATTGTGCGGAGAACCTTTGGAAGAAGTCATTCAAACTTCCGAGAGCAAGGGACCTTCCCACCGTCATTGACATGGATCAATATACCCAGTACATAACCGAGCTCGCTTCATAAATATACATACTACCCCCACCTATCAAAGCCCGCCCCCACTCTCACCCGCAGGTACTACCGCATATCCATTCCAATATCATCCTATATCACAATCTTCTACCCAGTACTAGTACATGGTACTACTAGCTGACGAATCTTTAAGGTGCCAGGTGGCGCCTCGGTGGATTCCCAACATCTGCACCGAATGCAGGAGGGCTAGCCGACTCAAGGGCCTAAGAGTCCGTCAGGGCATACCGCGTCAACTTACCCTGTAAGCTTCAAGGCTGTTCGTATTCCGGGTGCATAAAATTAGGTACTAGTAGTGCAGACCGTTAGAGATTACCTAAGAATATGAAGAGCGGGCAGTGTTTATTTATTTAGGATTTGGGTAGTATACCTACTAGGTACGGTAAGCCGTCGTAGTACTCTATTCATCACTACCCGAAGATGAATCTTAGGTCTAAAACAGCCCTGGAGCCTTGTTAAGTTTCCACTAACTAATCTTTGTACTATAAATAAAAGCTAAAAAAAAACTATGGATATAACATATGGAATGCTCCATGCTAATCCAGTGGAAGATGCCTAGGCGTTACACTATCCAGGCTTGGCATCAATAATTCCTACTGTCAGAGAACTTTGGAATGATCATTGGTATACACTGGGCCTATAGACTGGGAGATGGCAGGCAATAAGCTAGCTACTAGGAATAAGCAAAGTGCGATTTGATGCATTAAATTGCCGCAGGAACAAAAGTATTGTTCAGTAGTGCCTCGTTAAATACTGGCCAGATATAGAACATCGAGTCCACTTGCATTCAGCCCCGTTGGCCAGGCACTACTACCTAGCCACCGTAACTGTACTGGTACTGGTACAGTGGTGTTGCAAAGTTTGAAACCCTTGATCTCTGCCTTCCCAGTAGCTACCTAAGATGGAATAGATTGGCCAATCCATTCTATCTTAGGTAGCTACTTGTAGTAACCCACGGAGGCATGCACATGGCTGCCAACCCTGCCAATGCCATGAAGGTAATATGGCCTACGAAGGACCCGGAATTTGATGTCTCGATGAGGGTCTCTTCGAAGGTTGCACCCACTCAGCCGCACCACTTTAATAGTCTCTGTGATATCGGATTTTGATTCAGATTACTGCGGTAATATGCACACAGAAATCATCCGCGAGGGAAAGCCTCTGCGGGAAAGGGGAAGCATGATGGACCACATGCCCAGTCGCTTTATATAGTACAGGTAATATGATCAGACAAGAAGAAAGAAAAGAAAAGAAGAGAGAACTCCATCCCAAACCCCTGCAAATGATTTCATACAGATGCGTCTGCCGAGGATTGCCAAAACGAGATGGGCAGCGTGGGTGAATGTCGACAGGCGAGAGCGAAGAACAAACATGAACACAACGTGTTCATCTGGTTTACCGCTTGGGCCATTGTCTCCAGCCACGACCGTGACCGCGCTATAGATCGAATTAGTGCATGTTCCTCCTCTCGGACAAGGGTTCTCGGCTCAGCTGAACTGGAAGTCAAACGTACCTGCTTCCACAAACGGATCATCTCCGGCATCTCGGTCATCGCCTTGCGACGATCCTCGAGACGTGCCTCCATCGTACGCTCCCACTTGTGACCCTTGACCTTCTGGCCAATACCGGTACCCTTGATACGCAGACCTCGCTCAGCCAGGCGGGCCTCCTTGTACTCGGTTGACTTGGTGCTGGGAGGAAGAAGAGGCTCGACATTGTATTTGATTGCCAGTTTCACGAGGTCGGCCTGTTGTCGCAGTCCGTAGCGCGGTCCGATCCACTTTCCAGTGGTGAAGATCTTCCGGGGCAGGAAGGGGTTCTGGTTGCTGGGGTCATTGTGCAGAAGAGCACGAGAGAAGGAAAAGGCCTCGCGGTCTTCTTTGTGAGCTCCCTTGGCATCACGGTCGGGAGTGTATGGAGATGGCAGGTTCTGTTCGGCGGATGCTTCGCCCTCCGGGGCTGTCGGGCGCGGTGCGACCAGGGAAGAGTAGACCTGGGGTGGATAGCGGGCGAAGAAATTGCGTAGACGCAGGGGCAGCTTGCCCACAGACTCTGTAAGAGACGCCATGGCGAGCGTGTGTAATTGAGAATGGCCGGGGGTAGCTAAACTGCGGACTTTCGGGGGAGTCTTTCACTCTTCCACGCTGTTGACGGAACAAAAGTTGCGGCCCACGCTAGTCCCAATTGGGGGTTCATTCTGCCAGAGGCGGTGACGGCGTGAAAAGCGGAAAAGAAAGAAGCGGCTGGTTTCAGCCTCCTCCCTTTCACCATCCATTGTTACCATAACTGCAACACTTAGCGACATATCTCTTACATATTTGGATAGTACTATTTCTTTTCTGCGCATATCAGTGTCTCATTGCGCCCGTCATGGCGGACTACAACTACGGCGGTTCGGAGGAGGAGAATGCGGAGCTGAGAAAGCTGGAGGTTGAGTTGGTATGTCGGAACTGATGCTCTCATGCGCGCGCCGGCTTGGATCGCAACATTCTCGCTCTGCTACTATCTCTGTCGCTAACTTTTGATTATGATAGCTGGATGATCCCGACAACTTTGAGACTTGGGAGAAGGTTGTCCGCGGCGCCGAGGCCCTCGAGGGTGGCATCAACCGCAATTCAAACCCCCCAAGCTATCACCACCGTTCGCACCAACTACGATCGCTTTCTCGCAAAGTTTCCTCTCCTCTTTGGCTACTGGAAGAAGTATGCCGATCTGGAGTTCTCCATAACCGGCACCGAAGCCGCAGAGATGGTACGGAAACGCCCAGCCCCCGCAGACACGATACAATATCCCCCATTGAATTGTTTCGATGCCACTTTCACTTGGGCCTCCAAATCTGACAAACATGTATCATTTTAGGTTTACGAACGCGGAATCGCCAGTATCTCCCCCTCTGTAGATCTCTGGACCAACTACTGCGGTTTCAAGGCCGAAACCTCCCATGACGCCGACATTATCCGAGAGTAAGTCGATACGTGGTTTCCTTCCCTTACCTTTCCCTGTAACCGTGACCGACACAGCTCGCGAAAGCCCCTGTTGTTCCGATGTTGTTTGAGGCTTGGATATGCGGTGGTTCAGATGTTCCATTGATGATGGGTGAGAAAACCATCGCCTTCCCACCCTGAATCAAGCGGAGTTTACTTCTCACCCGGCTCATCCAGGCTGCTTTCCTTCTCCACCTCACAGGCATGATTTGCCTCTTGCCCGGACACCCCATGGAACGGTCTCGCTCGAAAGGCTCTTCCCTCTTAATCCTGCGCACGAAAACCCTGGCTACCTTCCCCCTTTTGGGTCTGTCTCAATGACAGCATGAGCCATGTTTGACACATAACTTTCTCCTACCACCCCTTTTCCATTCCTCCCATCCCACCCCACTCCAAGCTTCAATATGTGTAGTGTGCTAACCAAGCTGAAATAGCCTCTTTGAGCGTGGTGCCAATTGTGTTGGTCTTGATTTCCTTGCGCATCCGTTCTGGGACAAGTACATTGAATACGAAGAGCGAGTCGAGGCACAGGACAAGATTTTCGCCATTTTGAGTCGTATCATTCATATCCCCATGCATCAGTATGCGCGATACTTTGAGCGGTATCGCCAGCTAGCACAAACCCGTCCCTTTGGCGGAGCTTGCCCCTGCAGACATCATGTCTCAGTTTCGAACAGAAATCGAGGCAGCTTCATCCGAAGTTCCTCCTGGTGCAAAGGCCGAGGCTGAGATCGAGCGTGATCTGCGATTGCGTATCGATAACTATCACCTGGAAGTTTTTGCCAAGACTCAAGATGAAACAACCAAACGCTGGACTTACGAGTCGGAAATCAAGCGTCCCTACTTCCACGTTACTGAACTGGACGAAAGCCAACTGGCTAATTGGTCGAAGTATCTTGACTTTGAAGAGAGCGAAGGCTCTTACTCTCGCATCCAGTTCTTATACGAGCGCTGCCTGGTCACTTGCGCTCACTACGATGAGTTCTGGCTCCGGTACGCCCGTTGGATGACTGCTCAGTCCGGCAAGGAAGAGGAGGCGCGCATTGTTTACCAACGCGCTAGCTGTCTCTATGTTCCAATTGCGAATCCAACCATCCGGCTCCACTATGCCTACTTCGAGGAGATGTCTGGTCGGACAGATGTCGCCAAGGATATTCACTATGCAATCTTGATGAACCTGCCTAGTCACGTCGAGACCGTCATCTCACTCGCAAATCTCTGCCGTCGCCACGGTGGCCTAGATTCCGCGATCGAGGTCTACAAGACCCAACTGGATTCCCCTGAGGTTGACATGTCGGCCAAGGCCGCTCTTGTCGCGGAATGGGCTCGGCTCTTGTGGAAGATCAAGGGTGCTCCCGATGATGCCCGTAAGGTCTTCCAAGAGAACCAGCAGTATTACCTCGACAGCCGTGCGTTCTGGACCTCTTATCTCATGTTCGAGATTGAGCAGCCGACTAGCGCTGAGGCTGAGTCGGTTCAGTACGACCGTATCAAGCAAGTCGTTTCTGACTCTCGATCCAAGAGCACACTACCTGCCGAAATCGTCAAGGAACTCGTGCAGATTTACATGGCTTACCTGCTTGAGCGTGGTATCAAGGACTCCGTCAAGGAGTACATGACTCTTGACCGTGAGATCAATGGCCCACCTTCCATCGCTTCCATCAGGACCGGCGGAACTGCCATCGCTGTGCTACCAACTCCCGCAGAAGTACTACCGGCAGTACCTGCTCCCGTTCCCGCACCCGTGATGCCCGATACTCAAGACCCCGCAGCCGCGGCGCAGGCATATGCCTATTATCAGCAACAGGGAAGCCCTGTGAATGGCGTTCCGGTCGCCTGAGGCCCTCGCCGGGCAGCGTAATATTTGTCATGTCTCCTTATGAACATTTTCTTTGCGGTGGTATCGGTCGCTCGGAGCCGCCATTCCCTTTCTTTGAGGTGTCTTCTTTCTTACTCGATTTCTCATCTACCAGGGCGGGTGAGTTTCCTTTTCTGTAGCATCATGTTTTTTGTGCCGTCCCCACCCCCTCCCCATGGCACCGTTCTTGCTTTTGCCTCCTTTCTACAGGTTTGTTTAGCGATTTTGCTATGCCGAGAGGGGCCTTGCCAACTCGGCACTCTGTCTGGCCTGCTTTTGTGATTGGGACCATTTGGGTTTCCCCAATCGTTCCGTTGTATTCTACTTCCCCTCTTGTTTGAATGATGCTAAACCAAGCAAATATATGCAAATTGCCTACCTTTCTCTCTCAATTTATCAAATAGTTGGCTTAATCCTGCTATGTAGTGTAGCAATGTATTACCACAAGTATTACTTGTAGAAAAGAAGACCAGGATACTCTGGAAGTAGTACATCTTATCTTGTTGACGTCTCCAAACTGGTCCATCATCAATCTATAGTAGCACGTGACCGCGTGACTGGTCCTTCGCGCTCCGCCGTAGAAATTCGATGCGACATCTCGCCGCTCGTCCAACCCAGTTGCCATCACATTGCTCTCATATAAGAGTTGCGATGGACTCTGTTATGACTAACGGCTCGGATGGCCCCCCTGGGCCTCCTCCAGACCCCATAGAGCGCCCCCCCAACACCTCCCCCCCCCTCCCCCCGAAGACTCGGGAGCTCCGCCGCCGCCGCCAGATGCTTCCGCGCCTCCACCTCCTCCAGATGACATTCCTCCTCCCCCGCCCGCGGAAACAAAGAAGAAAAAGCAAGGTTGGGGTGCGAAAAAGCCCTCCGCGACACCATTGAGTGTGGAGGACCTGATCCAGAAGAAGAAAGAGGCGGATGCGGCTTCTGCGAAGGTATGCGCTCTGCCATGCGACGGCATTCATTCTAACCACGAGAGAACACAGTTGCTAATTTTTACATTTTCTACCTACAGCCCAAATTCTTATCCAAAGCTCAACGAGAAAAGCTTGCGCTGGAGAAGCGAGCAAAGGAAGTAGAGGCCGAGCGACAAGCGAAGAAGGCACCTACAACTGGCGTTGATCGTAATGGATTCTCAACCGAGCCAGCTTCATCAAAACCCGAGCATAAATACCCAGAACCAAGAGATCCGAACGGAAAAGTACCCACTGGACCTCGTGCCATGCGGGGCGAGCGTCCGTCTGGACCTGGACCCTCACGAAACGGACAACAATCACGAGGGCAAGATAAGGAATCGGCGAAATCAAGGAACACGAAGGCCGACAAGCGTCTTGCGGAAGAGGACGAGGCTGACGCACAAGCGTCTCTCGTCAAGAAACAATACATGGGAGTTGACCAAACCTCCACATTCTCCGCCAAGAAGAAACGCAAGCGCACCACGGATCGCAAGTTCAATTTCGAGTGGAATATCGAGGAAGATACAAGCGGCGATTACAATCCTCTTTACCAGCACCGACATGAAGCCAACTTCTTCGGTAGAGGCCGACTGGCAGGATTCGGAGATGATGTCGCAGATGATGTCGCACGCAAGTATGCTGACGCCTTGGTAACTCGAGACCAGGAGTCGGGCAGCATGCGCGCGAAGGAGATCATGGAGATGGAACGTCGTCGTCGTGAGGAAGGTTCGCGTAGCCAGATCGATAAGCACTGGAGCGAGAAGAAGTTGGAGCTCATGCGCGAGCGCGACTGGCGTATTTTCAAAGAAGATTTCAATATCGCTACTAAGGGCGGAAGCGTCCCCAACCCGATGCGTTCTTGGGAAGAGAGTCACCTGCCAAAGCGCTTGCTGGAGCTTGTCGATCGCGTTGGTTACAAGGAGCCAACTGCGATTCAACGTGCCGCTATTCCCATCGCAATGCAGTCGCGAGATCTCATCGGTGTGGCCGTCACTGGTTCCGGTAAAACAGCTGCATTCCTGCTGCCACTTTTGGTATACATCTCAGAGCTACCACGGCTAGACGAGTTCGAGTGGCGCAAAAACGACGGCCCCTACGCAATTGTTCTTGCTCCCACTCGTGAATTGGCGCAACAAATTGAAATTGAAGCCAAAAAGTTCACCCAACCGCTTGGTTTCAACGTCGTCAGTATCGTCGGTGGTCACTCAATCGAAGAACAAGCATTCAGCCTCCGCGATGGCGCAGAAATCATCATCGCCACCCCGGGTCGTCTAGTCGACTGCATCGAGCGTCGCATGCTCGTCCTCAGCCAGTGCTGCTACGTCATCATGGATGAAGCAGATCGCATGATCGATCTCGGATTCGAAGAACCCGTCAACAAGATCCTGAGACGCCCTCCCCGTAACGAATGAAAAGCCTGATACCGAAGAAGCCGAAAATTCGAGCGCCATGAGCCAACACATCAGCGGAAGAGACCGTTACCGCCAAACCATGATGTACACAGCCACCATGCCCGCAGCCGTTGAGCGGATCGCGCGCAAATACCTCCGTCGGCCAGCAATCATCACTATCGGTGGTATCGGTGAAGCCGTCGACACAGTCGAACAGCGCGTCGAAATGATCCCCGGCGAAGACAAGCGCAAAAAGAGACTTGCGGAAATTCTTTCCGCGGGAGACTTCCGTCCCCCAATCATCGTTTTCGTCAACATCAAGCGAAACTGTGATGCTATCGCTCGTGAAATCAAACACATGGGCTTCTCGTCTGTTACCTTGCACGGTTCTAAGACGCAGGATCAGCGTGAGGCTGCTCTTGCCTCTGTCCGTAATGGTTCGACCGATGTCCTTGTCGCTACTGATCTGGCTGGTCGTGGTATCGATGTTCCCGACGTCTCGCTTGTCGTTAACTTTAACATGGCTACCTCGATTGAGAGCTACACTCACCGTATCGGTCGTACTGGTCGTGCCGGTAAAAGTGGTGTTGCTATTACATTCCTGGGTAGCGAGGATTCAGATGTTATGTATGTTTTCCTCTTTTCCCTCGTTGCAGTTCCCTTTTGGTTTTATCTTTTGTCCGGTATGCTAATGAAAATTAAAGGTACGATCTCAAGCAAATGCTCACGAAGTCGCCCATCTCGCGCGTCCCTGAGGAATTGCGCAAACATGAGGCTGCGCAGTCTAAGCCGAATCGTGGACAGGCAAAGAAAATTGAGGATAGTTCTGGGTTTGGTGGGAAGGGTGGCTGGGCGTGATGAATTCAAGGCCTGTTTGATATACTATTGTGGAAGAATACCATCTTTATCCCATGACCACCTGGGCATTCTGTTGGTGCCATTATCACTATGGAGATGTAGCTTTCTCGTTCTAGCTTTTTCGAAGCTGCTTGATTTGTAGCGAGCTTTATGGGTTATAAGTATGACTTTGAAAATGCTCAAGATCGGTCTAGTTTTGATGCCCTACTAGTACTCGGTTCAGTCCTGTCAATGCACCGCCGGGGGCTTTGTAGGTAGTTTCCCTTCCAGTCTGTACTTTGTTTCTTCGTCGATCTCAAAATCTTCCAACGTGACATCTTTAAATTGATAATTATTGAAAATAGTAAGATAAAAAATATATAGTAGTGGGGGAATCGCTCTGGTGATGTCAGGTGACGTTGTAGGGGCCTTAGGCCTTACCTTCATGCAGTACATAAGCCCTCGACGATAGTGAACTTACCAACCACCTTTCGAATCACCAATGTTATCTTCGTTATTTCGGATGTACGCTGCAGTTATGCTAAGGGCTGGAATTCTCTGAATGCTGTTTTCTCAGTAGGGCACCGCTTTGTCTACTACTCTCCTGCACTCTGCGAGTGTGGTGGTTTTGTCCTCTTGCAATCGACCCGTCTGCCAGACAGACTGCCAGCGAGGATTCCCATCTTTCAATATATATTTCATGGTTACTAATTATGTTTTTGCTTTTTCCATCTTGGAATCTGCAGTGCTTTGGCGTCTTGTTTCTAGTGTCTTTCTCCACACAAACTATTAGGCTCTGACTACCTACTGTAAGACTTTCGTTCAACTTCAAAGGTTGTTTTGATTTCGCGAGGTCGTAGATCAATACTGAGCCTTGAATTTACTTATTGCAATTTGCACAGAAAATGTACTTTACTTATTTCATATAGTACTATCCATGGATGATAATATCATTACTCTTCGGGGGTTGCTTATGCATGTACAGTACCTAGGCATACTTATCACTTTACATCATCCCCAAGCTTGAGTTGGCGACCATTCTGCATCAATTTATTCTGCAACAGAGATGTAGTCATTGTGGGTCATCCTTTTGTGGCGCTCTCAACCTTGGAAATCTTCGGGACGGCTCGAGTACTAATATTGCAGTTATCAATAGCGGCTCGTGCCGTAAACCTTCGAGATGGGGTTTGTCACATATCGAGAGCATAAGTGATTGACTGCCCAGGTGCGGGTGACCAACCTTGGAATCTGCTTTCTGTCGTTCTTAATATATGGCAACCAAAAGGGCCTATCACATTGCTTTCAAGCATTTTAATTTTTGGTCAAAGGGGTCAAAGCCATGGACTCTTGAGTTGGAATTAGACGATTGATAGTATGAAATACGAGACTTAAGGGTAAGCAAAGGTGAAATAAACTTCTCAAGTGCACCAAACCCCTTTGAGGAACCACATCGGACGCTAAGAGATTTGACAAATAAAGAAACGCCAAGCTCACACAACTGAAAGTGCTGATATGAGAAGTGCCAGTCTACGGGGTAGCGATCATCGTGGGGGCCAGAAGTCCAGACGCTGTAGCAAATCAGAACCCCTTGCAAGTTACACAAATAGCGTGTCCAGGCATAAACTGCTAGACCTATCTGGGAAAAGGAGATGCAGCACCAATCAAGGCGTTCAATTCTGGGGCAAATGTGCAGATCATCGCAATTACGGTGTACAGCGGACCTTCTGATAGGCATCTGGACCGCAATTATGCTGCCAGCGTGCCAAGAAGCCTTGTTCGCGCCAAGAGTGTTGGGCCCCCCGTTCTTGGGGGCTGAAAGCCAAGTCGTTTTCTAAATTGGTCCGGGGCGGGCTGTTATTAAAACACTGAGCGAAGCCCGCACGGCTTCTGACGCGGGCTTTTCTCTTCGCCTACCTATAGCGGTCTGCGGATCATAATACACCACGATGGATTTTTGGAAAAGAGAAGAAGCTGGTGGAGAATGTGAGCTAGTCGGGGAGGAAATGGCTACATTGGTGGGCAATGGGGTTGGTATACATCTACCAAGAATCGCGCCGATGGAATAACCTTACTGATTACGAATAGATTCTGGTAGGATTTGCGGGTCAAGCCCTCTTATCTTTGTGCCTATCGGCTTGGGTATTCTTCCTCACGAAGCATGGAAATATGGACATTACGCACCCAGAAGGCTCGATCGGGCGTGTGGTTGAACGCAAGCGCATGGAATTTGTTATGAATATTTTGATGGTCGGATCCGACTTTCAATCAACCCTGGGCATAGCCTATATGACCACTACCTTCGCGCAGGTACGAGTCCTCGATCTCCTCTTCAAAGTTCCCTATAGGATTTGCGAGCTTTGCTGACATGTCTTTTACCTTTGCGCAGGCCCATATTATGGATACCTACCACCTCCACCTCGTTTTCGACATCGCCAGCTTCGTCGGAGTATCTAACACGGCCGCGCTTGTTTGTTGGAGATATTGTCGTGCTAAGATCAGCGAACCTGACGCTAAGCGTCGTGGCCTCCGCGAGCGTGTAACATGGTTCGACAGTCGCTACCGAGCCGCTTATATCTTCGTCGCCTTATACCTCGCCCTGACAATACTGCTCGAGCTTCGCCTGAACGAATGGGCACCGAACAAGGAGCCTGGCCGTTGCTACCATTCGTACTTGGTGACGAACCCATCAGACTCACATCCAGGCTCGGATAAGCTCTATGTGGCTTTCACTAGTGCTTGGCTCATGCTTGTCGTTCTCGCTAGCATTTTTGCTGGGGTCGGTAAGAGGCGTGCGATTCTGATCCTGTCCGCGCTTCATTTTCCCCTGCACCTTTACATGGCGATTGCTCTTCGACAGGCGAATCAAGGAAAATTCGAGGGCGAGACAAATCACGAGAATGAATGGGACTTTGGCCAAACAACGGCAGTTCTACTTTTGGGGATTGCGCTTGTGGAGCTGGTCGCTAAGGGGAAAGAATACTATTATTTCGAGACTCATGTGGCTAAGCATGGAGTGCCCCCGCCTGCAGATGACAACTCGGTCCAGAAGGATGAGGAAGCCAGTGATGGAAGCTATCTTCTCGATCCTGTTCGTCAAGATGAACGAGCCCCTGAGGAGAGGCAGCAAACCGCGGAAGGACGCTCTGCGACTGCAAAAAATGGATATCAGCGGGTCGAAAGCTAATGATTCTCGGCATGATAAAAGTGACGCATAATGACACCCCGCTGCAAATTACGGATAATAACTAGACCCAAGCCTAGCCGGGGGCTGATATCTCGGAAGTTCCTTCTATCTAGCCAAGGAGATATACTGAGACGGAACATGTATGACATTATTATCCACCGACAGGAACGAGAGCACCGTGACGAGGGCTTGGCATATATCATTACATTATACCTGCTATATAGTAGAGCCAAAACTGCATGGGTGTAGTACACCCATGCAGTATTAATACTAAAGGGATAGTGAAGCAATTCATTCTGAGCTTCGCCAATTATAATATTCGTTGTATCGGCCTTTAGTAGGTTGTGATATTATGACAACGGTGGTCAACTAGAGCTCTTCTGACCTTCTGAACGCTACAATACCCCATGCTCCCTCTCCAGGCCCTTTGACTCGACCTCTGAAGCCTCCTCGTCTGATCCTGGTCTCACGTGGACTCATCAGCTATTGGATCCCTCCGATACCAACAAGGGACAAATTCAACATCAAAGCTTCACTCCATTGCATTCAGATTACAACAATTTAATGTCAAATGAGAATCCCGATGCCTATTAGTCCTTTGATATATGGAGTCATCGCCCTTTCTGTTTGGAGCCCATTGTGCCTCGATCTCATCGACCAGGTGAGCACGATTCTCACCAACACCATGACAACCCTTCGTGCGCCACCCTACCTTATCTGACCTTTAAGCCACATTTAACCCTTCTCTAGTCCATCGCTTCGTTGCCAATGGAGAGACTGCGAATACTCCAATATTTTCGCGAATTTAGGGACGTTGATGCGACATATTGAAACCATGCATGTATCGCCAAATAAATACAGATGCTCTCACTGCAGAAGAAGGTTCTGTTGAAATTGGTCTTCTTTATGTTCCTCAATTTAGAACGTAATATTCCTCGGGCTTACTTCCGAGTACTCACGCAGAGAGAACCGTGGTCTGAATCTCCGACGAACAACAGTAGAAGTGTCTTCCTCCAAAGTTCTTAGTATCTCTTTTCGGCTAGTCGACTCGGATACCTTAGACCGAGACAAACATCCCAATCTGGAATTACTCATCCGATCGTTATTTGCCTATAATAAGCTCCAATGGAATTATGGGCTAGGCTATGCGCTGGAATTCGAATTGAGTTAATTGGTTCCCTAGGAAAAATCAATAATACTTATCTGACAACAATTCGGAGTTCGCGTGGAGGGCCTTCGCAGTCTCAACTCCGATAGCCAATCAGCATTGCCTGCAGGATAGCGCCAATTACCCAAGCCTCGCGCCATAATCTTTAAAATGGAGGCCTGCAGGTGCTATCTCCTTTCCCACCTCCCTCAATAAACTGAGAGCTCGGCGATGGAAAAACAGAGTCCCGTTTATCCAGCTCAGCCTGGGAAGCGGTTCAGGAAGAGTTTGATATGGCTTGTAGCGGGCGTGGGGACGATCGTCCTGATGGGGCTGGGTGGATTTCCTCCCCGCGCACATCACTGGGGCTTCCCAGGCTCCAACGTCCAGGAGAATATTGAAGTTCCAGTGCAGACTTCGCCGTATGGAACATTCCCACAAAAGGGTGACCCATTCCAGTTTATACCATGCACTGATGCCAGTCGTCCGCCTCCCCTGGATGACCCAACCCCTCAGCAATCATGGGCTGCTCTCTTCGATTCCGACCCCAAGCACTGGAGCTGGGGTAGTACAGGCCAAGGCATCTTTCTTTGTGGTTACTTGGACCTTCCACTCGACTATCATAATCCCTTGGATCTTCGCATCGTCCGGATTGCGGTGACCAAATTCCAAGTCGCTGGTCTACCGCTGGAGAATGACTCTGAGCTTTCACCCTGCGGTCGCAATGCGTACAAGAGTGAACGTACTCTCATCATCGAGCCGGGTGGCCCAGGAGGGAGTGGAAACACATTCCTTTGGGAGACCGCAGAAGAAACGACCAACCGATTTAGCGACGGGAAATTTGATGTCGTGGGCTGGGATCCACGCGGTGTCAATCTTTCCCTGCCCTCCGGAGCATGTTATCCTCAAGATGCTCACCGCGACCGTTGGTCTCTCTTATCACTCAAATATCGCGAGGAAGCTCCAAGTTCACAATTGGAGGTGCTTGATGCCATGAATAACGCAACCTTCTTCGCATGCCAACAACGGCTTGGTGATTTTGGCCGATTCGTAAGTACGGCATCGGTGGCTCGCGACCTTGACGAGATTCGAAAGGCACTCGGCGAAGAGGATGTCTCGGGCTACTTTGTCAGCTATGGCACCGGCATCGGACAGACATATGTTAGCATGTTTCCTGACCGGGCCGGTCGTCTGATTCTTGATGGTACGGAGTATGTTCGGGACCACCGTCTCTTAGGTGGATTTGGGTGGACTGCTCTCGACAATACGACAGATGCTTGGAACGACGGGTTCTTGGGCGAGTGTATCAAGGCTGGTCCAGAGAGATGTGCATTGGCGAAGCCAATTCCAGGCCAGGACGGACCGGTCATCCTCAAACAACTCCAGGATCGTATGGCCGGACTTCTCAAGTCTCTTCGAGCTCGCCCGCAATCAGCATATACAGAGATAGGTGGTCCATCTCTGATCACATACTCGGCACTTGTGGACAGGGTGCTGTATCCGGTTATGTATAGACCAATGGAATGGCCGAGGATCGCCCAAATGCTCTACGAGCTCGAGGCAGGAAATGCAACACTGGCAGCGAAGCAGCTAGATACATCGTGGAGCGATCATTCCGACAAGCCCTCATATCCCAACATCCCAGCTTCCAGTGAGCTTGAACTGCTTGTGATTTGCTCCGATGCATACGACGCGCCCCTTCCAGATGGACTGGAATGGTGGGACGAACTGTGGGAAGATATGACCACCCAGAGCTGGATCGCTGGTAATTCGCGTTTCTCTGCAGTCCTGCCTTGCCGACATTTCAATACATATTGGGATCCGCCGTCAGAGGTTTACCGCGGCGATCTCAACCATACTCTCAAGACTCCCGCCCTTCTCATCGCTTCCACGTATGACCCTGCCACCCCGCTACGCAATGGCAGACGCCTTCTGAAAGAGATGGGTCAGAACGCCCGATTGGTTGTTCATAATGCCTACGGGCATAGCTCGAGGCGAGATCCATCCGATTGTACAGACCGTCTGGCCAAGGACTATATTCTGAACGGGATTCTTCCCCATGAGCAGGAGGTTCAGTGCTATGCTAATACCAAGCCCTATTCTCAAGCTCCAGCTGATAACTAGCACCACCAAGGCCGTGCAATAAATGGGCGCTTTGGCCATTCGAATGAGGGCTTCCTGGATTCATTTACGCGCTAGCATGAAGACAATCAATATCAGAATTCAATTGCAACAGTATACTCCAGCCAAAATCACATATATTTAAGCAACTAGGCATCAGTAAAAAACAAATACTCCATGTAATTGATATTTCCATTGATCTTCCTTGAAAACATCTCGTGATTATCCTGAAAATTCCTTCAACCGGATCGCCTGTTTCTCCAGTCTCTAGCTCGATGCCGTTTCTCATGTTCACTCCTTAGCCAAATGAAACATGCGAACATGAGTTCTATACCTATCCTTCCTATTAAACATTTTCGCACAATGAGTGCATTGAAACTTGTTAGGTGATACGTGAATAGATGAGATATGACGCATTAAGGTTGCCTCGCTCCGAAATTGACCTGAGTAAATGCAACCTTGCTATTCGCAGCTATATCTGATTTTGGGTAGGTGGCTTTGGAACAGTGAGTGACAAATGTGATATATCAGAGCTTTAGGAGAAAACCTACTAGGGATTCAGTTGCTGGCTACGACCACAATGCATTTCGCCTGTCTCCTTGGCAGTGTCTTTTCCTTTTTCTTCCAACTGGTCGCTTGGATCAAAGTTGAGGGATCGTTCATGAAGCTCCGGGTGGTTAGATGTAGCTTCCTGGCCATTTAGCCACTCTGAAAGGATCGTACTGTCAAATAATTTTGGTTGTTGTATCATTGGACGAGGTGATTGGAACATCGCTGTCTTGGATCCCAGCATTTCATGATACGTCGCATGATACGTCGGAGCTATAGGATACGGAATTGGCGTCGGCAAAATTGCATTTCCATCAAAGCAGTGTGGCTGTTGTGGTAGGGTAATATTTCCATATGGGTTCTCGAGGGCTAGTTCATCAAATCTACTGGCAGCTTGCCAATATCGGTTATTGGGTTCGCGATAACCGTATAGTACATCCGAGTATCCGTTCGGCATGATGATAAATGCAATAATAAAAAGGATTTTCAAATGGATAGAAAGAGGCACAGTCTGGCTCGGTTATCGGAATTGGGTTATTATTCGAGATTAATGCGGGCCAAGTTTGATGGTTCGAATGAATATTCTAATCGAAGACCGGAAGGATGTGTGTTCTTTGTTGCAAAGGCCCCCATGCATGACGTCTTGGCGTCGCTCGAAATGGCTGCAGCGCACCGGGAAGACCGAAAGATTATCAGATGCATTGACTAGTCCCGATTGGGGACTAGTGGTAATTACGACCTTCCATGACGGCAATGAGTGGAAGCTGCGAAAGATGATATTTGGAAGAACAAAGGGTTGCGGAAAACCGGAGCCACCCTGCCACATAAAGTATCCGAGCGACGCTCAACGAGCATGCTTTGTTTCATGACTTTTAAGTTTGGTTGTGAGCTTGTGATAGCCGGTCAGACTTTGAGAGACGAGAAAGGTATTCTAGTAAATGAATTGGCATCTGAAGTTTAACTCAAATTGCATTGCTAGTACCCGACTAGGTCCGGTTGTTCAAATCGCTATCTATCTCCGCAATACTCTTCTCCGTTAACAATTATAGATTCAGAGATCTAATAAATGACCATAGTAACATTTTTCTAAAACCCAAGTCCACCTTAACAACATTAATAGACAACATTGGTAAGGTTTCTCGGCAGAGAAACATGATCCCAAGTATCACCCAACCAATCCAGTGTAACCTGAGCGAGCTGAAACTCCGCCCCAAGCTGACAATGCTCACCAGCACCAAGATCATTTTTGAAAAGATTATAAGTAGCTTTCTTTCCAATTGCTTTAGCCATAAGTTCCGGCTGTCCTGGCGCGGAGCTATCATTCTCCCCCTCGCCAATAAAAACAGGACAAGAAATGCTCTTCAGCATGGTAGAATTAAGTGTGAATTCAGGCAAGCGGCCCCACCATTCAGACGGACTGGTCGTGTTGAAACTGAACAATGACTGAGAAATCGCCCAGCGCAAGTAGGTGGCCCCAGAAGTCTCTACCTTGAGAAATTCCTCATCAAATTTCTCATAGTGCCCCTGATCATAAAGATCGGTGAGACTGTCCGGAGTTCCAGCCTTGAAGTGTCCGTAGAGGTCGTTCATGCCGTCAATCGCCAAGACGGCTTTCAGTCTATGCTCCCTCGTAGCAGCGAGTGGTGCCAGTTGACCACCAAATGAAATACCCACGAGCGCAACACGATCTAGATCGACGTCTTCACGGGTCTCGAGGTAATCCACAATGGGAGAAATGACGTTCCACCAGTCTGGTATGAAGCCGATTTTCTGCTCGCGGAGGACTGTGGGCTGACCGGGTCCCTCATAGGTGATTACATTCCAGCCACGCGCAAGGACTTCGATGGCCATCCCGTGGTATATATCCTCTTGTGAGCCGTCGTAACCCGTTCCGATGATGACAGTGGGTACTTTTTTCTTGCCTCGCTGTGCTTTGAAGAATCGAGCTGGGACGGAAAACTTCCCACTGGGAACATTGGGGCTCGAGGCTGGTAGGTTCAGGTTGATGGGAGGGAGCGACAGGAGTGCAGCTGCTTTGTTGAAGTCGGATACAGATCGTGCTCCGACTTTGTTAATTCGTAAATCGCTTTGGTTTCCGTGTAGGAAGAAGGGTGCGACTCGATAGTAGGATGAGGAGCGGAAGTAGGCCTCGCGGGCTGAGACGGGGGAGCGTGATGCGTTGATGGAAGATGCTTTGGCGTGGATACCATCGCCAAGGTACATGAACTCTCTATACCAGCTCTCAAAATCTCCGGGGATGATTTGGCTGGCAGCTCGTAGTACCTCTCCTGTTGAGGCACCACCGCCGTTACTGAGTGCCAGGACGGTCTCCAAGACGAACGCGAACTCTGTGTCGTTGCTTAGTTGGTATATGGCATTTTTGTTGTTATCAACCTGGGCGAACTAATAATTTCGAAGGTATATTATTAGCATTCGCGAAAATTTTTCAAAGTCGGAGGGTTTCCTTGTGGGAAATACCGTTGGCAGAGCGAGCTGACAGCCCAAGAGTGCGAAAGCAAGAAAGCGCATGGCGTCGAACCCGAGTATGAGGGTCCTTCTTGAGAATTATGGTTGTTCCCGGTATTATAACAAAGCAGACACTTTGTTTTCTGTGAATTTTGTATAAGATAACAACCAACTGAAGATATCGATTGATTTTATATCCTCTCGCTGGGTCAAACTTGACGTTATGAAAGGTATTTTGACTCAGCCCTGCTCATAGACGATAGCGGGGGTCGCAATGTACACCTTTTTCGGTATGCACTAAGCAGCATTCTAGGGCCGAAGTCAATATTCCTATAGTGAATCAGTACAAAATAGCACCACGACAGCAGTTCTGATGAACAACTTGAAGGATAGTGGATCCCGGCCCCCAAATAAACCCGATCAGTTTACTTTATTGGGCTTAGTGGGAGTACGAGATTAGGTGTGCAGTACGTTCCTCACAGCCCCAATTAATCCACCTAAAGGTGTTTTCAATGTTCATTTACAGTAATCTCTTCGGCTAATATCACTAGTACTACTAGTACCAATTGCTCGAACAACGGCGATGTGATAGTAGTAATTTTCGACGTGAAAGCAAGCCGACAAAGCGGTGAACTGTATTGTATTAAGGCATTCCGTATTATTTTTTCTAGAAAGCAAGTTTTCTGAGTGTAGAGGGAGAGGTGAATTCGAAAACTAGTGTACCTGGATTAAACCGTATACAGTGGCGCCGCAAAAGTTTCCAACTAGTAGCTACCTGAGATGGAAGGAATTGGCCAAATTATTCCATCTCAGGTAGCTACTAGTCTGCCATTACAAGGCGGTAAATAATGGTGGGCAATAGGCAGTTGGAAACATCGTGTCCCAGACATCTTATGGAAGACCATTCATGAGAGCAGCAAAACTGTCTGTCATGGACCCCTCAAACTAGCTGGTTATTTGTCTTGCAAGAGGAGCGGTTGAAAAACCACTCCCCAGTCGGCTGCCGTAGAGTCTAGGCATCGCTGGGAGCGACTTGCGTGAGGTGAAGAAGAAGAAGAAGAAAAAAGAAGCCGAAAAAAGGGAGGAAAAGAAGTTCTTTTCTGCCGGAACCAAAATGGAAGGCGGTACCGAGGTCAGACCCAGTGACGGACTGGCGGTGAGCGTATATTGACGGTGAGTCTTTTCTGCCAGAATCAATTCTCTGCCGGCGATTGTTCTCTCCGCCCATTCTCCATTGTTGTTTTTGATTCACTCCATTATCCTTGTAATTATATTTCTAATTGGGTTGCATTGCATTGCCCCGCTTCTTTTTCTTTCTTTGAGCTTCTTTTTGGTTTCGTTACCCCTCCGAATTGGGGTTGTTGCACCGCCGATGCGCCGATTCTCCACGCGTGCATTGCTTCAAGCAAGACCGCCGCTTCTCTCCGCCAGATCTGCTTCTCCCCTCCCCTCTTTTCTATCCGCCCCTCGTTCTGCTTCTACGCCTGCTCCGAGACCACCTCGTCGTCCTCGCTCTCCTCTCTCTCAAACTTCCAAGCGCTATTGTTCCTACCGCAGAATGTGCAGCTCTCGACGTGGCGAGGTCTCCGGCTCGACCAATGTCCAGGGCCGTGAGGTCCTGCCCACCAACGTCAAGCCGGTGCACTATGACCTAACCCTCGAGCCGAACTTTGAGAAATTCACTTACGAGGGATCTGTTGTCATTGAGTATGCTTGTTACTCCATCTTTTTCTTTTCTCCATCCCCGCATGATCCATTGGTTTACTGACCGATGACCTTGCCAACTTTAGTCTCCATGTGAACGAGGACACCGACTTCGTCTCCCTCAACTCCAACCAGATTGATATTCACAGCGCCGTTATCTCCTCGCAGGGCTCCATTGTTGAATCCAAGCCTGAAATCTCCCTCAACGACGATGCTCAGACCGCCACAATTAAGTTCAGCCAGGCTCTCGCCGCGGGGTCCGATGCCCAGCTGAAGCTCACCTTCACTGGTATCCTGAATGACAACATGGCCGGTTTCTATCGCTCGTCGTACAAGGAGAATGGAGAGACCAAGTATATTGCCTCCACCCAGATGGAGCCTACCGATGCCCGCCGGGCCTTCCCTTGCTTCGATGAGCCTGCGCTGAAGGCCAAATTCACAGTGACCCTGGTCGCGGACAAGAGCATGACTTGTCTGAGTAACATGGATGTCTCCAGCGAGACCGACGTTCAAGGTAGCTCCAAGAAAGCTGTTAAATTCAACACTACCCCCGATATGTCCACTTACCTGGTTGCTTTCATTGTTGGACACCTTAACTATGTCGAGACCAAGAACTTCCGCGTCCCCGTTCGTGTGTATGCTACCCCCGACCAGGACATCGAACACGGTCGTTTCTCTCTGGAGCTCGCTGCCAAGACTCTGGCCTTTTACGAGAAGGCCTTTGACAGCGACTTCCCGCTGCCGAAGATGGACATGGTGGCAGTGCCCGACTTCAGCGCGGGAGCCATGGAGAACTGGGGTCTTATCACCTACCGAATCGTCGATGTGCTGCTGGATGAGAAGACCAGTGGTGCTTCGCGCAAGGAGCGTATCGCCGAGACCGTTCAGCACGAACTGGCTCACCAGTGGTTTGGTAACCTGGTGACCATGGACTTTTGGGATGGCCTGTGGCTCAACGAGGGTTTCGCAACCTGGATGTCTTGGTACTCTTGCAACGTTTTCTATCCCGAGTGGAAGGTCTGGCAGACCTACGTTATCGACAATCTGCAGGGTGCCCTTTCTCTGGACTCCCTTCGTTCCAGTCATCCCATCGAGGTGCCTGTCAAGCGCGCCGATGAAATCAACCAGATTTTCGATGCCATCTCCTACTCCAAGGGTTCTTCCGTACTCCGCATGATCTCCAAGTATCTCGGTGAGGATGTCTTCCTGCAGGGTGTCCGCAACTACATCAAGAAACACGCCTACGGTAACACTGAGACTGGTGATCTGTGGTCTGCCCTTGCCGATGCAAGCGGTAAGCCCGTACAGTCTGTCATGGACATCTGGACCAAGAACGTTGGATTCCCTGTCATCGGTGTCACTGAGAACCCCAGTTCTTCCTCCATCACCCTGAAGCAGAACCGCTTCCTGCGCACCGGTGATGTCAAGCCGGAGGAGGACAAGGTCCTCTTCCCCTGCATGCTGGGCCTGCGCACCAAGGATGGCGTCAACGAGAATACCATGCTGACCGAGCGCGAGGCTGAGTTCAAGGTTCCCGACCTGGACTTTTTCAAGGTCAATGCCGATCATTCCGGTATCTACCGCACCTCCTACACCCCTGAGCGCCTCACCAAGCTCGGCAAGGCTGCGCGTGATGGCCTGCTGTCCGTCGAGGATCGCGCTGGTATGATCGCTGACTCCGGTGCCCTGGCTGCCTCTGGCTACCAGAAGACTTCTGGTATGCTGTCGCTGCTTCAGGGGCTTGACACCGAGTCGGAGTTCGTTGTCTGGAACGAGATCTTGACCCGTATCGGTACCCTCCGTGCCGCGTGGATGTTTGAGGACAGCAAGACCAAGGACGCCCTCAAGGCTTTCCAGCGTTCGCTTGTCTCTTCCAAGGCCCACGAGCTTGGCTGGGACTTCTCCGAGAAGGATGACCACATCCTGCAGCAGTTCAAGGCCCTCATGTTCGGCTCTGCCGGTATGGCCGAGGATCCCATTGTTATCAAGGCTGCCCAGGATATGTTTGCCCGCTTTGCCGCCGGTGACCTCTCTGCCATCCACCCTAACATCCGTGGCAGTGTCTTCACTATCGTGCTGAAGCACGGTGGTGTCAAGGAATACGATGTTGTCCTGGACCGCTTCCACAACGCCGCGACCTCGGACGAGAAGACCACTGCCCTGCGTTGCCTGGGTTCTGCTCCAGACCCTGCACTCATCAAGCGCACCCTCGGCCTGGCCATGGGTGACGAGGTCAAGAACCAGGATATCTACATGCCCCTTAGCGGTCTCCGCAACCACCAGGCCGGCATCGAGACCCGCTGGTCCTGGCTGAAGGAAAACTGGGACTCTATCTACCAGCGTCTACCTCCCTCCCTCGGCATGCTGGGAACTGTTGTCCAACTCACTACTTCCAGCTTCAGCACCGAGGCCCAGCTGAACGATGTCAAGGCATTCTTCGATGCCAAGGACACCAAGGTTAGTTTCTTACCAAAAAACTATTCATTTTCCCAAAGATTCCTTTTCGCTAACATCATTCTTTTCTAGGGCTACGACCGTGCCGTAGAGCAAAGCCTCGACGCCATCCGCGCTAAGGTCAACTGGATCGGCCGTGACCGCGATGATGTCGAAACCTGGTTGAGCAAGAACCAAAGCAAGCTGTAGACGAATCTTCACTACAAAGCTCTACAAATAATGAAGTATTAAAGATATAGTTTCCCTGAGAAGACGGGTTTTCCTTTGAAGGCTGTTTACTTTGAACCCAAGACAGGGTTGTCGCAGTCGCACACGGGTTGTGTCTCTGTTGAATAACATCAAAATCAAACTCAACTCATCGTCATAGACCTAGTTCCTTGAAAATGAAATTCAATGCCGGCTAGATTTAATAATGGACTCGAAATGTAAGCGTAGCATGTTAATACAGCGGCGCCGCAGAAGTTTCCAACCCCAACTGCCCACCATTAATTACCTACTAATGGCAGACTAGTAGCTACCTGGGATGAAATAGATTGGCCAATTTATTTCCTCACGTAGCTACTAGTGAGAAACTCTTGCGGCGCCGCTGTAGAGAACAGCCCTGCCTCGTGCACCGCCAAGAGAGAATTACTATACTCCGTACTTATACGGTAATTGAAAAGGAGGACGGTCATTATAAACTTCTGTTTGGCTGGTATATATCCATGTACTGTAATTTCTGGCCCCGGGGGCCAAACGTAAGGCGTTTTCTTGGGGCCAAATGGGCTGAGTTCAAGTTTTCATTTCCCAAATCACTGATGCCTAGAGCCTCGATATTCGACTTTGATAACCCGCGTCAGGTACATCAAGACTTCTCACGACTGTCTCACGTTCAATCAATCAACTTGAACATATTCCCCATCCAATGGACCGGACGTCAGACTCTGAAATTCCGCTCGAGTCGAACGACCGTAGCGATAAACTCCCGTTGTACGACGACGCGATCAATAACTTGAAGTCATCCTCCAGCCCACTCAAAACTTCCCTTTCTGACGACCACCAAAGCAATACGAATGCATACCCTCCCGTTTACGTCAATAAAACGATTGCCGAAGACCCACAGGCGCTATATGATCTCATTCGCGAGCAAGCCCGCCTCCCACCACGAGTGTTGCTTCATATCAGACAGAACCCTTGCGGGGGGCGCTTCATACCCAACTTCAACTTCAAGATTGACTTAACCTCTACTCTACTTCGGCTTAATTCAAATCACAGCGATTGGAACGAGCTTAACGTTGTTCGCGATGGGGATGGGGTAGAAGCTTATCGCGGTGGTTGGTCCACGTCTCTGAAATGGGAACACGGTTTCCGCGTTAGAGGCATTCGTGCGGAAAAGGATTCGGAGAATGGATATGGCGAGTCGGAAAGTCAAACCCTCCTAGGGATGAATAGGAACGGCTCGAATGAAGAGGATTCCTCTCTTATGGCCTGGTGTGAGCGGTTCTGTCGCGATCCTGCTGTGGGTAAGACATTCATGCTCCAACGAAAGTTGGAGGGATTCGATCAAGAATCTCTACGGGCCGAAGTCGACTGGTACTTACGTTCAATGAACTACGAGGGGGGATGCCTAACCACATGCCATGTCTTGAACACATCGCTCAAGGTCTATTCGCCACACTGGTATAGTCATATACGGGAAAGTATCTTTGTCAAATCGCTACGGTTTTGTCTATTCCCTTTGTTCACTTACTTGGAAGGGCGCTATGAGGTCGTACGCTCAACGTGGTGGTCATCACGGATGATTAAAGATACCAATGCACCATTCGGGCTTAGCAAAATCTATGCACATGGCCGGAATGAAGCAAAGCTTGTGGACTTCTGGTCCGCTGCTATCGCTCAGGCAGTTAGGGATCGAGAGAACTCCGGTAGGGTTCTCGGATTGGAATACTTGGAGAGTCTGCAGGAGCGCGCACAGGAGCGTAAGGCACATTTTGGGCCATTCTTACCGGAACGAATTGCGTCAGGTAGCTCAACGGCTGGAAGAACACAGACCGGTGGTTCTAACCCCCCCTAGGGGAGGAGGAGGACATGCCAACACTGTGGGCTCCTAGTAAATACATTGCGACGCTCTTGGGCTGTATTTAAGAACCCAGAATCCTCTTTAGGATGATTCTGACTCGGGAGATGTTGTCAGCATATTCTCTAGCTTCCTCTCCTCCTCTCCTCCCCTCCACAATTATACATCTCTCAATTTTCCTTCTCCTCCATGCGTACTAAGCCACGTACAGGGTGTAGCCCCCATGATCGCTTGAAATCAGCTCATCGGTATGAGTATAAGTTGGACAAGATCCATGATTTTCGCGATCAGATCAAGCCTGAAGTCAAGCAGGATCATTGAATAACTAGTGACAGTTTTCTACCTTAACTGTTCTTTCCTAGTGTAGCCTATCGGGTCCATGCCTTTTACTAGTATGACCAATCAATCCCCACTAGGGCTAGTGCTGGGCATTTTAAATAATATAAAAATGTATGATTCAACAGCCATTATTACCAACATTTTAAATGTTCAATTTATGTTGTCCCGTGTTTCCAATGTTGCAACTGGAAGATTTGCGTGCCAAGTCATGTTTCTCTGATTACCTTTATGTATAACCCTACTAATGAGGTTTCGGCGTAGTGTTATCCTACTTCAATTAGTGGGCTCGACTCAACCCAGACTAGTAAATATACTCTGTACAATACTGCATATAGCTTATATAAAGGTATAGGAACTTGAATTTGGATATTCTAGGATTAGTTGAAGATACATTTTGCAGTACCACGGGGCGTGATGGCGTGCTTGATTTCCCTTCTTGGCGACCGGAGATTCCCTTTCTGGGCGGCTCTCGGCGGATCTTGGAACCTCGTAGAGGTTGCCTGAACCTAGGGTATCCATATTAGCTACAATATGGCGTAATATGTCGATATCTTATGTGGCGGCCTATTAACTGTGCGCAAGTAGTATAGTATGGAGTACTCCGAACCTTGAAATGAACCAGTGGAAGGGGTCAGGGAACGTTTTGTGATTTGCCTAAGATGGAACCGTCTAAGCCAAGAAAGGCTGGACCCTGAATGTCTATTTGATCGCACTTTTCCCGATTCTCTTCGGCCGCACCGGCTTTGGATAGCGGCTTCCTCGGTTTGACAGAAGTTACCGAGCTTTCAAGTTTTTGTCTACGTTCAGAGACCGACGCGATCATATTTTTGTTATAAAATAAAATATCTTTCATTCTCTCGGTTTATTCGGAGTTTTTCTTCTACCACTCTCACTTTCGAAAATTATCGGTATACCGCTTCGCAAATCACTAGCTTCAACTCTAGCTTAAAAACTACCCGTTCGCGCTATAAACAACGACCTGCCAATTTAGTCCATCGCCCAGCACATCGTATTCTAGAAGGATTTCTGGTCAGGATCTGTGCGGCAACATTCGACTTTTCTGTCTGGTGGCACGAGGTAGCATCCAACTCAGCCTCGTCCCTATTGCATCACGTTTAGTGCCAGCACGCCATTTATATACCGTTGCTAACCGTGCCCAGATTCAAGTCATCATATATATACAGAAAGAACTTTGAGTCTCAAAAAATTCTCGTAATATCGTCTCACATAGATCGCAGTGTTGGCTGATCACAATGGCTGATCCGGCTGGTCCCTCTCTTGAGGCAGGCGTCGTAAACAAGTCGCCTTTCACAGATACGAAAACCACCGAAGACGGTGCTCAACCAGCAGATGGAGTCACTGGTCTATGTATGTTTCCCTCTTTCTTCTCGAAACTTATATATTACCGTCTCCGAGGCTGACCATTCGGATCTAGATGAGGGAAATGTGTTCGAAACATCCCCAGACAGTCGGCGACAGATCGGCGTGTTTAGTGCGATCGCGCTGATCTTTAACCGGGTAGTCGGGACTGGTATTTTCGCAACCCCCAGTACAATCTTGAGTCTATCTGGGAGTGTTGGGCTCGCACTATTCATGTGGGTGATTGGTACAATCATTGCCCTGGCTGGAACAGCAGTGTACTTGGAATGGGGAACTGCGATTCCGAGGTAAGATCTACTACATCTTCCCTGCATCTAATTCCTCAATAAAAACTCCAAAACTAACTAAATTCTCTCATCCAGAAACGGAGGCGAGAAAAACTACCTCGAATATATTTACAAAAAACCCAAATTCCTTGCCACGGCGATGTTCGCCGCCTACGCCTTTCTGTTGGGATGGGCCGCCAGCAATAGTGTTGTCTTTGGCGAGTATATCCTCAATGCCGCAGAAGTCGAGGTTGGCCGCTGGAATCAGCGTGGGATTGGATTGGCTTGTTTGACAACGGCTTTTCTCATCCACGCATTTGCTTTGAAATGGGGCATTCGTCTGACCAACTTTCTTGGGGCGATCAAGTTGATCGTCATGTTGTTCATTGTTGTGAGCGGATGGGTCGCTTTGGCCGGTCATACTAAGATTGAAGCGCCGCATAATTTCAGAAACGCATTTGAAGGGACGAAGGGGGGTGGATACAGCATCGTTATGGCGCTGTACAACGTCATCTGGTCATTTATTGGTTACTCCAATGCCAATTATGTGAGTGGTTGAAAAATAACCCGCAAGTCCAGATACTAGTACAACGCTAATATGTTTTAGGTCCTGAGTGAGACGAAGAACCCGGTTCGCACCTTGAAGATAGCCGCCCCAGTGGCTATTATCTCAGTCGGTATCCTGTACATGTTCGTCAATATCGCCTACTTTGCTGCAGTTCCGAAACAGGAGATGCTCGATTCTGGAACTTTAGTTGCCGCAGCATTTTTCAAAAATATGTTTGGGAAGCAGGCCGAAAAGGCGATGTCGGTACTCGTGGCTCTATCTGCCTTCGGAAACGTACTTTCTGTTATTTTCTCACAGGGCCGCAGTAAGTCTTCTATCCACCTCATGCCATATATTTCAAAGCTAACGATATTCTTCCAGTTGTCCAAGAGCTAGGTCGTGAAGGCGCATTGCCATTCTCGAAGATCTGGGCTAGTAACTGGCCGTTGAATTCCCCTGCCGCTGGCCTTTTTGAGCACTGGGTGGTTTCTGCCATCATCATGCTTGCACCTCCTCCCGGAGATGCATATAATTTCTTACTCAAGTAAGCTCACATTAAACTCCTGACTGGAAAGCAGCCTCTAATAAAGTAATAGCCTCATTTCATACCCCCTCTCGATCATCAACGTCTTCGTCGGTGCCGGGTTAGTCTACATTTACCTGACCCGGGAAAAGAACTTTCCGAACTGGTCACCAGGTATCCGAGCAACGCTCCCCGTGGCAATATTCTTCACACTGTCCAACGTTTACTTGGTTATTGCGCCATATATTCCCCCGAGCGATGGCCAAAGTGTCTATGAAGATTTGCCATACTTCTTGCACTGTGTGGTCGCATTGGGTGTTTTTGCTTCTGGTGCTGTCTATTATCTTGTCTGGGCGGTCTTATTACCCCGTTGGGGTGGATATATATTGGTCAAAGAGACAGTAGTAGATGCGGATGGATGGTCGCGCAGCGTGTTTACGCGGATAGATGGAAAAAGAGGCAGTTGAGGGCGACCTCTAGGATTAATTTGCTGAAGATAACTTTTTCCGAATGCGTGAATAGAATTCTTTACGATGGCGCGTCTATATGGCTTCAATCTGGATACATAATGTTCTTAGCGATATGGCTTGAAAGAGAAATCGAGTTGGCATATGGTTTGCTAGAGTTAATTTCTTTCGTTCTCATCTTGCGTAACACTTTATAGTCTATCTGTATATATTAGTGGTATTCTTGTATAAAAAGCCAACAAGAGTAACCATACAATATGTGAGACATGGTTTTCATATGAGCCGTCACAAGAGAAGCTAGCCCAGAGTGGATATTAGGCGAAGCTCTACATTTATAATTGTGTGAAGTCTTGGAACTGAATTCGAATGGTCTGAGCCGGAAACCACAACTTCATGGGATGTACTACACCCCAACGCTAAGTGATGGTAGATTGAACGCCCAAAACGGCTACTCGACGCAATTTGTTGAGGCTGCCATGCCTCAGACTGCTCCAGTTCGCCTAGATTAGCCTCCCTCCTTTGTCATATCAATCTACACCTAACATCATCTCCATCCTTTCTCTTTCGTCATCACTATTCTAAGTGTTTATTCTACCAAAGTCTTAGTTGTCCTTATATCACTTGTGTCGGACTCAAACCATTCTAGTTGTTTGCTTACAGATTGTTCCCTGGGCCTTCTTTAAAACCTCCCTGGGTACTCCCTTAGTGCTCCCTAAGAGCTTATGGCTACTTAACATTTAAGGATTAGCTCCATCCTACTTAGGGGACTCTGGGTAGACGATTAGGTATATTGTTAGTATCCTTTTTCTGTATTGTCTGTAGACTCCCACATGACGAACTTAATCCGGACTGGGTTGGGTTTTGGGTCAGAGTCCTTAACCCAGAACTACCCGCAAGGGACCACAGTTCTGCCGAAGTCTAGTTAGTTGTGGCTAGCGGTCTCCCGATCCGCATAGCGCATATACACGAGACATCTGAATGGTAGGTCGTAGTTGTAGAAAAAACATGGCTGTGTTAGATTTACTATCTTACGTCGACACGACCAGTGACGCAAATCATGTTCGTGGGAAATATTGGGGGTTGGGGTTTCATGCACAGCTAACGCCATTAATACCATTGACGATATTAAATTTTGGGGCCAAATAAGGCCGACGGGAGTAAGTCGGAAACCAGATCCCAAGACTTCCAGGTGTCCTTATGGGGATCTTATCTCGAAATGCTAGGGATTACAACGCCCCTGCGCTGATATACTGAAGTGCGATGCTCCCCGCTATGAACTGGCCCAATCAATGCCTCATGTTGACGCCAAGGGTTTCGTTAAGTTGACACAATCTATGTTACTCCCAAAGAGTTCCGCCATACAGTAGAATTCTTTATCTTACGGTTCTTTTACAGTGAGTAGCAAAAGTTCCAACAAGAAGAGGGAAAATAAGAAGAAAGAAGACAGAGAAAATAGTAGGCACACAAGTTGAAATAGGGAAGAGAAAGAAAGTCAGGAGGCTGGAATGGCAGTCATCAACCTCTTCTAGGTGCGCCAAAAAATGTACATGAAAAGAAATACAGGAAACCGACTTTGGTACTTATTTATTGGAACAGAAGATGTGTCTGGTTGCCCGACTGTGTTATCTGATCTTATGAGTCTGCAAATAAATCAATCGACCACTGGCTTAGGCAGAGTATCCTCGAGGCTTGCACCCTCCCCTTTGGCAATACCTCCCTGGTCACTAGGCTTAGGCACATCGTCATCATACTTTGCATCATCCCCACTGGCAATTCCGGTACCTACAACCGCCGGGATAGAATCCTGAAGTGCTGCCTCCTCGCTATTGGCAATTCCATTTTGGACAGTGGTGTTGGGTACATCTTCATCGAAATTTGCACCATTCCCATCGGCAATTCCGTTCCCAGTCGCAGGAGGCACAGTCTCCTGAAACGTTGCACTATTTCCTTTGGCGATCCCCCCAGGGTCTGGGTTTTGATCATTTCCACTATCTGTTCCTGAACCTGGTTTCTCACACCCTGAAGTGCAAGGGAGCCCGGCAAGGCCCTGTTTTCCATCGGCGCCAGGAGAACCCTTAGGACCCTGATCGCCTTGCTTCCCTTGAGGTCCCGATGGGCCTCCCGGTCCTGCTGGTCCTGCTGGTCCTGTTGGCCCTGTTTGTCCTTGTGCCCCTGGTGACCCCTGCGGCCCCTGTGGACCAACAGACCCCTGAGGACAAATAGTACATGGCTGTTGCTGACCAGGTGGTTGAACCTGGATAGCTGGCTTGTCAGGCTGAGGTTGAGTGACTGGTTGTTCGGGTTGAGGTTGAGGTCGAGTAACTGGCTGTTCAGGCTGAGGCTGAATGACTTGATATATAGGCTGAGGCTGTATAGGCTGAGGCTGTATGACTGGCTGTCCAGGTTGGAGCTGAATGAATTGCCCACCGGGCATAACCTGTGGCAGATACGGCATCTGCTGCTGCGGCCCAAGTCCATATAGCAGACCCTGACCACCCATATTCACGGTGCCGGGTATACCGATGTATGAAGGTTGTTGAGGTGAGAAGAAATTAGGCTGCTGGGGTGGGAGGAGGTGTGGCAGGATAGGACCGCCGAGGGATCCCATGCATGGTCCACCTTGGCCAATGCCAGATTGAGGAAACCAATTCTGCATGCCCCCTATTGCTTGTTGCATTGTGTTGAGGCATGGTTGTTGGACTGGTTGAGATAGCGAGATGGGTGTGCATTGTGTGCTTGAGATGCAGATGTAAGGGGTTTGGGCGAATGATAAATCAATGAATATGAAGAATGCAATTGAGCTCGTTGAAGCGACTATGATCTTCATTTCCCTGTTAACATGGAGAGTTAGATAGCGGATGGTAATATCCTGGGTAAGGGCTTGGTAAATTTGCTGTGACGGGAATGAGAAGCCTCAAAGTCGCAGTTAAGTAGTATCTGTCTACAGTATGTAACAGATAAGTAGACACCAATAATAATTTCAATCAATGGTTAGAAGCCAAAAACGGGCGTACAAAGGTTACAAGGGCAGTAGTCGACATGTCGAAACGGTAATTTCCGTGTCCGGGAATGCCACATACCACGTAGCATGCACGTTGCACAGAGCATAGAAGTGTGGGGGTATTACAACGCTAGTGTCTGATGAAAGATTGAATTGTTGATAAAAGGAAAGAAATAAAATCGTTATATTGGCATTTGTAAATGTAAGAGACTTCGTAGTAAAGGTTAATGTGGGATACGGGGCGATGGAAAGACAGATATCAGATAAAATGATCAATTCTTTGATGAAGAGACGATGATGGAAGAAGAGAAACCTAGCTAGAGAGAAACTATCTACCCCCCCATCTGTTAGGCGAGAGAGCCTGCACTCAGCCCGACTTCCCCAACAGAAGCTCAATAGGATCATTCTTGCTCGATTTCTGTCTAGAACTTTCTTTAGAAAGGGATCCTAACCATTGCTGTGTAGAACATAGCCATATTTGTCCTGCACAGGAATGACAGGCAGCTGCATATTCTTCTCATCAACTGGGTTGAAAAACAGTTTGTTCGCATAATCCTTGTATTTCTTCACTCGCTCCAACCCGTCTGGTCCAACACCATGAGGGAAAATGAAGATCTGTGGATGAGGACCTGTTGAGCGTCAGATATAACCATGGCATAGTATCAAGAGAGTCTATTTCACGTACGCGGATCCTTGGAACTTTCTCTGCTCTTTTTGTAATACTCCTGATAGTCTTGCATCACCTGGCCAAAATATGCATGGGCAGTGAATGCATTCTCGAAGACCAGAACCCATTTGGGACGAACATTCTGCCCGATACTCTGCATGCCATATGCATAGAACGAATTGAGGCGACCTGCTACCAGGTCCTCCTCCGCCTTCTGCTTCGTATTCTTCTCATTCTTTTGGTTATCCTTGATTTTTTGCTTCTCCTCTTCGGCTGTACTGTTGTTCTCTTTGGCACGCTTTGCGGCCAGAACATCGATCTTTGCTTCACCTTGCTGACCTCCTACACCAACAAGTTTCTGTTTGTAGTCATTTGATGAGCTTTCTTTTCTCGATACTTTCGCGTCATATGGCCATTCTAGGTATAGCGTACCTTTTGATTGTCCAGGTCAAGATTGAGAATTTGATCAATACCAAGACCCTGCACTGTCTCTCCCAAACCTCCTGTCGAAACGTTAATTCAACTTTTATATATTACCACCTGGGGTAGTGTCGCGATGGGAGAGCTTACCTGCTCCACCAGCTCCAGGTAAGGGCTTACCAACCCCTCCACCACCTGCAGTGCTCGCTAACCCGTCTGTTGCCGAAAGATCTAAGCCTCTCACTACTCCAGATAGAGGTGATATCAGTAGGCCAAAGAATGCGAGTTTGAAGTTGAAAGTATCACGCATTTTGGTTTGAAAAGTCCTTTATTTTCGTGCTCTAAAAGGCAAAATCCGAAGGAGAAGCTCTGTATATCTTTAGTTCAGCATTCTTGAGATAGAGTGTGGCTTATACCAGAAAAAACTGCACCACCGTGACCAAGGCCAAAATCTGGCGTAAGCCCACTACCAATCCACAGTCGCACCCCGTAGATTGTCATGAATCATAGAATATAAACAGATGGATCACATCACACAACTTTTTGGACCTTGTAATTTGAACAGACAGTAAGGTCACTAAACGTACATTACCTTTTCATATGGATTACGTCTTTCTGAAGGTGAGTGGGCTAGTATGTGTCATAGAGGTTGTAAATAGGACGTAGCTGAGTGGATTTGGAGAGCTAAAACGTCATTCCTACTTTCACACCACCTTTTATTCATCATGCTAGGTCTGTTTTCAGCAGGATCGGCCGTCTCTAGAGTCGGCAGTGTCATAGACTTGTGTGAATAGATGTTGAAATAGGCCCTTGGACCGAGCTGAAAGTCATACTACTCAATCCTGGGTCCGTGCGTAGCCCTTTATAGTATGGCCCGGGGGTGGAATGCGAAGGTATAACGTTGGAAGCGAATGCGGTTGTGACATATCATGACATCTCATCCGGAACTTGAATTGATAAGTTGAATTCTGGAAACGGATATGGCGGATACTTAGTACATGGACCCTAGAGAAGGAAAGTATAACTCAGCGCATTCATGTCAATAGACCCATTTTCTCTCCTCAGCCACAAGGGTGTTCCTATCTCTTCATTCCAAGTTGTCCACCACTCCCCGAGCAAAAATGCAGGCCAATTTCCTTTTACTATGGGCTTTTATTTCTTGTTTGCATAGTGCCACCGCACAATTCTATGCTGGATGCATTGCCCCCCCCTTGTTACCCACCAGGGTACGCGTCTTATTGCAGTGTTGTTCCCAATACACCTTTATGTCTTGGTTCTGGGAATCTGGGAGGACTGCCTCCCGGATGGAATGGGAATGGAATGGGTTACCCAGAACATCACCACCATCAAATGCGGCCACCGCCACCACATCCGCCGCCTGGATACCAACCTCCTTATCCTGTGCAACAACCCTATCCACCACCTTTATATCCACCGACTCCGCCTACACCACCACCAGGATATCCTTATCCCTATCCTCCTCAATACCCTTATCCTTATCCCATTTACCCACAGCCGCCGCGAGAACCAGATCACCCGCCAACTACCAGACCACTTTATGAACCAACTACCAAACCTTGTGAATGCCCCGTGAGCTCTGAGTGCAAGATGGGGGACAAGGGCGAGAAAGGAGAAAAGGGAGAAAAGGGAGATAGAGGTGAAAAAGGGGAATGTGACTGTAAAATAAACAAATGAGGGATTGCGGAAAGCACGAATCTTCCACAATGCTTTTATCGGACTATCCTATATGCTTAGCTTTTAGGCTGCGAAAATGCTCGAGTGTTTCCAACAGGCTATTTGAAAGAGAACTGAAGAATACCCGTGATACTAATTAGGTAGCTAATTGTCCTCGGTATAATAAGTCGATGATTTCATGGAAGCATTTTTGGTAGCGGTGGCGTCAGGCTGAACATCTATGCAACCGGACGTGTACGGTAAGTGGGAAGAGTACCAACTGGGAAATGCAATGTGACTTCTTGATCATATCGGATGTGACTTTATTCCCTCGCTATATTAACAGTACCTTATACTTCTTCCCCCGAAGAGGCCTGCTAAGGGGACGTTACATGTAGAGTAGAACATGGTGCTTCTCAAGCTAGTGCTTCTATAATGACAGGAAACATTTTGCATAGACATGTCTTTCTATACTACATTGTGCATAGAGTACAAATGCAATAGTGGTCGCTGTAACCAATATCTCTCAGCTTGCCTGGTTAATCATAGATAATGTCAATCATGATCCAAGTACCACGGAACTATGCCTTGGTGGATTGCTTTGACCTACCTGATTACGTGTAATACTCTCGCTAGTCTCACTGGCTTTCATTAAAACCGAGAAAAGATACATTCCTATTCATAAGCTACTTCCCATGGTAGTTTTGTTTCATGGGCTGAAGATTTCAAGTATCCTCGGGCTTGACTACTCGCTTATACCTGGCTCCATCATACAGTTCAACTAAAGATCTCTGCATCATGAAAGGGCCATTTATTTTGTTGCTATCCATTAGCTGCATGATCCATGCTCAGTTATGTGCAGGTCGCTATCATGTACCTGTGATGCCTGGGTTTTTATCAGGGCAAGATTGGTCGCACAGCCCAGGCTACAATTGTCACAATGGCGGGAATCAATTCCAGCAATTCTCTTCATACCCATACTCGTCAACACCATTCCACCATGACCTTGAATATCAACATAATGCTTGCTGTCCTGGCAATACGGGCACTTCAACTTGGTCCGACCATAGATTTGAAATGCCTTTGTGGCCTGCAAATCCCACCGGAAAGCCTCCATGGACATGGCAATGTGATCGAGATCCTTATGGGCAATACCCGGACTATAGTTTCTCTTCCAGACCTGGATACAGCACAGTATGGAGCGATTACGGGGCCTGTAATGACAAAGTCCACAAAGCAGTAGTCATTTGCAGAGCTGAAGAAACGGAAAGTTGTAAGAAACAGATTGCAACTCTGGACCACAAGCTTCGTGAACACTGCACAAAGGCGATCGAGAACACATGCAAAAATAACTTCCGTCAACCTCAGTCTGGGGATGACTGCAAGGAAAGTTGCAAAAAGGAAAAGGCTTTTCTGGAAGATCGACTCCAAGCACAGTGTGCAACTGCACAATTAAACGCAGCAACAAAATGCAAAAGTGACCAAGATACGATGGCTGAAGGGCACCGAAAATCAAACAAGTTGCTCGAGCAGGAGAACGAGAGGTTAAGGAAGCAGAACGATGAGCTTACGCAAAAGGCAAAGGACGACCAGAAGACCAAGGAGGCGCTCCAGCAAGAGAATGATCGACTGAAGAATCAGGAGGACAAGAACGCCCAGAAGGCAAAGGACAATCAGAAGGCCAAGGAGAAGCTTGAACAGGCCAACGAAGCGCTTGAGCAGGAGAACAAAGGTTTGAAAAAGCAGAACGATGAACATGCGCAAAAGGCAAAGGATGATCAGAAGGCAAAGGAAAAGTCCGAGCGAGACAACGAAGAGCTCGAACAAGAGAACAAGAAGTTGAAGAAGCAAAACGACGGACATACGCAAAAGGCAAAGGACGATCAGAAGATCAAGGATGACCTCGAGAAAGAAAATGACAGATTGAAGAAGCAAGAGGGGAAGGACCCCCAGAAAACAAAAGATGACCAAAAAGCTATGGAAGATCTTAAGAAAGAAAACGACAGATTAAAGAAGCAAGAGGGGAAGGACCCCCAGAAAACAAAGGATGACCAGAAAGCTGTGGAAGAACTCAGGGAAGAGAATGACAGATTAAAGAAGGAAGAGGAGAAAAACGCCCAGAGGACTAAGGACGACCAGAAAGCTATGGAAGAACTCAAGAAAGAAAACGACAGATTAAAGAAGCAAGAGGGGAAGGACCCCCAGAAAACAAAGGACGACCAGAAAGCTGTGGAAGAACTCAGGGAAGAGAATGACAGATTAAAGAAGGAAGAGGAGAAAAACGCCCAGAGGACTAAGGACGACCAGAAAGCTATGGAAGAACTCAAGAAAGAAAACGACAAATTGAAGGCAGAATCGAGACCAGAGCAACAACTCAACAAAACCGCTTCTCAGCCCAACTCCTCGAAATCCGAGCTTGAAGCTTTCTCTGGTAAAGGCTGCCCATCACTGCACGGTGAAAAAGCAACAGTATTTGGTGTGACATATGAAGCTTTCTGCGGCGCTAGACCTCGTGGTCGATACACCGATGACTACATCAACTCGAAGAATCTTGGGGACTGCATGGGAGCCTGTACAGTTGACCGAAGCTGCCAAGGAATCCACTATGAGACTTCCCTCGCCCGGTGTCGGATGACAATGGATTGGGACAATCCTCCACGCCTGTGGGCGGATAGTTCGGAATTTAGTCTCGTTCCTGTTGCTCCCCGAGAGGGAGGCATCGGTGCCATGACACCAGACGTCCCTAGTATTTTGATCAAGGATAAACACGGGGAGTACGCCGGTTGTCCAGACACAGATGGCATGATTGTTTCCGCTGGGTCACTTCAATTCCGGGTCCACTGCAGGATATACCAGCCCAAGAAGCATATTGAAAAACTGGGTTCGTCGCTCAGACTTAGCGGGATGCTGGCTATCTGTGCTCTTAACCCAGGTTGTCAAGGTATTGCAAATTTTGCCAGCACCAGGTATATGATTGCAGAGCATGAAAGATTGCCGGAAAGGACGAAGAATTCGGATCTTGTGAAGGAGTATGATTGGGTTGTCATGTTGACAGAGCCGAGAGTGGCAACATAATTGGTATAGGTGATACTTCGGAAGCTTTAATTTCTAATTAATATGGTTTTCTTTTATTAAAAGAAGAGAATCTACTGTATACAGGCGTATTGATTTGTTCTGAAGGGTGTACTCTGTGTTTTCTGATTGAGACTTGCGGGCAACTCGAGTTTCGACCTCTAATTGCACCCTGTCTTGGGCGTATACAAACTCAGTCTACGAATGGGGGAAAACCTGAGCGACTACCGTCTTCTCTGAATTAAAATAAACCACGTTGCCTGTGAGGAGCTCATGTACTCACAGAGATCAAGATACGACGTAGCTTAGCAGGCAAAGGCAAAAAGGCATGTCAGATATTCGAGGGGATACCAGGCGCTCCCGTTTCTGAGGCTTTCTGTAAGGCCGGTTGCACTGATGCATGGGGCTGTGGTGTGAATGAGTGCTAGTTCGTTACTAGTTGAAGTTGGTGTGGGCGTGAACCTAGGACTTGGATTTTTCTGTGCAACACAGCTAAGCCAAGGTCTGTTTCAAGGATTGGCCTGATATGTCACTAGTTTTCAATTTTAGGATTCGGCATTGTACTACTAGGAACTACTAGTAGCTGGTAGCGTGGAGATGATAGGGTTTGAAGGAAACATAAGATTACTATAGATACACAGAACTGCAAGCTTCAGAATAAATCAATCTCATCTAGGTATATGCATAAGATCCACCAGTATCAGTCCCGAGTCCAATATAATCCATCGAGGTCCAATCCACCCCAGTCCAGCCAGGCAAAGCCAAGCTAGAACTTTCTAGTCTTGTACATTTAACTCGAGCACGTCTGCGGCAGTCAGCCGGGATAGAAAATATGATGACTTTCCAATTCTTGGAAGTTGTAGAGTGCAACTAGTTATCATGTTTTCTCTCAAGGACAGGTGGCCCAGATAGAACGCGTCATCCATCAGATCGACATCTAATAACTTGAATCAATAGTAGTTATTCATGTAGACCATCTGGCTGAGACGCCGGTGGCAGTGTGGGGTATCATTGGAAGGACCTTAAGTGGACTAACTAGAAGCACGCTTCTAGCCGGCATTCAAGGGATTAATTCCACATCGAGAAAAGAATAAAATGTTTAAAAAGAAAATCAGAGAAACAAAGTGCCAGTCTGTATAACCCCCCAAGAACAACGCCAGTTAGAAAAAAAGAGAATCAAGCGCAAGAAAAATCAGAAATCCAAGAAGGAAAGAAAGAGAGAGAAAAAAAAACTCCTTGTCCCCTCGTGCAGTGGGATATATGGCTGACGAACGAGATTTGAGGGGATAGCATCATGAACATGAGATTAGCATCTCTACCAGATGAGAGATGAGAAAGTGTCGAAATTGGACCAAAAGCAGGACCAAGGAATCAAAAAGGCTTATATGGCATGAATCAAAATGTTGCGTTGCGAAGCGCAAAGTAGAAAGGTTAGGAGATCAGTGAGACAGAAGGAGGTGGCTTCCTAATTCACCAGGAATTTCTCGTTGATAGCACCAAAGTAGGAAGAAATTTACAGCGGATTTAACGGGGCGGAGTGGCTTGTGATATGGGGACCAAGTTGGATGTGGGCATTCGACCGGTACTAGCCATTGTGGGAGTTGGTGCCGACGCACGCTTTGACAAGATAGCCAGCTTCTTGCGGAGAGCACCCAGGCGAGTGCGCATGCTCGACACCACTGGTCTTGTGTTAGTGATTGGTTGCACGTTAGAAATCGATGGATGGGAAACTCACTCTTCACCACGACCTGTCGATCCTCCACTTGTAATGCATCCAGTGATGACTTTTCGCTGCCTTGGAATGAGCTTCCGCTGGAGGATCGGAGTCCATCGTCCTCGAGTACAGCCTCCAACATTCGAATGGCAGTGACGTAGGCAATCTCGCAGCCTGCAAGGTCTTCACTCGTCAATTCGTTGATAGCAGCGGCTCGGCTCATCTCCAATGCACGGTCGTACATGAGCTTCTCTGCCGTGACGCCAGGACTGACGACCACGTCGGCTGAGCCACTTGAGGTAGCAGTGGATCCAATCGAATGGTTGTTGGGATGGCCAGGGTGGTCGAGAGGCAACCTCTTCTGACCCTCAATGAGCCTTAAGCGCACAAACTCGGCCTTTTCCAAGACCTCGTTGAACCGACTGCGTACCCACTGAACCACATTGTTAATGCGAGTGCCAGCAAGTGCACTGGTGCCGTCACCGCGATTACCGGAATCCCCGTAGGTTTCCTCTCGGTTCTTGCGTGACCACCAAGAGCCTGCAATGTCCATCGATTTAGCGAGTAGCGACAGAGCCTTGACGTAGAGAACCAATGCCTCTTCGGAGAGAGTCACGATAGCATCGACTGTCAGTCCATCATCGCCAGTATCGCCCGCGTCGGTATTTGTGGTTGGGTCGCCATGTGCTGATGGAGCCAATGGGATAAGCTGCTTGTACTTCACTTCGGCAAATCCATAGACAACGTCACTGCGCGTGGCACATTCCTCGATCACCTGGACTGTCTTGTAGTCCTCGTCGAGTGCCGCGTTTGGCTTGGCCCCTTCGCCCATAATCATCAAGTTAGGTTGTCCAGCGGGATAGGCCGGGAAAGGATTATAGGCCAAAGGTGGTGACCTTCCTCCCTTTGTGATAGCCAATGGAGGCGAGAAGCCCATTCCAAACAAGCGGCCGCTGGCCATGTTAAGGGCTTTGGAGATGGCCGATGTCGCAGAGGATGGGCTCTGCCCATAGCGTCGCTCGTAGGAGTGTTGGCGCTGGTGGGTTGAATCTGCCCGGGTTCTTCCAGAAACAATCTGCATAGCTTTGGAGTTGGCATGTTGGGGAGAGGTCGATGCCAGAGTAGGCAAACCTTGTGTTGTTGCGCGCCGAGATACGTTTCCACTTTGGCCCCGAGTAAACGCTCCTTGGATTCGGGGGCTATGAGCCAGCTCATCTGCAAATGCATTGACCTCTACCGCACGCTTTTCTACCACAACGTAGTCCCGTTCAAATGCCACTTCCTGGGCTGCCCGATCACGTTCCTCGACCGTCCGGGTATCTTCAATCGTCTTGGTTGGGGCGGAATAAGTGTTTCGAGATCTTTGTCGCTCCATAGCTGTCGCAGCGTTGCGATCCACAAGCTCTTGTCGGCCTGGGGCGGTGACATGAGAAACAGGGTTTGGTCGTTGCGGTGGTGTTCCTCGGGGTTGATCTTTAGGAGAACCTGAGACTGGTCGATCTGCGCTTCCCATGCGGCGCATAGGTGAAGCAATGGGTGGAGTATCGGATTTTTGCCGCGAAGAGGGCTGTCTTTGTGATGTCGGGTAGGTAAATGTTTCCTCTGGCTCATTGGGGTAAGGAGAATCTGTTGGTTTTGTTTCGATAGGAGTGGGTATGTCTGATCGCGAATTGGCTCGTGAGGGCCCTGGGACATGGGCGGGGGTCACAGACGGTCGTCGAGGCAAGTCATCAGGCAAAAGGCCTGGGATTGGCTCTGTGATCACCCTGTTGATGAAAAATTCGGGAAAGTTCAATCTTTCAACGGGGTTGCGTTTCAGAAGACCACGAATCAAGCTCTTGATATCATCCGTAGCTGTGCTATCTTCTGGGAACCGAATTCGGTCCTCTCCCTTTTCAATCTTGCGTAGCAATTCGACGTGGTTCGTAGCACGAAACGGGGGCCGTCCTACTACCATTTCATATAGTACAGTACCGACGGACCAGAGATCAGCCTTGGCGTCATACTTTTCATATCGTAGAATCTCCGGTGCCATATAGAGTGGCGACCCGCACAGAGTCTCTGCCAGGGAAGTCGCCGGCAGTGATCGAGCAAAGCCGAAATCCGCAATCTTCAGCATAGGCAATGTCTCCAGTCCTGTCGTCGGATCGTAAGAGTTATCACTACCCTTGTATGGAACGATGTGTGCTGATCCCTCCCGATAAGAGACAGGGGCCGGGCAAAGGAGAAGATTCTGTGGTTTGATATCTCGATGAATGAGGTTTCGATCACGTAAGAACTTGAGGGCACTGGCGAGTTGTTTGAGGAAATGTCGAACCACGACTTCGTTCAAGGCTCCGCTCGGTGCATTTGGATATTTCTTGATCATTTCCCGAGTATATGAATGGTCAAAGAGGCTTTCTCGCTTCTTGATGAACTGCGATAGATCTCCCAGTGCGCAGTATTCCATGATCAGGTGAATGTGTTGTGTGGATTCATGACAGTCGATCAGGGCGACGATGTGTGGGTGCTGGAGGCCCTTGAGAATATCGATTTCGGAGGAAAGGTTGTCCTTCAACTTCTTGTTGAGTTTCGCAAGGTTGACGGACTTGATGGCGACGAAGGTCTTGGTTCTCTGGTAAATGGGGGAAACTCGTTAGCTCAAACGTCCCGTACAAAGAAACCAGCACAAAGGCAAACCGAGAAAGCTCAAGGAGAAACATGCATGACTCACATTATGCATACCCTGATAGACCGTCGCGAAGCTCCCACGGCCGATCTCCTCGAGGCGAGTATAGCGACCGATGGTCATCCTGGGGTGAGAGGCATCTCGTGACCTCCGCGAATGTTGAGTGGCCATGGCTGTTACCGCAGTTCACACTGCCTGCACTTCCCGCGGAGGGGAAGAGATCAAAGTCCAGCCAAGCCCCGATCACTACAACTACCGCAGCAGAAATAGAGACAGTCGACGCAAGATGAGGCCCATCAGGGGAGCCGTCAAGGCAGAGTGATTGATTGATTGCAGCTGCGGGCAAACTTGGCCGGGAGAGAAGGTGTGGAAAGATGGCAAAAGAGCGAGGGGAGTGCCGTGGAATGAAACCGGTGACTTCCGCAACAGCCCAAGGTCGATGAAAGTGGATGATGTAGGATCGATAAGGTAGATCAGCCAAAGATGGGGCTTGTCAAAACACCGGCGATGAATCAGAAAGCGGTGAGGGGAACGATGATGTATAAGAGAAGACAAGAAGATGGAGAAGAAGGAGAAGAGGCAACAAGCCAACAGGGGAGGAGCAAGTAGTATAGAAGCGGAACCAAAGTTTGGGTGTATGGAGGCAAACTGGTGGAAAGTGAAGAATACCTAATGGGGGAGGACGATGATGTGATGCTTCGACTGGACCAAGGGACGACCTGAGAGGGGGGCGTGACCTGATAACGAGTGACAGGCGGTCAGGAGGGCGGGGAGATGACGAGTAGGAAGTACCTTGGGATCAGGGAAGGGGGATGGAATGGCGAAAAGCGTTGATTCAGAGTGATGATGGAGGAAGTGGAGAGGAGAAGAAGATGAAGAAGGAAAAAAGCAGAGAAGAAGAATAGAGGGAAAGGAGAACCCCGTGAGAGCTGCAGCAACGAGGCAGAAGGGAACCCAACTGGGAAGGAACCGGGGTGAGTGATTAGATAAGGGCCGATTAGATAAGGCGATCAGCGGAGGGACATCGGAGGCTATACTTAGTAAAGTATACTAGGGTGGTATACATATACATAGGGTACTTGCGATATACCATGTATATCATTAACATGGATATCAATTCTAGTATATACATACTATAGTACGAGCATACTGCATAGCAGAAGCCATATCGTACATCTCTCCTACACCCCCAACCCCCGCACCAACAGCCACAGCACCACCGGCACCACCACGTTATCATTACAACCAGTGAGAATCGCCTCCGTTGCACTAGTTCCGCAAGCCGCTAACACTGCCTTGCAGCCTATCCACACCCACTCCGCGCAAGACCAGCCCGTGGACGCCGACTCCGAGGCTGATTCGGCCCCCGCCATCGGCCAGCCGCCCACCATCAGCCAGGCACGAACCGCCAGCAATCCCACCGATACCGCTACTGCAAAGGCCACACTCCCCTCCAGCGACTTGCCACCCCCCCCAGAACCATTTCAGCCGCCCGTACCGACGCCCCACCAGCGACGCCGCCGCGTCGCCCATCCCCACGCAGATCACCCCGCTGACCATGCTGACGTCTCGCGTCGGCACTTCCCACCCGACCCAGGCACCTTCTCCTGCCCTCGTGAGATCAGCCAGCGACAGCCAGAGCGGGATTGAACATCCGATGAGAAGGAAAACATGCGAGACGATGACCGGGCCACGGTGATCCCGACCGTCCACGTAAGGGGCGAGGAAATAAGTCAATGGCCGGGAGATCGGAGGCAATTGGGATGCTCGGAATAGATCCAGCAAAAGGAAGATCGATAGGACCAGCACAAGGGCCAGGGCACAAAAGGCTGGGTCCACAAACACTGTAGGCAAAAACATCAGCACCATCATCCCGTGGAAGACCTTTCGTCGAGTATCGACTTCGGCCACGGCGCTCAGCTGGAAAACCACCGCCAGTCCCAGCACTATCACACATAAGCAGTACGCCATGAGGAGAAGGCGAGTATTGGCCGGGCCAAATGTCGTCTGTCGGAGATGCTCAACCCATCCGAGCCAGCAGGAGGCTGTCTCCATCACGGCTTCGGGTCGAGGTGGCAGCTGGATCCAGTATTCCAAGTTCAACATGAGTACCCAGAAACGAACGCTGGATATATTCCCCAGCAGGTAACCAATCGCCCATCCGAATGGATCTTGTCCCTGTAGAGCTCGCTCGGCCACATATTTCCGAATGGGTCCCATGATGATCGCCACTGATACAACGTAGACATAACTGGCGTAGAGCCACTTGCGGACCTGCGCCTGGGCTGCAGTCAATGATAAGAATGAGGTAAGACCGGGGCCCATGAGCTTCTTGCGTCGGCCGCCCGGGGTAGTGCGGACCCGCTCTTCTTGAATCACATCTTCAAAGGTCGAGATCGTATGGCGACGTGCGCGTCCCGTGCGACCGTGCCGCTCGAAGGCCTCTTCCGCACTGATGTTATCGATCGCTGAACTGGGTGCTGGTAGTTGTGGAATTGATTCACGGATATCTCGTGTCGTCTTCACTGTCCGTAGCCTGCGTACACTGCCAGGCCCGTCGCTATCCGATGAGGGTTCGTCAGAGAACGCGGTCCCGCTGAGTCTCTGGCAAAGTCGGTGGTCCATTAAATTGAGCAATTTCCGTGGTGATTGCGAGTCCCTGAGCGAGCGACGGAACTTCCAGCTCAGGGATCCGAGCCAAAATAATCTCCCAGCGCAGGATGTGTCGGCATGACACAAATATACACATTCCACCGAGCCATAATAGGGCCTTCAGGATCTCTGCTTGGGGGGGAGGCCGCGAACAAATATAAATTGATAAGAGCTGTCGTCAAAAGCTGTAGCTCGGCGGGGAGAAGGCTTGTCGTCAACAAAAAGTCTAATGTGGGTATCAACGCTTGATGCAAAGGAAATAGAAGAAGCAACGATTCCGCTTCATGTCCACGGAGGATGAGCGGCTTGGGGATGGTGTTGTCGAGGGAGAAGTGTTCGGATACGAGGACTGGGACCACAGCGACGATCCAGTGGGGTATGCTGAGACCATTGATCCAGCCGTGCAAAGGTATCACCGGCGCCGGAAGAGAGGCCAGACCGAGGATGATATTCGGCATGATCAGCGCTGGGCGGTGGTTTGTGAGAGACAACGCAACAAAGATCGGAATAAGAGGTGGGTACAGGAGTGGCGCTGGATCGAAGCTCGTTGGTATAGAGAAAAAGGCGCGTTTCGAAGACCATCCGTGCCATCGTCTGCGATTCGAGATGCGGAGGAGGAAAGGGTAAGAGCCGTAAAGGCCTATTATTAAAACAGCATAGGTGAATAGTTCTAAAGGGAATAGTTAGCAAGCCATACACATCTACTCTGCGACTCATAGTGAACTTCTTCAAGTACCTTTCTTCCACACCCAGGCTAGTGAACGTGTCTCTTTTGGCAGCAAGACAACCACGCCCACTGATAAGAGCAGTGCGGTCTCCATCAGTCGCCGCAATACCTCGACCCGTCTTTGCTGTTTCATCCGTTGTGCCTCGAGCGCCTCCTCTTCAGCGTCCTCCTCAGAACTCCTCCGCGAACCGCGCGACACTTGCCGTACAATTGACGGCCATGGTTGGAGATGAGGCAGCCACGCATCACCATCGAGGGCGCCATTCGCGCCAGAGCGCAGACCCTTTCTAGGTCTGATCGGCGGCGCTGGTAGACCTCTTAATATACCCGTACTCTCATCGTCTGCCTCCGTGCCGCTGTCGCTCGGTGTCCGTGATGATTTGGAGTAAGATGGGGGCCGGAGCAGGTCGCCCTGTTCGGAGGGAGTTCGCGATATGGGGTTTCTGCTGCGATGGTATGGATGTGGAGAGCGAGTGAATTGTCGCAAATTATCGGCGTTTGGATCGGAAGATGCAGGTGTACTGCTGCGAACGATCACCTCTTCTTCGTGGCCCCGCGAAGAACTCATAGCGCCATTCCTAGGACGAGGGGTGCAGCATGCCGGGGAGAGGTGAGGGAGCAAGGAGTTGAAATCAGAGAATCAAATAGGATATCAATCGAAGTGCACACGGTCTGCGCACACGACGTTCTCTGTTTTTTTGGTGCGAGTCAAATGGACGGAGGTTGCAGTTGGATGCGGCCGGATGTGTTGTTTCTCCACGCGGCCGGGCGCTGCCAATGCGTATCACATGCTTGGACCCACAGCATGACATCGCTGCCTTTTTTGGCCCGCCAAATATATCGAACCACTCTGTCCCCATCGATTGGGAACAGCCACGGTGTGTGGCCATATCCAGGCGTCTCTCAGTGGCCTGCTAATCCCTCCGAAATGTTACATCTCCGAAAATATCCTGCTGTCAGCCAATTGTGACTCCCATCCTGAAGGGCAGCTGTCTCAAGATATCCTCGATTGGCCATGGGATGGAATATCATATCGATCCTGTGATATTCCTGGCGCATTATTGGCCATGAGATACATATCGGTTCATGTATCCGTAGCTACCTTGGCTTATACTAGTAGTATACTATCTCTAGATGGGTAGGCATGAATGGATCAAGCCAAATCATGCCACACTAAAGCAATTTGTAAAACCTCCAACCAATTCACAGTATACCTATCAGGGATCATCTAGCGAGGCAGGTCTGCTTAGTTCGTATAAGAGACATACAAACGTACTATGTAGAATGAGTTACCTAGGTAGCTATGCGTAACATATTTCCCATGTAATGTAGGGCTTTCCTATTCTAGGTGCCGACACTTTAATGAGGGTGCTCAGAATCAGACTTACTGAGCAGCTCTAAGCAGGTTATATCGTATATTAGTAAGGTTCTAAGTATCTTCAAGTAACTAACTAATCAGTAACTGCTTACTAATTACTCAGTAATTATCTAGAGATTAATCAGAGACCTCTATTAAGTACCTAGCCTATACCCTATCTATACTAAAATTAGACATCAGCAGCATCATGTACTATCTAGATAGAGTAGCTAAATTGAAAAGTTGTAAAAGCATTCTATATAGTTGTGGACATAATAGATCTAAATAGACCTCTTTCTGAGCTGTAGTTGTCTTTTGCTATTGTTTATTACCAGAGGAAATCTCAATTGCGGGTGTTGAACATATACATACACGTCTGCGTCCGACGCTTAGGGTCGATAACTCAGTCGCTAACCTACCCACCTGTGGTACGGATCGGGTCCGGAGGGTTAGCCGCGGGTGAGTGCCAGGTCTAGTTCCAGTTCTAGGGCCTTGATAATCGCTTCGTGGCATTGCTCTCTCGCCAAAGATAGTGGTGATTCGCCCTCGCTGTTCGTAGTGTTTGGATTGACTCTACCTGTGGCCAGCAGTATCCTAACGATCAACTCATTTCCATACCGTGCTGCTACTAAAAGCGGCGATAGCCTGGTATTTCCTTTGTCGCCTAGATCGGCACCTGCTGCGATCAAAAGTTTGACAACCGACTCATTGCCTGACTCTGCTGCTAAGCATATAGCTGTTCGCCCATCGGGATCTGTGTAATCCAAATTGATACCATCGGTATCAAGAAGCAGATTTACAACTGCTTTATGACCGTTCCATGCCGCATAGCAAAGAGGGGTGAGGCCCCAGCAATTAAAGTTGACATCGACTCTACCGGTTAAAAGTAGGTCCTTGACTACTAAGTCGTGTCCCCATTTTGCCGCACAAATCAGTGGTGTTTCTCCGTCTGGGTTCTCCTCGTCTGGGTCAACACTCTTATCATAAGCAAGAAGCAGCTGAAGGACTTTATCGTGGCCGTTTTCCGCCGCTGAGCACAACAGCGTTTTACCCCAATAAAGGCAGCACTCAAGATCTAACCCTGTTTCTAGTGATTTTCGAGCCGTATTATCATTTCCTCCCTCAGCCGCATGCAATATTGCCTGTGGTGAATAAGATGCGGCATCCCGAAGGTAGAGGAGGGGGTCAAGCAACTTGCAAAGGTGGGTGTTGGTTTGAATCAAACTATTGAGATCCCCATTTGACTTCAAGCTCTCGGCGATCAACAGTATCAGTTCATTTGGTAGATGATAGAGTGGCATGTTGAATTAGCTTGATGGATGCTGAGCGAGTAATTGATGAATTCCTTTCAAATTTTCATAACGAAACAGAAAGTGGCTCAAGGGATAGGGGAGAAGGGACAGAAGACCGGAAGAGATAGGGGTTAGGGGATAGCCGAGAGTGCTTCCGGCTTGGCTTCACATGCCATTAATACTTAAGTAACAAGCTTGAAATAGATACTAGTAGAAAGAGCATAGCACGATCCTAGGATACCCTACTAACCATACTAGTACTAGTAGTATTGCCTCTTTCCTTTCTCGGCGTTCACGCCTACATGTATCTAGTTTTCGTCTCAGCTTCCTTCTTCCTCAAGCTATTACTTTCGTCGAACTCCTAACTACTTTCCTTTTTCTGATATCGCTAGTCGTATCTTGATCTCTGTGAGTATCTGAGCATCCTCAGAGTCTTGAGTGAAATCATATATCGCCCTTCCTTCTACCATACGAACGTCTAAATTCCAAACAATTCCTAAGCAAAGACTTCTGAGATGAGACTGGAGCCGGTAAGGTTTTGGTTGAGATGCTCTATGAAATTCGATCCCAAAACGAGCACAGTATAGCAGCTTCACGAAACGAATTAGATAAGCCTTTGCAGACAAACGATCCTCCACGGTACGACCTGATAGATCGACTTGGATTGGGCATTAGGGCTACAGAGCTCCTGATTGATGTCGAAGCTCAGATATTAGAATTACGCTCCCGAAGATTTGGCGCCTGCAAGTCCACGTCACGGTGATGAGGAAATTCATCGCCCACGGAGGTCACTCAAGTCCTCCTATTACCGGAGCCTACCAAAATTACCCTGGGAACTTGGCCAAAGACTGCTTAGACCGCGGTTACGTCTCGGATACAGAAGACTGGAGTGGCGATGTGTAGGTTAAAGCTCTTTATCTAATCCACAAACTAAATTCTCAATCTAGCCGAGCATTACGCAGCGGACATACTCCGGAAATCATCACCGACTCGGCCAAAATTACTCGAGGAGACAACAACCATCATGTTGTCCAGACCGAAAACCACACGTCACCACATCTTCTCGTGACAGATATCCGACTTCCCATCCGAGCCTTCACCGGGGACCAATTCCCCCCCCCCAGAGATAGCATCATCTTGATAGGACTTGGAACAAATCGGGCGACGACACTGGACGCGAGGAAATGGTTACTTGTGACTATTGTCATCGTACTCTACTCTTCCTTTTCTCTTTCTATTTATCTTCTCTTTCCCTTTGTCTAGCTTAATACAGCGCTGAATGCTAATGGTTTTCACGATATGCTTGTAATAATTACGTACAATCCAATCTACCATCTTTGGTAATAAGGTTACTGACGATCAATCATAAGCGGGCCCACCAGACTAGTAGGAGCATTTTTTGGTCCCATGGGTCCTTCAGACGCCTACTCCAATCGATGAGTTTAGAATATGGAAGTCATATGTATAAGCCCCCAACCAGGTCACGTGTGGCCACTCCTGTCATTCCCGAAGTAGGAATGAAAGACTATGAGATAAGCAGGACACTGCCCACAGCGCCTCACTTATGTACATCTCAATAGTCGATTTGTGTATGATGCCAAGATGAGATTCAAGATCTCAATTCACCCCTTCGCTTCGCAAGTTTAGTCGAGATACTATCATGGTGATGTAAACACGGATACATAAGGATGATGTCGTTAAACCCGAACTTGAAGACCCCTCGCTGTCCGGCGAGAGATATATAACCCCTCCATGCATTACGATAGCGAAAACCAATTGACGAAATAAAAAACCATTACAGTCTGAAATCAACTCGACTAGACATTCCGAGTCGGTAGAAATAAAGTATGTCTACTTCGGTCACCACAAATGTCAGTAACTATGGGGATCGGGGATATGGCGATCCAAGTCATACGATGAAAGCCTTGACCTGGCAAGGGAAGAATTCAGTTAAAGTTGGTCAGTCATTTGCCCATCACGGCCTTCATTTCACTTCACTTGGTCCATCTCGAAAGAATTTGAGTTTCCTGCTCATTTCAGTTTGTTATAGTGGAGACGGCTCGCCCGAAGATCATCGATGAACGCGATGTCATACTTAAGGTGACGGGCAGCACCATTTGTGGGAGTGACTTGCACCTATTCCACGGTATGTCATGATTTTGTAACAGTTAATGAAGTGTTAGCTGCTGATGCGGTATCTGTTACCGATTTATAGAGGCCATCCCAGATCTCCAGAAAGGTGATATCCTTGGCCACGAGTTCTGCGGTGTTATCGCAAGCGTGGGTCCGGCAGTCAAGAAGGTTAAAGTAGGTGATCGCGTTGTGGCGTCCTTCCAAATTGCCTGTGGGGAATGTTTTTATTGCAAGAAGAAGTTGTCCTCAGTGTGTGAGCGGACGAATTCGAACGATGACGCCTCTAAGCTCTATGGGCGTCGTACAGCCGGTATGTTTCCTCTCTAAACGGCTATTTTGATTTTGGATGAGCTATTATACTAAGGCCTGATCTACTCTAGGTATGTTTGGATACTCCCACTTCACGGGGGGGTTTGCCGGTGGGCAAGCGGAATATGTTCGCGTCCCATATGGTGACGTAAACCTCCTTCAACTGCCTGACGACGTTCCCGATGAAAAAGGTCTTTTCCTTTCTGATGTGCTGGCAACATCTTGGAATGCTGTTGTTGACACTAGGGTTGAGAAGGGCGACACTGTGGCAATCTGGGGAGCTGGCCCAGTTGGACAAATGGCAGCTGAATTTAGCTTCTTCAATGGTGCTAAAAGGGTCATCCTTATTGACGGTGGTCCTGGAAAATGGCGACTAGACTTTGTCAAGAAGATTATACCTAATCTTGAGACAATTGAGTATACAAATCTCCCAAAAGACGAGTCTGTTGCCTCAACTCTGAAGAAAATGTGCGACGGCCGCGGACCTGATGTGGCAATTGAGTGCGCCGCAGGCGAGTATACAAAAGGTTGGGCTCATTACTTCGAAAGATTATTGGGAATGGAAACGGATACATCTGAACTCCTCAACGAGATGATTACCTCTGTCCGTGCGTTTGGGCGTTGTGGTATTACGGGCGTATATGCTGGTTATGTGTGTGGTGCCTTTCCTATAGTAAAACAACTCTACTGACGTGGCAATGCAGTGCAATCACTTCAATATCGGCTCCTTAATGGAGACCGGGATCCATCTTGCTGGCAATGGACAATCTCCTGTGCACAAATACTGGCATGACCTCTTGAAATATATTCAGCAGGAGCAAATCCATCCCCTGCATATGGTCACCCACCGGTTCAAGCTTGAGGACATGGAGCAGGTTTATGATTTATTCAATAAGCGTGACCCGGGTATGCAGAAGGTTTTCGTCCAGACAAAGTTTTCGGCGCCTCCATCAGCAGGAGCTCCTGCTTTGACAGAGCTCTGAACTTCACCGATACTAAAAGTTTCTGAACAAGTTTGAATTTTCACATTGGTTTCTTATCTGAAATGTCATTCTCAAGTCAGCGCTCAAACAATAAAACTGTGAAAAGAATACACCTGTTGAAGTTATATGGCAGTGAAAAATGGAGGGGATATCTTTGAACTACCTGGAATCGAAGGAGCGTGTCACATAACTTTCGCTATAATTTCTTTTTCTGAAATGGATTCTCAAGGAAAGGATTCCCTAGAGAGCTCAAATAAAACGAACCTTTCTAAACTATACTAGTGCTAAGAAGAAAAAATTACGTTGCTTGCCGTATTGGACCTAGTGAGATGATATAGATGCACTCATACATATTACTCTTAGACTTTTTCAAAAATATGAAACAGAATATTTGATAAGAATATCTGACTTTTTTCAGCGGTTCAAGCGATACAACCCTGCCACCTGATTTTTTTTTAATTTCTTAAGCCTCACGTAGAGACAAATTCAAGTCCTGGCCGACAACCTTTCCACCTTCCAATCGCACCTGTTCGATAGGCTGAAATACGAAAAAGACACGTAAAATACCACAGTTATCATGCTTTTCAGTCACATTCCGCCAAGAATGAGCTGTGCCTCGTTGAACAAATACATCACCCTTAGTCATTAATTTCTTTTCACCGGAATCAAGGACTAATTCCGTAGTGCCATCAATAATGACACCATAGTCGAGGGTCGCTGTTCGGTGCATCGGGACCTCTGAGCCCGGAGGTACCTCAATGATTGTGCAGGAGGTGCCGTTTGGCGGATTCAAAGGCGATGGACCCGCGAGCTGAGAGTGATAGTGCTTGATGTCGAGATTGGCTTTGGGTTCCGGGGTTGTAGAAGTTGGAGGAGAAAGCCCTTGCACAGGAAATGTGGTTGTGTTATAGGCCAGAGCATAGTCTGATTTTGTGGGCTTGCCAGGGGGGACCGGGAACCCAGCAAACAATACCTGCTCCTTAACAGCGTCGCTAAAGATAGCTCGGCCGCTTGTGGGATCATGTGTTGTTATGATTCGACGAAGCGGCTCGGGTTGTCTTTGTCCAGCTGACATGTTGAGATCAAGATCAAGAAACAGGGCGAATACCTAGAGTATCATTCGGCTTTAGATATATTAGGACTGAGAAATATTGCAAATTTGATCCCACAAACGCTCCGCATTTATATTATCTCTATGAGGCATATGACTCAAATGTTAGATCAATTTCTCATCATTGTATAAAGATATCATTATGATTTTCAATTTTCCAGTGATCGCTTTACCAAGGTTTGGATAGCCAAGCAATGCTTTTCTCCACATCAGCTGCCTTGTCATCTTAAGATCATCGTGGCGTTATTTAAAGTATTTAGTCATAAGCACATCATAGATGAAAGTGGGCATTCCACGGCATTTAGATTGCACGCGAGTTCACAGGTTCAGAAAGCTGTAAAGAGAGCCCTATTCTACGTCACTTAAACATAGGGGTAGCTAGATCTGGCAAATAGGCATAGGTATACCCGCAGCATGCCTATAGGCACAGTCTTTTGGCTTATATATATCTTAGCATAGAGGCACAGCTTTTATACCCTCGGTAAGAGTATGAAACCTGTAACAGGCATAGGCATACCTTCCCATCGCTGTCTTTACTGAAGACCAGCTTCCGCGGGATTGCGGCCGTCTGTGGCCAAGTGGGGAGTGCTGCTGGCGATACCTGACCCTACGGATGAGTCGGAATTGATGCGGATATGTCATATGCTGCCGTTTCTCAAAGTCTACGTTCCGGGGCGTGCGGGCCTGGTTCATGCGATGAAAGAGGCGGTGGTGACTACCGGCAAAGGCAAGGAGAAGGAGACGGTCGATTTCAACTGGGGCCGTACCTAATGTTAATGTCAACCTGGAAGACAGTATTATCTTGACTACGGAGGACTTGGAAGAAATCGGACGAGAACACTGGACACAAAGAAATGGTTACTCGTGATATTGTTGGCGTACTTTATTCTTGCTCTATCTACTGCTCGATGCTTTAGCTTAATGTAACGCTTAATTTTGATTACTTCAAATTTCACGATCCATTGTGCATCTTAATCTACAATCCAATCTACCATACATCCGTGGGTATAACAGCCTGAGTGTATACTTCGCAGATTTACCCAATGTACTTGTAGGATGGGAATATCACTAAATTCCAACAGTAGAACGGCTGGCCCAAGCTTGATGGGACCAATATATGCATATTCGCACCTCAAAATAGCAGTCAATGGGAAATTGATCTAGAATCTATTGATTATACATTCAATAGTTCGATGCTTACACACATGAATCCAGACCAGATCGTTAGTCAGCGGGCGGAAGCGGCCGTGCAACCGCGGTGGAGCCAACTCGGTCGTCCGGCCAAACAGCGCAGACTCGTTACAAATTACAGACCCGCTCGACAGGTGGAGTTGGAATGTGTACAGACTCGTTGACAACATCGAGGTTGTCACGAAAGTGATGCCAGAGGCCAGGGAAGAGGCAATGGCTTGAGCCAACCCTTTAACCAATTGCCGAGAAGAGCCGGGTCTTCAAGTATGCATCTCAGGTATCAAATACGCCATGCGCACCAAGCACCACGCCACTGAAAGCCGGCCTTCCATTGGAACGTTCGAACCCCTTCGAACCCACGGACAGAATGCGGAGTGCTGAGTCAAAAAGACCGAGGTAATGCGCGGCTCCCAGCGATTGGCACAGTCTGGTACATACACAGAGAGCCCAGGTACACAGGGGGTACCTAGCATCGCATTTCCTTTTCCGATTTCTTCCTTTCGCTTCTCCTCTCTCCTTCTTCTTCTTCTTCCTCTCCTCCTCACGTTCCTTTCCTTTCCTTATCCCCTCTTTATCACCCTCACACAATGGCTTCCGCTGCTCGATCCGCTTCCCGCGCTTTCCTGCGCTCTTCCCCGGCCTCCTCGTTCCGGCCGGCGGCGCGCTCTGCCCGCTTTGTCCCCGCGCAGGGCTTCCGCACCACTGCTCGCCGTGGATACTCCTCTGAGACTGGCGGCAAGTCCTCCTCCTCTTCTGCTGGCATCTGGGCTCTGGCCCTGGGTGTCGCCGGTGGTGCTGGTGCCTACTTCTACCTGAACGGCGAGAAGAAGCCCTTCGTCCCTGGTCAGGCCGACTACCAGAAGGTGTACGACGAGATTGCCCGCAAGCTGGCCGATGAGACCGACTATGATGACGGCAGCTATGGTCCTGTAAGCTGAGCATGAACCATTGACAATGTTTTTCCAGGTTCAGCAGCTAACATACCATCTTCCCCAGGTCCTCGTCCGTCTCGCCTGGCACGCCAGCGGCACCTATGACAAGGAGACCAACACCGGTGGCAGCAACGGCGCCACCATGCGCTTCGCCCCGGAGTCCGGCCACGGTGCCAACGCCGGCCTGAAGACCGCCCGTGACTTCCTTGAGCCTATCAAGGCCCAGTTCCCCTGGATCACCTACTCTGACCTGTGGACTCTTGCCGGCTCTGCCGCCATCCAGGAACTGGGTGGACCCGTCGTCCCCTGGAGACCCGGTCGTGAGGACAAGGAGCTTGTCGCCTGTACTCCCGATGGCCGTCTTCCCGACGCGAGCCAGGGCCACCGCCACATCCGCGACATTTTCGGCCGCATGGGATTTGATGATCGTGAGATGGTTGCCCTGTCTGGTGCTCACGCCCTGGGCCGCGCTCACACCGATCGCTCCGGTTACGATGGTCCCTGGGACTTCAGCCCTACCGTCTTCAGCAATGAATTCTTCCGTCTGCTTGTTGAAGAGAAGTGGAACCAGCGCAAGTGGAATGGTCCTGCTCAGTTCACTGACAAGACTACCTCCACTCTGATGATGTTGCCCACTGACATTGCTCTGATCAAGGATAAGGGATTCAAGTCGCACGTCGAGCGCTATGCTAAGGACAGCGATGTCTTCTTCAAGGAGTTCTCTGATGTGTACGTCAAGCTTCTGGAGCTAGGCGTTCCCTTCCAGAGCAAGCCCGAGGACCGCTTTGTCTTCAAGGCCTCTGAGTAAGCGGGTTTTTGTTGATGTTGAGGTTGACGTCGTTGGTTAGAGTGTACATTTGTTATTATAAGGTAGATCCTTTGGTCTGTATAGACTGCTTGTTGTTTCGCGATTTGATATCCGAAATGTTTAGATAGATAGATCTAGATCATTTCATTTGACAGTTTCTTGATGAGCTGAGTTGAGCAAAGCAGTGAATCGACGTAGGATAGCCTGTCGCACAGCCTGAGTCAGTTGTAGAAAAGCAGGATCATCATGATTCCATGCATTGTGTTTCGTGTATCAAGGAGAAAAGAGAAAAGGTGAGAAGGTGGGAAAGTAGAACGTCAAGCGGGAATCAAGGGGAAACAGCCCTCCGAAGTGGCGTGCCTCAACTCATCAACTCAACTCAGCTCGAACTCCGCGGGCCCACGCACTTTAAATCTTCCACCACCCCCGCTCCCAGCAACGTCACACCAACACCCAACTCCTGTGCATGCGGTCAAGCCTCGCCGCTAAACCTCGCTCTGTTCAAAGCCTGGGGTACGCGCTCTGACCTGTCGCGCACTGCAGCGCAGCACACCGCGGCCAAGACCGAAAACGAAGGGCTAGAGCGCAGCGCACTCACGCACTCACGGAATCAACGAGGGGCAATACAAAAAACCCACAGTCTCGAATCTGTCTCCAATTCAAATAAAGAGTGACATAACCCTACGCCTACGGGGGCGCGCAAGCGAAAATGACCAAAACCACCTCCTTCGTGGATTACTACCAAATCCTCAATCTTCCCTTCGGCCCATCAACCAGCCTCACAAAACAACAACTCAAACTCGCATACCATAAAGCCTTACTCCGACATCACCCCGATAAAGCCGGACCAATTGCACAAAACGCGACGACTCTCCGCACAACCTCCCCCTCCCCCCTCCCCCTCAACCTCAATGTCGCAAGACAAATTCACAATCGACGAAATAACCACCGCCTACAAAACCCTCACAGACCCAAGCCTGCGCGCCGAATACGACCGCGTCCTCCGATTAGACCGAGTGAAAGGCGCTGAGCGGGAAAAAACCGTCTTCCACACGGGGCTGGAGGTCGTTGATCTGGAAGATCTGGGCTGTGATGATGAGTCCGGTGAAGAGATTGTTTGGTTCCGCGGGTGTCGGTGTGGTGATGAGCGCGGGTTTATGGTGACGGAAGATGAACTTGAGAAGGAGGTTGAGCATGGTGAGATTGTTGTTGGTTGTCGTGGGTGTAGTCTTTGGTTGAAGGTTCTTTTTGCTGTTGAGGATGATGGGTGATTTGCTCCCTGCCTGCCTACCTACCTACCTATCTGGTGGGGGGGGTTTTTTTCCCAACATCTCTGCTAGCAGGTTAGCTTCACAATGCGGTGAAGCTCCCTCCGCTGCTTCGCTTCTGTTCTGTCTTGCGGAATTTCAGGTTCACATTGTCCACTGGTTGCGACGGGTTTTTTTCCAACTTACCTCCTGGCTATGGGGGTTCAAGAAGGAGGCTCGAGCAATTAGCATGGATTGGACAAGCAGTTTGGATTCTCTACTTCCTGGTCCGAAAGAGAGTCCGAGGGTCTTCACTGGCTCCCTTGAGCTTGGTGAGAAGATATGATACTGCAAGAGACAGAATACTGCAAGATCTCTCGGTGACGGGCAACTGGGATGGTATTCTTGTTATGATTCCCAAAGCACATCAAGTCTTCTATCGGGGGTTGCAAGCTATGTTAGCGCCACGTAAATATGAGTCCTCATATTGCGTCAAGTGAAACAAGCGAGTGAATTCCCCTGCTGCTGCAGTCTCGAAGTCTTTGATGGCAGCCCTTACGTCTCTCGGATGATGCGGTTCTTTTAATGGACGACGCACAGGTACTTCCGAATGGTAGCCAGGCAAGAACTCGATTGATTGTACATTATCTGTCCACATTGGTTCAAAAGCGATGGTCATTGGATAGACTATAAGCGGTGATAGCTAGGAATATAGAGTAGTATCCAGTGAATATTTGAGTGATATATGCCAGGAAAGTGAGAGATCTAGTATATACCTGTAGTCCTGGGTTGTATAGTACTAGTCAGTAAATCTACTAAGCACATACTGGCAGGCTGCCCAGGTGGAAAGCAGTAGGCCCTTCTTGAAAGGTTCCAAGGTTAATTGTCCTCCAGTCAGCACTTTACTTCGGCATTTTCCATTACAGCCGCTATGTCCTTGTGGCTTGCCAGAACCATCCCACAGAACACTAAAAAAAACCATCTAGTAAATAATACCGCAGATCGTCGGAGCTTATTCTCTCCCGTTGAGCTGCTCAGGCCGCCGGCATATACTGGCAGTCCGCATGTTGGACGGAGGTCCCCGTTCTTGGTCATTGACTTTGCTACACGGGTTGAATGGGCTAGGTCGAATCTTATTTATCTGGAACTTGAACCTTGAAGTTCCAGGTTAGTCTGGTCCACTGTCTTCGAGTTGATTTAGGTTATTACTGCCAGATGCGTTCTTTTGCATCGCTCGGGTCGATCCTGAACGAACGAGTGTTTCACCTTTCCTGAAAGGGAATACTGGAAGTATCGTATAGATAGTAAGGGTCTCGTAATTAGTACAGGTGGGTAGATTTGAAGCTTCAATTCAGAATACGAGACATTAGCTCGAACTTGAAAATGGCAGATACAACTAATAGGCGGATACTCGTAGTACCTCCATACTAGGGTAGTAGGTACTACATGTATTTGGATTATATATTTTCGCGGCGCAGCCTACCTCCCCGACCGATAGGCAAAAATGAGCAAAATATTCTTGAAATTCCAAATAAATACTGTAGCATAAATTGAACTAACAGATTGCCGAAACTACGAACTCAGTAGCCCTCTTCTGCTGTACATGAGTTGACGAGGAAGTTGAAGTGGCTGGAGAGGGGCGGATGAGCAGGGACCAAAACAGACCGAGACTCCAACTCCAACTGGAACCTCGCCTCCTCACCACATCAACCCACCACCATGTCTGTCGTCACCATATCCTCCCCGGAGCAATTCGGCTCTCTGCTGAATTCCTCCCGCATTGTCATTGCCGACTGTGAGTTTTCCGAAACACTCAAGCCCCCAGACCAGCCCACTCGGGGCCTGGTGCTCCCCTCCCCTCCCCTCCCCCACTTTACAACGACAACAACAACAGCCAGTACCACCCCATCTAACCCAAACCTTCAACTTTAGTTTACGCCGACTGGTGTGGACCATGCAAAGCCATCGCCCCTGTCTACGACTCGCTGGCCCGCCAGCTCTCGCGCCCGAACCAGATCACATTCACCAAGATCAACGGTGATGAGCAGAAAGAACTGGCGCAGACATACAGCGTGCGGGCGTACGTCTTCCCCTCCATCCAGCTATCTAGCTACAGCTTACAGCTCGCTCCATCCCACCCCATCCCCATAACTCAAGCTAATAACTCCAAACAACAGATACCCCACCTTCATCGTATTCGAAAACGGGCGCAAAACACAAACCGTCGCAGGCGCCAACCCGCAAAAACTAAACGAAGTCATCCAAAAGCTCGCAACAGAAGCCACCAAGTCCGACGGCGCTGGCGAAGGAAGCAGCGGCAGCGGTAGCGGGGGCATCTGGATCGGCGCGACCGTAGCGAAGGGATACACCGATGTCACCGACCAAGTAGACGCAAAGGGCCTGGAGCTACTGAACCGAGACAACCAGTTCGGCGAGCCACGAATTCTCTTCGAGCCGAGCAAGCCATCCGCGCTGACCAAGGGCAAGAATGCCGGCGCCGGCGCTGCGGCGGGCAAGGATTGGGTGGAGAGTGATACGGACGAGCAGCTTATGCTTTACATCCCGTTCCAGTCTACGCTGAAGGTGCACTCATTGCAGATTACCTCGTTCCCTTCTTCTACAGAGGAGGATCGGGATGAGGACGAGGTGCCTATGCGGCCTAGGTCAATTTCTCTGTTCACGAATCGCTCGCATGTGCTGGGCTTCGATGAGGCGGAGGATATTCCTGCCGTGCAGAAGGTGGAGATTAAGGCTGAGGATTGGGATGAGAAGACTGGTACGGCGAATGTGCCGTTGCGTTATGTCAAGTTTCAGAGTGTTACTTCGCTGGTGATGTTCTTTTCTGATGGGGATGGGGATTCGGAGAAGTTGCGTGTGGATCGGGTTCGCATTATTGGAGATGCGGGTGAGAAGAGGGCTATGGGCAAGCTGGAGAAGATTGGGGATGAGCCTGGCGAGTAAATGTAGAGTCAGAGAGAGCTACAGAGTACAAGGGAAGTACGGAGTACAGCTAGAGTGAGCCTTTCTTTCAGCTATGAAGAGTTGGACGCAACCGCGTTAACAGCGTTCACTATGTCGGAGGTCAAGTCTGACTAGACTAGATGCCTTTGATAGACTAACAAGAGTGACTTGCGCCTATAGGGCGCACTACACAGTTCTAGGCCAACGTGAAAATTCTTTGCGATCATTCCAATTCTTTCGATTTGCTTGATTTTTTTTTCATTTGATATTCTGCTCTACTTGTGGCTAACTAGCTCAAAACTGTACAGTAATGAGGGTATGTCCGATCCCAAACCAAATAGTCTCATCCTTAGAAAATCAGTAAGACTAATAAAGTAGAATCAGGGTGCAATTCCGTTCGTCTGTGGCACAACTGACACCTGGGGTACATCACTGAAGGGTATTTGAAGCCCGTGGATGACCAGGCAACACGGGTTATCGAAGTTGCGCCGCCGCACGAAGAAGAAAAGAAAAGAAGAGGAAGTTTGCCCAGTGCGCGCGGAATTTAAAGGGGAGAACCGGGCAAGCGAGCGGATGATTGGTTTTTCCGGGCGTTTAGTTTGGTCGTTGTTTATGCCTGAATGCCTGATGAGTCAGCATTACTGACTCAGCACTTGCCGACTGTCATTTTTTCTTCGCAGGTCGGCTGATTTGCTCTTCTTCATATATTTGGCCGTTGATGAGGACAATGGAAATTCTATGATAGGAAGAGACTGACTCCCATTGGGAGCTTGATCTTAACTGAACCATCCCTGAGGCCATTCAATATTGTGTCGTGTGTCTGTGTTTGATTGAATCTGTTCTGGTTCGAGTGGAGGTTTTAGCTGTGTTTTTTTTGTTTCGCTGTTTGGGTTTGGTGCTTGCGCTGTTGCTCATCCATCGCCTTTACCTTTATCAGATTAGATCGCCGTCTAGCTGTCCACTGGCACTCAGCTACAGAATACCCTGCAGACGAGACTCCATTCTGGCTGCAGAATTTTTCGTCAATTGCCTACAAGGCTGAACGAACATCATTAGACCTTCAGGCTAAATGCTTAATGCTTAATATCTCATTTGCACATCCTGCGCAATGGTGGGCTACTAGGAGCCCTGAATATGGAGTTTATGCCGTCTTGAGCGGACCCGCAGGGACTCATCGGGAATCCCAAGTTGAACTTGAAGCGAAGCCTAGCGGAGCATTGTCTTGTCTTGCCTCGCCAAGCCAAGCTCGGCAAGCGATGCGACGCGATGCAAAATGAAGCAACGCCGAGCAGAGCCGAAAAAAATACGACCGAAATGGCATATCCTCAACCGTGAAGTCCCGCATCTCGCCTCAGACGCCATCTTATGATCCATAAGAAGCGACTCAAAAAGAGAGACAAAAAAAATATGAACGGTTTTGCCTATGTAGGCCTGGCCGATGGATGTATGGACCCTCGCATCTTCGATCGCGGGCCGACTATGGTCTCACCCGATGATCATGATCCCCAGCGTGCGGCGCGCTGCGGTAACCCGGCTAGTGACTGGAGACCATTAGAAATGAAACAGCGCTCCGCTGGTCGTGCGATTCTCCGTATACAGTAAGAATGAATGGGGCGTGGCGTGATCGTGCCATTCCATATTACTATGTTAGTAAATAGTACTCCATCCATACTCCGTACGGATGGATATACTAATTGTCCAGAATAACCAGTTTGTGAGACTCTGAACTGGGCCAAATAACCAAATACACCTGGGCATACTCCGTTAATGGAGCTGCCGCACCCACTCGGCACGCACTCCACTGTTCCCTTTGGGACGTGGGGGATGCATTTTGGAAATGATATCCACGGGCTTGGCTTGGGTGGTCAGATGTTTTGTTCGGATAATAAGTGCGATTGCGGGACCTGTTTTATTGTCCGATCCAAGGGTTGGATGATATTATGGACTTGGTGCCAGGATTTTTTTCTTCTTCTTTCGTTCTTCACGTTGCATTTTATCGGCTTTTCCCACAACAGTGTGTAGTAGACCCGCTTAGCCCGCCCCGACACGAGGTGTTGACCAGTGCTGGACACATGAATCAGCCAGTGTGGGAGCTGGAGCGGTGCACGCGGGACGGAATCTCTGAATTCTCCGTAGGATCTTGTCTGTTGTGTACCCACTGCCAGTGGCACTGGAGCTGCTTTCAGAGAGGAAGTGAGAGAAAAGCAAGCACGTGGTGCTACGAACTACGTAGGTACGCAGCACTATCTCCAGCAGGACGAAAAAAAAAGCAAAGACATAAAGAGAAAGTGGATGGGGACGTTCACTTCCCATAGTCGACGCCCTAGTCGCAATGTGGCGTCTTCCAGAAGAAATTATGCCCACGAAACCTTAGAGTCGTTCATGCAAGCGCCATTCGCGAAGGGCTCTCTTTTTTTTCTTGTTTTCTTTTTGCTCTCGCCCAAGAGGCCAGAAGGTCCGAGGGCAACCGGCTAGTCTCGCCTTAGTCGCTTCCTGCTACTTTAGTCGCTCCTAAATGAGTCGTAGCTCTTTCTTGTGGATATTGGCTTTCTTCACGAGGCAATTGTGCAGCACAGTGTAGCGCCAGTGCATATCGATCTATTCCAATTTCGAGGTGCCAGCTCAATTCAGTCCAGCTCAGCTAGCCCAGCGCAGCCTAGTCCACCTCGGCATTCTAGCAGAACAGAGCTGGAATTCAGCCTGAAGGCGATCCTATCAGATGCAATTACGTGAACTTGCGTGCTCGAGCTGCACGGGGTCGATCGCCATTTACGGGCGCGGCAAACACTCGTGCCAGCCCGCAAGCCACAGAGTGAACCCAACTTAACTGCGTATTCGTTCTCCGGGCAGGATTGGGCGATAAACATCTTCGGAAGTGCCCACTTCCTTGGCATGAGCCGTGTGAGAAGAAAGACTATCTGATAAGAGGAACCTTGGGAATGGGGGTACCACGTTACTCGTACCGTCGATCGCGATCGCGCAAAAAAAGGGAAGAAGAGTACGGCTCAGCTTTGCTTCGATGGTAACGCAGCGCGGACCGGCTTCGAAGGTTAATTCACTGGAGCCACGGGCCAGGAGGCTGCTCGTGTTGCGGGTTCGCGGTGGAGAGCGCTGGAGGGGGGGACTGGCCGTGAGCCGGGAGATTTACAAATAATGGACTTTATAGTTGGATAGTCTAGCTTGGCTTTGCCGCTTTCGCTGGACTTCTCTGGTTAGAGGGCGGCGATCGCAGAGGTCTCCCGAAAATGAGAAAATGGTCTGTTCTCTCCGTGTGGGTGGCCCACGCTCGGGGAGGAGAAGATGTTCTCTTGGCCCACGAAGGACTTCCTGCTCCCCGAAAAGATACGATAGGTGTTACTCCGTAGATCTCGTACAGATATGGGACATATGGGGGCAGGAAAAGAGATACGTGTTGATGTGGATTCGGAAATCCTCCGGTGAGCTGTGTATGGCGCAGTTATACTTTTACCTTTATGCATCGTCGAAGCTGAAACACGCGATGACCTCTGAACCATTGGAACACGATCTCGATCGGGAAGATAGGGTTTCGGCTGTGGGAATCGCATCGCATCGCAATGGCATCGAATTGCATCACCGGGAGATGGAGAGGGGACCCGTATAGTGGGCTGCGGACGGAGACGAAGCGGACTTCCGTAAAATAACCCAATGACCGCTGAGGAAAGGCGTGGGTGATTGCACAATTTTCCTGTCTCAGCCGAGCTGTTCCACCGCGGTCCTCATTGGAGTCGCGAAGGAGAGCGATGTGATTGGATATGATTAGCTGTAGCCGGGTGTACCTGAGTCGAACCCACGGAATCGGTTCGCATGATTGTGCTGGGGGGTTCGTGTCCCAGGAACTGGATTCTGGAACTGGAAACTGGGGACTAGGGACTAATTTGGGACCGTGTCTGTCTGGGTTTGATTGCACCATTTCGTCCCCATTGCAGGCCCATTGCGGAGGGAAATCCGTGGTGGCGACCCAGCAACGGAATTTTGGGGACCAAACAGACAATCTCGTTGGATGGTTGGTCGGCTCTAATGCAGACTCGGGAAGAGACAGAGTTCCGTTCCTGATTAGAGGCATTAAAAGTGGTCACTTACGGAGTACTCGTACATACTGTTCTCCGCATTTTTGGGGCCCTGGGATCTTGCGATCGCAAGACAGATTTGCGGCCGTAGCCGATCGTGGTGTGGACTTGTGGACTTTGTGGACTCCAGTGGGGAGCCGTATACTGTACACCGATACGATGGAGTAAAGAGAGAGGACCTTGCTAGTCCTCTTTGGACCCGCGAAGCTTTCGCAAAAAAATGTGTGCGACGTCCAGCGAACCTTGGGACCGCGGGTGCTTGTGAAGATCGGGCTCGAGAATCTTCCATTGGCCAATTTGGCTTCGACCGAGGGAGCTAAGGGTCGAGCTAGTATTGGTATAGGCAAAAGGCTCCGTTTCCTCCGTCGTACGTAGTAGAGATACATACATACAAGAGATAGGGTGGATCTTGCCGGAACTCTCTGTGTTCCCCATTGTCGCAGGTATACTCCGTACTCCGTACTCTGGTAGATTGACTCTGCAGCGGCATAGAGGAGGTCCAAGTGTAAGTTTGGGAGCACGTTGTCCATTCATTTTAGTTTATTTCCATCTCCATTTCATTTCCACGGCAGGAAGCGAGCGAACGGCAGAAGATGCAGGGCACTGGGACTGTATTCCCGATGGACACTAGTCTACTCCATAGTGTCGGGAAGAAGAGCCAACAAGAAGGAGAATTGAAGGCGATCGACTTGCTCATCTCTGGGGAGAGGTGGATGCCGAGGGACACGTGCGGATACAGGTACCATAGGACTAGCAGTGCTCCATGATTATCATTATAATCATATGGTACGTCGGACTAGCTTAATTGCTCGTTGCCATGTTTTCATGTGGGAGTTGCCGGCTTAGGGCAAGGACAAATTCTCGCATCCCATGGAAACGCTCTCGCTAGCCGAACCTCCCCGCATTTTGGTCGCTTGGGCCATTTGAATTCCAATGGCACTGCCGGTGAATCCTGAAGGAGTCCCATGGATATGAAACCGCGCCCGAGCACTGGGCGTCGGGAGGATGTGACCTCAGCGTGGCGGAGCCACCGACCGTTGCATGAGAATGAGAAGAAGTTGGATAGTTCGGGTTCTCCGATTTGATTCAGAAATCACTCAATGCGTTTAATTTCGGAGATTGGGGCAAAAGTAGAAGTTTGTGAGCGAAAAAGAGAGAGAGGAAGAGAAAATTCTGGAATATTGTCGACTACTGTAGTTAGTATCATCCTTGCTGGGTATTGCTGCACACGACCGCAAGGATCAACTCCTGTTCCTAGCTGACGGCACATATCAAATTCTCCGAGTCAGTGCAAGTACCAGCAAGTGCACCACGAGCCCGACACACCGCTACCTTTCAAAAATGTCAAAAATCCCAAAATCCTTCCCCCCCAAAGGCTGGACTTACTATCGATGCCCGTGGGGCCCAGCCAAGACCGCGGCGTCCCGCGCTAGCACCCGTCGCGGCCTCGACGCGTGTTCGAAGCCAAGTCCCCTCGAGTGGTTTCAGATTCCAACGTGCGTAAAGGCCCGAAATGAAACCATGATGGCTGGTGGTGGCACAGTCGCTCCATCGCTCCACTATTTGCATCTTTGAGTCCATTCCATTCTGATTTTGGTTAGGTCGTTGGTTTCCACCCGGAACACTCATTCGACATTCAGCCTGTATTCAGATAAAACCACCCAGCGACACCCAGCGATCTGCAACGCTGTCAAAAGTTTCCTTGGGACTATTAGTCGGGCCTAGCTTCTCTTCTTGGTGTAGACCGACTGGTTCAAGGTTTGGGTTGGTAATAACCTAAAAGGCAAAAACCTTGAACACAAAAAGTAACCCGAGAACGAGAGGAGAGGAGAGAGGAACGTTGTCTAGCAACGTGAGGGCAGGGTAGAGCCGGTCCAACTCGGACAAGCGCATGGAACGAAGTTTAGTTGAGTCGAGGTCTCAGTCCACTATCGAAGTTTCAAAGGCTCCAGTTCGGCCGCTGATAGCCACTGGACCCGCAACTGCTTCTCCATATGAATTCTTTTGGTGCTGCCACCGGTCACGGTCACAGTCACGGCCACAGTGCTGCTACCCTCGTCTTCCAGGGTTGATAGCATGATCCGCCGCCAGCCGCGAGTGAACCCGCAGGGATCGAAGACCCCCACGCCCCCATTGGACTCGACTCCACGTCGGCTGTCGTCAACCGGTGAGAAGTGAGAAAACCGGGGAGCGAGAGTACTGCACTGTATCTGAAGCCTCCGCGGCACCATGTGAATGAATGGGCTCGAACCCCTCGACTACTGGCCGTTAAGCCAAGTCGATCGAAGTTGCCGATGGAAGCTAGAAGAAATAAAGAAAGAGAACCCCGGAGTTGGGAAATAGTGAGTGGCAAGTAGCTCCGTATAGTGCGCCCGGAGGAGCTAGAAGGCAACGGACCGGTCCACGTTCGGGGTTCCATTTTTGAACGTTTCGTAAATGAAAATGGGCCAAGACCGAAGAGATAGTACTCGTACTACTCATACGTACGGAGTACGTAGTATGGAGCCTCCAATGGCTCCAATGGTGTTCTATACTCGTAGTCTTGCAGTACTCCGTACTCCGTCCGAAAGTCCAGAATGGATCAGTCTTCAATCAACATATCACATTGCCAAAGCACCAAAATCATAGGGGCCAATCGTAACGAACACTTCGGTATCCGGGCCGTCAAGGCGCGCAGGATGCAAGCTTTCTGCGACGCATGGGAGATTACCACAACGGCTCTCCCAAAAGGAAAAGACCCTTGCAGCTAGTCCATACATAGTTATCCGGTACTCCGAATTGTATGTATCCATCACCTCGATGTATCCAATTTTTGCCTTCCCCCCACCACATCTCAACGGAGTTCGTTCTTTGACAGTTGACACTAGTAGCAGTTAATCAACATTCCTAACTAACTCTATGCGCCTCTCCATTTGGAATGGGATATGCAGTAAATACGCCATCCTATCCGCCGACTATACGCCACGAACGCACGAACGATGGAACAGGTCGACTTCCCAATTCTCTCGGATACGAGCATGATCGACAACGGTTTCTCGCAGCTTATTCGACCCGGTGGGAAAAAAGGCTGTCGCAATCGCTACCCCACCAGGAACAAAAAAGGATTATCGGATTGGCAAGACCCTAGTACTCGTGTATGTACTTTCTTTTTACAAATATCCGTACCCAGCAAAGGCAAAGGATGAGGGATCTCCGTCTATAGCTCGAGTTCAAAGTCCGCTCATTCGTCGGGGAAAGAGCTCATCTGGATCCCGCCACCGAATTAATGGACCGCATTACTCGTACCATTTCCAATTGCACGGGTCAGGGCCAGCTCCCGAACCCCGTTATTTGGGAATCGGGCTTGAGGGAAAAGTTTCTGCGGCGCCTTCCCCCCCCCCGCCCTCATTTCATATGATTGGGTGAATGGGAGACGGCAAGAAGAGCCGGATATGGGGAAAGCTCTCTCGAAGCTCTAGCTTCAACCCACACCAGTAGTGATGGGCTTGGAATTTTGCCATTCGCGTCGGCCATCGACTCCATCGAGTCCACCGTCGGCTGCACATGAAGGACCTTCCGCGCGAGTCAGAAGCTAGCAACCGCCCGTTCGACGGACGCTATCTCCTCCTCCGTACCCTCTCTCTCCAGCATATTCTCCAGTCTGGAGTCCCATGTCTCCACCGCATGTGTACGAGTATCCAGAGCTCGACACCACGCCTAAATAACTCACCATCTGGCTGGTTAGGAGCCTCTGCCGTGTTGGCTAATTTGCAAAGGCCCCAGTAATGATAGCCCGCGCTGGACCGTGAAACAGCATTTCGCATTTGAAGCTAGGTCGATAACCATTAATAATTCCCTTTTGCGTATCGGTGAACGAGAATTCTTAATCTGAAGGCTTGACACAGACCAACAAAGCACGAGGGAAAAAGAGGATCACCAGAGCGCGGCGAATCCAATAGATCGAAAAAGGAATTACTGGAATAGGTAAAGAATTTGAGTCTGGAATTGGCCATCGCTGCTTAATCAAGCCGGACTGTCTGTGCGACACCGACAGCGATGGTGGTGGCGGTCAGGGTTGCGTGTGAGAAGGACGAAAAGAGTCCACTGGACCACTCTCCCCGGCAATAGTAGCAAATTCAATTTTGGCCACAAATTTGGGGCTCCGCGTGAAACGATCGATCGAGGAAAAGTCGTGATCCAATTGATTTTATGCAATGTTAGAAGCTCTGCCTCTGCAATCTGTACATGAATCGCGTCTATGAAAATTAGACTGCAGCCGCGGCGAGATAGGAAAAGAATAATCGACTGCAACGGATTGGGGCTGGACGCAAGGTTGTTCTCTAGTGTATTCACTAGAGGAGGAATTGGTCAAGAGGGATGGGGCCGCGATTCTTTCTCGAAGAGTAAGTGACAGCCTTCCATGCATGGCCCTTACCATCCGCTAGTCCTGTGTAAAGCCTAGGGCCACGTTCTAACACTCTAGTCATTGCCCACCCATGAGTGACTGGGCTGGAGATAGTGAATCTAGTCCTAAGTCAGCAACACTCAGACCCGCGTGAGTGAGTGTGGATAACACAGAAGGTGGAGTACGAAAGCGACCTTGTTGACCTTACTCCGTACTTTGGACTTACTGACTTGAGCAGTATATTTACCCTAGCTCTGTACTACTCCTCATGGGGATCGGAGTGGGGAGGGAGAGGTCGGGAAGGCAGCGATCAGACAATTTCTCCCCCAATTTCACAATTTCCCGGCCAAGTGGACTGTCTCGGGAGTCTGATTGGCGAGCGGAAGAATGTCGAGAATTCCCGTCACCTCTTTACTACTTCTGGTTAGTGTCCAGGCAAAAGGGTTTAAAAGAGGAATTGGTGGACCGTTGTGGAGGCCGCTATGTTTAGAAGCGGCCAATGGTGCACGGTTGATGCGCAGATGGGAAAAGATGGGCGATGATGGAATTTCGACTTTTCGGCCTCGAGTGGTTTGCTCATTGCTTTTGCGAGTGGCTGATTCCTTTACCTTTTTTGGGAGGGGAAGTTTGAAGCAGTTGAATTGTGATAGTCTTGATTGACGCAGCCTTGTTGGCCACTGGAGGGTCTGATAGGGTGGGTTCAGAGTCATGCCCAGAGAAAATCACCAGTAATCTCACCAAAGGTCTCATGTTTGGGTCAGAATATGTTCTGGAAAGGTTGTGCCACTCTACTCATAGCAAAAGTTACTCAAGATTGGACCGGCCTTGCGTGCGTGGCGTGCGGCGTGCCGGTGGCAATGAGAGCGTGAGAGAGCACATTGATGAGTCTTGGGATGCTGGGCACTTGGATGTATCGGATTCTGTCCTGCCTGATGGATCACAAGGAATTGGCGCTGCCCCGGATCTACGAGTGAGACGCGGTCCGCCAGGCAGAACCATCACATCGACATGCAATCGGAACACATCACTTTGCGACATGGCTTACGCTCGCCAGGCCAATCAGATGTATCACAAGCGTCTCATCCATCAGCCAGGTATACACTTTTTAAGACCAGTGCGTAGGTCTGGACCGGTAGGTTTGAACTCGCGTCAAGAAAGTACATATAATCGCTGTAGAGTGCCGAGACTAAGGGACATTGGCCCTTTCAAGTTCACGCTAATCAAGTCAGTAAGGCTGACGGGGGGGTTTCTCCGCATCCCTCGAGCTCTTGCGATTTGTCTCCAACCAAGGGGACTTGCATTGAAGCCTTGGCTAGCCTTATCTAAAATGATAGTACGGAATATCCTCTGGGGATCCTGGGTTCGGGGTTCTTGCGGTGCCTTCGCAGCTGGTTCCTGCAGTAGACCGCCCGATGCAAGAAGGAAAAAGAAATCCCCCCCAAAAGAGTTGAGACTATCACAAGCTGAGCCTTGACGTGTCGCGGCCCTTACAGACTGCTTGTGTTCGCCGAGAAAATTCCCGCAAATCCATGTGGCAACTTCACGACAGCTCGCACGCAGGTCACAGCTCGTAGCTTCGAATAATTTGCCTCCACCAAAAAGCTAGACTATGTACTATGGATCCAATATTTTGCAATCCATGATGGGGTAGGAGAGTAAAACAAAGCACAGATCAGTGTGATGTCTGTTATCGTTGCCGCTGCCGCTGCCGTTGCCGTTGCCTCGCTTGGTTGTACTTTCGGCCACTGCCGGCATCATATGAAACTGACCGGGGGTTGCGTGGGCGCACATACACATTCGCGTACCCCGGGGAGCGGAGAGGGCGTTCGAGTGGCAGAGACACCCAAAAAGACAGCCAATGCCGACCGTTTCACGATCGCTCGCGCAGAGGCGGTCGCACGGTAGGAAATAATCGCCACCGTTGAGCCTTCTGATCGGCAAGGCCTGAGAGCGACTTGGGTTTGCGCATTCACACACACCTGCACTCGTACTAGATGGGGCATGGATCGACCCGGACTACCTATGGACATGGTTTCCACATGTTGATCGCGCCGGGGGAGGGCGAAGTACCGGGGGGAAATGGGCCTCCGAGGTGAGCGCAGTCAGATCAGTGTCGATCGCCAGAGTGGTGGGTGCAGCGGGTCCACGCTTGGCTAGCATCGGCGCACGCTTGTGGTGTACTGCCCTGGCAGCGAAATGACGAGGACGGGACGGACGTGGGGCATGCTTTGGGCAAAGCGGCCATTGGCCCCAGGGCCACACCACCCCCGGGTGCCCAAAAATTGTGTGGTGCACACACACACACAGACAGTGCCAGTGGGAGAAAATGTGTCTGGCTTTCCATCCCCCCCCCACCCATTGGCGAGAGCTGATTTGCCGCTGGGTAGAAGCTGGTGCTGATAAGAGGTGCAAATGATTAGCGCTGTCACCATCGCCGGGACCAATAGCGATGATCCTCGTGGCCACAACGACCGAGAGAGCCGTGGGTGTGAGTGTGATGAGATTAGGAGGAATGAGGAAAGAGAGATAAGTGGTGTATATTCATAGACACCGAAGTATAGTGAGCGTTAAGCTGAGGTGATAGGAGTCGGCAGAGGTAGGCTTGAGGGTAGGCTTGACAGGTGACAGGCCAGCCAGAGCCAAAGCCAGAGCAGCAGAGGAGGCCTGGACAGTGTTCTGAGTCCTTCATATCTCGTACCCAGTGTCCCAGTGTGTACCGTACTCCGTACTCTGTCGACCAGCCCGTAGGTGGAGGTGGAGGCAGCCAGTGAGAAGATGGAAGAGTCCAGGTGGAAGAGAGAGACCCACCGCGGATGTGCAGTTCCCAACCCGCCCCGGACTAGCCTGCTTTCCTTACACAACAGAATTGAGACACCCAATTTTAGTATTAATTTTATTTAAAAATATATTTTAATTAGATTTCACTTTTGGGTGGATTAATTATTCTATTTATTTTATTCCCTTTTTGTCATTAAATCATTTAATCATTTATTCTATCAGTTCCTGGCCCACCCGCACTAGCGGCAAACGTAGGAATAGCAGCAGATCACTCTTTTTATCCACCTTCGCCCTCTCTCTCTCATTCTCTCTTCCTCTCTCGCTACTTGTACACACTCTTTTTCCTCTTCGTCTTTATTTTATTTTATATTTTATACCTTATTTTTGTATTTTTCCTTTTCTGCTTTTGGGTTGGGTTATCAAACTATTTGGATCTCCCATCTTCACACATTCTCTCACTCTCACTCTCTCTTATTCCACCTGATCTTTCCAGGATTCACCTTCCTTTTGACCTAATCGCCTGGTCCATTCATTCATTATTACTCTAGATCACTGGAGTGTCTCAACCTAACTACTACTACACCATCAACTATACCTAATATTCACATCAGCATTGCGACTACCGCCGGTATGTACTGGATGGCATGATATGATATGGCTATTATCATGTACTATCAAGGCAATGCCAATGGCATTGCTTTATAGTCATGGCCATGCTATACAACAGACCCCCGCTGACTCCCCCAGCAATGGACTCTTACACAGTTGCACCTCCCGTGCAAGGCCAATCATTCTACTACGATGCCACAACACAACAGCAAGGACACTACACCAGCCAGCCCTCCGACTACTATGGTCAAATGCAGTACCAGCAAAGTCGGGCTTCAGAGCAGCAACCCATCTATCAACCGCAACCCATGATGAACATGCACCAGATGGCCACCACCAATGCCTTCCGCGGTGCCGCCATCAACATGACTCCCATTGCCTCTCCTCAACCCTCTCACATGAAACCTTCCATCATTGTGCAACAGGGCTCTCCCGGTTTGATGCCTCTGGACACTCGCTTCATCGGTGCCGATTTGTACGCTTTTCCTTCAACACCGCCTCTTTCCGCCTCGGGCAGCAGCATCAGCAGCCCTCCTTCCGCCCATGGTACCCTGCACACCCCGATCACCGACACTTTCTTCTCCTTTGAGAAGGTCGAGGGTGTTAAGGAAGGCTGTGAGACTGATGTCCACACGGAGATTCTCGCCAACCCGGATTGGTCGCGCTCCGAATCCCCTCCAATGACTCCAGGTAAGTTTTTAGTGAAACAGATCGATCATATGCATGCACGCATGGCAAGCACGTCACCCTTTTCCAAAAATAAAGAGTTTTGGCAAGAGATGGAAACCTACGAACCAGGTGACGTGGGGTCATATATGCAAGGGGGAGAAAAAAAAGGCCAATGCTAACTCGCGGCCGAATCATCAGTGTTTATCCACCCGCCGTCATTGACCGCCAGCCAAACCTCCGACTTGCTCTCCGCCAATTCTTGCCCCTCGCTTTCCCCCTCCCCCTCTCCAGTTCCATCCGACATCCTCGCCCAATCCCAAGGTTTGACTGCTGAGTCGGCCGGTGCAGACTTCTGCGACCCGCGTCAGCTCACAGTCGAGGCTTCAGCTCACGTCCCGACTGCCCATGGTCTCCCTCCCTTGCCGACTCTCTCCTGCGACGAGGAGCAGCCCCGCGCCGTTGTGGGCAGTGCGTCTGTGACGCTGCCTGTCAACGAGAACCCTTCTCCTTCGTTCACTGCCTCGTCCACGACCGAGGATCCTCTGAGCTCCCTGCCTACCTTTGACAGTTTCTCAGACCTCGACTCGGACGATGAGCTGAACCGCCTCGTTGACTTCCACCCCGGTAGCAACGCTGTTTACCTTGGTGGCAAGCGCCAGCGTGTGGACCAGTACATTGCTGAGGACGATGGATTCCTGAGCGAGCACAGCCTTGAGGACTCGGATGACTCCGAGTTCATGCCGGCTGCCGTTCCTGCTTTCCATTGGAACGAAGTCGCCCACGCCCACGCCCACGCCCACTCGCACGTCCATACTCACGTTGAGCATGAGCATGAACATGAGCATGACCTTGCGAACGACAGCGAGTCCGACTCTGCCGAGGAGGAGATCCAGACCAAGAAGCGTAGCAACCGCAAATCATCCCGGAAGACCGCCCACATTGATGACGACTGCTGCTCCACCAAGTCTGACTCTATGCCCCCTCCCTCGAGCGACGAAACTGTCACCGACTCCGAGCGCGCTCCCGTCTCTGTGAACCGTCGCGGTCGCAAGCAGTCTTTGACCGAAGACCCTTCCAAGACCTTTGTGTGCACACTCTGCTCGCGCCGCTTCCGTCGCCAGGAGCACCTCAAGCGTCACTATCGCTCCCTCCACACTCAGGACAAGCCCTTCGAGTGCCACGAGTGCGGTAAGAAGTTCTCTCGCAGCGACAACCTGGCTCAGCACGCTCGCACCCACGGCGGTGGCTCCATCGTCATGGGCATCCTGGACGGAACGGAGGGATCTATGTCCTTCGACGAGTCACAAGATGCCGGGGCGTTAGGGGCGGTCATGTACGAGTCCAACGAGGCTGGTGCCGACCGTCGTGCTGCCAAGAAGCGCAAGCGTGACTCTGGCTCCGTCTAAGTCCTGCCCTCCCGCAGGCCTTTGGCGATCATGACAACTTATGAGACCAGGAGAACTTCCTACTGCATATATAATATACAACATTGCGCTCGGTCGGGCGGTTCTCCTGCGGGATTCGAACTGGCTTTTTTATTTTCATTTTCATCTCCTTTTTTTGACTCGACCTATTTTACAGGTCCATTGGGTTTGGCGTCCGGGCATTTGCATCTGGTGTCGGCTATCGGGTTCATCGGTGCAAGGCATGGTTTCCTGTCTTTTCAGCGGAACATTCGGGGATACATTCATCATGGAGTTGACGGAGAGGTTTCAGTGAGGACACTGCAACTCAACTCTCCTGGACTCATTTTTTTTTCACATTTTTCTCTTTTTTTTCCCTTTCCCTTTTTTCCCTTTGTTTGGGTCTTCCTCGGGAGATATGGTGTGCTTCACCAAAAAGAAAAGAAGTTTCACGACCCCCTTATCCCGAAACCATTCGGAAAAACAAAAAGAAGAAAATCGAGTGGGCAATGATGACATCCTGTCTTCGCGATGAAACAGGTGGCTTGGTGTTGATTTCCTTTGTCATTGTGTTTCCTTGCAATTTCCTTTGTTTTTCATTTTGTCTGTGTCTTTTTCGTCTCGTCTCGTCTCTGTTATCCCCCGGATCAACACATCAGCGTTATGGGCAAATCCTTTCTCGGCTCTATCGTTTGCCGATTTGCCCTTGCTTTTTATCCTTCCATTCTCTGTGACTTTTTTTTCCCCCCCCACCCTTTAGCTTCTCTTCGCCGTTTCGTTCACCTCTCGCTCTTGTCTTATTTCATGTAATATCCTCTTTTTGTCTCCCCCCCCTTTTGCTTTTTGAACACCCGTTTTGTTGTGCTGGTCACATTCGTGTATATCTTAATTTGACCACCCCCGATCTCATCCTGATCCTCATTACCTCTTACCTTATACCTCATACCCCCTTCTTGTATTGCATTGCCTGCTCGTTTGTGTTGGTCAAGGTCTATTTACTCAATTTATCCTCGGGATCCGAATCAATCAAGAATATCAATCATACTTCTATCCACAGAGTAGTCTAATCACAGTGTAGTCTAACTAATTGTCCTTGAAGGGAAGAATAGTTTAAAAAAACTTATAGCTCTGAGCCAGTCCTCATAATCGAAGTACCAGCACATTCAGGCCTCTCTTAGGGAGGGATCCTCTCTTACGGGCCTGAAGGCGCCCTTTAAACAAACGTAGCCTGGTTTGCAACCGTTGGAGGGGGAAATCGCGCAACCTCGGCAACCCGGAAACCTGACGGGGGCTGTTTTCGAACCCGAGCGAGGACCTGTCTATTGTCTGAACACGAATGTACTACAGGATGTACGGCAGGTGTATGCGCGGCGTCTTTGCCTCTTACCAAGTGAGCCATCTTGGTGGGTGAACACTGCCTAGTCCAATTTTAGACCATGACCGAGCGCGATAAGAGTTTAGTATGCTCCACTGATAACAGGTGGGACTTGCAAATTATCCCACCACACTACGCAGCTCTACTGCCCCGGGGAACAACAACTTCCCATGAACACCCCCCCAATCATGTCCAACACACAACCTGCAACACTGGGAGGCCTCAATGTGATCGCCCTAGTCTCAGGCGGAAAAGATTCCCTCTTCTCCATCCTCCACTGCATCCGCAATGGACACAAAGTAATCGCCCTAGCAAACCTGCACCCCGAACTCAAACCCAATACATCGACTGCCGAAAAGGCCGCTGAAAATGACGACGACGGAGAAAAAGAAGAAGAAGAAGATATTGACAGCTTCATGTACCAAACCATCGGTCACAGCGTTATTCCCCTCTACGAAGAAGCGTTAGGCATCCCACTCTACCGCGCCCCAATCACCGGCGGGGCCGTGGATACGTCTCGAATTTATAGACACGATGCTGTCTCGCAGTCCTCTGAGAAGGACGTCCTGTCTGGAAGTGACGCGGTCGACGGTGAAGCAGACGAAACAGAGTCCCTAGTCCCACTCCTCACCCGCATAATGAAAGCCCACCCAGAAGTCAACGCCGTCTCAGCTGGCGCAATCCTATCAACATACCAACGAACCCGAATCGAGAACGTGGCCGGGAGACTAGGTCTAACCCCGCTCGCCTGGCTGTGGAACTATCCCTCACTGCCCGCCCCAGCAGAGCGCGTCGCTGACCCGGCCACAGTGCGTGAAGCGGGTTTGCTAGAAGATATGGCCGCCGCCGGGTGTGATGCGCGAATTATCAAAGTTGCTTCGGGGGGGACTGGATGATGGGTTTCTTTGGAACAATGTTTCCGGCAGTGGGGGCTCGGGTCGTTTGTTTCGAAGACGTATCGTTAAGGCTATGAGTCGATTTGCGGAGGCGGAGGATATTCGGGGCGCTGTCCTTGGTGAGGGGGGGTGAGTATGAGACTCTTGCTGTTGATGGGCCGGGGTTTCTTTGGAAGAAGAGGATTCTTGTTGAGAAAGCTGTTAGTCGGGTCGCTGATGGGGGCGTTGCTTATACTTGTTTGAAGGGGGCGAGGTGTGTTTCTAAATCTGATGGGCAGGAGAAGGAGCAAGAGCAGGAGCAGTCTGATATCGCGCCATCGGATATTAGAAGGCCAGCTCTGTTTGATGGGAAATTCGCTACACTGCTGAATGACCTTTCGACTGGACCTGCTGACGCAAACGATTCGACTGCCGAAACAAATATACCCCTATCTCCATCACCATCACCATCACCGACATGGACAACCGAACCAGTCAGCCGCCTAACAAAAACAACCTGGACAATCTCAAACCTCATCGCCCCAGAAGCCGGCCCCAGCACCACCTCCCAAATGAGCGCTATATCAAGCAAAATCCAAAAAGCCCTCTCCTCTTCCCCCTCCAACCCACCCCACTCAACAGAAGACATAATCTTCGCAACAGTCCTCCTCCGCACAATGGACGACTTCACCCCCATGAACAAAATCTACGTCTCCTTATTCCAAAAGCCAAACCCACCCGCGCGAGCAACAGTCGCTTGCGGCGATACTCTACCCGATGGCGTGAATGTGATGATTTCCTTCGTTGTGGATCGAGGTGCGAGAAATGCGAGGCAGGGACTACATGTTCAGTCAAGGAGTTATTGGGCTCCGGCGAATATTGGGCCGTATTCGCAGGCTTTGTCTATTCCGTTGGAATTGGGTGAGAGTGGGAGTGAGCATCGCCAGAACGACCAGACTAGACTGGTTTATGTTGCGGGTCAGATACCGCTTGAACCGGCTTCAATGGAAGTCGCTGCATCTACGGATAATGGATCTGAGTCTGCGTTTGGAGATTATTCTCACAGGGCTACGTTGGCGTTGCAGCATATGTGGAGGATTGGCGAGGCGATGCAGGTTAATTGGTGGGCAGGGGCTGTTGCGTTCCTGGTTCGTAGGGGAAATGATCAAACTCAGATTCGGACTCAGGCGCGGATAGCGTGGGAATTGTGGAAGAATATCCATACAGCGGAGAATACTGGTGATGACGATGGTGATGACGATGATGAAGAAGGACCGCAGTTCGATGCTTGGGATATCAAATACGGGCGACAGACCGAAGATGTGGTAGCCCAGACCTGGAAGTTGCCTGATTTTGGCATTCTGGGCAGCAGCATCAGCTCCAGTGTTAAGACATCTACTACGTCCGTATCGCCATTTTTGGCAGTGGAGGTTGACCAACTTCCCCGCGGCAGTGATATCGAGTGGCAGGGTCTTGGATATAAGTGCGGAAACGTCTCGATTGAAGACCAGGTCGATCGTACGGCGAGTATAGCGGATGGAAAGTATGCCTATACGTGCATTGAGATTTCCAGCGGGGAATCAGATTCGAAGGAGAAGCTTGCTGCTATTTTGAAAAGTCTGTCTCTGAAACGGAGACTCTCTCAGGCTGTGCTGTACACCACGCAGCGAGTGACAGGAGATTTCTGGGTTGGCCAGGTCGTTCCGTGTCGAAGTGTTTGGGGTCGGGAGGGTAAAGAATTATTTGCGGGAGTGGTGTTGCAAGAAGAGATTGAGATTTCGAACTAAAGTCAAATAGCATAAACACCAACGAATGAAATCAATGAATGAAACGACAGCATACAAGAAAACCCCCATCACGAACTAAATAAAAACACATCACTCCTCAACCCCAATCTCATGCTAGCACTCAGGCTACTAGCAGTAGCAGTCCGAGTATACCGTCCGTCCGAATTAACCCGTCGTCTCTTCAGGCCACTATTCGCCTTCCGATGAGACCGTGACTGTCTAACCTGGGAATAAATCCCCGAGCACGCCGACGCCGTATGAAAAACACCATGGCAGACGGTACAAAAATCAACAACAACAGTCGCCGAATAATCGTCCACATCTCTAATTTTCAACCCCCATTTTATCTCCTCAGTCCGCAAAGCCACTCTATACAACCGACCCTCTTCTTCCAACGCATCAAGCACCAGATTCTCAAACGAAAACGTCGAACTCGAACAATCATCCCACGGAACCAAAACCGTTGCATTCTGAGTTCGTCGAATCTTCCACTCCTGCCAATCCAACGGAAGACCCGCAATAAACGCGCATGACAGAATAGCGTCAGAAATTCCCGTTCCAAGCCGGCGATACTGCATTTCAATATCCCGAGCTTCGGCGCAGTAGTCGGTGATACTCGCATGTCGCGAAGAATGGAGGGTGGAAAGTCTGGTCCAAAGAGAGCAGAGCATTTCGAGGGCTTCGCTGGCTGTGGGTTTTGTGTAGTTGTTCACGGCTTGGAGAAGGGTTTCGAGGGTTTTATGGGGGTGCATTGCTTTTGCGATTGTTGGGGTTAGTTTGCTGATGACGATTGCGCAGGCGGTTTTTTGGGAGTGGTTCCATCTTTGTAGCGGGGTTGGATCATCGGATGAGGGTGGTGGTTTGTTGATATCTTTGAGGAGTCGGGTGAAGTTGCGCTTTTTGAGGGTTTGGTGGGTTTCTAGGTTCCATTTTGGCCAGTCTTTGTTGTTTTTGAGGATTTGGCTCGGGTTGGGGATGGAGCTGGTGTGGCAGATCTTGGAAGGCATTTTGGATTTAATAGTGTTCCAAAGTTCCAAAAGTTGAAGTGAGAACTTGAAGAATAGTTCTTTCGAGAGAATGATATTTTCTTTTATTTTTCTGTCATTGTGCTAGGGGTGTTTTGGAATGTGATGACGCTGGCCAGTTCGGCGGGACGGACCATGATTCTCCACATTCTTGATAGATCTGAGATTTGAAAATGACAGTGACTATCATAGAAGGATCTGATTGTCATACTCCATTTGGGTACTATGTATGGAAAAAGCCGGCATGTCAAAATGAAGCATAACTTTGGAATGGAGGTTTGGGATGCATCGCTCACAGCCGTTGTATGAAGTCGATGCTTCGAGCCATGGCAGAGCTTCAACTTCGCGTGCTGTATGGGCATGATATTGGACAGCAGGGAAGTAAATTCTGGATAAGCCATTTGTCCAATACCCTCACTAGTAGGGCCGAGGGTGCATCGGGAGTATGCAATGGCCTTGTTTCATCTCGTGTAGGGAGAGGGTGAGGATCCATGGATTGGGAGTAACCATTGAAGAAGCTGTGTTTACTTGCATGCCAGAAGGTACCCTCCAAGTCTCTACTCTACTCACGTTTCCCATCAAGGTCATTGAGAACCACTCGAACTCCCGGGAGATACTAGATGGCGGGCCTAGGCAGTATTTGATGCAAGGTGGGTGAATGGTGGACAAAAACAAGCCGAGAGGAAATAAAAGTCATATTGTTTATGGGTAATAAATGAGATGTCCGTCGTAAAAAAAGTCCTGCTGTTCGATATAGCGAACATCAGGGTGGAGTAGACGCGGCTCTGCTAAAAACCGTTTGGTTTTGTTCTCCCACGAACGAACGATTAAAAATCACCCAAGAGACGAGGAGCCACAGAAAGGCACCACGCGGGTTATGTGGGTAGACAGACAAGAGTCTGTCACTACGAAATGTGTGTCCTGAATTCAAGGTACTCAAGGTACTCACTCAAGGTATAATCTTCACATCAGAAGATCCTCAAAGTGAATTCCCAAGTGAATTGGAGTGATGAATGAAGGAGAGGAAGAAGAAGAAGGTGTTGCAAAGCAAAAGATGAGTTTTACCCGTTCGCCTTCACCGCCTTGACAGCCTGAGTAACGTGACTCCACATACTGGCAGGAAGCACGTGACCCGTCCTATATGGACGAAAAATCTGCGGCAACACTTTTCCTTCCTCATACACTTTTCGAACGCATAATCAACCTCCAATTCCTCCATTTGACGATGGTCATAGGATGGCAGGTCATATTGGCGTACTAGATGAATTCTCAGAGCAGCATAAGGCTTCTCAACGGCACCAAGGGCTTCGGCCTGGACGTGCAGTGGTGGAGGCGTCACCTGCTGCTCAGACATACACTTCCAATGATGGAAGAGGCATTAGTAGAAGCCAATGGAGGATGCCAATTATTGTAGATTAGCCATTGAGTATTAGGGTACAGAGTATGCTATACTCGTACTCAGTGGTGTTGGAAGTAACACAGTGCTGATAGCAGTCATCAGCACTGCATCAGTACTAGCTACTCCGTATATGACTGGAGTCCGCATTTACGGAGTACCTATGCTGCTGCTACTGTCTATGGAAGCTCCTCCGTGACTATTTTAGCCACAGTTCCCAAGTCCCTACTGCCTTCCAGAACGTCTAGTGGAGCCAGGGGCAGAACCAGGCCAATTTTGGGTCAACCTTAGGCCAACCTTGGGCCTCGATTCCGGGGTTGCACCTTAAACCTTTGCCCCTCGCAGGCTTGTCTCCTATTCTTATCCTCCTCTCCTCTTCTCCCACCACAATCCTAGTATTGTGTCCATTCCTTTCCTTCACTCCTTCATCATGCCCAATGGCATCAGTAAGCGCCAGCAGCTGCGCAACGAGAAAACTCTCGCTGAGCTGATCCGCACAATTCCCGGCAATGACCGTTGTGCCGACTGCGACGCCTTGACCCCAGGTGCGTTGCCAAGATGCGATACGATGCTCTTGACCATGACAACCCCATTATCCTCGTCCATTGAACTAATCCTTTCTCTCTCATTTAACAGGATGGGCAAGCTGGAACGTACGATCTGCCATCACCAATACAATTCAATCCCCTATCCCCGATCCCGCCGACTAACATCCTTCCCGAATCTTTAGATGGGCATCTTCCTTTGCATGCGGTGCGCCGCAATCCACCGCAAGCTGGGTACACACATATCCAAGGTCAAGTCATTGTCGATGGATACATGGTCGTCTGAGCAGGTTGATGTGAGTTGACCCGCGGTCTCCGGCAAAGGCAATGGGCGAAAGACTGACGCGCTGCCCTCCAACAGAACATGAAATCGCACGGAAACAACCTCATGAACAAGATTTATAACCCGAAAAATATCAAGCCGTCTACCCCGGTCGACGTCGACGAGGCCGACTCGTGCATGGAACGCTTTATTCGTCAAAAATACCAGTATCGGTCATTGGAAGATGGGAAGCCGAAGCCTCCGAGCCGCGATGATGAGAGTTATACCAGGCCATCCCGGTCCAGACGCGAGAGATCTCCCGCTAGGTCTCCACCCAGATCCCCCGAGGGCTCACCTCCTCCTCTGCCGCCCAAGACCGGAAGCAAGTTCTTCGGCTTCGGTCTGCGCGGATCCGCTTCAACCTCGAACCTCCGCCGATTTGGGACCAAGTCTTCCAAGGCCTCGCCAAACCCAGATCTTGAGCGTTGGTCCCCGCCCTCTTCCTCGAAGGGTCCCGAGCGCCCCGAGCGTGGCCTCGGAGCACCAGTTGCCGATGTGACGACTGCTTCGTTCGAAGCCAAGATGGCCGCGTTGAGGGAGATGGGATTCACCAATGACCGGCGGAACGAGATGGTGCTCCGTGGTCTCAACGAGGACTTGAACCGTTCGGCGGAGACACTGTCAAGACTGGGAGAAGGAAACGGCACTCTTCCTGCACGAGCGAGAACTCCGGCTCCAACAAGCAACACTGCACCTGCACCTCTGCCAACTGCTCCGCGTGCCGTGACCCCGAACCCACAATCGCTAGGATCCAACAATCCCTTCGAGAGATCCGTCTCGAACCCGGTTCCTCAGCAGCAGCCGCAGTCTGCGACGACTTCGTATAACCCGTTCGATCAGCCAAACTTGACACCAGCCTCAGCACAGCCATTGGAAACCTCTTTCCAGACCTTGCAGGTGTCGCAGCCGTTGTTCCCTCACTCGACTGGCGGATATCCCAACCAAGCGCAACCTCAGACTACATATCAACCAGCATTCGCTCCTTCGGCCACCCTCGGCCAGAACCAGGGAGGTTATGTCTCTTCGCCCCAGGCAATGGATAGCAACTACAATCCATTCTTCCAGACCACACCCCAGCCGCAGAGCGGCGTGGCAAGCCAACCCTTTACCAACACAGGTGCCGCACAAAACAATCCATTCTTTAATGCCCCTCAAAACTATGCGCAGCCCCAGCAGTCGGCAGCAGCCCCGACTCTCACAGCGCCACGCCCGCCTCAGCATGCGAACACCTTGCCAGCCATGTCTTCTTCTTCGCCCTTTGGAACCTCTCCATTTGGACCGACACCTTCTTTACAGACGCAGCAACAGCCGCAACAAAACCAAAATATTTCGCAAGGGTCCTATAACCCATTCCAACAGGCCATGTCAACTCCTCAAAGCGCAGGACCTTTTACGACCCAACCTCAATTCCCACCTCAGCAGGCCCAGCAGCAGCAACTGCAGCAACCGCAACAGCTGGTCCCTCAGACCACTGGCCAGATGAGCAAAAACGGCATTCTTTCTCTATACAACCTCGCCCCTTCGCCAGCAGTTCCTCAGATCCCCAGCCAATTCCAACAACAGCCTCAAGCTCAATACCAGCCTCAAGCTCAATACCAGCCCCAAGCTCAATTGCAACCGCAATCCCAGCCTTTCAATGGCCTGGCAAACAGTCCCGTTCCACCACTCACCAATTCCCTCACCACCACTCCTCAAACCCAACCCGGCTCCGCAATTCCTACTCCCCAACCCACCGGCACAGCCGGTCCCATGGCATCTCGCAACCCCTTCGGCGCCGCAACAGTCGGCTCAGGTCTAGCTGCCCAAGCAGGCGTGACCGCCTCCCAACTCAATCAACCCTCCTCCGGCCTAGGCATCGGAATGGGCACCAACGGCGCCGCCAATGCTCCAGGAGCAACAGGCACGAAGCCACCCTCAAGTCCATTCTCATCTTCAAGTCCCTTCTCTTCCGCCCCGTTTTCCTCAAGCCCCTTCTCCGGCCCCCCGCCAACAAGTATGAACATGAATTCCACATTCCCAAGAACGCACATGAGTCAGCCCAGCGTCGACGTCAGCGGTCTGCAGAATGGTCGGCATAGCCCGGATGCATTTGCCAGCCTGAGCGCTCGCTACGGTTGATTTGATCTGTGATCCGCTTTGCTCTCCTAGTGTCCAATGACTTTGACTTGACTCAACGATGAACCTGTCTCTGTTTCTGTTTGCGCTGCGCTTTTATGCAATGCTCTGCTCTGCATTACATTGTATTGTGTTGTGTTGTGTTGTTCCCTTCCTGCACTGCGATAACGTCTGATGAGAGAAAGACGACGGTTACGCTTTTCTCTTTCCTTATGATTGGATCTTGGATATAGAATCGTCGATGAGATGGTATGTACGTGCATGGCCATGGTGCATATGAGTTTTTCGTTTTTCTTTAATTTTCACTCTTTAATATTTTCTTTGGTTGAATTTGTCTGTATTCTCTGTCTCTCCTTTTCTTTTTCTTCTTTTCTTACTGTTTTAATTGTACTAGTATAAGAGGCATGTCTCCTTTAGCGGGTCAATGGCATATATTGGATTTGATCTTCCAGGGTTCAAGTTGTACTTGTATTCTCATTCCAAGGTTGTTTGGGGTTGGGGCTAGTAATTACTAGTAGTTGACTACCCACCATGCTGCCCCAGGGTCCCTCTGAGTCAGAGGCTTGACATTCAGCCACTCCCCTCTAGGCTGTACCTTCATCTCTCCAACAAGACCCAATAAGATGCGCCGGATATCTCAAAGCATTATTTTAATATTGTGCTCGAAGTGGCTGTGTAAACGCGAGATGTAGGTGAGTCTTACACGGCATTTTGGGCCATTGAGAAAAGGCCACCACAACAGATTGGCCTATAAGGTCCCTTGGACGTTATGCCAGACGAAAAATACTAGTAGACCTCTCGGGATAAGAAAGATGAAAGGAACACATTGAGACAGGCTGAAAAGAAGTGTCGTGGCTGTGAAAGCTCCCATGAAGAAGCAAATGCCGACTAGCACGAAAGGAGTATAAGGTCAAGGTTTTCTTTCGTATTCGCATTCGCACCCGCGCTCGCAAATTCATGACTGCGGAATCGACATGGAAATTTGATGGTTATGCCTAATCTCTTACCAATCTGACCTGCCAAATAAGGTAACCCTGGCAGGTCGATCTCCGTGGGGAAAAGTATGTAAATCGGTGAGGGGTCGGACTGGGGCTGAAGAACGCCACTTTTTCGTATCGTATGCAATGATCGATTTTTTGGCGGATTGTAAGCACGATAGCTTCAATCAGTACCATCGCTTGATTTGATTCCGACCTTTTCAAATATTACAGGCGTGGTGTGCTCGGCATAGTGTCTTATTCGTGTATGCTATAGATCCGACTGGTCGATATGAAGTTTTTTGAAGAGCGTCACAGCAACGGGAGTAGCTTATGGATTTTACCTAGAACGAACGCAGTTGTGGGCATTAATTTGGCAGGTTTTGCCATGGCGCATCTGTTACACATCAATTAATTAATGCGACAATGCCATTTTGCTATAGAGAGTGAATGGATTAAATTCCAGTTTCCAAATATAGGATCATCTGCTCTGAGAGATGGGCTACTACTTACCATAGACAAATACTAGAGGTCTAGAAGAGTAACTTTAGGAATCATACGATGGTATCTACTTGAAGGGTTGCACAGCCCCCAATACCTTTTGCAGACATGAAAGTAGTGCACGCCTAAAAGATGGTACCTATTATCAAGCCAGGAGTCACTTTGGAACCGAAAAATGCTTAATTTTGAAGTATAGTAGCCTTCACATTTTCAGTAGTCTACGACGATTATCCTGCCTAGGACCGCCTGCAATTTGTGTCCTATGTACACCCCAAAGCTGAATTTCACCAAATTCATCACCTCATTAATGTCACTGAAACTTGACCTAGATCATAAACCCAGCCACCATTAAGGTAAGAATAGACAAGACACTAAGATCAGTTGAAAGGTGTAAACTATCTGCCGTATTCGCGGCGCTAGGACTGGAGCCACCACCACTGCTGGTCGTTGTCCCACTGGCAGACGATGTGCTGCCGCTAGTAGTCATGCCGCTGGCAGTCGTACCGCTGGCAGCCGTGCCGCTTGTAGTCATGCTGCTGGCAGTCGCGGATGTCTGTCCAGCACTGGCACTTGGTGTACCGAGAATACCACCTTGGGCAGTGGCTGGCACACTCTGGCCACTTGCACTCGAGGCTTTCGACTTGAATCCATCAAGCGTATCTGAGCCACTAATGCGAAGGCGAGAGTTATTAAAAGCGACTAATAGGGGTTCTCCAGTGATGCACTTACGATGGATTAATCACACCAACCATGCCAGCTTGACAATGTCCAACTTGGCCACAGTAGAACCAGATCGGGTTTGTATCATTGACGGTCAACGACCAGACGGGCTAAAATGTCAGAAAGTCATAGAACTTGAAAGATATTCTCATGAAATTACCTTTCCGTCATGAGCATCTGCCATAAATCCACTGAAGAAGCTCGTATCGCTCAGGGGGTGGCATGGGTTGTTAAACGCTGCCTGGACAACCGAGTGATCGCCTGGATAGAAATTGAACTCGACGACGCCCCCTTTCGGGACGTTTACAGTGGCTGGATTAAAGGTAAAGCCATCTTCGCCAACATCAACCGAGACAGTATTACTCGAAGCAGAGGCACTTTCAGTTGATCTCGCAGTAGGCCTAGTCGTAGTCGTAGTCGTAGTAGTACTGCTGGAATCCCCCCCCTCCTCCATACTGGGCAGCAACGAGAGGGAGCCAACAAAGGGCAAACGTGCACACATACGTCTGGATCATCATTGTCACTGAATTGGATGAGAAAATGTAAAGGCAGCAGAAGGTCCAAATGAAACTTGAAAAAGCGTAGTGTTGAATTCCGAGGAATCCGGAACTGGGTGTCTTTTATGTGGTCTCAGTAACGATGTACGTATATTACCATGAGATCTCCCCAATCTAATATTTGGAAGATTTAAGCTTTAGCATAGCCACGGCAAAGGAAGCTAAGCTTCCCCTTTCAACCTCCTAGTTCGGGCAGTTGGTTTCCTAAAACAGAGAATGCGGTTCGTCGTCAGATTGGAGTAGCCACAGGAAGTTGGAACTTTGCCTTGACTAAACGCCACGAAATTAGACCTAGGTCGGCCGATTACCTCAATATATTTTTCGAGATAGTTCACCATGTGACATGTCTTGTCATTTTGGATGCGGGGTGGCTGACTAACACAGCCATGGTAAGTATACGGACAATGGCCTAATTAGGAATACGCGGTTTGGTACGAAGAACGTCTGGACCGCAACGTTCATAGATGTCCAAAGCGATTGGTGGGGCGCAGCATTTTATTCTGTGGTCTCCAATGAATACTTTAGCCAAATTATACGAAAATATTATTTGAAAAAATTAATTACTTACGTCCTCCTCGAACTGCTTAGCAAGTCATGACGCCAGAAGTCAAATGATCCGGCAACCTCGCGGGTCTTAACCCACAAACTGCTTGCGGGATTAGCTTGGGCAATACATACGTGATACCCGGCTAGGTATAACTGCTAAATAAGTCTGAGGGATATAGTTAGTGTCATAATGATATGGTACATATTTGCCGATATATCCATCACAACAACCTTCCAAGGTTGGAAGCGACATCGGAGCAGAGCAGACTATTTCATCTGGGCAGGTCTTCTTGACAACTTGAACTTGCAGAACTAACCGACCCGTGCTACATAATGGCAAAGATACATCTTTATCTTTATTTTTGGCTCCTTACACCCACTTTCACTCTTTCCCAAATACAAACATTCGTGCCTCCCGGGCAAAATGGTGTTTCCTATAGTGTGAACATACCCGAGACCACCGCGTCCACCGGCGCCGGGCCGATTTTCTTTCAGCTGAAGTCTACCGCACAGCTTCAGTGGTTTGCATTTGGCCAAGGCGCTATAATGCAAGGAGCAAATATCTTCATCGTTTACGCATCTAGCGATGGGAATAATGTCACCGTCTCTCCAAGACTGGGAGTGGAGCACGTTATGCCACTGTATAACTCCAAAGCTCAATTATCGCTCTTGAACAACAGTGGGATAAGCAATGGGGTTATAACAGCAAACATCCGATGCGATAGCTGTATCACCTGGCCCGGCGGAAGTGAAGATCTGAGCAGCTCTTCAAGTCCATGGGTTTGGGCAGTGAAATATGGAACCCCACTCAACACGAACAACTTAGCGGCATCTATCATCGAACACGACCTTGAGGGAATTGCAGCTATTGACCTGCAGAAAGCAACCGGTGGCACGTCAGACAATCCGTTTGCGAATTCGAATTATGTGAACACGTCAAGTTCATCGCATCCGATTTCGACAGTTAACACTGGATCCGTTGAAAGTCGCAGAAAGGCCCATGCTATTATTATGATACTGGTTTTCGTCATATTCCTCCCTTCATTTGCCCTGATGCTTCGTGTTGTCCCATATTCGAAGATCGTCTATTTTCACGCTGCTTTCCAGCTTTTGACGCTTGCGTTGGCTATTGCCGGGTTTGGGATTGGGATCTCAATGGCAAGAAGCCTTGGCTTCATAGGGATGTATCATCCAATTATTGGGATGGTGACTGTCCCTTGCCTTATCCTTTTCCAACCCGCAATGGGCTTAATTCAGCACAGATATTTTCGCAGCACTGGGAGCAAAGGTGTATTTTCTTACATACATCGGTGGTTCGGTCGGTGTTTTATAGTTCTTGGCATTATTAACGCCGGTTTAGGCTTTCGCCTAACAGGTATCGGTCTTCCTATTGCTCCTGTTGGGGCAGTTATTGCGTATGGCGTGGTTGCTGGAATCGTTGGACTTGTCTATGCTTTGACTATCCTGCTTTTGACTCTCAGGAAACGCAGAGTCTCCTCTTCTTAGAAGGTACTGAGCGTTATCTATGTGATGAATATAAGGAATCTTACACTGCACCAATGATTGGAAATGGTTGTAAAAGCGATTTCGATATTTCTTTCAGTATTTGACTTAATAGTCCTATATTGTCGCATTGAAAGACCTGGGAAATGTGGTAGGTCTGCTCAGATATTACAGCGCTCGATAAGCGCAGGGTGGTCAGTTGTAAATAGGGATATTTTACCTGCCAGCCCTGAAGGCCGCCTTTAAGTTCTAAGTCTTAATTACTTATTGGTGTTCCCTATACAAATTTGGACAAAACTACAGTACAACAAAATTTTCTAACCCCTGATTATCTACTATCATTAATCAATTTCTAGCTAATAGTTACTAGTGCCAGACTAGTACCTACCAAAGATAGAGTAGATTAGCCAATCTCTTCTACCTTCCACGGCCTGGCCCATGGCGATGCCCGGGAAAAATGAAAAAGGCCTGCAAGATGCGCAGCACCATTAGGGCGGCATAGGACCTCGACAGTGCACATCCCACGTTGAGCAGCCCACCTCCGATAGTGGAGAGTAGCCATATCGGAAGCCGTCCATACTTATTCGCAATGGGAATCCGAAGGAGGGGACCGAGGGCGAGGGTTATCATCTAATGAATTCCAACTACTTAACACGGCTCGCATGGTAGAGGATTTAGCAGAGGAACTACACACCTGGGCCGATCCCAGATAGCTGGCTGTATCCATCGACACATCAAAGTAATGCGTCCAGGTTTCAAAGTCGGGCACGACCGCGACGATGCCTCCCGTGGACATCAGTCCATGGAATGCCACTAGAGCCAGATTGGCGTTTTTCTTTCCCATGGCTGAGGTTAGTGCCATTCGAACGGCCACTATCGATCGATTGCATAGGACTTACCTTCCTGGAAGGCCAATTATATGAGTCTAGGGGGATCCTCCGACGGCAGGGCAACTAGGTCGACTCGGCCAAGGCGTTCCAGCAGATGTTCCCGGTGGGAGGGGCTCAAGGTCTCGCTGGGGCTGTTTGGTAGGGATTCCACATGCTCGGGTGCCGTCTTCACGGCAATATCGCTGGTGAAATTCGAGTTGGGCGAAAGATCCTCCATTATCTTTCTTAATCGGACATCTGAGGCAAATATAACTTCTTATGAGAGGAAGAGAAATGAGCCTTATTATGTAGAAGAGATACAATCTAGATCGCAAGAACCCGGTGCTGAGTTAATTATTAGGAATTGAAGTACGCAGGAGCAGCACACAGAGAGTAATTAGGTGAAATATTCACCGTCGGCTTTTCTTGGCCCCCAAATACGAGCAGTTAGTGCCGATACGTACGAAAAGGGTTATTAGTTATCTCCTTCAGCCCATTAGGCCCACATAACTAATCTACCGTTTCCACCGCTGTGCCGCGTGAAGTTATTCAACACACATTTTTTCGTAATTTAGCAATTGACACTCAAATGCCTATTCCAACAGGCCAACAAGACCTGCCTAGCCAATTAAGGCTCCAATTCATCTTTTAAGATGGGAGGCATGCTAAAATTTAGTTCCATATATGCATACAAAGAGTATAAAACTTCAATTAGGCCCGTTTTGACCTGCGAAATCCATCTCATTCAATCAAAGATAATTGGAAGGGTCAATAAAAGAAAGGACTAGTAGTACAGTTTAAGAAGAGACCTCACTCAACTCTCTTCGACCGATCACCCACACAAACCTCCTCATCATCCCGTCCCAACAACCAAGCACAATAAAACGAACCAGCACAGAAGGTAACATTCCCCACAAAATCCAACCATAGCAACGAAGTAAATATTCCCTTTCCAGGACCCACCCCAAACCAATAATTAAACCCAAGATATGGAATCATAGCAAGGCCAAACGCCACGAAACTCTTTGGCGTCATGCTAGCCGTACCCAGCAGCAGACCACAAGTTGCCGCTTGAGCGCCGAAACAGCGCATTAGAAGGATGGATGTATATTCAGTTGAGGCGTATTTTGGTACAAGGGAAAGGCCAATGACTGTTGATGGACATAGAAGACACCTGGGTGAGTTAGCTATGGTCAATATTTTGGGCTTAGTTCGGCAGAATATACCATGAGCCCATGCCTGAGTAGCCTATTGCCATTAGGCGTTGGATACGTTGGGCAAGTATGGCTTTCGGTGGGGGCTTTTGTAGAGGCATTGTTGTGGTTGAATTGGTGACTCAAAGTTAGCACTTGAGTTGACCCGAGGTTGTGAAGTTAACCTACTCGGACCATTTAATCTCCGGATGCGGGCTGTCCCGTGGGGCGGAAGAGTTATCCTTGCCGACTAAAAGTGTTTACTATGTTATCTAATCTTCTAGGTACGTGGTCATGATTCCCTGTCTCGGTCATTACCCATAGAAAGTGTTGTTAGGCATCTACAACGAGCGATTTGAGCATCCACATAAGAGCGAACGGAATATCTCAGACGAACTTCAAGAACCTTACCACTGGTCCAAAGGAGTTCTATTGATATGGTATGATGTATGATGTATCTGATAACTAACCCAGAAGACCAGGCGACTAGTAATCCCCTTGATTAAATCTCAAAACCAACTGGTCTATCAATGTGGTATGTGCTTCTTTCAAAGTCCTCTTAACAAACCAGGTCATCAACATATTGCATTGCATATCAATGTCTTCTCTCAAACACAATCCTTCACTCGAGCCTGCTAGACCACGACCAGGCGTGATTGTTTCTGTTTGAGTTTCTGTATCTGCACCTGTAGGATCCGTGCTCATACTCTCAACACTCCAACACTCTTTCATATCCAAGCCCATCGGAGCGTAAATATGCGTCCGCAGCCCCATTGGAAGATCGCAAAAAGATGCTTTGAAAGTGACTTCTCCGGAAAGAAGATTCCATGGCAGATAGGCAACCTTGTCGGTAATCTCGTACCAGATGAAGTCATGCTCATCTGCTGGGCTGTTTGTTGGAGGGTCGCATGTTTGGAAATTGGTGACCAGTGGATTCAATTTGATCATGTCTGCGTGGGAATGGAGTAATTTGATCACTGTTTCCTGCGTGATATACGCTGGGAGGGGTGTGGTTATGGTGAATATACTCCGCATGATGATTGTAGGAAGGAAGATGGCCGCCCGGGCGCTACAGGGATAGGACTCGGAGGTGGAAGCGATCAGAATCGATCACAATCGGGTAAGATGAGACTGAGAGGGGTAATGTCAGCAGGAGCCTGAACGCACGGTCACCGTAGCGCCGGCTAAGGCTGCCACTAGCCGTCAGTGGGCGAGGAAATTGGTTAGGGTAACTACTAGTAATATGATTAATATCAAATGGCACCTTACTCCGAGTCGTAGATAACTTGTGTCAGCTTGCCCAATTAACAAAGCTCTAAATAAATTCAAATCCGTTTATTGAACTATGCATCAACGCAATAATCTCACAATATATACATAAATTAGGGTATAGAACTCGAAAGCAGATCTATAAACACCATCTTAGAGACAACACAGCAACCCGTGCATGCATGCATGCACACATAAATGAAACAACATCTCCACCAAATCAAGACCAAGATCAAGAGTACAACTCCCGCTCCCTAGTAAGTTCCAACGACTCCCCCAAAACCCACCACCTCCAAGAAAAGAAAGACCAAGGATTCGGAATCCAGTCCCTCACATTCGGCGTCGACCGTCCCAACTTCCAAATCCTCGACGGCCGGGGTCCAAAATACGCCGCCACACCACGACGCCATGCATCGAATTTCTCGCGCAGGGTGGGCTGGTTTGAAGACCAGGGCGCGGAGAATGAGAAGGTCGAGCGACCGGGGAGGAAACTGCTCCAACCGGCGGTGTTTTGGGGCTGGGCTTCAGAATTCTTTAGCGCTTCGAGCATGCGGTCGAAATGGAATTCGGGCGTATTGGTGATCGCGTTTGTTGCGCTGGCCCAGCGTTGGCGGGATAGGTGATATTGACGTTGTGTTTCGCGCCATGTGTCTTGTTCGGTTGTGTCGAGGCACCAGGCGATGACATCGCCTGTGCGGCGCCAGTCATCGTGCCAGGCTGTATTGTGTGTGCGCCAGCATTCACGGTAAAAAGACGTGCGGAGGAGGGGTTGGAGGGTTGGTTCGAGTTGTTGGAAGAAGATTAGATAATCTGGCCATTCGTGTTGGTTTTTGGAGAGGGGGAGGGAGGGATCAGCGGGCGTGGTGGAGGCGTAGCTTGGTCTGGTGGGGAGATGGCGAAGGCCGCCGGCCATGTTGTCGTGGAGGAATTGAGCTGGGTTGTCGTAGAACTGATCTGCTTCGTCACGGTAGACGGCTTTCTCGGACTCGCTGAAGTCGATTGGGGGTTCGCAGGATAGGGCCCAGGCGGAGATTGTTGGGTAGACGAGGTGGGATCGCCAGGGGGTACTGTGGCACGGCATTAGGAAGCCTGCGGTTATTCCCTTGGGGGTTGAGTCGGAGAAGAAGGACGGGTCTGGTTCGGGTGCGTGGACTTCGTGTTGGTGGCGGAGGTAGGTCATGATATTGAGGACCCCTGAGGCGTGCCAGACGCTCGTGTAAAATGCTATCACTGCATTGACTAGGATCAGGAAGATGAGGAGTAGTCTTTGTGGAGTGTATGCCGGCGAGGACCTGTAGTAGATGGCTGGGGCAAAGAACCGAACTAGTGGCTGCGCTGCGAGGATGTGGAGTGCTGGAAGTAGCGGGTAGATGAAGCGTACTTCCTTATGCGAGATCAAGGACAGGACAAAAGGCATCACCAGGCAGATCGTTGCTAGCTGAATTCGAGTCACTGTCTGCAGTCTGTCGATGGTAGAGAAGCTCCGATTTGTCAATGTTTGGTAGAGACCAAAAAGGGCAGGGACCAATGCCGTCGTCAGCAGAAGAGGCAGACCCTGCGACAAATAGTAGTGCCAATCATTTCGGCCATAGAAGACAGCCAGCGATTGCGCGATGTTGAAGTATAGAAATCTAAGCGGTGGAAATGTCCATAATCCGTAGAAGAGACGGTCTGCGACGGCGGACACAGCGAGAACGGCCGATCTAGATAGGAAGAATTGACATCAGCTGATTTTGCAGATTATGACAGAGGACCCTTTTGGTCGCCGCAAGACGGGCATTTCGACCCCATGAAATAGTAGAGGAATGACATACCCGCAAATCACGACTTCTCGAGCAAGTATGGTGCGTATGGCCCAAGAATTTCGGAACCAAGCGATGCTGGCCAGGGTCGCCCAGATCAAAACATTAGTTGGCCGCAGAATACAGGCGAGGGCCGACAAAAGTAAGCATTGGCGGAGGCTGATAGGGCGCGCGTCAGTGGCTGTTTCAATAACATGCAGTGTGAATCATATTTCCAGTAGTCTTACCTTGACAGGAGCGCTCGATCCGCGGCCGTGCCCCTCCCATCCTTGCGGCTATCGCCGGATGAAGATCTTCCTGCTGACCACTGCCAGGGCCAGAGGTCCAAGGCGACAATGGTGATTGTAGTTTCCAGGCAATTTGACAAGGTTCTTGTCGAGCAGAACCACTGCCAAGGGCTGAGAAGCGTGACGAGTAACTGCGACAATTAGCCAATTTTATTCTCTCGTGGTTTCTTTTCCCCCGCAAAGATCGTCCATGCAGCTAGCTGGCCATGGCGCAAGAACCACGTACTGTTGTCCACGACCCGCGCGAATCTCTCCCATAGATGCGGGTCGCTAGTTTCCAAGTATAGAAATCGCCAATGGCCGCCACGATGGCCTGCGCGACCTTGGGGCTGGCAACGAGGAGTTCCGCGCTGGTGGCGACGGAGAGATTAAGGGAGGTGGCCAGGAAATCGGAGGTCTTATAGATGGCGGCAAAGAGGAGCGGGTGTAACGAGGAGCGCAGTTGGTAGCGCCATTCCTGCAGAAGAGACAAAAAAAAGAAGCAATTAGTATTCTGGTCTCTCGTGGTACAGGGTGGCCGTTGTCGGGATGCCGAAGAAGACGACACGCGGTCCACTTACCCAAGTTATCCAGGCGCCCTGCTCCTTGCCAAAGGCAATCTGCCATGCGGGTTCCAGCGATTGGAAGAATTCATCTGGCTGGAAGAAGGTGCGAAGGGTGAAGGCATTGAGAATGCGGAAGGCGATTAGGAAGAGGAGGATGTTGGTGGTGGTGGAGGAGGCAGATGACGAGGGCGCGACGCGACGCGCGGGGGTATTAGCGGGGGACATCCTGCGTCGCGGGGGATGAGCCAAGCAGAGAAGACCCGTCGATATACTCCGTAATAGGAATTCAGTGAGTGGATAGCGGCTAGAGGGTCATGGTTGTGGTGGACTTGTTTGCGTGGGCGTGGGCGTGGCGACTATCACTCTCTGGCAGAATCCGCTTTGCGCGCAACCAGCAACCAGCAATCAAGGTCAAATAAAATGACACAAGAGAAATTCCAAGGAAAGACCGGGCCGGTAAAACAAACACGCCTATTGGAGGGCAACTGGGATGGGGGGAGGCCAAAGGGGAAAAAAACGAGGGTAACTCGTGTAATCCTGCACTTAGGGAATTGTGGATGTTGCGAGGGTTGAAGTCTCGCGACGACCTGCACTTAGGAGAAGGCGGAGACGGGGGGACACTGGGGAGAGATAGTATAAGAGATTCCTCCAAGGGCAACTTTTCTTTCCATTTATTCCTGATTCTACGAAACACGGAATTCTCCAATTCTTCGATTTACTTTACTGTTCACTTTTTACTTTATACTTTATACTTAACTGCCTGTCCCTCTACGGTCCTCTTCTACTCCACCCCCGCATCCTCGCATCTCCCCATCTTCTCTTCTCTTCTCCACCTCCACCATGCCCGCCAACGGCAACAGCTCCAACGGCGCGTTCGCCTACCACTCCGCCTCCACCACCGAGGCCATCCAGGCCGAGAATGACTTTGCTGCTCACAACTACCACCCATTGCCCATTGTCTTCTCCCGCGCTCAAGGTACCTCCGTGTGGGACCCCGAGGGACGTCATTATCTGGACTTCCTCTCCGCCTATTCTGCGGTCAACCAAGGCCACTGCCACCCCGAGCTGGTCAAGGCTCTGGTCGATCAAGCTTCCCGCCTCACTCTGAGCTCCCGCGCTTTCTACAATGATGTCTTCCCTCGCTTTGCCGAGTTCGTCACCCGCTACTTCGGCTTCGACATGGTTCTGCCCATGAACACTGGCGCCGAGGCGGTCGAGACCGGCATCAAGATCGCCCGCAAGTGGGGTTACAAGGTTAAGGGTATTCCCGAGAACAAGGCGATCGTTTTGAGTGCTGAGAACAACTTCCACGGCCGAACAGTAAGCTCCTCATAACCATATTCACATAAATTGCACATAAATTGGAGGAAAGTCAAAACTAACGAGTCTCCCCGCAGTTCGCCGCCATTTCTCTCTCCTCCGACCCCGAGTCGCGGGAGCACTACGGCCCCTACCTTCCCGGTATCGGCTGCACCATCCCCGGCACCGAGAAGCCCATCGCATACAACGACAAGGCCGCTCTGCGTGAGGCCTTCGAGGCTGCCGGCCCTAACCTCGCCGCCTTCCTGGTCGAGCCTATCCAAGGCGAGGCCGGTATTGTCGTCCCCGATCCGAGCTACCTCCAGGAAGCCCGCGCCCTCTGCGACAAGCACAATGTCCTGTTGATCTGCGATGAGATCCAGACTGGTATTGCCCGCACCGGCAAGCTGCTCTGCCACGAGTGGAGCGGAATCAAGCCCGACCTCGTCCTGCTGGGCAAGGCTATCTCGGGTGGTATGTACCCTGTTTCATGTGTGCTCGGCCGCAAGGATGTCATGCTCACCATCGAGCCTGGCACCCACGGCTCAACCTATGGTGGTAACCCCCTGGGTTGTGCCGTTGCTATCCGTGCTCTCGAGGTGGTGCAGGAGGAGCAGATGGTTGAGCGAGCTGAGAGGCTTGGTCACGTTTTCCGACAGGGTCTGGAGGATCTGAAGAGTCCTCTCATCCAGACTGTGCGCGGAAAGGGTCTGCTCAATGCCATTGTCATTGATGAGTCGAAGACAAATGGTCACTCGGCTTGGGATCTGTGCATGTTGATGAAGACAAAGGGTTTGCTGGTAAGTTGACGACTGAATCTGGGGATCCAGAAATATGTACGAGGATGAAGCCCGAGCTAACTTCTTTCTCTCTCCTACAGGCCAAGCCTACTCACCAGAACATCATCCGTCTCGCCCCACCCCTGGTCATCACCGAGGAAGAGATTCAGGATGCATTGAAGATCATTCACGAGGCTGTGACCGAGCTGCCCACCCTGAAGGGCTCGGTCAAGCACTAAATGATTCCCGGGTGAAGATGAAAATCAAGATCGGCGCTGAAGTAGACGATTAGCGCGGTCTGACTAGATGCGTGCGACGATTCAGCATAGATAGTTTGCTTTCCTTATCGGTTTCCTTTTCTTTCCTTTTTTATTTTATTTTTTGACGGATGAGAGCATCCCACGACCTGACGAAGGAACGGAGATACAATGTATCACAATGTATCCAAACATCGATTACCCTAACTAGAGACTCGAGATTTGTACTTTACCTGCTTCCAGCAGCGCAGTGCAGTGTCTCGCATTGGCATGTACTAAATTGGATAAAAAATAGTTCAAGTTGAGATGTGTGATTGTGTATAGTACTAGGAGTAGTATTGGAGAGTCCCGTGTAGTTCTGTCACCTGACCACTACTAGTAAAAGCCTCACTGGATTTGGATCTCCCCCCTCTGTCCACTCGGCATTATCTCTACCCCGGCTTAGGACATCGAAATTCCCTATTATTAATCAAGTCTACCGGCTATTCCCAATTGATTCTAGTGCCGGAATCACGGGACATTCCAACCCCGATTTCCGATCACACCGCAGTGGCTGATTGGCTCTGCTTGGATTTCCTCCCTACACGAATGCGAATGCGAATAAGAGCAGGACCTGTCAAGTGAATTTCCCTTCTTACGGATCCTCCTCCACTATTCAAGCATAAGTGGATTGGATAATGCAAGTCATCCTATCCGATGGGCGAGATCGGAGTTGATCCTGAAATCCAACTCCGTACGGACGTATGAAGAGAGACAGCTTACTCACACCTCATACCCAATCGCCAGAGCTTAATTCAGCGAATTCAGCTAACTCCGACCTGAGTCACTCGGGCTATTGCTGATTGCTGGTTATATCAAGACTGTTGGTTCCTGCGGTACTTTTGCGCCTGTCAAAGATCCCGCTTTCAGTCATCTCTCGGCTCCACCGTTGAATTGGTAACGTCGGGGCTAATCCTTCCCAATCGTTCTTTATCTCCGAGATTTCCTGCGTTCTCCTCGCATTCTCAATCAATATTCGTTCTTTTCTTTTTCGCCCGACCTTGCTATCCGCTTCACCATTCTACGTCCCTCCTTCCCATCCTCGCACCTAAAGGTGTCTTCTCCCCATGTCTGCACCGCCCGAACCACTGCCACAGGTAGTGGTGGCGGATATCGAAAAAGTGCAGGCCGCGCCCAGCGACAGATCGGCATCCGGGGACGATGAAGCCAAGGCCCCCGATAACGTCTTACAGCCATCCAGTCCCAGACCAAAATGGTATCGGAGGCTGAATCCAGTGCGATGGCAGACGCCACCACCTGTTCCTGAAGAGCGGTCCGCGTCCAAGGAGTACGGGGCTTCATTCTTGAGCGTCGTTTATTTCCAGTGGATGTCACCCTTGATGCGGGTGAGTATGGCAATTTTTCCAAACTATTTCCAACCCTCCTCCCCCCTCTTTTTTTTTTTTTTTTCGAAATAATTGCTAATTCATATCCAGGTGGGATATCTGCGCCCGCTCGAGCTGCAGGATATTTGGACCGTCAATCCGGAGCGAGCAGTCGACGTTCTCGCCGAACGATTAGACGTCGCGCTGGAGAATCGCACTGCGAGTGGAAGTAAACGCGCCCTTGTTATGGCATTATATGACACATTCCGCTTTGAATTCCTACTTGGCGCCGTTTGTCAGCTATTTAGCTCGTTGCTACTCGTGTTTGCGCCTTATTTAACGCGATACTTGATCGCTTTCGCCACCGATGCGTATATCGCTGAGCAAAAGGGTCTGCCTGCGCCGTATATTGGTCGCGGGATGGGGTTTGTCGTTGGTATTACCCTAATGCAGGGACTGCAGAGTCTGTGCACGAATCAATTTCTGTACCGGGGTCAAATGGTTGGTGGGCAGATTCGAGCGGTGCTGATCTCGCAGATCTTCAATAAGGCGATGAAGTTGTCTGGTCGGGCGAAGGCTGGCGGGAAGGCGACGGAGGAAGAAGTGAGGGCTTTGGAATCAACGAAGGAGGCGCTGATGAAGGGGGAGAAGAATAATGAGAAAGCCGAAGAGAAGGGACAGAAAGGACAACCGAGTCAGAATCCTAGTTCAACGGTGGCAGGTGATGGACGAGGGTGGAATAATGGTCGCATCGTCGCGTTGATGAGTATTGACGTCGACCGCATCAATCTGGCATGTGGTATGTTCCATATGATCTGGACAGCCCCGATCTCCATCATCGTCACGCTGGTTCTCTTGCTGGTGAATATCGGCTACAGTTGTCTGTCCGGTTACGCGTTGCTCGTTTTCGGCGTCCCCTTTCTCACATACGCCGTCCGCTTTCTTGTGAAACGTCGCCGAGCCATCAACAAGATCACCGACCAGCGAGTCTCCCTAACTCAGGAAATTCTCCAGGCCGTGCGATTCGTCAAGTTCTTCGGCTGGGAAAGTAGCTTCCTCAATCGACTCAAGGATATTCGCAAAAGGGAAATTCGTTCCATTCAGACGCTGCTTGCTGTACGCAATGGAATTCTCTGCGTCTCCATGTCCATCCCCATCTTCGCTTCCATGTTGGCTTTCATCACCTACGCCCTCACCAACCACGATCTGCAGGCCGCCGAGATTTTCTCCTCGCTTGCGCTGTTCAACTCGCTCCGGATGCCGCTGAACATGCTGCCTCTGGTCATCGGTCAGGTGACCGATGCCTGGACTGCTCTGAACCGGATTCAAGAGTTCCTTCTTGCGGAGGAACAGAAGGAGGATATCGAGAAGATTGAGGGGATGGATCGTGCTATTGAAATTAATCAAGCTTCGTTCACTTGGGAGCGTTTGCCGTCGGAAGAAGGTGAAGATGCAGGCAAGGCTAAGAAGTCCCCCGATGCTAAAGCCGTGGCCCTGCTCAAGGAAGAGGAGAAGGCGGAGAACTCCACCCCCTTAGAACCCTTCAAGCTCAAGAATATGACCCTCGAGGTCGGACGAAACGAGCTCATTGCCGTAATTGGAACAGTGGGCTGTGGCAAGAGCTCGCTGCTTTCTGCCTTGGCAGGCGACATGCGTGTGACAGAGGGTACTGTACGGATGAGCACAACACGATCATTCTGCCCTCAATACGCCTGGATCCAGAATACTTCTGTACGAAACAATGTTCTCTTTGGAAAGGACTATGATGAAACTTGGTATAACCAGGTCATTGACGCGTGCGCCCTGTCACCCGATCTTGAGATTCTCCCTAACGGCGACCAAACGGAAATCGGCGAACGAGGCATTACAGTCTCCGGAGGACAGAAGCAGCGTCTCAATATCGCGCGTGCTATCTACTTCAATGCCGAGCTGGTTCTGATGGATGACCCTCTATCCGCAGTCGATGCTCATGTCGGTCGCCATATCATGGATAAAGCCATCTGCGGTCTCCTGAAGGATCGCTGCAGGATTCTCGCTACGCATCAGCTGCATGTTTTGAACCGCTGCGATCGTATCGTTGTCATGGACGAGGGCCGTATCGAGGCAGTTGATACATTCGACAACCTGATGCGCGATAGCGAGCTGTTCAAACGTCTCATGTCGACATCGCGCCAGGAAGACACAAAGGAAGATGAAAAAGACGCGGAAGAGGCGGTAGTTGAAGACACCGAGAAGACCAAGAAGACCGAAACAAGTCCAAAAAAGACATCTGCCAAGCCCGCAGCTGCTTTGATGCAACAAGAAGAAAAGGCCACAGCCTCGGTCGGATGGAGCGTTTGGAAAGCCTACGTCCGTGCCTCTGGCAGCTATTTCAACGCTCTCGCTGTCTTCTTTCTACTGGCTCTTGCAAATGTCGCCAACATTTGGACGAGTCTGTGGCTCTCTTACTGGACCTCGGATAAATACCCCGGTCTGTCGATGGGTCAGTATATTGGAGTTTACGCCGGACTCGGTGGAAGTGTGGTCGTTTGCATGTTTGTATTCTCGACATACATGACCACCTGCGGAACAAATGCAAGCCGGACAATGCTGCAGCGAGCTATGACCCGCGTTCTGCGAGCCCCGATGTCCTTCTTTGACACCACCCCTCTCGGACGAATCACCAATCGTTTCTCCAAGGACATTCAGGTCATGGACAATGAACTTTCCGACGCGATGAGAATCTACGCCCTGACTATGACAATGATTATCTCCGTCATGGTCCTTATCATCGTCTTCTTTTACTACTTCGTCATCGCCCTCGTCCCACTCTTCATCCTGTTCCTCCTCGCATCAAACTACTACCGAGCTTCAGCCCGCGAGATGAAGCGCCATGAGGCGGTCCTGCGATCAATGGTCTACGCCCGCTTCAGCGAAGCCATCTCCGGAACAGCCTGTATCCGCGCCTACGGCGTCGAAAACCAATTCCGCACCAGCATTCGCAGCTCCATCGACGTGATGAACGGCGCTTATTTCCTAACCTTCTCGAACCAGCGTTGGTTGAGCGTCCGCTTGGACGCTGTGGCTACAGCTCTAGTATTCGTCATTGGTGTTTTGGTCGTTACATCCAGGTTCAACGTCTCCCCCAGTATCTCAGGTCTGGTATTATCATACATTCTCGCCATCGCACAAATGCTCCAATTCACCGTTCGCCAGCTCGCGGAAGTCGAGAATAACATGAATGCCACCGAACGAGTGCACTACTACGGAACGGAGCTGGAAGAAGAAGCCCCCCTCCACTTGACAGAGGTATCATCCAGCTGGCCCGAAAAGGGCCGGATTGTCTTCGACGACGCGAAGATGCGCTACCGAGACGGTCTGCCTCTTGTCCTGCAAGGTCTGTCTATGGATGTTCGTGGCGGCGAGCGCATCGGTATCGTCGGACGAACTGGTGCTGGCAAATCGAGTATCATGTCTGCTTTATTCAGATTGACCGAGTTATCCGGCGGCACAATCCACATCGACGATATTAATATTGCCACGGTCGGCCTACATGATCTTCGCTCCCGCCTAGCTATCATCCCCCAAGACCCAGCTCTATTCCGGGGCACGATCCGCACAAACCTAGACCCTTTCAACGAACACTCCGATCTAGAACTATGGTCCGCTCTCCGAAAAGCCTACCTAATCGCCGACGAAACCGAAGACCCAGATACTACTCTTAACCACAGCGGCCCGGGAACCGGAACAACAACCCCAACAACAGGAGACGTCTCCAAAGCACGCCCAACCAACCGTCTAACTCTCGAATCCCCCGTCGACGAAGAAGGCCTCAACTTCTCCCTCGGCCAGCGTCAATTAATGGCCCTAGCCCGAGCTCTAGTCCGAGACGCGCGAATCATCGTCTGCGACGAAGCGACTTCTTCCGTCGACTTTGAAACGGATCAGAAGATTCAACGGACTATGGCGCAGGGATTCCATGGGAGGACGTTGCTTTGTATTGCGCATCGGTTGAGGACGATTATTCATTATGATCGCATTTGCGTTATGGATCGGGGTCAGATTGCTGAGATGGATCATCCGGCTGTTCTGTGGAAGAAGGAGGATGGGATTTTTAGGGCTATGTGTGAGAGGAGTGGGATTACGATGGAGGATATTTTGTCTGATGAGTGAGGTGACGGATGAAGGGAGGGTTGCAAAAGTCCTTGTTTTGCCAGACTAAAAGAATAATATGTCTACGGTGTTATGACTGCATATAATTTCTATATAATATTTGTTGATACAATAATTACAACTTGAATCAAAATCTGGGGATCTGTGAAGTCAAAGGGTATATTCCAAAGTTGAAGTAGTTATTCCTAACAGATATCAATCAGATCATAGTCCGAGTCAGCCTTTAGCAAACCCCAAACGGAACTTCTAAGTCGTCTCTTCCTTACAAGGAAATATTCCGAATTAATCAATAAATTCCAAGGTTAAGATGTGGTTTGGCTAGTAATACGCACACTCTAGGAAAACAACTTGAAATTTGCAGCAAAAATGGCCCCGAACTCTTTCGTTTCCCCCATTATCCATTCCCTCATTCTTGTTACTAGTACCATCCTCTACCATCTCTGAGTAGGCCACTTTAAATAGACCCGATGTATTCCATACAAGGCAATTAATGTCTTACGAATGTTTGACTCGGATAAAGCAGCCAGTGTAAGATGAGGAAGTTCACATTATAAAGAACTTGAATAACTCTCACCTCCTTTTATCTAACTCACAAACAATCTCCATAACTAGATTTCTCATCATCCCCTCAACACCCGCGTCCTTCCACCCTTCCAAATCTCTCTCGTCAAGCTCAACCCGCTCCTCCTCTTCCGAAAGCGAACCAACCGGTAACCCCGTAAACTTAACGACCAACCCAGGCGCCGTACCAACAACATCCATCCTCAACCCAGTCAAAATGCTACGCAAATGATCTGTCGCTTTGCCCCCGCCGCGCGATCCATACGATACAATTCCCGCGGGTTTCCCCTTCCACTCGTGGAATAGGTAGTCGAGTGCATTCTTCAGACTGGCTGGTATACTCCAGTTATATTGCGGGGTGACGAAGATGAAAGCGTCATATTGCTTGACGATTGTGGACCAGTGGCGTGTGTGTTCTTTGCTGTAGTGTGGTGTTGGGTTGTCTGCGGGAAGACTTGCGGGAATGACGGACTCATTGTAGAGGGGGAGGGATTGCTTTGATAAGTCTAGGATGGTGAATGTGATATGTTTCGGGTCTGTGTCTATTGAGCCTGTTTCTGGCGTGGCCATTGTCGAGCTGGACGGATCGCTGCTTGAGCTTGGAATTGTTTCCGCGTTCAATGTGCTTGGCTGGTGGTTTGTTGGAATTGTCGGGTCGTGCATGAGGACGTCATAGATGTACTGCGTGATGGTGGGGTTGAGGCGTGGGCGGCGAGTACTGCTCGTGACTATTGCGATGTGTTTGGGTGGCATTTTGGAGATTAGGAAAATGATTGAGAATGATGGTTTAGAATGAGGAGAAGAGCAGGTCGGGCTTTTAAATCAGGTTTCGTGGAATTCCAAGGTTCTTCGGAGCTTCGATCTGCTGATCCGCGGATCCGCGGATCTGAAGAAGCGGTGGAGCCACTCCAACCACTACTAACTACCACTAAGGCAGCCTGGACAGAATTGCGGGAAAATTGAAAGTGCATACACCTGGGTAGCTGTTGGGCTCAGGCTCCAAGGTTGCCTCTATTTATTATCGTCATCATGTTTCTTGTTAAGCCTACATTGTCTGGCCAGTCAATCGAATCCGCGTTAGCGTGCATTGGCGCTGTATTTGCGATTCTACAGGTCTCAAACAGCTGATTGCTCATACAAACAGGGGTGGTAGTGGGGGGAAATGTTGGCTGGGTATCTTTTATAGTGCGAAAAGACCCCTGCAGAATTTTAATCTCAACCGCAGGGACTCCGGGTCCGATATGTTATTGGCCACCGGGGCAGACTGCCCAGGTGTGTAACAGCGGCAAGAAAGCCAAGAGAAACATGATCTTGCGAAAGAATGTTCTAGTTGCTATTTCCTTTTAAATTTTCATGCCATGCTTAACATACACACTGATCTCCTCAATTCTCACCGAACTGGCGTTTGGAGGTATTTCGGTTGGTCAGGATCATATCCCACTAAACAGTTGACCGTTTCGTTCCCCTCGTTACTATCGTTGATCTCACTACCCACTGGACTACGCCACTGACCAGTAAGCTTGATATAGCCATCAAGAGCATTGTTCAGCCGATGACCGATCTCCAGGCCCTCTGTAGCTCGAGAATGAGAGTAATATGTCAGTAGTGACCCTGCATCTTTCCTCTGCCCTGCCTTTATCAAAAGCCGGGCAGACTGCTCTACCCACTGCTCCACCTGGGAACGAGATTCCGATTCGAATTTGGTCAGCATCTCGGTCACGATTGGAAGATACATGTTTGGCGATGAGCACATATAATACAGGACCCGTTTGAAAACACGTCCGGCAAAAATCGAGGCTTCCTGGAGCTGATAGTCTGGATTGAGAAAGCTGCTTGAAGCCCCAGTCGTCAGGTATCGGTGTTCTCCAAATTCGGCGGGAATTGAATCGACTCCTAGCCACCATGGAATGAAAGGTGCGGAGACGGAGCCAGTGGGTGCGATCCAGATTCGAAGCATATCTCGGTCCACATTGGGAAGCAGACTGACAACCTGGCCGTAACCTGCCTCATCATCTGCAATCCGGTGATCTCTGACACGCTCCATGAGATCCTTCTCGGTAACGGGAGCCATCCGACGGGTAGCATCTTCCAAGGCAGCCTGCGACATGAATTTGTATCCACCGTCGCGTGCCTTATAGCGCGGATCCTGAGGCCCATAAACGTCGAAAATGTTGAATGGCTTTCCAGAAGTCGAATTCCACCATCCACGCTCGACCGCAAAAGTCACGATATTTTCGGATCCCATATAATCCGCGCTCTTCTGGAAATCGACCGGAAACTCTTCAATATACCCCGGATACAGAACCTTGACATCATTCGGTCCTAGGCGTTGAGCTGCCCAAAGTCCCTTTCCTCCAGCCATTTCCCATACAATCCAACCCTCATTATGATCAGCAATAAGATGAGAGTTACCACCATAGGTAGACTCTCCGTGCTTCGCAATGAGCTCGCCAATGAGCTCCACTCCCTGGCGGGCTGTACTAGCTCTCTCCATAACAATACGCGCGAGATCACTGTATTGTAGCCCGTGTTGAGGGTTTGGCGTCATTTCGAGAAGCTCCTCCCGATTATCCGCCCAAACATCACGAACTGCAACGCCATTTTCATTGAGACCCCCATTGGTCAAAGGGGCCGGGAATCCCTCATAATCTGAATACTCCATGCTCAAGTAGCGGAATGTGTGATTGGCTTGAGGAATCTCGATGAGCTCACCCGGGAAGCTAGCCTCCTTGGTGACTCCCACGGTGATTGTTGAGTTGGGAGCATGATCGCGAGCCGGGAAAAGCTGTAGCCAATGGCTTGATACTTCTTCTCCAGTGCCGCCGACCATTACGCTTCCGTCTGCAGTGAGGTTTTTGCCGACATAGAATGCATAACTAGCGCCGGCCACGCGGGTCAGGGCCAAAAAGGCCGTGACTTCCAATGCCAGGTTCCTGAGCATGGTAAATTGAATTGTACAAAACAAGATATTCACAATCAGCAGATGGGAATTTATTTTTTTTCTCTCCTACATTTTCATTCCAACGAATACCACGTGATGATACTAGTTAAATTGCTACGCAGAAGGTCGAATCGGCGGTGTTTATTCAAGTGCCGGTGTCTTGGCTTGCCCCGTTTACCCCTCACGATCCTGAATCATCGCATATACCTCCCCAACTCGGTCGCAACCGATCGGCAGTTGGGAAAAAGTTTAGCACGAACTTCATGTTTTTCTATTTTGCTTCCAAGGTTTGACTTGTAGTTGAGATGGCCAATTGGCCTGAATTAAGCGCCCTATCGAGCCCATTTCCGCGATTGATTGGAAACTAAAACAGCATCTGGCTACATGACAAAAAGTAATCAATTGCAGCAAAAGTTCAATTTCAAAGTTTGGAACTTTCGGTCAGATTTACCATCAGCTCGATCAAAGCCTTTGGTAGACACGGGTGTATCCCAAAACATTTTAGACTTTAGAGATAAATTGAAAGGCAGCACAAAAGGAGTTCAAATTTCTGAAAAAGCACTATTTCGATAAAAAGCACACCATCGATGCGCTAATATCAAGTGCGACTTGTCAATTTATAAAAATCGCAAACAACTCAATCATCCATTCAAATATACAGTCCTTATTCGGCTATCCTACCTGGGCAATCTTTCTCCACCTCCGACAACTGTCTCAACTGCAAGACATGAAACAATCTGTTTTCCCTTGCGTACCAAGATGTTCCAATGAAGGATCTGGTCGCCGCAACCAATTTGCCAAAAAGTTCGTACAATGATCCACATGGTCTATATCGGCCAGCATGCTATCGAGCCGATCCCCACGCATATGCACATCATGGCCTCGTCTCAAAAGATATAGACAGTGCACAAGGTGTTCACGTACTGATGTCCAGTAGTATCCGTTCTCGTTATGCCCAACTTCGGTATAGTCTTTCATTCGATGAGTAGCCGCCTCATCATAGTAATATATGAAAGGTTTGCCATCGTTGAAAGTGGCGAATACATCGGAGTAATCTCGCGGGCATTCTTGGTGGAGCCAGCATGCGGACAAGGGATCATACGTGCAGCCTTTTTCTTCCGCTTCTGCTGTCGAGTTTCCACACGAGAGAGTTGTACGCGGAGCTGTTGGCAGGCATTGCCGTTGACCTTTGAGATGATTCGACCCTGTTGAGGATGTTCTGAGAATGAGAACTTGTCGAAATGGTTCTATCGTGATTGCTGCAATTACTGCCATCACTAGGAGTATCAGGACCAGAATGAGGCCAGTTATCGTTATTGCAGCCAGATTTCGCTTGAAGAAGCCTGACATCAAGCGACTTCGCGGGCGACCGGTCAAAGACACCTCGCTATCTGCATTGTCGCTGTCGGGTTCCATTTTTGGAACTGGTTGGTAGCTGCGAGTAGACATCTTGTCCATCCCCCCCAGGGGAAGTGCTGATGCAAAATAGAGATTCTCGTTGATAGGGAGGACAAGTTTATACATCCCTCAGAAAAGGGGGACATTTGTAAATTTCTCAGGGCAATTTCCTTCGAGGGAGAGGCACTACATTTAGAAGCTGAAGGAGGACAAAGAATTCGAATAGGGTGGCGTGGAGAGAATTGTCCCAAAATGTCAGTATGACCGGATGAGGGTCTCAATAGCAAGTCATAAGGTGAGTGCAAATCAAATAGCCTTTGCTGGCCAAGCTCACGTCCAAAATAGGGTCTCAATAGACTTTGAGCGGTCAAAGAGATGGACGGGTGTGGCGTTGACCTTTCTTGAACGGCAATGGGTGTGCCAACCTTGGAATGTCCGCCTGCGCTAGCGCTTGATCTCATCCAATTCTCCGGGGGATAGAATAATCAGATTCAATGTTTTCAAATTAATATTTCGAAAAGAAAGCTTGACAAAGAGAATAGAAAACAGTTAAATTGCATGCGATGCTCACACTGGCGTTCTACAAGGTCGGTCTAGACTCTACTGTACGTGAGTCAGCCAATCAAGTTCCAGGTCCTTGTATTAGTTATATCATGTTAGAAAGTTTGGGGCGAATATCCAACAAAAGACAAAAGAATGTACCAGTTGTCAAATTTGAAAAATGTATCGAAACTGGCAACTGAAATCTAGTGATATCAGCACAGGACTTGGACCCTCGGAGACTCGCCGTGGGGGGACTCAGGGGGAAAACCATACATAGAAACTGACTAGTCTACCTGGAAAATTTGAACCATTTTCCCGCATTTTCCCGTTCATGTATCCTTCGGTATATTAGAGTCCGTTGCACTATTCATTGTCCTAAAAAGGCTGAATAACCCGACAGCCGATCACGCGATCGGATTTGCCGACCGAGATATCAATCGGATGTCGGCCCGGAAGCGATCCAGCCTTTTTAAGGAGTGCGTGCATCGTCGCAAAATATTCAAGTACATCCAAGTGGAGGCTCATAGGAACTCGAGGCTTAGATTCAGAGATTCCAAATTATCCTATCTATAAATTGGATGTATTGAACTGCAATTCTGCATATAAATTGTGATTCTTTTCGCTAATAATGAACTTGGTTTGCCGAGGCAGTTCAAAGTGTGGGAGATCGGAAGGGCTGCCGATGCTCTGCGGCAATTAACGCAATCTGTCATTTGCGAATTCACCAACTGCTGGAGTAATACGCCAATTTCCCCGCTTCTTCCCCGCGTGACGGTATCAAATTTCCCCGGAAACACAGCATTCTCGAGTTTCTCAATTCTACAATTGGATGCGCATTAAGGGCCATGGGGCCTTGCCGGGTTCTTCGAATAGTACAGTTTATTACTGAGAAGTTTTATCTTATTATATGACGTTTTTGTGGAATTTTGTAGAATACCCCATACTTTACTAGCGTACTCACTCGGCTGCTTTACTGCTGTATGCTGAATTGAATGACATAGCGAAGGATTTGATTACCCTTTATGAATACATATCCCGCTGCATGCCACCAGATCGAAGATATACTACTAGGTGTTCCGTGTCATCATCCCAGTTTCATTTCAGGACTAATCTTGGAAGACAATTAGAAAGAAGTTACTATGGATACCGGCTGTTCATTTCAAACAACACAGCTTTCTCAATTGATTTCGATGGCAGATACAATTCTCCAGATAATGAAATCTTACATTATTTATTTCCCCGCTTAGGCCGCCGATTTGGCAGTATTCTCTATCTCAGTCAAACTTGTTATTTGGCCTTTGCAGGTCCCACTTTACCCCAACTCACCGGTATTTGAGACTTGTAATGCGGGGGCTGTGTCTTGTAAGATGAACTCTATTCCAATTGATTGGCCGAAGATAGTTGTGCAGGATATAAAAGGTAATAGGAGGAACGAAAGTCAAGGTGAAACGTGTGTCCATATCATAAAGTTCTCCACGATGGAACTGTCCGAAGAACCTCAATCTAAAGATGATATTGACCTGAAAGAATCTCAGAATGACGCGAACCATGATTTTGTTTTTGGAGAGATTACCGAAGAAGGCCCTAACTATCGCAATGTGTGCACAACTAGCCAAACCACCTGAAAAAGATCAACCAAACAAGATTCTAACAGTTATCTAGGTGGGGGTGTTAGGAACTGTGATTCTCATGATGAAGACCCAAATTGGCCTAGGAGTTCTTGCAATACCGACTACGTTTGATGCGCTGGGGATTGTTCCTGGAGTGATATGTCTATGTGTGGTTGCGTCCATCATGACATGGTCAAATTATGTTATTGGCGCGTTTAAGCTCAATCATCGTGAGGTCTATAGCATTGATGATGCTGGTGCCTTGATTTTTGGTCCAATCGGCCGGGCTGTTCTCTCCGTGTCATTCTGTCTCTGTACGTTTTCTGGTGCAATATGATATCCGATATCTTTTCTAACCTTCCATAGACTGGATATTCGTCAGCGGCTCGGGGATCCTTGGAATTTCCATTGGTCTGAATGCAGTATCCACGCATGGTACATGCACGGCTGTATTCTCCGTTGTCGCCGCGATTTTCGGGTTCACTTTGAGTAGTGTGCGCACGCTCGGAAGAATCACTTGGCTCGCCTGGGTAGGACTTCCGTGCATTTTGATTGCGGGTATGTCGACCGAAAACTTAATATTTGTCCCTTTCATGAAGCTAATTTCGGCCATCTCTTTTGGTTTCCAGTTCTGACCGTGACAATTGCGGTCAGCCTCCAAGACCGCCCTGCCTCCGCTCCACAATCCGATAATCCCTGGGTTTCCGATTACAAGATAGTCGGAAGTCCGTCTTTCACGACTGGAATTACGGCCATCTGCAATCTTGTTTTCGCTTTTTCGGGAACGCCAGGGTTCTTTGCAATCATTTCAGAAATGCGCGACCCGCGAAAATACACATTCGCTTTACTACTCTGCCAAGCAGGAGTCACTGGTGTGTATATTATAGTCGGATGTGTTGTTTATTATTATTGCGGGTCATACGTCTCTTCCCCGGCTCTCGGCTTTGCTGGTGGAGATGTGAAGAAAATTGCCTATGGCTTTGCCTTGCCAGGCTTAATTGTCACTACAACTATCTGCTCACATGTAAGTTCGCTGGGAGGGATGAAGAAAGCTCTTCCTCGATTTAACCTTTCTTTCTATGGAAACAGATACCAGCAAAATTTATATTTGTTCATATACTTCGAGGTTCCCGACATCTGAACAAAAACACACCCACTCACTGGATTACGTGGATTAGCTGTACTTTGGGAGTTGCTGTGATAGCCTATATCATAGCTAGTACAGTCCCCGTCTTCAACTCATTGGTAGCACTGATAGGCGCTCTACTTGGCCCACTCATGTGCTTTCAACCTATGGGCTGCATGTGGCTCTACGACAACTGGTCCCAAGAGAAACGACTCGCAAGATTCTGGCTGGCCAAGGCTTCCTGGAGCATCTTTGTGGTTGTACTGGGCTGCTTCCTCACAGTTGCAGGTACTTATGGATCCGTAGTTGGAATTATGGATGCCTATAAAGCTTCTGGGGGCTCAGCCGCCTTTTCATGTGCTGACAACTCTAACTCTACATGATGTTTGATTTCCCAAGAGCAGCTTAGAGTTCAAAGGGTTAACAAAAAAGCATATATTGATATTTAGAAACCTTCAAGTTTATGAAGAATTTATAGAAGTGAAACATGTGTTTTACTTGTAGCTTATACGCGGAGTTCTTTGGAAAGTAATCTAAATCTCCAGATTGTGTCTTATCACACTGTCGCGGCTAGATCTGTAGATTCCATCCAGCAGCAAGGAAGGCGTCTTTTCTTCATCGGAACTGTATTCTTTTCGAACCACGAAGGTCTCTTCTGTGATACTCGACACAATTTTTATTTGTAAACCTTGGAAGTGGAGGAATAAAGATATATAACTATTTGGCCATTTTCGTTTCCGTCCAAGATTTATCTAGTTGACTTTCTCAATACTCCGTGAGCTTGGCTGCGGCAGCCGGGTACCTATCACCAACGACTGGGAACCTGTCCAAGATGGACTGGATTGCTTGAAGATCTTCCCCATCTAGGGATACATCCTTTGCATTTTCCTGGACCCTGTTTTCCGACCGTGCCCTGCGACAGGAATAGAGATCGGCATGTCTACACGGCTGCTCTGACACTTGATCCATGACAATGCCAATTGTGCGGACGTACAATTCTCCTCAGCTGTCAGATCACTGATCTTTGAGATAAGTTGGAGGTTTGCATTGAAATTCTCGGGCTGGAAACGAGGGAAGAATTGATGGTAATCGTTCGCAGGTATATCATCAAGACTTTTGATTTGACCAGTAAGCATGCCAGCACCGAGAGGCGTATGTGCAACCATTGGGATTCCCAATTCAGCACTGGTTTGAGCGACATCATTTTCAAAGACATCGGTTGCCCAAAGGCCGATCTCTGCCTCGACCATGTCAATACTGGCCACTGCTGAGGCACGCCGAATTGTAGTGGAGCCGACTTCGCTCAGCTGAATGCCTCCAATCTTCCCCTCTTTGACCATTTCTGAGAGAGCGCCCACTGTCTCTTCAATAGGAACATTATTATCAACGCGACCGCAGCCGAAAATATTTTTTCTTATCGAGGATCCTATTCGCACGATCCACAAAGTTCCGAACTCCAACAGGAGAGCCATCCATAGTGAAGGTTCGCATGCCAACAATACCGCTCTTGACAGTAAGAACAACTTTTTCCGCGTCTTCCGGATATCGAGTGAAATAGCGGTTCATGAGATGCAATAAGTTGTGATCGGGTGTGCCATAAAAATCCGCCCCATTCCAGACATTGACACCTGCATCGAGAGCAGCCTTGAGAATACCGAAAGCCTTTTCGTCGGGAGTCACATCATCTTTCCAGGTCAAACCTAATATAGATATATGTGAGACAATGAGGTGTGGAGTGACTGGGATATTTATATTAGTAGTATGACTTACGTATCAGACCGAGTCCATTTTGGCTGATTGGCTTTCCGGCAAGAGACGTCATGGTCAGCGACAGCTGTTATTGAATTTTGCAAATCTTGCACTTTCAAAAGACAAATTGAGCACAGATAAAAGGATCAATTGACTCGAGAACTTTTTGCAGAAATATGCAAGATAGGTACCGACTCGCCACCCGCCGATGTTTACCCCCGTTATCTCCGTCCACAACTCGCAATTAGTCGGCCAGCAAGTCTCCAACACCAGGAACGAGGAGAACAATCGACATACCTTCAGGAGATAAAAAGGAAGACGGTCCAGAGTACCGATATTTCCGAGCAAATGATGAACATGTCTCTTGTTGCAGATATCACTTGAAATGTGGCCATGATAGCCACCTCAGGGGCATCGAATTGACGCATTAAGCCTAAGGCTTACGACAATGAAAAGAAAAGGAGTGGAAGAAGTATTTTTGGGTTAGTTTTGTTCAATTTCGCGGGGACAGTCAAAGTGAAAGCCCAGATTCTAGCGGCGTCAGCTGCCGGACGAAGCAACCATCTAGTTCTGATATAGCTAGTGACCACGGGGCACTGGCAGTGAAAATGTGCAATCTAGGCAGACATCCTTCTATTAAAAGACATCTTACAGAAGACTCAGGAGTTAAAATTGTCAGATACGATTCCTGTGATCCTAAAACGGTGGCCACGCTGCTAGTCGAGTCCATGCGTCTCAGCCCCGTTGCTCCTGGCCTCATGTGGTGTTGAACGGGAAATAACCATTTCAGTATGTGCATATTTCATCCACGGAGGCAGAGGGCTCTCGGCATGAGATGGATGTTGGTATTCCATCACGTAGAGTATTTCGCCGAGCGCGATACCTCATCTCGGCTCGGTGACTTGAGTGACCTTGGCGACTATTTGGATGCATTCTAGCCTTTTGGAATTCGCCGACGCACGTGCCTTGGTCAATATATAGCAATGGTGGAGAAACGCCTCATTTGAGCGAGGCTCTTGCGCAGGTTGGAGGACACTTAGTGGCCCAGCCATACGATAAGTCCGAATATGTCGTGGTATATTGGTCTCCGCTGTGGAGGAAGGCGACATCCAGGTAGTATCAGGCGACCGGAGAGCATCTTATCAAGTCAATACACGTTTGAAACGGCATTCTGGAAACCATCTATATGTTACCCCTCAAAATCCTTCACAGCAGCACGAGCCATATCCTGCAGACGGAGCTATGACCAAGCCAGAAGATCGGCGAAAATTCCAGATGTGTTCGAGAATCCTCCGGGAGCTTTCCGACACGTAATTAGCTTCAGGTCCCATTTAAATCCATGGGAACTATAACACTGGTTTAATTCGAAATAAATTGTTGACCCCCGAAATGTGGCTTGCGCAACAAGGGGTGATGGCCGGATTTGTTCAGCAACCCGTAGCTAGGATCCAGCCACGCAAGGCTAACTAGCACAATTCATCATATCATGAGCACAAGAATACGGCATCTTGACCGGAGTCTAGGCGAAGGTGTCAGACCTCCCACGGGTTCCGGTAACAGAGACAACGACAACGACGCAATCACCAAACCCAAAGCCACATGGGAGCAACATTCGATGTGGTGGATCCGCCCGCGATGATCTGCTAGCCAGCCATTCCAGCACGTTCCCGCACGTTGCTCCACTTTACATGACCCTCAGGTGTTAATTCCCCTCGATGGCGCTTATCACGGCCTTATATCCATTGTGTTCCAGTTTGGTTTCTTTATGAACCACAAAATGTCATCGTTCCTGCCGGCCGATCTCTGGAGAGATCCGCTGCGTTGAATCCATCCTACAAATGCGAAATTTATCCGCTCAACCAGTATAAACTACGACATCCCCTCCCAGACGCGGCCATGAGCCAGTTCGTCTCATCAGATTACCACGAGTGGGCAAGCACTTCGTCACGCCGTCAGAGTACGGTGTCAAGTTCCACGGTGTCGTCCGCTTCCACCAGCATCCTGTACCCAACCCCTGCGAGCTCACCTGGTTCCAGCTCGCGAAAACAGTCATGGCAGTACTTTGACGAGGTGGTAAGGTTGGAGTTGAACCCCTCAATGACGATGTGAGTTCCTTATTGCTTCTCTCACGGCCTACCTTTTAAGTAGACAAATTTACTAACTTGTGTACAGTAATTTCGTCAAAAGTGGGCAACTATTCAAATTACGCTATACATGGATCGACGTGTGCAAAGATTCGACGGGGGCCCTTAAATGCCTTGAGCTTGGGGGAGGTCTCGGGCAACAAACTCCCTTTGTACATGCTTGTGAGTGAAATGATGGCAATCTTGATTCAAATGCAAATTTTGAAGCTAATGAAAATGAACAACAGTCCATAACACCAAACTCCCCGTTCCACACCTCGAACATCCTAAAGAATCCTCCGACTACCCACTTCGCGTATCATTTCTCGAGCATCAGACCGTCCAGACCGCACATGTGGTATTCATGACACAGCTATCTTATAAATTTGAGAATTGGGAGGGTACGCGATCGCTGAACGGACCCCGGGGTGTTGAACAGTTGCTTACAGTCGACAGATTGTGTCCTCTTTCAGGAAGTTCTTCTTGGATCCAAACTTGTGTTTATTAGTGGCATGGCTGAGGCCAAATCCAAGGGCCGCGGCGAGGAGTGCATTAGCCAAAATCTGCGCATTCTCCGCGGACAGAACAACAAGCGCGTCATGCTATATTTTGCCAACTCACAACGTGGGGGGGCTAAAGAGATATGTGTCTATTCCACGTGAGTCCCTTCTCCTTTTCCACCCCCGGTTATATGCGACCAACGGCTAAATCCATCTCAGTTAATTGCGTTGCCAGCATCAAGCCACCCAAAAAGTCCGGTCGGCCGGTGACGGTGGAATTAAATCCGAATTTCGAAATCTTATCGCAGATGAGAAACTTTCAAATTCAGTTCCTTGATGATAATGGTCAGTGCACAAACCTTTCTCGGCAGCTCGGGGAATTCTAGGGATTCTACTCCGTGGCTGGGTTAGTATTCGAACTCATCGCTTATTCTTTCTAGATTGTAAGGAATTTTGCCAGCTACTGTCGATGGATCTCACGATTAGGTGATCTTATTGGGGGCTTTTTCTTTCTTTTTCTTTCTTGTACTATCTAAGATCCTTTCGGACTTCCGGTTAATGACTAGCATGGTGGAGTTCTGGGCGTGATTTACCGTGTGATACCAATATACTATGAACTTTTTTTCTTTTCTTTTTCATTTATTTTTATTTTTCATTTCTTCTTCTTTTCCTACTTTTCGTCTCGTTTCGGATTAAGAGGAGTAAATCGCAGGCGGGGAATGGGTGTCTACTCTATTCCGTACAGGCAACCAACACTAAGGATAACGCGAGCAACGTTCAAAAAAGCATATTGAAATGACGTGGGGCGCCCGCCGAGCGTCTTAGCAGTCGCGAGGCCCGCACGTGGAGCGAAAGAAGGCCTGGTTTGGCTCACGAAGTTGTGGGGCAGCCCCCACTAACGCCGAGGCCATGTTTAGCCCGGCCCCAACACCGCTTACAGTTCGTATCAGAATGGCCGTGGGCAACCGGGATGTGGCTCTTGTTGATGGAAGTGCAGTAGTGTGACCCAGGGTTCGAGGGGGAGCTCAACGTGCCAGCCTCATTGGCCTCGTGCTTCGGAGAAAGTCACTGCAAAATGGTTGCTGGAAAACTGCTGATGGGATGGGCGCATCTGGTGGATCTGGGTGCAATGGCCTATCAGCTACGGACTACCCTAGGGTACGGAGAAGCACCTAATCAATCGAGCACTAAGTATATCTCGGTTCGCATCTGCTGGTGCGCCCGGTGCATCCTGCCGTGCATCCTTTAGCCCCATGATACCAAGGGGTAACCAGCTTGATCATCGCGACGATGGGGAGGTTTCACCACCGACTATACAAAACTGACCGTGCACGCGATTTCGATCATGAACAGGTTCGTTAATTTTCTGATCCTGCGGGGCTGGAGGGGCATCACTGACAAAATTGCTTCCTAGGATCGATATGTACGCATGCGACAGATCTACGAGACAATCGACCGACAGTCTTACCAGTGGGTAGTCGTGTTAGTCGCTGGTCTTGGGTTCTTCCTCGATGGATATACAGTGAGTATTGGCTGGGGATAATTCACTATAGAGAACAGAGGACCCATTGACTAACGATATTTTTTCTTCCGTAGCTATTTGCCAGCAACATGGCCCTCCCGATGATATCCTATGTTTACTGGAAAGACGAGGTCTCTTCGATAAAACTGACCTGCATCAACATCGCAACTCTCGCCGGGACTCTTTTTGGAATGGTACTCTTTGGGTTCCTGGCAGATAAAAATGGTCGCAAAAAGATGTATGGTGTCGAGCTGGTGTTGCTGATCACCGCCACTATCGGTGTGGTCATGTCATCTCAGGGTGAGAATGGAAGCATGGATGTTTACGGGTGGTTGATCTGGTGGAGAATTTGTGTTGGTATCGGCGTGGGTGCAGACTATCCTCTTAGTGCTGTCATCACCTCGGAGTAAGCATACCACGAGATTCCCTTTGGCTTAAGATCCAAGCTAACTCCGCTACTCTAGGTTCGCGCCAACAAAGCACCGTGCGCGCATGATGGCCAGCGTCTTCTTCATGCAGCCACTGGGTCAAATTGCCGGAAACCTGGTCTCTCTCATCGTTATCGCCATTGCTCGCAATAGCGGGGGTAGTGATGATGTTATCCGCACGATAGATTCTGCATGGAGATGGGTCTTGGGAATCGGAGTCGTCCCGGGTGCTATCGCGACTCTGTTCCGTTTTGCGATTCCCGAAAGTCCACGATACCTGGTTGAAATAGAAGACGACGTTGTTACCGCTGAATTTGATGCGACACATCTCTTCGATGATTCTCCCACGAGCCCTTCTTTTGATACATCGAGCTTTGCCACTGGTGTGGGCAGTGCAATCCACATGCCGCCCATATCTTCTCTCTCTCTCGCCAGCGATTCTATCCACGAGGACGAGGAATATAGCCGTTTGCCACCTGCGACTCTTAACTCGCATTGGCGCCTCGCCCGCACTGACATCATACGGTACTTCTGGACAGAAGGAAACTGGCGCTCTTTAGCCGGCACCTCGCTCTCCTGGCTACTGCTCGATTTCGGGTTCTATGGTATTGGGCTCTCCAGCCCGCAGTTCCTAGCCAAAACCTGGGGCCAACTTCATATCACTCAGGCAGAGCCTAACTGGATGACGGATAGTCGTCCCGAGGCTAGCGTCTACCAGATGTTCTTTGATACATCTGTTCGTGGTCTAATTGTTTTGAATATCGGAAGCTTCGTTGGGGGGCTTCTTCTAATCCTATTCGCCCACCGCATCGACCGTGTTGCTTTGCAAAAGTACATGTTCCTTGCACTTGCAGCCCTTTTCATTGCCTTGGGTAGCATGTTCGTCACCCTATACTCCGGACCGCCTGCTGTGGTCGCCTTGTATATTGTCGGCCAAATACTCTTCAATTTTGGTACGAATATCTGATCCGCATTACTTGAGAGCAACAACTGACATTTCTAGGCCCCAACGCAACAACGTACATGATCCCTGCCGAAATATTTCCTACACGTTATAGAGGTACCTGTCATGGTCTCAGCGCCGGCGCCGGCAAACTTGGTTCGATTCTTGTTCAGATATTCTCCACCTACTATCATTTCGGTACCGGGCCTGGGGACGTGTCAACCCAGCATCACGGCATCATTCTTTTTGTATTCAGCGCTTGTATGGTCCTTGGCGCCGCCGTCACTCATTTCTGGATTCCGGCTCTTCAACAAAGAAAAGGCCGAAATCTCATCTGGGGTGGAAAACCATACACCCTCGAAACATTGGCCCTCGGGCGCATGGGTCGCAAAAGCCGCGAGGCAGATGTTCGAAAGAGAGCTTCCAGGGCTCGAGCCATGTCATTCAGCGGATAGATTTGTTCGCGCATTCATATTTCTTTTTAGATTCAAATGTATAAATTAATTTCCGGTTTTATAAATAAGTGTTGATCTAGTTCATTACTAGTAGTGCTAGTTAATAGTACTAGGTAGTAGTATATAAATGTGTAAAGAAACCTGAACGCCTGATCTAGTACCAAGACAACACCACCTGGGCAAGGCCCTTTGCTCACAATCCTGGAGTAATAAGATTGGATACCCCCATTAGAATATCAGTAACTTCTAGGATTGTTTCCCACACTCAGGTATTCTACCTGGCCATTTCAATGTGTACAATATCCCCTGAAAGCTAGGAGTGAGATCCACAACTGTTCGTTATCAATCGATGATGAATTTGCCGATAATGCCGGAATTCTCCGGAATTCCGCGATAACTCCGCCCTCGTCCACAAGGCTAAAACATCGCTTTTCAAACTTGAGAGCTCCAATTCTCAATCAGAGCCGCTTAAAGCGAAATGAGCGATAATCAGAATCTCCAATCGAGCCCGCGCAAGCGCCGTAGGCCGGCATTGAGTTGCGAACAATGCCGTCGCCGAAAAGTCCGATGCGACCGCCAAATGCCGTGTGGCCCCTGCAAAAAGGTCTATGGGTCGATGGACTGCTCCTACGTCCATGAAGGCAAAGCTGCCTTATCCACCCGACGCGATGCGATGAGGACTAGTGAGAATGAGTCCCCACCTTATCTTGAATCGCAGCAAGGGGTTGTGGATATGCCGATGAGTGGCTTCGATGGAGGTCGCATCGCGCAGATGGAATGTACCATTCGGGTGCTGCAGGATCGCATTGAAAGCTTAGAGCAGTCAGCTCAGGGAAGCTCTTCGCAGTCACAACCGGTTGAAGAAAATAATCCCTTGGGACTAACACGTGCCAACGGTTCAAATAGTCGTCTGGTTGACCGCGACGGGCAGTTCGCTGGCAGTAGACAGGATGGACCACGTCAGCCCCAGACACTGATCGCCCCATTACAGCCTCGTCTGAAAGGAACTGGGGAGAAGACGAGACTCTTTGGAACTACCCATTGGGCGATTGTATTTCAACAGGTAACCCACTTTTGCTACCAGTTTTGATGCGACATAGAATGCTAATGAGTCGAATAGTTTCATCTCTTGCGTCAGGTACGCAACACGGCCAGTTATTCCAATGAAAAACATAATGATATCAGCAAACTCCTCAAGGAGGTCCGGTCACTGAGGCGATTGATCAAGGGTCAACAGGCCCCGCGACTTATGGATCCAACTCCGGCTCTGCTTAACGATCTTCCTTCGCGTGAGATTTGTGATGAGCTCGTGCGGCATTATCTGCGAACTCTGGGACTCATATACCGGGTCCTACACGTTCCAAAATTTTATGAAGAATATGAACGCTTCTGGGAAAATCGCGCGTCAGTTTCGACTGCTTTTATGTTCAAGCTTCTACTGATTCTTGCTATCGGTTCTATCTTCCATTGCAAGCCAGGGCCATCTAGTGAAGTTGGTATCCCTGTTCGCCGTTGGGTATATGCGGCGCAGTGGTGGCTGGCGGGCCCATTCGAAAAAGAATCTAATAACTTGGAGGGATTGCAAGTTCACTGTCTACTACTCCTCTGTCGGCAAGCATATGCGATGGATAAAGAAGTTAATTGGACCTCCGTGGGTACTTTGATGCGACAAGCTATTCATCAAGGCCTTCATCGTGACCCGAAGAATTTCCCAACTCTCTCTGTATTCGACAGTGAAATGAGACGGCGCATTTGGGGCACAATAATTGAGATCAATGTCCAACTGTCCATCGATGCCGCTATGCCTCCTTTGCTAGGACCGAATGATTTTGATACACTACCACCATCGAATATTGAAGACGAGGACTTCGACCATACAACCGCATCTCTGCCACCTCCTCGGCCCACTGGCTTTTATACGAGTGCATCTCTGCAGATACTTCTTCTGGAGTCGTATCCACTGCGATTACAGGTCGCGCGAACGATCAATGAGTGTGCACAGGAGCAGTCGTACGAAAATGCTTTACAGCTTGGCAATGAACTGACTACATCCTGCAAAGAGATGTCACATCGCTTCCATACATTTATCTCTTGTACGGGAAATCGACCTATGCGACCGACACGATTTCATCATCGACTACTGGACACCTTACTGCGCCGCTTTATCCTGAATCTGTATCGCCCATTTACCATTGAAGCTACTCACGACCCACGATTCTATCTTTCCCGAAAACTCAGCCTAGAGTCCGCCCTCGTTACGGCTTCCTATGGCGATGCACCTAGCGATCCTTTCGATAATGAAATACCCCATCGAGACTTTCAGCGACTCTCCTTTTCGGGCGCGGGTTTGTTTAAAGGTTATCTCTCTCTAGATGTGATGGTCGTAATCGGCCTTGAGATCATCACCCAAATGGAGGATGAGGTTGCTAGTCAACCCGTGGGGTCGAGCTCGTTGCCCTTTGACTCGGTAGACCAGATGGCCGAAGCAGCTCGTGCACCTCTTGTACAAGCTCTTGAAAAATTGATGGATCATCTCTATCAAGGCTTGGCTGCTGGCATCCCCAGCATGAAACGGTATTGCCTGCTTGGGGGGATCTTGGCCCAAGTCCGGTCCGTCCCTCGCGGCCAGAAGGCAGAGGTATCTCATATCCGAGAAGCCTTTATGGAAACTATGCTCACTTGTCGTACTTTGCTTCAACAGCATATTACCGGTGAAAGTCAGGTCTCCGCTGAAGACGGGATGCCATCTCTTACACCCGTAGATGGGATGGCTGGTTGGACACCGGAGAGTGTGATGGGATCAAGTTTGGATTCGGAATTTATGGTATGCTTTCTTTCCGCTACGTGTTTGATGACTCCATACTAACTCATATTTAGATTCCTAATCTTGGGTTTGAGGACTTAAGCTTTTGGGATATCCCTGCGTTTGCTGACCCTGCTGTATTCGACCCACAACAGTTAGGATAATTTTCATGTAATATAATAGTAAGGATGAAAAGAGCTTATCGCCACTTCTGAAAGCCAAATTCTATTTTATGTATTACCAAAAAGTTATTTACTGTGGGGAGCTCTAGGAAGGGACGAGCGCTCGTGTTCACGCTCGTGTGTGAAGTCTAGGTTAAAATTCACAGGGAACTTTCCTTTCCGGCTTTGAGTTTTGATCTGCGCACTGATTATTGCTAAGCTTATAGTCTGTAGAAAGTATCATACAAATGGTATCAAAATATAGGGGAGCGCTAAGTTTGATCAATCTTCCTCCACATGCTTCGGGATCTTGAGTGGATGCCCTCCTGAATTAAACACATAATCGTTCATACTCAACAAATCAGGCGAGCTGAATATGAGATAGAAGTATTTTAACGTCCGAGACATCCAATAACTCTCCATCGAATCGATATGGATATGAGCACCTTCTGCCGTCACATCAACAATGGCCGCATTACCCTTCTCAACGCTGGTGGCATTCTGAATACTCAGAAACATTCCCCACGCAACGTCCAGAAGATCCTCACGAGCAGTAACGCGATGCAAAATCAGCATACTCTCGATCATCTCCGGTCGCAAATTATACCTCGTATCGGGGATCGAGATGACCCCTTCAGGTAGACTATGATCCTTAATAAAGGCATCGACAATGACTACTTGATCAGGTTCCCGCTGATTATTCGCCTTCTTCCACACCTCCTGTCTCCAGAACCACTTATTCCAGGGACATTTCCGTTGTGATGCGCAAGGTACAATGTCAAGACGGTCAGGCATGATGCCCATCGGCATGATCTCGTGTGTCCAGATACAGCCGTCCACTAGCTTATTTGCTATTTGTCGGTGGGCTGGGATGTTGAAGAGTTGTCCACCCATTGCGAATAGTCCTCCGGCAAAGCATCCGCGATAATTAACTTGGCCTTCGAGTTTTGTTCGCTGTTTCTCGTTTGGGCTCGTCGTTACTCGCACTAAGCCAGGGAGTAGGAGATCCTTGCTCTCTGCGTTAAGTGGTCGGAAGAGGCTGTGGCTGGCTGCGGTGCGTGTGAATCTCTCGTACATAGTTCGGTATATCGATATATGTCCTCCGAGCAGTATATGGGCCTTTGGTAAAGTCTTATAAAGAGAATCGACCTCGGCGCCCATGGTGAAGAAGTCGCCGTCGAAATTCTCCGTTCGAGCGTTCAGATTTACGGGCCACATGCCCGGTAGTCTTGTTTGATCTTGTCCTTGCTCAAGTTTTGTCATCACATTCTGTGCCGCGTCGAAGTATTTCGGATCGCGCGTGATCTGCGAGAGTCGAGTGAATTCCAGAATAAAAGATCCAAGCTCCGAAGCCGACACCACTTCTTCAGCCTGTTGCTCGTCCTGTCGCGCAGCCTTGTGCAAGTCCCAATGAATGATCGGCATTCTATTTGGAGTATCAAAGATGGTATAGAGCATGTCACCGACCTCGATTGACTTTTGCAATAGTATTGGATCGCCACTCAAATCGTACGCAGACAATAGGCCCCCAAGGATGCGAATATTGACCTCGTGGGTGTTGATCTCGGGTGACAGGGTATCTTCAAAGTTGACGTTCGCCACGGCAGCAACAGCTTGGTTGAAATCCTCTCGCATTCCCATCACCCACAGTGTATCCAAGTTGTCGATTAACGTAGTGGCCCATCCACCCAAGCCATTCTGGGGTAGACCGCTCAGCGGTGCCAACTCATCTGCCAGCCATGCCCTGGATTTGTACGAAGTCCAAGATCGTTTGAAAGCGTCTTGAACAGCTGATTGTCGATCTAACTGGTACCAAAGTGTCAAGCGAGAGAACTTGGAAGTTGGCAGTTGAATATGACGAAGGTTTGCTGGATTGTCTTGAGGCAGCGATGCGATAGACACAACAGGGAAGCAAGCAGGCAGGTTTCGCCAGAAGGAGCCGCTGATACCATCCTGATTTGAAGTATTTTCTGATTCTACTGGGGTGCTGAGATTGATCGGCGCGGAAGTAAGTAAAGGATCGGCCTTGTTCCACGAACGAGTGGACCGGTATAATAGGAGAAGGAAGCAAGCCGCTAGTAAACAGGCCAGCGCCTGGCGTCTGTTCCAATTCATGTTAGGGACAAGCTAATGCGAGCGTCACATAACCAGGTTTGCCGCTGGCATTCTCGATTTTTGGCCCTGGCATTGCCCAGCGATACGATTGCGAGCGAAAGGAGAGTGAAAAGCCTTGCGCGAGGGCGGAGCTCTGGGAAAATAAAATATACGAGCGACCCTGCCAATTCTGTATCTAGGGGGGATTAAATTATTCAAATTGAATGAAGGGATCTGGTTCGTTGGGTGGTTAGCAAACGCGTAGTTGCGGCGGGAGCTCCGGCCGAAGCTGACGACGCGGGACATTAGGGGCATGAATGGACTTGGTCTAGACTCAGGTCGAGCGAGAGCTTGGCTTTATGGGACGGAAGGGTACAGTGTAGTATTATCTGTGGATAGTTTGCTGTAAATTCAAGTTATTTCGTAGAAATCGCAGAATAGTCAAAGGAGAAGAAGGGTATGAAAAATCAGTCCGCAATCTGAAGGGCCTTGTTCCTGGCGTGCAGTGCGACGCCTTGCCCCCTGTCTCTGCACACTGCGAATCAACAGACAGGGTAGTGCAGCCTGGATGCAGGGAAGCAAAATACGGCGATCTGAAGCTCGGCAAAATAGAAAAAATGTGTTGCGAATGTGTTGCGGCCCTCAGTCTGAGTCCGCGCACCCCCCAAGTAGATAGTCTGAGCCTCTCAAATAGTCTTATCCTATGCATCCATCCATTTCAATGAGTCCCCTGATCAGTAAAATACATCATCCATGAATGGAACATGGCTCTCATCTGCGTATTCATCGAATGGGAGGGTGTGTTACTACTCTTGTATGATCCGATCGTATAACATGTACCATGAAACTCACCAAACACACAATAAGAGCTTCGGTGGTGTAGTGGTAACATAATCGCCTTCCAAGCGATTGCTGTGGGTTCGATTCCCGCCCGATGCATCTAACCTTTCAGCCTCTGGCTGATTGCTTTTTTCAATCACATAAATTTTGCTGGTTCCTTCAATCTTTTCAGATCTTTTTTTCACAAAAATTAATTTCCAGAGAGAGAAAAATCCATTAATAAAATATAATCACTAGACCAACAAAATTTTGCTGTTGCGAAATATGCTGCTCTTTTTCCTGATACATACCAAAAGAGTACGTGATGGGAATAAAATACCCCGTGGTGATTGGCAAGGGGGGTCAGTTGCTGGTAGACACCCAGATGAGAGTCCAGGCAGCCAGCAGTGAAAATTCCCACAAAATAAATGGTTATGGACAGGATGTGTAGAAAAAGGCCAATATTAATCAGCAACTCTGATCTAGCAGTCGATGCCGTTTGAGGATCATACGGGTCATCTCGATCCCCGTTCCGTGGATAGTTTGCGACCGGAGACAATCAAGAGAGTACTCATTCAAGTAGGTAGTCATTTATCAGGCTAAAAGTCTATACAAGAAGTGCAACGCAATGTTATTAGGAGATTAAACAAATGATATTAACCTTGAAAGTAGAGAGGGGAGCGCTCGATGGCATCACGCGATCGGCGTAGATCATACAAAGCTCGTGGCAAGAGGATAAGGGGATTGTTTCTTTCACAAATGGCAAATGCCATGGTAGATTGTATGTCACTGCTCTAAAGCAAAAAGAAATCCTCACTGATCCGAACTTGACTCCTCTACAGGAGCAAAAACGAAGTACAAAAAAGAAATGCATCATCCGTGAATCGAACACGGGCCTCGTCGATGGCAACGACGAATTCTACCACTAGACCAATGATGCTAGTTGATGTAAGAGGTTCAGAATTATGGCTACATGAAATCTTTTGCAAACTCCAAGGTCATGAACAAAGATAGCTTCGAGCAATAACTGTTGTGTAACACTACTGCAATATATAAGGGCAGCCACACCATTCCAAGGTTATTAATTGCTCCAGATACAAGTTAGCATATTTGCGCCCGAGTTAGGGGTTATTCAAGTTCAATTTCAAGCAGTTTTATGTTGACCTTGGAAGTACACGATCTGGGGTGACAGGTACTAGTAGTAGTATATATGCCTGAACAAAATATATATCAACATTGAAACAACCTCCTTGCCCACCTGGGTAGGTGGAAGCCACCACAGCGTGGACATCATTATACTGGTAGTACTAGCAAGCAGTAGTAAGCATTGCATCTATTGATGCAAATTGATTGCAGTACCCTGTACCCTGTTAGGTAAATGCAAAGCCACCGGCGGTGGGCACCAGCATTTAACTCGCGGGCGTTCCCCACCAGCCCTGACAAACTTCACTTTCCCAGAACGATGTAGCTTGGAGTTACTACTAGTAGTAGCTTACCAGGAACACACATTCTTAATCCGCAAATACATTAACAGTAAAGTTTAAACAGGCCCTAATTTAAATAAATAAGAAACCACCCCCAACCACTGGCACCACGCAAACTTGAGCAATTCCGGCGCGGGGCTGCAGCACCTCGGACTAGTGCGGGGTTATGCTCCAGTCAGGTAGAAACGAGCAGATCAGATCGAATCGAATCGATCTTCTTCGACAACCCAGCTCTGTTCATTAGTACCATAGCACAGAGCGCGGTCGTACTCCAGGGCTACTGATATTTAAGAACCCCCCCTTCAATTCGATTTCAACCCCCTCTCCCAATATCTTCCCATCTCATCTTCACCATCACCCATCACTACCCCCATTTTATAGCAAAAATGACAACCACCACAACAATCCCCTCCCACGAACGACCCGAGCCAGGCTCCCACAACATCCCCCTAGGAAAATTCCCCTCAACCAACACCACAACACCGACCGACCCCACCGCCATCGCAGAAAGAATAACAACAGCCCTAAACACAGCCCTCAATACCAACCCCAACCCAGCCACTCTGCAAGCCCTCTTCCTAGAGAACAGCTACTGGCGCGACCACCTCGTCCTATCATGGGATTTTCGCACCATCCACGGAGCCCAAAAGATCACCGAATACGCCAACAAGGCTAAGGCTGGATCTGGATCTACTGGGCTAACATTCGAAATCGACACCTCCTCACCACTAAAAGCACCACACACCGGACCAATCGATGCCTTGGGCGAAGTTCACGGCATTGAATTCTTCATCAAAGTTTCATCCGCGAATGGAGCTGGTCATGGCGTGATTCGGCTTGCGGAGGAGGAAGGTAGTGGCGAATGGAAGATTTTCACGATTTTCACGTCCTTGATTGAGATCTCGGGTAAAGGGGAGGCGAAGGGTCGATCGGAGGGTGTTAAGCATGGCGAGTTGAAGGGGAGGAAGAATTGGGCTGATCGAAGGGTTGAGGAGAGCGAGTATCTTTCTTCGAATCCGGCTGTTCTTGTTGTTGGTATGTTTCTACCCCCACTACTACTACTAGTAGTAGTAGTCTCGGAATGGCAAAGCCAGTGCTAATACCATCACAGGAGCCGGCCAAGCCGGTCTAACAATAACCGCCCGACTAAAAATGCTCGGCATCGACACCCTAGTCATCGATCGCGAGGACTCGATCGGCGACAGTTGGCGTAACAGATACCACCAACTCGTCCTACACGACCCAGTCTGGTTCGACCACATGCCATACCTACCCTTCCCACCGCACTGGCCGATTTTCACGCCGAAGGATAAACTGGCCGAGTTCTTTGAGTCGTACGTTAAGCTTTTGGAACTTAATGTCTGGACGCGCGCTGAGGTGAAGTCTTCCTCCTGGGACGAGGGGAAGAAATTATGGACTGTTATTGTTGAGCGCAGGAAGGGTGATGGCTCGGTTGAGAGTCGGACTTTGCACCCGGGACATGTTGTTCAAGCGACGGGGCACTCTGGGGAGAAGAATTTGCCTGTTTTTAAGGGCGCTGATGGGTTTAAGGGGGATCGGATTTGTCATAGTTCTGACTGGCCTGGTGCGCGGGATGGAGCGGTGGGAAAGAAGGCTATTGTTGTGGGCGCTTGTAATAGTGCGCATGATATTGTTCAAGATTACTGCGAGAAGGGGTATGATGTTACGATGGTTCAGCGGAGTTCTACGTGTGTTGTTTCGTCTGATTCGATTGTGAATATTGGGTTGAAGGGTCTTTATGAAGAAGGTGGGCCACCGACTGAAGACGCGGATCTTTATCTGTGGAGTATTCCCCCTCCGCTATTCAAATTGCAACAGACCAAGGTTACGCAAGCGATGAATGCGAATGATGCGAAGACTATCGAGGGTCTTGAGAAAGCTGGGTTCAAGGTTGACCGGGGTCCCATGGATGCGGGGTTATTGGTGAAGTATCTCCAGCGTGGCGGGGGGGTATTATATTGATGTCGGGGCGAGCCAGTTGATCGTCGATGGCAAGGTTAAGGTTAAGCACGGACAGGAGATCAGCGAGGTGTTGCCTAATGGGCTTCGGTTTGGGGATGGGTCGGAGTTGCAGGCTGATGAGATTGTTTTTGCCACTGGGTATCAGAATATGCGTACGCAGGCGAGGGCGATCTTTGGCGATGAGGTCGCTGATCGGGTCGGTGATGTTTGGGGCTGGGATGAGGAGGGTGAGATGCGCACTATTTGGCGGGGTACTGGCCACCCGGGATTTTGGTTTATGGGAGGTAACCTTGCGCTGTGTCGGTACTATTCCCGACTGCTGGCGTTGCAGATCCAGGCAACAATCGAGGGATTGAATTAAGGTTGAAGTGGAGGTGAAGGTATTGATGCCTGGAGGAAGAGAACAGGGAATTTCGGGTATTACGACTAGATATGAGTTAAAATCTTATTTGTTTTGCTTATTTTTAATTTTATTTGTATTTTATTTTATTTTAATTCTTTTTCTTATTCACGTAATATCAACCGAGCCACCCCTCCTGAGACGCAACCCATACTCCCAGAGTGAGAACATGAGTGTATAACCACGACTCCAAAACGTCATGCGGATCGCGCCCACTAGTGACCGTCGCGGACGGACTCGTGAGATTGAAACATACTCGGAGTGATTCGAGGATCGAGCTCTTTCGCACAAACACCTCTAGCCCACCAGGGGTCATCGTGGCAATGCGACTCTTCCGTCGCGCCTGGCGATCGATGAGCATGAGGACGAACTGGTCGGAATTCTGGGATTCGCTTTGATTTTGATTTTGATTTGAATTCTTGGGTAGTTCTCGCTTTTCCCATTGTAGGATAATTCGACCGATTTGCGACTCTGATTCTGAAGATTTCTCATCTTGGAGAGTAAATCGGTAGCTGGGGATATCGTGATTGGGTCCTGCCATGCTGGCGCGGGCAGACCAGCTGCACTGTGCGTCGCGGAAGTAGATTGAAGACGAAGAAGAGTTATCTGGATTTGTTGATTGGCACATTGCTGCAGTGATATCTCGTGTTGGGGTGTGCTCTGGGGGGTCGGATTTGGTGGATTGTTTGTGAATGTGGGAGTTGATGATGAAAGGCTCGTCGAGGGTGGCATAGACATCGCCGGTGCGTAGTTTTGGCCGTTGTACAAAGTCGCGAGTCAATTTGGACTTGAGAAAAGGAGGTTGCCAGACTCCGAGGACTGGTTGTGGGCGGTGATTTGGGGCCAGTTGTTGGATTTGGAGAAGTAGTTTGGGGGCCAGTCGTAATGAAGATTTGGGGGGAGGCCGGGCGGTTTGGAAGCTGGCTTGAATCTTGCCACCAAAGCCGGTATGAGGTGACGAGGGGCTATGTTATTGATTAGCTGTGTTTACTTATTTATATTTGCATTAAATGTGAAAGGATTCCATACCGTTCGTCACTGTTGGTGTCGCTTTCAGAGAAGACCGAGGCGGTACTCATGCTGGGCTGTTGTAGCTGGAAGACCATGGCGATGGCGATGGCGATGGCGATGGGGATCGTGGAGGATATTCATGGAGGCAAAATTCAAAATCGACAAAATCCCAGAGGATGAAAGAGAGTTATAAGGCTCTCTAGCTTCAGCTCTCTAGCACCACACCAGTGTGCTGATCCCGATTACTCCATACGGCCGTACTCGTATTGGGTTTTTCCCGCACGAACCAGGCAAAGTGGAGTTTCCCCTCTGACACCAACATGACCATCACCCTAGTCACTTTTCCTCCTGCCAGGTTTGAGTCCGGAGTTACAACCATCATTATAACTGGTTATTATTCGCCTGCCTGATCTTGTCCATCCACACCGATTGGTCTCAGGGTGATGAGGGGGATACGAGTAGGAGAGGAGACGAACACGGAGACGGACACGGAGAGCAGGGTTCCAAGTCCAGAGTCCACAGTCCACAGTCCACAGTCCACAGTCCAGATTGGGGATCCTTTGCGGCGGGCACCGTCTTTGATACACCCTGGTACCTTTGATACAGTGCCCAGCCCAGACGTCACCGACTCTTCACACGCCTCACACTATCACACGCTCGCACTCTCGCACCCCTCGCACCCCTCGCACCCGTCGCACCACCCTGTTACCAAAGTGAAAATGAACCAATGAACAAATGAGCAAGTGACAGACTGCGCCTTGTAGGGCGGAGAAGCAGTACGATTGGTCGAACCTGCTGACTCGTGCTGATCTACCGAGGCAAGCATGGCGCAGCTGCCAACCGCCCCCGATCAAAGCCTCAAAATCCAGTCATCCAGTCCATCGGGGCCAAGGGCCAAAGGGCCAAAGGATGGAGTGGAGGGCCCGCTGAACCAAAACATAACATGAACACTAACCATAATACTAATCAAAATTTACTCAATGCCAAGTCGGCCACGGTCGCTCGACTTTTCCCGGACTCCGCGTATTCGTATCCGCACGAAGGTCAAGGCCAACCTTAGGAAAGTCAGCTCCCATGGCGCGGTGTCGAGCTATCGACTCTCCGAAATCCGTCCCGTCTCCTCTATCCCGGTCACCCTTTTCAGCCTTACCATCCGGATGGCTCAGGGGGTTTCTTCCATTCCTTCGATCGGCGATAATCTCCCAACACAGCCCAGCCCCAGCAGCCGCAGCAGCCCCAGCAGCGCAGACCGACTCCATGAACCCTTGAGAAATCAGCGACCACGTTGACAAACTCAAATCGGACGCCCATTGCCCACCAGTGCCCAGTCTCGCACCCAGCACTCACTCATACTCGCACTCGCACACGCACTCAGCGCATCAAAAATTGTCGGTCCGAATGGCATACCACCCTGAAACGAGTAGGCCGTGAACGACTTGACTTGACTTGACTCGAATCGACTCAACTCAACTCGTAGGGTATTCCCAACCCGCACCCGCCCGGTCGCACTCTACATATTCAGACTTGAGGAACGCCCTGCACCACCACCGCCATCATCACCGCCATCTCGTGAATAAACTCTCAACCGTTTCCCGGGCGCATGGACGGTCAGCATACTGCATGATAAGAGTGTCGATACCAGCTGTATCATCGTTGAGCTGACTGGTATGACATGGCAGAGCTGACATCGAGGTGAGATATCAGCTGGAGTTTGGCGTGGAGGTCTGGCCTGGAACACAGCAGGTGGATGGCAGATTGGTAGGGAGGTCCAGCCTGGTTAGTGGATTGTGTTGGTGGTGGACTGTGATTAACGTAAATGCGATCGGAATCTGGTTTGTTAGGTTGGTGCGTAGCTGGTGGAGGTGTTGGAATGGTGAGTTGGCGGATGTAAGATTAGAATGATGATCTTGTCAAGTTGTATACTATGGTGAGTGCGTATGCCATTGAATTTGTAGTTGTCGGTTCCTGGGTTAGAAATCAACCAAGCGAGAATCCGGCGTGTGCGAGAGCGGGAGCGGTCCGCGCAGTGGAGTTCAATGGGATAGATGTAGATATCCAAGATCAGCTTCTCTTGAAGGTCAGTGACACTGGAGGTTGGTAAGTTGATGTCAGACCCAGTTCCAAGGTCCGACAATCCCTGGATCAAGTTCAACCAGGAGATCTCAGGAACCAGACCAGGCCAACTCATTGGAAAGGAGTATATTATATCAAGATGACGGAATTTATTTAGTATCGACGTTCAGATTTCATACAGATTCATGTAAATGCAACGCTCGATCGGATCGGCCAGGCCAGCCAAATCCGATCCGATCTGATCCGATGTGATTCCTCATTGCCACTGCCGTCCAGGCTGGTTGGATGGAATCGCCAATCGTTGCGCCCGGGAATAAACATCAGGAGAAGTGTTCGCTTGGAATTGCAAGAGAGAAAGAAGGAAAGTAAAGAAAGAGGTGTGGATAAACGGTGGAGAGGATCGATCAGAGTGGGGTGGTAGCGTGGGATGGTTGATGCTCTTGTGGATGCGTCGGTGGAGGTGGATAATAGCCCGAGGCTGAGGGGGTATCTATACATCACATTGCATTGCATTAGTAAATTAGGAATTGCTGGGTTATGTGGGATGAAAAGAACGAACAGGAAGATTCAAGATCTTTGGCCGCACTGATCGACTCTGCGCGCAAATGGCCGTAATTGCGCATCCGCACGTTCCGCATGTATTGGCCCTGCTCGTAGGAGGTGTTATAGCGGCCCTGGTCTTCGTTGGGATTGTAGTGTTTGAAGAGGGCGGCGCCGAGAGCTGTCACGGCGAGACAGGCGCATAGGACGATCACGATGATCGCGGCTTGAGTGAGGGCCATGGCGAGTGGAGGAGCAGTGGATAAGATGTAGATGTAGATGTAGCGGTGGAGGTGTGTGGTGGGGTGGATGGCAGTCAGTGCATGGCGAGGAGACAGGCACAGACACTGCTCAAAGCGAGTGTGAATGGGAGGAAAGTGAAGATGAAAGAAGAGAAAGAAAAAGAGAGGAAAAGGAAGAAAGAAATTGAGTTGGGAAGAGTAGAAAGAAAGAGTGAATCGAATCGAATCTGCGGGCCCCGCGGGTTACGTCGTCCCGATGGCGCACTTTCATGGGAATCCCGGCCGATCGTTGATGAGTCTTCCAAGCTTGCGTCGGATTAGGTTTGTATACATTGAGTGGCCGTGGCTATAGTACATATTGCGATGCATGTATGCAGTGCTGGTTTACTGTACTAGCATACATATTGCTAGTTAATTGAGGGTATACTATAGAGCATAGAAGATAGTTAGAATATACCCGGTCTACCCCGTCTACTCGTACAATAATTGAGACAAAGTATGAACAAAAAGTACGATCGACCAAAATAGCAGACCATCAGACCCACCAAACCCATCCAGTTCGTCCAGTTAGTGGGAAGCTTGGCCGGCAGTGCAGTCCCGATTGGTTGAGTATCACCGGTTATGCATTCACAATTGCGCTGCCTACTGTGGGGATGTTTCACAATCCCATTCTCCGTAGCATCCATAGAATAGACAAAACTGACGAAGATAAGGTCTACAAGTATATTAATATGGAATATCTAAATTGCTTTACCTTTATTCTTGCACTCCTTTTTTAGTATAAGTAGAATATCATGCAGCCCCACCGTTGGAACCAGAGAGTCGCGCACGCATTTTTAAGACCAACCATGTGATATTCTAAATCAGAAGAACCCCTGCAAAGGCCATAGCAAATTGATCAAATTTGGATTTTGGAATAACCATAGAAGTTACTGTGTACCACTCAAAGCAATAAGTTACCTAGCAAATGTGGGATCGAATTCCCAACCTCAAACCCGACTCGTTTTAATTACCCTTCGAAGATGCGGAGAAATAATAAATGCCCCAACGATATTTTTAAGAATATCTCCGTCTTCGTCGTTCATCACACGGAGGGTGACCTCGCTCCAGTCATCCGCTTTAGCCCTCAACATCTCCCAAACCTCCTTGGAATCGTGAAGATAGGTCTCGAAGTAATGCAAAACCAGGGCCGTGGCTGCATAATCTCTGCATTTAGCCTTCTTCAAGATATGCTTTCGACTGCCAGTCATACTGGCCAACTCTAGATTATCGTCTAGATACTCCTTGATTCGCAACTCGAGTTCAACTTTCACGTACTCTTCAGTCAAACCAATGATCTGCAGGAGACCATCGCTCCACTTCCAGTATCCCCCCAAATCTTGCATTGAGACAAGTTGGTGGAACTTATCCATCTTGGATGCTGGCTGTGGATTCTGCTGGTGGAAATCGTAGATAGGATGGGCTGCAGCGGTAATGTTTCTGCGTCCAGCCTGGCGTGTGCGTGGTGGATTTAGTCCGTCACGGCCATCCCGAGAACCACCCCGAGAACCACCACTCCGAGAGCCGTGAAACCCTTGGAGACCAACGTCTTGACGAGCTGCAGGAGGCATGTAAATACCCACATCACTTTGACGAATGGATGCCGAGCTATCGACCGGGGCCTCCATAAATCGAGAGCCATAGGAGTGCGAGGGTGGAGGGCAAGGGGGCGTGACAGCTGGAACCGTCTCATCGTCAAGAAACATGAAGAAATCTCCTTCGGATTTCACATCTTCGTCATGGATATCGTGAACAGCCAAGAAAGAGCAATACTTTCCAGCGACCTGGAATTGAACACCCAGCCTTTCACATTCGCGTTGAACAATATCGTCTACCATGCTCTCATATTTGACAGTAATTAATTCGTTGTCCGCATCCTTCGCGGAGTGAATCCATCCGCGGCCTTCTTCGAGCTCGCTCGTCGCTTTTTTAGCGGCTAGCTGGTGAATAGTTTGACCCTCGCCGACATCCTGGATAGGGATCTCAAGCTCGAGAGGACCGATGTTACTGTTGGCGCGAAGGACGATCTTTTGGGGGACGGAAACGAGTTCCTCAGAGAAGAGAAGGTAAACGGTTGATCGAATAAAGGGGAAAAGAGGCGGGAGCTCGGTTGGAACCTGCATAATTTTGGGAATCGAGAGTTCTGGAAGTGTATGTTGAACTTTGGGGATTGATTCGGGTTCCTCGTAGTTCTCGTCAAAGAGAGGAATTGGCTTGTCACCCTTCTCAGTCACGGAATCTTTCTCAGTCACGGAATCACCATCGATAGAGTTGGGTACTTCGACCTCCATGAACTCCTCACTGGTAGCATCCTGTGGATCAAAGTCCAAAGTAGTATTAGATAAACGTCCCATCAAAGCACCTTTCAGCATGCGAATGACCTTTTTGTCAAGCTCTTCCAGGTTAAGGACAGTTTGGGAGAAGCCACCACCAGCTCGCGAGATACCCTCAATAAGCGCGTGAGAAACGCTATCGCCGATGCCGAGAGTTAAAAATCTCGCAGATCGGGTCTTCTTTGTTTCATTGACAAATCTGATACATGCCTCTTGCTCCCAGATCTCACCATCGGTGAGAAGCAAAATATCGGGAAATTTGTCCTTGTAGCTCATCCGAACTGCATTGTGGAGAGCTATAAGAATATCCGTACCGCCGTGGTCCGCATGGATACACCTGGTGAGCTCGAGGGCTTGCTCGAGACTAACCCGGTTGCAGGGCTTGCTCTGTTGCCACAACGAACTGAATTGAGTTCCGAAGGAGAGAATGTTGAAGTGGGTCCCCGATGGAAGTGACTTGAGGAAAACCTCTAATGCAGATCGAAGGGTGGGAATCTTGCTTTCCATGCTCCCACTCCGGTCGATGACGAAGATGATTTCTGAGGGATCCGATGGGATTTGAAATTTGGGGACAAGAGATACCATTAGTGCTCGCTGGTTTGGCAGTGTGGGGTGTTTTTCCAGAAAGGCACATGGTAGATCTTGCTTCGTTGCATTGATATTCAAGACGAAGTCAGCTTCCATGGCGGAGTTTGTGCGAAGTTTAACTGATGCATAGCAGGCTTCGTATGTGGATGCGGGCATGACGGAGGTCCGTCCTAGATGCACATTGATTGGGTGGCCGGGTGACTGAATAGAGATTATATTCGAGTCCTTCTCCATTATAACGTCGACTAGGATGGAAGCTCCACCGCGATATTGTTGCAATGATATATATGCGTTCGATGGATACGCTGATTGGGAGCCGTAGCGCTGGGCAACGACCATGGGGACCGTGTATCGGGGTCCGTTAGTTTGAGCGTCCTGCTTCAACTCTCCAACGAGTGTGATTTCGATCAACACTTTCTCGCCAGCTGGGAGGTTTCCTACGCGGGTACTAAAGACATCGGCAGCGTCTTGGCTCTGGTGAAAGACTGCCGCTGTTATGCCTGTGGCTTTGGCCTTTTTCTATTCATCATCGGCTTGCTTGCGTGGCTTGACCACGCCCTTGACGGTCTTGTCGCCGATTTTGCAAATGAAGGCTGCAACGCTTGAGCCTTCGTACAGTGGGAAGGAGTAGAAAACTTCAGGATGGCCTTGGTAGATGAAGGGTTCTCATATGTCTGGGTGATTACGGTTCTAGAGGAGGCCGAGAGCACGGTTGCGTGCACGTCAAGTCCCACTTGGGGGGGGTAGGTTGTATAGTGGTCTTGGATGTAGGAACAGCCTGACATCTTGATGAATGAATATATTGATGATGAATGATAGGGTTGTTGAGAGATATATTTAAAAGAGGAGGGTGGATAAGAAGGAAGATGGGTTTTCAGCTCAGCTGGATTGAATATGAATCTTTGAAATAGTGTGTTGATAGTTGACATCTCAACAAAAAAAAAACGGCAACACCTTCTGCTTTTATGCCCGAAGACACGTGATAGCACTCGTCATCACGTCGACTCATTCAAATTTAATATTCAACCTGACACACTCTTTGAGAACATTAAAACCTTGAAGATATGACTGTCCTCGAGAGACAGCCATATACACAGATCCAGGCCATTCCATCTTGTGACTCACTGCGATTTTCTTGAATAGACTTCTAGGTGGAAATAACCGATAGCCACGGATTTTGCAGTCGAGAAACATGGTTGAAACCCGATTATGTGGACTCGCAAAAAATCGTGGGCCGCTCCCAAAGAGAAAAAGGAAATGCGGAATTCTATCGGTGTTCTATCGATATTCTACTGCAGTATGTTACTGGTGATATAATAGCCGTGAGTCGGTGGTTACTGAATAACTGCGACTGGGAGGGTCTTATGTTTTCAACTCTACATTTCTTCATGGCACCATGCAAGGAAGTTGACTTGGTGTCTTTCGACTCCGATCTGCTCCTCGAACTTGTGCAATGGCAGTACTTCCTCACAGTTCGCGAAATACATCAGAATTACATTTGCTTATTATCTTCCTAATAGTATCTATGTATCCATGCCCAGTATGTAATTGTGTGCCCAGGTGTAAGCCTGAAGGTTCCAACCTGGGACTTGGAAGGTTTTATAATACTACCATAGTATCAGCGCAAGGAAGGTACTAACTCTGCTCAGGCTCGTTGTGCATGATTTGGCCGTCAGCACATAAGTGCGGCATATCCAAGTTTTAGTATACGAAAGACTGGAATGGTGGAAGGCCTAGGTGGCGATTGGGGGCAAAAACAAAGATTCAATAACTACACATTCAAGTTATACACGCAGTAAACAGAGTATACGGACAAATCGTTTTACTCCGCTGGGGGAATGCTACTAGTACAGTTAGGGCGAGTTAAAACATGTGATCACCCCCCCGACATCAATCTGACGCGGCGATACCTTCCCTGCCGGCAACTTCTATAACCCATTGTCTATCTTTATATTCTATCCCTTCTATCCGTACTAACCCCCCAAACTCAGCCAAGCTTTCAACATATTCACAAGCCTCCAGCCACTCTCAACAGGTGACTTTCCGTTCTGAACCTTCTGCTCACATCTCTGGTGTTGGGTTGTCTCCTAATCCTCTATCCTTGAATCTTAATATATTATGTCTTTTCAGTATTCTGGGATTACCGAGCGGGTCTTTTCTCTCATGCCAGCCTCTCGCCGGCAGAAGCTTGGTGACTTGCAGGCTCGAGTTGTGAGCGTTGCCTCGCAAATTTCCAACGCTTCGCATCAAACTACTGTGTCTGACTTTCTAGAGGCAAAAATCACTGAGCTAGAGGCGGAGAAGGATTACATACGATGCATCAAAGATGGGCTTCTCGAAGCCCAAGAGCAGGGATCTCTCGCGAGCATTGAACTGGAGGAGCAGCTGGGCCCACTCCTTCATGAGTTCCGATCACAAGCCGACATCGTTCGCGCCATGAAACGCGACCAGCGAACCCTCGTGGAGGACCTTCAAGACAAAGTTGATTCCAAACGACTGCAAAGTACCGATCCAGAGGAGGACGACGGACTCCTCGAGCGGGCTTACCGAGATGCAATAATGGAAAGAGTCATGTCCGCAGTTGCGCGGCAGGCCAAATCCAAATTCGACCACGGAAAGTTCAAGAGGCGAGTCAACAGGTACTATGGCTTCAAACAGCCCGCGTTCCCGAAAAGCTTTTCATGGTGTCACGTTCTTGGTTTTCCCACCCCCGCCAGTATCGCGAAAGTTGCTCATATCGTTCCGAAGAGTCTTTCTTCGGAAGAAATCGCACACATCTTCGGTCAGGAAGATGATGTTATAACAGACGCAAGGGGTGGTAAGAGTTTCCTAATGACCGGATTGAATTTTTGACTAATAGATCGTGGTATTCTATAGCGCTTTTGTTGTACGCTCCGATTGAGCTGCTCCTCGACACCGGGGCGATTGCCATCGTACCAGTCCCGCAGGGAACATCACCGATCGCTCAATGGAAATGTGTCGTTCTGGACGAGTCACAAAATGATGAGATAGCTTGGTACTGCGGAGATGGGACTTCGATCCTAGTCAAGGTAATTCTCACCGGGATAGCCCTCGTACCGAAGACAGTGCTGAATACCTGAATAGGATCTCGATGAAAGGGAGCTTCGATTCCTCAACGATAATCGCCCACGCCGCCGCTACCTCTATTTCCGTTTTCTCATTTCTTACTTGAACGCGAAAAGACTTGGCAAGACCTCGGCAGTCCGCAACATCGAACAGCGCCGGTTCTGGCCTTCAGATGGTGCATATTTGCACCGATCCACGCTTGTCGCGCTTGCTCGCTGTATCTCTGGCAGCGAAATCCCTCCCTCTCTTCTTCACAACATGACCTTCGAGGGGTCGAGCAGCGCATTGCGCGATGAGGAGATTGGCATGATGGCGGGGGCTGCCATCAGAGAGGAGACAAATAGAAATCTGAGGGAAGCTGTGGTGTCGACTATGTGGGAGGATTGAGTTGCTTGTGGAAGGGGGAAGGGAGGGTATGATTAAGTTTCTAGTGTCACCATGGTCATGCAAGAATGTATGACCATGAAATGAAAAAGTTCTCACTGTATCGCAATGTTCATCCCCAGCAGTAAATTTGCCAACAAGGTGACGGTCAAAGCACCTAAGCAGAACAGAGCGACCTTGCCTTTTCTTTCGCCAGCCCTTCTATAGTAGTAATTAAAGAAAAGTAATACGCTGTCTCGACCACGGATGCCCTGTGAAACAGACGAGAGTCAATCACGCCGTGAGCCTTCCGCGAGCCCTCGGTGCTCGTGATCTGAGCAACAACATAATGGATTCCCTCTACGTAAATAATATCAGGACTAGACGGCTTTTTGTACACTGGGAGTGTGTCCGCTAGTGATCCGGAGATCTGCATTCTGGCGGCCTCGATGTTGACAAGCGACGAGGTGATATGGTCCAGGCGGAAGCCCCATTTTGGCTGAATCTAGCAACCCAGATCGGCTCTCGAACGATGGGCATTGAGTTGAGGAGGGCGAGAAAGTTGATTGGGCGCGTACCATCGCGGGGGTTGGGCCAGTTGAGGGCAGTAATGACAGCGATATGACGAGCCAATCCTCCCCAGCAGGAAGAAGCACCTGCGGCGATCCGGGAAATGCGCGTGCGGGAGTTGCCCACGAAGCCGAAATTTTCCACGGTGTCTGGTTGTATTTGGGATCAGCACAATGGCAAAGTGGTTCAAATTTATTGGACATCTTACCGAGCCATAATTGTTAGGCTTTGAGAAAAACGCTGTGAGGATGCTCGAATGCTCACGAATTAAAGCAATGAAACACTGGGCAACATTACCCTCTGTGCAGTTTATGCACGGCAGACTGGCGACTCGGCCCGAGATTTGCATCCGGCATGCTTCGATGTTGGCTATGGATAAACCAATCATGACCCGAATTGGAGTGTTGTCCTGGTTTCCTCGACGGCGCCACATGGGCTCCTGAAGAATCGGCATTTTGCTCATATAAATGAGAAAATCGCTCTGAAGCGCCTGACCTATCAAGGCTTTGTCCCATTCCAAATTTGTAATCACTTCGGCCCATCCTCCCACTCGGGGCGGAATGTCGATGAGGGGTCCAGGGCCATCAGGAGCGAGCAACTGTTCGGGTTCGTCAGGGAGTCTGATTGTATTCGAGTTTAGCACAGTGAAAAAAAAATTATGGTCTGGATTTGTTGGAGATCTTACTCTGCCATTTTTGTGAGCCTCACTGTTTGCTGGGGCGAGTAATGCGGGTTGGGGGAGCATGGTTGTCCTGATTACTTTGTAGGTGTGTCTCACGCGTGAAGAGGATGAGAGCAAGTTTCAGCCAGAAAGCGGGCACGGGAACATACGGTAGACTCTTTGGTTGAGGATGAGGAGCTGTCTGAGGTGGACGGCTAATGGTCTTTGAGTGCGTTCGCGCCGCAGTATGGGAGGTCGGAGGGAGAGAGATCAGTTGGTTGGTTGAAAATGGGACGCCACCCGCCCTGGGCGGCTAATGGCTTTTTAGTGCGTTCGTGACGCAGGAAGGTAGATGGGAGAGAGAAATTGGATGAAAGCAGAGATGTAATGAGATGGGAGGGAAGAGGAAGAGTGAGAGGGGATGTGTGGTCAGGTGGTAAGACTGTGGTTGCCTTCCTCTCCACTCCCACTCAGTCCCCTATGGGCAGCTCCGCTACCGACCCCTAACGAGTGTATCACCCATCGATCTCATACTTGAAGAGTAATATCTCACAGAAATTGAATTCTTTGGTTGCTGATTACGCTGACTGATGTAAATACACAGGGTGGACGATCGAAGCTGCAGCCCCATATGCCTCATGGCATCCCGAAAACTACTGCTGATGTCCCACCACAAAAAGGGAGGGTAGGCTCAGAATACTTTTGTGCTCGACCGAAGCCGTCGACCTCGAACAAGTCGGAGTTACGCTTGGCATGTCGTTATTACTAGTAGTTGTGGATGCCTGCGGGCTTGGTTACTCGAAGCAGGCAAAGCACAGAACCCCTCAATAGCAGCCATCACTTCCAGTGTATTCTCCTACCTGGCGTGGTGTGTCCGATCAGAATCACCACTGTTTGTTCAAGGAGTAGCCGGCCGGTCTGCGTTGTACTGCTCAGCTGCCGCTCTCACATTGGGCACCGTACCCTACACCATTATAGTGATGCGCAACACGAATGCAAAGCTCATCGAAAAGGCGAAGATTGACCCTAAATTGGCCGAGAAAGATGGCGGGGAGATCGAAACGCTTGTTCGCAGTTGGACCTCACTCAATAGCTTCCGGAGCCTGCTATCTTTGGCCCCGGGGGGGAGTTGCGGGTATCTTGGCCGCGTTGTCCTAATAGTAATAATGCTCAGAAAATCAAGCCATGTTGGTATATTTGTAGATGGCATCACGTGGATGCTGTTTCACGCTTGAAATGTTTCAATCTTCGAGATCTCTTATAATCCATTCCAATCCCATCACTCGGACATTAACTTCATTGCCCCACTGAGACTAGTCTATTCCGACTCTGTAGTCTAATTAGGATGTGCACGCACATAAGACCGGCCTTTCTGGCTTGGTTTCTCAAATGCACCTTAATTTTACATCTTTGGTAAAAGAAGCGCTGGAGATCAAGTGAGACGCTAACGTCCCCGGGCGCTAGCAAGCAATCTACACAAGAGGCGGCTGAATGCCGGCCCGATGTCAGTTGAGGTAGGCGCTGATTATGACCCTATCAACTAGCCAGAGGCCCGTGTTTCCTGATACTCCTTGACTCACCGGAGTCTATCAGCTCTTTTCTTCTTAGAGAAAGCGGTGGGCGACGAATTAGGCCGCCGCAGTGCATTTGTGTCTATCTTTATTCTTCACATCAAAGGATTCATTTCTGTGGCCCATTGATCATTGGGCGATTTGTAGGGGGACGCAGAATCAACGGCAACATAGATATATCGAGTGCGAAATGTACGAAGAGTGTACTGCATTGCATTGATTCTTAGAAGGCTCGCGATTTGCTTGCTGACATAGTTGGGGGTCTACGTTTCTATTTAATGAGCGATATCCGAAATAATAGAAGGATCTGAATCGAGAATGAATGAATAGTCCTGATGATAAACCCAATTACAGGTGGAAAAGGAGCGACAGACAGCAATAAAAACAAAAATCGCCTCTGCTACTCTAGACATCCGTCCATTGGGTTGTAGAGGTGGATACCTTGTCCTAGTTAACTAGACTTGGTGAAATCTTCACACAGCAACTGGCCGCTCATTCCAATTACCACCGGTTTGTTGCGGATAACCTCCTGCTGGCGGACGCTCATTCCAGTTACCACCGGGTTTTTGCTGATAACCTCCTGCTGGCGGACGCTCGTTCCAGTTACCACCAGTTTGTTGCTGATAACCTCCTGCTGGTGGACGCTCATTCCAGTTACCACCGGTTTGTTGCTGATAACCTCCTGCTGGCGGACGCTCATTCCAGTTACCACCAGTTTGTTGCTGATAACCTCCTGCTGGCGGACGTTCGTTCCAGTTACCACCGTAGTTGGGCACAATGTTCGGCTGCCTAGCCCACTGGTCCTGGTTACCATTATTGCTGATTTGATCCTGGGGGTGCTCCGAGCCTGTGTTGGAGCCAATAACTGGCTGCTGGCTCACTCCCGGATTGTTGCTTTGACCTTGGAGATTACCCTGATCTGGAGTTCCCTGAATAACTTGGCCCTGCTGTCTCTGAGGTGGATTTCCATCGCATACCACTCCGAGTGGAGTACGGCGGCATCCCTTCCCGTATGATTCAGTAGGACAGTACTCGAACTCCATACACTCACCGGTAGCTATGGCACAGTGCTCCCCGTTGAAGCGCTGATTTGAGGGACATATGGGCTTCTTAGTCGAGACACAGTCCCCACTGGTCTTATCGAAAACAGCTTCGGGTGGACACTTGGGAGTTTGGACGGCACTGCACTTTTTCCCATCGAACTTAAAATTCTCAGGACATTGTGGCTCGTGAACAGAAGAGCAGCGCTCTCCATCCAGATAGGAACCCTCAGGGCAGATTGGCTTGCCATTGATACATGCTTTTCCATTGAAGATCAATTCACCACAGTCGGGAGTTGCAAGGGATACACATTGCCCGTTCTCAAGGGTGAATCCAGCTTCACAGTGCTTTTCAGTAATACGGGTACACTTCCCACCTTTCCAGACAAAATTCTGCGGGCACTGTGGGGAATTCGCAGTCTCGCAGCGTCTATTGGCATATTTCTGGCCGGCTGGGCAGATCGGCAGACCATAAACGCAGTAGCCATTCTGGAAGTGCGTGTTCACGGGGCATTGAGGAGGCATGAGGGTAAGGCACGATCCATCATCACTGAGGATAGTATCCCGGCGGCACTGAGGAGTAGATTTCGAGACACATCGCGCACCATCAAAGGCTGAACCGTCCGGGCAAGTTGGAGGCGTTCCAGTAATGCAGTCATCACCCTTGTGAATGCCGTCCTCACAGGATGCGACGCCATTGACGACACAACGACTACCGTCCCACTTTGCAGACTTATCACAAAATGGTGCGACAATGCTAATGCATTTGTCTCCTTCGAGTTTTGTCTGCTCAGGGCAAGACGGGGGTCCTCGGACTATACAATCGGAGCCAATCAATACCAGGCCCTGAGGGCACTGGGGCTTCGCGATAATAATGCAGTGACCACCGCTAAAGCGAGATTTTTGAGGGCACGTGGGTGGCGCTTGCCAAACGCAACGAGAGTTGTCTAGTTTATATCCCTGCGGGCACTCTGGTGGAGGATTGGAGTGCTTCTCGCAGCGAGCGTGGATCGCTACACTCCCGTCGGCGCATTTACCTCCGACCGGCTTCGTAAAACACACATTCCCATCCCAGGCCATGCCAAGCGGGCAGCAGCGGGCGGTGCCATGGGCCCGGTCGATGGAATGAGTTGTGCCAGATGGGCAGATGAGCGAGCCGATGTAAACGCAGTTTTTGTCTTCCAGTTCCGTTCCGGCAGGGCACCCTGGCGGTTCAGTGATGGTGCAGGATTGGGTCTTGGAATTGAAGGAAGCGCCATCTCCACAGGCAGGCTTGGAAATAGCGACACACTGATCTTTCTGAGAGACAGTATTCTGGGGACAGCGTGGCAAGGACACAGATATGCAGCGCGAGGAAGCGGCATCGAAAGAAGTTCCCTTTGGGCAAGTCGGGGGTTGGATATCGATACAAACACCGCCGTCGAGTTTGGCCCCATCCTGGCATTTTGGACTTTTGATGGAGGCACAGCTGGTACCAGTGAAGCGCTCGCCGTCGGGACACACAGGTGGCTGCAATGAGACACAAACGTTTCCTTGAAGTAGATTTCCAGGGCCACATACTGCTTGACCTTCAATCGCACAGTGGTTGCCCTTCAAGATCGTATCGCTACTACAAGTAGGAGGCTTCACAGTGATGCAGAGACCATCTCTGAACTCGTATCCATCATCGCAGAATGGCTTTGTCTTGAAGACACATGTCTCGCCATCGGGAGAACTGCCACTGGGGCAGATCGAGGTCCCAAGAACACAGACCTGTCCATCAAACTCCATTCCCTGTGGACAACATTTTACGTGGCCAGAGGTTGGGTCGGTAGTAGGGATAATATCGTCAAGCGTGTACTTTCGATGCGTGCTTTGGACCGGGCCGTTCTGGGCCGTAGCACAAGATGCCGCAAGAGAAAGTGCAAGCGCCACCGTAATTCTTGTCATGGTGGCCAGTAAATCTAGAAGAGAGACACTAGTTAATGAAACGATGCTAGAACATGAGAGAGTACTTATAGATGTTTGCCTACGGGCGCTTTGCCTTGCATCCCTGGAATGAAGAGCCAGCTGGCCGCCAGCTCGTCCTCGAGCTGAGGGAGCTTCCTCTCTCATGCCGTATGGCAGTCGAATCATAAAACTCTCATCCAATGCGATCCCCACAGTAAGGAGTACTCTGTATCACAATCAAATATTTTAGTTGGCAGCCCATTCGTGGTCGTGGCCGCGGTCGATGCATACAGACGCAACTCGTGAACGAACATTAGTTCAGCCATCTCATAGTGTGCGCGGGCATACCCGTGCCGTAACCTAAAACCCCTTGCGTAGTTCTGCAAACCTTGCCTTTGCTTGGTCTCTGCTATCGTTCTGATAGGTCAATATTTTCTGGGGTGAATCTAAACGAGTGCTGTGTAACACTGTAGAAGACTGGGGATATTAGACTTTGCTTTTTTCTGGCTACAAATGTGGAGTGCAGACTAGTCATTTAGAAAAATGCCTCAATCACTTAGGATTTCTCCTATTGCAGAAAATATCGACTCCAATACGACATCCTTACTCCGTATACAATCTCATACTCCACGATGGGCTTCGCCGGACTAGGAACAAGTTATAAATTTCAATCTTATGTCCAGTCGACCAAATCATTTGAAACACTTCAACTGAAATGCAAGGTAGATCTTTTCCAGAGACATCGGGGCATGTGATGGTTTACGTAGGTCCATCTAAGTACAGCATTTCATGCGAAATAACAAGTCTCCTTTTGTCCTCATTCTCACGATCTGCGCTCTTAATGTTCCTCATATTCTATACCCTTGGGGCTCTCCAATGTGTCTTGTATCTCGTCCATAAATTGTCAATCTTCCTACTTCAAGGTTATCCTATTACGATTGTTATAGCAGTTATTCAATTCGCCTCCTAAAGGGGGAGCTAATTTACACCTGCGCGGATAATACTAAGTAGGTCCCGCTGGTATCCTTGAGAGGGATGAGAAAAAGCAAGAGAGGTGGCTTGCTGAGACCTACAGGCCTCGAAACTGCAGGTCTTTTGCCTCAAACTAAGATATCCTTGCCTGGAGGCAAACTCCAATGATCTTGTGATACAGAAGCAATATCCAACTCCAAAGGCAGTCCATGCAAAATAATCTACCAAAGAAGCTACAGGATCTTCAGTCACACCGCATGAGGCTTCTCAATAGCTTCAATACCTTGCGGTTTTGTGGCGAGCTGAGCTACGTAGGTACAGCTATTACCTCATGTTATGCAATGCAAGTATTATGGTTCGACCTGGTTCGCATTGCTCTCGCCGAAGATGATGGTAATCAGTCGGAGGCAACACGAGCAAGCAAAACGTTATAAATATCTTGCTCACAACCCCCCAAAGCTTCCATTCACACACATCCAATTCCCAATCATCACAATCGCACACCACTTCACCCGCAAGCTCAAGCTTAATCCACCAATTCCACTGTAAGCCCCCGGGCACAGGCTCAACATCCTATTGTGTTTCATCTATTAATTACCCGACAGCCGTCACAATGAAGTTCTCCCTCGCCGCGATTTTCACCTTGGCCGCTGCTGCTTCTGCCCAGTACCAGCAGCAACCCCAACAGTACCAGCAGCAGCCCCAGCAGCAGCCTCAACAGTATCAGCAGCAGCCCCAACAATTCCAATCTCAGCCATGGCAATACTCTCAGCAGCAGAACAAGTACTCACCTGCTGAAGCTGAGGCATGGCACGGGTGCATTGATCGCTTGCTTGACAGCTTCAACACAGGCCACACAGGCAGCTCGGTTTCTTGTGCCACTTTTAAGTGTCTCGATGACAACGCCGCCAAGTACGGACGAGGTGGCACTCTCGCCGGTCTTGGACAAGTTGTTTCTCTGGCCTGCAACTTTGGTGGCATTATTCCTGTGAGCAATCTCTTTCCCATCGCCGCTATGTAGGTGTAACATTTCATTGGGCTTGAGAGGACTAACCTGCATTAGAACTGGCTCTAAATTTTTGGGGAAACTTCATTGTTGAATATATTGAATTGGTCAACATAAAATTTGTTGTTGAGCTGACATATTGGCGATATCGGAGGCCTTGACTCAGGTTTTTCGCAGCTTCAGTTAGGCTGTTTTTCCCTGTGTCTTTTATGTGAATGCAAAGGCTATTGCGAGAACTTTCTTATACCAGAAATAACATGACATCTTACAAATTATTGTTTAAACGAAAGGCAACCTCATTAGTGAACTCTCGTGACACTGGCACTGCTAGAATTCGTCTTAGCTGCTTGTTGTAAGGATTCCCAGGCACACGAGGTAATTTATACGGGAAGTGGTAGCACTCACGGAGGTCATAAGCATGGAAAATTCGTAGGAATACTAGAAACAGGGATAGTTCTTAAGGAATATTCCTATCAGCATGGTGTCAAGTGCTAGAATTAATGTATATACCTACCATGAACTTACTTCTCTATCGAGCATAGACAATCTAGAGGTGGTATTATAAGCATCAGTACAATCACAAGTATAAGGAATCAGGCTCAGTTCGGGTTGATACCAGAACGCTACCCGTAAGGGTTGGCCGCTGGATTGTAAACGCGCCGAACGCTTGACAAGGAAATGGAAGATGAAGAAAGAAGAAGAAGGAAGGAAGGAAACATGTAGGTAAAAATTGAGGGAAAGAAGGTACAAGAAAATTGCATCAAAAGCAAAGTGCGACTGTATTGTTGTGATCACGTGTCCCATGTCTTTGTTTACGAATCCTGGATGACTTGTATCTGGAGAGTATTTCATATCATTTGGCTGGACTCAAAATCGCTTATAAGTGCTTGTTCGCTTCCGAATAAGGTCAGAATTGGCTCAAGAGCTTCTGATGTGATGCCAAAGGGGATGCATGGCGCGACATGTTATCCCTCGGTCCGGCTCTCCATGCCTACTGGGATCAACCCGTCTGCTCCGTTCACCCTGTTTCTATCACCGATAACAAGACATCAACGGGTCACACCTTCAACTGGTGACCACTCCCGACCACATATATTCACTCCGACAGCTAGATGCGGAGTGTTGAACACCCGTACCCAGACCACCCAACAGGTTTCCGCGATGGGCCCGGGCAGAACAGTTTTCTATTCAACATGGAAACAAAGTCGATCATCTTGTCGGGTGAAACGCTTACGATCACGGAGGATGGCCCGGAGAAAAGGCCCCGCCCCTCTCTTGAGCTTCCTGAGATGCAAAAGCATCTAATTCGCATTGCGGTTATGCGAGGTGCATTCATGCGGACTGATAAGTATAGGTTCCCGACGATCAGCATATTTATTCTAGCGGATAGCCATGTGTGAACCTTATAAGACCCCTATTGATGAATATTTTCAAGAACAGCCCTAGTAATATTGAAATGAGTTCTCAATGTATTATTTCGCTATAATATCATGTCGCTAATGCGGTGGAAAATATCAACGATCTGCCTGCTTGCTACGTGAACTGTGAATATCATTAAAGAAGCCTGAATATCATGACTTTGTTTTGGGATGGCGAATCATGCAATAGAGCTGCAAAGAATTTAGTTAGCAAAGAAGGGAAAAAATCACGTTAATTAATCACACACCTTGCAAATATCTTCGTCATCGGCGCACTCAATTTCCTTGACGAGCTCAAATCCCATCTTCTCATATATTGTCACATTTGGATATCCCTTCGAACTTTCCAAGTAGCAAGGAACCCCCTCCTGATCCGCCTTCTCCATAACGCTTTTCATGAGTCGTTTGCCCACGCCCATCCCGCGGGCCTCGGAGCTGACGCCGACCATATTACAGAAGTAATACCCGCGTGGATCCGTCCAAAGAGCCTCATGAGCATCATTTTGTACTTGTTTCCAGATCCAGTAGCGGGAAATGTTTAGCCCGCCACGACCTCCGAAACGGACATTATTCAAGAACTGGCGGAAGGATAGAAGACATTCTTGGGCCCAGACAGACCAGGTTTGTGGTGCTGATGCGGACTGAGGTGAGTACCACCAGCCGACGCCGACGACGGTTCCCGGTGCAAGTTGGACCTCCCGATTGGTCTTTTGGTCGTTCACGGCGTGAGTCACTTTGGCTACCGAGATGGGACAGTTGCAGTTGATGCCATACTCAAAGTGCGCTGTTAAGGATGCTGCATTTCGCTGTATATTGAACTATGCAAGCGATGTGTTAGTATAAGTTCAAGGGCGATCATCCATGATGCTTATAGGAACAAGGGCCACACCTGCAAAGGATCGTTAAATGCCCATCGGAAATAAGGGTCATCCGCGAACGCTTTCTGCACACAGTCTACAGCACCCGCGATGTCTGATCTGGCCAGTGGAACGATCTCGATTGCCATGATCGATTCGCTTGTATTGGGTCTTTCTCTCGCCACTACAGTGTTCGAAATAGACCGGCGGAGACTCAGAGATCGGGTTTAGAAAACCGAATACTGTTTCTACTGACTCGTCGTATAGGTTGGGACAGTGATATGGTATAATAGTGTGAATGGAGTCGGAGTGGATAAAGAGAGAAATCCGCCATCTAAGGAGACTTGGTGTGGCTTATGCCCACTGATCGATAGGAACCAAAGAGAGAGGGAGGGGAGCTAGGGAGGATAGTAAGAATGTATGGTCTATAGGTTCGTCGCAAAGGGTTGAGACTCTGGAAAGTAGGAATGAGGTGAAGTGAAGTTATTTCTACGGCTGTCTAAGGGGAGAAGGCTCGACCTCATATAGGGAGCCCACTCATACTCCACTGCTGTTTATCTGAGCTCTTATCATTTTGGCGTGTTGACCATGCGCCCCTAGCCTGAATAGGCAGCTCCACCCGGGTGATATCTGGCCAACGGTAGGTTTACACAGCATTAAGCAGTGTAAATCTACAGATTTCAATGTCCGAGGATAGCCGAATATCCTGGATCCTGTGACGCAGAGACTGCGCCGATAGCGCAAGATGTCTGTACAATGCAGTGAGAGCATATCGGCGGCTTTCATGAGCCCCCGCTCTGTATCACTGAAACGCGGGGGCTCGGTGGTTGTGGTTCACGAGGGGCTAAACGACGTGGGGAGGCTATTCTAGATTAAGCAGGTTGTCGCGGGAAGCCAATAGTATTGGCTCCTGCGTTGATTAAAGCGGGTCACAAGATGCAGTCTTATCGGCAGTGGGAGATCTCCATGAAGATTTAGAGCATTATTTTTTGGAATTGAAGATCGAGTAGGGAGTGAATTATGGAGATCGATAAGATTAGTTCATGGTTCCTGTCCACATAGCGTGTAGCTTATTTTAATCCTAGTTGTTATTGACAGGGGCTTGCTTAGTGGAGCTTCGACGAGGTCCTAGCGGAGTATTGTCCGCAGGTTCGGCTACAGGAGTGAGCTTACCGATCGGCTTTAAATAAATGACTTTGCATGCAAGGCAGAAAAGTAAATCCATTAAAATTTCCATTTCATTTTACGTGGTACATCTAGCGAGGATGGCCGTTTTATACTAACCAGGGACTGGATCTATGTCTTTTGAACCTAAAAACACGATTAATCTCGCCCGTAATCCTGGAAGAGATGGGCGCAGAGGACCAGTAGAGCCGAGGCTAGAGCCTGGAGTTGTAACTGGGAGTGGGAAGTGTGAAATTGAAAGAGACTCTGGTAATATTTGGCAAGGAGCTTTGCCGTATCTTTGTCTATTGCACAACATTTTTCACCAACGAGTATTCGAAACAGCGAATATTCAAGCCCATTTTCCGAGCACAGACATCAACACAAGACCAGATACCAACGACACACCACCAGTCAACGCTTTGCCCAATTTCGCATTCAGCATCTCACCTCCCTCGATAATCCACTCCCGAGCCAGCATATCTACCACGCCAACCCAAACCAGAATTCCAGCAGAGAGGGCATCCAACGTCCCCAACACAATGAGATTGCTTTTCTCATTCCCATTCCAAGAATGCAAAACGCCAAGTCCAATCGCCATTCCGATAGGTGTAATCAGAGAAAACGCAGCTGCCATTAACGCCTTCGATGGGAAGATCGCTCCCGGCAGCGTAGCAATCCGAGCACCCAGGGCGAGACCTTCGAAGAATTGGTGGAACACAATCACCACCAGAAGAGTTTTATAAAATGAATCACCGGCAACGACCAAGGTCAGACCAATCAGGATACTGTGGAAGAGAATACCGGCTTCCATAACGAGGACAGAGAACTTTGTCGCAGGCTTAGTGGGATCCTCGCCGTGCGAGTGACCGAGATGCGCGATTGTGGGATGTTGAGGGGATTGCGATCCGTCTTTGCGGGACTCGGATTCCTCTTGGCACCCGGGGCCATCTGTACAAGGTGCAGAGCCTTTTCTGGCACGGGCTGCCATGACACGATGGCCGAAATACTCAAGTAAAAAGGCGAGAAATATTCCAACCATGACAATGGCAGAGGTTGTTCCCTCGTAGTCCAGCTCGCCGAGGCAGTCATTGGTGAACATGAGAGTGGCATGAGTGTAAAGCTGGTAATTGTAAGCTTGGGCAAACAACTTGAGTCAACAGATTGACAGTCGAGAACTTACATGAATGAATGCCGTTGAAATTATGATGCCGGTTCCGAATTGCTTGATGACGGTCATGACAACCGAGTTCACGGAAGCGAAGGGCAGCTTGACAAGGAGTATCGGGGCAAATACACCGATCGCACTTGTAACCAGGATCACGAACAATGTACCAATCCGCAGTGGGATGTCATAATCTCTCGTTTGTACTCCACAGGATGGTGACCCTTCCGATTCGCCTCCGCCAACGCAGTGTCTAGATTGAGAAAGGAGTTAGCGCAATTCGGACCCAATCGAGGATGATAGACTCACTCCACGCCGGCATGAAAATGGCAATTGGTCGAGGACTCTGTATCTGTCGTCTCTTCTTCACTCTCGTGAGCGTGGTCGTGTGGTTCTTCTTCGCCGACGAGAACGTCTTCGCCACTCGAATCTAGACAGTATCTGAGGGGTAAAATGTCAGCTAATATTCCCCAAGCACAGTAGTGGAGGTCATCATACGTTTGACTGCCATGTGAATGGCAGCCTGTATAAGATGCAGGAATCCCAGCTGTTGGTGTAGCGGTTACGGAAACCAGCACCTCGTCTCCCGCCGAGTCAATACAATAGCTGCTCACGAAGTTAGTGGATATAGTCCACGAGAGGAAGCAGGATAAAGAGTACTAACACTTCGTCTCCATGGGCATGGCAGCCCGTTATCATCGAAGAATCGCCAGTTGTCGTCGCTGTTGCGGCATATGCGCGGGCAACCGCCAAGGATATGGCGATCGACTTGAAAACCTGCATCGCAACGGATCTTCAAGCAGCTGAAAATGAAACGAAAAGAAGAAAATAAATCCCGGGACGCTTCTCAAGAAGGGTTACTCTGTATCAGGCTCAAAGAGGGATCTAGGACGCTGAAAATGTGCGATTTGTCGACTTCCTATAAAGATTCCAACCTGCTACCGGGGTCGCTTAGAAGCTGACCATCGCCAAGCAAGACAGACCTTTTCCTGACCACAGCCAAGAGTACCGAATGAGCCATTTATCTCGGAGAGAACCGCCTTCAGAGTGTTTTGTCTTCTTCCAAGGTCCTCGCCAAGCATCTCTTGGCGGCCTCCGCTCCTCTTGGTACTTGGCATCGGCGAGAAGTTGCGTGCCTGGCAGTGCGAAAATGCGTCGTGCGGACAAGCTTCCCCCAAGGTACTTCCTTGTCATCGTTGATGTCTTACCACAGGGGACTTCGGTTGTTTGGGATTCGCTTTGATGATGGGTGGTTGCCATGCGTGCGATGTGGTAAGGCGAAATCAACAAGCACTGGGGTTTCATTCGGAGGACCTTCGCAGCAGGTCGCCGGGATGATAGGAGATATTCGCTTCGGTTGGGAGTTCTCCAGAACGATATTCGCTGAGGCAATGCGCAAAGGCCACAACCCGGAGATTGTGTGCTATCGGCTTCGTTGAAGCTGCAAAAGCACCGGGAGACCATCAAAGAGTGGCAGATGGAATGCCAGGACTGCACAGAGGTGTGGGATTCCTCGTCGCCCGTCTCGTGTATGAATTAAGTGTCGGATGAACCTGCGCTCGGTATACCTGTGCGCCTGGAGAGAATTGCGATGGGAAGTTGTTGCGCATCACGGGACCCCCAATCTGCCTGGGTTTCGTTGTCACCGATGGCATGCAGCTGCCAAGGAGAGTGCATCTGTGAAAGGCAGGGAAATACAAAGCACTTACGCAGAGATGGACACAAATTGGTGCTATGTAACGAACTGAGACGATGATGGAGGTTGCGATGATGTTGAGTGTAAGAGCTCCACCTCAGGTAATATTGACATTTTTGAGGTCAGTGGGTGGTGACCTCCGTATCTGAGCATCGTGGTTGCTACCTTAGGATTCATCTTTACTAATGGGGAGTATGCAAAGAAAAACATCACTTCCACAGTACGGATGTTAATACTAGGGCAAGAGCGAGGTCAAAAGGGTAAACCAGTCTCTCCTTGCTAACACCTCGCCAGTGGTGCAGTTGGGTAGCTTCCACACTGCAGGCCTAATCTGGAGGACGCTCCGGAGAAGGTACTGGTTAATTCATAGCTATGTCTGGGCTATGCAAATGAGGTCACAGATGGGTGGGTTGGACCAGTGACTAACCTACCGTCACTGACGGAGTTGGAGGTGGGGAAGAGCTTCGCTCTCATTTTTTATTTTTTTTTGCTGCAATGATACAATTAATCAATATTTTCTTCATTATCTTTTCAATCTGTACTATCTTCTCAATAGTTGGTGGATAATTCTTATATTATATTGTGATGCTTAGGGTAGGTTGTTGTTGAAGTCTCCCAAGTTGAGACATCACGAACATCGCCCGGTCATAGCCCCACCTTTTCCCTGTTACGTGGAGGTCGATGGTTCGAAGCCGCCCACCCGCCAATAAAAAGTTAATTTTTCCTTTCAAAAAAATGATTAAATTATAGTTAACTGAAAGTCCATTCATGTTCTACAAAGATAATCATGTTCAGAGACCAGAAAATACAGCAAATCTGGGCTCACTTCTACTCATCTGGATACTCCCGTGCACGACTCATGACTGCGTAGTCCTGACCATCAACATTCTTTTCACTGCATCCGCACCCCGGGGCCTCGATCTGGAAATTTTGGGCTGCTTTGAAGAGGTGTGCCGCGCATATGGGCGTTCATTGGGTCAATTGAAGCACCGTAACTCAGCAGACATGAAACGCTCGCTAGTATCCAACATTCATGAGTAGTCTACCCAATCATTAAAAAGCAAGTCAAGCGGCATATTTCCCATAAAATCAAGAGACACCTCATTCATGAACATGCGGAGGTCATCACCAGTGTCATCATTCATGTTGACCTGCCCATTTTCGCCAAAAATAAGATTATTTTCACTTAATGGGTCTGTTAGCTCCGGCATTTGCTGCGCGATATCGTTGAAGAGCGGCATCTGCACCTCCGAGCTTGTGTTATTTGGCAGGAGAGTGTCTTTAGAGTCGAGTGCCAAATTTAACATCGGGAGTGATTCGAATCTGGTGCAAATTCGATCGAGCATTTCGAGGCAGCGTCTGGCCGAGACGCTCCTCTTTGCTAGTTGTCGAAAGCAGTCTCGAGCCTCAAAGACCGAATGATGCCACAACGGTAGTTCTTGGCTAGATTGATATTGCGTGCCTTTGCCGAGAAACAATACCAAAATCACCAGCGTCGCCTGAAGCAGGCAGTACGTCGCGTACCATACCATGTGGTAGGATGCGTTTTCGTAGGTCCTCCAAAATGTCGCGATATCGTGCACACTCTCCATAGCCACGTCCAAGCATTTATCTTCGGCACTAAATCTCGTCGGAAGGTAGCTGTGATACTTTTGACTGCCGCGCCAAAGTAGGATTCGAAGATTCTGCTCCTTCCATCGAAGAACTGAACGTGGTGCGAGGAACCAGGGCGGAGCTCCTGCCAAAGTGAAGTAGCTCGGCAGTGTCTTTCGCCAATTTGTCAAATCTCGTTCCAGTAATTCAGCGAGTCGGTACTCTATCCTAGAGCCAGCGGTTTTTGCCAACAAGTACTCGTGGTATATAGTGTCTGCAATCCGGGCAAGCTTGGCATGGGAAATTATCACGGAATAAATCGTCGGGTAGTCCACTTCTTCGGGTACGGGGGATTCAAGCGACAGACCCTAAATTAATTAGCAGGGGAATATTGTCTTTGGTAGATGATTCATACCGCGTCATCAATATTACGAGGGAGACTGATATCGATAAATCCATCTGTCATAGTTGGCGGTCGGCCAGTTGTGATATTGAATCCACTTTCGAAGCAGTACATAGTCCAGAAAAGCTGTCGCCTTCGCTCATGGCCAATGGTATTTTGAGCACCGGTCACCTCGCGATGTAATCCAATTCCGAGAGCAAGTCGGTAAGCAAGGCCAATATAGTTGTACCCGGTGTTCGTTCGGTCTTTCTTCTGTAGATAGTTCCCGAGAAGCAGAAAGGCTTGAACAGTCTCGACACTACCTGATTCCAGCATCTGAAGTGATAGCCCTGCCCGGGCTGCATTGTAGAATTCCGACGTTTCTGGATATTCGGACTCTGTGTTCGAGGAACAGAATTGGCCAATGGCAAGAACCAGGTAGTAGGTGACCCTCCATGGAGGGGAAAATTTGCTTTGTGAAGTGACCCTCTCCCTGAACGTCTTCTCGTGTAAGACAGGGTAGTGAATATGATAAAGCTCAAAATAAGCATCTATGAGATTGCTTGTCACGTAGGAAATAATAAGATCAGGAGGGTCTCTGGTAGGCCCAGCTTGGTGGGGTTTCCGGGATCCCTTGCGTTGCTGCAGTTTCATCGTTTCGGTCATGGTAGAATCTATCTCTTCCAAGAGTCGTGAACCAGAACTACTCCCTGTGAAGTATTAATTGTCGGAGCCAAACAATCATAGTTTTTCAGAACATATCGCAGATTCACTAACCAAAGTACCCCGCTTCGGTGGTAGAGAGCGTGGCCATGCCATCCGTGGGAGAAAGGGATCCTTCATTCCACTCATAACTATCCGGGGTAGCTTCGCTGTTTATATCAAATTGACGGCTGGAGTCAAAAGCATCGACATGCTCTTCCAACGTAGATTCGTTGCTATGCTTCGCTAGCGCAGCTTCGATGTTCACATCGGGATTGAGCGACTGAAGGAGTGATCGGAGCTGAGTGCACCGATACTCAGCTGCGTCGAGATTTCTCCGCGTCAAGGGGGGTTCGATCCGGGGGACCCTCAAAACTGCAGATCTTCCCGGTCTTTTCACAGAACGAACAAGAGCTGTTCTCGCGAGAATGCAGACATCGGCTCTTGCGCTTTTGACAGTTCGTACATGCTCGCGCTGCAGGGGCAAGGGTATTTTGCCGCCCAGACCGCCGCATGATACAAGGCCCTATATAATTTGCGAGGTTTCTAGTATTAGATTAGCCAAATGCATGTCATTCGGAGCTCGAAGACGACGTTGTCGGGCATTTCGTCATTCGATGCGGGATGTCGGGGCACAGCCGACCGATGGCGGATTCTACCCCGACCTTCAAATTGGTGGCACGGGTATGGTACGGCAATTGAAATTAAGTCGAATACAACTTTTCTATATGTATGTTCTACCTCATGATATATTAATTAATTTGAGTAATAGAGGAATATACTCTATATTATTTTAATTTTTCTTTACGGCAGAATTTTGATTGAAAGCCGATTAGAATGTACCCCTGGCAAAATCGAGAGAGGAAATGTGCACATCACCTAACTATTTACAATGAAATGGCTCCTCCGTCAACAACAATATCTGCCCCATTAATATATGACGAGCTCGCACTGCTCAGAAAGACGACTGCACCGGAGACCTCTGATGGGCTACCCATTCGACCCATAGGATTGCGCTGACACCAAATTTCCCGATGAGAAGCGATGCCGTCACCTTCATTAAGAATAGTATCCATATACCCAGGACTCACGCTATTAACACGAATGCCATATCGGGCCCATTCAGTAGCAAGAGAGCTTTTCAGCATTAAAAGAGCTGATTTACTCACATTATACGCGACTTGTGGTTGAGGAAAGTTGACACGGTGAGCCGAGATGCTTGCGATAAACGTGATTGAGCCTCCGGATCCTTGCTTGACCATGTGTCGAGCTGCTGCCTGGGCGCAGATGAATGCACCTGTAGTGTTGACATCCAGCATCTTTCGCCATGCGGATATAGGCATCTCAAGTGACTCAACAACACCAACAATGCCAGCAAATGAGACCAGAATGTCCACTGAGCCTAGGACGCGGGCTGTTTCGTCTACCGCGTTATTAACGACTTCTTCATCTGTAATGTCCACCTTTTGGTATTTAATTTTGGTATCGGGAAATTTAGTTTGCAGTTGGGCGATCTCCTTTTCTGAATTTGCGGGGTTGATATCAAATATCATAAGTCCCTGAAGACCATGCTCAAGGAGGGCATTACATGCTTGAAGACCAAGAGTGCCGGCACCACCAGTGACAATTGCATTTCCTCGGACAGAAAATCGCTTCTCGGCGCCAACAGCGGGGTCGCTTTCTATGGTCGATGGAGGAGCGGGGGTCATAGATGAGGGACTACCGTCGCTGAAAGCCATCGACGGGACAACACGAGAAGTGAGTTCTTCTCGACTAGGTAAGACCGTCATATTGACGCTTTTGACTGCTGAGTCTTATGTTGAGGATCAAATAGTAAAGGCTGGAAAGGGAGCAGCAGGGGTGTGTCAGAATAGAGAGTTCAGAGGTCTGTGACGAAAGGCTAAATACCCAGCCACTAGTAGGTCATTCGAATCGGGCATATCGGTATCGGCGGATCGAAAGAACCCTGGGAAGCCATCGACCAGTAGAAATCCGAAGTAGAAGTGTATTTTGCCAGGATGTGCTAGCTTTCGGTCAATACACGCGGACAACTCCACTTATGTCGGGGCACTCTCGACCGAACACTTCTCGATTAACTAGCAGCATCAAACTTCACTCATTTATTTAGATGTTATCAACGTGCACAAGCACTTCACTAAGAAAACCACTTCTTTATCTACTCGCATTTATCTTTAGTCTATGTATTCTATGACTGCTCTTCTATGCGACCATTCAAGGCAAAACATACCCTCCATCAATAAGCACGTCACTGCCAGTCATATAGGTGGACGCATCACTTGCCAAATAGAGGTATAAGCCCTTAATCTCCTTCGTATGACCTTGTCGTCCCAGAGACGACATGCGGTATGCCTCATTAATGCAGCCGGGACTAGCACCCATCTTAGTATCAAAGAAGCCTGGAGAGACAATGTTCACACGAGCAAATTCCCGCCATTCGCGAGCAAGGGACTTTCCAAAGTGGGTAACAAAGGCCTTAGTGGCATTGTAAACAGGTTGATCAACAGGGACGTTGACAATTTTAGCACTCATGCTGGATGTGAGGATGAGATTTCCAAAGCCCTGGCGTTTGAAAACCTCACCCACGAACTTGGAGCAATAGACGATACCGTCAACTGGAGAGAGTTAGAAAATTATTCTGACCTAGATGACGAGTTTTGCTCACCGTTGACAGTCATCTGCTTATGATATTCTTCCAGGGTTTGCTCCAAGATGGGCTTCGAGATTGCCATTCCTGCTCAAAATTGTCAGAATACATTTGATATCACTTTTTGCGTCTCAGAAGCTCACCAGCATTAGCGACGAAGACGTCAATTTTCCCAAAGTCTTTCACGACTTGAGTGATATTCTTCTGAACAGAATCGGCATTCGAGACATCAACCTTGTATGCCTGAGTTTTGATGCTGTGGGAAGTCGCCAGCTCTTGTGCCTTTGTAATGGCAGCATCATTCCTATTGATCCTTGTTAGAAATGCCCCATTGCAAGATTGTGTGCAGACTTACGAATTATACCAAAAGGCGACATGAGCGCCAGCTTCTGCCATCGCCTCAGCAACAGCCAGACCGATCCCATCCGCTGCGCCATTGACAACCACTACCTTGCCCTTCAAGCTGAATTGCTCGAAAACATTGGTAGGCGTGTTAGGGAAAGGACGAGGGAATCCCTCGCGGACTTGGTCGCAATCCTGAGAGCTCATAGACATGTTGGGTGGTTGTAATTGTAATTGGAAATATTGAATGGCTTGGGATTCGAGTCTAGATAGATGCTGCTCCTGGTCTCTTTTACGGGTATTAAAGCAACAGCTTGCAGAGTCGGGTGACAAAAGCCCGCTTCGGCGCGGTGTCACCCGACACATGATGAATGTAGCATCGTGTTAATTACCCCACCCCCACTCATCTAGAAAGTGGCCCCGGTTTCGCTCCATCTGAAAACAAATGGGATTTCTTCTTGTTCGGGGTCAGAGCTATGGTATTATTTAAACAAAGTATGGATTGACATGTGCATGTCTATATATTTCCATCACCACCTGGGCAGCAATGCAATCATCTCTAAGATTAACAGGGCAACGGACGGCGAAGCACCTGGGCACTTTCAAATTTAACCGACAGGGGTCCGCTGGAAAACATACATTAACAGGTATGGGCAAGTTTCCACGGTGTATCGATTTATGAAAGAAGCTGTGTATAGGAAACCATCAATAATTTACCAAAGCCGTGCAGAGCCCCTCCAATGGTGAAACTTTCAACAATTGAAAGGGCTGTTGACCCGAACCGCAGATCACAGATCGCAGCCGGTAAATTAGCCGAGGTCGGAATTTTGTTGGAGCTAGGCGACAGAGACCTCGATGGTTGTTTTCAATTTTGAATATAAGCCAATGGATTTAAACTATTTTTTGGAGACCAATCAGCGACTTGAAATCTATTGCCACTTTATAAAAATCTATACTATAAAAGAACCCCAGTCTATAACGCCGTAAACATGCCACGTCTAGTTCATCATTCCATGAAGTGCAAATTATGCTGCAGCACAGTGACCACCGTCAACACGCAGATCAGCTCCAGTCATCCAAGCGCTGGCATCGGTAAGCATGTAAATGGTAGGCCCCTTGAAGTCCTCTGGGGCACCCAGGCGACCGAGCAGAGCTCCGCGCATCCAGGTCTCCTCGACCTCGGGCTTCTCCTTCAGAAGGGCGTCGGTCATAGCAGTGCGGATATACTGATTGTGTCATTAGCATTAGACATAGTTGTCAGGTTATAGAGAGACTTACTCCGGCGGACAGTGTGTTGACGCGGATGTTGTGCTGGCCCCATTCCTGGGCGACCGATCGGCACATCTGGTGGACAGCGGCCTTGGAGGAGTTGTAGGCGGTACAAGTGAGACCCTAAGATGAAGAGGAATTGTTACAACCTTGATTCACAATTTGAACTGTTATTTTTTTTTTGGAGTACTCACGCGATTGGCGATCTGGCCGGACATGGAGGCAATCATCACAATGCTACCGGGAGCCTTCTGCTCAACGAGAATGCGGGAGAAGTGCTTAGCGGGGATGAACGTTCCGAGGACACTAGAGGAGATATGATTAGTATTTTGGTTCGAGCAATTTCATTGATGTCTTCACGGTCGCCTTACTTGACATCCAGCATCTTGCGATATCCTTCAACAGGATAGTCGAGAGCAGGGACCATCTGTTGGATACCGGCGCAAGTGATGAGACCGCGCATGGGCATGTTGCGCTGCGAAGCTTGCGCGGCGATATTTTCGAGGGTCTCCTTAGTCGAGGCCTCATCTGTGATGTCGCACTTGGTATAGGTCGCCTTCAGACCGCGAGAAGTGGCCAGCTTCTGAACAGCAACCCACTCCTCGGGGCTGGGCTCAGAGAGAAGATCCAGGCAAGCAACATCACCACCAGCCTCGAGGACAGCAGTGGTCAGGGTCATGCCGAGTCCACGACCACCTCCAGTGATGACGACAGTGCGACCGCGGAGGGAGAAGAGTTCATTGGTGGGCGCAAACGCGGCCGGGGTCTCGTTGGACTCTGGCACGACTGCTGGGAGTGTGTGGTCGAGGGTGGTGTTAGAGATAGAGGGAGCCATGATGGGAGGTTAGATTGAAGGAAGAAACTTTGAAAGGTGTCAATTGCTATGTTTTGGGAATGTGCACTTCATATAAGGGAGCTGCTGTAATGCAACACCGAAGCACCCGCAGCTGGCCATGGTGCAGAGTGGTTATACATTGCCCAACTAGGGAACTTTTGGGTTGGAGAACCACAGTGGAACGCTTGCTAAAGCAATCAATTTGCCTAAGCTCCAATTTCCAGACTCCTTCTCCCGAGTCCGACAAATCATGCCGATTATGGCTGGCACCAGCCCGGCCGAGAGTGGGTTTTCTGGAAGTGCATATGTTTACCCTTTGTGGAAATTCATGGGGTTGCTCAAGGGGCGCGGGGCATGGGGTAAACTGGAATGGAGAAGACGGACTGGGGCATAAGACTGCGAAACAGAGGCGAGATAACCAGGAGGCGAGAAATCGGCGAGGCGTACGAGCCCCACATGACGAGCAAATCATAGCCTGGAGAGCGGGCGTTTGCGGTGCTTAAATAAACCAAATCTGGAAACATTTTCAACTAACTCGCGCGGCGAGGTCACTTGTGGGGGGAGACTCGGTTCGGCCCACCGATATCTTTTCATTGGAATAGCAGATACGTGAGGGATGCCGAGTTTTGCTTGTGCGTCAAAATTAAGTCTACAGGGGTTCGGAGCTAAATGTCTGAAGGGTAATGATGGGGATAATGGGGGCTTTTAGCTCGAAGGAAAGAGTTGGCATAGGGGATCTTTAAGCTTCGTGATATCTGATCGGCAAGGATTGCGACTAACACACGGGAAACCGCAGGACCAAGTCTACTCGATGCGGTATTTTTGTGCCAGAATTCTTCCTGCACACCCCGCAATCTCGGACGTCGCCCACTTTTCAGACCCGGATTATTACGATTCCGGGGCACGCGTTCTTCTGATTCCCCGGTCCCCATCTACGCCATGGATTCCTGGAACCTTGAATGGCGCCACCGATTCGGACGTCTCAAACGTGGATGACACTTCAAGGTCGTTTTATAAAAGGAGCCAGACCCCATCACATTGGACTTAGACAGAGTGTTTGTTTACTTTCACTTCATCTAGAAATTCTCACTGCGGCTTTTCGTTAGTGCAGTTTTTCCCTTAAAGAGAATTTCATTTTTGAACGGTGCCATGACATACCTCACCGGACGAGAGTTGGCTTGGGCCATCACGGCCACTGCTGGCAGTGGCTTCCTGTATGTGCTTCTTCCTTTCGTGTCCGACTGATATCCCTTGCTGATCGCCACAGGCTTTTTGGCTATGATCAGGGTGTGATGTCAGGTCTTCTGACTGGTGATGCCTTTGTCGCGAGGTTCCCTGAGATCAATACGACTAAGACTGGACATGGTAGCTCTGCGCTACAAGGGACAGTGTAAGTGGACGCAAACCATCAAGCGCGAGACCAAAGCTCACAATCCCTTCCTGTATAGTGTTGCTATCTATGAAATCGTGAGTCAATCGAAGCAAGACACATTCTCTCCATATTCTGATTGGAATAGGGTTGCTTCCTAGGTGCTATAATCTCCTTGTTTGCCGGCGAAATGCTTGGTCGACGCAAGTGTATCATGGCTGGATGTGTTATTCTCAGCATTGGCGCTGCTTTGCAATGCAGTGCATTTGGAATCCCCCAGCTTATTGTCGGTCGTATCGTCGCTGGTGTTGGCAATGGTCTCAACACAAGCACAATCCGTGAGTTTTTGTTGTTTCAGAGATCCTTTTCGGAACCAACTGACGATCGTCCCTTTTCTAGCTGTCTGGCACTCGGAGTTGAGTAAAGCAGCGAGCCGTGGCAAGGGAGTACGTCGCTTATCCAATGACATAAAAGGGAATGTACTGACAATAGACATAGCTGGCTATTGAATTAGCCATCAACATCTTTGGTGTCATGCTGTCGTACTGGGTCGGTGAGTAAAGCCGAATCCCAACTCTATCCTGCATTATACTTACGTCTGTCAGACTACGGTTTCTCGTATAACTCTAGCGAGGCACAGTTCCGCGTTCCCATTGCAATCCAGATTGCCTTCGCCGTTCTTACATTCATCGGTGTTGTCTTCCTTCCGGAATCTCCTCGATGGGTACGTCAAAGGGTGCTTGAATTTTACAGCATATAGACTAACCGCCATCTAGCTCATTAAACATGGAAAAGAAGATGAGGCTCGCCACATTATTTGGTCCCTGCAGGACAACGCACGCGAAATCGATGAGCACGATACCGTCGTCAGTGTTGATGTCAGAGATATCTCACAAGCTATCCGTGAGGAGACTGAGGCTTCAGCCGAAGGGTCTTTCAAGTTGCTCTTCAAGGATGGCCCGCAACGTTTCTTTACCCGAACTCTTCTGGGTATGGGTGGACAGATGATGCAGCAGGTATCAGGCATCAACCTTATCACCTACGTGAGTAACCAATTCATCTGATCATCTTCACTTTTGCTCATTCAGAAACAGTACGCAACAGTCATCTTCGAGGAGTCCGTGGGAATGGACCACAACACGGCCCTCCTCTTGGCAGGTTTCAACGGTGTGGCTTATTTCTTTTCTTCTCTAGTACCAATCTGGGTCATTGACCGGTAAGATCAAGTCTATTTGCTAGCCCGGGAAGAAATACTAACATTATACAGCCTTGGTCGTCGCAAACTCATGATGTTTGCCGTCATTGGACAGGGATGCTGCATGGCTATTTTGGCTGGTACTGTCTGGGATGGAACCCATGCCTCTGGTTTGGTGGCCACGGTTATGCTGTTCCTGTTCAATTTCTTCTTTGCAGTCGGTCTTCTAGCCATTCCTTGGCTCTGTACGTTCTTTCGACGCCGTCTTTTATTATTGAGAGCCATGCTAATATTCCTCACAGTGCCTGCGGAATACGCACCCCTTGCCATCCGAACCCGCTCGGCATCCTTGGCCACTGCTACCAACTGTACGCAATTGAAATTAAATCATGAATTGTTATTGAGGCTAACATAATAAACAGGGATCTTTACTTTCCTGGTCGTGGAGATTACCCCCGTCTCGATTTCAAACATAGGTTATCGGACTTACATCTACTTTGCCGGTATGCATCTCCCAATTGAGATTCTTTGATTATTTTTTCTTCGCGGCTTGCTAACATGAAATCAGTTTTCAACTTCTGCTTCTTTCCCTTGATCTACTTCTTCTACCCCGAAACACGACACCTCACGCTGGAGCAGATCGACCACCTATTTACTGGCGAAAAGGTCAAGCTTCACTGGCAATCATCTATGGGAGTGGCCGGAGATGCAGAGACGCGCATTGCTCACGAGAAAGATGCCGTTCCTCACGGTAAAGATCTCGAAAGTGTAGAGACCCAGCATTTTGAATAGATTTATGCTTTATTGGAGGTTATATTGCAAGTCAGTAAGTCAGCAAAGCTAGAGCAACCTATTTTATTTTCAACGAGTTTTGTTGTTTTATCGGCCTCGGGAACACTATGTAAATTATCGAGCACTATGTAAACTTTTATGCAAGGACGCAATTTCTCTCTCAATGAACCTTAGAACAAAGTAGTATCACTTCTCAACTTAGGCAAAACTGGCCCTGACGACCATCTCGCTTCTTGCCGAATTTCTGGTCAATTATTGCCGTAAGACGAGTTCCGTCATTTCTCGGGGGTACCCCGGAAACCTGGCTCCACGCCACCAAACTCCTCGGGAGGCCGACCAACGGCAAGCCAGCCGGTGGGACCGACTGAGCGCTTAAAAGTTCTCCTTTCGGCAAGTGGCTTTTATGTAGTCCTTCCATCCCCACGTCGTACAGACCCTCCATCCCAACCCCCGGATTCTGCAGTGGTGGACTTTGACCAGCGAGATGACAAGCACAATCTTCAATATTCTCTCGACAGACATGGATACCCACAAGAGCCATCCACCCGCCTTGTCGCAGGAAGATAGGCAAGATGCGAGGCAACTTGAGCCTAAGAAACGCACCCGAACTGGCTGTCTCAACTGCAGTCGACGCCGACGAAAATGTGACGAAGAAAAGCCGACTTGCGCTGGCTGTAAGCGCCGAGGTGATGAGTGCCAATGGCGCATGCTAGGCTCATTTCGCGATTCCAACATCAAAATACTGGAATCCGATCACCCCTCGATGAGCCAGGGCGGCGCTGTGAGCAAAAATAAGCGCCAAAGTAAATTCAAGATCTTGAATGCTGTGCCGGATCAGCATCGAACTAGGGGGGTCAAACGTCCGATCGAAGAAAGCTCTGATCTATCGGGGCGAAAAAGCCCCTCTATCTCGCCTTCAAAGACGACCACCAATGTCGATATGCCAAAGGTTGCGGCGCCAGAAGACCAACCAAATACCCCTACTGCTTCTGGATATGCGGATCGACCTTCCAATTTGACTGGTATTGGTCCTCCTTTGTCACCCCCACTGACCGGCAATACCTCGTCCCATACGTCGCACGGTCCTAGTCACAATTCCCCTCACTGCGAGGCCATTGGGCAGGATGCAATTCATGTACACCAGCATGGATCAACCAGCCAAGAGCAATATCCGGCCAATCTGCACTGTGACTTTCAGCCTCAACTACCGGATCATGCTTCGCCTCACGCCTATTTAAACTCCAGTCCTGGATACGTCATCGATGACCTTACTACACTAAGGAATCTCAACGGCGCTCAATTCCATTCCTCCGTGGAGGGCTCATATCAAACTGTTCCATCCCCTTTGTTTGATCATAGTGTCTTCTCCGACCCAGCTGACTTTACAAATGATGTCTTTCTTCCGGGGTCGGCCTACGAGGCCCTTCACACGGCGCTACGAAACCGCCAGTTATGGACTGCTAGGCCAGATGTCCCAAGACGGGCCAGCTCACAGGGGTCTATCTCCCATGTCAATACGCCGTCAGGCCTGAGTGATAGTTCTTTCAGTCAATCTACGCGACAGCCTCAACGTTCTAGTGCAGGTCGATATTTTGACTTGTCTCCAGAGCGAGAACACGTTTTGTGGCAGAATTATCTGAATGAAATCTGCTCATGGGTAAGTTATTTGCTCTTTTCTCAGCAATTATTCATTGGCTAACGGTAATAGCTCGATATGTTCGATAACAATCGTCATTTTGCCTCCACGTTTCCCCAGATGGCAAAGACATCGCCGCATTTGCGATATTCAATTCTAGCTCTGTCGGCGCGACAGCTGGAGAGAGAGCAAAACGAAAAGTCTCAATCGGAGAGTTTATCTTTGTATCAAGAGGCTATCCATCTTCTGTTCCCTGAGCTAGAAAGCAAGAGTACACCCGTGATTGCTTCTTGCGTTATCCTCTGCGTTTTGGAAATGTTGTCCTGCAACCCAAAAGAATGGCGACGACATTTGGATGGATGTGCTTATCTGATCCAAGCCGCCGGTATCAATGGCTTCTCGGGGAATGAAGAGCAGGCCCTTTTCTGGTGCTTTGCAAGAATGGACGTCTGTGGTGGTCTCATCTCTGAGGAAGATACCATCATCCCGATTCACAACTGGAGGCCCAGAGACATGAGCTGCTCCGAGGCATCGCGTCTGTTTCTTTCTTCCAACAAGACAAATTTTGACACCTATGCCAATTACACTGTCTATCTATGTGCAGAAACACTCAGCGTTCTCTTCGGGTCATCGTCCAAAGCCCCGCATCCCTGCACATCTTGTCAGTCGTTTCCTGAAGAGGATGGAAACTTTCATGTCCACCGCTGGGGAGATTTGTTCACCCATGTGGAACAATGGTATGAGAATCGGCCCAGCCAGATGAAGTCTATCTTCACTGTTTCCACCCCCAGCCAAGCTTCACGAGGCAAGCCTTTTCCAACGGTGCTATATGGGAATGGAGCTGCCAGTATGTTGACCATCCTTGAACTCTTCTGGCTCTTGAAACTAATCATATCGAACAATCTCCAGTCTCCGGAAATCAGCTATATCATGTCAGTGCCTTGCTATTACTCCAACGAAAGCCGAAGACGATAGTCCTTTCGAAAAAGCCGGTATGTTTCAAAAGGCCTCCAAAATATTTCTTAGTATGAACATCCGCTAACAATATCCCAGAAATCTGTCCTTTGGCATGCTCGCCAAATTTGCGCGATCTCTGCTTCAAATGCTCACCAGTAAGTTATTTTTGGCGCACCTGTCTCTTTTTTCAAATTCTTTCTTGCTTAGAAAATCAAATCATCAAAATACTGATCGTTTCCTACTTCAGTGGATGCTGGACCAATGCGCTGCAGCCTCTCTGGATAGCCGGGAAGGTCATGTCGCATTACTCCGAGCATGAAGCTATAGTTGAGACGTTGGTCCGAATTGAGCGCGAGACTGGATGGGCGACGACATGGCGGGTTGAGGATCTGAAAGAGTTCTGGGGCGACTACGATAACGAAGACGAGTGCGATGCCGATATGGATTAAGGGATATGAGTAGGTGCTATGAATTACGAGCGAAACGAATATAGATTTTCTATCCTCAATGTAGAACTGCGAAGTTTATTGCCTCGATATTTTTTCGGATTCCAACCTAAATAAATGGTCATTCTTCCCTGTAACACGCTGCTTCTGCGATGCTGTCATAACTAGTGGTGCCCTGACCTCGGATCACCTCCGTGCGGGGCTGTGGTCCTCGAGTCGAGGTCCATTATCCACTCAATATCCGAACGAATTGGAAAGCAATATCGCCCGTAAAACGACCCAAATGCCCAATCCTCTTAAATTTCATCTTCTTGGCTTCCAAATAGTCAGGGATCAATGCAATCCTTCCGATCGTCCAGTTTACCTCGAGCCGAGCCAAAAATAAAAGTATCCCAGAGTACTCTTAACCCCGCGTCTGTCCGACCTCTTTAGACAAATTATAAAACTGCGGGGTCTCCAGGATAAACAGTCTTTCTATTTTAGTTGTAATATCACCTAGATTTAATTCCAAACATTCCTATACGATGTCATCTTCCATCCCTTCGCAGTCCGCACCCGCGGAGCCCCAGACCAAGATTGCACTTGAATCAAAAGTCATCGCTAGTTAGTAATTTCTTGACTGCGCAAAGTTTGGTAATTGACAAATATTACAATAGTCACCGGTGCAAACCGAGGAATCGGACTCGGTGTCGCAGAATGTTGTCTCGTTAACGGTGCTGCCAAGGTCTACTCCATCGACATCGGCGAAACTGGTGATGAATTCCAGGCATTGTCTACGCGTTTCCCAAACCAAGTCTTCGCAGTCCAAGCCGATATAACACAGGAGGCTAGCATCTCCGCCGCCGTGGATAAAATCGTTGAGGAGGCCGGTGCGCTTCACGGGATGGTCGTGAATGCAGGACGAACGAACCACAAGGCCGCGCTGGATTTCACGACCGAAGAGATCGAGGCGCTATTTTCCGTAAACGTGAGTCTCATATGATACTCTCTCATGACCACATTTCAGGTGAACAAGGTTTACTAATTGGAATGCATCAGCTCTTTGGCGCATTTTACACGGCCAGGTGTGCCGCCCGCGCATTCATTGAGCTCGGAATCAAGGGGGCGATTGTGTTCACAGCTTCGATGGCTTCTTATCGTCCTAACAAGGTGCGTAAAGCTGTTTTTTGAGGGGAGGGATTTCTCTACCGTTCTACGGGTCTTTTGCTAGTCATGTTCAATGATCGCGTAGGCTGACTTCTGCAGCGCGTTCCATCCACCCCCTACGGCGCGTCCAAAGCTGGCATTCGAAACATGACACACACCCTTGCTATGGAGTGGGCTCAGTATGGCATTCGCGTGAATAGCGTCTCGCCTGGTCTTGTGAATACCGCAATGACATATTGGGTCCCTCAGCAGCCCGATTGGGAGCAGCAGTTGAAATACTACGGTGGATTTCCACGCCTGGCGGAGGTTCAAGAGCTCGGCGGTGCATATGTGTATCTCTTGAGTGATGCTGCGAGCTACACAACCTCGATCGATATTCCTGTCAATGGTGTCATTGGAAGTAAGCCGAATCAACAGGACCCCTCGTCAAGGAAAGTTGCTAACATTTATAGTTTGTTAAATGTGGTGTAAAAAGGCTGAAAAATATCACGCGAATCATTCGTACCAATTTGGACAAAGTTGTAGAAAGAAATGAGATCGTTATACTAGCTACATGGGTTATTTGGAAACCTCCTGGGTGAATTATCAACCCCAAATTCGCCTCATCGGCTGCCATTGTGACCAGGGCTTATGGGCTGCGTAGTATTAAACAACTTGAATTTGGCACAGTAGTACTAGTTAGTAGTACTAGTAGATTTGAAGCTACTATATATCACCACATAACAGCTTGAATTTACTCCACAAAGAGTTTGCATCCAATTTGAGATCCGCTTGTCTGAGAATTAGAGCATGGCTTGCAAAAGAAGCACACAGGGAAAATATGAGCCGATCAAATGCACCAACGGCCGAAAAAAGTGTCTGCAAAGCGCGCGACTCTTCACGGCAATAGCCAACGAGGACCTGACTCGCAGGTTCTAATTTCTAACTTGGTGATCGGGTAATGACTCCAAATTCCCCCTTTTCGGCAAGGGGCATGAAATTCCTGTAGTCGATAATTGCTTTTGATAGGCTCGCCCAACGTGCGGCTACTACGAGGCTGTTAGCAAACGCTCACTTCCACAAATATCCGTTATTTTGCACTTCAGGCTGCTTTGGCAGGTTGGAGAGATTTTCTTCAGGTTTCAGCATCCTCTATTATTGGATAATCATGCAGATAGGTGGGCCCTGGTGGAACCAGTTCTTTTGGGGCCAACGTCCGGGTCTGAGGGCTTCTCCATTTTTAAAGTCTCACTCCTGAACCCGCCCCCCAGCCCCGCCAATTTATGAAGTGGGAGAATCCACGCACCATCAAGTGCTCATTCTCACCGCAAGCATGGGTGGCAAGCCCTTTCAATCCAAGGGCTGCACAAATTGTAAACGGCGGAGAGTAAAGGTACATATTACAAGGCCCACTCATTTAAAACTACCCCTGGACCCCGAATTTCGACACTAACGTGGGGGGGCGTTTAGTGTGACACACAACGGCCAGAATGCGGCAATTGTCTGAAAAGAGGCATTCAGTGCGAGGGATATGAGAGAAGGCTTATTTTCGTCTATCAGAATGGCTCCGCCCAAGAAGATGAACAGAAATCGCCGCGAGATCGTCGTCGCACGGGTCAGGTTGCGGTGCGACCGCCAATGACAGTGAATACAGCTTCATTCAGCCGAGAGCAAGTTGTCGCTTCATATATTAATGTCTACTTTCCCGATGACATCACGGGAACTCTCGATCTCGATCCTTGGTATACTCTGCTGTCCGGAATATCCGCGATACCAAATAAGCCCGTGATGCTCGAGAAAGCTATGGCGGCGACGTCTTGTATCTATCTTGGCAAGCTCAACAAGGACACTCGCATGCTTAATCATGGACTTCAGCTATATAATGGTGCGATACACCACGTATCACGGGAGCTTAGCCGCAACAGGTACACCGATGAGCTTTTCTTTACAATTGGCATTTTTCAAATCCTGGTGGTAAGTCTTCTTTTCCAACTTCTGATACTCTCAATGCACATCAGCTGACATCGAATTCAGGCGATGTATTGTCCCCATGGTCTTGATGTAATGGTACATCAAACAGCAGTGACCAACGGGATCTTCAAGCATATTTTATCACATTCAACTAACAGCCCCATCATCAAAACTCTATGTCTGGCATTTCAGCGAATGCGACTGGTAAGCTCCCACGTCAAGTCAGAGAATTGGCTTCACTATCGACCTCATGCAATGCAACTAACTGTCATGGCATTAGTTAACATCACTTTCACCAATTGAAGCAAATAATGTAGTAGACTTGGCTAGAGAGCATACTCCGGCGGCTTTGATTTCCAACGAAAATGCGGCTGTTGATGAATTGTTTCAACTCATGGCCGACATTTCACCAATAGCAGCTGCAGTCAGTATGACCGATGTTTCCGATAATGCGGCCTGCCACCTATCGCTCTATGACTGCCTTGCACACAGAGAAAAGCTGTTATCATGGTATTCGCGCATGAAGGTCCGTATTGGTGGCGGTCCTTACGTCGGCGAGAGCAGTGATTTTCCGTGCAAAAACATATCGTCATCGGAACATTTATTCGGTCGCCCCTATGGCTTCTCCTCTTTGGATTGTGCGAGGTTACATATTGTCTTCTGGTCAGCGATGTCCATCCTCCAGGCTCTGCTCGGCCAGACTCATGCATACGCATATACATCGGCTCCCCCCCGATCCTTACACCAACAAAGAATATCAACTTTCAGAATACTATGCAGACGAGGTCAGTCGAGCCATGCCCTATTGCGTGCAGGACAGCATGAAGGCGTGGGGCATCAACGTTACGATTTTCGGCATGGGTCAAATCGCCAAGGTTTACATGGAACTCAGACGTGAAGAGAAATTTATCTGGAGCCAAAAGCTCTTCAAACATGTGGGCGACATGGGATCCGACCTCGGTTATCGTTTTGGCGAACTTCTGCAGTTTGGATGGAGTCTTTTGGAGCAATCCGACTCCAACGAGCGCCCTGGATTGTCGCCAGTGCCCACGAGTCCATCTAACGCATCTAGTGGCGCATCTGCTGCGTCTCCGGTATCCCCCGCGTCTAGTAGTACATCAACTGCATCCACCGCGCCCTTCGTCGCGGAATATGTACCCATGCATGAGACCATAGATATGCCAACGCGATCAAGGTGGGAGCCAGGCCAGTGAATTTTGTGCCTCGGAATGAACATAACTCGCAGATGCTGGCATCTCATTTTCTGGGGAACAATAAAATCAGCATATATTGGACTCGATCGATACACTTTTGTCTATTTCGTGATGACGGGCTCAAGGGATGGCCGAGTCTATCACTGCTCCTGTATACTAGTATAAGGCATCTCAGACATGTTCGCTTTGAATAAGAAGCTACTATTAGTAGTCATAGTCGACTATCCAGTAGCTTTGGCATTTCTGGCAGTAGACTGCCCTGGTGCCAGTAGATTGAAGAAAATTATTACAGCCGTAGTAGTAGTAGTTGCTCACAAGCCCTGGCTGGAGGCTGCTGGCATTTTACGGTTTTCAAGCTGCGACTTCAAGTTGAATTACTGTCTACTAACTAGTAGTCTTTACTAATAACTTCCGAGGCCTGAAAACCTTGGGATTCAACTTTCCAAGGTTGGAGGAAGTTCCGAATGTTGAAGTTGGAGCTGAATACTATGCCCCATGTTGCTAGTACTACACAGCACTAAACTCCTGCCCGGAGATATATTTTCGGACGGACCTTGGGACGACAACCCTAGAACGGGTGTATTTCCACCATAACCTTGAAATACTACTAATAAATGAGATACCATGAGCCGATAATAAAATCCGAATGAATATGAATATTAATAATAGATACCAGGTATCTCATTGTTCCGGGACGTAGCGCTTTCTGTAGAAGAAGAACCGTTGTGAAGTTCCATGGTTGATACTAGTGACATGGCCGATCGCCGATCGCAACGAATCAAGACTTACATCAAAAATCAAAAAAAAAAAAAAATTTACAATACGTGCACACGGATACACCACTCGGATAATAGGGTAGTCTATTAACTTGGATTGTAGCATCTATAACTATCTAACACTACAGTACAAGGTTGAAGAACTACTTGAGAGACAAGTGTTATGAATTTCTGGACGAATCCACCTCGAAATTAGAGCTATTAGCGGCGCCCCACAGACTTTGCCACACGAGTCTGTGCAGTACTATGATCAGACAGAGTTCTACGGAGTACTTCGTACTCATAGCATGCGCTCAGTTGGTACCTGCACATTGGAATAGGGGAAAGGGGTTGGTTTCGGACACGAATGCGGACAACAGAAAACGAGAGCGCACGGGGCAGCAAGAGGATCGGCCGCTAGGCATGCATTCTTGTCCGCAAACTGCCAATAGCTGCAGCCTTGACTCCTGCAGGGGTAGTCAATCCTTTCTCGAGTGAGTAGGGAGGAATGCATTGAGCAGGCCGCACGAGATGTTGAATCAAGGGATGATGGCAAAAGCAGGCAAAACATTTGACCTTGCAGTGCGGCAAAACAGGCTCGTTGCTGAATCACACAACCCCTAGTGTACAGTACAGGACAGGGGAGAATTTGATTTACCCAAGGACACTCGATCAATTGGGCACTGGTGGAGAATCTGGTAAAGGAGATCTTCCACTGAGTAGTTTGACTGAGAAAGACGAGAGCTGTTTAAGAGCGTTTGTCGTTTGTTGTGATCGCCTTGCGTGTCTTTGGCCTAGCGTTCTCTCTGAAAACTGTCTTACGCTTTGTTGACGTCCGTCTTCGTCGAAGTGATGCGCCTGCCCCGGTCGGTGTGGACTTGGAGCGCATTCCAGGTTGACACAACATTGTTTATGTACGGGGGTGCCCCAACTGTCTCCATCTCTGTCCCCACCGAAGCTTTTATTCAACCTCCACCGACAACACCTCGGCACCCTGAAGCCAAGACCAACCAATCTAGTTTAAGGAGAACCGCGACCAAGACGAAGAGAAAGTTTCGACGATCACTGTCCTCCATATTCTAAACAAGCGGTACCACCAGCTGCACGCAGACCACAGCCAAGGTCAACGAGAACGCAATGAGTCTGCATGGATTAGGAGTGATTGGGGCCCAAGTGGCCGCGTCTCTCAAGGGAGGCGATGACAAACACGAGAAGAGGCCGACATCCCCACGAATTCAATCGCCATGTTCCATCCAGTCTACTCCAGAAATCATCCACCCGCAGGACTTTGACCCAACGATAGGGGCGAAGCCATATTCCCCATTCTACAAACACGGATCGCCTACGATATCCTACGAGCAACTCACTTATGAGACAAAGAACAATCTCAGCCAGAGTCACTTGCGAGATATTGAGAATGCTGGGCCATATTCCGCATCGAGGACGGATAGTCCGCGACGATCAAAGCTGTGGGAAAAAGAGCAACCGAGACGATCGTGTATGCAGTCTTTGAGTACTCGACAGCGAATGGCATTGAAGGCGGTGGTTGCGGTTGTGACGGTGGGAAGCATGATTGCCATTGCTCTGGGGATCACAGTGGCAGTGGGTGGGGCAGCTTGGAGGTCGAGTGCTGAGCAAGTGACGATGGGTGGATAGTAAGTCTCAACGATTGATCTGGCTATATGAGTAATATCGAGGCAATCTGAGCTAACCAGATTTTGCAGATATCCTGGAACCAATGATTGGAGAAGAATTATTTCCTTTAATCGCGGTGAATTCCTTGTGTTTGCACCAGACCTCCCGTTTCGGGATTGTACATTATGAATCGCTGGATGGTACTGGCGAGAACAGCCGGATGCTGATAATTGTATTCAAGCCGAAGTGTCAATTGAATTGTAAATGGAAACACCAATCGCAAATGCAAATGCAAATGCAAATGCAAATAAACAAACAGCCGAGAAGAGAAGATTGAAGATGTAAAAAGAAGCCAAAGTGGATGCAGTGTGGATAGAAGACTAGTCCACAACGGGTGTAGCCTCGGCCCGAGATAAATCCGGGCACGTGACCACACGCACCTACAAAAGCGCCGAAATTCTCTCCATTTGACTTTCTTTCTTCATCGAAAAAAAGCAACTGAACCTGCCACGACCCTCGTCCATGTCTCTTTTGACAACCTCCACGACGTGTGTTGCCTTCGGTCTTTCGGGACTGATCGGTTCAGGAGAAGAATATTCCCCGATAGGAAGTTCGCCCCCCGTTGGGTCCTCTTTATTGAGGGCGATGGGAGGGGAATGTCGAAGACGGGATACATCCCACACTTTTACCTACAAGTATTTGTTGTGAACCATAGTTTTTCGTAGTAGAAATGCCATTGTGCAATGGGGATACCCATGGTCATTTGTATGTAGCCTGGAGGACCGAATGCTGAGGGAAAGTGCTCTTGCCGTCAGACCTCCGTGGAGATTATATGATCCCCAAGGTTCCAATGATTGTCCTTGACATTACCCAACATGGCTGCCCTCCAAGCTCAAAATGCTACCGTCTCTCTCGATGCTGTCGGCGATTTCTGATCGTTTCGACTGACATCACGGGAATGCCGGTTCAGCATGGCGGACTGTTTCACCTCTTGAACTGCCGTCCACCTGGGCAATTTGGCTGGCCGAAAACCCCATCGTCCATTGCTGAGCCCCTGGAGAGCATCAAACAGAGCTCCTTAATGGACCACAGGCACTGTCGCACTGCCGAAGCAAGGCCATGCCGTCATGCCATGCCTAAATGATCGGGCAAGGGGCCATCGTGGTTGGCCAAGTCAGGCGGAAATACCGATCCCTCGATGATATTCCGTGGAATGCCGCACCACCACCTGCGCTGCGGTTCATGCAGCGTTTGTTTACACTGCTGATGGCAGCCGACCATTGCAGGGGCCCAAGCTTGTTGACTCTTTGCTTGTCTTCCATTCCCGACGGCATTCTGATGGGGCCTCTATGCCTCCGTCAGGCCTCGATACCCCGTCAACGTCAGTGTTTGGCCATGATTGCACATTCCACCATGCTAATGAACGATGGTGATCATGAATGCAAAGAAACTACTAAAGCACTACTAACCTCTCGGCAATCCTTTCCACGCTTGTTGCTGCTTGGGATTACCTTCTTCTAATTATTGCCATTCTTTTACTTGCTCCCGTAGCATCGGTCTACTGTCACTCTTTAACTAACGCCCAATTCTTTCCCATTCCCTTCTCAAGTAATACCCTATTGCATTTATCATCATGAAGGGCTTCGTCGGTGGAATTCCCTTGGCCCTCCTGGCCGCTGCTGCTCAGGCGCAGGCCATGGAGCGCACTGTATGTCGAGTTATACCTGCCATCATGCACGAGCACCATCGCTAATTCATATCCAGATGAATGTCGGCAGCGTCCAGCCTCGCAACCACGATGGCTTCGGACACCCCGAGGTCGGAGGCACTGCTCTCGGTGGACCCTCAGGAAATGACGAGGATGGCACCTTCAACGTCCCTTATGCTGCCAGCATCCACACTCACTCTGATGTGAACGAGTTCAGCAAGGATGATCACTCTGTCAAGATCAAGGACACTGATGTCTACCCACCTAACGTCCACCCCGGCCCTGCTCTCGGCCCTGGCGCTGGTCCTTTCCCTATCAAGCGCAGCTGGCCTTCCGGTGGCACTGCTGAGGGTGGTCCTTCTGGCAACGATGAGGGCCAGACCTTCAACATGCCCATCACTGGCAACTTCAACACTGAGGTCAATGAGTCTTCCGAAGATGACCACTCTGTCGACATCAAGAACAAGAACATTCACCCTGCCCCCGTTGTTGCTCCTGTCTATACCCACCCCCGTCCTCATTTCGAGGGTCCTCCTGCTCATGTTGAGGAGCACCCTGTTCATGGCCGTCCTCACTACGATGGGCCCCACTACGGTGGCCCCCCCTCCTTTCTACGAGGCTGATGACAACAACAACGACAACTTCAATGGTGATCACTTCAACGTCGCCCAGAATGATCTTCACTCCGACTGGGTGAAGCGCGGCGGTCCTCCCCACTTCGGTGGTCCCCCTCCTTTCTACCAAGCCAATGGCAACAACAACGACAACTTCAACGGGGACCACTTCGGTGTTGTTGAGAACGACCACCATGTTGATTGGGTGAAGCGCTCCGCTCCTGGCGGAACTGCTCTGGGCGGACCTGGAGGTGGTGGCCACGGCCCTGCTGGTTACCCTGAACACGCTTCTGGAGGCACTGCCCTTGGTGGCCCCTCTGGTGATGATGAAGGCATCAGCTGGGGTCGTCCCATCACCGCTGATATCCACAGCCATGTGAACGAATACCACAAGGACGACCACTCCGTCGATATCAAGCACAAAGATATTCACCCCGAGCCTGTCTACGCCTTCGGAGCTCCATACAAGCGCCACTGGGGACCTCACAACGGTGGCACCGCCCTGGGTGGCCCTTCCGGAGATGATGAGGGTCAGACCTTCAACATGCCAATCACCGTGAACACCCACACTGGCATCAACGAGTACGCAAAGGATGACCACTCGGTGAAGATTAAGGACACCCACGTCCACCCAGCTCCTGTCTATGGTGGCCCTGGTCCGTATGTCCCCCACGGTGGTTACTTCCGCCGTGCCTACTCTCCTGACCGCGTTTCTGGCGGCGGCGGTGGTGGCACTGCTGAGGGTGGTCCCTCTGGTACCGATGGTGGTGAGAACTTCGGATCTCCCATCGATGTTGGTGTTGACACTGGTGTCAATGAGCACAGTGAGGACAACCATGCCGTCAAGATCGACAGCACCACTGAGCACCCTCACTACGAGCAGCCCGAGCTTCCCTGGATGACCTACCCCGAGGCCACCACCTATGAGGTTCCTTCTTCTCCTCCTGCCCACGAGATCGAGCAAGCTCCCCCGATTGAGGAGACCCACGAAGTTCCCCAGGCTCCTCCCCAAGTCGAGGTCCCTAAATACCAGCCCGCTCCTCCTGCTGACCCCCCCTCGCGAGCACCATGAGGAGGTTCCCCAGTGCGCAGCTGAGACCCACGAGGTCGTCCGCACCGTGACCAAGACACATTTCAAGGAGGTTCACCCCACTGCGACCACCACTGTCTATGAGAAGGCTCGTACCTCCGTCGTCACCCAGGCCGCCCAGACCTCTGTTGTCACCCTGGCCGCCCAGACCTCTGCTGTCACCCAGGCCGCTCAGACATCTGCTGTGCCCCAGGCTGCCACCCCCATGAACGACCCTGAGTCCAAGATCTACTCCAGTGCTGTCTTGGGCAGCCAGGCCGCTCCCTCCTCGTCCAACATCCCATACCAGAGTTACAACTACAACTCCCAGCGCCCCATGAGCACTGGTGCCTACTCCATGATTCCCGTCAACGTGCCCGCGCCTTCCTCCACCGCTATGTTGAAGTCCATGGCTACACCCTCCGCCAGCCAAGCCATGCCCAGCGGTGCCGACGCTATGAACAGTGCCAGCCCCTCTGCCACGCCCTCCCACGGCATGATGTTCCAAGGCGCTGCTACCCGTGCTTCCAGCGGCATCTTCTCTGCTATCGCTGCCGTCGCCGGTGTCCTGGCCTTCGTCTTGTAAGCGCAGTTGCCAGTGTATAATGGATGTGCTTAAGAGCCATGAAGAACTCCTGTCGATCTTTAAATTTTATTTCTTATCTTCCTTTCCTACTGTCTCTTTTTCGTATACTTTTTGTACTTTATTTCAATTTCTCCGCACTTAATGGTCGATTTGCTTCTGATGAGGTCTTGCCGTTTGAGAAATATGACTTGATTCTTTAAATTGCTTTCGCTAGTGTTCTTCGTAAGTCTTCGTAATGCTGGCTCTAAGCTTTGGGGCTTGAACCTTACCCCTTGTCTTCTTGGACGACCCATTTGAGGCCCGCCGTCGATCTCACGGTTAGGGTTCCGCGACTAGGTTTCGTCATCGCGAATCATATCAACCTTGATCTCACACCATTCATTCCAAGATTCCAGCAAACAATTGCAATAATCGAGACCAAGATGTCCATGTTCAGAACCTGAAAAGACCTGTTCTGAGAAGGCAAATTGACAACCAATCAAGGCATCCCATACACTTACCATAATGTGATATCATCACCCCATCATCCCCATTTCAACGCCTCGGACAGTGACATCAGTTCCAATCCATGCAATTGAACATCTATTTAAATCCCATACACTCCAAAGAGACACTTCCGTTCTAGAATGAACAATTAACAACATTATTCAGTTGAAAAACATACAATCAAACCAACCAACCACACCCTCCAACTCTATCAAAATGGTCCGCGAAACCCAAAACCAACAAGACCCGCACGAAGGCGGCTCAATCTTCGACATGGCAAAAGGAACCTCAATCCCCAACGACGCCGGAAAGATGCGCACAATCCCCTCCGTCCCGCGCCCCGACCAACGTGTCGAACATTTCGCCTTTGACAACGACGGCCTAGCCAAACCAACCACAGCAACAGCAGCCGATAACGCCACCGACATGCCACGCTCAACCCGGGACGTTGGACAGACCGGCGAAGTCCTCACCGGTGCAGGGGATACATTGCCAGCTGGTGTTGAGTCGAAGCGTGCGTTCATGGGGAATAATGTTCCTGGTGCGCAGGCTGATAGTCGGAGTCAGAAACATGATCGGCAGAATCGGGGAGCGTTTGATACGTATGCGAAGGAGGATGAGGAGTCGTGGGATTTGGTGGGGAGAGTCAGACTTCGAAATAGTTGGCTGATGTGTGAGCTTTCGAGTTCATGGATTCCAAGAATTGGATTATAGTTGGCGTGGCCACTATTGTATGAATGGATGTCTATTGACGATGCTGCCTTTCATGAAGGCTCTTGCGATGTATTATGATAAATCAAATATAACCTGATATATGGTTCTTTTTATACCCTTCGATCTCAGTTGAACGTGCTTGTGTATAAGTATAGGTACCAGATCAAGTAAATGATCTAGCTTCCTCAGCCCCAAAAAATCCTTTATAGATATCTTCCAAAACATCCCGCTTTCTCTTGCGAGTAGCTTCAGCCGCTTCTTCCTCATCATCCAATTCACCATCCGATTCCCTCGAAACCCACGAACGAATCGTCCCATCCCCATGCGCCGAAAAAAGTTCCACGCCTTCTCCACTCGCCCCATTGCCGCGCCATACAATATCATTTATACGCGCAGCACTGAGCGCACTGGATCGACCCCGAACCTGCGATTGCGAGGACATCGCCACACCGGGGAGTTTAAGTCGTTTAATGAAGGTTCCCTCGCGCAGTTCGAACATGAAGATCTCGCCGCGGTCATCTTGTTCATTGAAATTCGGCCAGAGGAGTGTTTCATGACCGGGTGTCATGAATCCCTTCGGGACAGAGTAGTGGGGCTCTCTCAGCTAAATGCGAAGTAGAGCTATTGCGTACCCTCGGACCAAAATGAACAAGTGTGTTCGCGCCACTCGCAGCATCCCATACCCTAATCCGCGCGTCTTGTCCCGTAGTCACAATATGACTACCGTTAGACGTCCACCGCACGCCCGTAACGGGCCCATTGTGCGCACGAGCAGTCGGTGAAAAGGCCGGGCGGGACTGGTAAGATGACGGGGCAGATCCTGATCCCGGGTCGACTAGACCGACCGGGTCGTCCATGTCTAGCGTTGCGATGGCGGAGTTGTGCCCTCCTTTCCGGACGTCGAAGATTATCACCCTGTTATCCACGGATCCTGATGCTAGCAGGTAGGGTTTATGCGGTGCCCATGCAACCGATAGTACGGCGGCATTATGGCCCGGCAGGCCGTGTGTTGCCAGGCCCGAACGTAGATCTACCAATCGGACCGATTGTTCTGAAGTCGCGACAGCCACGAGGAGAGTCGATCCGGGGGCGGAGGAGAATGAGTGTGCGTAGGGGGTGCAATCGAGATTGAAGGTGTGGAGGGGTGTGATTTCGGGGGATTGTAACGCTGACCATTTCAGTGTGCCGTCGTGCGCGGTCGAGAAGATGGTTGATGGGACTGGGTCGAATGGGTAGATCGAGAGCGAGGTTATGGCGTGTGTGTGGGCGGCGCTGTGTGAGGGCTTGCTTACGGACGCACAAGCTCGGTGGATATGTTCGAGCTCCGAGCCTCTGCTCTCGAGATCCCATAGGTGAATGGAGGGGTCGGCGCCTCCAGAGATCATACTGTATGTTGTATGTGTTGGTTAGAACCACACTGCAGGTGGAGGGGGTTGAAGCGAAGCCACATACTACCGTCCCTCGAACTGGTCAACTGCAAGACAATTCACTCCTGACTTGTGCGCATACAGCTTCTCTGTGGGATCAAAGTCTGGGTTCAATGTTGTGTCATCTTCAGACCGATCTGGCGCTGGCGCGGCTCTGCGACTGGAGAAGCGAATCCCTGGTGCTGGTTCGAGGTTGCGCACCAAGCGCTCCGTCTGCGCGGTGTGGAAGTCATTGGGAGCGACAGAGCCGAGGGCTCTGTTGAGCAGATAGGAATTCATTCATTCAGGGCAGTTGCAATAGAAGAAGAGCGGAGTAGCCACAGGCGATCGCGACGGGTGACCTCATCGGATCAACGTTGGGCCGTCGCATTTAAGCATGGCCCATTTTGGCAGTCGCATGTCTTCCTTCTCTTTCCCCCCACTCGAACATTGTTGATCTTGACTTGTCGCAGATCCTCGCACAGCAGAATGTCGTTTGGACATTCGGAGAACCTGAGTCGAGGCACATTTATCCAGCCACCTACCAAAGCACCAAGTTCTCGGAGGAAAAGAAAAGAGAAAGTCGAAGAGTCGCAGTCGCAGTCGCATTCACCAAGCAAAACAGTCAGATTTGAGGAGATCTCCAATCCTCAACCAAAGGCTCGAAGACGCCAGGCCAATCTCTATGATGCAGTCGCCGGTAAGATATTGCTCCATTTCAAATTGGCAAAGGTAGAATTAAAATGCTGACCGTAGACAAGGCCGTGTCACTGCCCGAGGGTTCGCCCAATCTACACCTATAGCCTCGAAGTACCGTGATACCGCGTCGTCAGGGGCCCGCATTCAACGACCAGAAGAAGTTCTTTTCCGCAAAGATCACCCCATGAGACAAGCCGAAAAATGCGAACCATACTTTGCGCACGAGGATCTCCCCGCCGACCGTCCTCTACCCAATTCGGATCTTCTCCAGTCAATACACGCCTACACCTCGGACTTCTACAAATACACACTAGGGGAGAGCGGGAGGAGAAGTCACTATAGCATGAATGAATCTGCATTGCTGGCGGTGGGGATTCTAGTCGAGGAAATGGCGAAGGATGGCCTGGGCGACAACGGTCATTTGCTCATGATCGAACCGCAGGGTCTGAAGGGTGATATTAGCGGCAATGCGGAGGATTTCTTGCCTAAACGTGGTCGACCAGTCGGTTGGAGGGCGGATGTCGATGGAAAGAAGCCGAAAGCTCCCCGGCGCAAACGTGCTCAGACTATCATCCAGCCCAGGCGCAAACGACCCAGACTCGAAGAGCTCATCGGTTCCAACAGGAAAGGCAGGGGCACTTGAGAGGTTGCATTGTCGGTGGGGGCATGCAATAGTCCACCTTGCAGCACTTTGCAGTCACCTGCATATGATACGATAATATTCATTTATGGACAGTGGATATCTACTAATGCCAACTTGAAGACCAATGGCCATGGTTCGATAAGGATGTTATGGCATGCAGCCCGTGGGCGCTGTTTCGAAGGGTCGAGCTGCAGGTAGTAAGTCACAGTACGGAGTATAGAGTCTGGGACCGACTACTACTCTTACCGACTGGAGAGTCGATGCCAGCCAACTCAGCCAACCCAGCCAACCCAGCCCAACAGGCGAGCTAGGAACAGCAAGGTCGGATGCAGCGCCAGATTCGAAAATTGGTGGTCGCATTAACTGCCAGCCTGCACAAAAATCCTGGGCAGACACCGTTGCTGATCAGATTGATCTACCCCATGGCCTGGCCATCATGGCCATAGTACTAGTAATGATCTAGGGACCATGGACTAGGCTAGGATCACGCGGCCAATTGCCCAACCCAATTAGCGAATTTTCCAATCGATGAATCAACGCAGTTATGAGTAATCCAGGGTATACCGTATGTTCTACATACTCGTAGAGTACTCGTACACACTCCCAATCCCATTTCAGCCTTGTATTTTGGGTCGAGATTAAAGAAGGTTGAAACGGACCGTCCTCCGTAAAAGGAATTTCCTCAGCCGCTCCTCTCCACCTCCTCCACCCGCGAATTGCTTAACTCCCCCATCGTTTCACCCGATCAGGAATGGCTCACCGTTTGAGTTTCAGTTGATCTGATTTTAGGACTCTTTCCCTCGGATCCCTCGGGACCCATTGATCCTAGCCATGGTACGTGAATCCCCCCTTGGTCTATGGTGGAGGATTGGGCATGAAAAGACAACCCAAGAACCAACCCTACACCGAGACTACGCCTAACAAGTCTGACTGACGCGTCCAACAGCCACCGAAGCTATCGAAAAGTGACAAACAGGATCTCATTGTGGCGCATCTTCGGGCGTCTGGCACCTGTCACACACTGAAAGATCTGGAGAAATCACTCCCATCAGTAGCCTCGATCAACAGCATCCAGGTCAAAGAATACATCCAAGCACTAACGGACGAGAACCGAACCCGAATCGAAAAGATCGGCAGTGGGAACTGGTACTGGAGTTTTGGCAGTGATGAAAGAATCCAACACGAACGCCAGTTGGGCCGGGTGAAGACGGAAGTGGAGCAGGCCCGCCAGAGCAGAACCGACGCGGCGGAGGCCCTCGCCACTGAAACCACGCGACGGGAGGAAGAGGCCGATTCCGGGCTTGAACGTGAATCAGAGCGCATGGCACTGCAGGAGCAAAGAGCCGAGCTCCAGGCGGTGGTTGATCGGCTTCGAGCAGAAACAGCGGCAGCACAGCCCGGTGGTGGAGGGGGAGGTGGCGGTGGACTCGATTCAGTACGCAACAAGGGTGTCCTGCAAGTTCGAGAGGAGCTAGCGGGGTTCAGGCAACAGGCACTACAATGGACCGATAATATCTATGTCTTGGAAGAATATCTGCGTCGGCTGGCGAGCGGGGACCGGGAGATTATCAATGCGGTCCAACGCGACTGTTATGGAGACGAATACGTGGATGGGGGCTTACGCGAACTAAGCTAAAGAGGAGAGGGGAGTATAGGATACATCCAATCATCCAATACCAGTGGCAGTCGTCCCCCAAAGCCCGAGGGAAAGGAGAGAAAAAGGAGAAAGCTTAGCATTCTTAGTCTCGTGGCTCTATCACTTACCACCCACCCATACCCATAGGGTCACCACCACCACTATCACACCTATAACCTATTGTAGATTAATGCCCAAACTAAAATAAGAACAAAACTTGAAAGTTTACCAAGTGAAACGTGCCACCAAAAAGCCGAGTCACCCTGCCCAGGGACTAGTTCGAACCCACGAAGCTTGACTGAGCGAGTGTAGTCTGCGTAGTCTGCGGCTTATCGCGAAACTCGCCCTGCAACTTCCCCCGGGCCCCCTCTTCCCTTCCACTTCCACTTCCACTTCTTCCTCTCTCTCTCTTATCCTCAACTTCCATTCTCCCCATACTGCGCCACCCCTTCCATTCCTCCCCTTCTTCTTTCTCTCCTCTCTTCTCCCCCCCTTCAGCCACCCCCTCGTACCTAATTCGACTCCCAACTCAACTCCCCCGACTTGCTTTAGGCTCCCGGCGCTTACAGTCTCCCCCATCTCCCCCATCTCCCCCGACTCCCCGACTCCCCGACTCGTTCGCCCCCAACCCTCCGGCGACATTCGCGCGCTTTCTCAAGAAACAATGTGGTCGAGGGATCATCGGTCATAACTGCCTATACATCTGGCCTCGATTCTCGCCCGGATATACCCCGTTGAGTTGGAATCCGGTCCGTCTGCATCCCGTCCTCGTCCTCGAACGTCGGGCTCTCGACAACCAGGACGTGTGCAGTCCGTGCAGTCGCGCGGTCTGACGGCTTTCTCGATATCCTGATACTCTCCAGTCCAGTCCAGTCCAGGCCAGGTCTATCGCCCACGCCGCCACATCCACATTCTACTCAAGCATTCTCCCCGATAGATCGCCCTAGCTGTTTCCTTCTCCAGCCACGACCTCGAACGTGCTGTCAACCCCTCGCGATTGGATCTGCAGCTATCTGATTATCCCCTGTTCCTCTCACCCCACCCCACCTCTCATTTGGATCATCGCGGCAGTCTGTATAGATGCAGCGACCCCCGGCTGCGTGTCATGTCCTCCAACCCTCCCACCCAGACCACCACGTCTCCGGTCATCAGTCGGAATCGCAATTCCTTTCTTTCAAAGTTTCGCTCCCCGCTCGGTAATCGAAATCGAAGCGTCACCGATTATTACATCGATCTCGACGATCCCTGGCGCTCTTACTTCCCCGGCGATGTCATCAAGGGGACCGTGATTATCACCGTCGTGCGCCCGGTCCGCATCACCCATATTGTCGTCTGTCTCCATGGATTTGTCAAGGTCTTTAAGAATGCGATGCCTGCAGGTGAAGTGGCACCAGATCTGGGTTATCTAGGCCCGGGTCGTGGCCGGCGCGGCGCGGAATACATGGGCAACGGGTTAGCGAGCTTGTTCGAGGATGAAGTCGTTCTCTGCGGCGAAGGACGCCTTAAGGAGGGTATCTACAAGTTTCGTTTCGAAATGAGCCTCCCACCTTATGCTCTCCCGAGCAGTATCAACGTGCGCATTCACTTCTTGTCTACTCTTTCCCCCAAATGACTGACTGACCGATCTCATCCTTTCTAGTTCGAGCGAGGCACTATCTCCTACTCCCTAACTTCCACCCTCACCCGACCGACCACGATGAACCCTACACTCACCTGCCGAAGACGGGTCAATCTTCTAGAAAATATCGACATTGCGCCCTTTCCTGCCCCCAAGGCCCGCATCGTCACTCTCGAACCAATCTCAAAACGCTCCAAATCCAAAGCAAAGGCCAAGTCCGTTGCCTCCGACGCCACCCCAGGACCCGACACATCCTCTATAGATACCCCGGTCAGCGGAACTGCCGCTTCAGTCGACAACCGCCCGCCACTCAGCCCGTCACCTAGCAACGTCAGTTCTTCAAGTCGACCGAGCAACAGCAGCCAGAGTTTTCACATCGCCAGCGACCCCAGCTCGTCAACGAGTACAGGTGGCGGGCGCAACAGCGAAGGTCGCAGTGCGACCCCGTCTGTCTCAGATCGCACAATCACCGCCAAAGCCGAGGTTCTACGTGCTGGTGTGCTACCGGGCGACACACTACCCATCAAAGTTACTATCAACCACTTCAAACAAGTGCGCAGCGCGCAAGGCATTGTTGTGACTCTCTACCGGCAGGGCCGTATCGATCTTCACCCTGCCATCCCGATAGGTTCCACTGGGAATGGAAAGAAGCCGGTTTATGAGGATTGCTATCCCCGGTCCCGCACAGGGCTTGGTGGATTGACGTTGGGCACCAGTCGCACCAGCAGTACCTTCCGCAAAGACCTATCTCAAACATTCGCACCGCTCATCGTGGATCCTAGCAACATGACGGCAACCGTCAAAACATCCATCCGAGTTCCCGAGGACGCATTCCCGACCATCACTCGCGTTCCCGGCGCCATGATCAACTTTCGTTACTACGTGGAAGTCGTGGTCGACTTGCGAGGCAAGATCACCTCCCCAGACCGTTTTATCCCACGCTTTAAAATGGTATCAGGCGGCAGCAATTTCTCCCCCAGTGGTCAGGTTCTGAATCCGGCTGACGCCAACGGGAATAACCTCACCGCCAATTGGGCAGGAAATATCTTGGATACGGATCATATTCGCCGGGAAAAGGGCGTGATTTCGGTGGCTTTTGAGGTGGTTGTCGGTACGCGAGATTCGCAGCGCGGCCAATCTTCGCTAGAACGCACTACATCCAACGTCGCTGAATCCACCACATCTCAAAATGCCCAACCTGGCGCAACAGGGGCTTTGATCAACCCCGTTGATGGAGAGGAATGGCCCGAGGCCAGTCCGATGCCTGTCTCAAGTGCTGAGTATGGCCAAGAGGACTATGGATTCCCAGAGGGGGCTTGGTCTGAGTACCCTGAAGAATATCACGAATATCCGCAACCGATAGCGCCCATTGGGCCCATGATGGCTCACCCCGAGGTGGAAGAGCCCGTGGACGAAAAGACTCGACTACGACGACACGAGGAGGCTCTGTTGCCTGGTGGGCCAGACGAGGACGAAGCAGGGCCCTCGAACGCCGAAGTGGCGATGCCGACAGCGCCTGTTCTACCGGAGGACCATCTGCTGCAAGACTATGAGCATCTACCTTCTCCCGGTACTGAGGGCGTCTCGCACGCAGTTCCTCACCCGGTCCGATCTGCTGAGTCTTTGCAGACTATCGTTGTCAACGGCAGCGCTCCCGAAGCCAGCGAACCCTCCGCTCCGAGCGAAGACAAGCAGGAACTGGAGCGGCAGCGATTGCTTGACCAGACAAGCGCACCCAGTGCACCGCCGGAAGAACCGAATGGCATTGGCAGTGGCAATGTCAATGGCAATGGCAATGGCCACGGTCACGGCGAACCCGGTGAGGGTCCAAGCGCTCCGGTGTTTGATGAGGACGACCAACTCGTTGGCGGCACGGCGCACGCGGACGAATCCCTACCTCGGTATCAGCGATGAGGAGAGGATCCGATCTGTTGTTCAAATCATTTTATTATTATTACTTGTACATTTCGCATTTTGGGGCCAGGACATGGAAGATACCACTACTCGCATATTTCTGAACACACGGCGCGAGGCGTTAACCGAATGTAACATATGGAGATAGCGATAGCTCAGCTATATACAATCATACGATTATTTTCGTATTCTACTATTCTACTATTCTTTTCTATGCTTTTCTTTATTATCGTCTATTTTACTCTATTTTACTCTACTCCAACTCCAACTACCACCCTACTCCTCTTTAAACACTAAACAGGTGGCATCAACCGAGTGGCTTATCTCCACGGGGAAGGCCTTGGAAGCCTTGGCGCCCCAACTCTGCCTCGAACGATAAACCTCATCTCCCCCTGTCACCTCCTCCTCTCCCCTCCACCTCCACTTCTACCATCACTTCAAAATGGCATTCAAGAGCGGGTCGTTCGCGACCTTCCTCATCCTCTGCCGTTAGTCCTATCCCCATCCATAACCCCAATCCATCCCTCCACCCAACCACCAACCACCAATCCCCATTTCAAATCAACCCCCGACCCGGACCCCAAGTTAACCTCCCCTCTTCTACTAGCAACCTGCTTCTTCCTAGGAATAATCTTCTCCCTATTCCCATACGACTACCCAATCCTCTGGTCAACAGTAACAACCCCAGCAAGCCACTATGACTACTTCGAAGCCCACCTCCGCTTCCTCCACGCCAGTCCACCCCTAATCCCACGAATCCTCCACATCGTAATCTTCCTCGGTCTCGCGGGCCTCGTGACAAAACTCTACCGCCCCACCGAATCAAACATGCTCTTCGACGGCGCCTCGCTCGTCCTCTACATGTGCGGCATTACAGTCTACATCGCGAATATCGTCAAGGGACTCCGTCTCGCGTCGGCGGGTCGGTATGGTGCCGATCTTTCCAGCGGACCGGATGATAAGGATCAGATTCTGGGCCGGGAGGATTCGCTTAAGGTTCTCGCTGCTAGTAATACGATCTTGGCGCTTGTCCTGGTCGGTATTCTGGTGTTGCAGGCCGGGCAGTGGTATGCGGAGCGTAAGGATGCGCAGGAGTTTGAGAGCTTTGCGGTTGGGAAGAAGGATAAGCATGAGGGGGGTGCTGAGGGGGTGGCGAGTGCGAGTTCGTCGGGGGTTAAGCCTGGACGGTCGGGGAGTCAGAGGAAGAAGAGTAATTAGGTGTGCTTTTGGTGGGTTGGGGTTTGAGGGTGTGGTATCTTCTTCTTCTTCTTCTTCTTCTTCTTGCTTCTTTTGTCTTTCTTGGGGGGATGCGCTGGGCTGGGCGGCTTAGGCTTAGGCTTACTTGCCTTCCAACTTCGTGCATCTTCGAGGTCAATGGTTTCATTATTCTACGGAGTATACTGTACGACTCTCTTCTCTTTGTCTGCCTAATTGGTTGAGGCTGCTCTACACCCCGGGTCGAGAAGGAAAGGCATTTTACTTTCAGCTGTGACTTTTTTATGGTTCTTGCATTGTGAATTCTCGAATGGATGTCGAGTTCGCATGTTCTATGTACACAGGTCCCCTGGTGGCGCACTATGGCATTTGTCTGTACGATGGATGTGGAATGAAATGCAGAAATTGAAAATGGAAATTGCCTCGCAAGTGTCATGGATGGGCGTCTGGGATGCTGTACCCAAACGTATCGTATCGTGTCGCAGGATCAATGCGGGTGATGGATGATAAATGGTAAATGGTAATGGTAAATAATGGAAGATCAGACCAGATTGGATCAGATTGGATCGAAACCAAGGTTGAACAGATCAGATCAATATGAAGATAGCAGGTAGATGTTGGGAATAATGTCGTCACATCGCAGAAGGGGAATCATAAGTGGCAGTGCAGGTCATAATGAAGGGTAATGGTGACAACAATGGATGTCAAAACAAGGCATATAAATGCATGAGATGAGATGGGATGAACGATGGTGTTTAAGCGAATGAGAATGGGCTGCGGGGAAGATCTGGCGAGCGCGGGCTCAGGGCCTTCGCGAAGAGATCTTCGCCTGAGTCGGCGCTGGAAGTACGCACGATAGAACTCATGGAGCTGATGGGTGCGAAGCCAGGCGCGTCGGTGCTGTTCTGCGCTTCTTGAAGAGCTTCAGGCGGGTGTAGTGCGACGGGCTTGAGGGACTCCGGTACTGATGGGTTCAGCTGTGACATCGGCGTTGGGGTAGGGTTCGTATCTGGAGTTGGCATGGAGTGCGGTGCGCGTTTCGCGGCATTTCTGAATGCACTGAATGACGAAACCGCAACGTCTGGCGATTGCGGCGAGAGAAGATGTGCTGTGTTTGGACTCGAGTCTGGTGATGATGATGTGAGTGACGCTGACTGCGGCTGCGAGACAGTAGATAACTTACTGTCATTCGCCGACAAGTCCTTCTCGCTGGTCTGCAACTTCAGTCCCTTGAGCTTGTCGGTCAATTTGCGCCCACTAATGGGTGAGACTGGCGTGGCTGGTCCTGTCGGGAAAACAGAGTTAGAGGTCGACGACTCGCGGCTGCTAACGATGTCGCCGCCTCGTGCGGTGACTCCGAAGTTCGTCTCAATCCATTCTTGCTCTTGCATTGCCATATGCACTGCAACCCCCTCCACATTGTTTAGGCATTCGGCATGGATTTCTCGCTCGAGGACGCGGAGGCGCTTCTTCGCCCAGATCGTGTGTAGGACTCCTTTCTTTCCCGCCGAACGACCGGACACTCCCAACTCAGGAGGGAAGATGGCGGGGAGGGGATTCAATTGGAATGAATCGCGGGACTGTGGGGGGAGCAACATCGGGCTTGTCTGAAGAGTCTCGGGGTTCGTAGAAGAGTGTGACGTTCGGAGGGATGGTGACGTTTGGTGGAAGCAGAAAGTAGAAACGACGAAGGCTGTCACTAGGTCGATCATCTGCGGGTAAGACTGTAGTCTTGCCGGTCCACGAGACATGCCACGACCCTTCAGCTGCAGAGCGGGTCAAGTCGTCGTCCTCCCATTCGATCATGAGGATCTTAGTGCCATCGTTACCCTTTCCGGCTTCGAATTCGAACCGGGCAAGGGCGGTTATGGAGAGTGTGCTCCCGTTGAGACCACGAGGTGTCTCCAGGTCAGCAAATTCACTATCTGGAGTGAAGGTGGGCGGTGCTTGAGCCATCTCGGTGCAGGATGGGCACAAATTTGGAGGGAGGGGAGGGGGCGCACGGAACACAGAATCGGGTCGTCGGGGGTGATCTAGATAGGCTGACGCGCCGCTCGATGCCGGTAGAAAGTGTATGGGGGCAGAGCCAGGCTGAGTCCACGGGTTGAGGAGGTGCAACGGTTGGAGGGGGAAATGAAGGTGAAGTGCGGGTCAATCAAATCACGGGATTCCCCTACGGAGGACATACTCGATGCTTTGCCGCTTTCAATGTGCAGTCCCTACTGATCCTAGCCGCTTCGAGAGGCCCTTCGAACGATCTCGACGATATAATTCGTGGATATGCGCAAGGTCAAGCCCGCTCGCTCGCCCCCCGCCTCTATTAATAGCACCAGCCCGCCATGTGTTTCTTTCTTCAGCTGCTGGTGCTTCCTTTGAAGACTTGATAAAGAGCATTCGGCTCTCTTCTCCCTCGAAATATCAAAGCTCATATAATTTTTCATTGTCCAGGTTTCTTTATGGGAATCGCAAGCCGACAGAACTCCCTGAAAGAGTGCCTGAATGGGGTGTTCTCGAAGATCTATTTTTGGCAAAATGCAATGTGATGAAACGTGACCGGCATGCATCTCATCACCATTTCCAATCCCCTTTCATTTATCTCAAACTGCAAGATCGCGCTTCAAAGCTCAAATCATGGGTTTGATATCTTTGTGCGTAGCTCTCTAATGTAGACGTTGAAAATGGCCGCGTTGTGTAAAGTATGCTTCTACTAGGTAGTATTATAGTATGCCTACATAGTACTAATACTACTCGTCGGTGAGTGGCGTTTCTACTGCCTCAGTAGATGTATTTGAATCATACATTTTATGAATCGCCTTTACGTATATCGGGACATAAAGGCTCTCCGAATCTGCGTCCATAATTGCAAGACGAGCTCTCCGGAGCTTGAACTCATACAATTATACTCTCTACCAGGGCACTGTTATGAAAGGTATGTAGACAAGTTTGCTCGATCGATCTTTGAAGAGAGTTACTCACTCTTCCAAGGTCCAATAAATCTGCTCTGAATACATCGAGCGAGGAATAAGGCGTTTATCACACCCCAAGCAGAGATGGCTGGCTTGTATCAGATTTATCTAATGGTATACTAAGTAGTCTTTGAAACATTGGAATCAATCTTAAGTGCCTCGGGGGTATGAAATCCACATGAGACTCAAGTTTATGTTTGGTTTAAAGAAGAGCTCATACAAAGGTTGATGTGAACCGGACAAAAGTGGTCAAGGTATTCCGTAGACTCAATGATTTATCAATCTGAATGACTCTATCCTCCTGAGGTCCGGGTTATGCATTCAAGGATTCGTTCATTACCCTTCTCCTACCTAATTAATGTTGAAAGAAGACCTGTATACTAGTATTCTTTCCAAGTGAGCCCCGCGCGTGAGGACCTGGGTTGAAAAAGGACAAGAGTCAACGACCCCGAGGCCAAGGCTCAATTGTCAACTCTGGCAGACTACTAGTAGATAGCTTAACAATTAATTGACAAGATAAAACCTAACGAGATAAACAGATCACCAATTGAGTCACCATATTATTTCATGCACTCGCTCGAATGAGACACAAATTAGATGGATCTTCTTTGGCAGAAAGACGGAGCTGCCAAAATGATGCCACGTCGCATCTATCACTCCCAGTATACCTTTTTTAGATAGAGCAACATGCCGCGCGCATGGAAATAGTCAATGTGACGGAATTCAAAAGCACATCTTAATTTAGAATCAATAGCGAAGCTAAAGTCATGAAAACATCGAGATAGGGCTGGAGTGGGACGTTGTATCATACTGTATCGTACTGAAGGGCCGTTTCTGAAATGAAATGTGCATTTCAACACCAAAACAATTGATCTGTGACATTGGATTGGATGAAAGTAACCTAGAACTGGAGTTACGAAACATAACCAAAAAGCTGATGCTGCAGCGTGCCATTCTAGTGCCGATGGGTATGGTCAATGTTGACCGCGGGAAGTGGAAGACATCACGAATAGTATGCAGCTAACAGGGGGCGGGAGAGCTGCCCTGCATATTTCGTGGATCTGAATATCTAAAATTATCAACAGGCTGACGTTTTGGTTCTAAGAATAGTCATTCGAAGAGGGGGAGGGGAGGGATGTGGACAGGATCAACAGTAAGTAGTTGAGAGGAGTTCAAAATTTGGTGGCAGAAATTCTGGAACTAGAAATCATCCATAATTTTAGACCAATCACAGAAGCTACTGAGCATAGTGTTAACATATCAGCCCTGTGCCTTAGCATGGGGAATCACGAAAGGCATGCATTAGTTTCCAGCTCGTCCATATGCAAAGTGGCGGTCGCAAGCCTGAATTCGCTGCAGTCGGAACTGTGATTCGTTGATACATAATTACTAGGAACACTAACGGGATATTTTTGGAATCCATACGACTCTAAGTCGATCACAATATTAGCAGATAGAGGGAAGCGCTCTGTTGGCGTTCTTGCTTTTCGAAAAGTGCTATTATTAACAACTAAATTGCCGCCCACGAATACCCCACACCGGAGGCCCCGCGGTATGCTTTTTTTAGGAGCAACACACATATTTTACTTTTGCAAAAAGTGATATTGAACATAGATTCTAAAGCTCTGTCCAAGGTTGAATATTCATTTTGAAAAAGAAATGGTTATTGTGAAGGGAATCGTGAATAGCTCAACTCTAGACTTCGTATCCGAGAACCAAACTCGCCATACCCCAACTTGATGGGCTTAATGGCCCCTCAAATAAAATGATTGAACAGGTGAGGTTCAGATTGGAAACTTCCAAAAATAACGCCCCGTCTAAATCTCCACTGAAGAAGACATGGGGTTTGCGCGACAATCATAGGTCGGATTCAAGAGCGCATCGAGATAGCTATCACGCCGGGCTATTTTGGGTCACACCATTTACGGTAGAGATAGTTTGGGCGCGTCAAAAAAGTGGTTGATCGACCCTTTGAATGTCATGGAAGGGCACGTTCAAAGGACGGGCGTCGAGGAATGACGTTTCCAGCTACTGACCTACCGGCAGGGGTGGAGGCATACGTTCCTTGCATGCGACCGGGTGATACTAAATTTGGAGTCTTCACAGCTGGGGTCATGATCCCTGTTTGAGCTCTCCTGACTACCGCCTGTTCCCTGCCTCTGCTTCGTGCTGTGAACAAATTGCAGGATCAAAGTGGGCAGCAGTGTGATGAAACGCTGTCGGCAACGTAAATGGAGTCCTCGACTAGGCGTAAGGTTCCCGCTTGATAAAACTATTGAACCGTACCGATCGAGTTCAAGGGACTGATTCGCTGTCTATCGCTCGTCGGGCCCCCATCGTCCGTGATGTGATATTGACTAAATGTTTCCGACCGTTTATTGGCCAAATTGGAGGGATGGGAAGCACATAGAGCACAAAGCCTAAAAACGGTCTGTACTTCCTCCCAGACCAAAAATAGCCCAAAATAGCTCACCCCTCCTTATACCTGCAGGAGGATGTAGTCGAGGACCAATCCTTTCACTTCCCTACCGAGGTGGGTCGAGCAGGGAGCCCGACAGCCTGATCCCCCGCGTGATAGCCCCGCTGCACTCAACCAATAGTGGGAAAATTTGTGACAGTTTTGCATTTCCGGCATACGCTAAGCATATATCGAATAGCGCCGGCGCTTAAATGAGATTGATGAGCGGTCCGACAGTACGGACCACCAGGTTCTCGGTAGCGATTGGATGGAACTATAGAGGGGATTTCGTTTGATTCTGATCATCCAACTGTTGTTGGAAGCATTCGAAATGCCAGCTCACATTGAATATTTCTTGATGGGACAAATCGGGTGGCTCAATCGTGTCACTTGTGAGCATGCGGGGTGGAATTCGACCTGAATCATTTTTGAGCTTCTTTCTGGGACGCTGTACAATCAGACGAGCCTTCTTGCTGTAAGATTTGTCGTCATGCGTACTGGGTCTTGTCTGATGGTACCGAAATTATCCTCGTAATTTGTGGCCCACCATGTTCTTCCTTATGCCCTGTATGTCCATTTGAAATGAATGCATCGGTCGCCATGTGAGGATGGATCTCAATCATTGTCTCCATTCTCATACTTGGTGCCTAGGCCCACTAGAAATCCCACCTCTGCATTAGTATTCAACATGAAGTTCTCAAGATTGATTATCCGTGACCTGTACATACGTCCACCGGGGACTTGTTCACCCCATTTACTACAACTCATAGTAACCAGCTTTTCACTTTTATATAAGTCACCCTGCTTTCATTAAGACGCTCAAAGGAGAATAGCAGTTCACCCCGTGACTTGGATTATATGTAGGTGTACGAAGCTGGCTAGCCTTGCGTAATCTCCGATCTTTTCGTCAGACGAAATGGGTACGATACGTGTGTAAATACACTTGTGTATTTAATACATAGCGTATGTATCAGCCTTGGGACTCAGGCCGTGTCGGTCATAACACCAGCCCAGTTTACAAGATCAAGAAAAGGGTGGTGGCTGAGGGACCATTTCTTTTCAAGCGCTTATGTCTGTGTTGGCTCTGAGAAAATGGCTAGATTGATGTGCTGTAAGCGACTCCTTCGAGTCTAAAGCCTTCTCACTACCAGGCGGCTCAAGTACGGGGCTTAATAATGGGGCTGGAATCTACCAGCTCTCTATTACAGGGCAAATGTCAAGGGAGTGTGGCGTACAAATGGTTCTATGATTTGTCGCTGTTCCCCTAGCGTTCCGTCCTGTTGGCGCTCGCATTGTTCCAAGAGCTTCGTGGTCCCCAAATTCTGCGTCGATTCTACGAGTCTAGGCCCATTATAGTAATTAGCACGGCCTAGGAAACGCCTTGACACACACAGGTCTCTGTGCAATGGGACATGTCTAATAATGATAGGGCAATTGTGTGCATATAATGCCATTAGCGTAGCTATTCTGTCAGCCCATGGCGAAGTCAAACACTCGCTACCAAGCTATCAGACTTGATTTATTGCCGAAGGGCGCCTATTCTGGCGTCCTTTAATATAGACCTCTGAAGCTTGAACCAAGAGTCTGAGTCTGGAGTGTAAGGGTCAATTTACAAAGGTCGGATCCATATTTTGCTTGAGCCTCTCGGGAATAACAAGTGCATTGCATTAGTCTGATCTAGATGCGGCCAGGATCCCCAGGCTCCACCGTACCTTGTACTGTTGGTTTCTCATAGCTAAGCCGCGAATACCAACAATTCATGCGGCTAACACGTGGAAATTCGCCGGAGGAGTTCCGGAGGTAACCATTGCCTTGGGTTTGATCATGCTTTCGAGATCCCTGGCGCATATAGGATTACCGAAACTGGCCCTAGCAATCCTTCCGTTGCTATGACTCTTGATGTTTTACAAATAGGATCAGATTTCTAACCAACATCACTAGCTAAATTCCGTTGGTACCGCGGCTCTCTGACATGGCTACGCTGAGGCCCATGGCTATGCTTCTTAGGTTCCACGTATGTAGCTGTATTTTATCATGGCGCCAATATTTTCAGCCATGGAACAAGATTAAGTTACACATACCTTTTCAAATGCTTCAATGGAATATGTAGGAGGATAATGAGAATGATTGATCCTATTGATTGTGACCCATAGGATAGTAGTAGTTATATCTTGCGGCGCAAACGCAAATAGTGTTAATAATTCATTGTTGTTTGGTAATAAATTGGTTGCGACCAAAAAGTTAACCGTTGTAGCCCCCACGTAACGACCAGAAAAGATGGCCTTGCATTCCCTTTGCTCCGCCACCAACAGTAAAGCAAATAAGACATTGGACAAAAATGAATACACGTCAGAAACTCCATTCCCAATCCACCAATCCTTCGCATTGCAGGAAATCCCGGTTGGGCAAAGAGGCATTAGGCATTAGCCGAAAACAAAAAAAAAAAACAGGAACCAATGGCGCAGGTAAACAAATGCAAATCCGTTCTAACAAGGTCGTAAACACTCCGCATTTGGACAGTCGCATGACATCCCCGACAGCCAGAGCGATTGTAGTAAAAGATAGAACAGAAAAAAAAAACAACCAAGACGCTCCAGAATGCAAAAAGCTCCGCCCCCACTAACATTGGGGGGGGCTCGTGTACGCTTTTGATCCATGCACTAGTCATCCCGACTTTCGCTGGTCTTGCGGCGCTTGCCCTTAGGCGGGGGTTCCAAATGTGTACGCTTGTATGTCACAGTTCTAGTCACAACCTGGCGCACGCTAACGGACTTGCTACCCGCACTCCTCGGCGTTTCGATATAGCGAATTTTCCAATCGGAAGGAGTGTAAGGGGAAAGAATGGTACGTGCACTGCGGGGCGAGTCTGTCATCGGCGAGTAAGCACATGATGGCGGGATGCGCAGACGGCGGAGAGAAGGCAACCTTGCAGACTGTGGGCTGGGTGATTGTTGACTTGTTGCTGGTGAAGGTGGTGGAATGGCACTGGTTGTCTTGGGGCCATCGCTCGATGCGCTCGATGGGACAGATATCGGAGAAGGTCTTCGTTTCTCGAAATTAAATCGTTTGAATTCCACACCTGCACTGACGGGGCTGAAGACGGGCGTCAGTGCCTCGAGAAACTTTTTGTAAGAATCCGGTGGTGTAATAGAGCTCGATGAGCTTGCACTGTCTTCTTCACTCTTGATCTGCTCGGATGTCGCGGTGAGGGGGGGTGTCATGAAGCTCGGAGGGGAATGTCATGGTTTTGGGTGTTTTGAGAGGATGAAGGACAGGTTTAGTGGACGGCATGATGGGCAGATTGGCTTCCCCGGAAAGGTAGCAAGATATATGCGACAGGTGAGGGTTGTGGGAGGCGAAGGAGAGAAAATGAAAGAGTGAAATGGGGTTGACAAGTACGTCAAAGCGCAGCGCAGCACAAGCGGTGGCGCGGGCGGATAGAAATGGGCAGGGTGAAAGATATAATTGGAAAATCGACGTCTTATAATGCAGTCAGGCAGTTTAGCGGAGTGGGCTGTGTCTTAGCTGCACTAAAAAAAACCAGAAGGATCTCGGCGTGAGTAGGGAGATAAGTTGGAAGAATTTCGTGGCAAGTCAAATCTATAAGAGCGCCGGAGCAAAGCGTCACAAGGGCCGTATGGTATAAAACGAGTGGTACTATACGGTATCGTTGGTGCCAGACAGTAACGATACTGTATCTTTTTTTTAAAACGGGGCTGCTCTTGAATCAGGTTAGCGCTTCCAGTCTGGTGGGAGTCGTGGAGTCAGGATCTCCCCACCTGGATTGCCTAGGCGTTATCCCTAATGGGGATGAGGGAAAATAGAAGAGAAGAACTAACGGTGGGAAACTAAGATTTTCACCCCGCTTTGATGGGCGTGGATGCTGATTGGCACAAGACTTTGTGATGTGTTGACGATAGACGTGGAGAAAGAGAGAGAAAAGAAACAAAAGACCGGGAGACTCAGTCCAGCTGAAATTCGTGAGACGTGAAGTGAAATAGAACTTAAAGAGAATGATGGATGCCTAAGAGTCGGGAGGGTTGTGTCAATGGTTATAAATCTCCCATCTCCCATCTTCCAGCCGCGTGGCTTTGAATAGGAGTGGGATCGGCGATTAATTGATCTTGTCGGGCGCCATTTGAAGCACTTCTACTCCCTACATTGGTCCATGAGACATTCGTCAGACCCCTAGGCTGTTTCATGTCGACCCTGGCCAGGAGCAGCGCCGCTTACTCACCTGTCCTGGTTCGCCATGACTAAAGCGCGCGGTTCCTCCTTAAATTGCAGCGGTTCGCTCAAGCCACCTAGCCACCTCACGAACAAAACGAAGAATTGTCGCTGAATATGCTTGATAAAACTGCCAAGGCTATGCAGTCGCCCATTGTGAGCTCCTCTGATCTAGGGGGGACAGTCAAATTCTAAGAATGCCGTTGTTCTTCGGCAAATCCTCTCCAATGATCAAGCAGCGGAAGGCAAGCCTCAAACAGCATGATAGCAATGCTTACCTTCTATTTACTGGGCTGATGCCACTACACTATTTAGTTCAAAATCCAATGCCTCCAGTGTTATTTCTTCACTTTGCTGCTCATGAGAGGCATGTTGGCGCTATATTAATATTTTCATGAGCATCTCAAGGAGCAGATTCGCTTTGAAGTGCGCACCCTTCACACCGTTAACAGAAAAGTTTCTGCAGACACGAACAAGATACTCCACGAGATATACCTAAGCGCTGCGTTTCATCTCTAGGGGTCCAACAAGTTGCAGCTTGATTTCGATGATCCCAAATATAGTTCGAGGAAAAGAGCCAATCGCTCGTATCTCATCGGTAGCCGCCATTCATTTCAAAACACGATCCCCCGAGATACTCATCAGGTTCTATTTTGAGATATTACCATTCACAAATAGGCGCTCAGAGTCTGTGATTATTTGGCATCGTCGCTATGGAGACGACCAACTTGTACGCGCTTCTTCAGTACGTCCTGAGCAAGCAAATTGTGTAAGTAGGTCACTTCGAAACTAAGATTGAATTGTCAACCCGACTAGTCTGCTTTAAAGGAACAGATACTGGATGGACAATACACCTCCATAATTACTGAAACTATTATCTAAGGCATGTGGATGTCCGTTGCATAGCAAAGATATTACTGAGGAAGTGATCTTCTAACATGTGATCTTTCTTGTTTTTCAAGTTTCAGTGACTAGATCGTCTAGAAGATTCTTTAATGCAAATATGCTGCTGAAGTCTTCTTTCGAACTCTTTCTGGCGATGGAAGTATGTGAAGTCTTGTTACAAATCTGCTAAACACCAGTTATGGGGTAGTGGTATAATAATTTTGATAGCCAATCATGAGATTGATCAAGAATTGATATCTTCCCAATAGACTACGTACTTTCTCTATGGCTAAATGACTATTTAAATTGTTAGCAATATGTTTAGAGCCAGGGACTCGAGTCCGTCGGATGGTAGCTTACAGAAGCATCCTCCGCCTCGTTGGGAGTTTAGATAACTCTAACAATTAGCAATAATTCGAATAGAACATTGGCAAATAAGTCAGCACATTAGCAAATAAGTCAGCACATTAGTATTCTATTTATCAGACTCGGCAACCCTTTTCTTTCTCCAAGAGGCTGACTTAAGTGAAACCTAATTAGCTCTAAGAGTCACCGATTTCATGCTATGATCGCGACTTGAATAGATCAACGGAATCGGCTCTGCATTGTTGTGTGTCCTCCCTTCTTGCTCTCATTTGAAGCGGGAATAGCTTTTGTGAATTCTAATTTTTCTAAGTAACCCAGAACCAGCCCCTTGAAAGAAATCAGAAGCCTCCCAGCCCACTCCAACTGGGTTTAAAGAGTTTGCATGTTATAACTACAGCGGCGTTGCAAAATTTTGAAACCCCCTATTGCCCACCATTATCGACCGTCTTCTAATAGTAGCTACTCGTTCCCCTTGGGAAGGCAGAGATCAGGGCGGTCAACAAGGGGTTTCAAACTTTTGTAGCACCACTGTAGGTAGTTATACTCGGGATTGTTCATATTGGGAATTTGTAGTGACTGGAGAGTATCATATCGAGAAATTTACAACTACGAGATCCTGGCCAAGTTCAAAAGGTTATTCGATAGCCATAATTTAATATTTAAATTCATATCCAGTATGACAATGGTATAATGCGTGATGCAGAAAAGATAGCTATTCGCCTCGTCAACTCCAACGGCCTGTAACCGCAAATTCCCGAAAGGTATTCCATAACGCCGAATCAATAGTAAACTCAAAACTCCGAGTATTCATCAAATCCATCCATGTTGCTTTTAAATAAGCAGGTGCTTCCAATCGTTTCGCTTCATGATATCACGCCAGTGCACACTTTGCTTCTTGATTGCCCGTCCAATAGTGATAGTGGGCCTGTCTGGAGACGAATCCTCTTGTTTAAGACCAGACCGCTGGCTTTCGGTTCCACTAGTTGGGGACAGAGAATTATCGTCAGAAAGTCTCCATACTTCTTGCAGAAGTCGGTACATCCGACCAAAACTGCCGAAATCGCCGATTTCACCTAGCGCAATGACCCTATCGCTCAGGATACCACGGAACTCGCTCATCGGTGTTGAATAAGAGCCGGCCATTAGAATTGGCCATACAAGAGAGCGATCGAAGCCGTAAGGGCCCGCAGGGATAAATTGCAAGGCCTCGGCAATGGCAGTAACAAGATTCACACTGCTAGGTTGGTTGCGGTCAAATCCAGGTACTAGACTTAATAGGTAGAGGCGAGCAGCGAGTCGGAAAATAGTGCTCATGTTCATGGTCAGCTGTTCTGGCTGAATGCTTCCAGTGCAGGTGTAAGGGTGGTCGAGTGTTGGATCAGCAGGCTCAGTATGATCTAGTTGAGCACCAAGAGCAGAGACATGGTGGCAAATCATGAGATCATCGAGTCTACCTTCGTTTTTCAATGATTCCAGGCATGATATCTCAGATATCAAATACATAATTCGGTCATCGCATCCCATTAGTTCGCGCAGCCCCGACGAAGTCCCACTTAGATGCTTCGTTCGGTAGTTGTGCGCAAACTGCGGAGTAGTGCCAATCATGGTCGCTCCCAGTATATCAATCCACGTCGCCAGAGACTTAGTGAAAGGATTGATAGATGGATATATGGTGGTGCCAGTATGAATTGATTCTTGCATATCCAATCTGGTGACCAGATTCGCTGCAGCAGAAAAATGATCACTCCAAGGAATGTCGGGTAGACAGTCATCAGGCGCACCGACAGAACTTTGAAAGAAGATCATGGCCAACGCTGCATCCAAAATATGCTCATGGTCGGTATCCTGAGACAGAGCTTGGGATAGGGAAGAGATAGCTTCATATCGGTGTCGCATTATATCGTGATCGATCTGTTCAGGTGCTAGGCCAACAGTGCTCTTCAGGTGAATGGCAGCAACACTCAGGCAGCAGTGGAGGTACGTTTTGTTGGTTTCAAGTGAATTTAGAATCGCCTTTGCCCGTGCTAGGCCTTGTTGATTGACTTCAAGGATCGGAAATATCATGCGCAGCACGTTCTCGAAAAAGTGATCCAAGAGTGGCCTGTCGTGATCTTCGACAGGAATCGTCATTGTGTGGAAGTAGGATACTGATGCCGACTGAGGCGGTTGGGGAAAGTTGGATTCAATTTCACCATCGGGCCCGATTTGGTTGAAACATTCCTCGTGGATCCAGTCATCTCCGTGGAAATTGGGTAAAGTGGCGTGTAGTTGTGGTGGCCGCATGGCATTGAAAGTAGAAACCGAGGAGTCATGTCTCAAGGGCACATCGTTAATAAATGTCTGTCGCTCAGTTCGAACATCCACCTCATAGGGACCATATTGGGGAGGGACGGTTGCGGAATGCGGGAATGCGGGAGTTTGGACGTGAGACGCCAGTGGATCATAAGGGTCGGTTAAAGGCGCACGATTAAAGTCATACTCTGCGACTAATGGTGGCGAGATCGAAGCAAATCCAGAACTGCCCTCTAAGAGTAAAACTTTGATCAAAAATATGCGCATTGTATGAAGAATGAATCGATGTCCTACCTTGCTTCGAATCGCGTCGTTCAAGCGATTTGGTCTTTTTTATTATGTCCTTAACACGCTCTTTTTGCATTCGGCGCTGCTCTGCGCTCGCCCACCACATTGGTCTCTTATATTCGCACTTCAAACTCAGGTTGGTACAGGCCTTGCAGGAGGGGTGGCCCTCGTCGCATTTCTTTCTTCGTAAGCGACATGTGAAGCAACCTAGATAAAATAGGGTTAGACCGTTGACCAGCAACTCAAGACACAAAACTGGCTGTCGGGAACGAACCTGAGCGCGAACGCTTGTGTAACTTTGTCGACTTTTCGGAGTTGGAGTGTGTCGCGACAACAGTCCTCTGGAGGTTGATTGGCTTTGGCGCCGATGCGGTAGTTGGTTTGGAATGAGGCATTTTATAGATTGGCTATAATAAAGTGATGGCGCAAATAGGCGCAAGGTTGAGGGAAAGAGTTTGGTCGCCAGATCGAAGGATGAGAGATAGATTCACAGAAAACCGCCAGCGGAGATTCGTGTTAGCTTGAGGGGAACGAGATTAATAAAAGTACAGGCGAGCCCTGTCTCCTGTGCCGGCCTTTCAGAGACTGGTCAATGTAGTCCGGGGTAGGATCGGGTTGGTGTGAGTGGGATGAACTGAGGCGGAATGTCTCATCTTGAAATGTTCGGAGAATGATGACTTTAAGACTAATCTGCGATCTAGCCTGCAGCTGGAGATGCTTCTATTTTTTGACAAGCTAGGCGAGCACTGGACCATCGAAGCCGAGAGGGCATGCGAACATGGGTGGGGATCTGCAGCCAGGACAAATGACACCTAAATTTGGGATCATTTCGAACAGGGATTAATTTGTTGTTGGTTCACCGTGCGTCTGTGGATTTGATCATCTCCAGTTCACACGCTTGCATTGAGAAAACCGGGCTGGATGTGTGATGCCAGGGGTCTATTGGCCAGGGTCTACAGATTGCATGTTGATTCAAGGTCATGATAGGCTGCTTGATCTCATCACAAAGTTTTAGCTCGGCTTGGCTTTTGTTATCACATTGTCCGTGCACGATGCATCCTCATCTCCACTTGTTAGTTAGCCCCAGCCATCCCCCGATGTGTAGTTCCCCGCCGCTAGTCATCGTCTGGTAGAAAATTTCGGAACTATGGGCTACCGAAAAATCTTGCCAAAAATTCCACGCTCGAATCTTGTACGATTTTGCAACATGAGGATACAGCACTCATTTGGGAGGATCAGACCACAAGTCGACTGTCACAATCCTTTCGCTTTGGGCGAGTCAGTTGGTCACAGTACGAGGAGGTGACGGCAGGCACATAAAGTGGAGTAAAATCGTGACTGGGCGGCAGCTGGTGCATGCCAAGCTTCCCAGTTCTGGGGCATAATTGGCTTCTTGTGATCTGCTTCCTATCGGCTCGGGCGGTGGGCCAAGTTCATCGTGTGCAGAACGGAGACTCGACAGCCAACCAACGGTGCTGCTCATTCGACCTGCAGGGCGGGGAAACTCTGATGTTGCCCAAAGGAACGCACCTGCAGATTCATGACCCTTAATTAGCAATAATTAGTAGCTAATATTGAGCAATCGATGAAACGCAAATATCCCAAAACTGTGCACAGTCAGTCGATCTTAGCCTGCAAATCCTTTTTTCATTCGAATTTGCTATTAATAACTTCTAGTAATTCCCTCACTGGCAACAGAAATGTCGGTAAATCATACCATTTGTTGCTAAATGTGGAACTATTATGAGTGTTAAGCGCCCATTTGGGGATATTGTAACATAATTAGCATCATTGGGTTTATTTTTGCTCCGATTTGAATAACGGGGATTTCTCCGTCCGAAGGACTGCAATGGTTTCATAACGGCCCAGTGTATGTATGTACATAGACAGTCATATCGTAAAGCCAGCTAAGGCCAGTTGTCTTCCAGAACATAGCAACCATCTGACCTGTCGGTATCTCTTTTCTTCGGCCAAATTTCATGCCCCTGCCCTAGAAAGTTCTTGTCCGTCCTCTGGAAACTATGTATCAAGTCCATCGGTTTCTCTTAAATTTATCAAAACTTTGGTCAGGCACTCGATCTATTCTCTTCTCTTTCCCCCTGTAGTTTTAGGTAGTCCTAATCGATTTTTCAGAAATTATGGGTAAGAGGTGAAAATTTCAATTGCAGCTACATTTACATACTGAGCCATGGACCTCGGGATATTTTGATCTAGTAGTATGTATGTACTGGCTCTGGTTGCACTACTATCAGTTATGGTGTGGCCAATGTGGCAGGTGATAGTAATAAGTTCATATGTAGGTCGACATACATGTTCGAACGGCGTTGACTCGATTCGGGATCTGCGGTCTAAAGCTCCCGAGGTCGCAAATTTGAATTCTATAAGCTTATAAGTACTAAAGATACTTCCGAGCTTGTGCGAAATTATTCTCCAGGCAGTCATATTTCAAATGCACTGTGGTGCAATCCACTTGCGCATAAATTCCGCGGGTCGCCGTTCCAGGAAACGTGCAGTTCAAGATTTTTGTACAGGTGTAGATATGTATATACGCAATTGCAGCCGAGGAGTCGGATCAAGGAATAAATCTAACACATCTGAACTTCATCTTGTTTTGCTTCGCGCGCGCGAGTAGGCAACTTGCCAGTCATTCGTTGTCAAGCCAACATCGCTAACATAAGTCAGTCTATTTCTGGAAACAGCTAACCGCGAGCAATAAGGAATAAATGTAGGTTAATCGCCGATAGTTGCTAAAATTATCCTCTATTATTGTTGCTTTCGGGAGATTATGGGCAGTTTTCCATGTGTGATCAACCCCGGAAACGTGCGTTAGCGCTAATGTGACGAGTAATCTCACAAAAACTGGGCTCCACTATGCCGACCGCTCATACGGGGCGTTCAAGGAAGCCCTCATAACCTATCAAATAGTGCTGGGCCGCCGTCACTGCAGTAGCGTGGTTCCTACCGGAGGCTGGCAGGATCTTTTCCCCCTCGGTCTGCAGGATTATACTCATAAGGATAATTTTCGAAAGTGCCCTTAGTTTCTTTGACGACCAATGAGAAGAGGATAACCCCTCATCTTCCATACTAGCTTCCCATGGCCCTCCAATCAGGTCGAATTGAGGAAGCTGATGTAGCTCGGTCCGTCTGCCCCTAGCAACCCCCAGTCGCCAGTCACGCTATGCAACCGCATACACAATTCGTCACATCTTTCCCACTGGTTGAAAATCTCGTTTGGAGTTATTTTTGAACCTGCGCTTTTTTTGGTAACTTGGGCTTCCTTCCATGGGTTGCTCTACATATACTTAGCTGGCCGTCACTCCGTCCTCACACCCCTTCCTATCTAAGTTCATATTCAATATACCCCATCCACTTTTCCATATTTCACTTTCAATCCTTTCCTCGTTTATAATCTACCTATAGACACCTGGGCACGTCATCCTCTTATCACCCATCCCTTGGGGCCATCCGACTGCATTACTATACTATATCCTTGAACCAGGGCATCCCTTGAACCTGCCAACTACTACTATATACACAGTTTTGGTTGGTTCAGGGATATAACACTCAACAAAATGGTTTGTTTTCAGTCATTGCTTCATAGAAACTATTAATAACCTAGCTCTCCAGTTCACCCAAAGCGATCCCCGATCCAATCTGCAATATTGGAGGTCGAAGACCAGCAGCCGATATCCCACCTCTCGAGTTACCCGACCTTCAAGTCCCCCATCAGAGACAACAGAAATTCTTGACACGGACTTTGATTCGGATTCTCAGTCTGAAGATGTTCCATTTGATTCCCCAAGCAGAAGTGTACGATCTGTAAGTATACTAGTATCGCCATAAATTCCTCCCTTTGCAATATTCCAACTAACACGATATATCGTAGCTCGAAACGGCTAGTGTCACAACCGCCTCAACCCCAGACGACATCAAAACTCCAGACTCCGCTGGCCTAAGTGGATTCCACTTCCATATCGATCATGACAACGCAGTCGCAGGTCCTGAGGGGCCACACCTCTTCCGCATGTCTAGCGGGTCTTTCGATATCAAATCCTCCGTCGAGATCGACTTGATTTATGACGAGCTACCTGACAGTGCGACTACCCCTCTATACTCATCCGCATCTAAGCTCGGTCCAGAGCGACGGGATACACCTGTGCCAAGCGTTCCTAATGTGAGGACACCCCTTCAGTCGGTACCTGAAGTCGATGGTCCCTTAGAGCCTGAACAGAATGAAGTATTGCGATGGACGCCACAAGACGTTGTATCATGGATGCAAAAGCTCAACTTCGATGAAGGCATCATCGAGAAGTTCTTCATTAACGATATCAACGGGTCGGTTCTACTCGATCTTCAAGCCGAGGATCTAAAGGAACTCGATATCCAGTCTTTTGGAAAGCGACATGGACTGATGGCCTCAATTCGGGCACTCCGAAACAGCGTGCATGGCTCTCTTACCGAGTCCCAGCCATCCATCCCTTCTGAGCCTGTCTCCCGCGAGCCTACCCCTCACTCGACAGCTGCAGATGTTGGCCCTCGGAGTTGCAACTCGACACCAGTTACTGGCGAGGATTCCTCTCCGATAAAGGAAGCTTTCGAAGAGCATCGACGTCGCCGCCAACGAGTTATTCGACCAAATGACTCGGTCTCCATTGTTGGCATCGAGCAAGTATTCCCTAAGATGCATCGTTGTCGGAAGGGTGAAGACTGTCGCAGGTGGCAAAAGCAGTATGCTAGAATGTCCCAGCTCTCACGCGATCTTCCTATCGAGTCGGTGGGTGGCCCGGTGGTCGTTGCTGGCGACCCTGGAAACGCTGCCACTGCGCGCAATATGACCAACCCACCCAAATCAGATGTCACTCCTTCTATTGTTGCTTCGTCCGATGCGCTTGGCCCCAACCAATCAACTGAGCTCCCTTTGTCAGAAGAAAAGCTGCACAGTGTTGAGCCAAGAGACCCCCAGGAGAATGTGCGCAATTTTCTCAACTTCCAGAGACTCAGCCGCCTGCAACCCGTCACCGACCCCTCGACTCCCCCTACGGAGACTTTCCCATCCCCTGAAGCCGATTCACCCGGCACCCTTGCTGAAAACCTTCGCACTCTCCCAAGACTCCATATCCCCAGCACTCATCTCTCATCGAAATCCTCGGCGTTCTCCCCAATCCACTCCGGTCAACGTACCATTACCCCTGGTATGGTTCGCGGAAAGATGGCACCTTTTCAAAGCAGCAACCTTCAATATTCTGCGGGCACGCAGAATGACCTCTTTTCTCCCTCGGACTATTACCGACAAGATCCCCATTACGGGCAGAGTAGTCCATCCTCGGAGATGGATGTCGATGTTCCCCTTACAGCTATCCCCGTTGGGCCCATCGAGAGGATCTTCTCCCAATCAGTTCCCCCGGACATGCGATTTGGAAACCAAGCGCAACAGATGGCCGAGCCAATCACTCGTCCAGTTTCCACCAAGGTCGATAACCACCGTCGAAAGCTTTCCATCAATACTCCGCAGAATGGTACTCCACTCACTCGATTGAATGAGGATCGAGTTATGTCGCCTATTGATACTCCGGAGGATTTGGAGCATACACCACGCGCTGCTCCCTGCCGCCAAAATCCCTTCAGTCCCTCTGGAGAATTTTCCAACAACGTGATTCGCAGTGGTTGGCTCAAGAAGCGAAAGACCCGCATGCTCAAGCATGAGTGGAACGATCAGCACTACGCACTCCGTGGTACTAAGTTCGGCATGTTCGCAGATGAGGAGTCTGCTCGTCGCGATTCGAAAGCCCTTGAGTACGTCGACGTCGACGACTATGCTGTTGCATGCTCATCGCTCGCGTCGGATTCAAAGTTGACAGCGGCTTTCAAGAGAACTGTCCTGAAACGCAAGGATGATACTCGTGGAGGCACAGCCTTCGCCTTTTCGCTGATTCCGTCGCCCAAAGGCAATGGCTCGGAGCGAAAATTCATTTTCGAGAAGGGTGTCAAATCTCACCACTTCGCAGTGGATAGTGCTCCAGAGCGCATCGAATTGGTGCGCGACCTTATGCTGGCAAAGGCTCTGCGACGCGGTCGCGAGAGCGGCGCAACCCTCAACCTCAACGGCAATGCGATCTAGAAATTCCTAAGCCTTGAGACTACATTACGACATTCTTTGATATTCCGATTCCTTATGATTTGCTTTATATCCGCTATATACCCACAGAATTTCCTTTTCCTTCATTTTGGCCTGTCTCCTGTATATACACAGCTCTTCGTCCCTTACTTGCAGGAACCCTGCATGAAGTTCAAGCATTTGTTACGAGCTCACGAATTTTCTTTGAGCATTAACGCATTATGGAGTTTGGGCTGTTTACACGATCTGGAAAACGGCAAAGGCCGATTCATTATATATACCAAGTCTCACGGCTTAAACATCATCGATGGAAACAATACATAGTCCATTACAATCAAATCCGAGCTGGTTCTCAAACAATCATCATCCCATAAGCTTTCTTTTCCGTAGACTGTTGTAATCTTCAGAGCACGGGCAATTCTCTCTACTACCACATTTTTGACAAGTCACAAGCGGTGAGCAAGACATCGATTTCCTTCTAACATTCCGTGAATTGATTGGGACTGGTCGCCCAGCCACCAAATAAACCGAGAATCCCAGTGAGCAAATGACCACATTTACGAGGGGCTGTTTCAGCTACTGTGAGCTCTGTCGCGCTGCCCGCTGTACCCAGTAATTTTTCGAGTGACTGGGGTTCCCATTGGAGGCCTTCAAATGCATGCTCTAGCTTGGGCGCGTACAGGCGGAATTCTACTGGTGTCCCACTAGGTCAATACTTTCTCTACTGTGCGGGGTGATCACACCGCATGAATTCATCATCCCATACCCCTCCTTCGGCCAAGGAAAATGCTCACAGAGCGCCACTGTTGGTTAAGAGGACGTGGGTCTTTCCAATTAGTGCTAGATTGTCTAACGCGCTGTGATATGATGTTTCCTTGAGCTCCAAGGCACCCGGCCCACGGGGAGAAAGTCAGCCACTAAAGAGCACTTGTATGAGAATGGCTGATACCGTGCCCGAGGTCTTGATCCCTTGTCCGGGGTAGCCCGGATTGGCACCATTTTAACCGCCCAGGGACAGTTCATCGGGACAGATTGCAGTGGCTGCGTCGAAAGATCGACCTTCCTCTCCCAAACGGCTGCCCTCGAGCCGCGCACAGGAACAGTCTCGCATGGCGCGGTGGACATCGGTAACACTGGTAAGAAATCAGTCTTATTAAGTCAGCATTTGTTAGATCATGGGGCGAAACTTAGGCTGGTCTCCTGTGCTTCTTTTCCCCCGATTGTCATCTCTCACCGTTCGCTCATCGCATCGATGCGGATAGTCGCCCACCATTATGGTGAATGTCTCTGCTGTTCGTGATAACCTGGCTCAAGTCACCCAATCCATACGGGTGGCTATGCGCTGCCTGAATACCGGACGCGACTCACATGATGCCTCTCTACGGGCGCTGTCACTTCTCACGGACATACTGGACTTGGTTTATCGCATCAAGGATGAGATCACATGGACGGAAGAGAAATGGTTTGTTGCTGTCGGCCGCTTGCGAGCTTTGAGTGAGCTTCTCTCGTGGTTTGGATACACAATGAAATCGCTCGAGCTCTACTTCCAACCAGGTGGGGTCAGTCCCTTTTATTTCAGGAAGCATCTGTTAGACAAGACATACATTCCAAGATTGGAGCAGTACAAAATTATGTTTCTGCTTTCTATGCAGCCTGAATCAGAGTAAGACTCTGTTCCGCGCAGCTACTTTCCATCAAATCTTTTTGCTGAACCTCTGAAGGGAACGTGCTTTACTCGACAATGAAATCCGAAGCGATCTAAAAAGTCATAGGGAGGTTGAAACTGGTGAGTAAATACCCTCCAAGTATATTTCTTTTGGATTGAAAAGCTCATACATGTTGGTTAATTAGCAAACCTCAATGTCGACCTGCAATTCGAGGAGGATTCACTATCCCTGACAAGCCGATTATCTTCTGAGCATTTTATCACACTTGCAGATCTGTGTAATAGACGTCAGCAAGGGACTTGCACATGGGTCTTCGAGAATAGACACTTCAAGCAGTGGCTGCTAGGTGGATTCAGAACTTTATACTGCATTGGACCTCGTACGATTTTGTTCCCTATACTTGTTTCTCTCGGTTCGGACTCTAACTTCACTAGCTGGTGCGGGCAAGACATTCATGTCGTAAGTTACAGAAGTATACCACTTCAAGATATTTGCGGCGCTTACATTGAAATAGATCTGCCATAATAGACTTCCTCCAAAAGTCATTCACCTCCCCTGATGTTGCGACCGTCTTTGTGTTTTGCCAAGAAGGGGGAGGGAAAGAACGCACATCGATCGAACTTTTGAAATCCATTCTAGCTCAGCTTGTCTATCGCAAGCGAAGTCTATCCTACGCCACGTCTGCTCTATACCTTTCGGAGTCTCTGAAGAAAGGAAGTGCGTCTTCGAAGGCGTATCAAAATGCAATCCGTGCCGAGGTCAATCGATTCTCCAAAGTTTTGTTTGTGATCGATGGATTGGACATGTTTTCAGACAAAGAACGTATTCTGGGACGCCTTCAAAAGCTTCCACAACAAGCACAGCTTTTAGTTACATTGCGGGAGATGAGTGGAGCAAAGCCTGTGGACAATTCCGGTTATGTGAGCGTGTTCGCACCACCAGACGACATTGGCATCTACACACTTACTCGGGCCCGAACGGATCCAAGCATTCGCAACGTTCTTGGCGGGGACTCGACAGATATTCAACTCGAGGATGATATTATTCATTCTGTGGTGGACAAATCTCATGGCATGTAAGCGATGCCACAATCATTACCCGTGTAACCTTTCATGTGCTGACCTTGCAATCAAGATTTCTGTTAGCCAAAATCCACCTTGACCTTTTGACTCAATACCAAGATCGAAGCATGTTGCGGAGAGCTCTCTTTCATCTTCCAGAGAACGTGAATGAGGCCTATGGCGAATCAATGAAACAGATGGTGAGCCGAACGTCGAGCGCGACGCGTTATATTTACTGGGTCCTGTACACACTTCGACCTCTTTCAGTCTCCGAGCTCCGAAGTGCCGTTGGCGATGATGAATCAATCGACGACGCAGCACCTTTGAGTTTCGAACAGTCGCTACATGCTCAAACCGGAGGCTTATTGACGGTAGACGCTGTCGCGGGTACTGTTCGATTTGTTCACCCAACGGCCAAAGACTATCTGGAAGGTTCGGCCGCGAGAGTATTTTTTCCCGGCGCTCAGAAAGAAATTGCAGAAGCATGTCTCAGTGCGATCAGTCCAGATGAGGTTGTGGATGAATGCTATCGAAATGACATGGGCCCATCTCGCATTTTGAAAAAGGGGTTTCTCAACTACGCAGCGGCCTACTGGGGAATGCATGCCCGGGAAGTTGATGAAGAAGAGCAAACGATACAAGTTTTGATCAAGACATTCCTCAATAAGCTTCTTTGGAGAAGGCCGCCGCTTGACTATCCAAAAGGGAAAGCAGATGGCATGCCCTCGGAGCTTGGAATCGGTAAATACCCCAATGATTGGACTGGCCTCCATTTTCTGGCATTCTTTGGTGTTCCTGGGAAAGCAAGGCGTCTTCTTGAACAGGGAGAGAAGATCAACAGTCAGGAAAATGCCTTAGGAGTCACTCCTTTGCACTGCGCAATGTATCAAGGAAATGAGGAGATGGTCGAATTCCTACTAGAAAACGGGGCAAATGGAAATGCTACCACGGCCGGCGGCCAGACTGCCTTACATATTGCGACACAGAGAGGCCACAGAAAGTGCATGAAATTGTTGTTTGCCCAGCATGTTGATCTCCATCTGGTTGATGATACAGGCGCATCATGTCTTCACGCGGCTGTGGGGACTGCGACTGAGGAGTCTACAGTGCCTCTCCTGGTGAAGCACAAAGCTGGTCTAAATTTTCAGAATCCGATCAACGGTAATACTGCTCTTCACCTCGCAGTCATGTTCCGGAGACCTCGAATCATTCTTTTTCTTTTGGAAAAGGGTGCGGTGATCGACATTGCGAACGATGAGGGAATCACCCCTCTTCAGCTTGCCGCAAACCTGGACAACTGCGAGGCTATCTCTTTACTTCTTCAACATTGCGCCCAAATTGAGGCTCGCGCTTTATCCGGTCCAACTGCCCTACAATATGCCGCCTGGAAAGGTCATTGGATAGCTTTTGATCTTCTGCTGATCGGTGGTGCTGACATCAATGTGTGGAACAAGCAAGGAGAGACTCTGCTGCATGAGCAGGCGCGTCATGGCCTGAACGCTTCTGTTGTTACAAAGCTCTTAAACCAAGGAGCAAATATCGAGGCCCGCACATCCCAGGGCTATACACCCCTTCAGTGCGCAGCTATCAATGGCAACAAGACGATTTTCAATCTTTTGCTGGAGCGAGGAGCTAAGATCGATATTGAGACAGCAAAGGGCGAAACCATTCTCCATCTCACCCCTCCTGCAAACCAGAACTGCCTTGATATCTTAAAAGCGGCCTTGAGTGAGGGTCTTGATGTCAAGGCCACATCCAGTCAGGGGTGGACGCCACTCCACAAGACTGTCTACACCGGAACAGGGTCTCTTGATGTTTCAGATGACAAGACAGTTGATTACATCGAGCTTCTACTGAAGTACGGCTCATCGGTGAATGACCGCACGTTCATTTACGAGACCCCCCCTCCACCTTGCAACGACAGCCCCTATTCCTCGCGCATCACTCGTGGAATATCTAATTAAGAAGGGCTCGGATGTCAATTCCAAAAATAATGAAGGAAAGACACCTCTTCATCTCGCCGCTGAGCGTGGAAGAGAGTCGGTGTTTCGAGCGCTGATGGCTGCCGGTGCTGATTTATCGATCAAGATTCCTACGGACACAAAGCCCTCTCTAAATGGCGAAAGGGGGGAGAGAAATGAAAGAGGAGACCTTGATGACAAGCACGAAAAACTTGATTATCCTTATACTCCTATCACGGCGTTTGAGCTTGCAAAGAAGAATCCTTTTGGGTCCTTGTGGTTTGATGACGATGGTCAATTACGTCCGATACCTCCAAGGAGCGGACGAGACAGCGCAACGACCGTGTTTGAAGACATGGAATCCGATCCGTCTGATTGCGAAACAAATACGAACGAATCCACACTGGTGGGAAGCGAGCAACAGTACATAGCAGTTTGAGTGCAGTCCTTTATGCGGTATCACTTTTGTCGACTCGCTATTTTGTTTAGTGATACCCACTTCTCATGATGATCCTTCATTAGCGCCTGAAAAGCAGCCCTGTAATTAGCCAGCGAGCGGTCTTGCTTCAATCATTGCGTCTTGGTGATCGATATCTCGTTATGTCCCTCATTTAGAGCGACTTAGATTTAATGTTTTGATGATCGTGTGCGAAGTCAATCAATGTATTACAGTGGCGTTGCAAAAGTTTGAAACTCCCTCTTGACGCCCCTGGTCTCCGCCTGCTAATAGTAGACTAGTAGCTGTGAGGATGCTCAGATACCCACAGATCAACGTACGGTGTAGCATACGATGCAATAAAGTATAGCAGTTCGAACGAAGTAATAGCCTGAAGAGATGGAGAAGGAAGAAGCTAGGACGGAAGCTAGATACAGGGCGTAGGCGTGGATGCCTATGTGGATGCCACAGGTGTAAGGCATCAACGACAATAGTCACGACCTAGTTCGTTACATTAGCAGGCGGTAAATGATGGTGGGCAACAGGGGGTTTCAAATCTTTTCAACGCCACTGTAGAGCAGTTTATACCATTTAAGATTTTGTCAACTGGAATATAACAACTTGAATGATGGAAAACTTGATTCGTGGCATTAGTTTATCCCATCATCCGAACAACTACATAAGCCCATCCATCCCCGTAGGCAGCGCTTCTGACCACCTCTTCAATGGGCGAAGACATAGGGAGGACAGCTCCGTGTAGAACAGGCTTCGCAAGAACTGGGGTCCGTCGACTGGGAAACAGATTGGGGAGAAGGGTGTGTAAAACACCGCCGATGGTCTGAGGTTGTGTGCTCGGGCTTGAGCGGGCGCTAACAGATTGGCTAGACTGAATGCTGGAGCTCGGTATCAAAGGCGGAAGTGGTGACTGGACCACTTTCAGTGATGGTGACTCTTCATCTGGGGGAAGTGGCAAGAAGATGCGGATTGGGACGTTGCGGAACGGCTGTGATGGTGGGGGGATGAGGATATTTGAGATGCGTTGAAAAGATGGAAGGTCGACTAGTCGTTACTATGATGTTAATATATTGTTTGGAAATTTTTTTCTCTGGACTTGTTTTGCTTACCATTCTCCACTGCCTTCCAGAGGCCGGCGGAGTCTTCCTTGGAGAGACTCATGATACCTTTGGCCGTACCGTTGCGCAGAAAGTCCGCTTCTTTAACGCTGTTGATGAATGCATCATTCAACACCATTCCCTCTGGGTCGAGGCGGACAAGTTCTTCGACTGGCCAGTTACTGAAATGAACAGTCAACCGCCAAGGGAAGGGCGATTCAGCCTCTGGGGACTGTTCACCCCCAGGATAGCCTTTGAAGCAGGGTCAACTCCCGCGTAAAGATCAAACAGTAAGCCGATCGGATAGTGCCATTTCAAAGGCACGCCTTCGAAGGCAAACCACCCTTGATGGTGTTCGGCGTCTGGGTTGATCAAAGACGATGCGAAGAAAGCTCGAAGTCTCGGAAGTAATGATGGGAGATATGAGACTCTCGGGAAAGAGATCTTCAATGGGTCAGAAATTAATTTCAATATAAATGAACAAGACTATGCAGGGTCATACAAGGTATGGATTGGTCTGATCAAACGTCCGACTCTCCGCTGGAGCCAAAATGATTTTCAGCGGTATTCGACCCGCCCAGATACTGCGCTGGATGGCAGGGAGAGATGCTTGCTTTTCCATATTTATCTTGCACTATTGAAAGTTATTAATCACCAGGGCCTGACGAAAGAGAGATGTATGTAGTTCTGCAATGGCCACATACCGAATCGATGTTGATCTACTGATCTGCAAATGAGATATTCATGTCACGATGGACAAATCGGGGAAAAGAAGAGTGGATCTTGACTACCTCGACATAGAGGAAACCATGATCTTATGTTTCAAAAGTCACATAAGCTCTTGTAGCTTCTCAGTCTTGTTGACGAATGAATGTGGAAGTGGAAGTTGAAAGGTGGAGTTGCTTTGACGGGTGAGCCCCCACTCACGTGATCGACGGGTGGTGTGCCTGGAACGTGACTGTCAACGTCAACAAACGAAGTGCAACTCATCTTCACACAACTCAACTGGATCAGGTCGATAATTTGCATCATTTTGTATACTTTAATTCATACTGAGTCCAAACCTCCAGATTTTCTCCGGTCGGGCTGGCCGCTTTCCCCACTAACAGGCTTCCCAGAGATATGATATCCTTCTACCTGCTCCAGGCACATAACCAGTTTCTCGATTTTTGTCTCCTCGTGGAGGGATTTTGAAATTAATTCCCTCGATTCCGCGAGGGTCAACTCACTTACTATTCCATTTACTAGTCCATGAACGACACTCTATAACCTCGTTCGAGTCTTGAGGACCACGCTATCATTCCCCCACCCCTATAATGGCTTGTTCATACTTCTCACCAGATCTATCATGGGGAAACGCTCAGTCTAATCAATAAATTTTCAAATTGTCACGTATACAAGCATAATATGCTGGAATATCTCAGGCAAAACACGAATTTGGAAATGCTGACCGCGCGGATATCGCCGCGATGAGTGCTCACGCACCAACATATCATTCGGGTCGCCATACATCGACAGTCAGATTCGATAATATCATTTGTCACTTTAATGTTTACGCGCTTTTTTGCCCGGTTTGGGTCGCAAGATTTTCAAGGCAAGCTTTTCTCCGCCCTTATAGCATGATAGTTGTCGTCAACGAGTTGGACAGCTGCTCTATAGGCACAGGGCATCCGTGCTTTTTATATCGCAGGCAGTCACCCGGCTTTCTACCCTTCATGCTTCAATATTGCTTCCGAAATTCTAGCTTTTGAATTCCCATCTTGGCCGATTTCTTTGAATACTTAGTTCTTGCTTTGCTGTACGCCCGGGCGCCCATGGTACGCATCTCCTCTGCGATATGCAAAAGCGCCATCACTGGCCCTTCATGTCCACGGAAGATGGACTCCAAGGATAGCGCATGAAATATCGTCTAAAGACTTCAGATATACACCGGAACATTGCTGAGCGACCGGCATTGACCAGGATCATGGCCATTCTGTCACTCATGTTTGGCCGTTGAACTGGTGTGCTTTGAACTGAGATAATTATTCATTCATAATAAAACAATTCAATTGTTACCTCGCAGTCCGCCCTGCGATTCGGTGCTGACTATTTGTATAACTCTCCTTCGCTCCTTCAATGCCGTCCGGCCCGCCACGGCGGCGATGGCCACACCGAAAGCGGCCCGAAATGAGCTTAATTTTGACTAATTCTGATCCTTCACGGCCAGATTCCTCGGCATCGCTGGTTTTTGCCCTAAGTGGTCCCCCTGTTGCAAAAATCAGAATGCTCACAAGAGATGAGCTTTCGGTTTTCTTCACCGGTGACAGTAAATAGCCTTACTCGGTATTTGTTTCTCCACTTGGTGTCAATTGCGTCCACCCGCTGAATGTTCCCGAACGTCCTACTCGGCTTTAATTCTCGAAAAGGCCAAAAGGGCCAAGGTGGCTAAAGAGGAAGATATCGACCGGCTATTCGAATCCCATTATCTCTTGCTTGGCTACAGCTTGGCTACAGCTTGGCCTCTGCAGAACCCTCCTCCATGTACTCCGTATACGGGGTAACCCCTTCCCCCCGTTCTTCCCACTGGGTTTTAAGATCTCCCTTGCGGGTTGCCGATCGGAGCGGATATGACGATTTAAGGGCGAAACACCGCTACCGTTAGATCGTTTTCTCTTAAAACCCGGGGGGGCATGGATGAGCACTCATGCTGAATGAAATAAACTCCTCCGTCACTGAGCTTTGGTCCAATCATGAACGCTTGAGTTTATATTCGCGTTTACACACGTGATCGGAACCGGTTGACCTGCCTATTTGAAGTTTGCAGCTCGGCAACCTTCCGACTCCACCGATGGTTAAGGGTTCTCCCCGTGGGCAACCTCCAGTAGTTTACAGAGTACGCGTAGCCCATGTGAGACCAATTCAACCAGTTGAGAAAGGGGTATTCTATTAACAAGCCCAACTGGACTGTGCATGTCCCTGCGCAGTACCCCCAGCCCCCACAATTCTGATTCCGCTTGATCCGGGGAGAATCTCTATGCCCGTATGCATTATTACGCAGATGTGGCGAAGAAGGTTGTTCACCGGAAAATGCCCCTCCCATATACCCAACGGGTAAACGCAGACCTCAAACAAGGGAGAAGGATAGCCGTAAGCATAAATCCATTCCCTTACCACCAAGTCACTGAAATGCCCCTGGAGTGACCGCGGAGGTCCTCAAGGGGGTAAAATTCCTCGTTCAAGTAAAATTCCAGCCAAGGAAGTAGGGTTCCGTATTAGATATATACTGGTGGCCATTCGTTCTCCCCGGCTGAACGTTTCAACCGGGGAAAACGCTACCCCGGCCCAAAGTTCCCACCCCATGGGATTAGAAATTCTCCAACCCTTCGTAGCCTCACCTTCAAACCCCATACTGCCCCAGAGGATGGGGGGTTCTACGCGACGTAACTTGTGGGGGTGCATTCGTTAGGGACGGATTTCCACCCACCCACAAATCCACCGAGAGTAGGAGCCTTTACTACTTTAGGGGCCATCCCGTCTCAACTTTTTCTTTCCTTTATCTTATACCTCGAAAAAATTTTCGACCCTTCACCCCATCCATCCTTAACCTTCTAAGTGTTTCACTTAGCAGCCATGGGTGGCATCCTTCATCTGGTCGAGGATCGACCAACTCCTCCTTCGGTCTACAACTGGCGAGTCTACGTCCTTGCCCTTGTGGCGTCATGTGGTTCCAACATGATCGGTTATACAAGTGCCTTTATCGGTACGACAATCACATTGGCCTCCTTTAAGCAGGAGTTTAGTCTCGACACAATGACTTCGGCCCAGCAAAGTTTGATTAGTGAGAATATTGTGTCTCTCTTCATCGCTGGTGCCTTCTTCGGTGCCCTCCTCACATACGGTTTGAGCCACTGGCTTGGCCGTAAGGTCTGCTTGATGATCGCTTCGGCTACTTTTGCTCTTGGATCTGGCCTGCAGTGCGGTGCCAATCACAACCGCGGACTGGGCATTCTCTACGCTGGACGTGTCTTGACTGGTCTGGGTACCGGTGTTGCCTCTAATATTGTCCCTATCTATCTCTCCGAGCTCGCTCCCCCTGCTATTCGTGGCCGACTGGTTGGTCTGTATGAGCTGGGCTGGCAGATTGGCGGTATGCTGGGCTTCTGGATCAACGTAAGTCAAAACTGATCGACATTCCCCCTTTGGATGGAAAAAAACGACCTGAGACTGACTGGTACGATGCTTTCAGTATGGCGTGGAACAACACATTGCACCTTCCACTCAACAATGGATCATTCCATTCGCTATTCAATTGGTCCCGTCCGGTATGCTGTTTATGGGATCCCTCTGGATCCGGGAATCGCCCCGTTGGCTTTTCCTTCATGATCGCCGGGCTGAGGCTATGAGCAACCTTACCTGGATTCGTCAATGCGATGCTACTGATATGTACATCACCGAGGAAGTGGCTGCTATTGATCAGGCCCACGAGACTCAGCGCAGCACCGTTGGATTTGGTTTCTGGAAGCCATTCAAGGCCCTCGGTGCTCGCCCCAACTTGATGTGGCGACTGTTCTTGGGATGTATGCTTTTCTTCTGGCAGAATGGCTCTGGTATCAACGCCATTAACTACTACTCGCCCACCATCTTCAAGGTACGTTTATATCACTCTTGGTTTCTCTTGGGCGCACATATACTGATAATTTGTGCAGAGCATTGGTGTCGAGTCTAACACTGTCAACCTGATGACCGGTATCTTCGGTGTGGTCAAGGCCGTTATGACGTTTATCTGGCTGCTGTTCCTTGTCGATCAATTCGGTCGCCGGAACCTTCTTCTTGTCGGTGGTATCACCGGCTCCATCTGCATGTGGGTCATTGGCGCGTATATCTACGTGGTTGCACCGCAAGACAACCCCACCAGCTCGCTCAATGGTGGCGGTATTGCCGCTATCGTCTTTTTCTACCTTTGGACTGCTGTCTACACCCCGACCTGGAACGGTACCCCCTGGGTCATCAACTCGGAGTTCTTCGATCCCAACTTCCGTTCCCTGGCTCAGGCCTGCACAACAGCCAGCAACTGGCTGTTCAACTTCCTCGTCTCTCGCTTCACCGAGCAGATGTTCGAGGCTATGGGCTACGGCGTGTACTTCTTCTTCGCGTCTCTGTCCTTCCTTGCCTTCTTCTTCGCCTTCTTCCTCATTCCTGAGACCAGTGGTATTCCCCTGGAGAAGGTTGACCGTCTCTTCGAGCTGAAGCCTGTTTGGAGGGCACACAAGAAGCTCAAGGAGATCCTCAAGGAGGAGGAGGAGCAGTTCCGTTTCGATATCAAGGACCAGGCCATCCACGAAGAGAACCTTGACACCGACACTGCCAAGCCTCAAGAATATGCTTGAACGACATGGCATAGACCATAAGCATAGAGCTTTGTATAGATACATAGATTCTCACATAGACTTACGTTTTTGACGATTAAGCGTGACTTCTTTATCATGCTAGATGAATTTCATTCTACATACTTTGAATATAACACATTACTCCTGTCTCTCATACTATCAAACCCTTGTGCGCATTTACTTGCGTTAGTGATGAAGAGCCATATATACAGCAAGAAATTCAATTGCGCGGAATGTCTTCGCAGACTAGATGGCAGTAGTTGAAATCAAATGCAGAGATGAGTCCGCCAAAATGCACCAGAGTAGCAATCACCACTAGAATATGAAAAACCTGATGAGAAGATCCGACGAGGTCAAATTTACCAGGTGCTAAGCATTCGGGTATGCGCGTCTAAAGCTAGTCATCAGAATCTGCCCTTGTATGTTATTATCAAGCCAAGGGGCAATGACCGACCATATAAAAAAGGGCCCCTAGAAGCAGAAGTGACCCTTCGACAAGATAATATGACATTCCAGATTTTTTGGTCATTTCATGAAAGCCAAAGATGCTGACACCATGGGCGATGGGGACAAGGCCTGAGAGACCGGTTGCGACAAAGGCGCCGACACGGAAAGTCCGCCATTGTGGTCCTTGAAATTTCGGGCTGAGTAGTATGAATACGGCAGAAAGACTGAGCGTAGTAATCTAAAAAACAGCATCAGCATGTTTTAATATATTCCATGGTTACTGCGGTATGCTTGGGCCTCCTACCATTATCCAATATCTTTGTTTTAACATTGGCTCGCAGTAGAATATCATATCTATTCCGGATACGAAATCTCCAAGAGTCAAGATAATTATCCCAATGAAGTCCAGGTGTAGCCAATATTCGCAAACATCTCGCGAGTGACTTGAAAGAGTATGAAGAATTGCCGAAAATGCCAGGCAGATGACGGCTGTCAACAGAAAGAATGCGAAAACGAGGTGATCCTCAACGGTCGCTTTCGGGTACTGAGACCGAAGATAAATATACATTGCGAATTCGGCAATAGCGAAGAAAATACTCGGGATCAAATGAGAGTAGATGTTCACGCTCTCGTTGTGTAGATACCACCAACTAGCGAAGCAGGCGGGAGTAGAAAATGATACCGGGCGGTAACCACCATGAATGAATTCATTTTCTTTGTACCACTCCGGTATCTCCTCGTATGAGAGAAGTACTCGATTGGTCTGGATCCCATCGGAAGCATTGAGCGGATTATCTTGCGCAGTTGCTGTGTCGATGAAGGAATATGGTTTTTCTAGGCGCGTGGTGGTTTCCATTGTGCACAAGGTCAATTCGCCCGTCGGACCGATCAATTCGTATATCTTGACTTCCTGCGAACTGTGTTGGAAGCTTGGATGCAATTCGCGACTTTTGAGAGCCCCTGTCTACCCCTCGGCCTGAGTAACTTGCGGTGAGTGCTTAGGAGTTCCCACATGCACGTGGTAGGTGGGATCGACGATGAGAATTCCGATTGCGTCTATTTACGGGGTACAAAGTCAAAGAATCCGAAAAACTGCCCAGCTGGGCAGGTGGTGTTCGCTTTCGCGGCGTATGTGCTCGAGATTATAGGTAGTCTTGTAGAATCATGGCTCATGACAACATTGGAAGCAATTTCTCTGTGATAGATTTACCTGCGACTCGCGGGAGTCTTTCCCTCCATCGTGACTTGAACATCTTGTACCTTCTGAGTTCCGAGGTCAAGTTCAAGTTCAAGTTGGAAAGCTGAGTGCCCATGTGGAACTTGAAGCCCTGGAGTTGAAGTGTTCCGAAATAGAGTGGGTATAAAACATATATCTAGAGCACCATCTACGTGAAAATGCGCTACATCTTTTTACCGCCCGGGCGGTGCAACTTGAACTTGAAGGATTTCAATATGACTTTCATGGTTAATTTTTCTACTTCAGGTTTTCATACCCTATCAATTGATTATGGGATACTGTGTTATCGTTCTACGTGATCAACCTTAAAGTTGAGGGGATGACTGTATCCACGGGAAAGTGATCGCTGATCTGAAATCTGCGTCATGTAACCATACAAAGGAGCCCCAATATCAACAAGCTCGCGTAGCTCAGTTGGTAGAGCGCGGCACTAGTAATGCCGAGGTCTTCAGTTCAAATCTGGACGTGAGCATTGTCTTTTTGCATTCCTCTCATTCAGGAATGCAAAGCTTTTTTAGCTTCTCCTATTGAATCACGTTCGGTAGACTATAAGAGGAGTAGAGTGCGGTGGTACGTCTTTTTCTCTCGGTAACAAGGGGTTCATACTGTATGCTGCCATGTGTCGAGGGCATTGTGCCATGGTTGATATTTTCCCGCCCCCAACCACAACCCTTGCATCCAGTTGAATTCCTGCGGGTCCAAGGGTTGTCACAGGCCTTGTCACTCGAAAACTACCACGGATAACCCCATTTATCCTTGCTCTTACTGTAGATTTGCCACGACTTGCGTGGCGGTTTTGTTTCCCTTGATATCGTGGCGGATGTCCGACCGTCAAAAACATGCATTGGTCGCGAGGGTGCCCGGTCATCATATAAGTGGCCAGCGGCGGTTGAGTATGAGTCGAATTGTTTAATTAACAGCTTAAGAGTCAATAATAAGCCCATACCGGGAGCGGCAGGTCGAAAACTAGGAGCATCAGAAGCCAAAATATAGTAACGGATGTTCAAGTAGGGTAGCTTGGACATTATTCAGTCATGATAGAAAGAGGTGGCTGCCGCCCCTCTGGTCAAAGATAGATACAACCTCAACGTAATGTTATGCTCGGTCAATTGATCCAAAAAAAGGACTCCAATTCATTGTTATTTTATCAGTCATGCAGCCAAAAAGATAGACATCTTATCAAGATGCAAAACGAATGCTCACGTCCAGATTTGAACTGAAGACCTCGGCATTACTAGTGCCGCGCTCTACCAACTGAGCTACGCGAGCCTGTTGATTGTCGGCCTGATTTTCTGCATATATGAAATTTTTGCCACAACAAGCTCGAGATCGCCAAAAAGTGCCCACAGGAAATCTCCCGCCCCGGCCGAGACATCTATCTACTACTAGTAGTATGTGGATTTAGCTTATTTGATTTCCTGCTCATCCAACCCCAAAGATCTAGACATTAGGTAGCGTGCTCGAGATAAACATGTTTGGTACCCTGGGAACCGAACGTACCGAGATGCCGTTCCAAGGTTGCCTTCCTCTCAAACCCCTGGGATAGTAGACCTTGCAAGTTGCTTCTTAGGACCATGTATGAAAAAATAGCAAGAGCAAGCTTTAATCATACCTTCCAAACTATCAACAGCTTTCCGATTCGCTGGTCGGGCAGAAGATCCCTGCCGAGGGCTTAAAGACTGGCATATTATTGGTCAAACTAAACATCGGAACTCGATTACAATAGGCCAGGATACGGGCGACTCGGAGTTAAGAGCAATCATTGAATAGAATGAGTAAATCAAACACGATGTAACCTTAATACCAAGCTATTCCTCTTCGGCATTGGACTAGGCGACATTATAATATGACCCCGGGCTCTTCTTTTGTTCTCTGATAAGTTTTCAACCGATTTGTTCTGCAATATCGAAAAAGTAATAAATTCAACAAGTTGTTTCTAGAACTGTATAGGGGCACTCCATCGGTGGTGGCAACATGGACGACCCTACGGCGACAAATCAATGCGACGATGGGTGGTTTGGCCCCGCCGTTGCGACCGAAAGTTGTCGTGGAGGGGTTGACTTCACGATGCTCTTTGAGTCTACTATTCTAGCTATCACCCCTAGTATTTGTTTCCTTTTGCTGGCTCCTCTTCGATTCTTCCAGCTGTCTAAACAATCACCAAAAGTGATATCATCCTCTCTCCGTATGGCGACATTGGTAAGTGCGCTTGACCACTGAAATCTATTCCATTCAAAGCCAAATAAATGACTAAAAGGGGCTCGTTTGTAGTTGGTCTCAGCAATGTTTGTATCCATTCAGATAATTCTTCTTGTGGTGGTTAAAACACAGCACATAGGAGGGCATGCCTTACTTGCAGGCACAGTTCTCGAATTTGTAGCAGCACTTGTTGCTGTAACGCTGATCGACTTGGAGTACTTCCGCTCTATTCGTCCTTCATCCTTAATCTCAGCCTACTTGTCCGTGACCTTACTGTTAGAGATCGCGAGAACGCGCACCGCCTGGCTCTTACATGATAAACCATTATACCCGGCATGCCTCTCTGCCTCTCTCGCCATGAGATTATTTCTGCTCACTCTGCAGAACGTGGAGAAGAAGCGCTGGCTTCTACAGAAGACAGAGAAACTTTCAGATGAAAGCATTGGTGGTCCATTCAATCGAGGCTTTTTTGTATGGCTAAATGGTCTTCTCCGTCAAGGATACACTGCTCTGCTGAGTGAGAATGAACTGCCAAATATTCATGAAAAATTATCTTCGCAAGATTTATCCAAGAGTTTCGAAGCTGCATGGGAAAACTGCAACCCAAATCGCAAAAATGCTTTGATGCTCGCCATAGTCAAGTGTCTGCGCTGGGAGATTCTAGGAATTGCCGTGCCCCGGCTTGCTGTCATTGGCTTTAGCGTTGCGCAGCCATTCATTGTGGGCAGAGTTGTCGATGTCTTACAAGAAACCGACTCTTTGTCACTCGATATGGGATATGGGCTGATCGGAGCTACTGCCATTGTTTTCATTGGGATTGCTGTATGTGACCTTAAACTAACTTGAGTTGACATACGAGAGTCTGAATAAAATCTACAGGTGACGAGAGCTTTGTACGAGCATTTGGGTTTTCGAGCCACGACAATGATCCGCGGAGGTCTTATGGCCCTTGTGTTCCAACACATGATGGATCTTCCGCTGGGAAGCACCGATGAGTCTAGTGCCATGTCTCTCATGGGATCGGACATAGAAATGCTTGCCGAATATTTCAACTCTACGGTTTGCGAAACATGGGCAAATGTCCTTCAACTAGGACTGGCAACATGGTTACTGAAAACCCAGGTGGGAGCCGTCTGTATTGCACCAATTGTAATCGTGATAAGTAATGATGCCACTCTGATCGGGACAAAAATGTTTGAGTGAAAGCTGACAGTTTCTGTGATAGTTTTTGTTGCTTTTTCTTTCGGCACGGGGAATTCAGTGTCCTATCGACAGAAGAAGTGGCTTGAGGCTACTGAAAAGCGCATAAATTTCACGTCTGCAATTCTTGGTTCTATTCGAAATGTGAAGATTCTTGGTTTGACCGAGATTATGCAAAAAATGATTCATTCTTCGCGTCTAGATGAACTTCAAATATCCAAGAATTTTCGTCGAATTCAGACAATTCGGGTTTGTACAAGTATGCCCAGTCCCTGGATCTCAAATAGTGACCCTACAGAGGAATTGATGCACTGATAAGTGTCCTACAGTCAATCTGCCAAATGTCTTTGGCCAGCTTGCAACATTTGCTGCCTACGCTATAGTGGCAAGGATACGGGGGTCTGATGGACTCTTCGTCGCTCAAGCCGTTACATCTCTTTCACTGATTAACCTGATGATATTTCCACTCAGTAGCTTACTTTTAGCTATACCTGACACATTCGCATCAATGGGTTGTCTCGACAGGATACAAGAGTTCCTGAGGCATTCGAAGCGCCTTGGTAATTATCTCATTCTCTTATTTTTCTGTTCATGAGTCGTTGATATAGCCTTTTCTGTTTCCCGATTTGCCAGATAGACTAATAAGACTTCTTGCACAGATAAAAGAGCATTTCCATCATCACAGCTCGAAAATTCGATATGCGCTAGCTCTACAGCAGATATTGCGTTAAGTTCATTGCCGCCTCCATCAGAGACGAAGCATACCGTGATGTCCTTGAAAAATGTTCGATTTGCCTGGCTGGCCTCTTCATTGGAGAAAAATGGCATCAACCTGAAGATAGATTCGTGCCCAACAGGTACATTGGTTTTGGTTATTGGGTCAGTCGGCAGTGGAAAGTCTACCCTTCTCAAAGGACTTGCCGGTGAGACACCGGTGATTGAAGGCGACTACTTCATTGAATACCCCGATATAGCCTTCTGTGACCAGACACCATGGCTTGTCAATGCGTCAATCAAGGAGAACATCGTCGGGAACTCAAAGTTTGGGCTTGATAATGAGTGGTACCGCACTGTTATAAGTGCATGTTCTCTAGACACTGATTTCATGAAAATGCCCGAGGGAGATCAAACACCAGTAGGCAGCCAGGGGGATAAACTCAGCGGTGGACAGAAGCAGAGAATCGTAAGTGGCGCCTAAGCTATTTTTTAGGTTCTTCATCGATAATTTTGAGAAGATTCGATGGGCTAACAAGAGACTCAAAAGACAATTGCGCGAGCTTTATATTCACGAAAGAGAATCTCTTGTTTTGATGATATATTGAGTGGTTTGGATAATTCAACTTCGAAGTTAGTATTTGACAAAGTATTTGGCCCGAAAGGCCTACTGCGTCAACTAGGTGGCGTGACATTCATGGCGACACACTCTAGTATGTTGACTCCACTTCCAAGTGAAATACTTAGCTGTTCCCAGAGTGCGCTTACAATTTGAACTCTCTAGTCGACTACGCAAAATATGCCGATTTCATAATTGCTTTAGGAGATAATGGCCAAGTGCTGGAACAAGGCAGCCCAGAAGAACTTCGAAGCTACACTGCCGGTGCTTCCGAACTAGATGAGACGGAAACAAAAGAGAGAACCCCAAAAAATGAGTTAGTTGATGATAACAAAAGTCACGAGCCTAAGGAGTCAGCACTGGAGTCTTTGGGTGACTCTTCTAGCGGCGATAAACGCCAAGGAGGGGCCGATCTATCGATTTATAAGTATTACTTTTCAGCTCTCGGATGGCAAAGAATTTTGTTCTTGTTGCTTTTCTTGATAATCGACTCTGGAATGGGTGGATTCCGATGTGAGTTTTCGTCTAACTTATAAGCGCGTGAAAAGTCTATGAAACTTACAATTGATTCAGATATATGGATTGAGCTTTGGTCCTCTAGCAACTCGCAAGGTGCCAATCCAGACTTGGGCTACTGGCTCGGGCTTTACACTTGCTTCTCATTTATTGAAGCAGCAACACTCACCCTTGCCGTTTAGTAAGTTTTGAATTAACCCATCTTGAATATCCTGGGTTGGTACAGATTCGTTAACATTATTTGTTCTCAAGCTGGACTTGGGTTGTGATTGTACCGGTCGCTTCTAGAAACCTCCATTCAAAAGTTCTCTCGGCTTGCATGAGGTGAGGCAGTCTACCAAGTTTCATTTCTGTGTGCTAATCTATTTAGCGCTTCTTTGTCATACTTGTCAAGTGTTGAGACTGGGTCTTTGGTTACCCGCTTTAGTCAAGATATGAGACTTGTCGACATGATCCTCCCTCGGGGTCTCATAAATGCCGGTTTCCGTAAGCATACCACTTGATGAGGCTGGAGAGAAAATTAGCGACTAAACATACCTGCAGAACTTTTCGCGGCCCTTGCACAGGGTGCCATTGCAATAGCGTCCTTGCCCTATTTGGCAGCTGTTCTTCCAGTACTCCTGGGTCTACTCTTTCTGATCCAGCGGTTCTACTTGAGAACGTCTCGCCAATTGAGATTACTAGAGTAAGCTTCCCGACCCGTGCCCTCCAGTTGAAACCTATTCTAAACAATTTACAGAATCGAACTAAAAAGCCCTTTATACACCCACTTCATTGAATCACTCGCCGGAGTGGTTACAATCCGATCTTTCTCGTGGGTGGATATATCTGTATCCAGAATGGTCTCAATGCTTGATACGGCGCAAAGGCCGTATTATCTCCTTCTGTGTATTCAGCGATGGCTAAGCTTGGTTTTAAACTTGGTTGTGGCGGCATTAACAGTCCTTCTTGTGGGGATGGGATTTGCTCTCCGCAGTAAAGTGAATCCAGGTCTCCTCGGAATTGCTCTTGTTATGATGATAGATCTTGGACAGGTCTTGTCATCGCTTATCCAGAGTTGGACATTACTTGAAACTTCTCTGGGGGCGATTTCACGCATCAAAGACTTTTCGGAGAAGACCCCTTGCGAGGAAAATGACGTACAGGATTTGACCCAACCAAGTCCAGAGTGGCCAAATCGCGGAGAAATCGAGTTTGCGGATGTCAGCATTTCGTACGGTGCCACTGAAGACATCAAGCCCGTGATATGTGACATTACACTTCGGCTGAAGGCAGGGTCCAAGGTCGGAGTCTGTGGCAGAACTGGAAGGTAAATATAACCCGAATCAAAGTACATTTCAGAAGTTCGGGAAAAGACTGACTGGAATTTATTGTTAGTGGGAAGAGTAGCTTGGCAATGTCCCTTCTTCGCCTCAATGAGTTGGTGTCAGGTCGGATAATCATCGACGGGCAGGACATTTCGAACATATCCCGATCAACAGTTCGGCGGAGCATAAGTTGTCTCAGCCAGGATCCATTCTTTTTTCCCGGGTTCCATCCGACAAAATGCTGACCCTTGGGGTCGCGCAACGAGTCCGGAAATACTTGATGCTTTACAGCGGGTTGGTATTTGGGATTCTATTGCAACAAAAATTGTCGGTACCGTCGATGATGTGCTGGAAACAAAACTGGATCACGGTATACTATCTCAGGGACAGAAGCAGCTGTTTTGCCTCGCGAGGGCACTGCTTAAAAGGAGCAAGGTTTTGATTCTTGATGAGCCGACAAGCAGGTATGCGGATTTTCCTTTCTCACTTCCCGATCTAATACAGTGAGCTTGAAACCGAAGGGTATACTAATGAAACACGACAGCTTGGATCGAGTGACAGATGCCAAAGTCCAACAGGTCATACGGGAATCGTTCAGCGACTGTACCGTCATCATGATAGCGCATCGAATCCGTACCTTGGTGGACTTTGATCAGATTATAGTACTAGATAACGGTCGAGTGATAGAACAAGGAAGCCCAAGCGAATTGATCGGCAGAGAGGGTGGGGAGTTTTCGAAGCTGTTGGACCTTGAAACATGAGCCATTGTGAAGTGTGCTTGTCAGCACTAGGTGAATTGAAAATAGTATCTTGTTGTTGAAAGGGTGATAATAAAATTTCTCAATATAATGAAGGATATAAAATCCATCAAGGTTTTTTTCTTTTTTTTAAAAAAAATTCATAGATAAGATGAAAATCCCTAAAAGGCAGTTATTCGCGACGTTGGTCCCTGAAAGCGGGCCTGCGGGTCACAATGATAGCCGAATGAACCGTGAATTTCCCCGCATATCGCATTTGCCTCTTCAGCCAGCGCAACGCGCTAATGCCATGCTTCAATCCACAGCGAAATTGAGGACGAGGACTGGCTGTCTGCGATGTAAGTGATGGTTTAGCGCTTCTAAAAACTTCTCGTTGGCTAATAGGGCACTGTGTATGAATGAGCAGGCAGAAAGCGCCGAAAGAAATGCGACGAGAGACGACCACGTTGTGCAGCTTGCACTCGCAATGGACTTGACTGCGAATGGCCATCTGGAAATGGGCCTGTAGATGGCCGAAGAGGCAAGAGACGCCAACATGCCGAGTGCGACGCGTCTCCCCAGCCAATATCCAGTTTGTCGATCGTGCGGCAGCCATCATCTCCCATAATGCCTTCGCCGTTTCATACGGAGGAACACTATTACCTTTACCAGCATTTCACTTCTACAATACTTCCACGACTGGTTCGCCAAAGCTCGATTGACCAAAGTTATTTGTTATGTCTGGCCCCAGAGTATCCACCGCTGATGGGCGCGATGATCTCCGTTGCCGGTATGCAGATCGCGTCGCGACCGAGCTGGTCAGTCAATTGTGCTGTAAAAAGCTATCTATACACAATCATATCGCTGCAGAAGTCTCTCATGCAAATTGAAAAAGCGGGGGATGACGATCGACTATTGGCAACCGTGATTTTGCTTTCTGTCTTTGAAGTATAGTCAAGCCGACCCTCCTCCTGCGCAAGAACAGCAATGGCTAATTCTGGACAGGCTTCTCGACTGGACATGGCACCAAATGTGGCACCTCATACTACGGCATCGGGATATCTCCTAACTCAGCGACAGTCGCACCTAGGCACACGCTCTATGGCCCCGGCAGTCTTTGATCGCATATGCATCGAGTCATTTATTTACCACGCTTCTATCATGATGCTCTTCGAACCATCTCTTGATGCTCTTTCGTCTATCCGACGCCAATTGGACATACCTGGGTATTTCTCTTATGTGGAAAAACGCGACATATCGCTCCCCGTCCAGCCAATTCTTCAAACTTCCTATGACTTCTTCCTGTCAATCGCCGATGCTACGAAACTCGCTCGTATATCCAGATCTTTGGTCGACGCAGAAATAACGCTGTGGTGCCATACTTGGCTTAGACTACTTCAGTGGGACCAAGTTGATCATACGGATGACGTGTCGCTAAAACTCTACTTCAATGCCCTTCAAATGTTGTTGCTGAAAACGGCTCCAGATTTGTCCAATGAAGAAAAGGCACTCCAGATATCCGAGTCTCTTCAGCATGGGCTGCAAATTATCGTTTCGTTAGAGCCAGAAGAATATGCGCCTAGCTATCTCTTATGGCCGCTAGCGATTCTTGGTTCGATGAGTATATTTGAAAAGGAAAAGAACGCGGTAGAAGACTTCATCAACTTATTGATTCAGTCAAAGCGAGGAGGCCAAGCAGTATGGGTGCTGAAGCGTTTGAACAGGGTCTGGAACGTGACAAAATTTCGTGCTATTTGCCCATCCTCGGCAATGAGACTTCAAGGGCTGCAAATATTACTTGATGCGACATAATATACTGAATATAAATTGAATTAACATCAAGAAAGATATAATATAGCTCCAATCACCCAAGAAGATGCAGCAACTCAACAAAAAGAAATGATTAATTGAGGCCCGCCATATTATAGGTTCCAAAGTTCACAGTTCAAAAATTTCTATCATAGACAATCCTGGGTATCAAAATACTAGTAATCCTTCTTACTTAAATCGCCCGCGGGAAAATCCCTCTTCAGGTTCCCTTCTAACATGCTGGCAGCTAACGCATATGCCTCATCTTTGGCAACGCACTGGGATGTGCCCCTTATGGCTTCCTTATCCCACCCATGAGCGCAGCCATCCATTCTCTTATATACGGAATACTTCCCATCTATGCTACCGAGCCTCTGAGCGAGCTCCTCTGCTTCCAAGGCAAATGAACATTGAGCCGCTGTGATGGTCAATACATTGTTGGGGAAATTGTGCAGATTGCCAAATTTGGGCGAAAGACGAGGGTCCTTTGGATCTACTCCGTCTGGTATCGAACATTTGTGGCAGAGATGGGAGAATCCAGGGAATATTTTTCGCATAATCCAGTTGGATGTGTCCACTTGTGGCTTTTCCGGCGTAGGCAGAGCCATGTTCGTTGGGCCGTACAGTGAGATGACAGTGTGGAAAATGCTCGGCTGGCCTTCCTGGCAAAATTGCGAAGATGCGGAAGAGAGGCCGAGGGCAATATTACCGCCTGAACTAAATCCGCTTAGTGAAAGTTCTGAGGCATCGAAACGGTCAGGTTGCGACCGGGCCCAATTCACGACATCTTCGGCGTCGTGGAATGCTGCTGGGAATGGATTCTCGGGCGCGAGCCGATACTGTACGTCGAGGACGGAGTATCTAGTTTCATTTGCGACAAAGCGACAGAATTCATCGTCATTGCCATAAGTCGGAAGAACAGATCCACTGCCACAGAAGTTTATTAAGACTGGAGTGGGGTTTGTCGCGTTGGCAGATTGGTAGAGATGGACTTTGATGGTGCGCCCGGCGTCTCGAGATGGGATGAAAATTTCCTCATTTGGCTTCGGGTTAAGATGAAGTCTAGGTCGAACAAGCGCACGAAGGAAAGTAGCGATTGCCTTGTGATAGTAAACATCGTGCAACACCATGACGGCTCTTGGGGCTCAAAGCCTGTCTGGATCTGGATCGCGCAGGTATCCGGATTTTTGCGTGGCAGGATATGTGGTCCAAAATTTAGTCTAACTGGGGCTACCTGTCATTAAAACCGAGCCTTCTCGCTCCTGACACGCGTGTCAACGGTCTCTCAGGCACATTCCATTCTGCGATACCAGGTTTTTATCATGACGAGGTCAGTCGACGATCACTACGTCATCGCCAAGGTAACATTTGTGGGTCGAACTGGAGGCGATAAACATCCTAGTCAGTGCCAGAATTTGCTATGAAGTCAAAGTAATAAATCACTGGCATCTGTAGATTTTGTTTTCAATCCCTCCCAAATATTAGCTTGTTATCAAAATCAAGGCGTTGGGCGAGCTCAATGCGCAACCATTTATGGAAGCGCCCTTGTCGATCACGGGATGATCACTCAAACAACGTGACAATCTACGACTAGTAGTACTAATCTTCCAAATCCTTCTCTATTTAGTATTACCCGACGTAAATGTGAGGGCATACTGCAAGAATTGGAATCGCAGCATTTTTCAGACTTTCGACGTGACCTCCGTCTCGACCTCCCGAGGTCATAATAATCCCCGAGTTCTTAGAGATAGGTAAATTCAGGCCCCAAGGTTACCACTCTCTGCTAGAAGATGATGAGCAGACGAAGACGACGAAAAGGATGAAAGTGGTGGTGAAACGAGGAGAGAAGAGGGAAGAGAGAAATGAGTGAGGCTATCTAGAGACGAAAGTCGGCCCATGTCAGCCTCGAGGCTCGAGGCGCACACAGCGTTTGTTACCCACGTATTTTGTTATAGTTGGGGGCCATCCGACCTCTGAAAATGAAAGATAACCCCCAGATCATTCTACCTCAGCTCCGCTCCGCTTTATTTTTCCATTTCAACCCAAATTTGCACCCTTCACGCCATGTCCCTTCTTTCATTACCTGCCGAGATCCTTTTGTTGATAACATCCGATCTTCAACCTCACGACCTAAATGCGCTCATCCAATCCCATCCTTATCCCCACCTTGCCCTAAATTCCTCCCTTTACTACGAAAACGTACACAACCACAATGCCTCAGCGCTATTTTGGAGTGCTTCACATGGGTATATCAAGACCCTAGAACATCTCCTCAACGCCGGTGCCAATGTTCTCTGGGACTCAACATACCAGCGGCAGAACTTTCAGCCCCCACCAGTGAATGATCCTTTATCTTCAAGTTTCCTGCCATTCCGACGATCAAAAAGACGGCCGAATGGAGACCCGTCATCCAAAGAGCATCCAATATCTATTGCAGCTGCCAATGGACATATCGAGATTGTGGCTAAATTTCTCGAGCTTGGGATCGATATCAACTACAAAGATCCAATGGGCCGGAATCCACTATCCCTCGCAGCAGGCGGGGTCCATCTAGAGCTGTGCCAGATACTCCTTAATAAAGGGGCTGACTTATCATCGCCCGATGACAATGATATGCATCCTACAGGCCATGCAGCGGTTCAAGGACAGCGAGAAATCGAAGACTTTCTCTTCGAAGAAGTGCATAAACGTAATATCTACACAGAGCATAGTTCTGACAGATCTATTGTACAACAACACCTACACTGGATGTTGAAATGCGCAGCAGAGAGAGGAGAGAATGATCGTCTAAAGCTTCTCCTAACTAAAAGCGAAGCCGAGTTGAATATTGTCCCTCCCATTCTTCAGGAGAATTTGGTTTCTGACAACTACGACAACCCTTGGTACCCGACTCCATGGCGAAGCTACACACCTCTGATCGGCGCAATACAATCGGCGCCAGATCCCATAAGCACAGCCAAAATATTATTGGAAAAAGGCGCTGATCCGAATATTCTTGTTGCCATCGCGAACCCATTTATTACGAACAAAGATCTGGGGATGTATGAAAATGCCGTCTCCGCTGCTCTTGGACGAGATCAAAGTTATTGTCTAATCGAGCTTCTCATTGAGTATGGGCTTAGCCCGATAAATTCGGAGATGACTTTAATCCGAGCAACGCATCTGAAAAAGATTGATGAATTCCGACTCCTGTTGGACAATGGTGCCTATTACCTATGGGAGGCTCACAGCATATGGCGAATCGGATATCAGCCTATACTGGATTTACTTACTGAACGCGGGATCCATTCCGAGGTAAAAGGGCCTCTCATGACATGGGAACAGCTATTGGAGCCATTTGATCTTGATGAGTATCTAAGTTCCGAAGAAGATTCGTTCGGGTTCAATAAAGACCCAATTCGCCCAGATACCCCACCCCCTCACACAGAGACCGAGTGGGCTAGATTTCTAAACGGCCATTTTGATGATAATCCTTACCCTTATTTTGTTGGGAACGCAGGGTTTCACTGTGCGACAGGGGAAATCGAGGCCTTCCAAGCCGCTCAGGGGTAATTCCCCACGGTCCTGTGTCCTGGTTAAAACCACTCGAGCAGAAAGCTCTGGTAAAAGAAATCACCCATCTATTCGTTAAAACCTGAGACTTCAAGGCCATGGCAACATGAGTGGTGACCGGTCTAAAAGCCTTTAAAGTAATTTCCAATAACTACGAGGGAAAATAACTTGAAATACATTCAAATGCGCACTTTGGTAATAGCAACTTGCACTACTAGTACATCAGATCAGGTTAGGTCAGTACAGCGCTCGATAATCGCAGGGTCCCATGGTCAGTAGTTGCATATCGGGGTATTTATGCCGGTAGAAAAGAGTACCTTAGGTATAGTATAGTGGCACAGCAAAGGTTCCAACCCCTTGTTGGCCGTCCTGGTCTCCATCTTCCTAATGGCGGACTAGTAGCTACCTAAAACGGATTGGGGTTGCCAATCTATTCTATCTCAGGGAGCTACTAATCTGCCATTAGAAGGGGGTCAATAACAGTGGTGGGCAATAGGGGCCAGGTAAAATACCCCGATATACAACTACTGACCACCTTGCGCTTATCGAGCGCCGTAGGTCAGTAAGAACCTACTCAATTGTTCAAGCTTCTACTAATGCCTACTAGTGAGTAAAAATATGGAGCTCTGGTGAAAATCGAAAAGACAAAAACTTTTTGTTTCATGGCTGGCAATCATAAAGTTCTAAAAAATAGAGAGATGCATATCTACCAAAAGAGGCAATAAAAAAAGAGCAAAGGGGGGGGGAGGAAAACCCAAAAACGCCGTCTATAAGATCTTCCCATGCAAAATTTCAAAAAAGCCCCAAAAATAAAAGGCAGAAGCCAGAGGCATGACAAAGTATGCAAAAGGAAATACAACATCAGCAGGATATCCATTACGCATCATTCCATTCCTTCAATATATTCAGGTTCAGGTTCGTATTCGGAGTCGGTTCACGTTCATTTAGGCCTCGTCGTCAGTGTCGACGGGCTTGGGTGTACCCTTGGGAGAGTTGAGCTGTGGAGTAGCGTGTTAGCGGAATGGTAATAAACAATGGCTTTAAAGGTGTCAGGGAAGAAACATACCCATTCAATGTGACGGAGACGACGGCGAACCTCGCGATCCTTCTGCTGAGCGCGGGTCATCTTCTTCTTCTTCTTAGCACGGAACTTCAGGTCACCGCCATCCTCAGCGCCAGAGTTGACAGCCGAAGCAGCAGCGCTGGTGGCGGCCGAGGCAGCGGCAGAGACGCCGGCGGGGGTACCAGGGGCGGAGGGAGAGTTGGCAGCGCTATCCTCGAAACGGTCGAGGCTGATGGCAGTGTTGGTGCGGCTGACGACGCGGCCGTCGGCAATGTGCATCTGCTCGGGGCAGAGGGCACCGACGAATTCTTCGTTGTGAGAAATCATCACGACACCACCCTTGAAGTCACGGATAGCGACGGCGAGACCGCCGAGCGAGTCACGATCCAAGAAGTTAGTAGGCTCGTCAAGGACCAGCAAGTGGGGGTTGTTCCACATGGCACCAGCAAGGACGACCTTGACCTTCTGACCACCGGAGAGACCGGAGATCTCGTTGTGGTTGGCAATCTCGGGATCCAGACCGACATCCTCGAAGTGCTTGGAGATGGTCTTGGGGTCGAGGATACGGTAACCCAGACCCTCACGCGAAGCCTCGTGATCGTCGAACTCTTGCACCATCTTGGTGAAGCCCCGGGCAAGCAGAGTCTCGCGGGAGATCATGGTGTTGTACTTGGGGAGGAGGCCGACCCACTTGACCTCGTACTGGAAGGTCTTCTTGTACTTTTGACGACCGATGAGGGTGTCGATGCGGCGGGGGCCACGTCCATCACCAAGATCAATGGGGGTCTCCAGCTGCTTCTTGTCCTCCTCGGTCAAGATGCGGGTCTGCTTCAGGAAGACCTCGCGATCGTCACCGTTGGCGTAACGCCACATGATGTACTGACTGGGGGTCTTCTCGAGATGCATCTCAACGTGCTCCAGGGCGTGCTGCTTAATGTAACCAATACGCAGGTTGGGGTGCTTCTCGACCTTGCCGCCCTGGGGAATGGTCTCACCAGTCAACATCTTGATGAAAGTGGACTTTCCGGCACCGTTACCACCGATGACGGCGACACGGGATGAAAGGGTCAGAGAGAGAGAGGCATCCTGGAGAGAAGGCTTGGTGGCCCCAGGGTAGGTGTACGAGCAGTTGGTCATGCGGAGAATGGCGCGGGTGTTGGACTTGATACCGGACAGAATACCGGGAGCGGGGAACTTGAACTGCACGGTGGAGGCAGACAGAGTGTAGTAGCTCTTGCCCTCGGGGTTGACCTTGACGAAATCGGCAAGGTTACCGGGGTAGTTGACCAGCTTCTTCTGCTCGTAGTGGTAGATGTCGGTGCAGACCTCGTCAAGGAAGCCGGAGTCGTGAGAAACGATCAAGCTGGTGATGTCAGTGTGTCTCTTCAGGTACTCTTGCAGCCACTTAACGTTGGCAACATCCAAGTGGTTAGTAGGTTCATCAAGAAGCAAGACATCGGCCTTGAGAAGCATGGCACGGGCCAGAGCAAGCTTCATCTTCCAACCACCGGAGAGGGAGCCGACAGGCTGGGACTGGCGACCCTCGGGGCCATCGGTGAAGCCGAACTCGGTCAAGACGCTGCTAATGTGCTCCTTGCCCTCGCCAGCAACTGCGGGGTCCTTGGCAACATACTCCAGGATGCTGAGATCAGCATCCTCACCCTGGTTGTGCTCGACGAAGCAGGTGCGGACCTCCTCGGGGGGGAGGGAAACCCTCCAGCTTGTCGTTGGCGATACTGCGCATCAGGGTCGACTTTCCGGCACCGTTGCGACCGCAAAGACCGTAGCGGTGGCCCTTGACAAGACGAAGGTTGGTGTGCGAGAGCAGGAGCATACCACCGTACGCAAGGGAGAAGTTGGCGTTAACGATGACAATCTCATTGGGGTCGGCCTGAACAGGCTTGCCGAACTTGCGCTCATCCTCCTCGGTGAAGTGAGTCTGGACGGCAGTGGAGATAGCCTCAATGCTATCCTCTGCAAGCAGGCCGCGGAGGTAGGGGGTAATGTTGGAGGGGATGCGGTCAAGCATGCGGGCGTTGACAGCCTCACGAACCATACCAGCGACATAGTTCTTGGTGAGGTCGTGGAACTTGGCATCGCCGAAGCCGATGAAACCTCCCTGTTCCTGGATCTTGGGGTTCAGGACAGCGAGGACCTCCTCGGGAGTAGTCTTGGTGACGGAGCCGGAGGCAACATCCTTATCGGCCATAGCCTTGTCCATGACATCGAGAGCACGGGTAGCCAGCTCACGGACCTCGGGGAGAGAGGCACGGTTCACGACATTCTGAACACCAGGTTGCAGCTTGGGCAGGAAAGTACGGGCCTCAGCGGGGTCGTGGACCAGCTTGGTCAAGTTCTCGACGACAACAACGGTCTGGCGGAGAGTTTCTTGGGGAGTAGTGGGGTCGTTGAGGGATCGCTCGAGCAGAGGAGTGAGGAGGGCGAGCACAGGGGAGGTGACAATAGCGACGAAGGTGGTCTGGGAAAGAGCGTGAATGGCCTTCTGGAGAGTCTTGGCCGATGGCTGCTCCATGGTCTGGATGAGCAGGGGGATACGGGGAGCGACATCGTCGTTGGAGAGCAGAGTGGTGAGAGCATTCATCGACTTGGTCGACTGCTTGGCCACCTCGCTCTTCAGGTCGTGCATGCCGTTCTCGACGATGGGGATCAGCTCCTTCAGGGTCTTGCCGAGAGCCTCGCGCAGGACATCCTTCTCGCGCTCTTCCTCCAGGGAGCCAGTGCCCATTTGGGCGCCGACGGCCATCTTCTCGAGGAGAGAGTAGCCACCGACGAATCCTTGCCATTTACCGCTGCCCTTGCTCAGGTAGTTCTCCAGAGCTGGGATCAAACCGTTGACCTTGGCCTCCGGGCTGAGGCAGGCGTACAGAGCATCGACGGCGTATTGAGCGGCGTCGCGGACCACGGCGCCCTTGTCGGCCAGGGAATCCAAGACGACATTCAGCAGAGCCTGATCTTGGAGAAGGAAAACGGCCTCACTGAGAGGGAACTCGCGGGGGAAACGCTCAAAGAGGGCACCGATGATCAACATGGCACTCTCACGCTTGGCGCCGTTCTTCTTATCGACAGCGGCCTTGCGGGCCTCAGCGACGACATTGTAGTTGACGAGACCGGCAGTACCGACACTCTGAATGAGGAGGTTGGCGAGGGCATATGCGCCATCGAGGGAGACTTGGGAAGACTCGGATGTGAAGATTGTGTTCAGGAGAGAAGAAATCTCTTCGGTGGTGGGGGGAACCCCGGAGGCAGATTTGGCGACAACGGTCGGCATGGTGGGGGTCTCAGAAGGAGATACAGTGTGTGGCATGGTCTCCTGTGAGTCGCGACTCGAATCAATCGAGAATCTCGCGGGGGGTATCTGGGTATCTAGGAAAGAAGAAAAGAGAGAGGGGGGATAGACCCGCGATGCTGATGATAGTGGCGGGGCGGGGCAAACCGGGGGCCCGAGGGGAAAATAAAGAAGCGAGCAGGAAAAGACTAGCTCAAGATGCGATTTGCAGATATTTTTGCAAAAGCGCAAGGCCACACAAACAACCACCAGAAACAGGGAAACTGTACAAAGAGAGGAGAGTTGAAGGGGAAGAAAGGAGAGATGCAACAGTGTTCAGAGTGTCCAGGCCAGCCCCCAAGCGGTGCTTACAATTTTTTTTTTTGTTTGGGGGGCGACTAGCCAATCAGCCAATCACGTTCCTCCCGATTGCAGGACACAGCGCATGGTCTAACCGCATTAGGCTTATCAGTGTTTGGCGGTGTGAAGGGGCAAATCATTACTCAGCTGGGGAGACCGGACGGTGTAGACTGGCAGAATAAATGTCAGCTGATGGTGCCTGACTGCCTGACTGCCTTGCAGCCTTGCAGCCTTGATGCCTTTGTGCCTTTGTGCCTTTGTGCCTTTCTGCCTAGATGAACCAGAGTGAGCTTGAAGGTGTTGTTTACTAGACAGCACACAGCCAGTGCGTTAAATATCCAATTTCTTACTTCAGTCAAGTGCCTCCATCACGCGCATCTTTCAATCCCATTTCCTTGCCAATGTTGAAAGACAGAGATATATATTACTAGTCTCGACGGATAGCATGACTATTAATGTCTGGACGAGATGCTTCCAACGGCCGCTGTCCCGGTACCAGTGCCAGTGTGATGATTACACTGGAGTTAGTAAGTACTATTAGTACTGAGTACTGAGCAAGCTCATCCCAGAGCTGCTGCTAGTGCTGGTACGTCATAAGAGCTTACATTATCACAAGCATGTGTTCTACCCGCGGACTCGGTCGGATGGGCGACCTACAGCCCTAGCGGTACTAGTACTAGTAGTACTTTAATTCTGCCCTAGAACCATACATCCCTCACCGAGATTCTCTTTATTATCATCCGACTTCGCTGCTTACAACTTCTACAGGTGTTCCGCTCCCCCTCGGCCCCGAGGTTATAGGCGGGTAGCGGTTATCGGTAGCAGTACATACTCCGCGGAGACAGAACAACACTTTACTACACCTATGATGGGAGCAACTGGCTATTATTTAGATTCCATCTAGATTGCGAAAGATAATAGCATAATTACTGCCAGTGCCAGTGCCAGTGCCAGTGCCAACAATGATATTTGTACTGTATAATCCGATGTCGGTGACCGCATGCAGCCGCCCCGGGCCTCGGTTGAGACAAAAATACGCTGGGCGTGGGAGCCCCGCGTCCAGCCGAGTGAATGCATGCTGCAAGTACCGGTCGATCACAGGTTCTTTGAGTTTAGTTTCACCTTTTATTTCTCCCGGTGGTGGAATTCAAGTTCACCTTCTCCCTTTCCTCCTCCTCCTTCTCCTCCTCACCTTCTTATCACCACTTTCATCCTCCCCCTTCACCACTCCTCCCCCCCGCAATTGCTCCCGCCCCCACACTATCCACAACTTCCCCAGACTCCTCCCTTCCTCCCTCCGTCAACAATGGCTCTGAGCTTCAGGACCACCCGCCATGCCACTCGCCTGGTTCAGGTACGTGCCAGCAGAACATCCGAAATCCCAATCCCAATCCCAATGGGCTACAGCTAACAAATATCCAGGCCTCGCGCCCCTTCCTGTCGGCCCGCACCTATGCGACCGCCGAGCCCGACCTCAAAACCACCCTGAAGGAAGTTATCCCTGCCAAGCGGGAACTCCTAGCAAAGGTGAAAGCCCAAAGCGACGAGACCATCGGTGAAGTCAAGGTCGGCAATGTCATCGGCGGCATGCGCGGCCTCAAGGCCATGCTCTGGGAAGGCTCTGTACTCGACGCCGACGAGGGAATCCGCTTCCACGGCAAAACAATCAAGGACTGCCAGAATGAACTACCCAAGGGCACATCAGGAACTGAGATGCTCCCCGAAGCCATGTTCTGGCTCCTCCTGACCGGCCAAGTCCCCTCCACCTCCCAAGTCCGCGCCTTTTCCCGCGAACTTGCCGAAAAGTCCGAACTGCCTACCCACATCCTCGACCTGATCAAGTCCTTCCCCAAGACCATGCACCCAATGACACAGCTCTCCATTGCCGTCGCGGCACTGAACACAGAGTCCAAGTTCGCTCAGGCATATGAGAAGGGCCTGAACAAGGCTGAGTACTGGGAACCTACCTTCGACGACTGCATCTCGTTGCTGGCTAAGATTCCCCGCGTCGCGGCGCTGGTGTTCCGCCCCAACGAGATTGACCTCGTCGGTAACCAGAAGCTCGACCTGTCTCAGGATTGGGCATACAACTTTGCCGAGCTGCTCGGTAAGGGCGGAGAGAAGAATGAGGATTTCCACGATCTGCTCCGTTTGTACCTCGCCCTGCACGGCGATCACGAAGGAGGCAATGTCTCCGCCCACGCAACCCACCTCGTCGGCAGCGCCCTCAGCGACCCCTTCCTGAGTTACTCTGCCGGTCTGCTTGGTCTGGCGGGTCCACTGCACGGTCTGGCTGCGCAGGAAGTCCTCCGCTGGATTCTGGCCATGAAGGACCAAATTGGTACCAAGTTCACCGAGAGCGATGTCCGCAATTATCTCTGGGATACTCTCAAGTCTGGCCGTGTTGTGCCCGGATACGGTCACGGTGTCTTGCGCAAGCCCGATCCTCGCTTCGAGGCCCTGATGGATTTCGCTGCTACCCGCCCCGACGTCCTCGCCAACCCTGTCTTCCAGCTCGTGAAGAAGAACTCCGAGGTTGCTCCTGGTGTCCTTACCGAGCACGGAAAGGTACGTTAATACTCCACGCCGCTGGAATAGATCTTCTCGAAAGAATGAAGTAAACTAACTCACTCCGTCACAGACCAAGAACCCCCACCCCAACGTCGACGCCGTATCAGGCGTCCTCTTCCACCACTACGGCTTCCAGCAGCCTTTGTACTACACTGTCGCATTCGGCGTGAGCCGCACTCTCGGACCCCTGGTCCAACTCGTCTGGGACCGCGCCCTGGGCATGCCCATCGAGCGCCCCAAGAGCATCAACCTGCTGGGTCTTCTGAAGAAATAAGCTGTTGACTGACTCGAAGCTTCCCACCCGGGTGGCTGAAGCCGAGTGATGAAAATGACGCTAGCGAGTTCTTTGTTTTCTATTTCTCTTCTTTCTTTCGTTATGGTTCTGTCTAGACTGCTTTTTGTATTTATTGCAGTGGCCGGGTCGATCCCGGTGATGTTTCATAGACTTCAAGTCCCTTATCCAGCAATGCACTGCGACCAAGGTGGAGTGTTTCCTAGAAATACTTGCTACCAACGCTGATTTCGCTGGAAATTTCAGATTCTTGTTGTCGTAATATTTACTGCATGTAGTGGGGTGCTTCCAATGTTAAACCCAAACAACCAGGTGGCAGAAGCTGGGAATGAAGTGGTGATGCATGCGAAGAGTGCCAGTGTGCACCTAAGGCGATATTGGTGCCTTGAGGCCCCAACAACACCAGTAGAGGAGCAAGACATTGATCGCCGTGATCACGGCGACCGTAAGCATGCCAACTGTATTCGTCTGAATGTATACTGAGAGCTCCAGTGGGCATACAAATCAGCTAGCGCTTCATATTAGAATGGGGATCGCAAGGAAGTGATACGGCGAGGGCTTTGGCGCCGCGATCAGCAAGGTCTTCCTGGAAATTCTTAGGGACTCAACTACTACTTCATCAAACTATTTCGAGATCATTCAGATATATATCCCGGAACTCGTCTCACAGTAATATGACGACTTCGGGAGATGGCTGAAGGCTGACAAGTAACACAACAGCAAGTCATGTCCAACCCGATGCTTTCTAGTTACATGTAAGCCCATTTTGCTTTCGTAGAGACCACATGAAACTTGGTGACAGAACTCTAATAATACAGCATGAATATGCTGTAATACTTTGGAAAGCTTAGAGCTAGCATTGTGGTACTGGATGGTACTATATATGTGGCCGTGACGTACTATATAAAGCCACTCTGCACTGTAAGACTCCGAGTCTTCTGGATAATATCAAGCTGATAGTACTATGTTCTCATCTCTCTCTCCATTACCTACCAGTCAACTTGAAGGTAGTGGCCACCCGTCTGCCTGGCTCGCACTGGACAGGACGTGATAGGACAAACACTGGGCCAAAAAGGGCCCAAAAGTCCTAATTATGTCTATCCTCGCTCCCTCAACACAGGTTATACTAAGCCTATCTATCTCATGCATGACTATCGCAACCGCCATAATAGTCTTACGATTTTATACCTACTTTTACATTGATCTTAACAGGGATGGGTGGATTCTTACTTCGGCAACTGCTGGATGGGTATAAGCAAACCTTCCGCATTCAATATCCTACTAGTAGTATCCTATTTCGAAACATATTAGCTGACATACCTAGAAAGGCTGTCGGGTGTGCCAGTACATTGCTTTATCTATACACCATGTATAAAAGCGCCATTAATCCCACCATTTATTGGATGGTCGCAAGTGGCCAGGTTCTTCAGATAATGGGCGTTATGCTCGTCAAATTATCTATGACCTTGTACATCCTCCACCTGCAAGGTCCGGTATATGTTACTGGGAGATGGATTCTTATCTGCGCTGCTGTGATTAATGTGAGCTCAATATCTGCGTCGGCGTCAGAATCGACGTCAATCTTTTGTAAAGTCCAGGCCCAGGAATTAAGGTTTGATCTAGCTTCTCACGGCTGTTGTGGTCTCGGCACTAATTTTATTACCATCCACGCCATGCAACAACGTACGGACTATGAACGTGTCACGTTGCGGTGATTATATCATTGCCTTAGCATCCGTGTCAGCCTGTAGGTTACTATAACGCGATGCTACATTTACATATGAGCCTTGGCCATTGGCCACTCTCTGTTGCTGGAAAGCTGCTAATTGAGATAATCTCTCATAGTGGTTCCCGCTTTAACGGACATTCTACTTCTAGTATACCCAATTATAATAATGTGGAATCGCCGAATAAGCAATAAGCAGAAGATTCTAGTCTGCATACTACTCAGTCTGGGAACTATAGGTACCGTTGTCAGTATTGTGAATTATCTTCTTGTTTTCCAGCCTGCAGGTAAGCAAAATCGTTTCTACTAGGAACCCAGACCTTCTCCTATCCGGCAGCTACTGGCAGTTGCGAGTTCCCATTTCAATATATCAAAACCCGGATATATACTAGTAGCTAACAGGGCCCAAATCACATATGCAAAGCTACCATGGAAGCAACGATGCTGTTCAACGTAATGGGGTTATGGACAATCCTGATCGCTTCAAGCGCTGCCCCATTGTGGCCGCTTTTCAAGGCATGGTCTCAGAAGGCAGCCATTCAACGGATATTCTGCGCTTCGAGGAGGAAAGAACAGAGACCGGGTGCTGAAGAGGTTGAATCTGATTTCGTGGCGCGTCCTCGCGGTGCAATTACACCAACTGGAATTGGCCATGGTAATATCGAAGCATAGTCGAGGGCGATGCGGAGGCTACTGGACGCTATAGGTGGAACATGATGCGAACGAAAATCGCTTTCTGGAATGTTTGGGATCTACAACTAGATTTGAAGGCTAAAGATGATCTCGTTGCGTATGAGAAAGGACCTAGGATCCTACACGTGAGTCAGCCTATGCGGAGTAAAAGTCGGTGTAGAAAATAGGACATTCCCTACATCTTCTTGTATAGTGTTTGGGATACTTTGACCTTGCAGATTGTATGCCGTGGTGCAGCTTAAGAGAAACGGTGAGTACAACCGTGACATTTTCTACCCCTTGCATTACTTACCCTTGAGTATTTTTGACTAGATCGATAGCGCCATAAATAGCAGTCCTTTGCCACTGGAATTATGAAATTTGCAATCCAACTTTTAAATCTCCCTTGAAGGTTATCTTTCGATATTATTCCTAACCTCCGTGCAGGCAAAGAAATAGAACTCCAATATGAAGTTGTGGGATATCCTCTCTGCAGTCGTCTTTGCCACCCTTGTGGTGGCAGGCTCTGCAAAGGAAGCCAAGGATCAGGCCGCAGACACTAATGTATGAGATCAGAGACGAATTCGTTTGTTAGTTTGAACTTGAGGAATTTAAGCTGACGATATCGTACGTGGGTAGTTCGTAAGTAGTACTACTTAAACCCCTCCAACGCCACAAAAGTCTTGAAAATATAGGGCTAACTAGAATGTTGTGACTAGTGTGTAAGTGTTTAACACCCTAACTTGGTATATACTCCCGAATATAGCTGATTAAGATGGGTATGGTTAGGACGTAAGTGCTTGACTTCTTGCTTGAATACGACTTTCCAGACTAAAAGATATGGAACATGAATAGTCTGTGAGTGTTTGACCTCCTAGCTGGGATATAACTTCAGAGTATAGGGCTGACTAAATTGGGGCATGAATAGAAGGTAAGTGATATCTTCTGAAGAGATGACTTGTGAATATACTGACCAATATGGAATGAGTTTAGGGTGTAAGTACTTGACTTCTCACTGCAGAGACGTGTTAAAAATATAGGTTAACAGGAGTGATATGGGCAGATTGTGAGTGCAAAATCCCTAAATAATTGAATGGTTTAACGATACCTGGCTAACTAAGATGCAATTTAGCTCGTAAGTTATTGCTTGATCCCTCGATGAAGAGATAATTTGAGAATATAGGGCTGACTTGGATATGGTGACTACCAGTGTGTAAGTGCTTGATATCCTACTTATGGAAATCTTGCAAGGTTCGAAATGAAGAGTCAACTGATTTGTGATGAGAATAGCTTAATTACTAGCCACCTGTGAGATTAACCCTTGCTTAAAAGGTACCATGAAGAATATTTTGGTACTAACCGAACTCAGCAGAATACCCCCGTCTATATGATAAAGGTGATGCTATTGTATCAGTCAACTATATCGATGTCAGAATCGAAGGCCATACTGTGATTGATATTTACTGATCTTGTTTACTAGTACACTATCCTTCTTATTGCCTACACGGGCGGCTATGCCCGAGGAATATCAGGGAATCATTGCTTCTGGATTAGATGGGGTCCTCTACCTGTACTTGTCTTGGCTGAGGTTTTTCCTATTCAGTTAGGTTTTCCTCTACCATTACACAAATGCAAAAGCTTCTTACAGAGCAGTGACACGCAGCTTAGTAGCGTAATTCTGATGACAATCATAACTCTCCATAGCGGCAAACGACTCGGTAGTAGTGAATGACTTCAAGCAAATGTTTTATGGCCTAGATTACAACTATAATATGGGGACCTGTGAAATCGAGGCCAAAAATGATACAGCTTTTGACGCCAGAAACGGCCGCCTTTCCACCCTTAGATTTAGGAGAAGAGCCTTTCAATAATATCATGGACCTTATCGGTAGCTATCATGTCAAGTACTACACCAATCACCATAGTTCTTATTGGCTTTGTATACAGTAATGGCTTACCTGACTCATACCATCTTGGCTCCGGCTCAACTCTCTTTGAATCGTGAGAGCGGATGATACGTAATGAAATCTATCAGTCCAACGCGCACATTTCAAGTCCTTGATCAAGGCCCATGGAGAATCTTTCCAACAGAATATGAGCTGGACCTGTACTAAAGATCCTTAGAAACTAGGCTTAAACAACTATACTGGATGAAGAATACCCATAGTACTATAGTTGTGAGTACAAAAATTGCGGAGGATACCGAGTACTAGTAGTAGAGTAGAGACCCGGGAATGTTTTGTCCAGATATTTCCAGCTCTCTGAGCGTGTTTGCTGTCGTTCATTTCTGGAGACCGCCGGGCCGCTACTAGACTGTCGGAGGTAGTAGTTGAAGTTGTTCACTCTCGGAGATCCTCGACGAGACTTGGCGCAAATGCCGATATTGCTGTGGTTTGTGAGACCTCGTCGTTAGGGCGAGCCGTGACACGACAGTCGGTTTTGATAGTGGTGGTCACCTCGCCCAGCGGCGCGTCAGTTCGTCAAAAAGTGGGCAATTTTTGATGTTTGTCGAAACAGAGTGCCTTCCCTAGATGGAAAGGGCAATCTGGGTTATAGCGTGTCAGGGGGTAATGAATGTTCGCTTACCACGGCAACCTCAACCTGGATGCCTTGTGCCTCGGGCAGCAACGCCTCACCGAATAGTACTGTTACTAAGATGCTGACAACTCTTGAATGCAAATTGGAAATTAATTCGCAATACGAAGGAATTTCTCCTCCGTGAAATAGAATGGCCCCAACCTTTGTGAAAATCGCTGTACTATACCTGAGACGTAGTTCTGATGCGGCTATCCAGGGTCAATGATCGAATTTGGTATTCCTCGCCATAAATGGCATCGGAGTGGCATATACCTAGGTATCCATGGGTGAAGTATATGCAAACTTCATTTTATAGCTGATCAACCTGCCGTCGATTTATTCTGTATCTTAGTTAATTAATTTCTCTCATTCTTCCTCCATATTGTAGATCTTCCGGCTTTACTACCAGCACATGCACTCAATAGTCATGGAATATTTACGATTCTTGGTCAAATCTTGCCACAAACGCCCGGTTATCGTGCCCAGCCATCAGGTGATACACCCTACGATTTATCGCATGGATACACTACCCGGCCTCCCCCCCCGGAGCTGTTATTGGAAATCTGTGACTTGTCTCCACCTCTTGAACAGGAATCATTCATTAAGAAACAATTTTCGTATTATTCAAGCTAGTTATATCTCCTTACTACTCATAAGCCACCGAATATCAAAGCAAAATCAAGCTAGATCAAAAGCGACAAAGGAGCTTTTCGCAGTCACCAACTAATAGGCTCATCCACCTCCGTGCTTTGAGAGACACAATCAGAAATCGAATCAGTCCACCCCTGAGAAGATTCAAGATTCTCCCGAGAGGTATCGTGGTCCTTCTTCATCTTCTCATAATCCTCAGAGATAATCTTCCGAACACCATCTTCAACACATACGTCCACAATCGTTAAATGAGGGAAACTGTGCAGATGCGGCACTCGTGTACCACATTCGGAATCCAGATCATCGTCATCATGCTTTTCTTTGCCTTTCAGTTTTCCCGTGAGATATACCTCAACGACCTCGGCTAGTTGCCCCATTTGTTTGTATTTAAGGTAGGTGCCGTTTCTTAGTTGCACTAGAGATATCTCTGCCGGATCAAAGGTTTCCCGGTAGGACTCATCATAAACGACCCACATCCAGATACTATAATGACCGTATGTTTCGCCGATATCTTGTTCCATTGGACAAATTGGACAAATATCTGTCTCAGTGAATGCGGTCACTTGGATCGAATCAATATGTGCAGCTCTGAGCCCAAGGCCCTGTCGTACAGCCGTGACAACGCAATCATCGACCTGGCACAGGAAAGCATTGCCCTTGGAGACAAGCCGCGACGTGAGAGCCTCGCGTAGATGTTCTATAGCATCCATGTAGAATCTGTCTCGGGAGGTGGCTCTGGTGTCATTTTTGTATCCCTTGTAGAAATAAAGCTCAATGGTTTCGCGTTGAAAAGAACTTTGCACCGGCATGATGATCACCTAGGCGGAGTGTATTGTTGAATGGAATTGAAATCGAATCAAATACAATATGGGCAGTGGAGGAATGGGACAGAGAGAGTGGTAAAGTAAAGATGGATGCTTGGAACATGTCAGTATTCTATAAGGTTCAGTGTGCTGGGCTCTATAGCTGTCACGATGACGCCGCGGACTTAAAGTAGTTTTATTGCCATTGTTACTGTATAGAGGCGTTGATGGGCATCTACTGGGCAGGATTTTCCAAAAATACAAAAAATGAACAAAAATACCATACAGATATAAGTAAAGATAATAAAACTCCAGACCAAATTAGCAAGTAAAACTCGGAGTTCTTAAAGAGGAAAAACACTACTAGTAGAAGACACACTCTTTATATCCAAGCCTACCCTAGTATGTACTCATGTGCCACCGAACAGCAAAAGTAAGCTAGATGGCATGCGACACACAATAAAGCTCCGCCCAGTAATCAATTATCACCTGGCTCTTCGTCCGAACAGACAAGATCAGAACTAGAATCCACCTCAGCCAGTTCCTGAAGAAATCCATGACTCGTCCACATCTTCTGATACTCCTCAGAGATGCTCTTCCGATACCATCATAAAGAACAGCCACAATCTTCGAGAAAGGAAAACTAGGCAGAGACAGCGACAACGCATGTCCACCCCCGCCAACACTTGTCAAAACATCCTCATACGGTCCATTATCTTGAAGCTTTGCCTCACAGTATTTATGGACCGCAGCAGTTACCTGACGCATCTGTTCCAGTATACAACTATATTGACCACCCACAGTGGTTTGGAGGTTCGCCGGATCCAAGGCTCCTGATAGTACTCTCCATAATTAACCCGCATCCAAATACCATAATGATCCTCTGGGCTGTATGTTTCTTCCGTATGGCAATTCTTTGTCTCAGTAAATGCCGTTACTACTATAGACTCGACGTGCGCTGCGCTGTAACCAAAGCTGCGCCTGAAAAATGTGATAGAATCATCGACCTGGCATAGGAAAACGCGGCCCCTGGAGATAAGTCGTCATCTGAGACCCTCGCGCAGGAATTCAATCTCTCTCGGGTGGGGTTTTGGTATTTCTTGGAGAAGAATAGCTCGATTGTTTCGGCTTCGTAGGCATTCACTGGTATGATGACTGAGGCGGATCTGAATGGATGGGAATCGAAATACTAGTATTGAATCTGGAGAGTAATAAAAGGGAAGTTGAAGAGGTTTCAGTGCTTTTCATGTGCTGCTACTGGTACTATATAGTTGTCATAATGACGCTGCAGATTCATACTATATTGCCATTCCTACTCCGACTTTGAGAGGTTGTTACTGTATAGAGACAATGATGAGCAAAAAGAGGAACTAAGGGGGAAAGAATTAAATTGAACTGTATGGGTAAATGACCGGCTAAGAGTTAGACACATTGCATCTGAGACAAGTTCCTGCTTATATTACTAGTATATCAACTTGAAAAGAATCCCCGCCATGGAGACAATATACAGTCCAAGCAGATAACCAGGTAGCAACCAAATAACTACCCAGTGCTCAGACCTCGCCAGCACTTCCAGAAAGAAACAAGCCCTGGATCCTTCCCAGCCCCCCCCAAAATAGGTTTCCAAAGTTAGACATTTAGTCTGACTCGAGTGAGACACATGACCAGCCACAGGGTTACTTTGAGAATGCCAGCTGCGCCGTCCACGTGTAACCCTAGATTGGCGGGGATTTACCCCGCGATCTGCATTTGGTGGAGGTGTGGGGTGCATAATGCATACGGATAGAAGTGTCCAGTTATATCATGTTGGGAATTGGAGGAGTGTTGGCTACTGCTGGCTCCTGCTAGACAATTGAGGAGTTTCGCAGTTCACATGTTCATCAAGGTATTCTATTAAGTGAACTCGGGATAAATCCCCTAACTACTATGACTACAGTAATTCAAGACGGGGCGTAGTTCAAAAGGGGTATTGAATATTGACTAGTATCTCCATCCGCCCAAGGTAACGTAAAATAACGAAGCATAGAACAGGATCATAACTGATCTTATTACTCGTTCTCCCGCACGTCGATGACCGTCTTCTTGAAATCTCTGGCCGGAACCTTGCGGTTGAACAGAATATCAAGCTCACGGTAAGAGCGGTGCTTAAGCTCGGGCAGACCGAAGTAAGCAAGGACCCAGCAGACGACCGCAGTGCCGGCCCAGACATAACCGCACTTTCCAGCCAAGTTCCAGCCAGTGGTATTCAGCATCTGCGAGGCGAGGTAGATCATCGGAATCTCGGCAACGTAGTAGGCAGCGCGGCCGACACCGGTGCTCAGGGCGCGCAGACGGACGGAGGAGGTCTCGGCGATGATCGTGTACGAGATGGGTCCGAGAGAGAGGGCGTAGCCGAAGGAGATCAAGATTCCCAAGACGGCTTGGGCGTAGTTGGTGGCACTGCTCTGGGCGATGGAGGCGCAGATACCGAGGATGACGAGGAGGGTGATGTTGGTTGCAGTACCGTAGAGGTAGATGGTTCGACGACCGAACCAAGAGGTTAGGAACCAGGAGAGGATGTTGGCGACAAATTGGAGGCATGAGTTGATCAGGTTGAGTTGGAAAGCGCGGTCGGGGGAGATTCCAGCTTCTATTTGGGAGTCAGTAGGTTCGTTATCAGTCAATGGTATAGAGTGTACTCACGTTCGAAGAAGTAGGTGGCCTGGTTGGCGATCAGGTTACCGGCGAAATTCTGCGACGCATACATCAAACAGGTAATTATGGTTCGGCGCAGATCAGTACCCTTCAGCAGGTCAAGCAGAGTAGGGGTGCCACTCGTATTAGCCTCGATTTCAACGGTACGCTCAATCATGGCAAGGCTGCGCTGAGCATCGGCGGGATCCTTGGTACCAAGACGCTTGATGGAACGGAGGGCTTCCTCCTTGCGGCCGCGGCGAATAAGCCACCATGGCGATTCAGGTGCAAACCAGACAAGAATCATAAGAGGGGTCTAAATAATTAGTCTCATGTCTACAATGCAGGCGAAAAGGAGCATGGACGGATAGAACTCACAGGGAAGATCCACTGTAAAGCCAGGGGAATACGCCAGGACCACTCGTCGGTACCCTTGTTGAACCCGTATGTAGCACCGGCAACAATGATGGAGCCGATCGACCAACTCATCTGCAGAGTGGCGGTACAGGCACCACGCAGAGAGATGGGGACAATCTCAGAGGCATAGGCAGGGGAGTTGGCAATGAAGAAGCCCCATGGAACACCCTCCAGGGCTTGACCAACAGTCAAGAGAGTAAGCGAATTGGCCTAAAAAATAAGAAAAAAAGGGTCTCGGGTTAGCGGGGATAAGCTTCGAGGCTAAAAGGAGTGGACGACTCACAAAGAAGGAAATGAAAATGGTGGCGTTCATAAGCACCAAGGCAAACAGAGTGGTATATCGGTATCCCAGCTTGTTTGTCACCGGACCAGCCAGGAACACACCGACGAAAGCACCACATTGGCCAGCCTGGAAGAGGGCACTCTGCCAGCGAGTCGGGATGACCCACCCACCCTTGCCATCGGGGACACCATAATGTTTCTGAAAGGAGGGGAGGGCAACAAAGTTACCGTTCAAGAACATATCGAAGGATTCCATGACCTATGATTGGGGGGAAACACGAGATCAGCTGGGGATTCGCACGGATGGGGGCCAGAATGGCGCATCGCAGTGCATCGTAGCGTAGCGCATTGAAATGCGGGGGGAAACTCACAATGGTGAAGCACATCATGAAAGCCCAAAAACAAGCCCAGGGATGTTTCTTGGCAGCCTCCCAAGTGCCCATCGAATGCTCGGCATTCTCACCTTCAAAGGCATCATTCATGAGTTCGGGGTTGTGGAGGACTTCATCCTGGTGGACCTCGACCTTTTCCACCTTGGCGTGATCTTCATGGTCAGTAGTACCATGTAGCTCCGAAGAGCCCTTGGTATCGGACATTGCGAGAGTACCCTATCACGAAAGGAAGAGGGGGGGGATCTCTGCGAAGGAGGTAGCAGAGAAAAGGAGGAGTGAAGTCGGAAGAGAAGAGAAGAGAGAAGAGTGCGGGGAGGAAGAAAGAAAGAAGGCGGGCCTTATTTGAAGGAAGGAACTTTTCCACTTCACAACCATCGTGGATTCGCATCTCAAATGACACCCTGCACTCCCAGACCAATCACATCAAATCAAATCACTTGCATCGGTCCAGGATTTACCTACAGAGTACGCCTTAGCCCGATTAAGATTCATTCCCCATCCGGTTGCTACAGGGGTAAGCTTGTGCCGCCTGACCCAGAGCCACAGCCGAAGCCCCAGGGCTTCTCTACTATACGATCCAATTACATTCAGCCGAGACGTTTCCAGCTAAGCTTGTCCAAGCAACCGATCGTTTCCTTTGACAGTCACGCCATCCCCGTGGTTGGTGGAATCTGAGCGGGGTGACTCTCCCATACGAAGCTATCCCCTTTCCGGGATGTGACCAACGCCTCATGGGACCGGACATGGTCCTCCAGGCGCCACGGTTGTGTGCCGAGAAGGCTAACGGAGTGTTACCGAGTACTAACTATCAGACCACGACGATAGAGTGCGATATGTGTACGGAGTGAATGCGTGGTGATATATCAGGGGCTTTCACTAGCAGCATTCCTCAGATCGCGCAACCCTATCTCCTCTCATCTCCAAAATCCCCATCCCTTGCGGGTCCGGGGGAAAACCCCAGACCCCAGAATCGACCCAGAGAGGATCAGGCCGTCGGACCACTAAAAGTAGTTTAACCCTGAGACTGTTCAGTGGGGCCGACCACACCTTGCGTTGGGCGTTGGGGGCCGAGCCCCCGGTTTCCTTCGGTGAACCGACTTTTTCGATGGCAACGCTTGGATTTCTCCGTGGCATCGCCCCCGGTCTGTTACGCGTACTCCGTACTTTCGATTGAATCGGTTGGAAAGCCCTCGGCTTAGACGTGTCGATGAATTACCTACCGTTCCTTGGTGGCTGCATGGCTAGCGATGGCAATCAACCAAACCTGCAGCCCAATCTCAGCTCCGCTGTATTCGGCCGGTCTAACTCGATGCAGTCTAGATGATAGTCGGCCGTACAACTTGGCATGTGACGGGGTAAAGTTTCCCAGGTCCAAAATTCGAGACATCATACGCTGTACACTGTACGAGGGACGGACTACAGAGCACACGGTTCTTGTGTAGAGTTCTCAGCATTCGATTACTCTGGTCATTCGGAAAATACCCCACGTAGGAACGGAGGTATGGTGGGAATTAGTCGTATGATCCTTTTGACGGTTAGTTACTCCGAGTCAGTCCTATAGATTAATATCGCTTATACGTCTCTCTCGGGGATAAGCTAGACATCATGGCTTCTTTTGAATTATCCCTGGTTTCTCGGATTTTCCATATATCCAACTCTAGACTAGCGCGTGTCTGCATCTCATCGATCTCCGAGTCGGGTTCGGGTATATTTGTCCAATCGCTTCAACAGCATCCCAGATTCAACTAAACCCCGGCGGCACCCCATGTTTCTTGGAGCCGCCACTCTTGGAACATCACTCTAAACCCGAACGCTCGCGTGGCCTGCCAAACATAAAAAAAATCACGCAGGATCCCTCGCGACATTATGGGGCCATTTCTTTCGTATTATTCGAAGCGAAGCATCCCCCATGATATGGAACCCAATACACACACCCCTGCATTAAAGAACCTGCGAGCATTCAATATGACTGGGTACAGATGTTCTAGACTCGCCATGTGACAGCCGTTTCGAAGCGATCTTCCCAAATCAAGCTTTCTGATCACTCTCCGTCCCCACACTATCCCAGCGCTCCCGATATTCCCGCATCAAAACAGCAGCAGGTGGCGCTGTGGCCACATAGTCTCGAACGGCAGTGGCGGGGAATAACCAGTGAAACGTGCAGTATACAGCTGCACTAATCGTGAGTCCGGACAAAAAGCAAATATAGTACAAATGCGTCAACCCAGTAGGGACCGAAATTCCTGGACTTACGTACGCGACGAATCCAGGTAGCGAGGGGATTGTCCCGCATACCCACTATAGATAATGATTAGTTATATTGGCGCTTTACTAGAGGTAGTAAAATATGGCTATTGCTTACCGCTACAGCGGCGCGCCAGTCGAGACCGCATGTATACCAGTAGATACTGGAAGAGTCCCCGACGAATAGATCATCGACTTTGATCTTCCGCTTGTTGATGACGAAATAAGACGAAATCATTAATCCTGTCATTGGACCTAGGAATACTGAGTAGCTACTCAGTACCGCTAGGAAGGTCGTCGCTGTATTCACGAGTTTCCACGGGTTGCACGCGATGGAAAGGAGTGCGGTCAGGTATGCGCCTCGACGAATGTTGATGTACTGGGGGAACGTCGCCGCCATATCGAATCCTATTTCAGAATTTAGTGGTATTCATGAGGTGATAATCCGCCCAGGGGTGGTAGATGAATTCAATCGAATTTGAATGTGGGTGCCATCCAGGGGGGGGTGAAATGAATACCTCCAGCCAACGAATTACCCGGCACATTAACGCCAATCTGCGAAATCACCAAAGCAGCACCACCAAAGAAAGCCGCAGCCCTCGATCTAGACCCGCCATTCTCAATAACCGCACTGAGTAGAGTAGGCAAATTCCACATCGCACCGCCGTACCGCTCCTGAGTCGCAGCAGTAACAAGAATCCCAATAACAGAGCACGTAATCGCGTAAAAGGGGAAACTAATCAACTGTCCCCAAACCGCATCCTTCGGTCTGCGAGCAAATCTCGCATAATCATTTTGATTGAGAATACCCGCTGAAATCGAACCGATTGTACTAATTATTCCGAATGCGATGATCCACCCGGATGACTCGCCATTGGTTGACGAGGAGCCGGAAATCGTCGAGCCAAATCCACCACTGCCCATTGTTGCGAGGGACCATATTAAAAGAACTAATTCGAAGATTAGAATTGTTGCGGCGGAGCCGTAGAAGAGGTTTTTCAGTTTGTGCGGTCGCACGTAGATTATAGGCAACGAGATGAGCATGAATATTATATAGCCGAGGAAATTGGCTGTTGTTGTCCCTGTGGACGGCGAGAGGTGGTTTGGAATGCGAGATTCGAGGTCGGGCCATATTGCTTGTAGGCATACGTAGACGCATTCACCGCCTATCCAGGCTTGAAAGCCGTCTAGATGACATGGCCATGGTCAATTATTTGAAATATGCCCAGGTTTTCGTGGCGGGGCCCACTTACACCAAACTAATGATCATAGTCAGAATGGTCAGTGTCAAATTTACCATATATACAGGGATATGCTGGTGGACTCACCGATAGAAAGAAGAATCCGATTCAAAATCACGAATGTACTCCCATACATACCCCAAACATATCGATTCACAACAGGGAATCCAACTAATAACGCGAATGAGCGCGACTACTTGTTAATCGATGAATACATAAGAATTTCTCACGATGATAATAGGCCCCAGGAAGCGAATTTAGCACGACGAGCGCCGTCGCGATAACCTGTCCAATGACAATCGAGAGGATTGCTTGCCACCATGTCAATCCCAAGGCGATGAGGGAGCTTCCAGTCATATAAGATGAGATATTTGAGTTGATAAGTACCCCTGAAAGTGTCAGTCCTGAGCCAAGAATTGGCCGTGTTGCGCAATATTACTGACAGAAGTTATGGAACGTCCAGAAGCCCCATGTTCGGCGTTCCGCCTCGATGGGTTTGATGTCGTTGTTAATCCATCTATTCGGGAGTGGGCCGCCTTCGTCTTTAATTCTGAGACTTTGCAGAAACGCCTTTGTCCTCATCGTTTCGGTTGAAGAGGGGAGTCAGAGTGAGGAAACCGTGATGTGCAAGATGTAAGAAGCATAAGCATAAGCACCACGTCTGAATAAGGGGAAACAATACAATGTACTACACCCCCACCCCCTCATTCTTAACCGACCACAAAAGTGCCGCAAAGGCAGCGATCGGCCAAGTAGCAGGCGTGAGATGTGAAACGCCGATCGAGAATAATGCCTTATCTTCCATTTGACATACCCCATCCTGCATTCTTTGCTACGGTCTTGAGTTCCCCGCTCGATTATACAGGCCACGATTGGTCCGTGACCAGCTTCTCCTCACTTCCATGATAACAACGAGCCAAACTAGTCCAAAAAGGGTACCTGAGTAAACTAGTACGATAGGAGTAAAAAGACTGGTCCAAAAAAAGGAAGTACATCCAAACGAGGATCATACCTGATCCAATTGTTAGAATAAATTCAGGTAGATGTAGTGTCCAGGTGTCCAGGTGTTTAGTAGTGATTCTTTCCACTCGGGGCGGTCTTGGATAATGAAATGAGCGGGGCGGGGTCGTAATTCGAGTTGTTTATAAATCTTCCGTTTGGAGTCAAATGTTCCTGGATTTTACAAAACCCTCGAGCCAATCTCCAGCTTTGAACGCTTTCTTCATGACAGCTTAGTTAGGGGCTAACTACCCGTGCAATCATTACTCTACTCTGGACTATCTTGCCATCCTATCCATCCCAGGTCAACCTCAAGCCATGGCCCAAGCTGGTTCCGGGCCCTTTCGTATCGGCGTCGATGTCGGCGGAACAAACACCGATGCGGCCATCGTCGACATCGCTGCCACCGCCTCGGTATCGCGCGGGGTGTGCGCCTCGAGTAAGACGCCAACAACTACCGACGTGACATCAGGAATTTACACCGCGATCGAGGATGTCTTGTCCAAATCGAAGGTTGATCGGAAAGATGTTCTCAGCGTCGCCATCGGGACGACCCACTTCGTTAATGCTGTCGTTGAGGCTGATGCGCGACGGTTGAGCAAGGTTGCTGTCATCCGATTGTGTGGACCTTTTACAAGACAGGTAGGTATGATGTGATATAGAAGCAAAGCGTGTTATGCCAGTTTGCCCATCAGGCTAACGTCCGTCCCTGGATCATATTCTAGATACCGCCATTTTCTGATTTTCCACCGACTCTGAAAGCAATAATGTGTGGCCCTGTGTTCTATCTAGATGGAGGTGCGCAGAGCTCTGAAAAAGTAAAACTTCTCCTTGAGCTAACTTCTTGGAAATAGGACTTGAGATTGATGGTCGTCAAATAACACCGTTGAAGCCCGATCAAGTTCAGGACGCAGTCAAATCCATTCAAGCTGCAGGAGTCACCAAAGTCGCCATCGTGGGGGTTTTCTCCCCGCTTGATCACCAAGGTCTACACGAAGAAACAGTCAAGCGCCTGTTACTACAATTAGACCCAGCGCTGTCGGTAGTTTGCTCGCATACAATCGGCGGAGTGGGCCTTCTTGAGCGCGAAAATGCGACCATACTGAACGCTTCGATTCTGAGTCTCGCTCAACGCACTGTCCATGCATTCTGCGATGCAATGGTGAAACTTCGCCTCGATTGTCCCCTTTTCCTCACGCAAAACGATGGAACACTCACGGATGCTGCCACAGCTGCAGAACTGCCGATCAAAACCTTTGCCTCAGGTCCGACGAATAGTATGACTGGGGCGGCGTTCCTTGCATCGCTCGATCGTGAAAACAAGCTTGCGAAATTCGATACTCAGGTTCTTGTTGTTGACGTTGGCGGCACAACAAGCGATGTTTGTGCATTGCTTCCGTCCGGCTTTCCTCGACAGGCACCGAATTTCGTGGAGGTTGGTGGTGTGAGAACTGCGTTCTCTATGCCGGAGGTTCTATCTGCTGGACTGGGAGGTGGTAGCATTGTAACCTATGATGCTGGTTTAGACCGGGTCAATGTAGGACCTGGATCTGTTGGTCATTACCTAACCACCAAGGCGATTGTTTTTGGAGGAGACGTTATGACCGCCACAGATATCGTCGTCGCTTCCGGCAAAGCGGAAATTGGGGATGTGAGCAAAGCTAAGGCAATACCTGCAAAAATTGTCCAGGGGGCTCGTAATCAGATAAAGAAGATCCTCGAACGTGTTGTGGAGGATATGAAGGTTTCAGACCTACCGGTCAGTCTTTTACTTGTTGGTGGAGGGTCCATCGTTCAGATGGATGATCTCAAAGGTGTTACGGAATGCATTATTCCACCACATCATGACTCCGCGAATGCTGTTGGCGCAGCTATTGCCAAAGTTGCTGGCGAAGTCGACTTTATTGAGATTCTCGCCGACCAAGATGAAAATGCCATCCTCGAGAAGGCAAAAAGCCAAGCAATCGATGCGGCAGTCGCTCGTGGTGCGGACAGAGAGAGTGTCAGGATTGTGGCGATCGATAAAATCCCATTGCAATATGTCACTAACAAAGCGACTCGGTTAATTGTCAAAGCTGTCGGCAGTCTGGCAATACCAGATCGCAACAACAGCATCCCTGCCACTAACGCAAATTCCAGCAAATTCACGAAACTCGCCGATGGGAATACAAAGGATGAGAGTGAGAAACAATTCAATCAAAGCTCCTCTACTCAAGATCTCAAGTCGTTGGTCAGACACTCCTCTTTCATCGATATCGATGCATACAGACCCGACGTGAATGGCGGTGTGTGGTACATCTCACCAGTTGATCTTGAATTTATCGCAACGGGAACCGGAGTACTTGGCACTGGCGGCGGCGGATCTTCATATCTCCAGTATCTGGAATGTTTAGAGAGTCTGAGGACAGCTGGTGCATCAGGAAAGATGAGAGTGGTCTCCCCAAATTCCCTCAAAGACTCTGACGTTTGCGTGCTTGGGTCTTGGTACGGAGCTCCTAGTGTCTCAGGGGAACGGATGGCTGCAGGGACGGAAATAATAACTGCAATTGATTATTCCGTAAAACTGTCAGGACATTCGCATTTCGAGGCTATCATTGCAGATGAGATTGGGGGAGGCAATGGATTGTCTACATTCCCCACTAGTGTTCACCACGATATCCCTGTTGTTGATGGCGATTTAATGGGTCGAGCGTATCCAACTCTTGAGCACGGTATGACACCACCCTTTGGGATAGATTATGGCTGGTTACTGACCCATGCAAGGCACCCCATACGTATATGGAGAACCGATAACCCCCCTGCGTAATTGCAGACGGGAAGGGGAATGCGTCTGTTGTACTGGTGAGAGTCTACGGTTTCAGGGTGGCGAAACTTTTACTGATAACGAAACAGAACGCGGAATCAAATGGGCGCGTTGAGACCATGCTGCGAACACAGTGCGTGGATCTCGGTCTAATGGCTGCAGTTTCATGTACGCCTCTGAGTGGCAGGGCCATCAAGCAATACGCGATCCCGAATACGGTTTCACAGGCCTGGTACATCGGCCGCGCAGTGCATAAAGCACAAAAGTCGAAGGAAAATCTCATCGATGCTATTGTAAGAAGTCTTGTTTCAGTCTTCTCGAAGCGGAGAGCTCACTATTTTCAGTTCCAAACAACTCCAGGTCGACTCCTCTACAGCGGCAAGATTATCGATGTTAAGCGGGACGTCAGTCGAGGCTATACAATGGGACAATGCACGATCGCGCCTCTCAACAGCGACGAAGAGGATCAATATATCCCAGACTCCCAGAAATCCAAGGCTAGTAACATGAATGAGAGCCGCTACCTGATAATTCCGTTCCAGAATGAGTTTCTTTATGCTGCATACGCCAACCCGGATAAGCCGAATGACAAATCTCAACACGAGATTATTTGCACAGTTCCTGACCTCATATCCATACTCGGACAGGATGGCGAAGCAATTGGTTCGCCGGAGCTTCGATACGGACTTCGCGTGAATGTGATCGGCATGCCAGCACATCCATTATGGAGTGGTACCGAACGTGGACTCAAGGTTGGCGGACCAGCAGGCTTTGGCTTAGATATGGAATGGACGAGTCTGGGGCCATACCAGAAGCCAAAAAGTGTGCTGGATGAGTTTAGCAGCCTAGATTATTGAATATGCATTTTATCCTAGCAAGCCGTGCATCGACTCCTACTAAACATGGAAGTTAGTTACGGCGCTCTATAAGTGCAGGGTGGTCAGTAGTACTCGTGTAGCGGTATTTTATAGTGGCACCGCAAAGGTTCCCAAGCCCTTGTTAATCGGCCTGGTCTCTGTCATTAGAAAGCGGTTAAAAATGGTGGGCAATTGGGGGTTTCAACCTTTTGCAACGCCGCTGTATACAAACTACTGACCACCCTGCGCTTATGGAGCGCCGTAGTTAGTACATCGGAGCAGGCCCCTATTCCAAACTCGTTTCTCAATATCACGTATTGCAACAGTACACTAGAAGAGACTACTCATGAAATGTAAAACTTTACAAATAATGATCGCTCAAAACTTTCTTAATTCATATATACTATCTAGCCAAGTTTATAACCAAGCTCAAAAAGCCGTCTCAAAGTCTTGCCTGGCCATTGCTTATCCTTTCCCAATCTTCCTTTCCAAAAGGCGAATAGTCCTTTTCTCCGGGAGCGATCCATAAGAAGTTATCGTCTCCACCATCAGCCACCTTCGTGCCTCTGAGCGCCGGGTCTACACCCTCATCACGTAGCGGAACCTTGTTTTGCTTGTGATTATGGATGTGCGACGAGTTCTCCACGACGCGAAGGAAGACAGGGACCGCATATCGAGGAAGCTTAGATTGAGCGAAACGCGCAAGTGCAGCAAAGTCGAACGTTTGTCTAGCCTCGGGCGTGATCTGTAGTGCGGCGCAACCAGCTCGGCCTTCATGGTTTGGCAATTTTACGCCGTAGACATTTGCCTCCGCAACGCCGGGGAACTTGCCGATGACCTCGGAGACTTCGGCAGTTGCACTATTCGGAGATTGCAGTTAGCTTAGGATCAGATAGAGTAAACTTTGTGCGACAACTTACACGTTCTCACTCTTCCAGCGGAAAGTGTCACCAAGACGGTCGAGGAAGTACCAACGACCATCACCTTGTCGGCGGAGCGCATCACCGGAGCGATAATACAGGTCGCCTTTCTTGAAGAGATCGCGCAGGAACTTCTTCTCGGTTGCACTCTCATTGCGCCAGTATCCCTGGAAGGCCTCTTGGTTCGGAATGTTAACCACAATTTCTCCTCCTTCCTCGTACGATGCGCGAACAGCGAATCCGGTCTTAGGGTCTCGCAGAACGTCACCAGTCTCGGGGTCAATTGCCACCGGTACAAAGACATTATGGAGAAGACCGCGCATTATGAGTCCGTGGTGACCAACACTCCCAGCAGTGAAGGGGCCGCGATTGTAATTGAAGAGGCCAAAGATACCCTCTGTGCTGTTGAAGAACTCGCCCACCTCGAGAACGCCAAATCGCTCGCGGAATTGTTCCCAGACATCCGGGCGCAACCCATTACCATACATGCAGCGGACCTTATGGTTCTTGTCTTCGGGGGATGGAGGAGGTGCGAGTAGATAGCGAGCTGTCTCGCCAACATAGACGAAAACCGTCGATTCCGACTCTCGGACATCCTTCCAAAAGTTGCGAACGCTGAATTTGGGGCCGAGTGCAATACTAACACCATCCACTAAGCAGCTGATTAAACTGATCGCAGCCGTCCCGTGGTATAGTGGCATGCAGCTGTACCAACGATCCCCTTGGGGTCCCACTGTATCATTCATCGAGCCACGACGAACGTATAGCATAGTGTACAGTCGAGACATAGTGAAAGCACACCCTTGGGCATACCGGTCGTGCCGGATGTGTAGAGTAGAATAGCTGGGAATTCTCCTTCCACCTTGAGCGCAAGTTCCTTTGGTGGGAAAGTGGTCGGGTACGAGCGAATTCGTGCTTTCAGGGGCTCATCCAATGTCTCGAGTTGCATTCCCAGTTCCCCGGTGAGTGTACTTTGAACCTCATCCACACGCGAACGACAGGTCGGATCCTCGTCAACAAGTGTGAACTTCGCTCCGCTGATCTTGAGGCAGTGGATCAATGCATCGCCGGAGAGATTGTAATTAATAGCGGCGGGGGCACAACCAATGCTCCACAGACCAACCCAAGCAATGATAAACTCAGCGCGATTCTGTAGGTAGAAGCCCACCAGATCGCCTTTCTTCACGCCTTGAGATAGGAAGTAGTGCGCATATTGGCAAGCCTGTTCCCGTACGTCTTGGTAGGTGTATGATCTTTCCCGGGTCCAGAGACAAGTCATGTTGGGATATTGCTTTGCAGTTTCGAGTAGCACAAACCACGGGTTGCCCTTCTGTCGGCTGACTTTTTGAACGTTAGCAAATAACTGGTTCAAGCCAGGCTATGCGAAGACTGACCTGCGCTCGCATATTCACGTTCGCCCTTCCGGAGGGTGAGCACGGCCTTGACATCTTTCCTGATGTGAAATTTGGCGTCCAGGTAGGCTGCGACCGTTGTCCCACCGAGCAGAGCAGCTGCAGCTGTCCCTAAATTTGACATTAGAAAATGACTCTGTTTGCATTTCTCCTTCTCCGCAGCATTCACTAACCCAGGTCCATCATGAAGTTAAGTGTGTTTGTTCGACGAGTCTGTTCTGGCGAAGGATCTATTATAATTGGGAAAGGACGAAAATGACACCAAAGAACAGTCCGCAGGGGAAAAGGCAGGATCAACTGGACAGGTGAGAGGGAAGTCGTTAGGTGAAAGACAGAAGTCAGCAGAGTCGTCAAAGTAATGAGGAGAAAGGTATATTGCCGCGAGCCGAAATTACTGGAAATCAATCCTCGGCACAGACGAATCCCCCTCCGCACAGATGGCGAATGTGGTCAAATCAACGAATCCGAAGCACTTGATTCTTTCATCCGGTGTGAAATTATCCACTTTCAGTCCCACTAGAGCTCCATTCAGCGGGGGATGCGGGGAATCGTACACGCCGGGCTATACGCGATCTGTGCTAATTATGACTTGGACCAGCCTCGGCTCGTTTTTCGTCCCCGCATAATGGAGTCGCTATGCAATCGCATAACTCTCTGGCTCCAATGGGCATTCCTCCCCACTTAATGACCAAAGTGGTTCCGGCTCAGTGGATTTCCCTTAGTTCTCTGCCCGGTCTTAACTTGGAATGCACCCCGCCCTGGCTTTTTGCTCCCTCGGACTTCCATGCCCACGCCGCATCACGGTCGGCCCCGTTGCTGATCCCTGCGAGGACGTTCGCGACGTATTTACCAATTGTTGGTAGGAATTTCCAGCAGTGGAACGAACCACCCGCGGCTAGGTACAGGTTGGATAAATGGGGATGTGGGTGTCGCGTTATCAAGGGGTGTTGGTCTGGCGTGATCGCATCCCAACAGAGGCGATAGTAATCAACTGGGCGGTTATTTGAGAGTATCTGGGGTAGACGAGCTTGGATAGCGTTGAGGCATTCATCGCGTAAACCCTTCGGGGCATCTGACTGGTTTTCTGTTGGGACAGAAATAGCGTGATTGGTGGGTGTGGAAATTGTATTGCGAAAGGAGGTTGGACTGGTGAATTTTAGAATTCCAGAACTTGTAGGAGGAATGGTTTCCCCTATTTTCATGGTCAGCATGGTTGATATATAGCCACCAGAGCGTTCAAAGACCAACCTTGCCCGCCATAGACGTAGACCGGCAACCGGTCGTACTGAGTTCGTTCCTCCTCTGAGAGTTGTACATGTGCGACGCAAACGCCAGCCGCTGTCATCTGAGCCTCAATACGATCCTCACTGGCAATTTCGAGAGCATCCTCGGTATATGTCATCAGTGCGCTCGTCCAAGCCCCGGTGCAAAGAATGACCTTCTCTGCGGTAAACGTGTCGCCAATCTTTGTCTTTACGCCTTTCACCTGATGCTCTCCCAATACAAGTCGATCCGCTTCGCCAACAATATACCGCACACCTATCGCCTTGATTTCGCGAGCCAATATCTCCATTGCGCGACCGGCATCCGCCCATCCAGCGAGAGGATTCAAATAAAACGACCCAAATGGACTCAGATCCGCGTCTTTCAACAGACCACCCCAATCCTGGCGAATATCGCCCTCACCCAGTTCCTGCATCGGGTCAAGCCCAATGGCTTGGAAGTTCTTGCGAATCCGCTGTCCAAGATCACTCCCCTTCTCGTCACACATAATCCATCCCGTTTGATGATAAACACCCTCCTCTTTGAAGACCGGGTTCTTTTCCCATGCCTCAATCGCCTCAAGTCCGAGTTCTGTATATAATCGATTCGAGTAGTCCGCTCTCACGATCTTGTTGAGGTCTGTTGAGGCGGCGCTGTTTGACGGTGGGGGTGCACGATCCAGCACGAGAATGGCAGAAGGGTCGGAGGTGTGCTGGGCTAAGTGATAAGCCGTGCTGAGGCCGAAGATACCTGCACCGACTATGATGATTTCAGCGTCCATGTCGAGCAAGCCCTGGAGATCCTGCGGACTGAAGAATGATTTCATTCGGTCGCGTTGAACTTGATGGGAGGTTGGTGAAAGATCCCCCGCTCATCTCGCGTGATGCAAGTCAGTCTCCTGCAGGTCTGATGCAATATACCGCTCGTGCTGTAAGAAAGCATGCCAGCCCACATTAATTTCTTAGATTGCGCTACCCCTCAACTTGCAGCTACCACAAGGAATGTACCAGTCCCTCATCCTGATGATCATCCCTGGAAGCGTTGCTGTCTACAAACAACCACAAACCCGAACGGCCAAGCGGGACTTGATCACATCCGTGGAAATATTTTGTGTCAAAGAAACGGCTAAAGCAACTAGCCTCGGGTAAATCTGGTGTTCTGTTCAATCAAGTATCATGTTTAACTCGAGATATCTAGGGAAGGGATGGTAGCGGGTGCCCTAGAGCATCGCACCTCAACAGGATCCATAGTAGTGTTGAGGCTCTCATCACGCAAACCCTCTGGGCCATCTGGTCATTTTTCTGTTAGTACAGAAATACTGTGATTGGTAGGTGTCCCTGTATGGGAGTTGGTGAGCCCGCGGCTGAAGTCGGCTCTATTGCGCTGGCCACCTTGGCAGAGGATGTGCCAGTTGGTCGGATCAAGAAGGGGCGGTTTTATAGTTACATTTATCAAAGTTGAAAATCATCGTAGTTCATGGTTTTCCAACACTTGATCCATATATAAATTAAATGCCGCACCCTTAGCCGTTTGTAGCTTACCCAACTCAATTGTAGTCTGAAACCCTCTGCTGGGAGTTTTGATATGGATTATGAACATCATCGGCGATATCTACTATCTTACTGGTAGCATCTTTGGCTACTATTAGTAGTACTATTGCCCAGGTGAGAGCAGAGAAATATATTTTGTCAAGTTTCTAAGAATACTACCTCTAGTTAGTAAAATTCAGGGGTCTAACTTGAACCTTGTTGAAGTGCCTCCTTTTTTCGATGGGCCCAAGGTAGCATATAATCCACTCGTTGCGATCGTGAGACAAGGAGTACGCAGCAGTAGCAAGGACGAAATTGGGTGCTGGGAGATACAGGCCATCTCAACCTTGGAAGCCCAGAATCACCGACCCGCAACAACATACTATTAAGGAAATGATCGACAAGGCGCGAACACGCTCGCACGATCGTCTTTGCCTCGTTTGCTCCTTGATATCAACAAGATGTATTTACCACTTCTCCCCCTCACCTTGATATTTTTCTCTGCCAGCAATGTCTCGGCTTGCAACCGCCCATATTCCGCCTGGATGGCAGACAGCGTCATTTCGCGGGGTCAAGCTGTTGTTCAACAGGGGTCAAGCCCAGCGGCCTCCACTTATCTTCAAGTGGGCTTCTTCCAGTCATCCATTATCCGTCTAATCGACTACTATCACACGCCTGGATCAGTGTGCGCAGAGAGCAACTGGGAAAAATACCTGCAAACTAGCACAGATAGCATCAAGCCATATCTTCTCAACGCGATAAAAGATACCGGTTACCCCTTGGACCGGCTGTCCACTGGAAAAGGGCTCCTACATCAATTTGAGGAATATCACACTTCCACCGCTTCAGATGCTCTTCACTCGTTGCGAGAATCTATTAACCTTCAGAACAGAAATGCGCTCGGGGGGGTACTGGTACTTCGAGTACCCCAACTGGAGCTATCTCGATGGAATGTACTCTCTGATCCCGTTTCTCTTGTCCTACACCGCTCACTTCGATCCTAAGAATGAGACTGTTACCGACGATGTCATTCACCAACTTGATCTGCTTTGGACTCACTGCTACCAAAACGAATCCGGTCTCCTTGTTCACGGCTACGATGCGTCAAAAACTGCGTCGTGGGCGAACCCAGTCACCGGGGCTAGTCCAATTGTCTGGGACCGCTCTTTAGGATGGTATATCATGGCGCTCGTGGATAGCTTGGAGCTTTCGCTGCCATTCCCCCCAACGCTTGTCTGACTATCTTCAGCGGAGATTGATTCAACTGGCCGAATCTGTGATCTCAGCCGCCGATCCGAAGACAGGATGCTGGTGGCAAGTTATGACTCTTCCCAACAAGCAGGGGAATTACATCGAATCTAGCGGGTCGGCAATGTTTACGACCGCTTTATTCAAAGCAGCTCGACTAGGCTATATGCCCAAAAACCTTGCTGCCGAAGCAAGGAAGGCAGCGGGAAGATGCTATAACCACCTTGTTGACGCGTTTGTGGTCAAAAATGAGAATGGCACACTGGATTATAATGGGACTGTCTCTATTTGTAGCTTGAACTCTTCGGCTTCTTATGAGGTGAGTTGTTACCATCCCTCCACATCATTAATTTGCTAACCGAATGATTAGTACTATGTCTCGCAACCTCTTCTTTACAACAGCGTTCATGGGACGGCAGCTTTTGTGCACGCGAGTCTAGAGCAAGAGATGCTGGATAACGCGGAAACTTCCTCGCAGAGATGATAAACCGTACGCGATACTTCGTGATCCAACTCCGATTTTCTACTAGCAGATAGCTCTCCTATTCAAAATGAATTCCCTGGGCCCCTTTATGTCAATTTCTCAAACTCCTTGCTAGAAACTGTTTTTTTGTTGATTTCAGAAAGCCGGTTACACCTAGACCTAAACTAGAACATCCATCGGGCTTCTCTCTAAATCAGATCCAGGTACAGCCTGGGAGCAACATCGTCTCAGTGCTTGGACTCATTTGACGTCATTTACGAAACAAATGCGGGGCGTTCAATGTACGCGATTGTCTTCTATCACGGGCTAGGGAAATACCCTGGTCGCTCAAAAGTACGCATTTGACATAGCCCCCCTCCAAGGATCTGAAATTAGAACAGGCATTTTCATCTACCCAACAAGTCTTGTTCAGATCTTGTGTGCTAATTTAAACAAATCGTAGATTCATAATCGTGAGACAACAAATATCCATTTCTGGATTGATAATATTGACAAGTAAAATCGCCCTGGAGCACCGACCGCCTCGCTCCAACTTCAAATCCACAGAGGGTTCGGGCCGCTCGCTCATGTGAACTAAATCAACCGTGCACAGAACAGCGGTCTCTCAAAGATCAGGCATCTCTCATCAGCCACACCCTAGACAAGGGTTCGATTCCTTTGCCAGCTCAGCCCACCACATTTTCACCCACATGGCCCCCGTTTGCACTATTCCCCCCCTTCTGTTTTCTTGTTGCCTGTGGCTAATGCTGCACCACACTCTTAGACCGGGCGCTTAAGATGTAGTGTGGCTGATCTAAACTTGAGTAGGTCTAAAGCTGGGCTGGGGTTCCCCTAAATATGGGCGCTCTAAATAAGGCACATTGCGAGGCTGAGTCTCGTCCTGAGCGATACAGTCGCACATAAATGTGGCGACGGTTGTCCTGGAAATGAGAGATCCAGTTTATTCTGGCAGTTCATTCGGCCTTCAATCGTTGCCACAGCATCCGCGCTGGTTCAAGTTACAGTCAGATCAGGTTAGCTGCTGAATACGGAGTACATTATCTACTGTTCTATTTTTATCACCATCTTCGCTATCACTATGTCGATGCCGACCGATCTTTCTCTTGGAGAAATTCTCCACCTTTCGCTCGGCGAAGGCGAAAAGTGCTTCGGGCTTACCAAGTTCTATGGAGGAACCAAGCCATGCAATCACCCGCTTGGCAAGCAGAGGCTGGCCGACGCAGACAAGATCCTCGTTCAGACTCCAGGTCGGCTTGAGCGGGGCGGGCAAACGATCGACCAGCATCTTATCAATCTGTCCAATCTACTTGTGCATTCGTCTCGACACGGTGTAAATGGCGACAGTCGCCGAGAAAGCTTGCAATCCGAATGGATGGGATTTGTACAGGACTTTCGAAGAGCTCAGATTCATTCCGAAACTCCGATTGAAATATTACATCAGTCCGAGGATGATGAACTGAACAACGCGTCGGAGGATGAAGATTTGCAAGAAGTCCCAGCCCCTGTTTTAGCTATTGAGAGCGACACCGCAACCTCAATTGTAGCCACCCGGTCAACACACACCGACCTCGACACTACGCCCGATTCTACCCCCATCCCCGATCTACCTACGCAAGCTGAAGAAAGCCAAGTGCAGATCAGCCACGAACGCACATCCAATGTTTTGCGTCCCGTCCCTGAGTCTCTTGGCGACCGTACATCTCTCACCCCGGCCTGCCTTTCCGGTGCCCACACATCCTTCCGATCTGCTGATGACGTATCTCTTGAATCTGTCTGGCTTCTTCTACTTCAGTTCTGCTTCGGTGTCCGGGCGCTGATGTTCGTGAAATTCCATGCTTTTTGCTCTATCGATGGCTATGTCCGCTTTGGGAGGGGATCTTTTGCGGATTTGCAATTCCTAGCCAGGAAAATCTCCTTTTCGAATGAACCGACCTGGGCGCAGGTTTTTATGATTTCATTCTGTTATGTTCTGTTTGGTTTGCTCCAGATTTTGTTGAGAAGCAATGTGTTGGTGGTGCTAGTATTGTGATTTATATAATTTGTGACCGACGGCCTGGGTGGGTAACCGGGCGGAAAATCGGATCGCTGGCCGATCACCGCCCACTAATGATGATACTATGAATGCGTGTTCAAGTTTATGTTTAACAATACGAATAATGATGGTTCTCTTCTATGATACGACTGAAATTTCCTAAAATGGTAGCAAATTGTATGCACTATATCAGTGGCACTGGCATTGGGTTTACTTTCTCCCGCCGAGACATTCCGCATTGGCCCTCGGTGAACTCTCGGAATTCACTTCCTCTGCTGTAAGGTAGTGATCAGCACGGGCCATGGGCACAGGCATGGGCTTGCTCACCCTCACCATTCTGGTTCTCGCCCCTCCACTTCAAATATGGGGATGATCATTGGTTGATCACGGGAGAAGTGGAACCCTAAGAAACGGTGACGCAACGAGGAGGGGGGGTTCAACAGAACCGCCAGTGCCGCAAGCGTTTACGGTGTGACTCGACGAATTACAACACCAATTGCTGATCACATTGGAATATCGCATCTGATAAAATAGGAAGCATAGACCAATGCTCGGTTACAATCGGCGGACCAACTTTGTGATCTCCGAGGGAAAGTTTTGGGAAGGAGATTTACGGAATACTAGGGGGGAAGGGGGAAAGGGGAAGATCCCAACAGAGTATCATCATGGTCAACCTGCTCAACAGCTAGCGAGAAGCTCCTAAATCGGCCGGTGTGAAATAGAGCTGGAGCCCAGACAACCGAAACCAGGGAGATAACCGGGTAACTTGAGCGAAAATTAAGTTCTTAACGAAGAGTTACTTAAGTGATTTACTTAACTTTCAGGGCGCTGCAGTTAAAGTTGGCTCCGAGCCCATCGGAACCAATAATCGCTGGTGCTTTCCCCACAGAGTGTTATTCGTTGTCTCTTCTTGTCGTCTTATTACCCCATCACTTTCTCCTCTTCTTTTCTTCTTCCTTCTTTCTCCCCCCCTCCTCCCCTTCTTCTCTCCACAAAATGTCTCTCCCCATCGCCCGGTCACTCCCCCGGTCCCTCGTACGGTCGTACGGGACTGTTCAAGGCCCTGCAAGCACTGCCATCCCCAATAGAATCCCCAATGCCTTGGCCGAGGCAGTCACAGCTAGTGCCCCGCGCACGAGTTGGACCCGGGAGGAGGTCGCCCAGGTGTATAACACCCCTCTGAGCCAACTCACATACGCTTCGGTGAGTCATCCTTGATGTGTACCGTCAAATTAATAGCCAATTAGATCAAGATCAGACGAAGAACAATGGCTAATACCTCTCCAGGCAGCTGTCCACCGTCGCTTCCATGACCCATCCGCCATCCAGATGTGCACTTTAATGAACATCAAGACCGGTGGCTGCAGTGAGGATTGCTCTTACTGCGCCCAGTCATCCCGACACGACACCGGATTAAAAGCAACCAAGATGAGCCCCGTTGACGATGTCCTCGAGAAGGCCCGCATCGCCAAGTCTAACGGCAGCACACGTTTCTGCATGGGTGCCGCCTGGCGTGACATGCGTGGGCGCAAGACCAGTCTGAAGAACGTCAAGGCCATGGTCTCCGGTATCCGCGAAATGAACATGGAAGTCTGCGTGACCCTAGGCATGATCGACCAGCACCAGGCAAAGGAGCTCAAGGATGCCGGTCTGACAGCATACAACCACAACCTCGATACCTCGCGTGAATTCTACCCCAACGTGATCACAACCCGATCGTACGATGAGCGTCTGCGTACTCTTGACCACGTCCGTGATGCTGGAATTAACGTCTGCTCCGGTGGTATTTTGGGCCTGGGCGAGTCGGACACTGACCGCGTCGGTCTGCTGTACACTATGTCTTCGCTACCCAAGCACCCCGAGTCTTTCCCCGTTAATGCCCTGGTACCTATCCCCGGAACTCCCCTTGGTGACCGGAAAATGATTCCTTTCGATCGGATCTTGCGGACTGTTGCGACCGCGCGTGTTGTGATGCCGGGAACGATTGTCCGATTGGCGGCCGGTCGCATTGCGCTTACTGAGGAGCAACAAGTTGCTTGTTTCCAGGCTGGTGCGAACGCTGTCTTTACCGGTGAAAAGATGCTGACGACTGAGTGTAATGGATGGGGCGAGGACCGTGCTATGTTTGACAAGTGGGGTTACTACCCCATGAAGAGCTTCGAGAAGCCTGAGCCTAAGCAGGCGCCCTCCGTGACGCCTACTCCTCTTGACGAGGCGGAGACTGTTGCGCCGGTCGCAACTAGCTCATAGGTTTGCTATAAATTTATAAGTTGGGCCTAATAAAGCCCGCAAAATGAATTATTTGAATTTGATTTTTTTTGTTTGAGTAGCCACAGCCACTAGAAATTAGTATGTTTGAAATGCTGAGTAGATTAGTAGTAGATAGTTCAATATCAGTCATTGTAGATACTTCAAGATCATTACTATACCACACATACACATTAGTTAGTAGTATTAGCTTGTCACTCCCAGTAACCAGGACTTCAATCATGGATTCATGCTATGCATTCTAGACTCAAGGAAGACCACAAAGCCGATCCACTCTAGACCAGACCACACCAGACTGAAGCCCTCGGGAAAGACGATCCCCGGAAAGGCTTCCCCAGTTTAGTCGTTTTCCAGGGAATACCCCCGGAGAGTTGTCAAAGAATTCCGATTTCTCCCTTAGTCACTAATACACTTTGCCCGAGACCGGCGAATTAAGGAAGTGTCCGCGAGATCTGATGCACCAGCACAGGCATGAGTGCGAGTAGCAACAAATTTGTAGCCAGCGTGGATTGTCAGGTATTCACAGGGTTGTGTTAGACCCAGGAACACTAAATGATATAAGAGCGAGCATATAGCCATATAGCCATCTTTACATTACCCACTTCCCCATTCCTTTTCTCTCCCACTTTCACACGGTCGCAGAGGTTTCCAATTCGGGTTTGGGCTATTGTTGCCCTGTTCACCAATTATGGGTCAATTCTGACCTCGTAAACCAATAATATTGCCTCAACTTAAGCGAGCCATCTGTTCCTGGCCGGCGATCGCAGATCTTCCATTCGTTGACTTTCACGTTAGTGCCAGCCGAGGCTAATCATCTGCACGACGCCTCAAACCCAGCATAATGTGCACCATCTAGAATAACCTTGATCGATTGATCTGCATCCCATACGTTATGGGAATGCCTGGAATTGGAGACACTGCTATGTACCCCATAGAAAACACTGCATAACAAATCCTCCCACTTCATGCCCGAAATCCTCGGCAGACTATGCGGGGAGAACCTTCACATGGACGAACTACCGGTAGATCTGCCCCAGTTTCCCATGGGGCCCTCCCGATCTTTGCCTTCATTTGTTGCGCATTTTTGTTGGGGAAGTTTGATCCACTCATAGAGGGCGTCGTAGTTTTGCGCTTTCGCATGTGCTGTGAGGAGATAGGTATAGATATAAACACATTCACCCACCCACCACGACTCCTCGTAGCTCAGCCGAACCAAGCACAGTGTGAAACTTGGAAAGTACTTCTAGTCCGTCTGCAGACTAGAACACAACGCCATCATGGCACAGCCTCTAAATAAGGATTCCATGAAATCCACCTGGCGCACCGCCGACCGCAAAGAATGGAATCACAACCACTGGGCCCTGGAGCTCCTAAACGCCCACCCCCAAGATCTAAACAAAGAAGTGCCCGTACACTCCAAAGATGAGAAGATTCCATACATGCCCCAATGGTCTCTACAGCGCTGGGTCCTCTTCTACTCAGCCCTACCATTAATCTTCCACCAAACCTACATGATGGCAACAGGCCGCACACTCGGCCCATTCGCAACATTCAACCTATATTTCTTGGCCTTCAACGCAACAGTTATCTACCAAGTCCACGTCCTCCGACGCCTAGGCCACAAATACGGCTTCCTAGACGGCGACAAGCACGAGCGCGACGGCGTGCCGGACGTCGGCATCGCAAAGGTAGTAGCATCACTCTACAAAACGACCGGATCCCGCCTCGTAATGGCAACATACCTCTGCTATAACCGCGACGCACTTCCCAGCTCTCTATCATGGGCCTGGCTACCTCTCGAAATCGGCCTATATGGTATTATCCTCGACTTCTGGTTCTACTGGTACCACCGACTAATGCACGACGTGGGATTTTTCTGGAAATTCCACAGAACGCACCATCTGACCAAACATCCGAACCCGCTACTCGCCGCGTACGCGGACCATGAGCAGGAGTTCTTCGACATGGTCGGCGTCCCATTCATGACATATGCGAGTCTGAGACTTATGGGCTTGCCGATGGGGTTTTATGAGTGGTGGATTTGTCATCAGTATGTTGCTTTTGCGGAGGTGTTTGGGCACTCGGGTCTAAGGATGCATCTTACTGTTCCGAGTACGTTGAGCTGGCTTTTGCAGATGGTTGATGCGGATATTGTTATTGAAGATCATGATTTGCATCATCGGAAGGGGTGGAGGAAGTCGCATAATTATGGGAAGCAGACTCGGCTTTGGGATAAGATTTTTGGAACGTGTACGGAGCGGATTGAGTCTGTTGAGGACAATATTGATTATGAGAATGTGGCAAAGATGCCGCTTTTTTAGGACCTTTTGAAATGGTGCAGTCATCCTCCTTTTGTGGATTACTTGAGATGATTTATGAACATGTTCTGTACGTTTGTCCTTTTGTTTGGCTTGAATGCCGAGTGAACGTTGGAATCATTAGATTGAAGCCTTACCCACAGCAATGAAAATAGCCAAAATGAAGGCTAGAGTCCATTTGTATGCTCGAGGCCAATCTAGCACCTTCCCCTCCGCCTGGATAATCACCGGTAACACATCTCGGTGTGGACAATTCGGAACCGACGGCCGATCTTGCGCCAGTGCACATTATGAATGACGTTCAAAGATCAGATGCAATAAATCAATATCTTACCTCCCGTGTTGTGAATATAGTTTTGGAAATATTATGGCAATATTTTCATTGGCTCGACCTAGCTGGAAATGGAATGTTGAATAATCATAGAATTGCCACGTCCAAAAATGTTTACTCATCAGCGATTTACCTACGGAGTCACATTTCATCGCTCAGGTGATAAGTATTTTCAGAGTAAATACCATCTGTGAAACGTACAAGTGACGTATGTTTGTATTTGGATCTCGGGTTCAACGACGCACAAAGCCTATTCACGAAGGTGGCATTTAAATTGTTGACTATTCTTCTCCGGCTTCCACGGTCGGATTACTGATAGTATTTGAATCACTTCACCGACCAGTATTATATAAATTTGTAGTCACCGTGTATAAGAATACCGTCTTCTAAACCATTCTTGCCAATAAAGCTCATTTTATCCCAATTTTCCCACAACAAAGTCTTGCCCGCCACCCGGCCAACCCTCACCATGCCCCTTTGGCAGATCTACCACCCCCCGAACACATTCCAAAGTGTCGAATCCAAACAACTCTTCGCAGAAGATATAACAAAAATGTACACCGGTCTGGGGCTACCAGCCTTCTACGTCTTGACGCACTTCCACGAAATTAAAGACGAGAACGTCTACGTGGGCGGGAAGCCGGTCTCGACTAAACCACTCGTTCGCGTCGTCATCAAGCATATTGCCGTTCGTATTCCCGACGAAGATAAAGCTTATCTTCGTACTACATCGCGCCTTGATAAAATCATGAAGCCCCATCTCTTAGATAAGGGTTATGATTTTGAATATCATGTTGAAGAAACGGAGCGTCGGCTTTGGAAGATTAATAGCTTGATCCCGCCTCCTTTTAAAAGCGACGAGGAAAAGCTCTGGGTGCAGAAGAATGCTGCTTTGCCATATGAGGGCGCGTATCCTCCCGTGGATGAGGAAGCTTGAAGATTGAAATCATTGGAGCGTTGAGAAATGCCGTGCAAGGACCAAAGATGTTTTGATTAAATTGGATATCGTCTCTATCTGGCTGCAATTTTTGACTTTGTTTATCTCTTAAATGTTGGCGGTAGGTGATAGAGTGTCTGGTCATAAGCCTGAAGTCACCATGTCACTTTGGAAGAAGTTCTTGGCATTGAGACAAACTTGTAATGCAGATGAAATTTTTTTTTTCGTATCATCAGGCGCGGGAGTATCTATGCTGGTAGCTATTGCCGATTCTGATCAGTAAGAAATCCACCGGTGCTCTAATGATTCCAAATTATAATTTCAAGCTTATTCTGGGCACTGTATATGCATTGACTGCCGGATGCGGCTCATTCTTCCCAGCTCTCGGTGGATCAAGCGAAATGCCAGAGCGTACCTGGTCCGAACAGACTCTCAGAGAAAAATACACCGAACAACCCATACGGAGGCTCGGATGAAAACCTCGTTTACGCTTACTATATCATAGACATAACTCGAAGAAGCGTAATCAGGGCTGAAGGGGAATGCTCTAACGGTCTATTTTGCAGAATCGAACAGGCTAATGTCCAATAGTATAAACGGATCCATATATACAGATGGATGATAAAGTACAGTCATGAAATGCAAATGCATCGTACAAGTCTAATGTCTATCAATGAGCTTTTAAACCTCCGCGTTGTTGGCGCAGGAGAATGCGTTGTTGGAGGCATCGTCGTGAATGGCCTTGCCGGAGACGTAAAGGCCGAGACCGCACTGTTGTAATAAATTAGTTGAGAACTTGGTATCAATATTCCGGAGCAACGACTTACCATGCAAGCACCGATAAGAACGATGCAGGTGTTCAGAATAGTGAGGCCGATCTTGCGTGGGGAAGAGAACCACTGTCCTCGGTTGATGTGAAGCCAGTACACACCGGCGAGTCCGTCTGAAAATTGTGTTAGTGACCAGTAACAGATATAAAAGAAAACACAAAAATTGACTTACAGCTGAACCAACTAGCAAACAGAGAGCTGATCAAGCTCAGCAAGTCGCTGAAGACGGGGATGGCATCGGCAATGATCCAAGCAATGATCCAGCAGATCAGACCGATAAGCACCCAGGAGCCGTAAGAGGTCAGATCGCGACGGTGCATGCGATCGGTACCACGGAACAGACGAACGTAGATGTATTTCAATCCGACGTGGCCGTTGACGACACCAGCTCCAATAATGGTCGGGATGGCGATTCCATAAGCAACCTTCTTCAAGACTGGACCGGCGGATCCCAAGGCCGGGGAAGTAACGCTCTGACCGGCATAGTAGTAGATGACGATAGCCGCAACGGTGTAAAATATGATCTCAAAGGTCTGCAGCATGTACAGTGCCTTTGGGAAGTCACGGGGCTCGCGCATCTCAGCCAGAAGACCGAAAAAAGCGACGTGGGCGCAGTAGGCGAAGACAATGTTTGTGACGGCAGTGAAGGCATGGAACAAATCGGTGTCGATGGTGGCCTTGATAGGGGCAGTCTGACCCTGGATACCGACGCCGATCATGGTAACAATAACAGCAGTGAAAATACTGACAAAAGCTGAAGGGGGCGCATTAGTAAAATATTTCGTTCGAATCGGTAGGAAGCTCAACGTACAAGCGCAGGAAATGTATGTCATGTTCTTCATGGTACGGGGCAGCGAGCAGACCATGCAGATCACAAAACCAACGGTGGTGAAAACCATGGTGCAAGTGCCGTGCTCGGTGATCGTATTCATCATGACACTGAAGGTCAAGATGTGGCTACCCATGATGAAGATCGAGAACAGGAGCTGACCAATACCGAAAAGCTCGCGTCCGAACGCGCCAAAGAGAACCTCGCCGGCATCGGCAAGGTTCTGGATGTGGGGATAGCGTTGATGGAACTGTCCGATGACATATCCAGTATATGTGGCAAGAAGACCAAGGCCGATAATGAGAACGAGAGCCCTGGGGGATATTAGCGAGGGTTGGAAGAAACCAGTATCGTGATACTCACGGCGCAAGACCGAGCGAGGCGAGAGTCGCAGGGAGAGACAGAACACCGAGTGAAACGGACTCAGCGATCATAACTAGTTCAGTCAGAGATATGTTCCTTCCGAATTACGCGATCGTTGCGCGATGATGCACTTACACATTCCAGCTTGCCTATAACACCATGAATTAGATATCATGTCTATCAAAAAGGTTTATCGCATTGGAAACAACTTACCACCACTCCATGGTCTTGTATTTCACCTCCGCGTTGGTCTCGTCACCAAATGCATCCTGATACTGGGGCATGTCCTTTTCAAACTCCTTTTCCTTCCATCCCGATCCGGCCTCCGAGTCAACGGGTTCCGGACGCGTGGGAACTCCTTCAATAATCATGTCGAAAATGTACAAGGGTCTGCCGTAGATGAGTAAAAAGCCAAATCGAGGAGAAGACAAAGAGAGAGAATCAGGAGACGAAAGAAGAGATATGTATGTGTGCAAAAATTCTTGGGTAGCCGGGGGTGTGGAGCTCAACGTCGTATGCGACAGCCGAGACCCCCGCGACTAACTGCTTTTTATGGAAGGTTTGGGGCACAAATTCCGGGGCTCGGGACTTGAATAAGGCGGGATTTATCGGGCTTATCGGTAGTAATTAGAATTCCTATGAGCACATTCTTTCATGGAGCGCAAACCCTCTACGCAGGGTCCAATTTGGTCATACAAATGCAAAGCTTGGGGCTTGCTTGCGATCAGCCAGAATTAAGCGTCCTTTCGGCCCACTTCCGGGCGCGACGGTGGATCTTCATCTCCACTTTACTGCAGGTATACACCAATGAAAGCTTCGGCTCGGCCACCCATTAGATAATAGGAATTCGGGACCCTCGTGGCTACCCCGACGGTAGCCGGAAATGGTGAGTTTCCGATCTCAACAAGAGTAATGCCAAGTGCCAAAATCTCCCCTTTAACTACGATCGCGCGAGGCTCCATGGGATATCTTTTGAATCCCGAGCGATGAAGGAGACAAAAATCTGCGAATATAATAAGGAAGCTTCGGCAAACCTCTGCCAGTGGCAACGCCAAGACCGGCTCGGGATGGCTGCAATAAGGAAATTGATATCAACCGTGGCCCGTCGCGGCTCGAAGCGCATGGTCGCCACTGACAGAAAATTTCTTTAGTCAGGGCAAAGGTACAAGCTTCAGCCACCACCGTGACCTGAATCGTATGACGGGCACTATCAGTGGATCAGGGACCAATCGCCAAAGCGTCGGGAATAAATTGTTCACATCTTTCCCGAGCAATCTTCAATTCAAGTTTTTATGTCATTGAAACTCACCCAGTCCCTCCCCGCGTTACCCCATTTGTTCTCCGAATCGTTCTCCACATATTCGGCAAGGTTGAGAAAATTTGGAGAATCGATTTGAAGGGGGACCCGAGGAAATCGAGCGAACATAACTTTCCATTATCTAGTTTGGTATATCCTAGTAAAACTAACCAGTGAGCACTGACAGTCCGAAGAGTACATATCAACTCGCCCCTTTGAAAATGACGTGGCCAATCTTGAAAGGCCTCCCTGAGAGGAACTTGAACTTGAAGTTGTCCATGGGTAAAGAACAGAAACGATTAAATACCCGAGTCATCTTGGGCGACGATGTACTTGTTCTCGTATGTACCCCAGTCTCGCAGTTTTAATGCAGATTCTTATAGCTTAATCTCAGTATAGCGCTCGACAAACTGGATCGCAAAACCTTCCTCGGTGTGCCAGCCGATATGGCAATGCAGAAGCCACGCTCCTTGGTTATCTGTTTTGAAGGCAGTAACCAAGTAGCCATTTTCTGGTAACATAGCGATGTCACGCTTGGGTGGCTTGGCGAGTGTAGTAATCTCGCCACCGTATAGTCCAGTGCCTTGGGCCAAAATGACGAAGTCATGCCCGTGTAGATGGATTGGGTGAGGCATAGACAGAGTGGTTTCAATGACAACATAGGTCCACACATTCCTGTGGGGGGAGTTCTATCACCCCGCTGGTGTTGGCCCATGAATGGTGGACCCGGTAAACCTCCAGCAGAGTCGCGTCTGTCCAGTCAACGTGCATCGAGGTTGAATTGAGTTTCCATCGGTAAAGGCCACCCCCATTTTTACCAAGGGAGACTGGTTCAGAGCTGTTATAATAGGGACTCGAAGAAACACTTTCGGAGACAATCGAGAGACAGATCCGACATGTCCTCGTCGGAACAGCTGTCGGTATAACTGTGACCAATCGTGGTAGGATTCGCAGGCTCATCGCCATAGTATATGATTCCCTTGATATTCTTGGGTGATTTATTTTCGGAGCATGCGGTTTGAGGAATGGCGCGCATTCAGATTTCTTCGCGATCGATGCCTTGTTAGCCTTGACGATGACGTCGTATCGTTGTCCTGGATATGCGTTAGTAGGAATCATTTGAAGGGGTCAATGGTCTTTCTTACCCATCGCAAGGTTGAGAACATTTGTCTTGTAGGGCGTGATTGAGACAAGGTCGTTTGCGATGACTGTCAAAGTGTGATTTCCGATAGAGAACTTGAAGTAAGTGTCGCACGCAGCGTTTACCAGGCGAAGCCGGTAGGATGTTTTCTCGGTGAAAAATGTGTTAAAGCAAGTACCAGTTTGGTTGGCCGCACCATCCGATCCAAATACGTTGATTCCGTTAATTAAAGCGTTGTTAAGTGTGGGATGATCATCTTTTTGGGCAGTCGTGAACAGCTCATCCACAGTGTTGACATCCCGATCGTTCATAATTATAACACCCTTGTCCTCGTCGTAGTTCGCACTGGCCGGACCATGAATCACAATGCCACCGAATAGTCCCTCCCAGGCTTGTAAGCCTATGTGAGAATGGTACCAGGTTGTGCCTTATTGCATAGCACGCCATCTGTAGGTGACCGTGTTGTTTGGTACTGTCGGGCATTGGGTGATTGACACTACACCGTCGTTCTGGTTTGTCCAAAATTGCCGGACTCTATGGAAGTGAATGCTAGTCCCATTTTGCAGGTCGTTTGGGAGATTGTTGGTGAGACGAACAACGACCTCGTCACCCCAATCTGGATTTTCATTCATTCCATGATGCGGACCTCCTTTGGGCTGCAATTGCTTTTATTGGGCTTTGCAGTGTCAGCGAAACATATTTCATCGCGATCCTCCCCATCGGAATCGTATAGCCTATATGCCTTTGGTGACAGCATTGGAGGATTTCCGATGTACTACGCTGACGGTGGGTTCCATGAAAGATGAAAATACTCTTCCGCTGACCACCTGTGAGGATGTAGGTGATGCTGTGGTTGGAAATAAGGCTCCCTGGAATGCAACTAATGTTGGTCAAGTTTCCTGTATGAACCTTCCATTTCACGTCTATTGAATGAAAATTGACCACTGATTTAGTTACGCCTGGTGAGTCCGGCCCTATGGTAGGCAATCCAGCTTCCAACTCAACCGGGGCGAATGGTACGAGCCAGCCCGCTTTTCAAAATCAACAATGCTTTGTTCGCCGCCCAGACTCGAGCGATCACCAAGTTGGCTTTACCCAGAATGCCACGTCAAACCAAGTCCCATCAAATTTCATTTGGTACGGACATTTTCTACTCGTTGAGAATGACGGTGGAGAATATACATCGCGTTTCTACGTGAAGAAGACCGAACAAGAGGATGTATTCAACATTACAGATGACGATGATGAGGATGACTTCATCTTAATCTCTATGAGGGGTCTACCTCCCCATAATGCTTGAGAATAATCGATTGGCCCGGGGCCTTGAGGCATGCTATACTCCTTTCCCTTTAATGACATTACATAGACATGAATGAGAGAGACAAGGCTCGAACAACGGGCGAAATAACTGAAGGGTTCAAGGGATATACTAGTTATTGCGCCGAGGGGACTTGAGAAACCAACCCAAAGCGAATATACATCAATGCATTCTGGTTTTCCTTATCCACATCAGCCTCCCGACAGCCGCAGCAGACTAGTACCATGCGTGAACGCCAGCGTTTTCCTCGCGGGTCAGATGAAAACAGTCCTGGGAATTCTGGTGTTTGTAAAAAGGGGGTAGGCAAAGACAAGAGGCTTCGGCATGGATCCGGTGATAGTTGCCTTAGCTGTGATTGGTCAAAATGTTAAGGACGGACTGTTCCCCGCAGGTCGAGGGCAACGATCAAGCCGTTCCCAGTGCCGGCGGCCAATGATTAGACTTGTTCAGTTCTACCCCGAACAAAGCGTAAGGTGTACCCCGCAGATACCAGAAAATGATAATCAGAAACCCTTTATCTTTCTCCGCTCACATGTTCGGGATTTCGAGTATATTCTCAAAGGTGATTTCGCGAAGCCCCCCCTTACCTATCAAAAACAATTTCTATTGTGTTACGCAAACCCCACCCCACGCAGACTTTCGTAAATGCGGGATCGGAAATCTACATTAACAACAAAGTCGGGTACTCGCTCAAAGCGACAAGATGAAAGATCCAAACATTAACACGGCCGATGAGGCGATTCAGACCGACAGACAGACAGATTTCACTGTCAGTGAGGCTTGTACTGATGCTAAACATGAATTGCAACTTAATATTGGCGGCCGGGGTGCTACTCATCGTCGTCTCCATAACTATCAAGTGACTATGATCGGTTTTTGTGGTGGTATCGGTACCGGTCTTTTTATTGGTACTGGCTCTGCGTATGCTAAAGCTGGCCCCGCAGGACTGTTTCTCGCCTACATAATTGTTGGCTCAGTCTTGTGGTGTGTAATGCAAAGCATTGCCGAATTGGCTACCTTGTTCCCTACAGCTGGGTCTTTTCCACACTGGGCTACCCGTTTCATTGACCCGGCAGTGGGCTTCTCACTGGCTATCTCCTATGGATATTGCTTCATGATTGCTATTGCCTCGGAAACGGTATGCATGCTTTGCCTTGCACTTGGACTTACTGACGCTCATTATTCTAGTCCGCTGCTGCTTTGATAGTATCGTATTGGAGTGATATAACCCCGGCCGTGGTTATCACTGTCAGCCTTAGTCTTATTCTATTTATTAACCTTATGAGCGTCCGCTTCTATGGTGATTCTGAAGTGATGGGTGGCGCCGTCAAGGTTATTTGTTTCATTGGCCTTATATTCGTCTCTATTGTCATCACAGCTCGTGACCGAATTGGCTTCCGCTACTGGAACGATCCTGGCGCATGGACAAACTACAATGGCATTATGGGCCCTAAAGGACACTTCCTTGGGTTTCTATCCGCCTTTGTAAACGCGTCTTTTAGTTTCATCGGAATTGAAACCGTTGTGATTACAGCCGGCGAGGCAATGAATCCACATTATGCTATCCCGAAAGCAGCACGTTATATCACCTACCGGATCGGATTCTTTTATATTCTGGGAGCGCTCCTCATCAGTATAACAGTCGACCCACGGGATCCGGACCTTATATCTGGGGCCGGTAATGCGCACAGTTCGCCTTTTGTTATTGCTATTAAAACAGCAGGGATTTCAGCTTTGCCCTCGATAATAAACGCCTGTATTCTGGTCTCTGCCTGGTCTGCAGGGAACTCATATTGCTGGGTCGGCTCACGAATGATCTTAGCCATGACAACAGACCGACAACTACCACAGATATTCGGAAAGGTTACCAAGAAGGGTGTCCCTTATGTGGCCGTAATTACAGCTTGGCTTTTTGGGCTTTTGGCATACCTGAGTAAGTAAAACTGAATACATTCTTGCACCCATGGGTAATTTTTAATTGGAAACCAATAGGTCTCGGCAAAGGTGGCGCGGCGCAGGCTTTCGCTTGGCTGCAGAGTCTGGGAACGGTTGCTGGACTCATAGCATGGGCAACGCTTTGCTTTTGTTATATTCGTTTCCATGCCGGACTGAAGGCTCAGGGTGTCAACCGCCAGTCTCTTCCCTGGAAGTCTCCCTTTCAACCGTTCACAGCATGGTATGGATTTATCGGCGCCAGTACCATCACCTTTATTACCGGTTTTCATGTCTTCCTCAAGGGAAATTGGTCCGCATCGACCTTTGTGGCTGCATACATTGGTATACCCATCTTCATTGTACCTATCATTGTATGGAAAGTTTTATATCGCACCAAGGTATTTAATTGGGCGACGACGTTTATATTCGTTGAAATGTTGCTGACTCTACGACTCCAGTTTGCCCGTGCCTCAGAGATGGACCTCTGGTCTGGCCGACTTCAAGAGGGGGAGATCGAGGAGTTTGCAACCCCAGACCAGAGCCGCTCCATGTGGAAACGCGTTCTGGACCGTGTCGTCTAATTTCACGCATTTCTTCCATCAAGCAGGGTAAAAGGCTCGGCTGTTGAAATGTTTGACAAACTTTGTTGATCCAGCACACTAGCCTATATCAGAATAAACTCTGAATCAGGATTTCTTCCATTTCCTCCTGCCAAATCTTAGATCTCTCTATCCCTATCCACCTATTTAGTTGCATATATCACCACATTCATGGTTTTGGACTTCTGTCATTGTAAATAATACCTGTGGATGATAACAAAAATCACTCTGATAAAAGATACAGCTGTTTGGCTTTGCTACTTTATTTAGTCTCAATAAAATATAAACCCAGGTACAGAAGATAATGCACCAATAGTACACAGATAATAGTATTTGGGCTTTCTTCTTCTATACTGGAATTTTCGTCCTCGAATCTAGAACGGCTAAAATTGGCTTTGGGAAACGATTGTATTCTCTGGACGTAGTTCATTGGCATCGGTATCTTCAAATATCTAACAACTGCCAATATCCTCATGACGTTCAACTTGTCTAACTCGACCTCAGGGCTTTATCCAAGTCATCTGCGTCACTGTTCTCAAATGGATGGTACTTTTCAAAATCGACGATGAGCTTTTCATGTTCCTTGGTGCGAGGGGTAATTCTGCACTTGTAAGGAATTGGGTGGCTGATGATTCCTGGAGTGAAATCCTGAGGTGGGTCGATCTCCTTGCCGTCTTCTCCAAGCGGCTTCCTCACATCAAAAACGGCCAGTGTGTTTGCAATGGTGAGGAAAAGTGAAGCATCGGCGATTTGCCGACCGGGGCAAACCCTCCTGCCAAACCCGAAGCTCACTTCAGCCGGATCAAGGGCAACATCGTGTCCTTCAGAGGGGATATATCGCTCTGGGCGGAAAACGCGAGGCTCGGGATAGACTTCGGGATCATTGTTGAAAGACCTGAGAGATGAATTAGCAAAATTGCAGATATCAAGTCATCTTTGATGTTGCGCACCAAATGTTAGGGAGCAGCATAGCATCTCGCGGAATGAGAAAGCCATCCACAACATCATCTTCATCGGTTCTGTGAGGAACACCGAGGTTTGCAACTGTATGCCACCGGAGAGCTTCCTTCGCAACTGCGTCGGTGTATGGCAGCTTCTCTCGGTCGGCCATTGTAGGGAAATATGCCTTGCCAAAAACTCTGTCGATTTCTTCTTGTGCTTTCCGTTGAACGTCAGGGAACAGCGCCATGGCCAAAAAGAAACCTTCAAGAGAGGCAACAGTCTATGTGGTAATTGCATGTCAGAGAATCATTTCCTTCGAACACCTCAATAGTTCCTTTCTTACCGTATCCGCTCCTCCGGCATACAATGCCACAGCAGACCACTTGGTGACACCTTCATCTTCACCTTGCTCCAAGAGAGTTGAGGTGAACGATTGTCGCTCCTTCTTCTCTTTCATTTGATATTTGGTGAATGCGAGCGGGTTTTCAACCAGGCTGGTCAGGGTTTCGAGATAATGGGCACCAATCTTCTTGAAATTTGCGCCGGGAAACCATTCCGGAATGTATTTTACTGCGACCTGCGTTAGGCAAATTCATTTGTTCATATTGAAAGGAAATCCGGAATATTTGACTGACGCGCAGGGATCATATCAACGAGCCATGCCCCTGGGACGATGGCATTTGAAAATTGTTGTAGAGCCAAGTCAGCGAGGCTCACAAGGGGGTCGTCTCCATGAGGCTCAATGTTATAGCCATACGTAATCTTTAGAATGAAAGCACCAGCCTCACTGTCGTGTGTATATTAGCGATGAAATACGGGACCTTTTGCCAAATTGGCACAAAACATACGTTCGAATGTGGTCAACAAATTTTTCGGGAGTTTGAAGAACCCGCCAAAGAAAACGCTGTGTCTCCTCTTCCATCAACCCATCAAATCTAGATGCAGAAGTGCGCGTTCCAATAATCTTGGCCATGGCCCGTCGGTAAGACCTCAAAAGGGCGGTGTTGTCTTGGCTTGAAGGTGCATTTCCCCATCCGGACCTAGATCATCCGTTAGCATATTGTCGATCTTCTGTTCTGCGGTAGAAAATAGTTTTCCCCTGAGGCAACTGGATTCGATTCGATCCAACAACCCCGTTGTAACTAATAAAAAAAGGTTTCACTTACAGCTCGTCGGCAAAAACAAGCCGAGGCCGAGAAGAATGCTTCGCCGAATTCTTCTCTAAGATTTGCAGTGCCAGCTTTCTGTCATTGATAATGATGATTGTCTTCCCAAGAACCGTGACAGAGCTGAGAGGACCTATTAAAGCACGTCAAAAGTTGCAACAAGCTTTCTCTCAGCCAGGGGGACGAACCGTAAACCTCTTTATGTTTAAACCAATGAACGCATTCCTGTTGACCCGCAGGAGGTAGATCCAGTAAGTTTCCAATAATTGGCATTCCCTTTGGACCAGGTGGCAGCTTCCCAGCCTTTTTGCTCCCAGAAAGCTTTTTGAAGGCAAATAACAGAGTGGCAAAAAGGGCCAGAACAGCCAGTTGTTGTGTGGACACCATGACAGCGTATACGAGGTAGATTCAGCCAAACTTGCAATACACACCTTGGAGATTCCGAGTTGTTTAAGCAGAAGGATCACAAAAGGAGGACGCAACAGCTGAAAATAAATACATGTGGGGTCGAGCCCTGGTCACGAAACTTCACAATGGCGAATGCAGGTTGTTGCATGGGCTAGGCAGTGCATGCAACTAAGTTTTTAGCTTTTTTTCATGGTCTCCATACCAGTTACCCATTTTAGCTCCGCGGCCCTGAACATCGCTTTTGATTCGGCGAGGGAATGTCCGTGTCAGTCCCAGCTGTCAGTTATTTTAGTGGGTCCTATGTTGATATTTTATTGTCAGCATTGCTTGCATCGTTAATACCGTCGCATAAATGGAGTGTCAGAGCTTATGAAATAAGAACCTCGGCGTCATGGTGTTGGGCCCATCGCTCCATCACTCAATAATATTCTGCCAATTGCAAAATCCGAAGACGGGATGGAAAAGCGACTAAAGCTGCAAGGTAGACTTGACTAAAACTATGTGGGGCCGAGGCTATCTACCGCCAAATCATAATGCAGTACATGATTTCATGGGGAATCGTCATCAATATGATTGGATGAGAAACCCGCTCTAAACAGACTGCAGAGCGCCTCTGCGCCACTATGAAACAGCGATGCTGATACTAGTACGCCTTCTTCATCGGGAAAGTGTACGACGTCGAAACAGTTACCAAAAGCGGTCTCATCGTGAAATTATACTTTTTCTTTACAAATCTGGTCTAAGATTCAATGTGGAAGAGTTCATCGACTTTCAAAAATATTCAATTGCGATATATTAAACTAAGGGTTAGTGAGGTCTCTGTATTTAAAAGGCTAAGCGTCGATCTCCTCAATATCGAACCGGGACTGGATGCACTTGACCTGATGTCCCGTATTCCACATGGCAATGCGAGAAATCTTCCGTGTCCCTCGCGGAAAGGCACCCAGGAGAAGATACGCCACAAGCTTACCAATTCGAGTGCCTAGTATTTCCTGGAATTGCGGAGCGTCACTCTCCCAAACCTTCTCGTCTCTACCAAGGTTAAGGCGAGCATTTACAAATGTTTTCGTTTCCTCGTTGCTAATGTTAGTCACAAAGACGTGCCGCAGGGTATCGAGAGCGAAGTGGTCTTCGTAGACTACCTTACTGATTTCGGATATCCAAGGACCAGTCGATCCCTTGCTTCTCATTATATCCTCGATGAAAAGCACCCCTTGTCCAGCCCGTCCTTTGAACGAAAGTTCTGTGTCTCCATCGGAATACATTTCAGCGGTTATAAGATGATATTGCTGATTCGGTACATTCAGATCCTGCATCTGAACAGAAGTGTATGAATGAGGCAAGCCGTTTGGATGGGTATTGATATTCCAGGAATCTTCATCTAGATCACTCAGGGAAGTAAGCTGACTCATACCAATTGGACAGGGGGTATTGGGGTTAGTAATCCATGCTTGACATAAAGCTCCCTGTTCCTGGAACTCACCGAATGCAAGATGCTGTGCGGTTGACATGTTTCTGGTTGGTGGAAGTGTCAGTATATCCGAAATGACTGGAATCAGAGACTCGATCAGCAGATCAGGTGTCAGTTTTATAATCATTCGATGAAAATTAGCATAATCGACAACAAAGCACAATATATACAATACCGAGTATAGGTATTCAAAGCACACAAAGCAAGACAAACAAACACCACCCTATCATACAATCAACAATCAGGTACTGCTTCCTTATATTCAAAGAAATCGAACCAAGAGCAAACGTCGAGTCTGCTGAACCATCATTGATAGATACGAAAGGATTGTATTAAATCTACACTTTCGGTTGGGGATCTCCAGCGCAATTCTCGGCACCTTTGAGTGTAAGGATTGAACACAAACATCTTTGAAAGAGTGACTTTGAATACATAGAACCCAACGGCAGACCATAACATATTAAGAGCCTTGAAAGGCTCGAAAACCGGCGTCTCGAGGGTTGATAAGTTGAGCTGGATGAAATTGAATATAATGAGCTCGCAATTGCGTAGTATATATGCCTTGAGATTTCACCTGTAGAATACTATTCTGCAAATTTTGAAATATGACGGCAAAACTTGAGCTTACTAGTAGCATAGTGTTCCAAGGTTGGCAATTGGTTATGGCATGCTTCAAAGGAGTATACAAGCTATTCAAACTGATACCGTATGCCGTGTGTTCACAGTAAAACTCCAAACTTGAGCTATTGCCGTGGATGCACATTTGTCGATATCTCTCAGAGCTTATTTCCATCACCTTTCTTTCTTCGGTGGGTGTTCCTACCCTCGCCAACCCCAAAACTGCAACATATTTTCTTTGTCGGTTTTGTTAACCCACTATGACCCCATTGTTTGTTCCAGTTGTTTGTTTATTGTTCTTAGACCAAAAATAGACTTGTCATTTTGTTTGTCAGAATTTGCTTTGATTACTACATATACTAGGTTAACTCTTCTCTATTAGAGTATACCACCTTAAGTTTGAAGCTAAATTTCTCGGGCTCAAGACTCAAGGTCCAAGATCGGAAGTATCTTCAGAGTTACCGTGGCCGTCCTCATAATGGCGGAGCTCATACTGAACTATCATTATATAAGGGCCCGAGATGACTTCTCTAGATGTCTTTTTGATTGGAGCGATGCGCTCCAAGAAGACCCGGAGCGTGCAAATGAAGTTTGTAAGATGCTTGCCAGATTTTCCCCCCCAATTTGATTTGCTCAAGGTCTTCGGTGACGAGCCCCCGGCAAGGCTTTGTTTCAAACATCGGTGCCAAGTGATCAAGTTTACAATAGAGGATGTCAGCTCGTTGCTTATAGCGAAATTCCAAACTGTGTCTGACCTTGCCGAAGTGATTGGTATGGTAGGTATTCAAGTTGGGCGGCTCGTGTTGATCCATGAGAATATAGAAGACAGAACTGTGGTGGCCTCGGAGGAAATGGCCTCTGCACTCATTGACAGGATGGGCTCCACTGTTGCAATAACTGCAGGGTCTTTCTCTCCCTTTGTACGAAGTATGTGGAAATGCCTTCATTTTTCAGTTGGGGAATGTTCTTGCCGACAATGTCGGACTCTACGAAGAGCGCCAACTAACTAGGGAAATCTGGTTCTTTTCAATACATTGTCAGCCTATTTTCTGATTCGCGTGTACTCATTTATACATTAGCTGAATGATAAATACAAAATTCCGAAGATACTCTCCTCTGTTACCCTAGTCAACCAGTTTTCCACACTATGCCGAGTAAGGATAAGTAGCTTCATTTCTAGATAGATTGGCAGTTACGGTATATGTTGAGTATACATATTTCTATTTTAAGTATATATAGAGTGGCAATTAAAGACAACATTTCAACGAATCAAAAGCAATCCCTGAGGACCGTTCCCAATTGTCGTTGATGGGGGGCGATAAGCGATTTTCCCCGGCCCCACATCGAATCCCCCGACTTCAGCAAATTTTCTCCCTTTGATCTTTGATCTTTTATCTTTTATCTTTTATCCCCCACCACTCACATCGCAAATATGGGAAACGTAAGAGGAATTCTCAAGGCAGTGATATGGGGAGCGCAATCTTTCCTTGCGCCCCCGTCTAGCTGCCCTGGCTAACGCACAGGCGAACTAACAATTTCTACCTACACAGGGAGCCAGAGCCCAGCAAAAGCGCGAGCGCAACGCGACCGGAGGCAAGACTGCTGCCAAGTCGCAGACTAAGAGCGTATGTGAATAGTGCTGCAACATGCCATTATCCCTGTCGAATTTCCCCGCTCGGGGGAGTCAGTCCGGTCGCTGATAGGTTTTACAGAACGAGAAGGCCATGAGCATCATCTGCCAGGTCTGCAGGCAGACTTTCCTGCAGACCACGAAGGCCCCCGCGTACGTGATTCATTAATCTGCCGATCCTTGAAAGTGCCATGGCTAACAAGTGGCTTTCTCCTTATAGTCTCCTTGAGCACGCCGAGAACAAGCACAAGAAGGGTCTCGCTGATTGCTTCCCCGGCGTCGTCACTGCATAATGGGCTGTCTCCAGCTGCAGTATTTCTCGAATGGCACCGAGCCTAATAGCATAACGCCCTTCCATAAAAAGCGTGATATTTCGATCCATCCATACCCCCATTTCGAACGATAGGCCGAACGCGATCCGAACCCCCAACCAGCCATACAGTGGCACTACCATGCGACAGACACGGTCTTGGTCAAGCGTCACCGAGAGACAGGCTTGTTTTTGGGGTTGGCCATGCAAAGATACTTCTTAATGACCTAGAGAAAACGACAATTGAATTTTCCTTATCTTTATTCTCAATTTTTACCTCTCGAAATCAAAATCGTAGATAAAAATGAACGGCGGAGAGCCATCTAGAACTTTCTCGCCATATTATTATTCACATCACCTGGGAGGAGAAAGTACCTGAGGCTATTGAGAACCTTACAATAAAATATTGCTGCCTGAGGCCTCCAATGACTGCCCTAACTACGGACCAAGGCCGACTGTAACGGCCTTGCTTGTATACAACATTTTGCAAAATTTTTAACATACTGCTTTTACATGCGTAGTATTCATTGACCTTTCAATACCATCAAGGTTGAGCAATTTCTCCTACGTGTGCTAAGTGGCCATAGCTATTGTCTACTACACATGCTGGAAATGTGATAACTTCTGATTAACCGGGGCTTACCCCCAGCAAAATTGAATGTACTATTCCATCGTATCATGGTGAGAAATCAAAAAGTCAAACAAAAGGTCAAGCCCAGGTATTTTGAAAGGACTTCTTTCGACAGGTCGCATATCCGGCCATTCGTCCACGGAAAGTCTGAAGCCGGGGAATGACTCCATGACGCCCTGGAGCAACAAAAAACTTCAATGTACCGAATTCTACACCGCTCGTACTCATAATTGTCGATGGTTATTATTGTTTCAGTCGTCATGGGCGATACCTGCAGCACGGGCAGGAGTTTCAGAACACTTTGATGCTTTGTATCTCATGATCTCCACTTGAATCTCGTTAACGACACGGAAAAACAATCTTTCCGTGTAATCAGCGGGCTCGCGGCCTTCGGTGATCAGTTTCCGGAAGACTCGGTCTGTAACAGGCCAATCGAATGCCTCCACTCCCTTCAGAAAGCGGACTAACAAGCCGTAGGGATCATGTTTGATCCCGGTCTCTTTGGCCATGGCATATCCGGCCAAATCGGCATTTATGTATGCCTCTGGGTCGGCATAATCAGCTTCTCGGATCTCCACAAACGATGTCAAGATGTTGGCGGCGTCGTATGCACTGTAGCCCTCAAGCTTGCACTCAAGATCATCCGCAAATTTAAGATCTTGCTTTCTCTTTGCAGCTGTGATCTTGAGATAGAGAACATCCGATACACTATTGAATAGCCATGTAGCCACAGTAATGCTGTAAGATTGCCATCTTTCCGCAAGTGCACTGTTAGGTTCACACAGAGGGCGCAAGACATCACTGTTGATCAGACTTTCAAGTCCTCTGTTCCTCAGAACGCGGTGGGCTCGACGCGCCCATTATTTCCAGTTTTTCATCGCCGGAGAGCTTCTCCTGGATAACTGGCAGTCTAGCGGAATCGGGTAAACTGGAAGCCTTGGTCAACGGTCTTACCTCGATAATAGCAGCAGCAGCCCTTCATGCAGCATTTATCTGTGTTCTCTCATACAGAGAGTTGTCTTTTTGCCTCTGACTGCTAGGCCCGGGATTTACGAGACCAGCCTCGGTACCAGGTTCTGCACCAGGTTCTGCACCATCGTTGTTGGCGGTGGCATGATTTTCATGACGATCCTTCGGACGACAAATAAACGGATGACTCCAATGTTGATATAACAGAGACTTCCAGCCTCTGAAGCTGTAGTTGCAGGCCTGGATGAGGAAACTGATTGGTCTGAAGACGTCCGCATTGAGCACGCATCCGCCAATTTCTCTATGTTGACATAGATACATAACTGTATCGTGGAGAACTTGGTCGTCGCCGAGTCGAGCAACCAAAGGCAGGCAGACAAATTGTAGCTCTGGGCCGAAGGGAGATCTAATACGTCTCGCATTCTCGTGGTAGTCCATTTGGGCGTTGATGGACTGAACCGTGGGGACTTGCTGTAGAAGTTAGGGCGATCGTTGTCAGAGAGTACCAAAAGGAGAACACTCAACCATTAGGGTGGGCTCGAACCCTACTAGAGGGCAAAATTGAAGCATGAAGGAAACAAAACTAAGGAGAGCGATATGGCACGAAGGTGTTGAAAGGAAGGGGCCGTCTTAAGGCTATCTATGTAGAAACTAGTTAATGTTGTGTGGACCCGCAACACGCAGGCTGGCGCCTGAGGCCACCCCGGGTAAGGTATCCACTCAGTATCTACATCAATTCAAATGTGTGTGTGTTTGTAGAGCGAAGGCAAAGTCTGCCCACTGGCAGATGGCTGGCGGAATCACCGGGATCAAATAGATTGAATGAATAAGAAGTCACAATTTCTAGGTAACTTTGAAAAATCACATAAGAAACAGAGAGTATGAGGTATAATGCAATGAACTCCGAACCCAACGCCATATAAATCCTTGTCGCGGCAAGCACCAGGCCACGACCGCGAGTTCAAGCCAAGTCTATTCAAGACGATCTCCTTCCTCCCCTTTCCACCACAGCCAGGCCTTCTCGCCCCAAAGCAAAGTCTCCAATACAGCTCCGACGGCGAGAATGAGCATGATGAAAAGCTGCGTGTTCTTGCGGATGCCGAGTGACTCAAAGCTCATCGCCAGAGGTGTTCCCATAGACTTTGATCCCCAGTAGTTTGTGTCTGATTTGCGTTTATCCTGTGTGTGGTTTGAGTACGTAGCGCGTGTTGAGAAGGCCGAGGAGAAGATGGCGGCCTTCTGAGGATGACTCGTGCTTCTTAGCGTGCGGAGAGGACCGAAGCCGAAGCTGGCATGTGGGGTTCGGAGCTGGACCCGCGACGGGAAGTCCTTCACGGCAGCTTGGAGTGGTCGGCGCAGGGCACCGATAGGAGAAATCATGATGAAGGTGAGTAAGATAGCTTATATACTGGCCCTTCGAGATCCGAAGTGGCAGTGTGTATGGGATTAAGGTTGAAGTTGAAGTTGAGGTTGTGCAGGTGAGATGGAAGCGGGGGTTGTGTTTGTGTTTGGTCCAAGCGCTAGGCTCAAACCGCTCGTGGCGCTTGTCAGCAGGCACAAACATGATACTTACATCTTACACCGCTTTTTGGATCAGCATGTCATCTGTAGAACGAGTTACCTCTTCTTTAAAAATGTGATCAATTTATATTCGCTTGATTTACAAAGAAAATGCCCTTCATGATGGAGATCGTACTGGAAAATTCCTAATATCACGGACCTCCCGCAAGTATGAAGCTTTTGACGACAAGCAACATAGAGCTCGGGGTCTTAATTCCCATGTAGGTCGGTGAAATGCAGGTAGACAGTCCGAGTTCCCATAAAAGACTGCCCAGGAAAATAACATCAAGCACAGCAAACTATTTGGCAGCTTGCATCTGTAAAAGGATTTTAAGAATCGCCTTCCCGGCCCTCCAAAATTCCCTAGAAAAAGCTGAAACCGAAATACATCATATGGCTGTCCTTACTGGCTTTTCTGCACCTGGGCCGCGAGGCCTCTTCAACGGTCTCATATACCGGGAGGAAGGACCTCGGGAACCATACGGCCAGTCGCACTTGCCGCGCGAAAGACCACCCGGTCGTCTGTTTTCATCAAGGACTGAAGCTTCATGCGACTTTCGAGCAAAGAGCTGACAGCAAATAAGATACTTTACAATCCCAAATCCCAGTCATCTCCAAAGTCAGATAGAAACGGAGGTATTGTCGTCAGGTCAATGTCGAATGTCCAAGGATCCTCATTCATGTTGATTACCGTATCGGCTTCCTCTGCGGTCTGGTCGGCTCTGTTGCTTGCCGTATTGTATTGAGCCGCGGATAAAGTGTTCTCGCATGCAGGCTGCTCAATGGCTGTCTGATTCAAAAGCCTTTCACCATCTTTGTCGGCATTTCGATGGAGTAAAAAGGTGCCGAAGTAAGGAATTTCGATCTTTATGCGCCCTTGTTCTGCCCCTTGAAGAGTGGGTGCCTTCAGGAACTTGGAGTATACTGGCTGGTTTTCCACGAGTATAGCCACCAGTGTCTCTAGTGCAACGAGTCCACGGCTAGCAACTTTGTCTCCATGCTCGCGACCCTTGTGTTCCCGCAGGCTAAACATGACAAGATTCAAGCGTGCGCAATCCTGCTCTCTGTAATCCTGGGAGCCATTCGAACTCAGCATATCGAGCACCAAGGTCACTGCAGCCGTAAATGCTTGAAAATCAAGGGATCTGCAGCAGAAGCTGCCTAATGTGAGGTCTCGGATCCCTGTGTAACAAGTAATCATCTCCTGAGAGGCTTTCAGACATGACGTCCTATTGTACTCATATGGACCCGGGATACTGGATTTGAATAGAAAAGGCAGATGCAGCCAAGCAGTCAGTTGATGAAACCAGAGACTTGTCATAAGCTTTGTATAAACTCCTGGTCGTTCGGATGACTTGCCACCGAAACGATCGACCAATTGGGATTTGGTCAATTCAGGGTCAATTTTACGAAGATCGATATCTATATTCTGTGTCATGCGTACCATAACCGGGTCGATGTCGCGGAATTTCTGGTTTCGCTCAATTAGTGAGCCGGCGATTCGACAAAGAGCATTCATGGTAACCGAATTGGGCGTCTGGATTCTTGGGTCTTCTGGCACCAATGCGGCGTCTCCAATTCCATGGTGCATTCCCAACATCAAGGAAAGATAGCGATCACCGTGGATTATGTGGTTCCATATCACCTTAGCCCTAGACTCCAGCTTCGAAGTCCGCCCGGAAATTGGGATCCGAGAGTGCAGACCGATTATCTGAGCGATGTTAATAGCTCGTCTATATGACATCCAAGCACTCCGGAGCCTCCCTTCATTGTTATGAATAATTCCTTGTAGGACCAAGCACTCAAGCCCGTCAAGGCTGCTCAGCATAGCGTCGTCGAAGTCTTTCGAGTTACTGGTAGCCGCCATGTACTGCTCAATAAGCTTTGTTGGAGGGTAAGGGAGCTGGAGATATTCCAAGTCAATCAAGTCACAGCGCGCTGGAAGCTGTTGAACGCTCAAAGCAACCCAGAGTAGGCATTTCGCTATCATAGTTGGGTGGCTAGTAGGTAGCTCCGATGGTGGGATGGGGAGTAGCGAGCTCTCTTGGTCCTGGAAGCATTGGATGCGGAGCAACCGCCAACAAGAGCTGTACTGGTGCAAACGTACAAACGTCACATCATTCGGTGGCATCATCCCCAGCAGATTCTGTCGCAAGTTGTTTTTGTTCCGCTCAGTTGTATTTCGGAAAGTAGTAGCTTGAAGCCTCGCAGTGTGATCCTGTCGACCGCCTAACTGAATTCGAATTCAGCCATTCATAGTCTTATCAGGAACCTCTTTCCAAACCCCAAAACTCACCAATTCATTTTGGAAAAGCGACAGGGCTGGAGCATTGTCGTGCACCGGTGTTCCCGGTTCGGGGCTTCCCAGCGACGTAGCAAACTCCTGAGAGCGAGTAGCATCACCTTCAATAACCTCTAATTTGTTGAGAACCTTTTCCAGAAGATTTTCCATACGAGCCATACGTTCATTCAAATTTGAACGATCGGACTCTTTTTCTGGTTCGGGCAGACTCTGGTTTCGACAAGAGGTGCCACGAGACATGCATTCCCTGCAGGTGGAATCCCCATCGGTCGCAAAATGGCAGCGAACCTTTCGATGTTTGCCTGAATCGAAAGTTGGTATGCTTTTCAACGTTTTATGTCACTCGCCGATTTTAGTTGCTCGGTTAATTACTTACACTCCCAGCAACTACGGGTTCCCTTTCGGACTTTCTTTCGAGGTGGCTCCTGGTCCTCCAGCGAGTCTAACTCGTTATGGCGCCTCAGGGATTGCATTGTCAGCGCCGAACAAAAAAGGCAACGACAGGAAATTTTCTCCTTTTTTGTATATGAGAAGTAGTAAATCCACGCTAATGATGTACTCGGAGCATGTTAAAGCAGGCTGGCATCAACACGCGGGTGGATAGTCCGCCTCACGAGTCTGCGAATGGTTGCTCGGTCCTCGTCCCTTGACGAGAAAAAGGCTTAGAAAAGGGTCCAGAAAGTCAGGGGCGACAATTTGTAACAGACTACATACCTTCTGAGTGGCTTGTCTCGACTGGGATACCGGTTGCACCTCCTGCGATTCGATGTTGTTGTCAAAGGAGGCCCGCCCCTTTTTTCCGCCGACGCGGCGGAAATTCGCCAAGCGATGACTCAGCAACCGGTTCTCTTCCGCCGACTCGGCGGAATATCAACGTCAACAGAGAACCAATCGCGAACTCTTAAAGCACCAATCCCTTGCAGTCATGGATATTTTTGTTGCACCCAGGCTGACTTCGATCTCTTCATTTTTGAACATTCAAGTTTCCATAGGCCGTGATGTCTCCTAGGCTCTCACAACAGCAGAGCGGAACCGAAAGTTTTCCAATATCAACACCCATTTCTGGGACATCCTCTCTCATTCACAAGAACGATCAACATGCATCCACACCAGATAGTAAGGAGGGAGTAGGGAGAAACGTGGATCGTGTTCATCAAATTGGTTACGACGAAGTGGCCCCGTCGGAACCGAACAAGAGAGGACTGGCGCTCCTCATGATTGTCGTGGCACTGGCTTTGAGCATGTTTCTTGTCTGTTAAACCTCCGTTTAGTCATTTTACTGGGTTAATGGCTAATACTAGTATCACTTCACAGGTATCCCTAGATATGGTGAGCAACTTTCCCCTATCTTCTGTCAAAGAGACCTTGAGACATCGATAATTCTAACCATTGGTGTAAATGATTAGACTATTGTTGCGACAGCAATTCCAAGGATCACGGATGAATTCGGTGGCATCGATCTGGTAGGTTGGTATGGCTCAGCCTTTTTCATCACTTTAGGTGGGTTTCAGGCTGCATGGGGCAAAATATACAAATACTTTCCTTTAAAACTATCTTTTCTGATCGGAATTGTGCTTTTCGAGATCGGAAGCTTAATTTGCGGTAAGTCAACAATATTCTACCTGTTGACATATCGGGATGTCATCGGCTCACAATAGCCACTGTTAGGAGTCGCACCCAATAGCCTTGCGCTGATTATTGGCCGAGCTATCACGGGTGTTGGAGGTGCTGGCATTTCTTCGGGCGCATTCACCATCATTGCATTTTCTGCCCCTCCAAAACAGCGACCTGCGTATATCGGAATTCTCGGTGCCTCATATGGAATTGCAGCGGCTGTAGGGCCGCTTATTGGGGGAGCTTTTACCAGTCATGCTACGTGGAGGTGGTGCTTTTATATCAACCTGCCGATCGGAGGAGTCTCGGCTGTGATCATCTCTTTGTTCTACGCGCCACCTCCTGCATCGTCACTTTCAAACGAACCATTGAGGGAAAAGATTCTACAAATGGACCTTCCCGGTGCCTTTCTTCTCATCGGAGCTATGGTATGCTATGCTCTGGCTCTTCAGTGGGGCGGAATCTCGCGCTCCTGGGGGGAGTTCCTCTGTTATCGGGACCTTGGTTGGTTTTGCAGCCCTACTTGCCACTTATATTTTCGTTCAATGGTGGCAGAAGGATCGAGCCTCCATGGTCGGCCGTCTGTTTGAGCGAAATGTGATTGTTGCAATGATCTACATCGACCTTCTAGCAGGAACATTCTTCCTCCTGGTCTATTATCTTCCGATTTACTTCCAGGTTGTTTCAGGAGTATCTGCAGCGGAAAGTGGCATCAGAAATTTGCCCTTGATCCTCGCGCAGAGTGTTGCAACGGTTTTGTCAGGGATCGCATTAAGCAAATTTGATCGACCCCTGCCCTTCCTCTTGCTTGGGGCCGGGCTCACCGCTATCGGTTCCGGGCTATTATACACACTGGACATCAATTCGTCGGCGGGAGTGTGGATTGGATATCAAATCCTCGCCGGTGTCGGGGTTGGGTGGTGCTTCCAAGTCCCCGTTGTTACTGCACAAGCAAACGCTGCACCCGCCGATCTCCCTTCGGTGACTGCTATGGTACTAAGTACGTTCAGCCATGCTTTTATTTTGCTTCCGGGATTTTCTTATTAATTCTCATCTCTTATAGCTGTCCAAACGTTTGGTGGCTCCGTCTTCGTCTCTGCGGGGCAGTCCGCTCTTGATAATGTGCTGCTGAGAAGTCTTCCAAGACTCCCCGGAATCGACTCGTCGGAGGTTTTAAGAACAGGCGCTACTGGATTACGCAATATATTCGGTCCCGAACAGTTACCAGGAATATTAGCTGCTTACATGAAAGGCATTCGAGCCGCATTGCTTGTGGCAGTGATCGCATCCAGCGTGGCAACTGTCATTGGTATGGGCATTCGGCGGACAAGGCTTGGTGGGATTTCGTCATCTGCTCCATCCGTCTAAGAAAGGCACCATCATGCCTCAATTTTCATTTAGCAAATGGATTGTGGTGGCTCTCATCCTTCCGCCCCAATCCGGGGCCGAGGCGTGTATAAATAGCCCTATTCTCTCAAAGAATTGCACATCAATGTAGCCCTGAGGCAATTCGTTCACCCAGCCCCATGGAGCCGATGTAAGGCCCCCAATTCAAGGTGGGTATCGTGAGACGTCCTTACAAATCTGTCAAGCCAGACAATTTACGTACTACTTTGATTGCGAGATGAGACTTCCATGCACGCAGCGCTTGACAGATAGCCATGGATCACTGTATTTAGACCTCGACAGATTACCCTTTCCTAGAAATAAGCCATCATCCCAAGGCGAAGTCAGTTCAGTTTCACAACTTGAGGCCACCCTGAATTTTAGGAAATGCACTTGATCAGAGCGAGGTCCTAGAACACAGTCATTATTTTTGCAAGAAGTTGCACTACAGTCTTCCACCGGATTTGTTGGCGGGCGGACTTGCTGAGAACTCGACTTTGGATCCTTGTATCAACACACTTATTTTTACTTTCCTCTTCCCTCCGATCAGTTGTCACGTTGGCGGGCCGTTGTATTCACGACACTCCGACTAGCGGGAAACGGCCAGAGATCTCGAAATATCATCATGTTGTATCTTCGTCTCTATTTGTGTTGCTAATATGGATGGGAATGATTTTAGGCCTGCCGAGAGCTAGAAGGTGGACGCGAGCCAATATCACGATCATGCCTAGGTGAGCGACTCGCAATTTTTACTCTAACTCGCAGGATCGTGGGGTTTGTGGCCCGTTACCTATTATCTGCTGGGTGACTGCATGATCAACACGAATTTTTGTATTGGCTGTTGGATGATGGGCAACCGACAAAGAAAGTAGGACAACCTACCAGCGCATACACTGACCGGTATATACCTAATTACTGGTACAGATACAGCAAATCAAGCGACGATCAACCGCGCTAGCTCGTCCCGATAAAATCAACCCACTGCGAAATTGGGGCCAAATTGGGGCCGAAGGAATCGTAATCTGATCAGATAATCTATGGAAAGCCTGTGGAGTCGGGTCGACGTAGGATGATCTCGGAGGCATCTCCCCGATATAGGAGCGATATCAGTACTACGACTCGGAACCCGAAATACATAAATAGCTCTGGTTTCTGGTACTGATGGATGTATTCTACCTCAAGTATATTCTAGTTTTCAACCATTCACGTTCAGCAAAACACTTTCATAATGAAGTTCCTCAGTGTTATTCTTGTCACCGCCCTGGCTGCTTTCAGCAGCGCCGCAGTCATCGAGGAGCGCGCATGCGCACCTGGTAAGATACTTTTCACTTGATTCAAAGGGAGCGACACTAATCGAATCATTTTAGCCGGCGTTCTCTGCGGTTCCAACACTCAGTGCTGTAACGGCAGCTGCCCTGGAAACGCTTACAGCAAGGTTCGCAAATGCACTTAGCTCCATGAGTAATTTAATCTTGTATGAATTTGTTTTGGCACAGCTTTCGGCGGTTCTTGATCAAAGCGCTGACTACATGATCAAAAAGAGTGCCCTGTTGGAATCCGTTCAATGCTTCCACCACGTTTTTATAATCTTGAAATGATCTAGACTCAAAAGACATTCTCACATAGTATGGCTGGTGTCTGGGGTTATAAATGAATAAAATCTACGTAACATGCGCTTTACTTTCCATCCAAGTTCATCACGAGCTTCAGCCAAGATAGGTTATTTCTAAACAATGACCAACTTCCGAATCTACAAATTGTGGAGGTTACTATTTTCCCAAGGCCATCCTTTAGATCAAAATACTAGCAAGAACTGTTCCGTGCCGAAATCGCCCGCGATAAACAACACATCAATGTTCTTGGCAGAGGCCACCTACACACATATGAATAAAGCCCCATAGAAGCCGCATAGAATCCCCATATTCTGAGCGGTGCCACGCAGGGGGGGACTATTTTCAGCGAGGTCTTGCGCCATCTTGCGCGACACCAGAAAATAAGAGTAAGGAGGATGGAAAGCCACATCAAGCCGAAAATCGTCAGCCAAGTTTCCGATTAGAGCGAAATGTGACAATAATGAGTGAGAATACATTGGATTATATTGATAAGTATGTCCAGAAATCTCGTCTAAATTTACAATGAGCAATGCGGCAATGACAAACTCTTACCGGTCAAAACAGAGGAGCAAAAGCTAATGGGCAGCTTCTTAATTCACATGTTGTGGCTAGCGATCTTACCGGGTATCGATTTGGCTTCCTGATCTTTTTCTTCGGGAAGCCTCAACCGTCAACGGTCGGATATAGCATTTAGTGAGTGCTCGGCAAACATTGATTTCGTCGCCTCGTGCATTACCCACAAAGCTCACATATAACTAACTAGCCAGCATGGAAGGTGTGAAAGGCATACGACAATATTCGGTGGAATCTAAACTTGAGTTGGCTAATTACCTGTGCTCTTCTCGCAACTCCGTCTTTCAGCGAGCCGTGTGCCATGGTCACGGAGAATTTCTTCGGTCAGCACCTCAGGGCTTTCGATGCAATGCCAAGATAGCCCTGGCTAGATCTTTCTTTTTGCCGTTGTCGATACCGTGTGCGTGTTTTACCTCTATCCACTTACCCCGTGAATAATATGACGAACTTCGGTCCTGGGTTCGGGACACCCTTTCCCCGCGGGGAGGTACTATTAACTATGACCCAATTTGTGTTGTATGGAGAACCCCCGGAAAGTAAGTTATAAGATCTAAGCCAAGTTTCGAAAAATTGCTCCGATTATCTGAGCCTTGGCAGAATAGCCCTCGGCCAGGTTACATTCTATATGGCATGATGCGTGCCAAGTGACTCGTTTCGCCTTTCTGCCAAGACTCCTACTGGACGGGATTCCCATTTACTCTTCTCAGTGCCTTTGTTAATCTATACCTGACTACATAATGAAGAATTTAATTTATTATTCAATCAATATGGAGGGACCCCTCCCCAGTCCGTCCTGGCTGTTGCTATAATTAACCCTCTTGATTGGCCTCGGCAAGAGGGGTTGACCTCGCGATAATAACCCGTCAACGTTCAATCGAGCTCAAAGGCCCTTTTCAAGCCAAGCCTATGTTCTAATTTAGGTGGCGATTCCCTGCACTCATGTTTGCTCCCGAGGTCGATAATTATGTAAAAACTGGGCACATATATGGTGCACATGGTCCGCATGAACTGACCGTGAAGAAAAGTCTCAACTTTGATGCGAAGAAATATAGACAAACTACAAACAAGTAAAGATATTCGTAAAAAGAGAAGCAAAAAGAGTCCGCGTCCTGGACATTATTATAGCTCTGGTGGATCATTGCCGGAATGGTGTCTTGAGCTGTCTGCAAATTGCTCATTTCGGAAACTCACGCTACCTTGAACAAGAAGACGCACCCCCTCCCCCCCTTCCCCATCAATAAGGGGCCGCACTATACAATTCTTGGGAGAAATCCGTCCTTCTCAAAACAGATGCTACTTAGCTACTCTATAAAATACTGTCACATTGCGATTAATATTTTAATATTGATACCAGGAGCCCGTCGAATATAATTAAGCAACTCTCTAAGTATGAGAGCTATATCCTTGGCAGTTTGTAACTCTCAATCTTCAGAAATATCTCTCGTATAACACGCCAAGTTACTCTAACCATATTATGTACTTTGTGCGGGCTTGGATTTCGGGTTTACCGTTTCTTTAATCACTGCGCATGATCCACACAGCGGTTCCAGTGCCCCTATACAGAAGATGTATAGAGCCCGAAACATATTTTTTTTCCTAGAATATTATGTTCCAAATTGACTCTTGGGCCTTTTGTCTTGGCTGCTTTGAGTCCTCCCTTTTTCCTTTCACAGATATGGTTCAAGCCTGTTACGAGCTCTACTTTACATGTAATATGGGGCTATTTCAAGCTCACCGGGCCTATTATAAACGTGGGATTGCGCAGACCCCATGTTATGAACTCAATATTCGTACCATTTGGAATGCCAATTTCCCTAATTGCTCGATCCACGAGTGTTTATCTCTTATGGGTTGTTCACTCCGGGCTTGCCGATACCCTGACCCGCCGGTCAGGGTTTCTCATATCCACAGACCCCTACTCCGTACAAAACCGATCTTCTCCGAGATGAATTTCAGTTAGCGTCAGCCTTAAGAGGTATTGATCATTACGAGTATGGAACCCAAACTTTGGGATTTCTAGTAGATTCCAGACGAACCACGCAAGTGGGAATCTTCTGTGGCGTTCGGAGAGGTGGGCGACACGGGATCGCAGATGGGGCTTTAGCACACTATACTAGAGCCTTTCCAGAACTTAACACACTAATAGAAACGGAACGCCTCCACATTCAGCTCTCTGTGTCGTAAATTCGTAAATAAGGACAAAACCGGTCCAATTTCAGTCGATCTCAACTAAAAGAGGGGACAATAGAGCCATTTTCTCATCTCCCAAATCGGCGCCACCAGATTCCCCATGAGAGAGCGGGTCTGCTTGAGATCCATCTTGCGGAGCATGTACGATTATTGTTACGGCCATTGTATTATGTTATTGCGCAAATAGATGAATCTCGGTAAGACCGAGTTCCAACGAAAAATATAAAAGCCTGCGAGTGCCAGCAGTTAAGATCAAATCTGATTATCCATATTTTTCATCTTAACTCCAGTCAAAATGAAGGTTTCTGCTTCCATCCTCACCTTCGTCGCTGCGGCGTCCGCGTCTTGCCTCCGTGGCACCTCGCTCCTCCCTCGTTCCGCTGATGGCAAGGTTGCCGCCAACTCTTTCAACTACACCAACACCGGTGGTCCCCTGAACTGGTACGGACTGGACTCAGCCAACTCTGCTTGCTCCAAGGGCAAGAACCAGTCTCCCATTGTCATCGACACTGAGGATATTGACTACGCCAAGGCTAGCGACATTCACTTCCACGTCCCCCATGCCAACGCAGCCAAGTTCGAGAACCTGGGCTCCGGCCTTGAGGTTGTCCTGACCAACGGTACCCTCACTACCAAGGACAACTCCTACAAGCTGGCTCAGTTCCACTTCCACACTCCCAGCGAGCACCGCATCAATGACGAGTACTACCCCATGGAGGTTCACTTCGTCTTCGAGAGCTCTGGTAAGTCCACTCTGAGATCTAAATATCGATTGACTGGAGCATTATTCTAACAACAAACAGCTAGCGATATTGCCGTTGTTGGCTTCGTCTTCGAGCTTTCCCAGTTCGGTTACTCGACTCCTCTTTTCGACAATGTCTTCGCTCACATCGATGACATTGCCACCCCCGGCACTTACACCATGACCGACAACCTGGACTTCTCTGCCCTGACTGGCCATCTGAACTCCCACGGTATCTACCAGTACTCCGGCTCTCTCACCACCCCTCCCTGCTCTGAGAGCGTTGCTTGGTTCCTCAGCACCGAGCCTCTGCCTCTGAACGTCCAGAGCTACAACGCCGTTAAGCACATCCTGAAGTACAACGCCCGTTACACTCAGAATGCGCTGGGCCAGGACAACCTCCTTGAGGTTGCCGCCAACGAGCTGAACTAAGCCTTGGATGTCAAAAATAAGAATTCTGCTACTGGGGTCCGAATATGGACGATTTGGAGTACTTAGGGTCGTTGACTGGCGACTGTTGTGATCAATAGTTGATTGGTCTTCATTTACTGTACAGATATATTTTTAATCTATAATAGAATAAACACAAATGGGCAAGTACCCCCCTTGATCGAAAATTTCCGGCCCATGTACCGGTAGATTGAAGCGATGTGTAATGGTTTGGATGCTCGCGGAATTTCGCGATCAAAGTGGGGGCAAAATTGGCTTGGCCAGGAGAAAAAAGGGCTTGATGGAGACAAGCGTTTGGCTCTCACTAGTCCTAGATCTGAGAGGCAGAGTGGAGCCTAAGATCGTGAACGTGCGGAAAACATTTCACACCCTCCGTAGATAGGCCAACCCCCCTGAACATCGTTAAGGATACCTTTAGAGGCGGTTTATGTGTTTTTTTCCCCTCGTACTTTTTGTAGTACATTATCCCTCAATAGCATCTTTATGTTGTGCTTTGGAGGTTGCACTTGTGGAAATGCAAAAGTCTTCTCCGGGTGTCTCCATCTTCGGTTCCATTCTACCGGGAATTACGGAAAATAATTTCGTGTCTGTATTCAGCCTTGAGCCGCAGATCTTCTCTCAAACTGCAGGTACGAGATCCAGCTCGGCATTTTCACGCCACTGACGACCCACATTATCCCGTGTCTGCGCTACTAGACCAGACAATCCGGAGCACACAAAGGGCAACCCCTCGTGAACCCGTGAACGCATGGTCCTCCCGGGCCCCTAGGATAGGTTCGTATGACTCGACTATCCTTCCCCCCTACGCTTCTCACTCCTGTTTAAGTCCTGGTTATTTCCAAAGGTCAATACGGAGTATGAAGTAAAATGATACCCTTCTGGCCCCGATTTTCCTACATGAATTTATGTGCACAGAGGAATTGAGCTTCCTGGAGATGGAGGAGCAAAAGTGACTGGGCGGTGATTCCCCTTGTGGATTTCAGCTCTAGCTCTGTGACAACCAATAATAGAAGATATGGCATGTGCACGCTTTTCCTGTGAATGGCACCTCGGTTTAGGCTAGAATTCTCATGATGATCACTGATTGGTCTTGCAATAATCAGTCCATTGTCATAATCTCGATGCGCGGAGGATGCTACTACGTGCTAGAAAGGCCGAGCTTTCTCGTAGGGGGCTTGAGACCTATTCGTATCTTCAATGCGACCTGTTGCAAACGACCCTGGGTTCTACGCAAGAGTGGAAGGTTCTTCAAAATGTTGATACGCCCGTAAGAGCGGAAAAATAGTTGGCACCAGATACTATAGCATTGCTTAGACTACTTTTCACCAGCGTGGTCACTTTCAAAGGAGGCTAGTATGAGACAAGGCAGCGATTATCTGAACATTCAGCACAAAATATGGTGATGTTGAAACTTCCCCGCTTTGGCATGATCTTGAATTGATCTAGTCTACGATCAAATGTGGAGTGATTCTTGCAAGGTACCCCGGGCAGTTGCAGGAGAACAATCCATCCGTCCTCCAAGGTTCTTCGAGCTGATTTTGCCATGATCTCACGCCCACCTGAGGCACCTGTTAGTAAGAACTAATCCAGGCAAGGAGAATATTATGACCGATATATATACCTATCTAGGTATTTTCATTACGTGTCAAGTCTGCTACGAGATTTGGTTACACAGTGCATCTTCAGGGCTCTTTTTCGGGGTGAGACGGAGCGTCCCTAATAGTACTAGAAAAAGTATGATTAGCTCTCCGAGAAGCAATAGTTTCTGAATTGATTCGAAATCGACGAGTCCAAGTTCACAATTGAGTCGTCAAAGAAGAGTTTGGAAGTTGGTTGAGTTTGCCTTGAGAGATCTGGTACTTGGCACCTGGGCAGGCCCACTTGTTGGCATGCCGAGCTTCACCAAGCATTTTGAAGAGATTGTGTGCGTGCATGCTTGATAGGAGACATTTCTCAGCTTGTGTATCCTAGAATCTGGGGTACCCTCTACACTATTCTTCGCCTCTCGACCCCAGGCGGTCAGATCACAATGCCCCTTTTTTCGGTTGCTAACTCATGGCATTTATTGAGCTTTCACGGACTCAAACCGAATCTCGTCCAGCGATCGATCCCAGCTATGACCCAGTTGTCATCAAGAGTTCTCTTCTGGAAAATTCATTGACTAAAAAATAATCGTTACATTCGGGCACGATTCGCGACTGAATCCGGCGTGGAAGAGAAGAAAGGAGGACGCCAAGAAGCCAAGTGACGTGGGGCAGCAAGATCGGCCGAGATCGCCAAGCTCAAAGATAGAGCATTCTTTGCGAACACTCCTCGCGTCAGCACGTCAGCAAATTCCCCTTGCGAGATAACACGCAGGTTGCGATCAATCGCAGTTTACACCATGTCGGAGGCTTTAGGAATCGACGAGCATGACCTGAAGGCGCAAAATCCGCGCTTTCTGCTCCGACAACCTCGTGCGCTTCAATGGTTTGAGCACGGTCGCTTGGTCAAGCGTCATGACGAGGAAAGACAAGCTGGTCAGCACACCTTCAGAGAGTGCAGTCACACTCGTGGACGCGCGATCTGCGACTTCTAAAAATCCATTGCTCACGCCTCGCGTTTACAGGTCGCTTTGAACTATTCCTCGACTTGCTATACGTCGCGATCTTATCTAACTTCGCGGATTTCCTCGCGGAGGACATTTCGGGCGCAAAACTTGTCAAGTACATAGTCAGCTACCCCCCCTACACGCAGAGCTCCGTCCCGATCATGCGGCAACTAACCGCGATATGTCTACAGTTAGTCTTGGCTCCATCATGGCACATATGGAGCGACATTCGCGAATTGATGAACTCGTTTTACAATGATGACCTCCTTCAACGCCTCCTAATTCTCTGGCTAATGGCAGTGCTTGTCGTTTACGGAAACAATGCTCCTCTGGTTGACGAAGATATCGGCGCCATGCGTGCAGCAGTCGGTTCCTACATGGTCGCCCGTGTAACGAGCAATCTTGCGCATCTTGTCTTCTCTTTCGCAAGCTATCACCACCGTCGGCAACAGCGGCTGTGGTTCGTTCTTTCGACAATATGCCTGTGTATCTATATTCCTCTCTACTTCGAGGATATATCGTTTCGAGGCAAGATCGCGGCTGCTGCGGTCGCGGTATCACTGGAGGAAATCACTTGGATTTTCTGCTATAGTCCCGCGGCGAAGAAGTTGCTTCACGTGAAGTATTCAACTGCTGTGGATATTGCACATGAGATTGACCGCTTCGCGGCGTTCTATATTATTGTTCTGGGTGAATTTCTTTATCTCATTGTCAAGGGCTCGAATGCCGCTGTCGGATTTAATGAGGGCCTCCTGCGTGCTATCTGGACTTTGATCATTGCTTTCTGCTTGAATTGGCTGTACACACATGCCGATGGGTCTATGGAAAGCATTCACCCACTGCGACACAATATTTACACCGCATTCTCCTTCGCCATGATTCATCTACCACTCATTGCTGCCCTTTTAGCAGGTGGGCACGTCGCAGCGGCCTCGGTAGCTGAAGAAGACTTCGAGGACGCGCAGCGGTGGTTGCTTTGCGAAGGCCTTGGTGTGGGAATGATGTGCCTATATTTCTTTGCTCTGATCCATGCCTGCCAAGATGAACCAGGCACATTATTGATGACAAAGGTTAGTTTGTGCTGTAATAATGCCGCAATTCTCTTGGTTTCTGATTTAATTTTAGCACGTTCGCATCATAATGCGCCCGATCACCGGTCTCATCACTATTCTACTTCCACTTGCCCACCATCTCAACGCCACGGAGATTCTTTCAATCATAATGGCAATGTATGTGGCCTGCTTGGTTTGGGAAACTGTCGGTTCGCTCAAGAAGGGGGCTTGCTTCTTTGAACGTTGGACCGACATCGATTATCCTGAAACTCACCAACAAGAAGAGGGACCTAAAGACAATGATGCCGCGATGCCCTAGTCGGGATAAAGCCGAAGATTGTGGCAGTCATATGGCACTTCCGGAAATTCCGCGCTGCTTCATGATGGATATCCATGGATATTCAACGGACGAGTAACTTTATAATTGGCATGGGTCGACGTCACTTGCGTTGTTGGAGGGGTGTAGATATTTAAATACTAGTATTTAATACAATTTTATGAATTGATCTGTTATGAGAGTTTGTCTGTAGCTATACATAGTAGCAAATAAGTCTGGCAACGAGACAAAGCAGATTCCTCGGCGTGTTTCATATTCGATTTTGTTATTTGCTTTCACTGCGATCGCCTTTCATATGCGGCATCCAACAAGTACATTGTTGGGTTTTTTTTATAGTACTGAAGACAATAGATCATTAATTTTGCTGAGCTGAAACTTGTATCGCATATACTCCTTTTATTTGTGTGGCCTTTAACATCTCACGTTTCGTTTATTTAAACTCCGGCTTTTTGCCTTCCCCGGCCCCATAATATCAAGCAGATCAAAGCTACAAAAATATTTGTCTCATAGTCACGTCTCAGCTATACGTTCTCCAGCACATCATGGAAAGTATCTACAGGATACCGAAAAGTGACCCTGACACTTTCATTGAAGACCGGGAAATACTCGTTAAAACTATTTCGGGATTGAGTGATACGTTTAATTGCAACCCCGACTTCTGTGACGAGCTTCGTGCACTCCTTGGCAACTTTTATTCAGATATTGAGAAGTTCAGGACTGACCACCTTGGCGGGCCTGGCGTGACCTTCTGTTTTGATGAGAGGTGCCAGGTTATTAAGAGCACAGTATTCGGCGTGAATGTACTAATAAAAGCAGCGTGCTGTGCGGTTTGGAAGATAGTGAATGGATTGAAATGGATTGGAATAGCGGTTGGAAGGCTCAGATTGGCTCTAATATTTGGAGCCGATGAAGCTGTAGATAGCAGAGATGAAGAGGCCGCGGAGATGGAAAGGCTTTGGAATCCTATGGCAGGCGAGAGTATTAAGTTGTGGCCTAGTTCGGCTGTTTTGAGTAATATCTGGCTGACCCTTCATTTTGCTGTACCCACCTGTATTTTCCCCTAATGCTGCAGTTTTGAGGCAGTGACTACACAGGCTGAATAGACTGGACTTTTCTAATATAACAGTTTCTATGTTTTGGTTTGGATCCATCTTCAACTCGTGGAATACCTTTGGCAACAGTATTACTGGTAGCTCGGCTTAACCATAAATGAAGCACATGATTTTCCAAAACATTTTCAATATCCTTATAATATTGATTCTTAACGATACAAGTCTATATTAAAGTTCACGCAGAGAGAATAAAATAAAAGCAAATCTATGTATTCATCAATCGTATGCTAGGGAATCACAGTGTGCTAATAGCCCTCCATATGCACCAATTAGTATGAAATTCTCGTCCCGTTCTTAAACCATCGACTCTTCAGTCTTCATGCCACCAGAGGCTTGAGTCTCCGAGCGGCTCATAGAGACATATCGATTAAAGTCTCCAAGATAGTACTGATCTCCACCCTTGTCTCCTTTGTCCTTCTGCATGCGGGCCTGGCGACGGAAGTAGACTCGCTTGAACCACTTCCAAGTCTCGATACCAAGGAAGAAAAGCACTGTCTCAACAAAGACAATTCCCCACTCCCATGAGATAGCAGTGTGTTTGAAGACGCTGTGGTTGATGACAGGGATATACAGAATCGGGAAAGCAAGCACAAAGCCAGCCATAATACCCCAGAAGAGGAATCGGTTGCTCCAGATATCATACATCCACTGGGTGAAGTAGCGCTTGGATTCGGGCTTCATGCGGAAGAAGCTGCGGCGAAGATTCATCATCTCCCATGCGAGAAAGAGAGCAAACCAGGTCATACAGGTGAATGTGGTTGCTCTGGCGCGGAAGACGGTGTCACAAGTGAAGTCTGTAGAGGCGTCGTTGTATTGAGTGTTACATCCCATGGCAAGGTTGCCATCACCCCAACGGAACATGACAAGAGCGAAGGCGGAAAGACAGAGAGCTGCCATCCACACACCGTAGACGAGTGTATCGACAATGATTTCCCAGGTAAAGATACCTTGTTTCTACCTCAGGTCAGCTTTTGCACTTGTAAAATTTAGGGGATTCTCTTTCAACTTACACTCTGGGGCGGTCGGTCCATAACTTCTGGAGCCGCGGACTCCATTCCCAAGCCCATATCAGGAAGACCAGAAGTAACCATGATGATCCAAATAATCTCAACGGGGGAGATAGGGAAGACAGATTGATTGGAGTCATCCTTAAAAGCAAGACCAATGAGCAGAGTAATTGCCAAAGCAACGTTCTCAGCCAGCAGATGCAAAACGAATTTCTGGATATTGTCAAAAATCCTGCGGCCTTCTTCAATACCGTTAATGATCGAGGCAAAGTTGTCGTCGGTTAGAACAAGCTCTGAAGCGTCCTTGGCCACGTCGGAACCATTCTGCCCCATAGCAATACCAACGTCAGCCCGCTTCAAAGAGGGCGAATCGTTCACACCATCACCAGTCATGGCGACATATCTTCCGCGGCGGTGCAAAGCATCAATCATGCGGACCTTGGTGTTAGGGGCACAGCGAGCAATAACCAGGGGAGTGTTGGCAGTGCGTCGATTTCATCTTCCGATAATTTGTCAAAGTCATAAGCAGTCATTACCATCGCATCAGCGACGTCCTTCGCGACCATATCCATATTGGACGGGATAATTCCAACCTGCGCAGCAATTGCGCGCGCAGTACCCGGGTGATCACCCGTAACCATGTGAACAGAAATGCCGGCCTTATAGCATTGGGCAATGGCACCTGCGGTTTCAGGGCGAGGTGGGTCATACAATCCAATGAGTCCGTAGAAAACAAGATCCTTCTCGATTTCTTCGCGGGGAAGGGGTTCGTTGCTTTCCTTGTTTCCAGTATGTTCCCGGCCAGCCAGCGCAAGAACACGCAGACCTTCCTTGGCCAATGCCTCCATGTTTTGCAGGATCTGGTGGCGGATTTCATCGGTAAGAGGGATGGGAGAGTCGGATTTCCAGTGAATAGTCGTGCAAGTTTCAAGAACGCGCTCAACAGCACCCTTGCTAAAAATCATTTCCTGTGTGTTTCCAGTTTCCTCGTCGCGTTTGGCAAAGACAACCGACATCTTCTTCACACTGGAGTCAAACGGGTATTCGGCTTTTTGGCGCCAGATGGGTTTCTCGCCCTTCATCAGGCGATCATTCCCCCAGTCAAAACGCCAAGCAAAGACCTGGATGGCAATATCAGTTGGTTCGCCTCGGGCTTGCCATCCCTCGCTGGCGGACTTGTGCAAATGTGCTAGGTTGGCTAGTGCCGCGACGTTCAGGAATGACTTCAACAGGCCACTGCCTTTCAATAGATCCTCGGGTGCAGCAGGGTCGCCGGCACGGGATTCAGCACTCAGCTCAATAGGTGCCGCATCTGTCAAGCTTAGCTCTCCTTCCTTGGGGTCTAAGGGGTCCGTTGATGCTCCAACAGAATAAGTGCCCACGGATGGAAGCCAAGCACGCTTTGCGACCATGCGACCTTGTGTCAAGGTTCCAGTTTTATCCGAGCAAATGTTGGTGACAGCACCAAGGGCCTCGAGAGAATCCAGCTTTCGAACAATGACATGTCGCTGCACCATCTGTCTCGTCCCCATTGCCATTGTAATCGTCAGAACAACAACCAAGCAAGCAGGAATCATAGCCAGGCCAGTAGCAACAGCGTAGATGATGACTTCGTTATCACCGCGCCAATCGTTAGATGCTGCGACAACAATTGCAAATACAACTGCGATAGCAAAGAGGAGAAGCGCGAGCTTCGAGAGTTTCCGCTGGAGGGGAGTTCCGACATTGATTCCGAGAAAACGACCGATCGCGTCGGTAGTGGTCAATGTCCAGGCTTGAATGTACCAGCGCTTCTTGGTTTCGCCCTCGGGGCCACGCTTGACAGGGCGGCGTTTGGAATCGCCTCCACGAAGGGCAGCAGCGATGGCACCAATCTCAGTCTTCATACCAGTGCCGATTACGACACCTCTGGCGCGGCCGCGGGTTACTGTGGAAGAGCTGTAGACAATATTCAAACGGTCGCCGGGGCCGGTGTCGACATCGTAGGTGGCATCGACTTCTTTCTGGACGGGGAGAGATTCGCCAGTGAGTAGAGCTTCATCTGTTTCGAAGTTCATAGCTTCGACAAGTCTAAGAAGGGTTAGCTTTGGGCCATATTTCTCTGCGTCTTCTCCGGGATTTTGAACGTACCTAAGATCAGCAGGCACGGTGTCGCCAACTTTCAACTCGGCCATATCACCCGGAACAATTTCCTGGGCGGGTACAGTTTGAGTTTTACCATCTCGAGTGACAACGCCTGTGGGCGAAGACAAAGATCGAAGAGAATCCATTGTCTTTTCAGCGGCAAAGTCCTGGTAAACCCCAACAACGATGTTCAGGGCGATCACCGCGGCGATAAAACCACCTTCAATCCATGATTTGATACCGAAACTAACGGCCATAGCGATGATGAGAACCTGTTGGTGTTGTTAGTGCATTGAGTCTTCATATTTCGCCGTGTTCCAGTGGGTATTGCACTTACCAGCATCATGGCATTTGCAATCTGTCTAATGACAATTTTAGCAAAAGAGACACCTTCGTCTCCTTCCAAAACGTTTCCGCCATATTTCTCCAGGCGCTGTTTGACGTCGCTCGTGGTGAGGCCATTGTCTGAATTTGTGCCGAGTTCCTGAATCACCTCTTCATAGGTGAGACTGTGAGCCGGCTTGGAAAGATACTGCGTGGAGACATCGCTGGATGACTTGGAGCCTTGTGCTTGGGGGCTCTCCTTAGACATCACGCGGCGTCGAGTGTCTAGGAGTGTCCTTGCGAAGAAGGATGAGGTTCGTTTGCAGATGTGCAGATGGGGGGTTGTGTGCGATACAAAGGGTATTTGTAGAATGCAGTGTGCAGTCGTATACGTCTATAGGGCTTTCTTCAAGGGGGTGTCATGTAGAAAGTATCCTCAAGAGAATGCGAGTCCATACACGTGTACACGTGGGGGTAGATGTGTATGTCAAGGAGAATGTACTCTTATGAAAATAAGATTTGATCCTCAGTCTGGACTAAAGTACACTTCTGTTCAAAAGTTCCAAGGTTCTATCTTCCTTTCTTTTCCCCCGAGGGGGACCTTGGCTGATATAAATACTTTTGTCTTGGCTCACGCCCAGAACTGTCCCAATCCAGGATTGTTCCAGGCTTCGGGTGCACCGGCCGTACCGAATGGCGAATTTGCCCAGCGATGCAAACGGGGTCCGAACCCTTCCCCAAGATTGGCTCCGAATATCTCTTACGCCAATCTGGGGAACTTCTCAACCCCCGCTTCGACCAATCACCACATCTAACCAGAGTTCGGCCTCCGGCGGACCCAACTTGGCGCAGTATCTATTTTATTCCGCCGAGGCCCTGATGACGCACACGACTGGTCTCGGCGTTGGTTCGGTTATGAACCGCCACTCAGCGGTGATTGGCGGAGAGAGTCGCGGAGTGCCAAGAGCGGGATTCTCGGCGTGCCTTGGCGTTCCGCGCTGGACGAGTCTCCCCTTTTCTTCTCGGCTCATCCTGCGTTTCCTGCGTTTTCCCGACATGTCTCATTCTTGGCTCATCCTCAGCCTTCCTTGGCATCCTGCATTATGTGAGGCCTGAGAGTTCACCGCGCGGTTCAAAGCTGCCCGCCCGTCCTGGTCCATTTTCCCCTGTCTTTTGTTGTAACGACCCTCCGCTCTCCCCAGGTGGCAAATATTTGCCGTCAGACTGTCCCCTCTGCCATAACCAAGGCTACCTTCATTCGCCTTCGATACTAGGCCATCTGATTTTCAAAAGAATGGTCCGTGTTCAATCACTGTTGGTTATCTGCACCTTCTAGGATTAGCCTGAGCGATCCCCCGATCCACGCTGTACGGGCAGGGCACACTTGACGTTCATCTCCCCGACTTTGACGTTGCAAGCGGACGATTATTGGACGATCCGCCTCAACGTCCCTGTTCTCGTATTCCACATCTTCCTCGCGTGGACCCAGGCCTGCGGGGTCCCATGCTCCCCACTCATGTTGGAAGATGCCGCCCTTGCCCAAGGTGAGGTGATCGGAATCGTGATTGGGGCCATTGCACTGTTTTCGATAATCAGCATCCTTCCAATGTGAGTCCTGCGTTAGTTGACTGGGTCGGACACACAGACCGATCTTGGCATACTCCCTGCCCCACTTTATGCATGCGAATCGTCTCGAAGGTTGAACAAGGCTAACACGCGTTACAACACAATAGCTTTCTGGTGTGGCACCGCAGGAGGAGACAAGCTATTGCTGCTGCCCGTCCTGTCAACCAGGCTCTTGTCTTGAGCTCCTCTATGGAACAAGTTTCCGTGGAAAGATGGCTCGAACAGCAGAACACGAATAGTGACATTGAACAATATGCTGAAGACACCTGGTATGTTCAAATCCCTTCATTTTCACCTTCCTCTTCCTCTCTTTCTCTTCCCTGCATCATATCATTCCAAGTCATGGGTCTTGGTATTCGGTTTGGCACTGGGATTGGCAATGGCAAAAGCCCCGACACCGACATCTTGGCCTGATCTAAGGATGATGTGATGCGGGGAACGCCCAGATGCCCAGGGCTGGGCCAGGGACCGAACTACCCTATAAGGCTCTCCACTAGTGCCCCATTCCCCGTCTTCACTCTAGGCGCCTGGGCATTCGGAGTTTCGGCACCTCTCCCGTTCTTTGATCTTGCGCGTCGCTTTGTCTTCCTTGTTCACTTCATTCTCACGCCATGCAATGCAATGCCATGCCTTACCACGCCTTTCCATGCCATGCTATTCCCAAGAGCCCACCTCGTCTTCGTACCAGACTTGTTTCAACTGGCAGTCTTGGCCGAAAGTCCTTATCATCTGAACCATTGCCCAATCCCAAGGCTCCCTCACCAAGCCGTCTCAGCCTCCACGTCCCCAAGACCCTCAATAAACTCTACAATAAGCTAATATTGTTCCAGCCCCATCTGTCTCTCTTCCTTATCATCCACTCCCAATCTCGCCTACCCAAAACCCGTCCAGTTACCCCGCCGCCAATCCCACGAGCGTGATACATCACCGGACCCCTCAGACGGCTCGTGCTGTGGAGCTGCAGCTGCAGGGACCAGTCCCAGACGCGATAGTGGGATCCTCGTCCTCAATCGGTGTCATCATGCGTTTCATTTAAGCTGTTTATCCTCGTGGTTTGAGTACCGGCATTATCGTTGCCCGATCTGCCAAGCTTCCTACACACCCACTGACGCGCGACCTCATGAATGATTCGGCGCTATGAGTGATTCCATTTTGGCTTGGGCGTCTTGGTGTTTATGGGACCTTCTTTTCCAATTATATCTATTTTACTTCGTACATTTTACCTGATTGACAGCTCAATGCTCGTCATACATATTCAATTCATTTATAACTGCAAAGGTTACTGCAGTGTATCTCGCTCCGATCTCACGTTCTCTTGCTCAGGTAGAGGGTCATATGCATTAACACACCCAGATTTCTTGTACTCGCAGCTGAACACTTACTTTCCGGTTGCTGCCGCTACATTTGACTAGTATCTGCATGGCTCCGCTGCTACTGGTTTTTCAGCCCCCGGATTGATCATATAAATTGTCAACTACTTGGAATCTCGCGGATAAACTCATCTCATCCTGAGACCTTGTTATATAAACTTCCACACTCCGTTCGGCTTGTCGGTCTCAATGCGGGATGAATTGCCCAAGTCAACTTTGGGGTTTGCGACGCCAATAAATTGGGCACATCTGGGTGTGGAGAAAAAAGGGGGAAGTTGAAGAGGGAGGAGGACTTAATGCAATTCATTTTCTAAAGGGGAAAACGGGAAAGGCACTCGCTATCTACTGCTAGTAGTTGAGGGAACACTTAGGCATACTTTTGGATGGTGATTGGTTGTAGTATGTGGGGCATGAATATGAAAATCTCTTCAGCCCCATATAGCCAATTTTAGGGCTTCATTTCATCTAAGGCCGGCTGGCCCAATGGCAAGGCGCTTGACTACGAATCAAGAGATTGCAGGTTCGACCCCTGCGTCGGTCAATTTTTTGCTTTCTGTATCTGTACTTATTACTACAGTTGCTGTTTCTTTGTTGTGAAGGGAAGAGGTATATTTTTTATATCCGGACAGGTCTTCATTCGTCCAGCTACTTTGGGCAAGCGCCTATGGATCTGATTCTACAAGGGCTTTCTACTGTCTTCCAAAATTACCTTAAAAAAGTGCCACTGTGTTGATAAAGTGCAATGAATACCCAATGGTGCCCAGATGGATCTGCGTGGCCCGCAGATGGCAATCCCGCAGTCAGCATCAGTCTCGACACCGAACTCCGGACAATTAACCTCTTAAACTTAATAGTTCGCCTCTGTATTTGGCATATAATCTCATTGAGCCTCATCCAGATCGATAAATTGGTTTCTGCTTGATCGGAATCTCACATCAACTTGAATATATATCCACCCCGACATGGACGGGCAGGGTGCATATCAGCCTCCGCAGTCCGGTAGGCAGCGACCGCTGGAGTCCTTCGATACAACTTGAATCAGGATGGACATCCATGGATATCCGTGAAATAAAGCATCCGAGTCTAACATATTTATGATACCAAACAGATCTTTGGGTGGAACCGATCAAAGACTGGACGACGAGGACAGGTCATTAATATGGCCCCACACGACAGAAAAGCTGACTGTCCTTGATGACGTCCTCGCAAATGCAAACTGTATACAAAGCTGCTCCTGGTGAGGACTACGCAGACGTTGTAAGGAAGGCTGTGGACTATGCTATCGAGGTGCAACAGGGGCGTGATGCTGATCGCAACTTCTACTCGGATCAAATGATACGTGAAGATACCGCGCAATTACTCCTGGACCCAAGTCTCGACATGAACTTTAAAGAGAATGGTTTCGGTGCTGCAATTCAGGCAGCTTCTCGTGCAGGGCACGATGATGCTGTTGCTGTTCTTTTGAAAGTCGAGGGTATCGATGTGAACATCGAAGGAGGTCGGTACGGAAGCGTCTACAGGCAGCAGCAGCCTGTGGGGATGAGAGAATTATTATTCGCCTACTGGAGGCCAAGGCAGATATCAATGCTCAGAATGGGACTTACGGAACAGCATTTATCGCGGCATCGCGTCGATCGCACTATCAGATAGTGAAGCTTTTGATCAAGGAGGGCGCAGCGGTCAATGTGCAGGCCGGGGTTTACGGGACGGCTCTTCAGGCAGCTGCACGCTCTGGTGACATTGGTCTTGTGCTGCTACTGTTGAATCACAGGGCAATGGTCAATCTCAAAGCTGGGGATTATTGTACAGCTTTGCAAGCAGCAGCACGCGATGGCTTCGTGAACATTACCAAAACACTAATCGAGCACGGTGCAGATATCAATATCAACAGCGGACGTCTCAATACAGCACTTCAAGCGGCGGCTACCGGTGGCCATGTCAGATTGGTTCCGCTATTGGTTGTAATTGGCACTGAATATGGGGATTCCCTGATGAGTGCATGTTTTGGAGGATATCAGGACGTTGTTCAGTATCTCCTTGAATGCGGTGTTGATCTCATTGCCGAATCGACAGGATTCGGGACGGCAGGCAGGCATCTCTCATTGGTGCGATTTCTATTGACCAAAGGTGCGGATCCTAACAATTCAGGCTGGGCTTTCGGAACTCCTCTTCAATTTGCGGCGATAAAGGGAGATACGGATCTTGTACAGGCCCTTCTTGATAAGGGAGCTGACCCTGTCAAGCCTGGACGCAATCATGGTGTGACTGTTCACGTCGCTTCTTTGATAATAGCAAAGTTGGAGATAGATCATTCGAAGAGTTATCTAGATCATCTCCTCTCGTCTGTGCAGCCAATGGTGGAAGCAAGAACATAGTGAAGATTTTGCTAAAAGCATTGCGATGCTCAAAGGATTCGCCCTCCCCAAGAGATCGAAGTGTGGCATTGAGAGCCGCGTCAAAGCTCGGATATCTGGAAATCATTCAACTGATTTTAAATGAGGGCTTTGACCCGAGTGACATGACAAAGGCTCTGAGTGCTGCAATCGAGACAGGCCAAGAGAAGGTTGTGCAATTCCTACTCGGTGAACGGGCACGGATTGATTTTGACGGGCTGAAATTTGCATGTTGCCGAGGGTATTTGAACTTGGTGCGATTGTATCGACAGCAATGTGATCCCATATTTGCCGCAGTTCGGGAAGTGCCTCCCTTACTTGTGGCCTCGATTCATGGCCAGGTTGAAGTTGTGCGGGAAATTCTGAGCGCCAAAGTAGATATCGACGAAGTGACTTCATCCTAGAACTACCATCGCCTGGGAAACAGTCACTCTTCTCATTTGAAACGCGGTTCTTATCGTGGTACCGCTTTGCATGCTGCCCTGATTGGTGGCCATCACACAATCCTTAATATGTTGCTCGAGAGGAACGTCAATACAGATATATTCGAGTCACACTCGTGGGATGGTAAGTTGCAAGGCACCGTGCTTCACCTAGCTTCGTCTTCCCAATGTCCAGAAATTATCCAGGCGCTTCTCAATCACAATGCCCATGTGAATGCCATCTCTGGTAAATATGGCACTGCATTACAGGCTGCAGCGTATGCCGGCAACATTGGTACCGTGCGCCTGTTACTGGAGAATGGTGCAGAAGTTAACACCGAAGGGGGTTACTTCGGCACCGCATTGCAGGCGGCTGCTAGCTAAGGATATGAAGTTGTAGTTCGACATCTGATTGATGCTGGTGCTGATGTGCGTCGATAAAGAAGTGAGCCAGAGTTAAAAACTCGCAGAGATGCTTTCCTGTGGCGAAGCAGTGTAGTTTCTCAATTCACGGAGACTTTGAAAAATATCGGAACAGGGGAAACACAACGCCATCAGATTGGATGGTTTGGGACAGCACTTCAAGCTGCAGCTACTTCTGTAAATGTTGAGATTGTCAGGTTACTGCTAGACAATGGCGCCGATATCAGAGACACTGACAGATACGGCCAGGCGCCACTACGCCGTGCAGCATATCATAGTCATGAAGCAGTAGTCGCTCTTCTCTTGGAGAGAGGTGCCAATCCTGATCACCGCGATGTGAAGGGGTACAGCTCAGCATTGTTCGCTTCCAGCTTTTGGTGGAAGACCGTTCTGGTGCAAATTTTAGGAGTTGAGGCAAAATCCACTTTGCAAGGCCGATTTAATAACACAGTTTTGCATCACGCCATCAAGAAAGGCCATATCACGATTCTTGAGGAGTGATGAAGCGGGGCTATGATTTGGAACAGGAGAATGACTATGGGAAAAACGCTTTGCATGTTGCAGTAGAAGCTGGGAAATGCTCCATGGTTCGCTTCCTATTGGACCATGTGGATTGTATTGATAGCCGTGGGGAATTTGGTCACTCTGTCCTTCATTATGCAACCAAGCACAACCGCGTTGCCATTCTCAGGCTTTTGCTAGCTCAAGGTGCTGACATCAATTGGACTACCAAAGACGGCGAAACCGTAGTCCATTCGGCTGCGATGTGGAATAAAGCCGAAGCTCTATGTCTGCTCGTGGATCATGGGGCTAAGGTTGAGCTGAGAGATTTCAAAGGGCAGACTGCTCTGCATCTGGCTGCTCGAAATTTGAACCAAGAAATTGCGGCATTTCTGCTCGACAAAGGCGCTAGTATTGAGTCCAGAGACTATCAGGGACGAACGCCTCTGCACTTTTCATCTTTGCGCGGTGTGTTAGATTCTTGCGATGATTTCTTAGATGTGGTTCGGCTTTTGGTAGAACGAGGGGCCAACATCAATGCTCGAACTACAGATGGAGAGACTCTACTAGTGAGGCTGGAAGAAGCTCAGGGTTTTTCCAGATTTAAACAAAGGATCGAAGCAGAACTTCTCGTCCTGGGATTCAGCGATGTCGAAGAAGCAGAGGGTGGTATCAATGAACGAGTGTATGAGGATGCCGAGGTGGAAGGTGATAGCAGTGAAGACCTTCAAGAGATGTACTGGGATGCCAGACAGGCAGAAATTGATATCAATAGTGAACACGAGGCATAGGGGGTAGTTAAGAGTCAATATACAGTGAATGATCAAGGCTAAATCAAATCAGAAAAGTTTGCCAACAACTAGCTATCCAACACTTAGACATCATCAGATCGCATCACTTCATCAACAAGCTAACCGCCCAGGGAACACTAAGCCCACGCAAGTCCCCATAATGCTGTCCAACACCAAGGAAAACAATCGGGATACCCGTAGCATGAACCATACTAACCAGAGTACCAACCATATCACCGACGGTATCACACTTGCTAATAATGAATCCATCAAGATTCCGACCCGTTCCAAAGGCCGAATTGAAGTTCCGGGCTTGCATAACACTATCCGTTCCAACCAATGCCTCACCAACCATGAAGATCTTGTCCGGGTTGGCGAACTTGGCAAACTTCTCCAGCGAGGACATCAGTCGCTGATCATTGTGGCGTCGGCCCGCAGTGTCGATGAGAACGACGTCGAACTTGTTTGCGGCACCGTAGTCGACTGCGTCCTTGGCGACATTCGCGGCGTCCTTGCCGTATCCCTTTTCATAAAGCTCGACTTCGCCGACATTTTCACGGGAACTGAGTTCTTTCAGGTTGCGGGCGTGAACGCGGAGTTGTTCGACCGCGCCGGATCGGAAGGTATCACAGGCGGCGATGAGAACGCGGTAGTTGTTCTGCAGGAGGAAGAAGCAGATCTTGCTTAGGTTGGTGGACTTGCCGACACCATTGACGCCGACGATGGACATCACGTAGGGGCGAGGAGCGTGTTGCTTGGTGGTGGGGGCAGTTACGGCGTTGATCTCACGGAGAAGATCCAGAGATGAGGTAGGCGTGAGGATCTTCCGCAGAGATGCTTCCATGGCGATACGTAAGGCCGCATCGACACTTTGAAAGTTAGCGGTCGTCTTGCCGACCAGCTCAGCCTCAACGCCCTCGCAAAGTCGAACGGCAGCTTCACGAGCAACGTTCTTCTTCAGAAGGTGGTCCTCCATTGCCCTCAGCGGCTTCTGAAGATCAGATTTGGTCAACGTCTTGCCGCCAACAATATTGCGGAAGAAGCCTCCAATGGCATTGAATCCAGAGCCCACGACGCCAGACCCAGCACTATCCTTGCTCTTCTCAGCATCCGCGTTGTCCAGGATATTATGAACTTCCTCGCCCAGCTCCTTTAGCACAAACTGGCCCTTGCCAGTCCTGCGGCCCCAATCTTCCTGCGCGACGGCCTCGACGGCGGGCGCCGCCGCATCCCCATCTTCTGCGGGGGCAGAGTAGTCCAAGATTTCCCCATCATCCTCATCGGCGTATCCGTCAGCGTCCCACTTGCGCATCTTCTTCGCCGGTGTGCTCTTTGCGGGCTTGCGGCTGCGAGAGTGCTCGTCTCCGGACGAGGCATTGGCGCTGGCGTTGGCGGCTTTGCGTGCTCGGCGCGAGGTTCTGGGACCACTCTTTCCCGTGATGATGTGGTTTGGTGTTGTAGATCTAGAAGTATCAGGAGATGCTGGTGGCGTACCCTCGTCAGAGGTCGCCCCGGCTAGCGCAGCTTGATGCTGCGCTGGGAAGTGTTAGCAATTGTCTGGGCTGGGGTGGACCTAGACATACCCTTCAAGAAGCCGGGGAGCGGAGGTGGAGGACCTCCATTGTCCGATGATACCAGCGGGTCTTTCTTGCCCTCGATCTCGGCAGAGTGAACCTCCGCGACACTGCCGGTATTATCTTCAAGCTCGCGCACTTGCTGCTCGAAGTACGGGTCGAAACGGTAGGTTGTAATTCTGGTGCGGTTTCCTTTTAACTGGTCCTTGTAGATATCGATGAAGATGGTGGAAATATTCTCCAGAAGTTTGTCAATCCAGCCAAGGTGGAGGAGTGATTGGTAGACGGCCTAGAGAGGTGAGTTACGATGAGTTGCGATGACTCGATGGCCTGAGGGTGGCCCGGGCTGGAGTAGGATGGAGCATAATGGATGGACTTGCGACGTACCACAAAAATCAAGCTAAACTCCTTATTGCGACGCCATTTGAGAGTATATTTCTCCTTCTTGAAGACAGGCGACACGGTTGCGGCGTTCTGTGGCACGACTTTCTCCTCGATAAAAACGTCGTTGATCAGGCTGTTGATGACATGCGCCCCCACTGGAGCATAGGATTTGGACCACAGCACCACACCGGAGGTAGTGAGAATTTCAAAGGCTTCCAACATGATGAAAATTAAGGGTATATTGTCGTGAGTGGAAGAGAAGGAGACAGCTGAAGTCGAAGTCGAAGGTGGAGGTGGCGGATCGGCGAGAGCTGCCCGGAGGCCGAGCGGATCTTTATCAGCCACGTATAAACACTTCTTCTACAACTCCACACCTCCTGCTTCTGCTTCTGCTTCTCCTCCACCACACTCTCAACCTCATCTTTCACTTCTCTCCTCTCTCCTCTCTCCTCCTACCTCGCGTCTCTCCTCCTGCATCACCTCCTCGGAAAATGTATCGGGGCTCCTTCGCACCGCCCCCCGCCCAGTCGCCGCCTCTTCACCATCCCATCCCGCAGCATGTATCGACCGTGCCAATGATGCGCTCACCACCACCTCCCTCCCAGCAGACCCCGAACGCCCCCGGTGCCAGCTATGGAGGTCCATACCAACCCTCGCCCACACAGGGCCAAGCACAGGGCCAACAAGGCCAAACCTACGACCCCGGATTCGGCGGATTCATCAACGATCCCACAGCACAGATGGGATTCCAGGTTGGCAAGAGCGCGATGATGGCCGGACAGGAATACATGGAGCAGAATGTACACTTATTCCTCCTCCCTACTTCCCTCGCTCACCTCTCTTACAAGTCTAACAATTGCTCCAGTTCAATCGCTACGTCTCCATAGTCGCTCTGAAGCACTACTTCAACGTTTCAAACTCCTACGTCCTGTCCAAACTAGCTCTAGTCCTCTTCCCCTGGCGCCACAAGCCCTGGTCCCGCCAACAAGCCCGCATGCCCGCAACCGCAGGACCAAATGGCCAAATCACCCAGCAGCAATACAGCTCCATGTTCCTGCCTCCGCGGGATGACCTCAATTCTCCCGATATGTACATCCCCGTCATGGCGCTGGTCACATACATCCTGCTTTCGGTGCTACTCGCCGGATTCCGCGGCGATTTCCACCCCGAATTGCTAGGCTCGATCACTACGACCGCCATCGCGGTGATCCTCTTCGAGATCCTCTGTCTCAAGATGGCTATGTACATCCTTGCTATCAATAATGACTCGCAGCTGCTGGATCTGGTTGCTTACTCTGGGTACAAGTTCGTTGGTATCATTGTTACACTGGTTGCGTCTGAGATTCTGACGCCGGGTCGGGGGACGGGTGGTTGGGTTGGTTGGTCGGTATTTATCTACACTTTTGCCGCCAATGCTTTCTTTTTGGTATGTTTCTCTTCTCCCTGTCCGCAGCTTCGCTTTATTGTCACTTTTACTTTACTAACTTTCCATTTATAGCTACGCTCGCTGAAATATGTCTTGCTGCCTGATTCAGCCGACTCATCTATGCGCGCGGGTTCCATGCAGACGGTTGCTCGGGGACAGCGCAACCGCCGTACGCAGTTCCTGTTTGTTTACTCGTACGTGATTCAGTTTGTCTTCATGTGGGTGCTCAGTCGGGAGGGACCTTCTGCATTGGGAGCTGGCGATTCATGATGCGGCAATCGGTGCATTGCGTTGCGGTGTGGGGTATGGTAGCTGAGCCACTGGAAACGAAAACGAAAACGAAAACAGCGGTATAGAGTGGGAGGAGATGCGAGGGAGATTCGCAGGGACTGGATGCTACGGTAGCCCAGCCTTCACGATATAGCACGACTTTTGTAATCAATCAAATACTAAGTGAATTTTACTCTACAACGAGGTAGTAATTGAACTTGAAGATATTGTATTATTATGATTATTAACTAAACTAGGAATCGACATGACTGGAGACAATCCTATGTGATGGTTAGAGCAGTTCAACCAAACATGTGTGAAGTAGGCAAGTCAATGCAAATGCAAAAATGCAAATGGAAAGTGTGATGGTCCTCAGAGATCTTGGTAGTTAAGGTAATATCACGTGCCGAAGCATCAATTACTATCTAGGCGTGATAAATGTTTTAATCATCGGGCCGGGGGGTGTGGTGGTGGTGGTGATGGTGTAATAATGACAAAGAATGGAAGATCAATCACATACCTGAGTCAATGGATCTATGATCAACGGCTGTTGGTGGTGGTGGTGATGAGTATCTAGTAAGTAAACTGATTCAGTTAGCATGGTCCAACTGAGGATGGCAAAGCAATGAGTAGGTAAATTTGAACAGTATCAGAATATGTAAGAAAATTGAATATCATACGACAGCGCTGTATCGAAACCCCGGCGAGGGTTTCACAGACACTGGGTCAATCGCAAATTACGGCATCATGTGAGGTAGAGCAGGGTAGAACAGTGGAAACAAAGAGTAGAACGTACCGAGAGAGTGAGTGCTGTATGCTCGCTAGTTAGTAGCAGTGGCATTGGCAGGCTGAGTGCTGATTTGAGTTCTGAGCAACATTAAGCTCGACAGAGTTTGACAGGGTCAACAGTGTTGGACAGAGAAAAAAGGTAAAGAAGCAAAGCAGGCGCAGCCTTTTAAGGAAGAAAAAATGGCAGCTACGCCGGACTAATGATGATCCCGAAAAACACCGGATCCTCCGAGGTCACGGGACAAGATGACTCAGCCAACCCTAGCGGCCGCCCGGAGTGGAGGGCTAAGCGAGAAGTGCGGAATTTGTGTGGGCACATCCGAATTTCGCTGAGCGAACTTGGACTCATTCGACTTCTCGACAAACAACCCTCCGACTCATCCACCAAACCGGTTGTCGACCGTGAGTACACCATTACTATCGCCCTTGCGTCTACAACTCTCGCTGAACTTGCATTCTTACAGAATTCCGCCATGGCCGATATCGAGATTACGCTCGCTTCCTGGAAGCTGGTCGAGGTTGGCCGCCTCGTCCTGATCCGCCGCGGCCCCTTCGCTGGCAAGCTTGCTGCCATCGTTGAGATTGTCGACCACCGCCGTGTACGTACACACTGAATTGGGCTGTACTGTTCTGAAAATGCAACTGCGACTGCGACTGCTCTGGGTCCGGGAATCGCGAGAAGTCGATGGGAGGATTTCGATAAGAGATGGTCTTGTGCGCAACACAGATCGACAAGATAAGGATTCGACTCGCAGGAACTGGACTGGACTTAGGGATCAGAGCAAAGCAAAGCAGAACAGCACAGCACAGCCCAAGACAACAATCGCTTCCACCTCCGAACAAGTACTAATCCTCTCTGCAGGTCCTGGTCGACGGTCCCTCCGGTGAGGCCCAGAAGATCGTGCCCCGTCACGTCCTTCCCCTCGCCCACGCCACTCTCACTCCCTTCACCATCCCCCAACTTCCCCGCGCTGCCGGTACTGGCCCCGTCAAGAAGCTGTGGGCCAAGAACGAGATCGATGGCAAGTGGGCCAAGAGCTCCTTCGCCCAGAAGACCGACAAGGTTGAGCGCCGCAAGAACCTGACCGACTTTGAGCGCTTCAAGGTTCTGCGTCTGCGCAAGCAGGTGAGACACCACCCTCCATCCACCCTCCAGCAACTACACCAGCAACCCTCTGGTTCCCCTCCCAGTCGACTGTCATACTAACGCAAGTTTTAGTCCCGCTACGAGGTCCAGAAGTCCCACGCCAAGGTCCGGGCTGCCCAATAGATGATTACGAGGGTTCGGTGCATAGGATGACGGAGGTGTCCTGGGACGGGTTTCCATAGCTGGCATTTTCCAGCAAAATCGCTGTATGCATATTCTACAGCAAAAATGATTCAAAGTCCTTGATACCTCTCAACTAGCATACTAGTATGGACTAACTGGAAAGTATGACTTGAAAGTATGACTGTTGCATAGACTTGCCAATGACAAAAAGAGTGCTATAATATTTATATCGTGGTAGTAGTACTCCAGGGCTAGTAGTAAATGATAAGTAAATGGCAGTAAATACCACAAAAAGTAGCAAAATAGTGTATTAAATGATTTAGATTTACGAATTAAATAATTGATTAACAATTGTTCAATACTAAGTACCTGGTAACCCCATGTCTATCTAGTACACTACAGTATGCAGTGTCCTGCTGTGTGGGATCTGGGGGCAACCGCCTCGCTAACGATTTTCGGTCGGGCCACACAGCTAACGTGCACCTTTTGAACCTCACCACCAAAATCCACCCGTTACCACCACAGCTTGAATCCGGCATCTCAGGTGCGTTGAATTCCCCCGATCTATCGCTGAATTGCCCTTCCGACCTCCAAATTCGTCATTTTCCGATTGTGCGGTGCGTGGGGGGGACCTCTGCGAGGGGTCTGGTCGACTTGCCCGCACCTCCCACCATCATCATCATCACCACCACACCCACATTCCACCACAGCTCTATCGCTGTTCACTGCCGCACTGCTATATCGCTTCGTCACTAACTCTAGCATCTGCGACAGATTCTTCACACATTCACAATGGCCGACCCCCGCGTTCAAGAGCTCCCCGATGAGGACGTCCCCAACACCGTCGAGGAGGGCAGTGACTCCGAGTCCGAGGCTGGCGAGGAGGCAAACATCCCCGCCGGCGCCTCCGTCGCCATCCACTCCCGTGGTGAGAAGAAGGCCCGCAAGGCCATTGCTAAGCTCGGCCTGAAGCACGTTCCCGGCATCACCCGTGTCACCCTCCGCCGCCCTAAGAACGTATGTACCATACCGCACCGCAGAGGAGCTGAGCTGCAGTGCAGTGATAGGGCTCCAATGCGCCAAACTACACGGCAGCAAGCTAACCTTTCTCCAGGTCCTCTTCGTCGTCAGCAACCCCGACGTCTACAAGTCCCCCTCCAGCAACACCTGGATGTACGTACCCACCACCGCACCCATTGGCACCTTATACGCAAACCCACTAACCACACCAACAGCATCTTCGGTGAGGCTAAGATCGAGGACCTGAACGCCCAGGCCCAGGCTTCCGCTGCCCAGCAGCTCGCTGCCGCCGAGGCTGCCGGTGAGCACGCCGGTCACGACCACGACCACGATCACGACCACGGCAAGGGCAAGGAGCCCATCACCGACCTCGGTGAGAAGCTGGAGACTAAGGAAGATGAGGAGGATGATGGAGAGGAGGTCGACGAGTCCGGTCTCGAGGCCAAGGACATTGATCTCGTCATGGCCCAGGCTAGTGTTTCCCGCAAGAAGGCTGTCAAGGCTCTGCGGGAGAACGATAACGATATCGTGAACTCGATCATGGCTCTCAGCATATAATCGGATGCACGGCTGAATACTCAATGGCCTGTTTGAAATTAAATGCTAGGTAGCTAGGTTCTCTTGAGAGGCTTGGGTGTAGCCGAGATGGCGAGCTCATAGTGTACACAATACTCCAAAAGAATTGATCATCTAATGATTCCGCGTAGCAGTAGTGTGTAGCAGCGTAGCAGTGTGGCAAAATTGTCATTAATTATTATAATTAATGTAAATACTGGAATGCTGCAGTTCATCAACCTATATTGATACTGTTTGATGTTCCCAGCTCAGCCGATGCTCGGATGCCGGATAGTCACGTGCTCGCATCCAAACCTTTCCGATTCAAACTCACCCGGCAACTCCCTGCACTTTGAACCCTCCCCTCTCTCCTCCACCTCCTCCTCCAACTACCACCGTCACAATGGCCGCTGTACGTGCTCCCGCTGCTCTCCATACGCCCACCAAAAAATCCCACCCAGGACCCCCCAGAAAACCCCCCTCATCCCACGCCTCACTAACACCCCCTACCTACCTATAGCGCAGCGCCGCTCTCAAGATCGACTGGGCAAAGGTGTCCACCTCCCTAGGCCTCCGCGGCCAGACCGCCGCCTCGCTTCAATCCTTCAAGAAGCGCAACGACGACGCCCGCCGCAAGGTCCAGGTCCTCTCCGAGCAGCCGCAAGCGGTCGACTTCTCCCACTACCGCAAGGTGCTGAAGAACCAGGCGATCGTCGACGAGATCGAGAACCACTTCAAGAACTTCAAGCCCGCCTCCTACGATGTCTCCCGCCAGCTCAAGGCTATCGATGCTTTCGAGTCCCAGGCTGTTCAGAACGCTGAGCAGACTAAGGGCAAGATCGACTCCGAGCTGATTAACCTCCAGAAGACCCTCGACAACATCGAGACTGCTCGTCCTTTCGAGGACCTCACTGTCGTGCGTATCCCTTTGGTTTCAGCTGGTGCTAGTGCTGGTGCTTTTGCAGCCTTGCATTTGCCGGCAAAGCATTATCATCACCATTCTCCCCGTGCAGTGCTAATTATGTGCCTTTTGCTTTTAGGACGAGGTTGCCGCCGCCCAGCCCGAGATCGACGAGAAGACTTCCTCCCTTGTCTCCAAGGGCAAGTGGATGCCCCCCCGGCTACAAGGTATGTGGTATCCGGAGATCGTGTTGGAAGCATGGTCTGGGCTATGGCCATTGCTATGCTTTACGTGAAACAATGCTGACTTACGTGTGCAGGAGCGCTTCGGCGATCTGTCCGCTGTTTAAGCGATGGACTTTTAGTCTGCATTTGCCTTTTCTCCCCCGTTTTATCTCACGCATGTGGCTTTCAGGCCAGGGTACGGTTAGGCACCGCTCTTCCACGTGGTTGGGTGGTTGGGATGTGTATAGAAACAATTCATTCCGATGGTTTCTCGTTTGTTAGTTTGGTGTTATTGAGTAACGTAGATTATTGCGTAGTCGGAGTTGGATCCGGACATAGCATGGACAGTGATATATATCGAGTACACCGCTAGGGTACTACTTTAGAAGTACTAGATTCGGTCCAGTCAGATATACTAAGGGTATCTCTTCTACTGTTATGTTTATCGGTTACCATTTGATTACTATTCCCTGTATGGAATACACCTGGGCATTTTAAGTACTAATAGTATACATCGTAGAGTCGACCTGTCAAGTGCTGATGTTATGCAGGCTAATGCATCAGCTTAGTGCTGGGCAGCAAGTGTATTATACCTCCACGAGCGTATCAAGTAGATCCGTGTATCTCCGTGCCTACCTAGGTAGGTATATATAACCGAAGGAGCTCTCCAGATCCACCATTACTACTAGTAGTACCTACCTAGTACCCAGGTAATACTACCAGGGCTCTTCTATCACTCAATGCACCCCCGCCAAGACATGTCACTGTCAGGCCCGTTGGCCCCCAGTTACCCACTTCCCCTCTTCAAGTCGATTCCCTCTGATTGGAACTTGAACTTGAACTGGTTTCCTTGAAAAATTTGATGTCATGCCAGTGCCCAATCACCCAAAACTTCCATTGCAATGAGCAATCAACAACTTCGACCTCTTCACCTTCACCACCCATCTGGAACCCGTTGAGCCGCAATTGCGGGGACATCACCAGTCCAACGGTCCATCAATCTTCAAATGAATGAATGATTGGCCCGTCACAAATGCAAATGCAAATATAAATCCAAATGGCGTCCTCACCCTCACCCTCCTCCTCCCGGCTGGAATCCCTCCCAGTCGAAGTCCTCCAATTAATCTTCCTCCACAGCCTGGAAATAAACCTCCCACGCGCCTCACCAATCCTCTCCCACGCCCTATCCAACCAACTCCTCTACACCTGGCTGATCCGACTCGCATTCAGCAGCACAAACCCAGGCTCCTCCCGTGCCAACTTTTTCACCCCAGATTTCCTGCCCCCGCCACTTGACTTCTGGTCCTTGGGCACGGAAGAGCGAGCGGGTCTCCAAACAGCATTGTTATCATGCAAATGGTGCACATTACCTCTATTCCGCAAATGTCAACGCGAATACGTACACCACGCTATCGCGCGCCAATCGAAAATGCTCCGATTCGCTCCGGCGGACCGCGAAATTCTGGATAATCTGGACTCGCTCTTTGATGCGAGTGTTGGTGATAACTTCAGTTCTTGCGATAAAGCTCTCGATGGGAGGAAAGGGAAAGGAGACATCGTCATTCCGGCACTACAATCATCACCATCCGAATTACTAGTATCATCACTGTCTTCTTCTTCGACTTCTTCAACCACCGGCACTGGCACTGGCACTGGCACTGGCACTGGCACTACTAGTACCACCCTAAACAAAACCCAACCTCAAAACCAAAACCTAAAACTAGCAATATGGCTAAACTTCGGCGCCATCCAAATCCGCTCAAAATCAGAAATCTACATCCCAACCAACCAAAACATCTACCGCCTCCCATCACCCTCCCACACCCTTCACCCAGCGCCCATACCCTCCAAACTCCTCCGCAGTCCCTGGTCGCCTGCCCAATTCGAATTCCTCCAACTCCTAGCCCCGGACTTCTATCTCGATGAAGATGAACACGCGGCCGAGCGTAGTAGTGCTATTACGACTCGGCTTATTCGGCAGAGGCGTATTGAGCCGTTTCGGGTTTTGATAGGGATGTATTTTCGGGCGAGGAATTGTCGGGTTCATGTGAGGTGGCCTTTGAGGGAGGTACATTTTGGATTTATTGTGAGGCTTTCGCGGGTGGGAAATGGTGGTGCTGGTGTTGGGGAGGGGGATCCGTTTGCGAGGGTTGTGCTTGATGAGCGGTGGGATGATATTCCTGCTGAGGTTAAGGAGGATTTGTTGAGGGTTGTTGGGTGAATGAACTTGAAGCTGAACCTTTGGGAGGGAGTGGTGGTAGTGGTGGTGGGAATGTACGGAGTATATTGTACAGCTACGACCTGCATAGCGCATAGCATAGCATAGCATCGCATTTAGTTTACTTTAGCCAGAAAGCAAGATCAATTGAAGATAATTTTTTTTTTCATTTCCTTGGTGATCTTTATCAAGTTCACCGAGTACAGTACAGTAGATTAAAGTACAGTACCAAGCCCAACCTAACTAAACGCCTGGGTATGGAACACAACACAAAGCAAAACCGCGATAACAAACAAGAGAAGAACGCGCATCAATCGTGAATCGTAGCCATCACAGCAACAGCAGTGCCATCATAGCCTTGCCTTGAACGGATGACTAGTAACGAGAGCCTGAGCTCTTCAGTTTATCCCTTTGGCCGGTGTCAGACCCTGCTCCGTTTGCGACGCGAGCAGGAGCCGCAGGTAAGGCAGGAGATGATCACGTCGAAGACAGTGACGATGCCGCTGATGATGGCGTGGAGGATGGAGCCGATGGCGTTGACGACGGCCATTAGGCATGAGCCGATGGCTCGGAAGACGCTTTGGATCTGGGAGGGAAAATGTTAGTTGGATGCGATGGAGATGGAGGGGAGTTAAGGTGAGGATAGACATACACAAGAGACGACGGCACCCATTTTGGGAGGTTGGTGGTGGTTGAGAGTAGAGTGGTGTAGGTTATTTGATCAACCCTGAGAGGGGAAAAGAGGTTTGGGTGAAGGAGGGATAGTTTCAGTGCTCGAGGAAGCGGAGGAGTGTATTGATGTATCGCTGAATGGACGCATATTGGGAAGTCGGCAGTAGCTGGCTGGATGGATGGGCTTTATATGAAATGTTCGGTAGAATGAGGTAGCCACAGAGCAGGTATACCCCGTTCGTTCCTGTCCTGTTTGGAGCTGCGTATACGTAGAGGGATTCTGAAAGAGGAAAATGATAGACAGTTGCCACAATCCTCCGTACTGTTTGACTGACGTCGTTGGGAAAGGAATTGGGAGACAGAAGTCTGGTATGGTAGGGTGAAAAGGTAAAAGAGAGCTGTGTGAGTGAACCCGTGAACTGGATTGGAGTGAACTGCCTTGATTCTAGCTTCTGACGTTGACCCTGGCTGATCTGCGCCAAGTGGGCTCGAGTTATTCCGTCATACGGGGACGCCTTCCCTGATTTTGATTGATCAGGATGCAGGTGGTGGTGGTTCGACGGGCTGGTTGGCTGTGGTTTCAGTACTTCTGTCCGTTTAATTTTAATTTTATTATCTTTCTCTTAAAATATCCCGTTGACATGTAAATTCCAATATCAAATGCACTGTTCAATGTCTTGACGTCATGATGGCTTCCCAGAAAGGAAACTTGAGTGGAGTAAGTACCCTTTCACGTGACTCTATCAACCCTCAATGTGGCTGTGCATGTGGCCCGTTGTGGCTCGGGTGTGGCGGTCGGTTGCATTCCCGCCAATCAGCTGCCATCTGCCACCGGGAACTATCTTGTTCTTCTTCGTTCTCGTCGCATCAACCGTTCAGCCCTGTTACGGGCCGATGACTTTTACTGTGGAGAGCCGTTCTTTCGGATTTGGGTCCACTAGGCATACCCTTTCTGTGGTATACTCCGTAGTTAAGATTGTGATGATCCAAATGATCTTGTGGCTGACCACGGGCGAGTGACTGCTTTCGATTCAATTGTCTCACTTCTTAGCCCTTTCCAAAATGACGACATACCACTGCTTGAGAGCTGTCTCCTGCACGTTACAACTGGAGAAATTGCCGATCGCCCTGACAGACACGAGTTCGACACAGACCCCCTCGGGATGCCGCAGCCCCTTCCGGAGCTTAGAATGCCAAGCATTATGGCGTTGAGGAAGACCAGGGGTTGACGATGTTCTGAATTCACAGTGAGTATCACTAGAAAAAGAAACCTTGTTGCGAATTTTGGGTCTCCCAAAGTGGAATATGATGTGTCAACATGAAGAAAGCGATCGAAGTGCTCGAGGTAATAGGGTCCGAAGAGAATTCCTCGAACAAAATCGGACCATCCCTTTCCTAATCCTGGCTTGAATCGTAACATTCCGCATAAAGGTCACATGGCATCCACACTATTTTTAGCTAGCTGGAGGTCAGATTGAGGCCAGAAACAAGGAGAAGCAATATGGGCCACAATCATTTGTTGCCCGCACTCAAAGCGCTCTCCATGGCTTGGCTCATGTTCAGCCTGGCTACTCTGTACCTTGCATAAATGGCAAGCTTGCCGAAGTATACAAGCGTTTGTAGAAGTTCAGGCGACAAGAGCGAATGGATTTCGTGATAAAGTGGGAATTGATGTAGATGGTGGAGTCACAGCGCGCAGCGCGTGGGGTCTGCTGTGCATACTATCTACATGACAATGCAGTTGTAACGAAATATCGGCCCCTGGCCGCTACATGAAGTATTTATGTCTATTATGAGATAAACCAAGAATGCAGTGGGCGACTCCAGAGTTGGCATTTATCGAATGATAGAATATTCCGCCTACTGGGGTGCATGTCCGCCACACCCCAGTTACTCAACCCACGTTTTATGAGCTCCACTCCTTGCATTCAGATATCATTGGGCGAGCCATATCGAATCTGAGGTTGCTCCATCTCCAGTGATAGCTTTCACGGTGTTTGTAACCTTAAACGCTGCAAAGGCTCAGCGAAATGATCTGGAACTTCTAGAATGCTCCGCGCAAGGTGTCCCGTATCATCACTAGCGGTGAAGAATATTTGACAAATAACCACCTCTCATAAAAACATATGGAACATTTTGAATATCTCAACTGGCACTAAAACAGATTTTCTTGTATCCTGCGCTCTATTTGGCAGCCAAGCGTTCTCTCCCCGCGTTGCGGTTTATACCATTCCCTACGCGATTTCTCCAGAAAGGAATCTCTCCTTCAAGATGCTCATCAAGATCGACGACATTAAATCCACCCCAGCCGTCCTTGCCTTATTTTCCTTGCATGTGGCCGAAATAAATCGCATGGTCGATTCCTGTGATGTTCTTGACGATTCGAGCCTGCAGGCATCAAATGTCACTTTTGCTGAGCCTGGGAGGGCCCTGAGTTGATGAGAATTGCTGCACTTAAGGGATTGTCACCAACACATGACGAAGTAAGATCGATGAGGATGGTCAAAACACACCTTCGTAAAGGATTTGGGAGGGCTATCGTGGAGCATCTCATCAACGTGGCGAAGGAAAGAGGATATACCAGATTGAGGTTAGAGACCGGGAAAACCGCTTCGTTTCAAAGCGCAAGAGGATTTCATACCAACATGGGCTTTGATCTTTGTGATCCTTATGGAGATTTACCCCCATGTCCAGATAGCTCTTTCATGACTATGAAGTTAGAAACTGAATTTGTAGAACCTACAAGCTTCAATGGGCGTTAGCAGCGAACTACGAAATGCTCATATCGATAGATAGATGGAATACTAGGGCCATGAGACATACTGAGATTTTATAATATACTAGAAATTAAAAAGACCCTGACTATCCCGATGCCCCAGAAGTACAAGCTACCCCCAACCCGCTCGGCGTATTCGCGCAAAGCACCTCGCTCTTCCCATCCTGCGCAGTGACAGTATAAGAACCAACCTTCACACCACAAGTCCCATTAGCTCCACAATTTAAATTGCCCGTCACATCATCGTACTTCCCACTCGTAGTCCCACTAAAGCCATCAAAGACAATGTCTGTTAACTTCGCATTGCCGGGATTCTCATCGCAATAATCCGCGTCCTCGCCATAACAGCTCTGGATCTGAATTGCATAATCGCATCCGTCAACTGTCACATCTGTCCATGTCACATTTGACACGGTCGACTGTCCATGGGTCCCACCAGAGGGGTACGTCTTAATGCCAACAGCCTTTGTAGAATTGATCATAGTCGCCCCCGAGACATAGATGTTCTTCACCTCATCATTAGAGCTCTTGCCCAGAGATCCGACGGAGAGTCCATGACTGCCGGTGCAGGTGATGTCGGTAACTGTGACTCCGTTGGCACCGGGTTTGAATGCGACGCAGTCGTCATCATTGGAAACATTAACATTCGAAATGGCGACATTCGTACTTGCTCCGATGTCGAAGCCATCAGTGTTCTTGGCCGCGTTGTCGCTCTTGGAGGTGGCGTCCATTTTCAAGTTCGAGAATATGACATTATCACTGTCTCCTTTTACGGAGTTGAAAACATTTGGGGGGTTTTTCTGTCGAAGACCAGAAACTGTAATGTCTGATCCACCCGTGATATAGAGGAGTGTTGGACGGGCGTAGCTACTGTCTGCGGCGAAACGGTCGTATCTGAGCAAGGGTGGATAAAATGTTAATATCCATCTGAAGACCAAAACTAGGGCCAATTCTCATGCATTTGATCCAGAGTGAAGCTTACGCATTTTGCCCATTGCCATCAATAACCCCCGACCCGGTCACCGAGCGGATCTTGATACCGTCAATACCCTTGACATTGATCATGGCCGTGCGTCCTTCCCAGTAATCTGTATCCGAACTAAATTTGAGAAGTCCCTCGACTTGAAAGTCGCAACCCGCGCACCCGGCAAAGTCAAGCACGCTGTTCAGGTAGTATGTTGTGCCGGAAGGAATGACGATGGTCCCACTGCTACCGCACGACGCGATCGCAGACGCGATTGCCGGTACGTCGTCGGTAGAGGAAGATCCTCCGGCTTTGGGGGTACATGTTGAAGCGCGGGCATTTAGGATGCGAGTTGCATCTGGTAGAGCAAAAGCTGGTGCAGTGACAGCGAATAGGGCGAGCAATTTTGACATCGACATAATGGGTGACTTGGCTGTGTTTGACGGGAACAATTGTACACACTACACCTCGAACTTAGGATTTATAAACAGCTTTTTTCTCTTATTTGTACACACCCGCCGAACCGAACCGAAATGAGTTTCAGTTTTCCGGGGTCCCATTCTCACATCGCACGGCCTAGATACATGAACTGAATCTGAAACATGGACCGCCTGGCCCGCGATTCGAGGAAAATAGTTCCTCTGACCATGGCATATTTCTTCCATCAAAGCTAAGCATGCAGGTCCAACGAACAACCCCACTTTCACAAACCAATCAGTGAAGCAAAATCAATTCACATGTCCACATGTCCATGCCGCTGGGTCCAAGCAGTCCGTGGATTTTCCGGGGAAGCCGTGACGAATTGCGCCATGTCTGGGGAAGAGGTGACCAAAATTCCGTGGCTTTTTATTTATCTCTAGCTATGCAACTAACAACCAAGCAAGCCTTTTGCGCTAGTATACCTGCTGCAGAAAATATCCACAAACTGCAGTGCGCCCGACGCAGTGGATGGGGGGCCCACGTTTCAGTTTCAACGACAGCTATTCACGGGAAATTGTCGGTGGAGAGAAGATAACCCGCCATGCCGAAAGAGAAGGGTCGAAAAGGAGATGGAATGAAACCGAAGTGATTCGGTTCGATTCAAGCAATTCCGGCGAATGGCCGGTGGGACGCACGCAGGTCGCGCATAAGCCTTGCTGGCTAATAAAACCACCTACGTGTCTCGTCCTTGTTCATATTTTTGTCGATCAACCCCAGAAGCTTGGATGGTATACAGAACAACTCGATGCATTTGTTTACAATTTTCTCAGCCCTATGTCTCGGCACTGGGGTTCTTGGCTCCCCGGCTAATCTGTCTCGCCGTGCAAGTAGGACCAGTGCGCCGTCCGGTTGCTTGACGGTCGGGACTGGAGGCACGTACAGTACAATCGGTGGTGCTCTCACTGCCCTTGGCTCTGCTACTACGTCCGCATGCATCTATATCGCCAGTGGTACCTACACAGAGCAGCTAAAAATCAACTATGCGGGTACGCTCACCTTGTATGGCCAAACATCCAACACCGGGACATACAAAAGCAACACGGTCACGATTACACACACAATCTCATCTCCCGAGGCTGGGACGCTTGATTTAAGCGCCACGGTTAATGTGGTCTCTGATGGATTCAAGATGTATAACATCAATGTGGTCAACGGGTACGGGAAAGGTTCCCAGGCCGTCGCGTGAGTAATGACCTCAACTCAATCAACCTCCCTTAGATAAAAGCATCCGCAATAACACAGCTGGAGAACAGATTGGTCGGCAACGCCGATAAGCTTGGTTTCTACGGCTGCCAATTCTCCGGATACCAGGACACTCTGTACGCCAAAGCCGGAACGCAGTACTACTCAAACTGCCTGATTGAAGGGGCCGTCGACTATATCTTCGGCGATGCATCGGCCTGGTTTGGCGAGTGCGATATTGTATCTAATGGGGCTGGTTATATCACCGCCAACTCGCGAGAAACTTCGGATGATACGGCATGGTACGCTATTGACAACTGCAACGTGCAGGCCGCATCTGGTACCGATCTTGATGGTGATGTCTATCTCGGTAGGCCGTGGCGGGTACTTGCGCGAGTGATTTATCAAAATTCGGAGCTTGGCTCTTTGATTAATTCGAAGGGGTGGACTACGATGGCGGATGGTGCGACGCCGTTTTATTATGAGATTAATAATACGGGAGATGGGGCTGATACATCGGCGAGGTTGTATGAGAGTAGTACTTCTGCGGCAGTGACGAAGAATACTGTTCTAGGGAGTGGATGGAAGGATTGGATTGATACCAGTTATTGAGTTTTATTTATTTCGAAAGTAGTCGAGGTAGTCAATTGAGAGATCAGTCTTATTTCCAATATGCAACAATGCATCGCTAGTCTAGATCGTGCATAGCCCTACAGGAGTTCCGAGTCACTTCTCGACGTATCCAACAAATCAGCAGCGAATCGGATCCAGTGAGAGTCTAGAAGATATTTGCTTATTCTGCTAGACCTCTCGATCATTATTTGTAGTATGATCGGCCATTCATGTATGGTCTAACCTACCCTGGTCAGGTGCTACTATTGTGCACTAGTTGGCCACAGCTAGGCAAATAAGCTTAATACTCGATAAGAATACACATGTCTGTATCAGTCAATACCCCTGTTCAACTCTGTCTGCTCTACTCTTCTCTACCTTAGGGTACTCTGCTGTCTGCTCTGCTCTGCTGTCTGCTCCGATATAGGGCACTGAGTCAGCAAGTTAGTCAGCAAAAAAAAAGTGGGAGGTGGGGAAGCGTGCGGGACAATTTGAATTTCTTCTTTTTTTTTCTTTTCCGTTCTTGGGGGGTTTTTCGAGCATTGCCTCTCTACTGCGTCCTTGGTGAGTATCTTCATTTCCAGTGCCCCTTTCATTTATCTACCTTCCCCCCTTCAATGATGATTTCGGAAAAAATAAGATGTTAGACTTCTGAATCTTTTTGCGGAGAAACATCCGAGTCTGAGAATACCACCCCACCATCAACTCAACCCCTTGCATGCCTCTCTGAAGACTGCGCTGACATTCCCGGGGAAAATAGGACCGCGAATTCACAGTCAAGATGTGTGGTATCATCGCTCTGATCCTGGCGAACCCCTCCGGCACCGCCGCCGTGGACCTCCACGAGGCCCTGTACCTCCTGCAACGTGAGTGGCCGTGTCATTCGAGGCCGTGAATACCCTGCTATAATCGGATCGTCGTACTAAGACTGCGTGCAGATCGTGGTCAGGATGCTGCTGGTATTGCAACCTGCGCGCATGGGGGCCGTATCTACCAACTCAAGGCCAACGGTATGGCCGCCAAGGTCTTCCATGACGGGGCTAAAATCACCAACTTGCCTGGTTCCATGGGTATCGGGCACCTCCGCTACCCTACTGCCGGCAGCAGTGCTGGTGCCGAGGCCCAGCCTTTCTACGTCAACAGCCCTTACGGTATCTGTTTCGCACACAATGGAAACCTGATCAATGCCCCCGAGCTGAAGAAGTATCTGGATCTGGAGGCGCACCGTCATATCAACACCGACAGTGACAGTGAGCTGATGCTCAACATCTTTGCTGATGAGCTGAGCGAGACCAAGAAGGCTCGTGTCAACCAGGAGGATCTCTTCGCTAGCTTGAGCCGCATGTACGAGCGCTGTCAGGGTGGATGGGCCTGCACTGCCATGCTTGCCGGTAAATATTCCATCTCGCATCCTTTCTCTCTCCTCTCTTCTGTGCAATCCTTAACTAACATGCTTAGGCTTCGGTCTCCTTGGTTTCCGTGATTCCTACGGTATCCGACCCCTGGTCCTCGGTTCCCGTCCTTCCCTGGACGGCTCAGGCACCGACTACATGATGGCCTCCGAGTCCGTCGCACTTGACCAACTCGGATTCTCCAACCACCGTGACATCCAACCCGGTGAGGCAGTCATTATCGAAAAGGGCGGTGAGCCGGTCTTCCGCCAAGTGGCGCCGAAGAAAGACTACGCGCCCGATATTTTCGAGTTCGTGTACTTCGCCCGGCCCGATTCCGTCATCGACGGAATCAGCGTATACCGCAGCCGTCAACGCATGGGCGACCGTCTCGGCGCCCGCGTCCTCGACGTCCTGGGTCCTGAAATCGTCAAGGATATCGACGTGGTCATTCCCATCCCCGAGACCTCCACCACATCCGCGACCCACGTCGCGCAGTACCTCAACAAGCCTTACTGCCACGGCTTCGTGAAGAACCGCTACGTCTTCCGCACATTCATTATGCCCGAGCAAAAGACGCGCCAGAAGGGCGTACGCCGTAAGCTGAACGCCATGAAGGCCGAGTTCAAGGACCGCAACGTCCTGCTCGTCGACGACAGTATCGTGCGCGGAACCACCAGCCGCGAGATCGTCAGCATGGCCCGCGAAGCCGGCGCAAAGAAGGTCTATCTTGCCAGCTGTGCGCCCGAAATCACTCACGCCCACATTTACGGTATCGACCTTGCCTCGCCGCAGGAGTTGGTCGCGCATAACCGTGACGCGGACAGTATCGCCAAGCACATCGGTGCTGAGCGAGTTGTTTTCCAAACCCTGGACGACCTGAAGGACTCTTGTGCCGAAGTCGCGCGCGACAATGGACAAAGCGAGCCGCAAAACTTCGAAGTCGGCGTGTTCTGCGGTAAATATGTTACTCCCGTGGACCAGGGCTACTTCGATCACCTGGAATTGATGCGCGGCGAGGGTCGCAAGAGTAAGGCTCTGGATAAGGCCAAGGAGGCCGTTGCACATGGTTTTGCCAGTGTGGAGGATTTCCAGATCGCTGCTCACGGTGTCACGATGGATACCAATGGCAAGGTTATCCCTGCGGAAACTGAGCCTGAACCCCGGTCCGCGGAACCGGAGCACCCTAAGGTTGATGATCAGATGGATATTAGCATTCACAATATCGCCGATCACCCTTAGTGGTATACCATACTACCTACTCATTCTAGCTACCGGTCTGCCACCACGACCTGGTAGCTAGCTACAATATCCCATCTTGCCATCCTCCTTCTCCCTTTTTTCTCCCTTACCCTACTCAACCTCACCATTTTCTTTCAACCTTGCTTTCTTCTCAATTTCCCCCACTTTGCATTTGGAGTATATGGAGTTACTTTCCGGATGGCATAAAATACAATTAGACAGGTGGGCCTGGGCAATGGATGACGACTGATGCACCCCGCGACGCAATGTGATATCTCGACGAAGTGTATCCCCTTTGAACAAAATACCACACTGACTATTTGTGAATAAGAGATTTGATTTGATCTGCTATACAATGAACATCGTACACAACATACTATTAAGCCTATTTTATACTATACAAATCATCTCCGTGATACTTCCATGGTTCTTCTTCTCTTCCATAGCTCCCTCACACTACATCTACATATTCCCCAACAGCCTAACCAGCCCCTTCCCCCAACCAACAACAGTAATCTGATACCCCGTCTCAACAACCCCCTTACACATCTCCCACGCCTTCCCCCCCATCCCTCGCCCCCGCAACACCAACCGTCTTCTGAATTGGATAATCCACTCTTGGCGGAATAGCCGTCCCAACGAACCTCGGAAAACGATCCACACAAACAGCCTTCAAGTTACAAAGACCTCTCAACCCCTCCTCGCCCGCAAACCGTCCATACCCAGACCCCTTCACTCCACCAAAGGGTAACTGAACAGCATAATAGGCGCCGAAATCATTCACAGAGACCATACCCGCTTCAACACCGCGCACAACAGCCTGCACTTGGTCACTCTGGTATCCGAACACACTCGCGCCGAGGGCGTAGACGGTTGAATTCGCCAGCGCGATAGCATCACTGACCGACTCAGCGCGCATGACTAGGAATATCGGGGCGAAGAGTTCTTCCTGAGCAATACGCATGTCTCGGGTAACATCAACCAATAATGTAGGCGTGAAGTAATGACCGCGAACATGAGTCTTGTGATCATATCGTTTTCCACCCGCGAGAAGACGAGCTCCCTGATCCACTGCCTCCGCAATAAGAGATTCAAGTGTATCAAACGAAGCCGGGGAAATCATAGCCCCGAGATCCGGGCACGAGGAAGTATTGGGATCAGTGTCTAGAGTAATTGAGCCCAGGCGGAGATTATTAATGCGCGGTTCGACTAGGGCGATGAGTTTTTCGTAGGAAGTTGGTAGAGCGATGATTCGTTCTGCGCCTACGCAGTTTTGGCCCGCGGATTGGAAGACGCCGCGCATTAGGATTGAGGATATGGCTGGGAGATTGCGGAGAGTTGTGGGGTCTTCTAGGACTATTGCGGGGTCTTTGCCGCCTAGTTCGACGCAGACAGGTGTTAGGGATTTAGATGCTGATGCGCAGACTTTGTGCGCGACGGGTCGGGAGCCGATGAAGGTTAAATGGGCGATTTCGGGGTGTGAGGTCAGATGGTCTGCTACTTTGGGAAGGCAGATTGTTGTTTGGACGAGGTCTGGCGAGTGGCCGCAGGCTAGGAGGGCGCTGCGGGCGATGTCTAGGAAGTATGCCGAGGACCAGGCGGTTTGTTCGGAGGGTTTGACGATGATGGCGTTGCCGGTGAAGAGGGCGCTGATGACGGGGCCGATGAAGTTATGGAATGGGTAGTTCCAAGAGACGGCCGCGGCGACGACGCCGAGCGGTTCGTAGATGACGCAGTTCTTTTTGTACATCATGAGGAAGTTTGTTGGGCGGCGCGAGGGGAGAAGGGCCGTTTCGCCGTGGTCGAGTGTCCATTTGAGCTTCTCGGCTGTGACGAGGATCTCGCCAAAACACGCGTCGACTTTGGTCTTGCCTGAGTCTAGGACAGCAGGCTGTGACGATGTCGTCTTGGTGGTCGAGGACGTATTTGAGTAGGGTGCGGAGAACCTTTCTGCGTTCGCCGAAGGTGGTTTGAGACCATTCTTTTTGCGCGGTTTTTGCGGCGTGCACGGCGGCGTCGACGTCAGCGATTGTTGCGGGTTTGATGCCATTGCCGAGGACTCGGCCGTCGGCGGGGCAGTAGCTCATGATCAAGTTGTCATCCCATTTCTAGACAGCAAAGGTTAGTCTCGTTGCAGGTAGCTCACGTTCAAGCTTCGGGTCAAGCTCCTCGACTGGGACAACTCACTCCTCGAACCTGGTCCTCCAGGATCTGCTTCTCTCGTCCCTTGACATCCTCCCACTTGATTCCTGCGGATGAGTCGCGCACTTCCTTTGGCAGAGGCACGTTAAATGGCACAGCAGCCTCGCGCTGGCTTCGAATGTAGAGCACCCCCACGTAGACGGCGAGTAGGGAGGTCAAGGCGACAGCGGCGAATGGGGCATGTTCGACATAGGAGGAGTCGCAGGAGTCCAGGAGGGATTGCAGGGATTGCGGGAGATGCGATCTGAGGCAATCCATGCTGGGCGGTGGAAATGGGGATTGGCCAAAGTTCAGGGGAAAGGCAATGGGAGGGTGGGTATGGATGGGATGGGATGGGAAATAATGAAGCTGGGCGATAACGATAAGCGTCCTAAGGTACCCGGGGCTAAGGTAGGGTACTCTCTAGGGCAGTCCCGAGTGGTGCCACTAAAGTAGGGTTGTAGTGCACCCATTCAAGTTTAAAAAGAAGTATGGAAATTAGGAAATCTGGAAATTTGAAGGATCAATTGGATTCTGGAGTATCAATTTCGCATGTTATTATTCTGGGACAAAAAGTTAATAAAAAATATTTACAAATGCAAAAAGAGAGGTCGTGCCCGGAATCGAACCGGGATCGGCGGAATCAGAATCCGCAGTGATAACCAATTACACTACACAACCATTTGATGAAAGATCTAATCAATATTTGCATCTATAACTACTCTGAATCCTACTAGGCACCTCAACTCAACTCTGTCAATATTCAAGTTGGTTCTCTGTATCTACTGGCAGTATGGTGAACATCTATGCTGATAATTACCGATAGTATTATTATTAAGACCAGTATGCGGTCTTTCAAGTTCTGATTCCTTCTAATTTTGATTAGGATTGTGTAGGTGGTGAGGATTATATATATTGCTACCATCTATGGATATTGTATAGCCTGGTAGTACTCTGCAGTCCCATCTACGGTACTTTCCATCAACCCCCGGGGCTTATTATATCTCCCTTCTTGAATCTGCCAAGGTTCAAGTTCTCCCTCCCTCCCTAACCCTACGTCGTCTCTTCTTCATCGCGACAATTCCGATCAAACGGCTCCATATCGCACACACTACCGATTCGGCCACTGACGTCATTCCAATTGATATCCCTGCTTCGGATTGGATATTGACTGACTTCCATATAGTCCATTCTCATTCTCCTCACGATATGCAAAATCACTACGGCCCCAATTCACCCTCACTATGGCACCCAAACCAGTGCGCAAAAGTAGTACAGCTGACCCCAAGGACAGAAAGCTGGACGGAAAGAAAGCCATGAAGGCACGAGCGAGTACTACTCGAAAGCAACCCACCAGAGACGCAAAAAGCAAGGCGAAGAAACCCGCCTTGAAGGCTTCTCAGAAGAAGACGCCGACTAAAAAGAATATCAAAGCCAATGTGAAGAAAGAAGAAGAAGAATTCCCTCAACCGAATCTGGTACCTACTACCACGACTGAAGAACTACCTCACAATCTGGGACACCTTACTCCAACCACCAATTTACCGCAACCTCCGAATACACTGGAAGATGACAAGAAGCCTACTATCACAACGAATGAACCACCTCACAATCTGCACCTCACCCCAGAACTCACCCCAACCACCACTGGCACTTCACCGCAAACCCCAAAGCCCAAGCCCGAAAGAAACCGATCCAAATACAAAATCACACCAGGAAAAACCCCCCTTCGACTTCTGGCCCCACCCAACCCAAGCCCAATGCGAAGAAGTCAACCAACTTCTCTCCTACGCCCACGGCGAACCAATCGCACCAAAAACAATCCCCCAAGCATCCATTGAATTCGCCGGCTGCGGCGAAGTCCCCTGCGTCTTGGACGCAATGATCCGAACTCTCCTCAGCGCCGCGACACTGGGAAGCAATTCCGCAATGTCGTATAAAGCTCTCGCGTCGAGATTCGGAGTCTTGGAAGAAGGGGTTGGGCAGGGGGGTGTTAACTGGGAAGCTGTTAGACAGGCGCCGCTTCGTGAGGTCTATGATACTATTCGGCGGGGTGGATTGGCGGATATTAAGAGTAAGAGTTTGAAGGGGATTCTTGATATGGTTTATGAGGAGAATAGGGTTCGATATGAGGGGTTGAGAGATGAGGGTCAGCAACGAAGGGGGGGAGGATTCGAATGACATTACCACCCTTACTGAACCTGAACCTGAACCTGGAACCAAAACCGACAAGTCCAAGTCAGACGAGGACAAAGAAAGAGAATACAACCTCGCCTGCGCTGAACAAAACTACCTCACCCTCAATCATCTCCACAATCTCCCCACTCCAGAAGCAATGGAAGAACTGATCAAATACCCGGGCATTGGGGTAAAAACCGCAGCATGCGTTCTCCTCTTCTGTCTACAACGACCCTGTTTCGCGGTTGACACGCACATCTTCCGAATTACCAAATGGCTCGGTTGGGTTCCCGCGGACCTTGCGACGGAGGTTACTGCATTCAGTCATTTGGATGCGCGGATCCCGGATCATCTGAAGTACTCCCTGCACCATTTACTGATCAAACATGGCAAGTTATGTCCCCGGTGCCGTGCGAGTACGGGGGTGAATTCTGAAGAGTGGGAGTTGGGTTGTCCGATTGAGGATCTTTTGACTCGGACGGGGAAGAGGAAGGGTGGGCCGGAGATTGTGAGTCGTGGGTCGAAGAGGGGGAGGAGTGCTGCTGTGAAGAAGGTGGCTACGAAGAGAAAGGGTGTTGTTAAGAAGAAGGTTGCGAAAATTTGAGAGTGAATATGGTGGAGGGAGGTGTGCTGGAGGAGGAGGCGTTGTTCTTTCTATTTAGTTCTTGAGCATTCAGCATTGATACCCGCGTCGCGAACTTGATTTTGGGAGATGGGAATAGCATGGTGATCTATAAAAAAAGGGGAAAAAAAGGAATTGGGGAATTTATTTACTTTGATGGAGCATTTGATGAAGTATCTGGGTCTGCAATCTAGTTTTTATACTGAATTAAACCCTCTCTAAAAGACTGCATTGTCCATTTCTGTTCCCGATTGGGAGTAGCTTGGTGCCTTGTATATCGGGTGTCAAGCATCATATTTCTGCATGCGCCTTGATCGGATCTTCTTCAGTTTAAATATTCTACTATTCAGGGATTCTATTTGCAAAGACTCTAGATAAGTATCAATTGAATGAATATTCCATTTCTAATTTAAAGCCGCCCGATTATAACTAGTAGTTAATCTTCTCTGTAACTGCTAGTAGCTGCCAGTGCTAACTACTCCGCAACTGGTAGAGATCTAAAATGGAGAATTAGGTTGACGATCTGATCCGGCAGTGTTGAATTTTATTTTCTAGCCTCGTCCGATCTCAAATATAGTCCAATCCTTAATCAACGCGTACTGCGCACATAAATATTGGAATATGCACTCTGGCGGTCCCACGTGAACCGCCGGGGCCGAGGAGGCCGGGATCGGGCCGAGGGTCATGGCTGGAACACGGTGGCATGCAAGTGTCGCAAAGCATCCAGGTATCCAAGCATCCATGAGCTAGAGGCAGAATATGGTAGACTACGGAGTGTGCTATAGGGAAATAGAAATCAAGTAGTCCGAAATTCCGTGCTCAACTCGATATGAGAGTCGGCCACTTCCGATAACCGGCAGCCTTATAGACACTAGCTCAGTTTACAGTGTTTACTCGCCAGGGTTAGTCCGATCATCGGCAGACATAAACTCAATTGGGGGTCTGCTGTGCATGATTGAGGAAAAAAGTCGCCGGTCGGCGTGGTGGTGGTACTGCATGTGTAGCTATACTGACTGTAGGAGTATAGAACAGATGTAAATGTAGCATTGGGTAAGACAATGGCTAGAATGAAATGGAGAATCAATTGAATAAAATAGTACTAGAATAAATAATCAATGAGTATGGATAGAATTCTACTAATTCTACTAACTCTAGTAGAGTTACTGTGTACAGTGTATCTAACCGACGGTAACCGACCGCCTCGGCAATGAAGTCAGGTTGACGGGGAAAGGGAACGCAGCATTGACACTGCCAACTCCCAACCTCCGCCTCCGCTTTAGGATCTCCCTTCCCCAACTTTCCCCCTTCTCCCCCAATCCTTCCTTTATCTTGAACCTCTTCCTCCCCCCTCCTCCATTACTCCCTGGAGTACCCTCTACCTCCTTCTCATCGCTCAATTCCAACATGTCCCTTCCCGCCGTGCGACGGTTGACCCACTCATCTCCCCGCACTTGGGCCCGCCTCCCCGTCTCCAGACTTTCCACCTTCACCTCTCCATCTCCCGCCTCCAAGTTCGCTGCCTCTCGTCTCCTCCGAACCTCTCAGTTTTCCACCATGTCTGCCCGTCAATCTGGTGCCCCGGCTGCCCCGGCCGACAGGGCTTATGACCCTGAGATCCAGGATATGGCCAGCTACATTCACCAGTACAAAGTGGATTCCGACCTGGCTGTACGTAACTAAATCCCACAGGGTCCAATTCTACCCCTCCACCCCCCCAAAAATGAAATACTAACAACCACCAGTTTGACACTGCTCGTCTCGTCTTCCTGGACACCCTGGGCTGTGGTCTCGAGGCTCTCAAATTCAAGGAGTGCGCCAAGCTCCTCGGTCCCGTTGTTGAGGGCACCGTCGTTCCCAACGGACCCCGCGTCCCCGGTACCCCCTACCAGCTGGACCCCGTCAATGGCGCCTTCAACATCGGTGCCATGATCCGCTGGCTGGACTACAACGACTGCTGGCTCGCCGCTGAGTGGGGTCACCCCTCCGACAACTTGGGTGGTATCCTCGCCGTCGCTGACTGGATCTCCCGCACCAACCGTGCCGGTGGTAACCTGGGCAATGGCAAGATCCTCAAGGTCCGCGATGTCCTCGAGGCCATGATCAAGGCCCACGAGATCCAGGGTGTTCTGGCCCTCGAGAACTCCTACAACAAGGTCGGCCTCGACCACGTCGTGCTGGTCAAGGTCGCCACCGCCGCCGTCGTCTCCAAGATGCTCGGCCTCACTGAGAAGCAGACCGCCGACGCCATCACCCAGGCCTGGGTTGATGGCCAGAGTCTGCGTACCTACCGTCACTCCCCCAACACCATGTCCCGCAAGTCCTGGGCCGCTGGTGACGCCTGCCAGCGCGCTGTCAACCTCGTCCTGAAGGTGCAGAAGGGTGAGGGTGGTGTTCCCACCGTCCTGTCCGCCCCGACCTGGGGCTTCTACGATGTCCTGTTCAAGGGCAACAAGTTCAAGTTCCAGCGTGACTATGGCAGCTACGTGATGGAGAACGTTCTGTTCAAGGTTTCCTACCCTGGTAAGCCATCTCCCCGCCCTGGCAAACAATAAGTCTTATGCATGTACTAACTGTAACTGCTTTTTAGCCGAATTCCACTCCCAAACTGCCATCGAGGCAGCCGAGATCATCAACAAGAAGCTCGCCGACCTGGGCAAGACCGCCGCAGACATCAAGGAAATCACCAACCGCACCCACGAGGCCTGCATCCGCATCATCGACAAGCAATTCAAGGCGATGGACAACTTCGCCGACCGCGACCACTGCGTCCAATACATGGTCGCCACCATGCTCTCCTTCAACCGCCTCACAGCCACCGATTACGCCGACGGTTCCGAGGCCGCCACCTCGCCCCTGGTCGAGTCCCTGCGCAAGAAGATCAAGTGTGTCGAGGACCCCCAGTACACCGTCGACTACCACAACCCGTCTAAGCGTACCATCCCCAACGCTCTGACCGTCACTCTGAACGACGGCACCGTTCTCGATGAGGTTGCCGTCGAGGCGCCCCTGGGCCACCGTCTCCGTCGCGAGGAGGCCAAGCCGGAGATTCTGGCTAAGTATAAGCGTCACTTGCAGGCGCACTTTGACCAGGCCCGCATCGATGAGCTTCTGCAGGTTGGATGGGATCGTCCCGCGCTGGAGAACTATGATGTTGATCAGTATGTTGATTTGTATGTTAAGGATAAGGTTGTGGAGTCCTCTTAGATTATTGGATTGCTACGCACTGGATGACTCTAGGTAAAACGATATCGTTGATTCTTAGCAAAATTGTATAGATTGTTTCTTTGTTGCTAGATACTCCTTTTTTCCTTGACGTAGATAATGGTTTCTATTCCTACCCGTGGAATGCATTCTCTATGGAATATCCAGACCGATCACGCGTAGTCCGCTACTATTGCCCAACTGGCAAGCCGGCCCCCTTGATTTCTTTGGAAGTACTGGTCAAACACCGCCAGTGACAACATGCAAACAGTGACAATAGCAGAGCACATTTGGAAAAAAGAAAGGCAATGTATAAATAGAAAGAGAATGCTATCCTTAGAGATACTACTCTGTTTATCAATTCCAATTCTTCAGAATCCAAGACACCCTCCAAGCCCTGGAGGTTTACTTATTAATATACCCAACTTGAATATGCCATCTTATGACTATTTTAAAGACGGTATAAGCCATACTTAGGCAGTATAGTCGTTCTTCTAACTTGAATACTAAGATAGATAGAGACAGCAACGATGTGGGAAACGGGTACTAACTAGTACTTGTCTACTCCGTAGTAATTTTGGAAATGGCAGTTGCATACCTGGGCAGGCGCGTTCGAGTTGAGGCCAGCCTACCAACTTGAACTTGAACCTCGATCAAGAGAGTCGAGACCCTAAAGCCACCTTCACATTTCCCATTTACTTCCCATTTACCGCGCTAGGATTCCTACTATTGCACTATTGCACTCATCCACGTAAAATTCCACACCCTCAATTTCAAATCTTCAAGTTCGGTATGTGTATTCATCCTAATACGCAACAGGTGTTCTTGTTCCTCCAATAGTAAGATCCCCGAAGCAAAGATGAATAACCGCACTGGAACTCTGGAGCTAGAGTTCTATCGTCTTCGCCGCGATGTCCACATTCTTCAACAACAAGTGGAGTCAGTTCAAGACGCAGCGTCGGCCCAAGAGAGTTTCAACCTAGATTACCTCCCTGCTCCTAAAAGGTTGTTGCCGCACTCTCTCCTATTTAATAATCCATATGCATCCACCGGCCCCCATGGTTCTGTGCTTCTGTTAAACCTTATCGAATAATACGTAGTTCTTTTGTTTTTCTCTCGAGGTTATCACACCTAGGAGTTGAGTAATACAATGAAGAGAATGTTTTACTGGAAGCAAGGGCATCGGTGACTTGCTGCTCTGGATGGAATGCCGAGCCCTCTCGCGGGGCATGTCGACTGATGCTTGACGAGTCCCGATTGAGGGCTGAATGCTTTCAAATATAAGGCGAAGCTCGTAGGGATCACCTCGAAAGTCAACATAAAAAAGCGATGAAACGATAAAAAAGCAAAAGGGCACTCACAACCTCGCCATGGCCGATCTAAAATACACCCAGTGATCCAGCTCGTGCAGGTCCCCGGGGTTTCTGACAAGGTGAAACTGACAGAGGGTCATCAACCATTCCCTTGAAAGTGTCCATACAACGCCCGGGGCCCTTTGAACGAAGTTTGCTTATGACGACGTGAGGAGCTCCCGCACAATGAGGTGAAGATTCGAGGGTAATTGATACCAGGCAACATTCAGTAGCATTTCGGCGAGAACAATAAACAATAGAGGAAGAAGAGGAAGCAGCAAGTAGATACAGGTGAATGGGAATGAGTGCCTAATGCGCAGGTCATGTAAACAGGGCAACCACAACAACCATTCACACCATTGAGTCAACTCTCTCCTCTCTCCTCTCATCTTTCATACCATTCCAATTTGCACTTCTCATCGCGCACACATTCAACCTCAAATCTGACAGCTCTTTACATCGTCTTGGTTCTTCCAGGGCCCGCGAGATATTCCATTCCATCGTTGAAGCTTCAACCCTGACACCAACTACAATATTACTTACTTCCATTTCCCCGCACATTCGAGAATTTCGAATCGCAGCTTGCACTAGCAACTCTGGAAGTCACAATCAACTGCATTCATCGGGCCTTTCGAATTGAGGCTTGGAGTGGAAATAACTACTATCAATACTTTCAGCGTGCCCTTCGAATCGCCACCTGCGATTTCAAGGATACTATCGCGGCAATAGTACGTGTATCCATCCCATTACCCATGCAACATATTCGTTTTGCCAATACTAATATGCCGGAAGGAAGTCAAGATGAATCCCCACGCCGGTACACCGAAGTCCCGGGCTGATACACTTGAAATCGAAGTTCGTGACCTTCGCTGCAAGGTTGAAATCCTTCAGCAACAGCTGAAGTCGATTCAGGACGCAGCGTTGGCCCAAGAGGAGGCGAGATTTGATCTTCAGCAGCGGATGGTTCAAAGTTCGTCAAAGCGTCCAGGAAAACGTGCAAGCATGAACCTCCATGACGAAGATACAGACCAGGAGCTGCAGCGCCTCCGCCAGACCGTCGCAACCCAGGTGCAGCAGGTTGAAACTCTCCAAGAACGCATGAGACAATTTGAAGCTTGGAGGGGAAGAAGGGTCGCTTTCGAGAGGTCTATTTCTGATGAAGTTGAGAGACTGGATGACCAGTGGCAGGAAATGGCCATCTGTAAGTACACTTCTATTCCAAAGCTGGCACATCATGAAGAACAACTCTAACACACGGGAAAGGTCTCGATGATCTGAAGGACAAATTTCATACCATGGCCGCATGGCTGCTTCACTTACTCAACAGCCAAGAATCCGAGGGGAACAGGGCATAACGCCGAGGAGATCATTATGACTCCATATGGAGAAAACCCTCGGTGGAATTGTGGGGTGCTTTAATTACAGTTCACCGAAATCAAGAGTTAGCCTGGGGAACTGGAAAAGATGCATACAAAGCAAGTTCGTGGGAATGAGCCGGAGGGGTTCTCATTCACTGGGGCATTTCGACCTACCCCAGATTCTTTTTTCCTTTTAAGAAATGGTTTCGTTTCTCCGAAACCATGCCCAGAATCGGCGGAGGCCTTGAGCCCTACATCTCTTTCACACACTGACCATCTCCACTCTACAATCAAGTTCTTTTTAATAGGCAGGATTCTACTAGTAGTCCCCAGGCATTGGCCTGCCGCTCTAGATACAGATACTATTTTAGATATAGAGGAAGGCCACCTTCTAAGGCCACCCCCATCCATTATACTGTCCTATTGCACACATCTTTCACCAGCAGATAAAATCCCATCATTCCTGAACATTTCACCAGTTTCGAGTGCTTCCAAGATTATCTCCACCACCGTCATCAAATTCCAAGAATCTTAACAAGAACCTCCAAGCTGGAGTTATGGACCTGGAGGTCATCACTACGCCTGTGCATGCGAGGAAAACGTCAAAACACATGAACTTCATTCAGCTTAGCAGATTATAGTGCCATTATAATTGGACGTCAATAGGACTGTGTACCGAGATTTGGCAAATGAGCCAGGTTTCTCTAAATGACTTGATCAAATACCCCTATGACCTACAAACAAACGCAAATATCGCGACCAAAAGGAGAACACTAAGTACAGTTTCTGAAAACCTGCAACGTATGCTCCCAAATCTGCGGACCCACCTTGGTCTGCCGGTATTCTTGCAACTCAGAGTTCTCATCGCAAAACTCGGACTTGCTGTTCAGTCGTTGTACATGGCGTTCTGAAACTTCTGAGTTCACAGGCGAATAATCCTTACTCAAGGCAGCGTAAAGGTGTCTCTGTCCACTCTCTTGCACGGCTGTCGTCAAGAAAGGTGCTGAAAGAAGGAGGAAAGCACCACTGATAAAACTGATAACAGGGCCAAACCCTTTGGTGATGTTGGTACGAACAATACCAGGGGATGTGTGGATAAATGTAATATCGGGATGAGCCAGCGCAAGCTGGTCGAATGCTAGCGTGGTCATTGTAGTAGCCTGAGTAGCACAGTTCTTCAAACTGAAGTGATTCTCTAGCGGAAGATCATCCAAAAATATTCTCCCTTCCTTGCCAGCATTGAGAGCCGAATGCACTCGAGCAGGCTCGCCTGCAGCGGACGCAGCGGTGAGGTTAGGCAGCAGATTGACGACGAGCCGCATCCTTGAATAATACTGGACAGCCATCATACGGTCCAGCCCCTCCGATGTTTCTGTTTTAAAGACAGTTTGTCAGTAGGAAGCGCCTCCAATGGATGGCAATCAAACCAACCTTGTCTCTTCATACTCAGGAAGCCCGCGCTCATGAAGAGCAAGTTGATCAAATTCTCCTTCTCTTTGATTTCGTTGCAAATATGATCCACATTGCGGAGCAAAGTCAGGTCGCACTCAAGGAAGTGTATTTCGGCCTTGGAGTTGATCTCCTTTAGCTCCTGCATTATCCTTGATGCTTCGAGCTTGTTCCGACCAATTATATATGCCCTCGGGGAGACGGTATTGCGAATGAATTCCTTGCAAGTGCTTTCACCGATTCCACTAGTCCCACCCGCTGGCCAGGCTTCCGTTAGTGCCACACAGTCGCTCAGCCAATGCTCGGCAGCTTACCAAAAACTGCGACCAATCCTGGTTTGGCGTTTTTTAGTTGCAGATTCGCATCCTTTACCTGCTGGAGAGACGGCATGATTATAAAAGGAGGCTGGGTGTTTTGTGATTTCGCGATTCGAGTAAAGTACTTTTTGATAGAAGCGTGTGTTGAATGGCTGTCATGGGATGTTACTTCCTTTATATAGGTCGTGCCAAAATCACACTATTTGGTCGTGCCGTGGTTGCTTTTCCGTGTCTGGATAGTTACACAGAAGAACCATGGATTAAATACAAAGTTGCCACTGCCCGATAAATCCCTCGCTTAGTGATCATTATCGACTTGTCCGTCTTGGTATCCATCATATGGTTTTATGGTTTTTATTGGGCGAGTTTAATGGCCGACCCCGGTCCCGAGTAGCGTGACACTATCAGGTGGGGAGCTCGCGCATACAATCAACCTAGCTATCAACATCCCAATTATGGTATTAAGTAATGCTCGTGACCCGCACACTTACCAAATGAACTACTTAGGCACAGTAATTGCTTATCACAACGCATGCCATGCTCTGCTTCATGTGTAGGGGCATCAATTATTGTGGCTGTTGTTGCCCTGGATAGACGGGCACGGAATTCACTGATGTCCGTGGCGCTAGTGAGAACTCGTTCATTTCGGTGGGAACGCTTATTCCCTTGACTCACTTTAAGCCAGTCGTCAAAATTGTTTGAACTCTCGTTGTCCTGACTTTTCCCGACTCATCTCTTAGATTTTGCTGCCTGATCGAAAACGGCCTGGTACTCAATAATTCGGACGTATTTCACCCCATTCGTTCTCAAGGATACATTATAGTTAACATCATATTAACCTCCTAAAGTTGGGCTCTTTTACTTCTCAAGAGCTTCATAAACTTGTCAGCATATCTGTAATTATTAATCTAAGGAACTGTTCTATATTCAGACATTGGGATCATGCTGGTCACAAGTGCTTGAGAACGTTCTATCGCTGTTCAGTTGGAAATTCCGATCCAACTCCACATCAGAGCTGTGGGGATATTGTACCGTGTTGGTCCATGTTCTTCTGGAGGTGGTTCTGCAGTGGTTCTCTCATGTCGCTTTCCGAAACAGGCGTATTTCCCGATTGAGCTCCATGAGAAAATCTTGTTTAAATGCATAATCAGAGGATGTTCAATGATGGAAATATTTTAAAATACCATTTATGGGTCTTTGAATTTCAGACGCAGGTGGTAGAGGCTGACTCGTGTAGAAATTAATGGAGTCGTCTCCCTTCTTTTTCAATGTGTCGACCTCATCAATTATGGCACCGAGGACGCCTTCTCCAAGCAGTTTTTCAAGCGTCTCAATGTTTGCAGCGGAAATAAAGGAGAATGAACCTGGTAAAGACATTAGAGCTCTGGTATATAAGGAAGATTTAAGGGAAAGTAAACCTGAACGGAAAATGCTGTCCAAATTCCGGCGAACACGGCCGAGCGCGTTGGGTCCACTAACCCATTTGTATTGCTCAACTTCATAGGGGACAGATGGAAACTGGAAATTAAAATTATGGGAGACCGTGTCGATGGCATTGACTGAATCGTTTGATGAGCGGGTAGAAGGTGAAATTGCGGGTAATGGTGTTGGAGAGCTTAGACGATGCAATTGGCCCTCTAATTTTGACAGAAGTTCCAGCAGGTCGTCTTGATTTCTAGAAGAAAAAGAATTCATATCGAGCAACTGTGAGGAAAGGCTGCCGAAATAAACACTGATCCTACAGTTAATGCCTCTGTCTTGTAGACGTCCGACGTTCCGGCCAAGAGCATGCTAGGATACGGAAGTCACATTTTGATCTGCTTTTTATGAGATCAATGTCATGAAGGGAGATGAAGAATGAGGCCTACTTTGAGTTTTCGACAGGAGGTACAGGAAAGCAGTCTCTTTAATGCCGCCGGTCTCGTTGCTTCACTTGAGTTGAGCTGCATGGGGCTGAGTCCGGTGCTCATCACGGATTCTTAATACCGAGGTACCAATTCAATGTTGAGCTCAGGTTGCTCTGATGAGTCGAAAACTAAAAGTCCGTCCGCCACTTCGTGGAATTTCCCCGTCTCGAAGACGGACATTTGCAGTTATCCGCCTCAGCGACCGGAGAAATATTGACGTCACTAGTTGAGTCGGCGCGGTCCAGGCTCGCCTTATTTGACGGTACACTTTTAATTCTATGAATAGCTGTATGGTATGGATAGTGCCAGTGGCTATCAGTATTGCTAAGTACAAACCGATCAGCTATGAAACAATTGATTGAATGGAGAACTATATACAACTCGTTGTGGGAAGCGTCCCGTAGCCGGAGAAGGCAGTAGTTACTAGTAGTATTGCTAGTAGAATATTAACACATACCCAGGTTCAAGTTCAATCTATCTTCAAGGAGAATAAGTGTACTTTGATGCCATTTACACTTGCCGTTAGGTTAAATCGCAGCCCCTCAGTCGATGTTTATGGAAAAAGTGACTGATCGCCTTTCCGCGACGGGAACGGACTTCCACCATTTGCCCGTCTACCCCATCAGTGATTGGAACAATACCTAACCTTGGTTACTCGTTCGCCCGGGCGAAGAGAATATGGAATAGCGTCCGCGGTTACCTATAAAAACTCTCCCTATCTCCTTCTTTACGTTGTCACTTATTATCCTTTTGAAACCATTTAATTCGTTGATGCAGATCCAGGCCTGACTCTATTGAAGATGTTCACTGGTAACTGTTATTGCGGCAAGGCTTCTGTCGAGCTTAACTGTGAGCCAGTTACAGTGGTAGGTAATATTGTTGCTATTATTTCCGTACTTTTCTATAATTGGTTCAGTAGATTAACTTAAATACTATATATACAGGGACTGTATTATTATTATAACTGCCGAAGAATTTTTGGCGGCACGAATAGTTTAAACTAGTTTATTCCCTTAGAGTAAATACCATCTTCTGGTCTATTGAAGATAGTTTCTAAGATACTGGATAGTAGCAATACTATTACTAATATAGTCTGTAATAAATATAGTATAACTCTATTTTAGGATAATAAAGGTATACTAGATATTGTAATGGGGAATTCCGCTCTCAACACCGGTATCCCATAGTCAGGTGATTGGGGCCTTAGTAACAAGGCAGCCATATCGTTTCGGAAGAATAAGTAGCGTTCGTTCGATAGTATCAATGACAACATGCATGTTCCCCCTTATGATTTATTCTTTCTGCGCAGTCTGATGAGGCTGAGGTTGCGGTATCGGTGTATCGCATGTCCATGAAGACTCGAATGTCTTACTAGTCGCATCTCTATAGCGTCACACTCTGTCTACTACTCTCCTGCACTCTGCGAGTGTGGTGGTTTTGTCTTCTTGTGATCGATCCGTCTGCTTGACAGACTGCCAGCGAGCATTCCCATCTTACAATATATTATAATATATTCTTATATATTCTTATATATTCTTTACTAGCTTTTCTAATAGTAGAATGAAAATAGATACAGAAGCTACTATTATACAAGAGGAATATATATTTCCTAATCCTTTTAATTATTATGCTTATAAGATAGAAGATAGTAGGAATAATAACTCTCTAGATTTAAAGAAATATAGCCCAGACCCCAACAGTAAAGACCCCACTTAAGTTATAAGCGGAAATAAAAGGGTATAATCACACTTCAGCCAAAGGCTTAATACAAGAGATAGGAGAAAGTTACTTACGCTTAAGAGCGAGAAGATACTTCTAAGACAGATTAGATCTCAGTTCGCTCATCTCGACACAGATTTCCTGCGATAGATTTAGGGGGAATTAAAGCCTTCTGAGAGGCACACCAGGTCACAAACCCTTAGAAAGAGGTAGACTTATAAGCTCTCTACCACCTCGGCGGCATCCTTCCATTTTTCGCCAGGTTGCTCGTAATTTTTATTTGATTCAAGTAGGAGAACAGGATTACCATGTACTGTAACTCTAATTGAAACCGTTTACAATCATTCGCCCACAATTTCATGGAGCTGCAACTTTGTAACCCTTGTCTTTCTATCCCGTTGAAGTCTTCTCTGAGTTCCGCTACTTGGACTGCATTCCAGAGGTCACTTCCTTTCCCGAGGAGGACAACCATGATCATGATCCACAATAAATTAGGTAGCGCTAGAATGATCGGCAATTGTCTGAAGATTATAAAGAATTACAGCGCCATCAAGTAGGCAATGTTTATCATTGAGTCTTATCACATTTAAGTCCTATTATTTTGTCGTTAATCAGGACACTGAGAAAGTAATCATCAAGATCACTTCCATTTTCAGAAGCTCTGGCCTATTAGGAAATGAGATATTAGGAAATGAATATAGCCAAGCACTCATGACATACGTAAAGAGATCTGAGGATCCTTTGGCAAACTGGCTCTGAATTGAAGACATATTGGAAATATCTGCAAGTCAAAGCAAAACTTTGAACATCATTCAGACGATCGAGATTTTCCAATACCAAGATAAGAATCTCAACAGGGAGACAAATAAGAGAACGCATCCTCACGAGACGAAGTGATTTTAATAGTCGGGTAACGAAGAGAAATAATCAATACTCGAGCTCTCAAAGTATTCTTCAGCTCGAGAGGTGGTGGTGCCACCGGGAATACTGTAAGTGCTGGCTGCCCACGACGCGGAATCGTCAAAGACCACGACGGAATACATCCATACGGATTGTAAGAGCATGCAGTGTCTTCGCAGCCGAGCGGCGAGGAACAGGCCTTTCGCAAGATCCAAGCCGAGTTCTCCCGACTCGGCCATTAAAGTACGGGGTCCGACGGGGTCCGTATATGGCGACCATGTTACTTCGGTTTCCGAAGGCGGCTTGAATATCTCCCCGCAAGATCTACCCGCGAGATCGTCCTGCCCCCTCCCTACCCTTAATTGGTGATTGGGTCTTTGTCAGATTCTATGAGTGGCTGATCTTGTATATGTTACACTGGTACTATCTGCAAAAATATGAGTAGGCCTAATAAGCGTTGGTTCGGATGTTTGGCAATCTGTCCTGGTTGACATATTACACTGATTATTAGTAAGATTCCTTCTGCTTGATAATATTATTTCTGCTTGATAATATTATTTCTGCTTGATAATACTACCTCTGCTTGATAATACTCCCTCTGCTTGATAATACTCCCTCTGCTTGATAATATTCCCCTTGCTTGATAATACTTACCCTGCTTGATGATATTCCCTCTGCTTAGTAAAGTCTCTCTGGAGGAAAACTAAATCCTTTGTGTGGCTTCTATTAATGGATTTCAAAGTTCTCACTCCAAAGAAAGTTATCAAGCTTTTATTACAATAGTTCTATTCCAATTGATAGCCGGCGGTTGACCTGTGGAAAGGTAGTGAGGGCTCAGACTCCTGTACGCCTATAAAGATCCACTTAACGGCCGGTCGTTTATTAAAGCTTCTCTAGCTCTAAAGTAATCCAATAAGTAGCAGGCGTATGGTAATCAAGTGACATTGTTATAGAAATAGTAATAGTGGTGTGGGTGTGGCTGTGAAGGTATTCTGGTATTTCTTTTATTTGTACTGCTTGTTTTATCTGTTATTCTAGTATATATTATATCATACTGTCTTTATGTGGTATCTAGTCTACTTTTCCTGTGTCAGATTCTACCACTTTATTTTGCAGTGTGATTGTGTCTTTTCTTCAATCTGTATGGTGACTGGCGTCTGAGCTTCTAGACATATATAGCCTTAGACTGTCTGTCTGGCCTCAGGCTATCCCGGTGGCCGGTATCACCTCTCTTTTTCTACCTGGCAGGCCAGTGGAGCCCCCGTATAGCAGCTTAGGTACGGTGTAATTTCAGAATTTCAGAATTGATTGATTGATTGATTTGGCTACTACACTTTCTACGTAGCGCTGTGCTGAGCTCCCCACACAACCAAAGAAAGAATACTATTTCTAGGGATACTGTATTTTAAATTTTTCTACAGTTAGTAGTACCCTACTACGTAGTACAGGTACTGACTCACGCCCGACGATGCTTCAGCCGAACATCAAAATCAACACTGACGATGTTACCCCAGGTGATTTTCATGTCTTCATCGGGTCTCTCCAAAGTGAACTGTTACCAGAAGTCAGTTAAACAGTCCAACTCAATACATAAGCTCGGGTGATGTATTTCTTACCTCATAATCCCTGAAAAGTGTTGCCCCGACCTTGTAAACCTCAAAAAGCCCAATCTCCCTTCCAAGACACATTCTCTCCTCAAATCCAAACGGACAAAGCAATCGCTCCATTTCCGCCCGCTGTACAGGACTCGCCTCAAGCCAGCGCTCTGGCCGGTAGACCTCTACATCATCACCGTAGGTGGGCTTATGGCGATGAATAACCCAGGTCGAGCAGCTTACAATCGTTCCCTCGGGGACGACATTGCCATCAATGATGGCGCCGCCGGCGGGCACCACTCGTTCCATATTGAAGCCAGTGGAAGAATGCAGTCGGAATGTTTCTTTGATGCAGGCGTCCAGGTAGGGGAGTTTGGTTGAGACTAGCTCCCAGGAAGGGATGCTGTACCGATCTGCGGAAGTACTTGATGTTGGAGTTGGGATCACAGAGTCGAGTTCGCGGCGGAGAGTGTTAATAACAGAGATAGGAGCTTTCAAGACTTGATATATAAGGACTGCGATTGCGGTTCGGCTGTTCTATTGATTAGGGCAGGATTAAACGGGTGATATCAGTTTGCGTGACTTACACAGCCTCGGAGGCAGGAACGACCACCATCAGACCCAAGTCGACTACTTCATTCTTGGAAACGACGTCCGGACTTTGCTGATGGGCCTTGAGAAATTGATCGAGCAGGTCATGATGCTGGTCCATCTTTCCCGGCTCGGAAAGTTGTTTCTCAATCCGATGAACTGGCAGATACTTCTTTGCAAATGCCATTGGTGGCGCGATTAAGCCAAAGTACACAGCCAAGGGATTTTTATCAAACAAGAACTGTCCAAGGGGCGCTTGTGCAATCTATATCGAAAATAGTATCAGCGGAAATGTTGCAAGCCGAGTTAGAACGGGATGGGATACAAACCCGATTCAAATGAGTTGATCCCACCCGGACGTTTTGGATGATTCCGTCCAAATCCTTCTTCTTGTCGAGGAAACCATAGGGCTGACTGAAAGCCACGACACCACCAGCATCAAAAGTGAAATATTGCAAGTTGAGCGGCAAGTCTACAGCGGTGGTTGTTTTGGTCGCGGCAGCATCGAGATTTTGCAGCAATTTTACAATCAACTGATCAATCTCCTGCTCTTTCGGGGCGAGGTTGGTCATCTTAAATCCAGGCCCGACGAGACTCCGGTACCGGGAATGCCAGTGAATGTCGCGTGTGGAGAAGATGTTCTCCTTCTTGGGCCCTTTGCCGTGGGCCTCGAAGGCTACATACCAGTTGGACTATCTCATTACCAACTGTTATCAATTGTGACTTGTTATAATTGATGGAAATTGGAAAAGGCTCACCTTGGCCATATTCTTCTCTGCTGGATAGATATCGGCAACAGCTGCCGGAGAGGCGAAGGACAGAGATTTGGGTCCAAGACGAACTACGTCTCCGTACCTGTTGTGCAGGGCAACGTATGATGGGCGCTTATCTCCATTGATGTAGGCATCGCGAACACGCCATATATTGGTCATGGAGGCGAACGCAGGACCCGGAAACTGCAGCAGGCCATTGTTGTACCGGTTGTTGAAGAGAGTGAAGGCCACATAGCTCAATATTGCGACTCCGGCTGTCCAAAGTGACGGCGATCTCAGCACATAAAGGAAGAGAGCACTCGATACTAGATGTGGATACATTATGGGTCTGTGCTCCGTCTAAGAAGGAACTATGTGCCTCTGTGATGAGAGTCGAAATCCTCCTTGCAGAGAGCAATGGATCTATCCAGCGTACCTAAATATACAAGATCGGACAAAGCTGACTTAATAAAATTCGCTCCAGGAGTAAGCATCATACCATGGACCCATTGTACAAGGGTGCTGTCGGAGTCCGATCTGCCTATCATCGGGGCATCATAATCGCGTTCCGAAAGCCTGCAAATGGGAGCTTTGTGGAGGACTTATGCAGTCTTGACAGCTCCGATAAATTAAATTATTATCCAGCAATAGCCGAGGTCATAAAACTGTATATCCTTCTATTTCTCTGTCTGTAAAGATAATCTTTTACACCAACGTTTCCGTCATTCCGAAGGCGCCAAGATGAATCCCGAAAGAGAGCTGCGTCAAACAACTTCCATTCTGGAGCGCATAGGGACAGACATTGCAATTACAGCAGCACAGCTCAGCGATCATATTCAGCAAAACAACTACCAACTACCATCTTTCGACGTCAACACTCCTATTCAGGTGCTGCCTTCCACTGCCAGCCAAGAAGCTCATGAACTCCGCCGCAAACTGAAACGGGATGCGTTGGCATTGTTTCGCCTCGCCAGTGGGCCAAGCGAATATACTGCTCATTTGTCTATGAATGTGAGTGGACGTGGTTTCTGTCAAATATCATCACTCCTGGTGACATACGGGCTATATTGCCCTTTGACCCTTTGAATTAACGTGCCCTAGCATCAATATACCGTTAGTCTCCGCTATCTCAGTCAGTTCCAGATATTCAATCTAGTTCCACGAGAAGGATCAATCAATATTTTGGATCTAGCTGCGACCGCTCAGCTTCCTTTAGATCAACTCACCACCGTCCTCCGGATGGCAGCCACGGGTGGTCTTTTTGAATTTCATTCTACTGATACCATCGCGCATTCGGCAGCTTCTTTGCTTCATGCCAGTAGCCCTCAGTTTACTGCATGGAATACTTGCATATCGCAATATGTGTTCAATGCGAGTGCGCAGCTTCCAGCAGCGACACAACGATGGGGTAACAGTCGTGATCCCACCCATAGCCCATTCAATCTTGCGTATAACTCGACATCGCCATTTGGGAAGTTTTTAGCCGACAATCCCTCCATCGCGCAAGTTATGGGTCAGTTTGTCCAAGCCACTGAAATGGTAGACTCTAATGATGTCCGGCACCTTGTGACGGGGTATGAGTGGGGACATTTAGAAGAGGCTGTTGTTGTTGATGTGAGTATAACCTGGTCTTTGCTTAGCGAAGAAGCTCCAATTAAAACAGAACGACAACTCATAATCAATAGGTGGCTAGTACAAGCCTTGCTAGTAGTATTGCGCTAGCGAAAGTGTTCCCATCTCTTTCATTTGAGATTCAACCACAACAGAAGGCAGTAGCGCATATAAACTCCGTTCATGAATCTCTGGATGCAGAACTTCGATCGCGAATCACTATCATCCAAACTCAAGCAGATTCGAGTGTAGGCGAGGCACCAATGGAAGAAGAAAAATCATGCTCGGAAAGAACCCAATCTGGTCCTAAAATCTTCCTCCTTCGACACGCTCTCCACAATCTTCCTGATTTTATGTGCGAATCTATTCTGAAGAATCTCTTATCCGCATTGCATGCTCAAAAGCCTCATGGTCGGATCTTGATCATGGATTTGGTTCTTCCCGAGTATGGTGAGCTAGATCCATATGAAGAAGCCATGTTGCAAACTAGACAGATGATTCAATTGGAACTTGCCAATGGTCGAGGACGGAGTATCACGAATTGGAAGGTTTTGGTGGGTCGGGTGGAGAGTGAGTTGGGTCGATTGGCAGTGCGGAAGGTTTCGAGGCCGCTTGGTAGTGATTTGTCAATTCTGGAGATTGATATGGATGCCTGATTTCGGAGTTCTGAACGATATCTCGCGGGAAGAGCTGCTTATTGCTATTGACTTCTTTCAATGGGGTTACTGGGGTCTGCCATCCTTATTATCCTGATTAGAGATCGTGTGCTTGACTGAAATACATGCTCTCCCTTTCAATTCCAAGCGAAATAAAAAAATGAAGTATAGTATCACGAGAAAGCCGTCAGCTCTTTGCCGACTAGGCGTTTCTCTCTATTCCATGTTTGGGGAGACTATCGGTATCATGCACGCCCTGGAATTTTTTTCGGATTCCGACCGGAGTGCAGAAACTCTGGGTGGCAGGCGTAAGGATTGGATCCGAGAGTTCACCGTGAAGCTTTATGTATATAAACTTGAATCGCCCACCTCGATGCAATTTTCAGTCTGAAATCAAAACATTGCACTTGGAAATAGCTATCAGCGCCGAGATAGCTCCAAAATTTTAGTCAAAATGGTCACCACCACTTCCACGCGTCAGCTCCTTTGCCTCACCATGTTGGGGTACAAGAAACCAGGACTCACTGAGGAAGAACTCTGCGACTTCCAAGTCAGCAAGCATTCTCAATTGGTTTCTGGCCTTATGGAGAAGTATGGAGTTATCCGTTACAGCATTGTATGAGTGATGTCCCTCTTGTCCATGGAATCCGAAGAAAGTGCACAACTGATCAGAAGTTTCAGACCCACAACGCCGCGAAGCCCATGAACCTGCTCCCTCTTCTGTTCGATCCCAACTATGTCGAATATTCGGATCACGACTTTGTGGTTCAGATTATTATCCCAAACCTCGAATCTTTCCTCGCGCTTAAAGAAGATCCAATCTATAAGGAACGTATTGCCATGGATCATCTGAATTTTGCTGATCGCACTGATCGCGCACGTCGTACCAGGTATGATACCCCGTCCGAAGCGATTCATTTTCATAATCTGATAATCCAATTTCTTAGTATGAGCCTCGGATACGTACACGAAATTATTAGCGACGGACAAGTGGTTTACGTGGAGGATATGAATGCGGTGCATTGCCAGGTCAACAACCAGCTCATGGACTCCAATGGTACATTTGCCAGTGCTTAGAGATGAATCCATCAACATATATATCCGATCAATTCTAGCTACTGATTAGAACTGGGTATACATTATGTTTCGGAGTTAGACTCAGAAACATTCTCATCCATACCTAGGGTCCAAAAGACCTAGTAAAAGCTCAGATTGAACCCGACCCGCTCCACAGATGCCGTGTCGGGAATAGTTACCCTATATTCAGAGGCTACGACATATTAAAGACTCCCAAAACTTCATGAATGGTGTGTCAAGAACAATAGAAACAGTATAAAAAATAGGCGTTCGTTCGCGAAACCCTTTGGGCGTAAGATACATGATCCTAGCTCTCCCGATCATTTTAATTGGCCTATTGTGGCCGATAATTTTGATAATCACCACAGCTCGGGCGTAACCGAGCAAGTCCACAAGGTTGACCGAGGTATATGCCTTACTAGTGTCGGAAAGCGAGAAAATAAGGATATGAATGCTAAGAATTACTGAATACATGTACTGCACCTCCCTAGAAGGCGAAAATTATTTCTAAACCCGGATGAATGCCATGGTGTTTGTTCGGTACCCGATTTAGCGGCATTTCAACACAGCCTCAAACCTTCAGGTCCGAAATACGATACGAGTCATCTTGCCACTAATATAACAATACCATCAGGTCGGTAACAGGTAAGCAAAGAGTGAATACAAAGCCCGAGCGAATACGATGAGACTTACACAATAAGAATATGGTAGTTGGAAACTGACAATGACTACGCACATGATCCCGAGAATACTTTCTGTATGGCTGTTTCTGGGTCTTTTTCGGGATCCGAACTTCGAGTCGAGGGATTTTGGATAGGAGGATAAGAAAAAGAAATCAGGCATCATTACTGAATCTCTCAAAGCATTTCTGCATTTTGCAAATTGATATAAAGATCAGCTTTGAATTCGCCTTGTAGGCATTACTAGAAATTCCTCCACATCATTTACTCTCATCATGGCGTCTCCTTACAAACTACTCGTGTTCGGGGACTTGAATTATGATTTTGAATCTAGCTTGGCAGTCCTCTGTGAATTGCAAGATAACGCACAGCTCACATCGTTTTTTGAGCGAACGGCGTTTGCCTTGCGAGCCCGTATAGGCAGTCTTCCTCTAGCGAAACGGGCTTCATTTCCTAAATTCACTACTTTGAGTGAGCTCCTCGCCAAAGTACGAAGTACTGATATTGTGCATCCGGCTCTCCAGAAGGCCCTTATATTGGTGCTGCAGTTCGGTTTCTTTATACGGTATGCATGCAGTCCTGAGGTCCAGATTTGATCCTACTTGATATCTCCCATGCCAAGGTGCTAAATGTATAATTCCGAAGTCATTTCACCCAGCCAGGGCACGTATACCCTACCAATGCCGACACTTGCTTGACAGGCCTATGCACCGGCCTTCTGACGGCGGTTACAGTCAGTTGCTGTTCTTCCCTGTCCGAATTGGTCCCAGCCGCTGTCGATTCTGTGGTCTTGGCTTTCCGAGTTGGTCTGCTTGTCGAGGATGTTCGGATGGGTGTTGAACCGTCAGTCAGCAAACGAGATAGTTGGTCTGTGGTCGTGCCTGGATTGAAAGAACACGTTGCTGTTGAGGGCTTGAAGAATTATATTTCTGAAAAGGTATTGTTTCGCATTATCCCTAGAAAGAAAAAGAGCTTTAAAAGTAGTGGCTGACAAAATTGATCTGCAGGGTATCCCACTGGCGTCGACCCCATATATCAGTGCATACGCTCACAATGGACTAACTCTCTCCGGGCCATCTCGTGTGCTGGAGGATATTCTATCATCTGAATATTTGACCCATTCGTATCGTTTGAAGTCACGAATTTACACCCCCTTTCATGCTCCGCATCTTTATGATGAGTCTAATGTCGAGGAGATATTGCAAGCTATCCCCGCGGACCGCATCGAGTCCCAGTCCAGCCGAATTTCTGTTTGGACTAGCCGTGGTCATATATCTCCTGGCACTGGTATGGCCTCGTTACTGCGTGTTGCTCTGGAGGAGATTCTCTTACACCCCCTTCGTCTTGACAATATTCTGGAAGGTGTGACCAAGGGGATACTTAACACAGGAACGGAAACATGCAAGATTGTACCTGTTGCTACTCCAGCCATCCAGAATTTCTTGACTGCCTTCAGAAAGGCTGGCATCCAAGATGTGGTGGTAGATAGCTCCATGAATGGACCCTGTGCACCCGAGATTTCTATGGTGTCCGAAAGTGGGAATCTGGGGAACTCTAAACTTGCCATCGTGGGCTACTCAGGTCGATACCCCGGTGCCAATAGCAACGAAGCTTTCTGGCAGCTCCTTGAAGAAGCCCGTGACATGGCTAGTATTACACCCAAGCAGCGATGGGACGTCAATACGCACGTTGATCCCACCCTGAAGAAAAAGAACACCAGTGCTACCCCTTTTGGATGTTGGTTGACCGACCCCGGCCTGTTTGATGCCAAGTTCTTTGGAATGAGCCCCCGCGAAGCACCTCAGGTTGACCCAGCCCAGCGTTTAAGTTTAATGACTTGCTATGAGGCAATGGAGAACGCAGGCATGGTGTCTGATGCAACACCTTCAACCCAGCGTGACCGAGTTGGTGTGTTCATCGGTAGCACCAGTAATGACTGGGGCGAGACCAACAGTTCCCAAGATGTCGATACCTACTATATTCCTGGATCATGCCGTGCTTTCATTCCAGGCCGCCAAAACTACTTCTATAAGTTCAGCGGTCCTAGCTACAGCGTCGACACGGCGTGCTCGTCGAGCTTGGCAGCCCTGCATCTCGCGTGTAATGCACTGTGGCGTGGAGATATTGATACAGCTATTAGCGGCGGGACGAATGTCATGACCAATCCTGGTGAGTACATAGATTTTATCTGAAAGCTCTACTAAAAATCATGAGTATCTCTTTTGGATTTCGTTACCGCCTGCTAACCAGCTTTTCCTGAAATCAGATATCACAGCCGGTCTCGATCGCGGATATTTTCTTTCGCGGACTGGCAACTGCAAGACTTTCGATGATGATGCTGACGGGTATTGCCGAGGCGAAGGCGTGGTCAGCATGGTCATTAAGCGCCTGGAAGACGCCATTGCCGATAACGATCCCATCCGCGCCGTCATACTAGGTGCATACACCAACCACTCTGCCGAGGCTGAGAGCATCACTCGCCCACATGTGGGGGCTCAAAAAGCAATTTTTGAGCGCATATTGACTACCGCATCGGTTGATCCAGCGACTGTCAGCTACATCGAGATGCATGGAACTGGCACTCAGGCTGGGGACGCGCGTGAAATGGACTCGGTGCTTTCCACCTTTGCTAACCAGCCTCGTCGGAATCCGATACATCTGGGGTCGGTGAAGGCCAATGTCGGCCATGGTGAATCTGTCTCTGGAATCATTGCCCTAACAAAGGTCTTGATGATGATGGAAAAAAATGTGATTCCGCCACACTGTGGCATCAAAACCAGAATAAACCACAAGTTTCCTACCGATTTGGCGGAGCGGAATGTCTTCATTGCTGATAAACTCACTCCCTGGGTAGGCAGTAAAGATCAGCCGCGACGCGCGATGGTGAATAATTTCTCGGCTGCAGGAGGAAATAGTTCGATTCTGGTCGAGGATGTGCCCAGCTGGATCAAGTCAAAATGTGCTGAGGATGATCCCCGATCATTCCATCCCGTTGCTGTGTCGGCAAAGACCCAGAAAGCTCTTCTTGCTGGCATTCAGGGTCTCATCTCTTACATTGGAAGCGAGAGCCCCTCTCTTCCAAGCTTGAGCTACACCACGACTGCTAGAAGAGCACACCATCGCTACCGGGTCATGGTCAGTGGAGACAATCTAAAGGAGATTTCCGCTCAACTTGAGAAATGCCTCGTTGCGCCTGAAGACCTACCGGGACCAAAGTTTACCTCATCGGTAATTTTTGCCTTCACAGGGCAAGGCGCACAGTATCCGGGTATGGCCCGAGAGCTTCTTACTCTTCGGACATTCCGCACCGATATGGAACGGTTTGACCGTATCGCGCAGAAGCAAGGCTTTCCGCCAATCATGCCTCTCATCAAAGCTACCAGCGGCGAGATAACCGACTTCGAGCCCCTAGTCGTGCAACTGGCTACGACTTGCTCCCAGATGGCAATGGCTAAGCTCTGGCGCTCCTGGGGAATCGAGCCAGCTGCAGTTGTTGGCCACAGCCTGGGCGAGTATGCAGCCTTGAACGTCGCCGGTGTTTTGTCGGAGGTGGACACAATATATTTGACTGGCAGAAGGGCACAACTTCTTCAGGAGGAATGCTCCCGTGATACACATAGCATGCTTGCAGTGGGCATTTCTGTTGACGAAATCAACACTCTCCTGGCAGGCGTGAAGGTCGACATTGCCTGTAAGAATGCTCCGACTGAGACAGTTCTGAGCGGCACGAGTGTCGCCATAGATCAAGCCGAGAAAGTACTCCACCAAGCGAGTATCAAGAAGATGACCAGGCTTCGCGTTCCTTACGCGTTCCATTCAACCCAAGTTGACCCAATTTTGAATCCATTTGAAACGGTGGCGGCTGGTGTGCAATTCCATAAACCCCAGATACCTCTGCTAAGCCCCTTGCTTGGCCACGCTATCACGACGGAAGGCATAGTCAACCCGCGTTACCTTGGTCGTCATGCTCGTGAGACTGTTAACTTCTCGAAGGCCCTTCAAGATGCCAAGCTGAACAGACTTGTCACCGAAAAATCAGTCTGGATCGAAATTGGTCCCCATCCTGTCGTCGTGGGTTTGGTCAAGGCCAACCTGGGATCCGTCGCAGTCCTACCTACCCTTCAACGCAAGAAAGATACATGGAAAACCTTGACTAGCACACTCACTTCACTCTACCTATCCGGTTGCACCGTTCAATGGAGTGAGTATCATAGAGACTTTATCAAGTCCTTGGAAGTGCTTCAGCTGCCGAACTACAATTGGGATCTCACAAATTATTGGATGCAGTATGTCAACGACTGGTCGCTGTACAAGGGTGATGCTGCTTTCTTATCAGGAGCAAAAGAACCCCCATTGTCTACGACATGTGTGCATCGCGTGATTGAGGAGAATCATGACAGTGCTGAGATCACGGTCGTTGGTGAATCAGATCTCCTACGGGATGATCTCGATCCCTTTGTGCGTGGACATCGCGTCAATGGTGTCGCTCTGTGTACACCCTCAGTTTATGCTGAGATGGCACTGGTCCTTGGTGACTACATTCGCATTTCAAGCCCTAGATGGGCTGAATGCTTGGTTGATGTTCAGCATATGGACGTGCAAAAGCCACTGGCGGTCAAGAGCAAGGGAAAAGGCCCCCAGCTTCTCCGATGCCGAGTTACTCTGGACATCGCTACTGAGAAGGCATTGGTGCAATTCTACAGTGTCACTCCTGAGGGGAAGACTTTGGTCAAGCATGCAGAATGTTCAATCACATTCCCTTCCGCTGCCGACGCCGAGGCTGAAGCTCAGGCTTCTGCAGGGGAGATACTAAAACAGATGGTTGAGCTTCGTCAAAGCATTGAGGATAACGACCGAGTGCAAAAGTTGGCCGGTAGCACTGGATACCAACTTGTTTCCTCTCTGGCATCTTATGATGCTGACTACAAGGGAGTCACAGAAGTAGTAATGGATAGCGAGAATCTCGAAGCGGTTGCGAAGGTCAAGTGCAACACTACAACTGCCGTTGAAACCAAAGTTGACGGTAAATATAAGGTCAATCCTTACCTGATCGACAATTTTGGACAGCCCGCACTTTTCATCATGAATGCTAATGACCATGCCGACCTTGACAAAGAGGTGTTTGTGAACCATGGATGGACCTCGCTTCACTTCTACAGAGAGGTGTCGGTCGAGAAGGTCTATCATTCCTACGTGAAAATGACTGGTCCTAAGGAGGACGGAATGTACAGTGGTGACATGACTGTTTTCGAAGGTGATGAGGTGGTTGCCTGCTTCCGCGGTATCAAGGCACAAGGTGTTCCTCGCAGACTAATGGATTACATCGTTCGTATGAGGGACGATGCCCAGATTGGGTTGCCTGGACCTACCAACAATTTGCGCGCGGCTAATGGCACCACCCAAACCGGGGCCGCTGAAGCAGCAGTACAGCCTCGGAATGAGCTCGTCGAGGAGACTAGCACCTCATCTTGGCCTCTTGCCCTCAAAATAATATCGGAGGAGAGCGGTGTCCCAGTGGCTGACTTGACAAATGACAAGGCTTTTGCTGATTTGGGGGTGGACTCGCTTCTTTCTCTTCTTTGCGCGAGTCGATTCAGAGAGGAACTTGGACTCGCTCATGAATCCACTATTTTCGAAAGTTACTCCACAGTGGGTGAGCTTCGCGATTTCTGGAAGCAAGGAACAACCTCGGGGGATCCATCCGATGTGACGGGCAAAGATGCTATTCTCAACTCTATGTTCCATCATGACAACGTCCAGGAGGATTCCTCATCTTCGCCTAGCACGCCATCTGAATCGGACTCAATCGAGGTTAACATTCCCACTCCATTGAGTGAAGTGCCGAGTTTCCTTGGAAAGTTCAATGCTACAGCCACCTCTCTATTGTTGCAGGGGAATCCTGCTTCATCCATCACCAGCAAGACGCTTTTCCTCCTCCCGGATGGCTCGGGGTCAGCGTCATCGTACGGATCACTCCCAGTTATCGATCCATCCCTTGCAGTTGTTGCTCTTAACTGCCCATACATGAAGGGGCCATCATCGTACCCAGTCGGCATCGACCATGTTACCAGTCTCTACATCAAGGAAATCAAGCGTCGTCAGCCTTTCGGTCCCTATGCTTTAGGCGGCTGGTCAGTCGGTGGTATTTTTGCTTATCATTGCGCTCAGCTGCTAGCTGAGGAGGGCGAAGTCATCTCCGATCTCGTCTTACTCGACTGTCCAGTTCCACGTGGCTTGGATCATCTCCCGAAGAGATACTTCGACTATTGCGAGGAAATTGGACTTCTTGGAGTCGTGCATTCCGGAACTGGTGAGCGCAAGGCTCCACCTTCGTGGTTGGTCCCACATTTTGAGGCTTGCATCAACAGTCTCCACGATTATCATGCTTCTCCATTCGAGCCAGTGCAATCCGCGCCCATCACACATGTCATTTGGGCTTGTAACTCAATTGACGCTCATGTGGACAACAAGTTCGAGCATCGCGATGATGATCCAGAGGGTCTTAAGTTTTTGACAGTGGCTCGACAAGATTACGGACCCTGTGGATGGGAGACGCTATTACCAGAACCCAAGATGCGCTTTGCACGGGTTCGTGGTGCCAATCATTTCTCAATGATGAAGGGAGATTTGGCAGCAAACCTAAGCGAGTTGATTAAACATGCCCTTGTGGAGTAGATTCAACCTTTTCAGACTGTTATTCACCTTAGTGTCTCATTTATATAGTACTTAGTCTTCTATGTTTCAATTTGATCTCTCCTATTTGAGTATTTTTCCATTTTGGCCCTCACTATTTTTACGGTAGTCTATACGAAAAATCACTTCGACTATTCTGCATTTTGACTGGAGGATCTACCATCAATCTTTATCACCTGGGTATGTCTTCATAGATATATGTATATGAGTTACTAGCGTGCCTTTTAGAAGCTGCCATGCTCGGAGATCATCTTTTTATACCTATCGCGGGGAATATTTGGTAGAAACTAGTAAGCCTTGCCATGATGGCCCTTTCTCCGGGCAATTCGTGTGTAGGCGCACTGAGAAGCCTCTAGAACACAAAATCTCACCACCGAATGATACCGATATAGGTCTAGACCTGATGCATGGTTGTTGCGTATTAATGTCGCATAATAATACCATCAGTAGAGGGGATCCACTACAGTTGAAGGAAAATCGGTATTCTTGAAAAACGGTCTAGTATTGATGACCCGAGAAAGCCCCGAAATGTGAGCAGCCTTGCCTTCCCGACTCGGACTCCGAAGCAGGTTTGCGTGCCAGGCCCTATTCATATAAGGTTGTGACATATGTAGAAAATCAATATAAGTTGGGATATTGTAACCGTCATCCGTGCCAACAGAGTGAGAAAGCACTATTCTTGAGCTATTCCATGTCTCTCCCTCGCATAGCATGTTTTCATGGCGGTGGATCTAATGCTAGAATCAACATGGTACAATGCCGAAATATACAACGCGAGCTACAGCATGAATTTGAGTTTGTCTACTTCGAAGCACCATTCACTTGCGGACCTGGTCCGGATATTTTACCTGCATTCAAAAGTTACGGGCCGTATAAAACATGGTTAACCGGTATCGAGGACGCCAATGGATTTGACGATTCAACTGGTGAGGATGGAATTGAGAGAGTATGGAACATGATGATTGCTGAGACCGGAAAGAACGGCGAAGAGTGGAATTGGGTGGGTGCATTGGGTTTTAGCCAGGGTACAAGGGTCGTCAGCGGTCTGCTACTTGATCAGCAGCGGCGCCAATCTCACCAAGATCCCCCGATGTCTCAAGAAATCTCGAGTATTGGTAGCCTGGTATTTGGGGTTCTCTGTATGGGCAGTGGATCTCCTATGCAGCCGAAGGCCGGCTCGGGTGAGTTGCTTCTACTATGTATCGCCCCCCATAATGATAACGATGTTAAATCTTCTCTGTAGCTTTGAGCACTTCTTATCAACACGATGAGCGAATATCATCTCCAACTATACATGTTCATGGGTTGAAGGACAGGCATCTCAGTAGTGGACGGAAGCAGTTGGCCACTTGGTTCACAGAAGGCTCTTCCATTCAATGGGATATGGATTATCATCATGCCATGCCATGGTATAAGAAAGACGTTGTTCAGCTTGCTGGGATTATCAGAGACACGTATCGATCTTCTTTGTCGAATTAATCACCTGCCCATGATCCAACCTTTTGTGTTCAACTTATGGTTGGCCCCTTCACGATACATACTACAGGTCGCGATGAAATTGACAAGTCGTTCAAAAACTCGGTATCTTCTCTGCAGCTTATTTATTCCAGCGATTGAATAATATATTTGTTAGATTGGCATACTGCATCACAATTTACTAGTCGCTTGGATAGAGAAAATTTTGAGTATTTGACAGGCAATATTTCGATTCATAAGTGTGTTTTTTTGCTCTCATTTCTCTCATCTAATTCATCCTGTATAACTATAAAGAAATGCATCCATTGAGTTGCAAAAGTCTTCTATTCTGTTGGCGCCTGCGTACATACCACTGTCAAGATACGTCGCAATTCGGCCACTTGCTCTAGGAGCTGCGCGCTGGACCCTTCGCACGCTTTCTTCTCTCCCCGCATATGCTCTGCACCCTGGACCCGTCGATCAAGATTCTGGCATACCTGGTGTAAAGATTGCAATTGGCACAGCAACAACTGAGCCTTCATCTTCCTTTCTGTAGCATGCGGGAGGTCAAAGTTCCCAATGCTCAGCGGGATGGTCAATGGGACGGCATACAATGAATCTACTGTCCCACCGACCTGTCGTGGCAGGTCAAGCCGATTGCTCGACCGGCTACTGGTCGAATGATTGGATTTGACTGGCGGGCGAGTGGGGTTAGCGCCCGGTTGTGCCCGCAAGGAGACTGACGAAAGCTGCCTGTCAATTTCGGATTGATACAGAGCCCGGTACCAAGTGAGGATTTTGAAAAGAACTGCACCTAGCACCAGAAGCGTGGACGCATCCTGGGTGCAGGCAATTCCTGTGCAATTCAGCAATCGAGATACATTATCCGTGGCTGATTGGGTCAAGCGAAAGATACTGTGGCTTGGAGGGGCTTCTTCTCCTGGGGTGAGAGGTTTACGCTGGTCGCCAGAATTGGATACACTGCCGTTGTTGCGCGTGTATCCATTTTCACAGTCACAGCGTACAAATTGGGACAGAGACGAAAGAAGCCGGCATGCCATTGTAATGCATGGTTCATGCTGATCCTCCTTCACGTCCTCAAGCTCCTCTAGCTCTTCATCGCTTTCGTCGTCATCGCCCCCTCCATCATCATACTCTGAATGGGCGTGGTCTTCCGCAAAATTCTTCCTCGGGAGGGAGTCGAAGTCGCAGTTATCGGTCACCATGGAATCCGCGCTCGAATGATTATGCCATGACATAGTATATTCTGAGTTCGTTGGCAGCTGTGGCGCAGAGTTTTCGTCTGGTATCGACTGATGAGGAGTCAGGCTGTTTGGTGTCCGCCTTTCCCATTCCGTGATTATACTAGTAACATTATCAAGTGTTTGATCCTGTTCACCAGGCGTTGGGAACATAGGTGTCCGAGACCATGCGCAGTTGTAGTTGTAGTTAGACTGGTGATGACTGGGGTGTTGGGCGGTAGCCCATGATGACGAAGTAGCTGGAGCCACAGGACCGGTTTGCGGAAAAAAGAGGGCGGGTGGGGTCAATCGAGATTTGCTAGGAGGTGATTGCATGATGTTGAATTTGTTGGAAGGTGGTTTACCCTTTCGTCGCGACCGGCCATACACACATTCGAGGCTATTTTGAACACAGCGTGAACATCCATGCTGCTCCTTTGTACAGCGTACTTTGGATGCTGCACAGGGGTCACACGAGGCTCGAAATTCGAGCCGCGGCTGGGATCTCTTGTTGGACATTTTATTCTGATTCTGATTTGCGCCATGTATCTGCAGGTGATCTTTCATGCGAGACATTGGCAAGATGGAATGTTGAATGACACACCACCTGAAATTGGCCCTGTATCCCTTAGAGATGGAGATAGAGTGAATGTGATACCGTGATTTCAAATGTCGGAGGTGCGATAGGCATGTGATTCTTTGTTCTTTGTCTGGGCTCCGGGGGGGGCAGTGGAGAGGGAGGGGCGGCCTGGAGGGGGGGGGTGCTTGTTTAATATTCTGGTCAAAGCGTCTGACTTTTCATTTTGGGCGTTTGCAACGTGAAAGAAACTAATCCTCAGCCAAGTCAGTGGCCATGTATTTTGAGGCAATTGATTAGTTTTGGCCGGATCTAAACCTATAAAGGCAGTCTGGTTCTGAATCAGCTTGACAAAACAATGGAATTCTATTCGACGAGGAATCTAGTTCTTATCCAGCCTGGACGCCACAGTGTAGTAGTAGCTGCGGTAAGCTGCGTTTTTGTAACCCCTATTTTCTCATTGCTTTGCCACTCTCTCTCTCTCTCTCTTGACAAGATTTCTGCTATTTTGCTTCCTCTTATTTCTTTTTAGCTCGATCGTGAAAAAGCAAAAGCGCAGACAGGACTAAGTGCTCGTATTGATCCATTACCATACCGCATGACGGATTATTGGCCCCCAACGCTCGCGACGCTCCGTCGTGCGCTAATGTAAGGCCACACTATTTGAAGACGAATCGGGATAGGAAATGGCTCCGTCTAGAACTTCGGACCGTCCATGGCCCCTATCTGCCACTGATAAATTAATTGGCTGCAGTGGAGATATGTGGACGCCTAGTTCATGCATAACACCATTCAGATAACGTAAGGCTGGTATGTATGTGGCTGACAATGATCGGCTCGCACCGCAACCACCCCGCAAAGGTAAAGCATGTGCAGTAATTAGTCAATCAGATTCCCCGACACGTTTATGCAACCTTGCCACTTGTGGACTGAATAATTCGCACTAAAATAGCTCGGTGGAGGAATGTCCAAAAGATAACGAGAACGGCTCAAGAACGCACGTCGGAACCCGAACCCTCGGGTTCGAGCTGCATGTATGAAAACGAAGGATTGCGACCGCGGGGTTCGTCCCCAGGAAATGTCGCCATCTTCCCCGATTGAATTAAATTGCCGATGCATGGGCATGGCTTGGTGAATGGGTGCTCGGGGAATAGATGTTCGGGATGCGTTCGGGGGGTTACATTGAGCCTCTTATCCCGGCATCTACAACCACTGGAAAAGGATACTGGGCTTACCTACAGTAGAACCCCCGGGAAACGTGTTAATGAGTTTAACAGATCAATCGATAGAAAGAAGGCGAGGGATGTTAAATACCGACAACCATTCCGTGAAACAAGGACGAGCCACACTGAAGATCTCAAGCTGTCCAATTCATATAGCAATTCGCTTACATACTTATCAAACAAAATGGGATCCCTCGGTGACTCTTCATCACGAGCCCAGTATTGGCTCCAGGAACTAGTGAGCAAAAGCCAAGTTCTGGACGTGAATGTCGCCGATGAGCGGCGCCAGCTATTTGACCTTGCGCAGAGCTTGTGCTCAGAGCTGGAGACCCCTATGGAGTCAATCTACCGCCTGATTGTCATCCAGGTGAGTTGGTCAGTCCATTGAAACGTAATCATGCACTAAATTCCAATTCGAGCCTATACTCTACATGTCAGTCCGCATTGCAGTCAACCTCAACCTTTTCGATGTGTTAGGACAAGATGGCAGCGCACCTAAGACGGTGAAACAGCTCGCCGCCGCAGTTGGTACCGATGAAACTCTCTTAGGTCGTATTCTTAAGAATATGGCAGCTAGTGACTTGATCCATGAGATTACGCCGGGCACTTATGAGCATACACTTTTGTCAACTTCGCTGTTGAACCTCAGCCATCGTGATGGCTTCTTCTTCTGGTGAATCTAATCTTTGTCTTTTCTATTTCAAAACGTTCCATCGGTTTTAATAGACTTTGCAGTCACGATATCATGCTCCCGTCATTCACAGCTACCCCCCAATTCCTAGCTGAAACCAAATACGCCAACCCCTCCAGCATCACCAGCACCCCCTTCCAACTTGGTCACCACACCAAGTTGACTTTCTTTGAGTATCTTGCCAAGCATCCTGAGCAGGCGCAGCAGTTCAATAACTTCATGGGATTATATGCGACCGACCGGCCTCGCTGGCTGGATGAGGGCCATTTCCCCGTCCGTGAGATTCTTGGCAAAGGAGCCAGCACCGAGAAAGACGCCGTTTTGCTGGTCGATGTTGGCGGTGGCAAGGGTCACGACTTGGTAATATTCCAGAAGCGGTACGGTGATCTTCCCGGACGAATGATCCTGCAGGATCTGCCTTCTGTGATTGAGCAGGCTGGTCAGCTTCCTGAGGGGCTCGAGGCAACGGGTCATGATTTCTTCAAGGAAAACCCAATCAAAGGTAAGATCATATCTCGCAAGTACGATATAAGGATAGAGAGAAGGAACGCTAACATCAAAGTCAGCCGCACGAGCATACTACTTCCATTCGGTCCTCCACGGCTGGCCCGACGCAGCATGCGTCGACATTCTTCGCGCGGTTGCGTCCTCAATGAAGCGTGGGTACAGTAAACTACTGATAAATGAGATCGTGATTCCAGATGAAAAGGCCCATCGTTTGGGAACCTCGATGGACTTGCTCATGATGACAGTCGTGGCCGCTGAAGAGCGCACTGAGCACAAATGGCGGTACTTGCTTCCCTTAGCTGGACTGAAGCTGGTGAAGATCTGGAAGTTCGAGATTGGTACTGAAAGTCTTATTGAGGCTGAGCTGGCGGATGACGCTACTGTGGTCGTTCCTAACGAATAGACCTCGAGTAGACTTAGACCAATCTACTAGAAGTTAGTTTTCAATTATGAAATGAGTGCACAATATGTTGTCACTCATACTAGGTAGACTAAACAGTCCTTGCCTCCGACATAAGTTGGCTCTTCTCGCACACAGAATATTAAAGTAACTCCTCCTTCGGTATGCACCACGAAAAGATATCAGTTAATTAGAGTTATGTCCATTTACTAGAGTTTGATTTTGCATACCATGCAGGCCTAGGTGGCCTGTGCCATGTGCTATGTGCCCTATCGATAAATGAAAACATGCACATATGCATTATGTACCTAGCTCATATGTGTACCTCAGCTCTTGCAAGCATTCTACACGACCCCATTGTGTTTGTATTAAATTAATTCTTCGGATGAGCTCAGAATTCTATAATGAAAAGCAAATGACTGCCATTGATTTGTATACTATATTTAATCATCCACGAACAAAGTCATATTGATACAAGATAATTGGTCAGCAGGCCTTCCTCATATAGAAATCTCTGTAGGGGAACTATATGCGTGTGGGAACCTCTTCAAATTCTCTGCCACCTCTCCTTTTCGCCGACAGAATTGGACGTATGAGCCATCATTCCGCAACAAGCCTTCATCTTTCAAGCTTAAATATTCAGCTCGTGGTAAAGGAGTAAAGCCCCATAGTTTGCTAACAACAACTTTTTGCCGACCGGGGAACTTATACATCGAGCGGCGTAGCGCCTCCACTGCAGTTGCTCGATGGCGATCGACAGTTCGGACGGAAAGCAGAATCTGGCCCACCTTTACACGAGCCACTTTGCCAGCTGGCTTACCGAATGCGCCTCGCATCCCGGTTTGGAGACGGTCTGCACCGGCGACACTCAGCATCTTATTGATTCGGATTACATGGTGAGGGTGCACTCGGACGCGCATGTGGAAAGTCTCTTTGCCTGCAACTTTGACAAGATATCTATAGAAAAGAACGTAATTTAGTCTTTAATGATAATAAATTGAGGAAGTTCAGCTGACTCACTTATTGGCACATATACGCGCAGCTTCTAAAGCTTCTGAGCTCAGCTGTTCGTATTCGTTGGACACCAAGTGCACGGCGCATGGGAAGTCGTCCACAGAAGCTTTCTTCCGTCCCAGATCAAAGATACGAATCTTACCATCCGGGACACCACGGTTAAAGCGTGACTTAGGGTAAGGCTATATAGTAAATATCATTAATACGATTTTTCAATTTTATTTGCGCGGAGGCATCAGCCAGAGTAAGCTCTAACCTTGTTTTTGCAGTAACGATAGCATCGGGCAGGTCTGCGCGCCATCTTTTTGAGCCTTAACGAGAAAACCGTCAGATATAGAGGGAACAACTTAGGAAAGCCAACGAATCAGCCTAAGCCTTAAATAAGAATACACAGAGGAGCTGAGTTCTCCCGATTCGGGCATTGAAGGACGGGGTCCGACGGGGTCCGTGTATGCGCCCCTTTCCGCCCCCACATTGCTTCGGTCTCCGAAGGCGGCTTAAATATCTCCCCGCAAGATCTACCCGCAAGATCGGCCCGTCACCTGTCTGCCCTTGATTGGTCATTGGGTCTTTGTTAGGTTCCGTTACTGGCTGATCTCATACATGTTACATTGTTTGTGTCCACAGAAAATATGAGTAGGCCCGATAAGCGCTGGTTCGGATGTTTAGCAGACCGTTCTAGCTGACATATTACGCCAACAATTAGTAAGATTTCCTCTGCTTGGTAAAATTTCTCTGTGGAAAAATTAAATCCTTTGTTTGCTTCTAATTATATATGCTGAATTTCTCACTCGAAGAAAAGTCATCAACCTTACTTTCATTCCAACACTTCTGTTCCAATTGGCCCTTGGTTTCCATCGCAATCAGCACCAATGGAGAACCACAGTGACATGTCCTCGAGCGACGTCGAAAAAACCCACAACGCCGTCGATGTCACAGCCGACGGAAATGTGACCAACGATCCCGAGCTTCCTCCGCGCGACATTCAAGGATGGAAGTGGATTGCTGTTGTGTTGGCGATTCTGAGCTCGACCTTCCTCTTTGCACTGGACAACACTATCACTGCAAACATTCAGGCTGAGATCGTCCGAGACTTTGAATCTGTCAACAAGCTATCATGGATAAGTGTTGGACTAGTCATGAGTGCTTCTGCAACTGTGCTTCTTTGGGGTAAAATTTTCTTCCAATTCAACACAAAATGGACCTACATCATCAGCGTCGCGATCTTCGAGGTCGGATCTGCGGTTTGCGGATCGGCACCTAATATGGATGCCCTCATTGTGGGTCGAGTTCTTTGTGGTATCGGTGGGTCTGGACTATACTGCGGTGTGATCACACTTCTGGCAGCCACCACCACACTACAAGAGCGACCAATGTATGTAGCAAGCACTGGTATGACATGGGGTCTCGGTATGGTCCTCGGCCCAATTGTGGGAGGAGGATTCAGTCAGAGCTCTGTCGGCTGGCGCTGGGCTTTCTACATAAACCTGTTGATTGGAGCGGTCTGTGCACCGGTCTACCTCTTTCTCATCCCGAATATCGATCCCCGAAAGGGAGCTCCTCTCACCACCCGGCTCCGAGAGATCGATTGGCTAGGTAGCATTCTCAACCTAGGTGCTTTCCTATCTGGTATCATGGCTATCTCTTTTGGTGGCTTGACCTGGGCCTGGGGAAGTGGGAAGATCATCGGTTTATTCGTCTGCTCGGGCGTGCTATTCATTTTGCTTGGGTTCCAGCAGGCCTTCACTATTGGTACTACCACTACCCGACGAATCGTGCCAGTAGAATTCTTCAGGTCCCGGACAATGCTCATCCTCTTCGCCTGCACAGCCGCAGCCGGTACAGCTTGTTTCGTCCCCGTCTACTTCGTTCCACTCTTCTTCCAGTTCACCCGAGGCGATGGTGCGCTTGACGCCGGTGTTCGTCTACTGCCTTTCATAATTCCTTGCATTGTCATGATCTGTGTCAACGGCGGAGTTATGTCTGCATACGGTCTATACATGCCGTGGTACACAGTTGGAGGCGCTCTCGTGCTCACCGGCGGCGCCCTGTTTTATACTGTCGGTGTTGACACAAGCACTGCTCATATTTATGGATACAGTGTCCTTACCGGCTTGGGAACTGGAATGTATCTCCAAGCCTCGTTTTCGGTTGCTCAAGCTTCTGTCGCCCTTGATATGGTGGCTAGTGCTTCTGGATTCATCACCTGTGCCCAGGTCGTTGGCACTACTATCGCTTTGGCGATTGCCAACAGCGTGTTTTTGAACGAGTCCCAAAGGAGTATCATTCACCTTCTGCCCAACATATCCCTTCAGGAAGTTGAGACTGTGATTTCTGGTACCTCTACCCTCGTCTCGTCTTTGCCCGCCGCGGAGAAAGTCAAGATTGAATCGGCCATTGTGGACGCGATGGGTGAGACATACATCCTCGTTATTGTTGCTGGTGCCCTGACTCTATTGCTTGGTCTGGCAATGAAGCGTGAACGTCTGTTTTTACAGCCTGGTGCTGCTGCATAGACTACGTTTTTATCCGATGGTGGATGACGCGGGATAGGTTGAAGAAACCTTGGAAAAAGGGTGAATTTTCATAACAAAACTTGGCAATATTTGTGAAATAACGATACACAATTAGAAGATGACGAGGACGAAGTGGATTTCATGAAATTTCTTTACTCATTTATGAAGATATTTTAATATAATAATACAACTCGTGGTAGATAGGCAGGTCATTAATTTGATATTACACCTTTTTCATAGATTCAAGAACTGGAATGATTTATTTCATAGACGGGTGTCAGCAATAAATCACCGAGAGAGCTTGATTTGATGATTAGTAGTAAGGATAGAGACGATTGGCGCCACCAGCTTACCGAGCAACATCAGAAGCCTGCGACTTCGGCGTTTTCTAGGTATCTTAAAATTTAATTATTTTTCTTAGATTCAATTTCTCGGAATTTTGATGTGAGTTCAAGCTGAATGTAGTGAGGCTAAGCGGATGGAAATCCAAGAAAATACTAGTATGAATTTGGGGAGTGGGAATTCTCTCACTACCCTATATATATGTCTATCTAGTACTAGTATGGGCACTCCTTTTATACCGCATCGATGTGATAAAACATGGGAAAGAGCAGAAGCGAAGCCATAGAAAGGGGTGTGGAATGGCAAACAAATGTGGGCCTAAGGCTATAGCCTCGGTAGAATGCATTCCTTAGTCCCCCACAACCCGATTCAATGAAGCCGGCCTTGAATATAGGACCCTCGTTAGGCCTCAATCAGACACCGGTGACCCTTCGGAGTCATGAGGAAAAAGCACTTCATAAGCATATCTTCTCTACTCATCCCCTCCTTTTTGGAAATGCGAGCCTCGGGAAATCGGCGGAAGAACAAAGCAGTAGCGAGACGAAGTTCGATACGGGCAAGATGTATTCCAATGCAGACTGTGAACATTATATCAGCAATCTCACCTTGAGCGATGAGTTGACATCGAAGCAAAACCTACCTCGCGAACCGCCACCAAATGGCATTGACATATCTTTCATTGACTTAGTTGTATTTTGCCAGCGCTCGGGCATGAATCTATCTCACAATCAGCGATTTGAATCATCTGTCTCGTTGCAGGTGCCTTGCCTTTCTGGTTCCGGAAAGATCGCAGGGTCCCGATGGAGGCTATACGACTGTGTAGATACGGTCACACCACTAGGAATAAAATAACCACAGAAGTTTGCACCCTCTGGTGGAACAGCCCGAGGTAGGCCAAAGGGGATAGCAGTGTAGAGGCGCAGAGCTTCACTTATAACATTACCCAGATAAGGCAGATTGCGAAGATCTTTGTCTGTTACTGGTTCAGGTAAATCAGACAACTCTTCAACCAGTTTTGCTTGTATCTGAGGATTCTGGCAGACAGAAAAAATAAGATAAGTCAAAGTGACAGCCGTGGTATCGCTACCGGCAATAATATAGCCCTGCGCCTCGTATAGGATGTCTTCCATGCTGAGACCACTCTTCTCGGTGTCAAAGATCTTTGTGAATAGGGTTGGCTTGGGGTTCTCTGGGTTCTCTTCGAGGTGTGTCTTATATCGCTGAATCGACTGGTACGCGTAGAATCCGATCCGCATTCCAGCTGCCGCTGTCGATTTGAAGAGAGGAAGTGGTAGGTAAGCCCCAAGTTTGACGAGGGTCGGGAAGATTGTTCGGATAGGTTGGATCCCGGCGAGCATCGCTAGATCTCTGGAATATTGAGTCGGCTAAAAAGTCAACACTTCTCTTAATGAAGAATTTGACTAGTGAAGCTCAACTCACTGTGCCTGCCTCGAGCATTTTGAAAGATTCTCCAAAACTCAACTCGCCGATGATGTCGGTCGCCATAAATAACCACCATTTGAAAATATCTGCAGCACCTCGGTCCATCATCTCCTCTGAGATGCGTTCAATGGTATAATTAACTCGATTAGAAATCTGAGGCAGATGATGGGATAGTGCAGAGTCGGCAATTGGCGATGCAAGGAGTCGACGACGAGCGGCATGGAAATGTGAGTCGGCAGTGCTGAACAAGTTGTCAGTTTCCATCGCGGTTAGCCGCTGGTAAAACTCTGTCTTGTAGTATTTGGTGTTTGTCTTGTGGATCTCTTTTACTGCATACGCGTCGCAGATGTCAACTCGAGTCGGGCTGACCCGTACGATAGGGCCTGTCGTTCATCAGTCAGTGATTGACCGACCGGAAAACATATACTCAGTTTTGGATAGTTTCGAATTTCCATTACCATATTTTTCATGCAAAGAATGGACATAGTCAGGAAGTTGACCCTTCAGGGAGTAATAGTTGTGAAGCAAATTGGTCCACTTGGCAGATCTAGGCCCGGGAAGCCTGTTGAGAGGGTTACTTAAAACTTGATAAATAAATCTCTGGATGATAAAATGTTAATCTTGGCGTTTTATGCGCTCCTTGGAGTGTAGAAAACATACAAGGAATATTATTGCCGTCAAAGATAGCAGAAGGACGAAAGCGTTGCCGACAGACAAGTTGGGATTAATTCGGTTCAGCATTTTGAATGATCCGATTTTTTTCCCCTTAGATTTGTAACTGCAGTATTTTGCTCTAGAAAGTTTGTTATTTACTATCATACTAGTATATAAATAGTCAAGATCCTTCAAGTTTGCGTGCGGGGTCTGCATTCAGGCTGTCTGCAGTGCAACCCTGCATGTCAGCAACTCGCAGTCCGACTGTTGCCGACGCGATCCTGCCGCGGAGGTTTTGAAGTGGAACACCGCTCTCGAGGTCCGATTTTTGCCTCATCACTCATAGCGTTTGGATTTCTTGTCTCAAGTGGTTCAAGCTGGTAGTTACGCACTGACCTCGGGATAACTCAATCCCAACTTCGAAGAGCGCTTTGATGAACAGCATTAATCCCTGCAGCCAACAAGCCGAACTACACCACATCTGAATGACCTTTAGAAATCTGTCACATCCTAGGATGTAATAAAACTAAATATAGTGTCACGCTGACAAATTGAATGATTTTCCGTCGTATTAGTGGGAAATGTTTGTGTTCATTTTGGCCTGCCCTCATTCGCTGCCAGAGTGATCACCATACCTTTTAGAAAGCGGCGTGCATTCAATAGGACAAAGTCGTTTTCGGAATTGTGTTGGCCAGCACGTACTTTCATGATTTGGCCTTGGAACGGACGTCAATAAGACTGAATATTGGTGAGTGATGGAACACAAAGTATAGATAGTTTCAAATATTCTTAGTATGCCATCCCGGTTGGTGAAGTGTATTCTGCAGAAGTACTTCTCTGGATTCGAGACTGTTTATCATTTTGCACCAAAGCACAGCATGTGCAGCAGGCAGAGGGCACGCAGTCTCCACAGGCTGAACCTTTGATATAAAAGTCCTTCTTAATTTACTTCGTTGCAGCATAAGTGGTAACCAGTGTATCGCGCAAGTCCCAAGTATCAAAATAAGCAACACTAGGGGTACTGTATTAGTAACACTTCTGGAATTGAGGGGGCTTACGGTTCTTGATGTTACATCAAAATTTTATTTCTGCTCTCCATTGAATCGCGAATATGTTTTGCCAAAAATACAATGGAAAGAGACATGCACAACAGCCTATTGGGGACATTCTGAGCCGATGTTCTCAATGATGATGACTGGCGACTTACAAATTTTTGCTGGATCCCAGTATGCCCAAAGGGAATAGCTCCAGTTATGGCTGACAGAGTTATTGGAGTCGGAAGTTGTCATTCTATCAAAAGGTGGCTGTAGAGTGGCTTGACCATAGTCCTAGGAGGCAGGAGAGTGCCAACCGTCTTTATTATGGGTGGCACCCTTTACTTGCTCAGTTGGCCGACTGTAAAATGAACTATTTAGCATGGCTTACGCCATTATGACTAATATTATTTGAGATCATTCCGTGAAACTTATAAAAACGCTCATACAGTCACTCTCGAAATCGCCTTGACCAACTTACACTGAGAAAGTCTTTCCTGGCCCCACCGCCAACGCCTTAGCGCACATCATTTATTGAGCAGCCCGCATTGAACTGAGGGGCTCCGTAAAATGAGGCGTGTATTTCAGGGGAAGCTGCAAGAGGCAGAGGAGATGTATCAGCGAGCACTGGCTGGCATAGAGAAGGTTCTCGGTCCTGATCATACGTCCACTCTTGATACAGTCAACAACCTTGGGAATCTTTACAGTGCGAACTGTATCAAGAGTAGAAATATGATCAGGACCGAGAGCCTTATCTTTGCCTGCCAGTGCTCGCCGGTATCTTGCAGCTTCCCTTGATCTAAGTAAAAATTCCCAAAGTTGTTGACTGTATCAAGAGTGGACGTATGATCAGGACCGAGAACCTTCTCTATGCCAGCCAGTGCTCGCTGATACATCTCCTCTGCTTCTTTCAGCCTCCCCTGATAAAGATAGAGAGTCCCAGAATTGTTGACTGTACTAAGAGTGGACATATAATCTGGACCGATAGCCTTCTCGTAGCCTACCAGTGCTCGCTGGTACATTATGCAACACAATATGAATCCTACAGCGAAGCTTGACTGCTCTTCGCATATCCATTCTCGTTACGATAATTCGCGCCCTACGTCTATGTCTCAACCGAAAGTGCAATATTTCTTCGCGCTAGACTTTTATCAAGCCCTTCATGTTATGATTCCCCTCCTAGGATCAATTATCCAGACAATGCGCTTCTTGGGGCCAGAAAACTGTGCATTATCAATTGTAGAGGGTCGATCGACGGATGGTATACGCGGTTCTTGCCGACCTAAAGCAAGATCTTGCGGCTCAGGGAATCCGATATTTCCTCTCGTGGAGCTATGTCTCACCAAAAGCTGACGGCGAAAACCGCATCACTGCATTAGCAACTTTATGCAACCCCGCCCTGGAACCTTTTTCCCGAGACAATAAATGGACCATATGGCTGAACAAAATCGAAGATTATATTCATTAATGATGTCGTGCTCTGCCTTGAAGATATCTTAAAGCTGCTGCATCAACACTCCTTACAGACGGCGACGATGATCTGCGCATTCGATTGGAATGGTAGTGGCGGTTCGTTCTATGATATCTGGGTATCTCGCTCTATGTCGGGAAATCTTTTTTTCGAGGTCACACATGATGGTGTATACTGGCTCGGGGACGATATGTTCTTCGATCATCCGGATAGTAAGACACGGTGGGACCAGTTATTTCCGATACAAGTCTATTCATGCTGGGGAGGGATGGTTACACTTGAAGCGGAACCATTTCTTGGCAGGAACATCTTTTTCCGCAGCTCGGAAAAGGACGAATTCTATATGGGTGAGCTGATGACTCTTGCCAAGGATTTCTAGAGAGTCGGGTTAGGAAGAATTTTGGCTGTGCCATCGGTAAATGTTGGATACGAATACGATTGAGCTTGTGATGCGAAAGAGAAGCGAGGCTACGTGCATCAGATTGTTGGCCACACCCAATACAACACGAAGGATGAGCTCGTGAGTTGGCAAAAATCACCTCCATCAATGGTAAAATGCATGCCTGTATTTTCACGACAATGGTGGGTGCCGCCTACGTGACTTGATATTGGAGATATGTCTTGCACGTGTTTCAGATCGATTGCACATCTTTTATTTACTCAAAACCACAATAGCCTCTTTGTTTACTGTATGGATCTAGATACTGTATCATTCGGCGTTGTAAAAATGCCAGCTCCAACGCCATCGAGAAAAACATAGCATGTATCGCGCCTATAGTAGACCACGCATCGACGGTCTGACATGATCCGCTCCGGGACAAGGTTCACCTTCGCAACATGAACACAGTCCAGAGAACCGTGTTAATCAGGATCTTGTCGTCGTTCAGGACGGTAGCAACCACAATATTAGAGGTTGAAGCGCATATACTTCCCACGCACCTCAGCCTTCGCTATCGAGCACAACGCACTATAGCGAGACTATACACTCTACCTCGTGACAACCCCATTTGGGATGCCCTGTCAAGAGCCCGGAATCGTAAGAACAATGTGGGATCATACGCCCGCTTCCCCATTGCGGAAGCCTTAAAGACTATGGATGTCGACAGGCTCAACGCACTGGAAATGATTGACCCTCGCCCGTTGCTCCCGTGGCGGTCGGACGCCTTTACGGAGATCGAGCTCGATCACGACCGGGAAACAGCGAGAGAACGAGCAGAGATTGTGAGGAACATATCTAATATTGCTATCTACTCGGACGCCTCCGGTCGCGAGGGTTATCTGGGGGCTGCCATCGTCGCACTCAATGACGACGATGAGGTGATGGAGTCTCAACAAATCCAGGTGGGACCGATGGATAGTTGGTCGGTTAATGTAGCAGAACTCATTGGCATCTTCTACGCGGTCAAAGTGGTGTTTAAGTTAGCTGAAGTCTGGATTGCTCTTTCAACACATCCGTTTCCCCTGTTCTTCGAACTGACAATCAGGCGCTCATTCCACAACCTGTTCATTCAGTTCGATCAACGTTTTAGTGCTATCAGTTACTTTAAAATCAACGGTAGTTGTAGAAGCATGCTCACAAAAAAATGTGGTGGTGATGAAGAGAAGCCGCATGGGGTTTGCAAACCAGCTGATTATGTAGACGAGACTACATACCGCAATTTCGGAGTACCCAGAGCTTTGAAGAAGGAGGCCTTGACACCTCAGCGATAATTCCGGGGCTTTTTTAGATAATAAACACGATTAGGGGAAGACCAAAACCTGGGATTTATTATAAGAGGTCTCCTCGGTTCCTCGCCGGTAGGGATCTAAGGGATAGAGATCTGGTTTCTGTTCCCTATAGCCTTCTAATTAATTTATGTATTTAGTAGACTTATTCCTAGCCTGACTGTTGTTGAGGGTTCTATAGCTAGAGTAACGCTGCTTTGTTGCTTATAAGCAGTGTAATTCTGTATTACTTCAATCCTATAAGCATACTTAATACGTATGCTATTACCGCTAGCTCTCCAGAGCATAGATTTTGTTCTGCTCTGGTGCCTAATATAACGGAGAAAGTCTTTATTTTTAGTTTCTGATACCGAGGCGGCTGCTTCTTGATCGCAACCCCAAATCCTACTATCTGGATATTCCCTAGATAAAAGCTGCTTTTTATTTTTATATATACCTTTATCTTATTTTATCTTATAGTTTTATCTTATTATATAGTTTTTCTTTTTTCTTTTATATCCTAATCTGGCTAGTTGGGGGTCTGTTCTCTAGAGCCTAAGAGTAAAGTCACAACAGAGATTCTAGTTATTATCGGCTAGCCTTCTTTTCTAATATATATAGTATCTGTTATCACCTACTACAGTAGTATCCTAGTACTAGTACTACTATAGAGACCTACCAGGTACAGAAGCAGATAGTTATAATCACAGAACTCCTAAATAGTCAATATTCTATCAAGTATAATGATCAGTTTATCTATAATAACCATCAGTCAGATCTCAAGCCCAAGGAGGCCGTTTAAATTTAGGAGCACACGTGCCATAGGGACCCCCTTGTCTTCGATACAGAATCAGCTTCTACAAGCAAAGCTTTGAATGGGCATTCTACATAGGATAAATCATTTCCATTGTCCAAACTGTCTGTTTTCATAGCACTAACTCTACCAATGTACTCCATTTTTAAAACCAGCTGGCACAATATTATCAGAATTACCCATCACTTTCTAACTCTCTCCGTCGAGTCAATACACAAATCAAAGGCTGGTTATGTGTATATGCAAAGGGCTTCGAGTGCCGTCAATTAATAACTCCCCTTGTGGCCATCTGGTATGGGTCTGAATCCGCATCAACCCATGCCCCTTCTCTACATTTGTCACCTGAGCGATGTGCAATCTCCCAAGTTTGGATCTTCTTCAAGACTTTATAGATATCACTATATACTAGTACCATGCCTGATTTAATCCTGTTCCGCCATTCTTCCACCTCTATTCAGGTTCAGTACTAAAATTATATTGATACGAATTTGCGTCAACTAGACCTTAGGTTGAACTAGTACAAGAGGTCTACTGGCACGTGATATCAAGTTCCTTTGAAAACTCCCAGAATATTCTAGGGTAGAAATGAGCATATTAGGAAGGAGGCCCAGGAAACAACGATCCCTCCTCAAAGTCAGCCTCGTCCGGCTCATGGCCACCTGCAAACACGCCCATTTGCATACCCTCATCCTGTTAGAACTTCTCTTTCTTCCCACACTTTGCAAACTACCTAATCTTCACCACCAACTCTTCTCGCTTTTCTTACTTGTGAGTCCACCCAGTCCAACCAATTCCAATTTACACCAATGAATCCCAGGAAGTCTTCATCCCCGTGAGTAACACTTGTACGTGATGCGCGTTCCCACCAACTACCTGCGAGCTTCCGTTGTTGTATCAAACGGCTGGATTATTCTGTCGCGTTCTCTGCAGGCTGGATTGCCTTTCATTCCATCCATTGATTTCACAAAAAGGCTGCATTGGTCATGGTGCTAGCCCGTCTACTTGTGCTTGAATGCTAAAACAATCTCCAGCACAATGTCAGGCCCGCTCCCATTGGAGATGCAGAGTATCGACGAGTCTGAGCTGTGTCCATTTTGCTCCAAGTGCGTGGCTCAGACTCCCAGATCGGTTAAGTCTCTCACTCCCATCATGCCACGATCACAGCCATGCGACCTTTCTGGCGATCAAACCATTCCGAAGCTAATAAACATGACAGCCATTTCTCTCCAGGCCATATAGTAGCTTCTTTCCAGTCTAATCTCGCTCTCCGAGCTAGACTGGAGGAGGTCAACAAGGAGGATCAAGAGAAGCTCTGCCAGCTGAAGGTGAAAACAAAAAGCAAAAAGAAACTCTCCCTCGGGGAATCGAACCCCGGTCTCCCGCGCTTATCGGTGTTAATGACAAGCGGAAATCATGACCACTAGACCAAGGAAGATGAGATAGTCGAGTTACTGCTCGACCACTTGGGGGTGGTTGATGTTTGCTGGGCGGAATTTGGCATTATGAACACATTTCATAAAGGGTTGAGAGGAACATTCCCAGATCTCGATATATCTCTTCTGTAGACACCCCACGCTTCATGAATAGCATATTAGTGATTTGTCATATTTCGGAGCATATTTTGAGCATACTTGGTGAATTTTGAAGATACCAGTGCACTCGGTGGGATTTTTCTAATTTGTGTTTGATTATATATTTCTTGGTGCATAAACCTATTGGCAACACCCTTCACAACTCAGTTTATTTACCGACAACGTATTTTCGAAAAATCAGAAAAAGAAGATTTAGCACACATCTGCTAAAATGTCCCCTTATCGAATACCTTCCCGTGTAAAAATATACCCATTTGCATGCTAGACACTGTTTTCAAGTTGCTAACCACCCCCCCAAGTCGGGGCATTCAGTTACTGCCCCGCTCCCGAGGTTTTAAAAGTGGGGCGCCATTTTACTATCGCCCCGACCTTTCTCCTAGCTTTAAGGGTGCTCGGTCCGTCTAGGCAAATCATTCCTAATAAATTTCCAAATACAGATAATTTAGAATGCACACAGAGCTCTCGGACGGAGACAATGGGCAAAATCGCCCAAGTTTAACCGAGATGGCAGCCAATTCTTCCACCAACCGGGACCTTTTTAATTGCAGAGGCTCTGGTAGCTATTAGTAGCGGGGCCAGGGTAAATTGCCTTAGTGACCGGATTCACTGTTACCCGATTTTCCAGGACTGTCTTCATCAAACTAGAAGAATTTATTTTATTATCAAATAATATGCAATCAGGCTGACAGAAGGTGAAGTGTTGCTCATGCATGCTTATCCAACGCCGAACTCCAATCAAGTCTTGCCAAAATTCCGTAAAACAAAAGCTCAAAATGCCCCATATGCTCATGAACAAGGTGACGAATAGAAAAAATATCATAGCTCCAGAAGTTAAAAAGAACGCCGGCTATTGTCGACAAAATCAAGGATCTTTGAGGCAATCTCGAGCGGTGATGCCCCTGTCGAGTCGAGTGTGAGCCCCGGACAATCGTCGAAGCGAAAAAGGTCGTATTTCTCGCGAATCTCTCGGACCAATTCGACATTCGTTAACTTCTTCGTCCCACTATCAATTCGCTCGATAGTGTTGACACGCTTGAGATTCGTTTTGACGTCGCAGACCAGGTAGACCGGCAGAAACGGCCTGCCTGATTCTAGAGCAGCTATTTTATACTCGGTTGCCACATCTCGACCAAGATTATTATTCGCTTGAAAGTCTGAGCAAGAAGTTAGTCTAGTAGGCTCATAGGAAACTGATGTATATAATCTCGTAGCATAGGAGCACGCGCGATTGGAACTCACCCGTGAACACGACTAGCTTAGAGAGCGTGTCTTCATTGAATACTTGCTGTTTGAATATGGCTTGGCGATAAATATGTCGCTCTTTTAGATAATCGGGATGTAGTCGCGGAAACTTGACCTCGACGGGGTCGATGAGCTTATGAGAATCTAGGATTATGGCTCCGTCTGGCACAAGCTGTCTTATCACTTCGCAGACCGTGAATTTGCCCGAGCCTGGATACCCATTAACCCATATCATTGGGGCTGCAGGCATTTGAATAGCTGTTGTGTAAGGCAGACTCGAAAGTCGAGCGAATTTTGAGGTTCCTGGTGGAGCATTCAGTGCGTCATGAATCGAAACAGGGTGGCTTACCAAGGGATGGATTGATGACTCAGGCGGAATGGGGTCGCGAAACTTTAAAGTGGTCCCCCCCCCCCATTTACCATTTACCCCATTGCGGAGTACTGAGAACCGTACGAACGAAGTAAGCCTTAATGTGCGATCCCCCGCAGATCGCACAGACCCTGCATTGAAATCCCGATGAAAGAGATTAAAGGGTCAAATTTTCTGATTCAAACTAACAGGATATCCGTATCGAGACCGATTTCCCTCCAATCTATTGCTATAAGACCCTTGTCCATATTTGTTTCCAACTGCAGAAGGTCCCTTCGTATCCACACATTTTCGACAATTTGTTTGATTTTCCGTCTGTTCCCAAGCCCGAAATTGCTGGATTGTTCAAGCCATTCTGTGGCCAAGCCAATGTCGTATTCCGTATAAGCCTCCACTGCAGCGATAAACGCTGGCCATAGAGAGAAATTTCCCTTGCTTTCAGAATAAAAGGCATGAGTATTGACGAATACCAATTCCACATATTTAGCAACTCGGCGTGGGCGCACATCCAAGAGTGATCGGTAGAGATAGATATATGTGGCATATAGGAATGCGCTCAGCTGGTACCGCGCCAGGTTCTGAGTCAGGGAACTATTTTCTGGAATTTCCGCGATATTATTTCCTTCCAGCTGCATGCGAATATCTTTCAGACAGCTTAACACACGAGAGATAGTTAGATCAATGTCGAAAGGGTCATCGGAAGTCATGCCCGACCGCATTTTGTGCTTGGCGTCTGTTATAGATGATATGCACTCAAGTAAAGACTTTTGCGCCCCAATGGTGAATCCAAATTCCGGGGTTGACAAAATCGACGAGGTATATGCGAGATCTCTGGAGTTACAGGGATGTACAGTGTCGACATTTCGATATGATGATGCATGCTGCAAGCCAAGTTCACGCGAACAACTCTCAGCACCTCCCAAAGCGGTGCCACTGATGATTCTCACAATGAGTAAACTCTGAATCGAGAAACGTGTAAATGGAGATTCATCCCAGGACTCAAAACTATGCGGGCCAAGGAGGAGCGCCCATGCCCCCCGAAGATGATGCTTCCATTTCTCCGATTGGCCGCTGTATACCTTTAGACCAATTTTAGCAAATGCCCCATATTGGCCGGCATTATTGCCCGAGAAATTCCTCGAAAAGACTTACCTCAGCCATCATCAACGTCATAATTGCAGCAAGCGTACTTGCAGAGTCCCTATTGACAGACCCAATGCTTTCGTTCACGTATTGGATTGACATGTTATAGTGTTTCGTAGCCGAGCGTAATCGCATCGATGTAGCATTGTCAGGGCCTAAATTGGCCATGTTGAAAGCAGAATGGGCAATAATGGCATGGTACAAAGCCTTTTCCCCGGGGAGTAAATAGCGAATGGAGACTGATGGATAAAACACCTTCCAGGGATTAGAGGGCCCATGGGGGTTTTCAAAAGGCACCATGATGGACGCAACATGGTCCACATAGTGGTGGAAGAGAAGTCGGTCTTCGTTCGTAGCATGATTTATGTTCCTACCCCCATTGGACAAGATGCTTTCGACTCTTACGGGGAATACAGAGAAAGGATTTTGGCTGGCACCCGTAAGAAATCGTTCTCCGATGCCCTCAGCAAGATCGCACTCAGAGATCAGAAGATCGACCGCGTCAGAAGCAAGAGGGGGATGACCTTCCCAAGTGCGCTCTGTTTTCTCGTTAGTGAATTCAGAATCGCGCAGAGGAGGTAATGAATAGACCTCAAATAACTAACCGCAGTGCAGAAGTCGGCGCCCATTGGATCGGTACGATTTCTTTTCGTCCAACCACACGAGACGAGAGCTCGAGCCATCACAAGCCAAGCCCAGTCTTTTGCAGGCTGAGCAGGGGAGATTCGTCTCGTGAGATTTTGCACATTTTACCTTACGCGATCGGCATTGCCAGCATCCGGTGAATTCTCTGCACCGTTTCTTGCCTGGTAATCGAGTCTTGTCATTCATGCTGCTCCGCCGATCACTTTTTTCCAAATGTGCTGAAGGGGGCATGTCATGGCGAGAAGTTGGAGGGGATTCCAGCCCGCCTAAGCCTATTCCGGTGCCCGGCGGCGACTATCGTGATTGGGGGCCATAACTGATTGGCCGTATTCGATTAAGAATCGAGACTTAGTGCTTACTGGCTAGGTTCAACTAATCCCATTTTCAATGTTTCAATACCATTTTACTGAGAGTGAGATGTTCTATTTGTACCCGTCACAGACCCCGATCACAGACCCCGATCACATAACTGGCGCCTGTCGCTACATCAAGGCTAGTCAGAATTACGTGTCAGGATTTTTTGTTAGACGGTGCCGATTGAAATCCAAATACAATGCCTACTCATATATACGGGAAAGATTATTATTTCAGTGAAAATGGCGGCGATTTATCTTGAATCGATGTAAGTTTACAAACTATCAACCAATATAAAGCTTATCTCGGTATGAGTTGCTTTACCTCCTCGGTGTGCGGAGTCGTAGTGGAGCTAGCTAATCCTTTCTCCGCGCCCCGACGGCAGCTGTCGATTATAGGTATGGGTCATGGATGAAGGGAGAAAAAAAAATTCAAGAATCATATAAATACATTGTGGCGAAGATCGGGTAGCCGATATCGCGACATTATCTTTTTCAAGTTTCATTTTGCGCCTGGGGAAATGGCTCTATCAAACGAGGCCGATCGGGTCACAGCGATTCTAGCTAGCCCTGGCGTGGACGATCTAGAACGAGGAAGCGAGACTATCCAGCGAAAGAGTTCATTGGATCCTACGGAATGGAGCGAGGTAGGCGAGCAGCTGCATTTCTTTTTTGAAAATAATTGAATCGAAAAGAAGCATTTCACTAAAATCTCAACAGAGAAAGAAAATGTTCGTGGTCTTCGTTGGCCTTCTTACATTATTTAACAGCGTTTTTGATTCAACGATACCAAGTGGTGGCATTCGTTCCATATGTGCTTTCTTCAACGTCGACAGTGAAACACAACAAGTTCTACCGACGTCAGTATACCTGATCGGGTACGTTATGGGACCTCTAGTTTTCGGACCCATGAGCGAGGTCTACGGCCGACGAGTGGTGATGGTGGCAACTTTCATCCCATTTACGATATTCACACTGGCCTGCGCGTTTTCGCCGAACTGGGCCGGATTTTTGGTTTTTCGAACTATTGTCGGCATCTGTGCATCTTGTCCCATCGCAGTCACTGGGGGTTTGTTTTCTGATGTCTACCAAACCCCGCTCGCAAGAGGGAGAATGATGGCACTTTCAATGGCAGTGACGACTGCAGGTCCTCAATTTGCCCCGATGATCTCGGGATTTCTTGCACAGGTTGGCTGGAGGTGGATTTTCTGGGTCTCGCTGATTATTGCGGCCGTTACCCTCGGACCGGTCTTATATCTGCCAGAGACATTCGCGCCAATTCTCAAGCAAGCCTATCTCCCGAAAAAGCGAGATGAGGGCATATTAGTCAAGGCTTTTACGAGACCCGTGCATATGATATTTTGCGAACCAATCATTTCTTTGACGTGCTTGTACTTATCATACGCAAGTGCGATTTTCTGTGAGTGAGCTCTGCCAACGATGATCTAAACATTTCCGGGGATGCAACATGATTTTTTCTAACTCGAGAAAGTCATGTATTTTGAGGCATATCCCTTGATATTCCAGGGAATATACGGAATGAGCGACGGAATAGCCGGTCTTGCATTTCTCCCCATTGCCGTCGGAGCCGCAATCGGGATGATAATATTTCTATGGTACGACTCATTTCTTTACCGCGCAAAGTCTCAAAATGCAGAATGGGCTTTTATTGAGGAATACCAACGGCTACCACTTGCATGTCTTGGAGGACCCTTGTACGTGCTAGCTTTGTTCTGGCTTGGCTGGACTGCCTCTGCCGAGATCCATTGGATAGTACCGATGCTAGCCGGGATACCGTTTGGCATGGGTTTCTTCCTGATATTCGTGGCTTTGATTAATTATTTGATCGACGCCTATCATAAATACGCTGCAAGCGCCATGGCAGCTGCTAGCACATGTCGCTCTATATTTGGAGCCGTCTTGCCTCTAGCTGCTAGTCCCATGTTCCATCGCCTTGGAGTTAATTGGGGGACCAGTTTACTGGGCTTTTTGAGTCTAATTATGACTTTCATTCCCTTTGTGTTCATTCGCTATGGTGAGAGAATTCGGAGAAGGAGCAACTTTCGACAAGAGCTTGAAAAGGAATGAATGTTTGTGCAAGCCATGGTCCGAAGCTTTCATTTTGTCTATATAATCGTGAGATATAATCATTGGATTACTCAACGCAACTAGACTTGATAAAAAGAGCAATCGCCACAAGTTCGCGCTTCCCACCTGGGACTGTGTGTCCACCTGGGTGCCGCAGGACTGCCGGCGTTATTGTATTCTCAGGGTCCTCACAACATTGAATAAGCTTCAGCGATGTGTCTTCATCCACTATAGTATCCATACTTCCGAGGACGTGCAAAATGGAGGTTTCGATTGGAGGGTCGTAGAAAGCTCGATACGTTGAGTGGGAAGCGGCGTAGCCAGAGATGCAGACAACAAACTTCAACGGAGGATAATGGGGCGCAGAAAACGTGATAGGAGGAGGGATGCCCCCTTTCAATTGCAGGCGATCAAAGGAATCTTTCCTATTATCTTCAAGGAGCGAGGCGATCATGATCGCCAAAGCTGCCCCTTGACTGAAGCCAATGATGCCATCAAATGGCCCCGAACTCGTCAGAATGGAGGAAATGCAGTCTAAAGTTGTATCAAAGCCGGGATAAATGCCGTCTATTGACTCGGTATTGAACCATGTCCATGAACCATGCCGACTGCGCAGATCGGAGTTATTGCCCGCAGACTCCAAAGGGAAAGGAGCGGTGGGATAAATGAAATCGACATTTTGCGACGGAGAAAGACCAAGGGCTTGTCGAGTAAGTTTTTCAAGGCGTTGAATTTTGGCTCGAAAGAGCTCGCCGGATTGTCGGGAGCCTGAACATTTGTGTTATTTTGCTTGATTTTATTCTTGTGCGTTTTCGTGTCTCACCATGGAGCATTAGAATTTTCATTGTGAATCATTACGCGTAGTCACGCAGGTGGGTTTAGTGACAGAGACAGACAGTGTGATATTCAGTAGAGGGGCATCATAAATAGGCAAATCTGCTGCCAAGAGCCGTCTATACTCAAAAGAGTGGACGAGGCAAGCATTGGCGAAACCCGTATCACGGACCAAGCGCTAGACTAGGATCGTTTAGCTTCCAGCTCAGGTTGACAATAACCGGTGGGTCGCTCAACATCAACCTTACCCGATTAAATAGTCACCCCCCAGGCTATGCTCAACTGACATAGGGGAAATAGGCTTAGCGCAAGTTGATATTGAGCGACCACTGGTTGATGTTCAGGTGAGCTGCAAACTGGACAGTTATTTGGTCGCGTCCTCCAAATCCGCAGCATAGAGCGCAGCTCCAACGGTGTTGGTAAATGAAAAGGCAATAGAGGCGAAGGGAATCATCTCCAAGGCAAAAGCTGAGATTCCAAGTCTGCACGCTAGTAGTCAGTAATGGCCAATCGAATAAGTTGGGAGTTGGGGGGGGGGGGGTATCCATACCCAGTATAAGCACCCCGATTCCGCTTAACCCATTCATCGGACTGAGATCCGTTCCACCCCTTCAGCTGGAAGTACCGCGCATGTAGTGATGGGCCGATCCTTTTCCCTTGAAGGGCGATATACAGCAATGTTCCAACCACGGGGATAAGATTCAGGGGTAGGAGAATCAACGATCGTACTATGGCCTGGGGCTTCAACTTGGATAAAGGCTTGGTGAAGACCTTCCCCAATCTCGCAATGGCATTCCCACTCGAGCGAGGCTTGATTTGACGTCCTTCGGCAACAAGAGGTTCCTGGCCGCGGGCAATAAGAGTTCCATCAAAGGTATCCATGAGGGCATCTTCGACAAGAAACGATCGCGAAAGTAAATTCGTGATCGTAGAACTTTCGCTCAGAACCAGAAGAGCGGCGGAAACAGCGGCCAAGGGACCACTGGTGAAGGCCATGATCGTCATTTGAGGCAAATAGGTGAAGACGAACATGAACGTCGTTATTCCCATTCCTGAGACTGATGGTCCTGCCCGCACGGGACATGAAGGGACCCCAGAGATCTTTGTGGGTGATAAAGTAAAAGACGCCCTATGGTTCCATACGTTTGGATCAGCGAATTCTGCGTTGATTGTCTGCTGCTGAGGTATGGAATGAATTACCTTGAATGGGTAGAGATAGGCGCCGGCTTTCGCTACCTCCTCAGAGGCTTTCCGGGCGCTACCGGCCTCGGCGAGCACGGCATCCTTGAGTTTTTCTGACATCGGGGGAAAGTGCGATTCGATGTTGTTCGCGATTTCTGCGATAGGTGAATGGGTGAGATGGCGTGGGAACTGTGAACTGTGAGTTGGAGGAAGAGAAAAGTTGGCAGTGCAATTGGCTGATGATGTCATGCATGCACGCATGGGCCGTGCACAGCTCAATTGGTGACTTAAGTCGAGTTTTTGAACTCAGCGAACATCATAGACACTGTGGATGTAGCCGATCATCAGTTCATCCGATAAAGATGCTCCTGCGGTACAGGCGAAAGGGCGAGGAAGAGTGCAAGAGGAGCGTGGGCCAAATCATGATGGACGTTGTTGGTATCTTTCCTGATCGGGTTTAGAGCGGGTGTATGAATCTGCGAATGGTGTGTCCATAACAAATACAGCTACTATAACCTTATCTTAAGTGCAAGTTTCAACCCTACCTTAAGGTACCCTTGGTTCGAGAAGACAAAATTGGAGGTTGATACGCCCTGCGAGAATAGGTGATTACGACCAATGTCGCGCACACAGTTTCTGGACAGAATGGGGATGCGGGAAGAAGAAGACTTCTTTTCGCGGGCAAAGGAAACGGAGCATCAAGCACACTACTTACATTGCGGGAACACACGATCCGCTTCATGACCGAGCAGACTCACCCGCTTCAAGCTACATTCTAGACAGAGAGAGAAGGGGGATGTTGAATTACAAGAAGAAAGGATGGAAGAGGCTAGTTGTATTCAGAGTAAACAAGCCAAATAGTAACTACGAGAATGTGAAAATCATGAAGAAGATTTGACTACTCTCATAGATGTTTTGTAGAGAGCCCACCATCAGGCGTGCCCAGCAATCCAGTGGGGTGTCTCCTTTCATTTGATGGATCCACTAGGTCGTACCACAAGTACTTGCGGACCGTAAGGGATGTTCAACCCATGGGGAACGCGAAACCTCGGATCATCGCAACGGTTTAATCATCGAGTAGAAGATAAAGTCCGATCCCTCTGAAGCCCTCGCCGACGCCAACACAAAATTGCCCACAGCCAACAGTCAGATACACGTTTCGGCCAACCCTCATTGTCCGTTGCTTACATGCAGACCGAGGCTTGAGAAGACCTGCACTCAATGTGTCGCAGAGTTGGTCCTCCGGGAGATCGTCCTCCTGTGGCCCTCCCTAAGACTCGCGTCCGTGGAGTGTTGCTGAAAACGTGGATGGCAAGAAATGGGGAAGGGGAACGGAAAAAGAAGGGGGGAGCGAGGGAAGGAAAGAAAGCTCTTCAAGGCCCACGGGTCATGTTCTCTTTGCTGCCCGTGAGTTCAAGACATGGAAGGTCATCGACCTCACTTCAAGAAAGAGGGTTTGATCTTGTCCCTGTTCATTCGTCGGCCCTCCAACTGAAGAGCCAAAGATACGGCGATCATCGAGACGATGATCAAGTGTGTCCATGGGAATCCAGCCGCGACTCCGAGCCCGGCCGGAGTTGTCGATCTTCAAAATGAAACCGGTCAGCAGGCTTGTTCTTTTCAAAAGTGGGATGGGTGGGAGGTCGAATGAGATGATGCAAAGAAAAAGATAGACGAGGAGAGGGATACTTACTGTCGCCCAATCCTCCCCGGTCCTACCACCCAACCATGTTCCACCACGCTCCACCACGCTCTACCACGCTCCACCACCTTGGTTCCTCTGGCTGAGGTTAATCAGCATGTAGCTTTTTTCCGAGGCGGGATGCATGGGAATGTGAAAAGGGAAGGAGGGAAGAGGGGGGGATACTTACTGTCGCCCAAGTCCTCCAGACCAGCGTCCCCCAACCACGCTCCACCACACTCCACCACGCTGGTCCCTCCAAGTCAAAAGCTAGATGAAATAAACGGGATGATGGAAAGTGAAGGATGGAAGGGGGAGATACTTACTGTCGCCCAAGTCCTCCAAGCCAGCGTTCTCTCAACCACGCTACGCACCACAACCCCCCCACGCTGGCCGACCCTCAAGCCCAAAGGGAAAAAAAAGGATGAAAGCGAAGATAAGAATTAAGAGAGGGAAGTGTGTCGTGATAGTCACGGCAGAAGAGAGGGAAGGGGGGGGGACCAGTGGTCCAGAAGGTCGAAGTGAGAGAAGGGAAGAGTGTAGAGGGAAAGTTGGAAGAGGAGAGAAATGGAAGGAGGGCAGGTACTTATACCCTCTCAGAAATGCAGATGCTTGAGTGAATGGGTTTGCAAACAAGCGAGAGGGCACCAGGGAAGAAAACATGGCAACTTCCGCGTGCAAACTTCCGGATGCTCCCACCTTACCAATTGGGATAGGCCTCAATTAGGGAGTCTTCAACTCTTGTTGTCGTTTGTATTGCCCATTAATAACGGCATTTGACCATTCAGACCTTTTATTTCACACACTTATTGCTCCTGAATGCTAATGATGTCGATAGAAACAATGAAACTTGCCCACCATGCTTCCCAAACCTGCAACGGATTCCATACTGTTTTTTAACATCGGACTCCAGACAAAATGTCTTCTCGAGAAGTCCAGCGGGTGGAATAATGCATCATGATAAATATTTTTCGGTTCAGAATTGAGATCACCAGGCTCTCTATTCCAAAAGCGAACAAGAATTGCTTTCTGTCTTTCAATTGCCCAAATCGATGACTCGTCGTCTACCGCTCCTCCACCAACTTTCATCCAACATAGCCCTTTTCCATTCAAAACAAAATATTCCTCTCCCTTCTTCATGGCTTTTCAGGCCCGAGGACCGCCTAACCTCCCCCAGATCCATTCAATTTATCACACGAAAGGCAAACTGCTTCCGTGGGTTGGATTCACATCGAATTAAGGCTTAGATTGTCCGGACAACAGGCTCGGCAATTTCCCTCTAGCCCTATCCGCGTCTCGAACCCTCTTCGAAACCGCGGGACCCCATTATAAATCGTGTCAGCTTCTTGGATAGTTGCGATTAATCTGAAAATATCCGAGCGACGGTCATTCCAGCATCCGGATCCTTTAGAGTCTTCAGTTACCGCTCGTGTCCCTTGAACATGTCGCTTGTCCTCGGCGCAAGGTTTTGATCCGAGGTGTCAACGGGATTCAACTCGGAGGACTGAACTTCTTCGCCAGTCTTGGGAGTGGAACCTTTGTAAGTTTCCCTTTCAACCATTTCAGATTCCTCAGTTGCTGACCATCGCTAGTCAATATTGACTGCCGTCTCCCGCTGGGACGAATGTACACCTCGTTTTGCGGTCCCCGATCGCCGCCTTGCGACATCGGACCGCATTGACGGAGACATCAAGGCGATGAGACTAAATGGTCACGACCAGGGGCGTTGATAGCAGATGGGAACAGGGAATGCCTTCGGTGGATGGTGTTACTCGAGAGCTCCGAACAACATCTTTATCGTCGTTGGATATTTCCGACGCGAGTGATACACACCCAAAGGCTGAACAGTTACGGGGTACAGCAACGTTCATGTGTCAAATGAGACAGTCAATGCGGGGTATAATTACTCGTTTATAGTGGAATTTGGGAAGAATTCTTGCATTCGCCGCAGTGGCATGGTATCGAGGAGTTGCCTTTATTCGCCAATCAAAACAGAAAATTCAAATCTGCGTGGCTCCACGAATTTCGTGTAGTCTTTGCAATTTAGTCGCCACCATATGGCCATCACTCAGATCTACAAAGCCCCATGGGGCCCCTCCGGGCTATCTTCAGCAGAATCCAAAGCGCAAGAAATGCAAGAACCTAGATTTAGAAAGAAGATTAGTCAATCAAGTACAGTACATGCAGGTGAACTTCAATTCGGGGACAGCCCGGGCTAGGATACAAGTAACTGACTGGTAAATATGGAGCCAAAAATGGGAGGAGATTCCAGCTTTTCCACAATGCAGCGCCGCCAGCTACCACGAGAAGAAAAAAACAGCCCGAAAAGGCGAAATAGCCCAACAGAGGTTGGCCGTGACTTCGGTAGGGATATTCGTTATAGTCGTCTCGCTGGAATTGGGGGACTCTTCGTGCTTTAAAAATCTTTTGATTTTCATGATTTGAGATACTGTATGTCGTCACTAGTTAACTAACCATGCAAGGTCCTTTTTCTGCCGAGTGAAATTTGGCTCACGACCTACCATTGATGATAACGCAAGAACGCCAGACAATTGGTACTCCAAACAATGAGAACACCAATAGAGGCCATTTGGCTGCAGATTTCAATGAACTGGTATTTTTTTGTAAGTTTTCAAGATATCTTGAATTAAGAACGTTATGTTCTGGACCCGGGGGAAAATACATACCTCATTAATGGAGCTGCGCGTCTCCGGTTCTCCGATCAGCTGTAGAAAAGGGACCCACGAGAAAGAGAGGGCCGAGAAAATAACAGCGCGAATAGGAACTTTGTGTCGATTTGTTTTTCCAAACCACGCAAGTATGCGCAAATACCAGTGCTGTCCTTTGCCTCCTTCCAGCCCACTTGTCAGGCCAAACAGAGTCCGCGAGGCGACGTAAAGATTTGTGCTGGTACATGTGAGACAAGTGAAAATCAAGAACACGTTGAATAAATCTGCCAGATGAGGGATGCCGGATTTCAAGGCGATAGCGACGAATGCTGCTCCGCTGCCAGGCGCAGGGCAGTGACTTTTGACATCGTCCGAGAGCCAACCCACCCGTGGAAGCTCACAGTCTCCCCTGTATATGTCTAGACTGACCAAGAATGCTGCTATTACATAGACCACCGTGACGAGGGCGGAGATGAATATCGCGGAGAATTTTACTCTGTTCCCGATCAATGTGTCGTTTGGACGGGGGGTAATATTTGATGATGTCCTTGACTCCTGATCCTCGCGTGGCCACTTTGCTTCCAGTGCAGATGCGGCGACTATTTCAATCCCAACGAATGAGAAAGTTGCAATGGACATTCCCATTCTAGAATAGTATAGTTAGTTAGGATTGAAGGATTGCGAACGGTGTAATCTGCTTACAAAAGTGCAGCGAACCAATTTTCGGCAGCGTCAGAATCGAACTCGGTCGGCGATTTCCAATCTTATTTTTCTGTCATTGAGCGATATCCATGTGTTATAATACGGCAATAGTATGTAACTTACATTTGACTCCAAGTGGAGCGTCATTATGGAGGCCCACTTTTTGGAATGAATGTTAAAAATTGTTTCTTTTTAAAAAAAAAATAAAAGATCGGAAGATTCAATGCCGCAACGAAAAGGCCCAAGACTCACCACCTCTATTAATTGCGATCAGGACACATATGATACCGGCAAGTAACAATAGTTTGATAGTGCCGGTGACAACTTCTAACATGCCATAAATCTTGATCTCAATCAACATGGGCTCGGGTAGACGAGACTATCCGAAGGAAAAGATTAACGTACCTCGATCTTGAGAGAGTTTGCACAAACTAAGGCAAGAGGGATGAGCAGGTAAAGGATGCCGGCATGTATACCGGTGTTTCCTTGAACAGAAGGCCAGAAGTTGAACTCGGCAGCGGATGTTGCAATGAGGGTGGAGAAGGACATAGAATAAGTAAACCTGCAGAATCGTCATCAGTAACCCCCTCTTGTTAGATAAAGTGTGTGTTCCAATACCAATAAGCCACTCCGGTAGCAATGCCTAGTTCAACATCTACAAACTCGCTGACATACACCGACAGTGCGCCGGGTATGGGCCAGATGCATAACATCTCTGACACGCATTGCATAACAGACCAAGATAGAAATCCCACTAAGAGGAAGGATAGAACGACGGCCAAAGGGCCGCCAAGTTCGAGAACCTGACCTCCTCGCCAATATAGACCGGTTCCAAGTGTAGCATTTATTGTGATCATCTATTTGAGTCGTATTAGCTTAACCAGAGACATAGGATAAAAGGACCTCCATTCACGCCGGTCTCGAAAAGTTGCCCGACACTCCACAAGTAAATAGAATACCCCACATGTAGTAAACGGCCAAAACATACAAATATATGAATGCCTTTCAGGCTTCGCTTAACTGTTCTATCGGGACTTGGTTTGATGAAGATAACCTTCGAGGGCGTTTTTATGAGACCATTTGTTCTTTCCGAGAATGAAGATATTGTTTGACTCGAGACACTTCGAACTTCGGGTTTATCTCCGGCGGGACGGGCCAGCCGTGGTACCATTAACTGGGGGATGTCTGGGGTAGGTTGGGTGTAATCAGATCCATCCTCATCGTTGCAGCGCCGTATATCTGTGTCGGACACCGAGGCCCCATTCGGAAGCCTGCTTAAGGGGTACCAGCCCGGGACCCAACCGGGGACCCAACTCAAGTCCGGGTCTCGTATTGAACCCTCCTGTAAGTGTGGCATTATTCGGTTGACTGCAAAAAAGAAGCAACGTCCGTCCCCAAAAAGCACTTTTCACTGCTTCAAAAAAACGGTCCTGAGCAAAGGGGAATCGACTTTGCGATCTGAATATTTAATCGCAAGATAAGAAACCCGGGTGTTTGGTGTGTGGCTCGTTAGCGGCTCGGGTGCAGGGTACCTTTCACCTCGTACTAATTGCAATGCCGACTAGCACATGCGGGTGCATGCAAAGCCCCCCCTGTAGGTCACAATCTCGTGTGACGTGGCAACCAACCGGGGTTTTGCACCGGACTCAGCCGCGATACGGGGCGGGGAAATTGGCTGGTCCCTTTATCTGGAAAGGTAGACACTGCGGCTGGAGAGTTCCTGTTAACTCGCATACATGCTGAACTTTATCGTTGCGCAATGGCCGACACAGAAGGACAAACCCCCCCAAAACACGACAAAGCACTATCTAGCCAAAGACAATCTTCAAGAACTGCTCGAAAACCTCTTCCCGGGGCAAACAGAGTTCAATATTCGAGTAAGAGACACCCGACTTTCTTAGGCGCTGAATGCAAGGCTAACGCTTGGCACAGATGAGAGAAGACCAGTGGTACTTCACTGCACCGAGGATTGTACATAGTGTGAGTGGATATATGCTTTCCCAGCCACCCTGTCACAATATTAACTAACAAAAATTCGCCTTGAAGTTTGAGATCGAGTAAGAACGACGCAGGTGGGGGAGAGGGGCGGGATGCCTTGCAACAGTAGGATGCTGACAATCGATGTTTAGAGCCGCCCGAGACCAGTAGCCAATCGATAGAAGGCGCTTTGGCCCATTGGGTATGGAAGGTGTGCAGAACACGAGGCGACAGGGGGCTGAGTTGGACGGCACGGGCGCAGGGGCAATCACAATTTTTTGGCCGCACTCACGATGTGCCTTGCGATGGTTGAACTTTCGGAATATAACAGTTTGGCAATGCAGAATTCATGATTTTTCTCTCCATCACCTAAAGATGTCTTCTTTAGATTCTTGTTTTTTCCCGAAAGATCAATTGATCGAGCCTGTTGAGATTTTGGAACTTGCCCTGGATGAGGCGGCTTCTTCTCCAGAGCAGTGCTGTAAGCAATGGAAGTATTCGACCGGCGAAGAACTCTCAAGACAGAGCTCCCAAAGGCCCGGCACCTGCCGCGTCATGTCCGTTACTATCAAAGTATCTTAATTCAACCACACTTGTGGCTGACATATCCAGATCAATATGCCAGAGGAATTCGTGGCGTCCCTTACAGGTCACAAGGCCCATGCTAGAAACGATTGTCGACACACATGGAATTGATTCCTCGTTTTGGGAGCTCCCATCGTGCTTTTATCAACGTGATGATGATTTCGAAGATGTGTTTTGTGTTCCATACACATTAGTTCGCAAAGAATCGGTCATAGGTAGCATGCTCGTATCCCAAATTTACGAGGCGAAAATGCTAACCGATTACTTCGTCCCCAAATAGAAATTTCATACACCCTCAGATACCCGGAGCATAAAGCCAATGGGGAGTGGGCGATCAGACAAAGCGGCATTTACCATCAGATGGACTTTTCAAATTCACGGAGTTTATTCATTATATTCAACCCAACGCCTCGATCAAAAGCACACTGTGAGGTGGAGAGGGCACTGCGAGATAAGTCCTTGTTGATCAAACGCGAACCGTTTTGGCTACATCGAACTCTCTTCTCGGTCTACTCTCCTTCATGGAGGGACTATATTAGATCATTGGAGCGACGGTTCTTACCCATCGCCAATACAGCATTCGCGACATTTATCGACGAGCCATTACGACTGAATTACGACAATCTCAGCGCATTGAGTAACTTAGAGATTCGCTTCCTTCAGATCTCAACGATCGTTGAATCAACAACAGAAGCCATCGATGGACTTTGTCTGCTCTTTAATGAACTGTCACGTCCCCATTCTGAAGGTCAAGACTTGCGAAATATTTGTCGCAAATGTCTTGTCTCATCTCGAACAGCAACACATCTCAAGAATCGGGTGCAAACAATGGTTCGATTGCTTTCCGATACACTGTTACTTCGCGATCAGATCGTTGCGAATAAGCAGAACACAAATATGTTTCAGCTGAACAAGTCAGCCGTATTTATTACCACTTTGACGTTGCTTTATCTACCGGCATCATTCATGGCAGTAAGTGCGTCAAGTCTTGATCATTAACGTGTAATATGCGCTGACCATGTCTACTAATCTTTCAATCAAGACTTTCTTTGGTATGAACTTTTTTGATTTAGACCAGGAGAATAATCGCATTGTTGGTTCTCCAACAATATGGATTTTTATTGTTGCTTCCACTGTACTGACTGCGATTACATTCCTTTTTTACTATTGGTTATTGCACCGTGACGGGGTTGTGTTTCGTAAGCTTGTGCCAAAAGTGCCAGATTTGAAATTACAGACATTGAGAAGACAGTGGACGAATCTTACGCAGGGAGATGTGGAACTTCAAAGGATGGAATGCTAAAGGCTTTTGGAAACTCTGCTTTGTGAAGTCGCAGATATGAATAAATCGTCTTGCGCGGACAGAGCTCCGACTTTCCCATTTCTTCTTGTAGATAGTCCTTTTTATTTTGTCTGTCTTTGGAAGGTAACATCACATGGAAGATCATAGCATGATTAGTCAATCAGTACCTTGTAAATAGCACGCTGGTTAGCACTCATTAACGCCGCCAGTAGAAGGTATTTACCCCCTTGAATGCGGCCCAATGTCGCGACAAACTGGTCACCGTAGGCTAGGCCCGGAAGTCGAGCCAGCTCTTGTATAAAAACATCACCAACCTGTGGCTGGTGAAGATTTACCTCCAACAGAATCAAGGTATGACCTGACACATGTCTTCCAATCGCGAACATCCGGCCTTGATTCCATCCAGTCATCAATTTTAGTATGCGGTAATTCTTGATTTGAGCCTGAATGGCGAGCGAGCTATCTGCTTCATCGAGGCTTTGTATGTATAGCCGATTCTGTTTAGTTATGATGGCACATGTATCGAACAGTTGATAAATAGGGGCAAAGGTGGTGAAAATCCCGACGTTGGCTCCGCTATGATCAAGGCCCTTTATCGTTAAATTGTTAGGTACTGTAAGCAGTTTTGTACATATCAACATAAAGCTCACCGCTGATTCAATTCTGACGGTTTCTAGCCGCTTAGATGCGTGGCATACATGAACGAGAATCGCCTTTTCTTCATGAATGCGAATGCTGACTTTTGGACGGACAACAAAGTAAATATCATTTCCTGTTGGAAAGGATAGGTCGGAAATTTCAGTCGCCGGCCAATCGAGATCCTCTACCCATGTGCATTCATCTGCGGACGCAACGGGTGCAACGTATAGCAGTGCCGGCTTTTGGGCCCCTTCCTTTCCATGCAAGATACAAGCCATGTTTTTGCTATCAGACGAAATGGCAATATCGGATATCTCCGGCTGCTGCAATGTAAAGCCCCGACGGTGATCGAAGCTGGCATCTACCGACTTTGCTTTTTTCAAAGCAAATATGTCACACTTCAGTCGTCTCAGGTCAGAGAGACAATACTCGGAATACACAGAATAAAGTAGAGCGCTACTTACTCGGAAGGTACCCCCAGATGTGGTGGCTAGCAAATGGTGACTTGTAAGTCGGATGCTATTCAGAATACAGTTGGGCTGCTCCAGTGACCATTCCGCCTGTGGCTTTGCATCAGATGTACTACTTGACAGCGAAAGCGATGTGAAAAGTGTTAGTTTCCTGTCACTCCAGAACACAACAAGTGACCCGTCACTGGATATTTCGCAATTTTTGAAAGGCTCATTTGTTTTGAGCGACCATTTGCCGGTTCTTTTGTCACTGTCGATGGGTTCTCTTCTGCCTCTTAGACGACCGACTACCCTTTCCATCAGAGTGAGCCTATTATTAGGTGGTGTTGATGAAGTCTCCGTGGGCAAGCTAGAGTAGCTCTGGAATATCTGGCGAAGCTTGTTCCCAACCTCCCTGGCGCTGCATCGCTTTATTTGATCTTGGAAGACGGAATTTCTAAGAAATTTCAGCATATATTCTAGGCCCGCACCTTCTGTGGGATCACGCTGCTTGGCTGCGAGAACCAACTTTCTGTGCCAATGCTCGACAACAGGATGAGGGCTGAAAGGCCCAAACCCCTTGTCGCGAAGAAAGAAACGATCTATTCCATCTGCTTTAGGATGGTCCGATCTTTCCTCTCGATATTGGACCACACCATCTGCACCTTCCTCCAGATAGACAAATAGCACGCTGATAACACACCCAAGGGACCAAACATCACTGCTTGCTTTCATGCTTCGGATTGCGGCAAGTGATTCAGGTGCTAGATAAGTGCCTTCTCCATGTGGATTGAAAGTGGGACTAGGAGTAGGCTCCGAAGGCTTCTGCCGTTGAACAAACCAACTATTGAAATCCCTCTCCTTGTCCCTTGATCCGCCAGTATCTCTTAATTTGACGCGAGCCATACCAAAATCACTAATCTTCCAAACCTGTTCTCCTCCACTGTTTTGGAATATCAGGATGTTGCTTGGCTTCAAGTCCATATGATAACAGACCAGGTCCTCCCCTAGAGGTGTCTTCATCTCATGGTGCAGGAAATGGAGTCCTCGAGCTAGCCCGTGAGCGGAGAGAATTATCGCAGCCTTCTCGCCTGTTGTGCTGGGTTTGGCTTTGTGGTACTCCATCATGTACGCACTCAGGTCACAGATAGCGAGCGGCATAAAAATGCTGTACATTGTCGGTCCGATTGCAAGGCTGCCGAAATTTTCGACGATATTGTCGCATGATCGATCAGACGCAAGAATTTTCTTCAGCACCTCGTGTTCTTTGTCGTTTGAAGGAAATTGGCTGCTGATAACATAGTCCTTTCGCGCAATCTCCAAAGGTGCCGTATTTGATGTCTCTGCCTCAGTGCGATGGCTCTGAAAGTGCCCTTTGGCAATCTTGACCTTGTAAACCTTTCCAAAAGACCCCTGTGATAGTAGTTCCTCCTCTAGGTAGGGGAGACGACGCCTTTTTGGAGTTTCGACAATTTGTTCTCTCCCTTGATGGATGATAATAGGGCAAAAGCAGGCTTGCTGTGCGACAAATTTATCAGGTGTGACATCCTCTCCAAATAAAGACCTGAGAATGGCGCGGTCAGCGGGAAGAGAGTATAAGTTGCCCTCAAATATCTCTTTGACTAAAAGCTCGGCTGTAAATGTTCGAGCGGCCTCAATATTGCAAGTGGTGAAAATCAAAATGGCAAGAAAGTTGTAGAGATCCCTTTCTTTCAACCTTTTGATAAGATCTCCTCCGGTCATACAGTCCCCTGAGGTGTCCGACCAGTCTAGACTTCCGAAGAAGCGATACAGAACATCGGGCTGCAGAACCTCCTCTGCCGTTCCAGTTGGGGCAAATCTGTTTTCTTCTTCCTTGGATCGCTCAAACCTCCCGAGAAACTTCAAATATAATTCGTCGCATATCTCATCAAATGATCTTCGGTAGGGTTTCGCCATCGTTATCGCCAGAGTCGCGTCAAAGATCAGATGGCGGGAAATAACATCGAGGGTTCCCAGCAACCGATAATAAGAACGGAGCTCTGCCTCCTGTCACTGGGTAGCATGACTCAATTTTCGATAACTTTTAGTTTGCTTCAGCGGTACAGCCCCCCCCGCGACTTCGCCTCTTTTTCACCCGGGCCACGTTGGGGGCCGAGCGCCAGTTGTCACAGATGACCTCGGTTACGTTTTGCTTTTTGCGTTTTTTGATCATCGATAACTTTCCGATTCCAATAAATAAAATGGCAGGTCATAAAAATATGCAAATGAAACATTAAAAAATGCATTTAAGCCGACATACTGGTTTGCAAGCCGTGGAAGCACAGGCCAGTCTATTTTGGATGCCATAAATAAGATTAGGTTTCATGCTCTCCTTTGCGACGGCAATTGTCGAAAGTCGTAATCTTATCGCAAAAGGTACAACCATCAACTAGCCGTTCAGCTGAAGCGAAAAAAATGGCTGCAGCTTTGGTTGGCTCAAGCTAGTGGATGTAACGAATTGCATGTTTGTTGCCTTTGAATGCTTTATCATATAAGCATCCGCAGGCATCCATCTGTATAGTAGTTTACCGCGTACCTGTTTCCTCTTTTTCTTCCTCCTCATGCTTAGTTTTTCGTCGAATGTTAATAAATGTTGTCTGACCTTCATATCATAGTAACTGGGCTCTTCACAATGAGGTTCAAGTTGGTATATAATTTTCTTTTTGGCTCTGTACCGGTATGATTTGTAGCATGAGGGATTATATCGGCGCGGCACAGAAGTCCATCAAATGGTAGAAGTCAGTCCGAGTCTGCGATGACGAATTATTTTAATACTTTTGGGCGGTATGGAAGCTTAAGTTCTCGACAGTACTCGAATATACATAGGATAATATGCTCGAAAGAACCTTAATGGTATGTACTAACATTGGAAGGGAATTCGCGACTGGGCCTCAAGCCTCAGAATTCAGGCTACAAAGACCAGGAGGCTAATATTGCCCTCCGATAATTGATCGTAGCGATATTCTGAAATATCTCCAAAAATTCCTATCTCAATCAAGAAAATGGGTCTGGGTTCAAAGAACCTTTTGTTCATGGGGATTCATTCATACATGCCCAGGTTTATGAAACCCCCGTAATAGCCATTTTCTCTCGCACAATCAAAATTTATGGGGAAGCGTATGACTCGCAGAACTCCATACAAGGATCGGATTCACTCCCGAAATTCTGATATTTTCATATACTGGTACAGTAAAATCTCATTATCTTGAACCAGAATGCTCTCAATGAGGTCATGATGCTTGCCGAGGCTACGCGACGGAGGCCTGTGCAAGGTTTGATGATTAGCTATTGGTCTTCTCTACGATGATCACATCTATTCAACCCTGGAATATTGCGGCAAAACATCAAAGCCACGTTATGCGGGGTCAATTTCTTGTCACCGTGCTGGTAACCAATGAGCAGGCTAAAGTTTGGATCTCATTGCGATTTCCCCTGTGATGGCACGGGCGGGGGAAATCCTGGAACCCAGTTTGGCCCAGATCGCGTCCACCGCTTGCACCAATCAAGTCATTACAAATTGTCTTAATGGGCAGGAATATATAGCGGTTTAGGTTTGGGGAGAGACATCGGAATTAGATCAAATAGATTCCAAAGTTGGCGAGTGGTAGGTGAAGCCGTCGCGACATAGATGCGGGATGTGATCAGAGCTACCCCTGCTCGGAGAAGCCTATCTTTCTCGGGACCTGAGCCGATCAAGGGGTTTGGAGCCCTGCATCGTAGAAAGTCGCGTACCTGATATCTTGATCTCGGAAAGACCGGTGAATCCTAATGGGGTCGGGCTATTCGTAAGGGGCCTGAGCGAAGTTTTATTCGGCTGCTAGAGATATAACGTTGATCTCCTCCCCGCGACGTTTTCCCCATTAAATTTCAAAGCACTCAAGAATCGAAATAACATAATAAGCCCGCTGCGCCCAATGCAAATCGCTTCCGACCCTGCCACCCCGCCAAGCCTGATTCCATGGATTCGTACTAAACTCATAATGGGCAACGAAACAGAAGATTCAAAGGTCCCTGTTGACGAGAATGTTCAACATGGAGAGACACTCAATTTGGGTCTCCATCGTAATTTGAAGAACCGCCATATACAGCTCATTGCCATCGGGGGCTCCATCGGAACTGCCCTCTTCGTCAGCATTGGGAATGGCCTAGGTGCTGGCGGACCAGCAAGTCTACTCATTGCCTATACCCTTTACTGCATGATCTTAGCAGCGGTCAACAACTGTCTGGCAGAAATGACTGTACTGCATCCCATAAGCGGTGGCTTCATTCGCCTCGCTGGTAAATGGGTAGACGATGCGGTTGGGTTCATGGTTGGGTGGAATTTCTTGTTCGTTGATCCATTCATCCAACCCCGTCCCGCATACACTTGTATCGCATTTCATCTGTCTCTCTATCATACATACTAGGTTCTGAGAAATACCGGCTCCTAAACTAACTCACCGCTTGCAGTATATATGAGGCACTTATGATACCGTTTGAGATTACGGCGATCAATCTCATCTTGAGTTATTGGAGAGATGACATCCCGGTGGCGGCTGTCTGTGCTGTCTGTATAGTGCTCTATGCGTATGAATTCCCTGGTGATGATTCCGAGATTGCTTTAAGCCTCCTCCTGGACAAAAATATACCTCCTTAATCTTCCATGACTGAACTAAGAACTGTATAGTCTTTTGAATATCCTTGCTGTGACCGCCTATGGAGAAGCCGAATTTTGGCTATCATCCGGCAAGGTCATTCTAATATTCATGCTTTTTTGCTTCACCTTCATCACCATGGTGGGTGGTAACCCGCAACACGATGTGTACGGATTCAGAAATTGGCAAGATCCCAGTGCCTTCGCCGAGTATCGCACAGCAGGAAATCTTGGTCGCTTCCAGGGATTTCTAGCAGCTGTATGGTCTGCTGCATTTTGCATTGTCGGTCCTGAGTATATCTCAATGACGGCAGGTGAAGCGGCTTATCCACGAACCTTCATCAAGACGGCCTACAAAACGATATACTATCGCTTCGGGCTCTTCTTCATTCTCGGAAGTCTGTGTGTAGGCATCGTCGTGTCTTTCAAAGACCCTACTATCCAAGCTATCCTAGCAGGCGAAAGCTCCAAAACGGGTGGTGGAAGTTCTCCTTACGTGATTGCAATGAAAAATCTGGAAATCGCAGTGCTTCCGGATATTGTCAATGCGTTGTTGATAACTTCCGTTTTCTCGGCCGGAAATACTCTGACATATTGCGCGACTAGATCCTTGTATGGACTTGCGCTTGAAGGACGCGCCCCGAAAATCCTCTCAAAAACGACAGGAAAGGGTGTGCCAATCTACGCCTTTATCGTGGTTCTCGCATTCCCTTTTCTTTCCTTTCTCCAGCTCTCTAATAATTCATCTGAGGTTCTGAACTGGCTAGTCAGTTTAGTAACAGCAGGTGCATTGATCGATTATCTTATTATCTGCATAACGTTTATTCAGTTCTATCGCGCATGCAAAGCTCAAGGTTTTGACCGGCGGACCTTTCCATATTTTGGATACTTTCAGCCATATTGTGCCTGCATCGGCGTGGCAGCAATGGGTTTTGTCCTCATTTTCTACGGATATACGGCATTTGACCCTTGGAGCGTTGAGAAATTCTTCCAAAACTACACAATGCAGCTTGTCGCTCCCGTACTTTATCTAGGATGGAAGTTGATTCATAAGACCAAGGCGGTTAGCCCCAGCGAGCTTGACCTGGTCTGGGAAATACCACTTATCGATGCTTACGAGGCTTCGTTGCCTGATAACCCTCCCACATTTTGGCAAGAAATGCATGAGATGATCGGAATCAAAAGGAAAGGCACCAAGGATTCCGACGCTTAGAGACAAGATACCGACCTGTTGGTTCGACAAGATCTCTTCACTTAGCTCTGAGTCTCCAATTCAGATATGTAAATAGTACGCTATGTACATGTGTCTTTTAAGTTGCCATGAAATTTCTTCAAAGATTAGGCGTATCATTTCCTCCCCGAATGATCCATAAAGACGCTGGCATTTCATTTTCAAACTTCGAACTGCTGGCAACTGATTGAATATCTTCATTCAAGGGCTTTAAAAGTGAAAGACTTGAAATCAAATTACGCTATATTAAATACATTTTCTACTTTGGTGACCGATATACAGATTCAAACCCTCCGATTATAAATTACCACTATTTCCTTCGACAATGAGAGGCGATTGGTTCCAGTTGTTCACATACCCTCACACTCGCAAACAACATAAGCAGCACAGAGATCGACAACACCTCCGCCGATAGATGCCCAAGTTTTCTCGGCGTCCAGGGTGACATCAATGCGAGGCTCTTCGGTAATAGTGCAGACAGTGGTCTGCTGGAAAGTAACGAGCTGGGCGCTCGATGCAAAGACGAGGCCATGCTTAGCCACAGCGGTGTGACCCCAAAGCTCTTGAACGGGGCGCTTCTTACCATCAACTGGGACAGCGACATTGACATTTGCGCCGGACTGGTCGTTGGCGAGTTGAATCGTGGCAGTGGTTCTCCACGAGGCTTCGGCCGGGGCGGCGAGGGAAATAGAGGAGAAGAGGGCACAGGCGAGTGCGGCGGCGCTGGTGAACTGCATTTTGAAGATTCGTTTGGTTTGTTGATGGTGATGACCGATTGAGAGACTAATTGGAAAGTCTTGGAGAGGGTTGAATTTAAAATTCAAGAGAGAAGATAGGGTATGATCTGATAAGAGGATCTTTGCTATAACCAGCTGGAAAACAGAGGCGGGATTGAAGGACGGTTATATAGATTTCGATATAATTTGTTCGCAGATTGAGATAAATCTCCGGAATAGGTTGTTTGGTTGTTGCAAGCAGTGCTGCCGTCTTCGTGTTAGCTTCAGGGGTTAAATGCTTCATGGGATGGACCCAAACTACCGCATTCGGAAACCCGTCTAAATACTCCGTAGAAACCGTCATGATGAAGCATACAAACAGAACAAGTGAGATATCGAACCATCATTAATTGTCTTGGAACTCTTACGAAATGTACTGTGATATACTGAGATGACACTGACCAACTGCGCTCGAGAATTTACTACGATCGTGAAGTGTGAGACCTGTCTGATTATACTATTAAGCCTAAAAAAGTCCCGGAAGCCAAAATATCTCCGTGCATGGCAGGTGAGGAGCCGGAGCACGGACACTTGCCGATCGCTGTCAAAAATGTATGGGTTCGGAAATGGAATCTCCAAAATTTGGTAAAAGGGCAAGGAGCGTGGCAAGTCAGTTCACGGAACGAGCGAGCCCGCCACCGAATTACGACCTCCGCACCTCTCATAAGCATACCGAAAAGTGGCGTCTAAGGAATGCTACGATCCCGGAATAGGAAGCGGCATGTTTCAAGGGGTTTCCAGGCCATAAGGCCTACATTCCGATCAGCCGAGGCTTGCATTCCCTGGGTAATTCCAGAACACGACATATTTACTTTTCCTCAGGCAATGAGCGGTGAAGAAAACTTGTATATGCACAGAATAAGACTCCAGCGATGCTAGCTTGCAGCTGCTTTTACTAGTTGACAATGTGGCGTCTTACGAGATGAACTGGCTAAAAATAATAAGCAGAAGCTGATCGCAGGCTAATGGAACCTAAGCTATTTATCTTCACACTCCAGGGCTCCTAGAAGAATTCTATCACCTGAGGCATTGACATATCAGTTTGTATCTTAAATTGAAGGTACACTCTAATGTGCGGGGCTTTTACTTATTCCTAATTCATAGGAAAATTGTGATCCCACTGGCAGTCAGGATTATTAAATATGCCAGGGGCACATTGCGGGGTAGGGTCTCATCGGTCCGTCCCGCCCCCCCTTGAATGGTTTTTCGTCTACGACTATTAGAACCAAAAATATATCAGTGCATGCATGAAAACTAGTGATCTAATCCAACAAGGAACCAGAGACATGTGTAGTGCTTCATACTAGTATCTGATGATACTAGGAAATAAAGTCATACCATGCTACAGTACCAAGCTAATGCCACTGCAATATGCGGTCATCTCTGGATCTTGGCGGCGGGAACAGCGGGAAATTGGCATGATGTTATTGAGGGAAAAGCGTGCCGACCGAAATGTGACATCGATCCTATTAGCGTTGTGATTTCTCGAATAGAATTCGACTACATTGGGCCAACTTATGCAGAAGCCCCACTTTAAGCGATTGTTCGTTTCACTCTACGCCGAAAACTGAAGTTGGCCCACCGATCAAGAGGAATCTGGATACCATTAACTCAATCTAGTATCACACGTCAGAAATTGAGATGCAGATTTATAAAAGTAAGCGTCAGATGAAGTGTCTTAAAAGCATCGTCATCGCATCTCGAATTCCAAAAAGTATCAATCATCTTCCAAAAACTTCCAATTCTTATACAATACACAAAGGCTCTTTGCAACTGTCGAGATGAAATTGAAAGTTACTTTGGCTGTGGCCATTTTTGCTCTGAATAGCCAGGCTACTCAGATATTCAGCAATACTGGAACACTCGCGGGCTGGGATGCTACGAATAAAGAGCATTCGGGCACCGTCCAGGAAGTGACCAATGTCTATTATGAAGGTCCAACCGCCCTGAAGATGACCCAGGTCTACGACTCCAGCTATACCGGAAGATATCACTCCGAGGTCGTCAAGAACAATGTTTATAAGCGCGGCGACACAGGTTTCTACGGCTTCACATTCCGCCTGCAGGAGAATTGGCAGTTCTCTCCAGCCCAGTCTTATAACATCGCTCAATTCATCGCCGACTTCACCGATACAGGCTGTGATGACTGGATGCCTTCCAGTATGGTGTGGCTTGTCGGGAATCAGCTGTATACCAGAGTCAAGTACGGGACCATCTGTGCACAGAAGATCACCACTTTTTCCAATCTGGCGACCGTGACAGCTGGTGTGTGGCACAAGATTGAGATTCAATCCAGCTGGAAGACTGATGGTACTGGTTACTTTAAACTGTGGTTTGATGGTACGAAGGTTCTGGAGAAACTTGATATCAGCACCACTATCGAAGATGATCGTGCATTCCAGTTCCGCGTCGGACTCTATGCCAATGGCTGGCATGATGATGGTGGCATGAAGGGTACACAGGGCACTCGACAAGTTTGGTACGATGAGATCGCAGCAGGCACCGTTTTTGCGGATGCCGACCCCGCCCAGTGGTAATCCTCTCCCCAAGAGCCCAGATCGTGGCTTTTTCTGGGACACGATCTATTGGCAACTCACTCCGTTGTGGAAGAGGACAGTTTCTTCAATGGTTGAGTGCTCATTGATGCCTTGGGTTTCAAGTCTCACTTGCAGCCAGACAAGCCCCAATTAGATCTTGACTATCTCCAATATGGTTTTCTATCATCTGACACGTGCATATTCAAGTTCCATTCCCTGTATTTTTTGTAGCACCAAAGGCCCAACCAATAGATCCAGGAAATTCGAGAGCATACTATCAACGGCCCTATTACCTATGCCAAACAACTAGAAATGAATGGTCTGATAATTAGAATATTTCACTATCCAGGTTTTAGTTTTCAGTCACTATGGCGGAAAGGAAGATTGACCTGCCATGCTCCATAGAAGCAGCCAGCTCGTTAGATCTGCCAGAGGTATTTCGGCTGATCGTCTGTACCTGTCAACTGCCAAGGGCTGTACATAATCGGCAATGATATTACTAGTAAAGCAACCTTCAAGGGACCTCTTGAATAAATGGCAGATAGGGCGATGTGGCCTAGTAGCACCCAAGGTAGTACGGTAAAGCCAAGCTGACGTTAGGAACCTTAGAAACTACCAATAAGCCTACTCGACTGGATATAGGGAGGATTCGAAAATCGAACGAAAGATCCAATGGGATGGATGTGTATTGAAACAGTAGACTAGAAAGCCTTTGCTCCGGAATCACTAACTACTAGCACTACTGAGCCGGTTGCCGCTATCATAGAATGCGGCAGGCCGCTCTTCCTTTCGTAAGGTACCTGCTCCATTAAGGAGCCCAAGTAGGTTTACTGAGGTTTTAATTCGAGAGCCGTTCCTGCCATGCTCCCCTTCCTTCCGCTATAAAAATGGAAGGGACAACCAAAGGGAAGTAGAAGCTTTGTCAAGCATGAACCCCTGGCTGCTCCTCTTCTTGCAATCCTCCACACCTTCAGGCTCACATCTCTGCCGAGCAGACTTTCAGTATAACGCCATCTCCACACCACAGGCGACAGGCCAGTATCGACAGGGTTGTCGCAAAGCTAGCAGAACCGGTAGAGCGTTCTTCGGAATTGGTGGAAGACTGCACCAACCGGGACAACTATCGCTGTATCCCAAGCGCAAGACTATCGGAAAGTGAATGGGTCGAACAAGGCGCGGTCGAGGGCCTGTTGTGGGGAAAACTGGAAGCTCACCACATCATACCTTTCTCTCGAGGTGGGGGTTTAGGGACAAGGTACCATAAAATACCCAAGTTGCCAGGCAGATGTGTGACAAAATGCTAATTTGAGTACGATCAACGTGATGTTGCTGTCAATGGGCATATTTTACACAGCATTTCCCAAAGTCAAAACATTCCGAGCATCAAATATCAATGCGATCGAGAATAGTATGACGATGTACAAGGTAATGCACACAGAGTTTCGGGCGTTTAGGATCGCCCTTGAACCAAGAATAAGGCTTCCAAGACCAAGCAACTTGGAAAGATTTGTACTAAATTGTATCTCTTTAAGAGACTGCGAACTGTTACAGCGTGAAGAAGTACCCCCGCATTAACAGTTTCCTGCATTCCCACATCCACAACGGCACCCTGATCACTCTCCAGCAGGCGGCCGGCCACGAAGACAAATCGCTCCCTGCGAGAGATCTCCCGGACGCCCACTTCCGCTTATGCGAAATCTGGCATGCCTCTGGCTTCGCCGAGCAGTTCGAGTCCAAGGCGAGACGTTGGGACAGCATCAAGCAGCGATCTTGTGGTCATGCTCTACTGGAAAATAGATCGATCGACGTGGCCGACTTGCTTCAAGGCTGCTTTTTTCGGCGTTGCATAATACGCAGAGAGGATATCGTTTTCACCGTATCAAGAACTATCTCAGCTTCGCTTTATTATTATTATTATTATTACTTTTCTTTACATGTTCACTTGAGTAACCCTACCAGAAGTATCAACTACCTTCATCAAGTATCCAACCATCAATCACCACCATAACCACAATATCAGGAGCGTCCATAATAGCCACAACAACAACGACGAAATTCTGACCCCTGCATTCTCTGACATATTGAGCAACCCCTACCAAGTGAATAATTCTGCCCCAAGTAGAGTGAACTAGTTGAGTAAAACTCGGCGATCGGGCAATATTGCCCGAGTCGAATGCGGTGGGGGGGGGGGTTATTTCCCCTCACGGCCGCAACACGCCCCGCATCCATAGAACATAGAAAAAGTCTAAGGATCACCGGAGGGTCATACCACTACGTTTTGACATTTGCCGTTGGACACCATTCTAAGCTGATCGTACAAATAAATCCAAATACCCCGCGCGACTCGCCCGCCAGAGAAAACCCTCCCAAAAATTCGACATTGTCCATTCAGCTCAAAATGACGTCCGCTACTACCATGCAGGCATTGAACTACCTCGGGCCCTACAAGGTTCGCGTTGAAGAGGTGGAAAGGCCAAAGCTGCAGCATCCTGATGATGTTATTGTCAAAGTCACCACTGTGAGTTATACCTTGAGTTTCGCTAGTGAAAAGCGCAGGAGTTGACCATGGATACAGGCTGCTATCTGCGGGTCAGACTTGCAGTAGGTCAAATCAAAGGGGATAGAGCGATGACTTTTCGACGCGCGAAACTTACCTGTCTTTAGCATGTACGAAGGGAGAACGGCCGCGGAGCCAGGAATAACTTTCGGTAAGATGTCCACGCCGAACCAACTGTCGACAATCACTAAAAAAAATAAAACAAAAGGACACGAGAATATGGGAATTGTTGAGGAGCTCGGAGAGGGAGTCACATTATTGAAGAAGGGCGACCGCGTTGTGATGCCATTCAATGTCGCCGACGGCCGCTGCCGCAACTGTGAAGAGGGAAAGACGGCTTTCTGCACTGGTGTCAATCCCGGATTCGCAGGTGGCGCATACGGTCAGGGAATATCCATAGTACTACATGTGGCTTCTACGGCGGTTTTCTAACAAGTTGCAGGTTATGTCGCCATGGGTCCTTACCGCGGAGGACAGGCACAGTATATTCGTATCCCATATGCCGACTTCAATGCTCTGAAGCTCCCCCCCAGGCAAGGAGCACGAGTCCGATTTCATTCTTCTTGCAGGTATGTCGAGCAACAACATCTGCGTTTTGGTCACGTTTACTAATCCGCGCGACAGATATTTTCCCCACCGGTACGATATACCTTTCCGCACTACATTTCCCCCATGACTTACAACGTTCTCGCAGGCTGGCACGGTGTCGAGATTTCCGGGTTCAAGTCAGGTGAAAGTATTGCTGTCTTCGGCGCCGGTCCTGTTGGTCTGATGGCGGCGTATTCGGCTGCGTTGCGAGGAGGATCGAACATCTACGTGGTTGATCGTGTCGCCGAGCGATTGGAAGCCGCGAAGAAGATTGGGTGCATTGCAATTGATTTCACAAAGGGCGATGCAGTTGACCAGATTATCGAGCATAACGGGGGAGAGGTTGACCGGTCTATCGACGCTGTCGGCTACCAGGCAGTTGGTTCCGATGGATCTTCCGAGAAGGCCAACATTGTTCTTGAGAACATGATTCGGGTGACTCGTGCTTGTGGCGGACTGGGAATTCCGGGCCTCTATGTCCCTAGGTAAGTTCTCCGTTGTACTCATACTTGGTTGCTTCATGTTTTTGACATTTATTCAGTGACCCTGGTGCCGCCGACCCTGCCACTGCAAACGGAATGATAAGTTTGAGCTTTGGAAAGCTTTTCGAGAAGGCAAGTTTTTTTTTTTTTTTGAATATGCGGCAAGGTTAATGGCTTCATGAGAACAAAATCCTGATTGTCTTCTTCGTCTAGGGCCTTTCTATCGGTACCGGACAGTGTAACGTGAAATCATACAACAGATACCTGAGAGACCTTATAATCGCCGGAAAAGCGAAGCCTAGCTTCGTAGTATCACACGAGCTAGGATTGGCCGATGCGGTGATGGCTTACGATAAGTTCGACAAAAGATCAGACGGGTTCACCAAGGTTTTACTGCACCCCAATGGTGGTTTCTGATGCGCGGCAGATGTGAATGAATAATTCCCATGATTAAGCGTAATACTGCCGCCCATCGGCCCGAGTTCTAGCCTTACCGGCTATATACCAGAATGAAATATTCTTTCTCTCATATTTTGTAGTCTTGTACCTTGTTGGCCCGACTGGCAGTCCTTTAATGAAAAGTAGCTAAAACCACGCGGTTTTGATATTTATAGATAATTTATATATATTTTTGAAAACAGAATTGGCTGTCTTGAATACTCAAGATGCATTGAATACTATGGTAAAAAATAGCCTGGTTTCTCAGCTTGGCCACTTGTGGATCGCAGAGTATCCGTATTCGTGTATGAACAGTGTGATTCCAAGCTTCCGAGGCTAGTTTTAAGAGTGATATTCTCCATATCAAAATAATTCAACTTAAATTTAGCACGCAATCAAGTGTGGGGTAATCAGACAACGCAAGAAAGGAAAGTGGGATGTGAATAGCTGCCTGTCTCTTCTCCGCATCTCTTGACATAAGATCGCGGAGCAAGGAGGGATTCATCAATTCTACGAGGCAAAGCTCGCCGACGAAGGACCCACCCTACCCCAAAGTGTTAAAAAACGCCGCACCCGCCTCCAGGTTGACCATTCACAGTTCGCGAATCAATAGCCGTGCCCCATTCTTCCCTGCGGAAATTATTCCCATTTTGGGCACTGTCGGCGTTGCCTCGATCTGGGCGAAATGTAGATCCCAGCGCAATGAAAGTGATAAATAAATTTGGTCGCGTCTAGCTCCAACCGTTGCAAAACTTTTGGAGAACTTCAAGTTGATAATTACACACTGCAGAATGGGAATCACACGCCATCGAACAACCTGGGGAGTGGATAAGGGGGGCCCCGTCTTGAAAATTGGAAAGCCTGGTTTCCGGAGCTCAAGAAGCACGGTTACAGTATGTGCGCATCCTATCGATAAGGCAAAATCGTCGCTTTCAAATAATTGACTGACTTTGGGTATCCTTTAAGATGGCGTTGAGATAGATATTCATCAACTGGACCCTGTTTCCGAGTTCCCGCGCCTGAGAGAACTGCTAGACCAGGTTGGTTTGGAGATGAGTGTTCTGTAAGTTTCCTCGAAACCCAGAAAAGTACCGGAGACCTAATATGGGTCCAACAGAGCCCATAGTTCCTGGGTTGGATACGTCGGTCCGCGACCCGTTGGGTTAGATGCCCAGAACCATCTCCAAAACTACCGCGATGTTCTCCAATCAACGGCGGTGTTACGACCGGTTGCCATCAACTTCCAATCGGGACAGTAAGGACTCAAAGAGCTAATTTGCTTGTCCAAATTGAATACTTACCGGAGATATAGAGACACATGGACCTTCGAAGAGTCGGTCAAATTCTACAAGGGCACCCTGCAAGTCGACAAGGAGCTCGGTCTGACCGGTCATGTCTTCCATGAGACCCACCGCAATCGATCGCTTTCCACACCATACCACTCGCTACAAATTCTCCGAGCTGTTCCTGAGTAAGGATCTAACGATCAAGGCCCTAGCGACATATTGAAAAACTGACACACCGAAGGTTGAAGATCACCGCCGACTTCTCCCACTGGATGGTTTGCTGCGAGCGTATTCTGGACATCAGCGACGAGGACCGCGCACTGCTAGATGAGGTTATCCCACGCGTAAGTGAAAAGAAAGAGAATCCTTGCATGGTCAAGCCACTGAAAGCTGCCTAGGTGGGACACCTTCACGCGAGAATCGGAACAACACAGGCATCGCAATGCCCCGAGCCACTCAACCCTGTCTTCGAACAAGAGAGATTATGTATGGAAAGGTTGTGGACCAAGATCATCGAGAGCTACCTTGAAAGGAACGGCCCCGATGCGAACCTCGTCTTCGTACCGGAATACGGGTGAGTTGGTTCCTCAGCACCACATGCGATGATGGCGATGTTAACTTTGGATATATTTCAGTCCCTTCCCTTACCACCCATACGGAAGTGCCAAGGCGTATGGAACTGTGGCAGACGAAGAAGGGGTACGTCTCGAAGCTCTTTTCAAGGAGATCATTAAGAAAAAGTCTGGTGCTTTAATATGATGAAATCATCGCGTCTAGATTGGCTGGCAGGGCGTACTGGCGGATTAGACGTCACGATAGTCGCACTTTTATAAATATCCAATGGTAGAAAAATAAACAATACTTCAATGCCCTCGCGGTCAATTTCAGTGTTCCCAGTTAGAAGTAATTCAGTATCGTCGAATGCCGATAACCGGGCGGCGGAGAGGCTGGCTGAGAAGCTCCCAGGAACGGTGCGACATGGCTACAGTGCTGCAGTCCTGTATCATATCGTCCGTGCTAGCAGGCCAGTGAGAGACGAGGATATTAGAAATACCAATGACGATCAAGGGGAAGTGTTTCCCCAGCGGAGATCGACATGTGATGACTCAGCCACTCCGCGCTTACCTCATCCTTCCAGACCTTCCAGGCCCGCCAACCTTCAACTTCCGACTTCCGATCTCCAACCTCTCCAACCCGCTAGACAGTGACCATTTGGTGATTGTACCATTCATTCTGCCCTCACCTTATTTGTCGTTGAAACTGGACATTGCCAGCCCTTCAATCACAATACCCATCCAGTGTGCACCGGATCACACTCGACGCAATCAGTCACGCCTGCGATCGATCTGTCGACCGCAGGCTGCAGTTCCTTTCGCTTTAGCCTAGGCGGATTCCAAACCGCGGCCGCCGGGCTTAAACTCCATCTTTATTCACTACCATGCCGGCCACAGATCGCTCTGCTATCAAACGCCGCTCCTCTACACAGCATTACCAGACCTTTGATACCCCACCACCGAAGTCGCGTGGGCGACCCAATTCCGGCCAGTCGGGATCCTCCGGTGAAGGTTCCAACGATGCGCACAATGAATCGCCCGACCAAACCGGCCAGCATTCACCATTGCCCAAACGCCAAATGGTGGTGCTGGCAATAATCGCCCTGGCAGAGCAGACCGCACTGAATTCCATCAGTCCGTACCTTCCCGACATGGCATCCACATTCCCCGAGGTGAAGTCGTCTGAGGTCGGCGTATACGTTGGAACGATCGCTTCGGCCTTTGCATTGGCGCAGCTTGCAACCAATTACTTTTGGGGTTCGCTGTCTGATCGCATTGGTCGCAAGCCGGTCATTTTACTTGGAACCTTTTTGACGGCGCTATGCTTCATTGCATTTGGATTTTGCAAGACCCTTTGGCAAGCGATCCTAGTCCAGGCGATGATGGGAATCGTGAATGGCAATCAAGGCTTGGTGTCGACCTGTCTCGGCGAGATTACCGACCGAAGCAACCAATCGCAGGCATTCACATATTTGCCAGTTCTTTACGGCGTTGGAGGTATCACGGGCCCGCTACTGGGAGGATTGCTGGTCTTCGAGCGCAATCCGTTTACCGGAAAGAAGAGCACATATCCTTACCTTGCGCCGAACCTCGTCTCCGCTGCCATTCTTCTGTTGGACTTGGTAATCACCGCCTTATACTTGGACGAAAGCTTGGAGGACGCAGACACCCTCCCGAAGATTGGCAAAAAGGTTCGCAGCCTTTTCACCTGGCTTTGGCAGTTCACGGGATTTGCTTCAAGGCCAACTTATGTTCGCGTACCCCAAGCCGTTCCTTACCCGCATTTCCGCCACAGCAGTACCGACAATGACGAACACGACAGCGATCTGGACTCCGCATCCGAGGTGTCAAGTCAAGCTGGCAATCACGAGGAATTGACCTGGGATGAGATATTCACACGGGACACGGTCTTGTTGCTGTTAACATATCTCGTTTTTGCGTTTTGCAATGTCTCCTTCAACTCCCTGTTTCCAATTTTCGCGCAGGCAAAGCCACCCGCTGGCCGTCACTTGACACCATCTGAAATCGGCCTCTCCCAAGGCTTTGCTGGTGCTGTCACGATTATCTTCCAGATATGCATTTTCAACCGTCTGCGCGATAAGATGGGCAATCGCTGGTCATACCGCGCTGGTCTTTTCGGATTTGTTCTCTCCTTTCTCCTCATGCCTTTTGTTGGATATAAGAGCGAGGAGAGCAAGGGGTTGACAGGAAAGTCTGCGCTGATGGCCGTCGAGCTTTGCTTGGTGCTACTGGTCAAGACTGTTGCTTCGGTTGGTGGTCTAACCAGTGCGCTTTTGCTGGTAAGTCTCTTTCTTGGGATCCCGATAATTTTTGGTTTCACTTACTCACCGCTACTAGATCACAAATTCCGCTCCAAACCATGCAGTTCTTGGTGCTCTCAACGGCCTTGCACAAACTCTTTCCGCGGCTGGACGTGCCGTAGGCCCATTCCTCTCCGGAGGCCTTTTCTCATTGACCTCCAAGATTCAGCCCAAGGGCGAAGCCCTGGCCTTCGGTGTCTTTGGCATAGTTTCTTTCATCGGATTTCTGATGAGCTTTGGTATCCGAGGTCGATCACTGGAAGCCGATGGCTGGGGAGAAGACAGCGATGAAGATGATGAGAATTACAAGTCGGATGATGACGAGCCCAACGGTGCCTAATTTCTACCCGATCGCTGCGCTTCACATATCCGCCGACATGACTTGACGAACTCAATGCTTCCTCCTCAGCCTTCTCCTTGCATTCCGATTACCATAATTTGCTCATTCGCGATGAATCGACCAAGCATTTCTCTTGTTTCAGCGTGTTTTTCAGCTACTTTTTTCCTTTTTCCCACTTCCCATTGGACATAGACGCATTTTGGGATGGCTGTCTGACTATCGACCTCGTACAACTATGCTATGCTCCCTATTATTATATTAGATCTTGAGCAATTAAAGTGTTACCCGCGGGCCCGTCCTTATTGTACGTTCACTACATAGTCATTTATATTCCCTTCATCGAGTCGTATTTCATCGGAAGGGGGGTTGGTAATACAGCGACGTTGCAAAAGTTTGAAACCTTCTAACTGCCTTCTAATGGCAGATTAGTAGCTACCTGAGATGGAATAGATTGGCTAATTTTTTCCATCTCAGGTAGCTACTTGTCCCCTTGGGAAGGCAGAGATTAGGGCGGTCACCAAGGGGTTTCAAACTTTTGCAACACCACTGTACAGTCCCGAGGATCGGGTTGGGTTGCAGGTCGCACTCGGCACGGCCCGTCTGTTCCACGTGGGTCCAGTCGGAGGGGATTGTATTTAGTGAGAAGAGATTCGTGTTCATGTACTCACTCCTTAAAAATCGGCGCGAGGTTTGAGTACTCTAGCTACCAAATTACAACCTTGAAAACTAGTACTATTTATTATATTGCCTGGGTTTATTCCGCATTCCCTGTTCATGGAGTAGATTTTCAGGCAACATTAAAAGGACATCAACCCTGGATGCGCTATTTCCTTGGTCACCGTGTCCTCTAAAATAATGGTCACGCTTCAAGTTCTTTTTCTTTCTGTGAATTGTAAATAAAAAGTTCAATATTATAGGCGCATGGTCTACATATAATGATAGAAGCTAGCAGCCCCATTATAACTGCATTTCAAAATTGCATGAATGCTCTTGGTATACTCTATCTTAGGTTGTGGAGCCCAAGCCCTTTTAGCAAGGCGTATCCCAGATTGCTGTTGAGTAATTTAAAATTCTGCACTTTAAAGGCGAAAAACCTAAATTAGATTAAAAAAATTACTCTTTGACTAGGCAAGAAAGAACGAATGAAAATGTATTGTTGGGAGGTGGAAGACTTTTGCACCTTCACGGACAAAGCCAGTTCGATGAGGGAACATGAACATGATGAACACCAATACAAGTGCGGGTGAGTGTCACCTGTGCTTAGTCTCTTTGTGGGAGGTCATTCCATTGATAAATACTCTTGCATTATATGCCCACGTTGAAATACGGCACAAGAGATGGTCCAAGAAGTCTTTGTTACATTTGTGAGGAGAACCTTTGATAAACCTTTAATTGTGTCCCAGGTCCGGGGCATCCACAGAGATCAAAAAATATCACAGCAAGAACACCATCATCTCAAGAAAACCCAGAAAAAACCTAGAAGCCTTCTTGGCCCATGTATGACTTAGAACTGTGAGTTTTTGAAATAGAAAATATTCTATTATCCCAAGTTCCTTCTCAGATCGCCAGTTCCCCCCCCCCCGGACCCTGACAACCTCGAACATGATCGAAAGATCCTCGCCCCAGATCTGACCCTTGACAAAACTTCTAAAAGCCCTTTTCCCACTCACTTTTTCATTCCGGCTACCTCCCCTTTCTCAATCGCTCTTCTCCCACTTCAGTGTCCCTGTCCCTTCTCCATTTCGCCCCTTCCCCCACCCCTCACCAACCCTTCGACCTCATAACTCACCCCAATTGTTTTACTCGTCTTGTACGGGGAAAGCATTTGACAGTAATACTCTGTTGATATTCTGACCATTCCGCCTCGACCTGTCTTCTTTGAGGAATACAAGCAAAACAACGATTTGAGACCCTGTCAAAACCATGGAGCGTGCCTTTGTTGATCTCACCCTGGAAGACCCTCGCCGTGATGAGCTACCAATTCCCCTTACTCCAAGTAAGTCATACCATCAAAGAAGTCCGTGGAACGCACTACTGAATTTATCTCAGCTGTGAGGTCCGACAATATCTGTGGATTGACCTCTATAGCAAGACAGACGACATCATTTGGAGCCCCCGTCCTCACACCACCTCCCTCGAACTCACGAAAGCGTCCTAGAATTCTGAACTCGGAAGACCCTGAGATAGAGAGACCCCAAAAGAGGCGTCTCATACCGGCCAAGGCCCTGAAATCACTAAAGCGGGTGCTATTTTCATCCGACGGCCCTCCTTCCCGCACCCAAGCCGCCATTTGCAGAGACACAAAGACCAGGAGCCAGGTTCCCGAGCCAGAGCAGGGGCCAAGGTACAGAGCACGGGTGAATAAAAATGGCAGAAAGCCATCCAAGCGCGCTATTGATCTTACAAAGGGGCCCGAGCCGGAACAAAGTGAGAACACAGTGAGAAGGTTGGGTAGCCCGCCTCGCTTGATTCAGAGCATTCTGATCAAGGGCCTGCAATTCCAACCAGATGGTGTCACATTTGAGGTTGGCCTGGACTTAGAGCTGGAAGACGAATCCTTTTTCCGAATAGAAAAGATCACCCGGCATGGCCACCGTATTCTTTTCAAAGGCCGCCGGCTTTTTCGTCCAAAGGCATTCAACAACAACAAACTACCGAATATTATCCCTCATGCCCGAAACGAGCTCGTCTGGGTGCCTCAACGGACAAGTCAAGTGCTACCTGACAAGGTGGTTGGCATTACCAAAGTCGTCTTCACCAATGAGCGTTGCTTATGGGGAAAGGCTCGAGTGCGGACATGTCGTCTGAAGGTATCCTACTCTTATCGTGACTCAAATCATGAAAACCCGGTGAAAAATGCGAATTGGGTGGTTCGAGATTTGACGATCGAGGAGTCAGACCCCGGAAGAGGACTCACCAACAAGCAACTGCGTGAGAGATGGAGAGGGCCCACCATACCATTCGGTGAAGGAAAGGTCGGTGCCATAATTGAAACCATTGAGCGTCGGCGTGAGGATTCGCCTGAGATCATTGACCTCGATAACATTCTTCCAACCCCACCACCGTCCCCACCCACCTCATCAACTCTGATTGACCTCACATCGGAAGGCCAGAATGCGTATACCTTTGGTGACGGATTCTGCGGAGCCGGGGGTGCATCTTGTGGGGCAAAGCAGGCAGGGTTGAAAATCAAGTGGTCCTTCGACATCAACGAGTACGCGATGAAATCATACAGTCTCAACTTTCCGGGGAATGAGACCAAGTCCCGAAGAATGGAGGCGCATCAGTTCTTCCAGAAGCCGATGCCTTTTTTGCGAGTCGATATCATGCACTGTTCACCACCCTGCCAGACCTACTCCCCGGCGCACACGGTCAACAACGAGGAAAACGACGACCGCAACTCCGCCTGTCTGATAGGTATTCGGCAAGCAGTCGAAAGAGTCCGGCCTCGCATTCTGACCATGGAAGAGACTTTCGGTCTGGAGCACGAAGCTCATAGACCCAACCTGAATCGGGTCATAATGGATTTGATTGAGCTGGGATACTCGGTGCGATGGGAAGTTATCAAGCTGGGCGGGTACGGAGTGCCGCAGATACGAAAACGGCTCATTCTCATCGCTGCAGGGTAAGCTCACACTTTATATTATTTTTCCACGATCATTCAATTGGAATGACTCCGGTAACTGACAGATATTTAGACCAGGAGAAAGTCTCTGCGAGTTCCCTCGCCCGACCTACGGCGGCCCAGGCCAGCCTAGACTCAGAACGATCCGCGATGCTATCTACGACCTATCTATCGACTCGCCAAATCACGACGTGGCGACTCGTCTGGGACGGTGGTCGAGAGAGTACCGGAAGGCATTGGATTGGGATGAGCAAGCGAAGACAATAACCACGGCTGGTGGACAAGACAACTATCATCCTGATGGAAGACGAACATTCACAGATCGGGAGATCGCCTGCCTTCAGACGTTTCCACGAGATTATCAGTTCTACAAGACAGGCGCCCGCAAGCAGATCGGCAATGCATTCCCTCCTATGGCTGCAAGGGCAATCTACGAGGCAGCTAAGGAGTCTTTGCAGAAGACTGACCTGCTCGAACGCGTGGACAGACAGATGAGAATGTGAAATGTGTGATGGAGATAACGACTAGATATGAACATGGGTACGAGGGGCTGGACATGCGCACATGAAAGCAGCGAAAGCTTAGATATTACATTCACCATCAAGAAAGGCGGAGCATCTGAATGACTAAATATCCAGTCATCAAATGAAGAAAGACTGCATATCGGCAAGATAGATAGCTATTAGAGTAGCTGCTGGACTGGATATCCTAGCCATTTACGATCACGCGAATGATCAATTTTCTTTCACAGTTTGAGTCTGCTCTGATGGCTGCTCTATCTGCTGGTCATATTTCCACACATCCACAATCACATTCATCGTTTTTTGCATGATCTCCAAGGTGAGATCCTCGCGTACGACAATTCTCATAGCGTCAATATCCGAGCCATCTTTGCCCCAACCTTTGATCGTGTAATCTGCAAAATATTTTCTTAGTGTGTTTCGCAGAAATATTTCAATTTACAAATTGAAGGACTCACGTGGAACCGAAAACTTTATCTTATGTAACGCGTCGCTCAGAACTGACATGTCAAGTACAGGTTGCTTTTTTCTTGGCATGATCGGACAGCGTAAATACAACAATCGGGATACCGGGATTCATTGTAGGATTTGCCTTGTGGCAGCTGGGACTTTCAATACAAAGCTGGACTTGACGTGGCAAATGAACTCCACTCAAACAGCTGAAGTATCCAGTGCTCTCTAATTCCAGATTCAATGATCTCGCAATGTCGAGGTATCGATTAATAAGCTTGGAGTACCCAGTCAACCCCTTCTGGTGAAATTGATAGTACTATGCGACTGCCGGAATACTAGACCTTGAAAAGCTGAGGGTGTAGGCAGTATGCGTTCCGCGGAGGTATGAAGACTCGAGCAAAAGCCCTTTGGGAATCCATTTTTCTCACGCCAGACTATCCAGCCGACAGCCAAAGGAGCTTCTCCGTATTTGTGACCGGATGCATTGAATGACTTCACGCGTGGTAGGCGGAAATTCCTATGAAAGTGTCAACATTCTTCAGCTTCAAGTGAAGTGCTGAGGGTGACATACTAAACGAAATTTTCATTGCTTGAGGTAAACGGTGCAACAAATCCCCCACTTGCCGCGTCGACATGAATGGGGATATCACTCCCGGTATCGCGCTCATACTCATCTAACATCTTGGAAACTTTCTCGATTGGGTCATTGTGGCCGGTGTAGGTACTCCCAAGTGTTAGAAACACGCCAACTGAGAAGGTTAGGTCATGGATTGATCAAAATAAATACTGGCCGAGTGACGTACTAGTCCTACTATCAATGCACTTCCTCACTTCCTTTGGTCACACCGAAAGATTTGTTCTTTCGGATACTGGAATCAATCGAGCTTCCATATCAAAGTAATCGGCAAACTTCTTGACACAAATGTGCGCGTTGTAGCCGATGATCACATTTGGTCGTCTTTCGGGAATCCCATGGTTTCCAAGCTGCCACTTGCTTTTCATCGCAAGACCACCCAGCATCACAGCCTTGGAAGATCCCGTTGTTCCAGTACCGAATATATCGGCAGCTGAGGGAGAGCTCCAAAGATCCGCAAGAATCGTCAAGCAGCGTTCATTTACGTCTCTGGTAGTTACCTTTCTCCAGGCCAGGAATCCCATGCGAGTATTGCAAAAAGGCTTGCTTCTGCGTCCGGATATGAGCAGACAAATTCATGTCAAAGCTTCTCGTCAACGAATACAACCAACATTTAGATCGACAAGAATCATCCGCGCCGCCGAGAGCTCGAACAGTGACCCCTGGTTTTATCGTAGGGTCACGAGAAGAAGGCGTCGCACATACGGAAGGTTTCTTCTGGAGATTTGTGTACAGCATCATTCAAACTCGAGCTATGAGTGAGGAGCCTGGTCACCTCACGGTCGCTGGGGTTGACCAGGTGTCCGAGCTGGCCTCAGATGTCCTCTTCTACCCGAATGACTACAAATCCGATTTGTTAGCTTGTCTCGATGGCATAAATGCTTTGGCACTTTGTGACATTGTGAGCGAAAAATTAAATGTCCCAACCAGACGTGTTTGTAATGACCAATGGATGTGAATGCTGCGAAGTGATATTGAAGACGCAGAATTTGACCATCCATTTTCACCCGTGATGCAGTGGTTTGACGAAAATGTGTGGCAATTTTGCGGCGACAAAGAAGAAAGAACAGAAAACTCCCTTTTTGCGACAAGTGAAATTAGCCCAGCGGTCGAGAAGAGTTTGGAGTATATGACTCTGGTAGAATACATATCGACAGAGAAAGGGGACCCGAACTTGAAGGTGGATCAGACTGGAGTATTTACTCGCTTTTAGACACATCTTAGAAAATGCCTGAATGCTAGAATTTTCCGCAAACTAACTTCAAGTTTGTGCAAATTATCGTATCTTTATTGTTATTAGTACTTTGTTGTAAATGTTGCAAATTCCAAGTGTCGCCGTCTTCTTTACTTCTCCGATATGCATGACGTTATGATGCCAAGCCCGCAAATTCCCCCGGCCCGCGCAACGTCAACTTCAACAACGCCGACCACTGGGTTACTCCATACTGAAGATAGCAGGAATTTCTTGCTGCATTATGCCACACAATGGCTGAGCCGAGGTCACAGGCGAGACGTGGCCGTCAAAGGCGCCCTCGTGTCCCTGATTCGCAGCGCCAAAGGACCGCGCAGGCGTGAGTTTCCGCCCTTGTCATTTGCCAGTAGACCTAACGCACTGACACGTACTTTCTAGTTGCTTGCCTTGTCGCCAACATAAAGAGAAATGTATAATTGCCTCCAGGACCTGTCGCATTATCATAACCCTAATCAGCTAATATGAATTTGAGGATTGGTAGGCGGCGGTGGCAGTCCTTGTGATCGTTGCCAACGCTATCAACGGACATGCCGATTTGACAATGTTCAGGTACAGGGGAGAAGACCCCTCTTAATTGATGCTGAAGGGTGAGTTGTATTGTCTTGCTTCGTGCCAATCTTGCTTTCGACCATTGACTGATGTTACGGTGGCAGAAACCCAACTCCGGGGCTTACAGCAAGGGAAATTCAGATGAAGCGAATCATCACCCATTTCATGGGAAATATCTCGCTTGAGCTTACTAACCTAGAATCAGTTGCGGACAGTTTGGATGAGAAACAAGGCGATGAGGCTGGCAATCCATCTACAATCACACAAGACCTTGCCCTGGCCAAGGATTACTCCTTAAATCCCCTCTCTACAAATACCATGCGTGGGTTTACTTTGCTTTATTTCATGAAGGATGGATCTGAAATATATTGGCAGATTACTCCGGGGAGCTTTCCCACTGGAACTTTTCGAAAATGCTGGAGCGCCGACTTCAAAGTCTGGGCAACGCCACCAAGCCAGGAAGGAGCGAGGTAAGAAATGCCAAAAATGCGCTTTATATTGAGGGCATGAGTTCTCTAACGTAAAGCGTCTAGGATGCTGGGCAGCCTGATAACGGCTTCTTTCGCGCAACAGACTTACAGTCTTCTGGCTCGTGCATAGCATTGGCCAAGCAGTATTTTCCACCAAGGCCCATCGCCGACTTCTTGGTCAAGACATTCCTAGAGTATGCTTTGACTAATTACTTCTATTTCGATCAAGATATTTTCCATCGCAAACTAGAATACTATTATGACTTGGAAGGGTCGCTGACTATCAATGACGCTGGCTGGGTCTGCACCCTCCTCATGACATTTTCCATTGGTACACAATTCGCATATATGCAGACAGGCCCAATCTTGACGAATGAATTCGCCAAAGTTGATATTGAAGACGATAACATTGGAATTCAACTTTATCGGTTCTGCTGCCGACTGATTCCGGACCTTATTACAACTGCTAGCGTCGAGAGTGTCCAAGCATTCCTTCTCATGGGATCATATACACTACCAATCGATACGTCCGGCCTAGCATATACATATTATGGTCTGGCAATAAAGATGGCAATACAGAACGGAATGCACAGGCAGTTCCCTGGGGAAAACTTCGACAGTCGATTAGTCGAAGCGAGGAATCGTCTGTGGTGGTCGGCCTATGCACTGGAAAGGTACGTATCATCGGGGATTACTAAAACTTAGACGGTCATCTAACAATAAATAGTCGTATCAGTATTTTACATGGTCGCCCCGCCTCCTTTTTCGCCCGCCGAGACCGACACGCCCATGCCAAAGGAGCTAGCAGGCTTCCAATCCACCGACTATCGGTCAAACTTGCCCAATTTTTCTGCCGCAGTCATTCTTACGAAGCACCTGGCGAACGCTTCGGAAACTATCAAATCTTTACGCAGCTGCAGCAGGCCGAAACAGCAGAGATATCTCAAACAGCTGGCCGCCATGCGTGATCGACTTGGCAACTGGTGGTCTAGTCTCCCAGCCCAGATTCATTGCAGAGATCTCAGCCAGGATGGGCCTCTCTTCCGATCAAACATTCATCTTGAGATCTATTACATCACTACTATTATATACATTGGCCGACCCTTCATCATATCCCCAGTCCAAGGGCCTGGAAATACCACAACACAGACCAATACAAATGCCCAAGACGTTCCGGATGTCATCAAGAAACTACGCGACGACTCACTCAACGCAGCTATTCGGGGAATAGAACTGTGTCAAATCTTACAAGATTCCGTTGGTCTTGCTCGTGTTTCATATACCGAGTTCAGTGCATGCCGCATTGCGTTGCTTGCTTTGATTGCTCACAGTCTCAACGAACAGACGGCAGGAATATCTACCGCTCTCACACAGGGAATGGTAATAATTCGAAAAATGTGCGTTGGGCTCGAATCTGCCAAATCCGAAGTGGCGGTAATTGAAGCACTTGATAGAGCCCGCCAACGGTTATATGCCCCTACCAGCCTAGAGGACAATCGCCCGATACAGTCCGCAGCGGGATATGATCAATTCCAGGAGTGGGCCAAGCTTTGGCGAGCCGATCCAATGATGGAAACAGCTGCTGTCAGCCTTGGGGGAAATGCTATTCCGATCGAAGAACAAACAAATCCCACAGTACCTTCATTCGATGGATTCTTTTCCTCGTTTCCCGACGAGCTTTGTGAGTTTACTGCCATTCCGGGGCTCAGCGGTGATGTTTCATTGGGCCAGGAGTGGTTGAATAGCTCACAGCCCGATGATATCATATGGAACACAGGAGGTACCTTTGATATGACTGGCCATACACAGTGACATGCACCCCTTGCCAAACGCTGATATTTTTGTCCCTGCGTTGTTCACAGGTGATTGGGGTGTATATCCGCGTAGATCACACTTTGATGTTATATTTGGATACCCTACTGCTAGATAGGCATGAATCAAAAACAAGATTCCTACGCAAAACCTCCGCTCGTTTCGACCACAGCGGGTAAATAAATTCCCTCGCGTCTCGAGGTCTCCACCAACTTCTTCTACGATAATGTGGCAATATCTTTGAAACCCAGCGTGGTATCGGGCTTAGCGAAGAGTTCTATCGATAGTAACTACCATTGCGTCAGCTTACTCTGTCGGTCGCATCCGCCTCCGGACAAGCATGCTAAGAATTCGGCCCCTGATCTGCGGTCCCGCGCCCCACATAATGCGGGCGTTCTTCAAGGAATCAAGAAATAAACAAACTCTACGGAGTACGGTGGAAGCGAAGAAGTAGCATATACTAAGCCTTCTGAAAACTGTGGAGAATATCCAGCGCATGATACTAGGGCGCTTCCTCTAGCCATTGCTTATTGCCGAAGGGTCCACAGGCTGTGGTGGAGTAAGCGAATTATCATACGCATGTTTTATAGCGCAGGAATGTATAGATGGCTACACTGTGGAGAGATAAATTATGAGAGCTATATACTACTAACTCGGTCTTTTATTGATAGATGATTTGAATCGCGAGGGAACAATAGAGACGTCTCCTCGTCTATGCGTTGCAAAGCGTGTTACTTCGTATACATCGTCGATATTTCCGCTGCTATGTCTTAGATCATCTGCCGATCTGTATGGGGGCTGAATCGAATACCCCATTATTAGCGATGGAAAAATGCACAATGACGCAGCAGGGCCCTGGGGGCTACGCCCACTATTATTGATTTCGGCCCTGGCCATGTTATTCCCGATTCAGGTGAAGTTATAAAAGCGATACAATAGATCGAGAGTCTTCTAAATAGCATTCATATCCGCAGCCTCCCACCTGAAAGCCCACGCTCGGCTTACAAAAACCTCTGTCATTCTTTCTCGAATATACTTTTGAAACAAAAAGATCATACCAAAGTCAAATCACCATGAAGGTCGCAGTCATCCTCTCATCCCTTCTCGGTCTTGCCCTGGCAACCGCCATCCCGATTACCAACGATCTGGAACGTCGCGACCCGAGCGATAAGTCCGGAAACTCTCAATTCGTCTTGCAGTGCGAGGGAGTCACCATTCCCGACCAAGGAGGGGCTTCAGGTGAAGGCGAGGGCGGCGTTGGCTACTTCTACAGCAATGTGGCTTTCAACGCCCAGGGAACGAAGATCGACCCCGTTGCCTGCACAGATCAGGACGGTACTTGCAGCAACTGTCTGTTCTCTGGCGGCGGTCTTAGTTCGGACACCAATGTTACCGCATGTTGGAACCCGCCTGCTGGAAAGTCAGGATGTAGCATTTCATTCTCGTACGATGGATACGATTATGATAGCCAAAACAAGGAGCCCTACTGTGGTCACGAGGATGGATTTGCGGCTTTCTCGTTCGATCTCAGCGCTGTCTGCTATTTTAATGTTTAGATAACTGGCTGGCCTGGAGAATTCAAGTTGTCTATGGTTAATATTTGACATGCATACTTGATACTATTTGTTGCCAGTGGTCATGCATGAGAGAACGATGTGGTGAGGGCAGTTGAAATATCCATGGATGTTGTTGGCATTCCGTTTGTATAGCACATCTCATCACCTATTCGATAAAATTTTCATTAGCTCCGAGTCCACAATATTTTCATGAGGCATAAATTTATTGCAAAACAAGATATTTGTATCGTCAAAGTGCTTATACGAGTTGCTCTCATAGGAAAGGCCAACGATCGGAAGAAGAAACATTAAATAGGAAGATAATGAAGAGCAGTAATCTTCATGCTGCGAAGATAGCCGTAACTATAATTTTTACTTTCAAAAATTCATAATTTCTCTCTGCTTTGGAAGTACTGGTAACAAAAGCCTTACTTGGGAGGCCCGGGTGCGAGTACCCGGGCATAGTCGGGTACATGTACCCGATCATGCTGCAAAACCTCTTGGCTCTAATTTTTTTATCAAGGTGACCAAGTGCGAGCAATCCCAACCGCAACATAACTTTCCCGAATCCTCCCCAAAAATCAGTATACATTTTTTTCATCCTGACAGTCAAGCGAAGAAAACTCAATTGGGGCACTAAGATGGCGCAGCCAGCGAGGAACTCGGCCCTACGATATTTCGATGTAAGCCAATGATAATCGACTCTACGGATCGCATCTCTTTGCTTTCATATTGAATGCTGATTGTTTCTTCAGGTCGCAGTGACTTTTACTGCAGATCAGTTTCGCGGTATCTACCGGGGCAAACAGTACCACGAGCCCGACTTTGCCGAGGTTCTTAAAAGAGCTAAGGATTATGGCTGCAAAAAAGTGATGCTTACCACTATGTCACTTGACGGGGCGAAGCAGAACCTAGAGCTTGTCCGGGAATTTCCAGAAATTTGCAAGATGACGCTTGGGGTACATCCGTACCATGCTGGCGAAATCTACGAGGCACAGGGCTCTCAGGAGGGTCCCAATCAATATTTGGAGACAATTCGCAAAATAGGCGGGGGATTGATTGCCGAGAACCCTTCCCCTCTCGCAGCTTTCGGTGAAATCGGTCTGGATTATGTCTATCTTGACCGTGCGGACAAAGAGACACAGCAACGTGCGTTCAAGGATCAGTTGGAGATGGCTACTGAATTCCAGCTCCCCTTATTTCTACACGTTCGCGAATCCACCCAAGATTTTATCTCAATCATAAAGCCCTATCTTCCAAAGCTGCCCCGAGGTGGCTTGGTGCATTCATTTGCTGGCTCTAAGGCGGAGATGCTTCAGCTTGTGGAACTGGGTTTGGATATCAGTGTGAACGGTGTCTCTTTCCGGAGTGACGATCAGATTGAAATGGCCAAACATATCCCCCTGAGCAAATTACAACTCGAAACTGACGCTCCGTGGTGCGAGGTGTTGGAAAAAGACCCAAAAATCGAACCATTCCTTGCCGCTGCAAGGCCTCTGCCCCAAAGCAGAAAGCACAATAAATTTATACCGGGTCAAATGGTGAAGACAAGGAACGAGAGCTGCACTATTGAACGAGTTGGACTTGTTGTGGCAGGATTAAAAGGCGTGACAATGGAGGAAGTTGCGGAGGCTGCATGGAACAATAGTTCGCGGATGTTTTGGTAGGCAACTTGAAATTTACTCCTATCGAGCGTTGAAAAATAATTGTAGAAATATTCACATTCCAGTACACCATGTACTCTAAGGTTTTTGTGTAAGACCAAATTGGGCGATCTTATAATCTCAGCTAGTCAAGGCCTGGCCACTCTGGGCGTAGAATTAACGTAGGACTTGTTATTTGCTTTCGAGGTACAAGGGAATCTTACTATGAGTCTAAACCTAAACCCATACAGATATATCCATCCAGTAAGTTTATTAATTGAACTTTTTACAGTAATTGCTTATAATTCCAATTCTCCAATGCCTTGCTTGAGCAGTATGGCCGACCATCTCCGCCGAATTCGGCTCCGCCTTGGTCCGGCTTTACCCCGAGATCTCTCCGCTCCCCGGACCGAGCCCTCCACACTTGCTTCCTAGCTGACAGCCAGCACAATGCCTGATGCCGACATGGTTAAGCAGGCCTGCGATGAATGTCGCCGGCGGAAGGTCCGCTGCAACAACGATAGGCCGTGCAACCAATGCGAATCCGCCAGCTTACGGTGCCACACATCGCTCAAGCACCGGAAAAAAGGGCGACAAGGAAAAACAGCAAATGTTCTCAACGAGCTGAGAGCAAAGGGGATGCAGAGCGATGATTCGATATCGCAATCAGCGCAAAATACACAATATGATTTGCCCATGGCTGACAGGGCTCCCTCACCTTCGGGGGAAACGGGAAGATGTCAATTTTCCAAGTCCGCGGGCCTTGTCAGTCACGAGCTCATCGCATCGTGTTCTGATTACTTCTTCTCTCGGATGCGTGGCACTGTACCGATATTGCATCCCGATGCGTTCCAAAGACAGATTGATCAGGCGGGCCAATGTCTGCACGCGTACTGCTTGGTTACAGCATTTTGCGCATTTGTGGTGACACAAACTGGATTTTGTATCGGCCCTCAAATTCTCAATGGTCGCGGCAGTGCCACCCAAGAAGAATATCGGGAGATACTGGTGAATGAGGCAACCGAGGCAAGGAGGCACCTGGATCCGTTTAAAGAGCCTATGAGGCGCACAATTATTACTGCATTTCTACTTTACGGATGCCACATTGGACTCGGGAATCAGCGACACGCATATTACTTTCTACGAGAAGCGACCACTATCTATACCGCCAGTGCGCTGGACGGTGAGACATCTACACAAGATGACGGCGAAGAATCGTCGCAATCTGGGAATCTATTCTGGTTGTTACTGGTGTCGGAAAGGTAAAGTTCTCATCTCCGCCTAATCTCAAGACCTTCTAACCAACTTAAAACCCCAGGGCCCATGCCATTCGGCGACATAGGCCTATCACCCTTCGGATTTCTGCCGAGACTCCGGAGCTAGATGAGCCACAATCGAATGTGGCGATTGGATTTCGGTGCCTTGTCAATTTATATCGACCCTTCGATGAGAGATTCCTGAGTCAGTGGAATGGTGACCATGCGACTTGCTCAATAGAATCCTTGGTCCAGCTCGAAGAGAGAATTCAAAATGCTGTGCCAGCGAATATCGACTTACCGGATGTACTGATGGCCGACTTGCGCGTTTCGCAACAATGGCTACGGATCATGATCTGGCAGCTTTCCACCACTGCTGGATTTTTGTCAACTAGTCCTACACATGAGTGTATGGATTTCCGATACCCAGTCTTGATTTCAAGGGACCTGTGTCTTGCGACATGGAAATTATCGAAACAAAGTATGGAGACGCATGGAATTGGCCTGGTAAGTCTATTGCCGACCAGTCACTGTCGTTTCATTATTAAGCTTTTTAATTCACAGATAGAGAAAATATTCGAAGTTGCATGTACATTGATCGATGTTATGGCCTGCCTTTCAGCTGCCGGTCTCCGCTCCTCGGGATTCAAGCTGGGCCCACAAGACTACCTCAAACACTTTTTTACACTCATAAATGACTTACCCGGTGGTAGGGCACGATTCCTTCCGCTACTCCTGACTAAAATCGGACAAACTTTGCCATCCATGATGGAAACTATCGCCATACATCTTAACCTGAACTCTGAGATACCCGAACAGGGCTCTGGCATGCTTGGGTCATGTTTAGCTCAAGGCTCTGAGAACAATCCATCACCGCAGCCGGACTCGTCCAATGTAAATTCAGAATCATTTTCTGAAGATTGGGCGTATAGTCATTTTAACTACGCAGAGATGAGTCGGATCGGGGATAAGACTCCTGAAATTGACGAGGCATTTCTTCAATACTCCAGTTATTTTCAATGACACATCGCAGAATCGAACCTATCTATTGATTAACAAATCAAAAAGTTTCGCTACCCTAAAGAGTACGCGATTCTGGAACGCCTTGGCGAGACAAAGAGGCGACAAGATTATACCATATACAAATGCTGCATCGACCACTTCATAAACCCAGGTAGAGCTCCCTAAGTCTACCACAAATAGTCCAATTCTCGAAATCATAAATCATTGGTTCATCCCAAAAAGGGATACGAGCTCTGGGAACAAATGACAAAGCATGGGGCATCGAACGGTATGATTGGCTCCTTTGTCTTTGAGGCTCGTATTCGAAGAGAATGATGCTGCCTTGACTCAGTCATTGATGTTAGTGCTCAACCTTTTTTTTTTTCGTTTTGGTGAACATCGTTTAACGTTATCCGTCCTAGCTCCTACACAGGAACCCCCAAGCTCCTAACAAAGTCCCCGCCAGAGTCTATCTTGAACAGTATGGAATGGATACTGCACCCGGGTCAGCTCACCGATATCCTTGGAATTCCGACCGGGGAAGTTGGCGACCTAGCAATGCTCGAAGGCACTTCTCGCTCGCAACCTTCTGAAAGTCGTCGTCGTTTAAAACGCCCACATACAAAATCTCGTCGCGGGTGCCTGAACTGCAAAAGGCGAAAAGTGAAGGTGAGTCGATAATCGGAGAGGGCTACGCTTTGCTGTCGATATTTAGAGCCTAACCTTTTCAAAGTGTCAAGAGACGAAGCCAGCATGTACAAATTGCCTTTCAAGAGATATGAAATGTACATACCCATCACCGACTACGGAAGATGAACGCGTTGAGCTTTCAACAGCAAGCGCCAATAGTCTCATAAAGACTGAATTATTTCTATCGGGTCCATTTATGGGCGAAGATTTGCGATTTTTCCAACATTTTCTCACCGTTTCGCGCCCCCATCTACCCTTTGGGAGCGAACAGTCATGGACCACAGACATTCCAGCCTATGCACATGAGGTAAGCTGCAATAAAACAATAACTCTTGATTCGAGACAACTGCTAAGCCATTTCAGTGCCCCCATCTGATGCATGCGATTCTCTCACTCGGAGCAACTCACTACGACCTTACAATACCCAGCAACTCTCGCTATAATGCCATGGCCATTTCACACCGAGGCAAGGCCCTGAAGTATCTATCGCTTGCTCTAGCAGATATTGATAACTGCTCGGCTACTTCCTTGGATGGTATATTGGCCACATGCTATGCTTTGGTCTTCCAGGCTTACTACATGAATGACGGGGTGATTGATTTTGCCATCATGGTACGTGGCTGCAGCTTGATCACTACCCATATACAACGACGATTCAAAAGCAGCAAAATGTTCCTATTACAAAACTCGGAGCAAGTCATGCAATTGATAGAGCCGTGGCTATCAAAGGACGCCCATCCGAATCAAGATGCCGTGAATCTTTGCATTAGGGATATTGAACAGCTACGTCCATTTATACAAGATGGGAGCACTTTAGGCTTTTTTGAATCTCTCCTCAATACCTATCTCGCTCTCCAACACTCGATTCAAGATGCCTTCCTTTGCCTCGGTGATGTGTACAAAGTCTGGCATTCGATGGAAAATAAAAATTTCATGAATCTCATCGCCGGCACGAACCTTATTTCCCGGGCGCTTTTCTTGCATTACTTCGCAATAGACACACTGCTGCGGCCGTTCCTACTTCATGTTCGAGGCCCAAAACACCCGAGCTTGTCCGTTGGTGCCATTGTGATGGGACAATGGGCAGATGCAGCGTATTATGGGTTACCCGCTAATATTCAACATTTGGTAAAGCACGAGGTCGATCTGGTGCGCCGTGAGAAGGCAAACACACCCCTCACACTGAGAGATGGCTCATAGAAGGGGAACCTCAAAAATCTTTGAAACCCTTTGTACTTGGGATTAAGGAACAAATAAACAGATGCGTGTATTGGACGTTTATATTGTGTATCATAACGGCGCTGAAAGACCAGATGCATCTACTTCGTCTGGAACCACCCACCCCGCCTCAACTCTCTAAGCTTGTCGTCCATCCAAAGGTTAGGATCGCTCACACCGTCTAGAATTATATAAAGTCAAAAGTTTGATCATGATCCATGGATCTTTGATTAGATTTATGTGCAACATCAGAGCAAGTTCTAAAAAGATGTACTAAAGACCCATTGACAAACTAGTACTAGTAGTATTAGCAACCCGGAACTAATTGGACTTCAAGTTGGCAAGATACCTAGGCATATCGCACTAATCAAGGGCTTGAAGAGTGAAAGCAACAACAACTTGAAAAACTTGAAAAACACCTAGGCAGTCCAAAAGTGAAAAAGTGAAAAAGTGAAATATAAATGAAAGATGCATGGGGGTCTAATACCAATATCCGCCCGTCTTCAAGATGTTCGGACAAATTTAGACATGACTTAATAGGTTTTGCAGGAAAAGCTAGCAATTCGCTGATTGAGAGGATCTCTGAGTATGGGATGTTCTTGGTCGACATAGAAATCGGCCTGGATGGTACCACCCAAGAACACTGATGGCGATGAGCATCGGGACTGCTTCGAGAACATATAGGGGCCATTCATGAGAGAACAAATACGCGTCGACCCCCAGGGCAAACTCAATAACGCGGTATACACAGCGGACCTTGATTGTAGACACATATTAGCCGAGCCCCAATTTGACTCCAAGTTGATGAGTTTCACTTACTAGGATAAAAAACCCAGAGATGTATATTCCCTTCAGAAGTTTACCCACGCCTTGATCGATGGTCTTTCCGGCATTCTTCGATTTGAGCTGGAATGAACCCACGATGATGAGAAAAGCGGTAAACGTCATGACCTGTAGCACCAAACCCCCTATCAAGACTCCATTGCCGGTATCCTTTGCTGATCCCTCCCAGTCCCCAGAGGCAGCAATGCCGCTTCCTGAGGCTTGAGTAAGGCAACTTATGATATCCAGCGTAACGAAGATCCTGGGTAGCCATCGACGTCGGATATTGATGACAAGGAATTTCATCGATCTTTCGCCGGACTTCTCATCATCCCCAGACCAAATTAATCTGTCCATCAGCAGATAAAGACTCGCGCACACGAATACTGGTGCGATCACAATAAGAGTGGCGGATACCGCGTATAGAGGAATGCTGTCAGGTTGTTTAAGGCTAGCACAACGTATGCCATATCCGAAGACTTCCAGAAAAGCTCCAATGAGTAGCGGGGTGAAATGGCCACTGCGCTGGAATTTGCCATGGAGCGGAGCGAAGACCAAGGCGTAGAGGTGATAGACAGAAGGACCGAAATAGACAACTGTGAAAATAATAGAGGCAGCAAGCGAAGGGTTATAAAAATAAATGCTATTACTCTCGGTCGCCATAATGGTTGGAAAATAGAGTTTTTGTCGCTGGAATATGGAGGTTTCAAAGATTCGGAAAATGGGATATGCAGTTTTGTTGCGTAGAGCGTATATCAACAACAGACTACAAGGACATCAACCTACTTTATAAGATGCACAGATTCCTGACTCTATACTCTGCAATTATTCTATTGCCCCTTTGGGTAAACGTCGTATCTTGCAGATGCAAAAGGACATCGTATTCGCATTTCGCACACCTGAAAGTGGACCCGGCCAAGCCAACATAGCCCGCCATAATCTGCCATGATTGGCCATCGATAGCTCAAATTAAGGTTAAGGCGTTTAATGCGAAAGGTGCGATGAGAACACTGACACTGGGTAAGTCACGACTAGTATCGTAATGGTGGCTAGCCTATTTCCAAGGAGCATCTTCAAGTCGCTGCCTAGTCCTTTGCTGTCCAGGTGTGAACCTTGCTGACCTGAGAGCACAACGCCTCCACAAAATTCCAAGGCTGGGAAATGACTGCTTCTGTAATTAATTTCCTGTCTTTTGGGTAACAGCTGAGGTACGTGGGTAGGTAATAGGTTTTATTTGCATGCCAGTGGTTAACAACGGCTGATATATTTAGTTCCGGTATTGCGAAGCACATAATTCTCTAGTGACATCAACCCTGGAACATTGACTCGATTTCAACACGATTTCCAACAAGATTTCAGATCGCTTTTCAATCCTTATTGGCATGATCTTCCCGTATTTCCACTGCCTCGCCTTCATAAGGATCAACCGAGGTCTGTGCAAATTTTCTAGCTGACACACGTCTCTCAAAGAGCAAATCCAACTCTTCGTATGTTCGCCCCTTCGGCTCTGGAAGCCTGAAGAATGCCCAAACAAGGCTGAGCAAGCAGGTGCCCGCCCAAAAATATGCGCTCCTTGCACCCCAGCCCCACGCTGTAGAACTCAGTTGGTAATTGGTCAAAACATTCACGACTATATTGCTGATGTTGTATAATGAGCGGGCGAGAACGATGGTCTTAGCCTTGAGACGCGTTGAAGAGAGCTCCGAGACAAGAGAGTACGTCACTGGGCCCACGGTGATGTCGTAACAGAATGTAAAGATAATCAGCATCACTCCAATAGCCCATTTTGCACCATCACTATCGGCGAATGACAGACTCCCAGTAATGATGAGAAGTAAAAACAAACAGGAAAGGCCACAGATGTGCATGGTTCGGCGACCGGCAACGGTCATTAGGAACCATGATCCCAGTGTACCAATCACACCAAGTGCATATTGTCCCAGCGATAAATTGAAGGATTGGATAGGTGGTAGACCGGCCTGGACCATGAAATAGGCAAAATAACCCATCAGATTCTGGCCACAGAGCGTTTGAACCAGCCACACGACACATACAACTTCTGTCCGGCGCAGGTTTGTGCCCTTGAAACAATCCCAGTACGATGTTCCACTCGAGAGAGACGCCTCCAGCTCATTGGTATGCTGAATCATGGCGATCGTTTCATCTATATCGAAGTTGGGATCGCTGCCAGACGTAAGTCTTTGCAGAGCTCGTCGAGCCCCTTGAACGTTCCCTTGTCGAACATGCCACCAAGGCGACTCAGGAACAAAAAGACAACCCAGCATGATGGGCAATGGCCACACCCACTGCACACCGAAGGGGATCCGATAGGCCCACTGGTCATCGCGCGATATAGATCCTCGGTTCACGCCGACGGCGACAAATTGACCGAACACCCAGCACATGTTGATGAAGGTCGTCAGATATGGACGAAGGACAACCGGACAAACTTCCGACGCATAAGCCGCAGGTAATGTTTGGAAGATACCCCACGGTATGCCGGCCAAGATCTCCGCAGCAAGAAGCATCTCCACATTGACAGCGAAGAAGAAAATAAAGATTACCGCAGTGATTGTCGCCAGGGCGCATATCATAGTTCGTCTGTACCCCAGACGCTCGGACACAAGACCGTTGATCAGGAGTCCGATTACTTCTCCGCATCGCGCTCCGTTGGATAGGCCGGATTGCCAGGAGGCCGGAACAGCCCATTTACCGTCTGGGCCCTGGACGCCGAATTTCTGGTTGAAAGCTGGCGAGGCATACATGGAGCTTAGCAGGGCGAGATCGTACCCCTCCATGATAAGCGTTGATGAGAGAAGCACAGACCAGCCGACAGCTTTAGGGTATAACTTCACTGCTTCCCATAATGTCATAGACTGCTCCTTCTTAGCAGCATGCTGACCTTGCAGCAGAGCAGGCTGTTTGGCGTCCAGTCCATCTCCTCCAGTCGTATGTTCCATTGAAAGACTCATCGGAAAACAGCCCTGTCAAGCAACTGGGGTTGTGAGATATTCGGAATATAATCGAGCGGGGAGATATAGTCTTAGACGTTGGGCTGCATCTCTTCCGTTGTTTCTGACATGATCTTTACAATCGAGGGAAAGGTCGTATGATTTATATCGCACACAGCATGTGCACTGTCCGTGCCGTGGCGCGACATGCAGGTCGTGGATCCGGGGAAGAAAAGTGCAGCCGAAGCAGCAATTGGAGAAAAACTGGGGAAGCAGAAGAGTGGAGATAGTGTGTTGGCGAATCGGAGTGGACAATTCACCTTTCCGGAAGTTAGTCGGTCGTTAGTCGGCGATGCGAAGATACGTTTCGGGCCCTTGGCGGGAGTATCGAGCGGGGGCTCTGAGCGATAGCATCCGACCAGATGCCGAGAACGAAATAATATAAAGGGCTTTTTTGTTTTCCTTTTTGGACAGGTTGAGTCTTGCACGGTACAGATTTGGATCATGTCACCCCATGCAGAAATACTTTCAAAGGCCGTTCCGACGGGGGCGAACAACTGGTGGAAGGAGGCAACGGTTTACCAGGTATTTTGGGCACAGTAGCAACTTCGAATTGCTTCACTAACATCTTTTGAGGTATACCCAGCTTCCTTCTATGATTCGAACGGCGACGGCTGGGGTGATATCCCCGGTGTTATCGCAAAAATCCCCTACCTCCACTCGCTGGGAATCGACGTCGTCTGGCTGTCTCCAATGTACGACTCGCCCATGCACGACATGGGCTACGACGTCTCGGACTATGAGAGTGTTCTTCCGGCGTACGGAACCGTTAAAGATGTCGAAGAGCTGATACAGGCATGCCATGAACGGGGCATGAAGCTTATTCTTGACCTCGTCGTCAACCATACCAGCGATCAACACGAATGGTTTAAGGAGAGTCGCAGCAGCAAAGATAACCCCAAAAGAGATTGGTACTTCTGGCGTCCGCCGCGATATGATGAACAAGGGAACCGTCTGCCTCCGAGCAACTATCGAGGATATTTTGCGGGGAGTACATGTTCGTTGCCACCGATTAATTTCAACCTCAAACCCTGCCGATTCAAATAGACCAATGATGCTAATACAGATCTTCGGTAATTTTTAGGGACATGGGATGAGCATACTCAAGAATACTACCTCCACCTCTACGCCCCAAGCCAACCGGATTTGAATTGGGACAACGAATCCACGCGACAAGCAATCTACAAAAGCGCAGTCCACTTCTGGCTGGAAAAGGGCATTGACGGCTTCCGCGTCGACACGGTCAACAAATACAGCAAGCACACCTCCTTCCCCGATGCACCAATCGTCGATCCCAAAAGTTATATCCAACCAGCGATCCCAATGTGGTGCAACGGGCCACGTATTCACGAGTTCCTCCGCGAGATGTATGACACCGCTCTCGCGCCATATGGGGATGTCGTCACTGTCGGTGAGCTAGCGAATACGCCCGATCCAAAACAAGTCTTGGAATATGTCGGCGCATCAGCGAAGGAGTTGAGCATGGTATTCCATCTTGATATCGGACATATCGGGATGGGCGCCTTAGAAGATAAATACATATTTCACCCGTGGGAATTGTCAAAGTTGAAGGATGTCGTCTACAAGTGGCAAAGCTTTGTCGAGGAAAGCGATGGATGGACGACAGCGTTCTGCGAGAATCATGATAACGGGCGCTCTGTATCGCGGTTTGGCGACGATTCCCCCGCTTTTCGTGAAATCAGCGCGAAGATGCTGGCGATTATGATGGTTTGCATGACGGGCACCTTGTTTCTCTACCAGGGACAGGAAATTGGCATGATCAATGCGCCATCTGGATGGCCCATTGATGAGTATCGCGATATCGAGGGACTAGGCTATTATCGCGAAGCCGAGTCCCTGGAAAAAAGTGGCGTCGATACTTTGCGCAAAAAGAAGATAATGGACGGACTGAGAATTCTCGCTCGTGATCATTCTCGATTGCCTATGCAGTGGGATGATTCTCCGCATGCAGGATTCACAACTGGCAAACCTTGGATGAGAGCTCACGACCTATACCCTGAGATTAATGTCAAGCGACAGGAGCCAGAGAGGGGGAGTGTGCTATCATTTTGGAAGCAACTGCTCACGCTTAGGAAAACGTATCGGGATTTGTTTATCCATGGGGCATTTGAGGTCTTGGATCGTGAGAATCCAGCAACATTTTGCTTTTTGAAGAGCAGAGAGGAGAAAGAGGCTTTGATCATCTTGAACTTTACGGCGCAAAACCAGCCGTTCAAACTTGCCGAGAAGACTTCTGGGATGAAGCTGCTGGTCGGCAATTACGAGGTTTCTGTATTTGAGACCCTGAAACCATTCGAAGGTCGAATTTACATCAAATAAAGACACTGAGACTACGTTCTATGAAACAAAAGTGAAATGTGATTTTGATTTGCGTCATATTTCTACTGGATACACAAATAACCGGTCCAACCGTGCGGGCGGCAGTAATGATTTAAGTAACATCATGCAAGTAAACGGGGTCGGCAAAGATCCTCTTGGGATATGTACAATTTCAGTTGAAGGAAAAGGGAGCCAGATAAAAATTACACGTCCCAAACGCACAGTTTATCCACACGCCAAAAAAGACTTGACAGAAGAAAGGGACAGTGGGTGGACAAGGAGGGTATATAGCATGGATCACAACATGAGCCATGGCAAAGCAAGGGCAGAGGGTAGCATCAATCCCAAGATAAAACAGGAGGGGTAATCGCTTTCAACGCAGACGCAGACAGAAGCCAGATATAATTTTAACAGCCCGAAGGTCTAAGCAAAGCGCCAACCCGAGTCCGTTGAACGCTGACGCTTCATCACAGAGCGGAAAAGACTTTCCTTGCGACCGAAAGGCTTTTTCTTCTTCTGCTTCTGCTGGTTCAATAGAGATTCAGCAGCTTCGACGTCGATTCCCTCGCCAGTATCGGTGATTTTAAGAGCCCATTTCACGTCATCAGGGTCAAAGCCGAGGTCATTGACCATGTGGTCGATTGCACGGTCAACTGGGTCTTGAACTTGTGGCGGAAGAGAGGGCTGAGAGAATAAAGGTGTGGGTATAACCGGTATGGGGTGTTGCTGCGGAGATGGGAAGAGGGTTGGGGGGTGTTGCATTGGCGGACTGCGTGATTGAGGGTGGAACGGAACGTCCAGGTCAAATGCTGGAAGTGGCGGCGACAGAGATCGAGTTGGTGTGCGAGGAGGTGGAGCTGTGCTAGACGTTGATGTAGAAGCGCGGTCGAGCATCAGGGAGGGGAGAGCTGGGACTGGAGGTGCATTTGGGTCTGCCCCGTCGAGGTTATGGACGATGTTGCTGAATTCGGACATGGGTCGCTCTTCCGAAAATCCAGTTCCCAGTTCACGGCCACGAGCTCGTCGGGCACGGAGCTCCTGCTTGTAGTCTGCGTGACGCTGTTCACGTTCTAGTTGGGTTTGGATTTCAGCTGAAGAATCCATTGGACTTCCATCTCCATCCGTGATAGAACGTTCGTGATCCTCGTACACACGAGATACGGCTTCCTTCAGAAATGAGGAACGACTTGTTTCTGTCTCGGTCGGTGCCCACTTGGTCAATCCGGAGGATTGAGCCTTGTTGAAGAAAGCAGCTGTGGCCTCTGCTGGGGCGAGAGAGCTAAGACCCAGGACGGCAGAAAGACCGATTGTCAAGACAAAAGACGTCCATTCCTCTGTTTCTCGTTAGCATCAATTTTTTCTTTCTTTTTCCTTTTCGCTTAGATTTCAGTAGCAGACTTACCAAGAACTTGCTCTTCCAGCGCGGGATCATCGGTTGGAACATCCATGCCTTCATAGATGCCAACTCTCCTAGCTTCAATGCATTTTCCATGAAGAGGCTGCAATAAAACACCCATACACGTCCAGATCTCCGTCATATCATACAGTTGCCTCGGGGATAGACCAAGACCATTACCTCTGCCGAAGCCCTCGGGCGGTTCGAAGAGAGCATGTCCTAGGCCAAAAGGCTCCGTCATACATCCCGACGCACCAATATAGCCTCTAGCTTTGGCACCGCCTCGTAGCCAGTCAACCTGGCCCTCGAGATCATTCTCGCGGCCTTTGTTGCTTCCAAAGAGACGACAGAAGGTCCAAATCCGCCAGAATGCGTCATCAACCTCCTCGGCACGATCGATATCCATTCCTGAAAGGCCGCGAATAGTATCGCGGCGTAGGAATGGTGAACATCGTACAAGAATCATAGCCTTGAGCTTTGCAAGGGTATAAATGTCCTGAGCATACCGATCAAGGTAAAGTGAAGACGTGTACTCGGGCACCCGAGAGTCTGGCTCCAGCAATTGTGTCTCGGTCGCCCATGGCGGAGACATTTCTCGTAGCTCCCATGCTGGTGGGGACATCTTGAAAAGTGCATTTTTAATCAAGGGCAGTTCGTGCTTTTTGAAAATAGAGTAGAATCGCTTGTCAACCAGAACAAGATTAAAAAGGTCGTCTAGTGAGTCGATTTTTTCCATTATAGCCATGGTTAGGCGCAATGGAAAGTCTGGTGGAAAATTGACATTGGCCTCGACGAGCTGTCTCGCACCAAATACCGGCAAGGTCGAAGTGGGCGATGGAGGTGTCGCAGCGAGTTCATACACTTGATCCGAGGGCAGTTGCACGCTACTCGCCTGCGCTGTTGAGACAAAGGCGTATGTATGTCGTGTCATTTCGGGTACTTTCATGGCCGGTTCAACCACGATCTTTTCTTCGGGAGGCGTAAACCTTTCCTGCCCTTGACTCTGAGGTTCCCCCTTGGAGGAGGCGGAGTTGGTGGGGCTCTTTTGGGGGCTTTTTTCAGGACGTTCTTGGGGGCTGGCGTCGGGGTTGCCCCTGGTAGACTGGGCGACCCCTTGGCCGGCCACTTCCATGCGGTCGCAAACACTGTCTAATCCAAGGTCGTGTGTCTGAAGACGAGGTAATTGCAGAAGTAGATCGGACCGTTTGGTCGGACCTGAGTCTTCGTCAGCCAGGGTAGGATCGGAGAGCGACGACTGGAGGCACGAGGGCTCGTCTGGTGGGTCAAGCGAGGAGTCCGAGGGCGACGATAGGCTGGAGGTGAGCAAGGGGGCGCCCGCCAATCGTGCTGGTTTGCTGCGCTTGAATGATTTCATCGAGAAGGTGAAGGATTTCTTTAATGGCTTTCCCTTCTTGACTTCTTCGGCTTTGGTCGCAGCTTCAATTTCCGGCCCCGCACTCCTATCAGTGCTCTGGCTGACAGGCTGACAATCGAGACTTCTGCTCTTCTGATGGCCTTTGTTTTGGCTCTTGTCATCCTTTTTAAGTTCACTCTCAGGGATAGCAGCTAGATTTAAAGGCCGGATGTCTCTTTGAACTTTGCCGGACCGTTTCGGCTTCTCGGGCTTCTCAGGCTTCTCGGGCTTTTTCGATTTGGTTGACTTGCTCGACTTGTTCGACTTGCTCGATCGCAATAAATCCAACGACGGTGAGGGATGGATCTTCGAGTGAGGCTTCGTCGATGGTGGCAGAGGCGCTGGGCGTGTAGCTACAAGATCCCCATTGTGGCGGCTGACTTGCAGAGGTCCATCAAGTATTAGAAGTGTCCTTTGCTTCGAACCATGTTTCTGCAAATCAGCTAGAACGTCCTCCAGTTCCTCCGCCGCCCTTTCCAAGGAAGGTAGCTGACGAATGTGAGGTTTGCCATTCTCCAGGCGATCGGCCCATTGTGAACGATTGGTCTTACGCGGTCTCGCAGAATGTCCGCCACAAGAGTGACAACCGTGGCTTGGCGACCCTGATTTCATAGTCGTGGTCGAGCGTTGAACGGCGAGGTGAGAGCGACTCGGGGATGATTGTGAGTATGGCGAGTGTGGGTTGCTGGTAGGAGTCGTTCGCTGTTGCAAGTTTGAACGATTGTGACGGCCCACTACTAATGGACTGGGCGCGATGTCGGCATCGGAAGTGGGCTCGAGAGGTAGGGGCTTGTTCTTCAGATCGTTCATAGTAGTTGTTGTATTAATTGAAACAACCGAGTTGCACTGTGGTGAATATGTGCCTCTCGCTGAGTGAGCTCCTACTCTGTTTTTTACAGGGGTTGGCACTTGGAGTCTCGATTTTATGGACGCCGCTCGCGACGGACAGACTGATGCTGAATCGTCAAAAACACCTGCTGCGGCAGGTGAAATGATTGAATAGGCATCTGCAGACATAGGGCATTTCTCCATGTCGTCCAAATGATCTTCGTTCACGCTGGACAATGAACTCCGTCGACTGTAGCAAGAGGACGCGCAATCAAAGATGCCATCTGACCCCGAAGATGAGCTGGTTTTCTGCTCCGCAATATCGCTCTCCTCTTCATCCTGAGGGCTCTTGCATAGATTTTGCACTCGCTCCTCCAGTTCGCTCTCCAGGATGGACAAGCGTGCCACCTGCTTCTTATTTTTACCAGCACTAACCGGGGAAATCAGGTCGACATTGGTCGAGAGTTCGGGGAAGAATCGGCGGAGGCCACTGCCACGACGTACGGGAGGTCGATCATCAGATATAGGAGAAATATCTGAATCGCTGGAGGCGTCGTTCAGGTGAGTTTTTAAGCGAAGTGAAGCCTGTGGAGAGACCTCTCGTGTATATGTATCCTCCATCTTCAAGCTGTTGCTCTTCTCAACTGGCTTATCCAGGGCTGTAGGAGTTAACAACGGTTCTCCGTTGCCTGATGGCTCCAATTCAGACACTGCTGTCTTCCTCAATGGCAGATCCGTTTCTTCCTTTCCTTCTTTGAGATCAAATAAACCGAAGTCGCTGCCGCGCACGGCTTTGAGGGTCGGCTCGACGATGCTAGCTTTCTTATTCTTTGCCTTCTGCTGTTCCGATTTAAAGAATGTTGTTTGTAGCTTCAACGGAGGCGGCCGATGTGGCCCTTTTTTCCTGTAGCTGGGGGACCGGCGTGGTCGAATATAAGGGAAAGACATCGCGGTCACCATGGTAAAATATCGTCAAGGGTGGAAGACCAGCAAGGTTAGTCCCGTGGCATTGTCCACGCAATGATTTCTGTATAACCAATTAGCACCCTGCTGAACTATGCTGAACTGGCCGGATTTGGCAATCTTCAAAGAACTGACTGGGTGGTGGCTGTCGGGGAGGTCTAGGATAGTATGTTTGACTATATCCAGCCGTGGTTGGTATACAAAGACAATCCGCTTCTTCGTACTCATCGACGCAATAAGAGGGAAGGAAGGACAAAGAAAAAAACGTGGATGACCGGGAGATCCAGTCGGACGCCTTCTTTTGACCAACTGACCTTCTAACTACTACTACTACCCTCTCCAAGGCCCCCAATATAAGCAGCAGTTGGCGGGTTGGGGCCAAACAAAGCGCCCCCAAAACCTAGACCGGCGATGCAGTGCGATATGAATGACAGCTTTTAGTTGTTTCTTATTAATTTCGCAAGGCCGTGTGGGAAAAGATAACTTCTTAATCTGTCCATATCTCTTCCATTTCAACTCTCTCCCTCCCGTTCTATTTTCATTGCAAAATACGATGGTTCCTCGTGTCAGTCGCTATTCTTAATCCCGATCGACAGTGCAGACGCGGAAGCGATCGTCAATACGACAAATCGTGAAAAATCATTGGGAAAAAATGAATTAAAATACGCTAGGCACAATCTGGATTGGCCCTGCTACACCCCCAAACGGGATTTCTTTCTTGGCCCCCGTTTAGTAGTATTTCTGCCTCTCCAGGGCTGGTAACTTATCTGCAACCTTGGAAGCCGACTTCCACGCATTTTTCTTGATTTATATACTCAGCTCGACACAATATTAGCTATCCGTCCCGTTCTGAATTTGAGAACTCTTCTTGCTTAGTTTCAATCCTCTCGTATCCTTTCAATCATCCTCTTGGTATACCGTCTCTAATAAAAACCGTATGACTGTATCTATGTTTGGCCCCCGCATTCCTCGCCCCGACGCCCAGGACGCCTTCGCCACCCTGCCGAGTGTAATCTGCAGTCTCCCAGGCCCGCCAACCTTAAGACGGACAGTACCTCCCAGTGCAGTTGGCCCCTTATAACACATCATGTTTCATATCAATACTAATCTGAGTCAGCCAGTCGATCTGGCCTTTATTGGCGGAATTTCTACAGGGCATCCTGTATCCATATTAATTTATCGTGATCTGCTTTTCAAAATATCAAACGACGCAAAAAAAAAATCGCTTCCTTAGTCCATTCCCGTCCCTACTGTCGCTTCCTATCAAGCGCAGGGTGCGTACCGCTGTTTTCTGCTCACGAATTTAATAATAGTCCTGCCCCCTCCGTCGCCCCCAAGGGGCCAACTCCCAATCAAATCTTTACGATGGCCCTTCGCTATGCTAACCTTTCCTGCATCGTCTGTGGCGTACGGAGTACAGTGGATCCCATCGCAGACCTGAAGACACTGGACAAAACAACCAATGGGGGTCCCGAGGCCGTACCCGAGGGGTGTCTGTTCGAGCTCCACCGATCGTTCTTAATGAAGCTAGTAGTATTGTTCATGACAGCCTTGTCTAACTTATGCCTTCAAAACCCGCGTTGCACTGCCTGCCTTCTCCAGTGTAAACTACCTACACTATAAGAGGAAGTTGCGATGTACGCAAGGATTTATAATGTGAACCCCTTGCCTAGCTCCGTCTCTGACTCTGGCCCCATCTCTTTTATTTGGTGGCCCCTGACGTGGGGGCTATCGGCCTTGGTCTATGCTGGGGCTGTTTACATACCCTGTCCCTTTGTGGAGTTATCCAATACATAACACGTACTCTTTTGATCACTAGTCTCTGTACCTTTTTACTGCAATCTCTTAGTCTTCCCTGTTCTAGTATCTGTCTGCCATTTAGCCGGGCTCAGTGTTTGTTTAGAACATTTTTATAGAGTGACGGCCACTGTACGGTACTTGGTTCTGTGAGAGTGCTCCGGAAGGAGTACATCCGGTTATCACTAGAAATGCTGACCACATGGATCATGATCCTTTAATCCTGTGAATCCTTCCGTTCGCATTGATCAAATCAATGTTCCCTCGTGGTCCTCGGGAGCTTTAACCCTCAAGCAACGTGTTTAATCTCCGTGCTTTGTCTGGACCCCACTTTGCTGTAAACCATTCCATACCCGCGATGGGGGGGCCATTTAGCCGTGCGCAATGACGTTTCCTGTCTAGCCCGAAACCAAACTCAAGTAAATTGCCCATACAACTCCAAATAAGCTTCCCACGAGCAGGCGTTGGTCGGCAGGGACGACGGTGAAATTTAGCACGGAAACGAAAGGCCACAGCTTCAATCCTGCGGCCATGATGGGCACGAAATCCTAAGTAGAAAAAAGTTAGCGTGTGATTGTAATACCTCCGCACTTCATTGCATCATAGTGAATCGGGCGCATGTAGATGTTGGATTATCTTAGACGTTTCGAGTGAAGGATCGCCCTTCCTTCGCCGATGAACGCAGTACTGTATATCGGGAATAATAAGAACCCTCCCCCCCACCCCCCCACCCTCCTCAAATTTATTCCATCTCGAAAACACGTTCTTTCTTTGCAGGTGATTCGTTTGTTTGGCCGCCGGGTCGAATAATCTGACATCACTCACCGAATATATTTGCGATTGGATTGTCGCCGCGTCGAGGCCGCGGAGAATCCCCATTGTAGCGAGGAAGAGCACGGTATTCCATGCGCCACCAACAACTTGATCGATAACAATCTTGGCAATTGTGTTGGTAATATTGAGGCGGGGTTTGGGTCCAGGTTTGCCATCTGCAGGGGTGGTCTTCTCTTTGTCTTTGTCTTCTGTGACTTGCTTTGTGCTCGGAAACCATGCTTCTAGATTCTCTAGCCAAAGGTAACCGAGAGGCGAGACGATGAGCGCACAGGTAGTAAATTGCATCAAAGCAGTATTATCCACCTCGAATGGTACCTTCATTCCACGTGGTTAGCATCTTTCCAGGACTTGTATAGCGGTGAAGCTTGGATTTCTTTGCCCATCTCGCCTTCAGACGCGCGAGCGTTCTTGATTTTCTCAAAGGCATAAATCCCAAAAAGACGATACCTACCTGGTCACGATAAGCCTTGATTCCCTGCGCAAGCACATTTGACCCGGCATTGATGACCGCTGCCTGCAACGTGGCCTTGGCGATGGGAGGGACTGACATCGCGCCCTGCTAGACAATTTTGTCCGGGCGCTTATTAGTTGCCTAGATGTGTACTAGAATGTTGTCGCAAAATGAAGGAAGCTGTTATCGCAGAATTTCACCAAGAGCTCGAAAAAGGTGGGTTTAATCTTCACGGGAGTGGGGAATGCATTCCAAGCTGGGTCGAAGGGGAAACGAAAAGGCCAACAGGTAGTGTGCGTGGCAATACGACCCATATGTAATCTCCCATATGTTCGTTTATTTCAGAGCACAGATAGTGGTGTTGCAAAGGTTTCAAATCCCAAATTGCCCGCCCTCATCAACCGCCTTCTAATGGGAATTAGTAGCTACCTAAGATGTAATAGATAGGCCAATCTATGCCATCTTAGGTAGCTACAGTCTGCGATTAGAAGTAACAGCTGATAATGCCAATGCGGGTTGGACCATATGTACACTGCCGATCGCGCGCTACTAATTTTGTCTCGGAAAGCGACACCGAAAAGAAGGTTTGCTTGGCCAGCTCAGTCTTTGGGCTTCCATGACACGAGAAGCTGCAAGTCCGAGATCTACCGCCTTACCTAGAATAACTTTGTTTTCTCTCTAATGTTTTTGTGGGGTTTGGCGTCGTGATTCTCGTGTCTTGCATAATACGAGGTGGGATCCCGAGTGGGCTCGTATTTGGCGTTGAGGTTGTTCTACAAATAGAATCAACGCGAGGGGTTCTAAGCCTCTTCACTTTCTGTATCCATTGAACGGCTAAACCACGTTCGCGATGGCAGATACTCGAATTATCTTATAGCGTATGGAGTAAAAGCAAAAGATGGGGATGAGATAGTAAAGGCCAAGCAATTACCAACACTACTGATTTCTTTCACACCAAATACTATATACTAGCACTGGAGTAGACTCGGCCGCACCCAATGTCTTGAAGCCTTGGAACTTCAAGTTCAAGCCCTGGAGTTCCTAAGAAATTAGATATCTACCAGTCTAGCCCTCCTGATGTAGTACCATTCCCATTCCCATGTGATCCTGGCCCAGAACAATCCAGCTCCTTGCATACTATAGATTATTAGCATCGGGTCGCTCATGATTTGATCGGGGTTTACATACGTTGTTCAGCTTGTTGAAAGAGGGAGCTCCCTTTCGGCTGATGCATTGCCGGGAGAATTTGACCACCCCGAGCTCTCTCTAATTTCGCGTGTTCTTGCACACAACCCAATATTTCGCGCGCACCTGGAGAAAGATCTGTTGGTTCTGCTGCGACAGACCGGTATTCAGCCTCAATGCCCTTGACAAAATCTTGCATCGGCCCCTCGATTGCCCGAGCAAGAGCACCTTCATCGGTGGTCATCTTCGGAGCACAATCGAATAAATCATATCGTACGTGCGTGCTTGTCTCGGACGCTGGAAAGAAAGATAATGAGAGCCACAGCCCAGCATCTTTGAATGAATATAAAAAGGTACCCGGGAAAAGTGAGAGGTCGGCTTGTTTGTTTGTCTGTGTTGCAATTTTGACAAGTTTGGTTAATAGGGACGACGTAACTGCTTCCGACACTCGCTCCTCGAGTTGTTCAGCGAGAGCTGTATGGTGACGATCGCTTGCTGGGAAATTGTTAGCAAAATCCGAGGGTCGTTTATGAGGTCACGCGATCATACGTCCAAGTTTCCAATTAAAGTTGGCTGTTAATGTCTGTCCTGTGACCCATTCAGATGACCTCAAAACAGCAGCGTCTGAAAATGCATCCAACGCCGAAAGAGTGGAACTGTGAAAGGCACTTGCATCCTCTGCATTCAGGTTCACGAACACATGTCCGCTGTCGGTGGTTCGAGTGTGGATTTCAAACAGGCTGTTTTCTGACTTTTCGAACCCCGGTATATCTTCAAACTGGGGAGCCTTGACCAATTTTCCAGCCGTATCATAGCTCCATCCATGATATCTACAGCCGAGGACAGTCGATGCGCCGGTTTCCTTCCGGGTGATTGTATAAGCACGATGGCGACAGACATTGTGGAACGCGCGGATTTGGTTATCTTTTCCGCGAATCAAAAAGACGGGGAACCCAGCGAGATCGAATGATTGATATGCACCTGGCTTCGTGAGTTGAGTTCGATGTGCAAGATACAACCAAGACTGCGAGTCGTTCATTAGTGAGTGTTCCTCTGGAATGACACAGGATCAATAATACTTTGCTAAACAATGCGCGTCTTTCCAGCTCGAAGACATCGCGACCGGTCAACCAGCCCTCTGGAACCTCGGGCTCTTTAATAACACTTAGGCCAGATCCAGAACCACTCTTAGCGAGTGGCTCATTAGAGAGCTTATATGTTTTCTTTTGTCGCGAGAAACGCGGCCAAGCTTCGTTGAAAAGGAAAGCGGCGGTTAACAATGCCACGACAACCGATGCCGGCGACGATAAAAAATATGCATTAAAGAAATCCATGATGGATTGATGCGATTATCTTGAGCTCTAATTTGAAATCATCGACTCACAATTGCTCGAGACAACCTGCCTTTTATCATAATACCCAACCTGATATACTACCGCGACCGGAGGCCCAAGTGTTGCCAATCTCCACAATATACACTTCATTGATGGCATCCCTGCAGTACCCCCTCCATGTCAGCATATTTCCCGATTAAGTTTGAATTTCCCGCCTGCCAGCCTCGTGGACACCTCCCATAGCCAAAAAGTTCCCTGCATCGCTCAGCTATCGGGCCGTTCTAACGGAGGGAGCGAGATGATCAGAAGCTCATTCGCCCATTTTCGGGATATCGTCGACTCTTCGCATATTAGTTATGGTGCTGGGTGGCATTTTCAATGCGCGTTTCACAGAGTACCGTGCACTGACATTGATCGGCTGAAGCCGATTTCCATTTACAAGTCTAGGCTTCGAAGCGGGAGGAGGTGCACACTATTTCCAGAACGTGACTCAATATTAAACTATCTAAAGACTATCTCTTTCTTCTCTATGCTGCCATCTGGACCATGGATGGCGCTGCCCGTTCCTTCAGTGTGGTATCGTCATTACCCATTTCTTTGCGATCAGCTTGGTGCTGCTCGCACACCATTTGGAACACACGCTGCTGGTAGTCTGCGAAAATTAGTATCAAATAAATCAAACGAAGTAGCGCGCGCGAAAACCCACAGGAGACACCATTTTCTTTCTCGGGGTTCAGGATACCCTCATGGTAAACTCCCTTCGCCAGATTATCTTGGGCCTTTTCACAGAGCTCAAAGTCCTCCATTGCAACTTGTCGAACAAATTTGAAGTACTCCTCAAATTTCTCACCCTCGGCCAAGTGGTAATAGTCGAACTCCATGCGAGTGACGTGAGGATCGGCAGTGGGACACACGCGGAAAGATGACATGCCGCCACCATAGACATTCAACGTGCAGTTGGGGAAGAAGTACAGGAATAGACCATCATCGGGCTTGTTGGGGTCTGCAATGTGTTGAGAAAAATTGTGCTTGTTGCGCACTGTGTAGAATGTGGGCGGGTAATAGATTGAAAACGACGGGTGAGTGTACTGGCAGTGCAAACACTCTTGGTAGCCATCCACCCTGAGACGCGTCAGATAGGGATACAATAAATCCGAAAATATCTGCGAGCTTACTTACATGGTCTTCCAATTGAATCGACCCTCATACTTAATACTGCGGCGGTAGGGAAGGCGAGTGAAATCGACTTTTCCGAGCAGCTCTTCAAGCTCGGGGAAGAACTCGTGAAAGTTTGGTGCATCATCCGCAATGGTTGAAAAGAGAAGACCGGTGGGTGTCACATGTTTCTGTAACTCCTTGCCCTGTGTGAAGATATCTTTATGTCAGTCATCAATTCGTGTGGACAAATATTTAGGTTAAATTACCGTCTCCGTGGAGAAGACCTTCAGCTCCTCGGCTGTTGGGTTGAGAGCATCTCCAGAAGTTCGAACAGCATAAATTGGGTGCTGTGCAACCTCGTAATCTACATGTTCGCCCACGACTTGAAATCGTGTCACCGGTCCTAGCAAGTACCAAGACTAGGCGATGTGTTAGTTTGTGCAGGTGAATAATTCAACCAGACCGCGCACCTTGACAAATACTGCACGGCGCTCCATGTTGTAAAGCGACTCATTGCAATACCACGAGGCAGGAAGAGTACGTGTAAGCTCGGTCATGTTGATCCTTATACAAATGTCGTTCAATGTGCTGAAGCTCCGTTAAACCCCTGATAGCGGTGAGTCCTTGCGTGGCAGCGAAAGTGGGACACTCTTATATTTGAAAATATAGATTTCGTCGCCGTGAGAAATAAATCCTAATCTTGATCATCGGCAGCATCCTTGTTGATCGAAACCTTAGGAAGCTGGTTGGTGGCGGTTTATCGTTTCCCAATGTGGTTATCAAATCCCCCCCGATGGGCGCGACATGTTGATGTCAAGCTCCACGATCTAAAGTGGGTCGATAGACCAGGTAGAACATTACGGATGAATGTTCAGCAGAACGCTTCTGAAGGTGGAATGTCTAACGATGCATGTTCGTCGCCCAAGGGCAAGCTGTGCGGAAGCATAATGTTGCCCGATATCCGAGCACCAATAGGGGTGCCAATCAAAAGGGTGTACCTTGCCAGCCAAATCCGAAGCACTGCCATCATGTCTTTGGGCTAGATATATTAAATGACATCGGAATTATTGAGAGCCTCCATTCTTGTATAGGCCTCATACAACGACTGGCAATTCTGTCTCTCGAGCCCAGTGTTTCTGCTAGTCTTGCAAATTGTAATATATTTGCCTTTATAACCACCAAGCCACAGGACATCTGCATCGACTGATCGTGTGACCCGACACCACTGAGAGTCATCATGCGTCAACACAGAAATAATCAACATAGTTCATACTATTGACAGTTCGAAATCTTTCTTCTTCAGATGGGCATCTGGCGATCATGACTACTGGCCCAAATACATCGGTGCTGGTTATATTTGCATCGCGACGTGTTTCGATCAAGGTGGTTCCAAAGAAGAATCCTAGACTGTCGATGAGATAGCCACCACACAGTATCTATCTTCCTTCGTAAACAGCCCTCGCAATAAGTCCCGTGCACCGCGACAGGATGGCACTATTCATGCGCACCGCCATTGGCTCAACGAAGGCATCATAGATCTCAGTATGAACCAGGAGTACTAGACTATCGATGGCACAATATTTCCCGCTAGCTCTGATGGCTTGATAACGACTGTATTTCTGCCCATCAAGGCTGCAGCAAGCTCTTTGATACTCATCAGGAGAGGATGGTCTCAGGGAGTGATCTACTTCCATAGTGTAATTGCACGAACACGCCGATGGGGCGTTACAGAGTGCGAGTCCCTAGCCTCTTGGAAGTGTCGGTTCGGGCTGTGTTCTCTGGCAGCAAGGGATGCATAAACATACAATCAAACAAGTCGGGTAAGCGCAATAGCTGATCGCGTAGGTCGCAAATCGGGTGGCCAGACTGGCGAGCCTCTAGATCGACAAACTGAGGAGGGTATCCACCTAACCAGGAAGCGGCCCTGGAGAGAGCTGCAGCGCGGTCGAGAGGTTGGTAGAGCCTGGTGGCGCAGTCTTTATTCTTAAGGCTATCCGGAGACTTTGTTGTGATTTCGTCGATCTTTTCGCGTCGCGTGGGGATAAAAACCACGATATGGGGCTGACTGGGAGATGTGTCAGCACAATTTACCCAGTTGGAAATGTGCTGGGGGATAATAGGCTCCTCCATTTGTGTCTGCTCTTCAGATGGGATACAGGATGCTTCGCGAGGCGATGTTTATCAACCTCGGAATTCATTTTGATGCATTCCAATCTTTCCTGGATTGGATCTATAATTGATCTAATTAATTCAACACATAGCCTAGGCCGATTCGGTTGTGCCGGTATTATACAGCAACGAATTTAATCGGAAGATAAAGAGAAAGAGGTGTCTTAGTAGTATGAGTTGCACGATCACCCTAGCAAATCATTGTTGTTGCCTAGTATGCGAGTACAGTATGGTGGCAATGTATACTGTTGGCCACAGCCACAGCCACAACCACAACCAGACTCGAGAACGAACTTCCGGTGTCAGGATGCAAGATTAATTCATAGAATATTGCAACTTGCTCAAATACACAAATACCCTCAACTCTGCAATACTAGTCATAGTAACTATACTCTGCCTAAACTGCAGTGGACGTAAGGTGAGTGTCACATGCGCTTATCTTATCAGCAGGCATTACGTCGTCCAACTTGCCCGCACTTCAACTTCTCAACCCAGTTTGACCTCACCATGGCGGCCAAATACACCCCTCCTGCGTCGCCTCCGTCGCCATCGGCTTCGTTTTACGATGTTAGCGATGAGGATGAGGACGAGTATAGCACAATAGCCCATCAGCAGTCCCGCAAAGGTGTAAAACTGCTGTACTCAAAGAGCAAAGTACATCACCACTCCCATCACCTTCACCCTTTCCCCCCACGTCTAATATCATCTTAACTAACCGGCAACTCAGGTCTATGTTCATCCTACTGCATCCTCCAAAGACAATATCGCCGGTTTTATCGCTCTCGTTCAACAAAAGCCTCCCCCCCGCGCCCATCAACTCCGCGGGTGTCTCTCCCAGCAACAATGAAGCTGCCTCATTCTTGCTCGCATGGGTCCCCAAAACATCCCTAGGCGATGCATACGATACATACGTCAAAGTCGATCTGTGTGATGATGCATCAGCACCCCGTCAAAGATGTCTTGTCCCGCCGCTTCCGGCCACCACCACCTATCGAGACCCGATCGGCCTCTACTCCTTCGCCGTTCCAGTTTCCGAAATCTACTCTCTACTCGTGCGGCCTCCCAGCTTTGGATGGTGGTTCGGAAGTCTAGTCATCAATACCCGTTCAGGAGACAGTTTTCCTGCCTTATTCTTTCACGACAGCGAGTGCGAATCGACGATACTGCAGAAGAAGAAACGGGTCAAGGAAAGTTTCGACCCTTTTGATAATGAGGGCAGTCTTTTCTGGGGTGGGGATGAGGTTCTTCGATGGTTGAGGAGATATGTCGAAGTCCAGCGGTCATCGGTTGATCGCAACATCTACCTAGTCAATCCTTCCGATGAAGATCAGCTGTCCTTCGGACGTGCAGCCATTGCCGGAGATAACTCAACCGTTTCCAAAGCGCAGCCAGAGGCTTCTGCTGCAGGGCCAAGTGGAGGTGCTGCACCAAGAGACGCCAGCATGGATCCTTTCATGAAGACGCTCAAGGAGACTCGGTGGAAGGTGCTGGAACACCTGAGCAAGATTACGACTTTTACCCGGCGAACTGCTAATGACATTGCCGAGAATCCACGTATCCCCCCACAGATGCGCCGCTTGATGAAAAATCCCGAGATCCAAACCCTGCAGGATGAATTCGACAGTGCCAGGATTTATCTCGCTCGATGGGCAATGAGCATCGCTGAACAGAGTGAGAAAGAGCGGAAGCAGCGTATCTGGACGGCCCAAGATGTTCTCGAGTCTGAGAATAGTTCAGTCGGAGAATTCGAGATCCTTGAACTAGAAACTGGAAATCTTGCTCTTCGAGAGCGCCGGAAAACCCTTACTCTGGAAGAATGGGAGGGATTTTTCGATCCAACGTCTGGAAGGTTACAGATTACGGAAGAAGAAGTCAAGGAGAGAATATTCCACGGGGGTATTGACCCGAACGATGGTACCCGGAAAGAGGCATGGCTTTTCTTACTCGGTGTCTACCCATGGGACAGCAGCCTCGAGGAGCGACAGGCCTTGATGAACTCGAAGCGAGACGAATACATTCGGCTCAAGGGAGGCTGGTGGGAACGCCTAGTTGAGGGCAATTCCACGACAGAAGAATTCGAGCATTGGAAAGAACAACGGAACAGAATAGGTACATGTTCCTGCCCACAGAATATTTTTCGGTCTAACACATTTATAGAGAAAGATGTTCATCGCACCGACCGGACGATCCCTCTCTTCGCCGGAGAGGACATCCCGCACCCTGACCCTGACTCTCCATTTGCCGAGACCGGTACCAACGTGCATCTCGAGCAGATGAAGGATATGCTCCTGACTTACAACGAGCACAATCCGGATCTAGGTTATGTCCAGGGAATGAGCGATCTGCTGGCACCGCTCTACGCTGTGATGCAGGATGATGCGGTTGCTTTCTGGGCGTTCGTAGGCTACATGGACCGCATGGTAAGGCCTTTCCACCGCAACACATCCTAAGTAATTTAACCAAGCTAATCTCTTACAGGAGCGAAATTACCTCAGAGATCAATCCGGAATGCGTTCTCAACTCCTTGCTCTTGACCAGCTTGTCCAGTTGATGGATCCCCAACTCTATCTTCATCTTCAATCAGCTGATAGCACAAACTTCTTCTTCTTTTTCCGAATGCTGCTCGTTTGGTACAAGCGCGAGTTCGACTGGAGCGACACACTTCGCCTGTGGGAAGCTCTTTGGACGGACTACTTCTCCAGCAGCTTCCATCTTTTTATTGCACTCGCTATTCTTGAGAAACATCGCGACGTCATAATGGATCACCTAAAACATTTCGATGAGGTGCTGAAATACATCAACGAGCTTTCCAACACCATGGACCTGGTCCCTCTTCTTACGCGGGCAGAATCGCTTTTCCATCGCTTCGAGCGCGCGGTCCAGGCTATCGACAAGAGAGAGAATTTCCCCAGTGCCCCCACTGCCCAGCAACGACGACCTACCTCCGACGCTGATTCTGCCTCAAACTCTGGAAAAGGAAAACAGGCACAACAGAGCACTGTTGGCTCCAGCAGTTCCGTCGCTGCCCCAAGTGCTCTTCAACAATCCATGGACAAGGATAAGCCCAAGGTTATCTCCCCGGAGCTACGCGAGCTCTTGAGAAAGGATATTCCCTGGAGGCGACAACAGACGTCGTGATATCTTTTTTACTAGACAACCTCTACAACTTGCTCAAAGCATCGCTTTGTTTATCTCGGTTACGATCTCATGAAATGAATGTATAGCTAGCAATTCTGTGTTCTCTTGTTAGAACCAGCGGCCTGACCTTTTGGAGTTGAACTGGTGAATGATTGGCTTTGGTGTTTTCGTGATAGTCCTCTTCTTCTATGTCTTAGCATTGACCCTTTACTTGGGCAAACACGACCAATATGCGTCTCGTTGCATCAACTGTATTTCGATATATACTAGTAGGAGTACAAGTAAGTTCTGATAGTACAACTCCAGGACTTGCATGCAAGTCCATGGATATAGACCACTCTCAAGGTTAAATACTTTGCTTTCCACGCGACTCGAGGGGGAAAAGGATGGCCAAAATACCAGCCATTCCCAGTAATGCAGCGCAGACATAAATTGGAACCGAGGTAGACGTTGAAGTAAATGCACCGATCAACGCAGAAACCATTCCCATCAATCGATTCAGAGCCACAGCAATACCATTTCCGGTACCACGATGAGCTGAAGGAAGTATCTCAACCGTGTAGGCGTACAAGGTTGAATAGTAAATGTTGATCGAAACCGAGATGGCACAAGAAAATCCGAGGTTTTGAGGGCCTGTTTTTACAGCGGTATATCCGAAAAAGAAGGCCACTAGCAAGTTAGACTCAGTCAGTAAAAGTTCCACGAAATAAGCTATTGACTTTCAACACACTGGTCATAAAGGCACCAACTGCCATTGTCCCCTTTCGACCGAATATTCGCATTTCACACATGTAACTGGCAATGATCGGCCCTGGTACTGCACACAGGTTGGTGATGGCATAGTTTCGCCAGGTGATGTCGGGCGAGGATTCGCCCGTAGATGCACCCCGAGATGCCAGATATTCCGGTAGATATACGTAATAGAGGGCATAGCCGAGACCAATGAGAGCCCAAGAGATCCAGACCAAGATGGTTGAAAAGGTAAGAGTTCGTGTCGCAAACAGGCCTCGAATATGCACCCCGACTTCGGCAAAGGTTGCTTTGTTCTTAGCATGGGTGCTGTGAATTTGACCACAGGCCTGGAGTTGGGCCAGTGTGAGGTCGCATTCTCGATTATGCTTTTGGGCAAGGTCGTGAAGTGTTTTGATAACTTCTTCATCCATGCCTTGGCAAAGTAGGAATTTAGGAGTTTCGTGGAATCGAATGACCAAGACTCGAGCCATGCTCAGGACGAAGACCAGGGCTCCAGATGTATAAAACAGATACCTCCATCCCATATTGTTATCATTTGTACAAGGTACGGATCCGTCGGTCGGACAGCTATATCCAGCTATAAGAATGTCAGTATAGGCGTTAAAGCAACAGTTTCGAAGTTAATAACTACCCATGAACGGCCAAGCGATAAGACCAGCCACAGTTTGGCCAACACCCCACCAGCCAGCCAAAAGAGTCAGAAGCCATTGTTTATTGGATGGTAAATATTCCAGAAACACGGTTGTATCCAGGACCAAGTTACCACCTGAACCAAATGCAGAGATGGCAACCAGTGTAGCCCAAGCGACATAATTCGGAGCAGCACCGGCCGTAATGGCGAATATAGCACTGGTGAGCAGGGAAAAATTGAATGCCCATTTTCGACCGATGATATCTGCCGTCCCACCCCAAAATAAGGCGCCAACTAATAATGCAAGGTAGAAACCCAATTGTGCACCTCGGTTGAATTTCGGTGGGTATTGCGTTACGACTTGGTCTGCGGAAATGCTCATGAGGAAAAGTAGTAGGGAATCAACACCGTATCTGCATAAATCTGTCAGAATGCCTGATATTGCAGCTTTTGATGTCTCGTGCTTTACCCGAATCCATTGAGGAAGAATAATTTAGTATGGTACGCCGTGAATCCGATTTGATCAATTGCCTACAAACACGTCAGAAAAGGCATTGGGCAAGGAATTGGCGTCAGGTAACATACATCATTCACTAAAGTCATTTTCGCAACGAGAGCTTGATCAACATTCCCAAGTGACACCATGTCGGGGCCAGATGGAGTTGCAATTACGTCGGTTTCCCCTTCCTGGGTTTGGGATTTGCCCATCTCGTCGTCGGATTTGGTGGCCATTATTCGGAATACGGAAACAAATAATGATGTTGGATTAAGATGCAGACGACATAAGAACAATTCCGTGTTGAGCGGCTGTAGCTAGTAGAACAATTGCAGACTCGGATTTATGACCGGGAATATGTCACAGAAATCGAGGTGAAGATCACCGTTTTATAAGATCACTTCAAGTCTGGGTCTACCCCAGTTTCCAAGGTTACTGACTCTTACCTACAGTGGGCCTCCCAGTATCTCCATGATCTATCCTGGTCTGTTTTGTACGCACTGTTCTCTGGGTAGAAAAAGCCTAGTCAGATAACATGCTCCACAACGCGTCTGCATGGCTTCCGGACCAAACTAGTCTACCCCATGGCAGCCAGATGCGGAGCGATAGGAATGCGGGCACGAATCAATTCGCTCTGATTGTGGAGATTTCAATTGCGGGAATTTTAACCCGCCCGTTCGAAGCCAAGGACAGATTCATTATTACATATCTCTATGCCTCGTTAGCTCCCCGCTCAGGTGACCGGGGAAATCGCGATGATGCCGATCGGCCAGCGGTAATCGAACAATTATTAAGTAGCCCAAATTGGTTATCGGGCACACTGAAGGATCTGTGCATCCTTGAGTCAGCCTGCCACCTCCAAACTCAACCTTGCAAACTATGTCTCCAATCCGGCCATGACTTTCTCGATATCGCTTGATCTCCGAGTAATTGATACCATGCCTCAAGGTGAAGGCTTGCCTGAGGTGGCTCTAGGCCGGTATATGAAAGATAGGCGGCGGACAGTCTCCGGGCTAAAACTTCGGGGTTTGGCTTTCTATCCCGCTTTTGACGCGAGAAAAGGGACTCAGGCAAATTCTCTTGGCCTTCTCAATCTACCTGGTTTTCGTTATACATTTTATCCATGTCGCGCTATGATTTCAGAAACTAGATCGCGTTAAGCTAGGACTCGCTGATGCATAATCAAAAATTCTAAGCTATTTCAGACAAGAAAAAAGAAAGCCGTTACTATTACAAATTTCCGATCTCCCAAATGCCCATGTACGGCTGCTGATGATCCTGGAACTGAAAGAATGGATCATGCGTAATATCCATAAAGGACATATCTCCTTGAACTCCCGGCCCGTAAGAAAATGGCTCTCGGGGTAGTGGAATCTGAGTCGCGTTGCTATCGATTGTATCTGCATTCCAAGGTCCGTGAATGGGACTTTGGGAATTGTCTCGATCCCGATCGCCAACGGTACTTGAGTACGGTGGTAATGCTTGACCTCCATCGGAAGTATCAATTGCTCTCGTTGAGCGATGGAATATCTCTGTCTCAACGGTGAGTTTATCTTGATGCTTCTCGCTTGGAGTTTGGGCTTGCAGAAATGACAAGTCAAAAAGGCCGTCTCCCGCAGACGAGTATGAAGATCGAGATGAGTTGTGAAGCAAAATATCCCACATTAAAGCGGTGTCTATCGATAGCGTCCGGCGTGATGATCGCTTATTGTTCGGATCTGGACTTCCAGTAAAAGCCGAATGAACTAGACTTTGTAATTTTTGGTACTGATAATTGTTAGTTTTCTCTTGTCGTAGCTAGTTTTTTTTTTTTTCGGAAAAACTAACCATCGTCTGGCAGCGCGGCCATTTAGTCGCTAGCTCGCCCAGAAACTTGGTGCATATTTCAACAGCACGTTGAGCAGATTCTCGGACGGCCGGATCTGCAGCCCGGCAATAATAAATGTGGATTGTCGCCGCAATCGATACGGTGTGAGCGAGAAATGGATCGGATAGCAAGTATTCTTTCTCAGTAATCATTTCAATCAGTCGGACCGTCCAGGTTGAGTGAATAAGGGCGAGCTCCGAGGATGTCTTCCAGAAGGTGTTTGGAACAGAAAGTTGGGCCGACTGCTGCGGTCGCCACGAGTAGATGAATGGGTGATTAAGGACGCTGTGAATGGCGTGGTAGGTAAATTGAAGATATAGCCACGGGCTCCAGTACCAACGCTCGGCTTCAAGCTCCTCTTTTGGCTGCTCCCAGAATCTCACTGAATCCCATCGGTGGCGAGTTGGGAATTTTGTTTCGATATCCATTAAATGAGCCCCTAAGATGGAGTATCCGGATTTCACCGACCATGGTGGTGTTGCATCGCCGACTGAGCAATGAGATACGTACTGCTGTACCTCGCTCCAAAAGCAACCCAGCTGTACCATGTAAACCCAGATGTCACCCCTTGATGAACATGACCCTGTCTCCTGGGGAAGCTGGGGAGGCTTCGTACCCATTTCCCGGGGTGATCCCATGCCCATGGCCATATAAACGGGCCGTTGAATATCCTGGAACATATCCAGCTGCATATTTCGCAGGCCATACTGCTGGTCCAAAAAGTGTATACTCCAAAATAGTCTTCGCTTTGCTTCTGAAGCAGGGAAAATAGAACCTTCATTTTGTTCAACGTCCAGTCCTCCACATTTGGCGAGATTCGTGACAAGACCAATATGTAGCCAAGCGAGATCGGTATCATTTGCTAATCACTCGTTAATAAAACCTTTCTTCGATCCTGGATATGTAGTCAGACTTACAGATATACTCTGCGAGTGCAATCAGGCAGAGACTCTGCATTGTAGACAGATCCACGCTTCCTTGAGCAATGCGAAACATAACAAGACCGCGAGCTGACTCCGCATACTGCCGACACATCTGATCCTTTCTTCCCTCCAAGAGTGGATTATCAGAATAGCGCAAAGCAAGGGTCAGGATTCCAAAGATGACCTCATTGCGACAGTTCTCTGGAGAAGCTAGGTCCTCAGGATCAAGGAGCCAAAGAGGCTGCTTGTGGCAGTATCTGAAATAGAGACCGATTGATTCTGACACAATTTCTTTCGATGGTAATGTAAATGGCATCACTTCGGGAAGTTGAAGACTCATACTGTCACTGGACCCATCTTGCTTCGTGGATGGATCGCGCATGTCGCTGGACTCTGCCGTAGCCTCGCGACTTTCAAGTCCGTGTGAATATGACTTCGGTGTCTCTGGGTTGTCAATGTCGTGGGTCGACCTGTCGTAATCAGCGCCTTCATTCAACATTACATGACGAAGGTCAAAACGAACATTGAACCTTCCAGCATGAGGTCCATCTTCTGTTCCAGCATCTTCAATCGACTCTCCTAGTCATCTTAGCCGTAATTCCCATCACGCGGGCCACCAAACCATACCATGGCTGAAGGGTCCTCCCATGCATCCCACCCTCTGCTATACTGGCATGACTGCTGAAGACGCGTACATGTAGAACACGCCGGTCTCTCTCCGGGACATCTTGTTTTTTTCCGCCTGATATCAGCAGTACAGCTTATCAGCAAGATGTCACACTGGGCGATCAGGCTCAAGGAGTGAGTGAAACATACCGACAATTTTCGCAGGCTTGGTGAGATCTCTTGCTGACCCGAGAATTCATTAAGGGGACCTGCAGGCAGCAGAGAGATGAGAGAGAATATAAACTTGATAAAGGGTCCTGTACAGCGTACGTTGCTTTATGAAAGACCAAGCGCGGGGTCGTCGGAGTGTAAGCCGTGCGGAGATGATCCAATGACCCACCGGTTTGTGACCCGCGCCACGAAGACTGACTACAAACTAAATTTCAAGTGGATAAAGCGATAAACGGAAAATGATGACACAACAGATTTCAGGCAGTCTGATTAGTTGTAATTGAAAGTACAGTACATGAAAAAGGGCCATCTAGGCCTTCGTTATCGAAATTCGCTACCCAATTAAATCATCCAATATCCATAAACAAGTACGATATCACCACGGACTACCACTCCAATTCACTCTTCCCCTCTGGTGAGCATGCGAGACCAGAGCAAAAATCCATATCCTCCGTTGTGGTTGAGCCCGCTGGATTTTGACGGGCGGGCCATATTTCTCTACTTTCTTTCTGCTCCTCCTTTCGATGGGATGTGAGAAGAGAGCGGACAGTATTTTGGAAGAAAAGAGGCGCGCTCTCCAGTTCGGGGTGGAGCTGCCCGTTAACAAACACGCCAGCATTGAGATTCTTCTGTGCGGCGTTGCAAAGATATTTGTCTTCAGCAAGCACTCTCTTGAAAAAGCTATCGATATACTCAAAGTCCTCGTCGGAGGATTCGTTATGGCGATATACTTCATACTCCATAGAGCATGTCCCTACGGAGGTAGGAACACAGCGCATCATGTAGAAGAAATGAGGCCTGATGCTTCGGTTAGTACAAGAGAAGTGGTCAATCTCTGATGGTGATGCGGGACTCACGAGACTGTCATGCAAGCATTTGGGAAATAATAAGTGCTGGCATTTTGAATATCCTCTTCAATTCTGTCCTCCCTTGGTCGAGAGAAATGTTGAATGTGTCCGGGTTTCGAGATCGTATAATAATATGACAAGTCGGCCAAGTTGGCCACATCCGGATGGGCAACCGTGCAGTGGTAGCATTCGTTATAGTTATCGGCAAGCGTCTTCCAATTATAATCGCCGTCCATCTGCCAAGTATGGTCGAATTTGTAGTTGCTGAAATCGAATTTCGAAAACCGCTCCTGTGTGTCGACTCCCTTGAAATCTTCTTCCCAGGGAATTGGCGTAGGAGATGAGTCGAGATTCACCCAAACAAATCCAAGCTCATCGATATGGACGTGGACAGGCAGGAGACCCTGGTTCTCTTTTTGGAAGCCTTCAACATCGTCGAATCGTGGGGCTTTGGCCAGTTTTCCGTTCAAGCCGTATGACCACCCATGATACTTGCAGGACAGGATTTTGACATTGCCTTCATCCTCCTGAACAAGAGGGAAAGCACGATGACGGCAGATATTGTGGAACCCATTTATGCTACCTTGGCGATCCTTGCAGAGGAAGAACGAGAATCCAGCTTCATGGAATCGAAGAAAGTCTCCGGGTTTATCGAAGCGCAATTTATGGGTGATCAAGATCCATTTCTTTGAGAAGATCGCACGGCGTTCCAGTTCGTACATTTCCTCAGAGCGATACCATGAGGCAGGAAGAGCCTTTGGTGGCTCTCTGACAACGGGAGATACCTTCTCATCGAAGGTAGGTTTGTCTTTGTAACCGAATAGAGATGCGACAGCTGCGGCCATGATGACTTGATATTCTGGTAGAATTGATCAATACTGGAAAATGTATGTCTTCAAAGACTTGGTTTGATCTTGAAATAACCACATGCTGCCATTTATGCCTTATTTGTCTTATCTTGACCATTGATTTACTCGCCGTCTCCGCTCACGCGACCAGCTAACGAAAGAGGGATGACATTTGCATGAGTCTGTTATTCAGAACGGACCTAGGCCGACGGCGAATCCACCGGGCTCGCATAAGGTTTGGTCCTTACACTAGCTGATAGATTCCCGGTCAATGCGCACCAAGATCCCCCCTGCCAATTCCTGCGTTGCAACCAGGGACCTTTGCTCCCGGCTGCTCGGAGTAGCCCCGATTACACCGGTCACCTGAGCGGATGTCACCGTGCGGACCCCAACGAGCGGCTGTAATGGTCGATAAGGGAATATGGTATGGTTATTGCATGCTAGGCAGTTTTTGCTGCAGAATCCTATGTCATAGCCAGCTACCGACCCGACTGGCTCTTTGATCTGCACGTGTGACACCAGCTCGGTGACCCCCGAGCTACTACGTGCAAAATAACATAATTTCATCTATACTTCAAGTTCTCGAGCCGTAGTACAAGCGAAACATCGGTGAATTGGGAACAGTACAGGTTTATGATATTTGGAGTAAACCCACACTATCATCCACTTTCTACTGCATCGTATAATATTAGAATCATGTGCCACATAAACTATGGGGTGGTCTCCAAATATTCCCACAGCACGGTCTCGGCCGGTCATGTGGACAACAGCCAGCTCAACTAAATCGGATACTCTCATTCGCTCCGGGGCTGATATAAGTTTGTGGCGCATACCAAACTGCAAATTACAATATACAACACCATTTCTGAACGATAAGTCTGTTCAAGACTTTGACAATCGTCGCTTCTTCCAGTCAATATAAAAGTAGCAACAAAGACTTGGAACGCCTCCTTGTCTCAACCTACAATACAATGGGATCAAACGGCACAACCCAAAACGGATCAAACTTCGTTTTGACCGGCGATGCTCTACACAAAGCTCTCCCCGACATGGGGATGGCCACCAGAGCCGTTCACGCCGACGACTTCGTAACTCCACACCGCGCAATCGCACCTGGAATGCATGTCGCCGTGAACTTTCGCTACGCACGAGACCCAGATCATCTCGTCCCTGAAGAAAATAACGACGTGAGTTATCAACCTCCGAGCCTCCTTCTCTGGAACGTCCTGCAGTAAACATGCTTACAAAACATCCAGCCCAACGCCCCAGACGACTCACACGTATATTCGCGCTACACAGCCCCGAATTCCAAGCGTCTAGAAGTCCTCCTCCGCAGCCTATTCGGCGGCGAAGTAATAACCTACTCAACGGGACTCTCATCATTCCTAGCAATGGTCGTCCTAATCAACCCAAAACGCATCTTCATCGGAGACGGATACCACGGCTGCCACGGCGTCCTAGACATCATCCACCGACTAAACGGCATAGAAAAGCTCGAGTTAACCGACGTCGACCAAGCCGGTCCAGGCGACATAATCCACATCGAAACACCGCTAAACCCAACCGGTGAAGCGCGCAATTTAGCCTACTACCGCGCCAAGGCGAGTGAAAAAGGCGCATATTTGACAGTTGATTCGACATTTGCGCCGCCGCCGCTGCAGAATCCGCTCGATTTGGGCGCGGATATCGTTATGCATTCGGGCACGAAGTATGTTGGTGGTCATTCGGATATGCTTTGCGGATTGCTTGTTATTCACGAGGATCGGGTTAAGGATGGGTGGTTGAAGACTTTGCATAAGGATCGGCAGTATATGGGTGGTGTTATGGGGAGTTTTGAGGGGTGGTTGGGCATTCGGTCTGCGAGGACGATGCATTTGCGTGTTATGCGACAGGCTCAGACTGCTGAGAGGCTTGTTGCGTGGCTTCAGGAGCAGTTGAGTGATAAGAGCTCGAATCCTGTGAACCAAGTGCTTGAGCGGGTGCAGCATGCTTCGGTGCAGTATGAGGATTTGAAGGATGGGTGGCTGCGGAAGCAGATGCCTGGTGGATTTGGGCCTGTGTTTTCGATTTGGGCGAAGAGTCCTGAGCATGCGCGGAGCTTGCCGAGTAAGATGTTTGTTTTCCAGCATGCTACGAGTCTGGGTGGTGTTGAAAGCTTGATGGAGTGGCGGGCGATGAGTGATGCTGGTTGTGATCCGCTGCTTTTGCGGATTAGTTGTGGCATTGAGGAGTTTGAGGATCTGAAGAATGATATTCTGCAGGGATTCAAATCTTTGTTGCAGGAGAACTGAGGATTCTTCGGCAAGTTGTGAATTGTGAGCTGATAGAAAGAATAAATGATATCATAGAGTTGTGGAATCAACCATGTGAGCTTACTCCTAGTATCTTACCCTCCGTACCAGAACCTATTTTGCTCCCAGACAACTGGGAATGGTACTAGTAGTTTCTCCTAGTAGGTACCAGGATGAATCTTCAAGTTGGTATTGAATACAAGGTTGGAATAGTCCAGACAGATATGCAACTGAAGACCACTGTTAGCACAGTCTTCTACAAAAACCCCAGAATAGACGTTTCAGAGAGATCACTCTATGTGTATGCAATATCAAAAAGTAGCCCGAGAGGGTATCGAGCAAGAAAAAAGCTATTTACAAGCCACGAGAAAAAGCAAACAAGGACGTGTATCAGGATATCGAGCAAGAAGCCAAAGGAGAACCCAGAAAATGCAGAAAATAACAAAAAAATGAAGGCAACAAGATATGATCAATTTCCACAATTTCGCCGCGCTGATGCAAACCAAAATAATGCGATAGCCCATGGATAAACAAGAATAATAAAGGGCAAGAAGAAAGATGATGCAAATGCTGAGATATGCAGAAACCATAACCAATGGGTTGTGTGGAAGCATTCTTTGCGAGAAGAAGAAAAAACAATGAATTCAAAGCCCACGATGAGTAGGCTTGTGAATGAAGAGAAGTTTTGGGGGAAAAGAATCCCGCTCGTTATCTGCGATTGCCCAGACCCTTCAGCACGACGCGTCTGCTCGTACCGACAGAACCCATGTCACTAACACTGCGGACCTTGGGCAAAGAGCGGATAGAAGCCGTGTCACTGATATCGTGATGCTCGGCAGGTTCAGGGTTGGGGTTAACGCCCAGCGGGAAAGGGGGAGGGTTGATAGAGCTGGAGAGGCGGGTTTTCTGTAGAACGTCTTCAACCCAGGCTTCACCCTCAGGGCTCATTGAGACATGTCGCGCCCGAGGTTTGGGACCGGCAAGACCGAGCGGGGTAGAGTGGGAATCTGGCGCCAGAGAGTTGGTATTTCCAGGAGAGTGGGAGTGCACATCGCCAAATGAGTAGTTCGAAGAGACAGAGAGACGACGCCTGCCTGTAGAGGCAGATGGGGGCGAGGTAAATGATGCTAAGGCACTTGTAGTCACGGACCTTGTGCCGACTGCATCCGATGCATTGGATCCCCGTCGTACCTTGCGAACATTGAGCGACGAGGCGGGTCGGGCACTCATGACGGACGGAGGTCGAGATGGGGTCGCTCGGCCGGAGGCCATGTAGGCCGGTGCGGCTGGGGTCAGCATGGTGCTCGGGGTGGAGTAACCAGGCGAGGAACGAGCTGTCAAGCCTTGCACTTCGACACGGGGTGTTTCGGAAACCTTTCGGCGGCCGTGGTGGATGACATATTCGCGAAGATATTCGCCCAGATCAGCCCAGCCACCACCAACACGGACCATGACACGCTGATTCTCCTCTCCAACAGTACGTACGAACAGCTTTGTGGGTGCTGTCTGTCCGGCATGTTGCAGGTGATAGAGCCTGACACAGCTATCTTCCGATTTGAACACTTGTGAGCGCCTTCTGGTAGCAGGCATGAGCGAAAAGGAAGGCGCTGGGGTGGCACTCCGAGATGGAGCCCCAGGTGGTGATTCCGAGAGGAATCTGTCTCGCATTTTCCGGTCCAATGAAGACGATGACGAAGATGTGTCGGCTTCATTGTTAGGATCGACGAGGTTGATCCGCCCAGGAAGCGTGTTCAAAATCGAGTTTACCTTCTCGTCGAGGCGATCTCTAGGTTTCCTCCGTGGCCTGTTCGGTGACGATGCTCGAGAGCCAACATCTGTCGGCTCCGATACATCCTCCTCGACGTAGTCAAGTTCTTGCCGTCTCATGCCTAAACTTTCCAGGCTGGGATGAGCTGTCAAGCGCTGGCGCAAGCGGAGAGACTTTGGTTGATCCTGGTTGAAGATGGTCCGTAATGAAGAACTTTTTGAAGAAGTTCGTACACTGCGCTGAGCTTCCTTCTGCGCTTCCTTCTGGGCTTGACTACTGGATTTGAGATCAGAAGCGGATTTCCCGCGCGTCAGAGCAGGGCGTCGGCTAGATGATCTAGCGGGCACCTGTGGAATGGGAAAGGTAGAGGGATCCGGCAGATCTCGGGGAATCGATGTTTTCTTCAACGGCAGTCGACCGGCAGGGGACGAGACCGGGTCGCGGTCCATTTGAAGGTCCATCTTTTCATTGATAAATCGCTCAAGCGGCAGACTAAGCGACCGGTTGTCTTTAAATGTAGTCCGAGGAGACACCTTGCGGTTCTCGAGGTGACGCAGACGATCGGCTCGCAACGCATGATCACCCCGAGGTGGGAAAGAGGGAGGCTGGGGGAAGTCGGAGAGAGGAGGGGTCAGAAGGGGACCATCCTTGGACGAGTCGGTATTAGGATCAAGGGCGTCGGGGCTAGAGATCAGGGAGGAGTTGTTCGAAGGGAGAGAGCCGACGGATCCTGTAGATGGTCGGCGATAACGCGGCTTTGGGGCGGCTTTGTCTAGATCGAGCTTGGCGGGTCGTATCTTGGAAAGCTTGATTGGGCTCTGCAACGGCTTCTTGGACGGCGCTTGTTTCTGTGGCGTGTGCTGCGAGGGCTTCGGGGCGGTGTTGAGTGGGTCTTCGATAGAATTGATTGGGACCTGTCTTTGAGGTTGCTGTGGGAGAGGCTTGTGCAGCATTTTCGACACTGGAATGCGCGTTGGTGTTGTCTTTGGAGAGCTGCACACTGGAGCACAGTGAACTCTGGGCTTTTCCATCGAAAGGGCGGGGGACAGTTCCTCCTTCGATCGCCTATCCGGAGTACCTGTAGTAACGGGCTGCTCGGGGTGCTCGGGGTGCTCGGGCTGGACAGTCACAGCAGTTTGGACAGATGGGAGGGCAATATCAGCCGTTTCGGTTGACTGGGCATCCTTCTCATCCTTGGTCGCGTCGGCGTTGCTTGCCTGTTCAGTTACAACAGGTTTCGGTGTGTCCTGGTAGATACTCTCTGGGGGGAGCATCGTCAGAAACAAGGATATCCGGTGCAGCCACAGAATCACTCTTCTTGGACGAGGCGGGTCTCTGTATGAAAGGGTCATCGGCCGTATCGCGCTCTGAGAGTGCAGCGGGCTTGGCGGATGATTCCCGAGATGGCGGTGCTGATCGTTGTATAAAGCCGAAGGGTGGAATATTCTCTTTATTTTCGACGCTGGGTGTCACTGGGAGTGGAACTTGAGTGGGAGAGATATCCTCTTCGGATTCTATGGATGGAAGAGGTGGAAACACGGATTGCGTTGGAGTTGGAGTATTCGCATCCTCATTCGCACAACCAGAGGACACAATCTGGGGCACATGCTTGGGCTCATCGTGGGTATGAATGGTAGACGGCGTGTCAGGCTCAGAGAGAGGTGGGAGGGTAGAATCGCTCTCTGCGGAAGACAATCCTGAATCTTGTGTCAACTGGGATGTTTCCTGTTCGTCGGCATTACTCTCTGACGAGAGATCGGGTTCAATCTTGGGCTCCTCTTCAATAGTCTCCATCTGAAGACATTCCTGTGTTGACTCTGGCTCGAGGCATTCTACCAAAGCTTCATCCAATTGTGTTTCAGTTGGTGTCGTATCAACCTTTTCTTCAACGGGAGGCGCGGCGATTTCGGATGTCTTGGTCTCTCTCTCGTGTTGTTCCTTGGCACGTAGCCACTCAGTGCGAAGCTTATATTTATCGACTTCGACTACCCAGGCAGCGAAATCTGACTCAATTCCTTCGAGGTCATCGATCCAGCTCTCAGGCAGGGAGTCCTGTCGACCTTCCAACGCGTCCAGGACTCGGTCCATCCGCCTGCCCACAGAGACAACCGCGGATTCGAGCTGAGCATGGTCGACGCGTAATTGTGAGCTGGATAGAAATGAATCGCTGTTCTCGGAATGGTCGGAGGTTCGTAACGCGTGAAAGGAGGTATTTAGGGCGGATCGAGTGGATTTGAGTTCGCGGAGGAGACCCGGAATCTGGCGAAGGACGAGAAGTCGGACATCCCAGGTGGTCAAAAGGTGATTGAGGCGAGAAAGAAAGGGCAATGCGCGTAGAATTGTAGCAGTCACGACAGCTGTGAAATCACTAAGTTGCACATAGCTGAGTGGCGGAGGCACGGACACGGTGCTCGTCGAGGAGGAAGGGCGAGACCGGGATGGAATGTGGGCACTTAAAACGTGCTCTTTGAGTTCCTCCACGTTTAAATTGTCCATTCCGTCGCGTATTTCCTCTATCCTTTGTTCATATTGTTCCACTATTGTCGAAGGCAGACATCCATAGTACGCGATATCACTGGTGCCAGGGGGAATCAGGGAGGTCGAAGCAGCTGACGCTGAACCGTTTTCCCCCCGCTGAATCTCCACCGGTGGCACGAATCCCTTCCCTTCTTTGGCATCAGCATGCTTCGGCCACGTCCAGGTCTGAACCTCCTTATACCAGATGTTCAGGTTCTGGGCGGCTACCGCGGCGCGTATCCCCAAGGCGCGTTCGGCCGGCGACACCTGGGAGATACTCTGAGAAAGGACATCACGGGAGAACTTCTCATTCGAAGGTACAGCTTCTGTCGAGGTGAGGGCATTGAGAGTCGATTCCGGGGAGAGGTTTGCTAGCAAGGGATCGATTTTCTGATATATCGACTCCGGGTGGGCGGGCGAGGTGGAACGCGAATTTTCTCGAGAATGGGCGGGCGAGAGGCGGATGGAGGGACGAAGGGGGCTAATTCGACTGGCTGGCATTCCGAACGGGTGAAAAGGCTATATAGCCCTGTGGTCCACTTCACAAGGAGACGGGGGAAAGTTCAGCCAAGTCGGAGTGGCATGAGACTGACGGGGGTCGATATAAAGCGGGCGGACGAAGGGACTGTCGAGCCCGCATGCTGAGATGCGTTCTATCGGAAGAAGGAGGAGGGAGGAGGCACGAGGAGTGATGATTTCCAGGTGTTGCAGACGCGAGAAGTTCGAAATTGTTGGTGAGGAGGAGGAGTGAAGAGGTGAGAAGACACGAGGCCTGGCGGTAAGGAGGAGCTGCCTTCGGTACCAACAAAACCAGCAGTACTACCAGTGGTATAGCAGTATAGCGGGTATAGTAGTGGTAATATAACAAAGCGGAGTAAAGATTCTGCAGAGTCACGACAAAGAGGAATTAGGAAATGGGAGGGATTAGATATATCATGAAAAAGAAAAGAAAGGGTAAAGAGAACCTTAGCACCAAAATAAAATAAATTGATGGTCCTTTTTGGGAGGTGGAGCCCAAAAGGGGGCACGGATGAGGAGGTCCACCAACAATCCCGCCGATCCGCGACGCTATATTTGCGTTGTCCGGGGCGAACTGATGATGTGCAGCGGAAAAAATTTATGATATGATTAGATGTGATGCCATAGTATCTGGCTTATAATATATAATATAGGGGAAAATGTTATATATATTGGTATTCTCGGGCAAATAATTGGAAGAAGACTGCCTCCTTGCTTGGACCATTGAGTACTGGCTCAATGATGGCCGGTGCTTTTCCGGCCCTAGCTCGCCTGTCAATGTAGTGGCTTCTGATTGGCTGGATGAATTCATATGGAAATATCGGAATAATTCCAAGATCCATGGATTCTAGGTTGTATTCTACTAGTATCTATTTTGTTAGGTATACATCACTCCGTTGTCCATGTCCTTTTTAATCGCATTATGGCTCTATTTTTCAATCGTGCTAGTATGTGTTCATCTACATATTTTATCTCAGCCTACTCCTCATTTGAGAATAGCTAGCCAGCATATGAGATTTCCTCACTATGCTTTAAAAAGCATCTCTTAAATTCCCCCCCAGGAGCCCAGGGGGGTCTGGCAGACCGGGCATATTTCTGGAGGACCTGACTATTCTATGTGGCTTCGCGCCCCTCCTTGGATTCCCCCCACGGCTCGCACGAATATGCTGGAGAATGTTGTCCTTTCTGTTGAAGGATCTCTCACACGAGTCACACTTAAAATTTGCGGCCGAGTAATGGATGGTCTGGACATGTCTTAACAAGGTGGCAGCGTTCCTGTATGGTCCTTGTCTTTGGGTACATAATGGACATTTCAAGATTGGTCGATCAGGCTTGCGCTCATTGCTGGGCACTCCTTGTGAATCGATAAAAGGCCAACCGATTGCCGGTCCAATATCTGGTAGAGACGCAGTCACGGTGGTATCTCCCCTAGCACCGGAGCATACATTGGAGAACAATTGATCAATGTGTGAGTCTTGCTCGGGGAGAAGGCCTTTCTGACGCAGAAGTTGAATGATATGATGATGGCCATGACCTAGAGCAATGGAAACAGAAGTGTTGCCTTCCCAATCTCTTCGGCCCAAATCAATACAATAAGCTTCAAATTCGTCAGAATCTCCCAGTTTAAAAACAGGGTGATCAAGCAAAGATTAAACTATCTCAATCGATCCATTGTAGCACGCCCACATGAAAGGGGTCCTCCCGTACATGTCCTCGGGATCTGGATATGCGCCTCTATTCAAAAGAAGCTCAACGGTTTCCTGGTGTTGTCGATACGACGCCTCCACCAGAGGAACTTTACTCCCAATATATATAGGGTATGGGTTGATATTGTGATCCAAGAAAAGCTTCACAACCTCGGTGCAACCATTCAATGCGGCTAGAGAAATCGGTGTTTGGCCATCTTCGTCATGCTGATTTGAGTCTACCCCATGATCGAGAAGCAGCTTTACAACTGGCGTATGACCATTCGAGGCGGCCCACGCCAGTGGGTCCCGATTCATGGAGTCTCTGGCACACGTCAAATCACATTGGTTGATCAGGTAGCGCAACGTATTCTCCAATCCGAACCATGCAGCAAGATGGACTGCCGTGAATCCCATTGGAATTCTCAGACAGTAACTTTGGACGCCATGATATCCTTTCAGAGAAAACAGAGCTTGGACACTTGCATCATCCAAGATGGAGGTATTTCTCAAGAACGGCAGCAAGAGATCATCGATGATTGGATACACTCGAGCATGGTGGCCCCAGCTTATGGCGGCATAAGAGTATAGCGGATATTGACTGAGCTGGGCTTCATATTGGATGTCATTTGAACACATTCCTCGGTGAAAGATGTCGTATGAAAGGTAAGTGAGGCAGCTTGCTGTGATGGTTTTCTCTGCGTCTGGGAAAAACACAGCCTGATTCCGTGTGAAGTATTCTTGCATTGTATAGTGGGCGAGTTGAACCATTTCTTTTGTACTGTCGGACCCAACAGTTATTAGCCCTGCACATGAAGAGATGATGTCTTCGAGATCATAGCGATCCTCCTCATTAAGATCCGACTCTCCCAGCTCTATGGTAAGAGTGGTGCGTAGCTCCAGCGTAGTGAGCGGTCGCCTGGCACAGATAACCCATGATAAAGCATCTTTGGCCAATGTTTGGCGACGGGGGTCTTGATTTTTGATACGCTCCACAACATCTCGGTAAGCATCGTCAACGGCAGTGTTTCCTCTGTCAATGCGATTGGATCTGTCTATCAACCTCTCCAGCACATTATTAATCTCTTTGGCTCCAGGGGCTGAGATCAATGAATCCAAATAGAGCTGGGCCAAGAAAAACCTATATATTGTTAGGTAATGCGATGGCATAATAATTTTGAGGATGAAGCTCTAAAATCATACATTCCCATGACAGACCCCACGATGACAAGTACAGCCTTTTCTTGCAGAGCCGGTCTTCGAATCAAGGCACAGCCCTCGCAGCTTCCCAAACGAGCCTTGGGGTATTTCATAACATCTTCTTTCGTGGCGCGGATCTCTTGGGAGCGTTTGTCTTGGAATCTCGCCTCGATTGCAGGAACAGATCTTGATGTCGCCAACACATCTAAATTCCCAAACGATTGTGTTTCGAATACTTGGCTGATAATGCGAGATATGGTGGCCGCCTTGCATTCGTCAAACGCATCAATGACAATGAAGACTTGTTTCAAAGCCATTTGAACAACATCTTTGAAGGCTTTGCAGAGTTCATGGAATGAAGGCCGTGAGCCATTAGTCCTGTGCTTTTTATATAACAACTGTACCGTGGATGGAAGTAGCGGGTGTCTCCGAATCAGCTGTCGAATCATGTTTGCTAAGATATTCTCTGGAGATTGTCGACTGTCGTCAGAATAGTGAAAACTGCAGAAAATATAGGCAATTCCAACTCTAGGATCGTTTTCATAGTGATTTTCCAGCTCATCTATAACGATTGATGCCATTTTGGTCTTTCCTGCTCCGGGTATACCAGGACAGAATAACGTCTGGGCCGAATTCTGGACCCAGTTCTGAAATTTAGGTGATTCAATGAATCATCTTCCAGTCTCCGGCTGGTAAGTTGGCTTCCCTTGGTCCCCTCCAACACTTCCTGGTAACAACCAGTCGAGGTATTTTTGATGTTGTTCCTCATTCTTGTAGTTGACAAGCTCTTGGACTTGATCTTGCGTGATGCGCATATTAATAGCAGTGATGGATCCGATGATGCTGCACACCCGATCTCGGAGTTCTCGGACATCTGCTGGATCCAATGTGAGGCGCTTCCAGACATGTTTGATGCTTGGTGTCTGGTCTATCTCTCTGTATTTGCCAGTGACTGACCAGATATCTTGGTTTAGGACTTTGCACTCGTTTGCTATGTGCTCCAGCTTGTCTTTCTGTGCCTCGCTTGGTACATGTGTCTCAACATCCTGTATGCTATAGGAGAGGTTTCTCACTCTATGAGTGTCCGGGTCAGAATGAGAATGCGAATCACGGTCGGAATTCACGAGGAAAGGACTCACTCAACATTGAGAAGTCTGATCTGTGAGGGCGCACCGTTAAAGACTTTTCGAATGTGATGAATTTCCTTGATGATGCCGAAAAAATCCCCCCGACACTAAATCCGAAATTCATCTTCGCCGTTTCATTTAGGTGAAATCAAGGGGAGATAGAGTGTCTTTGTGGGGCTCCTCAGCATGGCTTTTAATGTCGGGCGGAGCTGAGGCTGTGTTGGGCTGTGCGGCTGTGCCAGCTGCCCTGCTTGTTTGCGCAGCCCGATGATTCATTTTGCTTTTTCAAGAGTATTCCCACGCACCATTCGGTCCAATGGTCATCAGCGAGGCCTCGTGCGCAAGGGGTAGTTGGAATGGAATATTCCAAGGTTGTAAGGTCAGCGGCAGGAACATTATGCGGCAAGCGCATCCGGTCGGCCCGCACCGCGTCTATCCGAGTCAAGCTTTGAAAAGTCCAACTACATTTGACAATATCACGCCCAGCGAATCATATCATGCCACCAGACAGGGCCTTGAAAGCGTGTCTTCAGTGTCGGAAGAAAAAGCGCAAGTGCAATGGCCGGCATCCTTGTCGGAATTGCTCCAACACCAACCGGGAGTGCACATACATTGAACCAACTCCGAAGAGGTCTCCCTCAGATGAAGACTTACTGACAGAGAAGGCCGAGATTGAAGCGGATTCTACCCCTGTGAAGAAAGGGGAAAAGCGTGCAGCTCTCAATTCGGGGGACCTTCTAGCCAAACGACTCGGTCTTTCAACAGATTGCCTTTCGGGGGAGTCTAGGCTCTGTTCTTGGAACTTCCGTTTACATAAAGCCCGTTTACATAAAGCTCCCTCCTATCTCAGTATAACAAGGCCATTTTCCGAGATATTGACTACCCAACACATGCACCGACTCGCAGACATTTACTTCGCGGAAATACAGCCAGTCTACACATTTCTAGATCCTGAAACGGTCCACCGAGCTATCTCCGTTTCATCCGACCAACCACCAGAGCACCCTTCAAATTGCGTTCTCCTGGGAATCGCAGCACTGGCCTGTCTTTTCAGTCGGGAGGAGTCATCTGACCTCGAGTCTGAAATTGTCCACAGTGCTCGTGCTTCTCTAGAATACTCGACAACACTTTCCGTGCCAACCATAGACCACGTTGTGGGATGGCTCCTGCGCGTCTTATATCTCCGCTTCACCAGCTCACCGAATCCAACATGGCTCGCCAGTTGCACGTTAATGCATTTGATTGAGACGGTCAAGTTACACGTGGAGCCAGCCCCGAAGAGCAACTCGAATTCCGTTCAAGTTCACGGCTTGCAAGAAACATATAGCCCGCAACTCAGAAGACGAATATATTACACTGCCCAAATATTCAACACATGGATCTCATACGACTACGGGCAGGCCCGAATAATACCACGCGATGCTTCTTGCACATTCCCATCGGAAGGATGGACAACAGAAAGCCGCATATTCTGGAAACTTTCCGACTCCCTCGATCCAAATCTCCAACTCAACGCAACAGATCTAGAAAGCATGCTCGAGCAAACCGTCCAACTGAAGCCATCCCATCCAGCCATGATGCTTAAACGGTGCAATATAGCACTTTGCATTTACCGCCGCCTCCGCGTAACCGGTTGCGCAGTCTCAACGAAAGCCGTGGACAAAGTTCTGCAACTTGGAGACGATGGGCTACAAATTGCTACCACTATGGCCAAGGCCCACTCGCCTTGGTGGCATGTCTTAAATGTTCCATTCCAGCTCCTCTGCGTTTTACTAGCAATTGATACTCGTGCCTCGCTAAGCCGCGTCGAGCAGGTCTTCCAGACGCTGAAATTGCTGGCTGATGAATATGGGCCACAGGCTCTTCGGGAGACATGGGCGAGTGCTTGCACATTATTACGACTTCAGATTCGGCGGAAGCGAGATGATTTCGAGCTTCTGAATATCATTGAGAATGATATCCTAGCATGGAACTCTGGTGAGGCGCCTTTGACTTCATTGGATCAAAGTCTCCCAGACCCATCGCAGCTACTACCTGATGCAGGAAATTATGGCCTAGGAGAATTTTGGGAGTTGGACGAGATCTTTTCCACTAATCTATTTAATACTTTGTAAAATTGGGACCAGTGAATTACGCACTGTTACTGGCGTCATACAGTGGCGTTGCAAAGGTTTGAAACGCCATGTTGACTATTCTCATCTCCGCCTTCCAGTTAATCGCGGAGTGGTAGCTACCTGAGATGGAATATATTGGCCTATCTATTCCATCTAAGGTAGCTACTAGTTTCCCATTATAAGGCGCTCAATAATGGCGAGCAATATGGGGATTAAGGTACGGAGAATAGGGGAAAAGACATTTTTGCTATTACTCAAGAATGGGAGCTATCAAGTGCATTGAAGCGTCACGATGTAAAAATATCATACAAAAGCAAAAAGCAAACACTTGCGGCAGATTCCTACTGCCCAATCTTCATTGCCTTAAACGCCTCCAGAAACGCACGACAGCTCATCTTAACATTCTGGTCATGGGAAACACGGTGGCCCTGCCACGCCTGGTATATAAATCTATACCATGCCTTTTTTTGGCCGCCATCTCCTTGATATGTGGCTCGATGCTTTCCCACGAGGACAATGTTTCCGTCAAGGCAAGTGTAAGATACTGTAAAGGCTTAGCGTAGGAACGCCGGATTCCAATCGGCGTCGTGTTGATGTCTAGGCTCAGTAGAAGCATCCACGTTTCATTCTGCATCACTGCGCGTTGGGTCGGTAATGCCGCGATCACACTCGAAGCATCAATGTCAAAAATAAACAGGTACCGCAGGACGACCTACCCCGATTAGGAAGGAGTAACTTTCTATATTCAATTGCTGACAAATGGCTTAGCAACGGCCCCCAATCTACTTAGCAACTCTCCTTTTGGTGAGCTTTTAACATCCCTACCCCATACGTCGTTCGTTTCTTTTTCCCCTTCAAGGTGGGAAAAATGCTACGTGAAATTCACTTTGTCAATTTGTCCCATCCTACGGAGTCGGTCTCGGCCGAGTCTCGGAAGGGTGCTCATGCCCACGCCGCACGTACGGCACATGCTAGACGAGATCGCTTTCGCATTGTGAAATACCCAGCCGGGGTCAAAGGTCAAAAAATCGGAAAGGATAAGGGATCTACGAAGAAACATTTCATGCCGACTGAAAGCAGTTCGATGGGCTCAAAAGTTGCCTACGATGCGTCATCTCTGCCGATCTTGAAGACGGCTTTATCATCAATTCGACGAGATCCGTTTGACAGCTTAGCCAAATCATTTACTGAGTTTCAATACTTTCTTCTCGATCATTGTTGGTTCTACCTATCTACTCTTTTTTCTTCTTTTTTTGGACTGTCGTCTCATCCTAACACTACTGTTAGATACCCAGATGGTTATCCCCGGTCAAAGCGTTAGCTGCAACCGGCTTCTGAACCCGGAAAGATACTGCCAACTAATGAGAGCAGAGTTGGTACGGCTTCTGGTCACTAGAGATCACTCCTTGGATAGCCTTTTTCTAATTGCCTGCCGCCACTTGACCGAGACGAACTCAGAGCGGCCCGAAGAAAAGGGGCGCTACATGCAACTAGCACTACAGTACAAAGTTTCTTGTTTGAAATCCCTAAATAAATCCATCTCTAGCGAGATAGAAAATGCATCAATAATTAGTGATTCGACTTTTGCAACGGCAATGATGCTTGCATCGGACGAGGTGAGCGCGTCACAATATCACCTGAAATACGGCCCAAAGGCACTAATACCCCTGAAATTCAAGCTTAGTCTGGGCGACTATAGTATGGCTCGGAACCATATTTCGGGAATTCTCCGGATGGCTCAACACAATGGCGGACCTCAAAATCTAGGGTGTAATGGATTTATGAGACACTTGCTATACGTGCTATGGCGGGACGTTCACACTTTTGCGAGGATTCAAATGCCAAAGCGACAAACCCTTGTCAATCCTTCTTGCATCTAGATAATCGTGTATTGTAATCTAAATTATATCAAGTGAGCTAAATCTTCTTATCCTAGAAGCCTAATTCTATCTACACTTCGCGCTACTTCAGGGGAGTTGCCCTGCCCCATTGCTTTTCGAAAAACAGTACGGTAGCTGACTACTCCGCTAATAATGTATTCCCTAGGTATATGTATATGGTTATATAAAATACTGCTTCTAAAAAAAAAAGGAATAATGCCCCCGAAATTTTTTTGGTCAAAAAGAAATTAAATTTAAGAGTCTTCCTTTCGCGTGTGTTGAACCTGAAAGGTTCGGAGATATTTTTGCAGCACTTTCGCCAGAAACCCGTATGTATCATGTTTTAGCCTGGTAATGAAATACACAGATTAAAATATGATCATGCTCCAATTAAGAAAAAAAGAATCAATGCGGCTCTATATTAGAATATCGCGAAGAATGAGTTTTATACACCTCGGGAGGGTCGGACTTGTTCTCCCAGGGCGTCTGGACCAAGCGAAAAAAAGGCAAGGACGCAGGAGACCAGAATACGGCAAAAAATGATTCGGAGACACTCCGCGGGGGGGGTCGAACCCTGGTAGAGGTTAGATGTTGCTCAATTGTACCGGACTTCAGTTTATAACATACCCCAACCTTCCGATGCTCTTGTTTCGGCTTTGCAGCCTCGAAATAAAAGTCGGACGCTCTCTATAAAAGTTCCAGCAGGGGCGCGATGCGGCCGGGGGGGTTCTTTGGGGTACGTACAGCCAATTGAGCTAGCGGAGTTGAATTCCACTCGGCCGTAAGGCCATAGTTGAAGACGGAATGGAACTATAACCTTGGAAATTTCGTACCGTTCTCGCATTGCTCCGCCAATCATAGCCTGCATCAGCCCTCTCCTCCCGCGGGAACTCCAATTTTCTGCCGTTCTGCTACCCCTTCAAAATTCCATGCCCTATTTTGTCGCCTTCGATCCCGTCTTTGGCTTCCATGTATGCATTGATTCTTATTGTCTGCTGCTTCATAATAAATCAAATTTATAGGCCGAGTCTATTATTATATAGGGCTACATACAATACGATATCGTCGTGTAGTAGTTAGTATTACTAGTGGGGCCTACATATCGGCTACGGACGTATGTTGGATAGCCGTTCAACATTGCTACAACGCGCTGAATCGCTCAAAAACATAATAAGAAATAAAGTGGTCTCTGTTTCCTATCTAGAGCTAGCTCTGATAGCCTCCATAGCCGCGTCCGCCACGGTCGTATCTGTGGATGTTGGCCATGATCAAAAATAGGGGGTTGATAGAGCGACCCCCCCCCTCCTGATATATGGGCATACCGCAGGAGTGTTTCCTATCCAATAACCCACATCACACCATGATGGAACAAGAACAAGAGTTCGAAATCGGGACCAACAAGACGGAACGACTGAATATCCAAGAGATTTTCAGAAAAGAATTGTAAAATTGTTTCAAAGAGCTAGAGGAGTATGACCTATTCTCTTAGAAGTATAATCAAGGGGGGGGGGAATTCAAGGCCGAATGTAATACACTCAATAACACGGCTAAAATATCTAGAGCTTACTCAAAATCCTCTACAAAACTAATATCAACAGGCTTAAGCAGCGGGACCTCGGGAATTGAAGAACTTTAATAAATATTGACAACAGCAAGGAATTGTATTCAATAAACTGAAGCATACATGGAGCGGAACCGCGCCGAGATATTCTTTTTTTCCATTTTGAATAAAGCGAACTTAGGTTGAGAATAATCGAAGAGCCCTAAAAAAGAAGTGCTCTCGGGTTCCTGTAATAATTAAGTACCGGAAGCTGCCTATTGGAGTATCTTGCTGTTTCCTTTTTGGGGGTAGTGTGGATCCCACGGGCCACCAGTATGAGATGATTATCCAAAAGTCTTCGGCTTTCTTTTTGTAGTATTTTGCACTTTCCTGTCACAGACTAGATCATAATTTGCTGGCTCTAGTCATAGACAACTCTTCTGATAGACTTCAGAATATTTCCTGATTTCAAAGCGCTTATAGATTGCTAGAAAATTCGGAAATTTCGCATTCGCATAGACCAGAATGGCCTGGGGGGGTATATAAAAGACTGCCCAACTCCCACTGCAATCTTAGGACAAGGATTTTTGAAGAAAAAGAAATTCCAAAGCTCATTTTTAAAGCCGACCTATACCCTCGATCCGCGCTTCCCCAGCTACATTCCGAAGATGTCTGAAACAAATGTCACTATCCCCAAGGGCTCTTTGATACTGGTCACCGGTGCCAACAGTTACCTAGCATCGCATGTGATACTACAATTTCTCCAACGAGGATACAAGGTCAGAGGCACCGTCCGAGACATTGAGAAAACATCCTGGCTAGTTCAAGATCTCTTCAAGACAGCCTCGGAGAGCGGTAATTTCGAGCTCATTCAAGTGTCTAACTTCATCACCCCAAATGCCTTCAACGAAGCTGTCAAGGGCGTCTCCGCTGTCATCCACGTCGCCACACTGGGCCTCGATCCAAACCCCAACAATGTCCTGCCTCAAATTGTTGTCGCCACCAACTCGATCCTGGAGTCGGCCTCAAAGGAGCCTTCGGTGAAAGAATTTGTTTATACCAGTTCAATCGCTACTATGGTTATTCCTAGTATGGACCAAGTTCACCTCACCTCCGACTCCTGGAATGATGCAGTAGTGGAGCTTGCTTGGGCACCTCCGCCGTACGAGCCTAGTCGGGCCTATATCGTGTACGCAGCAGGCAAAACTATTGCAGAGAAAGCTTTGTGGGAGTTTGTTGAAAAGAGAACTCCCCATTTCAATGTCAACTCAATTATTCCAGCAAGCATAATGGGTGAATGTCTCAGCAAAAGTCACGTTGAGCTTCCTCAGATGTTTGTCAAGGCTCTGTACGATGGAAATTTAGTCGCACTGCAGCAGCTCCTCACAACTCCAGGAAGTCTGTATTCTCTAACCCCCAAGATCTATGCTTTGTCCATTTATCTAATGATGTCTTTACAGCTATCCACACTGACGTGAAAGATACTGCACTTCTCCACGTTGCAGCGGCTCTCGATCCTGAGATCAAGAATGAGCGGCTTTTTTCCTGGGGCGAATCATGCACGTGGAATGAAATTCTTGCTTTGATGCGAGCTGCTGCTCCTGCGCGGAAATTTGTTGACGACTTGCCGGGCGAGAGACTCAAGCTGACGGCAGATGATGGCAAATCTCTGGACTTGTTGAAGAAATGGTCTGGCCAAGAGGGATGGACACCTTTGATAGAGACAATCACTGACAACATGACCAATATCATGAAGTGGTTTCCTTAAGACAAACTGAAACATTCATGTTGCTATGAACTTGAAAGTTATCTAGGCTGGGTTGCTTGGTGACAAATATAACAGCCTGCAGCAATGTGAATCGAGCAAGTGGAAGAAAGAGATCGGGCCAATCGTCATGCTAGCATAGATTCACTGTTTTTAGAAGGCTTTCACGACATGATTGTGCGTCAATTTTCCAAATTCTCATATGATTCAGCTGCAAATTCAAAAAAGAAGGTGAAGCACTTCCATTTCGTTTGGCGAGTCTATATAAGGAAAAAGGAAATGATATAAATACTCTGTTCACTGCTTGAACAACGCTGCCTCAGTATCATACGTATACTTCAAATCAAGATGCCAATAATCAGCCGAGGTAGCCTTAACACACATCCACGCCTCATCGAGAACATCCACCACTTCCTGCGGCAAGCCACCTTTCTGCGTAGCATCAATATTGGCATGAAGCTGCTCGATACTACTGACACCAATCAGAATACCATCCTTCCCCAACCGCAGCTGCGAGTGGTGATTCAGCCAACGGAAAGCAATTTCCGGCAATGTCAGGTTGTATTTTGCGGCGATCGGGCTGATCAGATTGACTGCATCTAGAATCGGTTGGTTCATGTAGCGCTTTCGGTACAAGGCGCCCGTGGTGTTTTTGTCGCTAAATCGTCCTTCCGTTGGTGCTTGCGTTACGGCGTCTGCTTTGTATTTTCCCGAGAGAACGCCACCGGCGAGGGGGTTGTAGACAACGATATCCAGTCCGTAGCGGCGGCAGCAGGGGATGAGTTCTGTCTCGATGTTTCGTGCTGATTGATCTCGGTTAGCTGCCGTTACGTACACTGCGAGTTTCTGAGAATCGAAGTAAAAAAACTTACTGATAGCGTTGTACATAGCTTGATAAATCGTCGGACGAACCCAACCTCTCTCCGTACAAAGGATAACAATCTCCGCAACCTCAAAGGAGGTATAATTGCTCAGCCCCAAACGCTTGAATTTACCCTCTTGATAAAGCTTATTAACTTCTTCAAGGGTCTCGGAAAAGGGGACAGATCGATCAGCGGCTTGCAAGTAAAAGATATCGACTTGTTCCGTCTCCAGCGCGACTAAGGATTCGTCGAATTTCTTGCGCAGCTCTGCAGGCTTGTGCATGCCTGGTTTGGTAGGGTAGACTTTTGTTGCGAGGCTCAGGCCACGTTCTTTCCAACCAACTGCGGCGGTGAATTCTTCCTGTTTTTCGCCGAGATACATGCGTGCTGTATCGACCTCAAAGTAACCGGATGACTTCAGATAGTCTAGGCATTGACCGAATTCGTCGAGGGATGTAATTCGGGCTCCTAGGTTGGGGTCTGGGCCGAATGTCATCAAGCCGAGGATGATACGGGGCTTGGAAGATGATGTCTCTGACATGATGAATGGCTGATCTCGAAGTGGGAGTTGACTACTAGGTGCGAGATCTTCTTTGAGGTGTAAATGTGGTAGATGAATGGGCTATTTTATAGTTTTCTGAGATCTAGTTCGTGTGACATGCGGGCCGATGAAGCGGGCCGCGTGGGACGCCGCCGCATACATAAGAATTTCAAATATAATGGTCTGCGAGTCGCGGACTCCGAACGATCCACGAAATGCTACTAGTATCTATTTGGGTATCGGTCTTCTTGCATCTCTCGAGTGAAAAAAAAACATCATTCTAAGCAACGCCCCCGGGCCAATGTAGGCCGATGATTTTGTTCCGCAAAATGCTTTGAAACGCCTGTCCACTGCGGCCACAGAACAGCCTACACCTCTAGAGGCAGCGGTTCGGCACCACAGGACTAAAATTGCGAGACAGCTTTCAATAAATTCAATGGAGAGATATGTTCATTTAATAAAACTGCATTATTTGCTTACTCCGTTATTTAGGAGTATGGTCATTATGTGGTCATCGTTGCGTTGTCGGATCTACTGTGCTTCCCCCAACACAATCGCGGGATATCTCTGATTTTCTACTTTTATCAATGAAATATGCCGAACTCAAAAGATACAGATTCCCCCACCACAAGCATAGCCGAAAGAATCATGTCGAGCTTTCGCTATCGCCCTGAGATCCTGGAGGGCGTCCCGGAGCATCTCACCCGAAATCTCAAGCAATTCGAGGACTGGTTTCTTCTAGAAGCAGCTGAATTAAAGAAGATCACGGAACATTTTGTCAAAGAGCTTGAGAAAGGATTGACCATAGAAGGGGGTAATATTGTGGGTAGCCTGATCACGATGCCATAGAAAATTTCCGGATATGTCACTGACACAGCGGTTCCCTCTCTTGACTCTATACAGCCAATGAACGTCACATGGGTTAGGAGTAACCCCAGCGGTCGTGAGTCGGGACGATTTCTAACGCTGGACATGGGCGGAACGAATCTGCGCATTTGTGATGTCACTCTATCAGAACAAAAGAGGGACTTCGAGCAGACGCAGAGGAAGTTCAAGCTGCCGAAAGAGGTCAAATCTGGGACAGCAGAGGAGCTTTGGGACTTTGTTGCGGATCGCCTGCAGGCTTTTCTAAAAGAGAATCCCACTGGGTCTCAAGATAATATCCCCGTGCCCTTGGCTTTCACATTCTCTTTTCCAGTCGACCAACAGAATATTCGAAGCGGAGTACTGCAGCGCTGGACGAAGAAATTCAACGTCTCGGGCGTGGAGGGCGAGGACGTGGTGCCTCAGCTGGAAGCTGCGTTAGCGAGAAAGGTGAGTTGGCATCGTGTTTGCCTGATGGTTGGGTCAGAAAGTTCGGCTGATTGATCATCGATTAGAATATTCCCGTGGATGTTGTGGCGTTGATCAACGACACAACCGGGACCCTTATCGCCTCGCACTACCGTGATCCTCACGTCAAAGTTGGCAGCATCTTCAGCACCGGTACGAACGCCGCATACATGGAAGAATGCAGATTAGTCCCCAAATTGAAAGATTATGGACTTCCAGAGGACGCAAAAGTTATCATCAACACCGAATACGGCGCCTTCGACAATGACCGCCAAATCCTGCCCTTCACCCCATTTGACCACCAGATCGACTCGGAATCACTCCGCCCTGGTACTCAGCTCTATGAGAAAATGGTGTCTGGCCTATATATCGGTGAAATGCTGCGCTTAGTGATGATCAAGCTGCACGAAGAGGGGATATTATTCCAAGACAAGGATATCACGCGTCTTCGGCAGAACTATGCCATCGATGCGACCTTTCTCTCCATCGCTGAAATGGACATTTCCGAAGGGCTCGATGCTATGAGAGAAGAGTTCGAAGATGACTTTAGCTTTTCTCCTACTGTGGATGAGATGAAGGTTTGCCGGTATTTGATTGGGTTGATTGCAACCCGTGCGGCGCGACTCTATGCCTGTGGCATTGCGGCCATTTGCAAGAAGAACAATACCAAAAAGTGCCACGTTGGTGTTGACGGGTCGGTTTTCAATAATTATAGCGGTTTCAAAGACCGTGCCAGTCAGGGTCTTCGTGATATTCTTGACTGGCCGGTGGGGGAGATTGACCTGATTGCATTAAACGCGTCTGAAGATGGATCTGGTGTGGGAGCAGCATTGGCAGCATCGTTGGCTTTGAATAAGGTCGAACAGATCAAGACCACAATTCTATAAGTTGGTAATAGATTGGATTATAGTTGAAAGAGCTGAAAGTTGAAGTTGAAGTTGCCATCAACCTAAGGTTAAGGTTACCTTAAAAAGCAAAGTAGAAAGGACGGGACCGCGTAAAGTGGCAGCGATAAGATAAGCCCGTCGCGTCCCCCGCGAATTCGACTGCACGTCGCTCCATCAACATCAACATCCCACATCGACTTCTCTCACGCCAAAATGCGCTTCCGCACGCAATTAAAGGACACAAAGACCTTCTCAAGTTTGTGAAAGTCTACAATTTCTGCTATGTCCAACACTAAACCCCCCGAAACAGAATTAACGGCCTCGCTCTCCTCCCTCGGCAAAGTATGCTGGATGCGACTGGAGTACGATGTGGTGCGCTTCACCATCATCCCAGACCAAGGCACCCAAGTATGGGCTCAGATCCCCGTTGTAAGTGTAACAGCGGAGCCATATAACTTCAACTTCAACCTCAGCCTCAACCCGAATCCCCACCCTAACCAAGACAACAGGACACAATCTTCGAAGAAAACACCTACGAAATGGAATCCAACTCAGAAGCAATAAACATCGAAATCAACATCGCAAACCTAAACCGCGCCCTCCGCTCAACATTCGGCTCCGCCCAATCCCAACTCCGCCTCACAAAAAAGGACAAAATGCCCCTCCTAGCCCTAACAGTCCTATCAACCGACTGGACAGAAGGAAACATGGCTCTAGCCACCGAAGACCAAGACCAGCATGCAGACCAATCTAGCGAGGTGACAGGAGATCGACGAGCCCGCGAACGCGAAACTCGCATCACGCAGGAAATTCCTATTAAAATCCTGCACGAGTCGGCTGTCGATGGGCTACATGAACCGCACTGTCCGGACCCGGATGTTCATATTATTTTACCCGGGTTGGCGCAGTTGAAGAGTATCTCGGATCGATTTAATAAACTTGCCTCTACGGATTCGAAGAGTAAATCCCAGCAGACGGGGATGGTGGGGGCAGTGGACTCGTCGGCGACGGGAACAAATTCGAATGCGCCTTCGTCGGGATCAGGACTTTCATCATCTTCAGGCCCTAAATTGGAATTATCGGCCAACATGCATGGTAAATTGAAACTTGCCATTGTGACGGATGAGTTAAGGATTGCGAGTGTTTGGTCTGCATTGGTGAATCCGCCTCTTGACCCGGCTCATATTTCGGAGCAGCAGTTGTCGCAGCTGCCGAGTGAGCGGATGCGGGGTGTCGGCGAGGATGATGAATCCGGTTGGGCGAAGGTGCGGATTGATGGGAAGGATTGGAGTCGAGTTTTGAGTGTTGGACGGCTTAGTCCGAAGGTTGTTGCTTGTGAGTTGGTCCCTTTTTCTCTTTCACTCCCCTGCTTATCCTCCTTGGAGAGTGATAGCTAACACTGGCACCGGGACCGAATAGGTTTTATCAATGAGACGGCTCTCGTGCTTTATGTTTACCTACCTGGCAGTTGGAATGGCGAAGAGTCGTGTTTGACGGTACGTTCAGCCAGTCTATCCAACAAAAGACGTGTGGCAGTTTTCTGACGCTTCGATTTAGTATTACATCAACTCGTTCGCAGCATGATGAGCAAAAAAGCACATTACATATAGCACTCTGGAGTTTATTATTCCCTTCACTCATAACATTATATCTACGAACGTTACGATATCACTATTTATAGAATCAAAAGCAGATTGGCTTCAGCTTTACCAGAAATCGTTATTAAGACATAGACATGGGGTAAAGCCCCATGCAGAAACAAAACAAACCACCAACAAACTAGCACAATGAATCACGGTATAGCCGCAAGGGAGAAAGGTGGTATGTATACATAATGCAAGGAGACATTCGTCACCCTCGCTTCGCGAGCGATGAGAATTGCAAGAGCAGCAGAAAGCAAGATATGTGCAAAGCCTTGCGATGGGAAGCTGGCTCAAGGTGCAAACGCCATGAGAAATGTGTCCGTCAAATGACAAAACAGAACACATACAAGATGCTGGGGAAGGGGGTGATGGATCTATTATAAAGGGTAGGCGCTGGGGGAAATGGGGATTCATGGGGAAGTAAAACGCGAAAGGGACATAAGGACATAATAAAACAAAGGGAAAACAGAATAAAAAATAAATTAGACATCTGACTGCCAAAGCTAGTCGAGATGCTTTGTCCAAAACCATCGTGCCGAAATGGCAGATTATTGGGCCATCACGTCGACGTAGCGGCCCTTCTTCTTGCCCTTGACAGTGTTACCCTTCCGTGCTTGCGGGGCACCGATGAGGTCGTCAATAGAGCTGGCATGCGTCAAAGATGATGAAGGACGAGGAGGCGGCCCGGATGAGCTGCCAGGTGGGGTTGGATGAGCAGCACCGGTGGAGACGGACCGCGGCAGGCTGCCATAGGGGCCCATTGGTGGGGGCACACCAAGGCTAGAGAAAGCTGGGCTAGATGAAAGTGAAGGTGGCATATCACTGGATGAAGATGCAGGACGACTACCTGAAGCAAAAGGCATCGGTGGCATTGGGGGGTGGAGGCATGCTGCTGGAGCTGGCATTGCGACTGGGAGGAGCCGAGCCGCGGGGAGGAGGTGGCGTAGCACGAACGGGTTCGGCGCTGCCAGGGTCCTTCTTGTTCACCCACTTCTTCAGGTCCTTGTCATAGTAGAATGAATTATCCTCGCCGAGCTTGGCCCTGATAGGGCCGCCGCCACCACCGCCGCCGCCGCCTGACTGTTCGGCTTCCTTCTTGGCACCTCCGAACCATCCACCAAACCACCCCTTCTTGGGGCCTTGTTGATCTTTCTTGGCTGTGGCATGGGTTAGCATTAGAAATGAAGAGTCGCGGTTTTTGAACATACCATCTTCTTCAGCGGCCTTTCTGAAAGCTTCGTCCGCCTTACGGTCGTTCTCAGCCTTCTTCAGAGCGGCGGCTTGAGCAGCCAAATCCCCGTCATCTTCATCGTCCATCAAGGATTTTTTGGGCTTAGGCGCCTCTTCTTCGGCGGAGTCCTGTGTCTCTTCCGGAGCAAAGCTCATAACGGGAGCGTAGGAAGGCGGCTCGTAAGCATTAGAGCTGGTCGCGGGAGGCACGTACCCATTGCTCTCTGGCTGCGGCATTCCAGGGGGTCCTTGGTAGTATGGTGACTGGTTGGCTGGTTCCTGCCCTTGAGGCTGATAGAAGAGCCCGTTGAGGGCCGATTGAGGAGGCGGTGCCGGATCTGCGGGAGATTGGGTGGCTGATGTTTCCTCAACCGGGGCAAGCGGCATGTAGGACGACTGGGGAGGAGTAGGCTGGTAACCAGTAGCAGCACCCGGAGATCCGTAAATCGCCCCGGCAAATGTTTGAGTATCGGCTGAAGGGGATGAAATATCCTGCGAGCTCCGACGTTGGCCATACGAGATACCTCCATACGAGGCAGAGCGCTGGGAATCCATGGATGATCTTCCACGGGGCTGCTCAGGCGATCCATTGGGCGCGTACGGGTTCGATGAAGGCATGTACCGCGAGGGACCAGCGGCAGGGATTGGCTGCGCTCCTGCGCCGGGGTACGATCCATACAGATCCGACACAGAGGGAGACCGGCTGACAGTTGGCGTTCCCGCGATATTAGCGAAGGGGCCAACGTCTGGGACTTCCCCGGCCTTGCCTGAACCTGCTGATGCCGGATCATTTTCATCGCCAGCAACGAAACTATTGAAGCGAGCCCACACGGACCCGGAGACCTTCTCCATGCTTGGCTTGGAAATCCAGGATGAGCCACCGTCGGTAGTGATTTGACGGAGACGTGCGCAAAGCTCGTCTACTTCAATAAACAGATATTGGTGGTGATATGGCGAAGGCCGAGTGGTGGCTTTCAGAGATGCCGCGACTCCATCACAGTAGTTCTGTGCCTCGGGTTTGCGACCTCGGTCGGCAAGTTGCTTAGCATGCAGCAACTTGAATGACAGGAGGTGTGGCAGGTTTGCTATCGGAGAGCTTGCAAGAACAGATGTGGCGTACTCAAAGATCTCGGTCAGGAGGAATGAATCTTCATCGAGCAGTGTGCAAGGATGGCGCTGGTGATCCGCACCCAGGAGCACAATGTTCGCCTGGGGGTCATCAGCACCACCGAAGACAGCACCCCGTGAGAACATGAAGCAAATATGCGCAGCTTCAATTCGGCCATAGGATGCGAGCAAACGCCCAAGTGCGAGCAATGCCTGGTGATCATCGGGGCTGCGATTGCTGAGAACAAGTCCAAGAGTGTCTCTCCAGCTGTCCAGACCATCAAGGGCGTTCTTGGAAGCTCCTTGTCCATCAGCCTTACGGATCAAGTGGTGGCCAGCCCGCGCAGACGGGGGAACCAGTTCATCGATGCTCTCTTCCACGTTTCCGGCAAAAATCTCGTAGAGAGCTGAAAGCGACTCGGAATTGGCTGTCGTTGACTTGATCTCACGTCGAACGAACTCTTGCACCACTTGTTTCCACACCGACTTGTCCATGGTTGACGCGACGATCAGGGCGTGCCCCCACAAACGACGATCAACGGCGCCCCAGACAGCCTTCTCACGTTCGCCCAGGAACAAGTCATTGCGCAAATCTTCCATCCAGCGAGGATCGACAGCATCTGATTGTGGGGGGTTGTTGAGTGTTCTCAGGCTTCCTGAGTTTGCAAATGTGCCTCCATACGAGTTATCCGAGTTTTGGCTCTGCAGGTTGGGGAAGACAGCATGTCGAAGAGATTGTTCAACTGCAGGCGATCCCTCTAGAACCCCATCGTTCTCAACCAAAATTTTGGCAACCTTCCACAGCAAAATCTTCTCATCATGGCGCTTTTGTGCATCCGAATCGGAGTGATCAAAGTCTGGGGAGACCTCATTCTCGAAAGCCGCAACCTTGCTTGAAATCCAAGCCAGAACATCCTTTTTCTTCGCCTTGGTCTTGAGAGGACCAGGATGTTGAACAATAGTGTCTGTGGAAGGCAACCAGTGGTTCAATTGAGAAAACCTGGGTTCGCCCGGGCTAGGCTTAATCATCGGTGCTGTTTGACCAGCAGAATAACGTGGGATGTGTTTGGGGAAACACGAAACCACTGCTCCGCCAAATCCAAACTTGAATATCGGGGCTCCCTTCCACCGCTGAAGAGTATCCTGCTCCTGCCCATCCACGGGAGTGATGAAAGCAAGATGCTGAGACATCGCACGAGCCCGGCTCGCTATAGATGGCTGTGCGGGTGCGTAGGGGTTTGACGTCTTAGTTGGCGACGAAGATCCATGAACCGAGGCAGGACGTGGAAGAGGAGGCTCTATAGACGGCACGTACGAGCGGGGGCTGGTAAGCTGCTGACCAGGCGACTGGGTTTGAGACCTGCGGGGAGCAGCAAATTGCGAATCAACCGCTTGGGGTGATGTCGGTCCAGCTGCAGCAGGAGCCGAAACAGCCGGGGCATAAGTAGGACTCGGAAGCGGGGGAGCCTGGGTTTGGGTAGGGCTAGGCGCAACACGATTGGCAAACTCATTAAGATACTCCGCTGGCGCATAGCGGCTCGTTGGAGGAGCCTGATGGGGAGCAACTGGGGGGCTGGCAGCCTCGGGAGCGAACGCATTCGCCTGCTCGTTGAGTGACTGTGGAGCGTAGGGCGATCCTTGATCGATGCTTGAGCGCTGACGAGGGGAGACAGGTCGACCGATGGCTGAAGCGATGGGGGTGGCATATGATGTTGTTGCCCCACTTCGGGTTGATACGACACCTTTTCGTGATAAGCCAAGGGGCTAGATGTACGGGGCTGGAATGGTAGAGAGGCCTGCTGCCCAGGAACAGATAGTGGTTGAGATGCGTAGCGGCTGCGCCCCCCGGCGGGTGCTGAGGGTGGAGGCGCCGGTGAGTATCTTGGTAGCGAAGGCGGTTTCGCGGACGGATGGAGACCTGGAGGCTTCGGAGAATATCTAGAGGCGGCACTAGGACCAGCGGGCGCACTTGACGCCAATGTAGATGAATACGGGTCAATCGGTTCCGGAAGCTGCAAAGAGGATTGAGCAGCGGGTATATTAGAAGGAGGAGCAGGGGGTGGAGCCATTATATTTGCATTTTGTGGTGGTGGCATGGGGGGGCTGTCCAGTCGGACCAGGACCAGGTGCGATGGGACCGGGAGTATACCGCCCAGAGCTAGCGGGGCGAGATCTGGGAGCTGGTAAGGGAAGCTCTTCGTAAAAGTTCTTCGGTGCCGGCGGGGGAGCAGCCGGTGCAGTCGTGGGAGCCATGACTGACGGCGCAGATGGCATCGAGGGAGGCGCTGCATGTTGTTGCACACCAACGCTCGAAGGCGGCGGCATATTCTCCACCTTCGGGGGAACAGGCTTATGAGTCGCTACTGGCCGTCGAGGACGAGACAAGTCATCGGGGAGATCATAGGGTGACTTGTAACCTTGCTTCGATTGCTCGGCATAGCTTTCTCCCCGTGTTGCGACGGGGTTCGAAGGCTGCTGGGAGAAGTAAGAGTTCGTCTGAGGAGGAGCTCCTGGAAGCGGGAGTCCGGACATCAGATCGCCCGTGGTCGGTTGGTGTGGAGTGTATACACCGGGGATCGGACGGGGTTGAGCTTGACTCTGTGGTGTCTGGAAGGGACTGTTCAAGCCAGTCGGTCCAGCGTTGGTTAGGGAAGCAACCGCAGCCTGTGGAGCGACTTGCTGTCCAGTAGGTAGTTGAACATCATCCCCCAGTAACATATCTTCATCATCATCGCTCAGTGCCGCTTCCCAACGCGCCGCTATGTCATCCTCTCCCATATCACTAAGTTCAGCTTCCCAGCGTGCGGCAAGATCCTCCTCTGATGGTTCTCCACCTTCTGTTTGGACATGCGATGCAGGAAAATCAGATGATGCAGCATTGAGAACACTATCGAGCTGTGCGGCGGCCGAAATGTCACTGACTGGAGAGTCGATGTGGAATCCAATGGAGGAATCCATTACTTGCGAGGTGCTTTTACGTGTGATGTGGAGCGAACGCGGAACACTGGGCTCTGGCTTCTGCGCGGAACTGAAGAATCCTTCCGCATCCTCATCATCTTTGTCAAACAAGTTGTCGACGGAGGTTTGCTGCGGCGTCTCCTGTATCTTCTCCTGCACCGGGGAAATAGGAGAATAAGGTTCATCAAGCAAGGGGACACCCTCCTCGTATCTTGACTCTGTCTCCGGAGGTCCAAAGATAGGCTTTGTTTGAGTCTTCAGCTGGTTAAAGAAGTCATCTCCGTCGGAGTCCACATCGATAGGAGCATTATGCCCCCAAGCATCGTCATCTTCTGTGGGCTCTTCTTCCAACGCTGTTTCCACTGCCAATGGGGCACTTTCAGCAGCTTGAGTTGGTGTCTCAACAACTGGCTGTGCGCCGGTATCCTTATCATCCAGGGCATCCCAAGGTCCGGGGGTTTGATTGGCTCTGTTTTGGGCGCCTTCGATATCGTCGAAGAACGACGCAGTGGGGTCTTCTTGAGAGTGGGAGTTGAAAACCGATTCCACGGTCGTCGATTCGGTATGGAATAGTTGTTCCGCGGCCTCTTCGTTAGCGGGGGGGGAACTCGAGCTCGGCGGGGATTTCTGTAACGGTAGCAACCGGCTCGACGGGCTCAGAGGTCGGCTCGACGGCAACGCTCGGCTCGTCACCTTGCGGCTGCACGGGATTGGGATCGATTGACGAAGACTCAGGCTCGGCAGGGGATTCGGCGGTTGTGGTTGGCTCAGCGACTTCTCTCGTTTCGGTAACCTGGGGAAGAAAGACAGCTGACACGTCGGGTTGCGATTGGGGCTGCTCAGGTTCGGTATTATCGGAGGTCGGGGCCGGAATAGCCTCTTTAGCGTCAACAGCGAGAGCAACTTCAACTAAAGGAGCTGGTGGCTGATCAGGCTGAGGTTGTGAGGTCTCAGCGCCTTGCGAAAAGGGGTCTTGGGGCTCATCCGATGTTGACGCCTCGACAGGGACGGCGTCCGGGATGCCATTCACCTCCGGGTTATTATCCACACCAGTTGTATCCAAAGTCGCCGGCGCATTCCCTGTTGTGGATTCCACGGCGGTGTCAATGGATGGCATCTGGTTGACATCGATGGGCATGTCCCATGCGGAAAAGCTATCGTCGCTGAGAGGGGACTTGACATCGGAAGCGGGAGCTTGTTTGGCGTTATCTGCGGCCAGGAGATCCGACAACGCATCGGTAGATGCGACCGACTCGGGGTGATGATTACTCGAGTCCGGACGGAGGGCTGGATTCCAACTTTCCGCGTCTCGCTCGGATGGCGATATTGTTTGCGCCATTATATTGGGTATCATGAGGAGTTTAACTTCGCTCGGGGAGTTCAGAGGGGAGGAGTACGAGTAACCTGACACGTCTCCCGTGACGTTGGAGTCAACAAACCCCAACACAGATCGAACTCTAGAGCTCTTTCAAATTAGAAATCCATTAAACGTAAAAGGGTGAAAACAAAGGAATCACGAGAACGGGAGGGGCCGGAAGAAACAATGAAATGAAGGGGATGGGAAGGGAAGGGAAGTAGGAAGGAAACACTTCGCCCCGATCTGCTCTGCTGCTGCTTTGCTCCGTTCGCCGCTGCGTTGCGCTTCGCCCGATTTGATTGGCTCGGAGGATTATTCTTCCGTTCCCAAAAAGACACCTTAACCATAAATCCCAAGGGGGAAGGCGGTCAGACCGCGCATACGCATTGCACGGGGCAGCGCAGGCAGTCACGGACAGTCACGGGCGATCATCCACGCTACCACTTCACCTATTTTTTTTCTTCTTCTTGCTTGACCTCCTTCTCATATTGACAAGCTCAGGTTACAACATTAGGACACACAGTGGCCTCCATTGCATTCTTCCCTCCTTACTGGCCGCCTACTCCACCTGTTTCCACACTCGTTTCCTCAGCACTATGGCCTGCGCGGCACTTTGAAACAACAACTCCACCCACTATCTGAGATGATCCTACATCTACTGATCACCACACTGTTGTCTTTCAGTTCATGATCTAGTGTGGATACGCCCCCCGGGTACCATCAATCATGAACTCCTCACACGAATACATACACCCGCTACAACAGTCCGATCATCCCGGCGACTATTCGGGTTCCGATGACGACGACTTGGACCTCGAGGAGCTAGATCCCAGCGCCACGCTACAACAATCGTCGCGAGTATCCCGAGACTATACGAGTCGAACAAGGAACTATGGCCCAGGGATTGCTCTGCGGAATTTACGCGTTGGCGTCGGAAGTCGGTGGAAGCGGAGTCCCTCCGGTCACAGGGAGCCAGATGAGGATACGGATGCGCTGTTACAGGAAGATCGGGCGGAGGAGGGAATGCGCCAGTCACACGGTAGCTCCAGAAATATGACCGACGACGATGCTCCTCTGCTTGACCGCCGTGGTTCGGCCCGCCCATTTAACGATGATGAGCCTGTCCGAAAGGGTAGCCGTTTACGCCTTCCGAGTCTCCGTGGTCCGAGTTTCCTCCAAGCTACCTTGAACCGCTTCCGCAGATCTGGCAATGACGATACAATCAAACCGCCTCGTGATGTGCTTGTCGGGCAATACCAATCAACCAAATACCCGCCCAACGTCATTTCGAATGCCAAATATACCCCCTGGAGCTTCCTTCCTCGGACACTCTACAACGAATTCTCCTTCTTTTTCAACATCTACTTCCTCCTCGTCGCATTGTCACAGATCATTCCAGTGCTGCGTATTGGGTACATGTCTTCTTACATCGCTCCTTTGGCCTTTGTGGTATCTATATCTCTGGGTAAAGAAGCCCTCGATGACATCGGCCGGCGCCGGCGGGATGCGGAGGCCAATGCTGAAGAGTTTACCGTTCTGTCTTTGGACAGAGCCAATATGTTGGAAGTGACCAAGAAATCTCGCGACTTGAAAGTCGGAGACGTTCTCAAAGTCCGAAAGAACCAACGTCTTCCCGCCGATGTTGTGATCCTGCAAAGCCTCTCGAATGATTCGAATACGGAACGCCCAAGCTCATTTGATGAAGATGCCCCCGAAGTATCGACTGATCTTCTTGAATCGGGTCAGGGATCATCCGAGCCCGCCGCCGATGCTTCGGCCGCTGCCGATTCGTCAAATGCAGCAAATCCTTCTTCCATCAGCGATACCTTTATTCGAACCGACCAATTAGACGGTGAAACTGATTGGAAACTCCGTTTACCCTCTGTCCTATCCCAATCACTCTCTTTCAGCGAATTTACCCGGCTCAAGATTACCGCAAGTCCTCCAGATCAGCGCGTCAACGAGTTTGTCGGTACGATCGAACTGGGCCCTCCCACGGGCTTTTACGATGCCCATTATAACAAGGCCTCTGCTTCACAGCCTCAGGGTGGACGAACTCCGGATGGCGAGAACGATAACTCCAACTCTGCACCTCTGAATATCGATAATACCGCCTGGGCCAATACTGTCCTCGCCTCCAACACCATTACATATGCCGCGATCATCTACACCGGCTCTCAAACCCGAGCCGCTCTTTCCACTTCCCCATCTCGTTCGAAAGTGGGCTTGTTGGAATATGAGATCAACAACCTCACTAAAATTTTATGTGCGGTGACGCTCACTCTATCCGTAGTGCTGGTCGCTCTGGAAGGGTTTGAACCAACGAACGATAAGGTGTGGTACGTGGCAATCATGATCTATCTGATTCTTTTTTCAACCATCATCCCAATGAGTCTGCGAGTCAACTTGGATATGGCCAAGTCCGTGTATGGTCGATTCATCGAGCGAGACAAGGATATCCCGGGTACCGTCGTGCGGACCAGCACTATCCCTGAGGATCTTGGAAGAATCGAATACTTACTCTCAGACAAGACTGGGACTTTGACTCAAAACGGCAAGCCCCCCCCCCCCCGCGGACAGATTTTAACCCACGGATTAAATCTAACCTGACTATAGAAATGGAACTGAAAAAGATTCATGTTGGCACCGTCTCGTATGCTAACGAAGCAATGGACGAAGTCGGATCATTTATTCGTCAAGGTTTTGCAGGCAACATCTTGACGACACCATCAACTGTTTTTGGTACTCAAGCTGGCCAAGGAGCGGCACCCCGCACCAGGAGAGAAATTGGCTCCCGAGTTCGCGACATCATCTTGGCTCTTGCCGTCTGCCATAACGTGACACCAACGACGGAGGTTGAGGATGGACGCAAAGTGACAACTTATCAAGCATCATCCCCGGATGAGATCGCCATCGTTCGCTACACGGAAGAGGTTGGGCTGAAGGTGGCCTATCGGGATCGTCAAAGCATTGTTCTCGAATCCACCGACTCCAAGCAGGTTGTTGTTCGCGTCCGCATTCTCGATGTCTTCCCTTTCACATCGGACAGCAAGCGAATGGGTATCATTGTCGAGTTCCAGCAAGATGAGAATGACCTCGAAACATCTACCAAGAATGAACCCGAGATCTGGTTTTATCAAAAGGGCGCCGATACTGTGATGACCTCCATTGTTGCAGCGAATGATTGGCTTGACGAGGAAACTGCTAACATGGCTCGCGAGGGTCTACGAACACTCGTCGTTGGACGCAAGCGACTTTCTTTATCGCAATACCAAGAATTCTCCGCCAACTATAAGCAGGCTTCCATGTCTTTCCAGGGCCGTGATATCGGCGTGGCTAAGGTTGTGACCGAGTATCTTGAACGGGACCTGGAGCTTCTTGGGGTAACGGGTGTCGAAGATCGTCTTCAGCGAGATGTCAAGTCGTCCCTAGAATTGATGCGCAATGCCGGAGTGAAAATCTGGATGTTGACTGGAGACAAGGTTGAGACAGCACGATGTGTCGCGATCTCTGCAAAGTTGGTTGCACGGGGCCAATACATTCATACGGTACAAAAGGTTACGGATAAATCTGTTGCCCAGGAAGCCCTAGATTTCCTCCGCAACAAGACTGACTGTTGCTTGTTGATTGACGGCGAGTCACTCAATCTAATGCTTGGCCACTTCCGCACTGCCTTCATCTCCGTCGCCGTCCTCCTGCCAGCTGTGGTGGCTTGTCGTTGCTCGCCCACGCAGAAAGCAGAAATCGCCACCTTGATCCGCCAACACACCAAGAAACGCGTTTGCTGTATCGGCGATGGTGGTAACGACGTGTCTATGATCCAGGCCGCTGACGTTGGAATCGGTATCGTGGGTAAAGAGGGCCGACAAGCCTCTCTAGCCGCTGATTTCAGCATCACTCAATTCCACCACTTGACCAAGCTCCTAGTTTGGCACGGCCGCAACTCATACAAGCGATCTGCAAAATTGGCGCAGTTCATCATGCACCGTGGTCTCATCATCAGTGTCTGCCAAACCATGTACAGCATTGCTGGACACTTCGATCCCAAGGGTCTCTTCATCAACTGGCTCATGATCGGCTACGCAACTGTCTATACCAATGCACCTGTCTTCTCGCTAGTCTTCGATCGCGACGTGGATGAGCGACTCGCCAACCTCTACCCAGAACTGTACAAGGAACTGAAAACGGGGAAGAGCCTGAGCTATCGCTCATTCTTCAGCTGGGTCTTGATCTCCATTTACCAAGGTGCCGTCATCCAAGGCCTTTCGCAAATCCTGCTCCAGACCGTTACTGGCCCCCGCTTGATCAGTGTCTCGTTCACGGCTCTCGTGCTCAATGAGCTGGGCATGGTCGCCATTGCAATCACCACCTGGCACCCTGTGATGATCTTCTGCCTGATCGGGACTCTACTTCTATACATCGGCAGCGTGCCTTTCCTGGGTGACTACTTCAACCTACGCTATGTGATCACTGTCGATTGGTTGTGGCGCGTCTTCGCCGTACTAGCCGTCTCATTGGTTCCCGTGTGGGCTGTCAAATTGATCAAACAGTCCTGGAGCCCTCCAAGCTACCGGAAAGTCCGCGGTTAGGGGACTGGGTTCTAGACTTTTGGTATTGGTTTTTTGTAATTTTTTTTGGCATTCTTTTTTGTTCCTCGTTCCTCCCCTCACCCATTGACTCGGTCGGATCGAATTGAATCGAATCGGCTGCTGTCCTCTGTATATCCACACCGAGCATCATCTTTGTTGCAAAGCGTATCAGGCGTTGGAAGCGTAAATCATTTTCTTTGGCCTGTTATTGTGGTGATATACTTGAATACATTTTCATTCATATAGAATATAGACTCGGAGTTGTGGTTTTACTGTATGTATGTAAGTTCTACTTGGAACTTGAACTTGAGGTTTAGCCTGGTCTCAACCACTGAACATATACTATAAACCCCAGTTGGTCCTACTAACTAGTATGAATCCGTCGTACCGTGGGCCTGGGGCCATGACCGCACAATCACTGTGACATCATCACCAGGGGACAGGGATATGAAACCCACTCGCCACCTATCCATATTACAATCCATTGTGCCCGCAGGTGGTCTTACATTATCGGTAAAAGTGCCCTAAAATGAGATAAGACAGCCTGGGGGACACCTCTGAGCTTGCATACGATCTGAGATCGTAACGTGCCAGATAAGGCATGGCGACCCTAGGGGTAATTGATGAGCTAGTGACAGGGGCGATTAAGCTCACGTTGGATAGATCTAGACGTCGATCTAGGTCACTTGCACCAGTCCTACTGATTCGTCAGGATTTCGGTCCGCAAATGATCACCAGTGCTCTAACACTAATTGTTTCTAATATACGGGCTGAAAGGAGAAGTTATTATCAGAATGGCAAGCTTCCTACAACGAGTAAGCGTCTGGTATCTGTGCCATGGGTCACTCTCCTCTGGTGACCTTGATCATCAAATCATGAATGCAGTAAGCTTATCCTTCGAGGCGGCCAGATTGGGCGCTGAATTCGAAGTGGCCACTTGGGTTGGCCACTTCGAACTGATTATTCATGTCTTGATACGTCATGAGACAGGTAACACTACTCCAGGAAATCCCAAATATGCACTCGTACCGGTGGTTCTTGGTAATTAAGGTTTGGAAATGATCGGATCGAAGAGTGGAGGAAGTGACAGCCACTTCTATCACCCACTGCAAGGGCCGCCGCTGATAACCCCACGTGTGTCGTGAACCAGCCTAGCGGTGTCTAATTCTTTACTATGAGTGTTCTTGGCGGTATTGGTCACTTGATTTCTCCTATCTGGGCATGATAGGCTAGTCGCGACTGGCAATACACTCATGGTTCACGTTAAGCCTCGAGCGGCCTAGAACATCACGAGAGACCTTTCATTTGTTACCGCCCAAGTAGACCGTTTAGAAATCTGAAATCCCACTATTTCGGATCTCGCAATCTTTAAGACAAGTTTGTTCTACAATCCAACTGACCTACTACTACTCATACTACTTGTAGGAGCCGTCTTAAGCATCTCAACTAGCCATAAACCTCTTTTTTGACAACTCCTGAAATGGCTCCTAGTTCCTACTCGGACGACTCGTCAATAGATGTTACAAAAAAGCCGACCATGTTAAAGAACCTTCGATCTCAGTCCTACAGAGTAGCTTGGCGTCCGACGCTCGACGAAGTCTTGAATAATACTGCACCTCCGCCGTACACCCTTAGCGCATTCACAAACTACCTCTCCCATAACCATTGCCTTGAAACATTGGAATTTATCCTCGAAGCGAAGCGATATCGCGAACACTTCAGCTCATTACTTGAGCCGGCAAAGGATTCCATTGTGACACCCACTGGCAACCATCCCACAAATATCAACCTAAGTCTTCTCTACCAGATTCTACTGGAGACGTACATTTTCCCCGGAGCAGAGCGTGAGGTCAATCTACCTGTCAAGGTACGTGATGACCTTCTGCAAAACAAAATGATCTCGACACCACCCTTGCCCGAGACTCTTGATCTTGCTGTGAGAAGCATTCGCGATCTGATAGAGGATTCAATTTTCGATTCATTTCTGAAAAGCGCGTCCACATATATTTACGAAGAAGCTGCGTCGAGGGCATCGGGTGAAAGCAGCAGGTCTTTCCTTTCAACTTTATCCAAGGACTCGGATGGTCAGCCTATGGAGCCAGGACAAGCTAAATCTAAGCGCCCATCTCTTATGACTATTGGAAAGTCTTGGTCATGGCCGCCTTGGAGTTGATGGGCTGACATGATAAGCCCTCTCCCGAGATAACATATGTGAAATGCCTCAAGCTATGCCCTTGCTGCCTATAAAAAAACTTGTGAGCCCTAGTACTGCCACTAGTTTGTCAGCTCTTAAGTCTACTTAAACGAGCTCAAGTTTTTTGGTAGCATAACACACTTAGTACTTTGTGGCTTGGCAGGTACTTCTGCTCTTATATAGCCCAAAGCAATGTTATTTGGGCCAGGCAAATTGAAGTTTCCATACGAATACCGATTTAAGGCTTCGTAACTTGGACATGGACCCTGTTCAACATGCATCCTACTTCAATGATGTTATTCTCGCTGAGCAGCTATGCTAAAGGATTTTGTGGTACTTGACAGCCTTTGAGTCATATATTGGAGTAGCCTCTCAATACATAACCCTTCTGCATCCCATAGCATCCAATACCATCTTCATCACTTAGTAATCGATGAAGATGGTATATGGATCATGTACATAGGGTACTCGAAGAGAGAGTGATGCAAGTTACTCCATTTTCAGGTTTCTCAATTATTTGTTTGACACGGTGGAACGCCCAAGATCCGATCTTTATTTCGAAATATGAAATTTCGACTGCCAAATCCGATGAGTCTTGACGAACAAAGGCGTAAGCTTAGGAATAGACGTCGTGATGATAATGATGTTGATTTCAACCCTATTTCCAGTCAACGTTATACTTGGGCAGCAGTGGGCAGCGGGTGCGGATAACTCACGTATACCAAATAACTAGAAAACAGAGAGTATCTAAAATCTGGTCAGCTGGCTTCATTGCATAAATGGCACATTATGATACATGATTGATCTTGTGTCCCCAAGCCTTGAACATAAATGGTATTCATAATGCTTCCGACGGTCGCCCTGGCTGAGAATTAGGGGAATTTATGAGCCTCCAAACAAGGATATGTGATCCTGCTCACAAGATACTCGAACAAGCCATCACCATGAACACAATTTTTGTTGCAGGTTCCAGATGAAGAGGATACGTGATTGTCACAGCCAAGACTGTCCCCGACAGATCGGTGAAACTATTGATCGCTATATATAAATTAGCCTATCGAGCTCGACAGACATAAGAAAATGAAAACGTATACACACCTCCTTGAAAATAAGCATATCCTTTGAATATTTTTGTTGGCCAACGCTTTCCGGGTATGGTCCAGCTCCAGAGCTTTTCAACTGGGTGGCACTGACAGAAGGCGAAAATTATAAAGGTGATATTAGTGACAATCTGCAATAACATTAAAATCCAAACGAACTGCCGACGGCGCTGTGATATTAATGCAAGTAACGAGAGTAAAAGAACAATATAGGATATACGCGCTAACATTGGCGAGAGCGCAGCGAAAGGAAATGCCAGCCAATGGTATTTGACAACGGCTTCCAAGCTCGTTAGACTAAGGTCAACGTAATGTTGACCAAGGCCCCATCGAATGCTCACTGTATTAATCGCACAACATACAGTGTGTAGAATCTATATCACGACTTGTCAAAACAAGCCTTGTAACCTCGGAATATTAGTACTTACCCAGGCCGCCAGCATCAAGTAATCATCTATTCCAAGCCGCTTCACAAGGATTATTTGGACCAACATGCGAGTCCAGAATGAAAGACTTGCAACACCAAATGTAACCCACATGGCGATGAGCGTGCCATGACCAATGTCCATGCTGAGGAGAAAGGAACCTGGTCCATTTGATACGATTTGGCACCTCGTATAAGCTAGGAACTTTCTGCGAATTGTAGAACTTTAAGCATGTCACAAGTCAAAAGGGAAACCTGATCTCTTTAAACAAAGCTACTTTCGAGTTTCACATAGCTTTTGTATTGTTATTGTCATTCTAACTTACTCTGAATGTAACATGTCATGCGGCTCTTCGTATTTGAATATGACGTCATTACTTGCTCGGTCTTGGGATTGTTGCTTCAAGTTCCTCCCTCTTAGCTGGAATTCTTGAGTTATCGGTGCGGCAGAAATTCCCAATGGTATGTAACAGCGTGGTGGCATTTGTGGTGGTAGCTTGCGCGCCCATTGCAACTTGAAGAAAGCTCGTGCGTTACTAGTAGTAGTATTTATAGTAGTAACATGCGGACACGGGCGCTTGAGCATACCAAGGCAAGAGCCTCGATGCTACCAATAGTAGTACGGTGATCCTTTATTCTATTGGACTGCACGTAAGCTCCGACCTTGGGAGTTGGGCTTTGCTATTACTAGTACATCGTTGGGCCTCCAAGCCCTGGAGGCTTCCAAGGTTTCCAAGGGGTGTAAATATTGGAATACCCATCCTTGGAACAATACTAACTATAAGTGAGCTAGACTCCCGACAAGCACACATAATTGAGACTCAATGCCTTGATACCTTGAGCTTACTATACTCGTTAACTAGAGGGGTCTATGGCTTCAATTTATATCTGTGGACCTATACAGACCTACACAGAGACAGTTTTATGAGTGCTGCTCAGCTAGCTCAGCCCTCCTAGAGCGTGATCTCTTTAAGCTCCCCTTCCTCACTAGGTACAACTATCTGCAATGGTATATACTACCAAAACAGACTATTGGGGAGTGGGCGTTTGGTGCCTGCCTGAACAACCTTGGAATCTGCGACCCACTTTCACTCTTTCACTTTCATACTTATTTACCTTATTCACTGCAGGTATACTTAACCTCATCAACCTTGACCGCTTCCACTCCCCTGCTATCATACCTCTTCCTTTTGTGTCCTTCTCATCTCGAAAATACATATCTGAGCATTCCAATATTCGACTTTGCGTTTTTTCACGATGGACGGTAATCCTCGCGATCTACCTGCTACGCTGACCGGATGCACCTTTGGTATTCCAACCATGGATCACAAGTCCCCAGTTCATGAGCAGTATGGCAAAGCGTTAAGACTTCAAGACTCGGCTTGATCAATTCAAATCAAATTACTGACAGCCTATGGGTAGGACGAAGTTGCGTATCAGCGTCAACTCATCGTCGATATCGAGGGGGCCTATCGTACGGTCCTCAGAGAGCTCAGAAGCATTGACGATGATATCGAGAAGATTCGTCGCTCTGAGTCGTTCAACCCGTCAAGCTCTTCCTACACCTATCTTGCAAGTGAAAACTAGGACCTCTCTTGAATACTGCCCCTGGTCTTGAGGTCCATGGCATAGCCCATACGACGAGCGAACTTGCGTGACTTGGCAGGCGATTATCTCCAGAACCTTACATGGGGATACGAAAAGTTCAGCAAGTTAGTCGATTCTGCGTATCAACAAAGTGTGAGGAAGCACGGGCAAGTGCACGCCGGCGACGATCTAGTCGTCGCCTCCGCGCGGCTACTACCACCGCTGCTGAGACCACAGCCGTGAACGAAACATCCGTGGGCGAAACGCCTGCCAACGAAACACCCATGACTGAAGCACCCAGGAACGAAGTTGGAACTGTTGAAGACTAGCTGCAGTGGAAAATGTGTCTGATGATCGTGTATTCAGTATTGCACAAGTCGTGGATTTACATTTCTAGTTAAGGAGACTAGCTTTTTATGGTCAGATGATCAATTTTTGACGATTTTATGACATGCATTTTTAGAGTTCCTATGTAACTTCAACATACATTCGCTAAATGATTGTACAGCTGCCTAGAAGGATGATCCCGATTTTACAGTAAAGAAGAGGTTGGTACCAAAATCTTCGACGGATAACACCAGGAGGTTACATTTAGGCTTCAAGGTAAATAGAAAAGGGCATTAGCCCGTGCGTGCAGTAAAGTCAAAGAAATAGGTTGGAGATTGGGCTAGAGAGTGTCCTCATCACCTAGTCCTAGGTAGTACATTGGCATCGGATATGATTCGGATGACCCTTGACACCAGGGCATGAAGTAATATCCAGTCTTTTTTTGGCGCATGAGTCCTACTAACCACAGCACAGCAGGCCTTCTACTCAAGCCCATGAGGCTTGAACTATGCCCAATCACTTTTGTATAGTATATATCCCGGGAATTGGGTCGTATGTCACTAGGAAAAGGCATTTCATTAGACTCGATCGATGTCCGTCCCCAAGAGTTTTCCGGATTCTGTATGCTCTTCTATAGCCCACAATAGAACCTTTCTCTCTGAAGTTTATCATGTGCCGAGCGTACATATGTAGGTCGCCACGTTGTCGTATGAGCACATTTGGACAGTTAATAGGGATACTGTGATGGAAGTACCAGCACTCCATGATCATGTCTCATTATTTACTTTAAGTATATATAGCAACTGAACTAAGCCACAAAGGGGACCCTCGCCTGTATAAGCTATATTCAAGCCGCCACTAACGCACCCCGCTAAATGAAACCCGTGAACTTACTACGATTTAATTTTACTAGAGCCAAATTCAGTTTTGTGAAACCTAAATGGAGGCGAAACCAGGATCCCGCGGTATAAGCTTTATTTCTGACGTATGAGGAGAATAGAGTACAAGTAAGATGAATCAAGGGAACTCAGTAGTCCGGGCCCAAATTATTGTCAAGAGGTAAACAATCATTTGACCAAACAGGGACCGTACCTGACTACGATCACCAACCTTGGGCGTGGGATGACATGGCATGCAATCTCCATTCCCTCCCGGGATTTCCCATCTCCATCCACTTCCATCCCAAAACCATCAATATAAGTGGCCAGCCAGTATCGACACCAACCTTGTTGTTTGTCCTCGAAATCCACATCAAGCCTCAACCCGACGAATAACAACCTCGGGTCACGGGAAAAGCCCGCAACGGTCCTCTCACCCGACGCCATGACTGGGGCGAAAAAAGAACCCGAAAAAAGTATGGTCCAGGGACCCGTCATAGTCAGATACTCATCCAGGTACACACCATAATCGGGAATCAGTTTCCATCCCACACCCCCAAATCGCCTCTTGACTGGTGCATATTTCGCCGAGGTGTCGCCGATGACGGTACTGGAGAGTCTCCATGGGGAAGACGAACCCCAACTCTTGATTTCGCTGCGTAAGCGAATGGAGAAGACCCCCCCATACTCACTCACAAAACCGGAGACTGTCCGAAAGGAAGTCCATGTGATGCCCGTGTTTTTTTCGGCTTGCGGATCCCCTTTCATCGGCTTGGGGACTCGGCCAAGTCTTCATCCGCACCGCCAAGATCCACTCAGGGCCGAGTCTCACTGAATATCAATACGGGAAGCCGGGAATTTTCCAAAAGTGCGATCCCGACTGTGCCCGTGGATGGGAGTAAGATTAAAGAAGTAGAGTCTGGTGGCTTGCGTTCAAGCATTCTTTGCCACAGGGGCACAGACTTGATGTGCGTTGCAACCTTGGGAATAGGGCCATTCTAAGCTTTTCTGCCCTGCGATTCGTCCAGTTGCCCGACCACAACCCATCGAATTCCCCGGGCCGGTAGTTCTCCTCCACATTCTGAACTACTCCCTGGCCAGCCTCTCCAGATGGAGAGATTTCCCCTCGTTTTCCTGGGCAGCTAGGGCTTGTTGGGTCACCGGTGAACAATTATTGAAGCCCTGCATCGCACTGTGTTCTCCCCCCCTTTTTCGCCTCCATTCCCGATCCCCGGCTTCGACCGTTCCCGTAGTTGGCTCGGCTGACCGACTGGGTCTTTCTCCACACGGAGAGCGAGACAGAGTTTACCTAGAATCCGTCTCCATACGGAGAAAGAGGCTGCTGGGGGCATCCCATCCCGTCTCTCCAGATGGAATGATGCGTGGAGGCGATCTCCAACCTGTTAGACTTTTTCTTTTTCGTTTTCTCCCGATATTTACTTCTCCACTTGGTCTCATACTGGTCCCTGGGTTTGCGCCAGAGTGTATTTCCGGTCGTCATTGTAATGCGTTGCGTAGTGTGTAGTGTGACTTGAGGTCGGCCTCAAATAGTTCCTGTCTCCCCCCTTCCATTTCACCTTCTCCTCCGTTGATCTTCTCCTGTCCAATTCTCTTTCTCTATTTACATCCCTCTTGATAGTTAGGGATTAGTCTGAAACGACTGGCTCGTTTCTCTTTCTTCTTCTTTAAATAGTCTCATTCTGCTCTAAGGGCAGTCTATTGACTACACCATGGCGGAAGTCAAAGACATGCCCTCCGATTCCCACAGGGAGGACAAGGAGGTTGGCGCCTTCGAAGTGGACGATATTCAGGACCTCAAGGAATCCAAGGAGGACCGTGAATTGACCGAGGCAGCTATGGATGCCGAGTTGCAACAACTGGAAGAGCGGCTGCAATCGCTTCCCAAGCCCTTTTTTGAAGTCACAATGAACAACCCCGCCCTTTTTACCTACATCATCGTCGCCTTTGCCTCTATGGGAGGTCTGCTCTCCGGTCTCGATCAGTCTCTCATCTCCGGTGCTATCGATCTCCCCAAGGACCTACATCTGAATGACTCGCTGAACAGTCTGGTCAACTCCGGTATGCCCCTCGGTGCCGTCGCTGGTGCCCTCATCCTTTCACCTTCGAACGAATATCTCGGCCGTAAAATGTCTATCATTGTTTCTTGCATTCTCTACACCATTGGTGCCGCCCTGGAGGCTGGTGCGATGAACTTCGGTATGATCTTCGCCGGTCGTTTCATTCTCGGAGCTGGTGTTGGTCTTGAGGGTGGTACTGTGCCTGTCTACGTCGCTGAGTGTGGTAAGTTCTGATATCTGATGTCTTTTTCTCGTATCCATCCGAGCCTTATATACTAACTTTTCCACTTCTGATAGTCCCCAGTCGCATTCGTGGTAACCTTGTCTCGGCCTATCAATTGAATATCGCGCTGGGTGAGGTCCTCGGATACGCCATCGCTGCTATGTTCTTCTCAGTCACCGGTAACTGGCGCTACATTCTGGGATCCTCTCTGGTCTTCTCTACCATTCTGCTGGTTGGAATGATATTCCTCCCCGAGAGTCCCCGTTATTTAATGCACAAGGGTCGCGACGTCGCCGCCTACTCTGTCTGGAAGCGCATCCGCGGCTTCGACGACTACGACTCAAAGGATGAATTCCTCGGCATGCGCCAGGCTGTGACCGCCGAGCGTGAAGAGCAGCTTGCCACCGAGAAGTATCCCTGGATGGACTTCTTCACCAAGCCTCGTGCCCGCCGTGCCATCGTGTATGCCAATATCATGATTGTTCTGGGCCAGTTGACCGGTGTGAACGCTGTCATGTACTACATGTCGACACTGATGAAGAACATCGGCTTCGACGACAAGACCGCCATCTTCATGTCTCTGGTCGGTGGTGGCTCGCTTCTATTTGGATGTATCCCTGCTGTGCTCTACATGGAGCGATTTGGTCGTCGCTACTGGGCCAACGCCATGCTGCCGGGTTTCTTTGTTGGTCTTGTTCTTGTCGGTGCTGGATACACCATCGACTACAACACCCACCCCAAGCTTGCTGAGGGCCTCTACCTAACTGGTATTATCTTGTATATGGGTTTCTTTGGTTCCTACGCCTGTCTCACCTGGGTTATCCCGTCCGAGGTTTTCCCCACTTACCTCCGTCACTACGGAATGACCACCGCCGACGCGACTCTCTTCCTGTGCTCGTTCATCGTCACCTACAACTTCACTCGCATGATGGAGTCCATGACCCGGATTGGCCTGACTCTCGGCTTTTACGGTGGCATTGCCGTGCTTGGATGGTTTTACCAGATCATCTTCATGCCTGAGACTAAGAACCTTTCTCTCGAGGAGATTGATGAGCTGTTCTCCAAGCCTACTTCGGTCATTGTGAAGCAGAACCTGAAGCAGACTTCCGAGGTCATTCGTGATCTGTCGCACTTCCGCTTCAAGAAGGTCTTCTCTCCTGAGCCTTACAAGAAGAAGTAAAGCTGTGATGGGAGAACTTGAATATATCAAGTTTGACTTTTGCATTTTCTTCCGTTTTCTCTTTTTTGATATCATGATCTGATCATGATACTATTTTGGTCCATTTATTCCAGTCTATGGATGCCAGTGATTTATGCAGTGACGATGTGCTCACGATGCACAGCAATATACCCCGATCAATTGAGTAAATCATCGAAACCACCAAGATCCAATTACAATTCCAATTATTTTCCCTTAACTCCTACATAATATCGCTATAGTATGCATAGTAGTAATAAAAACCAACCACCTCAATCCAATATATACACCCAAGGTATCATCAAGTCCTTTCCAAGCTTGATTTATTTATCCTGAGCCGGACTATGCCTCCCATTCCCATTCCCGTCCTTGGTCTCATTTTTACTAGCATCATCATCTCCAGTCTTCCCCTCCGTACCAAAAGCCCCAAAATCACCCGGAAGCTCAGCCTGCGGCGTATCGGGGCTCTTCTCACTTGGCATTTCAGTCAAAACATTACCCTGCAGCGCAGATAATTCCACCGGTGGCACCACAATACCCGCCGCATCCAATTCCCATTCTCGATTCTGACTCTTATACGGATCAACCTGTGTCTCGCCATCAAGTTCCGGCTTCCCAGCATACGGATCCTTCTGCGAAGAAGTGACCCCTTCATCGGCAGCGGCAGCGACAGCGGCAGCGTCCTTCTTAGCCCTCGCCCTCCGTCGATGCCACCAAATAAAAGCCAACGCAGCGATGATAATAATCACCATAGGGATACAGACGCCAATAGCGATCTTAGCGCCTGTGGATAGAGCGCCCGAATTTGAAGATCCGTTGCTGTTTTTGGAGCCTGTTGGTTGCGGGATAGAGGTTGAGGAGCGGGAGTCTTGGACGATTATGACGGGGTAGGCTTGGAAGGTTGCTTGGCCGCTTGAGGCGGATGAACCGATTGATTGGAAATATTTGAAACTCGTTGTTTGGATGCATTTCGAGCCGGATGTTGTTAGGAATGGGTGTGCTGAGTCGAAGGATAGCGTGTGACTAACGCACATGTGGCCGTTATAATCGTAGTTTCTAGAAGGATATTGCATTAGTACACTAGTATTGGAGGACAAGTAGTAGTCATCTTCGTAGGTTGAAAACTTGAGCTTGACGAAGGGTGTTTGTTTCGAGGTCTACATTATATTGCAGCGCAGGGGAGAAACTAGTTACTCACTTCGGACAACAAGCAGTCGCAAGATCATGCTGACCCAAGTCGGTGATATACTCTGACAAGACGAAATGATCAGACTGCTCAATATGACTCGCAGACGCAGCGCCAGTGAATCCACTCGGACACGCCAATCCGGGCGAGAAACCTTTATAACTCAGTGCGCTGGCATTGGATCCTGTCCAGCCTGTCGGATAGCATTCAGATGCGAAGCCAATGGTTCCAGACTCGCATGTTGCGCCCCACCGTAGAAGTGTGCCACCTTGGGTAGAATCGTGCGCGATCCATCGCTCGTTCGAACACCATGCTGGTGGACTGAAGATTGTGGTGAGAGGGCCGAAATTGGAGGGGCCGGTAGCGGTCATTGTTGCATTTATACTAGTACTCGCTCTGTGACGCTGCAGAGTGGCATATATTATAGTAGGGGTACTAGTATGGGAAAAGACTGCGCAAGGAGGTGAGAATAGGGAAATGAGGAGGGAGAACGTAAGAAGGAAAGGAAAGGAAAGGAAGAAAGGAAATATGAGCGACGATCAAATCTACTTAAGGTCTGTCGTGGCTGAGCAGATGTCATGGAATTAGCATATGCTTGGTTGTATTCTTGTCCCCAAAAGACCCTTGATTTGCCCCACAACAGATATAATTGGCTTTTTGGTCGTCAATAACGGGGAATAATTATGGTCTATCGTCCCACAACTTGGCCATACACCAATTGCCGCTCATGTTAGGTCGAGTCAGGCCGACCATGGGCCAGTGCTGATATTCACAGGGTCCAATGAGGAAGCCAGAGCCTCCTTTTCGTTCTCGAGGATTGGGGCCAAATTTGAAAGGCAGACTCGGGTCGATCGGCATGGGATTCGATTATTCTACGTCTTGTGAGCTTTTGCTTTCCATGGCTCCAGGGGAAATATGGTTGATAGTTAGGTGACGGGAAGTACCGACAGGTACAAACTATATTTGAAGATATTGAGGATGTATGATACTCGTACCTTCATAACAAGTATTAACGTTCCCTGGGCCAATTGACCGAAACTTGAACAAGGTTCAAGAACAGCACTAGAGTACTCCGCACTTCGTATTAAGAGAACACCGCCTTGAGCTTTGGGGTCCAGGGCTGATTGGAACTCCGCGGCATAAACGAGTCATTTAGGTATATCATGGTATCATGGTCCATCGTGATATAGTGGAAATAAACTCCGAGTCCGTAACTTCGTAGTATAAGAACTATACCCAGGTAGGCAATTGTATCCAACTACATTGGAAACTTGAACTTGAGGGAAACTGTAACTGACCAACAAGCAAGGCATTCTTGAAATCTAATCATATTCTTCATGGATGTAAATATGTACGACAATTCAATGAAACCAAAACCAATACAAAAACAAAACACCCAACGCCATGCTACCATGCAATTCAATCGTAATCGCAATCGCAACATCACCACCGCGAACCCGATCCACCAACCGGCTTCCGCACCTTAGGATCAATATTCGGACTAGGTGACCGACCACCCTGCAGTCGAGCCCGGAGTCTCTCCTGCGCGGACCCCGCACCAGGCCGGTCCTGACTAACTCTCTGCTGACCAGGTTGATGAGATCCGGAGCGCTGACTCGGCAGCGGCCGCGCACCAGCTGGATGCAGTGCGCCGGACGGGGTAGGTGAATGGGACTGGGCGTGCGCGAGCGGTGGGGAAGGTGTATGCATTGGACCAGGCGGTGCGCTGTGCATCGGAACCAGAGGGGGTGCGGCACCACCGCGTCCGCGACGAAGGCTGGTTGTTTGCGCCCCGGGTGTTTGGGATGCACCGCCGGAATCACCCCATAGATCACCCAGGCCGCCGCCACTGCTCCGGCCGTAGGCGCCGGTGGCGGGACCTTGGCCTTGGCCTTGGCCGGGGGGGTTGGGAGGAGGTTGCGAGAACGCGGGCAGGTGCGGCTTGGGGTGCTTTTGGGTCTGGAGGTAGCCAGGGTGGGAAGGGACGGCCTTTCTCGGTATAGTAGGCGCGGAGGGCGTTAGAAATGTGCGAGCAGTCTTCGTTGTCGGGGTCGTCTTTCTCGTCACCGAGTGTGATTGCTCGCCGGAGACTGGTGAGTCGGGAGCTGAGGGCGGTTGAGAGGGAGGACGAGGAGTAGGAGGAGAAGTAGGAGCTCATTGTGGCTTTCGTGGGGGTGGTTTGTTCACAGTGCCCAGGTTTGCAGTGTGTGGAGAGGACAGCTTGGATGTGGGGTGGGGTGATGCGGAGCTATTCTTCTGATGAAGGCCGAGGTGGCGGGGAAATTGTGAGATGCTGGTGGAATTGACCAATAGCCTTGCGAGGCTGAAAGGAGAAATGTACAGAAGACCGCGCGAGGTCCGGATTAGATTTATGCTGCCCAAGAGCCGGCTCCTGTGGGTGAGTTGGAGAGAACAAGAAAGCAAAGCGGCGTGTGGCGGTGGTGAAACAGCAGTGGCACGTGATCTTATACTTGGTTTCAGAAGAATTGCAGGAGATTAATTGGATCGTCCTGGAATGGAATCCCTAAATAATAATATGAGTAAATAGATAATATAGATGAGATTTCATTTGCAAATATACTCCATATCAACCGGTGCTACCAGGGCTGATGAGGTGGTAGCTGGTACTAAGTTGGTTGTAAATCATTCGGCGTCATCATTCGCAGCTATGGGTTTATTAAGAACAGCTACTACTACGAGTACTCATATGAAAGGCATTGTTTCAAAATAATTCAGTAACTAAGCATTCAAATGGTATCTAGACCCGTATTGACAGATATGTATAAGTAGATGCAATATCCGGAATGAATCCAGACCATAGAATCACAGAACACAGACAAAAAATAAGAACAAACGATTAGGAAAAAGAAGACCACATCCTTGGAACGCCATGCAACAGATGAACTTTTCCCAAAACCTCAGCCGAACAAGTCGAACAAGCCTTAAGCCATGACCTGCTCCTTGCCAGCGCCCTCGGTCTCGTACTCGATCTCGATACGAGGACCCTTCTTGCGCGGCTTGGCCGTAGGCGCAGGAAGCTTCCGCTTAGAACCAGGCTTTGGCTTCTTATCATCCTCACTAGAAGCCATATCCTCATCACTGTCCTCATCATCGCTCTCATCCTCAGACTCCTCATCACTAGAGCCGCCCGAGCCCTCACCAAGCCAATCCTCAATATCTTCCAAATCCTCCTCCTCATCCAGATCAGAAACATACTCCACCTCACCCACACCCTCTTCCTCCTCTTCCTCAAGTTCCTCCCCATCATCAAGATCCTCATCCCGCTGCCCATCACCAGCACGCTCCAGACCACGCAGAACCTTCTTCCAAATCCCCTCATCAACATTAAGCGGCTGATCACCGTACGCACCACTGCGAAGACGCTCAATCAGTTCCCGCTCAATCGCCCGCTCAACCTTAGCTGCAGAAAGAGCCTTCCGTTCACGAGTCTCTTCACGACGACGAATCTTAGGTGCGAGTTTGGGCACAACTCTCTCGCCGAGACGCTCGTCTTCCTTGGCGATATTGCGCATTCGAATATTCACCTGCGTCAGCCGGGTGAGACGCTGCTTGCACTTGTGCGTCAGGAACTTCGGCCAGTAGAGGAGTCGCTCATCTAGTTGTTCCAAGGCTTTGGCGTAGTTTGATGACAGACGGACGCGCTCCCACCATTTATTTGGCATGTGTGCTCGTTCAATTGTCTTCATATACAGGTACATGACTCCAGTCTCGGGGTCTGCCCGGACAGTTGCGTAGCGGGAGTTGGCGAGTGGGCAGGATTGCCGGTTGCAAAGGCCTGTCACGTTGTATTCATTGCGACAGAAATTTTGCTCCTTGGTGGTTCTGAAGAGTTGGTTGGATTGTTAGTGAGGTTGTTCCTTTTCATTCTTTCTCTTTCTCTTTTTCCCCCTGTGGCCTGTTGCATTTTTATTTGCACTGTGCTTCAATTCCTTGTCATCGCTAGGGTGCTGAATTCAAGTCCATAGATGATTGCTGTCACATCTCGTTGCGAAAGCAATTTTTCGATGGGTGGATCCGCCATGCCGATTCTTCCAACTTTTTGCTCAAGGTTGGGTTGCGGGATTTTTTGGGGGTTGCACACTCACTTGAGTTTGTAGGAGCAGAATTGCTGGTTAATCACCTGCCAGACGATTTCGTCGGACATGATGGGCACGGGGAGGTGAGGTGAAGTGAAGTGAACGTGCTGGAACTGGAACTGGAGTTCTCCGTTGCCGTGTTGATCGAAGAAAAAAAAAGGCAGGTCACGTGGTTGCTTATCGATAGGCGGCGTGTCAGTGCCCCGGGCCACCGCTTTGGGAAGTATACTACAGCATTCACATATTCTGATGCTACTGGCGATCTTTTGTTCATGCAGGGGTATTGTAATTGGCATGACTCGCTAAAATACGGTTTATGTTCCTTTCAACTTCAAGTTCTCACGCCCAACCCTCCACCTGAAGACCACCATCCCATTCAGTCCCGTTCATCGCATGGTTACCACCAACATCACCTTCCTCAACCATCTCCTCACCACCCCAATCCATAGACTCAAGTTCACGAACGAAAAAGTCGCGCTCTTCTTCCATCATTGACGCACCCTCCGGCCCACCCATGACATCCTTGTACCGCCGTAGATGCCACCAATGCGTGAGTCCGCGAAGCGCCTGCTCCAACGGCAGCGCTTCTTCGACCTCAGCATCCACGTCCGACCCAGCGAGCCAGTCATCGCGAAGTTCTGGCTGGCAGTAGAGATAGATAGCCGTGATGACGCGCATGTTGCTCTGGCGCCATTTACGGCCGCAGTAGGGGACTTGGGATTTGAATAGCTTCAGGGTGTAGAAGCGCAGATGGGGGTCCGGGATCTTAAGACCCTTGCGCAGAATCGTGCTGGACTTATATTGCACGAGAAGGAGGCAGCGGTGCGCTTTGTCCCGCGTGATTTTTTGCATGATGTGCAGGTAGTTGATGGCGGAGAAGAAGTTGCGGAAGGAGAAGATGGTGATTGGCTCCTTGGGGGGTGGTGCGGTGGGATAGCCTAGTTCGTCAACCTCTGGTCGCGTAGGTCCCTCGAGTTGCTCTGCAATGGACTCTTCGGGCGATAATCCGCGAGCGGAGTTGGTGCCGTTCACATTGGGGCGGTGGCGGGAGATCGGGGGTGGAGCTGCGTCGTCTTCGCTCTCGGTGTCTCCGCCGTTCTCGTCTTGTGAGTCGATGCGGTGGTCAGTGTGTTCGGAGCAGAAGTGGAAGAATCTAAACAGTCAGTATAGTGCGCGCATGAGATTAAAGAGGGTAGGAAGGACTAACGATAATTCCTCGCGGTCATTTTTCTGCGCAACCGCCTGGTCAACGTCCTGATGAGCGAACATCTTCAGAATCAATGGGAGATAATTCGAATCAAGCAAGAGCTGAGTCATATACTCGAATTTGAGGATATCTAGGATCCGTTAGCAAGGGGTTTCTGAAAAAGAAAGGTCAGGTCGTAGACATACGAGACCGCTTGAACCATTTTAGCATGAGAATCAGGGTTCCAGAAACAGCCTTTCCAGTGATCTCCCGTAATCGAATGTTATCGAGCTCATCAATATGAAGCTCAGGGGGGGAACATCCCAGACCCGCCATTGATACTATGACCATTGCTAAAAGAAAATCTCGTTAGGAAATGCGTTGTATCGAGGTAGGATCCGAGAATACATACACCATGCTCTGTACCATGCTTTGTGAGTTGGATGCATTCGCCTGGTTAACCACGGCGCTAACATTCGTGAGAATGATCTTCAAGAAGACGATGGTAATGGACTGAAGGTGAGCCAAGGTGTGGGTCTGAACAAGATATTAGCTATCAATCGATTTGATAATCAATAGGAAGCTTCGTTCACTCACATAAAAGTCTTCCACAGCATCAAGTCGCCGCTGGATATCTGGATCATCGACCTTCTCCCTAGGTATCTTGGGCTCAGATTGGGAAGACTGCTCGCTGCCATCTAAGTCAAGGTGGTTCATATCCTCTGGCAAGTTGTTGGTCCACGAATAGTCAGGCACACGAGAGGGTTGCTCATGGTTCCAACCACGGTCGTACTTCATGAAGTTCTCGCGTTCGTCCCAAAGTTGTTGCATTGCTCGTGTCATCTTCACATGCGTGGAAAATAGTCTGCCCGCTTCAATAATCGACGCTGGCACGTCGTTGCCTTCCCATCTCTTCCCCACCAAGACATCCTGGCGTTCGGTGGTGCCTTTGCCACCAATCAAATTACTGGTATCATCCAGAGGAGGATACATCAGCGGGAAGTTCTGGTTGGTTTGGTAATTTTGCTTTTTGCCCGCCTTCCCACCGGGGCCGATGGGCGATGGGGGCGGTGATGGAGCCGGGGTCGCAATGTGAACGGATTGTTGCAGGATAGAGCCGTTGCCACTAGCGACAGACGGGCCAACTCCGCAGAATGGCGCTGTTGTTTTGTGGGGATGTTGGGGGGAGAGGTGGGAGAATTGAATTATTATCAAGCTCAAGGGGAACGAGAGCTGGCGGGGGGTTGTAGGCAGGATATTTGGATGTGATTTCCTGACGGAAGGTCTGATAGTCCAAGGGTGATGCGGTTAAGAAGGGAGTTCTTCGGTTCGTCGAGTCCTCTTCAGTCTTGAATTTTGGTTCCAGAACTTCTTTGGCTCTCTTTAACCGCTCGGTGCCACCGAAGACAAGGAGTAACGTCTTCCATAAAAGCAAGATGATTCTAGTGAGGGGAATATTGGCAGATTCGTCCCATCTCAGCCTCGCAATGATTTCAACAATTGCTACCAATAGGCAGGGCTTGGATTCGACAAGCGAATCACGAATTAGAGTGCACTGGGGGTCTTGGCCCTCTTGCCTTCGGCCCACTTCAACGGTGAAGTACAATGAAGTGAGCAATAAATTGGCCTCACGCTCTGGGGCGGCAATGTCCCCTGCACTGAGATGTTCAAATTCAATCCCATCAGGGTCAGGACCAAAGGAGGGGCGGCTCTTGTCGAATATTTGACTCAATCTCTCCACTAGAACGGAAATTCCATCACATTGTTGGACAAGCGAGACGTTCTGTTCAATCCACTCAATTTGGAGAGATTTTGATCGAGAAGTCTCCGCTGTCTTCGAATCGGGGCTGGATGGGAAGTCTTGCGCGACTCGTCCGGCGGTGGAACCCCATGTACCCGTCACAGCATAGCAGATATTCTCCAGGGCTTCCAGTCGCACCGAAACGTCCGGGTGCCGTGTTTTATCGAGAGATTCTCTAACAAAGTTCCGGCGCAAGCTTTCCGAGGCTTCTATCCATGATACTCCAGGGGTTTGCGAGGCATATCTCAAGGTGAAGTCGCTCCATTGGCGGCCGAAAGTGGACTTCATGCCAACCAACATGACTCGATCGAACTCATTGTACTGGAACCATTCCTCAATCTCATCTGGGAATGATTGAGCATCGGCATATTCGAACGCATAAGCAGGTTGTTCGATCTTGGGCATGTCTTGCACAAGCTTACGCAGCTGAGCCAGACTTAGGGAGTCTGTTGGGCGATCTGCATCCTGCTGAACTGGGGCTGGAGGAGGTGGTTGAAGCGGAGGAGGAGGAGGCGCAGAGTTATCTCGACGAAGTTCGGGTCGCTTGGGGGCTTGCTCAGGCTGGGTGGGTTCCGCTGTAGGCGCGGCCTGTTCAGCTTGTTCTTGTTCTTGGCGAATGCCCTGAGCGACTTCCTCCATCAATTGGTCGTCTGAGACGGGCGAGATATCTGTGCCCGTCTGATCCATTTCGTCGGCCTTGACGATGTGGTGTTCGGACTCGGGTTCGGACATAGCGACGTCGCCAGCCGGAGGCGGGATATCCATGAGGGGTGGCCGCTGAGTGTGGGTAAATGTTAGGAATGAACGGAGTAGTGGCTGGCCAAAAGGGTGTGGTCAGTGAGAGGAAGTAATAACATCAGGGTGATATATGGGTGATTGGTGACAGAGAGGATTTAGAGGTCGAAAGGACCTCGATCAATCCATTGAATGCGCGGTGTGGCCCATCCAAATGGACAAACACTCCCACGGCGGTGGCAGACGATAAGATAAGAGTCATGTGATCATAGGATACCAACCTTAAGGTCCCATCTCCGGAGCACGTGATATCAACATAGATCTATGTAGATCACCGGCATACTATTCTACGAGTACTGTCGCGCGGAGAATCAATGGGCATCTGGTAGCAAGAACCGGGAGTTAAGAGTCTGTTCAATTCTGAATCAAGAAGAAAAAAAAAACCCTTGGAAGCTCGGACTTCGTACGCCAGTTTTCTAAGCTTCCAACCACGGAGGAGATTTTGCACGCCAGTCCGCTGAGAAGAAGCAAGAGGGTGACTGTACCCGCTGGGCCAGGCGGTTGGAAGCCCGGGAGCACTCTCGAAACCCTGGAGATAGCAATTCAAATCAAACAGATCGAGACACTGTATCGCACACAAAACGAGATTTGATATCTAGAATGTACAAGTAAAGAGACTCGCTAAGAACTAAGATGCAGTGCAGTGAAAGAAACCAAGCGCGTGAACCTCTAAGGTAGACCCCATACGACAGATGAAAAAAAGAGCAATGAGAAGGGGGAATATGCAAAGAAGAGCAGAAAAAAGGAAAAGGAAAAGAATCCAGATCCAGGTAGAAAAGCAATAGCAAAAAAGTGGAGAGAGGTAAAACATTCATCATAAGAGCTGCATGCATCGTGTTCATGAAATTTTCGTCGCTCATGGGGATATGTGGTATGACATGTGCAAAGAAAGAAATCAGACGAAAAAAAAAGGGGAGGAAGCATGAGAGGTATTTGTGGCTTTAGAAATCATCATCATCGAGCTCATCACTGTCCCACTCATCTTCGCGGTCGTTTTGCACAAGCTCTAGGAAACGTTGCAAGCCAGCGCGGAAGTCTACCACTTCCCGACCTGGTCCAAGTGGTCGGAGGGGACGCTCAGCAGCCTCGCGTCGTCGGATCTCTGCGATGGCGTGAGCTTGTGCCTGCCGCTCCAGTGCTGCAGCGCGCGCGGCACGGTCGACATTTCGACCTTCATTTGCACCGGCAGCTCTAGCAGCGTCGCGGTTCGGACGGGGTGGAACAGGAGCTGGAGGGGGAGGAAGGTAGATATGGTCATTTTCATCATCGCTGAAATCCCAATTGTGTACGCCGTCGTCCTCATCGTCATCGAAATCGACATCGGCATCGGCATCACTATCGCTGCCGGCGTCATCATGGTCGTCCTCAAAAATGAGGAGTTCGTCTGGGATACGATGCAGTGCTTCGGCGCCTTCTGGATCGGTGCCGTCGCCACCTTCCAGTTCCCAGAGACGGTTGAAACAGGTGCTTTCGCCTCGGTTGTAATGCAGGTATGGATTCGAGGGATCCAGCCAGGCGGAGCAAAGATAACAGAAGTGTGTTTCGCATTGAAAGCAGCGCATATGGTTGCAGCCCATGCGTTTTTGGCAAGGCACGTTGCATTCTGGACAAGGTGTTGTGTAGAGTGAAAGATATTTTTCTGTTGCCTTCTCCTCTTCTGTCAACTCTTCTTGGCGACGTGGTGGGACGCAGCGAACGATCTCGCCATGCCAGCCCTTTCGACAAATGTTGCAGAATGCATAGTTGCAATCTTCGCAGATTGCAAGTCGCTCCTCGACTGGAGGGATTGGTGCAGTATCTTCATTCGTACCAGAGGTAGCACCCTCGTCGTCATCAGATGCCTCGTCATCAGCCATCGGGTCAACCGGTTTAGGGTGTCGCTTCGACCTAGCAGCACCTTGGCACCACTGTCGTGGGCAGTAAACTGTAGTCTTGTCCGCCTCGATCTGTTTCTTGCGTCGGAGGAAGACATAACGCTTCACCGTATCCGTGGCGAGTGGGATCTGAAGAAGTTCGCTGGGCGTGAGAGTTCGACGTTTCTTACGACGCGGTGTATCGTCCCTGCCACCGGATCCGTGCCATGGGCCGTATCGCAGTCCGGTGCCAGACATTTCACACTATCCACATCGCCCTCGGTGATGCATGTGTTGTAGAAGTCCTGCAGGCAAGCAACACAAAAGACGTGGGAGCATCGCTGTAGTCGGTAACAATTGGCACCTTTTTTAGGCTCCAGGCACACCCCACATTCAAAGGTTTCTTTTTCGAACTTTTCGCGTTCGGTCTTATTGTTGAACTCTAGCAATGCAATCTTCAGGTCTTGCGAGAGACAAAGTTCGCCATCAGGGGTGTCTTGGATTCCAAAGGCTGATTCGGCCAATTGCTGAAGGTGGTCGATGTAAGTGAAGACCACCATATCCCGACCACACTCTTCCCATAACCTTTCGCAATCGTTGGTCAACGTCTCAAGTGTAGGCGCTGGGAGCCATGGCGGGTGAGTGTTGAGCCGGACAACGGGGGGCTTTTCGGCGGGGTAGCCTTCCGGTAGGTGAATCTCAAGACTGAGAGGAGGTAGGTGTAATAAGATATGAACATCGCGGACTGCGACCGGACCAAGCTCAGCCTTGGTGCCATCGACAGAGGTTGGAGGTGTCAGCGCGGGCAGGCCGTGGTCAAGTGGTTGTTCGAAGCAGAAGCGGGTCGGCGATGGTAAGGTCACGGGTAGATCCAATGAGGCTTTGAACGGCGAGACGGGGTCGATGTGAATCTCCGGGAAGATGGCGACGATGGATGACAGCTCGACTGAGCGGTCGTCCTCTTCGGAATCGGTCATCCTTGTAGAATGAATGGGAGGGGGCCTTGGGGAAGATCTGTTGTCAGGAACAGGGTATCTGAGATGCGTCTGCCGCGGTCTGGCCTCCGCAACTCCGCAACTCGGGATGGGTTCTGTTCAAGAGCGAAGGGTCATGACTTGCCCGTCCGCAAGAGGGTTGCGTACTGATGGTGGAAAATAGAATAAAATCGAGTGGCGATCGGGCAGAAATGGGGGGGGGAGGGTGACGATTCCTGCAGGAAAGACACGCCAGTCGGAGAAGAGGCGAGAACAAATAGGGACCAACAGGAACCCCGAAGGGTTATTGTCGAAATCCCAAGATCAAGGAAGTTGAGGTTGAACTATTCGTGCTCGGTAGTGTGGATTTGGTAGATTTGGTAAATTTGCTGAGGAGGGGTATATCAAATGATGTAACGAAGCGGCGGGTTGAGTGTGAGCGGCAGATGAGATGGACGGGAAGTAGAACAGCGACTGCGTCATGGTTTGAAATGAAGAGTAAAAGGTTGGGCCACGAGGGGGTGGAGGGGAACTTTGTAGGTTGTGAGTAGGGTGAGAGAGAAAGGTGAGAGTGGGAAGAGTGAAGAGTGAAGAAGAAAAAGAAGCGAGACGCCAAAAAAAAAAAAAAAAGGAACGTTCCTGCCCTTTTTGTGCCTGATCAAAAATTGACGACAGGATCGTGCCTTCCTCGGGTGAGAACCCCTCCAAAACAAAAAAAAAGTAAGTAAGTAGGCTAAGTAAGGCAGGTGCCGGGGGGGGGTTCCTTCCATATCTTATCACCTTAAAGCGGCTAGTTCAACATGGGATCCTGGCCCAGCTATACTTGGCAACTCTTAACAACTCTTAACTCTCCCAACTCTCCACCTTTCACCTCCTTTCAAGGTGCACCATGGATACTCCGTTGGCATCTCTCTCCCTAACTCATGTCCACTATGTGAGTCAAGTCCTTGGTGATATACCATCCCCTCCAAATTTAACACTAACACCTTTAGAACCCCAAGGATCCCCTGTCCTTCATCTCCGCATGGCTAGCTCTACTTCCCCAAGCCCTCTGCGTGTCTTATGCCACTCTATGTTGGGCATCAAGAGAAATGGAGGTCATCTTAATGTTTGCTGGGCAACTGGGCTGTGAAGCCTTAAACTTTCTGCTGAAACGCCTCATCAAGGAAGAGCGACCGCGAGGTAAGTTCCATCTTCCAGTCCATTCTCCAATCCCCCTCCACTCCTCACACCCAACCGTGGAATCCAGACACTAATGGTGAATTCTGCATTTTAGAAATGTTCGGCAAGGGCTATGGAATGCCTTCATCACATGCTCAATTCATGACCTTCTTCGCCGTCTACCTCACCCTCTTCCTCCTCTTCCGACACACCCCGTCCTACGCAAACTCCTACCCCTACTCCGACTTCCTACTCCGGGGTGCCTTGACAGTGGGCCTCTGCGCAAGTGCAGTGGCCGTGTCGGCCAGTCGTGTCTACTTGAATTATCACACTCCCCGACAGGTTCTGGCTGGCTGTGGAGCCGGCTTCGTGTGCGCTTGTGGTTGGTTCGTGATCACCGGTTTGCTTCGACGCCTGGGGTGGATCGATTGGGCCGCGGACCTGACAGTGTCCCGTTTGCTGCGAGTGCGCGACTTGTTGGTCAATGAAGATCTGGCCGAACCGGGCTGGCAACGGTGGGAGGCTAAGCGGTTGGAGCAGCGCCAAAATGCGGCGCGCAAGTCGCAGTGAAAGGAGTCGAGGGCTCCCACTGTTTTCATTGCTTTGTATAGTATTATCGGTATAAACATGCATATAGGGAAATACCCGCCATCTATTCGAACCACAGCACACCATGTCTACGCAAATGTATGGACACTTAATAACAATAATCGTTGGATACATTCAAACTTGCCGCGATCTGAGCAAGATTTCTAGCGATTGCGCCTTCTAGTATTCCGATCATACTATTAGTAGGGCCGAAAGAAATTACTTTTTAAAGTCTCCGCTGCTAGCCGCTACTTCCAAGGGTGTATTTGTTGAAAGTAGATATAGCTACCAAAGTAGCTATCACTCCAGTGACTAGTATATTAGCAATGTGATATTTATAAATAACCAAGTGATGATTTGATTTGATTCGTATTCATGACATAAATTTGAGTGAATTTTAATTCCCAAGCCCCGAGCGCCGTTTGATGAAATTGGTATCGAAAGAATTAAATTTGGTTAACATGGTGGTAGTAATGTCATTTGTGCATTCAGTCTCGGCGTCGCTCAGCATTGACTCGTCGCTCGGCGGGGGAGTAGCTGCGGTCTGCTCGTCGATGTTTAGGATGATCATCATTTTTGCGATGAGGTCGGTCTCGCGAGCGCGAACGAGATCGTCTTCTGTGGGGACGGTCGTGATCCCTGGACCGAGACCGATGCCGATGGCCACGAGGCTGACGATCCCTAGTATCCCGATCCCGATCTTGATCCCGACCACGAGCCCGATCATCGCGGTCTCTGCGATGACGGCGATCCCGATCGCGATCACGACCACGATCATCACTGCGATCTCCCCGTCGCTCTCGTTCCCTCCGCGGGCTACGACTGCGCTCCCGTCTGTGTCTGCGATCGCGATCGCGATCTCCGCGAGATTCTCGGTCCGACTTCCCCGCACCAGATCCGTTGTTGTCATTTTTGGCTGACTCTTCTCGGGCCAGATCGGTATTTTGGCCGCCAAGGGGTTCGAGATTGGCGTTATCTCGGACTTGAGCTTTTACTGGCGGTGGGAGACCCAGCGCGAGGGCCATGGCTTCTTCTTCGGCATCCTTGACTCGTTGTCGTTCTTCTTGTTGCTTGCGGGCTTCTGCCTCTTGGTCACCTTCCTCGCCCTTAGCGTACCAGCCTAGATCTTTGCCTTGTTGCCAGCGTCCGACTGGGGCCATCACCGAGTGGCCCAAGTAGTTTTCGCGGTGGGTGGAGCTCTGGACGTCGGTCCATTTGAACTCGTTGCGGCCGCCACTGAGGGAGGGTTAGCCACTTCTGCGGAGATGACCGGAGATCAAGGAAGGGAAATGAGGACTCACCGACTCCCTTCTTTGCGTATACTGGCCACCAGATCCATGATGTGTTGGAGTAGTAAGATGGGGGTGGTAGAGATAAAGTGGAGTGGAGTGCCGAGTACAGTAGGTAAAGTAGTCAACTGCAGGCAAAGGCGGTGGGCAGTCAAGGAAGCTCCACCCCCGCTTGGGTCATCGACGTTGACCATCTCGCCCTGTACAGAAATACCCTTTTCGTGCTCCTCTGAACTTCTCTTTTGCACCATTTTAGGTCCTTGGCAATGACAACCCCGACCCCACTCCCTTCTTTTCCTCTCTTGCTCGCCCTTCATCCCCGTCCCACCTCCTCTCGACAACCGGACATCGCTCAGCCTCGGCCGCAGCCGCATTCATAGCTTGGGAAATGGATTCTCCCAGCCCCGGGAGGCTAGACCGGAAGGTCGGTCCCGATGGCCGGGATAATCAACGACTGAGACCTCGTATCCAAGCTTTGAACGTCGAAAAGGAAGACGAAAGAGTGAGTGGGCTTATATCATATATCGCATCTCCGATACCCCCTCACGTGAGCTATTGAAAGCTGACTCGGACAGTTCTCCAAGTATGTTCCGAGGGTACAATCCGTTATTTCGAGTTATGGAGATATTGATCCGAATTTGCAGGAAACATGATGAGTTTGGTCCGCCAATTGCGACATGGCGAAACAACCTGGTATGAAACAAGAGACAAAGAATCCTCATGCAAATCAATTAACCTCAGGCTAATCTGCCCCTCAAGTCGGCTGCCTCGCAACGAAGGAATCTCATTTTCGTGGCGCATCGCTGTGATATCTTTGTTTGGATTCCAAAGGGTCCTCTTCAGTTATTGGGTTCCCATCCCGAAATGATCATCAAGCCTGTCATGAAGGAACCGTTGATGGAAGGGTATATTGATCGGGTTCACCCCCACACAATTAACAATATCATTGTGGATGACCTAGGCCGTGACGAGGTTCTGTTGCTGGCGACGGACTCGGGAAATATCTGTGGTTATCATGTAGAGGCGGTCTACTCCGCAGTCATCCGATGCGCAAAGAGTGGCTACAAACGACCCTTTGACGGGTCCGAAGTCAACCCGTTCTTCGTGGAAAATGTTGGAATGAGCGCCTGGGGCTTGGCCACCCATAAATATGCTCGTCTAATTGCGGTCAGCGCCAATACGGGTCTCATTACTGTATACGCTTTTGCATTGGTGGATCCAGCCGCGGAGGACAGAGGTGATGAAATTGAAAACCCCGACGATACCAGTGCTGGTATGAGCTCAGCAGATCAAACTTGGGTACCTGTGGAAAGCAGGAAACAACTCTACGAACTACATCAGCTTACGCCGCGGAACTATCGATCCCGCAACCTGCGACTAACCTACAGAGGTCATTTCGATAATATTCCTTGCGTCTCTTTTGCCAATTTTGATCTGAACCCGAATGGAATGTGGATGGTCAGCACCGATATCAGCAACAGGCTTATTGTCTGGAGAATATGGGATGATTTATGGCCGTCTAGGGTGTATTACCCTGGCCATCCATCCAACAATCCGCCTCAGAGGGGCTGGTCGGTCATTCCCCTCGACCCGCGCACATTCAAGCCGTGTCGCACCATAGAAGAAGCTTGTGGATGCAAGCCGGATGCACAGAATATTGCGCAACGAACGATTCTCGACACATCCCGGGGGGTAGAGGGAGTTCCTGATGCATCGCAGATATTTGTGTATGGCTTCAAGCACAAAGACTCGAGCAGAGACGTCGCACCTGCCTATATGCCGGATGATATAATTTCTTCTGATTGCTGCATTGAAGATAAACACCGACCTCGCTCCTATTTTGGCCTCGAGAAGGACTCTATGCCATGGAAATTCGATGCTGTCTATGCCGTTGATACCAGGACGGAAAGAAGTAGCGAGCCCCGTTTTTACGATACCAGAAGCGCACGTCAAAATCGAGTAAAGGATTCATTTACTGACAAAACTCGGAGGTCACGGATACAGGGTCATTTACCTAACCTCCTCGGAGAAGATGACCATGATGATCATCACCGCGTACCACCGTGCTTGATTCCAGATGGCTCGGAGGGGGACCCTGACCCTTCCCTGGCGCTACTAAAGAACAAGGCAGTCCACCGTAAGTTCAACGTTAAACCTTGCACACCAAAGGAAACCAACCAAAAAAAAACCGCATAGCTGATTATGTTTACAGCCCCCCCAGCCGAATTTCTTCCCAGTCATTCATTTCTCTGAACACCACATCAGCCTGGCCGCCTACCCAATGGACTCGGAATACCAAATAGTCTGCAAAAACCCACTCTTCCAACGAGTATCTCTCCACGCAGAGATCAGCTCACTCTGTGACCGCTTCAATATGGTCAAATACATTCCGGAGCTAGGCCTCGTGATAGCAGCATCTCAAAAGGGACGCGTGGCTATAATATCTCTAACCTGGCACGAAGAAATCGGTTCTTCATTCCGCCTGGACTGGATCGTGCCATTCTCAACGCAAGAAGCCGAGGAAGAACGCCCTATTATTCCCCTCCTCGGCATCACCGTTAGTCCAATGCCAGGATTCGAAATACCGCAAGACGTCCCGAGTATCCCACGCGGCATCGATCCGACAGATTGGCAAACATTCAACTACCGCATCCTGAATCCGGACGAAAATGACCCTCAACAACCATCTACCACTTCATCTTCTTCCACGGCTTCTGGCGGAGTGTCCAAATTTCACGCAGAGTCCGAACCCCACTCTAGCTCTAGACATAGCACTGCTGCAACTACTACAACCTCCACCTCAACCCAACAAACACGGAAGAAAATGGAGACGAATCCGCAGAAAATAATGCAGACAAACCACCGCCCAAGGAACTCACCCTCCCCGAGTCACACGCGCAAGCCTCACTCGCATACCGTCCCCATGAACCCTGGCACGGCTGGCACCCATCCCGCCATTACAGACTTCTCCTCTTATTCTGCGATCACACTGTCATGAGCTACGAATTCTGGCACGATTGGAAGACATAACGCCCTGCAACGGTTCAAGTTTTTTCCATGGATGGCGATGGCACCCCCCCTGCACAGCCAAGTGTTTAGGGAGAGACCTTAGGGCCATTTTTCCTTTTCCTTTCTTCTCTCTATTCCTTCTCTCTATTCTATTCATCCATCTATTCATCTATTCATATTTACATACCCCGGTTTCTTTTCTTTTCTTTTTTTTTTTTTTCTTCTTGTATGAGTACGCATGTGAAATACGTTATATGATGCGCATCTCTCTGTTCCCCTGTCTCTCCATCTTCTCTGGGAGTGGAGGACATTTTGCATTTTGGAGCTTTTTTTTGGCTTCCCCTTTGTTTTCCCCTTTGTTTTTTATTCTCTCCCTGCATTTTTAGCATTGGAGTATTTGGTTGTATTTATCCAAGTTCTGTTTACTAGTAGCTTATTTTTGCTCTTTAAATTCATACTATTTATACTAGTACCTTCCTAGGGACTACGATATCCGCAATGGGTGTTATCAATATCATTCACTTGTCTAATTCCTTGAAAGGTCCGAGTCTTATGCAACATTGGAAATCTTATGCAAAAGCCAAAGTCAAGATATAGATACATCAACACCTCAATTGAACCTACAGCTCGTCATGCGACTCGGACGCATGCTTGTGCTTGTTTGCACTCTTGCTGAGATCAGGCATGGACATCATGTTCACCACCATACTGGTCCAGCCGGTAAAGTGCTGAGTTCGCTGTCCCTTACCCGTGTCCGGATTATATTGTTCCCAGGCGAAACCAGTTTCCTTCCACTCCTTGAAGATGTTCTCAACCAGGTTCTGGCGCAGCTGAGAGTACATTTCCCGAGCTTGTTCCTGGTGAGGACCGTTTGTGATGGCGGTGTCCTGGATAGATGTGTTAGTTAGAAGCTGGTAAAGGAAACCGTCCCGGGAAGGGGGGTCAAACTTACGTAGAGATTCTTCAATACCAGATAGTTAATAGGCATCCAGATCGGACTTCTCCAATAATTTTCCTCAGTACCGTAAAACTTATCCTTCTTGCTCAAACTGCGAATGCCATAGTCACTCCACAACTCTTCAGGGTCATGGATGAGATCCAGCACAGCCTTGAGACGGGGACTATCGGGTCCCAGCATTCCAGTCAGGAAGGGGAAGATAGAGATATAACCCTTGTGACAGACGTGAACGCTCTCCTCGAATTCATCAATAGTAGCATCACAGAAGGTCTGTTCCTTCTCGTTCCAGTGCAGATCGTCAATGTTGCGAGTGATGGCGTTCTCGTAGTACGCGAATTCCTCCGCATCATCTTCCTCGCCCAGGGTCTCGGCGATACGGCGCAGAGTACGAGTCATCATGCCCATCCAGCTAATTAGATCCACGTGCAGCTCACCCGGGTGAGGCGGCTGGGCGCGAGGGTAGTCGTCGATACCAGAGGTCAGGATGTGCTGCTCAGAGCGGCCACGCCAGCGGTAGGCTTCCTTGGTCGAGAATGCCTCGCGGTCATACGATTTGATATCGCCGCGTTGGGTGTTGCGGAACCAGTTGTAATGTCTCTTCATTAGAGGGTAGAAGGAGCGGAGGTAGGCTTCAGATAGTTCGGGGTTTCGCAGGGTCGCGGTGCGGAGGTTCTCTGCTACATCGGGAATATCGAGAGATTCCGACTCGTCGCTTTTGTTCTTGTTGGTTCTCGATTTGTCCATGAAGGCTTCCAGGGCCATGAAAAGAGTAGGCGGGTTGGCGTAGTGGGGATATTGAACTGTGAATTCTTGCGGAACCTTGCTGCGGGCTTCTTGGCCAAGGATCTGTTCACGGGCGATCCATCCGTCCTCGTCCATCAGGTGGAACCAACTCTTGATGATCTCGAGACTAAAATATGGAAAGAAAATCAGTACACCACATTCCATCGCCGGTGGTAGCAGGGGTAACTTACGCAAGATCAGAGTCATACTCCATGACAGGCATCAGGTGGAAACCCTCATCCCAGAGGAAACCTCGAGGGAAGAATGGCCGAGAAGGAACGCAGGTAAAGAGATCCTTGGGGCCCTCGAATACGGGCTGTGCGGCAGCCCTCGCCTGGGCAGTCTCCTCCCAGAAGCCTTCGTTTTCCTCGTCATAAGCAGGAGAGGCGGAGCGGTCGACGACATCGTCACCGTGGAAGAATCCAACACCACCAATCAAATTGGAGAGCATAGCCTTGGAGAATCTCGAATACTCTTCCGACTTGAAGGGCGCCTTTGGCTCCAAAACTTCCTTGAACCTCTGCGAAAACGAAAGGGAGGCGTCCTCGAGCTCCTTGTTCATAGTCTCCGCTGAACATCGAGTTAGATATTGTGGCCATTCGTTCAAAAAAGTAGATATGGAACTTACAAGTCATGGGCTCAGAAGCCGATCCAGAAGAGAAAAGAACATCAAACTAGAAAAATCAGCTACCATACATTTAAAGGAGCTTGTTTCCAATGGTGCATACCTCGAATGCGCCAGTGAAGACCTTCTGGACCATGTGAACATTACCCTGTCCAGGAATGTGAGGAATAGTAAACAACTGTGCCGGAGGAGGGGGGTTATCGGTTCCATGCTGCTCGATGGTCTTCTCAACCTCGCCCTTCATTTGAGTGAACAGAATGCCTAGAAGTCATTAGTATGAGATAGATCAGGTAGGGCGTAGACTGCATCAAAACGAACCCTTAGCTTGCCAGAGTGCCTCTTGCGGCATAGTCGCACTTGACACGACTCCGTGCCCTAATGGCTTCTCATCATTGGTAGGGTGGTTGTGGCTGAAATACTCATTACTCTCCGGGCCAGAGGTGACATCGATGGAGAAGTCGCCCAGCTCCGAGGAGTAGCCGGTGAATTTCAAGTCGCCGTCAAGTGGGGAGCTCAAGGAAGCCGTGTCCATATCAACGCCCACTTCGCCGAGTCCTTCAAGGGTCGTATAGAAGATCATCGTGGTGGGCTGGTCAGGGCTGCCGTCTTCACGAGGGGTACCCTTCACGCGGAATCCCCAGCTACCACCATGCTGGCCGCCAGGGACCTTGACGAAATCAATCGTGAGGTCTAGACTGTTCCCAGCATCGTGGATAGTCTCTCGTCCACCCTTCCGCACATCATATTCGTCCCAGCCATATCCAGCCATACCCTCATTTTGTTCGCAGGTGTGTCTGAAGTCTTTAATGGTGTCAAAGTCAGCACTTCCTTTCACTTCACCTACGAAGATTGGGGGTTGCGACTGCAATTGCAAGTGCAATTATCAGAGTATGACTTACTCTGCTGCGCAGTGGCAAAGTCATCGACCTTGGCCCACATCAATCCAGCAGCTAGGCTGTTCGCAATGCGAGGGCGTACTCCGAAGTACAGGTTGGACTTGTAGGGGCCCCATAGCAGGGAGTGGTTGTTGGCGCGAGCGGCCTCGTTGATTAGGATTGAGGCATCGGTGGGATCATTGTTTGCTGAGATCCCGGTCGCAAAGAGGACCGATGTTAGTAGGGAGACACCGAAAAGTCGCATCTTTGCACGGGCATCAATGGACTTTCGGAGAGTTGACAGAAGTTCAAGTTGCAGCGGAGGGCGGAGCTTGCTGTTCTCTCCGCAATTACGTGGCCCGAGCTCCTGCCAGCGTAGTAACTAGCAGTATGTACTAGGAGTATACATTTACCATTGCATTTACAATTGCATTGGTATATGTAGTATATTCTTATTTGTTATATAATATTCATATGCACATTCAATCTACTATTCTACCTCACAACTGGTCCCGAGGATCCAACGATCCAATCTTAGCACTCTTCGCCTTCCCATCAAATACAAACTCACTCATCAACTTGCCTGTACCAGGACCATTCTGGATACCCCAGCAAGTATGTCCAGAAGCAAGATACAATCCCTTATCATGAGTCAATCCAACCAAAGGCCCACCAAACCCAGTACTATTAGGCAAGTAGCAAGCCTGTCGAACTTGAACCGTCCCATCCCGCAGCTCATCAGAAATACTTCCAACCTGATCAATAATCTCCTGGCACCGTTCCTGATCAATTTCCACATCCGCAGACGTCGCAGGCAGAGGGACAATCTTATCACCATCCCCACAAGCATAAACAGTATCGTCCGGACGCGCATAGATCTCCGGTGCCGCCGCCGTAGGCCTCGACTTAACATTCGGGTTAAAATTGGCCGGCAGCTCGATATTCGTAAAAAGCGCATACGCACTAACCGGCCGAGTTGGTCGGATGACAACACTGTGTGCACGCATAGCTGCAATGGGCGCTTCGGGAAGGACTTTGCTAGTCCATGGTCCCGCAGCGACAATGACATCCGTTGCCGGGATCGTACGTGAGTCTCCAGAGGTCTTGTCGGTATATGTGACAGATTCAACTGCGCCATCTGGACGGGAAATATCAGTGACTTGTCCTAGGATAATTTCCGCGCCTTTCTCCTCTGCTAGCTTGGCCATGGACGTGGTGAAGAGGTAAGGGTGGACCTGGGCAGTTTCACCAGGCCCACTCATACTCTCGTAGGCGCGTAGAAGATCCGGTTCAATCCAGTCAAGATCCTCGGGCGTGTTGGAAGACTTTAGTTTCGACATTGCGGCGGTGCTGCGTTTCTGTAGGGATTCGCCGGAGGGTTTGTTGTTGTTAGTGGCGGGTTTGTCGGTCATTGCGCGGCCGCGGACGACGATTTGGCCGCAGTTGGTCTCTCGGTAGCCCCATCTATTTTTCCCGTCGTGTTCTTTTGCAAGTTGCGCGTGTAGTGGGTAGCTGAGATCCACGAGGTTGTTCGGATAGGCCCATTGCGCAAGCAATCCGCCGGCCTTGCCAGATGCCCCGCCGGCTATATCGGTGGCTTCGAGGAGGGTGATTTTGTGACGAGTTGGGTCGTAGGAGGGGTGTCTTGTGAGGAAGTATGCTGAGCAGCATCCAATTATACCACCGCCTGGAGGTGAAAAATGTGGTCAGCGCATTCAGTTGCAACGGCGCGGGGTACGAAATGGTGCAAATAGCTTGTTCTATCTTACCAATAACGACGATTTCACGACGATCTGCAGAGGCAGTCATTTTGAATACTCGTGGCACAATATTTGAGGTCAAAAATTGTAACGAAGCCACGGTGGTATGGGAGTTGGTAAAAAGTTGATTGTAAAAACCGGCGGTGGTCTAAAGAGAGCTACGTCACAGCCGATGTGGAGGAGAAACCGCGACTTTTATAGGCCACTCAAACTCGAACTTGAATAAATGCAATCAACTACATCCTGGGTAGGCATTTGGGGGGGAATGACATGTCATGTCTAATAATGCTCCAATTTCCAATTGTGATAATGGCAATTAAGTAACAGGGGGTCTTTGCCGTAGAAGATTTTAGAATAGAAATAACCCGAGGACCATGCTCCGCGAATGCAAAAAGGGCTGGGAAAAGGAAAAAGGAAAAAGAAAAGAGAAGAGAAAAAAAGATGGGATAGAAAGTAAATCCCTCCAAGTGAAACCCATGTAAAAGCAAAAGAAAGCAACCCTTGAATACCACCAATATAGCAGTGGAATCATCGTGACGGACTGAGAGGTCGGTTGAAACCTCCTGTACGGTTCATGTACTGGCGGTACTCGATCTTCTTTTCCTTCCGCACACCGTAGATATCATTGCCGGGCACCTTGGTGTTCTTCGTAGTCCGGAACCGTGTGAAACCCATGCTCTTGCGCATCATAGCCTCGAATTCATCCTCGTCGGCATCTTCCTTGAAATCCACGTCCATTTCATCTTTGCTGTGTCCAGAGCCATTGGCATGTCGGCCATCATCTCGAGACCGATGGTCTCTGCGATCAGAGCGACGGTCCCCTTTGTTTCCTCGGGGAGGAGATCTGGACCTCGACCGGGCCTTGCCATTTCGAACTGGAGATCGCGAGCGGGAACGGTCGCGGAATTTGTCGCCCTTTGATGCATATCCTGCGCAAAAATGTCGATCAGTCCTGATTTCATGCCTGGCTTGTACATTGCCACTCTCTCGTAGCTGCTGCTGTTGCTGATGCTGCTGCTGTTGCTTACCTCGTCGATCATAGCCACCGCGCTCTCGGCTGGTACTCCTCTTCCGGTCCCTAGCTCCATGTCCGTCCCTATCTCTATCCCTTCGGTCGCGGCGATCTCGAGACCAGCTCCGTTCTCGCCGTCTATCTTCCTGATCGAATCGACGATCGTTTCGAGGACCGTCGCGTCGGTCGTCTCGAGGTGGTGGGCGTCGGCGGTCTTGGTCTGAAGCTGCATCTGGCGAGCGAGCTCTTGAGTCACTTGAATCCCACATAGCACTACTGTCAACACGTCGAGCACGTTTTGCAGGTGGCTCCGCCATGGTGGTTGGGAGACAAAGGTGGTGTCTGGTGCCGTGTGGTCTTTCGGCGGTTGGATGAAGCGCGACAGAAATTGGGCGGGTTACTTCTTCCGAGAGGTTATGACTCTCGATAATATTTCAGAGAGGTAATCGAAAGGGTCATAAGCAGCTATGAGCGCTGGGGGTATCACGTCGTCGCAATTGCACTTCTCGTTACGCTGGCAGAACCTTGAGAAGTTTATTACGGTCGGTGGGAGGTGCCAACTACGCTGTTCGGGCTGTTGCTGTCCTGCTGTACTCTGCTACGGGCCACTTCATATATACAGCAGCACCGAGTAGAGCTAGCTATTTTCTCCAATCAGATCTAGATCCTACTAAGTCCACTCGGACTCTTTTCCCTCTTTTTTTGTTCTTCTTTACAAACCACCGGGTTATCTCCAAGGGGGGTCACCCATACTCCCAACGATGACTGAGAGGCCTAATATGTCAGCATCCGGCTTCGACCCTGAGTCGTCGGCGGAATTTCACAATAAGATATTCGAGCATGCATGGATCCGGACTGGCCGAGATCTCGCTTCGCTTCTCTCAACCAGTTGTGGGAGGAGTCGTCTCCGATTCCGTTCGACCTCGCCTCGCGTCTGGACCCTAATTTGATTCGGTTTCTCCGATTAGCTAAAGACGTGACTGGATTCTTTGATTTCAGGCTGGAGCTTTTTTTTATTACCTGACTGGTCTTGCTAGAAAAGAAAATCTTTTTTCGGTTTCAGATACTGGAATCGCGAGGAGAACGCTACGTGATGCTGTATCACTCGACTTGTACTATGAATGATGAAGTTGGCATCCTGTTCGTCGGACCTAACCTAAAAGCATCAGATTAGTGTAGATGCAGACCAACTATTTTACTCCGGTACTAGTACTAATAAAAGTCACAGATTCAATCAAAAGACCGAGCTCGCGGCCTTTTTACCAGATTAGATAGACATGGACGTGGAGGATATATACCCATGGAGACCTTTACAGAGTATTCTCTATACTATCTAGAGATGATAAAAGATGGAAAGGTCACCACATATCCGACCCATCGCGAAGTCAATGGCCCTCGCCATCTGTTCCCTGGAAAGTTCATCAACATACTCAACCTTGGAAAGCGACGTCAAGAAAGCCGTCACGGGTTTCACGCGCCTTCTTGACACAATCGAATCTCGACTCCCGTCAACTCGATTACCCAAGACGGAAAATATATATACTATTCCGCAAAATAAGAATGCCAAAATTTCATACACAACCTCAACGATAACCTCATCGATAATACAAAAAGATTCCTTCGTCCATACATTTCTCTCCCCTTTACCGACTACATCGCCCCAAAAAAATCAATAAATAATAAAAGAATAGAAAGACAAAAACAATGGATGACTGGAAATAGCAGCCGAACGCGGTAACCACTGCGCCACTCCGACCAACGTCGGAGCCAGGATTCGAACCTGGGCACCCGAAGGAATTCGGTGAGCTTAACCATTGCGCCATTCCATTGATGAAGAATTTAACCGGGTTTATCGATATATACCCTACGGGGTTCTTACCTACTTTCTGCCTCATCTAGGATTTCTCATAAAGTACCTCTGGTAGTGTCATGCATATCAATTTACCAAGCTCTAGATACTATGGTGTTCCGAACATTAGATTATAATCCCCACCATGTATCTATTTGTACAGTCTAGTTGACCTAGCTTTGAAACAATGTATCTTAGATACTAGTACAAGTAGTACTAGTTAACTACTAACTATATATCGTGACAATCCAAGCTAGAAAGTCCCCAGCGGGACTATACTAATACCCCGCCATTGGAGCCACGCGCTAACGATGGCGTCTCTACTAATTATAGAGTGTGAAACTGGTAGATACCGTGACCATGACCATGTTATATATCATTTTCGAAAGATGATTAGTATACAGACCGGCTTTGTACATCTTAGCACCCTCTCTCATCTTCCCGATGCCATTATACCTACTAGTAGTTGAATGACGTCACAAAATATTTCAACCTCAGCTTTGAATCCAATTGACTGCGATCGTAATACAAAGATGATCCATAGAGTCCTGCCAATCTAGAGCAAAATAATCAACCACAGCACATATCCCAGACATGCAGCGCAGTCGCGCAGTTCGCGGCCCGACCCGTCGAGCCTCAAAGCCCACGAAATTTTTGCAGTGCAATCAACCCCACTCCATCCGCATCTCCCTGCACCAGATCACCCCCATCAGAGCAGAGCAGAGCGCGCCATGGCCCCAATCAACCTGTCCCATCGGCGGACGCATAATCTCCTGCTTATTTCCAAATTGCTCAATTTGAGAGATACCGCGTCGCCGTTTACCCTGCTGCTTGACTCGCTGGAGCAGCCGGCCACACCCCTGCTCAAAGAATATATCAGACGTGCGAAGGTGTGTTGGATCAAGTTACTACATTATTTATGTCCGAATTTCTTGTTTGATCCATACTGACCAGTAAAACAGCTCTCCAAAGTCCACGTCACTCTCATTTCATTCGAAACGCTCCGCAAACCAGATGGCGTCGATGCATTCATTTCCGCTCGCCGCAAGAATCCGGCGGATATCATGTCCGAAGTAGCTTCAGCTTACCAGCCTGCTAAAATTAACGGTCCATCGCAGCGTGAGTCATTCCAACTTCAAGATAATCAAAGAGCTCAACAGTCTCGCTCTTGAAACACCCTGCGTGCATGACTCGACTAACCCCGATAGGCCGCCTCATCTTAATCGACGCCATAAACCCGCTACTAAGCTACAAAAAGCTGGACCCAACCTTCCAACTAGCATCCTTCCTCGGATCATTCATCACACCCCGAGATCCATCAACACCCAAAGCCGACGCATCACTAGTGGTAGCATACCACTCCGACGTCCCAGGCCTACACCAACAAGCACAAAATGCCTACAAGCCCGCCCACCTCTCCATACTAACCTACCTCGCAACAAGCATAATAACCCTGCACTCATTCTCCCACATCCTCGCTCAAAAGGCAGCGCGGGACCGCAGCCTAGTCGCCCCCGTTTTCGGGCTAGACGAAGAACAAGACGGAGTCATCCTCGGACGCCTGGATAAATTGACCGGTACAGGCGCCGCGGAGGGGATAGTTCTTGAACTGGAACATCGGCGGAAGAGTGGACGCGGTGTGTTGGAGTGGTATCTCCTCCCCCCTGCGTCGCGGTATGCGACGTCGTGTGTGAAGGAGGTTGTTACGCTTTTGGATGATAATGTCTTGTATAATCCGCCCATGGAGCCGGATAGTCGTGCGGAAGATGAGGAGCCGAAGTCGACGTTTGAGCTTGGGCTTACGGATCGACAGAGGCGGGATCGGGAGGGGGTTGTTTTGCCTTATTTTGATGCGCAGTATGGGGATGGGCCTGGAGAGGGTGGGAGGATTCTTTATGATATGGGTGAAGAGGATGATTTTGATGAGGAGGAGGATGAGATTTAGAGAAATTTGTCATGATGAGTAGAGGTCTATGAATTGCCACGAACTATATTTGTGAAGAAAAGGGCCAAGGCCGGTCTAATGAATAATTTGGATTCGTATAGCTACATACATTCATACATACAATGGGGGGAATCGGAATTGAGGAAGCGCTGCCATTGGGAGCTGATGATATTAAAAGAAGCGCCACCAGAGTAGGAGGAGGATCACGAAACCAACACCAGCGAAAGGTCCATACTGTTTCATGAGAGTAGTAGTTAGCAACAGTCACCAGGGTTGGTGAATGGGTGGGTGGGTGGATGGTTATAGATAACACTTACCTGCTTGAGCAGCAATTCCCAGTTAATGCGCACGGCACCCTTGCGGTATTTCTTACTGTCCTCTCGCAGACGACCGGACAGTTCACCCATGCGCTCCAGACTGTCTCCACGATACAGAAGATCCTCGATGTTCTTGGTCATTACCTTAGTGACGTCGCGTAGTTCATCATTCAACTTATCCAAGTTCTGCGAGGCGCGACTATCCTGGTACAGCTTCTTGGTACGTTGAATAAAGGTGTCGAATTCGACAAAGGCGTATGGGCGAAGGGTCGGGGAGAGATATTGGGATTGGGCGTAGGTGGTTGTGAATTCGGAGGCCAGATCGGCGAGATAAGTGAATGCCAGTTTTCGGGGGTAGGACCGGTCGCAGATGCAAAGGAAGCAAATGTCGTCTTGAATCAGGTAGCTAGGCAAATAAAAAGAAGAGGTTAGTATTGTAGCTTTCGTTTCTTTCAACCTTTTGTCATCCCCTCCCCCATCCCCTGGACATGCGCTCGACTCACTGGAGGGTGTATTGACCGGACTCAATACTGGCCTGAGGTGCAGCATTGCGGGTCAATCGGCGGAAAATCATCTTGCATTGCGACTTGATCTCTGACAGCTCAGACTCGGCCTGTTAAAAGCGGACCAGGTCAGTTCTCATTCACTCTTTCACACACACACTCTCTCTCTTATCATCTCCACATCTTGTTGTTCGCCTCACCTGCTCATCATCGACGGAAGCAGCCAGCATCAGGCCTATTCAACGAATCTTGTCAGTAAAGTGACCAGGGTATTTCCGATTGAGATCCATATCATACCATCCAGCCTTGCGATCTGTGTTGATTTGACCATTCTGGCAACTGTGACCAAACCAAAGCTATTGTCGCCAGGGTGTTTTGGACGGTGTCCACATCCCCCAAGTAAACTTGACTACAATGGGCCGGAAAAGGGCGGTGGCTGATGGCAGAAGCGGGTGCCGCTCGGGGTGAGCTCCCCACAACTTCCACTCTTTTGACTTCTTTGTCCGTTGATCGCGAACTAACACCTGCTTTTCTCCTCTTGCTCTGCTATAGGCGGATCGCGAAAGAATCAACTACTCCTACCGATGTAGGTGCACACCCGAAAAAGGCGATGACTAGCCCGGTGAAACGAGCCCCTAAGAAAGCTGCTCCCCGGGGAAAGTGGAGCGAGGCAACGCTATTGACCAGCGAGAAGTCGGTGTTAGTTCACGCGGATCTGGTGGTATGTTATGCTCCTTATGCCCTATGCTTTTGCCTATTTCTAAACTATACCATAATGCAAAACTAACTCCACTCGCCTTCTTTGGGAACTTTCCAGAAACTACTCGCCAGCCCCGAAGCTTGGAATTGTCTAGATGAAAGCGACAAACAAGAGATCCTAGCTCTTCTCCCCGCAGATATCCACCCCGAAACCGAGCTCCAGCCAGACAGCCAAGAACAAAAGTTACCCCCATTACCTGCGTCATTCTTGCGCTACTCGAATAATTGGCGCGATGGCCTTCGTCAATTCCAGCTCGACCTTGAGAATGGTCGCTACGACCCTGAATGGTTGCGACAAGCAGAGAAGGCTCGCAAGCAGCGGGAAAGTGGTGATTTCGACACCTTTAAAGAACGGGAGTTCGAACAGTTCTGGGGCCAGAAGCAGAATTTCAACAAGAGGCTTCCCGCTGGTGACAGTGCTAAGATCAAATTGAGCGTGCTTGTTGAACATGGTGTGATTCAGCTCGGTGATGTCTGGAGGTTTCGTTTTGGGTTTGGGAAGGGCGAAAATAACATTAAGATTGATAAGGAAGTCAGGGTGTGTCACATCTCTCGTTTCCTCTAATCGTTGAGACACATATCTGGAATCGAGACTGACAGCTCTTAGATTGACCGCATCGAGGGCTCAGACTTGTCATTTACGATTCCTACTGGGAGACGAACATTCCTCTCAAGTGCTCATCCTGGAGCCCAGAAAATGGAACCATCACCCATTGAAAGCGACATCAAGATGAAAGTCACCCCTACAACCCCCCAGGAGGTTCTTGCAGATGCCGCAAAGGTCTCATCGGACACTGAAGAACCGACCATCGGGCATAGCATCAAACAGGAGCTTCCTACTCCAAATCCACCGGAGATCCTAGAGAGGGATGCAGAGGAACCAGCTGAAAATCCACCAAGATTATCCAAGGTCCCAAACGTTACCGATTCCACTGCGGAAGTGGCGGATGACACCGTGGATGTAATCCTGCCACAAGAAGCAAATGAAACAGCCTCCACAGCCGATGCTTCACTCGGAGATAATCAAGACACCGGAGCTTTTCAGGTCATCATCGTGAACCAGAATGATAGTCCCAAACCCGCCAACAAAAGCTTCAAACGCCGGACACCCCAACCGGAATCTGAACCTCCAGCAAAGCGCAAGCGAGGTAGACCTCGCAAGATCTCGTCTGTCCCTGAACCCGGGACAGAGACAGTACCAGATCCGGACAAACAGGATGTTACCAGTCCCGCAGTCGACACCCCAGCCAACGCAGGCATATCTGTGGAAATAGTCAAATCTCCATATCATTTGTCCAATTCTGCATCATCAGAAGCAATGCGATCAAACACACAAACGAAGGACCCTGAACAAAGTACAGAAACTTCACCACCTACAGATATCGAGATGCGGGACGCAGACGGGCCAACTATCCAGACCAGCTTTCCACCCCCAGGATCATTCACGGACCATGAACTCCCAGAAAAGTCCGTGGAAACCCTAGTACAAGCCGGAGAGTTGAACCAAAGCGAAAAGTCTACTGCGGCTCTAACGGCTACGACCAACACAAACCCATACGAACCCGATAGAATCGAAGAACAAGAAGAGCCCGCATCATCCCCACTTTCCCCAGCCAGATCAATGACAAACCCACCATCCACCCAGCCCCAGAAAGAACCGGAACAACCCACCGATGAAGCAGACCATCAACCACAGCCTGAGGCTAAGGCAGAGGCAAAGGTCGAGGCCGAGGTAGAGTCCAAGGAAGCAGCGCAAAAACCCGAACCGGAGCAGCTCGAGGTAACGGTCACAATTCAAAACATTAAAACCCCAAGCCCCGTCATCACCCACATCTTGAAACTGGACGGACGAAAGCCTGACGGCAGAACTGGAAATTCCTGGAAGGAATTCCGTTGTTACCGGAATAATCAGGACATTGGGAGTCTTTGGGAGTTGCGAGAGGCGTGGTATTTGAAGCAGAAATGATTTTTTTTTTTAACTTAACATGGATACCCCCACGCGCGTCTCCTTGCCCTTTCGCTTTCGCTTGCGCTATTGCATTTCATTTTTCGTTTTCGGTTTCGTTTTCGTCTTTGCCATCGTGCACATTCAGAGAGAAGGGGAGACTGATAGATGAACGGATGGACGAATTGATCGATTCGTTGCTTTGCGGGACTTGGATCCAAGATATTCAAGATCCTGGCGTGCAGTTTATGATAGATTTCAAATTCGAGCAATTCGCGGGCACTGTCTACGTCTTCTCTTTTCTTCCAATGTCTTCATCCTCTTTTCGGAATCTGTAGATTAATCCCATTAAGCCGATTTAGTCTAGACACAACAATGAGAACATATCATTCAAACTGGATGGATGAAGCAATGCATGCAAGCTATTCAATTCAATTCAATACATCTTTTGTATTGTAGGGTAAATAACCATTCCTATCCAAATACCTTGGGTATCCCATCCCTCTCACTATAAAGACCCCCCCACTAAAAGACCCCATAGCAAGCGGCGTCGGTTCCGAATCAACAGCAACATCCACCGCAAAACTAGCCTGAATAAAATCCTCCAACTCCTCACTAACAGTCTTAAGTTTCTCCTTAACACTAGCAACACCCTCCTGACCAACAATATGTCTAGACGGCGGATTCTCATGGCCCCCAATCGAGGTGATCGCGTACACGGTTTCGGAAACTAGGACTTCCAGATGCGCCGAGCTAAGTGGTGGATGCATTGAGACGACTTCGGGGACGGAGAAGGGTCCGTTTTCGATTGAGCTGACGCGTGAGCTTGAATTTTCTGATGACTCTTGTGAGTGTGTGCTGGCGCGGTTGCGGGAGTTGGAGTTGGAATTGGAATTGGCGGAGACCGGAGTTACGCCTTCGGATTGGGCGTCGGGGAGGCGGGGGACGAGGTGGTTTAGGATTCCGCGGAAGAGAGGGGCGTGGTTGTTTGCTGGTGAATAGGCGGGGAAGATTGGTGGGACGCTTGTTACTAGGTTTGTTAGGATTCCTATTTCGATGCTGCATTGGAATATAGTGAGTTTTATGTTGAAGGGGGCGATCTCGTAGGCCAGACTCTGTAATATTGGTTAGGTGGGATTCAAGAAGATATGAGAGAGGGGGAATGCCCACGTCGCAGAATCCTTCCAATGCCCAACCGGCTGCGCAGTACATGCCGAGTCCGGGGGTGCCGATATGCGCCGCTGTGTAAGTGATTAGATGTGTGGATTGGATTATGCGGGTGGGAGAGAGAAGAGCGTACTGATTCCTGATAGGATCATTATATGTCCGGCGTGCTCTCTTCGCATGTGTGGTAATGCGGCTTTGATTATGTTCAGTGGACCGAAGTAGTTGATTTCGAATTGATCGCGGACGAGGTTCATGGTTTGCTGAGAGGCGGAGAGTTCTTCGACAGTACCGACCAGAGCTGAGATTGCGTTACTTTTTGAATCACCGCATTGAAATAAGTTCCGTGTCGGTTCGGGGTACCTACTTTGACTGGTGCAGCAGAGTAATATATCTATACGCCCAAATGCAGCGACGGTTTCGGCAACGATCGCCTGGCATTCACCCATCATTCTAATTGCCAAGATATCGATTAGCTTCAATTCTTTCCGAGAATGACAGAGAAATATGTTCTCGCTTCGTGTTAAAGCGCACGATATGAGGATTGCGATGCGCACCTAATGTCTAAAGGAACCGTCTTCATGCGCTGCTTCCACCCCTCATCGTGGTGTTCATCCACTTCGGCGAGAAATGCATCGAAGCCATTTCTGCGGCGCTCGTCGCGATCAAGAATCGTATGTGCTAGGCCTAGCAGTACATAGTCGCCATGCGCGAGGGCCTGTCGCGAAACCGAGATGCCAATTGGCGAATCGCCCGCCGTGATCAGCCATACTCGAGGGCCGTGATGCGAGGGAAATTGGGCGCGCGGATCGGGAAAAGAGTGGGGGTCCATGAGGGGATTGGAATCGGATCGGGATCGGGGTCAGGGTCGGGGTCGTCAGGGTCAGCGCGGGGGCTCAAACACGATGCCCATTGCGCGACTGGAAGGTAGAGCGACAGTGGACGTATTGGTGTGTGGGTGTGTGACTGATGAGGGTGGTGGTGAGAGGGAGAGCTTTCGGAGACTGCGGAGTAGAAAGAGAAAAGGTGGAGTGGAGGTCCCCACTGTAGAACTCACCACCGCTTTGGGGAAAGGTGCGATGTACAGTTACAAACACAAGCAGATAAACAATGTAAAATATTTAATATTTAGTTATAACTAAGAGAATAACTAACTCAATTCGTCCAATAGGCTAGCACTAAAATACTACTACTAGTAGTTAGTACTACTACAACACTAGTACTACTGTAACTGTTGGAACCCGCTAGAATGCCAAGCGCGGGTTAAAGCGCGGGTTAAAGTTCCCGACGACCAAACACTTCTTCGCCGCCGCGGCCTCAACTTGACTTTCTCCTCATCACCTCCCCCCTTCCCCGCCATTATGCCTGAACAGCGGCCTCGCAGACAGGACGAATCCTCTGGTGTATGTTATGCACCCACTCACCCATTCGCCTATCTACGCTGGTGTTCTCCTCACTGACTCTCCCCCCCTCTAGTCTGGCCTTAAGGGTGCCCTCCAGGGCCTGGGAATCTTCCTCCTGGTGCAATGGGGTATCAACCAATACATGGGAAAGAATAACCAGCAGAGTGTTACTCCTGATAACAAGCCTGGCGCGATCCCCGCGTTTATCGACCGCCCTGCCCCCAATGAGGTTTCGAACCCGAGTGCCTTGCCGGACCTTATCGCTCCCATCTGGCCGGTCGACAGCGCCCTCGATATCAGCATCTATGTGACACCTTCGTTCAATGTCCCCTCGTTCAAATCCCCCAACAGCGTGCTAGTCATGCAGGAGAAGAACTTCACGATGGGTAACTACAGCGATACCCGTGAAATCGACACCACGATCAAGGTTCCCAAGGCGGTTCAGCAGAATGGAACTCTCTGGGCGCACTTTTTTGTTGCGCGCACTGGATTCCAGTTGGATCCTGCTGCCAAGGATTACACGACTGACGACGCTGTTCACTTCATTCGCCCGCTTAACCAGTATCTGCCCAAGAAGAAGACCAAGAAGCTCAAGAATCTCCTATCCGCCGCCGAGGGAGAGGAATCCGCCGAGGAAGATAACGCCCCGAAGGTCACAACTGCTTCATACTACCACCCCAACTTCACCGTTTCTCTGATCCCTGACGCCGGCACTCAGCGTCTTGGTCAGCTTGCAGCCCCGACTCGCCAATATGTGCAACTGGAGCGCAGTGGAGCCCGCGATGCCTCCGGACAGAATGGGTGGTACTATCCAATTCTGTTCCTCAACACTTTCTGGCAGCTCAAGACCCACATGATTATTCTGAACTCTACCGTCGAGGAAGTGCCGTTGCATATCACTTTGGACAACATGGCTCACTGGAAATTCAACCTCGTGACTAGCATCGACGAAGGTTCCAAGCAGAGCGCCCGTCAGGCTGCGTACGGTGGCCCCGTCCCTGGTGGCGGTGATGGAACAGAATGGGAAATGGTCAAGGAGATCCTCCTCGATACCAACATCTGGCTCCTCGGTACGACTGGCTTCGTCACTATCCTGCACATGATCTTCGAGACTCTTGCCTTCAAGAACGATATTGTAAGCCTTCCACCCATGAATATCCCCCGTGCTATCTCTGATCTCACTAACACGAAATTCAGTCTCACTGGCGCAAGAAGAAGGATTCTGTTGGTACCTCGGTCCGTACAATTCTGGCAAACGTTTTCATGCAAGCCGTTATCTTCCTCTACCTCATGGACAACAGCGAGAATACTTCTTGGATGATTCTTGCCAGTCAAGGCTTTGGAATTATGCTCGAGGCCTGGAAGATCACCAAAACGGTGGACGTTCGCCTGCGGCCCCCACCTGCTAACTCCTGGTTTTCATTCCTTCCCTATGTCATCGTCTTTGAGGACAAGCACAAGCTTTCCGAGACTGAGCAGAAGACCAAGGACTACGACGAGATTGCGTTCCGTTACCTGTATATCGTGGCAGTGCCCCTGCTCCTCGCCTACGCTACGTACAGTTTGATGTACAACACCCACAAATCGTGGTACTCGTACATCATCGAGACTCTCGTCGGCAGTGTGTACGCTTACGGATTCTTGATGATGGTTCCCAGTTTGTACATCAACTACCGTCTCAAGGTAAGCCTCTCTTCCCTGCGCCTCCATTCGTCTTAAACCTTCTTGCTGACATTCCTCTTCTAGTCTGTTGCCCACATGCCCGGCAAGGCGATGGCATACAAGTTCTTGAACACCTTCATTGATGATCTGTTCGCCTTCACTGTCAAGATGCCATGGCTGCACCGTCTGGCCACGCTCCGTGACGACGTGATCTTCTTCATCTGGCTGTACCAGGGCTGGAAGTACAAGACCGACTTCAAGCGTGTCAATGAGTTCGGCCAGGGAGGTGACAGCGATGAGGAGGAGGAGAAAGAGGCCGAGTCCACCCCCGCCGCCGATTCCCAGAAGAAGGCGATCAAGGAGGAAGCGAAGGAGGAGGTGGCTACCCAGTCCTCTTCCAAGACCAACAACTCCAAGCCCTCGACCCGCAAGAGAAAGTGAGCGGTTCTGCGGAGATGCCAGTATTGAGAGTCGACCACCTAAGATCTAGGATTGCGATTGGGCTGATTTTACCTGAAACCGATGACTTCAATCTTTCGCTTTTATCTTAGATTTATGATTTACCAGTATTGGCGGGCTATTCTGTTCGCGTTCGAGATGTAACTTAACTACACTTCACCTATGGGAGACTGCAGGGTCAACTTAGAGTTTGAAATAAATTGTTTAATTGAACACCTTTTTAAAAAAATGGATGAATGTATTAGACGTCTGTATTAGTAAAAGATCAAAAATAAAATAGAACTGTCGAGGTTCTCTCGTTTCTTTGTTGGACGGGACTTCCCTCTGCTTCCTCTGGGGTGATTGTTGATGCTTGCCCAATCGGGTCTTAGTCAAACTTCTCCACGCGCAATCCGCTTTGCACTGAATGCCGTTCAAGATTCCAGCCTCGACTTGATCTACGTCAAAACGATCATCTATCCCAATTGCAATTATCGATATCTATCCCCACCTTTCACATCCCCGCCTTTCTCTCATTATCGAGTGGTGAGAGCGCGTTGGGTCATTTACGCGTTGACGCGCCAGACGGCGGGCATGAAGATTGCCCCAGTTTAGTTCTTGAGGAACAGCAACACTAGGAGAAGACATTGTCAACCCACTAAATTTCAGTATGGCAGCTGATCTAGGTAAGTCACTTCGCGAACCCTCCCCTTCGCCCCCCTCCTCCAGGTCAATAATCAAATATTAATCGACTTATAGGAAGCGCCGAATCTGGCCGCTTGCTCGATGCGCTGGAGCATCTAGAAGCCGGTACGAATCCCAAATTTGTGCCCACTTCCAACGGGGCCATGGAAAAGAAGTAGCAGATAGAATCTAATGGGTGTTTTAGTTGCGTATGTCCCCGCCAAACAGCGGTACACAGACGCCGGCCAGCTAGCCAAAACAATTGCGTCGGACGCGCACGAGAGCGGCATTCCGCGGGCTGCGCTGGGCCGTCTTCTCAAAGTGCTTACGGCAAGAAACAACCTTGACCAAGGGACGGCGACGTCTCTTGTCAAGAATCTGTATCCCCGCGAACGGATATTGTCGAAACATGCCACGCAGGTCGTTTGTTGTCTTGGTCCTGAGCAAGACCAAGCCTACCCCCGCGACGCAGGCTCTGCTGGTACGCTGGTTGATTGTCGCGTACGATGTCCTTGAAGACAAGTCTCATCTGGGTAAACTATATGCCGTTTTGTTCAATCATCTGGACATGATTAGTCTTCGGAAACCGCTTTGTCATTTGTTGTCGCTCATTACGCGGCGGAAACATGTGAAGCCGTTTCGGATCCAGGCTCTTATGGAGTTGATTCAGAATGCCGGTGGTGAGGATAAGGAATTGGTTAGCTTGCTGAAGGTTTTTAAGAACTATTACCCTGAGATTGTTGTTGGTGATGCCGGGTCGAGGCGGGCGGGTCTGTTTTTCAAACACCCTGATCCTGAATGGTCTGGTCATGTCAAGGTCCTGCAGGATCGCAATGCGGAGATGATGGATGCCGATCAAGAGCAATCGAGCTATCAGGTTGTTCATCGGGGGACGGTGAAGCGGAGCAGGATTGAGGTTGTTATTCCTGTGCTGCAAACCTCTCGAGTGTCGATGAAACATACATCCCTGGAAGAAATTCGGGATATTAATCACTTTGTCGACAAGTTGGATCGGATTGAGCTTCCCAATCAGATAATTTCCACACTTGGTGATGCGATGGCTCAGAAATATCTTCATTTGGTGCAGTCTGAAGCTGCGAATCATCGTCTTGATGAGTGGTTGAGGAATTTTTTGGATGATAGATTGGAGCAGGTTCGGAATGATGATGACGATGAACCGGAGTCACTATCATATGTTCTCAGCTTTGTTGAGGGATATGCGTCTTTTACCAAGGTAAGCTAACGCATTTGCATCCCCCCGTCTCGCCATTGAGCTTGGACTAATCGTTGCAGTCGCTTCTCCCCTCGGTACGAGCTTTCTTAGAATCCTATCTCCAAGTATGGAACGGCCGAGACAATCGCGAGCAAGTTCTACGATTGCTTCAATACTTGCCCATCGAATCATTTGCATCTCTACAAACCAGCATACTATCACCACTTGAATCTAGTCTGCTAGACGCAACTCTATCATCAAGAACAGCTCTGCTTGATTTCTACACAGCATTAATTGCAGAATGGGGCGTGAAGCTCCGACTCGAGCCATCCGTCTCAGAAGAGTCCGAGCCCTTGACCTACGTCGTCAAACACGCAGAGCTTCTAGCATCTTCAATTCAAGAATTTGCACCAACAGCCGACGACGAACAGCAACACATCCCCGCCAACCCAGCGATTCTACCAGTCCTTCGCTTCTACAAATCCCTTGCAGACCTCTTCTCCCACGCTTCGACAAATGCCCGAATTCGCATCACAGTCCCCCAAGCCCCGACCGTATACACAATCGCCTTCACACCCAGCATCTCGATCATATCAGGCCTAAACTCCATTCTAGCAGGCTACAAATCCGCCTTCGAATCCTCACTCACCTCTACAGTCCTAACATTACCCAATCCGCCCGAACCGCTCTACGACACGAACCTGGTCGGCGAATTCAACGGCTACGTAATGGACATGTGCAATCTCCTCTGGCGAAATCGCGCCTTAAATACCGACGACCCGAATGCACTGGGGTGTATGATTCCGGCCGCGACTACCACAGCCCTGACAACATACGTGCGAAGCGTAAATGACGCGGCCAGACACTATGATCGTGAAAGCGCGTTTCATGTGACCCTTGCATCGATTTTCTCGCTCAGTCACCATGCGGCATTTTGTAATCTTTCTGCGGCGGCCTTTGCGGAGTTGGAGGATGGGCAGGGGGTTGATGATGAGGGGAGGCCTAGGATGCGGAAACCTGTTACTCAGAAGGCGTTGCAGGCGCTTGAGAAGGATGGGGGTGCGAAGGTTTCTTGGCAGGAGTATCGGGTAAGTATGCTTGATTGGTTGGATGGGGTTGGGAGTCGGGGGACGGCGGGTTTGATGAGGAGTACTATGAAGGCTTTGCGGAAGGAGTGATAGTAATGGGGGGTTTGATGTTCTACTAGTAGTACTAGTATGAATAATTGAAATGAATGGATATTCCAAGCTTTTTGAATACTAACTACTCTCATCAAATTCATTGGATAATGGCGAAATGCCGTTCAATAATTCGTGAAACTGCCATTCAATGCCAAAGTTGAAAACGCCGTGAATGCTTATCTATACACATATATTGTACACTGTTTCCCCCAACGTCTCTGCAACGAGTAGGTACACCTGGGCAGCTGCAGCCCAGTAGACTATCGGCAAAGGGCTCTAAAACTTCTCAGCAGCATTCAAGTAAATATCCTGAACACTGTGGTCATCGCGCAGGGATCCCAGTAGATCTTCAAGATCCTTCACTTGCTCTTCATCATGTACTTCGACCAGGGATTCCTGATTTGGATCCCAAAATATTTCCAATTCCTCTATCATGAGGCCCGTCAGCTTCGTGAAGGCTTCACCGACACTCTTCGTTTCTGAAGGTTCGGTAAATATGACGATGCGGCCCTTGTCATCCGTAATGATATCCGTTGCGCCAGCCTCGATAGCCTGATCCAAATGGTCATCTGCATTCAGACCATCTTTCTTCTCCATGGCTACCCTGCCTTTCTTCTCAAACAAAAATGTCGTCGGAGTCACCGTTCCTCCTCCATTTTTGATCATGTAACGCACATCTTGTAGCACTCGTGCCTTTTGGTCCGTTTGGCATTCCACGACTGCAGCAACCCCTCCAGGGAGCATCGCCTCAATTGTGACCGATTCAAGCGCCTGCCCTGACAAACTGAGTCCCTGGCCGCGTGCAATGGCCGCTTCGATGATTACTTTCGGAATGGAGGCTCGTTTCGCATTTGAAAGCGCGAGGGCTAGCCGTGGGTTGTACTTCGTGTCGGCGCCCCATACTAAGAAGGAAGAGAGGAGCGTTAGTACCCGATTGTTGCGCTGAAATTTCCAGAAGACTTACATTGAGTAGCACTGCTGATCTCTTTGCCCACCATCTGGCGTTCTTTACTCTTTGCCTTGTCATTTCTGGCCTTGTCATGCTTGATGGTGGACCATTTGTTGTGGCCGGAGAAGAGTGCGGAGGAGGTCCCAAAGCCACGGCACGCATTGCAGACAGCAGCCCCACGGGGGAAACGCAGGAGTCTGCTGATCTGAAGCGCCATGAGTGGTGGTATTCTATACCATGAGGTATCTGGCAAAAAGTGGATGTTGCGCCTGGAGTATAGGACCCGGGCCGATATTTCTCCGACTCCGCGGTGAGGACACAACGATAAGGGAAGGGGACCCTAGGCGATGACGCTGTTTCTATACCTCGATCTTCTTCATCCTCACCCCCACACCCCCCCTTTTTCCACTGTTGATGGGGATTGACTCCACAACTTCATATACCGTGCTCCAATGTCGACCTCCGAATCCGCTGCTCCATCTTCATCTCCTGAAAATGCGGTGCCGGAGCTGGATATCCCTAAACTCCATGCGCTCCCCTCGGAGCAGCAAGACCTCTACCTGCTCACCTTCACTTCTGACCTAGTCCAGTATATTTCCAGTCTCGACGCCGCTCAGGTCTCATCGCAACAAAAATCACTGAAGCAGGAATTATTCAAGATCCTGACCCTATCCTCCCCGACCCTCACGCGAGTCCTCCGCAATAACCTGGGACGATGTTTTGGTGCAATCCTGACAAAAGGGGATCGAGGGATCCTCTTCGAGACAATCACCGATTTGATCGGGATACTGAACGCGGGCAAGAGCGAAGCGGAGCTGAAGACTAAATTCGCTGCGGCGCATTGTCTGGGCGAGGTCTTTGCGGCAGCGGGTGAGAGTGCCTTCATGCAGTCGAACGTGGCTACAGCAAGTATGCTGAAGCTTCTGAAATCCGCAAGCAACCATACTGGCTTACGGGGCGTGATATTTTCCGTGTTGCGCAAGATTGTGATTGGAATTGGCGTCCCGATCGATGAACAGACTGGCCGTGATATTTGGAAACAGGCGCGCAATGCGGCGACAAGTGACAAATCGACCTTTGCGCAGGTCCATGCTTGCCGTTGTATGGAGCAATTGATCAACACGACTCCGTTCTTCGATAATGCGAATGATTTCGAAAACTTGAAGACTATCATGTGGAAGGTCATTGATAGCCCGATTGCGCCGGTGAGACATGCTGCTGCGGCATGTCTTGGTCGAGGTCTGGTTAAATTGCACGCGACAGAAGCGCATGTTACAGCGGCACCCAAGCCGAAGTCAAAGAAGTCAAAACGCATGTCTAAGAAGCCTGGTCCGCGACCCGGGGATGAAGAGGAGGACGAAATGTCTGAATCTTCTGCGGTGAATGCGCCGAAGAAGGACTCGCGCCTCTTTTTCCTTCTCCCAGATCTTCTGCGCCAACTCTCAACGCAATATTTGAAGAGCACAACTACGAACCGCACACGTGCTGGAATTTGTATATGCTACAAATATGTCCTTCGGAATCTTGGAGATAAGGTTGTCGATGAGCGCTATGGACAAATCGCCTCCAACTTACTACTCGAACTTTTAAACCACCCGACAGTGACATATAACCGGTTTCGCCTGCTGATGACTCGGAAGTTTGTCAAGACTATCCTCGAGGATACCATTGGCCGTGAGCTGCTTCGAGAGAATAGTCAGCTGAATGCTGCTAGATGGCTCATCAATGATGTTCTCAAGGACTACCCGCAAGTCATTCAGGAGCGCCGGGAGCCGAGCAAGTATACTCTGACAAGCACAGTCAGTGCACTTTCCTCGTTGATCTCCTCACTTGGTTCTGCTTTTGGCGTTCATGCTGATAGCTGCCGTGACGCCTTACTCCAAGTGCTGCCTCATCCAAGCTACACTGTTCAGATCCATACCGCGCACTGCTTGCGTAGCTTCGTGCTCGCATGCCCACACCAGCTACTATCTTGCGTGACAATTTGTATGAACAGCCTCAACCGAGAGATTGGTCAACTTGCCACGCCGCGTCAGGCTCCTCGTCGATGTGTGGGCTATGCAAATGGACTTTCGGCCATGCTTAGTACTTCGCGCCTGCAGCCTCTCTATGGTGCAGTTGACGTCTTTGCTCAGGTCTTCACCCAAGCGACGGATTTACTCAAGATTAGCAGTACCTCCGAACTGCGCGTTGCAAGCATCCAGATCCAGGTAGCCTGGATCTTGATTGGAGGGCTGATGCCCCTCGGGCCAAGCTTTGTTAAGATTCACCTCTCTCAATTGATGTTGCTTTGGAAGAATGCCTTGCCAAAGCATCTTAGCAAGGAGAACTCTGCCAAACCAAGCACGCTCGAGATAAGCTTTTTGGCTCATGTCCGCGAATGTGCGCTCAGCTCGTTGCTCGTTTTTATGGATTTCAACGGCAAACTCATCACTGCCGATGGCGCGAAGCGGATAGCTGCTATGCTCCAGAATACGGTTGAGTTCCTGGAAGATGTTCCGCGCCCCAAATCTATGGAGGAAATCGCGCATCGTCTTCATCCCTCGCTCCAACTGCATGATTACACTATCTTGGTACGCCGCCGGGTTCTCCAATGTTTCTCGAAATTGGTACATGTCCATCATCCCAGCCACGGGGAAATAATCAATCAGTCCACTCTTCTGAGTTTGGCCGTCTCTTCGTTCGCAGACCCAGATGCGCAGTACCGGCCCTTGGAAAGCTCGATTGCTGGATCCACTGGTCAATTTGATGGGCTGTGGGATCTTTGCGACAATTATGGCTTTGGCGTTACTGGACTCGCTCGTGAATATATCCATGCAGCCTTGACTGGATCAAATGGCAATGAAAATGCCCCTGCCTGGTCTGCGATCGACTCCGCGGATCAGGATGTGGATGATGCTTTGACTTTCCCAATCTGCCAAGCAAGTGAGCATGATTCAGTGCTCTTGTATAGCACGAGAGCTGGAGAAATAGCCGTTGACCCTCCAACTACTGGTGTCGTCAATTCGGCCATCGACCTGTTCTCAGTCGCTATCGCGCTTTATTCGCCCAAAATTCAGGAAAGCAGCATGGAACAGATTGCTACCTTCCTGACTTCCCAGGGCCTTCAAAGAAACCCCGGGAGAAAGGCCGCCCTGGGTGTCAACATATCCGTGGCGCTTTTGCACGTGCTGAAGGTTTCGGTCAAGGAAACTGACTTTGTGGCTGGGAAGTTAAATCCGTCTACGGACAAGCCCTTGCAGGAGCTTATTCAGGTATGCCTCAAATTCCCGTGACTACCATTGGATTGGATACTAATTGAAACAGAAATTCGTTACCGATGCCGACCCAATTGTGCGAACCATTGGCGTTGAGGCATTGGGTCGTCTCTGCGATAGTGCCGGCAACACTTGCACCAATGCACAGGTGAATTGGCTTGTTGATACCATCGTTTCGAACAGAGACCCGCATGCTCGAGCCGGATGTGCTGCTGCTTTGGGCTGTATTCATTCCCAGATTGGCGGCATGGCTGCGGGTCTGCATCTGAAGACCATCGTTGGCGTATTGATGTCTCTTTGCAACGACCCCCATCCCGTCGTTCATTTCTGGGCTCTCGGCGGATTGGAACGGGTGGCCAACTCGGCTGGCTTGACCTTTTCACCATACGCATCTAGCTCTCTGGGCATGCTTGCGCAGCTTTACAATGCTGACACCCACAACGAAGAGTCCGCTACTTTGGCCACTTCCAACATTGAGATGTCTTTCCTGACGCCTGTGGTAATTAGCCGATGCGTTGATTCTCTGATCAACGTATTGGGACCAGACCTGCAGGATGTTGCCAAAACACGGAATCTCATTCTCACACTGCTCCGCCAATTCCAGCTGGAGGAAAACCCTGCTTTGGTCACGGAAAGCTCCAAATGCTTGGATCATTTCTCTCTTTATGCTTCTAGCTTTGTTGACTTCTCTGGATACGTGAAGCGCCTCCAGACCGAACTCCGCGCCAGCGACCATTTCATGCGAGATGTTGCGGTGCGTGGACTCAGCAACTTGATGAAGAGAGATGCTGCTTCAGTAGTGGAGACAGCTAGCGAGGGCCTCGAAGACGATATCTGGCTTGCGTTCGACGATGCACCCGATAGCGGGCCTTTGAAGAAAATGATTACCGAATGGCTGCAGCAAACTGCGCTCACTGAGACTGAACTATGGATCCAACGGTGCAATAATATCATGACAAAGACCCGTAACAAGGTTGAGCCCCCACCAACCACAGCCGTGCAGACCGGTGCTGCGGATATCCCTGACGACGAGGTTGCTGGGTTTGCTGCCGGTGCTGGCGATGTGCAAGTCGACTCTGCAAATGGCGTTGCAGGGCAGGAGTTGCTTAAATGGCAGACCCGCAACTTCGCCATGGGTTGTCTTTCCGAGCTGCTCGCTACTGTCCAAGAAGCAATCCTGCCAGACCAGGCAATTCCGGCAGAGCAGGCACTTCAGGCCAAGGTTGGAGATATTGTCCGAATGGCATTCCTGGCATCGACTGCCAATGTCATTGAACTTCGTGTTTGGGGATTGAAGATCATTGACCAGGTCTTGAAGATGTTTGGAAAGACTCCTGATCCGGATTTCGCCGAGGCCTCGTTGCTGGAGCAATATCAGGCTCAGATTGGATCCGCGCTTACCCCCGCCTTCGCTGCAGATTCGTCGGCCGAGCTTGCCTCTGAGGCGATCAACGTGTCGGCGACTTTCATTTCTACGGGAATTGTGACGAATGTGGATCGCATGGGTAGAATCCTCAAATTGCTTGTTCTAGGCTTGGAAAACTTCGCAAAGAACCCTGATACCACTGAGATTGGAGATCTGAAGGGCTTGAACTCTAATGCCCGCGTTATGGTCAAACTGGCGCTGTTCGCTGCATGGGCTCGACTGCAGATTGCAAGCTTTGACCAAGAATACCTTGCTCAGGTAGTCCAGCCCTACATTGCTAAGCTCACTCCGTTGTGGCTTTCCTCTCTCCAGGAATATGCTCGATTGCGGTTTGAGCCAGACATTTCGGGTGCTTTGGGCACGAGCACTTCGAGTAGCAATTTGGATGAAGTCTACGCTGCATTGAATCGTGAAACTTTGCTCAAGTTTTACCAAGACTCTTGGCTCAACCTTGTTGATGCTATTGCTGGCTTAGTCGAGAAGGATATTGATTTTGTTTTCGATGCTCTTGATGGAAAGCTGCAACAGCCCGAAGATGAGAAGGAGGACAAGGAGGGTGAGAAGAAGGACGAAGAATCGTCTGTCGCCGAGTCGAAGGGCAAGGGAGACGCCATCAACTACCGTGAAGAACCAGTGGCCTTCTTCTTTGTCTTGTTTGGTCTGGCATTTGAATCTCTAGTCGATCAAAGCACTTCACCCTCGCAGCGTCTGGGAATCCTGCAGGCCCTCAAGAGAATCTTGAGACCAATTATCTCTGGAAATGCCATCTACCAGGATGCTATTTTCTCCGAGACTATGGATACCTTCGACCGCCTTGTCCTGACGGAAAGTACCCCAATTCAGACGGTTATCGTTGAGATCGCTCAGAATCTTTCCCTGGACCACCCTGCCGCCAAGAGTGACCAGGAGCGCAGCGATCATTTGTCGGATGATATCGAACAGCTTTTCGAGCTCACAAGAAGCATTATCCTTGTTCTCGCCGGCATGCTTCCCAACCTACGTGAATCGACACCTCTCGCCCGCTTCAACGTAACCTCCGACGATTCTCTGACTCTCATTCGCCTGGCCCTCAAATCACTTGTGGATGTCGCTTCAGTTTTCCCATCCATTATCCGCAACGACCTCCACGCCTGCATCCTGCACATTTTCACGACCATCTTGGCTACAGGAATCTGCCAGACCCAGGTTGTTCCCCAAGCACTTCCCATTTTCCGACAGTTTGTTCACAGCATCACCCACTCAACCGACATACCAGAAGAAATGGACGTCGTTGCGTTCCAACTGCGAGGCTGCCTAACTCGATTTCTCACCATTCTCACAATTGCCCAGCGCCGAGAATCCGAGACCTCGATGCCATGTGCCAAAAATACTCTTCTGGCCATCACTTTCCTCCTCACGGCCGGCGGACACGTCCTTCCGCCGCAAGATCCAGTGATCAACCGAGTCCTCAATGAACTCCTCGACTGTCTCCAAGATGTCGGACTCGCAACCGTGGCCGCGAGCTGCCTACGTTCAATCATCCTCAAGCCCAATCCCCGTTACACAACCGACGACGTGATCTCCCGCTACCTCTTCCCCCGACTCATCGCCTTCCTGGTCGGCTGCCCAGACAACGGTGATATCCCCAGCGACCCAGAAAATTCCCGCACAGTCGTCGCACGCACGCTCGTGTCTTGCGTAGCCAACACGACCTTCTCACCGACCGAATTGCCCACGGCGATATCCCTCATCATGTCTGCCCTGCTTGCCCGTGCTAAACGCGAAGGCCAAGCCGTGCATAAGGAATCGGCGGTCCATTTGCTCGAACTTGCCAAGGCGGACCAACTCACTTTCAAGGCCCTTGTGGCGAGTATGAGCCCAGAGCAGAAGGCGCTTTTGGAAGAGGTTCTTCGCAGTGCAGGTATTGGTGCTGGGACTGCTAAGTCGGATGAGTCTATTGAGAATACTCAGCAGGTGCAGCCTAGTATTGCTCTTCGGATGGACTTTTAGTTAGTGGGATACCGGGCCAGGGATGCTGGTAGAGATGCTATTTGTCTTCGATGCACAGATGAGATGAGATGAGATGAGATGAGATGAGATGAGATGAGATGAGATGAGATGAGATGAGATGAGATGAGATGAGATGAGATGAGATGAGATGAGATGATTTTAACTGATGTATAGACCTACACCTATGATGATGACTTTGTTCATGGCGCGGTATAAACATAAACATATTTCGAAATTAATTCTTTTTGCTTTTACTATGGATGGATTGTCGTATTATTCATTCTACTACTAGTATTAGTACACTACCTCTCCACTAACTATCTTAGTAACAGTGCGTGCTAGCCTCTATCCCAAGTATATTACAAGGTATCATAGAATCCAACCTTCAAGTTGAAATTAATCGTAAACTTATCGAAATACTGATGCATACTTTCTTTTGAAAAGAAGAAATAAAGTAAATAATCCCGCTACCGGCAAGGATCTATGCTGTCTATTAGGCGTTTCAACCTGCCCAGTATGTAGGAATACCACATACTACTATTACTGACCTCGACTCCGCCCTCTTCTGCGTGCTGCCTCTGCTTGCCGTCTGTACTCATCAAGCCGCTGGTCTGGGATCTGTTAAGGCATCAAGGTGACATCATTAATATCCTTCAATGACGGTTATTCAGGAACAAAACACAACAAAGATATTCCTCAAACATTCCTACACCCATTATTCTCCTCTCTGTCACTGAAAAAGATGTCGTATGCGTATCAAAACGAGGGTATTGTGTCAGAGGAGGAAGGGACATGTACGTTTCTCGCGCACCTTCCCTCTGATACTCCCGTCTATCGTTACGCCGAAAACTGCATAATGGAGAGCCTCTTCACTCAGGATTCCATCGAGGATCGCTTCGTCGTCTTGAAAAACTTTCCATCAGAGACACTGACTGAACGCGACGAACAACTTCCCGGACGCTGTGACTACTCGCCATCGCTTCAGATTCTGATCATCACGATGCCTAGCCGACCACACGAAGAAGCGGCGTCCAGTTTCGACATACTGATTGCGGCCCTCGCCAAAGAGATGAAAGTCTATCGACGGCTTGCAAATTGCGGATCCACCCTGGTCGAGACCCCCGACCGAAGCAAGCAGGCAGACCGGTCGTGGCAGCCAACTCGTTCGCAGAGCAAATTTCCAACGGTGGCATTAGAAGTTGGATTCTCCGAGACAACAGCGAAACTGGAAAGGGATATCGCTTGGTGGATCAATACATCAAAAGGCAACATAAGAATGGGGCTTACCATCGATATCAAAAGATCTGGCTCTATTGAGATCAAGTCCTGGACGCCAGCATTCATGCCAGTACCGAGCCATGTCTATATCACCGCACACGGTCGCCCTGTTGTTGAGAGACACATCAGCGATCCCCCACCTCCTCGAATGACCCAGAGAATCTTCATCACGAGAGGGAGAGATGGCTGTAATCCCACGATTGAGGGGGGAGACCTAATTATACCATTTCATGCTCTGATGTTGGAACAAGCGGGAGACGGCGAGCACGATTTTGTGTTGACAACCGAGCTTCTATTGCAGGATTTGGCAGAGCGTGTCTGGGCTGCGATCGACAAAGCCCAAGCGATCAAGGCAAATAAGAGCAATACTTTGTAACTCTTATAATTACGAATAAGAAACTCGTCGGCCCCAGCAGCGGCAATAGTAAACGTAGTGTTATCGGCATCGGAAGATTGTGGATTATTCGGATCAGGAGCACCCCTAGAAGAGTTCAATAGGACATTCGCATTAACCGCATTAATTGAATCTCGCTTACCAGATATTAAGTGCGATCGCGTCCTCATCCCCATTTCCTAGATTGAGCACATTCCCACTGTGTCGAGACCACACCTTATAGGTACCGGGGCCTGTATAGTCGCTCATAGTGATAATAAATATTCAGAACAATAATACCTGGAGACTTTCAATACTAGGACTAGTATACTGAAAAGAAAGTTCAGAATGCGTAAGAGGGAGCTCATATTTATATATTTGGAAGGATAACAGTTCCCACCCAGATGGTATGAGGACGCCTAATATGTCAGTTATCAGGATACCAGCTCCATTCCATGATGGACTGCAGAACTGGCATTCGTGTTGATTGAATCGCCCCAAGCATTCCAAGGACTCGGATGCTTGCCTTTTTGCATGGATGAGATGAGATGAGATGATTAAAACGATGTATAGACCTATACTATACCTAGGTATAGTATACTTACGATGACTTCAAGATGCTCACAGAGCCGTTCTAGACATAAACATACAGTAGTATTTCGAGATTAATTTTTATGTTAGTTTTAGTACTAGATCCCAAATGGCTCGTGGTATTATTTATTCTTCTAGATATACTATACCCAGGCTGCGTGGCCACTGTTTCAGAGTCTGGCGGCTCATAATAAGATCCTCCCAGTCTACTATTGGTAGCAGTACATAGATAATTCCATACTAGTAACTAGCTATTACTAGTAAGTTAAGGTCCAAATTAAGTACTAGTGAGTGCCTTGCTTTTGCTTCAAGATGTCTGGAATTGAGGAGATATGTTGAACATTACCACCACATACACTGGCCTGCTTGTACACACAAACTCAGACCACCTTTCAGCCTCTTTGTGACTAGCCCGTAAGGTTGCTACCTGGTTGCCTTGCCGGACCCCTGTACCAAGTTCCTGACCTCTTCTTCTTCTCCAAGCTTATTACCTTCGTGAAACCGCTACTGGACGTTACCTGACATTCCATTGTATCCTGATCTGCGAGTATCCGAGCATCCTCACACCTTCATATCATATGATTTCCGGGTTTGTCAAAAATCTCGTCTGAAAAGTCGACCCATCCATCAAACTGTTCCTGCGACAACAAACTCGTCCACCGGTACCAGATCTGTTAAACACCTGGCGAGACAAAGCCCGGAAAACTGGTGAATCGTTCGTTGGCAGGTGCCATAAAACCTAGGGCCACCATCCGGCGTTCATCCCAGAAATCAAACCCGAATCGTCGGAAAAAGGTACGAAGTCCATTCGGAAAATTTCTCCCAAAGAAAAGACTTCCAGGGAGCTGCATCACACCTAGACCTAGAGTAGACCTTTGAGCTAGATCCCCCCTGAGCCATGAATGGATCATCTGGCAATTCTAACTCTTCCTCGCTCAAAGGGGTAAGCGATGGGCGTGGTGTTGCCATTGCCGGCGCCCCCGTCTCTCGTGATTTGCGGTCCAAAGCCCACTGAACAAAAGCCAGGAAGATACCTTCGACGAAAAAGTGGAATGAAAAATTCGCAAGGGAGTGGTTTCCTTCTTGATTGCGTAGTCGACTTGCCAGAACTTCCCAAATGATAGAAACGAGTCGTCATAGTTGATTATCTCGTTGAAGAACTTTGCCGTCCAGTGGCTTCCAGAAACCCGAAGAATACAATTCCTGCCCGCGAATTTCAGTTTTCGGGCCAAATGGTATGCTAGCATCGCCCCCATCAACCGCTGTTGCTCATTCCAGGTTGGCGGTCCGATGTCGACAGGTATGATTCGTATTCCGGGTGGTCGTTGTTTCCACGGCATACCTGCCCGGAAAGAAAAACGTGGAGAAAAAGGTATCTCTGGCCACGATTCTAGACAAAGAGAAATGCAGTCATGAAAGCAGTCATACAATTGTACCTGATGGAGTAAGTAAAAGCCAGTAATCACGGGAACAATCAAGAAGACTCGCCTCAAGATGCGAAGACAATGCAAGTAGACGACCAAGACATAAAGACGGTGTTGACGATGGAAGACACTGACCATGAAACGGTGTTTCCTCCGTGAGACCTGTGCCTGCCCTCTCCTGTTGCCTCATTTCACGGACCTCCGCCTCAGTAAAGAGGCAAGTGATGAGGTTGTGATCACGCAGGGGATTCTGAAGTTGATAGAAGACATCCTGAAAGGACTTGGGCAACGGATTCTGCGTATTGTCCCGATCTTCAAACCGCCACCAGAGGTAAGCACAGGTTCTGAGGCAGAATTGAACAAGGGGACTATGTCCCTCTTCTCGTCCTGTTTGAGAAACAAGTGCTTCGACAACTGTGACGAATAGACGGCTGTCTTCATGAAGGTATTGGAACACGCCGGGGGGAGGCCTGGTATGGCCTATGAAGTGTCGGGAGATCATCCAGTCGTAAGAAGATATCACGAAGTACATGCCACGGAAGCATCCCGAAGGGGTCCTTTCCTGGAGAGTTGGTAGCCATGTGGGCCGGGGCTCGAGCGCCGATCTGGTAAATTTGTTGTGGGGCACGAATGGATTTGGAACAAATAAGAATGGGGACCGAGTTGCTCCGAGATGTAGGATAGGAGGCTTGCATACTAGTAGCAGTGCCAGTAGGTGTATGTAGAGGGGGAAGTTGAAAGGTGATGAAGGTGAGGGAGGTAAGAGAGGTGAGCTTAAGCGCGCTATGAGTTGCCTAGAACAGTTTTGGGAAGGAACGAGCGACGTGGATTTGATTCCGCGTTCAAGTTCCTTCCTTGGATACTCGCTACAGAATATACTATGGAATACGTAGTATATAAACTATAGCAATTTAACTCTGTAGAGTATACAATGCAATGCAATATAATATAATAGTCAATGCTAATGCTAGTAGTAATACTAGTATAGTCAGTAGGCAGTACGGAGGCAGTGAGGCTTCAGATGCATTGCTGAACAGCCCCCATAGTGAGTAATGCGGTTAGTAAATATTTAGTATAATGCTTGGTTTTGTATTTGAAATATTAGTTTAGATCAAAATTACCATAGTATCACTAGTATACTGCTGGTTTACTGTAGTTTCGGGTGGAAGCGATGTTGAGGCCTGATATCTCAGGCGGTGAGACTGCGGAAGTGCCACTTCCACTTCTGATCGAAAGTGAAAGTGAAAGTGGGGAATGGACCCTCCCACATTTTATACTCTTCCTTTTCCTACAATCGGGTCAATTCCATTGGCATTACACCGAACCCTCTCACTCCACCATGTCTTTCCTTTAATCCCCTCTTCCTCGAGGCTTTTGCTTTCTTGCTGGGTCCGCGATGCCGCCAGATCGAGGGCGCGCCTCTCGAGCGTGTGCCTCATGCAGAAAGCAGAAGACTCGTTGCTACGAACCTGGTGTTCCAGGCAAAGCCTGCCTCAGATGTGAACGTCTTCGTCAGAACTGCTCGCTGATCGACATAGAGGGCAATGAGACTGATCCGATACCCCCGTCTTCCGGTACCGATGCGCGGTATGAATTGAATTACATTCTTCCCCAGTCCAGGCAGTGAAGTCTACCAGCAAACCAAAACTAACACGATGATCAGACTTGAACGCCTGGAAAGAACAGTTGCCACTCTCCTGGACAGACTGGGCGAAGGTCCTCCCAGCATAGGGGATGACTCAAACACGCCTGCCAGCGCACTGACAAGCTCGGAAGCGGGTGACCCAACCCCAGCGGCCTTCAAGGAGACGGAATCTTCCGCGGCTCCGATCATGGTCATACGCGATCTGGCCACCGACTCAGGTCTGAAGCCGTCGCCTGACACAAAATCCCTGGGATCGGTGCTAGACGACCTTATCACTCCCGATCTGGCCCTCACCCTGATTTCAATGTATGTATTGGTAGCATTCTTGGCAGCCCCCTTGGGAAATTAGCCCCAGAGTGTATGATCTTTTTACAGGACTCTAATTCCTTCCTCGCAGCTTTCTCGAACACTATGGCGACTGGATTATGTGGGACCCAGAGTCCGACCCGGTGCCACTTCTACCCCGTGTGAGGAATGCGCCACTGCTTTTTTGCGCTTGCTGTCTCCTAGCCGTCCGGTATACCTCGGAAGAACTCGCCGCCAGTCTCGCTCCGAAATTATACGAATGTGCTCGCTCGCTGGTCTCGAGCACCCTTCTAGTGGCGCCCCAATCCCTGGAATTCTTTCAAGCCGCTCTAATTCTCTGCATGTGGTCGACCACCGTGGGACAGGTGCCCTTGAGTATCGATACCTGGCTCCTTAGCGGATTTGCCCTACAGCATTCTCAATCCAATCCGCTTTTTGCGGAGATTACGGCTCAATCACCACCGTCTGCTCGGTTGGACAAAAGGACGGCCAGCCTTGGATGCCTGTGGAATCATCTGTGCTTGGCGCACTTGCATTATTGTATAGGTACAAGTCGTCGATCGATGCTGCAGTCCTGGCACATCGAACGGACCCGCTTGATTCTGGACTCTGATCACGCGACAAATTTTGAAACTCGCATGGTCGCGGAAATTCATCTTTATTGGACTTTATACCGGCATCTTATTGAAGCCCCGACCGACCTTTTGAAATCAGTTGCGGATTTACAAACTTGGAGAAGGGAGTGGGAATTTCTCCTCGGTATGCGATTCCCCCTTCACCACCTACCTAATCTTCATCACGCTGACACTTTCATCTCACAGTACAACCAAGATCACAATTCCTTTCAATGGGCTTCCACTTCTCAAACCTAATCCTCTACGAACACGCCCTGAAATCCAAATCCGCCCGGGGCCGAGACTCGGTCGTTTCGGAGATGATTCGCCACTCAACCGCTATCCTCCACCTGCCCATGGACGCCGTGGATCAACATACCCGCCACTTGAGCGACCATATCTACCACATGATCACATTCGCGGCAATAGTGATCTGCCGCTTACTCAATAACTACGAAACACAACTGGCGGCTACATATAATATCGCCGAACTGGACACTTTGATCTGCAATCTTGTCCAATGGCTGCATGGCATCGGCCTCCCTTGTCATGCGGCGTATACACTAGCCAATATCATTGCGAAGGTACATCAGAAACTTCGACCACGAGTTATGGAGGCGTTACCTATTGCTGTTCCTGTGGATGATTTTCCGGAGGACAGTTTTACGAATTATTATTTCCCGGAGTTTTTGGGCCTGGGGGCTTCGGCCGGGGTAATTGGGATTTATTGTCTGATTTGAACTTCTTTCCAAGGAGCCCGGATACTTCTTGATTTTGAAACCGATTTGGAGCAGCATCAGCTGGTATCAGTTGACAAGTTGTTGACCTCATGGATTCTTTAACCTAGCGGTATCTACATACCGTATCTTCAGTGGAATGCTGGGATGCTGTCTGATCAATAACTTCGGTGATAAAGAAATGAATCTGCATGGCTAACACTATCGGACTACATCTTTTGTCAAATAGCAGCAAGTCGCACATCATTGCGGCCAACTTCGAGCTCTTCGTTTGGGAACCTCCCAGAAGAACTGGTTGTGAAAATTCTCGACTACAGCATCCTGGACGCGTACGCGTTTGGCGATGCGGACTAATCCAGGAAGACTATTAAGATTCTGTTCAGTCAACCCACTGGGGTGCGTACCCACCCACAGAAGTATGTTGATTATTCAATCCTTGTTTTTTGGTTTCGTTTCCTTTCGATGGTCTTCTTTCGAGAAGGTACTTGGTGGATCAATCTTCGGGGCAACCCCGATTACATCGCAGGCGAGAAGAAGGGTCATGCTCCGCAGATAGTCCGTTGATCTCAAAGCCAGTCCAAAAGACTACTATCCAGTTCTAAGTCCAAGGCACGAATTACGCTTTAGAACTGGCCCGATTTGAGAGATCTCGGTATTCCTTGACTGGTCGTACTTGATGGATCCCACCAAATGTAAATGGAATTAATGTCATGTTATGTTATGTTCAAATTATGTGTCTTTCTCAATGCATCATTAAATACTATACAAGTCCATTCGAATAAAAGCCAACGCTGTAGAGTAATCTTCAAACAATACATGGTATAAATGCAAGATATCATCCCTAACCCCAGAGACATTCTTGGAGCTCCCTCAACAAGAATGCCACCAGGATTTATACACTCTCTTCCTTGTCCTTCAGATTTTTCCTTGACTCAACCTTCTGCACCTCCCCCTCCTGCTCAATCCCTTCACCTCCATCTTCAAGTCCATCCTCATGTTCACCTGCCAGGGAATCTGCATCTAGTACTACCTCCCCATCATTCCCACCCCTCTCCACATCCTCCGTACTCTCCCCCTCCAACCCCCAATACTTCCGCCTAGCCTTCTTAACCTTACTAGCCTTCTTCTTCCTAGCCGCCTCAGCCTTAATAGAAACCCGACTTGGACTTTGATCCCCCCTTTAAATGAGCCTCAACACGATCCGCCAACAACGACCGCGCAATCTTGTGGTTCTGAGACTGCGAGCGCGTCGCTTGGCATTTTATTACAATGCCAGATGGTTTGTGGCTGATTTGTACGGCGGAATTGGTTTTGTTCTGTGGTGGGTGTTAGTTCTAAGGAATCAACCCAACCCAACCCAACATATCTCGTTTATGTATCATTCAAGAGCCGAAGTGGACTACTGATCTTAATTGCCGGCTGGATTGGGAGTACTTACGATCTTCTGCCCGCCTGGTCCGGTACCCTTTAGGTAGGCTACTGATAAGTCCTCGTCGTTGAGTTTGAGGCGTGGGGGTAGTGGTTTTTTGCCGTGGGTGGAATGTGTTTGGGTGAATGGTCGGTGTTGGACGGGTGTTTGTGTGAGTGGGAGCTTTAGGGCTCGTGGTAGTATTGAACGTAATTGTGACATTTTTGGTAGAATGGGGGTGATTTCAATGTAAGTCGTGGAGTGGTGGTTGTTACTTTTACTTTCTGGGGATGCCGATAAGATTAGTCGGCAAAATGGAATTCGGTAGGCGGTGACCCTGCACTACGTAGAACGGAAGGGCAAGGGGGAGGGGGACCCTAGTATGATTGATTGAAATTGCTTAATTGTTGAGTATGAGTAATGAAATAAGAATGGGAATCAAAGGTCGTTTATAAGGTTGTATATTGGGTATCAAAATATATAGATGGTGTTGGTACAAAGCTTCATCTATCTGAAGCAGGCATTGACAAAGAAAATGTTTTGTAAAAATGAATGGTGTAGACAAGGCTTTATGCTGTACATCAGCCCAGAGATTCGCCAAGATGCGCTTCGGCAATAGATGGTGCGTTCTTCTGGACTCCAGAGTCATGGACGATATGGGTTTCTTTGGTGACCTCTTTGGCGACAGGCTGCTCAACCTCCTTGACGACCTTCGGCTCCTGCACCTTGCGGGTGGAAACGTACTTGAGGAAAACGATCGCCATGACTAGAAAGAAGGTTAGAATCCAAGCAGTCTAGAGGTGTAAGTGAATATGGAAGGAAACTCACAGGCACAGGTGGCAACAGTCAACGCGGCACGTCTTGTCAGAACCCACCGAAGTCCTTCGGCTTCACTCTTGCCGTCACTGTTGAGAGACACGGTGATCTTATAGTTCAATTCTTGAACCGATGTATCAATCATCCGCTGCTGTTCGCGCGTAGACATCTTGTGGTCATTGAACATGCCCTTGATATCATCCTTCATGCCGGAAAGTTCCTGGGTAAGGCGCTGGGACAGAATGTCGATTTCATGCTCTAGCTGGCCCCTCGATGCGCGTTGGTGTTGGGTCTCGGAGTTCCGGGCGGCCTGGAGAGACTGCTGAAGTTCCGAGCAAGCTGCCTTGAAAAGGTAGGACTCGTTCTCTTCGTCGGACTTGGAGGTCAGGCTTTGTTTTGCGAAATCGAGATTATTTTGTAAGATGCTTCGGACAGCCTTCATAATGGTGATGGATTGCTCATTAGTGTAGCCGCCTCTGTGTAGGTCGAGGACTAAAGAGTATGTATCGAAATGATGGACGTAGGGCGCGGGGCTCAGATGTGGGGGTTTCTCGCCGGAGGCAATCGGCTCTCCGGATGGGGTGAGGTATGTTGATGGGGAGGGCATGTGGTACACTTCTTCGAAGGCGCTTTGATTCGCGTAGGGAGCTCTTTGCGACATTTCTTCGCCGACATCTTTCGAAGACTTAGAGGAAGAAGATGGGTTTTCCGGACTGTCATCTTCAGCTTGTTCCTCCTCCATTTCTGGCTCAATAGAGGCCTCTGTCGTGGTCGGTTCGGCGGCAGCTTGCTCCGTGGTATTTGTGGCGGAGGAATCCATGGCCTCGGTGGCAGAAACAGCATCAATGGCATCATGTGTTTCTGTGGAGGAGTCCGGGGATGGAGACTGGGGTTGTTCGGATTCGGATTCGGGCTGCGGCGGCGACTGCGATTGGGACTGCGATGACTCTGACGGGGAAATATTCGGCTCAGTTGTGTTTATCTCCACCTGAGCTTCTCCTGTGCCATCCGCGACCTGGTCTGATGTGTTTTCGGCAGGATTGGAGGAGTTGGGAGGCGTGTTCGGAGCAACGGCCGGGCCATATCGTCGCGCGTAGGCCTGCTGGTGGCGCCCCCGACTGGCGTGAAAGGTGCGCGGGCGTGCTGTTTGAAGGGATTGATAGGTTCTTGGTTGGCATGACCGGACAGCTCGCATCAGACTCGGGTAGAGGAAGGGGAGTCGAGGAGTCGCCATGGTTGGAGGTGTCGAAAGGACAAAAGTTTCCCGACGGCCAACTTTCAGTGACGTTTTGGTTCCCCACGGCGGCGCTGAGTCATCACATACAAACGAGAGACGCCACCCGATGCCTTGTTTTTTCTAGTATTACTAGTATTACTGGTTTGATGGCAGAGTATGTAATAGTTTCTGTTTATACTAGTTGTACTAGGAGGTCAGCTATTTAAATAGCTGTATGACCTAGTAAATACTAGTAGCTGCCTCACATGCGAGTAGTATACAATCGTCCGCTGTAATCGCCTATTTAGAGTGCCGTGATTGGCCAGCGAGGAGTATACAATACTTGCGCACCGAAGAAGATGAAAACTGAAAAAGAATTGGAATTCATGATAAATTCTGCATCTATGGGAACAATAATATGTTTACTAAATTACAGATAAGAGATTCAAAGCTATCCAGCGAAAAGTGCATTCAGCCTGCCCTGGAGTTCTGACGCCACTTGATACATCTCTGTCATCCTGCCCAGGGCATCCTCGAGTGTGGCCTCTGTAACAGACAAGGTGTCAGAGCTGAGGGGCAGTATTTTTAACTCTAGCCTGGAAAACAAATGATGCCCGGAGTTCGTTCGGGCAGACTTTTCGGCCTTCCATGTCTCCCCACGGAGAGCATCCAGTTCCTCCAGATCGGCTGCTCGCAGTTCTTTATTTTCGAATAAGAACCTGAGTTTTTCTCTCATTTTTAGAAGGATGCCTTTCACAAGATCCTCTTTGACAACGAAGCGATACCCGTGTGTGAATACAAGATAGCGCACCCCAACGTGGAGATATTTGGGGATCAAGGTCTCCCCCGCTCTCTTTGCACGCAGAAGCGACTGGCAATGATTGAACAGAATCATGTTGAAATTTCCTTCAACGCTCTGTGCAGCTTTGTGCCTTTCTTCCAGGATTTTTCTCCTGCGTCTCCATTGCCTTTGAAGGAAGATGATGCTGTTGGTTTCGACCGGCGAATATTCGTCAGAATGTGAAGATTCAACGGAATGGAACGCGGCAGCACTAGAATCTTGGACATCTTGTTCGAATTGGTCATCCCACCTGTTCTTAATGCATTCGCTGACTTTCATGACTGGTGCTGAGGCATCGACAAATCCTTTCAGGTATGCTGGAGCGGTAGTTTTGTCGTTCAGTGTGACAACCTGGAGCGTGTTTTTCCCGGCATAACATGAAAATGTTGCTTTCACGCCTTCACGCAGCTTAGCTGGAGATTCCATCGTATGGGAGGCCCAGTTGGGTGGGGCTACCAGTGCTAGGGTCTACAACATCGCTGTTAGCATTGATACATCTCACGGTTAAGGAGATCCTGAACTTTAAACAGAGAGAGATACCTTTGAGATCCGCGCTGACAAACTATCAATCCCACGTGGCCGAGAAGGGTAGTGAGATAAATTTAGCATCACGGTAAGCAGCAAGTCGAAAATTCGTCGTTTGGGAACAGCTGGAGACTTATGTCGGCCCTTGAATTGTAATGGCAATTGCGCCTCATTATCGAGCTTCTCGAAAATGATACAGAATGAAATAATAACATCCCGGAGAGGTATAATGCATTCCATTCTGTCCTTATCTCGTGGCTCCGCAGCGTCCAACTCGAGTGGGGATCTGATGATATCAGGCAAGTGTAGAAAGGCCCATGAGGATGGCAACACGACCGCATTACCGGGGTTCATTGCACACAGGAAAGCCGTAACTCCAAATTCGACAACGGAAAGTATAGGGTGGAGATTCGACAAAAGCAACTTGTCGACGGGTTTCGTAGCATTGAGAAACCCATGAAGGCCACGCGCCTGTTCAAAGGTTAGTCAGTAAAGTAAAATAAAGTAAATAGCTTGATTGGAAAAGAAATACCAATTCCGTACGTCCCGAATCCTGGCGTGCTGTAGGAGCTACTCGACGTACTCTCTCCAGTGCTTGAAGGGCCTCTTTAGTTGATATCAATGGATGATCCGACGACGGATGACGGGACAGGATGGAAGTTATCTTTCTCATCAGCGTCCGCGCGAAGATTGTCGTTGTCCTTGGGCCAAGAAAAAACGCAATTTGACACTGTTCCAGGATTCCAGTAAAAGTATGCATCTCGTACCAGTTCTTCTTCATTCGAAAAAGAAGCAAGTCTTCCCAACAACCTGCGACGTTACCTGCGACGTTATCGCCTTTCCCTTTTGCAAGTAGATGTCGGAGATCCATTATTGCCTGGCCGGATTGATCTAAGGGCGTCACAAATATAATCTTCTCTTCAAGCTGCTGCAACCAATACCTCCTGCGGCCTAGAAAATTTCGCTGAAAGGACTCTGACATGACTCTGCGCATATATGTTTTGGTGAGATGGGCGTACAAGCCCGAAATCAGAATGAGCGACCCCAAAGCACCTGAGCAAGTTTCGGTAGTCAGTCGCTCGTGAAGCTGACTGCATTGCCCCGTCCGTCTTTTCATGCACAGTCCACGTAGCAAAAAGGGTGTGCAGCGTTTAGGAAATTCCTGTGTAATCAGGGCTTTTGCACGCGCATCGAAGAAGTCCATGGCATCAGCAAACATGCTCTTAGCCCATGCCATAGCCTGGAAGTTAACTGCCTCTACGGTGTCATCGGAATTGCCTGCGGAGACTGGTGGGCAGTACTTCGACCAGTATTGCTTGAGAGGCGCTTTTTCATGCCTGCCGAGCCTATAGATTCCACAAGCAAGGTAGAGAGATGCGAGGAATAAATCTGGAGGTTCCAGCTTTTGGGTTGAATATTGGGCTCGGTTCTGGACTGGACTCCCGACTGGACTCCCTGTTTGATTTCGAGTTGTGCTCCAGCTTGGGCTCTGGGTTAGATTCAGAGCTTCGTTCCTGGTTTTGCTCATAGTTTTGTTGCAAGTGAGGCTCTCGGTTGAACTTTGGTTTAGTTGCAAGGCTAAATCCTCAAATAGCCTCGCAAATAACATAACCATATCCCCTGGTAAGTACCTACTCGTTGACACTTCCAGGTGCTTCTGAAAACGAAACAAAACCGGAGAAATATTACCAAACATGCACAAGAGGTCGTCAGTGGGTCTTTCCATCTCCCACCAGCCTTGAGGATCACCGAGATCTTCATTGGTGACATTTAAAATGTCAAAGACGATTTTCCACTCAGAGATATGATCCTTCATCCAGATCACATCATGGAAGTCCTCAGCAATTTCTTTCGCTGTATCGAAAAATCCAACTTCGAGAACGACTTTCTTGGTCCACATACTTGAGACTATGACATAGTTCAAGACCTGTTTGAAGGTTTCTGGTTCGACTTGGTTGATCAAATTGTGCTCTTTGACAATTTTCACTGCTTCTGGCACGTTTCCGTTTTCGACATGTGTCTCGTATAGTTCCATCCAATTCTCGTTCGCGGCGTAGTACGAACAAAGATCATCCACCAGGTCGAACTCAATAAAGAAGTCAACCTTTTCGGCTTCGGAACCAAGGAGGTTGATAGTCGCGACTCTCAGGTCGGAAGAAACTCGGCCCTGTTTCAGCAGGATATTGCAAAGACGTGAGTACCGTTGTCGAACATTGGTGTCGAGCTTGTCAGGATTCCTATGGAAAAGATAAATTAGCGTTCGTTTTGATCAATTGAAAAATATGATCGAGACATACCGGCTAAGGTAAATGATAAGATCGTCGAATTTGTCCCCTCTTTGAAGGACTTCGACAGCCTTCTCAAAATCCCCATCGACATCATAGCATTCTGATGCGGCTTGGAAGAATAACCCTAGCTCGTAAATCTTAGCTGCCCTTTGAAGCTGGCCCTTGTTCTTCCAAATCTCTAGAATGGAGTTAGCATTGATTGCAACAATTCTTTTCTGTTTCAAAGAAACTAACCGGCAGCCTTGTCATGTTTGCCAATTTGCTCGTAGCATTCTGCGGCATCTTCCAGCATGTCGATTCCACGGAACAATTCGATTGCCTTTTCGAAATATCTCGTGGACCCATCGATGTCTCTAAACTTGCGGCTTCTCCCCTCGCGACGGCAATCGTATGCCTCTGCGCGTTCGGCACCTTCGGTATCGCCGGCCTTGTTGTAGCCGAAGATTGCCTTTAACCATTCATTAGCTCCTGCTCAAATGACCCTGTCATGAAATTCGGAAAGATTTAAGTGTACTGACCGCTTGATAGTTCATTTGGTGGAAAAGCTGTGTGGCACGCTTTTTCCATTGCGCGGGATCGACAGAACCGCCTGCTCGGAGAGCCTTCAACTTCTCCGCAGACTGGAAAATGAGTTAGCCGAGTACCGTGAGAATATGCAAGAACAATCATACTTGTTCATCCTTCTTTCTTGCAATATCAACAAGCCTCAGGCAGTTGTTTTCAGTGAGTGCCTTGACTATGGAATCGAGGGCGCTTTCGCTCGTCTCCATGAACCATAATTGTTTTCTTGCTCGGGTCACCGCGACATAGAGTTGCTAGAAAAGATGTTAGACCGTCCACTTTCATAAAATGATGCCTTCCAGGGGCTACTCACTTTCAACTCCGCGCACAAGGCTTGTTAAAATTGGTCAGTATTATAAAGCGCAACAGGAAAATTCCGAATGATGGACCCACCGCATGCTTCCGTGAATCGAATTCGCCTCGCGGCTCTTGTGCCAATAAGTGTAGACATCGATAGCTGCTTCCAAGGCCGCTGCCCCCGAAGAAGTCGTAGATGAGTACATCGTCGAACTCCATTCCTTTGCTCTGAAGAATTGTGAGAACCAAAGCCACTTCGCCGATGTCTGTTTGTAATTTGACTTTCGAGTCATCGTCCCGCACAAGGATTACTTGCTCGGCTCCAAAGTTCGCGACTTTGTCGTTCATTTTCGTCACACCGATCATTCTTGAGGAGAGAACAGAGCAATCGAATCCGGCTAAGAAGGATTAGTTTTGAGTAGTTTGCTGTTTACTAATGAGAGCCCACTTACCAAAAATGATGGGTACTGGGCCATCGATCTGGCCAACCTCGGGATTTAGCTTGTCTATGGTTTCGGGGAAACCTGAAAGCTATAGTTAGCCCTTGAGGTGTAATAGATCATTCGTGACTTCTCATGACTTGCCACTCCAAAGCACCTGCATGACCCACGACGCAAAGCTTAGAATGCCTTGGTGAGAACGGTAGTTTCTTGCCAGCATAAACTGGCGAGGCTTGGCAACATTCTGTTTCAAAAAGGCGGCAGTAGACTCATGTTCGTCAAAAAAGGCAGCTCTGACCTCAGGGAAGCGGAAGACTGAATCCTTGGAAATACACTGCGCTGTATCGCCCGCTATCAACCATTGTCAGCACGGCCATGTCTAAGTTCATCGACGATGTGTTACCTAGATGAATCCCACGAGCGTTGAACACAGCCTTGAAAAGCAAAACGATGTCGACGCATCTCAGGTCTTGGATCTCTAAACGCAATAAGTCAGTCACCACAGATTAACAAGTGAAAGGCTGGACCTACCGTCCACATAAATTGCTTCGAAGCAACGGCGTAACTGAGATGCGAAACTCGGGTTCTCCATGATATATTTCAGCACATCCATGACACGGTCCAAATCATCAATTTGACCGCGTTGCTTCTTGAGTCTCTCATACCGCTCATAGACATCGAAAGCCTTTTCGCGATCTGCCACGCCTGGAAAAGCAGGCGACACCTTCGATTCCCTGGGCACGTATTCTTCACGGGAAAGCGCTCGCAGATCTTTGGCACAAATTCTTGACCCCCGGATAACTCCCATTATTTCTGCAAAAATGAGCTCCGGTGGGCAGCCTTGGGGTGCAGATGCAGAAAGGCAGCCCCAGTACTCGTACTTGAAAATATCAAAATCAATGACGGGTGTTGGTTTCAAGTTGCTCTTTTGGTTAGGCTTGTTTTTCGATTTTGCATGGTCTCCTTCGTTGAAATTTTGCCGGTCGGCGTTCCTATTCATGGTCAGCAAACTGCCGCATGGAATGGAATCGGATGTGACCATCATAATAGATGACTCCGAAAGAGGAAACCTACTGCATGCTTTTCTCTAACATCCCAAGAAACTTGTCATACGTGCAGACAAAAGGAAAATTCACATCTCGTAGCTTCAGGATTTCATCTGGCTCCTCATCTGGTGGTATCCAGGTACTCGAGGTGCCTGACGCAGTGTCGATGAGATTGCGTACGTAAAGCTGGAGCTTTGCGGCCAAATGAGGAGATCGAGTGAGGAGGAGCTATGTTATGTTAGTACGGAAAGCCCTTTGATTCGAATTACTGACCTGTTTGATGCGATTCGTATGCGAAATTCCCTCTCGGGCTTGATGTTTACCGAGGAGCTGGAAAAGAAGACATGTGGTCTTGCCGGTACCACTACGCCCCAATATCAAACTTGACGTTTTGGAATGATTGACGATTTGCATCTCCTCCTGGGATAAGTCGAAGGGAAATTCTTCGTAACCCTTCGCCCTTAAAAGGGCTTTCAAAAAGGAGTCCGTGACATTGGTAAATTTTCCTGGCATGAGAGATATGGATTAGCTCAGACCTTGTGAATGAGACTGATTTCTCTCACCCAGTATGTCGACAAGGACTTGGCTTTTTTTAGTTGCCCTTTGGGGTTGACTCGTAGAGTTATAGACCGGGAGAATTTCCCAACGTTGGGGCACGTAACTCCCGTCCGGGAGTTTGATCGGGTCCTTTTTGCAGATATCCACAATGTCTTCCTTGTAATGCTGCTGTAGGTTGATTATCCAATCGACCGCCGGGAGAAGCTAAAATTCATGATGAGCATGTATGAAATCTGCATATGTGAGAATGGGCCATACCTGTTCGCGATTGACCATGTTCCAAACTTTGATAGTTTGGCCAAACTGTTTTCTTGCCGTCAACTCATCGTAGTAGCCGACATCAACCTGCCAGAGGATGAAGATCTCTCCTGGAAGAGGACTAAAGTGAAGAGGGATCACAGGCACCAAATCTGCCTTTGACCCATGAGGTACTTGCCGGGATCGCCTTTTCAAGCCTCGCCCTTGAGCAAGCTCCCGGAGGTTGTATTCCACTTGAGGAAACTTTCCCTCGTCAATGAGCTTTTTGACTTTTTCCATCGCCAAGTCAGAAAGCAGGACTTTCCACGCTCCGACACGCTCGCCGTAAAGATTAATTTGTTCCGCGGTCGTGGCCATTGGGTAAACATTCTCGTGATCGTCCGGTAGAGGGAGGGTGGCTGAATCTCCGGTCAGTCTCTCCGAGCATAGTCGGCAAGGAAAACTATCCACCGCTGCGCTGATGAGCTGGGGTATCATTCGCTGAATTTGCTCCGTAGTATTGGCCAAGCCATTTATCCCTTGGGGTAGTGGGATATGCAGCTTTTCAAGACCTTCCTTGATAAACGAAGGTATCCCAAACTCCTCTTTCTTCTTCTCGCGAGTTCGATTTGTCTTTTTTTCGTCGCGGTCGAGGACCCTCATCTTTTCCCAGGGTACCGTGTTCTCTTGCTTTGAAGGTGGGTGTTCGTTTGCGGCCTGAGTGAGCCCGGTGAACTCGTCAAGTTGATCCATCAATTCCTGAATATCACTCCATTCAGTACATGAGTCGCCAATTCCATGGTCACCAGGGCAGGCGCCGCAAAGGTGAAGGGCCCTTCCAGCCAGGTTCTCCATCACCGCCTGTCCAAGAAGCTGCTGGTGCTGTTTTGAGGTGATCCAGCGTTTGATGACTTCGGCGTATCTCTCACTGGCCAAAAGCTGTTCAAATATATTTTCCTTTCTCAGGAGCAACGTCAATACCTCCCGGAGGTAGACGGTGAGGTGGGTAGTGACAATCGGTAAGGCGGAGCCTGCAAGTTCGACGCATTGAGTGAGTGAAAACGGCCCGTTTTGCATCTGCATAAGGGGAGCTACGATATTTCTGAAGATTTCAACCGAGACTTGTTCAGAGAGGCTTTTTTTTCTCCAACTTCTCAAACACCTTGCAGAGACGCGAGATCATCTGAGCTGGCCGTAGTATCATGGAATCATGCAAGGACTGGTCCCGCACGAAAAGTGAGAGGTCGACCTTTTGTTTTTCGAGTCTCGCAATGGCATGGTTCAGAAACTTTTGCTCTGGCTCGGTTTCCTGGATGAGAAGATGGTAAAAGGGACAACCCCGGAGAGACATGGTGTGAGGTTGGTAAGGCGCTGCCGACTCCTGGCCGTCGACGAGGAGGGGTGGTGAAACACGTGAATCGAACGCGGAGGAATTGAGTTGAAATAGTTGTGAGTGCTTTGAAGACTGAAAACACGTTGTTTGATGTGGTAGGACAATTGAGGTGGTGGCGGCAAGTTGGTGACTAGAGGAGAATGGAAGCAGGCAGGCGAAGAGGAAGGCAGAAGAGGAAGGTAGCAACACAACAGCACCGGCGGGTAAACAAACAGGTTGAACAGACTGGCGTTGAGAGAGATTCAATTCCCATGGCTCATAGGAAATATTCCTTGATTACTATTCAGTGTTTGAACTTTGAACTTTCTTGTGTCCCTTTGGTAGTAATGTCCACGTCGTAGTACAATGCTTGCGAGTATAGTGCCGGGTGAGTGGTACGTTTGATAGGGTTGAAGATAGAGAACAAAGAGAATTATGCTTTAGTAACACGCTAGTCTAACAGAAGAATAATGTAAGTATATGCAGGCCTATCGCTCTGCCAACAATCCAAACAACAACTCCGTTCGCTTCCAATACTCCTGGCCAGTCTTCCGCATTGACTTCAACATTTCCGGGTTGAGGACGGCACTCTTCTGGACACGACCTGCGACATCAGCCAGCTGAGCCGGGTCACCCAGCATGTGAGCAAGGTAGACGGCGTCAAAGAAGAGTTGAATTTTCCAGTCACGGATGGTATCAGAGCGAGAGGAGTCATCGGAGGCTGCTGGTTTATGATTCTGTTCCTCTGACTCGGAGTCGTGTTCACCCTCCTTGTCGTCTTCCTTGTCGTCTTCCTTGTCGTCTTCCTTGTCGTCTTCCTTGTCGTCTTCCTTGTCGTCTTCCTTGTCGTCTTCCTTCTCGTCTTCCTTCTCGTCTTCCTTGTCGTCTTCCTTCTCGTCCTTCTTGGAATCCTCATCCTGTGTCTCCGATGCCTCACTGGGTTTACTTGGAGAGTTCCAGTTGTCCAGTTCATCTAGGATGGAGCCAATAAGGGTCTCAAGCTGTGTTTTCAGTGCTTCCTTCAAGACTCTCAAAGTCGACGGGTCCCACAGATCAGATCCGTTTTCGTCCATGATAGCTGTCAGACGACGTAGATATTTGAATGCACCTGGAGATGGTTGGACTGGAACTGGAGGCTCACTTTCCCAGAGGGATCGACCGGGAACAATCTTGAGCTTTTTGGTCTCTGGATGGGCATTGGACGAAGGTACAAAGGATAGGGAGCCAGTTTGGGCCACAATTTCTGCAGCAATAAGTTTTTGCAGGCCCGGCACAACATCACTAGAGAAGAGGAATTCGTCGGCAACAAAGCCAGTAGGAATATCGCGACGGACGAGTCGAATGAGTCGCAACAAGAATGTAGCCTTTTCGCTCTGGTGCGATGACCCGAATGCATTAGAGGCCTCGCTGAACGAATCCTGTAAGGTATTAAATGCTTCACGCATGGCAGCTTGCAAAGAATCGGACAACAGGCGTGGATCTTCCTCATTGAGTTGAGGCGTAATGTTGATATCGTCATCTTCAACTTCACTACCAACGAGAACATCGGTCCATCTAAGCCGGCGAAGGCTGTCAATAGATTGATTCACGTCCCGAATAGAAGCGAGCCAGGATTGATATTTGACCAGAACCGCGGATACATCAGCATCACGACCAAGGAGTCTGTCAGTGACAGACTGCTTGAAAGTTGCAGCGCCGTTGGAGTAGTCGGCAGAGATAATATCAGAGTCCCACAGTGACCCATTCGAGTTGTGGTGTTTTGAATTTTCCCAGGATGAGATTGTTGTAGAGATATGTCGAGACAGTTCGTCAATTGTTTCCACTTTTGTCGTCAGCACGCGCTTGAGATTGTCATTGAAAACGCCACGAAGGCGCTCAAGTACGTTCACTGAGCGGTGCGTAATAGTAGATCCCCATGATTCCAGCCAAAGCTCAAAGGTTTCGGCACGCAAAGACAAAAGTTCCTGAAAGTCATTGCTCTGAGCAAGACTCTTTTGACAACCTTCGGCGAATTTTTCAAACGCGGTTAACGACCACTCCTTAATTGAATCCACGCCTTCGCTGCGGCTTAAATCGCTCAGTTTGATATATGGCGTGAAGTTGATGACGCCGGGGGCTGCGAAACGGCCAAGAATTTCGATCTCCAGACCATCCAAGCTGCGAATCTCTGGGTCGGATAAGACCGGTCTAGACTTGAGTTTTGATAGTACGTCGGTGAATTGGTGTGATCGGAGTACTTTGGAAGTTTGAAGGGTGGCAACAAGAAGGCGGAGTGTCTTGGGAATGTTCTCACGCGACTTCTCTAGCAGGCTGGTGATGACGCCAAGGCGCACTTGATGGAATTTGTGGATAGCCTCGTCGGACGAAGGGCTTGAAACGAGACAATAGGCGGCCAGGGATTCGATAATAATTTCTTCGGTGGCATTTGAAGATGCCAGACGTTTATCAATTCGATTCAAGAGGGTAAGACGCAAAGACGCCAGTTGCTTGCGGAGGTCATCGAGGAATGGCGGGATCGATTCCTGCTGAGAGAGGGTCTTGTGCAGAAGACGCGAGACCACCAAGATCTTTGCGACTAATAAAAGCGAGGCACGTCGTCGCAACAGTCGCGCAATTGATGTTGTACACCGATGAAGGAGAGCCAGCTGGGCCCCAAACGTATGCTTATCGGCATCTAACCGACGATGGGAAGTTAGCAATTGTATAGATATAGATAACCACCCACTTTTCCATACCTTTTTCTACCGTATCCCGCTTCATCTGTCGAGCATGCTGGTGCTTCCTTTCGACCAAGCGCGGGTTGCATCGCCGTCCAACGTCAGACAATATCGAGTCCACGTCCTGGATATCTTTATTCATCACAACAATGGTTTCGGCCGTCCCAACAAGCTCTCGGTATCGAGTACTATCACATAAACCACCACAGTCAGTAAAATAAAGCAAACCATATTATTCGACAAGAACAACTTACCCCACGAGAGCTCGGAGCTTCTCCTTATTGCTTGCGATGTCGCGGCGCAATTCCTGTTCCACCCGCCGGACGGTAGGGATCGGATATTGAAATGCGTCCTGCCATGATTTCAGGCTCTGGGGATCTGGGGCCTCCGGGGCCATTTTGGCGACGATGTTGAGGTCAAGTTGGAGGTCGCGTTGAGACCAAATCAGCCCGTTGCGGGCTTCCGAAGGGTTATGTCAGCTATCTTATCGGCAGGTGACTCAAAGAAAAAAGATCCCCGCGTTCCCAAGGGCTCCCCTCGTCATTTTCAACACTTGTATTCTTTTCATTTTTCATTTATTATTGACTTTCAGAATGCCCCTGATGGAGTCTGAAGCTGCACCAGTCGAGTCGACCTCGAATGGCCTCCCCGATCGACTGCCATTCCCACCCATCACATACTCTCATATTCTGCACTGCTCATATCACGATTGGCATCCGCGGTATGCCGATTCAATTGATCCCCTCTAATGGATATCTGAGTGTTTTTTACTAACAATCTCTCAGGTACCGGACCCTAGCCCCGAAATCCAAAACCATTCCTTTGCCCGAACAATTCGTTTCATACCTTCGCGCCGACGGCATCCTCCTACCACCCGAAAATCGTCCCCGAACCGAAGACGATGACTACGATACCTTCTCAGACGACGGCGAAGAAGAGGTTGACCCCTCACTAGAATGGCCAGAGGTCCACAGTAAAGTGAAAAGCATAATCTCTGAGTTTCGCCAAGTCACCCCAAAACTGAACTGGAGTGCTCCCAAAGACGCAACCTTCATGTCCGCCACAAATGACACAAAATGCCAAACACCAAACGACATCTACCTCCTTCTCAAAAGCAGCGACTTTATCACACATGACCTCGACCATCCCTTCGACGACTGCGTTCCGGACCAGGAAAACGAAAATGCTGCTGCTGCTGCTCCCGCCGATGGACCCCTCCCGGAGGTCCCTTATCACCTAGTATTGCGCAAATACGCCAACTTCAACCCTTCGCTTGAGTTCCGCTGCTTCGTCCGCAATCGCAAACTTCTTTGCATGTGCCAGCGGGACCAGAATCACTTCGATTTTCTTTTCTCGATGCGCGACATGTTACGCTCCCGCATCCAATCCTTCTTCGACGAGAAGCTGCGCGATACATTCCTCGACCCGAATTTCACTTTCGATGTGTATATCCCCGCGCCGCACCAACGCATCTGGTTGATTGATATCAATCCCTGGGCGCAGCGGACGGACCCGCTTCTATTCAGCTGGCTCGAGATCTTGACGATGAAGGACCCTGTTGGTTTTGAAGAGGAGGAAGATGATATGGCTGGAGGCGTTGTTCGGATTTCACTCCACGATGGCAGTGTCACTGAATTGGATGCGAATGGTCAGCCCGTGGATGACTCTGGCTCGTCTTCAGAAGAGGACGAAGAGGACCTCGACAACGTTACTCCCAAGGGTCTGGATGGCGGAGAGGATGATGAGTTCGCTCCCTTCCTACCGGAGTTCCGGCTCATCAAAAAGAATGACCCCGAGGCATACTCTTTTGCGACACCGCAGTACTCGGCTCATAAGGTGCCGAGGGATCTGGTTGATGCTTCACTCGCTGGTCCGGGTGGTATGAGTGAGTTTATGGGTAAATGGCAGGATATTTTGCAGAACCAGATGCGTCAGCAACAAGCAGACGGCAGTGATTCGGAGTAAATCAAAGGTTCACTCCGTCTGGGCTGATGAATCTGCAGCCATATATTTGCTTAGACTTGTTTATTAGATTATTTATGATTGCATTCAACGGCGAAATGATATTCAAGTTTCAATCTATTTGTATTTCCTCCAGGGCTCCAATTGATCACTAGGATATTTCCACCCGGAGCCATATTGCAATCCTTGAAAATATGTCAGTGGATAAAAGCCAGAGCTTGCAATGAAATCGATCGAATTCGAACTACGGATACTAGCACCATTCAATCCTCCAGATTTGCCCTTTTTGTTACATACTACGTGGTAGTAACTACTAGTATACTCTCTAATCAGGGGCAACGCGACCAAAGACTACTAATACTTGGGAGTCTGCCCAGGTGATTGAGTGGACACTGGCTCCATAGTTCCTCAGGCCGAAGCTACAGCAATGATCTGCATCCACGCCTCGTGGGCGTAACAACGTTTTTTTCTTTGGGGGAAAAGTTCCGGAAGAACTATTGAACTTTGTAATGAACTTACGATCCCATTGGGTAAATGCCCAACGCACTAGAGTCAATAAATCCCAAAATCAGCAGAAACACATGAAAATTAAAGTCATACGGATACCCTTGGAAGAAGAGCCAAATAGTTAGTAGGGCCGATTTATGGTCTTATTCAATTCATTATGTACTACTCCGTAGTACTAGCATATCTAAACGCCCTCCTAATTCCGAATCCCATAGAGATGATTTATTTGCACTTTCCATTAGGCGCGTTGCGGAGTTGCTATTTTCAACCATTGATTAGCTGATCTGATTGGTATACTTCTGTAGGGTAAGGTTGTCAGGGACATACCACGCAAACTCCCGATTTGCAGTTTCCCAAGCTACCGTCCTTCTTGCAGGTTGCACCGGGGGCAAGCTAAAGTAAAGAAAAGTTTAGATTCTTGACCCAGTTAGAGAATGTGGAACATTAATACCACCGGCTTCGCAGCCATGGACAAGCCAGCAAGGGTAAGAATAACGAATGTGAGACGCATGGTGTCGAAAGGACGATTGCGGAAATAGTATGTTTAAAGGAGGAATATAAATGTGGGAAGAAAGAGAAAGTGCTTTGAAATTACTGATTGAAATGGACGAGTATTCAGGGTCTTATATTATGCTTCAACCCCGGGTTTATTTCCTTCGGAAACCCGGATCGACAGTAATACTAGTACGGAGCAGGTTACCCACAATATGAGGCACTTGATGAGCGGATCAAATGATGCGATGTAGATCCAATTAGATCATTCTCAGACCCTAAAGATTATTTGATAGACATTCTGACCTACCTTAGAGATTTAGCTTGGGGTCAATCGTTATTAAACGTTGAACAGCTCCGTTCTTCTGTTGGACGGTGTTCGAATAAGGAGTCGCCAAGAGCTATTGTGGTTCAGGGGCTATGGACCCTTATACACTGGGATGCAATGCCACGAATCAGATGCAAGTCCTTTCAAAGTTTTGGCTTGCCCTAAGTTGGGCTGTGCTTGGCATTATATAGACCTCGCTGGGGACCTTGAATGTCGGCCGTCAGAAAGATTCAGGAATCCTTATGACACTGAAAGCATCTGTGCCCTCAGGCTGTAACAACCAAAATGAAAGAAAAAAAGAAAAAGAATCAACCCGACAGATCATTTACTCTTATCATGAGTCTAACTCAATCATACTAGTATATTTATTTACAAGTCTAGAGAGGAACCGAGCCGAACCTCCCCCCCTCTGCGGCTATCTCTAAGGGACCTTAGAACAGGACAGACCACCTCGCAAAGACTCAAACCTAAAGCTTATGCTTCTTCTCACCGGAAGCCAACTTCCGAAACTCCTCCTGAGGAACCCCACTAAGAAATCTCTCCAAACCCATAAACGCCTCAATCCCATTCTGACGATCAAGCAGCTCACGCTCCGGCCTACGAACCAACTCCTTAATCTTCAAAAGACTAGACTGATTCAAATGCGTCCCCAACCTCTCCTCAACCTCGTGAAGAACAGCCTTCAAGAAGCCATCCGAATCATCCTTATTTCCGGACGGCGCCTGAATAACCTTATTCACGAATCCCGTTGATACAAGATCCTCGCACGGAATCCGCTTGCTCATCAGCAGTGCCTCGTTCGCCTTGGCGATACCGAGACGCTCGACGAAGGCGCGGCTTGCGCCGCCTTCGGCTACTAGACCCAGAGAGGAGAATGGGGTTAGGATGAATGTGTGCGGTGTTGCGTAGATGAAGTCGGCGTGGGCGACCAGGGCTGCTGAGAGGCCGACGGCGGGTCCGTTTAGGGCTACGACGAGGATCTTGGTGTGGTTGTAGAATGTTCGGGTTACGTCTGTGTTGTTTGCGACGAAGGATTTGACCAGATCGCGGCGGACGTTGGAGTTTAGGTCGCCGTTGGGTCGGCTGCTGGTTACGTCTGCGCCGCTGGATTGAGTGTTAGCTGGGAATGGGAGTATGATTTTGGGATTAAGATTGGTAGTGGTTCATACGCGGAGAAGAATCGGCCAGTGCCGGTTAGGACGGTGATGTAGATGTCATCGCGTTTTTCGACCTCTCGTAGACGTTCGCCCAAGAGATAGTACAGATCCTGATTCAGGGCATTGAGCTTGTCGGGCCGGTTGAGGGTGATGATCGCAACGCGGTCTTGGTAAGTAACGGTAATGAGTTGTTCGTTGGACATCTTTGCGGATGATCAATAAATTGGAGTTGGTTTTTGGAGGGGAAAAAGTGGAGGTTAGTCTGAGAAAGAATAATATTGAGGGCAGCTTCAAATAGAAATACAAATACCAAAAGACCAACCCCAATTGTGCCGGAGCGTCGGCAAGCTCATTCGAGGCTCCGCCAAGACGACTTCCTTTTTTGCGGGGAGCCGAGGCCCGCGGCAGGTCAGGTGATATGTATGAGTAATCATATTTGCATTAATCGATGCATCTTACACCGCCTGGATTTTCTGCCGGGACATCAGACAATTCGAGATCCTCCGAGTCGGGCTTGGACATAGAAACATTTGATATCCCCGATATATTACACAGAGGCCCCCGCTTTAAAGGTCTATCGCGAGTCTTGATTTCTGTTATATCAGAACAAGCAATCAGGAACCAAAGCGTCAGGTTCATAATTGCAAACTTACCCACCATGTCGTCCTTCATCCGCAAACTCCAGGGCGGCAACCTGGAAGTCTTCAAGGTAAGCCAAAACAGACCAAACCTGGACAACTCACTGTACCGGACACAAAATTGCAGTTGAATCCAATCCATTCATTCAATTCCAATGCTATCCGCATTCCCATGCCCACCCTTCCACCTTCCCCGCTAACATCATCCCAGTTCGGCATGTACGTTCTCTTCCCAATCGGTTGGATGTATTACTTCGGCACGAATCTCGACAACCGCTTCAAGACGAAGGACTTCTGGCCTACAGCCGAACAATCGCACAAGATCCCAATTGATAAGGAGGAAATTGATAAGGAGTTGTCTCGTATGCGCATGATCGATGGTATGAAGCGGGAGCGCGCGGAGAAGGAGCGCGAAGCGCTGGCTGCTGTCCAGGCCCAGGCTCAGGCTCAGGCACAATCAGATCAATAAGCTGATTTTGCGAAACTTTTGCCTCTCTTATCCTCGCATCGAGTCTATGATATCAGGGCCTCTTCATTTATTAAGAGGGCTCGCGGGGTAGCGCGCGCGGGGGAGGGGGAAGGAGTCTTGAAGTGAAGTTGGAAGGGCCATTGCGCGGTACGAAACGAGTCATGCGATTCATTCTCCGTTTCGGCCGAGCTTTTGCACGAGCACGAGGACGAGGTGCCCCGCTTACGAGGGGTTGCTTGTTTTTGCGTTGGGAGTTACACTTGTGGTGTTGCGAATTATGTACTTGTACAACACTCTCCTCTTGGCATATTCGGCGTTTTTGGGGACTTTGGGAAATTTCGTTTGTTTATATTCATTCTGTTTGTGGACTGTGTCAATATCAAATTGCCTGCAACGGCTTGCATTGTCGGAACATTACGAGTAGTTACCTACTAGTGGCATTACTATTACTGAAGTTCTACAATTCTTCTTGCAACACAGAAGGGTATCCATTAAAGATAAAGCTGTGCGCTCATAAAAATATGCACATGATAATCATACAGTATAAGCTTGCCCAAAAGGCCATGTGGAAAAAAGGCACAAGATAAAGATAGAACGTGACCATGAAATCCCCGCAACGCGGAGACAAATTAGTATCGATAAGTCCCAGTCCCAGCTACCGCCTCTAGAATGACAGAAGCGTCGGGATCGATTCGGAAAGAGAAGAAATAACGCCTAGGATGCGCCGGCCGGCCGGAATGGCATAAAAGCATCATCATGGCAAAGGAATCGAACTCCTCGGCTCAAACAGTATTAATGGAGCGCGATTTTTTCCGTAGTGATTTCCTTTTTGTTGATAAGGTTGGATTGGTTTGACCCGTTTTTCCCCTTTGCCAGCAACGAAAATGTGGCTCTCCTTACAATTCGGCAAGACGGTGCTGAGTTGTCGTGGCGGCCGCGGCGTTCTTGGCTGTCTCGTAGACGACTTCGAGTCCGGCTGTGGCACTCTCACCGAAGACGGAGCTTATGGAGCCCAGGCGGCTGGAGATGAAGGGTCGCTCGCCGGCCCAGTAGTAGTAGAGGTGGCCGTAGATCGAACGGAGGTGGTCGGGGAGGTAGATGTAGATTCCGGCAGCGATCATGGTAATGAGGGTCAGGAAGAGGGAGTCTGTTGGGATTGGTTATTAGCAATTGCACGTTGGAAAGGGGTTCTGGAGGAGGGCTATAGTGCCCTCTCCTCTTCCCGCTTATCCTGGAGGCAGGCAGGCCTGACGATGATACGTACTGAAGATGAATTTTTCGGTCGGCGTCAACATGTAGATGGCAAAGGTCACCTCATACTGATAAATCTTCAACCGAATCCAGCGCACGAAGCTGGTTAGGATCCAGAGAAGGAAATTCATCATTGGCGTCGTCGGTGGGTGGGTTGTTCGGTCTTGTCTTTGCTGGTCCGGCCCCTGATCGGTAGTCGGCGGAGGATTGACGGTCTTGGCGCGGTTACTTTCGTTCAGGCCGAGATCTCAAGTGGAGGTCCCAGGAAGGATTCAGTAAGCAAGCAGGTAGGCGTCAAGATACTAGGGCCGAGACAACTTGTTAAATTGAGAACGGCTTTTGACACGCGCAGGCTGTCGGAGTCGGCGGGAGTTGGCAAAAGGTTAATCGATGGGTGTTGAAGGATTCCCGAGGTCGTGAAGAGGAAGAATAAGGGAGATTAAAATTGTAGTTTGGCGTCCAAAGATCATAAGAATGGAGGAATAGAATAAGAATAGCAGTGGTTGAAGGAGAGTCAAGGATAGGGATCTTGAAGAAGAAAAGGCAGAGAGTCGCGACGGGGTTGGAGGATCGGAAGGTCGCACTGGCAGGGCAGAAAATCAGCGGATGCTCCGCCAGGCACCGGGGATACCGCTTACAAGTACAGTTGAGTACTGAGCACAAGGGATGCTAAAAGGACCACTCTTGGCACCTTTTTTTTTTCTTTCTATATGGACCAGGGAACCTTCTGATCCGAGATTTGTACGTATTTATTATACAAAATTTCGATACAAAATTTCGATACACCTCCGCCACATCTAAAACACCCCCGCTATTACTGCCATGCTGTCGATAATTAGATTACCTGGATGTACTAGGTATACTAATGGGGTAGTATTCGCAAAGTCTATAGTATTGACGCTCGCTTTATGGCCTAACAAAACTTTCACGATAGTAAGTAGTAAGTACCTAGGTAAACCGTACTTAGCAGCCCAGTGAAGAGGAGTTCTTCTGTATATATCATCATGTGAATCAATCCATATTTGGCTTACGCTGGAGGATGTATTGTAGCAGACAGCTATAATCCCCCATGTGGCATAATGAAGGCGGGGTATTTTGAAAGTGTCTCGTCTTTTTAACGTATACGGCGATCTAAGAGATGCCTGAGCCTTCAATTTGAAAAATCCAAGTAACTTTATTTGAATGTACTATATTATCGACATTTCTCAACGGATTAAATTTGGGATCGACTCGGAAGACAGTAGTATAGATTAAGTACTTTATATTAACTGAGAATTAAGCTAAGTTGAGATATCGTTTTCAGGAAATAACTTGAAGTTCTTTCAAGTTACCTAATAATAAGACGCTTTGATATATAGATAAATGTTATCGGAGATAATGCTAAATTTAGCGTAATCACCATATTCTTTATACTTATCTTTTGCTAGCGTTCTCAGTTATCGCATGGGTTTGGCCTGTTGTTTCTTGGCTCTTTTGAGTCTTGACTGTGTTGGTACAGCGAGCCAAAGTTCAACTACGAACACACAAGAGATTCATTTAATGGTGATAATTAAGCAGGCTCATGTAACACAGATTGCAGTACCTAATGTAACAATTGAGGGTTTTGCTCACTTACACATCTTAGGACGAAAAAAGGAGGGTGGTGAAAAAAGAGGGTAATGAAAAGGAAGAATAGTAAAAGAGAGAAGTAGTAGGTAAATTCTTGAGGTCAACCACAGAGTGCTTAATCGGCTTGTCCGCTATTTTATTTGCACCGTACTTTCACCACCTAGTAGATTTTATTTTACATATTCTTCGATGAAAGCCCATCCGATTTCATTTACGAAACCAATAACCAGGACTGCAAAGTGGCCGATCACAACTAGAGTGTATGCAAAAAAGGAATGCTTTATTACCATCGCTCGATCACTTCTTTACATGCAAAAGTAGTCCTTTGCGGCTAACAACATAAGGGGTCTCTTTTTCTGCTGGTTAAAAATAATTATTGCAAAATGGCGGTTATCAGCTGCCGTAGCCATGTCGCCGCCACGCCGCCACCCTTTTACCGATGTCGGCGCCCCTGCTACCGCCTTCACCCCAGGCGGCCTCTTCTAAAACTACGCCGCCCACTAGTCCCCTCCCCACACGCAGTACTTGGACATCACCGGACAACCAGTACGATAGCTTCCGTGCCACAAAATGGCGGAGATCAGGCTAGCAAAGAAACCATCTGGCACACGACGTGAAAGAGTGCTGCCCCGATCTCATGGAGCCTGTGCGAACTGTAAAGAAAGAAAGCTGAAGGAACGATCATCGTTTCCATTCCTTGACTCTCAACTGACAATTATATGTAGTGTGATGATAATATCCCTGCATGCGCCAATTGCCAGCGATTTGGTCAAAGTAAGGCTTGTTCCGATATCCCATTATAAAGCAGTTTTGACCCAGACTTGATTGAAGCTTGTGTTGTGGAGGACCGAATAACGAAGCGACTCCAACCGCGAGATTATACTGGCACCTTAGAAAAGCGCGTAGCCTATCTCGAAAGCGTTTTACATCAAAGATATCAAAATTCACCCGATCATGCCTCTTTCAACTTCGAGGGATTTGTCGAACGACCAGAAAGCCAACCGAATGCATCTGTTGAAATGCCAGTATTGAGCTCTGAATGGGGGGCTCAAACTTCTAAATTTGAAGCTAACAGCAAGAATGATGAATTCAACGACTTAGCTTCTCAAGTTGGTACACTGAGTATCAATGCAGGAGGGGCAGAACCTCGTTATTTAGGCACCTCGTCCATTTTTGCCTTTTCGAGAGTGATAAATTCCTCTCTTCGTAAGGTGGTTTCGAGAGCCCCCAGTATTGCGCCTGACCAATCTGACGGCGACTGGCCAATTCCGACACCTTGCATGTTGCCTGATTATCAATCCGCTGCAAAGCTTAGCGACGCTTATTTCGAGAACATTCATCCTCAGTACCCTTTTTTACATGAGCCAACATTCAGATCTTGGGAGATAATGCTAGCTACTTCTTCCCAAGAATCGGATGACTTTAATTTCAACCCGTCGTGTCTATTCTTCTTGAATATGGTAAGTTATTAGCGGATTTCTTTCAGTGGTGAGCTAACGGTAGTAGGTCTATGCAATTGGTGCGCTCCTTTTACCTAAATCCGGATTTTTGCCAGAAGTAAGTGACCATCTGCACACCTGTAGCCACCAAGTTAATTCGGTTGATAGCGGTTTTATGCTTCGGGGATGTTGTATATCGATCATATACTTCAGGTCGATGGTCTTGAGGCTATACAGGCAATACTGTGTTGCTCAGTATATTCTCTTCGATCATGCACTGGTACATCCCACTGGTACATATTGTCAAATTCTGAGTGATGAATGGTTACTGAAACTAGTTCAGGAAGCTTGCTGGACTGGCCTTGCGCCAATGCATTGATTTTGGCTACCATCGCAATTCGACATTGTTGAGATCAGTTGCAAGCCCTCTCCAGCTTGAACTCCGAAAAAGAGTATTTTGGTCTTCGTACTCAATGGAGTGCGCAGCTGCTGTTATGCTTGGAAGACCAATATGTATTCCCGACCAAGAGGTTGATGCCGAGGTATTGCCACCCTTTCCGTCCACTCTTCCAACTTGAAGGTTGTTTAACACGCTCTTGAAACACTTGGCTCAAACATTATGTTCTTTAGTACCCAAACGGAATTGACGACTGGGGCATGTTGGAAAATCCCGCAGTGTCTCCTCCTGACCCAGCTTCGAGTATGCACATGGCAATCCACGGTTTCCGTTTTCGACGACTTTTGGGTCGTATTCATACCTCCCTTTACTCCAATAAGGCGTTGGAAGATGCGGCTGCTCATTCGCAGTCGGTCTACGCCTGGAATTTACGAGCCGAACTTGAGAGCTGGCGAGCTTCGGTTCCTCCTCTATTACCCCTCAAAGGACAAGCACTCTCGTTCTTTACAACTAGAGACGGATTTGTAACCGACTATTATTATGCTGTCTTGCTTCTAGGTCGTGTCCAAATCATAAATTGCAAGGGTGAAGCAACAAGCAGTGCTTTCCTTGAATGCGTGCAAGCTGCAGTGAACATCGTACGTGCATATCGTGGTCAATTTATCGGAAAGCCAACTTGCTATACTTGGGGAGCTCTCCATGAATTATTCCTCGCTGGATTGACCTATCTGCATTGCCTCTGGACATCAGCCGATGCACGTCGGGCAACTCGACCAGACCAAGTGAGTAGCACCTGTACAGACTGTACGGTTGTTTTGGCAATAATGGCAGAGCGGTGGGATGTTGCAGCGCCTTATAGAGACATCTTTGAAGCACTTGCTGGACATACTATGACTATGATGACGGACAAAGAACATGAGCGGCCTACTTTATTAGGGTCTTTGACGGAATCTGGTGACCCAAATGTAGAAAGCATGATGCAGTGGAGGGCGCGAATCCCAGACATGGAAATATCCAGTGGTATCGACAGCTTGTTGACAAGTTTGATTGGTGATATGCCATCTGAAACGCAGGCTGGTACCAAAGAAGGATCTTGGTAAATCATATATGCAGAACTTACTCCTCAAACGAAGCTAGTCGATTGGAATAGAATCATTTGAAAGGTCCTTGCGTATTTCCCATCTCGAGCCAACTGCAGGGTTGAGAGCTTTGCCATGTCCTCTATACCTGCAGCGACAAGGAAAAATGGGACTTTAGGGGTATATCAAGATAAATACCTCGGTAATGAAGTCATTTTCAAGCCAGGGTGACTACATATCACCCGACTTGATTCTTTGGTCTAATGCTCTGGCTGTCTTAGGTCTTTGGTTACACAATGCTGATAACTCCTTATGGGACTCATTTGAACAAATTGCATCGGAAAAATCCGAGCTGTCAATTTTCTTCCCTTGCCAAGGATTCTGGGTCAGACGTTTTGAAATTAAAGGGTCTGGTCTGAGGAACGCGACAATATTTCATGAGTGGTAGAACCAACTCCTCTAATTGGTTGTTTTCATTGCCTTGTGTATTCGCCAACTTTGAATATGGTGAGATAGCAAAAGCAAAAATTCGAACTCCACGATTCTGCCAGCTGCGGCTAACTCATATCAGCCCAAGGGCGAATATCTGAACTGGTTACAAAAAGAGCCACAAGAGTTAATGCCTTCGCCACTCGGAAATTCCCGACTGGTACCATTTACAGCGATCAGAAGCTTTCGTGAAATATCACGCTAATTGGCTGCTCGGACTGTCCCGACTAGTGCGCGCCCAATGGACAAACTCGAATTGTGATTGCGATAAGCACCCAAGCCAAATAAACCTAGTTTCAAGCGATGTGGATCCCTTACTCCAGTTTGACTGATTATATATCCATCCGTTTTTCTATGCTGTTCGAACATTCACACTTGTTGCTCTCACTTTCCGAACAAGAAAATGTCTCACGTTTCAGGCACAGGCGGAGATGAATCCACCGGCCATACCCAAATGTGGCCACCAGGCACTGTGCACCTCGAAGATATGCGTGGCCCTGCTGGTGGCCGAATTATTTTACAGCCTCAGCCCACTCAAGACCCGAATGACCCACTCAATTGGTCCAAGAAGCGCAAATACGTTAACTTTGGTTTAGCGTGTTTGTATGTCATTATGGTCAATGAATCTATCAACGCTCCAACTCCAACATGGGGGGCCTATGCACGAAGAGCTCCGCTTCAGCTACGAGATTCTTAACGACAGCTATGCTATTGGCTGCGCGTGTCTAGGAATCGGCGCTGTGATCCTCGTGCCACTCTCCCTGAAGTTCGGTAGAAGGCCACTTTATCTTTTCAGCACAATTATCCAGTTTGGTGTGAGTATTTGGTCTGCCAAGATGCAGACTGTTTCGGATTTAATGCTCATTAATACGATTCAATGTTTCTTTGGGGCATTAGAAGAGGTGATCGTCCAAATGACTGTGTCCGACATCTTTTTTGTGCACGAGCGTGGCATGATGAATTCAATATATATTTGGTCCTTTAAACTGACTACGTCACTTGGTCCGCTTATTGCTGGATATATCACAAAAGGACAGGGGTGGAGATGGGTCTGGTGGTGGAACACTATCTTTTTTGGCATATGTATCTTCATTGTTGGCTTTGGCTACGAGGAGACCAAATATGCGCCCAATCCATCTGTTTCAGCACTCTCTGGGAGTGGAGAACTTAATGAAAATCCTACTCATTTCGACGACGATCCTGATGGCAAAGTCAAAGATTTGGCCAGAAAATCAGGAGCAAACTATCCCACTCAACTTGATCAAGAAATTACTTTACAACCACTCCACGCATTTTCTGAAGGAGATTTGTCATATTCCGGGGTTACCATGGACCCAGAGATCCCAATGAAGACCTACTGGCAAAGACTGGCAATCACAAAAACATCATCTTCACCAAAGGGAACAAATTCTTTCTTTCGTCATTTATACCAACCTTTTGTCCTCCTCCTGGCCATTCCAGCTATTGCATATACAGCTTTAGTTTATGGAATTCTGGTCGGACTTGGAGACGTTATGTCGACCACCCTATCGACCTTCATGACTCAACCGCCATATAATTTCACTTCAGACAAGATTGGATTAATGAATCTACCAATCATTATTGGTATCACTATTGGGACTCTCGTCGGTGGCCCTATAAGTGACTGGATTATTCTCTATTTCTCTCGTCGCAATAACGGTATCTACGAGCCAGAATACCGTCTGTGGGCTATGATCCCGTTTGTGCCATTTGTTCCCGCCGGTGCAGTTATGTTTTCTATCGGTCTAAGCAATGGACTCTCATGGCCAGTGATTGCGGTTGGCTTTGCGTTGTATTATGTGGGGATTGCTCCGATCAACAGCATTACGATCACTTATTTAACAGATTCATACAGAGATGTGAGTACATTTATACCATTTCATGGTAAACCTGGCCTATACTAATCCTGAAACATAATAGATAATTGGCGATGCCTTTGTAGCTGTTACAGTCGTTCGTAATAGCTTCAGTACGGCCTTCATATTTGCACTCACACCTTGGGTGGCAGCTGTGGGAATAAACAACGTTTTCGTCACTATTATGCTGATCGCTACGGTGCTTCTACTTTGTGTTATTGTGTTTATACGATGGGGAAGGTACTTCAGAGCCTTTTCTGCCGCAAGATATCAATTTTATGCAACGCAACAATATACAGAGAGAGTTTCGTGACCTGTGTTGCTACTGCTGCTGCACTGGCTTATTGCTGATATGTTATTTGTCAAATTATGTTCAATGTCAAGTGTGCTCTCATGCCTTTGTCGCCCGATACAATCGAAATTCATTGTATTCAATTCAGCATACCGGTTAGCAATGGTACTTCAATGTGTTAATTCTCAAATGCCTCCTAAGAAAATTCATTTCCTCCTCTTCCAAGCGAAGGTTTAGATGTTTGGCTTTTTCCCAATCAGATCTTAAGACATTTGTTCATCATACTTCTCCTTCCAACTAGCCTTAAAACGCCGCTTCGGGCCCCTCATACGAGAATTATAAGTATTACAAGCTTACGGAATGTTAGTATTATGAGCCTTTGTGAAATTTTGAAATATGACAAGGTTTTCATTTTTATTCTTCGTGTGATAAGGGACATGGGGCCTTGCGGCTGAATGTAGGTGAAATTGAAGTCTTATCACTGATGCTCTCTTAACATTCAACTACATAGAAATAAATCGACGTGGTAATGGTAAACATCATTCGACAGCCGTCCAATATGTGCCATTCATAATCTTGAACCTTTTGGGTCCAAAGGCCTTCACAGGTCAGCAGGAGTTGAAGTTCAAAGAATAAAAGCCTTACATGAAACCTCCCACAGCTGCTATACAATCAATCTCAGCCTAAACAGTGGTTGTTAAATTGAGTAATAATTGCCACTATGAAAAAGGGCTGAAAAGTCACCTTGACGCCATCTCCCAAGTCAGCAACACAAACACATATCCTCGCAGGCTTTGGGTTTGGAACCATAGAGATATCTATTATATTTCAAGCTCTTGTATTTTCCAACTTATAGAATAACAATCGGGTACATACATGCAGTATTCATGGCAGCGTAATCATTCATATCAGTGAGAAAGATATTGCACGGTAAGGACTTAGTATGTGTTCAAATTAAATTGGATTGGATTTTGATGGAACCTTGAGCATCTTTCCGAGATCACTCGCAGCAGAATGGAGGACAGAATTGAGCAACTGAAGGGCAGCAATCTAAAGAAAATTAGTATTGATGGGAAGAGCTTCACTTTGAAAAAGTCAGCCTGAGTCTCACAGTCTGCTCGGCCACACCACTCCCAACAAGCTTTCGAGTTCCCGGATCGATGCCAATTTTCCCACTGCAATAAACATGGCCTTGGTAAAAAATCGCCTCTGAGTAAAATGGTGAAGAAAAATTGACCCGGTTAATACTGCTCAAGGCAATAATTCAACAAAAAAACTACTAACCAGTTAGTAGGTAAGGTCACAGGGTTTATTACAACAATCGATTGCTGATAGTTATCAGGCAAATGCATACTTTCGGGATGAACAACATATATTGTTTCCTATTGAGTGAATATTTTCAGATCTAACTACGAAAATTCACATTTCCCCTCAGTGGCCTTTTACTTGGCTAAAGATTTTTCCCGGAGTCAAGGTCATGGAATTCTGTTGTGCTACGTAAGAAGCACTGGCGTTAGGGGGTGTAAGATAGTCCATTCCCAGAGACACTTGGTTGTTAGGATCTAAACTTCGACTTGGCGTAACGGGTCACTTAGTTAATGGACCTTTAGCCAATGATTTCTTTCCGACGTATTCTTCCGAGCCACCCTTCCAAGACGGGAAAAAACTGGAAGAATACGAGAGCCGAAAACAATCACCAAGACTTTTCTAACCGCAATGTGTATTTATAAAAAACTGGTTGAAACAACGTGAATCTAGAATGTAGGATCAAATCCAAAAACACCGGGCGAGACTTCCTACTCTTCAAATCAGCCGCACGACGCCCAGCCACAACCAAGGGGATAACATGAGCGTTCCATCTGCTCCAGTCATCGTCATAGGCGGCGGCATTGTTGGTGCCTCAATCGCCTGGCATTTGGCTAAGGAAACGGATGTCATTATCATCACAGAAGCAGCTGGCGGCGTGGCGACCCCCAAGTCATTTTGCTGGCTCAACGCGACTAGTACAACCGAGAAATATTATTATGATTTCCGACGCCGCTCCATGGCACGTTGGGCTGAAATCGGCAAAGAGCTGCCCGACCTCCCGATCTACTGGGGCGGCAGCTTGACCTGCGACACAACTCCCGACGAGCGTGCAAAATTCCAGGAACTTCAACATGCCTGGGGTACAGACATCAAGCGCCTGGGCCAAACCAGCCTTGCTACGCTCGAGCCTGAAATCGACGACGCCGTATTTTCTTCGGTGGAATGGGGCCTTCATGTTCCCGACGAGGGTACTCTGGAAGCACACGTCGCTGCAGCCCAACTAATCGCCAACGCCAAATCCATGGGAGCTAGAGTGCTCACCACGAGTGTCACCGGATTCTTGAAGCATAGAAATGGTCGAATTTCAGGTGTGGTCACGGACTGTGGGGAGGTTCGGGGTAGCCACGTCGTTCTAGCCGCAGGTCTTGGAAGTGTTCCACTGTTGGCAACAGAGAACATCAAGCTCCCACTGAAGAGCAGCGAGGGTCTCCTTGTCAATACTGCACCGACTAAGCAGCGATACCTAAACACTTTGGTCCACTTGCAAGACCTTCACATGCGCCAGACGCTCGATGGGCACATTTGTTTCGGTGCTAGCTTTGCTGGTGGAAAACTCGGCGATGACCCGAAAGCGACAGCAGAGGAGCTTTTCAAACAATTGCAAAAGAGATTTAAGAAGGGAAGTGAGCTCGAATTTGGCAACTACACTGTAGGTGTACGACCTGATCCGGAGGATGGGTATCCCATCCTCGGTTCAACTGGCTTGGATGGGCTTGACGTGGCTGTGATGCACTCTGGGGTAACAAACGCTGCGCTTGTTGGCCAGCTCCTTTCCAAGAAGATTCTACATGGCGTCGAAGATCCGATGCTCGATCGATTTCGGCTTGATCGGTTTAAAAAGAGTTATGCAAGGCTCTAGGCTGCAAGTTTGACGTGTTTTGATTAGCTAGAAGATTTTGTAGTCAGTGATTCATCGGAGTTGCTGCCATGTGTGATTCATACAGCTTTTAATGTACCACACCATTTTCAATACCTCCAATATTGCAGCGCATGGGGGCTATGTTCGTAAAAGCCTCAGGGGTCCATAATCATGTTTACTAGCTTTCCGACTGGAGATGGCCCATCAAGACTTCTATTTACCATGCCGACTGTGTCAGACTATGCATGCTGAAATCTCTGGGGCACTCGCCATCCTCTCTTCGCATGTTTGTCTTCTCACCCCTTAATTTCTCAGGAAGAGGCATCATTCCCTGACAATCAATAATTATCATTCAACCTTTTCCAGTAACTACTCTGTGCTTACTGCGGAACGATGGTTGATTCGCGCTGACTGTCCGAAATTAGTTGGGAAACATTCCAATGATGTGCAGAGTAAGTCAACTTAATACGGCCGACAGATCATTCCTCACGGCTTTGCTCTCCAAAGTTGCCAACCAATTTCTTGGTCGGAATGCCGTAGTCTGAGGATCTTGCATGACAGAAAAAGGGGCTGCCCGAAGCAGCTTTGTCCAAATTTGTTAGGAGAGGACTAGTAATTTTACTATGTAGAAACTACATAGTGGGACAGGCGGTACTATAATGACCTCGGGATGAGTCAGGTCTTGGACAGAACATAGTCATATCATTGTATACGATGTACGGAGCGTGCTACTGGGTGCGTTGTACCACGGCGAGTGACCCGCGTGACTTAGCCAGGTCCTTACTATAGTTACCTTGCCCATTCTACTAGGTTGACAGGCATGATACGCAAAATGAGAGCATTAAGATTGATTGACTTCCATAGGAAACCTTGGAATAGCACATGGGAATATCCTATAAAATAAGTGTAGGCCTACTAGACCAGATCTAGAGAATTCATAATTGCATAGCATGGGACAAACCGCCTCCCTCCAACAGAACAGGCGGACTTGGACTTGTTTTTCAAACAGACTCGATCATGAAATATTTGCGATTTCTTTTTCTTTTCTCTTCTCCCTTTTCTGATTTTAGGAAAGAAAATGAAATAAATCAATGCATCACCCACCTGACCATTTAGGAAATGTAGCTTCCCAGAACAGTCTTGGCCTGGTCATCCAGACGGGAGCCGGCCATCTGCGAAACGCGTCCATTGTGCTTCTTATCCGCCTCCTTCAGGTAAGTACCGACCCAAGCCTTGAGGTCTGCACCGGTCTGGGGCCAGGGGTCCTTGGGCGAGGTGCGGATGGTGTTCAGGGGAGTGAACCCAACACCGAAAGACATCTGATCAATGTCTACCTCGGCGTTGACATCGTCCTTGTGAGTGACGTCGGGGGGAAGTTCGAGGAGCTTCAGCAGTGTGTTGACGGTGAAGCCCCAGCCCTTCTGCGAGTACTTTGTGGCGAAGGCTTCCGAATCGGCAACGATTTTGGTGAGGGAGAGCACGGCTGTCTTGCGGTCCAAGGGCCGGGCCAGCTTCTGAGTATCCTGAAGAATCACGTTGAGATATACGGGGGTGAAGAGACTGTAGCGGTTTTATTAGCACTGTGGGTTTGAAAAAGAAGGAGGATGCAGAGTCAACTCACCCCGGCTGCACCTGCTCGGTGACCTGCATGATAAAGTCGGGGTTATAGCCCTTGTCATCATGGGCAGTCACGAAGTGGTAGAAGCGGACGAAGCGAATGGAGAGAGTCTCGGTCTTGGAGTTTTGCAGACGCTGCATGATAATCTGCATGATGGAGACGAAGTACTGTTGCAAGGCGGTTCTAATTCGGGCCATCAGTTGAAAATTCTCATGAACATGTCAAGGAACAGCGACTTACGGTGGGAAGCTTGCAACAACTGTCTCCAGAAGATCGAAAGCATAACCCTCGTTGGCCTTAGTAGAGACCAGCTTCTGGAAGATACCTAGAATGGGCTCAATTTGGTTTTGCTGGGCAATATATTCAGAGCCACGGGGAATGATGGAACCCAGAAGGCGAACAAGCGCAGGAATGTTTCCCTTCGAATCCCACATGACGGGCATCAGGATGGGCCCAATCAGTTCTTGGTAGTAAGAGGGGAGTGTGGCGGAGGAGTTAGCCTCCAGGAGCGCGGCGAAGAGCTGGAAGACGTAGGGCATGAACTCTGGAGAAATGGATTAGTATGGTCGCCTGAGCGTAATCTAGGAGACTCTTAGCCTACCTTGCACATCGCCCTGTAGAATGCCGGCGAAAGGAGCATAGAAGGCCTGCTCAAGCTTAGCGGGGTCGGCGGGAGCGGCATTCCTGTCGTGTATTAGCAGGTTGGTCGTGGACGAAACAGAGGAACTGCAATCTTACCGGATGAATGCACCCATGGCCTCAAAGAAGTAGTAGTAGAACCGGGGGTTACTGGGGTTTCCGCTGATGATCTGAGTGATAGTAATGAAGCGTTGCAGCACAACATCGGTGAAAGAAACCACGCCTTCGCGGATGACAACCAAAACACGCATCACGCATCGCATCAGGAACTCGTTCTCTTGCACCTTCTCAGGAGCAGGGTCCTTCTGAATCAATGTGAAAATGTGCTCGAGAAGGTCCTTGGCCAAAGGTGTGATCTCAGTGGGAGGGATGATTGGTTGGCCTTGGCCATCGCTGAGGAAGAGAGCCCGCTCCACCGCAATGGCAGCATAGGTGTAGACCACATAGTTGGAGGAGGCCAAGTGCTTGACAAGCACAGGAAGCACACCTTGCCACTGCTCCTTTGTGATGATGCTGCGGAAGGTGTATAGATACTTGATGGCATCAACCTTGAGAATGGGGTGAATTCCATCATCGGCAATCAGGTCTGCAGCAAGGTGTTGCTGGAAGAAATCAGTGATGCTGACGAGGCTGTTGGTTGCGGTGACACCGTGACTGGAGGTTGCCACGCCCTTGGCTGCGATAGCAGAGAAGAGGTAGGTCGCGGTATCCTTAGCCTTCCAGTTCGACGCAGGGTCCTTGGCGTACTCAGCCAGGTAGTGCTCGGAGTACTTGAGAACGACCTTGGTCACAGACTCCTCGAACTTCTCGGCCAGACGGCGCAGGAAGTCAGTTGCAGCTCGGCGTCTAGTCTCACTGTCAGATCCCTCCAAGTCCCGTCGGATGAATTCGATCGGCTCATCCTCGAAGAGCTCCTCGTCGGACTCCCGCAGGCTAACGTTGGGCAAAATAACCTTCTCGATAATCTGGCTCAGCGTTTCCTCGGCCTGGAATGAAGCAGCATGCTCGGGCATGCTGGCAACCGAGGTCAAGAAATGCAAAGCTCTGCTAACAAGAATGTCGTACTTGGTATCTTGGCCGATCGTGGTCAAGAAGCCCCACGAGCTCTGGATGAACTGCCCAACGTGAGGGCCGAAGGCATCCAAGAATTTCTGGACATACAAGGTCAGGACCTCAAAGATACCCGCACGCACGTATTCCAACAGGCCAGCCTCCGTATCGTCATCTGTGTGCAGCAGTTGGTTGTCATATGTAAGGTACTTGAGCAAAATCGTCGCGATGCCGGAAATATTGTCTTCGAACATGGGAGGAAGGTCATGGCAGGATAGATCGTAGAAGAGCTTGACCATCAAGTTGAGTTGGGCAAAAGCTTGTGTCAGGTTCTCCTTGTTAGTCTTATTCTGTTCAATGTAGTTATCGATGGACTAATGGAGAGAAGCTGAAGTTAGCACAGATACTCAACCGATGGTCGCTATATGGAATGGAGCACTGAAGACCTACCTCGAGGAGAGAGAGGAACGGTGTGCCGAACTTCTCCAGAACATGGTTGATCTCCACATACAACTCGTTGGACTGGAAAAGTGGGCGCCACCGCTTGAAGATGGAGTGTGCAACCTGCAAAACACCAATGTTGACGGTAGGGTCGGTGGGAGACAACTTGGAAACGAGGTCCTAGACAAAAAAACAAAACAACCCCATTAGCTTAGTCCAGCCCAGCCCAGCCCAGCCCATGGAACAGACGCCGCAAGCGTTGATATTCACTCACATCCACAAGGGTATCCCATCTCTCCCAGAAATCACTGTCCGCGATCACACTGACGGCCTCACCAAGCTGAGACTGGATTCCCGAAGGCACGGAAATCATCAAAGTGATCAGCTCACGCTTGATGGTCGTAACCTCAGCCTCTGGAAGCTTGTAGTTTCCATCTTCATTGATCCACTCGCGCTTGATAAAATTCTTGAAGCAAAGGGCGCTGGCAAGACGAATATTGTAGGGATGGGAAGCGGAGGCGGTGATCTGGAGGAGTTGTAGCGAAAAGTTCGGCTTCTGTTCTTCCTGACGAAGGGCCTGCTCGGCTAGAATTGATGAAAAAAGACAGTCGGTCAGTCACAGTTTTAGTATCCTAGTATGATTGCATCCACTCACCTTCCTTGTTCCGTCGAGGGTCCAAGCTTGCCTCCAACAGAGCTCCAAGCGCATCCGCCATTTTCACCGAACGTGGGGTATCAACAAAAAGAATAAAAGGGAGTAAGTAGGCAAGAGAAATGGAAGAAGGGAGATAAATTGAGGTACAATGTGTAGAGAAGAACAGGTGGAATCGGGAGAGAAGACTCTTCCAGATGAGGGGTGTGGGAGAAGGTGGGATTGCAAGACAAAAAGTGAGTCCCGGAAATACAAAGAAGAGCTCACCACCGGGCAACCATAACAAATAGAGGGCTCCGATAATCGAGCGGACAGCCCACTTACGCTAGTCCGGATTGGGGATATTAGTGCCTGATCTTTCAGGTTAGGATAATGATTCTTACGAGCGAGCATTTACATTACGGTGAGCCAGTGGTGAACACGGATAGTCTGATATAATGTAATTGTATATTGTATGTGCTATCAAATACATGCACATCATGCATTCAATTCCCCTGTCTAAGATATTTTTTATGGTTCATACGCCTTGTGCCGTTCATGCCAGAAATCAGAAAAAATGGAGGGTACCAAAGTGGGCAAGAAGAAGAAGAAGAAGAAGAAAACTGCCGGTACACCATAAAGCCATGAGCGAAAGATTAGATGACAATGTTGTCAACGCCGTTGGTAAGCTTATCCGCCTCGGTGGCCTGGGAAGCCTGCATGACCTCGTTGAAAACGCCCGCAGCGCTGGAAACGAAACCTAGGAAGGGCTTGCTGGGTGCCAGAACACGAGACAGGTACTCGGGGTGGAACTGAACACCAACGAACCAAGGGTGGTCCTTCAGCTCGACAATCTCCATACGTTCGCCCTGGTCGTCCTTGCCAATGAAGTGGAGGCCACCAGACTGAAGGCGGTCGATGTACTCGGGGTTGATCTCGTAGCGGTGACGGTGACGTTCATCAACCGAGGTGCGGTCAATGCCGTAGAGAGCACGGAGCTTAGACCACTCAGACTTCTCCTGGAAGAGTGTGGGGCGAGAGCCCAGACGCATGGTACCACCCAGGTTGACCTTGTCGATCTCAGGCATGTAAACAACGATGGGGTGGCTGGTGTTTTCATCCAACTCAATCGAGTTGGCTCCCTCAAACTGGCAGACATGACGAGCGTACTCGATGACCGCAATTTGCATACCAAGGCAGATTCCCAGATAGGGGACCTTCTTAGTACGCGCCCACTCAGCGGCGAGGATCATTCCCTCGGTACCGCGAGTACCAAAGCCACCAGGAACTAGGATACCGTCGGCAGTGGCAACGTCGTGCCAAGCCTTGTGGTACTCTTGGGGGTGAATATCCCGGGAAGTGTGCTCCAGGTGTGAAGCATCAACCCAGATGATGTTGAGCTTTCTGCGAGCCGCCATGGACGCATGCTCTAGGGACTTGATGACGGAAAGATAGGCATCATGAAGGCTGACATATTTGCCAACCAGGGCAATGTTGACAGTGTCAAATGTGTGCTCCTGCGCAGTAGTAAGAACCTTCCACTTCTTCCAAGTGGCCTGACCCTGAACATATAGCTCCTGTGGGATCTTCACAGTTTGCTGAAGCTTGAGGATATCGCCAAGAACGCGCAGGTAGCCCTGTTGTTCTAGGAGGAGAGGCACATGGTAAGTGGAGCTGACGTTGTGAACGCCAATGACATGCTCCGAGGATTCAACCTGACAGAACATGGCAATCTTTTCGATGGTGGCGCGATCCAGAGGCTTCTCGCAACGACAAGCAATGAGATCAGGGCTCAGACCGGCAGAGCGCGCGTCACGAATAGCCTGTTGGGTAGGCTTGGTCTTGAGCTCACTGCCAATGACAGGAACAAGACTGACGTGAATCTGGAGGAAGTTATCCTTGCCAGCGCGACGACGCAGCTGACGAAGAGCCTCAACGAAGGGAGCACTCTCAATGTCACCGAGGGTACCGCCCAGCTCGATGACACAGACGTCTGGCTGCTCGTTGGTGCCGTCCGCAGGAGTCCTAGCGACACGCTCGATCCAGTCCTGGATAGCATCGGTCAGGTGAGGAACAATTTGGACGGTACGGCCCAGGTAGTCTCCCCGACGCTCCTTCTCAATCACGTGCTTATAGACCTTGCCGGTGGTGATGTTGTTATCCCTTCCGAGGGTGACACCTAGGTAACGTTCATAGTTACCCAGATCAAGATCAGCCTCTCCACCATCGTTGAGCACGAAAACCTCTCCGTGCTCGGTGGGGGCCATAGTGCCTGCATCGACATTCATGTAGGGATCGATCTTGATAGAGGTGACGCGGGCACCCATGGTCTTGAGCAGCAGACCCGTACTCGAGGCTGTGAGGTGTTAAAACAAGAGCAAATCATTTGTTTCATGGTGGAGTAATACCGATAACGCCCTTTCCGATGCCGCTGATGACACCTATAATGGATATTCGTTAGCAATTGAATCTTTTTTTTTTTTTTTTGGTTGACCGAAGTCTTGAAAAAAAGCAAAGAAAAAAGAAAAAAACTTACCTCCCGAAACCAGAACGTACTTCATGGTGAAGAGATTGAACACAAATATCAGTGAAAGAGAAAGACAAAAAAGAGTGAATTACTGAGAAATCGAGACCCCGATAGACGAAATGTAAATGTAGGGTGCCTGTCTCAGCTACTGCCGAGGGGGAAGAAGGTAAAAACCCGCGGCAGGCGTTGGCCGCGAAACTCTTCGGCCCTGACCGCCCCCCACCTCTGAAGTTTTTCTGCCCCGACCCACATGACGCCCTCTCGAGTCACCTGACTTGGACAACTCATGTCCGCCAACGAGTTGGTCCCTGCAACACCCATGCTTCTCTAACGCCTCGTGTCTGCGTTCCCACCATTCGTTCCGTCAGACCGTCGACCGCTCCGAATTGCTATATATCCATTCCTCGCTTCATCCCGATCTTCGACATACCACCTTACCCCATTGTTGATCCACAGGGGTCCCCGCTTGAATATCGTTTCCTGAACCGTACTTTTGTCACAACTCGCGGGGGCATCGTATGTGGCTCTGAATGTACTGTGAACTTGCATAGGAGCTGCCCTTGCGGTAATTAGCTCTGGCTAGCTTATTATATCCAGGTAAGAAGTCTCAAGGCGCTTGTGAAGTGACGAGGTTCCACCCGATCTGAGCTCTCCTGTTCGTTCTTTCCCCGGACTTGGGGGTTGTATTATACAAATACGAGTATCACCGCATAGACTAACTCATCTGTGCAGTACGAACGGGAAAGGAACATATATTACTATCCTCATTACTCGAATCAGAGTCCCAAATTGCCGGCGATTAGGCGGATGTCTTCCGACGATGTTCCACCCGCACCACAACACAAACCCTCTTCCACAAGCTTCGCGGATGTTTTCAAGACGCTAGGCGTTGGTCGCCCAAAATCACATTCTCCAGTATCCTTCCAGGAAAGCAGCAGTGACTCTTTGTCTCACACAACTGAAAGCCGGGGATCGCACCGCCACATTCTCGGAATCGACCCAATGCACCGCGCAAGTATCGTCTCAAGCTCTTCGGACACCCCGAGTGGTGGCCCGGACTTTGAGGCTGCGGTGCGGAATCTGTCACAGAAACAGAGCTTGTCTCAAGCCATTGAAGAAGCAGAGAATGTATCGAAATCCCTTCCGTGGTTCAGTCCCGAGCAGTCCATAGTTCTCTGGGAGGCAGCTGAACATCTCCTACATCATGAAGACTCCATGGATGCTCAAAGGAGCGGGGCCAAATTACTGCAGGCGATATCCGCCAGGCAGGATCTAACACCAACTGCTAGGCGAATCATTTTCGAGGCAATCTCTTGCCCAACGGAACCAGAAGTGATTCCTTCACGAGTGCAGTCATTGATCTCCTTATCGGACCACGGAAGGAAGCTTGAGTTTGCCAATACTCCCATTCTTCATATCGTTTCATCATGGATCAACTCGCTCTATGGGCTTATTGCATCAGCTCGGGCGAAAGCGAAAAAAGGAAAGGGCGTCAAAATAAATGTACTCGACCACGACGAAGCCATCCTTGCGGATCTTTTTCAATTTGCAATCGACTTGATCACCTTGCAACGCAAGCCATCTACAGAAGAGGAAATTGCAGGTCTTCTTCATGAAACCATCACCATCTGCCGAAAGACAAGCATGGCTGTAGACATCAAAAATTCGCTCGCCGTATTCGATGCAGTTGTGATGAATTCGGATGTGCCCGACGCCAGCTTTCTTGATCTCCTCGAAGTCCTCTGCAGCATCCATGCCTCTGTGAAGCCACTATCTGGCCCGACTTCGCGAACAGTACGGAGTCTCGCCAAATCCCGAAGACAGACTGAGATGGTCAACATGCTGCATACCTTTTTGAAAGATTCATGCTCCGAAGAGCAAAATCGGAACTTGACTGTCCTTCGGGGTGCAATCATGGTTTTCTGTGATCTCGTGTGTGCATTTGGTCAGGCTGGGATGCCGGAAATTCCTTTCGATCAACTGATCGACTCACTTGCAGCTATTGCCCAGAAAAACGATGGCAAAGTGGATTCGGATATTTTGGACCTGTGTTTGAACATTCTAGAAGGGTCCTTTGTTCACGATGCGCTGGAACAAGACTGGACCAACTTCATCAACCTCATTGTACTCTGCTCGAGAAGGGTCTTTGAAGAACACGAAGATTCACCTGTTTCCCCAGCCAGCCCACAGCCAGGTCTTGTGAAATCTGGACACGATGAATCCAAGTCGAATATCCTTGCCAATATGATCCGAATTGCGTCTGCTCTAGAAGTTCTCTGGGAACAGCTCAATGGGGATCAAAAGCAGCAAGCCGTTCGTTTCTTGGCCAAAGGATACCAGCACATTGAGCCTTCCCAGGCTGAGCTAATCATCAACATGATAAGAAAGGATGCCCTTTGCCATCCTTCAGATGACCCAGCATGGGCCCAGCATTGCCAAGAGCTGATTGGACGTTTTATTCAGTCTCGAACCCAGTCATCCGATATTCGTATACTGGCTCTCGATACATTGAAAGAAGCCCTTGCCGATAACGAAAGGTTGCTATTCTCAGACAAGCATGGCCTCTTAGATCTTATTCTTCAAGATTTCTCTGCAGAGACCGACCTCTTGTTTATGGAATCCCTGATTTCCTTCATCACGGAACCGGCTGTCCACTCTAGCAATGATGATGTCTTCAGACGTCTCGTTGAAACCATTTCCGCACCAATGAAGAACGATGCCCCGAAAGATGAGCCTCATCAAGCTGCACCCATGTATCCTTCACCTCGTCGAACCTCCGCTGCATCTGGAAGCGTTCTAGAGCTTACATTGGCGAATGTGTGTGCTGTTGGCCTGGTCAAAATGATGTTGCGAACGTTGAACTCTTCTGCTACAAAGTCTGTCATTATTTTCGAGGCTTTGTTGCAGATAGCTCAATCTTCCGACAGGCCAACAGACTCGCGACTCACAGTGCTGAAGCTGCTGTTCCGCTTGCGGTGTGATTCGGCAGGGTCTGTGACTGTGGTCTCGACGTCAGAAAACGACTTCCTGATGAATGTCCTGGGTCGCAATGTCGATGTGGGTTCCAAGTCCAACGAAAGCCCTCCCCGAGATGTTCCTCAACATGAAAACCTCCCGCCCTCCATTGGCAAACTCCCGGGCAAAGATCTTCCCGCGCCCAGTCCATCCAAGTCCCTTCCTGGACGTGGCTCAATCTCTGCCGCCCGAGCATCCAAGCTGACGCCCCCGGTTTGGACGTACGCCCAGCCACAAGTCTTGCCAGAACAGCCGCCTGGGGAGTCGAGTCATGTTGTCTTTGCTTATGGACAAAGTGATGCACAGAGTCCATCGAGTGACACTTTTGCATCGACGGGCATATTGAAAGTGAACATGTGGCTTGAAATTGTGATTTCGCTTCTCCAGCGGGAGACCGATTGGGATATTTACAGCTATGTCCTCACACATCTCGGCCCTCAGCTGGGAAACAAAGACTTTTTCACCAACTCTATTCCGCAAATCAAGCTCCTACGAAGCATTCTATGCGACCAAGTCAAGAACGAAACTTTCCACGAGCCCCCTGGGCTTACTGGTTTGAAGAAAAGCGACGTGGCCGCTTGTATTTTCGATGCGCTTTGCATGCTGGTCAGCTATCATGAATATTTTGCGAAAAGCGAAGAAGATGACCTTGTTCGGGCATTCATGCTGGGAATCATCGGCTCCTGGGGTGCAACATCTCGTGGTTGTATCCAGGCACTTTCTTTGTGCTGTCACGAAATTCCACTCTCTGTGACTAAATCGCTTACAATCATTCTTGACAAGATGTCGAAGGTGATCACGATGTCGAATATCGCTGTCCATATCCTGGAGTTCTTGGCCCTCCTCGCACGACTTCCTGATGTGTATGTCAATTTGCGCGAAGAAGAGATCCGCACTGTCTTCGGTATCTGCATTCGATTTCTGCAGACCTCCAGGGAACAAGAACTTCGTTCCAAAGCGTCAGAATCTCCCGTTGTCCGAGCCACCGTTCCACCACAGTCGCGGCTCAGTGCTGGCTCTCGTGAAATTGCTTCCGGTGCGGCTGAGGCCATGGAATCGACCTCTCAGGATGCAATGTCAAAATATGTTATGACGCTGACTTACCATGTTATGATATTTTGGTTCTTGTCTCTGAAACTGCAGGATCGGCCAAAACACGTGAACTGGATTACCAGCCGACTTATCTTCCCTGATGAGCACGGGAAGGAGGTGGTTGAAGAACCAAGCCAGGTCTTCATTGATTTGATGCAGCGAGTTGCATTCTCGGATTTGGGCGAGACGATTCCATTTGAAAATTTCCCTCCCACCCCCGAAGATGGCCCCGTTTCAAAGAAGTCCTGGGTTCTGGGCATGAGTATCGTTACTATTGAAACAGCGGGAGTGTCCGGGTTGACGCAAATCACCAAACGACAGGCATCTGGTACAACCTATTCCGTCTACCAGCAACGGACAGCACCAGTTCTTCCGCATCAAGTGCCCCCAACTCCTGATGCCCATGTCCACCCCTCGGATGCAATGCGCACAGCTGTTCTTCCTAGTCACATCATGCTCCAAATGACGACTACTGCCTTCCCAACTCCTACAGTCATGCAGCCGATTCCCGTTCCTGAAGACGATATCACCCGACGGGCCATTGGCAGTTTTGATCGCACCGACATTGTGGATGGACATCGAATCGGTGTCGTTTACATTGACAACCACCAGACCAAAGAAGCCGAGATTCTGGCTAACTCCGGTGGTTCTGCAGATTATGAACACTTCTTGTCTGAGCTGGGAACCAAGGTCTCCCTCCGGAATCCCCAGTTCAACACCCAGGGATTGTACGCCGATACCGATGGAGAGTCAACTTACGCATGGCGTGACCGTGTGACTGAAATTGTTTATCACGTTGCGACAATGATGCCCACTGACTTCGATCACGATCCCCAGTGCATCAACAAAAAGCGCAACATTGGCAATAACTTCGTCACTATCGTATTCAACCGGTCCAATCTCCCATTCAACTTCGATACTATCCCGTCAGAGTTCAACTTTATCAATATTGTCATCACCCCATCCAGCCACATTGCATATGATGAGTCTGGAGCTCCCAAGGGGAGACGGACCCAGAGAAGCAGTATTACCATGTTAGGGTCATGAGTAAACCAGGATTCCCTGAAGTCTCACCTGCGGCCACGCCGAAGATTATCTCTGGCAAGAATCTGGCGTCCTTCGTTCGGATTCTTGCTCTTAATGCCTCCGTCTTCTCCCTCGTCTGGAACCATCAAGGCGGCGAGCACATGTCCTCTTGGCGCACTCGTCTCCGCGAAATAAAGAAAGTCCGCGAACGCGCATTGGCCGCGCAGGCGCAGAGTGCCGAGGCCGCTGAAGGCGCATACCCCGGCCAGCGCCGCAATACCAAGGCCAACATCTTCTCCGAGGAGTTGCCAACCCGAAGCGCACCGGCTAAGACAGACTCTGAGTCCGAATGGACAGCAGCTTCTGAGACGAACGTCCTCCAAAATTTGGATTTCGCCCGCTGGGGCCGCTAGCTGTCTCCGCATGACAACTGGCGATGAATCCACACAAGGAGGTGGTGATCTATTCCAATCATCGATCCCTCGCCCTCCCCACTCTACCTCCCCCTCCTTCCTCTACAAACCATCCTTCCCCATTGACTGGATGCCAAACCTAAAACACGACATTACACACGACTATCCCTTTCAAATGAACGACCAAAAACCCCATACGATTTCATGTACATCATCTTGCTCTTTTTTGTAATGCACACAGCATTTGTGAATACCCCCAATCGCCCCAAAAAGTTTTGTGCTTTTCATGCCTGTTCAGCCTTGAATCCTCGGTGGGAAGGAAACCCACAGTCTTGGATCTACTTTACTTTACTTTTTCCAAAAATAACTCGCAATGACAATGTCCTATGTACGATGAATCAATGATTCCCTCTCCTCTTTGGCGTAAGCGTATATTTTCTATATTTATTTACGTGCAGGATATGGCAATGGTGGTAATTCCTTTCTAGCATTATCGACGAATAGTCTTAGAGTCAAATACACGACAATTAGGGCTTTCTTTATTATTAATCATTCCACTGTCAATGCACTCCATCAGGATGACGACATGATCGTGCGACGCGAACCGTCCGTCCGAGCCGCGGGGCTTGCAGGAGGACCGAGTCACTTCAGCTCACCCCCACCTGGGCATCCTTCTTCTCTCTCTAACAACTATTCTCACTCCCATCAACTCGTCTATAATTACTCATACACAACCACTTTCACACAATGCCAGTCGTGGAAATTAAGAGGTGAGCATTTCACTCCAGCTTGAACCCAAAACCAGTACACTCGTAACAGCCATACTAGCATGGCCGACTTCAAGGAGAAGATCGCCAACTCGCAGGACCTCGTCGTCCTGGACTGCTGGGCCCCATGGTGTGGCCCATGCCGCGCCATATCCCCAAAGATTGATCAATACAGCGAGGTTTACTCGCAGGCAAAGTTCTACAAGGTCGATGTCGACGAAGTTCCCGATCTTGCTCAAGAGCTCGGAATCCGCGCTATGCCTACCATCGTTTACTTCAACAAGGGCGAGAAGTTCAGTGAGGTTGTTGGGGCTGACCCCCGTGCCATTGAGGAGGGTGTCAAGAGTCTGATTGCTTAGCCTGGCAATCAATGCGAGAAATATCCCGGAGGGCGGGAACTATGGCTGCGGTTTATGCTCTTTATGATTGATGATTATGGACGAGGAGAGCTATTGCACGATGCTTTCCCATAAGACCAGCTATGCCCTTACGGTGCTATCCACTATATAGACTATATTTGATAGTTCTATCCCGACGGCGCGTCTGGGTCTGGATTATTCCCCCAGATCCGCGTCGTGATACCGCGAACAGAACCTTCCTCGCCTGTAGGCTCTAAAGCGAGTACCGTTATCTTGTTCCCCCTCTCTTTCAGATAGCATGCAGGGAGGTACAGCGTTTGCTGAGGTCCAATCGTCCAGTAACGCCCGAGGTTCACTGCGTTCACCCAGACGACCCCCTTGGTCCAACCAGGGAATTCGAGGAATGTATCGCCAACCTTATTCACATCGAAGGTGCCTTCAAAGAATACTGGACCTGATTCCTTTGAGATCTGAACGTTGCTGGAAGTCGAGTCTGGAGGCGACGGCAGTGGAAGAGGGTAGATCTGCCAGTTGGACAGCACATTGTCGCCCAGGGTAACGCTGCCCACGATGCCCTTACGTTGTTCAACAATACGTTCTCCATAGTTGACACGGCCCATGTTTTCGACTAGAAGGTCTAGGACATCGTTCTTCTTAAGACTCACTTCAACCGTGTTTGGCGTCACATATAGACTATCGATCACGCCAATTCGCCGACCGTTCACATAAATGAGAATTCGGTCTCTGGGGTAGTCTCCGACGTTGATATTGCCCTTGATAGCGGAGGTAGCCACATGTCGATAGAGAATGAATCCGACAGCCTGACCAATAGCTTCCATATTAATGGGAGACTTCTTTAAAACGGGATCGGGTAAAGAATCGAACAGCTTGCTGCTGGGACGGAGCTTGATGTCCGGAATCTCAATCAAAGGCTCCTCGTCGATGACATCGGGAATAGTATCCTCTCCAACATGTGAAGCAATCGTTTGTCGAATAGCGCGATAAATTTCGTTTGTTCGACCACTTTCGTCAATTGGGGCACCATAATCGTAGCTTGTAGTGATAGGTTCCAAAGCATCTCCCCAATCTGCTCCGTTTTGGAATCCCCAGTTTGTTCCACCGTGCACCATATAGATGCTGAAAGAGGCATTTTGCTGCAAAATCCAATCAAGATCGGACTGAACGGCTTGGATACTTTTCGTATTCCCCGCATCCGTCTGGTGGGTGTTGTTGCTAGCCCATTGATCGAGCCAAGTCACGTAGTACTCACCATCAAGTTGCGGCCCCAAGCTGCTGGGATCAGTCACATACTTATCACGAGCAGTAAATCCAGTCTTTGGATCTCCATCAGTTTCCGCCAATACTCCAGAGATCTGTCCGCCATTGATCATAGACTCTTCGCCCCCATCATTCGTGTACAGGTGCACATTCTTGCCAAATGTAGCCTTGAGCATATCGCGCATTGCACCAATATACACATGATTATCTCCGTATGAACCATATTCATTCTCAACCTGAACCATCAAGATCGGTCCTCCGTTCGTTATGAGAAGTGGTTTCAAACTCTTCGCCAGATTCTGGAGATACGACTTTGTCGCGGAGAGGAAGGGCTTATTATTCGTGCGAACAACCATGCCGGGTACTTCACTCAGCCAAAACGGGAATCCGCCCCATTCATGTTCGCCACAGATATATGGTCCGGGCCGAAGCACCACATTCAACCCATGATCCTGTGCAGTTTTGAAATACTTCGCGATATCATTGTTTCCGCTTGTTTCCCAAGTCCCCTGGACAGGTTCGAGCTGGTCCCAAAATACATAGGAGAAGATCGTGTTCAATCCCATAGCTCGTGCCTTTGCGAGCCGATCACTCCACAATTCGTGCGGAATCCGTTGCGGATCCATCTGACCGCCGATTATCTGGAAGGGTTTGCCATGGAGGAGGAAGGTTTCGTTGGTATAGCTAAAGGGTTCGACGTTGGCAGTCCATCCCGATGCAATGAGGCCGAAGGCGAGAAACGCCTTCTTTAAAAGCATTATGAATGCCCGCTTGAGATGTCGGTTTTATTTTCATCATTCCTTTACTGGAAATGGTCGTGTTGTTTTATAGTCTTGATGGCGTCCTTCGCACGGGCCCTTCGCTAAGGCTTAACTGTTGCGACGTTCAATGCAGATCTTTGATTATATTAGATCTTTACAACGTGAATAAATATGTTCGAGGCCTTTGGTTGGTGCATCTTGTTGTGCCTGGTACTCCAGCGTTACTCGACGATGCTAACCCCGCACGCGGGAAACTCAATTGTTCGATGCTACAGTGACATTTCTGAATTCATGATGTTTGAGTGCAATCATTGTGTTCATTTTCTAATATTGTGTCGGCTAAGAAGAAATCTTGGTAAGGTCTTATCGGATAATTCCTTGAGCGGTAGCCCTGTTCATACATTTTCTACCGATTTATTTTCCGACAGGGCCCGAACACTGTGACGAGTTCTAATGTCGCAAGTTGTCAGGAACAACGTGATCCATTTGAATTTAAAGTCATATTCAAACACAAATCTTCTTATGGCTTTATAAAACACAATTGTAGTTGCGAATGTATTGACAGTGTGCAAGGCTTAATGCCCGATGACCATGCTTTGAACCTTCTTCTCGTTCTTGTGCTCCTTTTGCCATTTCTTCGACTTCTTGACACCGAACCCAGTACTGAAGACATCTCGGACAGCTTCCAGGGGCATACCTTTGCATTCTGGAAAGCAGAATAGGATAAAGACCCAGCCGAAGGTGCAGATCGCCATATAAAATCCGAAGGCACCGCTGGGTGTCCAAGCCTTCATCATCGAGAGGAAGGTCGAGGAGATAATAATGTTGGTACCCCAGCAAGTAACAGTGTTCTGGAGAAAGGAAATTAGTATACGGATCAACGTTTAAGAGGGGTTTTAGTATAACGTACCATCATGGTTCCGATAGCGCGGACCTCGAGGGGAATAAGCTCAGTGCCAATCCAAGCAATGGTGGCAACACCAGACGAGTAACAAGCAACATAGAGGATGATCATCACCAGAACCAAAGTGCCTGGCCAGCCGACAGTATCACTCTCAACCTCGAGGGTATGGAGGTTGACAGGAATATAACGGAATGCGATGACCACAACCATCATGCAGAGCGCCATTCCGGCGACGGTGAACATCAAGATAATTCGGCGACCAAACTTGTCAACAATCACCAGATTGACGACAGAGAAGACGAAATTCGTTGCTGAGACGGTAATTCCTACGGCAGTTGCATTTTCGAAGCCAACAATACCGAAAAGTGTCGCGGCGTAGTACATCAAAGTGTTGAAGCCTCCCAACTGGCTGATAGCCATGATCATACAAGCAGTCAGGACAGCGCGACCGGTATCAGGGGTAGTGAAAACTCGTCTAATACCTGTCCAGACTGTTTCCTCGGACATTGAATCCACACTCTCTTGTAGCGATAACTCAATTGAGACAATCTTGGCTTCACGTTGAAGGATAGTGGACTTGGGATAGATTCTTTTCAAGACTGCCTCGGCTTCCTCACGCTTGCCATGGGAAACAAGTTGTCGAGGTGACTCAGGACAAAGGGTGAGGAGACCAGCGAGTATGATTGCTGGAGCTGCTCCGATAGCAACAGTGGCTCGCCATCCTTCACCTTTGACCTCGGCGAAACCAGCACCGAGAGCACTTGCGAGCAGCTGGCCGAAGGTAACGCTCATGTTGTTGAAAGCGACCATACGACCACGATACTGTGCTGGTGCCAGTTCACCAACTTCAAATTGGTCAGTCAACCAGCTTTAGTGAAACGACCGAGCAAACCAGAACGAGACTTACTGTACAGAGGCACAATCATGGCTGCACCTCCCACCCCGAGTCCTACCACGAATCTTCCTACTGCAAATTGGGAAATGGAAAAAGCAGCAGTCTGCAAGACTGTTCCAATCACGAAAAATAGACACGAGCCCCAGATTGGCCAGCGACGACCAAAACGATCAGCGGTGAGACCAGCTGCTACCGCACCCACCAAGGCACCGCCACTGGTGAGAGATGTTACCATTTCCTGCTCGCTAGATGTAAGAGCACGACCGAGGGAAGTGCCGATGGTGACTAGCACGGATGAAATATATCCGGTGTCATATCCTACAAGTCAGACCCACGGTTAATTGTGCACTACTAGTATATTTACGGAGTTGGGGGGAACATACCGAATAGCAGACCACCGATCGAAACGACGATGGAGATAAGCCATGCCGCTTTGGACGCAGCGGTGGTCTCAATTCCACTCAGTTCATCCTGGTCTTTAGCGCAGGCCAGCTGCTTCATGTCTCCAATTTCCTCGACATACTCCGCAGAGGGGTCGTCTAACTTGAGATCATCTTTGCCACGGGTGGAACTCATATCTGGTTCTATTCCCCGAAGGAAAATATATAGTATCAGTGTAAAATAACTTGAAGTAAAGAAGAAGTGTAGAGGCTCAATGATGGATATCCAATTTTGCGGAGAAAATGGATCCTTTTATATCAGCTGATGATCCGGTAATTGAATCCATAGATGACAGACTGCATCGCCCCCCATGTGGAATCTGGGCAATCCCCGTGGGGTAGCGCAGATCAGGACGGGGATAATTGCTGTTTTAAATAGTCCAGGGAAGGCGGACTAATTCTGCATCGCTAATTGGACTGGTGTCAAAGTCAAACTATCATAACATTTCGGGGGCGATTGCCCTGCGATGAATTCTCCACATTCCCCGCAGATCGTACGCCTATCACAGCGCGCTCGAAGTGATCCAGGCCTACGATTCCCCGGCGGCAAATCTCCCCCGTCGGTCCCTATTGCCTTCTTTGCCATCCCGCCTCATGTCTAACTTTGTTTCAGATCGTTATCTTGACGGAATGACGGTTATTGAATACTCTCGGCGTGGACTCTTGGATACTTGGCCGTGCGACATTTATTCACGCATCGCAATGAAGGAAATATTGCCCGGTATGAGGCTGTTCGATTCCGTCCTTGGAACGGCTAACTGATTATTCTGTCCATAGATTATCAGCAGCACCTCCACCTGAAACCTACGGCTCTCAACGTGGTTATTCCCCACAAAATCTATACGGGGCTGACCCGTGGTATAACTCTATACGTCACGAACCGAGAGATTCGAGATTAGAATTGAAGCGCCATGAATTCAATTGCTAGGTCTGGATGTGCCTGCAATTCTTGCGTGATTTGATAGAAATGCCTTATTTGAAGAGTTGAAACGCGACATTTTGCTGTCATAACGCCTTTCCGGTTGTATTTCACTCCTTGGCTTATCAATAATGATAATTGTGCATTGCTTACAACACATCTTTTTTTTCTTTTCGAGAAATGGAATCTTTCAATTATTTGGTTATTGAATCATGCATTTGAAAGTCCCATGTCCTAACTGCAACTGATGATTTGTGCGAAAGGGTTCTACGAATACCGAGACTCAAGAAAGTACCTAATTGTAGTTGAAGAAATTAGAGCTATGCATTTAGATTACTTTCTTATAAGAGTAAGTACCAACGCTAGGTTGAATCAGTTAAATCTTAAAATACCGATATTGAAAACCAATAATACAGTCCAATCATTTGTTATCACCCGCATCATAGCTAAGGGAAATCAAAATTAATATCAGAAGACCATAGCAAGGAGTTCGCAAGAAACAACACAAGATTGATGATCTAACTTCCTGAATAGGTCGTATACTCATCTGTCTTGTCAGTTGGAGGGCTAGTCATCATACCGGGAAAGGCCTTCCACTAAGAGGATCTTCAAACAGGTCGCGCATCTGATTGGAGTATTCAAGCCTACCCATGACTCTGCGAAGCGGCTCATGAATCTCATGAAGGAGGTCTGCTGCAAATTCGGGATTCTCCTGAGCCTCCTTGGCAAGTTTAAAAGTATCAACAAGGAAGAATTCTTCAACCGATGCCGCAGCCAACATCTGGCGTACTGAATTCCCAGAGGGTAAAAGGCATACCGAAGCGATATGATCGGAGCCGATGTACCGGACGTTAGAGCTGAAGTTCTGGAAGTCATTTCTTAGAATGATCCGCTTGATATACTCCGCGGTAGGAGATTCCAAATCAGACACATTCCACATAAGCGCAACTCTCGCAAGCTCAATTGCATCCAGAATTTTCTCACTGCGATCCTTGACATTAAACTTCACCTCTCCAGTATAGAGCCACTGAATAAGGGCATTGAAAGTGCGCACAGAAAGACCCTCTCCTTCTTCCAAGGTTGCTGCCTGCTCCTGGGACTCTTGAGAGGGACCGTTGAACATAGTCGAAAAATATGCAGACTTTGAGCAGAGCAGGTCTTTGGAGACGAGATATTCGTAATCATGGGATCCTATCTTCATCTTGACTCGGGGCCCGTGATAAAGTGACAGCGTGCTATAAAGAAACAGTTAAGAAAGGAACCTTTGGGCAAACTAACGCACTCACTTCAAGACAAACTGATTTTGAAGGGGCCCAGCTGGCTCCGCCATCGTTGCTTGTTTGAGGATGACAGGGATAGCGAAAGACTAAAGTCCCGAGGTCGGAATTATTTTCCGAGTAATTCGACAGTGCTGGGCTTTAATTATCGGGTGTGAAGGAGTATCTGATCTTGGACTCGATGCAATAGGTTGCATAAAAGTAGGAGGAAAGTTAAAGAAGTGGTGTTACAGTGGAACATTGAAGCAATTTGTTTTGATGGACGGAGAAATCCGCGTAGTGAATTTCGTTTGCCATTGTGTAATAATCCACAAGCGAAGGCTTACTGTCAATGTAGTAATAACCATGTAAAAATACCCGAAAATTCATTGTTCAAAATTCTCAATCTATAATTCGATCATTGATTTGCTAGAATCTCATAAGGAGCACCTGTTGGATGTCCACGGGGCTGCCAGTCTAGCCCAGATGTCCCTATGACCAAGAACCACACAAGTCTAAATCATCAAAAGCACCCCTCTCCAAGCTCAGCCTTTTCCCTGAAGTTACAGATTTAAGGAATTCATCATCGGGGCACTTGAACGCCCACTTTATATTAGGTGCCCGTTCATCATCTTTCATGCCAACAAGCAATGCACCCAATAGGATACATATCATCCGTGGTCCAAATACAGCCTTTGCTGGACATTCATGTGGCCCACTGCCAAAAGGCATGAAAGCTTTGCTTTGCTCCTTTGTTAGGTTCACCCAGCGGGTCGGATCAAATATAGTGGCATCCGATCCCCAGATATCGGGTCTTATATGGCATGCTTCAACATCCGCAGCGATCGTTTGATACGAATTTGCAACAGTTTCTCCTAAATGGAGCCCCTCCTGGCCCGATAGCTCTTGGTTGATTGTGCGGCTGCCAGAGTTTGGCCCAGGCTCATTTGACTTTGAACTTTTATCCCACTGGTATGCCCGGTAGATTCGTCGGGTCGGAGGATGAAGCCGCAAAGCTTCCATGACTATGTCTCTCGCGGATGGAGTCTCTGTTGGATCAGATTTACCATCATGCTCCACAATCGCCATTGCATTGGTTTTTGAACCTACCCGTAGACTCGGTCGCCTCTCAAATTGTTCCTTGCTAGGGTTCCTGTAGAATGCAATTATCGCTTCGGTCCATTCTGGACTTTCACGACGTGACCGGAAATTGATCTCTAGCAGAGCACGTAGAACGACTCTCCACATTGTCTCAAATGATGGCACGAGGAGATTGAGTGAGTTTGCTTCTCCCTGGTCTGGATAGGAAAATAATGACTGGAGGCTAGCTTGCAATGAATGATTCTGCTCAAAATTAAGGACTCTGGAGCAGTCGCCGCTGGCTCCGGTCCCCTTCTCCGATTGAATCCATCCTTGATTGATATGTTGAGCCAGTTGAAGTATGGCCGAGTCGTTGGAGCAATGCCGGGCCTCTGTCTTGCAGACTGTTATTAGCGCGGCCTTAAGAGTAAGGGCTTGCACTAGGCTTGTCACGTTAATTCTAACAGAGAAAGGAGTGCGGTGATGGGCAGACTGTATCAAGCCTTCCTCTGGCCCATCTTCATTGAAGCCAACAAAGATCCACTTTCTCGCAGCGTCTTTGAGCACATGGCCTATCGTCGACCACTCTCCGGGATTTAGATTTATTCGATTTCTGGATTCACGAACAAATGCGTCGGCAACCGAAGAGTCCAAGCTGGTGAATACGTTTTCAATTGCGAAGGGAGCCCGCAATCTCTGATTTGGTATCGCTTTTGACTCCAGAGGCGAAAGTTGATTCTGTCGGCGACATTGGGTTAACTTGTTTCCAATAAGCAGACGGCATAGCTCGGGGTCAGATATACGACCATTGGTGGAATCGACATATCCTGCAGACTGAGCTTGGGGGTTGTCCCATCGGCAGATGTAAAGAATGGAGGAAAGTAGAAGACAGCACGATACTGAAAGTGCAACAAGTGTCAGCATGTTGAAATCGCCGAGCCGCACTAAGGGACACCGAAATAATGGCAAGAAAAGCTTGTCACCAGCAAGAACTTTCGACGATGAATCTTCTACTTATAGTTTATTTACAGAAAAGATTCAAAGTGCTTAGATATATGTCTCAGGCATTCAAAATCGAAATATTAGTCTCTTTCCTTTGTTCTAAATCATCACCACACACGCGTCCACCATGTCTCTCCTCCTTCATGCTAACATTCGACCTTTATCATCACAAAGGTTTCCGGGACTTTGTACGCTGTGAATGGATATTTCTATTGCTGGGAAATTACAATGACCATTAATTATCTGTAAGTCTCTGATCACAAGCCTATACCACCATCCCTAACACTCAGGCACCTGGGCAGAGGAGCATCTAACGTGAGATTGGAAGAGATTTAATATAAGCTGATTCTTTTTTTTCCTTCGGATACCCCATAAATTGTCACTTTACTATTTTGAGGAGTTTACTCTCTGGGTTTACAAGCAATTCTCCGCAAGTCCACCCGCTCCGTGTCTCAGCCATGCTATACACAGAACCAGTTTTGCTCACTCACTGGCCGAGAGGCACCTATCCGGGCCTTCTTTATCATCATGACAACTGTTCTGAAACTTCTCTCTTCCCGAGACTTTGGTGAAGGGCTTTGTTGCCAGAAAACTCACGTGAAAGATCAATAAATACGACTTATCAAAGGCAAAGAAAGTCTGGTGATAAGGGAGAACGAAAACGCTTTCTCGGACGGCATCCTATTGTCCTTCCTGACGCACTTGGTAGCCTCCAAACTATCAGCCGCGAGATTAAAAATCGTAGTCATTTAGAGGAGCTCGATGTAAGCATTTTTGGCATTTGATAACTCGCTACCTAAGTTGTAGAAAGATATCTAATAACCGGGAGGAAACAATTAGACAATTTCCCTTATCATGATAGAGGCTGATGAGTACTGAGATATTTGAGATCAAGTTTTCAAACCATCAACTGCTCCTGCTCCGCTGGACTGCGGTTTATATGTGAGACCTTGTGGTCGTCATCGCCGCTCTTTAGAGAATTGCAAAACGGCGACCGCGCGCGCATAGCTTCACCTTTCCATATCAAGACAAATGGAACAATAGACATTAATGCACTAAGCCCCCCCTAGCAAACTACAAGCTCCGGCAATCCCGAGGTGTGAGAGCATAGGGTAACTAGCAAGGGGTAGAAATGTTGCGAAGAATGAACGACTGCAACTTGAAGCAGCATTAGCAGATGCGGCGTAAAGTCGATAAGCGTCGGTGATATAGTTTCTGGTTCATGAATTTATCAGTATATATTTGACAGACTTAATCAGAATCAGGGAAAAATACAGAATGGCAATGAAGACACACATGAAGCCTATCCCAAAGGGGATACCAGCCATCATTGGTACTGCGAAGGAAACATCGTCACGAGAAGACCAACCCAGCCAAAAAAGGGATATCACGAATAATGGACCACCCAAACACGCAAGTGGTAAGCGATAAAGTTCTTGCTTGTTGCGTGCAGAAGAAATATCAACCAAACCGAGAAAGATCCGCTCGTATGCCCAATAGATCGGTAGACTCAAGGCGCAACCGGCACCGATTGTCAGTTGAACCAATCCACACTGACCTGGCGATAGAGAATAGACTTCCTGGAAAATGTAGGGGAAGACCGCGAACGACATGTAAAATATAGAGTAGCAAAGTGCCAGGTACATAGAGCACGCAGCAAGAACGGGTTCCGTGAAAAGAAGATGAAGCGGCCGTAGTAGAACTCCGCGAAAGATTGATTTCCACTGTCGATTCCGGTGCTTTAAGGGTTGCGGATCTTCCATTTGAGACTCTGGGAAATGATTGGGGGCATAAATTCTCACAAGAACAGGCTGGTAAGTCTCTGGAAACCACAAGACAAAGATCATTGTCACCCCGGCAAATATCAGAGCGACCCAGAAGGACCAGCGCCAGCCTACGGCTGGTGAGATGAATCCTGAAACGATAGGCCCCAGCATAGGCCCAAATCCAGTGACCTGCCACTTGTTAACAGTGATTCCCCAGAAGAACAATGTTTTTTTTGAGACGCACGCCCATAAATACTGCTATGCTCCAACCTCTGGTTGTGGGGTCTCGATAGATGTCCGATATGATACCCGGACCCAGTGCCACGATTGAACTTCCGACCATGCCTGCCAGGAGTCTGAATGCCAAAAATGCCGACCAGCTCGGAGCTAAGGCGCAGGCCATTGTGAATACCGCAAAGAGAGGAAATGTTAGAATGACAATGAGTCGGCGCCCATACTCTTCACTGAGGGGCGCCCATACAATTGGGCCTTTTTAAAATAAGAAGCTGGTCAATTGTTGAGTATTGGTAATGATTGAAGCTTACCACAAACATATCCTATTACAAATTAGCATCTCGTTCTCTCAAGGCTGGAAGTTTCACACCTACCGACTAGAAACATGGATATTGGCAAAGCCTTTTGAACTTGTGAATTCACCGCAAATTCCTTCGAGATGTATTGAATAGCGTTACCAGTCAATGAGCTCCCCATGCTGCTGTTAAGTACAACCAACATCGTAGTAGATAAGACCGAAATTTTCCTGAGCTAGATTCTGTTAAGATTCCCTGCCTCGTCAATTGTCGCAGATGGAGGGCTTACTGCTGACCAATTATGTGGATTTCGGCTGTCCGAATTCCATTGGAAGAGGAGACTGACGCTTCCACATGCCCTTGACAGGCCTTGACTTCAGGCATTGCTCCTACCATTTAGAATTCTTTCGCTCATTCAAAGGAAGCTCTGAACCTTTGGTATTCCTGATTTTAGCGGCGATATTCCAAGACAATGACCCACCCTATAAGAAGCGAATAGGTTTAGTTTTGATCACTGTCTTCTCAAGACAATAGAAAGAATAATAATGTAAAATAGATTCCAGAAAGATTACTGGACTCTTTCGTTGCTTCACAACGAATTAGCAGTTTCGAGACTTAATGATATTTTATGATCGGCCGGGCCACTCGGCCCGACCGAATGCTTAGTTACGAGATGACAACCAGCTTGCTAGTTAAGGCCCAGGTGTACTTCCTTTCTTCTTCAAATGAATGTCCTGGCACGTCATGTCATACAATCGTCTTATATGGAATAATGGCGTGCTATCATGAGTATCCAATTCTGTACCCAGCCTACGAATGGTGTAGTTATTGATAATGCACGAACATGCAGAATGTTCTAGGAAGTTCAAGATCTGCAATCGCAAGACAACTCTAGTATGAGAGTGTGACTGTGTACAGCTCAAAAAGCTTTAATCTAATCTACGGCAGTCATTCTTCAGCCTACTGTTTAGTCGATCGTACCCTCCGGTTGGCAATATACTGTTACATTAAGAGAAAAGAGAAAGAAGGAGGTTCAATTCATGAATAAAGCAATCAAAAATCGTGTGATATACAGTATCATATCGATTAGAGAACCAAAGCCGCCCCATTGTCAGCAATTTCAGCTCGCTCCATTAGCCAGTATCTCCCGGTTAAGACTACAAGACATATCGGAAGTGCAGATTTTGAATCTGACAAAGTAATCAGTACCGAAAGAATGATCTTTTGGGCAAAGAATTGATTGGTGATACTTACGTCGGTCATATCTGATATACCGACAGACACAACTGCAGTTCGATCATTTTCGGAAACGTTTGCATTGAGACGATCGCGCTACAAATCGTTAGCAGTGCCCAATTAAGGAGCTTTGCGAGGTTCGACTTACTCTTCTATTCTCTCTCGGGCATTAACCACGTACATCACGCTGACTATAACAATCTGTGCCGCAAAGCACGCAATCATAGACGCAAACCCGGATTGATAGCGAGGCGCTTCTCGCTCGAAGAAAAGTTGAGGCCCGATCAGGTTACCAACGCAGTAACTACCCATATATATTTAGATAATACCAATGGCTCACGAAGAAGCTAGCACTCACCTGACGAAGAAGGCAGACGTAAAAATCGTCTTCTTGGTGCGACCAGCCACATTGGACTGCAGTAAGGTCAAGGATATGACGAAAGTAGCACTGAAGCCGACAAGGAGATAATAGCCGCTTGAGACTGTCAGCAAGTATTATATATTCTCTGATTTATACAAGAAAATACTCACAGTAATCGGCCAATACGATTGGAGTCCGGGAGGACAAAGATCAGGACTCCTCCGAGGAGAGCAACCAGTAACCCACCAATCATTATAAAGTGGCGTATACCGTTGAACCGGGAGGCCAAGTAGCTGCAGAAATTGACGTTAAGATATTTGAGAAGCGCCACGGTAAACTCATAACATACCCCGATATCCATAACCCCAAAACCTGTGAGGCACCCGATGGCATGCCGAGAAGAGTCGAGTTGAATTTCGAGAAGCCGAAGCCATTTACAATGAGCGGGGCGAAGGCAGATACAGCACCCTGAGCATTGTTAGTTTGGTCGAGTTAGCAACAAAAGGGAAGGAGTCAGACATTAGGAATAGTGTTGGCCAGACAGAGAAGGTTGATCAACCAGAATCGAATGTCAAGGAATGACTCCTTTACTTGATCCATCTTGAAGGATTTGTTATCGATACCCGTTTCGTTTTGAAGAACGCGCAGCGTTGCAACCTCCTTCTCCCTCGTCGAGAGCCATTTCGCCTTAGTCGGATTAGATGGGGTTACCACTACAAAGACAATACCCCAAAGAATCGTCACAGAGCCAAAAATTATGAACGGGTATTTCCATGCTGGAAAGGCCGAGTGTATATGGCCGATTCCATAGGCAATTAGCCCACCGATAATGTTTGCAACCCCATTCATAGAAAACCAGATGGATGTTCGCAGAGGCTGTTCTGATCTGTGAACTTTGTGAGCCAAAGAGGACTATCGGAACATTGTTGATAGATTCAAGAACTGACCTTCGATAGAACATTGCCGTTAGAAGGACAAAGCATGGACTCACTCCAGCTTCCAGTATGCCAAGAAAGAGTCGTGTCGTAGCCAGACCAGCGAAGTCATGACCAGCAGTCATACAAAGAAGAACTGTGCCCCAGAGGATGATGAAAATGCCACAAGTGCGCGCAATGTCAAACTTCTGGAAGAGCAAATTGATAGGAAACTCGCCCACCATGTATCCCAGATAGAAGATAGTTGTGAGCCAAGAGTATTGGTCGTTGACGAGGTGAGCATCTGTTTTCATGCCCCAAAGTGCAGCGTAGGAGATGCAAGACTTGTCGAGGAACTGCAGAACATAAGATTAGGATTGGATTTAGGTGGCAATGTTTCCTAGCCTACCTGGATCATATAAGTGAATGCAAGGATGGGAAGTAAATATTTGTCAATCTTCCGAAGAACGGTTCGGTCTTCACCGTCCTGGACTTGCAGTTGTTCAACTGTTCCATTGAGAATCGCCGCTCCGACATCATCTCCCTGAATATGCTTCATATCACTCTTTTCCAAGTCAGAGGGACTCGAGCCATGCTGATTGTCACGGGAACTTGGTTCAGTCATAATGATTTGCATAAGCGTAGGTTACTTCAATAGCAGAAAGAACAGAGCAATGGTGATGGCTCAGTGTGCTTGCCACCAGCAGGCAGCACGGCACTATTAGTACGTTCATGAATCTCGAGAGGGTGGTTATCGGCTGAACTCTCTCGGCTGTTGAGAGCCAAGCCTGGAGGTGGTCGAAGTCTATTCGTATTGCTCCGCATCGGTCGGCCCGGCCGACCTTGTAGATACCACCAGTGCATTAGCCGAATGATAAAGAATTCATGGAACGCTCAATCATGGCTTGCGAACTTGAGACAAAGGGTAAAAAGAGAAATCGCGGCTCACCAGAACTTATTTCCTATTTTGACATAATCCTCCTGCGCGAAGATTGACCAATATGGCTAAGCATTTAACTCTCCAGTCGGTCGATATGATCAAGGAGATAGTGAGCGCCGTAAGCAGCTCTAGTGATGAGCTGTCGCGCTTAAGTCTTGAAGTATGTCAAAATTCGTTTATTAAGCACAAAAAAGGATTTGAACTTACCTACATCATCTTTTCAGATTTTCAATAACCCAGAGACAAGATTTGAGGAGTTCAAAGCTTGTGAGCTGTTGTCAAATTGGCTCGAGGGCCGTGGGTGGAAAGTTCGCCGAGGCGTATATGGCCTCAAGACTGCATTTGAGGCGAAATTCTCAGTTGTTGATGGAGGAAGGACAGTCTGTTTCAACGCAGAGTACGGTGAGTGCCTGCCCACATACCCTCATCTATGTAGCACATCTCTAAGCAACATAGATGCCCTCCCTGGCCTGGGACATGCCTGTGGTCATAACTTGATTGCGATCTCTTCCTTAGCATCAGCGATTTCTCTCGAGCAGGTCCTTCAAGTCCATAATTTGCCGGGAACACTTGTCGTTATGGGAACACCCGGCGAAGAGTCAGGTGGCGGGAAATGGATCATGGCGAAAAATGGTGCTTGGAAGGGGTTTGATGCTTGCGTGATGACACACGGGATGCGAGATTTCAGCACTCCGCTCTGCTTAACAAAAGCTTCATGGAAAGTAACAGCGAAATTCAATGGCTTAGCAGCGCATGCTGCCACCGCTCCATGGAAAGGATTGAACGCCTGTGACGCCATCGTGCATGCGTATGCTGCAATCGCGATGCTACGTCAACATCTCGAGAAAGGCTCTAGTATTCAAGGATGTATTCTCGAGGCGGGAAAGGCATCCAATATAATACCAGATTACGCGGAGGGTCTATTCAGTATAAGGGCTCCCACAATGCAGAAGCTGGAAGAGCTTAAGTCCAGATTTGAGCCCATATTCGGTGCTGCGGCTGCTGCAACAGGATGTAGTGTTGAGCTTGACTGGTATGTCCCGTTTCTGAGAAAAGAGATGAAATTGATATGACGCAAACAATTGCTGATTTCTATTGCAGGACAGCTCTATATGAAGATGTTGTCTCAAATGAAACCCTCGCTGAGCAGTATCGCAATTACATGATACAGTACTTGGGTATGGAGCCGGAACAACTGCCGACATTAGAAGAATCTCGAGTACTTTATGATCAGCCAGGATGCTCGTAAGTGTTGACAATTTGTCAGATGTATGTTTCAAAGCTAAGCGATTGAGTACAGGGACTTCGGTAGCTGCACCTACATTTGCCCTGGAATTCAGGCCATGTTTTCCATCGAAGCAACAGATTTTCCTCATTCAATCGGGTTCCGTGAAGCGTCCTGCGGGAAATTCGCTCACAAAGAGGCACTGAAAGCTGGCCAGGCAAACGCTCTTATTTCCCTCGACATTCTTACCAACGATGAATTCGCAGTGGGAGTTAAAGAGGAGTTCATTGAGGCCATGAAGAAGGCCGGTCGCTGGAAGGCAGGTCAAAATTGATGTATAGACACGCGGTTCAGCCAGCTTTCCCAATTGGTTAGTGCCTCTTATCAGACAGTATTGCCTGTTTGCGTTGAAGATTATATTGTGCACACTCTTCTGGCATATTGGCTTCTTCGGGCCCATCCCAAAGCCAGCCAAATTCGTCGTGCTCTGACTTTTGATTAAGTCTCATCATAGTATCAAATGATAAATTATTTTGTTGCTCGATCTTCTCACAAATCCTTACTCCGAAGGAAATATACCTAATGCTGGGAAGTTTTCGTCCCACGTCTGCTGAAATTGTCAGAAATCCTGACAGAAAGCCAATTAATAGTTCAGGATCTAACGTACCATATCTTCGATGAAACTGGGGATATCAAAGAGCTCGCTGAGTGGGATGTCCCCACTAGGATCTTGGATAGTCCGAGGAGTCAGGACTGTTTGGGTTACCGCCGCTATTCTATCTCTGTCTCGTCGAAGCTCATTCGCGGTATCTTGAGCTCCTCCTTCTTCAAACATCTCCGCTGCTTGCTCAACCCTGGTGAGAAGACGCCGAGCGTCGACGAAACTGTAAGATAGGGGGAGAGCTTTCAAGATGAAGCAGATTGCGTAGTATAATGGTATCCCGGCATAGTCCTATTAGACCAAGATGCGATCAGAGACTGGCAAAAGGTCAAGATTCTTGAAGAGCACCTTGTCTATCTCCGCACTTACTATGCTGTATTTGAATGCTCGTCGGAAAGATGTGGAATCATGTTGTGTTTCGACAATCAAGCTTGCGCTATCTAGAGCTCGCCGAATGAATTCGATTCGAACCGGATCTGAGCTCAAGTCATCTACCGACCCCATACCTTGCAACACGAGACCATTGATGTAGCTTTTGCGGGGAGCAAGAGTAAATTAGAACTTTGAGACTAGTGAAGGAATATAATGGAGTGGCTTACAGCTTCATGAAGCCGAATGGTACCAATAATCGGTTCCTATCTTGCTTCTGTGAGAAGGTTTGGTAGAGAGGATGGACTTTATTCGTCATCTCATGCAGCCATTTGTCGACAGCTTCATCGGAAGAATTAAGAAGATCAATGACCGCTTGTGGTAATGGCTTGCACCTCATCTGAGAGTTCTGTAGCTTTCCTTTCAGATCCCCTACCGCATTTAAGTTATTAATTTAATTAGGCGGAGATAGGCGAAGATCACAAATATAATATGCGTACCTGCGATTATGAATCCTTGAATGCAGTCACAGATGCGGTTATCGACGGGATGGCGATAGGGAGACATAACGAGATACTTCGCATAACCCAGATACTGTCTCATGTTGTTTATGACAAAGGGCCTACTGAGGTTCGTTCTACAAATCTTCAGTTAATAGTCAAGGAAAGACAGTAAGATAAGACATACTGCAAGTCCAAACAGCATAAGGTAAACCAGGCTCTTGCCTTTTCGACCAATTCTTGGGTATGCTCTGTATCTTGATCTCCAATTACAATCGCGGCTTCATGTAACTTCAATTCGGTGGCCACAGAGGCAACGTAGCCCATTAAGCGTGATCGTCCAGTCCATGTTACAAATACAATCATGGCATAAACGCCAAGCAAGTCGGTCATTGGCCCTTGAAAGGTTTGCATGATAAGATTGTCAACCGCCGCGACATATGATTGGTATGTTTCGGGGCGAACGGCCCTGGAAGCAATTGCGCTTATGACAGCCGACATCAGTCGGTGATTCTTCATGGCTTCACTAGCCGAGAATAGCTGGTCGTCTATTACCGCAATTGTTGAGCTGCAATTGGTGCAAAAGAATTCGTACAGCTCATCCCATTCGCTTTCATCAGTAATCGGAGGGGAGGCAGTATTGTAAGAGATGTTCCGCGACACTGCCGAGAGGGCTGCTGGATTGGGTGGTGAAAAGGAGCCCTTGTGCTGGACTAAATTGCCATTGTGAGAGATTTTAGCAACCTGTTCTCGCAATGTATCAATTTCTAGCCGGAGCTGTTGCTCTATCAACTCCAATCGCCACTCAAGATTGGCCGTTTTGGCACTAAGACAATATCAACCACCATTAGAACCTAGAACGCGATAACATGTCCACAGAAACAGATCAATGAAATTCAAGACTTACTCCGGGTCCGAAACAGTAGCTGCCGGCTGTACTGCCCTTGGAGGAACGAAGACACATTCCGAACTACTCACACGGCATCGCTGGCAAGGTATCTTTCCGGGCCCGCCACATTTGAGTTTCTGTTTCCTGCAGCGTAGACAGGCCGAGAGAGATCTGCAAGCAAGAACTTCATTAATCAAATTATCTTCAAGTATATTTTAAGCGGAAGGCGTACCTATGTGCTTCACTCATGGTTGTTGGTCAATGTAGGCACTTTCATGGGGTCAAAAGGAGGGGGAAGAATGGGGGATCCATGATGCCAAGAGCCGCACGATCGATAAGCTCGCATGTTGCCAGTTGCCACCCACCCCAACATGGGAATCTATAGTTGCTGCCTTGCTGCCTTAAATGTCATGTATTATCAAATCACCATCTTTTCCACAACCATGTACGACTTCACGAATAGTTTATTTCGTCTCACAATTTCTTCCGGGACGGTTTACCGTTTGACTATCAGAATCAATGCAATAATCCAATAAACCCCCGCTCAACCCCGCTCTATGAATGACCTCCGAAGCGGCAGTCATGTTCGGCTTCGGCCCGGCCGAGCCGAGTTAGGACATCTTGATACATAGTAAAATCAAACACGCCGAAATCGGCTTGTAGCGACGACGATACTTTTAAAGGCTGCCTTATCCAATTATCTCCCATCTTCAGGATCCTCTCTCAATTGTCGCCCTTGAAAGCAAAGTTAAAAATGTTGACCAAACTCCCCGAGACACCTGACAATGGAGAAAGTCATGGTTTCGAAAATGCCGAGGAGATCTCGCGCGTAATCGATTCATATTCTTCACAGTTATGGGACATAAACCAGAAGGTCAGATCTCAGAGAGAAAGAGCCGAGTACTCGCGTTCTTGTGTCTCTGTTAGAACCCTCTAACACGCTCCTAAACAGATTCATCAGAATCCAGAACTCGGGTATCAGGAGAAGTTAGCCCACGACAACATCACGTCGATGCTCGAAGATTTGGGCTTCAAAGTAACCAGGCACGCTTACGGCCTTGATACATCATTCGTTGCAGAGGCCGGTGAGGGCGGCCGGGTGGTAGCTTTCAACGCGGAGTATGGTAAGTAATCCCGCCATCTTTTGTCCAGAAGGAACCTAACAAAATAGATGCTCTTCCCGGAATTGGCCATGCCTGTGGGCACAACTTAATTGCCATGATGTCTATCGGAGCCTTCCTTGGAGTTGCCAAATCTCTTGACCAGCAACAGATTCCAGGGCGCGTCCGCCTGGTTGGAACACCAGCCGAGGAGGGCCTTGGAGGCAAAATTCCAATTATCGAAGCCGGGGCCTATAAGGATGTTGATGCTTGTATGATGGTGCACCCTGGTCCTTTCACCGAATGTCCGGGCTTCACAGGAGATGCGTACATGCCTACCCTTGCAAGTCTGAAGCTCACCGTTCGTTTCACTGGAAAGACCGCGCATGCCGCCATGGCACCTTGGGAAGGAGTAAATGCTCTTGATGCTGCTGTCCTATCCTACAACAGCATAGGGGTTTTGCGCCAACAAATCCATCCTTGCAATCGCGTGCACTGTATCATCTCCGACGGTGGACTGCGGCCGAATATTATCCCTGGCTCTTCTGCATTGGATTGCTACATCCGGTCCCCTACACTGGCAATGGCGGAGGAGCTTTTCAAGAGAGTGAAAAATTGCTTTGAGGGGGCAGCTTTACAAGCTGGTTGCACCTTGGAGATTCAGATGTTTGTGTCGTTATCTAGCTTTCTTCCTGAAAATCTTATAGCTGACAAATCTTCAGGCACAATGCCTACGCTGATCTGCGACCCAACAAGGCCCTGGCAACAGCGTATTCGCAAGCAATGTCCCAAATGGGAATCGAGGTCCGATGTGATCTGAGCTCATCTGGAGTTCCTGGATCAACAGACCAAGGTTAGTCATGGAATTCCGCAACATGATGCTGTTCTTGGCTAATTCATCATCTTCCCAGGAAATGTAACTTACGAGTGCCCGGGAATTCAAGCATATGTTGGCGTCCATGCCGCGCCCGGGGCGAATAACCACACTGCTGGGTTTACTGCAGTAGCAGGAACCAGGGAGTCTCATGATCTCTGCCTTCATGCAGCGAAGGGAATGGCCATCGCGGGTGTGGGCGTCCTGAGGAGTGAGGGCCTTGCTGAAAAGGTGAAATTGGACTTCGAGGACGACAAGAAGCGACGCTCTCTGCCCTCAACATCCAGGATGTTTGATTCGAATGCGGGATTTTGCTAGCTGGACACTATGCAGATGATATGATTAATTCATACCAGCGGACGCGGGCAGAGTGTATTCCCCCCTCAAAAAGAACGACCCGCGGTTCGACCTGAAGCAATGTATCCAGCCTGTCGGGAACTGTACCTCTTTGAAGTAATTTGCCTTGGAGGAATAAATGAGGAAGGTGTCATTCCCAGTAGCAGGAGCAGACAAATTTTCGGCAATGGAGATGAATTTGGCGAATAGAATATTCTAGGATAGTTTATTGTCACAGAGTATGAATGAAATATATGCAAATGAAGGTCTTTCCCAAAAGAAAATGCTTGGAAGTAGCTGTCTCCATCAAAGCTGAACAGCGGCAGGAGTTTGAACTTCGCATTCTGCCTTGCCTTTGTTGGCTTGCTTGAAATCAACCCCATACCGTTTCCACGCAGCCTCAATTTCAAGATCCAGCTTCCCATTCCGATCGGGAATCATGATGTCCGATCCATCGTTATCCATCGTGTAAGTCACTTCGTGGTTCTTGCCCAAGGTCAATTTTATGGCGCCCTCGACAAACCAATTGGGTGTATATGTGTGGCTGGGCGCTTGGCCGTTGATCTTGGCCAGGATGTTATCCAGAACCACCCCCGATTGCATCAAGCCTGCGCGGGCCATTCGCGGGCCGGGATGATCTGCGACATCTCCAAAGGCGAAGATAGGAAGATCCTTTTCGACGTTTGTGGAGTCGAAGACCTGAAGTGTCGATCGGACGAGAATGCGAGAATTCTTGGAGAGGGTGTTGGGATAAGTGCTCGCAAGGATGGATGAATTAGGTCGTTGGCCGGTGCAGCCAATCTAAGGAGGAGCATTAGCAGGTTGAGATGAAATTACCGAGAAGAAATTCTCATCAAGTAATCGAGAACAAGATACAGGCTCTTCTTTCTCTCTGATATAACTTACAACCAAGTCAAACTGCTCCTCCCGCCCGTCGGAAAACTTCAGCGAAGCTGCTCGCGCAAAATTTCCGGGTATAACAGGCCGCTCATTCAACAGCACTCTGATTTTAAGCTCATCCTGTAGAGCATTTAAAGTGTAGTCCCCAAATCGTTTGCCAAAATTGTTTAGTAGCTGGTCTCGAGAATGAACCAAGGTGACCTCCTTGTCTGGATAGAAATCCTTAATATCGCTAGCGATTTCGACACCCACAGCCCCACCGCCGATAATGGCAATTTTTTGACTCGCTTTGATGGTCTTTTGCACACCTTGGAGCTCATGACAACCCTCATTTCGCTCAGTTGAGGTCACCTGGACGGGTAATGGCTGAGACGAGCCTGTCGCGATAGCGAGATATTCGAAATCAATATTATCTCCGGAGGCGAGTTGTATTTGATTATTCTCTGTTATACCGATTGCCTTGTCTTGTATGCGAGTGACAATTCCTTGCGGTGCGTCCTTTGCAATTCCGTCATATGGAATGAAGGCTGCACGCTCATGTCCTTCCAAAACGGAGTACCTGGGGAAATTGAACGAAAAGTTGAGGTGGGAGTTCTTTTCGATCCATACAGCCTTATATCCAGTTGGTAGCGTCTCGGATAGTCGCTTTACGAGCTCAATTCCCGCGAATGAGCCACCCAGGACAACAACGTTCTTTGCACCGGGGGTGTTTTCGTAGGTCCACTTGTGGCCATATGCCGCGACACGTTGGATAGCTGTGCGACCGAGATAGGGAATAAAGAAACCAAATGCTTTGGTGAATACTTTGACTTTATCGGAAGTCATGGCGATGGTAGGTGGAGGGGGAGGAGGAAAGTTGAGAAAATAAAAAGTAAGCTGAGATGAAAGAAAAGAAAATGAACCCGACTGGGCAGATCGGGGTAGCTAGCTGGTGCCTGGTCAGATCTAACCAGATGAAGCAGGCGGAAACCAGCCATGAGAGCCCGAGAAAGAAGAGAACAGAATACAGAAGAAAGGAATAAAAATCAACTGTAGAACAGCGGGAGTAGAGCTGATTGACTCGGACATTAAACAAATGTTAAGTCCATGGAGTCCGCGGAGATCCCAAAGTAGACTAGCGTGAGACCCGCCCACGGATCTCCCCGCGGCAGCTCCGAACTAGCCAATCAGAGTCTATCCGCGGCCCCGCCCGATATGCATACTTTCGCCCTCTGTTGTTCATATCAGCTGTTCGTCAAGTTATGTACACTGTTGATACTTCTTTTAATCAATCATCTGCTGATTTTTTAACCTCTCAGCTTTGCTTCTACAGCATCTGGTCTCCCAAATTGTGCATTTTTGAAACGAAAATGGCCGATCCAAACGACAAAGTTCGGGACTCGGGCCCAGTGAGTTCGCTCGACACCGATATTGAGCACGATTCAGCTGGCGAGTTGAAGGAGCAAAAACAGAGCCATCCAAATGTCGTAGACTTCGAAGGTCCGGAAGATCCTGCACATCCACTCAATTGGTCGACAAGGAAGAAGTTTTTGAACATCTCCATCGTTTCTTTAATGACCCTACTTTCGTATGAAGGGCTCCTCCCACTCCCTTGGTCAATACTCACAGCATGGCAGCTAATTGTCAATTGCATTTAGGCCGACAACCTCGACCGTCAGCTCTCCGGTGACTACCGATATCATGGAACATTTCAATTCAACGAATGAGATTCTCGGGGCCTTTGTCACTACGGTCTTCTTAATCGGTTACACCTTCGGACCATCTATCATTGCACCTCTCTCGGAAATTTACGGCAGAACTATTCTTTACAAGATCTGCATTGTCCTCTTTATTGTTTTCAATGTGGCCTGCGCTGTGGCAAATAGTATGGGGTCACTGATCGTCTTTCGACTCCTCGCCGGTATCATGGGGTCATGCCCTGTCACTCTCGGCCCGGGCTCCGTAGCCGACATGATATCAGCGGAGGGAAGAGCCAAAGCAATGTCCGCCTACGTTATTGGTATCATCCTGGGACCTTCCATCGGACCTATTTGCGCTGGGTACATCGCCCCTGTTAAAGGATGGCGTTGGGCATTTTGGCTGATGGCCATTATCATCGGCGCGATCGCAATTCCGGTCATGTTCCTTCAAGAGTCATACCCATACGTGATCCTGAAGCGCAAAACAGAGAAACTGCGCAAGGAAACTTGCAACCAGGATCTCCGGTCGGCATTGGACACTGGCAAATCACCACGTCAGCTTTTCGTGTTTTCTATCTGGCGCCCTGTTAAAATGCTCATCTCGCCGATCATTTTCTTGCTGTCGCTGTACTGTGCTCTGGTCTACGCCTATCTTTATTTATGCTTCACCACCTTCCCGGAGCTTTTGACCAAGAAGTATGGTTTTGGGACCGGTCCCTCGGGCCTAGCGACTCTAGGATTAGGAGTTGGTTCCATCATTGGACTGTTCATCTCGGGTGGTACCTCAGATAAAGTCTCCAAGTACCTAACTTCAAAACATGGTGGACCAGCCAAACCTGAGTACCGACTCCCCGTCCTCGTTGTTGGTGCCATCATCACGCCTATCGGACTGTTCCTATACGGTTGGACCGCACACTTCGGTACTCACTGGATTGTCCCCATCATCGGTACGGCTTTCATTGCCGCAGGAATGGTTATTGCTTTTGTGAGTGGAATTTCTCACCATTCTCGCTTAATGTTTTTCTGTGCTAACCTTATTCAAGATGGCAACTACTATGTATTTGGTAGATGCCTATACAGTATATGCAGCATCAGCAACGGCCGCAAATACCATGGTACGCTGTCTGATCGGCGCTTTGATCCCACTCGCTGGTCCGGCCATGTTTTCAAAGCTCGGGTACGGCTGGGGAAATTCGCTTTTGGGATTCATCGCCGTTGCGTTCATACCTGTGCCTTTCGTCTTCTACCGATACGGCGAACGCATTCGCGAGTCTAAGGTCTTCAAGGTTGAGTTCTGAAGGGACGAGGCTTGTTTTGCTCGAGTCTGAAATTCGTTCTGATAATTTCCCTCTTGAGACAACACTTCTCTCTCTGTTCTTCAGTGTTATTAGATCTTTCTACTTCTCTTTCTTCTTTTCCATGTCAGTAAGCTAGCCGTTTCTCTACTTTTAACTCGGTATATTAGACTTGAATGCACCGGTACATTTTTCCGGCTGTGAATTTTATGTTCTAACTATCTCAATCTTTCAATTACTTGTCTGTATAGCTCCAGGCGAACTACTACAACTAATCCTGCATATTCGACGTTGCTGATTGGCTGATGTGGTGGGGATGACTGCCGCGGAATACCCGCGGGTATACTATCTCCATGGAGGAAGGAACAAAGCAACAACAATAGTCCCCGGTCTGTTATATCAACGGAATACCCACGGAATACTCTCTTGCATTCTGCAATGCCAACAGCATGCCGTCAGCACGACCCGAAGCCCCTCGTTCGCATCGTAAAGGCCAATACTCGTGCGAATTCTGCAGGCACGGAAGCTCCGGTGTGACCGACCTTTACCATGTACAAATTGTGTATCGCGCGGGAAAACATGTCACTTTGGCCCGTCGGCTGGTCAGAGAGCCACAACATTAGCTGATCATCAGATTCCTGGACAACAGCAGCAGCAGCAGCAACATGAACAACTGCCTGTTACGGCCTCCTTCGTATCTCCAGTTATTGCTGCGACGAATACCGGCGTACCAACTAGCAGCTCCGACCAGCCACCGTCACTCCCGGCTACTACAACCAGCCCTTTCATATCTCCGACCAGCACTGGACAAACACAACTACTTCAAGAGGTGCAGTCACTCCGAAGGCTTGCTGCAGATTTGGAGAGGCGTGTTGCACTGAGCACGAGCACAGCCACCCACCAGATAGAACATCATCCGTCACCATCGCCCCGTGCCCATATCGAGGTGGGTCAGTCGGGATCGCCATCATCGTCCGAGTCGCCCCGTTTGGACCAAGTCAAGGACGTGGTGGCCCACCTGGAGCGCGTCTCCATGGTCCAAAGCTCTCGGGTAAGCATTACGCAGTCTTGGCTTTGATTAAGGCCAAGCCTTGCTTATCATGGCTGGTATAGGAACCAATCTACGTTGATGACCTCGTGTTCAAGTTCGAACACATTCGGAATATCCCAAGCGCTCCAACTTTCACAGTGCAGAACGGTAAATCGGCGCGTTGTGTATGGTTACCGTTCCACAACGAGACCAGATTCATTCTAGACAAATTCATTACCAACGTTAGCTACATACACCATGTAGTCCACCATCCCTCGCTCCCCGCTACAATCGATAGCCTCTATCGAAAAATTGAGAACCAGGAACCAATTGAGCTGGGTCATCTCGTTCTCCTTCTTGGCATTATCGCCAATACCATCGAAGTCTGGTCATGGCACGATGAAGTCGAAGGAGAGGATTCTATTTTCCCATCTGCGGTCGAGGCCAATGCCCAAACTCCCTTATGGGTTAAATCCGCGATGGACGTGATCAAGAGCGGCGAAAATGGGCCACCTCTCGCCTTGGAAACGATTCAAGGAATCATTATCCTGGCCTTTGCCGTATGCAATACAGAAGGGGTTTCTCTTCGTTATCGATCATTGATATCTACCGGTCTATTATTGAGCCGCGAGCTTGGACTACATCGTATCGATCACGAATCGAATGCGGCTTCTGCAAATACAATTCGAGCCGAGATGGGTCGGCGCGTTTGGTGGTATCTCGTCGCTACCGACTGGTAAGTACCGAGCTTTCGAAACAAACAGCTCTTAATGAAATCATATGTGTTGGGATGTTATTAACACCATGGCCTTAGGCTATTAGCTGTGCTTTACGGCGGGCCAAATGAAGGCGTATATCAAACCCACCCAAAACACATGATAGTTAAGAAACCTCGCAACATAAACGATGCCGATCTTGTCGACAATGGCTGCCAGACAGAATTTCCCCTCTCCCATCCAACAGAGATGTCATATTTCCTTCAACGCATCCGCATGGCAGAAATCGCACGACGCACCGTCGACCAAAGCCAAACAGCCGCAGACTCCAGTGGACCAGGAGATTCCACACATATCATGAAACTAGACTTCCAACTCGACCAGTTTATCCATGATACCCCCTTCTTCCTCAATCTCGACACCTACGAAGACAATCCAGAGCCAACTTCTGCCGAAATCTTCGTTCACGCCTACCTACTCAACCTGGTCATCCACACTCAGCGTTGCAAGCTTCATCTTCGGTATCTCACATCCGGGCCCAGTAAAAGCCCCATGTACGCTACGTCACGAGAAATCTGTCTCAAATCCGCACGCCAGCTCATCAGAGCTGAGTCACAACTCGAACGCGCGCAGCATCCATTCGTACTAATCCGGCTACGGCTATCGGCAATTCGCTATGGGGTGTTCCTTGCTTGTATCGCATTATTAATGGACGCTTATATCAATGGCTCGGGCTCACTTCAGGATGAAATCAGTCATGGCGATGTCGCCGAGGCCCTTCGTATCCTCGAGGGCGCAAGGTGTCACTCCTGGGCTGCGCAAAATCTTTCCGACTCTCTAAATCAGGTACTTGCCAAATACCGAGCCCAGAACCCAGAATTTCAAAATCAGTCTGCTCAAGACATCTCTACCCCTTTCACGCCATCTGGTGCGTCTTATGTTAGAACTGTGCCGGTTATGGAATCCGTGACCACCCAATTGGCTCCGGGGTCTGGTCAGCTTCCTATTATGTCGACAGGAATGGGAGGTGGGGGTATGATGCCGCCCATTTCTGATGAACAATTACCGGGATCTGTCGGACAGTCACAGTTCGATAGTCAGATGGCTCACAACCTGGAGGAGTTTATCTTTTCGGATGTGCTTCAGTGGGATTATTCGTTTCCGAGTGTTCAGTCAGCGTCTTTCTTTTGATTGTTTGTTACATTAGCCGGGTTTTTAAAAACACGCCTTCGGGAGGTTGGGCCTTATTCTGGACATGGCGTATTACTTCATCCAATGTCTGCATGCTAAGAGCAATTATGGTTTTTTTGAACCATGAGTTGAGCCGACTGTGTGCGAATGCGTGGCGTGTATGTTAATTGACACGAATTTGACGTGCCTGACAAAAATCATACCTCAACCCAATTCGGTTTATTAGATAGGTAAGTAGACTGCCTTTATCCCAAAGCTCTACGTTGTGAATCCAGCGAAGAGGGAAATGGAATCCAATTTCGCCGAGGCTAGGCTAGCTAACACATCTTCACAGGATAGAAAAATATGACAATGTAGAGAAATGGATGTATGATGTGGAAGGAATGAAGATGACATTTAAAGACAAATGGTGGGTGTGAGATGATCACCAGTGCGGCAGCATAGGGGACTGCTGCATTGATAGATGCTCCTGGAAGTTGTATGAGGGCACTTGGAAGTACTCCAGCTGGATATGCATAGATATCGACAGCCATAGATGAGAATCACCTGATAAATGTGCCCCCAGTTAACATGCTGTCTTCTCTTTCTTGAAGATCCCTTGATATCAATGAATTCGAGGCTGGCGCTGTGCAACTCGTATACCCATTTCAGTAATCCTTTTGCGGGAGATTTCATCAGCGTTCTGGATTTGATCGATAAGGTGGGGTTCTGTTGCCACTGGTCTTGATCCGCAAGAGAGTCACAAATCAACACACGCCCGGATTACTGATTAGAGAATCTGGCGGGTGGCTTCCAGACGAATTCTGGGGACAAGGAAAGGCATGGTTAGAGACGACGGGCTTTGTTCTTCGGTAAAAATGTCAGCCAGAAGCCACTCCAGGAGGTTTGCGAACACATTGTCAATGGGACTACTCCATCGGGAAATTGGAAGGGTGTGTAGAACGGTGAAAGAGACGCACCGGCATATGAGTAAAATTTGAACTGACCCGGATTCGTTGTGAGAAAGGTCATTCACACCTGGCCAACGAAGAAGTCTTGTCCGGTACTGAGAAGATCAAGTTTGGCATTTTTGATTTCTCCTCATCTCTACACGTCTTCTTCTTCTTCTTCTTTTCTGTTCACTCCATAGGAGCCCCCAGGCCATCAGAATCATCAAAATCAACCACGAGTCCTAGGCCTTCATCCCTTCAAGTAAAATCAAACTCGAAAATATCCCCAATCTGATGAGACCAATGATCCTCACACTCAACTTCCGGCTTACCACGGTGCTCCACCTCGACATCATAGTGAAGTACATTCAATTCAACACCGACCTCCTCATAAGCTTGCCTGAGATTGGTCGTCAAAGCATGGACGTCTTTTAGTTCATCTTGCCAAAGACCTTCGATATCAATAACTCGCAAGCGCGTGAATTTGTCCTTTGCACGGACCAACTTTTCTAGCTCCCTCAGGCCTATCGAGAAGGGCCACTCAAAGTCTGACACATAGAGATGTTCTAACGAGACAGGCAGAGCGTCGACCGGAGGAATGAAGGTCGGTACATCGTAGACGGAATCAAAGCCATCTGCTTCATAGTCAGGAATTCTGTCCAAATCCACATGTAGCAGGTCGCATAATCGCAGGTGCAGAGTTCTGAGCTTTGTATACTCCGTCAGGCTACCGATCCAACCCAGCTGATTATTCGTCTCCGGATATGAGACATCGATGTATAAATCTTCCAGGCTGTCTTTCGCTGACATAAGAGATTGGCCATAGTCCTGAATTAATAGAGGAATAAAATTCATGTTATAAGCCCAGTAGTCCAGATATGCCCATCCGCTTCGCGTTAGGCAGGTGAAGGATTTCAAGTTTCTGCAGGCGGAGATAAGAGGCATGAAGCCATTATGTGAACTTGCTTCCACTAGATGAATATGTTCAATAGGCGATGACTTTATGGGGATCAGATCAGCGAAATTGACTCTGCTCTGATCCTCCAAGTCAGCGATCAACGTGCCTTTGAATTTGTGCATAGATTGTAGTCGGAAAAAAGGCGCAATTTTATAAAATTGAAATTCGAACCCGAAGTTGAAAGGTACCTGTATGGTTGCTTCGGTAAGACACGAAAACCCATTATTCCGGGACATGAACTCCAGGAATCGTTCCGAGATTTCGGTGTGCCCTCCCCACTCCATCTCCAGTGATGTAATATTAGGCACACAGTTGAGTAACATTGTTAGCCAGAGATCTTGGCCCAGATAACTATATTCCTCTCCAGGAGTAGCTGTAGCTGCTGCCATCCATACTTTGGATTCAACGTCTGACGGTGTAAGACGTTGTATCAAGTCCGAAACGGACTGGTTGCAGGACCGATGCGTCGGATGAGAGGTGGATAGATGAGACTTGCAAGGTGGGTTTTTTGATTTCGCAAGCGATATACGGGTGACTCTTTTTGCAAGGTCTGGGGCTTCCAGAAGAATCTCTACCAGCTGGCGGAGAGATTTCTCACAGAAATAATGGACATTAATTGATGTGTATGCCTCCTTTAGGAGGGGTACACTGAGTCGGAATCGACGACAGCAGCTGGCAAGGTGGAGACGGTCCGAAGAGTACAGAAGATATCCTGCAATCGTTATGAGAAGTTCACCGGGGAGGTTTTGAATCATGATGGGAAATGTCGTGAGATGTGGCGGGGAGTAGAAGAGATGGACGGCGGGAGGGAGGGAGGCGATTATATAGCCTGAGCACTATGATTAGCGGGTATCCTGGGACCCCCGAACCCCTCCGCTTAGCGCTAGAGAGGGGCAAAGAGCCACTTCTTTAAACCTCGCTGTCTCATTACTACTATATAAACGCATCTATTCGACGCACCAAAAGGAAATACTGGTTATATTAACTCTTAACATACACGTTCCGCCCCATTCTTTCTGTAACCTCCCGACCATAAGATCTCCCCCATCGGGATCACGTACACCCCATGGCGAGTTTAGCATTGGTGGCAGCATTTGCCGCATTTATGTGGTTGATATTTGTCTGCTTCGACCCCCATGTATTTAGGGCATCATTTAACGCTGCCTTGATATTCGGATGCTCGTCTTTGTACTTCTCGATTGTCCCGCTATAATCCAATTGCTTCCAGTAGTTTGGTTCATTCACTACTTTTTCCAGCGAGTCTTTCCGCACGATGTCGAAGCCGGGGTCCCCGAACTTGGCTCTCAGAGAACTAACTAATTATCAATTCCCAGTGCTGTGCGCAGACTATAAGAAAAACTGGCCGTCTTCTCCGGACCAAGGGTAAGGATAACCCGTCTTGGGAAATAAAATTCTTCTCTGGACACCATTACGACAGGCATGGATTCTCCTCCGCCGTCGGGGCGGTGCTGGACCGAGCAATTGGCCCCAATGTGTCTGGGATGGTTGTATATGGCTCTCAGATCTAGACCGTGGCCATTTCGTTTGTTTGTCCAGTTTATGGTTCGAGACCAAGTGATATCAACATTAGGAGAGATGGACCTTGGCAAACATGCTCGTCTTGCTACCCGAAGACTTCATCGTTGATTGGCCATCCGAATTCAAGGAAAAATGAACCATTGCAAACTTCTTTGTCTTAGTAACGTGAAGTCAGACTTCCTCAATGTTTGGCGAAAATGTTCAAGGCCCGACCACGTAGACTTTCTCTGAGGAGGGTTCGCTTCCTCCTTCATGTCCATCTGTCCTTCATTTCTATCACAACACCTTCTTCTTTCTCTCTTCGTTTTTCTTTCCTTCTGACAGCTCCCATTTAATTGCGCTGTAGAGCACCATTAGTATATTCCGCATGCGGTGGAGATATCGTTTTGGCGGATCTGCTGTCTATAACACCGCCGCGCCACAATCTCAAAGAAGTTTTGGAGGTTGTGGGAAAGAAATCTAGTAGGACGAGAATATGTAAGACCCTGCCTACTCCTCAGACAAGGTCAAATCAGATAGTCATGATTGCGGTCGACTCCTAGTAATTTGAGAAAGCTTCGGAGATAAATCAGGTTATTTCTCTTTCCAAATGGAGCCATCGCATTTTATATATAAAGTTATTTCTCTTTCTCCAAGACTGTGATAACTTTTTTCATTAATACTACCGTGACCAAGGTTGAACAACAATCGATTGGGGTTTAGACGCGTATACAATACTAGAAAACCCACTCAAAAGTCTGTCGCGTCTGCTTTCTGTATTTAATATCCGATTATTGTCTGCTTCGTCTTTCCAAATAATACCGTATCATATTAAGCTTGCACATAGGGAATTTCTCCTAGCTATTGGAACTCCCAGTCCAGTACTATAGCCCTCTACGGGTTGACAAGTTTTCATCTCGTGTCCGGAGCAGTTCACGGACATCTTCCGATAACAGTTCTTCTTCTCTCCTGAAATCCCTGTCATAAGTGGATCAGTCGTCATAATGGAGTCCATTGGCGCATCCTATGGTAGGCCAACCTTCTTCCCGGCTATATACCTTAGGAAAGCTGTGATCGACATGAAAAGCCTGTGCGCAAAACGTTCCACCGTAATTTTGCCTATTTGGATTAAACTTCCATCGTCCATTCTGCAAAGCGTTTGACTCTTCAGTGGCTTATATTCTTCCTGTTTCAGAGGGATATAAATGATGGGGCCCTCAGGACTAACCCACCCCCTTTTTGCATGGAGACATGAAACACTCCCTTTCTCCACAGCAATATGCTATGCCGATCAGTCGCATATTCCGGTAGTTAGCTAAGTTTTGACAACAGGCCGTTGTCTCAATCCAATATTTTAAGGTTCTGAAGGAAGCCGTCATTTCTTGCTCGATCATACTAAAAGATGCTTCCAGTCTAGATTTAAAACCATCCGCCCAAGCACACTTCGAACGCCCATCGCTCTTCTTGGGCCATTACCCACAATGCTATCAATTGCTTCGATTCTCGCCTTATCTACAGCCGTGACGGCTTTCGTTCATCCTGGGGCTCTTCATACCGCCAAAGACTTCGAACGCATCAACACGCATGAGCCAACGCTGACGAGCCATGGAACACGACCTGGACATTGTTGACAGCAAGTTCCTACGCACAGGCGTCGTACCAGCCTACACCGCAGGAGATTGTCTATCGCGGTGCTAATGGCGTGGATTCCGAAAATTACCAATATCTCTACCGTGATGCTGCAGCCGCCTACCAGCTCGCGCTCCGCTGGAAAATCTCGAATGACACAAGCTTTGCGGATGCAGCCGTCAATATCCTCAGCTCTTGGGCAGCGACATTGACATCTATTGGCGGAACCAGCGACAAGTTTCTTGCCTCCGGCCTATATGGGTACGAGATGGCCAATGCCGCCGAACTTATGTCGGATTACTCTGGTTGGAATAGTGATAACAAGACCGCGATGGGAACCATGCTGGCCAATGTATTCGCACCCATGAATACAATCTTCCTAGAGGATCATAATGGCCAGGATTATTATCATTACTGGGCCAATTGGGATCTGTGCAATCTTGCCTCCTTGATCGCAATTGGGGTGTTCACCGATAATGAAACCATGTATAGGAATGCTGTGAACTATATTCGGACGGGCCCTTCAAATGGCGCCTTGCCCGTATTCGCGATCGCCAACTATACTGAGTCAGGATCCAGCAAGATCCTAACCCAGGGCCAGGAAGCAGGCCGGGATCAGGGTCACTCTACGCTGGATGCCGTGCTTTTCGGGGTTGTTGCACAACAAGCATACAACCAAGGCGACGATCTGTTTGCGGAGTACAGCAATGAAATCCTCAATGCGTGAGTTTAGTCCCTTTTATCCCTCCATGTCTGCTTATACTGATATATTGAGATAAGTGCCGAGTATATTGGGAAGTATAACGTCGGTCAGGATGTTCCATACACTGCGTACAACAGTTACCAGGGTAATCAGACTGTTATTTCAAACAACTCACGTGGAACTGTTCGTCCCGGATTTGAGTTGTTGTCGGCGCACTATGGACAGTTGAAGGGATTAGATTCGTCGTGGACTGACGCCTATCGAGACTGGGTGAATGTTAATTCTACAAGTGGCGTGGAAGGTGGAGGTGGAAACTATGGAACAACATCCGGTGGATTCGATGGACTCGGTTTTGGCACTTTGTTGTATCGTAGTTCCTAGATCATGATAAATTCCACCTGCTGGGCAGATGAATTTGCTTGCATTTGATCAACATTCTTAGCGGAAAGTGACTCTAAGCTACTCCGGTTGATACCAAATTCAGCGGTCTCGAAGAAGCTTGACAATTCGTGAATCATAATTTTCATTGAGGGCAAAATGGTATCCTAAATGCATTGCAGAACAAGATCAATGATGGAAAAGAAGGCATCGCGGTCCGCGCCTGAGTTGGGGCCAAGACCAAGGCCGACAACCAGAAGTCGCTTTTCGGCGGGAGATTTCGTTGCAATTGCAGTGGCAATTTGACGAGCAACCAGCTGGCCGATTGTATCCTGGCCAGACGCATGACCACCCAGAAGGGATGTTGCTGTCAACCCGCTGAGGGGCAATAGGCTGTCATCCGTACCCTCGGAGATAGAGTGCATGCCATCGGTGCCCGGATTTGAGTTTCCAAGAGGTACATGTAACTTTTCTCAGGTCAGCAGATTTCATCAGCGGAGATTTCATCAAGACAAACCCAATGTGCAAGTCGGCCTTCTTGCGAGATGGTGACCATGATCTTGTCGCTAAATCTCATGACCATGACATCTGTCTTGACGCCATCCACCAGGCCAGCTGCTTGCTTTGTAGTCGCTGGGAATGGCAGATTCAAGTTCAGCGATTGCTGCAATACATCGTCCAAAGTCGCCATGATTGATGTTGGTACAGCCGAGTATTTGCATTGCGGCGCCGCATGTTGATGTTGAAGGGCGGTCAGCAGATCCCCACAATAAATTGCTGGCAGTATATACACCGCCCCCGAAATGTCCGACATTTTTTTTCTCCCGCGTTCAACTCGGCGACTGAACAATTCAAGCTTCTTGGTTTTTCTGCATCTGTTGAGAGGCAGGATCTTTCAAGATGCCCAAATTCGTCCCTCGTCAGCGAAAGCAAAAGCATCGGCGCCAGGAGCTCACTGATTCGGTCGACACCAACGCTGCGGAGCTAGCGCCCGTCTCAAAAGATGAAAAAGAGGCTCGGAGACAGAAGCTGCGTGAGGAGCTTCGAGATCAGCATACCAATGTCTCGTCAAAGAAGCAGAAGCGCTTAGATAAGTATATTGTGCGTGCAGCAGCCATGGGATTTATAGGCAAGGTGCTAACTTTACACTCAGGAAAACAAACTCAAGAAAGAAGAGAACATCGAACTCCTCAAGAAACTCGCCCAGTCGAAATCCGATAACAGCGGTCTGCAAAGCTTCAGAGATCTGGGTGGTAAGCGGAAGCGTCAAGCGGACGAGGGCGTCACCGAACCTGTTGTTGCAGTGCAACCACGAAAAAAACACATCCGCTCAAGATCAATCGGGATACGAGACAGACGACTCTGATCGCGATCTGAAAGCATCCGACCCTGCTACGGATCCCGAGCAGGCCCCCAAACCCCAGGCACCTGTTGGAAGCGGATTGAAACGTCCTCTCGAACTCGGACCTGACGGTTTCCCAATCCTCAAAAAGCGGAAGCGCGCTGCTAAGCCTGCCCCGAAGCTGGCCAGTGTGCAGGAACCTTCTTGGGAGGGATTTGAGTCAGGCGAGGAGGATTCGGCTGAGGAAGATGAAGATGCGGAGGATTCCGATGATTCGGGGAGCGACATTGAGGACGACTCGGAGGGTGAGGATGAGGATGACTCCTCTGAAGGCTCCTCCGAGGGAACTTCAGACGAGGACTCGGACGAGGACTCGGACGAAGAAGAGTCGGAGGATGAGAGTGAGGACGCTCCCCGCAAAATCAAAACAAGACAGTCCGCCTTCAAATCTTGGGCCACGCAACAAATCAACGAAGCCATAGGCTTCAAACCAGAGGAACCCACGATCAACGATTATGCACAGCAGCAGGCGTTTGTTCCTTCCCATAAGGAAGCAAAGAACACTGTCTACGAGGAAGAGCCCCTTCCAGAGGAACTCAAAGTCACCAAGGGTGACCCCTATCGCAAGGCTTTCAGCGTTCCCGTTGATCGCTCTGAAGATATTCAAAATGCGCGTATGGGTCTTCCGGTTGTTGGCGAAGAACAGAAAATCATGGAGGCAATCCACAACAACTCAACCATCGTTATCTGGGGTGCTACTGGTAGCGGAAAGACGACTCAACTGCCTCAATTCCTATTCGAATCCGGATACGGCAATCCGAATAGCCCCAACCCAGGCTTAATCGGCATTACTCAACCCCGCCGAGTCGCGGCCGTGAGTATGGCGAACCGTGTGGCCCAGGAACTTGGCCAGTATTCTGATCAAGTTTCCTACCAAATTCGATTCGAATCCACGACTTCCAAGAAGACCGCCATCAAGTTCATGACTGATGGTATTCTTCTTCGCGAAATTGCAGATGATTTTTCCCTCCGCAAGTATTCCGTCATCATCATCGATGAGGCGCACGAGCGGAGTGTCAATACCGACATCCTCATAGGAATGGTCAGTCGTATCGTGGACTTGCGCAAGTCGCTGATGGCAGAAGACCCGACAGTCACCCCGCTGAAGATCGTCATCATGTCTGCTACTCTGCGCATTTCTGATTTCACACAAAACGCAGCCCTTTTCCGACAAGGACCGCCTCCATTGGTTCAGGCAGAGGGCCGTCAGTACCCAGTTACTACCCACTTTTCTCGTCGCACACGCCGTGATTACGTTGAAGAAGCATTCCGCAAGGTCTCGCGAGGTCACCGCAAGCTGCCGCCCGGCGGAATGCTTGTGTTTTTGACTGGACAAAACGAGATTCGGCAGCTCTCCAAGCAGCTGAAACAAGCATTCAGGCCTACACAGCGAGCGGACACGACCCAGGCACGGGTGCAGATTACAGCGAACGATGCGCCTCTAGAAGCAGAGGATCTAGAACTGGGTGGCACAGAGATGGATAATGCCGGCGATGACGATGAAAGTGATGTGGAAATTACCGGGTTGGACGAGCCAGAAGATGAAGATGAAGGCTTCGACTTGGGTGAGGATGCCATGGATTCATCTACACGTGTCCATGTTCTGCCCCTATATTCGCAGCTACCCACAAAGGAGCAAATGAAGGTCTTCGAAGCACCACCAGAAGACTCTCGACTCATCATTTTGGCTACCAATGTTGCCGAAACTTCTCTGACTATCCCTGGAATCAAGTACGTCTTCGACTGTGGTCGTTCGAAGGAGAAACAGTACGATCTCTTTACCGGTGTTCAGAGCTTCCAGATCGGATGGATCAGTAAGGCCAGTGCGAATCAAAGAGCCGGTCGAGCCGGTCGTACTGGACCGGGACATTGCTACCGGATGTATTCGTCGGCTGTCTTCGAAAACGATTTCGATGAGTACACCGACCCAGAGATTCTTCGTACTCCCATCGAAGGCGTCGTTCTTCAAATGAAGAGCATGGGCCTACACAACGTCATCAACTTCCCCTTCCCCACCCCTCCAAGTCGCCAGGGCCTCGCCAAAGCAGAGAAGCTGCTGAAGCACCTCGGTGCCCTCTCTGCCGAAGGCCAGGTCACGCAAATTGGTCGCCGTCTCTCTACCTACCCCCTCTCACCTCGATTCGGCAAAATGCTCTACATCGGACACCAGCATGGCTGCATGCCCTACGTTATTGCACTAGTCGCTGCGCTGGCCGTTGGCGATCTCTTCATTACAGAAAACCAAGTGAATCCAATCGACACCCAGCCGCAGAAAAAGAAGAACGACGACAGCGATAGTGACAGCGACGAGGATGATAGAAAGGTATACACCAACGCAGACCGACTCGAAGACACAGAGCGCGAGCAAAAAGCAAAGGACTGGGCCCGCGTACACCGTCTTCTCAGCAAACACGACGAAACCTCCGATGCGCTCAAATCCCTCTCAGCAATCTGCGCCTACGCCTACGCCTCAGACGGCGAAGCTTTCAGCGAACAGATGTTCCTCCGCGCCAAGGCCTTCAAGGAAGCAACTCAACTCCGCCGCCAATTAACCGACATCGTACGCTCCAATAACCCAGGTCTAATCGGCGCCTACGAAGCACGACTCCCCGAACCATCTACCAAGCAAATCAAAGCCCTGAAACAAATCGTCACAGCAGGTTTCATCGATAACGTCGCTATCCGCGCTGACATGGCTCCCGTTCCGCCGGAGAATCCACGCGCTCCACGTCGCGCTATAGACGTCCCTTACCTTACCCTCTTCCGCTCGCGCGATGGTCACGCAGGGGATGATATCTCCGAGCGTGCCGTCTACATCCATCCCACTTCGATGTTAGCGAAACTCACACCGAAGGAAATGCCGCAGTATATCATATTCTCGCATTTGCAGCAGTCTTCTGCGTCGCTGGTCTCGGATCAAGTTCCTAAGATTAGAATGTTTCCCCTAGTTGTTCCGAGTGGGCCGGAACTTGCTGCTATAGCGCATGATACGCCGCTTCTCCAGTATGGAAAGCCTGTTGGTAAGACGCAGGTCTTGGATGGTATTCCTGTGCGTCGCTCTGCTTGGGTTGTGCCTTCTTTGGTTGGTGATGCGGGTGGTACAGGTTGGCCTTTGCCTGCTAAGAAGGTTGTTCAGATGAAGGATCCTCGGGAGGGATGGGTGATTGAAAAGTTTGTTGCATGAGAATTCCTTTGTGGTTCTCATTTATTTGTATAGATGATGTTATTTATGATATCCAATTGAGTATATTTGCATCTGTGTGCAACATCTATCAATCTTCCAGAGCGTCTGAGATTCGTTACCAGTATTATTCAGTAGTAGACAGTAAGGCTTGTTTTGGAAGAGCAAATTTGGCCTAGCATAAGAGCTTCTCGGTCGAATATTCTAAGGCACTGACCCTTAGAGGTGAATAGACGAGATTTCTGGAAGTTTATGTCAAGATCATTGAATAGGGAGAAGTTATTTGAACATATGATTACACTTATTTATTTTCTCTGAAAAGACACGCAAGAAATACAGGGTAGTAGTAGTAATAGTAAGACAAGGGAGAGTAAAACAAAGACCCTCCCGATTCCACCCCAAGTTAGCCCGGGGTGGAGAATCATCCCATCCCATCCCATCCCATCCACGGAAAAAGACATCCCACAGGATTCTCTCTCTCTCTCTCCATCAAGGGATGACATGACATGACATGATATGATATGTGATGATATAACATGGTACACAGGATAATATATCCTCTTTCATCTTCAACTTCTTCACCAACCAAAGATCTCACCGACGCTCATCGTGCTCCATCGCACACCACCAACAGCAAAGACCATGAGGACTATATCCACAATAGCCAACACGCCAGCACCCATCATGAACCGCGGGCTAAAGATACGATACAGCATAAGGTGGCGGCGTAGATGGCCCGCCCACATAGTTGTAGCGAGATTGATAGTCGCCAGGTAGAGTGTATGGGTAGCGACAGCCTGAGTAACATCAGAAAGGAGCCTGGTAGCCGGGTTTGCGGATTTAGCGCCCTTTGAAGAAGAAGAAGAAGAAGCATCTGCTGAAACACGGTCAGATGTTTGCAAAGGTCGTTTCCAAAGAACGGTTAAAGGGACGGCTAGAGCGGCGAGAATCTGCGCGCCGAAAGTATTCAGCACGACGAAGATGGGTGTCCAGGGGTATTTGATTGTTGATAGGGGGGATAAATGCAGTTTCCCACTGGATGGAGCTTGGTGTAGCCTGGTGGCCTGTTTTGAAGAAGTAGAATGAACCCAGGAGGCCTAGGACTATGGGACCGATGGGCGAGTTGGAGAGGGTTAGGGCGTTTGTGTCGAGAATTTCAAGGAGGGAGAGGATTTGCCAGACTAGAAGGGCGATTGCACCTTGGCCCATGGGTTTCTGCATCAGGATGATGGCTAGCGCGAAGTTGATGACTAGGAAGAAGAATCTCGTGCCGTACATATTTCCGAAGCCGAGGATTGTCACGGTCGTACGGGGTTTCTGCTCCTGGCCTGCGATTATGGGGGCTGGTGGGGCGTTGGGGTCTTCTGGGGGTTTGTTCACGCTGATGCTGATGCAGGGCTTCGAGTAGATGTATGCCCCCGTGCCGGCGGCGAAAGCGATGGCGAGGACGAGCTGGGCTAAGAAGACGCGGACGGTTTTGAGTGTTTCTTTGCTCACTGGAAGCCATTCGCCGTCGTCGGCACCTTCTAGCATCCAGAAGATAGAAGTGATTAGGAGACCGAAGCGGAATGCGTAACTAATCCACAGAGTTGCGGCTCCTTCGTACGATTTGGAGCCGCTGTAGAACGAGCGAATGACAGCGGGTAGGAAGAAGGCGACCGCAAAGGGGATTCCGAGCTGCCAAGGGGCAGAAATGGAGGATGTTGAGGAAGCGTAGTAGGTCGAGCGACAGAATGGCATTTGTTCTTCACGGCAGAGACGGGAGAAGGAGGCCAGGCGGCCGAGAATCACAAAAAGGACCGAGTGGTAAACGCCCAATACGCGGTCGGTGGTTGTCTTCTGGCGCATCGATGAAATGCCAGCACAGACGCCGAACGTGGTAAGGAAGAATAGAAGAATTTCGTCCTCCCAAATGGTATAGGAGTTCGAGGCGAATCCGACGGACTGAGAAACAGTGAAAAATACTGCGAGCCATCCCCACATACCATTTGGCAAGGGGAGCGTCAAGTTCGCGGGCTTCTTGACCATTACAACCGCAGAACCTGCCATACTTCCCACCGCAGCAAGGAAAACAGACAGATCGATTGTCGACATCTCGGTGAATCCGAAAAGGGACAAGACACTGCCAACAGCAGCACCCACTCCGGATCCAACGCCAACAAACGACAGCAGCTGAGAAGAAAGCTCGGTCCTGTCGTTCCTCATTCCGCGAGCGTACAAAACCAAAAGAGCAATGCCGCCAAAGAGAAGCGCAACACCTTGAATCATACTCGGAACATCGAAGGTTGTCCAAAGCCCACGGCAAACATCCAACGTGTGGCGCTGGTATTTGCGATATAGCTCGTAACTAGAACGAGCAGCAGTAGACTTAGACGTAAAGCTCTTCGAGCCAGACTTCCACTCGGTCTCGGCCGCAGACCAAAGCGAGAACGACTCCTCGTCATCAGCACCGCCCTGGGAAATTTCGTACGCAGCTTGATACCTCTTGATCTGCGCCGCGGTGAGGCGACTCACAGTAGCCAGGTTGGCCCAGTCATTTCCCTTCGGGCCAGCAAAAGCCTCTTCAATGGGGGAGCCGAGGTTGTTGAACGGAATGGGGATTCCAAGCATCAGAGACAGCGTGGGGACAAGATCGATCTGCGGGATTGGACGTTCCTTCGCATTCTTAGGTGGCTGCAGGCTTTCTTTACTTGTGCGACCAAAAGTGCCACGCTTGGAGTACATCCACAAAGCGGCCTCGACCTCATCATCCGATTCGCCGCCGTGGTCACCCTTGATATCCATTCCATGGTCACCCATCACAACGAGAAGGGTATCGTCGTCGAGGGCGGCAATGATGTCACGAATGACACGGTCCATTTCTTGCAACTTGCTCGCCATGGCGGCATGGTTCGGTCCGTATCTGTGGCCAGCGTGATCAACACCAAGATAATGACCGAAGATCACATCCCATTTGGACTTGTTCTCCGTGCGAAGGAGCGGGAACAGATGCTCGTTGACGCCATTATCAACAGTGTGCAGGTCCCAGACGTTGAATGAATCAAACGGGCGAGTCAGATTGGCGTCGAAATATCCCGGATACAGAGCCTGCCAAGTATCGTCTCCGAGCTGGACCAGAGTCTTTCCAGCGCTGTGCAACTGAGCAACCAGGTTGTCTTCGTCAATGGCGGTGCCGGCGAAGTTAGAGCCGGCATCCACGAATGTGGGCAGAGTTCCGGTAGTCAGTCCCTTCAACCGTTGCAGAGTTGCGGTGGGTGCATCGGCGATGAATGGAAGCAGGAATGCGTTAGCCGGGCTGTTGATGGCGGTTTCGTAGAAAATGGGGATATTGTCGTGGAAAAGGTGGGCTGTTTCACTCTCCTCCTTGGGCACAAAGGGTACAGTGAAGTCGTATCGAAGGGCATCGATGATAATGACAACGGCTTTATCAAAAGACTTCTGGTGCCAACATCCGTTCGCTTGCTGGTTTGATGGTGCGTGTTGGGAGCCCGAGGTGATATCGAATGGAAGCTCCTGGCACGAGGATTTATTGTCGAGAACCATGCGCGTTAGCAGAAAGCCTTTTGTGAAGAAGTAAATGCCGGCAATGTGAAGTAATCTGCAAGGGCCATGACAGTCAGTTTGGAGTGTCTCTCTTTGGACATCACTCATGCGGCGAGTAGACTTCCAAATTCCGGGATCTCTTAGACTCACAATATCCAGGTAAGCACGCCCATTACGCCAAAATGCTTGGTCTTGAACTCATTCTCTAATTCGCGTGCTTTTTGTTCCTGGATGGCCGATTGTTTAGACTGTTCTGCGGCACGGACGTTTATCTGGTCGCTGTTGGGAGCTGTGCTGCCCAGGGGGCTTTTTTGTGATTTCGATGCCATTTTTGTAACCACCGTATGTGAATTTCGTCTTCGCGGGAGCTGTCGAGTCGAAATTCCTAATTTCGACGGCGCGGTGCCAGGTGGTAGGAGGGCGCAATCCGAGTGGTCGAAGGAGGGGGGGCTTGAATGCGAAAGTGGCGCGTGGGCAGGGAAGCCGAAATCAAGCACGAATCGAGGCAATTGACTCGCTTCCAGCAGAGCTCGAGGGAGAGAGTCGAGCCGAGTGGGAAACTGATCTGAGTGAGGCGGGTGGTGAAAAGGTGGCCCCCTGTCTGTGCTCTTCAGGGTGAGCGGCTTCCCTTGAAAAAAATCAAAAGCTGCACATCGCCTCTGCGAGTGGAGACAAAGAAAGAAGAGATCCAAAGGAATGTGGTGTAATGAGGTAGTTCGGATATGGAAATTTGGACTTGACGTTGCGGAAAGCGGCGGGTTGGGGAGAGCTTTGGCTTTGGGGGGGGTTGTCAGCATTCCTGATTGGCTGCAGGGCGGGTCGCACACAAGATTTGTTTAGGTGCACACTACGTCTCAGATTCAAGTTGATACAGAAGTAGATAGTGGAGAAGCTACACGGAGTAAAATAAAATAAAGAACATATTTGCATGTCAAGTGCAATAAATTGCAGATTTGCCTAGGAAGATAGGAGGACTAAGTACATACATTATCCAGCTGCCGGGAGGAAAAGCGCCAAGAGACGCAGAAGAAAGTAAGGAGGTAGAAGACAAGCCCAAAAAAGAGAACAAAATAAAGGCTGTCTAGAAAGGGGGAGTGAAGAAGAGAAAGAGAATATAAAACAGAAAGAGAAACACGTTTGTCAAACATCTTTCAGACCCTAGGAACGTGGCAGGGTAGAAATTAACATGGAAGACCACGAGGGGAAAAAATGATAAAGAAACGCCATAGATAAAGTTCAGAAAATCGGCAGTCCCTCGCTATACACAATCCAGATTTGGCGGATCTCCAGAGAAGAAGATGCTAAGCCCTGGGAAAGGTCCAGAGGTGGTCTCCGGACCCAAAGGGCAAGTGATTCATCTGGAGAATAGCCAAGCAAAATAAGAGCAGTTCGAGTGTATGTGCATGTCACAGGTGTGACAGGATGGGTGGGAGACAGAGAAATAGGTATATGTGAAGGAACGAAGAGAGAGAAGGTCGCCAAGGTGCTCGTCATGCTTTTGGGAAGTCGTGGAAGAAAAAGGATGCTGGGTGGATGGAGCGGTCTGGTGGATCACGGCTTGGGTAGCAGGGTAATTATTGAGCCCGTGATCGCTTTAAGAATAGCTCTTCATATCCTCCTTCTCCTTCAGGCCACCCATCCGCTCGATATCGAGGGAGTGGAACCGACCATAGTCGGTGGTTTGGTATGGCGGTAGCTCTTCGTTGCAAGGCTCGAGGCCATAGCTGCCGTGTTCACTGATGCGGACCACGACCATCTTAGATGATCGCTTGCCGGAGGCATCCTCCTCTTCGGGGAAGGTGATGCGAATCTCGGGTACCGGGCTGGGAGGGGGACTGGACGAGTTGTCCATGAGGCTGCGCTTCTCGTCACAGACCATCACGGAGTCAGTCCTGTTGGTGGTGATTGTCATGCCACGGTTGTGGGTGGGAACCTGGCCATTGTGTACGGGGAGCACGGATTGTTTCATCGCCTGGCGCTTGCGGCGGAGGACGAGAAGACCGGCAACGAGAGCGAGGGCGAGCAAGACGAGAACCAGGAGAGAGATGAGGAGGTCGACCATAGGGGTGGAAAGACCATCGTTGTTGCTGTCATCACCGCGAGTGACAAGGCGGGGAAGAATATTGATCATGTTGGCGGTCGCGTTATTGAGATGTTTGTCGAATTGGCTGTCGATTGAAGTGGTGGTGTCGATGGATTGATAGTCGACTGTGTTGATAGTATCGCGTCTCGGTTGGGTGGGGAAAACAAAGATCGACAATGTTAAATTCCAAAGAGTGTCACGGATGAGATCCGGGGCTGGGGCTGAAGCAAGTCGTAGGAATGAATTGTTTCGAATACAGAGTGGTGGAGGGTCGAGGCCTCGAAAGAATGGCAGAGTTGGAGAAGGTAACGATAGGCGTGGTGGGAAAAGAATGGATCGCAGGGCGTGCAGCTGAAAGAGTGAAGCCGACACCTGCTGGAATGGAAGGATGGACGAGGGAGAGAGGGAGAGAGAGGGAGAGGATGAACAAGAGAGGGTTTAGAGAATGGAGAATGAAGGGAAAACAGGGGCAGGCCAGGAGGGAAAAGAGGGCAGTGCCTAGTGCAACGCCAGGGCTCCGCTTTGACATCCAGAACTCGTTGGCCAGCGCCTCGCCCTTTATTTTTGGGGCCAACAATTGACCCCAGCACTGAATAGGTTAGGCTTCACCTGCTGGTGCGTAAACCTGTTGTCAAATGGCCAATGACCATCGTGTGCCTGGCAGTTAGCTGGTGGTTAGCTGGCCGACGGCGCGAGAGGATGCCTTGGGATTGGATGAAAAAAGGGGTGACTCCACCAAAACAACTAACCTAACCCCGTTTGTGATGGTTCCCCTGAGGAACACATGCTTACTGTCCACGCACATTTCACATTATCTACGAGTAGCTCGTGTGCCTGTGTAGACCTGAGGAAGATCCCTAGCTCATGGTCATGACCTTGGAAGGCAGGTATGTCTCATCCACAAACCTTGACTTTGTTTACGTTTTACTGCTTCAATCTGTGTTTGTTGACATGGCTAGCCAAGAAGGAAATTAAATTCATGCATGTATCACTACTTAATTGACGTGGTGAGACAAGGACTCGAGTCAGCAGGCCCATGCCCAGGGCTTCTAGTATCTCCAAAACTCGGAACATACCCTGACTTTCAACAAACGAGAACGTGAAGGATAGACAAGTGCATAGACAACATAATGTTCGTGTTAAGTTGCCATATGATTAATCAGGATACAAAATATATATTGCTGGTACCTCGATAGATATCAATTCCTTATCCAGGTGCTATTACTAGTAGTACGTTCCAACCTTGGGAGTCGATGTTCATAGTAAACTTCAACTTGAGTTGAAAACCTCTGTCGACTCAGAAGCATTGCCTGTGTACTACTAACTAGCAGTTATATATGTTTCAACCTGCAGACCAACTTCAAGTAGAATTGGAACCTTTTAAGCCCTATTGAAGCCTTGGAGCCTTGGAAGTATATAGGTAGTATTTATGTGCGACCATGCGAGAAGCAACTGCCAAGATATATATATACCTAGGTCCTACTAGTCGCGCTACCGTGACCTAGGTAGTAGCCCTGGCGTATATCATACGACTACCACTAGTACTACCTACTAGTATACTCGAGAATATCCCCCGACCCGACACAATTTTTCACCTCAGACCAACTTGGAATATCGGATATATTCTATTCTATCGTAAAAAAGCCGGACTGATCAAAGATGACCTGGCAAGGTAGATCCCCCGATAGAGTTCCCGTGTACGGCTGCACGCAGCAGCATGTGCAGGCTCCGACTCAACAAGGGTGTGTTCCTGACAGTAGCCTGGGCTATGTATTTTATCCGTGGTCTTGCTTTTCTTGACATGCTACTTCAAGTTGAATAAGATAACGTTGGGATTGGGAATAAGTCTGCTAAGTTGATGTCTATCTACGTACCTTCTGTATATAGGCGAACTTATCCAACTGGGTAGGTTAATGCCAGAACCACAACAATGTACCAGAGGTGGCCTGAGAAGGACAATCTGGGCAGTTTATAACCAACGGTGCCGATTCCTAAACACGCCGGACCAAACATCAAACATCTAAGCTTTCTACGCGGACACTAAAATCCTCACCATCACCTCATTAGACACGAGACAGACAGGCCTCTGCACTAACTCCGTATACCATTAGGGTACCCTCAACCCAACCAACCCATCGGACCTCAGTAGCCACCGAATAACTGATCAACCCGCCCAACATCTCGTCCTAAACATCCAACAAATCTCCGAAGCCAGATAAATCAGACCACCCCCCTCATCTCAACGCCACGAACTGTCAGAAAAGAAAAAAAAACCTGCTTATCGCCAAGACTCGACACTCGCGATCGCAAACACAACCAGCCCTTGACACTTTGTAAACCGCACTGGGCCAAACAGCGTGGCTCGTCTCATAGTGTGCACCACACAGACACAGACACGGACATTGTACATAGCCAGACACTGCACTTACGGAGTACGAGTAAAAGTAGCGGTGCAGGCAAACGGGCCGTCACGACCCCTCATTAAGTACATATGTCTAGTTGTATTTATAAATGCGGTGATTTGTTGAATATGATTCATCATATTACGATCACGATCACAATCACAATCACGATCGAAATAATTCCCTCCCTCCCACCATTCGGTGCATGCAAAGTTCCCAAAAAAAACAGCGGTCAATTTCCCGGAATTCAGGACCCGGTGCTGGACAGGCTTTGCTTTTGTATACCAAAATGTACGTATCTTCTAGTTAAACATCGGGGAAAATCTTCTCTTTCGGTACATGGCTAGTCCACCGCACCGAACCGCACCGCTCGCTTTGACGAAAAGAGCGGTCGCGCCTGGCCAGGCCTGCGTCAGGCCTCCACCCTCCTGCGGCGGCAATCGGGATATTGTCACGGATTCACGGTACATACACAGAATGCAAGGCAGAGAATAAAGGAGGAGAGAAGATCTCTGCAGTACATACTACTCGTACATACATACATATATCGGTACTAGTAACTAACTATGGAGTATACTTTGTATAGTAGTTATCCATGCCTCTCAGCGTGAGATTCGGGGAAGATACGAAGAATTTCTGCGAGTCATGGGATGTCCAGGCTAGACTACTGTAGACACTGGCACTTGGACTGTGTGACTTTTGTGCAAGGATCCAGACCTGCGGATCCTTGCTCTTGCTGCGATTGTATGACGGTGGGATTGGATTGGATTGGTTTGGGTTCCATGTCTCGGTCTCTTTTCAATCTTGTCGGGGGCCGCGGTGTTTTTACATATAATAGTTCTACTGGAGCTGGGGATGGTTCTGACGCGTGGTTTGTTTCTGATTTACTGTACTGTAGTACGATATATTATATTATTCCTCTCTTCAAGTTTTCCTCTCCCATTGGCATCCGCTGCCGTTGAGATAGCTAAACTGGCTGTGAGTTCGGGCGGATGAGCTCGGACATGCCTATTCTGGCTGGTTATTCTTCCGAGCCGAAGAGGGGGTGGAGCGGAGTGGAGTGGAGGGGACTGGAGTGCAGTGGCGTCTTGAAGGAGGGTAGGTATCCCAGGTATTCCAGATGGATCCAAGGATCAGTGTGACGAAGTCGAAGCAAGGGGCTGGCCTAGTCGATGGAACATTTACTAGCTCTGTTGCTCCCGGCCCTAAAGTGCGGCCGGGGCGCGTCGAACCGGGCGACTGAGCACACTATTTGTGAGACAAGTGAGGATGAAGGACTCAGACTATACTCTACCTAGGGTTATACTGTATTTCTTTTCTACTAGTATTTTCTGGAGAAGTCAGTTGCTGGGGACTGGACTGAAGACTGAAACTTACGCTATTGCTAGGGCATGGCACCTTCTAGGGATGAGAACTGCCGGAGTAGATCATTTCGTAACGAACCTGGCGTCGATCCATGAGTCAATCAATGTCAATCAGCCCTGTCGTGGCCTGTCTCTACCCATTGAGTTCTTGACCGGAGAAAGCATCTCCGCCAACAAAAGCTGGCGAAAGGCGTGGAATGGCAGGCAATCCACAGTTCGGAAGGTGGCGGTCCTTGGCTTTGAGAATGGGGATAACAAGAGAAAAGAGGAATATTTATTATTATTATAATTAAATGTACAGTAATACTGTAGCTGTCAAATGCTAAATATTCCGTCCCGCCCTTAACCGGATCGGATCGGACAGAATCTAGACCCAGGCCCAGAGAATACGAGTACATAAGGGAGACCCGTTCAATAAACTCGTGGGGTTAGCCGTCAAGTCAAAGTCAACGAGACCAAGACCAAAAACAAGGCGAAGAACAAGCTTGAATAATGTACTCCGTACCTTGCTCGGACTCCAGCTAGGGCCGTGACCAAGTGGGCCCCCTGATCCGATCGGACTGGTTAAACTCCTGTAGCAATGCGCGACCCAGTTGATCGCTCTGATTTTGGGTTCCACCCCTCGCGTAGGTACTAGTAGTAGTAGCAGTAGTAGTAGCGGTAGCAGTAACATACTTCATAATATTACTGGTGAGCTACGAGTACGGGTATACTGAACTAGGTAGACCAAAATGGACACTGCTGACAGCCCCGACTTCCGGTATGCTCTGACCTCTGACCTCTGGCCCTTGGGCATCGACCATGGGTTGTGGAAACATGCCAGGAGTTCGAGAACGCTTAGGGTGGGTGGAAGTGGATAGGAACAGTTGTCCGGAGTAGAGTAATGTGGTGACTTCAACCTTTACCGTGCACTCTGGCCGGAGAGCCCGATGAATACCAGATGTGGCTGGGTTCCAGGGACGGGGTGGATGGTTCTGTTCATGCAGACCGTGGATGATCTGGCGGTCAGGCCCGGTGCCTTCCCAAATCTCCGAGAAGTGGGGGGAAGAAGTTATAGGATGAGTGGTATTGTAGTTAAAGTCAAGGTTGGTAAGTGGAAGAAGTGGATGGGGCACTAAAAAGAAGCGCCGGGAGAGCCAGAGATCTGGCGATCGTCAGTACGAGTGTGGTATTGTATTTACACAGTGCCACACTGTTCTTGTTGTGAAAATAGGCGTATGTAATAGTGTACATACCATACCATACCATACATACCCAAGCGGCAGATCTCTCAGCTTGGCCAGCATCATTTTTCACTCGCACCTTATCTATCACTTTTATCACTTCGATCTTCTTTGCTTCATTTTACATCTTTTTCCTCTTTTCCCTTCCAACATTTGTGCTACTCTTGTTTTCCTTTTATTTTCTCTTTTTTCTCTCTTTTTTCCCCGCTTCCATAATTTGCTCTTCTTCTTGAAGGACAAATTCTCTTCCACCTTCCCACCCTTTTCTACCCTAAAACAAGGAATAAAAAAAAAACCTCCCTTGGCTGTCATGCTGGCGCCTGTGTGACAGCTGGACTACATTTAATGCCGTGCTTTGTCTCTCGCCCACATTCCCATCAGTCTTCGACCCACTAAAAAATACCTCCTTCGCGCAACGAAGCGCATTCCACTATTTTATTCTATCGGCACGAAGTCTCGCCCCCCTCCATCCCTCGCCCTCGCCTTCGCCTTCACCTTCACCACACCTCACCTCCACCATCTCCCTCCACCTCCTCCCTCCTACCCTCCCCTCCCTCCCCCTTGCGCCGAATATTTCCAGGGTCCTGACCCTCTGCCATTCTCGGGAAATCGTCTCTCCACAAGGCACATGAGGACGATCTGCAAACTGGGAGATTCCTGGAGCATGCACGGAGCAGAGTAACGTCGCGGCGTCTCCCTCAATTCTGATCTCCGGCTACCAACCGGGCCCTGCAGCGACAAACGAAGGGGAGATTTTCCCATCCTTCCAATTCTTTGTCGCCTTGCATCGACTTTCTCCTCGTCTTCCTTTTTCCGCATTTCTAACCTTGACGGTGCTCCCTTTCCCACCTCTTCTCCTTCCCCATTCCCTGATCCTGTATTATCTGTACATGTCCTGGATCGGTGGCTCCTGAAAAAGAAAGAAAGCGAAAAAAAAAGAACAACCTTCACTCTCCCTATCGACCTTCATTTTCTCTCCCCACAGGGAACCTCCATCGAAGAAAGGCACTGTCGCTTCCTGTCGTTTCTCTCGGTCAATCCCTTCGGTGTCCCCTCCTTTGGTGAGTACCAACGTCCTCGCCCTGTCAGCTCCTTCGCTAACAAGGGTCGTCATCAATAGTCTTATATTCTTTCGTGTACGCCCGTTTCTGGTGCCTGGTGCCCGGTGCAAATAACTGGCCGACAAATCGGTTGTTCGGCCTTGTGATTTTAGTATCGACACCTCGACCTCCCTGCAAATACGTTTTTTCGTCCACCCGTTCGAGTACATAATCTGAACACCCTCGCTCCGTCGATCGCTTTCTGGAATGGCTTCTACGATGGCTGCCAATGCAAGCAGCGCACACAACGTGAGTGGCACAGGTCGGGAGCAGGTGCAGCAGGTGGTGCAGGTGCAGCATCAATCGGACACGCCACTGACGCAGACCCCACAGGTACGGTCCGGCCGATCCAACATGAATTCATCTGGGATGAACAATGACCGCGCTCGCGGCTCCCATGGCAACAATGCGGGGAAGGGTTTCGGCGCTGGCAAGTCCAGCTGGCAGAACAATATCTGGGGCGACTCCAACCTCGGAGGTGGATTTGCAGATGGTAGGTGGCATATATCTCGACTCTGTGGATGGGAGCTCGATGCTGACCCCCTCGATCTAGATCAACACATTAGCGAGAACGCGTTTGAAGGAAAGTCTGGCTCTGGCTCCTTGCTATCATCATCCGAATCTGATGGCTGGGTCGGACGTCCTAACCTGCCATGGAGCACCGTGAACACCTCATCCCTAGCGATGGGTCAGAACCGCAGCATGGCGACCTCTCCGATCGAGACCCGTTCGAACGACCGCAGTGCTCCAGCTCTGAACAACAATGGCGACTCGGCCTCCTCATATTTCGCGCTGCCGCGCACCACGGGTATCGGAACTTCTGCGGGCACAGTCAGCCATCGACCTTATCTGAACAATGGTGGCTCTGAGAATATTTCTCCATCCGGAGACGGTCTTCAATTCGGCGGGTTTCCAGCTCTTCGAAATGGTGATGGTCGACGACAGATGAGTTCAACTGGTTTGGGCGGAAGTCCAGTGGGAGCCACCTTCCCTACAAAGGCTGGCTATTCCCACCCAATGGATGGTCAACGCCAGGATGACCTCGCTACTCCCATGAACATGTCTTCCCTTTCTGGTCTACCCGACAGCATCTCTCCCCCACAGACACGCAGTGGACTATCTCACATCTCTTCCAACTCTGCTTCCTACGCTTCGCAACGACCTGTTCACTCTGCTCGCCCTTCCTTCTACTCTGACAACAACAGCATCGATGGTCGCTATGCTGGTGGCTCTGTGGATCTCAACGCGGGTATGAACAATCTCCAGCTGAACGATGGAGGATTTTCTGGCCAGGGCACAGCCCAGCGGCCTGCTTACATTCCCCACGCTTCCTTCGACGGATCTCTCCCTCGCAAGTTCCAGAACAATGACGACGCTGCCTTCCACACAATGGCAGGGTATGGTGCCGATGGTGCCCCAGACATGATCTACCAGCGCTCACGTGGTGGGGAGACTGGCTCTATCTCTCCCTCGGACTACGCTCGCATGGATAGCCCGATTTACGCCGGTGTCGATGGTGCTCAGTACCGGAACTCTGGTGGTCGCATGGGCGAAAGCCAAATCGCGGCCTTCGAGCGCCGCCTGCGACTTCAGCAGGAAGAGCTCGCGCAGAGTCAGGGCAACAGCATGCAGCGGATGCAGATGCCACCGTCATATGATTACCAAGGATACCAGGCGGCTCGTCTCAACGCTATCCAAGGCTACTACACCATGCCCTCCATTGGTCTTGGTGCTGCTGCTATGGCCAACCGTTCCCACCGAGAGCACGACCCCACCCAGGTGATCCGCAGCCCGTTGCTAGAAGAATTTCGCGCGAACAGCAAGGGCAACAAACGCTATGAGCTGAAGGACATATACAACCATGTCGTTGAGTTCAGCGGGGACCAACACGGCTCGCGCTTCATCCAGCAAAAGCTCGAAACTGCCAACAGCGACGAGAAGGAGCAGGTCTTCCGCGAAATCCAGCCCAATTGCTTGCAGTTGATGACCGATGTGTTTGGTAACTACGTGGTCCAGAAGCTTTTCGAGCACGGTAATCAGACTCAGAAGAAGATCTTGGCCAACCAGATGCGCGGGCATGTTCTCGCTCTGTCGACTCAGATGTATGGATGTCGTGTAGTGCAAAAGGCACTGGAACACATCCTTACCGATCAACAGGCGGCCATGGTGAAGGAGCTTGAGAACCATGTTCTGAAGTGTGTCCGAGATCAAAACGGCAACCACGTCATCCAGAAAGCCATTGAGCGTGTCCCCTCCCACTACGTGCAGTTCATCATCAATGCATTCCGTGGCCAAGTGAACCGACTTGCGGCTCACCCTTACGGCTGCCGTGTTATTCAGAGGATGCTCGAGCATTGCGAAGAAGTTGACCGGCAGTCTATCCTAGGCGAACTCCACGCTTGTACAACCGCTCTCATCCCGGACCAGTTCGGAAACTATGTCATCCAACATGTCATTGAGAATGGCGATGAGAAGGACCGCAACCGCATGATTGTCATTGTCATGGGCCAGCTTATGGCTTACTCCAAGCACAAGTTCGCCAGCAACGTCGTTGAGAAGAGCATTGAGTTTGGCGAGGAGAGCCAGCGTCATCACATCATTTCTACGCTGACCTCGTCCCCTGACCGCAACGGCGAAAACCCTCTCCTTGGCTTGATGCGCGATCAATATGGCAACTACGTCATCCAGAAGGTTCTTGGTCAACTGAAGGGCGCCGAGCGCGAGGCCCTCATCGACCAGATCAAACCCATGCTGAGCCAACTTAAGAAGTTCAGCTATGGCAAGCAGATAGTCGCGATTGAGAAGCTCATCTTCGACCCTAACAACCCGGCTCCCGGCCCGCTCCCCCACGCCACCTCGACCACTCCCCCCCAACTCTCACAAATCCTCTCCTCAGCCATCCAAGCGCTCCATCCCCATGGAGCAGCCGCGGGCCTTTGTCGGCACCGCCCCTCCCACCCCACCCCCGACGGACAACCAGAATACCGTCGACGACTCCCTTGAGTCGAAGGGGCTTGCTCACAGCACGGTGACTTCGGTTTCCAGTCCCGAGACAGGCAACACCGGTGTTGCGGTCCCGGTCGATGTCACCAGTGCTCACTAATTCGTTGCACACTTACTTTGCCTTTGCTTGCCCACATAATTCTGTTTTCTAATGCTGATCTGAAAAACCGAGTCATTCTCTGCCTCTTCTTTATCTAATATGGGCGTATACATACAGGGGGATTCGGACCGGATATATGAAGTTACTCAAAACGTCAATGTGTTTTCCCCACTTTATTCTCCATGGCTTGACGGCGCAAAGACAGGGCCTCTATTTTTTTTTCTTTCCATCTCATCATCTTTCCCTTTTGTCCTTTTTTCCTGTTTTCTTTTTTTCTCTCTCTCTCCCTCTACTGTTGATCTCGGATCGGACATGTGCTTTGTTCCTTTTTTCTCCTGTTCATTTTTTTCTTGTTCTTATCTTATGATTGTGTATGGTGTGTCCTGTGTTTTCTGTGCTTTTGTTTTATTTATTCTTTATTTTTCCCTGCTGGGGTTAGGGTTGGGGTTTCCCCCTAACCTCACGTGGCCGGGAACAGGAAGCGCTAAAGAGAGAAAGAAATGGAAATGGAAATGGAATGGCAATTACTTCGCTTTCTTATTATTCTTCGCAAATCTTCGGCATATGACATGAGAGAAACTTCCTTCCCCCAGTTCGTGGAAAAAATGGAAATGGAAATATGGGAGAGAGAGAGAGACAAAACACAACTTCAACTTTTTGCATGGCGTGGTGCGGTGCTACTTACCCCCTTCCTCCTCGTCTTCTTACTATTTACTCTACTATCACTTCATAACCTGCTTCTTTATCTGATGTCTCTCTTACCATCCCACCATCTCACCATCCCCTTTTCTCGTCTTGTCAACTCTTAAGTGGAAATGGCTAGCTAGGCCTAGGCTTGTTTGCCTGCTCTGCTCTGCTCCACTCCACCTCTTACCTTACTTACAAGCAGGGCCTTCGTGCTCTTCCTCCCTTCCTTTCTCCTATGTCTTTAAGAATGGGAAGATAACCCAACGCCACGCATCATGATATCTTATCGGATGCGGGCTTGCTTAGGGTCTTCGGTATACACTGTCACTTGATTTGATCGATGAAAAGTGGTTACTTATGTACCTGTACCTGGATATCTGATTCTCCTTCTGCTCTTGATGTCGATGTTGATGTTGATGCCCAGGTGTTGATAGCCCTCTTTTTCCTTTTCTTTTCTTGCTTTCGTGGCTAATGTATTACTGGATAACACTCTTAACTACCTGCTCTCACTTGAACTTCTTGCTCTTTCCTTATGAGTATCTATATACTATCTTGTAAATCCTAATCGAAACAAATGTAAACTTTAGAACAAAATGTTATACCCTTTCTCTTCCATGAATCTAGTTCTGCGGTAGGGTCGTACTCACGTGACTGATAAGATGGCAGAAAGATCGGACCCGCCTAAATTCCCAATGCTGGCCCGGGGCGGCCACAGCTTAAGATTCATTCCCTCGGACTTGACTTCACTCCCCACCTCACTCACCACCTCGGTTACCAACCTCAAGGCTATATCTGCAGGCCGGACCTGACCAAGGGATCATCTTCTGTTCTCATCCTAGCGCAAAGAAAACAAACCGGCACGCCACCAGAAACCAAACAAGAAACCACTATTTCGCTCGTGCCAACAACCAAGCGCAATCAAACTAAATCTCACTCACACTCAACCCACAACCATCCAAAATGTCCTCAAACGTCGGCCTAACCACCCCCCGAGGAAGCGGAACATCCGGCTACGTCCAGCGCAACACCGCATTCATGAAACCCCGCAACACAGGTTCCGGAGCCCCATACCCGCCTCTATCGGGGGCGAACAATTACACCTCGGGTGGGTTCAAGCAGCGTGTTCCTGATAAGAAGATTCTTGAGCATGATCGGTTGAGAGCTATTGAGGTTCTTGTTATGGAGGAGCGGGAGAGATTGGAGGAGGAGAATGAGAGGGTTGAAGAGGAGCAGTCAAAAGAGGCAAAGATGAAGTCCAAGAAGGTGAATACGAAGAAGGATAAGGAGGAAGGCGAGGAACAAGATTCCGAAGAAGAGAATGCTCAGGGAAAAGTTCTATCCGAGGAGCAAATTGATGAGCGGTGCGAGGAGCTACGGGCTAGACTTTTGAAGGAGATGGAACAGTCAGCTGCTAGCGGTGCCGGTGCTGGCGGGAAAGGGAAAATGGGGCCGCCACGGGATAGGAGGAATCTTAAGTCTTATCAGGTTCATGAGCTTGCTGAGGCGAAGATTGAGGAGAGTGAGAGGTTGAGGAGGGCGTTGGGGATTAAGGAGAATAGGGAGACGGGCGAGATTAGTAGTACTCGGTTTGAGAGGAGACGGGAGCGGGATTGAAAGAGGTGAAAAGTGATGTTGAAAGGGGTTTTTTTTGGTTTTGAGAATATTGAGTTTGTTGCTTTCTTGTTTTGAGGGTTCTTTGGAGATTGGTGTTTATGGTGTTTGGGTTGGTGCATATACTCATTATGATGGGATGGTCATCTATTTTTTGAAGATGTTGCTTGCGCTGAATCGTGCGAGGACTCGGAATTGAGGTATGATGGATTAGGTTTATATTGGAATTCATTATGATCAATATCTCTTTTCTGCAATGAGTCAATTGCTCGTTGTCGTAAAATTGAAAGAATAGCTACGAGGGAATTACTATTTCGTGTGTATCCTGCGAAGCTTAAGGAGAGGTTCCATGAAACCGCAAGCAAGTCACCCAAACGGCAGTGATGATAGTGTGAATGTAGTGATATTGTGTGGTGTGAGAGAGAGGTGTAGGAGGTGAGCAGGAAGCTATGGACACATGCCGACTAATAAAGTTAGGCTCGCTACTCTACGAGAGCGATCTCGCCCTGCTGGCCCTACTGATTCAGCTCAGTTAATTGATCGGTTGGCGCAAGTACTATGTGAATGTGAAACGTGCAAGGCTCATCGTCGCCGATCCAATGGCAGTTAGCGCACGCTGATATAAATTTTTCGAGCCTCAGAGGCCTCCGGAACAGCGACGCACTTGGCCCAGGGCCCTTGACCCTTTTCACAGGCACTGCAGGACTTCACTGGAGCGGATCCCACGATCTGCAGCATTTCCGATTCGACATGCAATATCTCAGAGCCAATATGGTGGTGGAGTGTACCAGCCGTCTACCATTTCTTAGTGTGGATCATCGGCTCTCGTAGACAGGGCTTCTCGTGAAGGGCCCGTACAGCCTCTGGCTTGTCGGCAAACTTCAACTTTCCAGGGAAAATTCAGGATGTGGGTTGCCCAAGGGTATGGAGGTAGGTCAGCAGTGCCCTGTTGGCCCAGGGGGATGGTTGTGGGGAGAACAATCGTATCCCCGGATGTCTCGTTGACGATCTCTGTGGGGTTGCCTTTTGGCGTGTAAGTATTTATACGAAATTTGAGATTAATATGTACTCACTGAGTCTGGTTTTGGGCAGATGGTGGTCCACGGCACTGCCATTGGGGAGAGCCGCCATGCCTCTCAGTGCGAATAATCGGGGATTGAGTATTCCATGGGGCTTGGCGAACAAAAGGACAGACTTCTTGGTTAATGAATGGAAGAAAAGTACTGGTGGCGGAGGTTGGATGTGTTGGTATTAGTAGTGAGGAAGGCTTGAGAATGTATTAGGAGATAGAGGAGTAGAAGGAGAACTTTTAAGGTTGATAGTAGCGTCTCCCAGACGGCTATCAGTAGTAGAACTTCTATAATAGTATCGAAACAGTACCTAAATCACCTAATTGAGACATCATTGTTTTAACGTAGCCCTAATTAACCTTATAATTAAATATAGTCCCAAGCCCTAGAGATACCACAATAATATTGACTATCAGTATTAATCATCGTCCCAAGAAGTAGGCCTGTCAGTCTATTGAATTTATGACTGTCCATCCGTGACGACAAACGAACTACTAGTACCTACTACAAACGACAAAACAAAGAATGTGAGTTGACTCAGCTGTGTCTGAGGACAATGATATGGATACTAATTGAGATCGCTCGATGCATAGCAAAAGACTCTAGAATACAGAAATAGGTCTATCTTCAACAATAAGACACACAATGAACACTGGCAACTAAGACTATGCTATCCCAGCAATAGCCCCAGCCCCAGACCACATATCAAATACAAACATGAAAAAAGGGGTATCAAAATCATTTCGAGAAACCAAGACCATCTTCAAGACGATCTAAGAGGGAATTACCCGAGGCAGAGGAAGAAGCTGGCGAAGGAGACCGATTCTGATTCCGATTCTCAGGTCGACCCCCATAAGCATAGGCAGTAGATGTATCAGCACCGCCCTCCAAAGTTCCAGTAAAAGCTGGCGTCGTCGTCGTAGCCGTGAGAATAGGAATAGAAGTACCATTCCCATCTTGTGCCTCTGTTGAAACCTGCGCTCCTCGTGCGCGGAAACTATACCGCGGCGCAGAAGGATCAATCGTCGCTGGATCTTGTGCAAGGGGGGGCTTGATCTTGTTCCAGTCGAGCTTTTTTCATCGATTTCCGCTTGCGCTGTCCAATATACTCAGTGGCAGTGCCCGGAGCGGGATTTGCCCCGGTGGTTGTTGTTTCACCAGGAGCCGGAGCCGGAGCCGCCGCTGCTGCGGCTGCGGTTTCTTGACGAGCAGATTCCGCGGCAGCCCTTTTAGCAACCTTCTTCTCCTTCTTGCGAATCTTTTTAGTCTCTTTCCTGAGTCTGATTGCTTCGGGATCCGTTGGTGGTTGAATTTCCTGCACAGTCGCACCATTGGCATTGGCATTGCCCTTATTCTGCTTTTGCTGCCCATTCTTCCACACAGGGGGAGCACCAGGAATGGTACTAATAGTGAATTCACCAAGACTGATACCGCCTTCCTCATCATCATCCGCTTCCCAGAGCTCTTCTTCTGCTTCTTCCGGCGGAATGTCTAAATCCAGAACACTGGATTTTTGCAAATCGGCCATCTCATTCCATCCACGAAGGACTTTACTAACGTCGTCATGGCGCGAGAGCGTATCAAGTCTGGCAAGGACTCTGGCAAAAAGTTTTGACTCGTCGAGTTTTGCGTTATTGGTGAATTCGGGGATTTCTAGGATGTTAAATGGTTCACTGAGTGCTTTCAATTTGCTATCGTCGATTAAGATCGTATTCGATTGATCCCATCGTTGACCAGGGGGAAAGGAAGCTGTCAGTTCCATTTCCTGCTCGCGTTGTTTCTGCTCTTGTTGTTTCTGTTCGCGTGTGGTTGGTTTTGGTTTTGGCTTTACACTGGGCGGATTTTGATTTTGATTTTGGTGGGGTGGTTTGTAGGGTTCGTTTCCTGGGTAAGAGCTTTGTACTTCGATACTGCTCCATACTTTATGGAGTTGTTTGTAGACCTGTAGTTTTGCGTGGTATTGCACAGGTGTGAGGCCGAACCTGTCACGACCCCATAAAGCGACAAGATCGCGCTTCTTTTCTTTTGAAAATATTCTCGCACAGATTGCTTCGACGGTAGCTGGTTGTGAACTGGACCAAATCATCACGGCATATTTCTTTGTTAATACATCTAAGAAGTGCTCAAGACCGGCCCGGGAAGCGAAAGAGGGGGGTAGCTTTTTGTGTTTTCGGTAGACCAGAGTTCCGTTCAGATCGAGGATTATGAGTAATGGTCGTGGCGTGGGACACTTTGTAGGTTTTTGCGACGATTGCTTCATGTACTCCGCAGTCGCGGATGGTATATCGACTGGTGGTGTTGACTCTCGTTGTCGTGGCCTTGATGTAGAGGGACCTGGTTGTTTGCCATGGATAATTGGCCCGGATGGTCTGGCCATTGTGCTCATGGGCTGTGCTCCCTGGAAGGGGGCCGTATTATTAAAAGGCATCATGGGGAATTGGCCCTGCATGTTTCCCATAATGGAAGCGAACAATCTCGGGTCCATCATCGGCATCGGCATCGACGGGGGTATAGCCGTTGAGTCGTAGTTCATAGCCTGTGGGTTCCATGTGGGGGTATCGAATGATCCAAAAGCCATTTGCGATCCACTGTTGGCGTTCCCTGTCGGATATTGATTTGAGTTGACCGCATGGCTTGGCGGGGTCGCCGTGACCGGACTATATCCAGGCGTTGGCATTGGCGTTGATCTCGTATTATTGGCAAAGCCATCCTGAGGGTAATTCGTTTGCGAAGAGCCGGGGTGTGCTTTTCGCCCAGCACGTCTATCACGCGCGTTGTGGTGCGCGTTGTTGCGCGCTGGGTTGGTGTTGGAGTTGGAGCCCATGGCTTCTATTCCATTATGCGACAGTTCCGTGTTGTCGATTCGGGGATGTTTCGGTGCAGAATCTTGAGCGGCGTCCCGCGCACGTCTCTTACTCCCTTTACCGCGACGAGGCAGTTTGGCAGATTTAACAGGAATTGGCACGAAAGAATTGCGTTCGGAGAAAGCGACAGGCACGGTAGAAATGAGCTGTTGGGAGGCAATTAGTTTAATTGACGCTCTGGGAGAATTGAGGGGTTCCGGATTGGATATGGGATGGAATCATATACATACGGGAGGAGAGACTCTGCAAGGTCTAGAGACAATAGTGCGAGTCAATGCTGGCCGTCGGTAGACGCAAAAAAAAACAGACATGAGCCAGAAAAGCAAAGTTTCGCAGATCCAAAGTGACTTGGGGCTTTCCGAAAGGTTTGGGATGATTTTCCTTATCGTCTGTTATCGCACTCGCCGCCCGGCAGTACCTTTTTTCTTAAGGGAAAATATGGGATTGGACGGCTTCCACGACAACTCTACTTGCATTTCACAATTACCAACCATGGGGATCTCGGATATGCTGAACCGCCGAGTGCGGGCTCGGCCAACTGACGACGATGAGAGCGTCTATTCGGGAGAATCCGATATGGGTGACGAGGTCCGCGGCGACAAAGACGGACAATCCGATGAGGATCGACAATCTCACGGTGTATGAAGGCTTCCCCCTTACCAATGGCATGCTTGAATTGAGGCTAACCACTTATTACAATAGTCCCAGGGATCTGATGCCAGCGCAGGCGAAGAAGACGAGGACGAGAACGGCAGCAACCTCGGAGAGGAAGAATTCTCAGATGCCGGCGACGACAACGATGATATCCAGGCATCTCTAAGCAGCGTATCCTTCGGTGCTCTTGCCAAAGCCCAAGCTTCCATGGGATCCAAGAAAGGAAAAGAAAAACGATCTCAGGCGGGCCCCGACGAATCCGCTTCAACCGCCTCCCCACTCGACGACATCCGGGCCAAAATCCGCGAAGCCCGCGAACAGAAGCGCGAAGCTGCGGCCAAGGAAAAGAGCAAGGAAAAGAAGGCCGCTCGTTCTTCGAAGCACGCTCCCATGGTGCAGTCATCGAAGCACGCCGTGACACGGAGGCGCTTGGTAGTTGAGCCACCGGCCGTTGCAAAAGCCCGCGATCCCCGTTTCGACGCAGCAGTCATGGGCTACAGTGGTTCCGGAAAGTACTCCGAGGGTGCGAACAAGAACTACGCTTTCCTGGATGAGTATCGGGTCTCGGAGCTGAAAGAGCTCAAGATGCAACTGTCGAAGACTAAGAACGCCGATGCAAAGGAAGAATTGAAGATGAAGATCCGCTCCGCAGAAGATCAGATGAAGACGCGGAAAAATCAAAAGCGCGAGCGTGAGGTCATGGCCGACCACAAGAAGAAGGAGAAGCAATTAATACGCGAGGGCAAGAAGAGTACCCCGTACTATCTGAAGCAGTCGGAACTGAAGAAGGCGGTGCTCGAGAAGAAGTATGAGGAAATGGGATCGCGGGATCGTGCGAAGGCTTTGGAGCGCCGGCGCAAGAAGATTGCGTCCAAGGAGCGCAAGGATATGCCTTTTGAGCGGCGTGGAATGGAGGATGCGCCTCCGGACCGCGGGGGCAAGCGTCAAAGACTTGATTAGGATACCCAAAATGTATAAACACAATACATATCAGATCGTTTGATTTCTTGAACATTATTAACACTGGTATACATCCATGAATGGTACTACTCGGATTTGCGATTCTTTGGAACTTGTATCGAACACTTGCTCGTCAAGCTTGCTCGTGACTATGCAGTCCAACCCAAAAATACCACCTAGGTACTACCTAGGTAGTAGTAGCACGGGAGCCTCAACATAGGTTAATTTCACATGTTCGGATATACTGTAGGCATCAACTATCCCTGAGGCCGATCAAGGTAAGAAGTGGCCGGGTTGCGACGAAGTGATCGATCCGAGACGTCTCGGCCCCTTCCACAGTGGAGACAGACGATATCTAGATGAGTATGAGATTAACGAATTAAAAGATATAGGGTAACGGGGCTCAATATTTAATCATGCCAGTTTCCCTTGTCAGTGAACGGATAATATCTACATCTTTCTATGATATGATATGTATACCTGCCGGGTAATCAAGATTACCCCCAGGGTGTTAGTGTGATACGGTACGCGGGATCTGTACCATGGGACTGATATCAGTTAGTAAGATGCACTTCCGCCCCGGAGCGTACTTGTATGTACTCCAGGCTGACAGAGACATCCAACTCCGAGACAAACCATTCAAATAGCTTGAAAACCTCGGTCGCAGACGCGCTTTCATTGCGACGCTAGTCTCACTAGAATCGGAGCAACCAGATCTGGTAGTCAGAGCCCTGATCCAGGTTGATCTGTGCGTTTCGACTCATCCTTTCAGCCCCAAACATTAGTGATGCGAAAGCTGTAGCCAATCACTGTAGCTACCGGGGGGGGAGGGGATCGAGAGTGGCCAGGATAAGGAATCAGACAGGGCATAGTTTGCGGTCGGTAGAGGGTTCCGTGCATTAGTCTAGGGCACGACCTTTTTCTCTCTTCTTCTTGTGATCCACACGCAGGGCGAAGGACTGGTTCTTGTTCCTGGGTCCGGGGGGTTGCGGATGGTGGCCAGGAGGAATGTGGATGCAGAAGGAGTTTAGTTAACCAGCGAAGACTGGTTTCCGCCAAAAACAAAGAAACACACCACACACACCACAGTGTGGGAGGGGAGTCCATACACTAAGATTGAAACGGATAGATGCTTCCACCCCCTGGTCGATAATAAGCGCCGTCTGCGCCATGTTTGACATAGAACGTGATATGAGTTGCTGCCCAAATGTGAAAGGCGGGTGAGGGTGCCGGGTTCATGCAGATCGGGAGCACATGTCCTCGCCGATCAGAGACCCCAGAAGCCCCGTGTGCAGATGAGACCAGTCTTAGCCTCAGTCTTGGAGGGGGGAAGGGTATTGGGTATTGGGTATTGGGGGCCAAACTAGAATCAATGGAAAGAGGGTCTGGTCGGAGTGGATGTTATCCTCTTTGTCTGAAGTATGGAGTCCGGCCCATCACTGATCCCAGGAGTGAGGTTCCTGGGATATTTTAGAACTGTACAGGTGCCAAAATGCATAACCGCCGGTATGTCAGGATGTGACGATCCACGACCACGAACACCCACAGCCAGGGCCAGGGCTGGGGCCAGCCTCAAACAGGGGGGACAAAGTAGAAACATGGCGTGTCTCAGGCAGATGATCCTGATACGCCGGGCTCCGGCAGTGGTGCACTAAGTGTTTGAGCGCGGCTCCACTCAAACTCTGGACTCCACGAACGAGCAGTGGCAGCCCATGCGGTGTACTCTGTACCTGGTACTCAATACTTTTGGGGTACTCCGGAGAGGAGTTTGGGTGGTTCTAGGCTACTGGTTTAACTGAGTTAGCCTTTGTTGTGGGTGGTGGGTACTCTGTAGGTGTTGGTAGGGGAGTGGGGGGGAGGAGTGAGTGAGTGGTTCAGGGAAAGTACTGAGTACCTCCACCCCTGCTGAACATCCTCTCTCTCGTCCTCCTCCTCCTCCCTCCTCCTCCTCCCCTCTTCAGCCTTTGTCTTAATTTCCCCCCCCCTTCTGGGCCCAGAACCTATTCCGAAAAAAAGTTCTGCCGGTCCATTTCTCTCGCTTGTCACTCTGGACTGGGAACTTTGTTTCCTCTTACTCTCTCTCTCCCTCTCTCTACTCCCCTCCTCCCCTCCCACCTTCTCCCTCGTCCCTTGGAATATCAAAAGTGCCTAATCCCTTAACGCCGGGATCTGTGCACGTCGCTGTCGCTACTATTGATGCTCCACACTTGAGGTCGGAGGCTATTCCCGCCGATCCCACGACCTGCGAAGGAAGATACGAGAGGTGATAGGTATACTTCGACTTATCCAGATCATCCCGAGTCAGAACTGTCCTATCCAGTTGAGGACCCTCATCGTCGAAGAATCCTTATCACATCACATCACATCACATCATCATGTCGACCGCAGTTGCGCCCGCGACGGCAGCATCTCTGTCCTCACCACATGTCACCCGCGATCCCAGTCCAAAGAATTGCCCGACCTTAGCTCCTCCTCCCCCACCGGGCGCGGCGAATTCCTCCCCATCACGACTGTCTACCACCTCGCAGGATGGTCCGCGAAGAGGCACCCCCGAGAACAAAGACCCGGCCTCCCCGTAAGTTGGATATGAGAAATCAGAACCCGGTTGCACCGATGTGCGTGTGCGCCAAAGAAAGATTCTTTACTCACAGTTGGTTACAGATCAGGTAGCGCAGGTCCAAAGATCACCGTCAAAAAAGAACCGCCCTCGTCGCCGCGCATGCAGAGTAGCCGCCCTCGCCCTCGCAAGCTCGACCTTTCGACCAGTCTCCCTTCCTCGAGTAGCAACTTGTCGGTTCGACCACCTAATGGGCCTATGACTGCCCGTGACGGTGTCACTATGCAGGATGTCGGTCTGGCATGCCTGTCGCCCGGGTTTCAGACCCATGATCCTGCAATGAGAGAGCAGCTCCAACGGAGTCTCTCCGTGCGCGAACAGCAACGGTCAATTATCGAAGCACGACTGCAAAGGTCTGCCAAGGATGAAGGCCCTGATGGCATCAGGCCATCCGCGCACGAGTTTTTGGGTCCCAAGAGCTCTAAGCGACGGCCGCCGGCTGGCCTGTCCATCGTCCCTCCGTCGGCATCGCAATTCGCCAACGAACGGGTGATTCAATCCGCCCCGCTCAACCAGACCTTTACTGGTCGGCACCAACCTCAGCCGTTGACTCGCCATGTTGTGAACCAGAGTCCGACTCTGGGTTCATCCTCGCACATGCACCAACTTCCAGCTACACAGACCAACAACCGCCTCCCTCCTCTCTCCGATGTGTTCGGCTCTGATGCCCTGGGTCGGGACAGAGATGTAAACCGCCCAAGCGTCTACTTAAACGCTTCGAGCACCAACTCTTCCCAATCGAATTTGGCACCGATGCCTTCCCCCGGCCTGCCCCCGAACCACCAGTCACAAACTCCCCACCGATCACGCGAGTATCGCTCGGCCGAAGAAGCCGTGCAAGAAATGTCTGGCGGGCGCGAGGAACTGTTGCCACGGATCGTACACTATGGGGGCCACCAGCCTCCCACCCCGCCATCTCCTCACGCATTCCATGCTGCCCCCCAAAACGGCTCCTTTAATTAGCGAAGGCATGGTTCATCACCCGCCTCAGGTCCCTATGATGCAGTTTGCCGATACAACCGCACGCCGTCGTCCCCGGAGTGAGTACGAGCAAGACAACGGAAGCCCACCGCTTGGACATGGCCCAGAGTCTCAGCACCGGCCCAACCCTGCCGCCAACGCTAGCGCAGCATCCTACGGCCCTTTTGGCGCCGGCAGAGACTCGCCGGAAACTACACGAAGAAAGAAAGAGGAATTCCTCGGCCTTTGCGCACGGGCTTGGGATCTCTTCCATTCGTGAGAGAAGTCATTGCTCTGCTCTAAAAAAAGGACTTGCTTGTCAATGCAAAATCCTCTTGTTATGTGTCGATAATAAATGCTAGGAGGTGATCGATGTATACCCTATCCTCTTCTCCAAGCACGTCTCTTATTCAGTACAGCCGGTTCCCCGCTACGTCCGGGGCGCGGCTTTGATCATGTCCCAGCAAACTTTTGTTCACACCTGCAGGTCGGGACTCTTGGTTCATTCCTGGTTGATTGAACCAAATGATTTCCGTTATTTTTTTCTCTCTATATGACCAGTCATGTTTATATTATCTTCAACCTCAGGTACGACAGTTTTTCTGAGCTCTGCGCTCAATGGGGGAAAATTCTTTGTCCGGGATGTTTTTGCATCTCCTTTTTCGCAATGGGAATTTGGGGGCGTTGCTTGGCTCTTTTTACAATATACCTTTTCTGGATGTTTTTCTTTCTTTTTTTTTGCTGCTTTTTGCTGCTTTACGGGTCTAGCATTGTGAATGGGTATCGATCGATTTTTCTCTTGCACTGATGCTGGATTGGTTTAATATGGGCTTGCTTGCCTCAGGCTTGAGCTTGAGCTTGAGTCTATCCTGCCAGACCAGGTGCCTGCACCAAATGTAATTTTGACCCCCTAATATGCCACGCATTTGAGACGATCCTTCAAAAGTATTACTGTAATTTCTAAATAATGGCCGGTCATACTGTACATCCCCTGGGCACAGCATGTACATACTGGAGTGTCTTAGTAGATGCACAGTGTTGTATACGGTAGGCGGTGAGCCTCTATCGATAACCCACTTTTTTTCTTTCGCCGACGATCCGGAAATCCCAGCAGGGTTCAATCTTAGAAATCGCAGCTACATTTCTTTCTTTCTTTTTGCGCAATTGGACACGAGGTTTCACCGATCCAGATCGAGTGAAGTTGCCCCGGAGCGCAATCGAATCGTCACCCTCGACCAATCCCACACAGAACACACCAGTCCAGTAACAGCGACGTCAACTTGAAGCTTCATAGCCACCAATCCTCTCCCCGCGAACCCAACCAACCAACCCCCCCTCTCTCAAATACCGTGACACCATGCCTGCCTCCATTCACTCTCAAGAGCCTCAAGAGGTGGATCAGTCCATGATCGACGCTGAGCCCGAGGTCGACCCCATCATGCTGGAGGAGAAGCGCGTTGTAGTGGTTCGTTATACACATTTTCCAACAGCGGGATCGAGAAAAACTTCTTCTCCCGGTCTTGCTCTTTGCTTTGCTTTGCGCGGTTAAGGTTTTTTGGTATTGACTTGATCCGTCTGTGATTCTAGCTCCCCGGTTCCTCTGAAACATCCGCCTCGTTCCAGTTCGAAAATGAAGGCCATACTATGGGCAATGCGTTGCGATACGCCATTATGAAGAAGTGAGTTGGGTTTGAGAGGGGAACTAGTTCTTGTCGCATAACATAACTGACTGAATATCTTTGCAATAGCCCCGCTGTTGAGTTCTGCGGATATACAATCCCCCACCCCTCCGACCCAAAGATGCACCTCCGCATCCAGACAACCGGTAAGTTCTAATGAACAAAATAGATGGCGCTCCTTGCCCCGCACGCCACGGTTTATGATATCTATATCTATTTTTTCTCAAAACTGACCCGGAGGTTTACAGATACTACCACCGCCCTGGAAGCTTTGGAGAAGGGCTTCAGCGACCTGATGGATCTTTGTGATGTTGTTACGGAGAAGTTCACTGAAGCTCGGGATCAATTTAATGAGGAGAATAGTAACCGCATGCAATCTTGATTGAGCTTGAGCTTGAGCTTGAGCTTGACTTGAGTGTGTGTTTGTGTTTGTGTACGTCTCAATCTCGATGAGATTGAAGCTGAACTTCATGTTTTTGCATTTGTTTTTTGGGGCGTTTGGGTTTGAGCTTGAATCTTGATTGATAGTAGCTCCCTTTTTTTTCAAAACTGCGTGTATTGGGGCGCAGCTGGCTAGCTAGTACTAGCTGGCTGGGACAGTACAGGGAGGATGTATGTATTTATGTAGTCGAAGAGTATAACGAAGAGTTGCATATTTACCCGATATTTTTTTTTTCTCTTTTTGGCGGTCAAGACTTGGATTGTAGTGGTTCGTTTGTCGATCTATACATATCATGATCTATCTAGTGGCTATCGATTGGTGCTATTTGAGGATACTAGTACTACTCGCGCGGGCTGAATTTATTAGGTAATATTGCTGACCTGTAAGTGCCATTTAATTGGTCGTTTTGAATTACTTCCCTCTCTATAACCGAATAACCTGATCGTTAAAAGACATACGCAAAGTCTCATCAAGGGGTTAGTATTCCTCTATCAATTTCTCATTCAATTCAATGAAAGAAATTCACAGTTGATACCACTACTACCACTACTACTACTACTTCAGAGACAATACACCTACAACAAGAATACGTCCTCGAAACAGAAATCGCCTTGAAAAAAGAATAAAAGATTCGGCGACCTACTCAGACAATATTTACACATCATGTCTTCGCCGATGGGACAGCTCCACCGGCTATCATGCCATATACTGGCGATAGAGGAAAAAGGGAGTAAAGGGAAGAGGGATTGGCGGGGGCGGGGGTATGGAATGGTCTTTTCAATTGCGGCCCTCCAGGAAGCCGGAGACGAAGTTGCGGGGTAGTCGGGCACCGGGGTCCTCCTCTGGACGGAAGTACTTCATAACGTGGGAGAGTTGCTTCCAGTAGTTAAGGGTTTCCTGTTTATATCGGTTAGTATTGGATTCTGTCTAGAGTGGGAGGGGGGTGGGGAATCGCAGTGGTGATAGGAATCCATCTGTGACGGTTGAATGCAATGCGGATTTGAGGTGGGTTGGATTTGAACAAGGCTCCTCCTTCTTTGCATTTATCCACTCTGCGCAAAGTGCTGCATAACGTATGGCATTGCGTTGCATTGACTGTCCAACAAGTGGATTCCTATCGCTTGGGATCATGATGCCGGGACTAACCTGGAACTCGGCGTGGCTCTGGAAGAGCAGCACGTCAACGGCAGGAAGCTGGCTAACGTAGCGGTGCTTCTCGAACTCCTGGCGAACCTTGGTGCGAATGGCGGATACGGGCATGTTCAGAGAGTACATGGTCTGGATCTCGGGGGACTGTAGGCGTGAATCTTGTTAGCTTGACCGTCACGATTGGACCTTCCCATTCGTCCTGATTCATGAAAGCGTAGCAACCGCCTCTCTGATCCATTTGAAATCCTCAAGGGATCAAAATAAAGTGACTTTTTGAAACGTAACAAGGGCAGGGCGGGTATCGGGTCCGGGGATATGAAGGGTAAACTGACCGCGCGCAGCCACTCCCGGTAGGTCTTGAGAACGCGGAACTTGGCATCGGACCAGTTGACGGCTAAATTAGGGTAAATAGATCTGTTAGCTTGGCCGTACACTGCGAGCAAGGCTCAATTGCAGGTGCATTCAGGGCGAGCAGTCGGAACACATCGGGGCGATGAAGGAGGGGGTCGAGGACGAGAACGTACAGGAGCGCGTCCGCTGCGCGAGGTAGGTAGGGTTGATAGTCATGGTGAGAGATTGGTGTCCGCTTGGTCCGAAGATCAGGGAAGAGAGGGGAGAATTGGAGGTTCACGGCGAAGCTCTGATGGTGGAGGTTTCACAGGTGAGGTTTGGGTGGGTGGAACGGGGTGGTCTTGTCACCGCCTGCCTGATTAAAAATTTCTTTCTTGATTTCGGCGCAACGTTGATTTGCCTCGTTCTTTTTCTCTGATAAACATTTCCTTAAGAATTAAACCTCTACGGCCGGATTTGCTTCTTGGTCTTTCTTCTCGGATCACAGACCTCTGGATACCTTTGTCAATAACCCCACGGTCTACCGAAAGCCCTCACGCCGCAAAATTTCCACCGGCGCATTTTTCCGCCTCACGACTACGAATCTCGATCAATCCTCCCACACTACGATATGGCGCCCATGAAAGGGTCGTCGAAAGGGTCGTCTAAAGGCCCCTCTGATGGAGGTAGCAAGGGCTCGAAGACTTCCACAGTCTCCGGCGGCTCGCGTGTGAGCAAGTCCAAGAGCAACTTCAAGCGTCCTCCTCCCAAGGAAATGAAGAATAAGGCGCGCACCGAGCAGGCAAATCTCCAGAAGAAGAAGAAGAGAGTCTACACAGATGCAGAGCTGGATCTGCCCAAATTGAACGCTATCACCCCTGTTGGTGTGGTGAAGCCCAAGGGCAAGAAGAAGGGCAAGGTTTTTGTGGATGATCAGGTACGTTCACAATGGCTCTGGGCGCCCAATTCAAATATCAGTTGCTGTGATACTAATGTTCCTTTCTTCTTCTCCAGGAGGGCATGATGACAATCCTCGCTATGGTAAATGCAGAGAAGGAGGGCCAGATTGAGTCCAAGATGATGAAGGCACGCCAAATGGAGGAAATCCGGGAAGCAAAGAAAAAGGAGGCCGAGGCCCGCTTGACAGAGAAGAAGGACAGGTTGGAGGCTGTCAAGAATTCCATCCGGCAGCAGAAGAAGGATGCCAAGGGCGATGACCGAAAGGCTGCGCCCTCATCGGCCAAGTCCTCCGCCAAGGGAAAGCGGAAGAGTGTTTCATTTGCTTGAACAAGATCACAAAAGCGGCTATTGTCTATACCATCTCATGTATCTAGACCAGGGGTTTGGCGTTCTGACCGGGTTAGGTCTAATTCTCAGATTTTTCCAAACAAAAGAACTTATTGTGAATAGCACTGTCGACCATGTCGGCGGAGCCTGATTCGACGATGGATTACGGGCTTTTATTGACGAATTATTCGAAATAGCATTGCATTTTTTTTAAGAGAGACTGGACTGGATTTCTTCTGAAACACATATAATAAGGAAGACAATTTCATGGCCCATCTATCGCTAATCATACTAGTAGTATATAATACTATGTACACAACTAAACCCTTAACCAAACACCATACCATCACATTGCACCCATCACATTACATCAAGAACAAGCTCATCGCAACAGCCAACCCCGTCAATCCGCCCATGACTCGGAGCTCTGGCTTGAGAGAGGGACCATCGTTACCCCAGAAGTCATCCCACTTGTCCTTCACATTATCGCCGAAGTCATCGGCCTTGTCAAAGATGCTACGGCCATCGTCGTCATCATAGCGGCAGTTGTCATCGTCGTCATCATCACAGCAACCATAACGACTATTCTTCTTCCGGCATTCCTTATCCGAAGGACAGCCGCCGGAGAAATCGTTGGGACAGCAGCTGTAAGATTCCGGGAAGCAAGCATTTCCGCACTTGACCTGGTCGCTTGAACACTCGACGTCGTCGTCGTCGTCTGAATCGGGTCGAGGGGAACGAGCCAGGACATGCGCTGGGCTCACGCGTCCTTGCGAGGGACTCAGCTTGTCCTCGCGACGGAGGAGGTTTAAATTGGAATCGGCAGCGATAGTCGGACTGGCCAGAGCGGACATTGGGGCCAAGAGTAGAGCGCCGAAATAAATAGAAAAGCGCATTGTGTAGTATCGTTCGAAGTTGTGAATTGAGGTATTCAATTGGGTTAAATAAGGTTTTTGTATATCAAGATTGTAAAGTAGAGAGAGAAGTTGTATAGATCAAAAACTCGAGATCGAGAAGTGTGATGATAATTGAAGATGATAATAATGGAAAGCTCGACCCAGGACGTGCTTTATATACAATTAACAATTAACCTCAGGACCCTGCATCGATCTCATCTCTGAATTGTGATATCGGTGGCTGAAGGGGTAGATTGGGACGTCATACCGGAAAGAGACTCACCCTGCGCGACAAGGCTGAGTAGAACAACATTTTGGACCCCATGCCAAGAAAAGGCCTCTCGCCAAGAGTCCAACGCCGCTACAGCTAAATTGGCAACGCTGGTATACGAACTGTTGTATTGGGGGCTTAGAGTGCAGATCAGTTGGTAATGCCGGAAAGGGAATCACCCTGCGCTTTAGGGCTGTGAGCAACCCCTTGGACCCTTTGCCAAGAGCCCAAGCCACTCTCGCCAAGTCCAACACCGCTACTGACAACGCTCGTATACATACGGTGAGAGGCATCAAGATTACTGTCATTAAGAGAGAATGTGCTCCATCATTATTGGTGATATGTTCCGTCAGCCTGCTTGCTTTTTGGCCCCATTTTTAGTCTTCTGCTGATGTGTGGTTTTCTCCCACCTCGGACATAGCCAAGTGATTAATATCTGGATATACGGCAATTTCAAAAACAAACATGCTAGAAAGGAATACTAGCTCCCTCATGATCAATCAGCCCACCAGGTAAGAGCGGAAGCACCCAGTAGAATCAGACAAGATGCTGATTCTTACTACTAGTAACTATGACAGCCATGTCCTAGGTTCTTTCAAAGCCTTCAGCATTTAAAAATCTCGCATTGATCTTGACTTTTTCTTCGCACCTAAAGTCTTCAGTTTGAAGGTGTTGGTCCAGGGTTCTATCCCACAGGCCGCCAGGAGGCTTGAAATCAATAAAAAAAAAACCGGGGTCGGAGATCAGCCAAGCTATAGTAAAACGAGAATATAAAAAGCAAAAAAGAGATGTGACCAGACCCGGGCTCGATCCGAGGACCTCATCGGTGTTAACGATGCGTCATAACCAACTAGACTATCCGGCCAACTTGTTATGAGGGTCTATAATCTTTTGACATCATGAAGCTATGGTGAGATATGATGCCCCAGACTTGGCCTCATCCAGGACATAACAATAAGCTCCACCAGGATAGAGAACTCAGGATAAAACATTTATTCCCTAAAATATATATACATTATCTTTTTAAGAAAAATACTCATGGTTCTATTATTCCTCAGCCTCAATGCCTTGCCTTGGTCAGTTTATAGCCAATATATGTATTTTCGAGCTCAGGAAAACTCCAAAAAATAATCCAATGCCATTCATTCATCTGCCAGCCTATGCGCAAGAGATATGCAAAAAGCAAAAAGTGACCAGACCCGGGCTCGATCCGAGGACCTCATCGGTGTTAACGATGCGTCATAACCAACTAGACTATCCGGCCGCTTGATGATGACAAATCATTTGGTGATGTACATATTTCGCTGCCTAGAGTCCCAGGCATCCATGCATTTTTTAATTCTATGGTTTATTCACACTGCAAACACCTTCTTCCTCTCTTTCCCTAGTTTTGTCTCATTAAATATCAAGTACTACTCCAAGCTGACTTTCATTTTGTACTCGGGAACCTTTCCCCCCAAACCCTGTTTATCCGCTACGTAATGGCCCTCTACCCTGATGAATGTGATTCCTCCTCTAGGCCTTCATGGTATAATATCACTGTTGTCTGTTCAGACTCATCTCGATTCTTATCTTTCCAGTGGATGGCGTCACTCCGCTGCCATGTTGGCCCAAAACTCGATTATATGTCAAGAAATATTATGAGTTATCGGGACTCTGGGTCATGAGGATAACGAGGAATGAATTACAGATATTACTATTATTGCGATTGAAATGACGGAGCGCCGTAACTTGTCATTGATGGCGATGGCTTTTCCCGGAGGAAGGGGCAAGTTGCTAGCCTCAGGTGAGCTGATCGGCTTATCATAAACATGGCAATATAACAGCACTAACCCAATTTTATAAGAAACATCAATCCAAGCAGAAACTTCACTCGCCAGCCTGTGATTTTGGAGGAAACAAACTGCGAGTTATGGGAGGACGGCGAAAAATCCATTCCAAAAGTTCTATACGGGGCATTTCTTGAAAATTGGGCTTTTAGGTTCCAGAGTCAAGAGCATGGTCAGAATTGCGTGCAATGTGCAGCTTCATTGGCTCAACGCATTTTCACCTAGATGAGAGAAATCTGCGATTTTATCAAGCAGATCGGACTTCTGGTCCTTTCCACCTTGTCCTTTTGGTGATATGCCTGACTACTTCACCGAGGATGAGATCTGCTCTTTCTTCCATCGCTTCGGCGACATGATCTACGATCAAAGTTAAGCCCCGGGCAAGGGCTGTCTCTTCGTCTAGCTCGTTTTAGCACCCCGTGCCGGAATAGCCATCAACCAGATGCAGGCTTACTTCATCGGTAACTTTTCCATGCGTCTGATTCAGGACCGCTCCCAGAATAAATTGCATTATACGGGCTCTACATTACGGATTCGCTCACATCGCCGACAGGACGCAGGCAAAGGAGTCAACCCCCCTCAAATATGATGTCAGCCTAATGGTCTTCAGACCAGCTTCAGATCCCGGCGTGGCTGTTTCAAATCGGCTTGGCGATTTCGAAGAATCTTCAAGTTGGTGGTCAGCACGATAATAAAATGGGGGCACTTGAACGCAAATGGTTCAAACATGCCCTTTTCCCCGAGTCGCCAAAACGACTTCATCCTAACCGACAAAGAATTCGTTGTCATCACGGGCACAGGCGGGGAAAAAGGGTGAGCGGCCTATTTTCCAACTTCAGATAACCTTTCTCATCTAGGATAAAAGAGCCAATTTTGGGTAATGGGGTGCGGGCGAGCGAAAGAAGAGTGCGAGAGAGGCCATGAAAAAGACATTTGCGTAGCTGGGGGTCATGACGACCTTCTCCCCATGATTCGGAGATCATTTTTCCTCGAGATCATTCAATATACTCAATCAAAATATATCCTGCCCTTAATGTGATAGGTACTTTGTACTTGATCTGAACATATTGAGAAGGAATAGCATGACCGAGCCACCCTAGAACTAGTCTCCGTAGTTTCTCCACCGAGCGTGAATAAAAGGTAGGTTATCGAGAGAAGTTAACTATTAGAATTGGTTAACTTTGGTCAATTTAGCCTCAACATAGTTATATGTACAGCTTTACCTGAAGCCAGTCCAAACCCATAAAGTTTGGGGATAGTAATGTCTGGGAAATTCGCCTGGAGCCACGCATAAGTCCCAGCTTCACAAAGTATTTTCTCATCAGAATTTCCGGGATTATCAGCATCCCAACTCAATATGGTAAAGGAAACCGCATGAGGACTTGTTTTCGGTAGTATTCCGGCCTGGTGAATATCAAGTCGAATACAAACCTTGAAGCTGCCACACATCCACTGGTCAGGATCGGCGATGCTGCATTCTGCTGATGATTTTGTGCCAAGATGTTTGAGCGGCAATTGATTTACTAGAGTCCCGGTTGTTGTATAGATAAGAAATATATTCTGTCTCCTGACCGCAATATGCCAATTCATGGAGATTATTTCTATCGTTTTCTTTCGCAGCTGAATATGTAATACTCCCATGAAGGAGGCGACGAGACTTTGAGGTGTTTGATGTCACTCCATGGGCTTCAATTATGATGAATGCTGGCTTTCAGATAGGATGATATCCAGAGGAAACGGATTGTTGATGGATGGATTGTAAGGGGTACTATTGCGATTCGGATAGATTGCGATACCGACCCCGGCGGTACATAGGGCGAGAACCGGCCGAGGGCATATACATCACAAAACAATGTCAGATAACAAATATAGTATTTCCGGAAATCGGTGTCACCACCCGCACTCTCTTTTTGTTTCCGAACCCTAAATGCCAAGACACGCTAAACAACTTCTACAGACGCTTTGTTAGCCTCATTTATTTTGGGGATGTATCGTAAATTACCGGATTATTATATTAGCGGGGGAAATGTTTCTTACATGTAAGACGAGAAGCTGCAAACCTCAGTGCCCCACGTCAATTTTCCCAATCCTCACCTGAGCTTCTTGGTTGGCACGGCAACAGGTGGTACGACGAACCATGGCACCCAACCTAGCAAAAGTCTACTCTCGTGTTGATTTGTGACATAATTAGCAGTGATGAACTAAGTAACTAGGAGATGGCGGCAGCTGCAGGCTGCATCGAGCGTGCTCTTGCCAGGATTCGGACTAACCTGCGGTGGCTGGCTGAAACCAACGTATTCGAAGAATTAGGCATTTGTACGTCTTCCTCGGTAAATAGAGTGGCCTATAGAGGCGATTCATCATTCAAACAAGCGGGGGTAGCACATAATTAAGCTGATTGTCGCGATCGGACATAGTTGCTCAATACTTAAACTTAATTAGGGGGGGCAATAGTTGCACAAGAATCTCATTGATTCCATAGCCGTATTCCACCATTGGTCGGAAATATCAGCACAAACCCTACCAGAGATTAATCAACACAGGTTCAGCTTAAAAAATCCTCCTGCTGACATGAACCAAGTTCGGACGACGACTTGGCGATAAATGAGTGCTGTCCCGGTTGTTAGAACAAATCCAAGCGTAACTTTTGGAACGGCCCCATGCCTCGACCATGGAATCTCCAAGTGCAACGTGCCAACAAGCCTCTATGATCAGACAACACTATATATTGAGCAACTCGCCGGTTGCGGTAATATTTTTGACTATATGATGTTATGTCGCTTTCCCAACCACGAAAGTGCTTGGCCTAGGCGACTCTTTCTCCAAGGTAGGAGCCAAGTGCCTGTTTTTGACTCCATGCCGGTCTCAAAAGGTCTATCTAGATACTTCAGTACTCGTTATGCAAATATCTGCTAGACTTGCGAGTTCTGCTATCTTCTTGCTATGCCATCTCACCTAGCTCGAATACAAATGATAGAAATATAAACCCCAATCTCCGTTCTTTTCAAGGTGTTAACAAGATATTTCAATATAGGGCGTCTGTACTTGATCCTTTCTCCGCTTGAATCCAAGATATCTTTCAAAATGCGATAGTCGTCTGTACACCAAAATAAACCCAAACAAAGTTTTGAGATCTTTGAATCCGCAACCGCCGACTTGCGCAGGAAGTTGAGAACCCAGGAACGATCTAAAACTTCCCACCATCACCTTTTTAGCGTGGTGTTCAATGTCCTAGCAGTTGGCGATTGGAGCAACAATCACCGCATTAGGGCCCTTGGCTAGCAAGCATATGTTGGCCATCACTATTCTAGGGGCTCTGAACACAGTTGTTGCCGGCATCCTTGCCCTAATGAAAGGACGTGGTCTACCACAGCGGCTTAGGAATGATATAGCGGAGATCAACAAGGTGCTGACATTCATTCACAACACGGGTATTTGACTCAAATACAGCGATAACGATTACCCAAATAGTGAGGTTATGCGACTTATTGATGAAGCGCTCGGCCGGTACATAACAATGTGCGAAATAATCGAGAGAAATCAGCCTGATTCATACGCTAGCGGAAATATATCTCAGAATCAGGCAAATAATGAACCTCTCCAAATAGCGGATAAGAAGAACAAGATGTTAGCAAAGGACCGCCAACCGGATGAAGAGATGGGCCATGACCTTTGACGCCGATCATTTCAGTACGGTCTCTTCTGACTGAGTGCCATTCCTATCCATAAAGTACGTTTTTCCCTGAGCACAGTCCAGTAATCTTACTGCCCCGGGTTTGTTACTCTTCATTCTCTGATCATATTCACAAGTTGAACTTCCATATGCGGGAGCCACATGTATTGAATATACGTTGAGCTCGTTAAGTATAAGTATTCCAGTCAGAGACCTGTAATGTATTACAGATAGTTGATCTTAAGCGGAAAATAGTGGCGTAATAGCCTAACTGCTGCAGCTTAACCATAACCTATCACCATTTTGAGTACGTTACATGATAGGAGCTCAGATGATCACTCATGGCGCTGGCGTGAGACACTCATATGTTGGCTATCTTTGCTTAGACTCGATTTTCGTAGATTCAATCTAGATCAGAAGCAACCATGGCACTCGGTCATCATGGGGGTACAAAGAAAAGCGGAAAACTCACGCGCCAATCTAGAACAGACTCGCTATAATGAACGCCTCACATATGAGCGCAAGACTGCTGTCAATTGTGAAGATGAGGCCATGTAACTGATTTGTAACAGCAATAAGTCGGTGATGCGGGGGTGTTACATAGTTGTCCTTTGGCTTGGAAAGTATGGACGTAGCAGTAATGATGCACTTTCAATGCATTGCATATTGTAGAAACAGCTGTCTGATCTGGGAAATGGCCAATGAAGTTCACTAGTATATCCCGGGGCTCCGCATTCGGGGTCGGACCGCGGTTCTAACCCGCCAACGTAGTTGAACCTCTAAGTGGCGGTCATGAGACGTAGTTGTTTGATAGCAATAATCAGGATCTAATGTAGAGAATCATACGTAGTGCTTGATGTCAGACTTACGCAAGGGTAGGTCTGGACTCTGGTGGTGTCAATTGTAAATGTAGCTTGGGGGGGGATTTGCCCTTGGATAGATGGCAGGTAGTGGCTATAAAAGACACTTCTTTCTCATACATGACTAGATTTTGCCCTCCAGCTAATCTTTTTTCTGAGACTTTAAACTGGAAGCAGTCTGTCACAATGAAACCCACTCTACTTGTTCTAAGCTTGACCACCACCACTGCTCTTGCCGGTAGCACCTGGTGCAACCGTGGCCAGTATTATTGTGGCTGGCTTCTCAACCAATCTGCAAACCCCCCCTAGTACGGTAACCCTTCTGGCTGGAAAAATATTCACGAACAGTTGTTGGAGAACTAGATATATCAGCTGCTAACCTATTATAGCCTATCAAGCCAATGCAATCTATTTATGCGACAACCCCGGTGGCGATCAAAGTTTCTTTCGGGGTTGCCCAAATGGATGTTTTGGCCACCCACCTCAATGCAGTGGCCAGTGTTGATCTATTCTCCCGCAAGGACATTGGCAAACTGCACTACTTCTGAGTTTTTGTTGGAATCAACTAGGATGTGCTGTAGTATAGGGTTTACTACTTCCCAGGCTGATCTATCGAAGAAAGTTCAGTTTAATACTTCTGACTTCTGGCAATCTGAACTTGACCTGGTCGCTGTCTGCTTCGTTAGCTGTGTGTGAGGGATCAGATTTAATAATGTCTGTTGCTTTTGCCATAGTATAGGTTTTCACTAATCTGAAGATGTCCCTATACTGTCTGAAGTAATGATCTCGAGATCTATTATCCAATAATCTAAGGACCTCGCTCCAGCTACACTGATCTTCAAATAAAGACAAAAACACACGATAGACTCGTGGTGCCCATCTATCAACCAATATATAAAGACACCGTCGCCTTCTATATATTCGCTATACAATGTTTTATTGCACCTAAAGAGTCTCATACATTGTTTCAATTTTATCTCATTTTTGGAAGAGAATATTTATCTCAGTTGCCGCCTACTCAATTATCTATGCGATTCCTTGTGAGCATTAAATATCTTCTTTAGTTCCTTATAATTGTGATTTATTATTCATTAGCTTACTATCAAAAATACCTGTTAGTCAAAGAGTATAGGTTTCCAGTCCAACTTCCCATCTAATAAGAGGCTAAAGCTTAATTTGCCAGTTCCAGGATATCAAAATAGAAGATATCCCTGTTGGTAGGGTATACCACTTTCAGCATACCACTTCTTTATATTGTCAATCAGCAATTTGTTTATATATTCCAAGACCTTATCCTAGACCTGCTTATCTATAATGACTGTACTAGGCTTACAATATTGTGAGGATGCTCAGATACTCACAGAGATCAACGTACGGTGTAGCATAAGAAGCAAAGGAAGCAGTAGCGGTTCGACGAAAGTAATAGCTTGAGGAGAATAAGAAGGAAGCTAGGATAGAAGGCTAGATACATAGGTGTATGGCGTGGATGCCTAGAGTGGTGCCGTAGGCATAAGGCATCCACGAATGGTAACAACACCAGTTCGTTACACACGGGTTGGAGCGACATAGCGAAAATATTCTACCTTCTTCGAAGATGTCTTCGTACTTACAACTAAGATTACTCTTCTACTAAGCTTCGATGACTCTGAAAGGAATCATTAAACTCCGAGACATCCGCATAGCCACAGGCTGTCGGTTTTTATTATCTTTCACGAAAGCCAAGTCGAAAAATTCTTGCAAAAGGCAAAAAAGAAGTGACCAGACCCGGGCTCGATCCGAGGACCTCATCGGTGTTAACGATGCGTCATAACCAACTAGACTATCCGGCCATTAATGAAAACACCTAAAATATTTGGCTTTATCTTCCAGAACAGCTTCGAGAAGTCATCACCGAGAAATAAGCTACCTTTGAGATACGTAAAGCCAATTATGATCAACCAAGATTGTTTAACTCGATATCCCTGGCATAAAAATAGATTTCATTATGGGGATAGAGAAAGAATTGCTTACATAACCCCGTCGTGGTCAAAATATTTTTGACCATAGTCCACTTTCAAGCTAGATGGGATTAAGCATCACACCCATAGAACGTAATATTACTCGTGGGGCGATTTTAGACTGTGTTCAACGGGAAAATTTGGTGGACGTCCCAAAGATAGTCATTTCTAGCTCATTGATCTGCGGTCTTAGTGGCGGGAAGACTCCATTCGGCCAGTTTGAGGAGACGCCGAAATGCTTCGAGTTTCATTAGCCCGGCCGATCAGAGTGCTCTTAGACCGTACTAAACGTCTCAATTGATCATTAGGGGCTCGCTATTCCTACTGTGGCTTCCAGTACATGAGAATCTGATGGCTTTCCATGGATGATCGAACTGATGTCGTCCCGGGGAGGGATTGTCATCATCAAGGGCAGAAATAGGTTGATATACTAGTACATCAGCATCTCGGATATTAGAAGGCTGAGACCACGTTCACTTCCTTGTAGCTGATCAATAATCCACGGACATGGGATATCTGCTAGTTTGAGGCCGTTTTGCTCCAAGGAAATTTATATCATATCAACACATTCTATATAGGTGCAGCAGGCTTCGAAATCTCTATCCCATGGATCAGTTTCAACTAAATTAGCTCAAAAAAAGATTCCAGAGTAGACAAGTCCTGAGATTAATGTCTCTTCGGAGATAGTACCATTTCGAGATCACCAGGAGATCTAAATTCCAGGAATATTATGGACCCCAAGACTGTTCTTTCGCTTAATTGAATTATTACTGGGGTTACGGTACCTAATATATTCTTCGATTCGTTTGGGTATGGTCCGTTGCTGCCGCCTTGTTCGCATCAATGCAGCACATAAATCCGAACGGAGAGATCGATCGCCTATTCCGATTTATTGAATACTACGAGAAACCTGGGCGGAATGCATCATACAACCGATTGCTATCGAAAACGACTGTCCCAGCATAATTTTGACCAAATAACCCGTGTCGATTACCTTTAAACCGCAGCCTGGTTCCACCTACTACATCTGGAAGCATTCTTCAAGCGGAGCTTGAGGAGAGAAGATCTGCTTCTATGGCGAGAAAGATATTCGGAGGTGACCTCACTAGCTTCTCGCTCTGGCGACGGCGACATGGGCTTCATGTGTTCCGATTTTAGCGACGACGAGGGCGCCCGCAAAGCTCCCATCACCCAACCCTGTCTTCCGTAAACACAACAGGATTTTTGGATTATTCTCAGCTACCTTCGCCGCACATGAGGCGGTCATTAGTACATTGTCAATAGAGATTATTGGAATAGCCGTACGACCTTTGAACTGACTAAAATAATATTAGAACAGTACAATTACGGAGAAGCGCCAATCTCGAAAATTCGAATTTCATTGATATTGCCTTTATTTGATTCTGGTCCAAGTGATCTTCAAAGCTTTAAGAGTTTGAGCAGAGAAAAGAGGCCAGCAAGGGGAGAATGACTGGGTGGATTGCACAGTGGAGAAGTCGGAGATCTGGATTTCTTCTATCCTGGATCATAGTGGCAAAAGTGGAACCTCCACCACAACAAGCGGCCGGATAGTCTAGTTGGTTATGACGCATCGTTAACACCGATGAGGTCCTCGGATCGAGCCCGGGTCTGGTCACATCTCTTTTTGCCTCTTGCAGGTATTTTTTGAAGTTTACGCAGTCGAGCATACATACGCCTGTATACCATACTAAAGCCAATGTACATAAGCAACACCTACTGAACCTCTCTCTTTTGCATCTTATTATAATCTGTTGTCACTGGCCTATATTGGTATAAAAGTTAAAGCAATAACCTTTCAAGGAACCTTCAAGTTGCTTCTGATATAAGTTGTGTAATATAGATTAAGGGAAATGAGGGAGCTGCCCAGGCCCGGAGAGTCGTACTTGGGCATTACCAGAGCACTGCATCCAGGCATTGAAGATACTAACATTCAATAATTAGCCCTTGCATACTACCAGAAACCTCACTCAAGGTCAAGCTAGCAATTGGCTAGAAAGGATCTTGCCGCAAAGGCTTTGTGGCCAATACCAAACTTGCCGAATGGTCCGCGTTTTCCGATATCTTGTCTGAACTCGCTAGATCCTTGCCTACCTCATCATAACCAATCGTATCAGTTCTACCTGGACCGGGACGTTTTAAAAGAAGGTGTCGATGCAATGGCTTACTACACGCAAAAATGGACATGTCGTACTTCAACGGGCACGACTAAAGCTGAGTCTAGTATTTTTCTCAGGCAGCCTACTGTCTCTATGCAAAAGAAACCACCGAGATGGAGACTGCTGCGCTTATCCGGGTTATCTGCGAGGTTCGGTACATGCTCAAGTCCTGCCCAGCGTCCACGCTCCGATCCTTATCTCCGCAGTTAATAGCACGACAATCGCTATAGCTTTAGCCTCTACTTGGCTACCAAGATGATAATAGATCAAGTACTATTCTGCGCCTACGGCTTGCTCACGTAGAAAGAATTATACCTTCCAGGTTGAATGTCTGAACACTTCGAAGTACTACTGGTTAGCATTCACACATGATATAACATAATGAAGACTATTACTAGTACTACCTAGTACTGGTGTGAGCTCCGACAATAGTGCTTTCACCCTAGGCACCTTGATATATATTACTATGTTGCCATGACAAATTGACCGGTAATAAAATTATTAAATTAGCAACACAAAGAGAGGGGATAATACACGTGCCTTCGATTCCAATTTCTATATCTGATTTGATTATCATAGGACTATCCTATGGGTAGTTTGCCATTTATTTGGTGATTTTATTTGCAACTCGATAGCTGTATTTTCGGACCACAACTTATTTTATTTCTTATAACATCAAATCGAGCCCGTTTTCAACAATGGCCGGATAGTCTAGTTGGTTATGACGCATCGTTAACACCGATGAGGTCCTCGGATCGAGCCCGGGTCTGGTCACATTCCTTTTTGCCACTTGCCAAGTGGATCCTCGCTCTCTTTGTAGAATCAGTGATCGACTTGGGCGAAATTTTAATTTTTGCTTCATGGAATTAGATTAAAATATCTTGGTGGTATCTCGGCAGAATTACTGTGAGCTCTAAGCCGCGGAGCCGCAGTCATGGCAGCAATAGATTTTGATAACCGCAAAACGATGGTTCAGATGGACTTTCATAACTGCAGTGAAGTAACCTACGTCTCAGCGGAGGTGCATTAGCTAAGAAATGATAGCGTAGAGCCAATGAGCAGTAGCTGTTGTGTAAGAATATTGTGTATACTTCTCGCGCAAACGACGCTCCAGGTCAATAACGTGACATCTCAGCATTCATAGGAGATGTCTCGGATAGAGTGCTTTCGCGATAAAGCTCTAATCGTTGCGGAAGTTGCGATACAACGGCTGTCATGGTCTAGACAAGATTTTCTTTCTCATGCTGTCGACTGGAATTCAGATACAAGAGGTCATATTGAAGCAAGGTCAAGTTATGGGAGTTTATCAATCTACCTTAACGACTGCCAACCGATACCGAGCAATTGCCAATTCTTGCTGTTCGTCAAGCTGATCGAAACATGAATCAGGGTCGTGCTCATAATCGAAGATAGGTACACGGCGCAAAATAGTGTCTAATCTGTTGTTTCAAGAGTGTCCTAAGTCGTTCACTCATACCAGAATATTTTCCATACTTTGCCGATGTACGATGATTACAAGCAGAGCCACGTAGCTTTGCCAAATTACCTACCGCTAAGGGGGTTAAGGTAAATGAATGGCAAGTGTTGCGATATGACTTAGGGCCAAAGAACAGCATATTGTTAGTGCCATGAAATTTTGTTTCGATGTTGCAGGCCTATCCTCAACTGTTATTCGGGGAGGCATCGACGAGATCCCCTCGGAATTCCAGAGGCGTTTGTTTCGGTTGAACTTTCTCGCACTCTTTGTAGATATGAACTTGCCAGTGGACCAGGTGTCTCATTGTGAAGCTATAGATTTTCACTGAGATCGAAGATTGCTTGTTCTAGCCGGCACATTCTCGCTGACAACTCGAAAATTAGGTGTGTATTTCGTGTGTTCCACACAAGACGTGGAAAGGTATACTCAAAATTAGCTTTCGAGTTCTTCATTCTGTCGACAGTAGACGCAGCTCAACGATTTTAGCTTCATAGGTCGCAATGGCGCCCCTCGTTGGTACGCATCGCTCTGCATTTCAAAAAACCAAGCTGGAGCTTGGCATAAATTATAGAACGTTGATTCATGATTGAAACACAATGTCAATATTGGACCTGTTGAGTTTGAGTGCAAAGGATCCAAGTGACTGAGTCGATCCCCGGAACTCGGAGCCAGGACAGCGCGAAGTCCGCGAGTACCCACAAAAACCTTCAGGGGGAACTCTATAGACCAGATGCGGCGGCGACAATAAAATTATATACATTTCCCGGACGTCGGGTTTTGGGCTTCGGGCTTTGGAATTCGGACTCCGGGCTCCGATTCTCCCAGTACCGAGCTGCGATCAACCAGTATCTGTATAGATGAGGATAAAAAGATGTTGTTCGTATAGCCAAGAAAATTAAATTCTCTCAGCACTCATCGCAAAAGCAAAGTCTATAGCCAAAGTAAGCTCATATTATTACGTATGAAGTATTATTTTCTAATCAGTGACTTCAGGTTACTAACGAACTCCTCTCACGAAATGGCACCTATTCACATACCCCTCGATCGCTCTACGACCTTCGATGCCATGCTTTCCGTCAGCCCTGCCGTGGGACCTGTCGTTCTTCTCAATATCATTTCGCTCCCCCCAGGAGCAGATAAGGAGTCATTCCTAAAGACATGGACCCGTACCGCCGACTTTCTCAAAATATCGCCCGGCCACATCTCCACTCAATTGCATAGCGCTATTGGTGATGGCAACTTCATCGTCAACTACGCCGTTTGGGAAAACAATGAGGACTTGAAGAACGCCTTGTATAAGCCTGAATTTAGGAAGATCTGTGAGGATTTCCCGGATGGCACTGAGTTCCGCGCGTGCGTTTTGCAGAAAGAGGCTATTCCTAGAGTTTGCGCGGGTTTGTGACTTTATCAATCAACAGCAAGCCAAAGCTTGAGATAGCGTTACGTGAGATTACTGCAATATTGATGAGAGGGCAGTCTTGTAGCTGCTAGCTTATCTTCGTCCAAGCCTTCGTGCTTTCAGATGCATGTCGCATTGCAATGGAAGGACCGCAGACAGTTCAACAATGACAGCTTCATTTGAACCCTTAAAAATCACACTCATCTCCTCCAATGAGTGGTCTTATATCTCCGAGTAGGAGAGATAGATCTTAAAGAGAATAATAATAAGTAAGCCAAGGTACACGAAGTAATATCGCCATTAAATCGATTTGAGAGTGACGGGGTTAACGAAAATATAACATTCAACTGGTCGAAGGTGGCAAAATTGTTTATCCCCAGGACCTGCCATTAAACCAAACTTAACCAGCCCACTTGGATCAGAAATGCGGTGGATGGTATATAAAATAGCCTACAGTACTCCGTACTTTGACGATCCCCCCGCATGTGAGGCCGCAACTCCATCTAAATTAAGTTTCGGGTGATATTGCCATAAGTGGAGCACCTTTCATATCAAGCGGCCGGATAGTCTAGTTGGTTATGACGCATCGTTAACACCGATGAGGTCCTCGGATCGAGCCCGGGTCTGGTCACATATTTTTGCCTTTTTGCATATTTTCTTGGTTCTAGGAATGTTGTACTGTCTCGGACTTATTTCGGGCCCAAGAACGCGGTCGCTCCGCTATGGCGGTGCAAATTGCAAGCAGTATTGATCAATTGACCTACAATTTGCTGGATCTAGGGAGTGTAAAATAGTAGTAGCTGCGTTGATCTAGCCTTGTGGAATTAAATAAACGCTGTCTATTATTTATGAACTGTAAATCTATCATGATCTATCACAAAGAGTTATGCCAAGATTGGTAGCTTAGTAGCTCCGGTCCGCTTCATGTATGTCTCCAGCTCTATTTCTGGAACTTCATATCCAGCTTCCGCAGCACGGAATGGAACTCAGGCCGAGGGGCCGCATCGATATCCTTGCCAGGACCGGGATGGCTGGCAATATGGCCTGGCAGTTTCGCAGGGTTTTCAACAACACCCGGGATATTAGTGTCTATCTCTCGGGCCATCTTATTCAAAAAGTTATTGACCGGCTTCACGAACCACCGTGCGCCTCCGAACTCAAACCATCCCAGGTGGCCGCCCCATGAGGTAGTAACCATGACGCCGTATGGTGTTTGCGCCATTTCTTGGAACGGGAGGGCGTCGTATGAAGCGATCTGGGAATTGTTAGCCAAAGTTTAAACTCATGCAGTAGTTTTGGAGCCAGGGTGCCTTACAGGGTCATCTTCGGCCTGAACACAGAGGAATGGAATGCGGATGTTGAGCATGGCGTCTGTTGAGGAGGCGTCGCGATAGTATGCGCCTTCGGTCGGGTAGCCCCAGGTTGGGCATTGCAGGTGGCTATATGATCCAATGGTTAGTACATATATGCTTATATAAATATGGAGGGATCTTAAATGGTCGTGAATGCAGGCTTTCTTACCGGTCGAATTCGTGTAGATAAGTGATGCTCATCACCGTATCAGGGTCGATGCGAGGGTTTTTCGAAATTTCTTCGATATGCCTGATGGTAGATAGGGTGAGTGGCCATTCCTTGATACCAAAGGCATAAATTGCGAACTCACGATTTGAATAACTTCTTCATGTTTGTGCCCATCGTTTTGCTGTATGCTTCCCGACCGAGGTAGGTCGACTGCAAATTAGCCGATCCGATGTCCAGGTTCCAAGGGCTTGCGCAGATAACAGCTGCCTTCAACTGGCAGTCTTCTCCCTCTTCTCCGAGGTACTATATAGCATCATGTTAGCTTGTCGAAACAAATGACTTGTTGGTTCGCTTCCTTGGGATCACCGAACGTACATTAGCGAGGATATTCGCACCGAGTGAGAATCCGATGCCAAACAGCGGGCGGTTGGGGAAGTTTTTCCTGAGCCATTTCACGGATTGACGGACATCCCATGTTGCGCGAGCATTGTATAGCACACCGGTGCTGATCTTTGTCTGAGCGCAGCCCCGCGAGTTAACCACACATGCCTCCCAAGTACCATCTTCGATGAGAGGGGCAAGAATATGCCGCAGGTAGACTTCGTGAGAACCACCACTCAAACCATGGAGAAGAACCAACATAGGCTTGTTGTCATCGGATGGCAGAGTAGCGAGTTCTTCTTCAGAGTAGAAAGATGTCCGCGGTGGGAGACCGTCAGGTTGGGTATACTTTCTTGCTTTGTCGGTGAGTTCCCCGCTCGGGGGCATATCGTACGGCCTCACAGCAAAATCAATCGCATAAGAGCCGGCAAACATGGGCGTTTCCGACTCGAACATCTTGCGCTTATAGTAAACGGGGACATTGTCGTGTTTCAATGTCGTCCAGACTGTTTGCAAATGGCCATTGAAGAGGAATGGGTTCAGATTGCATGATTCTGGAGTCGCGTCCCGGCAGATATCCACCAGGGATGTCTGTTCCTTGCCGCCGGACTTGGAGGCTTTGGTTAAAAGGAGTCGGTTATCCTTGGCATGATAGAAGGAAACGCGACCTGAGGGACGAAGCCACGAAAGAAGTCCCATGGCGACCAGCCCTGATAAGAGCAAGGATATGGGAAAGGTAGCGAGTAGGTCTGATGCGATCGCCGACATTAGGGGTGTATCTCATGCAATGAATGGAAGATGGTATGCAAATGAACAATGTGAGCGATGATGCAAAACGAAATGTAAAAAAAAAATCGACCGTAATAGTCGAGGGATGAGAATAAATCGCAAATCTCGAATTGCCAAATTGGCAAATCTTGGAACTGTTCCAAATTCCAAATGAACCTCGGCCCAGATTTAGATGACTCAGCATTTAGTGACTGGTTCCTGAGGTTAAAGATTTCTGCCTTTCTGCCTTGATGCCTGAATGCCTGAACCTTGAGGGGTTCCACTGTTCCACTGCATCTCCTTCACCACTTTAACTTCTACTTCTACCACTTCACAACTTCTACTTCAACTCGGCTTGACTAAATGGAGTTGGGCACCTTCATTGACCCCCTGTTGTTCATTCTGGGGTTTGTCTTCAGCATCCTGTCACAGCTTCTATCCTATCTCCTCTCCTTGCTGGGCTTCCTGGTCTCCCCCTTAATATACATCGCCCATGGTCTACTCTCCATAGCATTGTGGCCCTTGCGCCTACTGCTCAAATTCGAGGTACGAATCTGCACCGATTGCATCGTTAATATTCGATTTGTATCCTATTTGATATATTTTTCTATCCTGATTAACTGACCTATCACCAGGCCTTCATTCTTTTCACCAGTGGGGCCGTGTTCACTGGATTCGTCGTAGGGTTATGCCTTTATCTCACTGGCGATGCTTTGACGCAACTCCTGCACTTATACCCTTTGCCTCAATCATCTGATTCCACGGAGCTCGTCCCTCCGAAGGAAGAGCCTTATGACTGGGAAGCCAAGATCAAGGACGAGCGCTTCATGTCCTCGACGATCCTGGAGGAAGAAGAGACTAGTCAGGTCTCGGAATGATGTACATGAATAGAAGATTTTACGGCATATACAGAGCACCATATTTTTACTTTCGTGAATTTACAGGAGTAAAATATTTATCAGTGAAGTGGTATTGAGACGATTGTATATAGGAGATTATACGTACCACATTTCCCCTGCAAGGCGTGGCTTTCCTATTCTAGGCACCGCCACTTTGATGAAGGCGCTCAGAATCAGTATTACTGTATAGACTTCAGTCCGGGCTCAGAGCACTGGGCAACTCAGAGCAGATTACATGATATGTTAGTAAGGCTCTACGTACCTCTAAATGACTAATGACTATTCATTGATTGCCTAGGGATTACTCAGAGACAAGTCAGAGGCCTCTATTGAGCACCCAGTCTATAAGCGCCCGATGGCGTAAGGGAGACAGGTTTCCCGGTGCCAGGCAAAGTTAGTTGGGGTCTGCCGCACTCGATGTGGCTATACGGCGCCGTTGTGCATGTCTTTTCTATATTTCAGGTTTGACATTCATCTTTATGGAGCTTGGATACTAGATGTATTGCTTCGTGCGAGGAAGCGTCTGCATAGCTATTCACTCTTTAGATGGGCCTCAACAGTCAAAAGAACCTTGATTGGAAGACCACGCTCAATTATTTCCGAAAACTTAGTGGATAGGGCATACCGCCTCCAACAAGCACTTTTGAGCAATGGGGATCACCAATCGCACTCAGCGGCAGCAGCAAGATTCTCGGTACAAATAATCAACAGATATTTTCCAGTTCCATCACAAAGCGCTCTACTTCCTGGAGAGGAAATCCAGGAGAGCGTCCAAGACAAATATAGCATCCAGTAAGCTCTGATATGTATGTCAGCCTGGCAGGTAGTGGATACTGCCCGATGATAGGACACTTATGTTGAACCAGGGTTCGTTCTTCTACGAAATTTACTGTAGTACCGTACTGCTGAGGCTTTTGCGCAAATGTGAGCCAGTTCTGGCTGTCCTGCAGCTCGCCATTATTACCATTTTGGGAAGCTGGGTACGGTCGGGCTTCTGCCGGATGCTCGGAAGTATTGACCAGGAAGACGCCCTTTTCTTTAAGATACCCTTCCACGCCATATCAATCGAACCAAGCATCCTGCATCTCATGAGCGAACTGCTGATTATCCGATGCAACCAAATGGTCTGGAGGGAAATACAGCCATATCTATCATTTTGATTCCAAAGCAAATGGTGAGATATATGGGAGAGAGAATCACCCCGAGTTATGGGCGAAAACGAGAATCTTCCAGGCTGGGTACTTTTTGAGCAACTTGGTTTCCAATCCGATCACCTTTCCTAGAAAGGTAGTGAGTTGCCCTCCATCTACTTGAACATTAGCTTATTCTATACAGAATTCCAGTGGAGTGGTCCAATTCATTGGCGGAGTCGACCCTGATGTGGAAATACCTTTTATTGCTGCAGAAGAAGATACTGGGCCTATTGCTAGAGCCCTTGTGCTTGAGTCAGCTGCAAAGGAAGTTATCGGTTATAGAGCCCGCATAACGCTGCGCGACCTCATTCAAACCTTCTCGCAGGTGACCGGTATGAAAGCTGAAGCCGTCGTGCTACCCAAGGGGGAGTCAGTTGTTCTATTTCCCACTGAACTACAGCGGGAACTCGACGACAACTGGGCGTATTGGAAGGAGTTTGGATACTACGGAGCAATCCAGCTGTCGTAAATCCTCAGGATGTGAGTGTCATGCCATACTGTCTGAGGGCATTTACGCTAACATACATAGTTGAAACATACGCCCAAGCTCGATAGCGTAGCGGACTACTTTACAAAGCAAGACTGGTCCAACATCATTGGCTCGTAAGGGCTGAGATCATTTGACAGCAATCTGCTTTGTGATCTAATTAATTTGTGGAAGTGGCGGTCTAAAGTGTCTTTGAAGGTGTATCGATGCAGGGTTGTTGGCAGATTAGGGTGTGCTAAGGTAGCCAAAAGATAGTGCAAGCAATTACTCATTACTTAAAAGCCAAGATCTTACAGCGGAAATCCAGTACATATGCGGGTTCCAAGGTTTATTGCGTGGCATACTAGTAGTAGCACTACTTGAAGCAGTCTACGTGACATGGACCCATGGCCATCCGTACCATCAAATTGTTACTCACAGTCGACAATATCTCTAGAAATGGGATTTCCCAGGGATATATCATAAATTCATAATGTGTAGGTGTGGCTGTGGCTGTATACAGACAATGTTCACGTGACCTGTGGTAAACAGGGGCGGCGGTGGCCGCGGCGGATTGGATCGTACATAACCTTGTAACAACGTGGAGTGAACGACTAAATTCATCGGAAATTGATTTTCCATCTTTTCTTTCCTTTCAGATGGCAAGAGGAACCCACTCTACTCTGGTTGAAGCTGCCAGTTAACACCAAAGTGACGCGTATCTCCCACTTGGTCATTCCCATTTGCAACCCCGGGAAACAACATCCCGTCATCTACCCTCTCTATCAACTTCATCACATCGCCGCACTTTCTTTTGATCAAACTTTCCGACGACAAAATGGCCTCGGAAAACTCGGAGGACGCCATGATGGCGGCAGCCATCAAAGCTTCTCTCGAAGAAGCGAAGAAGCAATCATCCCAAGATCGCGTCGTGGACTTGACGAAAGAGTCCGATGACGAGCCCGATGTGCAGGTCGTCTTTCCAAAATCAAACTCGGTCGTCGGCTCAGATACTGACAATGAAGCCGACGCCGCGGAAGGTGAATCCGATCTCAATCGTGCCATCGCACTATCACTAGCCGACACATCACCTCAGGTCAACAAATCTCCAAAAAAGTCGCCTCAGCGTCAGGACACAGATGCTCAAGGTTCTTCCAGCAATCAACCAACGACCCAGGGAATATTTGGGCTCGACCGCAAGCAAATGGAAGAAGAACGTCTCATGCGCCTGAGCAAACGCAAGGCTTCGGAAGTCGAGGCATCACCTGAGCGTCTGCCAAAGGCTGCTAGAATTTCCCCTTCACCTGGATTTGAAGTTCTAGGTTCCCATCACACATCTACGGCTACATCATCTCAGACTGCCTCTGATAGAAAGGGCAATCGTCCGGTGAACCGAAATCCGAGGCTGGGTTCGCCAGGCTATGAAGTCGTCAATGTCAAATACTTCTCGCCAAAACCCGAGACTCAACCTGCGCCGACTCAACCTGCTCCGACTCAACCCACAACGACTGCCGACGTTCAGCGCAACGCGCCCTCAATGGTCAACTTCCGGCCCCCATCCGGAGCAGGAATTCAGTGGCCATCCGGGATAGTGAAAAAAACGCGCCTGGCTAACTCCCCACGCAAGCACGACGATATCTCGATCGAAGAAGTGCTCCAAAAAGATGACTTGGAACTTGCCGTTCTCAGTTCATTTTTGTGGGATATGGAATGGATTTTGGGGAAACTAAACACAAAAGAAACTAGGATTCTGCTTGTTGTTCACGCCGCAAATGAAGAGGTAAGCAAGCCAAACCAGCTCCCCTTTCCAGCGAAACTAAGGGGAAATTATTGACCTTGCAAATAGCGGCCTGCTTATGAGGCAGACGCTGCAACTGTTCCCAATCTCCGATTTTGTTTCCCTTCCCTGGATGGCCAGATCAATATCATGCATTCCAAATTGATGCTACTTTTCCACTCGGAGTATCTTCGAATCGTCGTTCCCACTGCCAATCTGATTCAAGTTGACTGGGGAGCGCACAGCGTGATGGAAAATGTCAGTTACTACCCCAGAAAAAAGAAGCCTCGTCAGATACTAACAAAATAGACTGTTTTTATCATCGATCTACCTTTGAAAGCGAAGACAACCGGTGCGAAGAGCTCATCCGGTGACACCAACGACGAAACCTACACACAATTTTACAACGATCTCGTCATTTTTCTCAAAGCCAGCTCATATCCACAGGGTGTTATTGAAAAAGTGGCTAAGTTTGACTTTACCAAAACTGCCCGATACGCTTTTGTACATTCAATGTGAGTTACTCGGCTATGTCATCTGTTCTCGGAGGTTAACTTTTCTAATTTCAATCTCTCGCAGCGGCGGATCCCACACTGCTGAAACTTGGAGATGGACAGGGTACACGGGGCTAGGCCGCGCTGTGTCGAATTTAGGCTTACGCACCCAATCGCCCGTCAACGTTGACTTCATAGTAAGTTACAATATCTGTCGGGGCACATGCTTGAAAAGCGAACTTTCTAACTTGGGTCAATAGACTTCTTCTCTTGGTGCGCTTAACGAAGATCTTCTTCGCGGCATTTATCTCGCTTGCAAGGGTAAAAACAACACCCTCTCCCTTTTTTATGATTTTATTCGATACTGACTAAGCCCTCTCAGGTGATGATGGAAGCACGGACTATCAATTCCGCAACACCAAGCCAGCGGCCAAAGCGACGAGTCCCTTACGAGGGCCATGCGAGGAATGGCAAGACCGGTTCCGAGTCTACTTCCCCTCCCAAGAAACCGTGAAGGCTGTAGCTCGAGCTGCAGGCCGTCGACCACAGGATATTGGGGGAACAGTTTGCTTCGGTTCGAAGTACTGGAATAGTCCTAAATTGCCAAAGCGAGTCTTGAAGGATTGTCAGAGCCAGCGTGATGTTCTTATGCATAACAAGGTTTGTTGGCCCCCATTTCTGGCCTCGGATCTCATCTATCTATCCTCGGGAATGGAACTTCTTGCTCTGATATTGACACACTACTAATCTTACTCGTCTTAGATTGCTTTTGTCAGACCCTCGGAATCTATTACACTCCCAGATGGCTCTGAGTGCAGAGGATGGGCTTATGTCGGAAGTGCCAATCTCTCGGAATCTGCCTGGTAAGTGGGAAGAAGCGTGGCTGAAATATCATGGAATATCTTTTTTTATTTTCTTGGGCTCTCAGATCTCACTGACATCTTTTTTCTAGGGGTCGGCTTGTTAAGGACCGTGCTACCGGCGAACCAAAACTCAATTGTCGGAACTGGGAATGTGGCGTTTTGGTTCCGGTTACTAGCGAAACATCAACCACCACCAAAGCAAAGGCTGCTTCGAACAGCTTGGAGTCTGGTTCTGAACATCGCGAGCTCAGTCTGTTCAATGGTACAATTCCTGTCCCGATGAAACTTCCCGCTGAGAGCCTGCGGGCTGAGCGGGAGCCGTGGTTCTTCATGGGCTGAGCTGGACTAAGAGCATTTTGTTGGACTTACCTTGTAAGAGGAGATGATATTGACATGGTATTTGAATGGAAAGTTTGTATTATCTCTTTGAGTGTGTGTGTTTAGCCCAATTTTGAAGCTCTAAGAAAGCAATTTGTTTATGACCAATCATTCAGCCCCAGCACATCATCCCCAGGACCCAATGGAGGCCGACTAGCCGCCATATTACACTGCCTAAAAAGACGAACTGCATCCTCCTTGAACGAACCCACAATAGAGTGCATCACGCCATGATTATTTAATAGCACCAGATCCCCCTCTTTCCAATCATGCGCATAAACAAACTGCGGTTCAATCGCTCTTCTCTGTAATCTGTACAGCACTTCTCTCACCTTATCCAGATCGTCAAGAACGTCACCATTCTCGAGATGAATTTTTCGCACGCAGGTTGGATAGACCATCATTGCGAGCTGATTTGTGATGGGATTCTTCCACGCCATTGGGTATGTTTTTATCTTCGATTCTAGAGATCTGGCGTCTTTATACAAGGCTAGCCTCCGTGGATTTGTATGAATCTAATTCATACAAGCGGGTGACTTGTGGAATCTCATCCCAGCTAGACTGTCTACTCTCGGTTTGTCTAATGCGATTTAATCTGGACTATTTACCCCAGGTAACATATCTACACAATCTAATCGCGATGATGCGGTCGAGATCTCTCCCAAAGGGGAGGTGGGTGAATTTCCGAGCCCACCCGCTCCGGCTCCGTTGCATAGATCTATAAGAATGCAATAACGATAGGACAGAATAAAAGATGCAATTTCAACAGAACAAATTTCAGAGTATCTCCATATCTATTTTTGATTTTCTTCTCAACTCTCACTATCCAAGATGTCAGAGCCCACAGACCTAAAATTCAAAATCCTCCCTGATGAAATCAGACAAGCTCAGCAATCGGCGCCGAAATCCAACTCCCCCCCGGAATGACCATTCTGGAGCCAGAAAACTTGACAGAAACAGACAAAACGACTCTCCAGAAAGCCCTCTTTGAAAACCAAGTAATCGTAATCCGAAAACAAAAAGGCATCGACGCCACCGTCCTCCCAAAACTCGCAAAGATCTTCGACAAAGGTGCATCCGACATCCACTCCGCCGGCGAAAAAGCCGTCAGTGATCCAAAAAAATCCTCTCCGCATATAAAGCCGGGAGACATCCTAAAACTCCGCAAGTTGGTATTATTGGGTCTGGGAAGTTTCACGATTATGAAGGGTTGAAGGAGATTGAGGTTGTTCACTTGGTGATTATTCCAAAGATTATGTTTTCGATGGCAAGATTGAAATTGGACAACATGTAATGTATGATGCTAACCCACCCCTTTTTTATCAGGACCATACCCTATCCCATGAATCCCCTCTCACTGAAGAAGAGCTCGACAATGGGTACAACCGACCATACAGATGGCACATGGACACACCGTTTTACGAGCACTTACCTGGCGAAGTGACCATCTTGCACTCAATCCGCAGTCCAAATTTGCCCGACCAAAAGATCAAGTTCCCAGATGGGCAAGAGAAGCAGATTGGAGCTGGAGCTACAGCTTGTGAGTAGAACGTCCAATATTTTTCAGATTGTTTCATATCTTCCAACACGGGGCTGACAGACTGAAAAACAATACAGTTTTCTCAGGCGCTCGGGCATTCGCTCTTTCGAGCCCTGATGAGCAGGAATTTGCTCTGAATACCACCGTCACATATGCGCCTCAGGCATATGAATATATCATGCAGTGCAAGGCCTCTGAGGATGGCCTTACTATTCCCACTATGGGGCGTGAAGTGGCCGTTGAGAAATTGTCGGATTGGAGCTGGGATAAAGTGGCTGAACACCCTGTAAGTGCTCACCTCTTGGAGATTCAATGCTATCAAATTGAAATTCACAGTGTAACTAACCATTCCTATTCCCATCCTATGTAGATGGTCTGGAGAAACCCGTTAAACCCAGAAAGACCCTTCCTCCAAGTCCACGGCTGCTGCGTCTACAAACTGAGCACCCGAAACCCAAAAACTGGAGAAATCACGATCATGGACGACGTGAGACAAGTCAGAAATAAGATCTACAGCATGCAGCGCAAGATTTACGCAGCAGAGAAAATCTACGCGCATCGCTGGGAAGAAGGTGATTTGGTCATATTCCATAATCGGGGTGTTATGCATAGTATTACTGGACAGTTGGCTAAGTACAAAGAGGAAGAGGATAAGAGGAGTATGCTTTGGCAGTGTACGATGACGAGTACGAGTGCGCCGAAGCCATTTCGGGAGTTTGAGGGGGTAAATGATACGGGGTATGTGAAGGTCTCAAATTGAGTGCCTACACAACAGATTTTTGCTGGTGGATTTGGTTTGCTTTTCTGATTTAGTGCTCACTCTCTTCTAAGCTGCTTGTGCTCACTAATCAGATCTCAGCATGGCCTTCATCTTAGTGATAATGTCACTAGTAGTGGACATATAAGGTTAATTATGATAAACTGAGCAGACGGATTTATAACACCTATCCCCCCCTAAATCAATTTCTGCAGGCTTCTTAGACCATTTCAATCTAAAAGAGTGCCTTTGAGATTTAAAGTAAAGTGCATCCCATAAGAACAGATCATAGTCGGAATATATGTGGCTCGGCTCATCCTCAGGCTTGCAAGAGCTGGACATAGCAGGGAAATCCACACCCCTATTAGCGCAGCTATTCAGTGCCAGCAAAGTACTAACAACTCCTCAGCCCCTCCTAGCTAAACCTAGATAAAGCGTGATTGGTTTCTTTATTATGGCTGGTCCCTTGGGACCCGCACTTGAGTACTCTTTTGCGGATGAGAACCTAGGATTGGCTGAATAAATGGCTATGCAAATATCAATTCCGCCTTGGGCTAGAATGTCGATCCTAGCTCCAGGTGTCCTGTTATTAAGCAGGGGCATCGAGTGACGTGTCAATCCCATTGTATCCATTTCCCTGAAGATACGCGTGTGCTGCCGAATCACAAGGTCCCATTTGCATTTTCGAAATCGGAAGTCAATTTAGAAACAGCTGAACCCCTCCTTTTCACCCAACGAAATAAATTTCAATTCAATTCAGTTACGGGATGGCCAGTCACACCCCGGACTTTTTCTTCGCTCCCACATGGGACTACCCACCACCGCCAACCGGGCCCATCAAACTAGGCAATCTGATTACTTCGCTGCAGAAACCCGAACAGCCCCTCTTTACTGCAGCCTTGCCGACCGAGTCTGGGATATTTTCAACTGATAAGAAGGATGTCACCTTCTCGAGCGAGCGCATGCGGGCGGGGAAATTTGGAATCCTCACACAATTTCTTTCGGTCCTCGGGTTTGGAATTGATGTCGAGGGAGGATTAGAAAAATGGTTCGTATTGTGTTATTTATCGCCCCCGTGGAATCCGCAATTGTTTTTTGATGCGCACCCGCACCCGCACCCCATATAAATTCATTGTGGAAGAGAGAAAGTCCTAATTTTATACAGTGACGAGGAGACCCTCCGCTTCGAGACCATCACCACCACACAATTTGTGCCCCGGCCCACTTATATCCAGGAGGAATGCATCGATTCATCACCTGTGGTGCAGAGATGGTTGGAGCGATCTCGCTACAGGAAGCCGCTGTACCTCATCGTTGGGTTGAAGGTTGTCCACGGGGCAAAGAGGGGTCACTCGCAGACAGGGCGGGGGATCAGCGGTAATATCGAAGCCACAGTGGATGGGACGGTTTGGAGTGGTGGCGTAGTTCCTATATCAGGGGGACCGAAGGCTGAACTCACACACTCGAGGAAGAATGGTGTCCACTGGGAAGATGGTGGGGATTTTGTCCTAGCGTTCCGCGTGAGGAAGATCAAGGTAGCGAGGAAGACGAATGAGGTGCGGGAGGCCATGGATTTTAAGAAGGGCGCTATGCTGGGTAATGAGCCCGAGGTGGTGGAAGAACCTAAGCCAATTCTCATCTTTGAGGAGGAAGAGCTGGTTGTTCACGATGGCGATGGGGATTGGACAAGAATGCAACTGATAGAAGGGGACGAGCTGGTAACGGTCGGTGTGCCACGATCGGGCGGTACAGAAAGTCCTTAATGGATAGTTACTGTCGAAGTATATCCCGCAATGTGTAGTTAATAAAGTCCTGATCCTTGCCAAAAAGGTTATCTGAATACAGATTCAAGGCAATGAAATGGTAATCATCGCGGGCTCGAGACTCCAGGCTTTTCTCAGCGATCTTCCGAAGGACGGCTTTCATTTTTGACTGCCGTTTCAACAGGTGTGCATTCTCAAGAATATACAAACGGGCATATTGTAGTAGGAAACCCGCAATACTGACCGCGATGGGTGTGGCATACGATGTCCCCGATTTATGTTTGAGCCCGGATGGGGGATCGCAGTACCGCATTGGCCAAGCGGACTCGACTGCCTCGCCAACTGTGGCCAGGTTAAGTACATCCGCAAGGGCTGTAGGGCTGAAAGGCGATCGATTCCCGTTCGCATCGGTTGAATTAATACAGATCACATTCTCATCGCGTGCCGGATAGGCCCTGTCTAGGTTGGCCCCGCTGTTCGAAGCAGCAGCAAAGAGAAGGACGTGGGCGGAGTATGCGTTGTGAATAGCACGCTCCAGCTCTTCGTAGCCTTCGACATCCCGGGATCGAAACCCAAATGACATAGAAACGATATCAACCTTCCATTCATTAACCGCATAGTCGAGGGCCTGTGCGAGGTCAGTGAAGTTCCATGAAGAGAACTGACTAGTATTACCTTGGCAATGACACCAGGGCCAACCGGCTTCCCGTCGGATATCTTTGCAATATAGATTTCTGCATCAGGGCAATATTCCAGCAGCAAGCTCGTGGTAAAAGTCCCATGTCCATTGTAATCGTCGACCAAGTGAGGAAATTTCTCGTTGGTCCAATTGAATCGACCCTTGATTTGCTCAACGCATGCATCCACATCTGGGTGAGTCTGATCGACCCCAGTATCGAAAATAGCAATTCTCACTGGAGTTTTGGGTGGTCGTGTGATGTACCTCTCGTAAACATCCTTGAACCTTCGACGCCAGTTCCGGTAATTCATACACCTGTTTTAGGTATCCTGACTTTTAGCTAGACATTTAGCCGGGGAGATCAATGAGATGGACTTACGCTTCCACTGAATGCTCTTCGGATGTTGTTTCATCGTCAAAGAAATCCATGCTTGCATAGTGAACCGGAACCGAATTCCCTGGTTGGGGCACAGTCATAATAGAAGAAATAGTGTGAAAATTCGGCATCGCCGGCAATGCGACAAAACCTTGAAGAAATGGTGAAGAACTCCGCTGTTGCTGACATTGATCCTTATAATCATGGGTTGATAAAAGCCCATTTGATTGCCTAAATGGCATTTGTATGAGAGTTTCAGAAGAATGAGCAGGGGCTTGGTGATTTTGAATGGCCTGGCCCCAACTGGCAAGGTCTAGACCCTGCGCAATAACATCCAATTGGTCAAGGGGAATGTAGCTGAATGCCTGGCTTAACTCATCTTCCAAAGGGCCAACAATCTCATGGTAAATTGTTGATTTCAATGTGTGATCACTCAACCGGGCGCCATTGTTATCCTCCCACACTTTAGGGTCCAGGCATTTTTTCACGGCGTAGTGAAATTGAGAATTCTCCGGGATCTCATTTTTGCATTGTTCAAAAACCAACTCCGCATCGATAGATCTCGTCCGATCATTTAAGAGCACACCGTACTTCTCGGCTAAATCTTCAAACGGCGTTGCGAGATATAATTCCATTAAGACAATCCCCAGTGTCACCAGATGTGGGCACTGGTGGACCATAATATCATCGGGGTCTAGATCGTTGGAATCGAAATCGTCTGGATCAAAATCATCTGGATCCAAGACAGGATTGCCTTGAGAAGGAACTGTGTCATTCGTTGCTAGCTCGGTTTGGAGAAAGGGCTTGAGAGGAATCGCCGACGAGGTCGTATGGAAGAACAAGATATTCGATGGACCCCATGATGGCGTAAGCCAGGGAGTCTCGTGAAGATACAGAACAGCATACCCGAGCATCACGGCCAGGATACGTTTTGTTTTGTCGGTTAGAGATCTATACTGACCTTGGATGAAATGCTGCAATGATACCGGTTCCTTAGTTTCATCCACTGTAAAGGAACATTTTTCGGATCGTAACTTCCACAGCCGTCCATCCTCCCCGACTCTCAATTTCAGGCGATCAAAAGGCTGCCTCTTTCTAATGGGCTCACATAGATTCTTGATCTTCATGGCGGGGATCCTCGGGCTTCGCACGCCTTTGTCGGTTTGCCCAAAGTTGATTCCGGCACTCTTGGCAAAACACACATCTGCTTCATGCCATTGCTCTTGCATATTTGATAGAAATATGTCAAATCCGCAATCGTGATCTCGCTCTTTCTCAGTCTTCTGGGAATTTCGAAAGGTGCCCAGACAAAGTCGAACATTAAAGTCATGCATAGGCTGACATGTACAGTCCTTTGACTCCACCAGGGCTCGGAAAAGCGACTGGGAAGCATTCAAAACCACGTATGAAGGATCTCCTCTGGCTTTTGCTCTGCTGGGCATATCTTCTCGGGCCCACAGGCTAGGGTCGTCGGGGTATTGGCTCTTAATGCCATCTTCCCAATTTTCGAAGAATTCAATCATCTCCTCCTGCTTCCCAGGATCCTCTGCAAGCTCAACCAATTGCGTTATGCGCTGCAAGTCAATAAAACCGCTCTCGCGTTGTGTCTGGCTCCATATGTCGGCTAGAGTCGCAAGTCGAGGGTAAACAGTGGTCGGGAGCACCAGTCGCGTTTCCAAAATATTCACGGTGACAGTCGCCTCGAGTCGAAGCAGGATGTTCGTGATCAGGCTGTTATCATCTGCGACGAATGCTTTGATGCGACTGATGTGATCGTGGATCATTAGGCAATGAGCCATTACGCTGCTGTAGAAGTGCTTGGACTCTCGGGTAGCGCCATGTTTGCGGAGATATTTGGCGATCTCACGAAACATCTCCGACACCTGCAGCAACAATCCCACATTTTTACTGACGGTCATGATCCCTCCGATTTCCCAGGCTCACTGGCAGAAGTGCGGGGAGTTTGGAGAGGGAGTGATACGCCATGCTGGTCTATGCCCTATGGAGGAGACCCCCCCGCTTACGTGGGTCGGGCCGGTGTTGCCCCTCTCGTTCCAGCCTCACATCGTTCCCTTCTCAATAATTTAATCATTTTGGCCTCGGTCAATCGAATGCATAATTCCATTTTCTTCGGAAGGCCACAGTTATCAGCATGACACTAGAGCCTGGCAATGTCCCATCGATTGCAGATGTGGCAGGCCAGTGCCTCACTCGTTTCCAGCAATGCTTGCAGCAGTCGGCATTGATTTCATCTCAGGAGACGGCCCTAGTGGAGGACCAACTTGCCAGATTTTCTCTCTGGGCTGCCGGTATTGGCGTTTTTGTTGGAGGGCGCGCTTCTCTGGATCACCGTCTAAGGGAAGCACAGGAGGTGCATGACGTGATTACCGGGCTTTTGGAAACACTAGAGGATCAAGTCGAAGCCTGTTAGTTGAACAAATATCACGCGGAAATGACGAATGAAACATACTGAGTTATATGGTAGGGTCGGACGCTTTGGGTTCAATCAAGAGACCTCCAATATCGGAATTGGAGACTACTCCCGAACCCGAAAGAAAAGCGATACCACGGCTGAGACGCGCCGTTGCTGTTCAAATAGCGCTCCTTCATAGACTGTCAAACACGATTCGAAGAGCAAGCAGTGAGACGCAACATGCCAAAGTGTCTATAGCATCTATAATTCGGGATGAGGAAGGCAACGATGTGGAATCGTGCCTGGAGATCGTGTTTGCAAATTATATTCGCGATAAATTCCGCAACATGGACACGAAACTCCTGGGTCGGATGGTCTCCGCGATGATCCTCCGCCGAAAAAGAATTCTATATAAGAGATCTCGTTTCAGCCACGGTGCGTTGAAAGTCCCATCGGCAACCCCTCTACCGAAAGCAACACCGCCGCCGATGACTGCGGCTCAACAGACGGCTATCTCCAACCCAGAAATTTCGTCAGCATCACCTCCAGCTCCCGCTGAGCTCCCAGAAAAATCACAGACGGGATTTAGCGCAACCACGCTAGCGGTCGAAAAATTTGTAAAGGCTTCTGCTCCTTCTACAGTTTCCGTTGCGAAGACAATAGCACTAAGCAGCCACGAAGCACTGCCGTTCCCGGTGGCGCCTCTTGGGCGAGTGAGACAGAGATACAAAAGAATGCGAAAAGCACGAGAGGAGGAGTACAGACTCTACCTCCAGTATTTGTCCGACGGATTCGCAACCCAGCAATCACCATCCAGTATTGATGGCTTGAAGAGGAAGGCAGAAGGGAATTTGAAGCAAGATCTGCATACGTATTGGGATTTATGCGTCGACGCAATTGGAGAAATAACATGTCCATTCTGCTTTTATGCTATTCCGGCGCGAGAGATGCATAATGATGCCAAGTGGAAGTAAGTCCGTCCGGCCAGCCATATCATGCCCTACGGGGTCTTTTCTTTCTTATCTACTCTGCGGCAATTCTGACGAGAAGACCTAGAGCTCATGTCAAGAATGACTTGGATGCATATGTTTGCCTCTTTGACGAATGCGACACACCAAATCAGCTATACAGCCACAATGAACAATGGCTGAAGCATATGGAAGACCATGCATTGCGCTGGCGCTGCAACTCGAAGTCTCACGGGCTACTAATTTTCCACACGCGAGATGGCTACATAGAGCACATGCGACAGGCTCATCAGGGGGCTTTCAGTGAAGTCCAGCTTCGTGTGCTGGCTGACAGGAATGCGCGAGCTGTTGATCCACTTTTCGAGTCATGTCCATTCTGTGGCTCCACCGACACTCCGCAAGGGGGCACGATAATGGAACACATTGTTGGCCATTTGAGGTTTCTTGCTCTAAAGTCACTACCACCTTACCAAGATGAAGGGTCGGAAGCTTCGGGTGGTGAGAGCGCTACCACACAAGCATCAAGGGCCCGTAACAGGAGCACGATAGACAACGATCCGGATAGATTTACCCTCTTGACCTTCGAGGATAAGGCTCCCAGCATTGAAGAAAATAGCCCGAGCGATGAATTCAGCAATCCTGGTTCGGAGCGTCTGAGCGACCTTGCCAACACATATAATAGGGCGCCGTTACCCAACCTCGAGAGCTCAGGTCCAATAGAGGAATGGGGCAACTTCAGTTATGGCCCTCCAGAAAGCAATTACCCACAAGAAAGTGAGAGGCAATTTGAATGGGGGTTTGCAACAGCTGGTCTGGAACTATACACGGATTTCGATGACCCAGTGCTTCGAGATCTGTCTAACAAACAAATTCATCCATCACCGGTCATGGATCGATCTCAACAAGAAGTCAAAACAGATGATACTGTCGACGATCATATACATATTGTGGATGACATCCAAGATGACAAAGCAGGCGTTCCGATGAATGAGACACTTCAACAGCCGTCGGCAAACTCTGACAGTGACCGGCCGTCGGACACCAATTCTGCATCAAAAGCCCATCAAGAGGGCGAAGAAAATCTGAGCCATACCGGGTCAACTAGTGAGAAGCCCTTGGGATTTATACTATCAAGACCTGTACAAGGGGAGGATCGGCCTGGGTCACCAAATTCACTCCTGCCCGTGGCAGATGCACCAGAAAGTGACGACACAAGTCCGCCACCATCGCCACTACATGGTGATCTTTCTACAGTGGGCCATAAGGATATCACTCCTATGCAACTTTCCGGGGAGGTTAGTGGAGTCTCTGATGCTCCCGCTACTCAGCCCCTCCCCGAAGCTATCCCCGGTCCAGCCCAGAACCTCGAGTCTATTCTGGTCGACAGCACACCGGTAGAACCAGTTCACAGATCACCCTTGGACGCCCCGAAACCGAAAGGGGAGATTATCGATAACACTATTTTGGATGACCTGATCTCACGACTCCTTGGTCTTGTCGATACTTCGAGTAAGAAGGGCCGTAAACGCCTATTTGGCCTCGCCAGGAATTCGACAAAAAAGAACCCCCCCTTGCATCAACGACCGCGAAATTGAAATTATATGCAACGCCTCTCGAGAATTATTTCTCTCGCAGCCTGTGCTCTTAGATCTCAATGCCCCTGTGAAGGTGGTCGGTGATATCCACGGCCAGTTCACTGACCTAATCCGCCTATTCCAGCTCTGTGGCTTCCCACCCGCGACTAACTACCTTTTCCTGGGCGACTACGTGGACCGCGGGAAAAATGGACTTGAAACCATTCTTCTCTTACTTTGTTATAAACTGAGATATCCCGAGAATTTCTTCCTTCTGCGCGGTAACCACGAATGTGCCAGCGTGACCCGGATCTACGGGTTCTACGACGAGTGCAAGCGCAGAACAACCATTAAGACATGGAAGAAATTCGTCGATGTCTTCAATTGCATGCCCATCGCTGCTCTTATTGCCAGTAAGATTTTCTGCGTGCATGGGGGCCTATCACCTTCTTTGACCGATTTGGAGGTAATTCGCCAGATTGCTCGTCCCAGTGATGTGCCGGATTTTGGTCTACTGGCCGACCTCCTTTGGAGCGATCCTGCAGATACGGAAGAGGACTGGGAGCCTAATGATCGAGGCGTGAGCTACTGTTTTGGCAAGAAAGTTATTATGAATTTTCTGCAGCGCCATGATATTGATCTGATTTGTCGAGCTCATATGGTGGTTGAAGATGGGTATGAGTTCTACCACGATCGTGTTTTAGTGACGGTTTTCTCGGCCCCAAATGTAAGTCCAGCCCCCTTGCTCTAAGATTCTTATGACATATCTATGTGATCAGAACAACTGTACCAGTGGCATTTTAGCTAACTATTTGCAGTATTGTGGGGAGTTTGACAACTGGGGAGGGATTATGTGCGTATCAGATGAATTACTCTGTAGTTTCGAGTTACTGAAGCCATTGAATTTGGGGGATGCTCCTCCTCCACTCACGACCGCCGTAGAGGAGGACCTTGGAGTCGATAAATTATTCCAGGGTGACGGTTAAGGGTTGACATACAACACTTACTTTTGAAGGGACATTATCAGACCTTGGAATCGATAGATTATTCCAGGGTGACGGTTAAGGGTTGACATACAAGACTTGCTTATGAAGGGACATTATCGGACCTTGGGATTTAGGATTGGAAATGAGAATCAAAATTCGATATGAAAAATTCAATTTCTATCTCGTTGAATCTAGATAGAGTATATACTAGTACTTTTAGGCGCTTATTTCAATGAATCTGAGCAACCAAATCGCTGCAATTGAGCCATAATGCAAAAGGCAGGATAATAACCCAGCACAACTTGCATGGCACACACACGCTCCACGTAAATGCACATTAGGTAGGGCATAGATGACAAAGAGGAAAAGAAGAGAGAGGATGTAAGAATGAAAAAAGAGACAAAGAGGAAAAGAGAGAAAAGAATGATAGTAAAAGAACACAAAGTTCAGATCAAGGATAAGGATTATTGCTTCGAATCATCCTTCTTCCCTTTGAAAAGGCCCTTCACCGATTCAACAACCAATCCAAACCCACCAAACACGTATCCTAGCCCGAAACTCCATCCCCTCACACGAACAGTGTAGATGAAGAAGTAAACAAGTATCCAGTTAATAATGACAAAGGCCAAGAAAATGCCGAAGCAGCGCCACTTGTCGTCCTCGTGGACGTTAAGATTGGCCATGTACTCCACGCCTGTCTTGTAGGGACAGTACTGGCAGTTCTCCGTAGCGGACCCGTCGACCAGGTATCCGACTTGGGCAAGGTTGTTGACAAAGTTGCCTGCGTATTCCTGGCAGGTTGAGCCGGGTGGTGGGTCGAAGTGGGTTGCTTCCAGATCAGCGCAGTCGATTTGGACGGCGGGGAGAATTGCGGAGAGAACGCCGCGGAGCCACCAGGTGACTGGGTTGACGTAGTACATCCAGTATTTCCAGAAGACGGGGTAGTCGGCGTAGGGGCGGACGATACCGTTGAACAGGTTGACCATGACGAAGAAGAATGGGAGGACGTTCGAGATGACGGTGAAGGAGGGTGCGAAGGCGCAGATCCATTGGCCCCATGAGGCTTGGAAGAGGAAGAATAGTATCGACATCAGGAAGACGTAGCCCGCTGTTGAAGAGTCGGTGGGTAGACCGACGGGGTAGTACCACAGTAGCCAGTAGACGAGGCCGGTCACGATAGCGGCGGGGATTTCGCAGACGACGTTGGCTGTGCAGAAGGCTACCCAGCCGTATATGCGGGAGGGGTATTCACGGGCTTCCCAGAGGGCGCGGTTGATGTAAAATTTGGGGACGATGGAATTCATGATGATGGGTGGGATGAGGATGATGACGAAGGTTGAGAACATGCGGTCTTGCATGCTGGCCACGGTGGTGGGTAGCATGTAGAAGGTAAAACCATTGAAGATACCGATGATGACGCTGACGAAGAGCTTTCCGTAGTAGTATGATGGATCGCGCCAGTACTGGAGAAACATGCGCTTGGTGAGAAGCTCGATTTGGAGCGGGGTTGGTGCTGCGAATTCGTGCTGCGAGCCGCCGCTCTCTTCGATGGGGAGTTTGCTGCGTTCTGTCTTGATGCGTTCAATCTCTGCGAGCATTTCGCGGTTTTCGTTAGAGGTGCGCCATTCTTCGTTCCAGTCGACTTGTTTGCCGTCACGTTGGGTTGCCTTTGCGGCTGTTTCCAGGATGAATTCAGCCACGTTCTTTGATGGTGGGCATTTGAACCCGCGATCGCCGAAGTACTTGATCACTGCTGAGCCATCTTGGCCGACGGGGCCGAAATAAAATGTGTTGCCACCGGGGTTGAGGGCGAGAATCATGTCGAATTGCTGGATCAGCATAGAAGAGGGCTGGTGAATAGTGCAGACGATAGCCTGGCCAGCTTGAGACAACTTCTTGAGGAAGCGCACGATCGAGAAAGCGGCTTGGCTGTCAAGACCACTAGTCGGCTCATCAAGGAACAGAAGAAGACTGGGTTTGGCGGCCAGCTCGACACCAATGGTGACACGCTTCTTCTGCTCGACATTCAAGGATCCGATGATGGCGTCCTGGATGTCGTCGAGCTCCAAAAGATCAATAATCCGGTTGACGTAGTCAATCTTCTCCTGTCGTGGAGTCTCACGGTCCTGTCGGAGGATGGCAGAGAATTCAAAGGCTTCACGAATGGTCGAGGTGTTGTCATGTAAATCCATTTGCTCACAGAAACCGGTTCCACGCTGGAAATCGGCTCCCAGGGCATGTCCATCGACAAGCATATCGCCCTTGACAATACCCATCTTTTGTCGTTGAGCAAGAGTGTTGAGCAGGGTAGTTTTACCAGCACCAGAGGCACCCATCAGAGCAATCATAACGCCAGGCTTGGCATATCCGTTAACCTTGTTGAGAAGCTTCCGAGTTCCATTACCGTAGGGCACAGTATACTCGACATCAGACCAAGTGAAGCATCGCTCGCTCGAAGACAATCGGTTGAATGCAGCATTGTCAGAGGAGGAAGTTGCCTCGCCGCGAGCAATGGCAGCATTGTCATTTGTGTTGGCAACCTTTTCCTCGTCATTCGACTCTCCAGCTTGAGCAGTGACCTGCTTAGCACGCTTGGATTTCTTGAAAACGAGGGCGCCACCGCCACCGCCAACGAAGGAGAGGAACTCAGCAGCCCAGATAGTGACCAGGAGATAGAGGACAGTGAAGGCAATGACAACACCGAAGTTGCGCCAAAGGTGGCTGCGAGTAAACTGGAAGTTTGCGGCCAGATATTCTTGTCCTGTCACAACAGTGCTGCCTGCCGAAGAACCAGTCAAAGCACAGCCCTGGTATCTGGGGTCGACGCCGGGGCCCTGGGGAACCAGTTGTTCAGGAGCACATTGCATGACACGATCAGAGAACTCATTAGTCAAAACTGCCTCGTAAGCGTACGAGAGGGGGTTGACATAGAAGAGCCATCCGAACCAAATCGAATCCGAAACCAGGGTTTGCTTAGGAATGACATAACCAACGAAGAGAATCAAAAGGTTAAGTGCAATACCAGCAAAGCGAACGGCGTCATCGATAGTCGGCGAGAGCGCGGCGAACATCCGATATAGCGAGGTGATGCAGAAAGTAGTGGTGTAGACGAAGAGGAAGTAGATGAAGAACTTGGACGCGGTAACATCCAAGCCAGCCATGAAGTAGACGATGATAGTGAACGGAACAACCATGCAGAAAATAGCCGGAAAATCCACCACTACTCGGGCGATCGAGACGGCAGAGGGACGGTAGAAAGCGTAGTCTTTGTGTCGGGCGACAATGCCTCTGCCCGAGACAGCGGGCATCAGTTCAGTCAATTGCAGCCAGCCGAGGAAAAGGATCGAAAAGAAGGCAGCACCTCCTCGCGAGAAAGCACCACTGGTATCCATGGATTCTCCGTAGAACAGAGATGAGACGATCAGACCGTTGGAGATGATAATGAAGTACTTGGTGTAGAGCGAAGTCTTGTCGCCCCAGAGCAGCCAGAACTCACGCTTCACACAAGCCATGACTTGGCGTGCCAGAGAGACGGTGTAGGGGGACTTCTTGGACACGGTCTTACTCTTTGACTGAGCTACAGTCGTCTGGAAGCGGCGAGTATCTTCCTGTTCTGTCTCCTCGAGGCGCTTCTCATAACTGGAAACATCGTCCGAGATGTACTTGTAGGAGCTGCTATTCTTGAACACTCGCTCAAGCTCCTCGGCCGTCTTCGGGGTGGAAGCTTCACAGCCTGGCTGGAATTGACGAGCATTCGGATCACACAAGGAAGTCAGGAAGTCGGCAGTGGTCGACTGCTCGGGGCAGTAGAATCCAAGGTCGATGAAGTATTGTCGCGCTTGGTTCGCAGGACCCTGGTAAAGCATGCGTCCCGCATCGATGACCATTACCTTGTCCATGAGTTCATAGATACTCTCACCGGCCTGGTAGAGGGTGACAAAGGTGGTGCGCTTGCTGACGTCGGTCATGATACGCAGCGACTTGGCGTAGTCGAGGGCAGTGCTGGCATCCAGACCACGGGTCGAGTTATCCCAACAGACGACTGAGGACTTGGTGGCCAGAGTCTCGGCAATACTGACACGCTTTCGCTCGCCACCAGACACACCACGGACATACTCGTTACCAACTTGAGTGTTCTTGGTGTGGCTGATACCGAACATCTTCAGCAAGGCATCAATGATAACGGGAATGCTTTCGCGATCATGCTTGCGAGTCTTGTTGATGAGCGAGAACTTCAGGGTCTGCCAGACCGTGAGCGTAGGGAAATGCTGATCATCCTCCGGGTTATAGTTGACTTCGCCACGGAAATAACGGTTCTGGTCCTCCGCCGACATACCACCATAACTGACCTCACCATCCACACCAGCAAAGGCACCGCGATCGTTCGCAATCGCCTTGAGGAAGGTAGTACATCCAGCACCAGGGCGGCCAAGAACAAGCATCATCTCACCCTCACGAACAGCACCGTTAAAATCATGAATCAGATCGCGAATGGGGGGTTTCTTGCCAACACGCAACACTGGCGCGAAGCGACAGATAACGTTATATAGATCAGGACCGAAAGTGCCAACTACCGCGTGTGGAAGGGTACGCACAAACGAGGCGCCAGTCTCAACACCCTTGACAGTCAAGTTCTTGAAAACAACGCCAATCTGCTTCGCGGGTTCTCCAGCGGTGGTACGGCGTTCCAGATGACCACCCACCAAGAAACTGCCAAGATCGAAGTCGGCATCGACCTCGGTATCAGACGAGGCCCCGTCCAGAGCCTTCTCCTCATCTTTGCGACTGGCACGGGACTTGCGACGGCTCATGCTTTTGGCAGTAGTCGAACGGGTGCGGTGCAAGCTGAGACGGGTCAATTCCCGGCGCATTTCCTCCAGGTCTTCCAAGGCACCACGGCGGGAGACCGGGTCGCCGCCCTCCTGTTCTCCCCATCGGCCTTCGACGCTAGCATGGGAAGAGAGGGTTGAACTCGTGGTGGAGGTTGGATCAATGGGGGCTTCGGTGGCGTAGTTAACATCGTTGGTGGCGGTGGATTCGTAGTGGTTTGACGACTCGTTGACCGTGGACGATTGGGTATAAGATTGAGGAGACTCCTGCTGAACGGAGTTCTGATGCGACTCCACGGCGCGATGGTCTTCCATCTTGCCGGTGAGAGAGAAACTACTCGCCAGCCTCAATTGAGTAGAGGTAGATATTAGGGGTGTATTGGGGATGGGTCTGTGAGTATATGTACAGAGTTGGCAGGGAAATGGTTGCCCAAAAGAAAAGAAAAAGAATAAGAAAAAGAGAGAGTGAGAAAGGGTAGAGCAACAATCAGAAAGAGTGGAGAGAAGGGAGAGAGCCGTTTAAGCATGGGCATGGGCGTGTTGGGAGTTTTTAACGCAACGACCTCCCATATTTCTCCCATCGCAAACGCCATTAAATCCGGACCCAAGAAGAGATCGGATTTGTAAGAAAGGATAGCCCCGTTGATCGGTAATGCAACGACTCATGACGGCTCATAATTCGACAGAAAAAAATAGGGAATCCACCACCAACTTCGAATGGAAGCTATAGTGGGGGGATATCCACCATGAGTCAAGGTGAGTCGCTGTGAACGTCTGGAATGGTCTGTGGCGGGTCTAAGCGCAATCGGCAAAAATTTTCGGTCGGAGATACCACCATCATACACCAATTTAATCCCGGCATGGAGCCGATTGCTGGTCAGCATTGAAACGAATCGATGGATTTTATTGGTTCCTCAAAAGTTTCCACCCCCCCGTGTCAGTTTCTGCGGAATCTTGAATTCCTCGTCGGGCACCAGATTGGTTCAGGATGCTCCACTTTAGGGCTCTCCATGCGGGAAAACCCCTAGGGAATATATATTCCGGTGGACGACAGATTCTGAGAGTAATGTGCCCCACTGGTCCGCGGGGGCCGCCGAGAGTTCATGAATCAGCCCAGATCCTCGGCGACTTTTAGGTCAAGGTTCTGCATGAGATCTCCGATTTCATCCCACACCGCTTAGTAGTAGGGTTAATCGAGATTTCTAATCAACAGAAATACTAATAGTAGTACGAGTACACTTCGCTTAGCTCCAAGGCTTACTAATCCTGTAAACTCAAGCACGGCATGAACTTATAGAGCGTAGGTATGGAGTACCTTGGTGTTCAATCTATCTGGATCCATAGCTTATAAATATATATCACTGGGGCAAGCATACTACTTAAACATCTGCCACTAACAGATAAGCCAATCACCGTCAAATCACACCGTTAAGCCAAGCACATGCTTGACGCACGTTCGACACTCGAGCCCCGTCAGCCCGACCGGGTAAATAGTACGAGTATGCAGCGCAGTCCCGGAGCTCCGAGCCCAGGGCTTGCAGCCTGCGGCGGGTAGCATTCCCAGACTGGAAAATGGAAGATTGAAGATTAGATACTTCGTAAAGGTAAATGAATTCTAGTAATTTTCAGATAGATGCGAAGTGAAAAATACAAAATGCTAGAAAGAAAGGGAACAGGAGCATTGGCTCCAATGCAAGATGTCTACTGTACAGAGAGCATGCCAGTCAACTCAATTTACGATGCAAGTCCATTCAAGGCTTGCGTGTAGTGCCTGCCTGGGCAATTCTTTTTTGAATCTCTTCCTTGGTGAGGATCTTCACTGCGTTGTTGGAGAAGACGTAGCTCAGACCCGACCAGAGGGTGGTGCCGGCGACCAGATATCTAGACAATTAGCACAGTACGGATGGGGAGAGAAGGACGAGAATGCGAAAACCAAAAAAAGAAAGAAAAAGAAAAAAAAAAAAAAAGACAAAAACATACAACAGCAGGGATTCGCATGTGGTCACCCACCATACTACTAACCTGCCGGCGTGTGGCTTAAGTACGGCTGAGCGGACGGGAAGCCCTGTTCTCCACACCCTATGGTCGTATGTGCTAGATTGACCACTAGAACAGACTAAACCCGCCACTGCAGCCTGAACATCCACGGCAAAATGGAAATGGATAAAGGGGGGTGATAGGAAGAGGGCAGGGAGGGGGGGGAGGGAAATAATACTCACTGGAATCCAGTCATAGCCTCGCTCAAATGCCAGGCTGTAATGATCGTCTCCGGAACCACAGGCAGGGCAATCGCACTGCCCACCAACACCAGTTGCAGCGCCGTGTTAATCTTGGAGATCTCTGTAGGCTTGACCTCCGCCGATGGCAGGGAGAAATCCCAGTATCGGGCCATGGTCTTGGGCTCCGGAAGAGAGATCCATCGGTAATAGATCGCCGACATGGCGAGACCAACATCACGACCAAGAATAATCACAGCCAACCATACTGTATGATATCAGCATCCGTCCCATCATAACATCTCAGAATCCCATCACCAGCTTTCTGTAAACTCAAGCCTGGATGCAACCCTAACCATCGAACAACCAACACTTCACTTACCAGGAAGAGACCCGTTCACCGCCAAACAGGCCACGCCAATCGTCATCAGCAGCTTATCAGCCATTGGGTCAATAATCGTCCCCACTACCGTCTGCAGCTGCCACTTCCGCGCAATCCAACCATCGACCAGATCCGTGATACCTGCATATGCAAACAGTGACAACGCAGCTGCATGGTAGTCGTGGACGAGCAGATACCCCACCACGGGCGCGGCAACTAATCGCGAGAAGGTGAGAATGTTGGGAACGGTGTAGATATTTTCATGCGATTTAGTAGCCAGCGGAATCTTGGATAAGATGCGTTTGGTGGTAGAGAGAGGCCTGTTTTTCTAGTGTTAGCAGGAGTGGCTCCCCTTTCTCAAACAGTCTTTTTTTTGGCAATGACCGACTTTTCCGAGTCCGTTTCTTTTTCATCTTTAGGTGGTTGCGATGCAGTCCATCTTTTATTAGGTGCGCAAATGGTTGTCTTCGCTGAGACGAGACTCTGGTGTCGCAAGTTCCTGGAAGCGCAGAGTTAGGACGGGAAAATACTCCAATCCATAGGGACATGACTTACCTGGTTTGAAACAGGGCCAGTCCCGGAGATCGAGTCAACGTGGAAATGCATTTGGAATGCAGTGTGTCCATGCGCAGAGACACTTGTCCTTGGGAATGGATTGGTAGCCGGTTGCCGATGCAGATTACCCGAGACCCCTGGCACGTTCGGACGGGCAGCATACGGGCAGCACCTGCAGACAACATGGTGATACAAGACAAAAGAAATAAACAAAGATGACGGCCAGTTGAGTAAACTCAATATATAATTCGAAACCAGAAAAGCAGTTGGTGAAATTCGGGGCAGCGATTCAACGCATGTCCTGGTGGTGGTGGATTGAAGATGCAGCTAGCAGCAGCGCCAACCAGTTGTTTCAGGGTATGCACGGGATCAACCCCAGGCAGAAAAGACAGGCGAAAGAGTCAAGTAGGTCCCCACAGATGTAAACATCGGCTGTCATATAGTACAGCTGTAGTGCTATGATGAGTGTCAGTGGGATTGCTGGACGTTTGGTTGGAGCGGAAGGCCTGGGGGGAATGAACGCTTACAGCCCAACAGACAAGTCCTAGACGAGTCCTCGACTGTCTTCTGAGAGAATGCAATACACTCGAAGGCTTGGAAGATCTAATGGATCTCGTGACGAGTTGCTGGAGTTGATGTCGAAATCGGCGCGGGTAATTGTTAACCCGTTCCGCTAGTCCTGGGGATGATGCGGGGGCGGTGAGGGACCCCAAGCTGTGCTTGGCAGAACAAGCACCGTGGTATACTCGTACTTCACCAACTCTACTCTTTTCCATCTGCTACCCTGATTCACCTGTACTGATCATTCTCTAGCCATGGTTCTTGGCTTCGATCCACGGATTATATCCGATACCACCATTATAGAGCAGGCAGACATAGCTATGAGTCACCCAGGCTGTTCATGTTCATGTTCATGTTCACTGCCTAACTCATCTGACGGCTCTATAACACATGACAACCCGCCTGATGGCTAACATCATCCCGATGATGCGGCAAAAATTTAAAAGCATATTTATGAAATACCGACATCTCTGACTCTTTAACTCTGACTAACTCTAGCCACTCACTCTTTTGGAAATGCAGCTGTGAATGGCAAGCTGCATTCATTCTTCAAAGACCAGATGGAGAACAAACAAACCTGTGGACGAGGGGACAGCAACCGTGGCCACTGGAAAACTGTCCAACATGGACAGATCACTACCTATCAACAGAGGGAGGGGCACGAATCTCACTTCGTCACCTCCCGAACAGCCACCGCAGCCCCAACCGCCACCAACCATCCCTGACAAGGAAAAGGAGAAGGAGAAGGAGGAGGAAGAAGACAAACCACCCGACATGAACAAATCCAACCCACGTTTGTTAGTCAACCGAGAGAGTATCTACGAACGCCAGCTTCCAGGTGATGCATACATCACGGTGTATGTCCAGCGACTACAACATGGCCACTATTCTAGCTCAGCAGTCTCCGACCCCCAGGCCGAACATGTCGATTTCTTAGCTCTTAGTTTTGTATTTCATTCACCTCACACTCTTTCCCACCGATTCAAATCCGCCACGATTCGCGCTTCCATCCAAGGACCAGATCAACTGGCGACAGATGGTGCTGCAAGTCCCAAACGCCGCCCTAAAAACCCGCGGATCTTGATGCATGCGCCTCACTTGATCTACGGCACCGTTTCACCCGAGACGATGGAGTGGACTTTCAGTCTCGCCGGCTCCATCGGTATCTCCGAGACTCCACTAAGCGCTAACCTGATTCCTTCCGGTAGTGTGAATAGTCGCTACCGTCGATACGAAATGATGCGTATTCAAGGCTCAGCGCGCACTCTGAAAAGCCCCCGAGGTCCTCAGTTCGATATCGAAGCCGGCGAGGTGGTTTGGTCTCTTGAAGAGAATAATCTTCAGCGTTCGGGTCTGCCGCGCGAGTTTACTTTCGTCATGTTGATTCAGAAGCCGTCCTCCAAGTCTCGCGTAAAGCTGTCTCTCGATATTGACCCCGTCATACAATCCTGGTGGGGTAACTATCCCAACTGGTCACTGAACTTGCCTTCCTACCGGCCGGCGAAACGTCGCGATGTTGATTTCAACAAGGAGGTTGGACAACGGTTCGAGCCGCTCGATACGGAGCGCGGTTTCAATTTCGCTGCTCTTGTAAGCAGGTTTGATGATTACATTGCTTTGCCGGGAAGGAAATACAGTCGGAGGGTATGTTGGCCCCCATCATAAGAGCGAGGAAGAGAAGCAAAAGCTAACTATCTCGACTCGCACCGTAGATGGAAATACCAAAAGAAACCGACCTCCCCGAACGTCAAGGATATCAACAAGCCTATCCCGGCCAGTATGGCTCGCTCAACCCGATACAGGGAATGCAAGGAATCCAAGGAAATCAAAATCAAACAATGCAAGGCATGCAAGGTATCCTGAACATGCAACAAAAATACCAGCTCCAAAGCAACCAGACACAACAACCATCGTTCGCATCCTTCCCAGCTGCACCTCCATCCCTGACAACAACAAACATGGCCAATGTAACCGGCGTCGAAGCACAATCCAACAATCTCAACGTATCCCTAGGCCCGAGCCACGGCGTAGCCATCATGAATCTATCCGCACTACGCTCGGCAATGATCTCGCCGCGTGCCCGTCAGTCTGGGAATAATGAGATGAGTAGTAGTACTTGTACCGGTACTAGTACTACTGCTACCACTGCTACCACTGCTACAACCACCGCCACTAGTACTACGCTTACAAAACGAACTTCGGAGGACAATGACAATGACGACAATGAAAATAAAAATGAAGCTGCTGGCCCCGGTGAGTGGTGGCCCTATCCATCCGAAACTGGCCCGGGAGTTGAAATTGAGACCATTCGCTCCAGAATGCTCCGAACAGTCCACTGGTCCTCCCCTCCGGAGAACGGGGGTTCCTCGAACGACGACTCGAACTCGGACTCGCGCGAGACGTCCCGCGTCATGAATATGGTGAATCGCCCGCTTACGCCGTCATTGTTCAACAGCTTGGGAAAGAGGACTTGAAGGATGCTGAGTGAATTTTGGAGGGAGATTGGTGGATTCTTTGGGGGTTGGCATTGATTCTTTTTATACTTTTACTTTTCTTCTGTGCATAGCGTAGCGAGGTGTCGCTAAGATATCATTTGGTTTTTTTTTTCTTTTTTCGTCTTATTCTTTTAGTATATATACTCTGTTCAAAAGACTTGCTGAAGGAATCTTATCCAGAGACTCGGACATACTTTCCCAAACCAATACCACCAATCCACGTGTGTCTTTCAATCCAACCCTTCACTCAATTCATATACCTAGATACAGCTAGTAGTTAACTAATCCACGTTCCTGGAAATCAAGTACAAATCTGAGTTGAACTCTATGTTCCTTCCAACTCAAGCACTATCAACTTGAATCTCTCTACTCCTACATTTTACTAGTATTCCAGCAGACAAAGGGGACAGTCATCATCCATCCCCCACCCCCACCCCCATCCCGCGCGAGAACTTGCTTGAAGAGGGACACAAACAATCAATCATACTAGTAGGTATCCCTAACTAACTTTGTTCAATTCAAGTTCACCCGGCTACCATTCCAAGCCAAGCCTCGGAAGAAGCCACTCATGCAGACAAAGAATAACATTTTAACCTTTCTTTCATCCACCCACCGATCTTAGCAGAAACCAAAACCAAAACCAAAACCAAAGTCCCCATATTTTTTTAGGTTCAGGAATTCAACCCAAAATTCCTTATACATATCATACAGGTCTCCACTATCTATTGAAGTCGTCCAGGTCTCTGGGAATGCTTAATTTAATCTACTCTAATCTAATCTAACTCATGGTTTGGGTTTGGGTTTGGGTTTGGGTTCAAGTTGCAATGCTTAATTTCAATTGTAGGTATTTGGCTCTTTGGTTGAAAAATTGAAGAAGAAGAAGGGAAGAAGCATACCCCTAGCCAAACTTAAGGGAGGGGAGGGTATAGTATACATCTGCATCTGATCGGAAAATAGAATGGAATGGAATTGATTGGATTGGAAAAGTAGTCGCGGTACTATCTACTAATACGTTAGATATTCCAAGTTCAAGTTCCTTGAAGTTGGTCATTTCATTCGAGAAGAATGTTCATTTTCTTTCCTTTTTCTTTCCTTCTCCACAGACCCCAGCCCAGGAACTGCAATTCTCGAGTCAACGTGAGAGTACTGATACTACTACTACTAGAATGGTCACTTCCAATGATATCAAAGGACCGCCCCAAGTTTCTTCCGAGTCCTCCTTACCAGAAGTATGCATTGCATCCTGACGGTGATTAGTGCAGAAGCAACAGAACAGAAGACGAGACGAGACGAGACTCAGACCCTGCACCGACCTCGACCTCGAACTCGAACTTGAATCCAAAGGCTTCGGAAGATATATAGAGGTACTAGTAAATAGAAGGAGCGAGGTAGAATAGAATAGAAGAGGATCAGAGAACCAATTCCTATCAGTTTAAAAAGAAGAAGAAGAAAAGAGTTTCCTTTTGGGTACTGGGTAGAATAGTAGTTGCGTTGCATCACATCGTGAGTGGGGGGAAAAAACTTGAATAGGCAGAAATCAAAATCAAAAACGCCGCCTAGGGTTATTCCCGATAAAACAGAGAGCCAACACCCAAGGAGACATAAAGGGCCTAACGAAGAACAGAACAGAATCCTTATAGACAGACATGAGTACACCGGGGAAAGGAACAGGAACAGGAACAGCGGGGGTGGGAATGGGGGATCGATGATGATGAACGGGGTTTCTTTCCTCTCCTTTCCTCTGCTCTCCTCCTTCCAAACCGAGCTGAACAGAACAGAACAGAACAGAAATCAATCCGATCCAGTCCAGACGAGAGAATTGGGAACATTGGGAGTGAAGGAAAAGAAGAGATAATCATAAAGGGCAGGAAATAGATATAATAAAAGCCAAGACGCACACAGCACACCGCACAATGCACATGTTGCACATGCGGACCACCCAGAAACAGAGTAAAGCGAAGTAAGACGAAGCCAGACGAGGCGGGAGGGGGTTCTATCATAGCAAGAGGAAGACATAGTCGTACCAACAGAAGGAAAGGAAAGCGAGAAGGGATTATAAGGGGGGGGGAAGGAACAAGAAAAAGCATATAAAAAATAAAGCCACCACGACTCCTCCCGCTCCGAACTATACCAATCAATCAAAATCAAAATCAAATCAAATCAAACGGGGCCGGACCCGATTGAGATGGAAGTGGGAAGAGTGAAATTCCCCAAAACAGAGAACCACTCTATATATTTGGAGCCTCCCAGAAAGTTGAAGAAACGTGCCATCCATAATGCCATAGCCAACACCAGTAGCCAGAAAAAAAGAAGCAAAAAAAAAGTTTCATCGGGGAATATCAGATTTGTGGCTGGGCAGGCGCAGTCGTCGTCCATGTTGACAGAGGCTGAGCGGTCGCGTAATGCGCGTGATTCACCGGGGGAGTTGGGCCCATGTAATACTGCGAGCGATCCGGCGCATAATAACTCTGCTGGTGCATGGGATTTGATTCACGGCGCGGGACAGTCGGGTCAAGAGGGCCGATTCCGCGGTCCATCTGGTGGTGGGGGTGGTGGTGAGAATGTGATGAATCCAGTTGGCCGGGGATACTGAAGCTGCCGCGGGAGTAGGTGGCTGGGGTCGAAGGATCCATGGGAGAAGTTGCGTCTGTGGCGACGCTGCGGGAGGAGATGGATGAGTTGCGGTAGGCGGAGGGGGAGTGGTCGGATGTGGAGCGATTGCGATCGCTCATCGAGCTTGGGATGGCGGTGTTGAGGGCTCCTGGGATTGATGAGGAGAGTGCCGAGTGGCTCATTGAGTCCATGCTGCCACCGTACGGTCCTGTGCGAAAGGTGTGGTAATCTTCCACCTTGGGGGTCATGGATGCCGCCGAGGCGGGTGAGGGGAGGTATGGGTTCGGTGCTTGTTGTGTTGGCATCGACGCGCCCATGGAGTAGCCGGCGATCGGGCCGGATTGGGGAGGATGTGTGGCGGGGTAAGGGTTGGCGGCGTGCATGGAATAGAAATCGGCGGATGGGTTGGGCATTCCATATGTTGGTGGCGCCATGATTTGTTGGGGCCGGTATCCGTAGAGAGCGGCGTGGGAGGGATCATGGGCGGATTCCATGGCACTCGTCTCGAGATCGTCGATCGGGGCGCGGAAGCTTTGTTTCTGAGTGAGGTCAACTCGAGGTCGAATATAGCGCAGTGATTCGACTATGGATGGTGGGTTGAGTGCGCCGCGCATGACATCCTCGACGCTATAATAGGAGACCAAGTGGTGGGTGATGCCCATGACGGTGACGGACATGGTCTTCTTGACCAGACCGGAGTCCTTGAAACCGTAAGAATCGACCAGCGATCCGACGAGGGCGCGTTCCAGCTCGGACTGATGTGTGCGCTCTCCAAAGGGCCCCGGGGGTGAGGTGGGCGAGTAGCCTGAGCCAGTTGAGCCGTTGCTGTCATGTCGGGGATAAGGTTCACCGGGTCTAGTGGAGGGCACCGGTCGACGATTGGCCTTTTTCATCGCGCGCTTCTTCTCCCCCGGGGGGAAAGGCTTCTCTAATTCACGATAGACGAGGAAGTTGCCCAAGATGCGACTCGGGGACCAAGTGACGCCGTCGGTCCAACGCTTGATTCCCGAAGAATTCTCCTCATAGATGAAGACACTTCCCGAGCGCACCAGATGCGAGCGCTCCCGGTCGTGTGGGCGACGAGGAACATGATGCAAGACGCCGGTGAGACAGGCCTCGAAGAGGATGAGGGCATCTTGGGTGGTGGCCACATAGCCGGTGAATGTGGGCTCCAGCACAGCGGCGGTCCCGTTCACCATGATGAGATTGGTGGGGAGACAAGAGGGGGGGGGGGAAGAAGAGAAGGAAGTCAAAAGAGAGAGAATGTGGAGTGAAGTGGAGGGGAGGGGAGAGGAGCGTGGAAAGGGAGGAAGAGAGGGGAGGAAGTTGAAGTTTAGGAGGGAGAGGATGAAGTGGAAGTGGAAGGGAAGGTGAAGCAGTTCCCTTCCAGGTACCCCGGATTGCGGTCGCGATCACCAGTAGGCCTTAAGAGGGTAGACCTTCGACCTTAGACCTTCGACCTTCTAGGACTAGGAAAAGCACCAGCACCAAAAAAATAAAATAAGCTAGAAGATCGACCAGGGTATGGAGAAGGAAGAGCGGATGCGGTGGTTTTGAGTTAACCCCTCCTCGGCTTGGAAGAATTCCAGGGATCGACCAGTCAGCACGGACCCAAGGAGCGTCAGCGAGTTAAGAGGTTGCACCGATCTCTGGAGATGGGATCTACTGGTTCCACGGATTGCTCCACTGAGTCGGAGGGTTGTGGGGTGGAGGAAATGGTGGTGGTGGTGGACGTGGAAGTGGAAGTGGTTATAGATGTGGTTGGTTGGGGATATGGAGATGGATGAATGTGGTTAGGGGGGGATTTGGGGGGTAGTTTTATTAGGGTTAGGGTGTTTAGGGATGAGAAGAAGAGGAGAGAAGAGTGTTGAGTATAGTCGGCATAGTAGGGGTATAGCATATGGTACAGTAGAGAGTAAGTGTGTGATTATGTGGTAGGGTAAGAGGAGACGCTAATGTAGGCAGACCGAAAAAGAGGAGGCGGTTACCCTCCGAGTGGAGGAGAGTCTGTGTGTAGAGAAGATCGGATCACTATTATTAGGGTAGGTACGGAGTATTAGGGGAATGAATGAGAGAGGATAAAATGGGATACAATAAGAGTGATAGTAATCGTAATAGTAATACTCTGCGAATACTCTGCGAAGCAGAGTATTCTGTGGTGGGAGTGTAATGATCATCGATTGTAGTGGGGAAGAACGGAGCCAACTTCTCTCCGTACGTCAACCCGTCTGACTCAGCCCCGTCAGAGGAAGGTCTTTGGTTCTGCAGTTTTGGTTCCATGGTATCCTTTAAGAATTAGGATTAAGAATTAGGATCAAGGTCAAGGGTTAGGCCAGAACTATTCTGCCATGGTACTCTCGAGTCTGCCCTGTGTGTGGACAGATAGAGACAGAGCACGAAGTACTCTGTCTCTCCCTGCCCACAACGGCGAATCCACCAACTATTGAAATCGCCTCCACTACGAAAATTGGGGCGGCACGAATGATCACCGGCACGTCAAGATCTGGAGGCCTGACCTGCCGTTGGGTACAGCAGTACTCTGTACTGCTGTAATGAGAGTACGAGTACGAGTACTCCGTACATATCTAGAAACTTATGCTAACCTATCCTCCTCTCCTCTGCAGTTAATTACACTTTACCAAGGCAAGAGGGTCCCGTACCTGACTGGGGCTCATTGGATCCTGGCAAAAGTTACGCGGGAGATCCCCAGCAGATCCAGTAGCATTGGCATTGGCATGAACAGAGTAGTGTATCAGTATCAGTACGAGTACTCCGTAGGAGTACCACCATTCAGCTGATTCCCATCCCATATTGTTCCCTCCATGATCGGCAGCTCGTGGCGGAAACTCTCTTCTGCTTTGCTTCTTCACCATCCGGACAACTGTCCTCCGTGTTTCAGTTCGTCCCGATAAACTGGGTGAACAGGAGACGATCTCACTGGCGCACGCTTGTTGAAACTCAATTGGCGCCCATGACAGATGTCAGGGTGAGTTTGAGGATGGTGTGAGTTAGAGTAGAACAGAGCATCCGCCTGCTCTGCTCTACACTACATTACTCTATCCCATACCCCCCCCCCCCTCCCCCTGTACAGTACTGTACAGAACACACTGTCACTGTCATCGGCCACGACTTTCCTCAGCCTGACCCAATCCTCCGGGACACCCAGAAAGGGGGTCCTCGACCGGACCAGGTGAAATCATCCCATCAGCCCCAACAAATAGGAAGCCGAGTCCAGATTCAGTCATGGCACGGATCCCTTTGGGTCGATCCCCGGAGGTTCTGGCCTGGTCCAGCTATCTTCCCGCCCACGCCCAGCGCGCTTACGGAGGGGGGTGGGGATGAGCCACGACCTCGAGCCTGCTCCGCCCGATTACGCAGGCTATGTGGTGAACAAACAAATCACAAATCCAATCCAATCCAATCACTGTTGTAGCCAACCCCGCCGATCGCCCCTCTCTTCCCCTATTCGCCCTAAGAACCCACATCCACGGACGGCGCACCACCGTACCAGACACTCGGAGCGTCCGCACAGGGGGATGCGTGATATGATGCATCTTGTCATTGTCAGCCGGAGAGAGGAGGACAAAGTTCTCCGTCTGTTTGAGTTAAGTAGAGTAGAGTACATGCATACACATACTGAGTATGTGTAGTACCCTCTGATCTCGGTTCGGCAACCTACAGGGAGAGGAGTATCGTATGTACTTCGTACATGAGAACCCGGTCTCCTCTCTCCTCCTTCTGCCCGGCCCTCCTCTCCCCCCCCCCTCCGTACAATCCCGAAGCACCCACCCACCAAGCTGTCAGTAATCCCCGTCGATCTTCGTATTGGCCAGCGGGGCGCGCCATATTAAGACTGTCCCAATAAATCCTCTGATCTAACCGTAGCAAGACGAAGAGGAAACGAAGAGGAGAGGCCGGGCGCAGCATGGTGGCGTCGACCGACCTTGTTTTTGGTGCTAGTGCGCTAAGAAATCCCGCACCAGGGTCTGATGATCTTCACCGGTCTAACTCTCTGCAATTATGTACCCCTCTCCCAAGAGATGCTAGTCCCTATGTGCTCCGTGGTGCTAGTCCCCCCCCATCCAAGCCGGACCGGGAACTCTGCGGTGGCGATCCGGTTTCGCACCGACCAGGCATTACACTACTCGTACTCAAATGGTTAGTTAACAGGGTCAGGTCAATCTCATAACTTGGGTTTGGTTGAGTTAGGTTGGGTACGGTCCGGGTCTGGGTCTGTTAGCCTAGTCTAGTCTGCTACTTTAACGCTAGTGGACGAGGCCCCCGTGGACATTTCCTGCGATCGCGCTAGTTTCTCCGTTTGGTTTGGTGCAGGGGATGTGATGGGGCAGGCAGGCAGGCAGCAGAAACAGTAGCAACAGCAATAGCAATAACAAGCGCTCACGATGAACGGAGTACGAAGTAACATGTGAAGCCAAAGGGGGGGTTGGTCGGGGGCAAGAAACTACTGTACTGCACTGCTGTATCCTCCTATTGGTGGCTCAACTTCAGGTTCAGTTCGTGAATTGAATCCCTTCGTGTCTCTGGTCTGGTCTGGTCTGGTCGAACGGAGCTTTCCCCCCAATCGCGACCCGTCTATTTCTACGAGTATTCTATTCTATTCTTGTCTAGAAGTCTGGTCTGGTCGTGGTCTGGTCCCCTTCCCCTCCCTCCCTCTTCCTATTTGTTTTCTTGTTACTTCCTATTCTCCCCGTTAATCCCTCGTTGTGTACTCCGTATTCCTATTCCCTCCTCTTTTCTTTCTCGTTTCTACGACTACGGGTACACTATTCGAGGCTGATGGATTGGATGGCTGATGCTGATCTATCTGATGCTGATCCACTCTCATCTCAATCCATGTCCTCATCCTTCATCTCCCCCATGTCATGTCATGTCATGTCATCATCATTAGCCCCCGTTCAGTGCCAAGGTTCATGCTAGACGCGGCATTGACCTCTCCTCTTTAGAGTAAAGCTGGGGGAAACATTCCGAACAACGCGGCGCCCTGCTAGTGCGAGTGTATGTACTGTACATAGGATGTACGGAGTACGAGTAAATGAGATCAGAGGGGGTCTGTGATCAGGATCATCGTGATCGTCTATTTATGCCTTTCTCGGGGTCTGCGAGCAGCGATCAAGGGATCGGTGGAGTTGGATGGAACTAGTACTGGTAGCTCGCACACGCACTCGCGCGGAGGGAAGGGGAGGCGGACGCGGAGGCGCTACGCTTAGCTTGATGAAATCGAAATCGAATTCGCCGAGCCGACTCCGTAAACTTACTCCACACCGTAACTAGAGGCTAGAGGCAAAAAAATATTCGGAGCCGGGAGCCCAGCCAAGCCCAGTCCAGTCAAGCCAAGGCCCAGTTAGTTGCTGTGGGGAACGGATCCTAAATCGTGTGGGCCCGAGGCAAATTCAATCGTGATTATTCCCCATTATTCAGAAGCTATTCGCTATCATCGCTGCTTGGTTGGCTCTACCCTACCTGCTCCGTACGATACAAAGTATGGTACGCCTTCTGGGTCCGTCCGAGTCCGAGTCCTCACCCAAACTACGGAGTAAACTAAGTACTCGTACTCTCTACTGTAGACTACGGTACGGAGTAGACTAAAGAGGATCCCCCTATCAGTCCGAATCGAACCACTCTTTTCTTTCCTTCTCACCGTGCCGTGGACTGGGACTGGATCTCGTAGATCCATCGTGGTCTTTAATTTCAATGCCGTAACGGAACTGTATATATTCCGTGCCTCCGGACAAGTCGTTAATATGGCACTACCTACACTTAACTTTTAACCTTTCACCCTCTTGCATTGGTTCGTTCGGTCTGGCACTGGCACTTGGATCCCTCCACCCGGGCACCAAGGGTGGATATTTTATATTCGGATTATGGTTTACGGATCCTAGTGATTGACGGCATTTGAAGGGTGGATTTTCAAAATAGGCAGTCGGTATTGTAGTCTGCCCTGACTAGGTGGTTCCACCTAAAAGCAAAAAAATTAATAATTAAACAAATTAATTAAAAAAAAAAGAATAGTAGCCCCAACATCCACTCCAGCCGCATTGCATCCGCATCATCTCCCTTCCTTTCCGTGTCTGTCAGACCAACACTAACCACCAAAGGCACCCCTAAGCCAAACAGCGGAAAAAAATAAATCTACATACTCCATACAGAAAAAGAAAGAAACCTATTCGCCCCGCACCATGTGGCCCCAATGAGTTTTCGAAAGCCACGGACCCGCGCTCTTGCGGGACTCGTGGACTCGTGGACTCGTATCAGCATCCTGTGTGACTGTGCACGGTATCCATGAGACCCCCCCCTCCCACTCCCACTCCCTCCCTCGAGGAGAGGAGCTCCGCATCGTCCTGGAAAAGTTAAGTCTTGATCTCGTGTCGTACAAAGGTGTGGATCATGCTGTCATCAGAACAAACTATGAACTCTGTATGCAGAACCAGCAACAGGGCACAGGACTGGACTGGGTGGCTGGACACCGGACAGCCAGCTGGAACCTTCCCTTCGGCTTGAGAGGAGAGTCTGAGTGACATGTTCCTCCGAGACACGCATGGCCGTTGACGAGACTAGTCCGAGTCGTGTGCCCTGTACTCCGTAAAGTAACTAAAGGGGAGCCGGAGTATGTACATTGGTCTAAAGACTAGTTCTGCGTCTGATCTGATTTGGTGTAGGTTTCGACCCAACCGTTTGGATGTTGCTTGGCCTGGATTTGGGGACTCCGTCTGGCCCCAAGGTTTGTGCATGCGATATCTTATCGGTTTCCTGCAAGCCTGACGTCGGTCACGGAGTATATACCTATACTAGTAGTACCCTGCCGGGATTATGGAAGGTGAGGAACACGATCATAAACGTAACTACCTGCAGACTATGCATGCAGCATATCTGTCTATCTTTTTATCTACCTTCCCACCCCGCCTAGGGTTGTGTACCCTCCATATCTGCCAGTGCGAACCACAGAGTGCCTAAAGTAAAGTAGAGTACTAGTACATACTTCAGACACCTTAAATCGACGAGGCAGTGTATGAGTAGAGTGCAATGCAATGCATAGTTAACTAGTTACTACCCAGTATACATAATTAGATAAGCACGGGCTTATAGGTAGTCCTCCAGGGCTGTATGCTCACTCTGCCCTGTTCTTCACAACTCTGCACCTCACTGCACCGCATGAGATACATAATCATCCAAACTATCGGTATCTAGCTCATTCCCCTGCAATGTATTCCGCAAATTCAAGTCCAAGTTGCCTACGCCTCTCACTTTTCGCCACCATGATACTAGTAGTGGTAGTGGGTTGGATTGGGTTAAACCATCTCCTCTCCAGGACTTGCTTACTGCTGGCCGTCATCCCCTGATCTGATGGAAGGATTCAGATCACACGATACATCCCTACTCCAATAATCCCATCCCATCACGCGCCCACCCCCTTCCGCGACCTTCCACCCAAAACGATGTCATCAATGGCAAAATCAATACTCCATAAGCGCAAAGTATGTACTGTAATCCGTACTCGTGAACCTGGCGGCGCATCCCGCAAGGATGAACCCCTGTACTCCTTCCTTCTAATTAGTACTAGCTATGTTGGTGCCACATGTACATCTCGTACGTACCTCTACTATGTACTGTAGTGAGCTGCCTACTAGCGAGCATACCGAACCAATGCGGAGAAAGCAACCAGTTACCAACAAGGGCAAGTTGCATTGCGAGGAATCGGTAAACTTGACTAATGAAATGAAAGTAAATAGAGACATTTACGAGCGAGGCTTGAGATTACGTATACAGTATACGAACTTATCACCAACTATAATCATCACTCCGTACGAGTATCCCATTCGGAGTATTCTCGGGGCCACTCTGTCTGTTGTCAGGCTGTTCTGTCTCAGGCTGGATCGGACGGAGTACGAGTAGTTAGATTGCATGTTCTCCCTGATTTCCCCAATTTGCCTATCTCAGTACATAACTCGGGGTTGGTGCATTAGTGAAAGGCTTTTGTCAGAACTAACTTTATCGTATAGTATTAGTCTTGCATCCCATCCCATCCCATCCCATCTTGCAAGATGACGATCCAATCCACCTGGCTAGGTAGGGTTGGGCATTCGTTTTTCCCGATCACCAGGACAGAACTTGAACTAGTAACTACTGTACATACACTACGCTATCAGTTGCACTGAAGTACAGTAGATAACTGCAAGAAATTTGAATCATCGCGCCACAAAAGCATAGCCAAAGTACTAGTGCCACATAGGTACGAGTATATTCTATGGGGTTCATCTGTTTGCTGCCTCCGAGTCTTGCTGCTGTCACAGAAAATAAACATGAATGTCATTCCAAGGAATACGAGAACGAGAACTACCCCGTAAATTTAATTGTAAATCTAAATCCAATCCAGGAGGCAAACGTCAGTGCCAAATAACCCTAACTCCAAAAGTTGCCTCGATATTGGCCTTGATCTTGGAGTGGAAGTAATGCAATGCAATGCAATCCCGCCACCTTGGATACTCGTACGTACATGCATACTGTGCCCATAGACCATCACATCGCATCGCATCTCATATCATCTCATCTCATCGCATCTCATCTCATTTCATCTCATCTCATCTCATCACAATTCATCCTCAGTTAAATGCAGCGCAGCAGCAACGCAGCATGGTCACGCCGCCATGACCACCAACCCCGACCCCAACAACCACAGCAATCGCACCAATAGCGCCCTGCCTCATACTATATGGAGTAATGACTCGTACATGTACTGCATCATCGACAAATATCGGGCGTCACATCCCTGTCTCGTCGAGATCGGCAGCCCCTTGCGTTCGTCCCGGGATGTTGGGACGGAATGGGAGGGGGGCGCGCATTCACACGACCTGTCCTGTGGCCACGCCGACTCTCCCTCGCTGACCCTCGCGTGTCGGGCTTGCGGGGAATGAAATGTGGATTGGATTTGGGGGCTGACGAGGGGGGGCTTGGGCTCGGGTTTTGGGTTTCGCGTGTGGGCGTTGGAATACGGGGTTTGGGTTTTATTTGCTTTTTGACGGTTGGGTTCGTGTTGGTGGGTTCCTGGATTTTGATTTTGATTTGGGGGCTGGAGAGGAAAGGGGAGTCTACAGAGTACTCTGTAGTGAGTAGGTTACCTAGTTTAGGGGGAACATGAGTTGTTGGATTTAATTTCCTGCTTGTTTTGTTGGTTGGTTGTTGGACACGTAGTTAGTTAGTCCGTCAATACACTTCTTAGGGCTTTTTCAGCCCTTCTGCGGATGTTTACGATGAGTCAGCCACTTTCACCCGCGGCTTTTATACCTGTCGGTTTCGTTCTACACGAGAATGACAGTTTGAATGTCTGAATCGAGATTGTCTCTATTTATTTACTAGTATTTGTGTCATTATAATATGGGACAGTTATGAATATAAGTATAAGTACATGCCAGAATAGAATCAGCCTTGGTTGAGCCCTTGTAATGTACAAATCAACGCCATTTTTGCTCGCTCGAATCACAAAATGCAAACCACAACCACCACCCGGGGGCAGCTAAGGAGATGAGCGCAACACCTCGGCCATGGCAGGGTCATCGCTAGGAATCTCCTTGGTAAATCCACTACCTCTCCGCACATGCATCAGAAGTCGAAGTGCACCAGCCGGCGTGACACCTTCAATCCGGCGCGCCATACCAACGCTCGAAGGACGCACACGCTCCAGCGCCTGCTTTTCCTCGTTGCTGATACCATTGATCAGACTGTAGTCAAGATCAGCAGGCAAGAGCAGATTCTCATCCTGTTGGAAACGCTGGGCCATTTTCTCCTGCCGTTTCAGGTATGGGGCATAGCGACCCTCGATGGCGACGCGAGTTCGAATTTCCGGCGCGAATGATGCAGCTGTGTATGCGGTGGATGATTCAATGTGCGGGATCAGAGCATCGATGTTCGCTCCGTCCAGACAGAGAATTTCGAGCGCAGAGCGGACAGAAGTATCTGCGCGGACCTTGAAGCCCTTACGGGACCAAGCTGTTGAGGAAAGCCTGGTCTTTTCGAGAAGAGATTGCAATTCTTCGATTTGCGCTTCTGTCTCTGTGAATGCGCTCCAGCGACGGTCTGAAATAACGCCTGCATCACGAGCCATGCGGGTTAATCGCAAGTCGGCATTGTCAGAGCGTGTCGAAATGCGGTATTCGCTGCGCGTGGTGAACATCCGATATGGCTCGGACACTCCCTTTGTGATTAGATCGTCGATCATAATGCCGATGAAGCCGTCAGATCGAGTAAGAGTCATCGGGGCGCGGCTTTGCGATTCCAGACCCGCATTCGTGCCGGCAATGACACCCTGGCCAGCTGCTTCTTCGTACCCTGTTGTGCCGTTGATCTGGCCAGCCAGGTACAGACCGCTAATCAGCTTTGTTTCAAGCGTTGGACGTAAATTTCGAGGGTCGATGTAGTCGTATTCCACTCCGTAGCCTGGTTGGAGCATCTTGACATTTTCAAGACCGCGAACAGTTCGCAGCATAGCGTATTGCGCATCTTCGGGAACTGTCATCGAGATACCATTGGGGTAAATCACTTCATTCGGCGCAAACCCTTCCGGCTCGAGCCAAATTTGGTGCTGCTCCTTATCCTTGAACCGCATGATTTTCGATTCCAAGGATGGGCAGTATCGGGGTCCCCGGACAGTCTCTCGAATATGCACCGACTTGTCCAGGTTGGCGCGGATGATCTCGTGAGACGCCTCGTTGGTGTGCGTCATCCAGCAATTCAGCTGTCCTTCGTCGCCGACGTCGACAGTTTCATTGAGGTAGGAGAACGGCATAGGAGGCGAGTCTCCCTTCTGTACCTCCAAGGCCGAAAAATCAATCGACTTCATGTCCAATCGAGGAGGCGTTCCGGTCTTCAACCGGCCGAGTTGGAAACCCGCGTCACGGAGGGACTTGCTCAGGCCATAGGTCGGTGCTTCACCCATACGACCTGAAGGAAAAGTCTTCAAGCCAATATGAATCTCACCACCCAGGAAAGTGCCAGTGGTGATAACCACACGACCCGTGGGAATGACTTCTCCAGATTCCAAGCGAACACCGACAATCTTGCCTTGGGCACCCGGTGTATGTTCGACACCTTCACTCGAAACAACAATATCCGCAACCTTGCCCTCCACAATATTGAGACCTGGCGTATTGACCAATTCGTCCGTCATATGTTTCCTGTATAGATCACGGTCGATCTGCGCGCGCGGTCCCCACACAGCGGGGCCCTTGGAGCGATTCAATACTCGAAACATAACACCGGCCTTATCGATGATTCTTCCCGCAACACCGTCCATAGCATCGACCTCGCGGATCATCGTTCCCTTTCCAATTCCGCCGAAACTGGGATTGCAAGAGCACACGCCGATATTCGAGAGCGACGGCGTCACGAGCGCAGTGCGTGCGCCTGATCGAGCTGCAGCAGCACATGCCTCTGACCCAGCATGACCGCCTCCAATAACGACGACATCGTAGGGTCTATTCGATGGGTTTGGTTAGCAGTGTCCCATGGGATGTGCATGTTCAAGGGGAAGTTACGTACTGCGTGCCGTTGGCGACGGTCGCGAGCCCTCGAGGCCTGCCTACCGACAAAGGAATTCCAATGCGTCGGCGCAAAAGAACGACTGAACGCGCTCGAAAGGCCATCGCGAAAAGCGTGTGTTTGAACGAATGTCTAGAAGCGTTGCAAATTGAGGCTGAAGGTCGCCTCGCCCCGGGGATGAGCGGCCCCCGATAAGATAAAAATATTGAAGGATCACGTGGGATAAGGTACGGCCGTAGCGTGGATGACATAATCCAACTTGCACCATCGGCCGAGCCAATTGCGGGGCCGCAGATGTTCAGCGTTGGGAATATAATCTCATCTCACCCCCGAGCACTTCCTCCACTTACTTCCAAACCTCACTCGCAAAATCATTCTTCTTATACATTTCCACCATGCGCGCATACTGGTACGACAACAAGCCGGTAAGATCCCACCGATCCCGTTCAATTCTATGCCTGCCTGCGCATTTCATTCCCCCTCCCCTCCTCTCCCCCACCATCCGATGACGCAACACGAACTGTACTAATACAATTTTTGTTCCACGACGCAGGGCGATCAGCGCGAGCCCCATGATTCCGGCCGCGCCGTCTCCGAAGAAGCCCTCGCCAACCTAGGCGTTCTGTACCACCACTGCCCGACACTCGAGGCGGTGGATACCCTGGCCTCGGCGCGCGGGTATAAGAACCGCGACCAGGTTTGCGTATCGCCGGCGACGATGGGCGATGTTTACGAGGAGAAGGTGAAGATGTTTTTTGCGGAGCATCTGCATGAGGATGAGGAGATTCGGTATATCCTTGATGGAGAGGGATACTTTGATGTTCGGGGGAAGGAGGATGAGTGGATTCGGATTTGTTTGAATAAGGATGATATGATTATCCTGCCTGCTGGGATTTATCATCGGTTTACTACCAATGAGCAGAACGTATGTTTTCAACACCCCACCCGTGCTGGAAGTTGAATACCCGCTGAGTGAGTGACTGACTGGTTTATAGTACGTCAAGGCAATGCGTCTCTTCCAAGACGAGCCTAAGTGGACACCGCTGAACCGAGGTGCTGAGGTCGATGTTAACCCTCATCGCAAGACTTATGTGGATACTGTTCTGCAGCCTACTGCTGCTGTGTAAAGTAGATTAGATTTCAATGTTGCCAGTGGCTGGTTGAGTCTCAATTCGCGGGGATTAAATCTTGGAAATACATAATGATTGACGGCTTTCAATAGACAATAGAATGGGGTGTCCCGGTATCTATTATCTTTACAATTTCACCTTCTAGATACAAAAGCAGACTTGTACCTAGGTAAGAATGATAAACAAAATAATCCCACATTGGCCAATGCATGGTCGAACCATCGACCTCCACATAACAGGCAAGAAGTAGGGATATGACCGGGCGATGCTCGTGATATCAAACTTGGGAGACTTCAATACTAACCTCCCAACCATCACAACATAAAATAAGGATAATCTACCAACCACTCTTTGAATCATACTATTGAAAAATATAATTGAAAAGCAGTTAACCAGTTGAACTATTACAACCGGAAAAAAACCAACAAAAACCGAAAAAAGTATACCCGGCTCCAACTTCGTCAGTGACGGCTCATGGAATCTGCCCACCCACCCATCTGTAACCTCATTTACATAGCCCAAACATAGCCCAGCACTAACCAGTACCTTATCCGGAGCGTCCTCCGGAGTCCGGATTAGGCCGGCAGTGTGGGAGCTACCCAACCGCACTACTGGCGAGGCGTTAGCAGGGAGAGACCTGTCTACCCTTTTGGCCTCGTTCTTGCCGTACCTGTTCTACTTACTACTGACCCTGCGCTGAGGTGAAGCAATATATCGCGGCAACTAGCAAAGATCGTGAGAATTCGAATGTAGTCTGATAAATAGTAACTTGAATTGAACACTAAATCAGTTCATTGCTTATTCTAAATATAGTTCGAACCATTTCACCCAATGCTATCCGTAGGCATTGGAATTACATGGGAATTAGATCATGATCTTCTTCTTCTCAAAGACGTGATACTCAAACTCCGAGTCCGAGTCACCACATCACATCAATCTCTAGGCGTAGGAGTCCCCGCCGGTAACCCACCAGGCATTTCAAACCGATCACTCCCCGCGTCAGCACTATCCTGACGAGTCATACTAGCACTCCGCAATCCACCCATATCCATATTGAAACTACTACTCGACCCCGCACCAAGACCCCCCTAACCCTAACCTCGGATCCAAAGGTCCGCGAAATCTCAATCCCTCCGCTTCACGATCATCAAATCGCATCGGACCCTCCGCCGAACCCGCACTGCGTGGCGGTGCAGTAGATCCTGCATCCGAGTCCTCGCCAGTACGCACGCCCGTCCTTCCCATGCGCGGCCATAGATCCGGAAGACCGACGACTTGCACCCGAGGCTCGACAACGCGCTCCTCGAACCAGGCGTGGACGCGCGCTTCGACGAGTTGTGCTACCTTTGGCACGTCCTGGAGACGGCTGCGGGAACCGATGAGGGAGCGGACGGAGAGGTCGAGGCGGTAGTCTGGTAAGAATGAGAAAGCGACGTTACTCTTGGGGCTACTCTTTTGTGAATTCGTATCGCGGGACTCGGTTGAGCCTGGAGAACCGGGGAACGCGCTGGAGGGTTCTTGATTTGGTCCTGGCGATGTTGCTGGTGTGTGGAGGCCGACTGGGTCGGTGGAGGCGGGAATCAGCGAAATGCATAATGTCCCCGAGAACCGCACGACTGATACTGAGAGGGCGACGGGGAGAATGGCGGAGCGGGCTTTGGGGTAGTTGAGGACTAATTGGGTTTCCACTGCGATGGATAAATTGTCGTCACTGAGGTCGACGTCCAAGAGGGCTTGTAATCTTCCACCGTCGGCGTTTGTGGGGTCGTCAACGGCGATGATGCGGCAATTGCTGAAGATGGGGAATTCTTCGCCGAGTGAGATGTCTGTCACGGTGATTTTGTCGATGAAGGAAGGTTTCTTTTCTGGGTTGTTCATTGCTGCGTTTAGGGAGCTTAGGATCGAGGAGGTGGGCGAGTCCTTGAGTGAGTATGCTGTTTGTCTGTATTGCGCTATTGTTTGCGCGATCAGGACGTTGAACCAGTCCAGCGACTCGGGCTGGTGGGAGGAGTGGTGCATTCGATGGCGGCCATGTTTGGCGGGGTTGGTAGGGATGGCGCTGTAGTATGTCTTGCGGAGGATGGAGCGGGTATTTGTGGAGGATGCGGGGACTGGGCGGAGGACATTGGAGTTTGATGGCTTCTCTCGGAGTGTCTTTGGGTCTTGAGTCGTGTTGTAGACTGAGCTGTAGCGGCGGTGGGTTGTGCGATTTGACAGGCCGCGCGATGGGGGTGGTGGTGCTTCGCCGAAGATGAAGAATTTGATGAAGGCGCCGATGAGTAGCACTACCGACAGCTGGCCTAGCAAAAATCCCTGCGTGAAAGAAAGGCTAGAAGGGAAGCTGGGGTTAGCAATCTAACATGTCCTTGCTCGGGGCTCCCGCTTGGACGTACGAGGATTGCGGCGCAACCGGGGCGAGCAACTCAGCTGGAAAAATAAGGTATTAGTAGGTAGTCAACGCAAGCTATGATAGCAGGAAAGGACGTACGTTGTGGAAGCGCCATTGGTTAAGGAGTTCGTCAATCGCCCATCCTCATCCTTAGAGAAGTTGAGGTTGAGGTTGAGGGTGAAGTCAACTTTCGGCCTCGGGTGGACTGGGTGGATCTTACCAACCTTGGCCGAACTGCCAGTGCTGATCTGCCACTGGACAACTCCAACTCATTCCACCTACTACGTGACGGACGACTAAGGCTTGTTGACAGACTGTCCTTTCCAAAATCCTGCTTTCCAGTCCTTATTTCCACTACTCAAATCACTCTTTCACTCTTTCACTGCTATGCGATAGCTTCCTCCACCTAACGAAGCCCACCATCACACCATCACCATGCGCAACCTAGGCACAGCTCTGGTAGCAGCTCTCGCCTCACTCCTCCTAGCAACCCCAGCAACATGCGCCAAACCAAACCAACCACCCGGCAAAGATGCAATTCTCCTCTCCAACGTCCAAGCATTAACCCTCCGAACAAATCGCATGACAACATCCCGCCGCGTCTCCGCCGCCCCTCAACTCAAATGTATCGGCCACGAGAAGATCTGCAAACTATACGAGATCGAAACAATGCGCTGCAAGAATGAAGGCTACGATTACGATGAGGAAGACATCCAGTGGACATGCACCGCGCCCCTACCTTCAGAATTCAAGCTCGGTTCTACAGATGTTATCTGTGAGGGGTATCGGAATTCCGATGATCCTTGGGTGTTGAAAGGGAGCTGTGGTGTTGAGTATCGGATGCTTTTGACGGATGAGGGCGAGGAGAGATTTGGTAAGGATGTCTATCGTGCTTCCAATTCACACAAGACTACGGATATGGTCTCGATTGTGTTTTGGGTGCTCTTTATTGGTGTTTTTGTTTTCATCGTTGCTGCGGCTTGTTGGAGTGATACACCGATACCTGGACAGCCACGACGACGACGATGGGGATGGGGAGGTGGCGGTGGAGGGGACGATGGTTTCTATCCAGGGGGGGCCACCGCCACCTTACAGTAGTAGTGACTGTTCTTCTGGGTCGCAGAGTCAAGGATGGAGGCCTGGCTTTTGGTCTGGTCTTGGGGCTGGCGGGGCGGCGGGATATCAGATGGGACGGAATAGTGCCCGTCGCTCCAGCCAGCGAGATTCATCCAGGTTCAGTGATCCTGGAGAGGGGAGTTCGCGACGTTCAGCGACGCCGCAATTCTCGACGACCACGACGGGGACAGGATTTGGATCAACTCGGCGCAGATAGGAGGTCAGGATGGTAATGATAGCACATGCTGAGCGCAAAATAACAAGATAAAATTCTTGGTAATGTGAATAAAATGAGAACTGACTCGAAAAAAACCCTGAGCTAGATCTACCTGTGTGTATCATTCCCGATCCAAAACGCCAGAAACCCCAGATCAAAAAAGAACCCCGTATCTATGCAATGTAGACTCCAGTATACAACCATGACATGAATTGATTAAAAGGCCGGGATCTCGTCAATAGATCCCAGAACTTCTTCGGTACCACCACCGGCATTCTTGGCGGCTTGTTTCTTGCTGTTACGCTTGCCTTTGGCAGTGCCCTTGCCCTTGTCGCCCTTGGAATCCTCTTCACCTCCACCCCCAGTCGGATTGCGCATCATTTCTTCGTGAAGCTGCTTTTCCTTCTCGTGCTGCTCCTCAATCACTCTCTTTTCTTCATCCAGTTCCTGTTGAATGAGCTTGGGGTCGTCATAAGTCTGGTTGGTCATGGCGGAGTATTCTTCTATATCGATGACCTCTCGTGGGCCAAGAAGGGTGTCCTTGATTCTTTGCGGATCGCGACGCTCCTCATTGTTGAATTTAAGCTTGATCTGTCGACGAGACCGGCCGGGAAACATGTTGCTGATGACCATGAAGTCGGTGCCAAACATGCGAAGACCACGGTAGAATAGATCCGTCATTTCTTCATCCCAGCTTTCAGTCTTGGATCGTTTGCCATAGGTCGCTTGGTTAACCTTGCGAGTAAGCTGGTTCTCCACCACGTCTTCTAGATCGCCCGCTTCTCGGGCAGCATCGGCGTGACGATCAACTTCCAGCGATGCAGTGTCGAGAACAATCTCTCCGTTGACGATACGCATGACTGGACCGGCAGCGGGTTTGGCGGGTTCGGAAGACCGGTCCCCTTCTGGCGCTTTGGCCTTCATCGGGGTTCCAGTAGTTGATGCTGCTTCCTCCTGCGCTTTTTGCTTGGATTCCAATTCAACCTGCTCCAATCGCCGTAGCTCGACCTCTCGCTTTGACTTTTTTCCGGTCTTTAAGTCTTTGCAGAGCTCCGACATCTTCATCACGTTGGGCAGGATTTCCACAGTCTCCGCATCATCCGGTGTGGGTTCACGCTTTCGACGAGCGCGCTTTGCCTTTTCGGTACCCTCGGCATCAGATGCGCCAGTCTTTGATTGTTGTCGTTTCTTGGTTTTCTTCCCCGCCTGGCTCGGATCGGGGGTAGACGGCGCCAACGATCCTCCTGGTGTCTCACTAGTCCCGTCAATGGTGGGGCCAACCGACGTACTCACTTGAGACTGGCTCTTTTGCCGGGACTTGGTGATCTCTGAAGTTTTCTTTGCATACTTTGTCGGCCGGTATTCGACTGGGTTAAAGGAAGGTACGGGCGCAGGGGCGGGTGCGGAGGGTTGGACGACAGTCGAGCGGGGTGAAGCGGGTTCGTGTGGAGCTATGGCATCATCTGAAAACTGTACAGACGCGGTGGAGGTGCCGCGAGCTGTAGGCAGTTCGAGATCATGCTCGATCGAAGGGACTATCTCAGATTCAGGATGGGGCTCAACTGCCGAAGTGGGGGGGAGAAGGCGGAACATCAGATGCGGGGGTAGGAATGTTATTCGGTTCTCGAGTTGCAGGGGTCGCGATAGAGGCTTTGCGCTTGGGAAGGGGGATCGGAATTGAGGTTTTGGATTGTGAGGGAGCTGGGTGATGCTCTTGGGAAGGTGTAGCTGCACCTGCAACTGCAACTGGTGGGGTGGTTTCAGGGATCGCCGCTTGTTCGGGCTCCACAGAGACAGAGGTAATCGATGGAGCTGCAACAGAGCCAACAGAGCCTCTGGTTTCGCGTTCTTGTTGCAAAGTTTGCGCGGCTTGGGCTGCTTGAGCCTGTTGGACTGCGCTGGGTCGTCTTGCAGGTGCAGTGGGCGCTGGCGCAGGCGCACCGCGGCGAACGGGCGCCTTCGGGGCGAACTTTTTGCCCGACTTGTCTATAACAGACAGCGTTAGCACACGGGATCATCCATCACAATCACAATCACAAGAAGACATACTGATCGCAGAACTCGAGAAGGACTTCATTGCTGTCCGTCGCTGAGCGGCGACACGGTTAGGTTGAAGGATCTCAGATGTGAAAAGTCACCCGGAGCGGGCGAGGTGAGTGGATGGAAGGTCACGTGAGCAGTGCGGTCGCGAAGGCAAAGCCAGGAGGAATTCTCAACGCTCTCCTTCTTCAATCCTAACCACATCCTCCCGGTCCCTTCACACCACGCCTTTGGACTCTCTTTCCCACTCCAAATAACACCTTCACTGTCACATATTTCCCTTTCAATCTCGTCCAGGGCTCGTCTTTGTCAGAATTGGACACGGTCGCGGTACCTTGATTCTTCTGACGGACGGTTCGGTGGTGACGATAACCCCCCCTCTCATGTCAGTCTAGCCACTGATGCCGGCCGCCGAACCCCCCGTTTTGTCTTCAGAGTCCGGTCTCGTGAAAATGGAAGACCGGAAGAGGCCCGCCGCGGACAACAATGACTCGGCCCCGCCATTGAAGAAGCAAGCAACCACCGTGAATGGTGGGAGCAAACCTCATCCCGATGCCGATATGCCGTGGAAAGATGATCTTGAGGTATGTCGTGGGCCCCTATTCTGCTCCAAGTTGAAGACCCAAGGGTGTCTTTAACACTCATATCCATCACAGCGCTGACGATATACCCCTCCCTGATAGCGATTTCAAAAAGATGCGATTTTACGGCAGATGCAGGAATTTAAGCGAGACAAGCAGTCGTTGGAATCGCGTGTGAATGAAATGTCAAAGGCTGCCAAGTATCATGATAGCCATTTGCGGGTCATCGATTCCTGGTACAAGCAGGTAGGTTTGATGTGCCAGCCTTGGCACTCTTTCCATATGAGAGTTACAGCAACTGACAATACACAAGTTAATCGACGAGATGAAAATAATTCTTGGGTCTGAAGGGGTTGCGAAAGGTCAGTGGTCCTATTTTGCCCAGCGTGAAGCATCGCCGCAAACGCATGCTTGGAACCATCATTGACAATATGAACAGAACCCTCTTTCAAGAGCTCCTTGCAGTTTGAAGATATGGAAGGATTTGAGGCGCATTTGAAAACACGATCAGATGATATCCGCGACATTATATCTCATTTACCGTCGAAATCGGCAGATGTGTCTTCCGACATGGCAGATCTGCAGAGCCAATTGGCCAAGAAGCTTGCCGAGGAGAAGGTGACAATCGCCAATCTCGAGAAAGCTCTAGCCGACAAGCAACAAGCTGAAGAAAGCCTCGAGGCAGCATCACTACGATATATGGTTGCGGAGAAGAAACTTGATCGGGCGAGAAGCGTGACAGTCGCCAAGCTTGAAAAACAATACATTTTGGGTGGCTCGCGGCCAAACACTGAAGCTTCCCAAGCGAAGCGTGAAGAGTCATCTCCCGCGAACGGTGGAACCCCTGTCGGAGACCGCAGTGCCGAATTGGAAGAAACTAATACGCGCCTAACTGTGGTCTCTGAGAAACAGAAGGAGCAGCTGCAAAAGCTCGAGGCAGAGAACACTATTTTACTCGGCCAACTTAACGAGCAGAAGATCAAGGTATGTTCCCTGCCAGCTAGACCCTTTGAAGCTCCCACTCACTAAGATATTCCTAGTCATCTAAGCTTACCAACGACGACTACGCCCATACCGACCTTTTCAAACAAATCCGATCACAGCATGATGATGTGGTGAAGCGCATCAACAACCTGGAAGCAACAAATACTCAACTGCGCGAGGAGGCTGAGAAGCTTCGCTCCGAAAGGGCAGCATATAAAATTGAGATGGAGGAAGAATTCCAAAGCGCCACTGCGGAGAAGGAAGCCCAGTTAATGAGAGCCGAAACCGATTTGGCGCGGATACGAAATGCTCGTGATGAACTACTGGCCGACCAAAACATCCGAAAGGCCGCCCAGGATCAAGAGAAATCCACTAGTACCAAACTGCAAGAGCTAGCGGACGCCCGTGAGGCCCGAATTACAGCCCTGGAATCAGAGATCGAGCGACTGCGACTGCAGATTGACGGAGCCAAGGCTGCGGAAAATTTGACGGACATGCCGGTGGAGGAGCTTCGCTCCAAGTACACCAGCTTAGAACGCCAGTATTCCATGCTCAACACCGAGTTGACTTCGATGCAAACAGCTTATAAGAAGAATGCGACACTGGCATCGCAGAAGGTTGCCGATCTTGCCGCGTGGGAGGAGAAGATCAATCGTCTCAAGGCGGAGAAAGCTAAGGCAGATCAGAAGTATTTCGCTGCGATGAAGAGCAAAGAAGCCCGCGAGGCTGAAGTTCGCACGCTTCGAGCGCAAAACCACAAGACCTCGGACATTGTCTCACAACTGAAGGAGTCGGAAGCCGTCACACGGTCTTTGCTGTCTAATATGGATAAGCAAGTCAGCGAGACCAAGGAGTCCTTGAATTCCACACTTGAAAAGCACCGTGTCATCCAGCAGCAGTTGACCGAGCGGGATATTGTTGCAGATGGACTGAAGAACCAAATTGTCGAACTGAAGACCCTGTCGACCTCGAAGGACTCGACTCTCGGGGAGAAATCATCCGCTTTGCGACAAGCCGAGATCGAAATTGCGGGTCTCAAGCAAACTCTTTCAGACACCAAGAAGAGTCTCGAGAACTGGAAGGGCAAGAGTTTGGGCAACAGCTCTTCGGAGTATGAAATGTTAAGAGTGAGTTTCACGATGGCTGCACTAAGTAACCTTAACTTCTTGGCTGATGGGTCCGCTAACCTTAATCTAGTCACTTGCATTATGCACGGTCTGCCGACGCAACTTCAAGAACACGGTGATCAAAACTTGTGGTCATGTATTTTGCAAGGACTGTGTTGAAGAGCGCCTCACATCGCGCTCGCGCAAATGTCCCAATTGCAACAAGTCTTTCGGAAGCAATGACCACATGCACATTACTATGTGATCTGATCTGCCCTTACTCTCCCAAAATTCTCATTCGTGTATTATATCCCACCCTTTTTGTTTTCTCTTCTTTTCTTCTTCTCTTCTCTTCTCTTCTACCCAATTTTCCTTTGCATTCTATTTTTATTTAGTGGTCACTTTCGGACAGGTCCATGGTGCGGTGTTGGCTGGTTTACTTCTTTCCTGGGATAAGGGCTGGACCGGCGTTTGACGAGTCATGTGAGCTCTATTTCTCTTTGTGTTTCTGTCTTGTTCAAAATTCATGCGATCGCATCTAGATCGACGCATCGGTGGTTTTGTTATCTCATTGCTTCGTCTTGCAGGGTGCTGGGGCGCTGTGGCGGGTTGTGTGTGTGTGAATCTCTGTGTGTCTGTCAGTGTTCTGTTCTTGGATAATCCTCGGAACTCTCAAGGGGCGTCACGGTGTTTTGATGTCTTGGAAGAGGGTAGCTCTAGATCTCTGTTATATAGGAATATTTTTGGTTTAGGGTTGTTCTCTGAGTCTCAAAATGAGGATGAGGATTGAGAATTAGGATACGATGAATGCGAAGCGAAAGCAATGCATACAATACAATACAGTAATAGCAAGATTTCAATTCCAAGTTATTATTATTCGTACATGTCAATTTATTCATTTATTTACAGTATATTTAATATATTCATCAATTCCCCCACATGAATGAGTTCAAGAGTTGAAAATCCGACTATAAAGCAACTCATGCCTTCCAACCCACAAATCCAACGCAGGAACAACCTGCCCAGCCTCTTCAGGCTCAGTATTCCACTCCCTCTCAATCCGCCCCATAATAGTATCCTGCAAACTCTGACTAGCAAGGATATTCTGCGCCTGATACGGTCCCATCACAGACGCCCGCACTGCCGCACTAAGAACGGCCTTCGCGTGGTTGAGCACAAACGTATACGCTGTCTGTTGGAGGTCCAGCCCCATTGCGCGACAGGCTACACCCCAAAGCGGAGCGAAGTGACCTCGTGGTCCGAGGTCGTATTCATCCACGTCTTCGAAGGAGGACTTTAGTGCGGAGGAGAACTCGTCAATGGCTGTGATGGCCGCCGTGACGCCGGTGTCGGTGGTTTGCTCTCCCTCCGGGGAAGGGGAAGCAAAGCTCACGCGGAAAGCACGTTCCCAGACCCCGATCAAGGCGCGCCCTTGTGCGACGCTCGCGCGCTGCGCGACGATGCAGGGTGTTGAGGCGTCGAGGTCGTTATCGAGGGTATCTAATGTTTCGGGACGGCGGTACCCGGCAAGCACGTAGGGGAGTGATGTGCTTGCGATGGAGGCGATTGATAGTTTGAGGAAATGGTGGAAGGATGTTACTGGGTTTGTGCGGCGGGATGGCTTGTTGTGTGCGAGGTAGGACTCTAGTCCGCTGGAGTAGGCGAATGAGCCTAGTGGTAAGGCGGAGTCTGAGAGGAGGAGCAGAGCGTGGAGTGAGGAGGCGCGGACTGAGGATGGACGGAATAATTGGTCGTTCTTGGTGGTGGTGGTATTATTGGTGTTCTCATTATTGTATGATGGCATTGTCCAGGACTTGTCTGGGTGTGAGGATGGTGGTGTGGGATATGTGGAGATGTCTAGCTGAGCTCGCATATCGTGCAGGCGGGCTTCGAGCTGGGCGATTTCGGACTCGAGGTCCTGCGGGCGGTCTTCGAAGAGCATTGTATAGATGTATGTGTATGTGTATGTGTATGTATCTGTGTGTGTGTGTATGTGTGTATGAATATGTGAAGTGTAAAAGCGTGAAAATGGGCGAGGGTGAGGTATTATAGGAATACTCAGGAATATCTCGGGCGAAGTGCCAAGTGGAGTCCGTCGGAGAATGCCGCGTGCCCCGGCGGATTCTCTATCAACCACGGCCGTCACGGACAGTCACCCTCATTATTCATTTGATTCCACCAATTGACCCACTTTTCACATCGTCTTATTCGATTGCATTACTCGATTATTTGCCAATCTCCAGGATCCAGGATACCGCCCTATTCTGCCCTTCATGCACTGCTCCACATCGGACCTTCAATTATATCCTCTCATCCAACCATGTCAGGCAGACGTCTGCTGGACACCGTCCAGTTCCTCAATGTCTCCAAGACCATCGCTCTGAAACATCTAGGTATTCGCCAACGCCAACTCGATGTCTATACGCGAACTTCCTCCCTTACCAAGGGCATCAAGGCCCAAACGGATGGGTTGATCTTGACCGCACAAGCCGCGGCCGCTTTAGCTCGTCGGTTCGACGACTCGCCACCGACCCCATCTCCCTCTCCCTCTGCTCCTTCGCCGGGCACCGCATCCCCCGAAGCTTCGGCCAACTCCTCCCCCAGCCCCCATTCTTCCACTGCAACCTCAACCTCAACCCCTGAGAATACCGGTGCAGCCACTCGAGCCTTGCAGCCTGAGGCTGAAGCTCAATTTCAGATCCCGGCTTCTGCCGCCCAATATACTGGCAACGAGACACGGACACCTGGCAGCCTGAACGTCAGCCAACAACAAGATGTCTTTTACGAACCTTCGCGGCAGACCTCGCAGACTGATTCCGATCTATCCGGACTCCCCCGAGTAAAGCTGCCCAAGGCATCTGGCACGGTCCAAGTCCAAGCTAGTGTCGGCGAAGGGCTGAATGCCGATGTGTTTCATTCCGCCGAGCGCCCGGAAAAGTCGGCATCGGCATCGGCGGAGGTGGAGTCACACCAGAGTGAGATCCCGGATGGAATGATCGAAGGTCTATTCCATAGCCCGAGGGTCTCACGTATGCTAGCGGGCAAGCCGAAGCCGAAACGAGATTGGATTCCTGCTGCGAAGCCTAATACGCCAAAGAAAACGACAACTGCCGAGGCCGAGATCCTGAGCCAGGGCCAGGGCCTCGAGGCCCATGAGATCCCGGAATTATTGCAGGAATTGGACGCTGCTGGATATCGCACTGCAACTACTGAACCCGTCACCGTCGTACCGGATGCCGCATCCACATCCACACCCACACCCACACCCACACCCACTCAGGTCCCCACTGCCGAGGGGCTGGGGGAGGCGATCGGAGAGAAGGTTCAGGCCGTCCCTTATCAGATGATGGAGTCTCGCGTGCCATCCTCTCGATTTGCTCGAATGTGGCAGTATGGTGGGCTAGCGACCTCAATGGCATTTGGCGCCGTCGGCGAGACCCTCCGCCGAGCAACAGGCAGCCAAGACAACGGTTCCTCAATCATGTTCAGTGCGGGGAACACAGAACGAATGGTCGCCAAGCTATCCAAAATGCGCGGCGCAGCTCTAAAACTTGGCCAAATGCTCAGTATCCAAGACTCAAACATGCTCCCCGAGCCCATCCAGCAGGTCCTTCAGCGCGTTCAAGACCGCGCAGACTACATGCCCGCATCCCAGCGTGACAAAGTATTGGCTGATAACTTGGGCCCGAACTGGCGAGACCTCTTCTCCTCTTTCAACGAGATCCCCATGGCCGCCGCATCAATCGGCCAAGTTCACTCCGCCGTCCTCAAATCCACCGGCAAACCCGTCGCCGTAAAAGTCCAGTACCCCGGCGTCGCCGACTCGATCGACTCAGACCTCAATAACCTCTCAATCCTGCTGACAGCCTCCCGCCTCCTCCCCCGCGGCCTGTACCTGGACAAGACAATCGCCAACGCCCGCACAGAACTCGCATGGGAATGTGATTATATCCGCGAAGCCGAGGCCGCCACTCGCTTCCGCAGCCTCCTCGCCAACGACCCCGTCTTCGTCGTACCGGAGATCTTCCCCGAAGCCTCGGGCAAACAAGTCCTAACAATGGAAATGCTGGACGGAGTAGCTGTAACCAAGATCCAAGATTTCACCCAAGATCAACGAGACTGGATAGGCACCCAACTCATGCGCCTATGTCTACGCGAAATTGCGGAATTCCGCTATATGCAAACTGATCCCAATTGGACGAATTTCCTCTACAACGCGCAAACAAATCGACTCGAATTACTCGACTTTGGCGCCAGTCGCGAATATCCGGCCGAATTCATAAGTACTTATGTGCGTACGCTTATTGCTGCGTCCAAGAATGATCGCGTCTCTTGTAAGAGGCTTAGTACTGAGATGGGATATCTTACGGGCTATGAGTCGGAGGTCATGGCCGATGCGCATGTTTCTTCGCTTGTGATTATTGCCGAGCCGTTTATGGAGAGTTCGGGGGATGTTTATGATTTCAGGGATCAGACTATTACTGATCGGGTTAGGGCTTTGATCCCTATTATGCTCCGGGAACGGCTTAGTCCGCCTCCTGAGGAGACTTATAGTTTGCATCGGAAGTTGAGTGGGGCTTTCTTGCTTTGTGCTAGACTTGGGAGTCGGGTTCCTTGTAAGGAGTTGTTTAGGGAGATTGTTAAGAAGGCGGAGGTGGATGGATTGGATGGGAAGAAGTGAAGCAGGCCTAAATTCTAGATCTTGGATCTTGAAGTGTGTATTGATTGGGTGGATTGGATGTATGATATAACATAGATTTTGCAAACAGCGGACCTTGGAACCCACTACGCTAACTAGTGTAAGTTCCAAGTTGTATTTTTAACACAAAGTTTACTAGAACCAGTTCCAAGTTACTTCGTCGAATCTGGTAGTCCACAACTTGGAGTGTTCAATGCCGTGATCGCTAGCACCCGTTTGATCCTCAACAAATGCATCTTTACCCGACCAAATTGTCCAAGAGAGCGTGATCAATCTAATTTGATAGCCATAAAGATGCCCGGAAGTGATGTAAGAGGAGAGAAATCCTGGCGAGACTGAAAATGAATTAGTCCACATAATCAGTACCAAGCCCAACCAACCTCTTTATAACAAGCCTTTGCACTTGCTAGCTTTCAAGTTGAGAAGCATGCACTACCCCCAACAGAGCACGTATAGGGTGTAAGTGAATATACTAGTGCCAAGCGATCTATCTTTTTTCGATCGCTTCTCCAATTTTGAAGCTATTTATACTGTTTTTCGACGCATTGGCGTCGATTCGATAAATTTGGCTCCTTTGGGAATAAGCAGCTCTATAGGCGTCAATAGCACGCTTTTTGTTTTTTGTTTTTTCAGCTGAATTGGCATGCCGAGTTTCTATAATACACTACATAAATAAAAATCCAATATTGCTTTAATATAAAAGGGATTGCTAAATAATAGCTAAACAAAACAGTATTTAAATCAAAACTAGTGAGGATATCCGTGTATGCGCTTGTATCCACAGGTGAGGATTATGCCGCACCCTATCCACTGATCAGAGCGACTCGGCATGAACCGCAGCTGGTTTATGCTCCTTGTCATGACTACTATCCGTGGCCTCGGACAATGCCTCACGCGCAATCTTCTCACGTTCCTCCTCAGTGGTATTGTACCAACGGGACGCGACATTCTCTGCATCGCCAAAAAGAGCACCAATCTCCTCCAAGGTGCGGCCCTTGGTTTCTGGGAAGAGGAAATAGATGGCCGCGATATAGAAGACGGAAGGGATAATTAAAACCAGATAAAACTTCCATCCGATTGTATTCAGTGCCACTGGTGCAGCAACTAGTGTGACTTCAGAAGTGAGATAGAAAGTGCTGAGACCGATAGCCACTCCCTGGGACCGCAGATGATTCGGAAAGATTTCTGTCACGTAGACATACTGCGTCGCATCCATGAAAAAGCACCACCAGAAGATGTAGAAGAATGTAAAGAAAACTGCTGCTTGCAATCCTGACTTCACATTTGTGCCTAAGTATTCTGCTGACAGAGCACAAAGGAAAATTGCGGATGCAGTGCAGCCAATCGACCCAAGAAGCAAACAAGTCCGACGGCCCACACGATCCAGGTAAAATGCAGTCCAGGTGTTGCCGATTAGGGTAAAAGTAGTCCAGCAAGCATTGAGGAGTAGCGGGATTCCGCCGGTGAAACCAAGGTAGCCATAGATAATGACACCGTAGTTGGCAATAACATAAATGCCCAGGAATTGGTCGCCAGCCATGAGTAAAAAGGCCGTAAGGGCCCTTCGGCGGTTGGCAGGAGTTCGAAAAATCTCAAACCGACGGATAACCATCGAACGATCGTGCTCAAACTGCCTCTCCATCAAAAGGAATTCTTGTTTGGCTCTCGTGTCGTTGGGATCGTCCGGCACTTTGTGCAAGCGACGGACAATCTCAAAAGCCTCGTCTCGCCGTCCTTGTTGTAATAACCAGCGAGGAGAGAAGGGAATGAATGAACTTCCCGCAAGGACAACTAGAGGAAAGGTGATTTGGAAGGCCAGTGGGAACCGCCAGGCGAAAGCTGCGTACGGGCTGGTCGCTTTCATGTAATAACAGGCGAATCCAAGCCAGCCTGCCAAGCTATATCCGACGGCGTACATAATACCAGTAACGCAGACCATTGCACCGCGAGTCTCAGCTGTCGAGACCTCAGCCTGGTAAATCGGCACAATGCAAGCCAGGGTGGCAGCTCCCATGCCCGCGATAAAGCGACCTGCAAGGAACATGTCCATGTTTACCGCGCCTGCACATAGTGCGCCACCAATTATCAAGATAGCGCATCCGAATTGCATGGTCCGCTTGCGACCAAAAAAGTCTGCTGTCCAGGCCTGTCCCAGGCATCCTAGGATTGCCCCGGCCGAGTTTATACCATTGAGGGCGCCGATCGTGTTGGTGGTGTGCTCATATCCTGACTCGCCCTGTGTAGGCAAGTTGAAGTATGCGTAGAAATTGGGCTGCCCGACGGTGGATCCAATAATGGCCAGACCGTAAGCACTTGCAATGGTGCCAATGGACACGAAGACCACGAGCCAAAAATTGTAGGCGTTCACAACGATTTTATGAAGCATGATCCAGTAGAGAGCCCAAGTGCTGCTAAATAGATTCAAAATAAGAGCCCGGCGGATTGATTGAAAAGTTTGCAGTAGCAGAGGTAAGGCGTTAGCAGCCTTATTTATGTGGCTCCGGTTAATCCAGTTCTGGGCGAGACGGGCATCACAAGCCAGCTATTGAGTTTTGTATTAAGTTTTGCTCCAACTTGAAGATTTCTCCAGATTCCATTCCAGTAAGCCCTAGGAAGATCTGGGGAGTCTACAGTAGGAATATGCGGGGAAACCGTTATGCGCATGTCCACCGGACCCCAAATATAACAATTTTGTCCGGGCTTGCTCTCCGGGCCCGTGGCAAGACGTTGATCAGCATCCAATTGGGACTATTCTTGTGCTTCTTGGTCTATGCCCTGCCCAAACTCTATCGTGTGGCGAGGTTTGCCCTCTCCGCAACTTTCACTGACTATCCTCACTTGGACTTCCCATAGCAAATGCACAGGCCACACTGCGAAGGCTTTCCCGGTCCACTTCATAAATATTACATGTATGGAAGCTCCGGTGGACAAGATCACCGGCGTCGAAGTGCGGGGCTTCGTTTTTCTGTCAAATTTGCTATCCTTTGGGGGTTTTAAGTAGGGATATTCCTTTACCATATGGCTGATCAACAGGAATTACTTAGCCCCAAGATGGCTGACCCAGAAAATATCTTCCTTCCTTCACTCAAGGAGCTGAGAGAGCGCAATGCCAATGCAATTTGTCCCGAGGTCGCGTGGATATGGGGTCCGAACGACGAGGTATCATGCAAAATTCCAAATCCTTTCTCCAACTCTCTCTAGAAGCTGACTTCTATTGCGTTTTATCTTTGGACAGGTTGGTCGGCTAAATCTTCTGACTGGGAAGCTTATCAGTAAAGTAGTCAAAGAAGAAGTTCAGAGTGGATGCGTTGTTTCGCTCAAGTATGTTGTCAAACAAATGCATTGCTCTCTCCAGTTGGTTCAAATGGAAACTTTAACACTGTTTTTAGTTGGAACATGGAGCTCCCTGCTCACCCAAACTTCGATCGTTCGCCATGCAAGTTCAAGATTCTGCCAAATCCCTCCAGTGATTGCATTTTCGATGACATACTTGAGATGAACATCCAATCTGGAAGTCAGTGGGATGGGTTTCGCCACTTCGGCCATCTTACCCACGGATTTCTCTACAATAACCTGAGTCCGAAGGATGTGATGCTCACAAATCGGTGTGGAATGCATGTTATCTCCCGTCGCGGTATAGTAGGTCGAGACGTCTTTCTCGATTACTATCGATATTCGCAAAAGTTCAACAAACTGTACGATCCATTCACCAGCCACGCGATTACCTTGAATGAGCTTCTGTCCTGCGCGAACTATCAAGGCACCCGATTTCAAAAGGGAGATATCTTGATCATCCGAAGTGGTTACGTGTCGCGATACCATCAGCTGCAGAAGTCAGACCCGGCGGAACTTGAGAGGTCTGCCGCCTCCAATCCTACATTGGCTGGAGTTGAACAGTCGGAAGAAATGAAGACGTGGCTCCATGACTCGTGAGTTTCCCCTTTCCTCTCCAGCTTCAGTTCTCCTCTGCCCTATCACACTGCATTATTTCTGAAGATGTGCTAATATCAGAGTGAGTAGTTATTTTGCTGCAGTTGCAGGCGACGCTCCCTCCTTTGAGGTATGGCCATCTTCCCAAAGCTGGTATCTGCACGAGTATCTCCTTGCCTGCTGGGGAGTTATGATCGGCGAGATGTTCGACCTAGAGGTAAAATTGCACTTCCGTCCATTATTCTATTTTCGATGCTTATTAAACATTTCAGGCTCTATCGGTTCAATGTGAGCAGAAGAATAAGTATTCCATTATGTTAACAAGCGCACCGATCAATAGTACAGGTAGGTCTCAATGTCGCCTTTCCGTCAAAAGAGATACTCACACATCTGTTTTTCGCAGGTGGGGTCGCGAGCCTAGGTAACGCACTTGCGATTCTTTGATCTCCAGAATTATTCTCGTGGGCAAATGGGATAAATTCTTCAAAAATATGTGTACTCAAGCCTATAAAGATATGCAAACACTAGTCAACGTTCACTGAATCAACTAGTCCACTGCAATTTTTGTTTAAATACTGTACGCCATATCCTGACTGGATGAATGGTGCTGGCGGTGTGAAGCACTTGTATGATGATGAAGGGGGTGGGATGGAAGTAGATAACGTGGTTGGTAAGCGAGCTGCGCATGCAAGCGAGCTGCGCAGCCGCCCACTTTTTCGCGTCCTCCCGCGTTCATCTATCTTCTATCAAGCACCATGCCTCCAACTCGCGTCCATTCAAGCCAAGACTCTATCGAGAGAGAGGGCCGTATATTACTTGCTATACAGGCTATTCAAAGGGAAGAAATTATATCTATACGCGAAACAGCACGTCGCTTTAATGTACCCGAATCTACACTACGTATACGACTCCACGGTACTACAAATCGCGCTGAAACTCGCGCAAACTGTTATAAATTGATACAGATTGAAGAGGAACTTCTTCAGCAACGGATATTATTACTAGATCGACGTGGAGCTGCCCCTACACAAGCTTACGTACGAGAAATGGCTAATTTGCTTCTTGTAAAGCGCGGTTCTACCCCCATCCAAACTGTCGGCAAAAAATGGGTATATAACTTTATACAACGTTATCCAGAGCTCAAATCTCGCTATTTACGACGATATAACTATCAGCGAGCACTACAAGAAGATCCAAAGATTATCCAGGAGTGGTTTGATCTCGTTCAAACCATAATTTAGCAATACGGTATCCTTACAGACGATATCTATAACTCTGACGAGACTGGTTTTGTAATAGGCCTCTGTACGACTTAGAAAGTAATTACTCGATCAGAATACTACAGTCGGAGATCAGTTTTACAGCCAGGAAATCACGAGTGGGTAACCGTAATTAAGTTAATCAGTGCTTTAGGATAGGCTCTTCTACTAATACTTATCTTTAAGGGTAAGTAATATAACTAAGTATGGTTTAAAGAGCTTCCGTACGACTGGCGCTTTGAAGTTAGTATAAATAGATAGATATCTGACGAAATAGGTCTTCGCTGGCTTTAAAAGTAGTTTATTCTATCAACAAATTATTATATATACGGGCGATATTGACTCTTAATTCTTGATAGATATAGAAGTTATCTTATACTAGAATTCGACCAAATCTGTGCAGATTATAATATTATACTGATTTGTATATCTGTATATTCTTTATATCTTTTACAACCACTTAATATTAGATGTTTTGCTGTTTTAAAACATACGTACGGTAATTTAGTCAGCCAGAAAATACAACTTGGGATCAGCTATATCAATAAACTTAATTTCCTTATAGCTTATCTACAAGCTTATATTGATATATTTAAGTCAGATACTATTTAAAATAGCTTTCAAGCAGCTAGAATAGTACCTTTTAATCCTAAATCAGTACTATCAGAGCTTAATATTCAACTTCGGACACCTACACTACCCCCAAGCCGCAGTAGTCAAGTAAGTATATTTTGCCTATATATACCTGTAAACGTTAATAAGCTTTATAAACAAGTATCCTCGATTAAAGCTTTCCTAAACCAACGCTCAAAAAGTCCTCTATCACCTTCCCAGGCTGTGCTAAACCAGCTTATTAAAGGCTGTTAAATCATAATACAAAACGGTATCTTACTTGAGACAGAGAATAAGCAGCTACGTGATGAAAATACTGTACAAAAGAAAAAGCATGCTCATACGACTAGATAGATAGCCTACGAGGATGGCCTATCTGTTTAAGAAGCACTAGAGCTCGAGGAAGCTCATAATGCGTTCTTTCGGGCAATACCAGGTCCACGCGTGCCACCAGCGCAGGGTACGCAAGAGCCAAAGAAACGGGCCCTACCTAAATGTGGCAATTGCAGTGAAATAGGGCATAAGAAGAATTCTTGTCCAAATAGATAATAATGAATATAAAGGCGTTTTGGTTGATATATACATATAAATAGGTAGAAGAAGTGGGCGGCTGCGCAGCTCGCTTGCATGCGCAGCTCGCTTACCAACCACGTTAATTGTTGAGACCTGAGGGTTCAGGCTTCGGTGCTGAGTCAACCTGTCACCGTACATATAGTAGATAGCCTTCTAGGTTCCTCCATAGCACACATCCATCATCATCCATCCAGTCCCTCTGTATCCAGCAATAATTATAGTATTGATAGGTGGTGGTGGAGAGTGGTAAAGATATGAAGAAGACAAAGAAGCTATCTCAGAAAAAGGCATACCGGCCTCAAACATCTGAACATGTGATTCACCATTACTACATCTTCTCACAGACTAACATGGTTTTGCGCGGAATGACTGCGATTGTGGACAATCCTACTCCTTCGGCTGGGGAGAGCAATTGAGAATATCTCCGGGCAGGCTTTTCACAGTATCCCCACACCTTTAGCCCTCATGCCAATAGATGATTTCTAACCTGTTGCAAGCGAATGAGAATGTGGTGCCATCGTAGATGTCCACCGGAGATGTCCACCGGAGACATCCGCTATGCTTATTTCTATTTTGGTACCGACGGCAAGCCTTTAGGCGTTGAAGATGTTTCAGCAACCCACAGGTTACACGGGAGCATTACGAGAAAGCCGAGATTAGGATGGATAGCGTGCTGGAGGTACTTGGGGAGGCTCTGGCATCTGCTTTATCCTCAAAATTGCATCTTTACTTGAGTAACTTGTTACTTGTCCACCCAAGCGTGCTCACTCTCATTCGACCGCCATCAATTTAATCATTGGAAATAATGAAGAAAAAGGGGAATTTTGTCGAGGTCCAAGTAGCTGAGTGATCTAGGATGGTGCCTTGAAGCAAAAGATGTATTTAGTACCTTTCGAGTCTCGGCCTTAGCATAAAGAATTCTCAAATTTCAAGGCGCCGTATGCATATCATATGCACCAGGATGAGTTTGATCTTTAATCGCCCACGGGTCAGTATTGTTCTGTCAAGCACT